TCTCTTTCTCTCTTTCTCTCTTTCTCTCTTTCTCTCTTTCTCTCTTTCTCTCTTTTTTATTTTTTTTTTCAATTCTTTCGATGCAGCCGCTAACACACCCCAGTGCACCTGATCTCGACCCCCCTGGCGCACGCATCCGACGAGTTCGCGCCCAAGGCGTGGGCAAAGTACGAGGACGTGGCCGCGCTCAAGGCACCCGGCGTGCGCCACCTGCACGGCAGCGTCGTCTCGGTCGACTGCGCCAAGAAGTCGGCCGTCATCGCCAAGGCGGGGTCCCAGGAGCAATTCGAGGAGGCCTACGACTTCCTGATCGCCGGCTCCGGCCTCAGGCGCGCCTGGCCCGTCGTGCCGCAGTCATTGGACAAGGCCTCGTATCTGGCTGAGGTCGGCAGCCACATCCAGAAGATCAAGGACTCCGCTCGCGAGGGCGTCGTCGTTATCGGCGGAGGTACGTGGGGCAGCTCCTAAAAAAATCCTTACCGATGGGATGCCCTCTTTTTTTTTGTTTTGAGAGGAAAGAAAAACTGACGCAATCGAGTCATGCGGCAAAAACAGGCGCCGTCGGAATCGAAATGGCAGCCGAGCTGAAGCTGGTTTACCCGACGCTGAAAGTCACGCTTGTCCACTCTCGGGACAAACTCCTTTCGTCGGAGCCGCTGCCCGACGACTTCAAGGACCGTGCCCTGGCCGTCCTCCGCGAGTCCGGCGTTGAGACCGTCTTGGGCAGCCGCGTCCTCGAGACGACGCCCGTTAACGCCGAGGATGGCTCTTCCTCGCACTTCAAGCTGACCCTGTCCGACGGCTCGAGCATGATCGCCGGCCAGGTCATCAACGCCATCTCCAAGAGCGTCCCCACCTCGTCCTACCTGCCAAAGGCCGTCCTGGACGATGAAGGCTACGTCAAAGTCCAGCCCTCGTATGTTCTCTCCTGATTTTCTTTAATTTTTTTTATTTCTTTAAAAAAAAGAGAGAGAACACACTAACGCAGCCACCCCCTGCAGTCTGAAATTCCAACCCGGCGACGTGCCCAACGCCGAGTACCACTACGCGGCCGGCGACATCGTCAAGTGGTCCGGCATCCGGCGCTGCGGCGGCGCCATGCACATGGGCCAGTACGCCGCCCAGAACATCCACCTGCAGATGCTGCGCGACACGACCGGCGAAGAGCCGGCCGCCTGGAAGGAGCTCAACGTCTTCCCGCCCATGATCGGCCTCGCCGTCGCCAAGAAGGCCGTCGTCTACGACCCCGACGAGGGCACCAGCGACGGCGAGCACCTGCTCAAGAGCTACTTTGGCCAGGATCTGGGACACCAGAGTAAGTGCTCTCCCTCTCCCATTTTGGAATATCTAGAGGGAAGAAGAAAAGAACTCAGACTAAATTATTTGCTGCAGTTTGCTGGAACTACATGGGCTTGGGTCGTGAGTTCGTCGCCGCGGCATAGGAGGAGCGAAAGAAACGGGTATGAGGAAAACCAGTCTCATAATGAACTGGAGAGAGTACTCTTGTATCATCAACGTCTTAATTTCAAAAAGTCTTCTTGTCTCAACATCACATGCTCCACATCACTGTCCTATCCAGTTGAGCATTTTCTCGTACCTGCTGAAGTTGACACCTCTCGCAGCCGATGGCTAGCGTAGATTTGTTTTTCGCTCATGTCATGGGTAGTTGAAGCTATCGTCCGGACGAGAATGTCGAACTAGAAATTTTACATACACATCCGGACGTTAGCTTCAACTACCCATGACATGAACAAAAAAAAACGTGCTAGCCATCGGCTGTGAGAGGGGACTGTAGAAATATCTTTGAAGAAAAATAACTTTTTTTTAAATCTGAAATCATTCGCCCAGCTGTTTATTCTACGCACCATAGAACCACCCCTTCATTGACCATTTGATCAAGCATATAGCCGCTCTATCTCAAAGGACCGCGGCTATTGCTTCTATCCTCATGAAACAGGAGTCCCCCGTAGACTGCGTTTATGAGTCCCTCGCCATACTTTTCCCACAGATCGGCATCGGCCACGCAGGTTGAATACATGTCAACCACCAGTCTCTGAATCGCCTTCCTGTCTTGCGCATGATAGAAAATATGTGCAGTATCCGCCACGTCGTAGTTTCCATGGTCCACGGCAAATTGTACGAGGAAGCGCTTGAGTAAGTTCCAGGAGCGGACCGAGACTGAGCGTTCAACAACGAGGTCATTGCCCGCTAGTAACGCCTGCCATCTGTGCTTGTAAGCACTAAACTTGGAAAGCTCCGCTTCAGTCAATCCTCCCTTGTTTCCGAGAACGTAGAGTTCTGTGTGGGGGATATTCCGAAGCACGCTGAAGTGCTCCAGAACCTCGCGCGCCTCTTCCAAGTCCATCAAGCTCACGAATGTTAGAAAATCGATGTTTAGTACGAGCTTTTCCAGGCTGGCTGCCTGCCGAAGCTGATTTGCAACCCACTGGATGTTTTCCCTGGTGTTTGCCCAGCTAGATAACTTTTTCGGGCTATAGCTGCCGCTGTACCCAATCGTTCCGTGGTCTTTCGCCTTAATCTCGAGCTGAAAATAGCGCATCCTGGAAAATGTCGGTCCAATGCCCTCCCTGTATGTGAGGTGCTTAGGGCAGAACATGTTGTAACCGCGGAGGCGTACTTCTCTTGACGAAATGCTCAGTCTCACTCTTGTAAATGTCGGGGACACGTGGGACCGCCTAGGACTGTAGAGAACATCCACAGCTTCTTTGTAGATAGCCTTGCAGGTGAGAAGCAGAGCAGTGTATCCACGACTCAACTCGGCTGGCGAGTGACTGCGATGCTCCTCAAGCAGGCATACCTCATGCGCGGCACGATGGCAGGTGTTCCGATTGTCCTTCGCAGCTATGCCTTGGTCCCGAGTAGTGAAACTCCGAGGTAAGCAATACTCATAGATGTGAATGCGGGTCTCAGCAGGGAGATCGAATAGCGACCTTGACGAGCTCCGCCGAAGGTGACCGAAGTAGTTCGTAATCTTCGTATCTCGGGTACATCCAGGACGGTCAGGTTGAAGCACTGGAAAGAAGGCTGTGATTGGAAGGATGTCATAATGTGCCGCGAGGTCAAACTTTTCGATGATCTCGTCGTCGTTCAGCACGGAGTCCGGCGACTCATCGCACATAGAATCCTGGGAGTCTGCCACCGAGGCTGAAGCTCTTCCGTCATTTGCACTGTCCGAGCTGGAGTCTGTATCCATGTTTCTGAAATCTAGTACGTCAGAAACGGCCTGGATGCTGTTCACTTAATGTGAGAGGGAGGCGAGGAGAAAGAATAGCGAAGGCCTTCAAGGTGTTAAGTCATGAACATAGCCAGGCACTCGATGGTGGTGATTGCTTGACGAACAGTGAAAATGAAGGTGTAGAAGTAAAGAGCAACAAAGCGCGTGTGAAGAAGATATATGGCCACCGAACCGGAGTGGCACGTGCGCGGCATGTCATAGAGCCATATGAAGAAGGCGCGCCTACCAACTCAGACCTCATTCAGGTATGAAGTCAAACCGGCTGCTTAACAGTACTATAGTGAGGCAGGCGGTAGCCGGTGTTCCTCGTGTCGCCGACCATCCTATAGAGAGATGCTAATTACCAGCCTAGGTTTCCAGCATTTGACAAACTCTTCAACAAACCGCATGCGCCCTGGAAGTGACTGCTGAGATAGCTTTTTCTTCATTAAACGCTTTCGGCGTTGACCAGTTAGTGTTAGAGGTAAACACAGATTTGATTACTCATGTATTAAAGTGACCATACTCCATCTCGCTCAGTGTTTTGTTCTATCCTCATTGCTAAGTACAAATACACTTTCTAACTGTGACGAACTTCAAGCCACTACTCTGAACTGGTCCTAGCCATGAATTTTCCCTCTTTCATAGAATTGCAAACAAAGCAAGTATCTAAACTACACGTCGTAACTCACTACCTTGTTAACAAAGCTCCAAAGCAACCTGAAAGCAGTGGGTTTACCGGAAATCGCCATGAAAAGCAACAAAATACTTCTGTCCCAGTTCCCGCAATGAAAACTGGTGATGATAGCAAGTCTGGATAGGATACTGCTTCGTTGTCAAATCCAGCTACTCCTCGCGCTGTAAGTCGAAGCTTCGCGGTGACCGAATGAGATCATCTGTGATAGCTACTCATAATCAATGCTCTCAAGGAAGCTGATGTATGTAGCTCTGTCCTCCTTGTCGATGGTGGGATCACTCCACGTGAAGTCCGAGAACTCCATACCTTCAGGGTCGTCCTCTTTGCGTTTTCCAGGTGGAACGTCAAAGTAAGTTGCTTGACGAAGCTCGCTGAAGTCGAAGGCGATAGTTTGCCTTTGTTTGAGCTCCTCCTTCCATTTCTTGAAGAGGTTGTTCGAAACTTTCTGGAACGCTTTCTTGTCCTGGGTGTCGAACGCTGAGGTGGCTTCTTCGAGGTACTTGTGCGCGCCCACCTGTGGCGCAAAGAAAACAAGCCGTCTAATGGTCCTCTTGAAGCCCAGCCAGGTAGAGAGCGGTATGGGATTCTCCTTCACAGGAGCGTTACTTCCCAGAATATCCCTCATTTTCTTCTTGTAAGCAACGCCTTTCTCCCACTCTCTGATGATTTCAGGATCTAGATCTCCCATCATCGCCCAGTCCTCAAAGCACGTACCAAGAGTTCCTATCTTCAACTCCTTTACGTTCCGAAGCGCCTTGAATGGCGCCATCATTGTCTCAGAATCTTCGAGCTCTGGCACATCATCGTAGTCGAGTTCACCTTCATCCCATTCAAGTGAGATTGCAAGCTGGTCGAAGCCACCAGGCCGACCAAGCTGCTCTGCCAACCAACGAACGTTGTCCAAAGCCTGGCTTCTGTCATCAAGATCGGGTGCATGAGGGAAGCCGCTGTGTTCAGCAAACAAGTCTCCACAGCAACCACAGCCTTCGAAATGCTTTGCCACAATCATGATGTGAAGTTTTCTGATCCTTCGGAAGACGCCAGAGGTGCCAGTTCGATATGTAAGGTGTTTACGGCAGAACATGCCAGGGAATCCCGTTAAGGTGATTTGGTCTGCGGTAACCAGAATATGCGGCACTTTGGCATCCTCGCATCTTGTGCCGATGATTGGCTTGTAGAGAAGTTCGACTGCTTCGTTGTAGATCGCGCGGCAGGACAATACGAGGGCTAGGTATCCACGCGGCTCCTTGCCTTGTGGGGACGCACTCAGATCGCAATCATGCCTCTTGGACTTGTGACAAGCGCAATTCACGTGTCGATCCTCTTTGTTGGGGCATAGGTAAGCGTAGATGTAGAGGCGGATCTCCGTGGGAATCCCGAGGAGAGTTGCTTCCGGTCTCGGCTGGCGCATTGGTGTACGCTCGTGTAGACGCGAAGATCGGCGACGGCCGACTGTGTGCTCTTTGTTTTCAGGCATGACTATATGCATCCCATGTGAGTAAAAGTTTGAAATATGAAGCAAAGCATGATGGTGCTTCACCTGCTGATGAGTCAATCCCGAGACGAGCAACTCCCGATGGCGTTCAGCAGGGTGAGGTGGGCCCAAGGCTCACAGCAGCGAGCTCTCAGGCCGTCTTGTCGATGAGGGACTTCACGGGCGGCGTAGTACGTGGACGCAAAAATAAGGAGTGAGGTTCGACTCCTGGAAGAGTGTTGGGGAGAGGAATGGAGAAGATGTAGGTCGCGAAGACTTCTGGTGGGGAGGTTACTGCCTGCAGGCGCGAGTGCCTGTTCCGCGGAGGAAGGTGCGCGTTGACCGCCCCGACGCGTCTGCTCACGCGTCAGATCCTGATCAGGTAGAATTGGCAACCGTCAGATTTCTGAGGTCTTCTGTAACATGAATGCATCGAATTTCGAGCGATGCAAACAGCCTGCCGCGTCACAGCAAGTGTGGGACGTTGTTTCTGTAGATATCTATCTACGCCGGCGAGCTTGAAGGATGAAATTAAACAAATCAGAGAGACAAATGGCCACTTTTGCGTTCTACACAGTTAAAATCTGCTGAGCAAACCCACATCAATAACTTGGCCTAAGAAAGGAACGCTGTAGACACACAATCCAACAACGCCAAACACAAACACAACACGGAACAGATAAAGAAAGCAAATAAAATCCACGATACCCTACGCAATCAATTACCCCCGGCATGGTAGCAACGACGCCAAGAAATTTGTCTCTGCCTGTATAGCTAGCTATTGTGTGGTGGAGGGCACAACTTCAAGTTTGGTGTAGCAACTGATGCGGCGCAAATTGCACGACGCTTTCGCGCAGACCACTTGCATAGTCTATCAAGAGTCATTTGCTTATCTTTTAAAAATACCCGAGGCAGTTGTTATGATCACAAAGGGCAGTGTTCACTCAAGTCCCTCTCACTTGAACGGCTCGGCAACAAAAAATCACTTTCCATTAACATCACCATTACCATCAATTACGCCATCGCCAACACACTCAATGCGATACCGAACGGCACAGATTGCCACTCGGTAGACCAGCCACCCCGCACTATTTCTATGTAGTTGATTCCTTCAAATCATTGAAGTTAAAGGCATGCATGATGGCTCATGGCGGAGATACGCGGAACTGCGTGATTTTACTGACGTGGCTGGAGACGCGGCTGGGTGAGCATGCTAGTCTCTCGATCCAAAGGTATAACGATTTTCCTAATGGAGTAAGAGGTGTTTCTTGCTTCACATTCGCCAGCAATAGTAGGGTAATCCCAGACAAACAGTCAGCAGATCCAAAATCCATATTAGGAATGTATTACAACTTTGAGCGAAGATAGTGCAGTCCTGTTTTGATCTTACAGCCCCTCCTCCTCCAACATGCCCACGACCATATCCTTGACTCTCTCAGTTCCGCCAGTTTCGCCATTGATCGCACTGACAGGCAATACCTCCAGCTTCTTCTTCCACGCATTCTTCTTCCCGCTGGGATGCTCCACATCGCCTTTTCTTATGCTCGTCAGATACGCCTGCAGCTCGGCGAACTTCTCCTGTGTACCTTCCAAATCCGCTTTAGTCGCGATGACGAACCATGGTTTGGCCGACATTGGCGGCAACGCCAGCGGTTCAAGGTGCAGGGCCGCCGACGGCTCGAACACATCCGAACTGGACAGCTTTGCGGCTGGTCTCTCACCCATGGAACGCTGTGTCTCGGCGTTAAGCTCGTGGCCGCGTAATGTCTCGTACTCACCAACCTCGCGCCAGAGGCTCTTTAGCGTAGCGACGGGGTCTCCGGCGGCGAGGTCAACCACGAATGCCAGGATCGCGGCACGCTCGACGTGCCGCAGGAAACCCAAGCCCAACCCCTTGTCTAGGTGGGCGTCTTCAATTAGGCCGGGGATGTCCGCGATGGTGAAGTTGTCGCGCTGGGCGGCGCCCCGGCGCTGGCCGAGGCGCGGACGGCCCTTGTAATCGTCCAACACGACGGTGCCAATGTTGGGTTGCAGAGTGGTGAAGGCCCAGTTGCCAATGCGGGCACGGCTATTGCTGAGGGCGCGGATGAGGGTACTCTTGCCGGCATTGGGCAGGCCAACCAAGCCTACGTCTGCGAGAAGCTTAAGCTCGAGCTGCACAGCCAACCTCATTGGATCCAGCCCTCGCGTAGCGAAATGCGGTCGCTGTATGGTCTTGCTGATGAAATGCGGGTTTCCCAGTCCACCGACGGCACCTGCAACAAGCAGCAGCGGGCGGTCCATCGGTTTGTCCAAGTCCAAGCGGATGGGGCCCTGGGGAGCAGAGTGTGCAATGGCAGAGCGCTGCGGGCCAGGCAGTTTGGGCATGTCGCTACGCGTGAGCAGTGAAGGCGAGGCGCCAGGGTAGAGCAGCCACTTCTCAGGGCGCACCTGCTGTGGCGCCTCTTCCCCGGCAGCCTTCTGTGCCTTCCGTAATGCTCGCTCCTGTCTTATGCGCTCCCGCTCCTCTTCAACGGGGTCATGGCGCCAGATCTCTCGCACCACCGTACCGACAGGCACTGCCAACAGGACATCCTCGCCGCGCTCTCCGCCTCTCAGCTTGCCTTGGCCGTTTTTGCCACGACCAGCGCGTATCTCCCGACGCCGTGCCAGCTTGTGGAGAGATGTCTCGCCGCGAACAGCCTGAATATATATGCTGCCACCCGTTCCGCCGTCGCCGCCGTTCGCAGGACCTTCAGAAATGTATTTCTCTCTGAGGAAAGAGATGCAGCCGTGGCCCCCGGGGCCAGCATGGAGCATCAATGTCGCCTTGTCGGCGAACGGCGTGGTCGAGTAGGAGTCGGGCGGAGGATTAAGCGAGCGCTCCTCGACTTCAGGCTGAGACTCGTAGTTGGTCTCATGGTGGAGGCTGCTGTAGCATCGCGGGCGGCGTGTCCGACTCAGGCGGAATAAGACCGGACGCGCTGAGTAGAGGAGGGTTTCGGGGACGGATGGGTAGAGAAACGGCATCAATGTCGCTGTGACATGCTGAACGCAGGCTGACGGCATGCAGCTGGCGGAGCGGATGCTCGGGCAGGGATCGTAGGTCGAGGTGGTGGGCCGGTGTGAGCAGCAAAAGGCAGCATCGGCCGCAGCCAAAAAGTGCAGCGCTCGGGCCGGGCGGTGTTTCTGTCTGGCAGCTGCGGTCTCGGCCGGGCCCCGCGTCCCCGCGACTCACCAACCACCAACGGGCTGACGCGTGGTCGCACGCTGAGCCTCGCTTTCGCGCAGCGGCCATGCACGGCTGACATAGCTGACCCACGCCCTGGCTCCCGGGTTGAAACACATCACTGCCTCCGCAGGTGCTTACCCTCTGAACCGTCACGCATCACAAAGTCACAGCCCCTATCCAGAACATGGCGCCCGGGCTCGCGAGCCTCGTGCGCTCTCCCCTGCTCTGCTCGGTTGCCTTTGCGCTCACTCGTCTATCCAACAGCTATCTCACTGACACCTTTGCCCACGTGCCCGCCTCTCAATTCATCCATTCGGCTCTGTCGTGGGTCTTTGGCCTCTGCCTCGCTCTCGGCTGTCTTTCTGTCTTGAACGAAAAGCTATCCGATTTGGCCCACAACAAATGGATATGGGACCCCAAATCGGATCCGTTCATGCGATTCCAGGCAGAGGCGAAGAAATGGAACTGGCCTGAAGAAGTCGCCGTCATTACCGGCGGTTCGGATGGGATCGGATCCTATGTCGTCGAGGGCCTTGCTTCGCATGGCGTGAAGGTTGCAATCTTGGATGTGCAGCCACCAACCGAACGTATCAAGGACTGTGAGTGGGGTTCCGACCTGTTCTGGACTCCGTCACTCACCTTTTGCAGTGCCCAACGTCCATTACTACGAATGCGATGTCAGTAGTCAACCCTTGGTGTTCGATGCTGCCGAAAAGATCCGCAAGGCACTTGGCAAACCTTCCATCCTCATCAACAACGCCGGGATCGGCAAACCCTACACCATCCTAGACCTTCCGCCCGGCAGACCTCGAGAGGTCTACAACGTCAATGTGTTGAGTCATTTCAATACGCTTCAAGAGTTTCTACCCGACATGCTCGAGCAGAAGAAGGGCTACATCATGGCGGTTGCCAGCCTTGCTTCTTTCTGGTCCGGAGCTGGCACGTCCGCCTACTCATGCTCAAAGGCTGCCGTGTTGGCACTGCATGAAACACTCAATCAGGAGCTGAAACACCGCTACCACTGCCCGGAGATCAAAACAGCCATTGTCCATCCCTACTTCACTCGCACGAACATAATCGCAGACTTCGTAGAGCAAATAGAGAAGCGGAAATCAGCTCCAATTCTCGAACCCCAGGATGTAGCGGCGGCCATGGTCGAGCAGATCTTGAGTGGGAAAGGTGGTCAGCTTTTCATGCCGAAGAGCACCAGCATCCTCATTCCGTTGGTTCGCGGCCTGCCCACCTGGGTGCAGGAGTTCTTGAGGGATTCAGTCGCCAAGAGTGAAGTCAACTCGGAAATGGGGAAATGAAGAGGATGTTCCGCACTCCGTGTTCCGGGGACGAGTATCCTTCAGAGCGGTACGAGTATCGGCCCCAGGCGCTTCGGATCATCCAGACTTCCGTATGGGGATAGCCGAAGCTCTAAATATCTTAAAGTGGGTACGTACGGCGGGTATGAAGTTGGGTCCCCCCGGAATGCAACAATATCGGGGGGAGTTGTATTTCTTGTCCGAGCGGCCCGGCTCAATATTTCATAAGACAAGATCAACGCTTCAATTGTTTCTCAGTAGCAGACGGCCATGTGCAAAGCCTCTCGGCTAAAGAGCAATCTCTCAATGTGGAAATTGCAACAGCAGGCAACCTCAGGCATCGAAGACAAGGGCGAAAGCGGGCACATGGTCCCTGCACGTGGCGGGGCAATCTGCTGTGTAACCAGAAACTGGCTGCTGGAACAGCGCGAATGGCGTGCGGGGCCTTGGAGCTTTTTTAGCAGAGGATCAGCCTTTATTTGCATTAGGCAAACTTGTCGAATCTATTCTTGGCCCCGGCCCTAGCCGAGGCGATCCAAACGGCCGCTGTGCCGCAGCGGGTGTGACGATGGGGGCCGTGTCCTAGCGAACGTCAGCTCCGCCTCGCCCAATTAAGGTATCCAACCAACGGCGATATTGACGATGGCACGGTTTGTCCACAGCATTGTTGGTATATGTTGCACAGATTCGCAGTGCCTCAGTCCGAAACGTATCTCAGCCGCATGGCCCGACATTTTATTGTTTCGTTTGGAATGCGCATGCTTCTCTACTGCCAATTTCCTTCTGTTTCGTACTTTTTCCCTTGTTGTACAGAGAGATGAGATGTGGACCAGGTTCTGGCTGCGCGTGCTCTCAGCATCGCTGGTTCTAAAACACCCTCTTACGGAAGCTGCTTCGTGGCGGAGTGAGTGTGCCCTACTTTCTGGTCAGGACGCTGCCGATCGCTGATGATAATACAGGACCATTCACGAACACTTCGGTTGCAACGGGGCCTTTTACCTGGGCCGGAGAAGCTGCATCGGAAAGTCGAGGTTCCGTGATCTCGTCGGCGAGTGAAGTGGGTGTATATACGAGCGCTCACCCGTTGACACGAGTCTCGACGAGCCGGTGGCTTTCGCCGAGCGATGCGCCTGCGGATTCCTGGATCGGTGCAGCGCAGAACGTGACGGCGGGCTGCTCCAGCCGTGGCGACAGCGAGCCATGCCTGCCTCTCGCGACCTCTCGACCAATGGGTGGGGCTTCGCCACCAGCCCCCCAGTCTTACTCAGCCACGCCGTCATCCCCAGCGAATGGGAGCCGCGAGATATTAACAGAAACGGCCGCGCAAGTGGACGGCGCTGCTGCGGCTTCTGCGTCTCCTGCGTTAAGCATAATACCTGCAGATCCCTCTACGACTCCTGAGCCGGAAGCAAGCCCGGATTTTTCTGCGGAAGCACTGCAATATTCGCACCCGATACAGCCCCCATCGATCTGGTCCGCCCGGCCTCCAGCCCCGAGCCAGTCTGCTAACGGCTCGCTGCCTGCCTTTGGATTTTCGCCTGTTAACTCCTCAGTCTTCACCACGTTGTCGCCTATCCCAACGTCTTTCCCACCACTCGCTTCCTCTGCAGATCCGTCGCCACCTACCACTCCAGGGTCCCTGTCGATTGGAAGCACCGCCACACCTCCGCCTTTCGCCTCTGCCAACGTGGTAAAGAGCGCTGCTGTGGCCACGGGTACGGATGGATCCGAACCTACTTCGAACCTGAGCTTCAATTTATCTTCCCCACATGCATCAGCACTGTCCAACAGCACCCGGGGCTATGGGGTAGCACCGCCCTTGGCCAAAGTCTTCACATCTTTCAAATTTTCTACTATCACGCTCGCTGCCGCAACGGCTTCTTTAATCTCGTCAAGCATGGCTCTTTCGTTCACTTCAACTTCGGCGGCTGTTACTTCTGCTGGCGCCTCTCCTACCGGTTCATTATTTCCTACCGCATCCCAAACGTCTCCTACTTTCTCCCCAGATAGCGCCAGCATATTCCTTTGTGGCGATCGCGCCTTCAGACCTTCGGAATACACCTGCTACGATGGCTCGACACTTTGCCCTGTACAGGGGGGTGGCCGTTTCGAGTCCTGCGGAGGTTCCTGCTACGATCCCGGGCTCTACGGCTGCGTGAGTGGTGGGCTCCAGCCCATAGTCGATGGCAAGTTTCTCGATGGCATGACCCCATCCCACACAATAGCAGTGCCTGTCACGCAATGGCCAAGCAACGTGCCTACTCCGTTGCTTTCGTCAATATCAAGCAGTAGTCCAACTACTTCACCTACCTCGTCAAGAACATCCTCTACTCTCTCCACCTCAACCAGATCCTCCTCCACTTCCTCAAAAACATCATCCAAGTCCTCGTCTACGTCTTCATCCACTTCATCAACCGCTTCTTCGACATCCTCCTCCTCCTCCTCTTCCTCCGCCTCTGCTTCCGCATCATCATCCTCGACCGCCGCTCCGACCAGGGACGACGACAACGGCAATGGCCTTTCAACCAACCAGATCGCGGCCATTGCCTCGTCAATCTCAGCAGCCGCCGTAATCTTCATCATGGCCGGATTCTTCCTCTTCCGCCGACACAAGAGCCAAACGGCGCGCGCCTCGCAGCAAGTCTACCCGGAGCTGGCCTACCTCTACGACCCGCCCGTCCCGGGCTCCGAAAACGGATCACGCGGGGCGCTGCCCAGCGGCGCATCTCCACGAACCCCTGGTGGAGGAGGAGGATCAGGAGAGCCCGTCGGGCCGTTCGGCGTGGGCGGGCCTGGTGGAAGTGATGGGGATGATGATGGTGCGACAGGGGCGGGTGCCACGGCGCTAGGCGCGACACTGCGTGGTGGCGGCGGCAGCAGCGACCAGCGTTCCAGCTCACCCGAAGGCCGGTCGGCCGGCAGCCGGAGCAGCAGCGTCGGCTCCGTAGTGTCGTTCCTCGGTCCCGGGGGACGGCCGCCCGTCATGGGCGAGGGCATGGCGGCCCTGAACGGATCGAGCTCTGGCTCGTCGAACGCAGCGCTGCTCGCTGCTTCGGCCAGGCGCGACAGGGAAGCGGGCAACGGCAGCCCGCTCGCGCCGGTTCCTTCGAGATCGGACGACGAGAACGCGGCGAATGGGGAGGAGGCACGGCCGTTCCTGACGGCCGCCGGTGCCGTGGCGGCGGGAGGGTCGTCGGGAGCATCGTCCAGGGACAGGAGCGCGGAAAGGGGAGGAGCGGTGACGACGCATCAGCGAGACGAGACGGCGCTGTGGAATGGTGAAGAGATGGACCGAGAGCTGGGAGAGCGGCTGCACGAGCAGCAGGTCGAGGAAGCGCGACAGAGACGCGAGCGGGCGCGCGCCTTCCTGCTGCAGGCCAAGGAGCGTCAGGAGCAGCGCATCCCGATGCCCAGCCACGCGCCTGCCAATGGGGAGTCGTCCGCTGGAATGACAGCGGCAGCGGCTGGGGCAGCAGCAGTCGGTGGTGCTGCTGCAGCCCTTGCATCCAAAGGCCAGCAGCGTAACGCCACCAACCCGAAGCTCCAGCACATGCAGTCCCGCGAGCAGCAGTGGTGGCAGCAGCCCTCATCACCCACCGCGACCTCTCCCACACAGTCCTCCGGCGCCGCCTTCTTCCCTCCGCCGGCCGCAACCCACGCGAACCAGGGTTACTATCCCATCTACCCACCCATCTCCCTAACCTACCCACGCTCCGGTCCCATCCTGACCTCCCAGCACATCGAGGCCAACCGCCTGGAACAAGTCCAGCACGCCCGTGCGACCGCCGCCGCCGCCTCCTCGCCGCCCACAACCACCACCGCCTACCCTACTTTCCACCGCCCGGGCCCCAACAACTACCCAGCGCCGTCCAACTGGCAGCAGTCCCCCAATGGCAGCTACACCTACACCAACAACGGCGCGACAGCAGCCGCCGCCGCCGCCTCCGTGAGAGGCCGTCCGTTCTTCCACCAAAACACGTCGTACGTCCCGCCGCACCGCGCGACCATCGACAACTACTCGTCGCTGAGCAGCCCCAACAACAATAACGGCTTCGGCCCAATCGTCAACGCGCCCCGCCGCGGCAGCGCCGGCAGCATCCAGAGCGGATCCGTCTACTCGACCATCCCGGAAGAGGAAAGCCACCCGCCCCAGCGACCCCAGCAGCAGCAGCAGCGCAAGCAGAGCCTGCAGTCCATCATGCGCCAGATGAACTCCCTGGACGAAGAGGACTCGGAGGGCGACGAGGGCCAAGGCTTCCTGCAGGCGCCGCGCCGCGTGCTCAGCGTACGGAATGGCGCCGTGACGCCGAGTACGGATGGCGAGGAGGATGAGAGGGATGGTGGGGCGAGGAGAAGCGGTGGTGCGAAGAAGGAGGTGAGGTGGGCGAGGGATGATGGTGTCGAGAGGAATCTGATATAAAAAGAACTCGAGTTTGCGTGCAAACGCATGGGGGTTTGATATACTTCGTCGACTGTCTTTTTTTTCTCTATTTGTTTGTTATTTTTATCACTCAAGGTCGGTATGGGCTGGCACGCGGTGCATTTTGGAATTGGCGTATACACCCTTGGTTTTAGGAGGTTCATGGCGGATACCTGGGCATTTTGGGTGGAGTTTTTCAGTCTTTGCTTTTCTGGTTTGTTACCGTGAGCGGGTAATGTTTTGGAAACGGAAAATATATACCAAGGATGGTAGGAAGGAGTGTATATGAGGTCCGGCTTGATGAATGGATGTATGTATGTACACACCCTAATGGTCATGTTCTGAGTCGGGAAAAGTGGTTTTGTAACCTCTGTGCCAATACATAAATATCAACCATGAAAACTTCTTACAATCATACATTTTTGACAATGTGTTGAACGCCCCTATGAGATGCATGAGGTGATCAATTTCATTCAGACGGTAATGGTATGCGACTACCAACTTCTGCAGACTGCAGGATGCATGTTTGTTTGTACGTAGCACTAAATTGAATTCAATAGTCTTGTGTCCAAGATGTCTCACGATCATCAGAAGACATCTAGCGCGAGTGCAAGTGACCCGTAGGGTTGCAGCATGCATTCTCGCGCCACACGTGACGTCGTGAACACCACGCGTTCCAACGGGTACCATGGGCATATAAATAGCTCTCTTGGTATTCAAGCGGCTACCACATATACCAATCGACTTTCTACATATGTCAGCAAAAGAAAGAAAACCCTCGGAAGAAATAAAAACAAGCACTCTGGCGTCTGCGTCGCGTCGAGCAAGACCTCGCATATATAGCCCTGCATTGAAATCTGAGGGAGCTATCCAGCATCAGCTTCGTCTCCTAACAACGTGGTTAGATAAGTTGTAGTGATTTGCATCGGCATCAGATGTCAGAAGTGCTGCTTCCCATCATTGTGGTTCCAGACGCTCAAGACCAAAGCCCTTCGTCACATATTCTTTCCGGCATGAGCTTTACACAACCTCACCACCCGGCCAAGGCCAGTAGGTGAGCATGTGAATTCGATGCCTCACAACTCGTTGAACTAATCTGTTCAGAGTTTAATATCGAAGTAAATACATTGTCTGCTAACATTTATAACATAGTGTGCCCAAACGTGGAGCGGTCAGATGGTGAAAGCGCTTCGCTGTCATGAACGTGACGTAGGAATAATGGACGCCAATAAACTTGTCTGCCCAAAAGAACTTAGACTATCGAATATTAAAAGGACGCGCGTTTACAGAGCTTTGGTTTCTTTCAAAGTCTGAGAATGGCATTGGCGTCTGCCGACCAAAAGACTTTTCACCATATCTTCAAAACTTTTGCCTTTTTTTTTCTTTTTTGGAAAGGGATAGAGAGAGAGAGACTTATATACGAATGGAAGCTGTTAGTCCATCCGAGATGCGCTCCAGCGTATCCCATCCGGGCTGTGCACTAGCTTATGGTCATCTTGTACATTTACTATGCAGTATCCAATGATGATCGGAATTATTCTTGAAAGATGCTGATGTTCTCCATTTTCACTCCGGCTCATTTCACGTAATGGTATGTATGAGACATACAGCTCCTCTACATTCGCTCCCCGCGAGCCAACTCAACAGAGTGACTGTGATGTCGAATGTATTAGCCCTCGCATTGACTCTCACCGAATGAAAACACAATGGAGGATGTAGACAAAGCTGTAGCTGTTCCCGGCTGCTCTACCATTTATGAGAGCAGAACAGAAAGCGCCAGCACAAGGCAAGCAGCGGCGAAAGGCAGACGCGCATCACGGCGACAATAGACAGGTCCATCTGAGTGGTTACGTAATGTTCTCGTGACGCATGCTTAAATTATTATAAGACTGCTGACGGTCTCACTATAAAGTTTCCCAAAAAAGCAAAAGAGTCAAGGATCTGAAACATTTGTGGCGACGTACTACAAAGAGGTACACAAAAAGAAACTAGTCCATGATTCACTGTTCGTAACTCTCACTTTAGACGAACGTCACTCGGGAGTTCCACACCGCGATCTGTGAGCCTAGTAAAGAAGTATTGATGGAAATCGATGACACTCATCACCCATTGCGTAACTTGCATTTCCGTCAACATCATGTCAATTTGCAACCCCGCAGCACTTCGAGTAAAGAAGTCCATCAAACACACGTACACGAAATCATCTCAGCACCGTTCCAGCCATATCAGACGAGCGGATGTTTGAGGTTGAAGACCTCGAGAGCACCCCGCAAGAGACCGAAAGTGTCTGTCACTCGTGTGTCCATAAAAGAGGCAGGACGAAGTCAAAGTCAGAAGCAAAGACGCCGTCGTCCGTCCGTTCCGTTGGAAGGGCTATAAAGGGCACGAAAATAATTCGCGCAACACGCACATGACGAGCGATGCAGAAAACCTTGTTTTTCCTCCCTTCCAACATGAGCTTGTGATCATACCCAAGGGCCTTGGATGGTAAGTGTAAGTGTCGTCGGGCATGACCGTAACGGATGCCCCTCCCCACACCAACCTCCTAAAGGCTTGATCCGTAGAATCGGAATCGATCGAGGAAAGAAGCACCGGGACCAGAGGTGTCCGTCCTCACGTAGAAGCCCCGCCACTAAGAAGACGCACCACAGCCCAAGGCGTCCATGAGAGCCCATGGGCCGCGCGCCAGCTCAGCAAATCTTTGTTTTTGTCTTTTCACACCGCCCCTTTACCTAGCTGGGGAAACGGATGTGTCACATGGTCCGCGAGTGCGGACGTCATCACTACCAGCACCCAGCAACCATCGCAGCAGAAACAGAGTCAGTCCCAAGGCGGAAAGGAAAAACAACCCGTGAAAAGATCGATTACCATCTAGCCCAATTTTTCGTTTCAACCCCTTCCGATATGCAAAAGCGTGAGCGAAGCCTCCCTGAGATTCGCGACCCTTTGCAGCTCTTGTACAATCTATCGTTCTTTACCTACTTTGCCTTTCCTTCCATTATCTCCTCAAAAAGCGGCAGAGCGACGCCTGGTTGAAGAGATCGCATCGATAAAAACAAGCAAGATCAAGGCGCACACTGTTGTTTTTCCGATGATTGGACAAAATACGCACCGAACATGAAAACAATAACACAGAACAGACGTGAATCATCTCATCTACATGATACAGGTAACAAGTTCAGAGGGGGAGGAGGATTTACATGATCGAGTGTTGGGAGTTTTTCTTTCGTTGATGGGGGTTTATGATTTGGGGGGGAATATAACGTGAGTGTGACATACATAAGATAGTAAAAAAAGGAGAGGATGAGGGTAATCGAGGAAGCAACGGAGGTAGGAGTGTAGGAGGAGGCCGACCGGATCGTGAGATCTTTGTGAGAAAAATGGTGGGAGGAAAACAAACACAAAATCAAAGTCTAATCAGACAAATGCCGCCCTTTCCCAGTCTTTCTCTTCTTTCCCGTTCGTGTGCAGTGTTTTTTCTCCGTTTGGTGGGTTGTAATGATGAAGAGAAAACAAGACGCCCGTAAATATGCAAACACAACGTTTCTGGGGACGAGCAGCAGGTGGAAGGTAAAGAAAAAGGGATTCAGGTTGATACGAAAACGAGCACAATCAACCTGACATCCAGCTCAGTGCGTAAAGTACACACATGAGCATGAACAACCCCAGCCCACCACCAACCAATGCTAGCTTCATCCTCCTGCCCCTTACCACCTCCTGCCGCTGGCGATCCAACTGCAGCAGAAACAGCCTCCGGCTGCCTGCCGAGCTCGAGCGCCTGTGCCCGTAAGGAAAAGCCACGCTTGACCTCCTACTGCCTCCCTCACCGCCACCACTACCAACGTCGTCATGAAAAGAAGAGCGAGGAGAAGAAAAAAAGAGATCCCGAACGGCAACACCGTCCTCTACAATCGTCATTTCCTCGAACCCGCTCGATTTCCTGTTGTGTCTTGTAGAGTCGTCACCTTCATCATCAGCATCATCCATAATGCCCATGCTTAGGTCCTTCCAGTCGTCCAAATAGCAATCGTCGTTTCCGTCAAAGTCCGGCATTTTGGTGCCGCCAGGCGAAGAAGGCACCGAGGCAGTCAGCGGCGTGTACGCGCCCCTGCTCTTCCTGTCCTCGTAGTCGTCCCACCAAGAAAGTCGTTTCCGCCCGCCACCCCCACTGCCGGCCATCGCCGGGGGCGAGAATGGCGTCGAGCAAGAGCTAGTCGACACCGAGCCTCCCGACGGCGCCTTGATCATGGCAGCCGAATTAGGTGCGCTGGTTGAAGAACCACGAGCTGCGCTTCGGCTGCTCAGGACTCGCAATTGAAGCGACGGGGCCGGCCTCTGCGGCAGCGCCGCCGCCGCGCAGAGGCTTGGCGATGCGGGAGCCAAAGGGCAGGCCGGCGCCCCCGGAGAGAGGGCCGCCCAGTCCTCGGGTGGAGCCGACTTTCGCCGCCTCGAGCCGCTCCTTGACGGCCGTGAGCTGAGCTTCGAACCTGTTGCGCGGGCGCCCCGAACCGGGGCTATAGCGTTAGTCAAGTGGGTCTTCGTCTATATAGTTACTGCTATAATTTGAATGATACGAGAGACGGGGGTTGTGAAGGGGAGAAGACGGTGATGAAGTAGGCGGGGGATTAAAGGGAAACAACGGCGGCGGCAAGGACGGGGATGCGAGATGAGTGGCAGATAGGGACGGTGAAGGAGATGAAGTAGGGTTGTTTGCGGTGCGAGAGATATATGTCTTGTAGGAAATAGATTGATCTGCGTGGAAAAAAAGTGGGGAATGGAGGGGAGAGTGCAAATGAGGAAGAAAACTCGGGGTCGAAACGTGCCTGTGGTTCGCCGCCGTGAGCTTCTCCTGCGAATCCTGCAGCAGGTTCTCGAGGCTTTGGATGCGCTCGTTGCGGGCAATCAGCTTGCGCTCCGCGATGGCCACCTCCTTCTTGAGGCTGCTGTTCTGCTCCACAAGCTGGCGCTGCACGACCGTCAGCTGCTCGAGGTTGCGCTCCAGGAACGCCATCTTCTTCTGCTGTGCCCGGTTGTTGGACGTCCGTAGGACGTTGTTGTACTGCTCGCGTGTCTCGTCGAGCGAGATTTCGAGTTCGACGACCTACCCCGAAATTTACCTATTAGCTATAAAGCATTGACTGTTATGCAACTGAGATGATATACCCGTTCACACCGGTTCTGCAGATCCCGCATGAGGCTCTTCTTCATGGCGTCAAACTCAGCAATCTGCTGCTGAACCGTCTTGCCGTTGACGGCAGCGACGCCGTTGGCACCGTTCACCCCGGCGCCGCTCTTGAGACGCTGCTCAAGGTCATCCACCTTGGACTTGAGATCCTTAACCTCCTCCACCTTGCGGGCGAGGTCCGCCTTAAGCTCGTTAATGAGCTCGGCCTCGCCGTCCTGCCTAGAGGCATATGCGTCGGCAAGACGCTGCTTGACCTCGGCAACATCCGCCTCGCTAAGGTTGCGCTCGAGCAGGGACTCGTACTCCTGCTGGACATGGTTGAGGCGCTTCTCGAGAGCCTCACGGCGCTTCATGTGCTCCTCGTCCAGCTCGCTTCGCTCCGTGACGGAAAGCTCGGCTTGGCGGACGATGCCCTGGGTCTCGAGCAGCTTCTGCTTGAGATCGCGGAGAGAGTCGGGCGCGACGATCTCGCCGTTGCCGCTGATCTCGAGAAGGCCATCAACCTGCTCAATGGCCTTGCGAATATTCCTCTCGTTGTCCGAGAAGATCTCGCCACCGAGGTCGAAGCCGGCCATCATCTGGGCCATGCGCTCGGCCTTCTTCTTCTCCTTCTCGTCGAGGATGGCGCTGGTCTCCTTGGCGCTCATCTTAGCGTCGAGAAGCTGCTGCTTGAGGTCGTCGAGTTCGGCAGTGAGCTCTGCGTTGGCTTCCTTCAGACCATCCATGGTGATCTGAGCCTCCTTGCCCTCGAAGTTGATCTTCTCGACCTGCATCTTCAGCTCGTTGATCTCAGTGTTGAGCTTCTCATTGTCCTTGCTGGTCTTGGTGTCATGCTCCTTGAGGAAGGACAGCTCCTCCTTGGCCTCGGTGAGGCTCTTCTCTGCCTTGGCGAGATTAGACTCCCTCTCCGCAAGCTGGTCCTGCAGCTCGTTCTCGCGGCGCAGGAACTCCTCCTTCTCGTCCTTGTCGAGAACAGTAGGCGTGCCAGCACGCTCGAAATCCATCCGAGAGTCCGGTCTCGATGGCGTCTCCGACCTCCTGTTAGCCACCCGGTCCACGGCCGAAGGAGTATCCGAACGCTCCTTGGGCGGGGCCTTCTTGGAGGGTTGGACCTCGATGGCGGGCACCCACTTCTCCTCGGGCACAGGCTGACCTGCACGCCATTGGTTGACTTCGTCGTGCAGGGAGGAGATGTAATTCTCGAACGTGGTGACCTGAGACTGGGCCTTCTTGAGCAGAGCCTTGAGTTCTGCCGGCGAGAGTTCCGCGTTGACCTTGGCCTTGTTCTTGATGGACTTGGCACGCATACCGAAGCGCAGGGTGCTGAGAGTTTCAGCATCGTTGTAGCTGGAAGGTGAGCAGTTGATGATCAGGGTTGTCCGGGAGTTACCACCGAGAGATTCTTGCAGGATACGGGTGAGCTTCGAGTCACGGTAGGGGACGTGGCTGGATTTGCCGTCGGTGAGGGCGTTGATGACCATGCCGAGAGCACTCAAACTCTTGTTGATCTTCTTGGCCTCCTCGAGCGTCTGACCACTGGCACCCGTCTTGCCGACCTTCTCGGAACCTGCCAAATCGACCAAGAACAGCTGGCCGCTCTTCGCGGAGCCGGTCTCGACGTTCTTCTGGGTGACGGTGATGACGAAGATGGAGTGGGAGCGGGACGACTCGGCGTTCATGTTCGTGGACGAGACGGCTCTGGCGTTTCCACCTCTTCTCATGACTTCGTAGACCTCTTGCACGCTGGAGACGTAGATCTCCAGCAAGCCCTTGACGTAAACGCCCCTGTTCTTCTCCTCGTGCACCGGCAGGTTGTCGTTCTGCGGGGCCAGAAGATCACGAATCCTTTCCATGTAGATCTCCATGTAGCTGACCCTGACGGTGTACTCCATGTTGCCCGGGCTGGTCAGGATGCTCGCGAAAATCTGCTCGACGATACGAGGTATTATACCCTTGTTGGTGTCGTCGTCGATGTCGGAGCCCATCATGGTGAACGACTTTCCGGCACCCGTCTGGCCGTAGGCGAAGACGGTTCCGTTGTAGCCATTGAGAATGTCGTCAACGGTCGGTCTGATGGAGTAGTCGAAGATTTCGTGTTGCTTCGAGCCCATGCCAAAGACGCGGTCGAACGTGAAGTCGCCGGACGCCTCGGTAGACTGTCGATGCGGCAACGCGTCAGCATTTGTGGAAGGCCGAGCGGTCAAGGGGCTATTGCTCGGCGGCGTACCTTGATGCTACATGTGTCGTCGGACTGGAAGGAGACGATGGGCTCTCCTCCGCTGGCGATTTCGATTTTGTTCTGCGGGCGAAACCGCGCGACGACTGTGGGCAGGCATTGTCAGTGGGAGCAGGGCGGGCTTCGCGGGGTGAGCAGAACGCACCCTTGATCGAGTTGGAGCTGGACGGCGGTCATTAGCACGCGTCCCCTGGATGGACAGACAGCATCAGGAGGAAAACTTACGCCATGATTGCGGTGACGGGGCAGCTGAGGCCCGGCGGCCGTTGTGGTTATGTGTCTTCGAGACTCGGGGGGCGTGGCGGTAGTTGTTCACGCGCGGGCGCTCGGATGTTTTCCGCGGTGTCCAAGGGATGGGGGAGGTGATGCGTTGGCGGTGTAGTGATTTCGCCGGGCCCTGAAGTCAGGCTCGGGCAGGGGACGCGGCTGTCTCTCGCAGCAGAATGGAGAGGGGAGGGCGCGCGGAGTGTTCAGGAGAGGCGTCGGCGCGCCAGCCAGGGAGGGGAAAAGACTGCTGACTGTTCTGGCGGTCTGCGGCTTTGAAATTGTTGTTGACAGTTGATCTCCACCCCGGCGTGCTGGGCTCCCAAGACCCGCACCGCGCCAGCTTGACCGGCTCGCCGACCGCGCTAAAAGGTGCCTGCAGCGTCCCGCCAAACCCGCTCCTACAGCAAAGCCGCACCCGCCTCCGCGAGCGCGTGCGTGCTGCGTCGCACGAAGCACAAGGCCTTCAGCCGCGCATCTTGCGTCTCGCATCTCGCAGCGCGCATCTCGCAGCCTGCGTCCGGCTCTACACGCCTCACGGGCCGCTCCTCTCCCGGCCGACGAGTCGCGTAGGTGCCCGCCGTTACCTCGGCCTCTTCGTTCGATTCCACGCCACGCCGCGAGACGTCAGGCCGCCGCACGCCCTGTCACATTCAACCTCCGCCTGACAACAGTCTTGGAAAAGAGACCTAAAATTGTAGACCGGGACGTCGCTCCATACGCCATCCCGCAAACCATGCTGGAAACTATCGATAACTCCCCCCCCTCCCCGTGTCCGCTGAAGACCCTGAAATTGAGAAAAAAGACCCTGTAATTGCCGTATAAATCCCATGTCGCCCAAGCCTAGTCCTCCCAGCTCTTCTCCACCGTCTCCCTCACGCGCTTGATGTACTCGCGCTTGTTGTCCTTGTACAGGTTGCTTGCCTCGACATTGGCGGGCGAGCTGGTGTTCGGGTCGTTGAGCAGACTGATGTGCCCTCTGTCAGCATCGTTCTGTTCTCCAGTAGAAGCCTTTGCACATACCTCTGGATGCTCGTCAGGATCGCCGCCACGTCGTACGTCGGGCTCCACCTGTTCTGCAGAATGTCCAAGCAAAGCTCGCCCGTGCCGTAGACGTTGGGGTGGAACATCTCCGAGATGAACTTGACGCCCGGCGGCTTGTTGGGGTACGCCTCCTCGAAGTGCATCACCAGGCGGAACGTGCCGTCTTCGAAAGGCGTGTCGGCGGGGCCAATAATCACGGCGTTCCTGCACAGCGCTCGCGTGAGCTTTCATTTCTCACGGCAATCGGGATTGCAGGTTGGGGTCTTGCTTGCGGGCGCAAAATTGCCCCCGGTGGGCAGAGGGACGGGTGAGAGCAAGCATACCAAGTCATGACATTGTCGGCGATGGGAGAGGCGGACACGCCGGCGGGAGGATCGGTCTGCATCCGCTGCACGCCGTGAAGGTCAGCATCGCTGCCACAAGCAGTACTTTTCCGGCGTCGAGCACCGAGCGCGAGAGGTCCGCCTTATGAGCTTTCGGGGCGTCGTTGGCAAGATCCGCGTGTACGTACCTTGAAGTCGCGCATGAGACGTCTGCGCGCGGCGGTCGACATGATTGCGTAGGTGGTTGACACTCGGAGCGTTGGATAGATTGCGAGGCGTCGATCGAGAGGGAAGCTGGCGTTCAAGGGGCTTGACTGCGGCGGCGCGGGCGAGAACGAGATGCAGGAAACGGTTCAAGTTGTGCTACCCTCACAGAGCAGAGAGGGCAGCATCCCCCGGCGTCACCAACCCGCGCTAAAGTGACGCTTGGGCCATGTCACGTGTGGCCTTGAGTTGAAATCTGGAACCCCAAACCACATCCACATCCGCCACCGTGCTGATCCATAGCACCAGCCGATTTCAAGGCAGCAGCCATCCTCTCTCCATCAAACAGGCGATTGACCGCGTGTAGAGATAAATGGTGATCGGTATCAAACACGAGTCGCCGTACCATGTGAAACAAATCTGCTGTATGTTCTGCCCTTTTGGGAATTACTACCATTCCATTGTCGGATTCTCGGAGAATATCATCAGATCTTGTGCGATGGGAGCTGGCCTCAAATGGAGCGGACGTGCAACATTGTACAACGACATTACAAGAAGGGATGCATACTTCTACATACGGGGCGACAAACACCCAAAACAAGTAAAAACATGGTGGTACTGATTGATTGGAGATGTCCAGAATCCGTAAAACGATGGCTTGCTCTTCGCCCTTGATGCCAACTGGTATCTTGGTGCATGATCCGTGAACGCCAGCTTTTATTCCTCCCTTAGTCCAGTTTCTATTCGTACATCCCCGGATCTGCAAGACGTACCAGAAGTACAGTGTCAAACACGAAGAACCCGAAACTCCAAATCCATGCAATGTGTTCTTCGTGCTGTCAAAGAGAAGCCGAGAACTCAAGAAGACGGTTGCCTTCAGAACGCTCTGTTCACCCGGCCACGAGTCTCCCAGCGACTTTGCGGGGGTTTCCCTCCGCGGTGGTCTCTGCTGTCCTGACGCTGACCAAACGGTGCATCGCCTCTCGGCTTCCTGTCAAAACCGCCACGTCCACCAAATGGTGCATCGTCTCTCGGCTTCCTGTCAAAACCGCCACGTCCACCAAATGGTGCATTATCTCTCGGCCTCATGTCGAAGCCGCCACGTCCACCGCGTGAATTCCGGTCAAAGCCGCCACGCCCATCGCGTGAATTCCGGTCAAACCCGCGGCCCCTTGAGCCCTGGTTCCTGGAACGGTTGGGACGGTCAAGTCCTATTCCCCTGAGAACATTCGGGGGGATATAGGGTTCTTGCTGAAGACCCCATAGATTCTTTGCCATGGATTTCAAGCTTTCGACGAGAGCATGCTTATCCTTTGTGTTCGAAGCGGCCGAAAGTATGCGCGGGAATGCCTCCTCGAGCTCCATTTCGTCAACCTTCGAGAAGCTATCCTGCAGGGCTTGGATGATGTTGCTTGCATGCTCGGGCACCTCATCCAAAGCTTCTAGGTCGGCTGTGGCAGTTGCAAGTGAATTGTCGGGCTTGATCGGAAGATCGGGAAGCTTTTGTCGGATTTGGTAAGCGTTCATCTCGGGCATGATGACCCAGCCCTCGCCCTCCTTGCCGGCACGACCGGTACGACCGATCCGATGGACGTAATCAGGAGGGTCCCGAGGAAGGCCCATTTGTATCACGTGCGTAACGTTAGGAAAATCCATGCCGCGAGCAGTGACATCAGTGGAGAACAAAATTGCCCTCTCCGCGGCTCTAAACGAGTCGGCCTGTCTCTGTCTTGCTGATTGCTGGAGATCTGAGTGAATGAAGAGAAGGTCGCCGTCCCACAGGGCATGCTTAGACCTTTGCGCGCGACGAATCCGGTTGAAAGCACTGTACGAGATCTGGGTTTCCTTCAGCGAGTTGAAATAGACTATAGCCTTGAATGGGCGCTTTTCGCCCTTCTGCGAAAGGATTGCTTCTCGTTGGCAGAGCTCCAAAAGCGCTGGTAGCTGAGTCTCAAAGCCATTGGTGAAGACGACCTTTTGGGGGATGCGCTGATGTGTTGGCTCCTCGTCATCGCGAACTGTCTTGACGAAGTGGAAACCCGGCTTCAAGGTTTGACGAACAAGCTTGACGACTTCTTTGGGGACGGTGGCCGAGAACATAAGTGTCTGACGGTCTCTTAGCGACGTGGGCGGAAGGCTTTTCTGGATTTCCTTGATCTCCTCCATAAAGCCAGTCTCCATTAGGCGGTCCGCCTCGTCGTAGATGAAATAATCCAGGTTCTGCACGGGAATCGGGTTGAACTCATCGCTAAGGATGTCGTTGAGCCGTCCGGGAGTTGCAACAAGAACATGGCACCCTTCCGTCATGATCCTTCGCAGACCTTCACGCTTGCCTGTTCCACCGACGGCCGTCTGTACCTTTACAGACGTGTGGCGGGTCAACTTGCGGGCTTCGACCGCGATCTGCTCGGCCAACTCTCTGGTCGGGGAGATTATGATGGCACGAATGTCCGGGACAAGGTGAGGTCGACGCGACGTCTGGCGTTGGAACCGCCCTCTACCAAACGAATTTCCTCTACCAAACGAAGTTTCAAACGAACTAGTCCGGTCTGGCTCGGCGAGCTTCGGGTCCTTGGAAAGAATGTTTTGAAGCATGGGAAGGAGGAAGCCGAGCGTCTTTCCAGTTCCTGTCTTGGCTTGTGCGATGCTACTACGGTCAGCACGTACGTTTTGATTTGGGTTCCATTGCGCTTACAGATCGGTGCCCTGCAGGGCTTGATTGATAGTGGCGGACTGCACGTCGGTCATGGTGTGGATGCCCATATCATCCACAATGGCCTTGATGACATTTTTGTGGACGATGCCTCTCTCCTGCAGTTCCTCGAACTTTGTGATCGGTGAGGCAGAGATGTCGGCGGTCGCGGTAGTGGCGGCGGCGGCCTGAGCACCCGCCTGGCGGACGGTCGACTGAAATGCGCGAACCGACAGAAGAGGCGCGATTCTCGAGGGAAGGCCAGCGCGGGGCGAGGCGATTGAGGTGCTGCGCAGAGCAAACCGGGTGGTGGCGCTGAGGGCTCGCGGCAGAGATGCCGGGCATCGCCGCAGAGGTGCGAGCATGGTGGAGCAGAACAGGGAGCGCAGACAGTTGTCAAGGGGGAATGCGAGGCAAGAGGATACAAGGGTGAGCGAAAAAAAAATCCCCCCGGAGTGCTGGAGGGAAGATTGCTGGAGTTGAGGGTCGCGTAGGGCGAGACTTTTTTCAGAACAGCAGCGAGCGTCGCGCCGCCGCTAGTCTACTCCAAGCCACGAATTCTGTGGCCGCCACCCGCGCGCGAGCCCTGGAGCGAACATTTCCCGGAATGCTTGTGGACCATGGCTCCTTTAATTGGTCCCCTCTAGTCTCATTCAACAGCGATACAGACTGTGCTCACGGACGGGCATTAGTGCAATTCTAGCATTCGTGAATCATAAACGCGCTCTAGCCAATGCTCGACATGATTCAGGCGGCCTCACCGCCCAAGATAAGGCCGAGCGATGGAGTCTCAACACCAACTACAACTTGTCATTCGCCCCCAGCAGCAAGAATCCTTCACTCACGCCCTCATGGATCCCGCCCGTCACGCCGCGCAGCCACCACAGCGTTAGGTCGTTGATGGCCTGCCCCACCTTGCCATCGTTCATCTGGAAGATGGCATTGGTGAAGCGGATGCTCCTCCTGCCCAGCTCGTCGACCGTGTTGATCGACGACGAGACCAATCTCTCGGATATCCGGTGCTGGCGCTCGTACTGGTACGCGTGGCCGATGAACAGCTTGACGTACGGCAAAAGCAGGTGTAAAAGGAGGAAGAACTGAATGATGCTGGAAGCGAGCAGGCGATGCAACCACGACGGCTCCGGCGGCGGCCTATGCGGCTCTGACACGTGCCGGCTTCCCTGGTACACGAGCTGTCCGTTGGAGACGTCGACGTGGATGACCTTGACCATGTGCGGCGGCAGCGACGACTCTATCGACATCTTCTCGGTCGCGCCCAGATCGCACGGCAGTCCCTTCAGAAGGAGCGTCAAGGCCTGCATGTAGAGGGTGCGCGCAATGGATGGGTCGCTATCGCTCGAGTACTGGAGCGCTGCGCTGAGTTGGCTCAGGCCTGTCTGCTGTCAGTAGGCGGGCAGTGCTCCACATTGCGGGAGAATGCTGACCCTCGCTGGCATATTTCCAGTTCACGGTAGCTGGCATGTCGAGTGGGTGGTAGCCGGGAAGACTGGACGAGGAGGACCGTCTTTCATCTACCAGCTTCTCCTCCGACATGTCGGAGACGCCTGACCCGCGGCGCATGGTGGCGCTGGAGGGCGGCCTCGAGGTGTAGCTCGGTGGGGGCATTTGCTCGCCTGCCGCCACATGGACGTTTTGGCATTGCGCGTGGCTGTACCGGAAGCCGCTGACGGTGCGGCGGAGGCTCTTGAGGCGCGGGATGCGGCTCTGGATCACGGCGGGCAGGATGGCGTAGACGGTCGACGGCACGTCCTCGTCTGATCGCTGAAACACTGTGGGCTGCGCCATTGCCTAGTCCCAACATGAGAAGGATTGATGGTCACAGGAAGAGAACACCTCCCGCCTGGCGCACAGGAAGCTTATCTACGGAGCAAACAATTGTGGTTTGCGAGTTGGCATGTGACAGCGGCGCGAGGCGACTTGGCTGGCGCAATCGTTTGTTGAGGCTGCCCCTCGCTCGAGCACCAGGCCGCCTGACTTTTGCTTCCGGACGTTGCAGATAGCATGCAGGGTCCATGGCGCTTCACCAAATGATAACACCGTTTCTGCGTCGTGCCCGCCCGACGTCACTCTCCCGCAGCCCCCAACAACACAGTCATGGCGTCACGTCGCAACACAACTTCGAACAGCGACAAACGAGACCTGCAGCCACCCCTGGCCCGCGCAGCAACACGTTCTGCATCTGGCACTTTCGTCCGGTCAGACTACCACCACCGCTCTCTCGCGCCTCGAAATGGAATCCTCCGGCCCGTCAGGCACAGCCAACGCTCCGACATGTGCGGAGAATTTCCTTGCAATTAGTCCAGTCTCAGACACCTGCCGTGTCACCACCTTTTGTTTTTCTTGACTAACTGCTCTTGCATACATAAGCGCCGCAAGCCCTGTCGGACGCGCAGCCCCGCCTCTGTACTCAATCGTCACCACGCACCCGGATCTCGGTCAACTTGAGATCCGACGTTCTGGCAGCCCAGTCTGCGCTGGAGCAACTGCAAACCAGGGGCTTCCCTGCCGGCCTTACGATCGAATCGTCTACATTCATCGTTCGGATATCCACGGTTTATGCTATCAGACTCGAGGTAAATCTGCTCTTCACATGGCCATGAGCAAGATAAACTTTACTCAGTAAGAAGTTGCACCTTGATTCGCACTCCCGCGCAGGGTTCCTGCTATCACAAGCGCCGATTGCGGCCCACATCAAAGCCTCCAGGCTGAAGCACAGCTATTATGATCACGCCCTACGTGATCTCGTGCCAATACATGTGATGAGTCGGAGAAGTTACGGTGCTTTCTCCGGCTCCACTTGATAAGCATGTGTTCAGCCTCGTATAGAAACGCCGCATTCGTCCGCGCAATCCATTCACATGCCAATGCCGAACGTTGAAGGCGAGAGAGTCAGCCTTTGAGAAGCGTTTGCGGTGCACCACCACGCCTTCTCCGCGCTGGCCGCCTTACATCTTCACATGCGGAAGTAAATTGCTCACGATCACCTCACAACTCCGCTGCTGAGCTCACAAGATAACGCTCCAACATGCGAATTCCTCCGGCTATCGCGGGTCTGGCAGATGAGCTCGCAGCAAGCACAGCACAAGTACCGTACCAGTCTTTCTTCCCCCTGCAGTGCCGTCATTTGCAAAATGCCAATTACCCAGAAAGGCTCTGTACCACGGTTCGACCTGTTTCCAATCACATCCCCGTCGTATCCATAGAATACGAAGCATTGCAATGATACGGTGTTTTTTTACTTCGTTTCTCTGCTCCTGTTCGCGAATACAGCTTTGCTTTTTTCTTAGCTTTGTGTTGGCCAGCCTCTTGCATTTGTGACTGCTCCCGGCATACTGCCAGGTACTATTTGCAGATATCGAAGGTACAGTGATCTCAGATACATTTGGAGTGGTTTGGTATCCTTGACGGAAACCCACAATCCTATCGACTGCCATGTAGCTCTACATTCCATCATCAAGTTCAGCGTGCAATCTTGACGTCACGCGAACTAGAGAAGCAATCAGCACCAAAGCCAGGAAGAGTGTGAAGATGATTTAGTAAAAAAAAAGGAAGGAAGGAAGAAGAAAGCTGCGCTTATCTCTCTCATGCTAATCGGCTGCGTTTTCAAGAAATGCAAAATTTTATCTTCCTTCCAACAAGCGTCCGGATTTCTTCTTTTGGTCTTGTCACTGGCACGCAAAAGCTGCATTCGTTTTGTGTAGAAAGTTAGCGCGAAGACAGGTCACAAGACGATTTAGACCTCGCATGCATGCTCGATGAGATGGTCCAAAATACACAAGCTTCAACATTATGCAATTGTCTATGCTGTAATGCCCTTTAACGCCAAGTGCAACCAGCTCGACGGCTGGTGGAGAACTTCCTGACAAACCCAATGATGCTGTTATGCTGCTTCGCCATAGCTATACTCCTACACGAGAATTGAAATCAAGAAGAACCTCGCAGCCCAGTCGGGGGCGCATTTCACAAACCCGGAACCACCGAAAACCCCCGTGTTCTGTACACCACCCCAGTCGCAAATGTCCATGAACGCCTACCATCCCCATCTCCAACCATGGGTATCACCCCAATAGCCTATCCTAATTCACACTGTGGTGGCCTACGACCCCTTGTTGTCATACGTCCAGCCACCATCTCTCATCAGCCTCTCCCTTCCTTCCATATCCTTCTTTCTCTCTTCCTCGGTCAGCTTATCTTTAACCCAGTAAGCGCTGCTCGTTCTCTCTCTGAATCTCTTGTGCCTGTCCTTATTTTTGAAAATTTCCTCCATCTGCAGAGGCGGAATCGGCCCAAACACCTCCAATGGATCAACCAGCTGTTGCTGTGTGAGCAGCTCGCGCAGGGCAGGTGAGTTGACCCACGACGGGGCCTGGAAGTTGGCCGCCTCCGAATCCGAGTCTTCGTCCTCCGAATCCGTGGCAATTTCCGGTAGCTCGGGCGTAGGGAAATGCGGCGAAGCAAGAGGAACGGTGGTGGTCCGTGCAGGTGTCTTGAACACGCTGGAGGAAGGACCAGCAGCGGCTGAGGGACCTGACGCGTCGGCAAAGGGGATCTTCGCTTTCGAAATTGTGGCCATGTCATTGGGGTGGTTTCCAAGCTTGCTGTGTTGCAGTTGGTGCTGCGCTTTGACGGTTTGCTTGAACATTGATTGCCCGTGGGACGAAGGGCCAGCAGGTGCCGGCTTGTATCCATGGGAGAACTTGTTCGGTTCCTTGGCCTTATCGATGACCGACATGAGACGTTCGCGCTCTGGGTACAACTTGCGCACATTGGATTGTCTGATCGGCGGGGCCATCATAGAACGTCGGGCGTCGGCAGGCTCTTCGTCCTCGTCATCTGAGAGAGTCTTCCGACGCTTGGCGTTCAATTGCTGGAAAGAGGGCGCATTGCGCTGCGCCGGTGGGCGTGGCGCAGTCTCTTCATCGGCATGGAAGCGCTTTGGAGGCTTGGCCGGATTGACAGGAGGAATGTTCAGGACCGTGTTGACTCGAGAGATAGGTCGAGCGCCACCAAGGTCACCGCGAGGATGACCGTGAACAGTTGCTGCCTTTTCCTTCGAAAGAGCTTGGGCCTAGTAGAAGTTAGACATTAGAACAAAACAAGAAAAATTGACAACAACTCACCAAATCCTTCGTCTGCTTGCTGACTGCCTGGGCCCGTAGCTGTTCCTGCTTTTTGGCCTCAGCAGCCAAAGCCTGCCTGCTAGCTGCCCGCTTGGCTTCCTGTGCTCGCTGTTGCTCTGCGGCTTTTCGCTGCGCCTCGGCTCTGCGCTCTTCGTCGGCCTTCCGGCGTTCTTCCTCAGCCCTTGCGGCTTTCTCCGCCCGCTGCTGCTCTATTGCTCGTTTCTTCTCAGCCTTGCGCTGAGCTTCACGTTCCTCTCTTTCCTTGTTTTTCGCTGCCAGAGCCAAAGACGTCGGCTTGGCAACTGGACCAGTGCTCTTAGCGAAGGAACTGTTGGCAGAATCGACGGGGTTCTTCGCAGCTGGGGTCTTTGCGACGCCAGGGAGAGTGCCGTGGAGAGATTTAGACAAATCTGCATTCGTCGGATGCGGTCTCTGGGACCCAAGGCCAACTTTGATGTGTCTCGGCCTGGAAAGGTTCTCCTTGCTTGCGGTGGGCTTGATTAGTCGGCTCTTCGGCTCCCTCATCTTAGGTGGACCGCGCCCTGGCTTAGAACGGGCAGGCTTAGACGCATCGTCGGTCGAGGTGTAATCATCGTCTCTTGAAGACACAGTCTCAGCACGAGAGGCAGCACCAAGACGCGTAGCCGCAACGTCTTTGCCAGCCATCCCTTGTTGTCTTCCCTTCTCTACGACCTTCTGCTCTTCTTCTGTGGCCTTCTGCAAAGACTCCTCATGTTCTTTTTGCGCTTCCACTTCCTTCTCCTTACGTTGTCGCTCAAGAGAGGCGCGCGTCATCCGGGTAGGAGTACCAATCGCAGTCGCCGGACGCCTCGCGGGGCTCGCTGGGTTGATAGGCCTATCGAAAATGGTTTGGCGAGCAGGTCTCGGGGAACTCGAGACTTGTTCCGTGGCAGAATTCTCTCGCAATCTCGGTGACGATGGGGACAAAGCCTCCAGCTTTGCTTGAGCGCTAACACCAGCACTGCTTGCAAAGATGCTTTTGGCGGACTTTAAAACGGAGAAAAACTTGGTTTTCGAGGCACTCAACGGAGCATCATCCATCCTGGATGGTGATCCGGCCGGCGTATTTGACTCCACATCCTGCAGTTGCTCGGGATCATACACAGAGGTTGCTTTCTTACGTGAAGATCCGGGCGCCTTCGATGCACTTTTCGCCGAGGACTCGAGGTTCGGGACCGAGGCAGACTTTAGGTGGCCAAGGCCGTGTCTAATGGGAGTTCGCCTTTCCGATCGCGACTCTTCTTCCATCTCTGCGTCGAAGCCGCCAAGCGGAGTCTTTCCGCTGACCTCTTCCATAACGTCATCAGAGCCACTTCTTGAGTGAGCCGGTAGAGTTAGGGCTGAAGGGAGCGGTTTAGCAGTGACGGGGGCAATCCAATCGTCGTCGTCGTCGTCCTCATCCTGGATGTTGGGCACTGGGCTGTGTGCTTTGGGTGGTTTTACAGGTTCTTCGGACTCTGATACTTCCTCGGGCTCCACACTCTGTTCGTCATTCTCGGTGGGAAGCTGGGGATAGTTCGGTTCCTGAGATGCAGATCCAGGGATTGATTTTGACGTCCTTGGTTCTTGGGCCTTGGCCAGCATGTTGATGCGCTCGTGGAGGCGCTGCGTAGACGTCTTTTTGTGTGTTTCCGCGTTCTCGTTTTCACTCTCAGAGCCGCCCACACTTTCGCTGTCGTCCCCGGCCGCAGTAATGTTCTGGCCTCCACCAAGGCTTTTACCGCCAGTGAACCTACCAAAGTGACTGCTACGAGCCTTGTACTGATCCACATGGCTGGTTCGCGAGATCCTGCTGCCCATACTCTTCTTCCCGGCAAGTGGTTCACGCGCGGGAAGGGAAGAGAAGGTAAGGCTGCTCTTGCGCAAAAGCGGCTTTGCTGGACTCGAATCGTCGGAGGGTGTTTTCGCACCATCGTCTTCCTCTTCCTCTTGCTCGTCTTGCTTATCCTCGGTGGCATTGAGAGCTGAATTGAGAGCGGACGCGGTTTGGTCACCGACGCCGAATTGCGGAGACTTGGGTTGCGCATTTTCCTGGGCAATGGGCGGCTCGTCGGGCTGCGTGGGAACCAGATCCATGTCGTCTTCGTGGATGGTGATTTCATTGTCGGCGTCATCTTCGTCTTCGTGGATTTCGATTTGTTCGACGTCTTCCTTTGCCGAGACAAAAGATGCGGATGCAGACTTCCTGAGAGGCTCCTGCGGCTTGGGGGGCGAGGATTGTATCGACTTCGCCGGGCTTTCTTTCCGGGGAGACAATCTTGCGACCGACTCGTCGTCATCAACCTCCATCTCGTCTTCGGTCATTCCGTGATAGCCAGAATCGCCCGGGGGGATGGCGTTGGAGGTCTGATCAGCGTCTTCTGCGGGCTGTGGCGGGGCCGACATGTCAGCATCTTCGGGGTCCTCTGCGATCTGTATCTGTTCAATCTGCTTGTAGAAGTCGGTTTCACGCGCGGGGCTGGGGGCATTTGCGGGATTGGGGGCGAAAATGTCCGTGAGCGGCTGCGACAGGCTGTTAGCAGTGGCAGCAGAGCAGGCGACGGACAGGCACTCACAGCGCGCGATTCCTGGGGATTGCGCTTGCGAGCTGTGCGCGGCGTCTTCCCGCGCAGCTTGCCCGGGGTTTTGAAGGTGTCGGTTATGTTTCTGATCAAGTAGTCAGCGCGCCGGCGGATGGATGGATAAAGGAGATTTAGGAGCGTACAGCTCGGGGCGGCTGAAGATGTCGGCCATGTGCTCGTTCAGCCATTCCATCTCATTGCGCACCGAGTAGGAGAACTCGTCGGCCTCCTGCTCGACAAACTGCGCAGCCTGCTGGCGCTCGGCGAGGATCCATGGCGCGGAGCCGACGGCGAGCTTGTTGCGCGACGCAGCCATTGTGGGAGTGGGTGGGGTGCGAGTCGCTGAAACGGCGACGCGTCTGCTGGAGTGCAGGCAAGTGCGTCAAGAGAGCGTGAATCGTAGAGCGCGGCTACATGTACATGTCGAGGTAGCTGGCGCGGAGGATTGCGGCGGTTGCTAGGGCGGGCGGTGATAGGTGGTGTCGAGTGGACGATGTTGACGCTCTGCCGTGAGATCAAAACAAACCCAAAGCTTGAAACCGCGCTGACGAGACGACATCACGTGACCGAATGATCGTCGTCCGCCCGATCGTCCGCCCGCTCCGCCCAACCTATTCCCCGACAACTGCAATACTCAATGGAAATTGTCTTCATAATTGCTCCCCTCTTTATATATGGCAGGAATCCCCAATTGTACCGAAAGCACCAACGCCATTTTATGCCCCAATATGTGCACATTATGAAAATTCACCTCCGTCAACCAGCATGAGTCTTTTGATCATCGCGGCGGCACAGCACCATCGCGGCCATCACCTTCTTCCCAGCTCGCTTCATCTTCCCCTTCCAATTCATCTTCTCGCGCACCTTCCTCCTCCTCCGCTCTCCCGGTCCCTGCTGCAGCTTCCTGTAGAGATCCACCGATGAAGGTCGCAAAGCTGCTTCCGAAACTGGTAGGTTCGTGGACCAGCGCAGCGTTGGGGTTGCCGAAGGCTTGGGCGATAATTGCTGGACCACTCTACGCGGCAGCGGCGGGAGCGGCTTGTTGAGCGACAGATTGCGCGAGGGAACTGAGGAAATGGTAGGCGGGCGGGAAGGAAGTGAGGACAGCGTTGTCGGCTGGCACGTCGCCACAAAACCTTGAGCTGGCTCTTGCTTCTGCTCTTGATGGTCGGGGACTTGGAACTGGAGGTGCTCGCTGCAGTAGCGGCGCAGAGTGCGTGCTGCGACAGTAGGCTCGGTGAGGCGGAGCATCTCAGATTGTGATGACTGTTGTGGTAAATTCTGCAGCGTGTTATTCGAGACCGGAAGCATATTCACCTATCAGCAGCCAAAACGGAACTTCATTTTGGTAATGTGATCTAATCATTTGACCTGGTGCAGGCGAAACCGTCACCCGGCACTGAAGTTATCGAATACCGTGGTTGCTCACTTTCCACTTCTGACCAAGTAGCGATGTTTTATTACCGCGCCTGCTCATCCTGCTTCCTCCAGTCGACAAACTCCACACAGTTTTCTTAACCTCCACCGAAAATGTGCATCTTCTACGAAGACACGTGTTCCGTCTGCCGGCGCATCATCTACCGACTCGATGCGCACCCCTGTTTCAAGCGAAATCAAACAATTTGCATTGAACCAAATTTGATATGCAGAGCCACCCGAAACCTCTGCCACTTCTGCGATCCAAGTCTATGGCGCTCCATGAACTACAACTGTGAGCTTCTGCACGCCATGAAATGTCGATCCTGCGGCAGGACGAGCGAAGCTCTGGTCGAATACCATCAAACTGTTTCAGAAATCCGAAATTACTGTTCAAATAACCCCATAATATTGGGCAGATACCTGCTTCTTAGCAGGATCCTCCAGGGCGAATTAGTGCTGGATTGGAAGACGTGTGATGCGCCTGGTTTCTTCCCCAACGATAATCCTAGGTGGGGGGTTCAATAGTTTTGTCGGTCCTGAAAAAGTACGACGCCGCCCTGTATCCGTGTGGCCTTGGTATTCTGACATGTTTTAGGCTTCTATTCCTGCAAATCTCGCTCCTTGGATTATCATTTGGTAACGATGCTCGCGAAACATCACGCCTTTTAGCAGCGTCAGCCTAGGCGGTCTGAAGACAGTTTGAGATTTTCGTACTTTGTTTTGAAGCAGGACCACCGAGGAACATACTGGTGCCAATCTGAGTCGTCATATGGTAATTCGGTGCGCCAACAAATATTTGCTTCACCAAAGCTCCTAATCACCAAATACAATTGTGTTTTCTCAGACTGCGACTGCCCAATATCGCCCATTTAGTGAAGTGCCATCCTTCATCCCATGGCTGAAAATAGTACCACGCCAAGATGAAGATCGCACTCCTACATCGTGTGGAATGCCAGACGCAGCTCACCCGCGTCAGTTAATGACGCCGTGATTGAAACACGACCAGGCGGCATCTCGCCTACATTACTTTGTCGTCGGGCTTCACCCACGGCCACCAACGCCGTTATTTCTCTCTGCGGAGGTATTGCTGTTGTTTGAAGGCCGTCTGGCACACATCTCTCCAAGAGTTGCTCCACTGCATCCAAATAATCGTCCATCGCTCGAATCGCTGCCGTTTGGAATCTCTCCTCGCACTCCAAGCAAAGGTCACCAGAGAACGAATACTCGCATTCTCCCTTCAGTAAAGCTAGTGTTGTTTGTAGCCTAGCCATATTGCATCGGTCGCATATGGAAGATGGCATTGGGCCAGTGTTGGGTACCATTCCTAAAGAATGCCCGTGGCGGCCAAAATCCTTGCAGATATTGACCAGGCCGCAATTGTAGCCGCAATGGGTACAGTCTCCTACATACAAGACTCCGCACATGCCTGATACACGCTTGCTTCTTGTGGGAACGTGGTTGAGGTTGGAATTGAATCGTAGTTAGACTTTAAAAGGTCAAGTAACTCAACGTATGGGGACTTGGTACTTATTCTCAAAATCTACAGTACCATAAAGAACAAAATATATTCACGAGTTGTTCAAGAAGGAAGCGTCAGCATGGGTGCTGTCAAAAACAACAGGTAGATTTTTGCCACATGATCTGCTCCATTTCTACGAAGCCAGAAGTTCAAACAGCGAAAATAGCTCTTCATCCATGTGGCAGGTCTAGTCATCACAAAAGCAGGCCACGTAGATCGACTGGACACGTGTCTCTTGCTGTCAATCCATATTTCACCCTCCCTTTGTCCGTAGTAGGCCGCTTTCTGGGTCAGATTTGACACCCAAGCAACGATCCCCATGTGTCTCCTCCCATATGAATGGCAAGAAAATGATATAAATGGGACATATCCCTATCTTTTCGCAGTATTCTCTTCGAAATCGAAGTAGCAACACGAGTTACTCTCAGATAGCTTTCTCTCGGCTACATCGAATCAATATGACTTCACAAGGTAACATGGCCCAGAAAATACCCCCGTATGTAAGGGCATCGAAGTCCCAGCAGCCTTTCTATTCACAGCAGCGGGATTTCGGTAGCCTGGACAACCAAGAGTACTATCCGTATACGGCCGGATACTACTCTCCTCCGTATGGCTACTACTACTACTACCCCCAATATCAGCAGCCCATGACTGAAGAGGCCATTTATCGTACGAATGGGCGCACTGGAGGACTTCGTCGTGGAACTCACTCCGCTCCTCTGACGGCGCCCACTGCCGGCACTCCGAAGAAGAAACCCCACACCAAGGATGGCCGCAATGACAACAAGAAGCACCATGAAGATGACGAGCCGACCAACGAGCTGGCCCACTTGGTCACTCACATCAGTTTACGTGAACAGGTTGTCCTCCCTTCCCTTAAGGATGAGGCTTGGAATCTTTATGACATGGCTATGAAGGCGGATAGCCAGGAGGAGAGTGACACGCTCGCAATGAGTATCATTGCGCTCGGTGGCGCCGTTGAGGTCATGGAGAGCGCGCTGGACTTTGATTACGAGCAGCTTCGTGAGCTACTCCACCTCGGTGAGTCCGGATCGGAGTGCAGTAGCGGTAACGATGGGAAAGATCCTTCATTCCTGGATTATCTTCTCACAAGTGGTTTCCCTGGTTATGGCCAGGACTCGGAAGCCAAGTCCGAAAAGTTCTGTCAGGAGACTCATGCGGCTCGGCCCACGGGATACGCGGCCAGGAAGACCGATGCGGTTGGTCGTGAAGACCGCTCTAGGCCTCGCCGCAATGACAGAGTCCCCGAGACTTACAAGGCTTCATTTTACAGAGAGGTCTAAGCAACTTATGCCGACAAGGCCGACAGTGGCGGAGGTAATCAAGGGCAAATCGAAGATGGATTGCCTGCGCCAATGGCAAGCCTTTACGATGCAAGATTGATATTTACCTACCATTGGCTTTTGTAATATAAATTGACAACTTAAACTATAATTTTTTAAGGCTGTGCCCTGCGATTTGAAGTGCCATCATTTCCATATGAGTAGTCTGAGCTTGGGTGTCTATCGGGCCGTCTTGACATGTCCAACCGCACCTTTAAGACTTCGATAACTATAATCGCCGGCTTGCGGACATGAAGCATCGAATGAAGTGTCGCGGAGTAGCAGCAGCGGGTGCCCCACGCTCGGCGCGCGCTTTGTTGTCGCCTCAGCGCCCTGTCACATGCCCCCCGGCTTTGCGGCACCTGCCTATCACACCCAACACGTCATTGACCAAGATTGCGGCTCTGTCGCTATATATCCTGCTGGGAGCACCTTACCGAGACCCTGAATTACCTCTTGAAGCCCCATCCCCTCGTATGAGCCATCACCACCACCACAATCATCACCCCACACCTCCGCACTAGCAATATATCAACACCACACCACGCATACTTACCCTGCCAATCCCCCCCACGTTCCCGGCATCAGCCGCAACCAAAAGAGAAGCAAAATCTCGACGCGCATCGCCAAAGACGCAACAACAATGTGCTGCGAAGAGCACCACATCTGCAAGCACTGCAACCAGATCATCACCAGCACGACCGACCGCTGCTTCGCCTGGCGCGCCGGCTGCGCTGACGGCGACCACCGGAACCCCGGCACGGAGTTCGGCAGCGGCGACCGCTGCTTCTGCCCGGACGGGGAAGAGATCGTCGAGGAGTTCTACCACGACGACGACGGCTTCTACTGCCCCAACTGCTCTTCTGCTCCTCATCACCCGCAATTGTCATCTAGCGGCCGGTACAGGAACGACCGCCCGCGCCCTCCCCCCATTGACCCCGTGAGCGGAGAGGAGGTGGTTGCCGTCGCCGCCGTCGATGACTCGCCGACGAGCTGCAGCGATGGCACGTACTCGGCATCCAGTGACGAGGGCGCCGGAGCAGCAGCAGCAGCGACGACGCCGACGACGCCCAATGCGAGCAACAAAGGCGCTGGCAGCTGGCGGATGCGCGTCAGGAAGATAGTGAGCGGGACGACGCGGTTGGCGGGCGCGGGTAAGCGGCGTGAGGACGACGACATCGACCAGCCAGCTGCTGCCGTGCTCCGAGACCACGAATTACGGCCATCATCAGCTGATAAGCGGGGGACAAAGGCGACGGTGACGAGCGCGGCGAGCGTGAATGGAGACGGTGGCGCAGCAGAGCAGAACGGCCCGTCTTCGTTACTTTGATGAGACGAAAAAAGACTTGGATGAATGAGGAAGGTTGTGGCTTGTGATGGTTGGAAATAGAAAAAAGTGAAGGCCAGAATACGAAAGATACGAAATACCCCGCCAACGCGGTTACGACGAGCACAGGCCTGCTCCGTCCGCGCTGGCGGAAACAGAGTCATACGAACAATAGTCTGTTTTCTTTTTTTTCCTTCTTCTTTCTTTCTTGTTTTCTCTTGTCTTAGCCTTGTCGCGGGACTAGCCAGTGAGGAACTTTTTCGTAGCGAAAGGAGTTGCTGCCCTTGCTTTGACGCAAATGCGCGTTTGAATCGTGGAAGACTTGATTGGATCGATGCTTCGACCCTCACCGCCACATGGTCATTTGGCTATTGCGGTTGGTTGCGACCTGCGAACCACCCATGACGAAGCTCTAGATGGTCTTTGTTTTTCAAGTATATGTATTCAGTGAATGAATGAGAACTCACACATTGCCTTCGGAACAAAGCCCCCTAATGTCGCTGTACGCTTGTGCATGGCGGCATCAATGCAACTGATCACTTGAACTGTGAAAGGGGAGGGCTTCACGTCAGATCATCGTGAAGTTCGCATTCTCGGTTCAACAGAAAACGCAGAATCTGCGACCAGCGGCAAGGGCGGGGCGAGAAGCCTAGAGACAACACAGCCAGGCAACAATATGCGCCACAAGCGTTAAACATTGCAACTCCACCTTCGATGAGGTCATTAATCCCTGCAACAAAAGCCATGTGCGGCGGCTGGATCTGCCCAAAGGCATCTACCCGACGCTGAAACGCCGGCAATTCCCAGCGACACCATCTGCCCCGAGTGCTCGACCACCACGTATCCACAGGAGGTGCGTCGGGAAGCAGAGAGGGTGGGCGTAGGTTGCTGAGGGCTGCCCGTGCAGTAAGCCCTAGCCATGCGGCAGTGGCGGATGTGGCTGAGCCCGGGCTGTGTTCTGGAAGCCCGCTCAGATGTCGATCTCCCATAGCGGCCGCACCCCCATTGCATTGATCCATGCCGAAGATGCGGTGGGTTTTGGGCATGGATCACTATCCCTGCGCTTCTGATTTTAATTCTCTCTTCCCGGGTTGGCGGGTCCAATCAAACAAATCTGCGGCAAGAGAAGAAACCCTCCCCCCCCCTCGCTTTTTGCTTTCACCGGTGACGTGGTGGCGTGAACTTCGAGCTGTGAGCATGCACGCTGCCACCTGCTCAGCCCAACCCGAATCCCCGAAACATGGTCTTAAAGTTTGCTTGTTGCGCACACGCCACTATTATGTGCACTGCGTGTTTCAGAGCGTGAAGAAGCCAAGTGCGGACCTTGGTGTCTAGAATATCAGACCAAAAGCATCTGCGGAACCGCACCCGCCTCCCCGGGGAGCCGCTTCTCCGTTGCCCAGGTGACGAGAATTTCCAGAAGAGGCTTCCTCCAAGGCCCGTGTCTCGGGAGAAAGTCGTCCTGCAGCTCTAGCCTTGCATAGTCATTGCAGTAGGCTTCCATCGTGCTACCGGAAGACCCGGATCCAGCTTGAATACCCACACACCTTTCTCCGTCATGCAATGCCTCTTTAGACCCGTCTGTACTACATTTATTTTTTTTTGCTCATGTGTGTGTGCGTAACGCGGCGTTGGTGGCGCGATCGGAGGCTGATCTCGGACTGACTCTCGTCCACGCCTATCATGGTAATGCAATTGACGGCGGTCAACAGCCACGAAATTCGCCTGATTAGACATTTGCGGGCAAGATTGACACATCAGCAGGCTCCGCCCCTGCGTCTGAAGGCGAGATCACATCGATCTCGTCTCGTAGTGACACGCCCATTTTCCGCACGGCAGCACTTCCCGACATTTGACTGGCAGATCTTGTCACGGGTCCAAGACCTGCCGCGCCGGATATTGCTTCCTTCTCTTGCCACGAAGCATTCACGAAATGCACCTTATTCCGAGATGACGCTTTACTGCACCTTGCCATTGCCGACCCTTCACCGCCGATAGACATTGCCAACTCATCAAACCGTGTTATCGGTCTGAAACAAGGACACCAGATAGTTTCCGGTCAATGGCACCGTGCTGCACGTGGTACGACCTGAGATGTAGTGCGGAGCACCCCAATTATCATTCCACTTATCCGAATGACCGTTGAAATTTTCTCGACGCCTGCTCGCTCTCGAGCCTCAAGCGGTGTGGCGGCATGAACAAGTGTTGGCCGGCCAAAGTGGGTGCCATGGAGATACGAATGAGGACGTGCGGCGCGGAAGCAGGCCGCTACGGTGAGTCACGGGCGGAACAAGACAGACGGTGAGCAAAGTGTGCTGTAGAATTGGTGCAACTATTCCCACGAGAAAAAGAAATGGGGACACCGGTGATGACGAGACAGAAAAGTTGGAGCCGAGTGATGATTGCTGGGATGGGCAGCTCCGCAGTACGTCCTGTTAGAACCCAGACGAACGGGAAGCCTGGGACACCAGCAGGGCGGTTAAACGGCAGGGAAGTAGCATCCCAGTCTCATAAGCACTGAGCCAATCTGACGGGACGAAGTATCACTGGTTCAGCAGGCGGGTGCGCTAGACACAGGGGGGTCCGTTGGGTTGCAGTCGGGCTAGACATAGTAGAGGATGTGCCATGCCGTTGACTCGAGCTGCTTACACATTGTACGCCCCTGGTAGACGAATGTTTCGATGCCCTTTCCCCCCGGCTCAGCCCAACAACAGCCCTATGCTCACTTTCCTCCACGAGCATGAATCCTGTTTTTTCTTTTTCCCAGCGGTCTGTCAGAGCATTGAAACGGCCCAGTGATTTTGTCACAAATGTTCCGCCTTGCCCCACATCACAGCAGCCACGGAGCTGCACCCGCCTCACCCACATTCGCCTCACTGCCCATTGCCAGGCTTCGGAGCGTATCAGCGCCAATGCTCCTCTTATTCGCCAAAGCCTTCTTCTTCAGCTCCCGTTCTCTATGCTCCCGTGCCATCTCTGCCCGCCTTCCTAAGCTCCGGTACCCCGTCGGCCACGAAGGCGTACCGCGACTCGGACTGCTCGCCCGGATCGACACGTTGCGTCGCATATGCCGCCATATGGCGCGGGCCTCGTCTACCGAAGAGCTTTCTGCGTCATCTGACGTCGACATGCATTTTCCTTTTTTAGCCGTGGCTGTGCCTTCCGTGTCCAGAGCGTCAGAAAAGCGCGGTGAAGCCGATGGCCTGCTGCTGCGGGTATCGGTGAGCGGTGTGGCGGAGGCAGAGCGTTGAGCTTCCCGCGAAATAGGGAGGTTGGTGGCGGTGAAGCGCAGACTGTCACGTGCGTCGAAGGAGAAATGCGGCTGAGACGGGAGGTGACGGTGATGAGCACTACCCGTATGTTCTGCATGGGCCGAAGTGTGCATTTCTGAAACTTGCGAGGCTGTAGGAAGAATTGAGGAGAATGCCGAAGCCGGTAGAGGAAAGCCGTTAGTGTCGGAACCGATAAGAATTGGCGTAATCCCTAATTGATAGATAAGCTCTTGACGCACTCTTTGGATGTATTCCGAACATGGAATTGAACAGTTTCTGTCCTGGTAGAAAGTATTGAGAGCATCCAAAGCAATGTGAGGCGGGTCTTGTGTGGCAATCAAAAATACAAATCTTTGGTAAAGTTCAGTCTCGATGTTCAAGGTGACTGTCGGGTTAGTTGGCGGCTCGATGCTCCAATCAGAGAGAGGATTGGGCCTGCGGACAGTGCAAATTTGTTCAACCGTGATAACATTGTTGTCGGGGAAGCATGATTGTTTGTAGCAAGCTGTTACAGTTAAGATATTTGTGACTGTTTCTCCTAGCAGAATCTCCAGTCCTTGGATGGCATCTTCGAGCTCCGTCAAAGGGTTGCCGGAGGCTTGCTCTTGGATACCGACGGCTGGGATCCTGACTCTCACAAGAGCAGAGACCGTCTGACCTGCCTTGAGTTTCGCGCTTGAAGTATTGCCAAGGACGCTTTCAACTATGCAGCCTTGACGTGGCTTGATGTCGATGCAGAGATCGGTTATGGACCCGAAGACGCGTCCTTCTCTTGCGTAGGACATTACGTCAGCTGCTTGCGCAAGGAGCTGAGCTGAATCGTTCACTGAAACCTCCGGCGACGAGGACCTCAAGGAGAGACCTCTAGGAAGAATCCATACGTTAGAATTTTCTGACAGTGCGCTGTGGTAAGGAACAGCAGCCGTGCACACTGCGTTGACGTTGATTGCCGACAGTTCATCCGTCAGGTCAAGACCATCTACCGATTGAGACGACAATACGAAGACGAGGCAACGATCAAGCCTGAGAGGCTTGGCGGTTCCCGCTGTCTGCTCTCTGAGGACCTTGATAGCCTCTCGCAGAGTTTCATTGAGATCAGTGCCCGTCGCGGGCGGACGAGTCACTAAAGCCCTGATATCGTGAATTTCCCTACGAAGACAAGCATCATTGGCAGCTTGGAGTGGATGCAAGAGACATCCCGAAGTTCTCGCTTCGTCCGAGAAGTGGCGACAGCAGGTGCAAAAGACAGCGAGTCGATCGTCCGGCTCGGTACTAATTTGGGCAATGCGGAGCGCGACGTCGCAAGCAGTCTCAAGGGAGTCCGGGGACGCGAATCGGCTAGATCTCGGTAAGCTGAAGTTCCAAGCACAGGCAGGGGGCGGTGAGAATCTATCACGACCATGGCAAAGACTCGGATGACGACGAGCGAATGACCATGGCGCGATTCTCATCTGCTGTTTCATCTACTCCAGTGGTGTTTGCCGTCTCCCCTCTCAGCACAGTGTATGAATCGCGCGATGCGTGACGTCAGGATGAAACCGGGACTGAAACTCACGAGTTGTCCAGGATCACGACAATGTCCAGGCCAGCCCCTTTCTTATTTTCCCCGAGATCTCTGGCATCGTCAGTCTTCACGACGCCACGTGTTTCGACAGCCACCCAAACGCTCCGTTCCTCGTGGAGGCTCAGGGCCTCACATTCCGTCACCACATTAAGATCGGCAGTGAGGATCGGCGGCGGCCCACGTGTGGCGCTCCTAGGCCGCGGGGAAGTCTGATCTGCCATCTGAGGCGAACGTGGCTGGAGAGGGTCGCTGTGCGGTGATTTGGCAGAAAACTGGCCCGGTCGGACGGTGGTACGACTCGAAGACGGGGGGAGGACACTTCGCACGAATCAGTCAACGCCGGACCGGAGCAGTCGCTTGCCATGCACGGAGAGGCCAAGGGAATCCACGCCCGCCACACTTACGATGGCGCAGACGGCTGGGCCGGAAACTCGGAGCTCTTCGAGCGAGACGGAAAACTCGGTCGCCTTCGCATGGAGAGCTTGCGGAAGATGCTTCCATCGGATTGGCCATTGCGCGTCGGCTGCAGGCTCGGGTTCGATCTGCTGGCCTGGATGCTGCCAAGCACTCTGGAAAATACCCTATTCTTGGGAGATTTGCGGCAGTGGAGTGTCGGGGATTCGGGTTCGACGATGGAGGGCGGGGACCCCTGCACGGTCACCGTCGAGGGGGGGCTCCGTTTCTGAGCAAAGCCGAGTACGGTGGGTTCGATCTCGGAGCATGTGCTGGACTGGGCGCCGGTGATGCTTGAGGCTGAAGATCGGTTCTCGCGGCGTTTACGGACTTTGATCTCGCCTGCAGGACGCAGGGCTGTAGGACCCGGTAGAGGCGACGGCTTGGCGGCCGGCAACATGCTGGCACCTGGCGCGGTCCGATCTGCGATCGTGTCTTTTTGCCGCAACTGACAGGCCACTCCCTGGTTGTTGGGAGACTCGAGTGAGGTCGGATGAATCGTCCCTGGGAAAAAAAAAGCCTTTCGTGCGGGTGGCAGGCACGTCCGCCACCTGCCGTCAAGGAAAGTGCTGCCCTCGCCCACGGCCTGCACCCCAACGCCCCAAGTCGTACGTGCGCACCAACGTGAAGAACCAAATTCATGACTTCGTATTTCGAAATACTTCCAACGAGCAGACCATCCAACTGTGACGGGGTGCAGTGCAGCCTGGAACCAATGCTGACTAGGAATCTCTTTCGAACAAGGTAGACTTCTGAAATTCCCCGAGCCCACCACCTTCTTTCCCCCACCTTCCTGAAAGACTAAAAGGCCCGGTTACGGTGCCAGCCAACTCTAGAGCATGCTATGCTTGCTTGAGGATTCGCGCCTTCGCTTTTTCGAGAATGTCCTTGTCGACTTGAGCAAACCGAACCTGGAGCGGTCAGAAATTAGGTCTTCGGATCCGGCTGAGGAACCTACCACATCGTCGCCCTCGACCCCAGCGCCGTAGAGCACGCCGTCGGAGATGCTGCCGTTAATGCCTTTCTTGACTCTTTCTTCCCACACGCCTTCCCAGTTCCATTCGCCCGGATGGCGGCTCCTGGTTGCGGGCGCGGCGCTGGGCTTGGTCATGGGCTGCAGTTCAGTGTACTGGTTGTCCCTGTAGGACCGCCACGCGTGATAAGCCCCCGGGTTGGCGGCAGACTCAACCGTCACCGAGTCCAGGATGGACTCGTCGGTGAATGATGCCTGGATATACTTGAGGATCTTGGCAACGGGGGGCGGGTGGTGGTTGGTTTCGTCGCCGGCGTCGGGCTGGCTGTTTTTGGTGCTCCGACGCGTACGCGAAAACCATTGCGGGAAACCATGGCGGAGGCTGAAGCCGCCAGGGGGAAGACGCTCTTCGTCGGTGGCACTGACAGTCTCACCGCTCGCCGAGCCAGTCGTGTAGGTATACGTGGTCAGTGGAGTCACCAGCGGGTGGAAAATGTCCGTGGACAGTGTCACCAGCGGCGGCACCGCTGGATATGCCCGTGGAAAAGAAATCTGGACTCGGAGAATTGCAGGTGCATATGGGCCTTGAAACGGGTCCGGTCAGCCTGCTGCCGGCTGGGGAGAGCTGTCTGAAGGTGAAAGGCAATTACGAATCAAGCGCACCTTTGCGGATGAACATCACGCCAGTCCAGACGGACGTATCGCCAGGCGTGATACTCATGTACACGCCGTCCGGGCAGCCATGGCGGAGGCTCGCGCTGCCGCGGGGGTGGAGTCAGCACAGGGAGGTCCGGGGTTGAGCTCACGGCATGGATCGAAGAAAAGCGGAAACGCACAATTCTACAAGTAGATTCTGATGCTGCAGAGAAGGCAGTGCCAGTGCGGGGCCCAATAAGGGCATCTTGGCCGTGGTGCCGGGAGCTGAGGATGATGCAAAGGGGTTCGTAACGTCGTCGCGCGAGTGTTCGGGCCGGCGCAGGCAACGAGGCTCTGTGGCGGCGCTGACTAACGGGACGCCAGATCGACGTGGAAAACAGCGGCCGCCGATCCGATGAGGCGCTGAGTTTTCCGCCAGGACATCCCCGCCACAGCCCATCGCCGGACGCTGCGCGGCTACGGGAGCGCAGCCCAGCCTCATCGGGCCCGGTGCTAGAGCGACTCGCGGCTCGCGGCGAGCGCTTCCATCCTCAGGCTCAAGCTCAGGCTCAGACTCAGGCTCCGGCGCACTTGCTTTTCGCCAGCCGACGGCCCCCTATCTGGCGCAGCCGCCCGCGGTGGGCTACACGTCGCACAAGGCTGCCCCCGCTGTCACATTCTGGAATGATGCGATGACTCGACCGCGTCGTATAGAGATCAGCAAGGGCCCTGGAGCCCGTTCCAGCGGCCAGGCTCAACAACGCTCCGAGTCAGTGCGGTGCGAGCGCATGCAGCTCAAGATACAATATGTGCCTGCTCTGCCGGGCTGCGTTGACTGCAGCGCGATCCGCAGGATATATGAGACCTGCGGTTGCACGGTGGGCTTATACGAGCAGAAGCACCAGTCAGGCCTCGCCACACTTCCGCGAGAGAGTCACGTTGGGCACGACAATTGCTTCGACCGTCAGCGATGCTTTGGCGGTGAGCCGTCGGTCAGGCTGGCATCTGACGGGCGCCGGAAGATCTGGATGTCTCACAGGAGCACTCGTCCCGCAGCCTATTCAGATGTGCGACCAGGGGACGCGACCCGGGTTTGATATTGGTCCACCTCGCCGGGGCGCACAGCAGCAACGACTTCGCGAAGACGCGGCAGCGACAGGATCCCACTGCATCATGCACTTTGCTCTCCGCCCGAGGACCCGGGATTGTTTGATGCGGCCTGCATGGCAGTCACGCTCTCCGGCCCTGGATTTTGCCCCGTTGCACCAACAGCTGGCACCACACGAGACATCGCATTCGGCACAGAAGAAAACGCGTGCCGTCACACATTGAGGGTCAAGTGATCAGTGCCGGCACCGTGCGATGGGCGACGGATCATTCGCGGCGCGCGTCAGGAGTTGCAGTCGGCTATCGTTTCAGCGGGCTGTGATGACGTCGGGATCGAAATGAGGGATCTGCAGAGCTTGCCTGCCAGCTGCTCGCCTGCGTACCCCAGACGGCGCTGGCTCAGGCGGCGCGGTGCCTGGGAGAGTGGCTCCAGGACGAGAGGCGGGCTGGAAGACGCGCCAGGAGCTGCGACAAACGGCCTGGAGCTAGGTGCCGCGGAATCGGCAGGCGGTGCCCAGCGGCGAATCAGCGCGCGAGCGGAGGCCGTACCCGCCATCTTCCGGGCCACAGATCTCGAAAGGAACCTTCGACGAGACGACCGGACGCGAACAAGCCTTGCGCCGGCAGGCCGTTCCTCGTTTTCCACGCGAGCGCGGCCGGGCAGGGGTGCCGCCGCGCGGGCAATCGCCGTCACCCCCGGCCAGCGCAACCCGGCAGCCCTGTGCCCGCGCGTGGCCAATCAAGGGCCGCCCGCCGCCGTTGAACACGCTCACCGCCGAGCAGCAGCGCGTCGCTCCGCGCTGGTCATGCTGGGCCTCCCCTCTCCTCCTCCTGCTGCCTCTCAACGCCCTCTTTTTTTTTTTTCTCCAGTGCCAGGCCCCCCGGCGCGCGCTTGACCGGTGCGTGCGCAGCGCGGGCGCTCGCATGCGCGCAGCATTGCACGCCAACAGCCTCACCACTGCCACACGCGGTGGGGCGTCTCTCCGCGCGGGCATCAGGTGACGGCTGCCCGCTAGCCCGCGAGGTCGCTCGTCGGCACCCTTGCCGATGCCGCCGCGCGGCGACAGGTCGACTGCTGGGCGCGCGGGCTCGAGTGTGGCAGCAGTGCCCGGGCTGGCATTTATAATTGTCCGGCGTCTGCAAGGCTGGGCGGCGGCGGCGGGCCATCCATCAGCGCCGGAGGGAGCAGAATTCACCGCCTCTCCTGTAATTTGAAACCATCGCGGCTGGCCGTTGCTTCTATTGAAAGCTAATGAGATTGTCGCAGCCAGCGCTGCCCGCCGCCGCTCCACCCCGGGCCGCTGACTCGCGCCCTGCGAGCCATCGCCCGCAGCGGCCACGTACTCGCGCCAGCACCGCAGCGAGGAGCGGGCGCAAAAGCAAGCACGGCGCAGGCAGAAGCAACGCGACTCGCATTTGCGGTCAGCCGAGTGCGCTGGAGCTTCGAGAAGTGACGAGAGCGCGCGCAAAGCCTGCGCCTACGCGCTGCGCACTCGCTGCCCCTCGTCCTTGTGCCTTGCTGCCGGCGTGCAGCCAGCCTACCTGGCGGGCTGGGCTAGCGCATCTGCCCGGAGCCGCAGGCCGTAGACGCGAAATGCGATGCCCCTGTACTGGGCCCAAGGAAAGGGGGCAACGGCGTTTAGCCCCAAAGTCAATCCCAGTAGCGTACCGGCAGGCTGGCGGCGCGCTGATCAAGGATGTCATATCCACGCTCCTAGCCCTGCAACATCGCCCATCACGGACGCGCGACCACCGTCTTTGGGACCCATCTCAGCCCGCCTTACTTTTGGGGCAACCTAGCATCTCTCCCCAATGTTCCGCGACCGGCCCCATGTGCGACAGCGCTCGCTTGGCTGGCAAACACTCAGGGGCCGGCCAGCCAAGCCGCACATCCTTTTCGGGCCTGTGCGTCGTTTGGGCAGCATACCACCGGATCTGACCCTTCCACCAGCTGGTCAGGACGATGGAGTCACAGAACTGGGGTCCGCCCTGTGCCAGCGAATCCGTTCGCTTACCCAGAGCTTGAGCCCATCACCGCCTCTTGTGCCCGCGCGTCAAGCTATATCAGAGCCGCCTCCCGCGCGCCCGCTGCTGCCGGCCGCTCTTGTGCTCTGCAACACCTGCGGACAACCGCCATACCCAATTCACGATTCGCGCTCCGACTTCCCCGGCGTCCCGCAACAGGATACCCTTGCCTCCTGCAATAAGCCCGTCTGCCCTACGCCACCTAGACTAAATCTTATCGTGTCTAGATGACACAGATTAAAACGGTCATTTAAGCAGACGAGTCCCTCTTTCCCGTACCAGACCTCCAGGTCAAGTCCCTTGGGATTCCTCACGCTCCTTCTGCCCTCGACCGCCTTCGCCTTGACGCAACCTGCCGTGCCGTGACCGCTCCCGTCTCTCCATTTCCGCTGCAATTGGAAGCCATTGGCACGCCGCATCATGATGTCGAACTGTCGCGCCTCTCGCCGGCGCTCGTCCGTCGCCCCGGACGGCAAAGTCCCCTTCCCGTCACAGCAGCTCTTCGTGCTAGGTAATGCTCCTCCAAAACCCCCAATCCGAAGGCCCCCCGCATGCTAACCGCAGCCGTATCCAGCATTATGCCGTATCGCCGAGCCCATCGCCTTCATGTCCATCTTCCCGTACATCTACTACATGATCTCGTCGTTCGGAATCACCAAGGATGAGAAGCAGATTGCCATGTACGCCGGCATGGTGACGTCCGCCTTCGCCTTCGCCGAATTCATGACGGGCGTCATGTGGGGACGCCTCAGCGACCGCTTCGGACGGAAGCCAATCCTGCTCACTGGACTCGCCGGCACGGGGCTGAGCATGCTCATGTTCGGATTCGCGCAGAACCTGCCAATGGCGCTGCTGGCACGCGCCCTGGGCGGCCTGCTTAACGGGTGAGTTGGGTCGCACGGTCACCGACTTTTTTCGGCTGGCGCCAAGATGGAATTTTCTGACACGTTGTGTAACCATGCAGCAACATCGGTGTGCTCCAGACGACGGTCGCCGAGGTCGTGACGGTCGAGTCGCAACAACGTAAGTCACTAGGCTGCGGGTTGGCCACGAGGCGTACCTGACTGACAATGAAACGCACAGCGCGCGCATACTCCATCATGCCATTTGTTTGGTGTCTAGGGTAAGTCCGACGTCCCACCGAGGCAAGCTTGTTGGGCCTGTCGACTAATGATGCGCTTGCAGCTCCATAATAGGCTCTGGCCTCGGAGGCACCCTTGCTCAGCCCGCCAAGGGATACCCTACCGTCTTCCTCCCCGGATCCCTGTTCGACAAATTCCCCTACCTGCTTCCGAACCTGGTCTGCGCTGGCGTCGTTTGCTTCAGCTTGATCGTCGGCATTCTATTCCTGGAGGAGACGCATGAGGACAAGAAGGATCGGTTTGACCTTGGTTTGGAGATTGGAAAATGGATTATGCGCAAGGTCCGCGGCCAGAGCGAGCCCGAGCTCAGCATTGATGCGAAGAAGACGTACTTGGAGGAGGCTTGCTACCTGCTGGCGGAGGAATCGGAGGATGAGCAGCCGCCGGGCTACAGGTCGACTGAGGGGTCGCCGCGTCTTCCGACCAATTCCAGCGCCTCGTCGCTCCGTATGCCGCCAAGGGCTGCCCCGAAGCCCTCGATGCGCTCAGCGTTTACCCCGCAGGTGATGCTGAACATCGTCGGCTACGGAATCCTGGCCTTGTAGGTAGCACCCGATGGAGTGGTGCGTTTCACAAGCTAACCAATGCCTGCAGCCACACCATCTCCTTTGAGCAGCTTCTACCCGTCCTCCTCAGCATGCCCAAGTCGACCGAGCCGCCAAACCTTCCGTTCAAGTTCGTCGGCGGATTCGCGCTTCCTACCAAGACCATCGGGTTCATTTTGTCGGCTCAGGGGTTCTTCCAGATGATTGTGCAGATTTTCATCTTTCCTGTCGTCAGCCGGAAATTCGGCCCTCTCAAGACGTTCCGCGCAGTCATCATCGCATACCCGTTCCTGTACACTCTGACGCCGTATCTGACTCTCCTGCCGGAGACGATGCGTATGTCTGGCGTCCTCCTGGTCCTGATCTGGAAGGTGACTGCGCAGTCGCTGGCCTACCCGCCGCTGGCCATCATGCTGGCGAACTCGGCGCCTTCGAAGAAGGTCCTCGGCACGCTCAATGGCGTTGCCGCGTCGTCTGCCAGCCTCTGCCGCGCGTTCGGTCCCACGGTTTCGGGCGGTATCCAGTCTGCTGGTCTCAGTCTGGGGTACTCGGGCCTTTCCTGGTGGACCTGCGCGCTCGTCGCAATCATCGGCGCGACGGAGAGCATCTGGATGCGTGAGGTCAAGACGCGGTTCGAGAAGAGCGAGAGCGAGGCTCCCAGCCAATACCACCAGGATGAGGAGGCCGACATTGGCGAGCCGCTTCTCAACCCGGCCGCCCTGAGCGCCTCCAACATTGCCTCGGACGGGCCGCCGATGCAGGGCGGGCAGACGCTCTACGACGGCTCAGTTTCCGACTCGGACGAGGAGTACGGAAACACTACCCACAAGGAGCATTTCTGATCACATTTCTTATTTGGTGTGCGGCACGCGATGCGCACGGCGGAGGGTAATACGCATAGATCGGGAACACAAAAAAACAAAACAAAGGGCATTCGGAGTTAAGGGAAAGACATGATACCAAGCAGGCGCGGATCGCCTGCTACGAAAAAATTCCCTATTTGCGATTTTCATTGGCATGGATTTTCCTTCAGCCTTTTTTTTTTCTTCAGCAGCAGCAAGCATCACAACTCAGCATCATTGGGCGGCGTTTTTGGGCGACTAGATAGAGATTCCATAGGGGGGCGCCAGCCTCGTCAAGGGCAGCAGGGACCGGGGCATTTTGCCGGGGCGTTTCATACGAGCGATGAGTTTCATGCATTATTCCAGGTGCCTTTTGGTAGCAGTCGTAGTTTTAGTTGCAGCCGCACCCCGGCCAATACCCAGCAAGCATGCTTTCTTCTTCATCACGCACGAAGCTCGGAGAGCGGATACGTAGCACGGAATCAGGCCATGGGCTGCGTGGTGGCCGCCGGCAACCGGGCTCAGCGCGATCGCCGGCAGCGCCGTGCGATTGGCTGGGCGCGCGGCTGGCAGCATTCGGGGAAGCGCTGCTGACGTCCTCGAGGCGAGCGTGGGGCGGGTTTGATAAGGGTTTCGGGGGGAGTGGGCCAGTGGAAGACTCTGTGCTTTTTCGAGAAGCCTGCCACATCTGCGAAATCAGGCTCCACCGCGCCAGTCCTTGAATCCGCCCTACGAGTGCAAAGCCGCCTTCCGCCGCCGCCGGCGCCCCCTGGCTCTGACGCGCCGCAGCTCACTGAACATCGCTCGGCGCCGATTGGGCAAGTGCGCAAGACCTGTGCGCAGCTGTGTTTGCCCGCCCGCCCTCGAAGCACGCCCGCTTCCGCGTCGCGCCCGTCAACCCAGCAGCCCAGGCCGTCTCCCCGCGCGTGAAGCTCGTCGTCGTGCGGCACCCTCGGCCCACCTGCACCGCCTGTTTCCCGGTCCCGTGTCGCGCAACTACCGCACGCCCGTCGACTTGGATGTCTTCCCGATAGAGCGGTCGCGCAAAGGACATGCGGGATGACCGCTCCCAAGCGCCCGCGAGAGGCATCCTCGACCGATGGCGCCTCGCCTGAAGACGCCAGCAGCAAGATCGAGTCGCCGACAGCCAGCGCGAGCGGCAGCCAGCAAGCGTCGTCCTTCCGAAACGTCTCGGCGTGCAACCGCTGCCGCCTGCGCAAGAACCGCTGCGACCAACGCCTGCCCGCCTGCGCCAGCTGCGAGAAGGCCCACGTCAAGTGCGTCGGCTACGACCCCATCACCAAGAGGGAGATACCGCGAAGGTGCGTTGGCGATCGTCCCGCAAAGCGCCGGGCTGGAGAGGCAATGGCGGCGCTGCGCTGTGCTCTGGGTGGGGGCGGGCGGCAGGAGGAAAAAATCGCATGCGCCCTGCGAGCTTCCTTTGCTGCACGCCTGCTGCTGCATGCGGCGCGGCCCGTGGCTGCTGGCCCGGCGAACCGCCAGAAAAAAGTGGGCTGTGATGTGCTGATGCTTGTGTGTTGTCTCCAACAGTTATGTGTATTACCTCGAGAGCAGGGTCGCGTACCTGCAATCGCTGCTGCGCGACAATCAAATCCCCTTTGCCCCGCCCGAACACTTTGCTCTGAGCTACAAGCCGCCCAATGGCGAGGCCACCTTCCCCCTCGACAAGCAAGCACGCGCCGCCCAGCAGGAAGGCCAGCTCAGCGCGCAGCATGACTCCACGGCCGACGACGGCGCAGATACGAAGCAGCAGGAGCAGTACGACCGCGACAAGATCAACAAGATGGTCTCAAATATTGGCATGGTCTCGGTGCAGGGCGCGTCCGACCCGCGCTTCCTTGGCTCGACGTCAGGCATCTCCTTTGCCCGCGTCGTCTTTGCCGCCGTCAAGAGCTCCGTGTCTGGCGCTTCGTCAGAGAAGGGCAGCGTGCGTGCCAGCAAGCCCCTGCCCGGCCAGGCCGCCGCCAATGGCACCTCCATGAGGGATTCCTTCTTCGGTCTCCACACCAAGCCCACCATCCGCCAAGCTCCCTTCCCCGAGCGTGACCTGGCGCTGAGGCTGGTTGAGCTGTACTTTGAGCATGCTAATCCGCAGATCCCAATCCTCCACCGCGGCGAGTTCATGGCCATGTTCGAGCGTGCCTTGGCCACCGATCCGAAGGATCGGACGAGCCGCGAGCTGTACATGCTGAACATCGTCTTCGCCATCGGTGCTGGCATCATCATGGGCAGCTCCGACGCCACGTCCGAGTCGCCTGATCCGGACGCGACCAGCGCATCACAGAGACCCTCGCAAACCCCACCTCCGGGCAAGCGACGCAGGCTCGCGAGTGTGCAACACCAGCCCGAGGAATACCACGCCTCCGCTATTGTCCACCTCGAAAGCTTTCTGTCGTCATCTCCCTCTGTCGATCGCCCCGACGGCTTCGGCGGCGGTCTGGAGGAGCTGCAGGCAGTATTGCTCCTTGCCGGGTTTGCTCTGCTGAGACCCGTTGCACCAGGTTTGTGGTACATCACAGGTGTAGCCGTGAGATTGGGCGTCGATCTCGGTCTCCACTACGAAGACGGCGCGGGCATTGACGGCGGCCCCAGCGCTGACGACACAAGCTTGCTGAATCCTGGACATGCGCCTGATGACGCACCTGGAGCAAACAATGCCGTGAGACTCGACCCGAAAGAGCGAGGAAGGCGCCAGTGGGTTCGTGACCTTCGCCGGCGCCTATGGTGGTGCGTGTATTCGTTCGATCGCCTCGTGAGCACCTGCGTGGGCAGGCCGTTTGGCATCACTGACCAGGTCATCACCACCGAGTTCCCCTCCCCCCTTGACGACAGATACATCACCCGGGAGGGCTTCCTACAGCCCCCCGGCGGCAGCGAGAAGCCGACGTACAAGTGTGTGTCATATCATTATTTCCGGTTGCGCCTCCTCCAATCGGAAATTCTCCAAGTGCTGCAGCACCGCCAGACACAGCAGGCGCGCGCTATCGGTGCGAATCAGGGCAACGATTTCATGCACACAAACCTGCCTTCCCCCTTCCTCTCCAAGTTTGACTCCTTCCTGTCGTGGCGCCGGGACATCGACCGCCGACTCTGGGAGTGGAAGGAGTCCTCGCCCACCCAGATGGACACGGGCGTCCAGTTCTCACCGCTCTTCTTGGAGCTGAATTACTGGCAAGCTGTCATCATGCTGTATAGGCAGAGCCTGAGTGTGCCGCCCGTCCTGGCAGATGAGCTGAAATCTACTGAAGATGATGTGTCAAGCCCGTCAATGGTGAACCTGGAGGAGCGCGAAGACGAAGAACATGTCTTCCTGAAGGTAGCAGAGGCTGGGCAAAAGGTGCTGAAGCTATACCGCCAGCTACATAGGGTGCACTTGGTGAATTACACCTTCCTGGCGACCCATCACTTGTTCATGGCAGGTAGGTTTCTCTCTCCAGCATATAGGCGCGAGCTTTGCGACCCTCTGCCCCAAATACACTTGTTGGCCACGCTTGGTTGCGGTGTAATCGACATAGGAGAAGGCAACGAGCACCCAATGTGCGCTGGTTGCCCTTTGGTTACCGAAGTTCCTTCACTGCAGTCTTGTTGACCTAGAAACACGCCGGCTGGCGCTCGTGCTTCATGCTAACACCGTGCTCAGGCATTTCATTTCTGTACGCAATTTGGCATTCGCCGGTCGTCCGAAGTCACTTGGTAGGTTTGATTGCTCTAATTTTCGGGCGCCCTTCTAATATTTGCTAGTCTCTTGACGATGTCGACTTTACGGTGCTTGCGGCAACATCCGTTCTAGGCGATCTCATTGAGAAATGCCCTCCAGCCGAAGCGTGTCGGGATGCTTTTGACCGCATGAGCAAAGCCACTATTCAAATGTGCATGTCGACAACCGGCTTCGGGCCTCAAGCGCTTGCTCAGAACCGTGCGAAGCAGCAGCAGACTTACCACTCATCACCGAACTTTTCCGCTGCTGAGCAACAGCCCACAGCTTCGCCGACCACAGAGCATCCTCGTGGCGTCAACCGGCCGGGCTATTTCCCTAGCTCGAATGCCAACTCGAATTACAACTCGCGGAAACAACACCCGCGCTTCGACATGAACCTACGAGATCTCTTCAGCGACGACGAAAGTGAGTCGCGCCTCAGGCGGCCCAGCCTTGGGTTGGTCGGTATGCGGCCCTCGAACTCCATGCAGAACCAAGTCAAGCAGGAGACGCCGCGGCCGGCAACATCATCAGCCACTTTCGTCTCGCCGGAGATGCGGCAGTTTAGTTCAGCGCAAGTAGATTCGCAGCTGCAGACGTCAGCAGCGACCTCACCAGTACAGATGCAACAGCGTCCGGCTCATCAGCGCCACCACTCGCATCAGCAGCAAATGCGCCAGCAGCAGCCGCAGATCTCTCCATACACCCAGCAGCAGACGTCTCCCTACACCCCCACTTATGGCCCGAACGTAGCCATGGCGCAGCAACAGACGGCACCCGGGTATCCTGACATCGGCCAGTCAACTTTCCCCGATCTTGACTTCCTTGACGCGTTCCCAGCTGGTAGCGCCAGCGCCGAAGCTGGCGGCGGTGGAAACATGGACCTGGGGTTTGGAATGCAACTGGACGACATCTCCGGGGCGAATAATCATGACTGGAGTGATGGCAACGCCTTTGACCTATTCGACGGGTTCTTCTTCGGACAGGGACCCGGTGCACCAGGAAGTTTGTAAAGGATGAGGGAGGTGAATATTGGAGAAGAATGGTATCGTTGGTAGGTCATGTTGCTATCTGGCGGCTCTGTGTGCCTCTTTCTTGTTGATGTGATACGAATCACATGACTATTAGGACGGGAATTGGGAATCGTGTATAGATGCGGGGCGGATGTCGTCGGGAAAAGTCTTGTTGTTGCAGTCGGAATGGTAACGTCTCCGCTTCGTTGGAAATGTTTGATGGGACACAAAACGAACCAAAGGGGTTCGAACGATTATCGGTCATTTTTCCTTTCGGTCTCATCCAGAGGCGGGCATTGTAGATGTCTTTGGTTTTGCCCCCATACTTACCACTGCTGTTCATTCCTTGCGGGAGTTGTTTGTCGCTTGTCCCAGTCCCCTCTCTTGTCAATGGTCGTTTGATACTGGTGTACAGGGCGTTATATACCTGGTGCTGCTTGTTGCTCTCTCCCTGTAAGTGTGTGATGAGCTTCATAGGTTCCTGACGAAGAATGAATGAAGAGATGTCAAATTAACTTGCCACGAAACGATGGATGATTCGATCTGGCTCGTTGATGGTTGATGATGTTAGATGATTGAAACAAGAGCTTTGAATGATAGGATTATATCTTATCAAAGAGCTCACTCTACCACTTAACCGGGTGTCCTTCAATGCACGCTTCATCCTCGCTCATCTGACGAGCTCTCCTTTTCCAAAGCAATGATTTCATGGTTCGTTCGACATAGATTACGAGGCATAATATTCCTCTGCAGGAAAGAAAAACGTACCCAGAAAAAAAAATCCCGATAGGCGCGGGTCGTATCTAAATGTTGCGTCCGTCAGCACTAGCAGTCTGACCACCCCACAACGGCACGTGCCGCATCCATGAAAGTGATATAAAGCGGGGTACGTTCGTGTGCGATGAGTCAGATGTCACGACGGACGTCCTTGAGCTGTGGTTTTCCTTGCGTGCGATTTTGAAAGCCACTCTGTGCCGCACTGCATTGTCGGTGTTCTAACGCAATGAGGAAGGTCTTTGTGGGGAGCTTGAGGCATTTTGGAAAGGCAACACTGTTTCTATGACTCTTCTGCAGCGCGAAGCAGAAACAGGCAGCGGTAGGAAGCAAGGAAATAGTGGGTCGTACGACGACTGAAGTTTGAAACCAATTGATAAAAAGCTTGAGTGTCATCGTCAAAATACCATTGAGTTGTAACCTGCACACGAGAACCTTGATTTTTTCAAGTGCTTCTTTCACCTTCTTCTTAACTCCACGATGTCTTCGTCAACAACACCCACCACTTCACCACCACAAGGACAACGCTGCCGCATCCGCGAGCTCCTGCCCAACCTCTATCTCGGCCGCCACCCCACAGGACCCAAGAACTCGCTCACAGATGTGCCGGGGGTGCTCTGCCACACGCAGTCGATCGTCAAGCCGGCGACGGACACGCACGGGGCCATCAACACCGGAGTGACGGCGATCCTGCCGCGACGCGACTTCTTCCACCAGGCGTGCCACGCGGGCATCTTCCGGCTGAACGGGTCGGGCGAGCTGACGGGCTCGCACTGGATCGAGGAGACGGGCCTGCTGCACTCGCCCATCGTCCTGACCAACAGCTTCGCCGTGGGGGCGGCGTACCAGGGCATCTACGAGTACTGCATCCCGCGGCACCGCAACGCCGAGAGCGGGGCGGCCGACTGGTTCCTGCTGCCCGTCGTGGGCGAGACGTTCGACGGCATCCTGCACGACATCGCCGCGCTGCCCGTCACGCCCGCCCACATCGTCGCCGCGCTCGAGGCCGTGACCGACGAGGCCGTGCCCGAGGGCAACACGGGCGGCGGCACCGGCATGATCTGCCACTGGTTCAAGGGCGGCACGGGCAGCGCGTCGCGCGTCGTGCCGGCCGACAGCAGCGCGCAGAGAGAAAGCTACACCGTCGCCGCCCTGGTGCAGGCCAACTACGGCGCCATGCGCGACCTGCGCATCGGCGGCGCGCCCATCGGCCGCTTAATCGACGGCGAGCTGGCCGAGGCGGCAAAGGACCTGCCCGCCGACGCGTCCGTCGCCGAAAAGCTGGCGGCGCTGGGGCGGGTGGCGGCGGAGAAAGAGAAGAAGGACGGCAGCATCATCGTGGTGCTGGCGACGGACGCGCCGCTGCACCCGCTGCAGTGCCAGCGGCTGGCCAAACGCGCGACCATGGGCCTGGCGCGCGTTGGCGGCAACGCTCACAACCCCTCGGGCGACATCTTCCTCGCCTTCAGCACCGCGAACAAGATTCCTGTGCAGGACGAGGCCGACCGGTGGAAGACCAAGCCGCTGAGCATCGAGGTGGTGGACGATCAGACGATTAATTCCCTGTTCGAGGCCACGGCGGATGCGGTTGAGGAGGCCATCTTGAACGCTTTGTGCATGGCCGAGACGATGACGGGGCTGGGAGGGCTGAAGGTGGAGGCGTTGCCGCTGGAGAAGGTCAAGCAGATGATGGAGAAGTATTTGTGAAGGAGTTTTCTGGGTCACAGGAGGTGCGGATGTAGGTGGCGGAGCATTTACGAGGGGGAGGCAGTGCTGTAGTCAGCTGGGTGAGGGCCAAGGAGTAATGTCGCGCAGTCCGTTGCTCTTGGCCGGGAGCGTCTTGCCTTTTCTTGTCGTCGGGCTACCACGGATCTAACTTTCAACACTACTAAGCGGGGCAGCAACAAGGAATCACATTCCATTCCGAATGACCATCCCGACGGCCCTCGTGAGCGAGCCACCATCAAAAACTTGGTCTGCGCTGCCTGCACAAAAGTTACACAAGCACATTCACCGCCCCCGTCCTCTCCACAGATGCCCACAGCACCTCTGCCAGCCCCTAAATCTTTTCATCCGTGTATGAGACAGTACGCACCATGGACGAGGAAACCCCCCGGACGTCTCGAGAGACCGATGCACCGCTGGAGCCTGAGCCAATTCCACTGCTCAGACCGTCACAGATATTCAATCAACTCGCTTTTCCCAGCCAACCCAATCCGCCTGCATTCGTAGCCTTCCGCCAGACAAACCCTTTCATGCGCATCGATGAAGACGATGAGCGGCAGCCTTTCCTCCTAACTCACAGTCATGACCGAGGAGATGCACTCGCTCACCCTCGCCATGACTCCGCGATAGAAGTTGATACGGATAAAGGCACGAAAACCAACGGCGTGAAGCGCCTTCTAGCGGCGGGCCGGAACGGGGCTACTTCCGTCCTTCGAGCCATCTACCAAACTATAGCACTTCTGGGGAAGTTTCTTGGCTGCGGCAACAGCAAGAACTTCTATTTCACCGGTTGCTTTGTTATATTAGTGCCACTGGCATTGCTGAGCGGCTGGCTAGAAAGAGCTCCAGCAGTCATCGTGCTGCTCAATGCACTTGCCCTTGGCTCCGCCGCGTTTCTGACTTCCGCTCTCTTTGAGGATCTGGTCAGCCTCGTACCTGGGCCAAGGATCCATGCATTCTTTGCCGAAATATTCTTCTCAAATATTGCCTGGCTCTGTGTAAGCAGTTTCTATAGTCAGACAATTGCAAGAGCAAATAAGCTGAACATTCCAACAGGTCGGCAGCTTCGCTCTTAGCAATAAGCAGTACCAAACCATCTCTTTCATTATCCCGGCCAGTATCCTTACCCGTAGCCTCCTTGGACTCGGACTCGGATTCATTTCCGCCGGCTTCTCGAAACACACCCGCCACGACAGCACGCCGACGATGGCTCTCTACTCGTCGCTCAAGATCTTCGGATTGGTACCCTTCTTCCTCTGCAGCCTCCTCACGCTCGCATTCCGCCACGAAGACGTCCATCAATCACCCGACAGCAGAGACCACATCCTCCTCTTCTCGCGCGGCAGCGCCATCGTCTCGCTCAGCTGCTACCTCATCTTCCACCTCTTCCTCAACATCACCCACGCGCCGCTCGTCTCCACCGCGCCGCCGACTTCCACAGTAGCAGCACCACCACCTCCTCCTCCTCCCTCAACCCGTCCTCCCCCACTCCTCCCCTTCCTCGCAACCCTCCTCACCACAATCCTCACATCCCGCAACCTCGTCCACGCCCTAGCCCTCCTCCCCGCTTCGCCATCGTCATCGCCGCCTCCACTTCCACCCGCGATGCTCGCCCCCGCACCCCTCTACGCCATCCTCCTCCCCATCGCGCTCAACCACCACGAACTCCTCGCCGCCGTCCGCGCCGCACACCTACCGCAGCTGCGCCAACACAGCCCGCACCACATCCTCGCCGTGCTGACCGAAGCGCCGACGGTGCACGCGACGCTGTTCCTCGTCCCGGCGCTGGTGCTGCTGGGTTGGATGAGCGGCGGTGGGCGGGACGTTGGTATGGAGATTGGCGGAGGAGGACGGGGAGGAGGAGAAGGACGAGAAGGAGGAAGGGGAGGAGGAAGGAGTGCTTCCTCGGCGAGGATGGCGGTGGTGCTGTTGCTGTTGTGCGGGCTGGGAGCTTGGCTGGACAGCGTCGTGGCGGCTGGGCGGCGCGGGGGCCGGTTGCTGGTGTTGAAGGGGTGGGTGCTGGTTTCGTTGTAAGTGGTCCCCCCCTTCTCTTTCCCCCTCTCATTCAGCTCCTGTGTTCTCGTTGGGAACAAGAAGATACTTCTTCTTTTCGAGCGCCGCATAGCAGAAGAGGGATGTTGTTGACTGACCGATCCTTTTTAGGTATTCGATCGTTGCTATCGCGATGTTTCTCCTTGAATGACGTGTGTACAGGGGGGAGGCCGGAATGTAGTTCCATTTGGTTGGCTTTGTTAATCCTAGTCTTCTCTAATATAGATATCTCTTTTTTTTGCTTTCCCAGTGTGCGGTACTCTTAACGCCCCCCAACGGATTTAGGTTCCGCTGAATATGCCAGTTGTACAGTCCCCTCATGCAGCCGATGGCTAGCGTGGATTTGTTTTTTTTTTTTGCTCATGTCATGGGTAGCTGAAGCTATCGTCCGGACGTGTATGTAGAATTTTTAACTCCACATTCTCGTCCGGACGATGGCTTCAACTACCCATATATGTTATTTTTCTAAGGCAGAGCTAGGGCATAGTTACACTATGTTCTAGAGACCTGCTATTCTTCGCGCTAGCCATCGGCTGCGAGAGGGGGTTGTAGTTTATGGTCGAAGACCTTGACACTAATGCTGCATCCTGCGAGCAAAATCAGAGCAAACCTCCCTCCAATGCTAATAGATCATAACGTAAGGCATCAGAGCCGAGGGCTAGTGCAAAGAATAGCAGGGTCTTAGAACGGTGGATAGTTATACTCCTATACCACTATGTTCCCGAACAGTGATCACCTGTTGAAGCAACGGAAGATGTAAGATATCGTCTGGAGGTGGATATAGCGCTCGGGAATTCGCTCATAGTAAACGTCTCTTAGAAAAACAAACTCACGTTAGTCCTCGGTTGCAACCCCCCTCTGTATGTGTAGATTTTCTCTCATTAATCCTACCAGAGTGGAGTTGAAGAGTTTAATTAAGTCGACATAATCATTTCTGCTGCAATGTACTGGGAGGGAATATTGAAGAAAAACAAGAGATTAGTAAATGCTCAGAACGAAGGGGGAATCATCCGTGGAAATTCGGTCTCGAGAGGAAGACAAAACGACCCTCTGTACGCGCTCAATTGTGCTTCCAGGAATGCCGTCATCATGATCCTAGTTCAGGCTCTCTTTCCCTTACCCACTTCTTAAAAACTGCCATCGTAATTTCCCATACCCGATTTCTGCCAAATCCCGCATAAGTCATTCTTGTTCCGGAGTTCTCTTTTACATGCACAATGGCGAAGACAAAGCAGAAGGATGTCCATCGGTATCGGCTTCACCACTCCTACTCTCCTTTTCTGCAGTCACCCTACAACTCGTCCATTCATTCTCTTTTCGTCATTTGCCATGGTTCAAGAATCCTGGAGTTAGTCGTCCGCCAGCAGTGGCGCCCTTTCGCGGTCCTCGCTGACAATCTCTCCACGCTTGAAGGGGTCCTGGCCGAGAAGGCCGGGAACTCCAACGGCCAGCGAGAGAACGAATAGAACGCCCATAATCACGAAGGCGAAGATCCACTGGAAGGCGATGATCTTTGTAAAGAACTGGGAGACACCGATTGCTGTTTCAAACAACCCATGTCAGCTCCTTTACACAATATTATTCGGGAAAAGGTAACCTTACCAGCCGCGAGCACTGACAGCTCGAAACCCATGGTGTAGTCCTTGTACACTACCAAGAAGAAGCCTCCGTAAACCAGAATGCCCCAGATGAAGATGTTTGCAACGATCCTTGCTGGGAGATTGTGTGCGTGCACAGCGGCAGCACCGCACCAGTAGAGCGCGACAAAGTTCCATGCCAACGGCCCACTGACGACTGCGATGTGAATGGCGCGCGGCGTGGTGCTGTGGCGGAAGTAGGCAGCAGAGAGGTTGAAGAAGTTGATGACCAGCAGGAGCTCTCCGAGCCAGAAGAATGAACGCACCCAGAGCTGGATGAAGCCGAACAGGAGTAGGTTGTGGACGATGAAATGGCCACCAACGTTCGTTGCAGCTTTCACGGTTTCGCGCTCCGCCGAGTATAGGTGCCACGAATAGCCAATTTGTAGAATGAAGAGCACGAGCCAGTAGATGGAGGTGATGATGCTGTTCATAGAGAAAGGGGTGGGATGCGCGTTGTTCTGTCCCCATATGGTGTGCCTTGGTCCCTTGCCCTCATGCGGCTTGGCGAAGGTGTAATAGACAGCATGGACGAGAACGACGATGTAGGAGATGGCGGTCAAGATTTTGAGCGTCACAACGCGCTCAACAGAGGGGTCGGAATGAGCCTTGAACGGATTGACTGATTATAATGTGTCAGCACTCTCAGGGCTCTGCCGGAGATGGGTCGATGGGTGACACGGGAGTGATTCTGGACGAGCAAGAGCTCAGAGGACCTCCCGGCTCAGCTCAATATGGCGAGAAGGTGGCATGACGGATGCATGATAGACTGGAAACGGAGAGGATTGCAAATTGAATGTGAACTCTTGCGCTGGGTAAGGTATTGCCTGAGGCATTGACATCTTCTTTGCTTTGTTGTGCTTGGACAATTGCTTCGGATGAGGCTTGCCGATTGCTATTACTTTGAAAACGGACGAATTGCAGACTAGGCGCTTAAGGAAAGCTATTCACACGTACCGGAATGCACGCCATCGTGGACGCGACGGAAGACACCGTTTCCGGTGTTGCCGTTGGACTCGGACATGGTGGAAGGCGTTGGAATCGGTGGTGTGAGTTCAGCCGCTGCGCTCGACTCAGCTGCCGCGTCTTCTGCGTGCACTTGGCTGTTCAAAGGGAGGGTGATGCGAGGAGAGTAGAAGTAGAGTTAACAAAGGGAGCGCAGAAAGAGAGCCCAGCGAACAAGCGGAAAGCAGAGGTTCTGGTGAGTGAGGCAGGAAGCTTCGAGGGGCCTTTAAAGGGAAGAGCGAGCGTTGGCAGGTGGGCAGTCGCGTGGTGCCACAGGCGGCAGCTTTCCAACGTCATTGGCTTGGCATGTTGCCAGTCAGGATTGCCAAAACGCGGGGTTCAAGCAGACGTTGTCGCAGCTTTGGGCAGGGATTGCGCCAAACGGCCGGGAACCAGCCAGCGCTAGGCTGCACGCGTGGGCGTCGCGCCCACTTTGCTTCGGCGTTGAGCACCAACTGGTTGACGGGGCGTGACGCTCTGCTCACGCGTCCGCTTACGCCCTCGCATTGCATCAGAGCGGCGTAATGTTGGCGGTGGAAGTTGCAATGCCTCTCCTTCCCCGCGGTCAATTGCGCAAAAGCCAGGGCGCTTGCATGCTACCCGCTGACCGCACAATATTGCCGCGCTTTCCCACGTCTTGCATCGGCCAACAACCAACCGATCAGCAGTCCAGCCCCGCCACATCGAATCCTCGTCACATTCGCGCACTTACTGCATCCGGAGCCGTGGGAAGAGCCAAATGAAACACGCCGTTGTCTATTTGTGGGAAAACCGTGGGTATCTCTGAACACTGTCCTAACCAATTCCTACCCTGCACTCAAGCAAAGATGCAACCAGAGACCCCATTGCCGATTTTATTAACTGCGCCAAGAAACAAGCAAAAGGGAAAGCAAAAGGCAAGGCTGCCAAGGAAATGAAGCGGCGTATGCCGATAACGGGGTACAATGAACAATCACCCTTGTGAAACGGTCGCGCAGGCACAAAAACGAGATGTCTTGCGCATGGCATAAGCGCCCAAGTCCCAGGCAAAATGCGACGATTCAATAAGGGTCCCGGAGAAGAATGGTGGCCAGGGAGCCGGGCGCGCAAGTGGCGGCCGTTGGTATCCTGCACCAAAGCTCGGTGCGTTGAGATCGGGAGCTGCCTCCTCGTGTGACGGGCCGGGTCCGCACAACGGGATCGGGCAGATCATGCCCAGGAGTGGTGCAGTCGAGAACGCTCGGGCTCCACTTCACCAGCGATCGACGATGATGCGAATAGCCCGTGATCCCCGGCGCAGGGTAGCCTCGCCCTCACTCCTTGGCTTCAGGAACGTCCAGGATCATCCTCTCCTGGTCCGACGTCTCCTGCTTGAACTGCGTTTCCTCACGCTCCGTGACGACACTGCCGGTCTCGGCCCTCGAGCTGGGAGCCTGAGCGAACGGGATGAAGCCATTGGAAGTAAACACAGGCAATGCTTGCTTTTGCTTGCGGCCCGGAGACTGAGGCGCCCCTTGCAATTGACCGGCAGCCTCAGGGTCCGAGTTCGGCGGCAACCACTGCAGCACCGTTGCCTGCTGCACTACACCTGCGTCAACTTCAGCCGTAGTAGTACCCTTGGCCGGGTCGTATTGGATGAACTGCGGCATAGTGGCAGGGGGAGGCGGAGGAGGCGAGTCGGGCCGCGGCGTCACCTCCGGGACATGTACAGGTCCAGCCGTCTCAAGAAGGCCCTGCGGCGTCGATCCTTCCGAGAGCTCAGAAGGTGAGGCTAGCGACGGCGGGAACGAGTTCCGGATCCGCTCTGCCATGTTTTCGATGGATGCGCGCGAAAGCGCCCGTCCCTGCTGCGGCTCCAATCCTCCTGGAACGACCAACGTTGACTCTGAAACAGGAACCATGGGTTCGGATTGGTTGGATGTAGACGTGTAAGACACAATCGACATGGCATCCTCGGTGTGTTCCGAGGGGGGCGGCGTGGGCTTCGACTCGGTTGCGTCCTTCGCACCATTGGCCTCCTTTGCCTCGTCTGTTTCTTTCATTTCCTTCGTCTCCTTCGCCTCCTTCGCAGCAGCTCTCCTCGAGGCAGCTACCGTCTTGGTGCTACGAGCAGCCGGGGCCTTTTTAGTGGCCTTGGGAGCAGCTGGCTTCTTGCTCTCCTTCTCAGCCGCTGCAGCTGCAGCCTGGCGGGCGTCGTGCTCCTCCCTGGTGGGCATCTTCAACGTGATTCTCTTGATACCCGAGGTAAGTTGATCCACGTCATCGCCAGAACTCTCCGCCTTTGCCTTCAGTGGCTTAGTCGCAGCAGGAGCCTTGTTAGGCTGCGCATAGCTTGAGGCCCTAGAGGCAATAGGCCTCGGTGGCGGCTTCACGGTAGTGTCCGCCTTGGTCGTTTTTGGGACCCTAGTCTTCTTCACTTGAAGTCCGTTTGCAGGTTGCTTTGCTGCGGTCGATGCTCTACTACTTGGACGTTCTCCGGCAACGGATCCGATCTCAGAAACAAGGCTTTGTCTCCGCTGGAATTGAGGAAGATCGGGCAAGTCATTCTCTTCTGCCGTGGGGCAATCGCCCATCGTCCGTCGGCGATCAGTATCCAATGTTGATTTCGGATGAAACTTCTCGTCATCCGATGGGGGCTCAGTGTAGTCGGCGACCTTTGGCTTCCTTTCACGCAGCTGTCTCCCACCAGTAGGGTTGATAGGAACCTCGGATGGAGGCGCCTTCTCCTTCTTGCTGCGCGGCTCGGCAAGCTCCTCAGGCTTGAAGCTCTTCGTCTGCCGGTCAGTGGGGACAAGCAACTTGCAGAGCTCATGAGCCGCAACGATCCAGTTGACGTCCGGTGGCGGAGGTGTTGGAGGTCTCGGAAGCTCTCTGATCGGCACGAGTTGTCCATAAGCATTGCGGATGAACTTTTCAGGATCAACGACCTTCGCAGTGAACGACTGAGTCGGTGTGGCAAAGTTGCCCGATTGGCCCCGCTGTTGCTTCTTGGGAGCGGGCGGAGGAGGAGGGTAGACCATCGTTTCAAGCGCTGTCAGGTTGGCTTCATGCCACCACTCGACGTTATATCGAAGCGTATGCTCCCCGTTCTCATATGCTTGCTGCAAAGCTGCGCGATCAATCACCATTCCATTGCCAAGGCCGTTGAGCGCAGTGGATTCCTTCTTCGCGACGGGGATCTTCTGTCCTTCGCAGAGGCCGCTCAGATGGCTCAGGACACCGCTGGCCAAGGCTCGGTCGCTGTAGCCGCCCTCGAGCACACTGATCACTCGGCCGTCAACGCCAAGGCCCTCTTCCTGAGACAACTTGACGATGTCCTGCGTGAAGCGGGCGTAGAAGTCGGTAGGCACGTTGACTTTGTGCCTCTGCATTCCTTGGCCTTCCCACTCGCTCGCGTCAAATCCAGCAGAAATGAAAATTGCAGCTTTTGGCTGCGGCTGGGTTGGCGAGGCGCGAAGGCGCTGGGAGTGTGTGCGCAGGAAAACCCGAGCTTTCTCGAGGAGGGTTAGGTATCGAGTCTCGTACAGCTGCCAGAACTCCTCTTCGGTTTTCCACGGTTGCAGGTGCACGTTCCAGACAGTCTGGCCGTGAGCGTTCTCAATGCACAGACTGGCGGCCTGAACCTTTTCAATCTCGCCATACTCGCAGGGATACGAGTTAATATCGTGGAGACTGAAGTAGCCGATCTGTGTCCTCTTTTGAGGCGGCGCGGTCTTGGATTGTTTGGCAGGCATGTTCGCCACCTTGGCGTTGCGCTCCCAGGCGATGGCTTGAGAGCCGTCACCGTGGTGAAGATCGAAGTCAATGATTGCAGCATGCGTAAGCCCATGAGTTTGGGCTGCATACTCGATGCCTACATGGACGTTATTCAGCCAGCAGAAGCCCGACGGAAAGTCGGCTGAGCAGTGGTGACCCGGAGGGCGTACGCAAACGAAAGCATTACGCGGCTTGTCTTTAGTGCCCGAGAAGACAGCGTCGATGCCGTCGCATACGCCACCAAGGGCACCCTGGAAGGCGTCCAATGACTCCGAGGCGAGATAAAGGTCTCCTTCGTGGAACTTCTCCTTCGCAGGCTGGCCAGGCTCGTCGGTCCTGGCAAGCTCCTTTCCGTTCGAGGCCAGTTTTTCCGCGGCGGTGTTGCACATTGTCTGCAGTTCCGCCATCCACTTGGTGCCGTGCACATTTGTCACAATAGGGGATGTAATATCGAGCGCGCGGGACGTGCGCCGGATCGTGAACGGGAGCTCCTTTGGCGGGTCACGCTTAGGGTGCGGCGCATGCGGACCGCCAGCATGTCTCTCGGCGAACCTCACGTAGGCTGTCGAAATTCCTAGGATGCCAGCGTGAATGCGCTCGGGGCGCTCGACAATCATGCTGAGCGCAGACTTGGTGGACTTGGGGCGCGAAAACCGGTGGCCGTAGCAAGCATCGTGCAGGATGACGACCGTCTGGGTCGACAGCTCCTCGCTCTTGTGGTATTCGAGCTCTTTGGCGAAGTAGTCGGAGGCGACCTTCTGCGCTGTGAGCGGCACGGGCTCGTCGGCGGGAACGGAGCGCGGGGACGCTAGCGCAGCGGACGATGAGGATCTGAGGTTGCCGGATGTGCGCCGCGACACGGACTTTCTAGGGGTATGAGTGCTTTCGGCGGCGGCGCCCTGGAGCGAGACTATGGAGCTGCGACGCGAAAGCGCGGGCGACGCTGGGCGCACACCGAGGCTGCTGGCGCTGCGGTTGAGCGGGCTAGGGAGAGGGGCGCCTGGAGACTTGGGAATGCGATTGTAGTAGGAGCTGGAGCGGCGGTGCGGCGAGTCGATTGCGGGCGACGGCGGCATCGTGGGTCGCGCAGTGGTGTTTATGGACAGGCGGTTTGCGCGCTTCGCGGGCGGCGAGTTGGAGTCCATGTTTGTCGGGATTTGCAAGGAGCGAGGGGCGGCTGGTTCAGCTGGAGCAGCCGGGTCGGAGGTGGGGGAGTCGTTCTCCATGGCGGAGCGCGCAGGGAGATTGTTTGGGTGGGAGAAAAGAGCGACAGAAGTGGGCGACAGCAAACAAACAACGAGTGGAGGGGTAGGGATCAGGGCGCCATGTTTTGGGATGACGCTGGGATGGCAGACCCTGGCAGCTGGAGGAGGCGGGCAGCAAGTCTGTGCGCAACACTGGGGCCCAGGGGCGGCCATAAGGCTGAGGCCCGCCGCCCATCATCTGCGCCTACCCGCGTCTCAGTGCGCTCAGGAGCCTCGGCAAGCCAGTGCGTCTATTCTGCTCTACCTACCAGGTCTACGAAAGCTGCACGCCCACACCGGCGAGCGCGTCGACGGCCCACGAGGGGTAGTCTTTGCTCGGGTAGCGCTTATTAAAGAAGTCGCGCAGGAAATCAGGGTAGCGATCCTCGATGATTGCCGAGCGCACCGACCGCATCAGCGCGAGCTGGTAGTGCACATTATGCATGGTAAGGAGGTGCGCACCCGCCGTCTCCTTTGCCGCGAGATGATGGATGTATGCCTTCGTGATGCCCAGCCCGCCGGCGGCCGCCGGCCTGCAGCACGTGCACTCGCAGCCTGCCTCAATCGGCGAGAAGTCGTTTGCGTACGAGGCATGGCGCAGACTCAGCACTCCCGCCGCCGTGATGGCGTTCCCGAAGCGCTGTGATCTTCGTCAGCTGGGGGAATTGCGCCGTGGAAGATCGCACCTACAGCAGTCCTAGTAGGCCACACGCAATCGAACATGTCTGTGCCAAGAGCGACCGAGACCACGAGATCTTCAGGATAACCCTACGCGGATCAGCGGGCGCAATGATCTATTTTGAGCGGCTGCTGCTTACCACGCCCATGACGTACCGGGGCTTCTTTTCCGGAAGCAGCTCGGCGCACGTCTTCACGCTGGATCCAGAGTTAGATGCTTCTCGCATGCAGCAGAGGGTCCCTTACACCTGGCAGTATGACTCCTTCGCTTCGCCTCCAGAGAGGCCGCCAATGGCAATGCCGGGCGTGTCTCTCGCCACCATCTCTTCGCAGCATTTTCTGCGGAGATCGAGGTCGAGGCCGCCTTGGATGATGCAGAACAGGTTCTGTGTCTCCGGTTTCTTGTGTGCTTCAATGCACCGGTCCAGCCACCGCACCGAGCGTTCCATGGCTTCCTTGATGCGGGCGTGGTCCGGAGAAGTCGTGGCAATGACATCGTCGAGCTGCATCATGATGTCGGAGCCAATACTGTTCTGCAGCGACATTGAGTGCTCGGGCGTGAGCAGCCTGCCAATGTCTGCTTAGTAAACTGGCAAATCCGGAGGAGAAAAAAGGCCATACATTGGCGTGCCGTCATGTGGACTGAGGAACCTCACACCCTCTTCGGTAACCTTGGCGAGTTTGAGCAACGAGACCATCTGGAAACTAGTCCAGGGTCAGCACACGTTTCTCATCGCCTCGGGTCAAGCATTTACTAACCCGCCACTATCTGCCACAGAAGTCAGCCTTCTGCTACCATACACGCGCCTTCAGAGACGGGGAAGGAACCTGTCAGAATGTTGTAGGACCATGATTGTAGTTTGTGCGCTCCTCCAATGGCGTCCAAAGTTGCTTGTCCAGGCTTGAGGCCACTGGCCAATCCATCAGCTGGGAACGGCCCTCAAAAGCTTCGCCGGTCACCCACAGGTGGTATGTATTGTTCAGGCATAGACGACAGCCGGTATCCTCTAGTTGTTCAGGAGTTAATCCCTTCAAACTGGCCTGTGTGCCAACAGGCATAAACTTGGGCGTGTTTGTCAACGGCAGTGTTCAGCGAAATCGGCGGTGTAGGCGGTACCATGGGTAGCTGGACGGGTCCATGAGGAAGTGTCAGTGTCGCGGCGCGGGCTCTGGTGGTCTGGCGGGAGAATTAGCTTCGTCCGGCTTGGGGTAGTCAGGCACAATACTGAGCATTTTGCGACAAGCTCGAAAGTGAGCGCCGAGGGCATAGGTTTGGGAACCATACTGGCGGCGGTGACAAGAGATCGGCCACACAGTCGCCGCCTTCAGTCAGCGGGGCAGCGAGGGTCGCCGGCGAAATTCTCAAGGCAAGCCGAGCCGACCCGCTCTTTCCTCCGCCATGACTTGCCAACACCATGACGACATCCCCACTCCAAATATCTATCTAAGCCCGCCGAAAGTATGGAGGCGTACGGCATTGTGGAGTGGATGAGCAAATATTAAAACTCAACAATTGACTCTCCTCACCGCCCCGGAATTCCTCTAAGTGTCTAGCTTTGTATCAATATTATTGCCGATCGTACTTTAATCTAATTGCAAGCGCTTCGAAAGTATTGTTCCCTCGTGCGACCCTTGTCGAATTGATGCAGAGGTGCGCGTGGGTCACGGAAAAGGAGTGTGAAGGTAATTCGGGCATATGTCGAGCAGTACACAAGGGTATCGAGGGGGTCCCAACTGGCGCAGACAAGAAGGGCACGTCAATACACGGGAGGCAAGGCCCGAGGCTGCTTGACCCCATAGACTTGGTGATGCACACGAGAAATCACAGAGAAGACATAAGCACCAATTGCTGTCCCAATAATTCAGATCAGGTTTTCTGCGCCTACTCGGGGTATCTTGCGGTACACGGTACGCTATCCTTTTGAAGCACCCGCTCGACGACATTTACAAAAAGAACAAGACATTAAGTCAACAATGAGATCCCCTTCATAGTTCCAAGCCATCGTGGAACGCCGTCATATGATGCAAGCTCGCAACTACTAAGCAAATATTTACGATCCGTCGTCTTCCAGCCTTGCCGGTATGTCGTATATTCGCGCCAACATTTAAGAACGAAAATGACGTCGCTTCTTCGAAGCCGGGCAATTGAAGATCTCGACCGGACGTTTTTGTCAACACTTCGATGGTACATTAGAATCCCCTTCATCACTCTCAACATCCCATCTGCTTACTTTGTATCCTTTTTGGTGAAGCAAGCCCTGCTCGTCATCACGCTTGAGGAAAACGTGCTAATTCTCGGTGGTCCGAATGATTCTGAACGGATGTCCTTCAGTGCTGAAGACCCAGGAATCCAGCGTGCCAACGTTGACATCAGCGAAAGTCAGATACAAGTACTTCAGCGTCTCCGCCGCCCAGAAGCTCTCTGACTCGTCTATGTGCGTGACCTTGCGGCCCTTCTTCACGTTCACGCCGACATCGCGAATCGCCGCGAAGCCGTACTCGGTCTTGCAGTACTTCTCAAATGCGACAAACGCGTCCCACGCCCAGTCGCGGTACCGCTGCTCGCCCGTTATCCGCCAGGCGTAGAACAGCGACTCCACGTACTCCGGACGCAGGCGGTATTTTGCGTCCGCAAGCCAGAAACCGTGCTGGGCGAGCTCGGCGCGCTGACGCGGCGTGCGCGGTTCGAAGGAACCTTCCGGGAGACCAGCATACGGGATCCAGGAGAACTTCTCCGGACCGATTCCGGTAGGCATGGCAGCGTAGCTGTGACGGCAGCCGTCGAGAAGGGCCTTTCCGAGGACGATAAGATCGGGCTTGTCAAGGTAAGCCCCGCCGAGCATGAGATTGCCGGGAGCGAAACAGGCGAGGTGTGACATCTCATTCAGATACCAGTCACCGTCAAGCTTGCCCATGAAAAGATGGGAAGGGTTGTAGTTGTCAGAATAGCTAGAGCGAGTGGTGAGGTTATGGCGTAACGCCTGGGCGGCTTGCATCCAACGGTCGATGTAGGTGGAGGCGTAGCGGTCGTGGGGGGCCAATATGGCGGCTTTGATTAAGTACTCATAATAGCTATCATGACCGGCGTCCCAGTGTCTCTGCTGGCCAACAGGCTCGCCGGTAACAATGTCAATAGGCGCAGACACGAGGCCATCAGGCTCTTCTATCCACTTGTCCCAGACGAGCGGGGCCCAGCCATTTGTCGCATTGGCAAAGTAGATTGGATCTCCGGTCTGTCTTGTGAGGGTCCGGTATTCCAGGATATTGGATCCGGCGCGCGCAGGGCCAATGGATGGGTTTTTGTAGCGGATCTTGTCTGGGTACTTCTTGTAAAGCTCCGGCGGGTCTCCCATGCCCATATCGTTCTTGAAATCGACGCGCGGATAGACCATCCCAGTTGGGCTGTCAAAGCCGGGGCCGAGCTTGTTCGACAAAGTAATCGCCTGGGACAGGATTCCAGCTCGCTTTTTGCTGTCGAGGACCGTTTTTGGGACCACACCGGCGTCAATCAAGTCTACCAAAGACACGAGGCCTCCAACATAGCGGATGGTCGTCTCGAACGGATCAACCAAGCCTTGCGCATCGTAGAAGGGAATCTGCACGATGCGATCCACCGACATCTTCAGCTCGTCCCAAAGACCCATGAGCGCAAGTGTGCCTGCGGAGTCGACGATGAATGCGCCCCAGCCGTTCCTGGAGTTTTCCTTGCCACCGGTGACGGGCAAGATGTCGTCATAGCCCCATGCGTACTTCTTGTATTTCGCAAAAGTATACTTCATGGCGTCGACGACGCGCGCGGCCTTCTCCTCGTCTGCGCGGCCGCTGGCTCCGGTCCATGGTTGATGCTGGACTTGAGGGCCTCGGGGCTCGATCGACTCGATTTCGTGGGTGCTGGCGAAAGGAATGCCGTGGATCAGAAGGTATATGCCGTAGAAGGAGATGATGATGACGGCGCTGAGCAGCTTAAACGCGGGGGTCGGGTTCCGCTGGCATCGCTTTAACGACGGCATGGCGGGAGGTTATAATGGATCGCTCGGGGAGGGCACGTCTGTGAGCGTATTGACAGCCGCATCGGACCGCTTGAGACGCTGGAGGCTCGCCGTCGTGCGGAGTGGTTCGGGATGCGATCTTGGGGTTGTCGAACGAGGTCAAGCTTCCATGTCGGAGAGGGCGTGCGACGGTGACAACAAAGCCCGCGCGGAGGCGTGTTTCGCAGCGCAGACCGGATGCGTGATTAAGGTATGTTCCAGAGGCGGAAAGGGGAGGCTCGGAGGGGTTGGCGTAGGCGAAGAGACATAGTTGGCAAGACGGCTGGAGGAGCAACATTGGAGGACCTGGGCGGACCCTGTTGAGAGCAAGCGAGACCGAAACTCAGAGCTTCTTCGAACCTCACCGCAATCTCTTCTCCACCGGACATCGCCCGAACATCCCTACCTCCGGTCGCAGCAATGTCGCTCTGGCAGTGAGTGACGTTTCCTCCGCCCTATTGCGCAATGCTCATCCTCGTTGTAGAACCTACCGTTCGAGCGCACCCAAGACCCGTCTGCTCCTCGGCCTGGGCTTGATCGCATGGGGAACAATCGGCCTCTACAGCACCGACACGGCCGAAAAGGCGTTTGATATGGTCCCCACTGACGAGGACAAGAAGAAACTGGACCAGTCTATTCCGAAGATCAGGGTAGTCGACAAAGAGTAGCCAAGAAAAAAAAAAGCAACCAACCAAAAACAAGAAGCAGAACAACGACGAAAAGTGTTAGTGTTGATTGCCGCTCACGAAAGCGAAAGACCAGTCGGCCAACGCAAGTGCTGTATGACTCCTTGAGGCCACTGTAGGCTGACATCAAGCCGGAGCAACTTTATTGACAAAAACACTTACGCTTGGACAGCGGCAAACTTAAATTTTCTATTTCTGTCATGCGATGTACTTCGAGAAACTCCAGAACTGTGCCCTCCTCACTTGATATCATGGGCTTACTTTCATGTTTGAAGAAGGTGTAATTCTAACCCGAAGGTTGAGAAGAGGCGAGGTCTGTTTTGCGTGGACTAGATTTAAATGAGAACCCGCCAACACATCATGTTGCGGTCCCCTCACCACTATCGCAGATTTAATTGCCTGCTTGCTAACTCTGCCCACATCGACCTTCGATATTTGTGACTGTCTTTTTCCAGACATATGTTGTCTCTATGGCTCAATGACGCGTTTTACTTGACGCAGGTTTCATCTCTCGTTGCCTTTCCAAGCACGAAGGTAGACATGACCGCTACCACGGAACATACAAAGCTATGTCCACACTAGTAATTAATGATAGACTGCTATTACAAGCAACGTCCAAGCATTTGGTTCGCCTGACTATCATGCTGTGGATCGGTTCGGAACCATGTCCGGACCCGTCTGGCTTCATCGTACATTTACGCCGAGATCAGCGCTTCCAACACCCGCCTGTACCTGCACGCCGATTCTGCCCTCTCTCATGCGAGAGTATTCCCAAGTCTAGAGGATTTTCAAGTATCCCAACAACAAAGAAAACCCGGGCATCCAGCCCATGATGAATGACCAGCCGCCATGCACAATAATGAATCAGAACCAGACCCGAATCCGTCCTTTGCCCCATGTGCGATTTATATGCACAATCCAAGCCCAATGCCCTGTATATCCCTCTACCGGAAAGTTGAATTCCATCATGCATTTCGATTCATTTCCCATCATAATCACTCGCTCTCGCCTTCCTTGCTGCCTTGCTTGCCTTTCGCCCACTTCTCACTCATATATCTCCACGATCTTGCTGGGCCGGCAGTAACCAAGCCCTTCAAGCTCTGGACTGTGCTCGGCCACTTTACTGTATCCCTGACAGATTGAGCAACCTTGTCCTTCAAGTCCTTCTCACCAGCGATGCGGCGATCAAAATCACCTCCTTGACGCCGCATGTAGCTAGTTGCATCTTCCTCCGCACGCTGTTGGAGCATTTTCTTGAATTCTGCGCCCGAGATTCCGTATTGACGCTGGTATGCAAAGTAAATTTTCTCGCGGAACGATTTCGGCAGGCGGCGCACCATGTTTCCGCGTTTTACTGGATCCATGTCTTGCTCCATGGTAATGTCGACGCCTGGTGGAACGTCAAGCTCCCATCCCGGCGTCTTGACACGAGCGTCTGTATGGGTAGCATTGGGAAGCGTCTCAATAAGAGGGTTATACAGACGCCGGAAGTGTCGTAATTGGTGCCTAACGATGTTGGAGACTTTGTGAGGGTTTTCCGAGTTGAATGACATGCGCGGATCTCCCATGTAGCTGAGCCCGGCAATGGCGTTGAACAGTTGGGTTTCGGTGAACTTTTCGGGCAGCATAAGGAGCGCAGTGCGCACCGCTGATATCAGGTTCACTTGGTTGGCAAGCCGGATGCGCGCGTCGTCGCGAAGTATCTTGACTGGCTTCTGCAGTCTTCCAGCGAGGTAGAGTGTGTTCCACTCGCTAAGGTCGCGCTGCAGAGTGTCCAGGTTGACGACGCCATATTTGATGAGCGTGCCGTTCACGGTGATGTACGGCGCAAAATAGACGCCCGCCCCAAACCTATCCTGGACTTGAGACACCGCCCAAGACCCAGCTGAGCCAAGAAAAGAGTAATGGTCCCTGTGCTGGGCCAGATTCAGAGAATGCCAGTGCTGGGTGTAGGTGACGCCAAAAATGAAGTCGATGACCTTCTCGCCGCCGCTCTGCCATTTCTTGATTGCTTCGGGAGGATTCGGGTGCGGAGAGAGCGAGGTGGAGCTGGTAGCACTGCTCTGAGGAAATACGCCGGAGCCATAAGCAAAGGCGTAGCGAATCGGGGCGCGAAATTGCCATATTATTTGCCTCAATGCCTCGGTGAAGTCGCGGTTCATATCAACCATGTGCTGGTTCAGGCCAAAGTCGCGCCCCGTTGGCAACTCGGCAAACGTCTTGATGTTGAAGTTCGGCTCATCCTCCCAGCCGTCGGGCAGCGATGAATTCACGGAAGACGAGGGAGCTGGCGATGGGGATTTCGAGAGGTCCGGCTTGGTTTCCGAGGGCGGGGTTGATGAGTTGGAAGGGGTCGAAGCCTTTGACGAGTTCGCAAACGAGGCATGGAAGGCGCGACAGCGTGGACGAAGACACGATAATAAAGAGCGTTGGAAAGGCGCGGCGCGACTTGCAATGGCAGGCTGCAAGCCTTTGGACTGCACTGCGAATTAGATGTCGGATTGTCTGGCAACGAGCAAGGGAGCTTAGATGCGGCTTACGGAAAGATGTCGGAGAAGAGCCATGGTTTTGGAGTCGCGGACTGAGAAGAGCGTGTTACCGGCGAGCGGAGCAGTGAAGCAGCAACACAGCCATAACCCGGAGGTGAAGATGCGACATGGAGGGAAGGGCGCAGCGGCCGAAATATGGAGCAGATGCGGGCCTCCAGCGTCGGCGCTGCGGGCGGCCGCGGGACGGCGCTGCTGATTAAGATGATTTCATCCGCGCGCCCGCCCGGATGGGGCTTGGCGCGGCCCGCTTCCCGCTCCGCTTTCTGTTTATGCGGCCAAAGCAGCATAACAACAACACCGAGACCACCACCGTCTCCGCGCGCCCGCCTCGCATTGCTACCCCACACGACGCGCCCGGACGCGTCGCATATCGATCGCAGCCATGTCTCACCCGGAAAACGTCAATAGCTTCGTCAGCCGTCTCGCAACCTTCGAGTCCCCTCGCCAGCTCTCCAAGAGGCACGCGTCCAGCTCCAAGAAGAGAACCGCAACCACCGTGTCCTGGCCCCACGAAACTCCGAGCCCCGAGGACGTACGTGCAGAGCACTGAGATACTCCTCAGGATAGTTTGCTAATGCTCATGCAGCTCGCACGGGCTGGCTTTTACTACGCTCCAGACGCAAACCACCCCGACAATGTCGTCTGCTTCATGTGTGACAGTAAGCTGGATGGCTGGGAGCCAGAAGATGTCCCGGCACTGGAACACCTTAGCCATGCACCAGCATGCGCCTGGGCGATCAATTCATGCATACCTTTGCGCGATGCAGACGAGAATGAAGACCCCATGAGCGAGCAGATGGTCGCTGCCCGCGCCGCCACATTTGCCGGATCCTGGCCACATGAGAAAAAGAAGGGTTGGAAATGCAAGACAAAGAAGGTTAGTTGGATGTTTTCCCGGGGAACAATCCGACGCTAACGACTTTGTAGATGGTTGAAGCGGGGTGGTGCTATGACCCAAGCCCGGATTACGAAGATGGAGTCGCTTGCTTCTACTGCATGCTCTCGCTCGATGGTTGGGAACCTAAGGATGACCCAAAGTAGGCAGGAACAACCCATTCGCTGAGGCATTCGCTGACCGACCGTAGGGAGGAGCACTACAGGAGGTCGCCCGACTGCCCCTTCTTCATGCTCATTGATGTATATGCGGGCGCCAGAAAAGCTACGAAGGGGAAGAAGGGCCGTGCATCCACTGCTTCCAAGGCTTCTCGACTCTCTGTCCAATCAACCAGGGACTTCGACACGTTCTCCGAGGCTCCATCTCTCATGTCCCTGGGCGACGACGTTCCTCTCGAAGACGACAGTGTGCTGACTACGGCCAGCAACGCGACAACAGCTTCCATGGCTCGCGGCAAGAAAGGAGCTGGCAAAGCTAAGGCTGCCACCAAGAACACCCGCAAGACCAACAGAGGCAAGAAGGCTGCGGAGGAACCTTCAGTCGTGGAGATCGAGCCGCCATTGGATCTTGCCAATGCCGATCTATCGCTCGGAGATCTCAATGCAACCGACGGGGATAGTGCCATGACCACGGCAACCACAGCATCGAAGACTGGCAAGGGCCGCAAGACTGCGACTAAGGCGAAGCCCGCGAAAGGAACCAGGAAAACTTCCAGGACAACCAAGAAGGCGGCCGCCGCAGATTCAACTCTACTGGATGAGCCTACGGCTGAGCCTGCTGAGACGGAGATGGAGATCGAGCCCGTACATCCTCCTAGTAGAACTACCCGAAGGACGTCAAAACCCGAAGCGCCGTCCTACATTGACCAGGCTTCGCAATTGGAACCTCACGCCGAAAGCGAGCCTTCGAAGCCGAGAACGACACGGGCTAAAGGAGGACGGAAGGCCAAGACCACTGAAGAGTCGAGATTGAGCAATGATGCAAGTCAGCTTCAGTCTGAACTGGAGGACGCTGTTACCAGGGCCGTGCAAGAGGAGCCAGCCAAGTCTAACAGAGGCAGCAAGAGGACAAGCGATGGTGCTGTGAAAACCGGCGACTCTGTTGTCGTACTGGAGGAGCCTCCTAAGCCCACCAAAGCCAAGAGGGGACGAAAGGCGAAGCAGGTGGAAGAGGCTGCAGCCAAATCTGAGCATGAAGCTGAGGACACTGAGAACATGCCGCCACCCAAGCCTACTACGCAGCCTAAAAGAGGCCGCAAAGCGAAGGAAGTCGTCGAAGAGAGCACTGTGGAGGCTATCGGGAAGGAGCCTCGACGTGAGCCTACTCCTCCGCCACGCGAGCCTACACCGGTACATGATTCCCCAGAGCCAGCAGCCGAGCCATCTCCTGAACCATCTCCTGAAGCGGCGAAAGAGCCTACGCCTGCGCCTCGAGAGCCTACGCCTCCTCCGCAGGAGATTACGCCGTCGCCTTCGCCTCAATCGTCAGATGCGGAGAACAGGCCGCCGTCATCACGGGTGGCGTCTTTGAACGCCCCTCCCTCGGCGCGGGCTCCCCTTTCCTCCCGTGGCACGCGTGTTCCTCTCGCGGATGCTAGTACACCGCAGGCATCTCCGTCCAAACGTAGTGGCAACGTCATTGGTGGCCTCAGCTCTACGCAGCCTTGGGAAACGGTGGATCTTGAGAACATCTTCCTGCAGTCACCTGCCGCGAAGCGTGGTTTCCATGCTAACGGGGAGGTGAGAGACAAGGAGAACGGAAGCGACTGGGAGGAGTTGTCGTTAGAAGAGGCGATCCGTAAGGTGCGCCGCGAGATAACAAGCGCAGAGAAGAAGATGACGGTTGAGCAATGGGTGCAGCATCAGGCGGAGAAGGGCGAGCAACAACTCCGAGAGCAGTGCGAGCGTATGGTCAACATATTCGAGACACAGGGGACGAAAGCCATGAGGGCTCTGGAGGGGATCCGCTGCACCAACTAGGCTTTATTGGATCGACGATTTGTACCAGGGTTCGGCGTATTCGGTTTGTTTTGGGAGGTTTGACCGGTGAAGGGACGGATGGATCACTGGCGGTACAATAGGCGTTATTTCCGAGGGATTTGCATTGGCTAGGACAATTAGCATGGCTGTAGCGCACAATGATACTCCAGTTCTCCATGTTCTCCATGTTGGACTCCTGATGTTCTGAGGTGGGGCCATGACGAAGCGTTCGGTACGATGTGGAGCAATTGAGTCATAGCGACATCGGTGCAGCCAGGAAACACATGATGATTTCAAAAGCAACCTACCCCCCGCCAAAAAGTTGCGACTGCACCATTGAACCGCCACCATGACGAACGACAGCCGTGTCAACGCTTTCAACCTCGAAACCTGCGCCAGGCCCAACATCCTGGCCCTACAGCCGTACCGCTGCGCCCGCGAGTAAGTTGCAGTACCGTGCGGCTCGATTGACTGGCACGAGGCGATAGCTGATGAGGCAGTGACTACAAAGATGATGGCACCAACATCCTGCTCGACGCGAACGAGAATGCCTATGGCCCCGGCCTAGCTCTCGAGGGGAACGGAAAGCTCAGGAATGGCGTCTATGGCATGGAAGACAACATCGAGGTCGATTTCCTCGGCCTGAACAGATACCCCGACCCGTGAGTCCCTGAGTCGAACCACCGCGCTCTACGCAAGTCTGACGAGCGACCTTTGTCCCGAATAGGCACCAGATTCCCCTCAAGGAACGTCTCTGCGATCTGCGCAACACGAACCACCACACGCAAACCGAACTGCGCCCTGACAACCTGTTCGTTGGTGTTGGATCCGATGAAGCCATCGATGCTCTGCTGCGCGCTTTTTGCGTGCCCGGGAAGGACAAGATCCTGACGTGCCCTCCGACTTACGGCATGTACAGCGTGTCCGCGCAGACGAATGATGTCGGCATTGTGAAAGTGCCCCTCATCGCCTCGCAAGACTTCGCTCTCGACGCCCCAGCCATCAATGAGGTTCTCAGCGGGCCCGAGGGTGCCAACATCAAGCTGGTCTACATCTGCTCGCCCGGCAACCCGACCGGCGCGCTGGTTTCCAAGTCGGCCGTCGAGCAGGTCCTGACGCACCCGACCTGGAACGGTATCGTGATAGTAGACGAGGCCTACGTCGATTTCGCCGCCGAGGACGCCAGCCTGGCTCAATGGACGACCGTGTGGCCTAACCTCGTCGTGATGCAGACTCTCTCCAAGGCCTTCGGCCTAGCAGGCATCCGTCTCGGCGCTGCCTTCACGTCCCCGCCAATTGCCCGCATCCTGAACAGCCTGAAGGCACCGTACAACATCTCGAACCCTACGTCTCAGATTGCGCTTCAGGCGCTGAAGCCCCGCCACCTGGGAGTGATGCACAAGAACCGCGATGCTATTCTCCAACAGCGCAGCAGGCTGTTGCAAGAGATGCCCCAGGTGCCAGGCGTCGGACGTTTCCTGGGCGGCCAGGATGCCAACTTCCTGTTGGTCGAGTTCTTGAGCGCACCGAAGGAGGAGGGCGGCAAGCCGGACAATGAGGTCGCGCTGAAAGTGTACGAGGCGCTAGCTGAGGAGAAGGGCGTCGTGGTGCGTTTCAGAGGCAAAGAGCTGGGTTGCACGGGCTGCCTGCGGGTCACCGTGGGCACTGAGAATGAGTGCACCCGTTTCCTGGACAGCCTGTACCAAGTGCTGAGTAGCATCTACGCTGGCAAGAAGACGACCAACGGTACGAACGAGGAGCAAAGAGAGCAGGCAGCAAGCAATGTGATTGCGTGAACGCGGTTCATTCGGTCATATTTCGCAAAAAAGAATATCCTCAACGATGAGTACGTATAACGTTGGCTCGGCGTCTCGGGTTCCTTCGATGATATGGATAGAGGATTTCCTTTCACAATATGCTTCGGTTCGAATCGCCTTTGCGGGTTAGCGCTAAGTCTAATTTCCCTGTAAAGCTTTGCAGCGGAGATCTCGGTCTCAGTAAATAGATGCTGAATTAATGCGTACATCCGTTTCAGGCATCTCAAATTCACCCCTTGTTGCGACAGACGAACACTGTTGCAGACGTTGAGACTCTTTTTCTTGCTAGTCGCTCTTCTGACAATCAGTAGCGCGAAGATGTTTAGTCTCCGGCTAAGGTCGCATCGCGGACTCTATGATACGAACTGAGCGCTCGTTTCCGGGGATACTACATGGTCGTGATCGCCGGGGTTGTTGATCAAATTTGCCGACGGATGGACGCTGGTGTTTCCCAGGTCGCGCCTGCCACCCATCTTTTTCGCGTTCCTGCATAATCACGACGGCGATCTACGGTCCTAGTACGGTTAGAACGGCATTGATCAAGACGACAGAAATAGAAGCAATGTCCCGTTCGGTCTGTTATCTGACCAGCGTGGTGGAATGCATGTGACCTGCAGCTGTCGAAGAGAAGGAATCGTTTCCCAGGACATTCTTATCGTGCCATCTTGCTTCCCGCTTACTGTTCGCTCGCGGCATCTCGAGGCGTCGTCTTCCGCAGGAGCCGACTAAACAATGATAATCACACGGCTGAGCGGGTGTTCGTCAAGCGACGAGTATCGCTGGTTGCGTGACGCCATCGGGCTTACTGTGAACGAAGGTGAGGAAAAATTAGGGCGGAATAGAGAGTTCAAAACAAGGCTGCAGCTATCTCAGCCCTCAGCAAGGGAAATCCCAGCCTCGTAGCGTTATCTATGTTGGGCTGGCACCAAGCAATAACGAGTTGTGGATACAGTACCACGGTACAATCCCGAACCCGAGGCTGCGATACCGAGCAACAATCGAGGGCGAGTCATGGAATCGTCCCGCATGTGATGTAGAGGCACCTGATGATGGGCGTCGAGCAGCCGTGCGTGATCTGCCCGTTCAGGTCCGCAAAGCTCTATTGGTAGCGTGGGGTGCTGACGCGAAGAGGCGGGGAGGGTTATTCATTATCGGGCGTGGGGTGCAAAGATTGGTCGAAGACAGCGAAGGCTGAAGGGCCAAGAGCCTAGGCACTCACGGGGCAGATGATAGGAATAGGCAACGTGAGGGGGTTGAGCGGTGATTTTGCGTGCGGCGCTGGCAGCACACCGATTCGCCCGCTGTGCCGCACTGTATCATGGCGTGGCCCGGAGGTATCCCAATCGGCAACGAGGCGCTGGTAGTGTCTTCTCTTCAACACTATCGCCTGACACGGCCGCGGCGCCCGCCGCAGCAGCCCTCGTTCTGCCCCGCCGTCTCGGCGCGACGCCGCGCTCTCAGCAGCTGGACGCGTGGATGATGGAGTTGATGCGACGCCAGGATACAGGCCGGGACCGCGGTGGGCTGGTGCGCCAAAGCGTTGAAAAGAAGGGTCCACTGGATCAGCACTACGCTGCCGTTACATGCCTCTACAATACTCGGGCGCAGATCGGGCGCCCGCGAAGGAAGCGCACCCGCCCGCTCGCGTCCGCTCAGCAGCGGTGCGGCGTTTGCCGCCGTCTGCCCAGCGCCAGCCGAGCCTCTCTCTACGGCGTGCCGCGCGCAGCCTGGCCGTTGTTCGCGGCAGCTGGAGGAATGGACGCCAATCGCCACCAGCATTGGCAGCCTCCAAGCGAGCTGACCGTTAATTCGGCGCAGCGCCTTATCAGCCCCAAGCCACGGACGGAGCCTGGTTCCCCAGCTCGCGCGAGATCTCGGGCGCGCCTCTTTCAGGCCAGGCATCATCCTCCGCCTGATAGCGGCTTTGTCTATCTACTGACCTTCTGCTCACCTCTTGCTGCTCAGACTTGTTGCGCTCGCAGCTCGCCCGTCTGTCCCGCCCCGCCAATTCGCCCGCCCAGCGCCAGGCACGTCCATGCCTGCATCATCCCGCTCCCGGAGACGAGCTCCACCGCGCACGCGACCACAAGACTCGACATAGACCGCGCTCCACACCAGCACACCCCTCCTCGGAGGAGGTGGTGAGCTCTGTTGCGCCATGCCGCAGCTCCTCGACGCCCGCTCGTTTTACGACGATCCGCCTCCCGCGCCGCGCACTCGCCTGGAAAACCACCCGACACTGCTCTTTAGTTGGTGGTGCACCTTGTTTTCCTTCGTCATCATCCTCTTTCGCCTGTGCGGCCGCTTCATCCGCACAGAACGCTTCTTCCGCGAGGACAAGGTCATGGCCCTGAGCATTATTCCACTGTTCGTGCGCATGGGCTTTGTGCATGTCATCCTTCTGTACGGCACCAACAATGTCGACATAACCAACCTCACCGATCCCCACCGTATCTGGAAGCGTGAGATTGGCTCCAAGCTCGTGCTTTGCTCGCGCATCTCCTATGCTGCATTGTAAGCCATGTCCCTGCCTTGAGTGGCTTTGTAGATGCTAATCAGCCTGTAGCATCTGGACCGCAAAGCTCGGCGTCTGCGAGTTCCTTGCACGGATGGTCGAGACTTTTTGGAGGCGCGAGTTCGAGCTCACTCTACGATGGATTCGATATTTTCTCGCAGCCACCTTCGTCGCCATTGTCATCGCAACCCTTGGAGAGTGCCAGCCGTTCAACCACTACTGGCAGGTCGTCCCAGATCCAGGCCCAAAATGCAGGACCGGCTATGCTCAGCTCATCACCATGGGCGTTTGCGACATGATTACGGACGTCTTGCTGATTTGTTTTCCAATCCCCATGGTCCTGAAGTCGGCAATACCACTCAAGCGAAAAATCCGCCTCGTCCTCTTGTTCTCCATGTCCATCATCCTGATTTGTATCACCGGAGTGCGCATCCCGGCGGTCATCAGGCATCAGGGTCGACAGCAGTACCGCACCGTATTTGCCTCGGGCGAAATCCTCGGCGCTGCGTCCGTCTCCAACGCCATCGTCCTGGGATCCTTTCTACGGGATCGTGGTGTGAAGAAGGCGAAAAAGTACAAGTTCGGCTCGGTATCTGATAGCATCGACCGAAACTCTCAACGAAGGCCAACCATCACCTCTCAACAATGGGGGAGTGACGAGGATCTCATCCGAGAGATGGGCTGGAGGTTGCCAAAGGACCTGGAAGCCAAGTACCACAAACCGCGTCCGGCTCCAGTCGCGCTTCCTGCCTCACCTCTACCTCATGTCAGAAAACCTTCGTTTGTTGGGAATGGCAAGGGCTGGCAATTCGCAGATGCCCACGACAGCATCAGAGACAGCGAGGAATCAGATCCAAAATATGCCGTAATGGACGATCCCGCGCCAAGTCACAAAGCCCCTTCAACGCAAAGGCTTTCATTCTTTGACGTGGGCGGACTCTTGGATCCCAACAATTCATCAACGCCAAGCTCCCTGATACCTTCTCCCACCAGTACGACGGTTGCTCAGGACTTTGCAACGGCGCCTAGACGCGGCTCTCGGGCACTCCTTCAGGATCTAGGTGGTCTAAGAGGTTCGGGACGGCGCTCATCGCAGCATCCTTCGGTAGCAGAGGGCGAATGCTACGAGCTGACCTCGCGCAACGCCGAGACTCGATCGAGTGGCTCAACCTTACAGCCTCCAAGCGGCATCGTTGGGCCACAGCTGAGTCGAAACGAGGCCCGTCAGTCACTCCAGGATGTCGGTGGGCTGCTGAGTAGCAATGGCAGTGAGGCGTCAGGGCAAACACAGCTCGACTCAGAAGACGTTTCGCCAACCTCGTCGCCCGTCCGACGCACCCGCCAACCATCTCCCACGAGTCGAGCTCCGTAGATTTCACCCTCAACAGGCGTCCGAGGCTCACCCATCGCTCGGGAACCCGTAAATGCCGCTGCATGATGTGTGGACCGTTTTAATTGAGGAGAAGGAGGACGATTTCTCTCTTTGCTTTTCTCTGCCCAATGGCACCTACTTACTATATACCCCTTGCTTCCCTTGCTGATTTTATTTTCGTTCTTGCACGATATCCCTGAGCCCGAGACCAGATTTTTCTTGTATTATAATTTCTGAAGACGGCATCTCACGAAGTTTATGTGGTCATGATGGGCAGGAGTTTCATGGTTACTTTTGCTGTTTACTGGGAAGACTCGGAATTCCAGGCGCTGAAAGCAGGACGGATATCGGGGGCGATGTACCAAAGGGTCGGGGGAGACGAATGACACTAAGATTTAGTGCGGGCGGACCGGAGCATTTTTACCTTCAACACCAATGTTTATATTGCTGTACTAGCGAAACACCAGAGCTTAAGGCTTGGCTTTTCAATGGAGCTCTTGCAGAATAATTAATGTTGTCTTCTCAAGTGTCTTGTGGGCGCATATTCACTCTAGAGGTGCAGAAAAGGACAAAGTACTCATTCGCACTGCAGAACATCTGCCGATTCCAAGCGCGTGGTCCAGGCACGCAAATATGCAACAGTAACGTGTTCTAGATGCATGCGTGGAATGGCACATGGCAAAAATGGCCCGAAAGCATGTGGCAGTTGCCAGGGCAGCCACCCAAACCCATGAGCGATGGTGCGTTCGCGTCTTCCCTTTTCAGAATAAATGGTCCGGTCATCCAAACAGAATCTAGGACCACTTGGCAGCTTCCAAAGCGGTAACGTACCTGTGCATAATGGAGTGCAGCATGGCGTGCGAGCGGCTCCGCAAGGGCTTAGTGTGCCAATACATATATATAGTAGCTTCCTCTTTAGGCTTGATGCTCTTCTTCTTACCCCGGCTCCCCGCCTGCATGCACGCTTGTCACTTTCCTTCGTGCTTTGACCTGCCAGGCTGCCCTGGTCATCCTTCGACGTGCGGGCAGCGCTCGGCTTAAGGTCGTCGGTCGTTCGAACTCAGGTCCCATACTGCGGTTAGCGCAGGCATCGCGGGATGGCCATAGCTCCATGCATGACATGCGTCTCGGTCGGTCCTATTCCTTTCGTTTCGTCATCCTATCACAACCATCTCCATCGACGCCCTGTGGAACCTAAACCAGACCCGGCATCTCCAGCTTCTTTTTCCCCGGACTTTCATCAGCAACCTATTATTAAACATAGAGGGCTCCGGTGGCGCGTCACCCCCGTACCGCAGCCACAACTGCCTGGCGCGAGCTGGCCCATGGCGCTGGGAACGCTGCCATCAGCAGCGGACGAGGCGGGGCCGCAAGCGCAAATGGCACCACGACGCAGACCACTACACTTGCCGCCGCCGACGAAAGCGGCTGGAGAGGAAGAGGAGGAAGCTCTGCGAAACGAACGCCTCAACGACGACGACGACGAAGGTGATCCTGCCGCTGCTAACGTCAAAGCCGCCGGCGCTGTGGCTGCTGCCCTCTCCGCCATGCACGATGCCGCGGCGGCCGCGGCCGCCTCGTCGTCTTCTGCCGGCGGCATCAGCGCCGCCGGCACCCGCTCTTCCGCATTCCAGGCGAAAGGGCCCAAGGCGGTCATGGCATCCGCCGAGATGCTGCCATCATCCGGGACCGGTGCTGCTGCTGCCTTGGCGCCTGCTTCTTCTCTAGACCAACGCCCCCTCCCGCCAGTTCACTCCCTGCCATCGACGCCCACCCGCTCCGCTGTTGCAACTCTCCTCCGCGACCATCTGGGCGCGCCTCTCGCCGCGTCCGATCCGATTCGAGAATGTGATCCGCCCGTTCTGGAAGAGCTGCCACGGAACCCGAGGGAGGTGATGCGCGTGGCGCACGAAAAGATCCATGTGTTTCCATTCAAGGACGTGCGGAAGTGCTGGTTGCGGGCATGGGTTGAAGGGAGCTTGGCGAGGGCGACGGAAGTCTTGGAAAATGACGGAGAGGAGCTGGGTGATTGGGTGGCTGAGGTTGTCAGGTTGGTGGATATGGCGTTGATCCTCGCCGGAGGCGTGGGTAGGGAATCAACTTGCGAATGGATTTTTGCGGTGCTGGAAAGGATGATGGAGCAGGGTGAAGAACAGCGCGAGCGTCCGGCAAAGAGGCGAAGGCTTTCTGAAAGAGATACGGCCGATGACGCTCACGGAAAGGACAGCTCCGGGTGGAAACACCCAGATGCGTTTCCGAACTCCACTGTTCGCGCTCCCCCTCTTCGACGTCCTATACCTAGACATGAGAACCTCAGTCTTGCGGACTTCCAGGCTCATCTCAACACTGCAGCTGGTGCTCAAAATTCTACAGATGAGAATCTACCTGGAGATTTGCCTCAGCCTATGATTATTACCGGCGCACTGGATCACTGGCCTGCAATATCAGACCCGTCTAGAAGATGGAGTGATCCAAACTACCTTATGCGGAAGACACTTGGAGGGCGACGCCTCGTCCCAATCGAGATAGGCAGGAGTTACACTGACGAAGGTTGGGGACAGGGAATCATCACTTTTAGCGAGTTCATGCAGAAGTACATGTTCCACGACCAGGACGACGCTTCAAAACCAGCTGTTAGCAGAACGGACGATGCGAGGGGACACAACGATGATGATGACGCCGCGTCGACCATCACCACCACCACAACAGGCGGCGAGCAAACCGGCTATCTCGCCCAGCACGACCTCTTCGCCCAGATCCCCTCGCTGCGCGCCGACATCGCCGTGCCGGACTACTGTTACTCCACGCCCGTCCCGTCGCCGTCGCCGGCGACCAAGAACGCGACCGCACCCTTGCCTCCGGGCCACCCGTCCTTCCCGCTCCTCAACGCCTGGTTCGGGCCCGCCGACACCATCTCGCCCCTGCACACCGACCCGTACCACAACGTCCTCGCCCAGGTCGTCGGCCGCAAGTACGTCCGCCTCTACCCGCCGGGCCAGCGCCAGCGCCTGTACCCGCGTGGCGTCGGGCCCGACGGCGTCGACATGGGCAACACGAGCGAGGTCGACGTCGGCGAGGCCATGACCGTGCTTGAGGGCTGGCACGGCTGGTCTTTTTCTTCTTCTGACGACGACGACAACGACGACGGGGTGGCAGCGCTGTCGGCCGAGGAGGCGTGGGCTCGCGAAGAGGACTTGAAGATGCGCAGGTTCGACTTCGAGGAGAGGTGGCCGCAGTTTGCGAAGGTCGAGGGCTGCTGCGAAGCCGTGCTGGGGCCTGGCGATGCGCTCTACGTGCCCAAGGGCTGGTGGCACTATGTAAGGAGTCTGTCGCCGAGCTTCTCGGTGAGCTTTTGGTGGGACTGAGGGCTGAGGTGTAGGGTAGCGGATGGGGCGAGGATGGCTCTCGTCCGGCGGACAGCTGCGCTGTCTGATGTTCTTCATAGCTGGAGGATTCTAAGAGCTATGAGTTGATGAATGATGACCTGCCATGCTGCTTTCACTAAGCATCTGCATAAAGAGCCTGAGCGAGGGGAAGAAAATGAGAACAAAAAGGAGTGGCCGATGCCTTTACAGTCCTCGCATTGGTGCGAGTGAGATACCTTTGGAAAAGGGAGAGCAGAGAAATGGCTACTCGAACAGCTTTCAAGCAAGTGCAGCAAAAGCTCTACAGTGCTCCCAAAAAATAAAATTTAATGTCAAAAACTGAACTGAACACTGTTTAAGGATCGAAAGACCATGGGTATATCCGCTAACCAAAAAAACGACGCCATATGTCCAAAAACCCTTTTTACCCGTGCGAATATGTAAAACCCACAATGTCCTCGCAAAAACTTTTACAACCATAAGGCCTCCCATAACATCCCGCCGTCTCTCTAAGCGCCGGCAGCAGCATCTAGACCTGCTCCATCTTCCATCTTCTCGGTTCTATCAAACAGCCTTTCCATGGCAACTCCTCCGGTCCGCCGAGATATGGTAAGAATAGTGAATGTGCCAAGTCTCCAAACCGAAGCTTGGAACAAAACGGCGCTGTACTGTGTAGTAGACGATCCAGGCACCGAGGATGACCCGCTTCCACCGCCGCGTGTGTTTGTGGAAATAGGACCGATGCCGTTGACGCTAGGTGATAGCCTCGGGAGACGTAGGGTTTTTTGGTGGAATAGAAACGATCCTTCAGGATGAATCGAGAGAGCCCGGTGCCACCGGCTTCGCACGCTTGCTGCCTCTTTTCCGAGGCTAACGTCCGCTATCAGGCTCTTGATAGTCACGGTTGGCATCCAAGTCATGCATGCGACGCAAGAGCTGGGGCCAAATTCGTCGACCAAGTCCAGGGCGAGCCCGGTCCATGAAACTGGCGGTCATTCCAGAAATGGCTCGGTGACGAACGAATGTCTGTTCTACAAGGTGGCCAAAAAAAATTCGAAAGGTTCGGATTACTCGTATGCGCGAGGGCCGCAGTGCTGGCAGTGCCTTTTGATTTTAGGCTTTGGCCTCTGTCTTGTGTTGCTTGAACAGCCATGTTTCCTCGTGCCACCGACGCTGGAGGCCGCCAGGCGGCAAGGCGGTCTCGACCGCATTCCTCCGGGTCCTTGCCCTGTTCCTGCGTTCGCACACGCCGGGAGCTGAGAGCTGATTAGCCCTGAGCTGACAAGGCATACACGGTGCTACCGGACGACCAAATTTAGGAATCCAAGGTAACTCACAAACTCTTGGCTCGGCCGTTGTGTCACGAAGCCTCGTCATGGTTTGGAAGCCTTGCAGCTGAGAATTTAGAGCCTCATTTTGCTTCTTCGTCAGAGTTCCACCGATTTCCACGCCTATGGTCGTGGGCGAAATATTCGGTTGGCTCTCCCTGAATGGAGAGTCCATCAGAGTCGCGAACCATAGGATGATGTTCCATCTCATGGATAGTATCCGCGGGCATCTCGTACACCTCTCTCCCGACGACTTCCTGGGGAACTGGAGGAGTGCTGGAATTACTGTGGTAATGTTGCGAGCCCTGTTCGCTTCTCCGACCACTGTCAACTGCGCCGAAGGGGATGACGTCGCTTGCCCTCCGGCTGTTGGCCACGGGCTCGTATTGCCTGTCGAGGTTCCGGCGCCGCCATCTCCACAGGACCAAGAGCAGCGTGATTCCAGCGACTATGGTGACCAAGATGGACAGATAGCGGGCTCCCTGTGCTTCGCGGCACATCCACTTGTATTCGGGGTGTTCGCCTTCGATAATGGTTTGGTTGACAGCACCTGTGCAGATCCAGGTCTCGGGGGTGTAGTAGGTGCCATTGTTTTCCAGATTCTGCTCGATGCCCTGGTCTGATTCCCAGTAGTCGTAGTTGGAATAGGCAGCGGCAGCGGCTCCGCGCAACACGGCGGCCAGGGCGACCAAGGTAGCAATGCGATGAACGGGGAGCTTCCACTCGCGGTGCTGGGTGGGATTAGCCTTGAGTTTGTTCAGAGCACCTGCGGATGCGGCGGCTTACCTTCTCCTTGCCGGACCAGTTCCATCTCAAAGGCATATCATCACCGATAAGGGACATGACAAACAGCACGCACGCGTCAAACACACCAACAGCACCGGAGGCGGCTACCAGGTAGGAACTGCCGCGCTTGAAGTCGCCGCCGTACTTGGGGACCTGGTCATGCGTGACAGCGAGGATGTGCGAGATTAAGCCGGTCATTGCGGGCGACAGAATGCCGTTCACGAGGATGCATGTTGACAGCAGCGAGAGGTAGCATTTGCGACGCCAGCGGACGATCCTGGAGGGCTGCTTGCGAAAGGGCTGCGGCTGCAGCTGCGGCTGGGGCGACGGGGCATGAGAGACAGGCAGCTGGGTGCTGCTTTCTCGCTGGATGGGGCTGACCATGGCGGCTGCTCTCAGAGAGACAGCACGGCATACATCTGCTTCGTGAGGAAAGAGCGGCGGGGTGGGAGAGAAGGGCTCAATAAGGTTGACTGGAGAGGCGCGAAGGATCCGGGCGTCGGAGCGAGAGAAATGAGCCGCGAGCGAGTCGAGGTTGGATGTGGATACAATATAGCAGCGAGCGGCGCGTCATGTCATAAGAGATGGCCCCAGCCCCCTTGCAGCGAGCCTCAAACATCAGGACTAGATTCCGCCTCGCCGCGTGCTGCACCATTCACGTTGTGCGGGCAAGCGCCAGGCCGGCCGTGGGGGCCGCAGAGCGCACTGCCCCGGGGCATCGCTGCCGAAACTGTCAACACTGCTGTGCCGCCCGCGATCGCCGCTGAGAAAGCCAGGAGCCCGGTACAAGAAACGCGCGGCTCAAGCGCTACCACCGACGGCGCACCGCGCGCATTCCTCAATCGTTATTTGGGGAAGCAGCTTGGGCCACGCCCGCTGCTGTTGAAACGCTCAATGGCCACCCGCCCCCACGATATTCTGCCCGTCGGTTTTATATTTAGAACTCCGCCCGCCAAGTCCCCCGGCCGCCAACCCCGCTACCAACACCCACTGGTCCATATACTGCAGTCCGCTCTGCAACCTGTCACCATTACGAGGCCTCGATCAAGCCCATTCCGCCCGATCTCTGGCCCCGTCCAACGGCCGACGTCATCACACAGTCCAAACAAGCTTCACATCCCAGCTATTTACTGCGCATCAAGCAGGCACCCCCCGAAATACGTCGCCAGCTCATCCACGTCCTCCAGCTCCCCAATGTAACCAACATACTGATCTGGCCTCAGCGCCACTACGCACCCCCTCTCCGCATCCACCCCGTAGTTCTCGTACGCATGCCCGTGCCCCTCATGATAGCTCTCATCGTCCACGTACACTTTCATGTAGTCCCAACCTCTTTTCTCGTCAAATGGGTGCAGCAACTCCGGGAAATCCCGCAGCAGTTCTACATCCCTGCGCGGCATGCTATGCACCGTCAGGATTTCCACGACCGAGTCGATCTTCTGGTCCGCCGGCGTGACGCGACGCAGCCACGAGCCCGGTGCATCCAGCGCGGCGCAGAACTTGTCGATACGCTCCTTCTGCGGGGCAGACAGTACGTTGCCCGCAAAGAGGATGATGCGGAACCGCCCGTCTGCCGGAAGCCGTTCTGCCAGGTGCCAGGGCCGCGAGTCGGACTGATTGAGCACTTTGAAGCTTGGGAAGCGCTTGCCGAGGGGCACGTTGGTTGCCAGTTGCTGCTTGCCGACTACCTGCTTGGTCCCCGTTTGGCTCGCTGATACGTCGGAACCGTCGCCCTGCTCCACGGCGCTGCCAGCTTTGGCGATGAGCATCGAGGCGCCATAGTCCACGCTGAGGCCGCTGGTAAACATGTGTGCCGTGCGGAACGTCTCTTTGAATTCTTCCATGCTGATTCCTTCCGTGTCGAGGATGTCCTTGGCAGGCCTGCCACTGAAGAGACGGGAGAACTTGTGATCAAAGTCGATAAGGTCCTGGGCGATGCGCCGGCGCTCGGATTGGTAAGTCTTGAGGATCGAGCGGGGTGAGCGACCCTTTACAACAGATGCGATTTTCCAGCCAAGGTTGTACGCATCCGCCATGGAGACATTCATCCCCTGACCCGCCTTGGGGCTGTGCGTGTGGACAGCATCACCGGCAAGGAAGACGCGTTGATGGAGATCAAAATTCTTGCCAACTCGCTGTCCAATTTGATAGCCCGTCCACCTGCCAATGACCCGTTAGCATCATCCTAACATAAAACGTCGCTCTCGCTTACCATTCGCAGTAGTCGTAAGTCAGCTTGTAAGGGCTGATGATCCTTTGTGCAGCCTTGATGATAAGCTCTGGAGTAATCTTCGACCTGTCCGCCCTTCCACTTGCGTCAGGGACAACTTCTTTGAGCTGAATGTACAGTCGAACGATGCCCCTTTCCCGTGGAATGACCATCAGGCTTCCCTCGTTGGCGCTGTGGATGATGCAGCGGTTCCTAATATCAGCTGATTCGAGTTAGAGCTGACTCCCAGAGTGCTTGGCCTCGGGCACTTACGGAAATCGGTGATGGGAACAACGTCTGTTCAAGGCCGTATAGTTAGTGTCTGCAATTGGAGAAACCAAGAAGGCTCGGGTCACTTTACCGAGAACACCCCAAATGTAGTCAGTTGCTTCTCCTTCCAGCTCAAAGCCCAATTGCCTCCTGGTCCAGCTGTGGGCACCGTCGCAGCCAACCATATACTTGGTCCTCAATATCTCGGAAGAACCCTCCCTTCCCGAACTCTTCCGCAGCAAATCATCCGTGTCGTCTGGCGACAAATTGCTCCTAAACAACCCGTTCGAGACCCCCGAGCCGTTTGAGGCCAACGATTGTGCAGGAGTGGCCTCCTCGTCAGATAAGTGACGCAACTTCACCGTGATGGGGTAAGCTGAGTTATCCTCAACTAGAGATTCGTCAATCTCCAACGACTCGGGAAGGACGCCGCGCTCAACTTCGATATTCGAGTGCTCCTTCATGTGGTCCAGGAAGAAGCGCTCGATCCGACCCTGATGCAGCACGCACTCGGTGAAGCGCGAGATGCCCGGCGGCGTGTCCGGCACCCTGTCGGAGCGCCGGATAACGCCCTTTTCGTCTGGGTTCCACATGCATACCTGCGAGTAAGCTCCCGTCAGCTTGTTCGCCCATCTCCGGCCCCCATCAGCTAGCGGTGGTGGAACAATTGCCGGTTCCGTTTTCCTTGGAATACCTCTAGCATACCTCTAGCATGTGGTTGGCTTCCAGCCATGCCCGGTGCGCGAACCCGAAGCTGTCGAAGATCTCCAGGCTACGGCATTGCAAGCCGTCAGCTTGACCGGCGAAGATCTTAGTACCCCGTTTGTCAACGATGCGAACATTGATGCCGCAACGCGCCATCCAGGCCGCCGTCAGGAGACCGGCAGGGCCGGCGCCCACGATGAGACTGCAGAAAGCGGGTTAGGAAGATGACAGTGAGGTGAGCGAGGCGAGAATGGACATACACATCGCACTTCGTCTCTGGAATAGTCGCTGCAGGCATCACTCGGCTATGACGTGTGAGAAAGCGCGGGCTGTTGTTTGAGCGAGAAGTAGGTGAGAATGGAATGAAGTGGGCTGGGAAGGGGCGGGACAGCTTTATAAGCTACGGATATGCACTGCGGAGGTTTCATGGTGGACAGCGGGCACGGGGCTCGGTACATGCGGAAGGTGGTGTATTGCGGGGGAGGGATATGTGGGGGAGAGCTTCTTAGCGGCTTATTTGATCCTGACAAAGCCAATTCTGCCACTGCTCTTTGGCTGTAAGTTGTCGGCTATCAGAATGATTCATTGGCCTTCTGCTTGTTATGTGTTAGTGAACTTTTGATTGGCCCATTGTTTTTACTAGCTATGCATCGGACCGGTACCCGTAAGAGCTAGGTCCACAGTACTGATACCTATCGCGGGAGTGGGGCAGTGTCAGCTTTCTGCCTGCTTAATGCATGCATGTCGCAACACACAACCACTCGTTGCAGCTGTGTAATTTCGTTGTGCTAATTAAAAAGCGTCTAAATCGACAGAATTAGATATCTATAGGAAAATCCGAGAGACTTTCAGGGTATCTTGAACATCTAGTTGGTTCAAGTCTCGCTCCAAAACTCCAAGCCCATGCTTCTTACAAAACCCTAAATACCATGTCAGGGCAACGCCAAGTCTCTGACCCTAAGTGATCGGCAACGGTAGGCTTACGCCTGAATCAGATCCGGCACCGGTGGTCCAACGCCCCTCAACAGCACTATGGTGTTTCCTGTTTGACAGGAAGCACCGATCTTATCGCTGAAGTCTAACAGCTTTCCACCCTCAACGTGGAAGACGCGTAGTTTGTTCTCCTCCCCGTCTCCTCTATTATTCACATTCTCAACCTGCAGCGCTTTCGCAGCCATGTCCAGCACTCGGCCGACACTCCACTCAGTGCTGTAGAAGAAAGCGCCGGTGGGGTGCTTGGCTGTTGTCGTATCGGCCGAGGCCTCCACATGCAAGTACACCCGCTTTTCCGGTGGAAGCTTGGCGTCCCCCTTGGCCGTCTTCTTGAGGTTGTTGATGGCGGCTGCGCGCGCCGCCGGCGAGTTGCCACTTCGGCTGAGCAGTGGCTTCGCCTTGACTGCATTTGATGTTTCCGTAGCTGCCGCCTTCTTGCTTAAGCCCCACGCCTTGAGTTTCTCCAGCGCCGCAAGCCCGCGCTCTTTCTGTGACGATGGTTTGGCGCCCAACGGCGTCAGCTTCGCGCAGTCATGATCCTCCCGCATGCGGTGTTTTAAACAGTATTGGCGGTTGCAGTTGGGGCAGTGTACGCCGGGGTTGAGCGAGGTATTGACGAGCGTCTTGCAAACGGGCGAGGAGCATTGTTGTTCGTGCGTGAGAATGTTGGGCTTCGGGGTCGACGAGTTCGATGACGGGGTGGACGAGGCTTCGCGACGTGCGCGTGCCCATGCGCCAGCCTTGGTGCACTTGTGCGCCGTCTCTGTTCGGTGATCCAGGCAATAGGTCCTGCGTCGAGAGGATTAGCTAAGGGACGGAGAGAACATGCATGGAATGTATCCGGACGTACCCTCTACAGCTCTCGCAGCGGAAGGGAAGGAAGTCCAGCTGGTGGCAGAACGCAAACTGGCAGTGAGCGCCGATAGCTTCCACGTCGCCAACAGACATGCTGGTATAGCTCTGCTGTTCCCCGTCTTGCGAAGAAGATGGATCCGCCATGTTGAAGATATGAGCCGCAAGCTTTATACGGTAGCGCAGTATAGTGAAGGTGTCAGTGCTGGTCGAGGTTCAGGCTGCGACGCAAGTGCGTAATCATGGAGGCGTTGGAAGATGCCAGAACGGGGCAACATCACCACGGAAGCCAAGCGGCGCGGAGGGACCGACGCGTTAAACCCGGGGCCGAACAGCCGAGTGAGATCGCCAGCCGTAAGGCTGAGCACGTGCGACTGCTTTCACCAACTCCATCCAGATGAGAGCACCCGGAAGACGCTTTGAAGGCATCCCGTCGTCCTTGAATTAGTCAATTCTAAATTGCCTGATAATCCTTGGCGCACACATGCTTGGAGAACGATATTCTTTACACCACCGTAGCTGAAGGTCGTCAACGTCTAGGTGCATAGCTCTTCGATTTTGCACCCTGTTCTTGCCGCTCCCCAGACTTCCCGCCTGTTGAGACCACATGAGCAACCGGGATCTGCGAAGCAACAAGGCCGTGTGCTTGAGCCCTGAGCCCTCGACCCCACTGTACCCGACGTGCCATTCATCAAATCCGTCCCCTTTTTCATTCAGATTTGCCAAGCTCAACACGTAAGTCATGCCATTTCTTTTCTTCTCAACTTGCAGATCATTGCGACCCCCACCCCAGGAACTGCGCCCTCTCCAGCGGCAGCCTCTCAGACTCCCAGGCCAGCCAATCGCTCCTTGTAGTGGGCAGGAGTCCCATTTTGTTAACCTTCCAAATCCCAAGCGCAAGAGCTAAGCAATTCGTGGCGACGAAGACGAGCTTGACACCAAGTAGACGGGATGAGGTGCCGGGGGTCTCAAAGTTGGCAAAGGTGCGGTTGATGTTGATGACAGCGTTGACAGGGTTCTTAAACAGCATGAAGACCATCATGATAGAGAAGATCTGCAGCGAGTTTCCGGACATGTACATGCCTAGGGCGGCAATTAGTCTCATTGGATTGATAGGTGTACTTGAGCAAATGCGCACCGATGGCGTTCATGGGCAGCTGTTTGGCCGGGGCAATGGCAAGCTCCCAGGCCTTCTTCAGCTTCAGCGTGTCCATCTCCTCGGTGGAGGGCGGCTTGCGGGCAGGCTGGGTGGCCTTGGTGTTCTTGCCCTGCTGGTGTCGCTGCGGCGCCGTGTAGCCCGGCGGGTCGGGGATGCTGGCCTTTGCAGGCTGCGGGGCGGGCGGCGAGTTGAGGTCGACGACCCACCGCGGGGGCGGCGGGGGCGCAGCGTGGGCGACGGACATTTGGGCGATGGACGGGGGATGGCTGTGGTGGTGGTGATGTTCGGCGGAGGAGCTGCGGGCGGCGCTGGGGCCTCCCGGAGCGGAAGCTGGGTGCGGCGGAAGTGCGCGCCAGGCGCCGCGGCGCTGGCGGCCCCTTCTCGCACAGGACCATCATCATCTCACAGCCCTCGCGCCCTCTCCGACTCCCTCCGCTCGACTCCCGCTCGATCCCCAGCCAGCGCATCCGTTGCCACGCGAGGAATGGTCACGCAGCTTCTCCGATAACCAGACACACGTGGACGCGGCACAGTCTCCCGGACCTCGAACCGGATTGGAGGGGGAAAGGGACAAGCTTGGAGGGGAGCACATGCATGTAGAGCCACTCCTCTGGGCACCACCGCAGATATGAGTTCAGGCGGGCAGGATGCGAAGCTCTTCGCCCGGGTACGTCTATCCCCATCGCCATCCATCGCGACGATTCCGCCCGCAACCACAGCGCCCCGCGACGCGCTCCCAAGCCTTGCCCATGCGCCGCCCCCACCATGTTCTCGGCCGCCCTCATGTTCATGCCCGCCTTTTCCTACGATGGCCCTCACTTACAATATCTGCGTTCTCCACAGGGCAAAGTTGCCGAGCTGCGCCTCGAGCTTCAGAGCGGCGGCAAGAAGGACAAGAACCACTCAGCCAAGAAGATCGCATTGAAGAAGATTGTCGCCAACATGACCATGAGCAACAACGACATGGTCGCCCTCTTCCCCGACATCGTCAACTGCATGAACATTTCGAGCCTCGAGATCAAGAAGATGTCAGTTCCACACCAAAGCGCTGCTGGATAAGAGGCGGTGCTGACCATATTGCGCAGGTGCTTTTTGTACTTGGTCAACTATGCGCGCATCAAGCCCGAAGTTGCGCTCAAGGCGTTGCCTATAATTGTCAATGTGAGCACCTTCGACCAGCTAGCATCTGGACCCAAGCTAAACCACATGGCAGGACATGGAAGATAGCAATCCTCTTGTGCGCGCCTTGGCTCTGCGAACCATCTCCTATATCCACGTCCGCGAGTTCGTCGAGGCTACGGTGAGCCCGCTGAAGCACCTGCTCAAGGACGGGGATCCATACGTGCGGAAGACCGCTGCTTTCTGTGTCGCCAAACTTTACGACCACGACAAGCATCTCGTCGAGCACTCAGACCTGATCGACAGGCTGAACAGCATGCTGAGAGACGAAAATCCCACCGTCATTTCCAGCGCGCTAGCATCTCTCATGGACATTTGGGAACGAAGCGAGAGTATCAAGCTCACAATCGACTATGCCAGCGCGTCCAAGATTGTGCAGATTCTGCCCGACTGTTCAGAGTGAGTGCCCCACCGATGCTTCGAAGTCGAGTAGCTAATCGGACGCAGATGGGGTCAAACCTATATTCTCGAAGCAATGATGAATTACGTTCCGCAGGACACAGCAGAAGCCGCCCTCCTTGCCGAAAGAATTGCGCCAAGATTATCTCATTCGAATTCTGCCGTTGTTCTCACATGCATAAGAGTCATTCTCTACCTCATGAACTACATTTCCGACCAGAGAGTCGTCACTTCGCTCTGTAATAAGCTTTCGCCGCCCCTCGTTACCCTTCTCTCGAAAGGCCCCGAAATCCAGTACCTCGCCCTCCGCAACGCCCTTCTAATCTTGCAGCGCCGGCCTGAGGTCCTTCGCAACGACATCCGCGTGTTCTTCTGCAAATATAATGATCCCATTTACGTCAAGGTGACGAAGCTGGAATTAATCTTCATGCTTGCCACTGAGCGCAACATAAAGGAGGTGTTGACCGAACTGAGGGAGTAAGCATAGACAAACTCTACCACCAAGATCAGGCTAACTGTCACTTAGGTACGCCACTGAAATCGATGTCGACTTCGTGCGCAAGTCCGTGCGAGCAATTGGCAAGCTTGCCATCAAGATCGAGCCTGCCGCAAGGCTGTGCATCAACACGCTGCTGGAACTTGTGGCAACAAAGGTGTCCTACATTGTCCAGGAAGCTACAGTTGTCATCAGGAACATCTTCCGCAAATACCCCAACCAATATGAGTCCATCATCTCGACATTGTGCGAGAATCTAGATTCTCTGGACGAGCCCGAAGCCAAGGCAGCCATGATCTGGGTCATTGGCCAATACGCAGACCGTATCGACAACTCCGATGTCCTGCTAGACGATTTCCTCTACACGTTTGCAGAGGAGCCTCACGAAGTGCAATTAGCACTACTCACCGCCACGGTGAAGCTTTTCATCCAACGTCCAACCAAGGGACAAGAACTCGTGCCCAAAGTCCTGCGTTGGGCGACAGAAGAGACCGACAACCCGGATCTCCGCGACCGCGGCTACATGTACTGGCGACTACTTTCATCCGACCCCGCCACGGCTCGGAAGGTCGTCATGGGCGACAAACCCGCCATCACGGCCGAGTCGGAGAAACTGGACCCGGCAACGCTGGAGGAAATGTGTCTCAACGTCGGCACCCTCGCCACCGTCTACCTCAAGCCCGTCAACCAGGTGTTCCGCTCCGCCCGCCAGAGGAAGCTGCAGGACTCGTCGGCGCTGCAGCGCCACACGCTGCCCACCGTCATTGCCGCCGCCGACGCGGCCAAGCAGCGCAGCCGGACCATGCCCCCGGCAATTGACACGTCCGGCGCCACTGCGGCCGCAGCAGCAGCGAACGGCAACATGGCGAGCGCGGTCGATGCCGCGGACCTCTACTTTGCGGGCGTGGGCAGCCAGCAGATGTCGAACCTGAGCATCTCGAACGGCAGCGGCTTCGGCGGAAACAGCCCCGTTGCCGGTGCCCAGAGCAACATGTACGTCGTCAACCAGAACCAGCCGCAACAGGTATACCAGCCGGCCGTCGGACCGGGCAACGGCGATCTGTTGCTATTGTAAGTAGGTGTGTGTGTGGGAAGCGGCGCTTGTAACGGTTTCGAAGCAGTGGGCTGGGCGGAGAACAAGCCTGGGGGTTCTTTTGTTTTATGTTTCTCTTTTGGCTAGGGCTTGTAGGATAATTGGACAGGAGTTCTTTCTGGACGGAAATGTGCCTCGCCGGGGTGGCGGTCGGAGAACGTGAGTTAGGAAGGTGACTCAACCACGGACCGCTGGTGCCTGATGGGTGAAGACTTGGCGTCGAGGTGGAAGGGGTGGGGCCAAAGTAGTAGCAGATGGGGCTCGGGGGGAATTAGGCGCCTTCCCCCTTCCCTTTTTTCTCCTTCGACTGAAATGCTTTCAAATCTTCAGATGGTTTAGCCTTTTTCTGTGTAAATACCAATATACAGCCTCTTCTTCTGCCTATCTGTGGCACAGGCCTTCTCCATGATCCACAGGAATCCACTTATTCAAGGCAAGAGAGCAATATGATATGTAAAGCAATGCCGTGGCAACTCCATTCACCGGGGGGTATCTCAGTATGTACAAGAAATAAAAACAAAACAACCTGAGGCAGACGCAAAGCCGTGGCAGACATGAATCCTTCCCCATCCGACCTCACACCATCCAATAGATCCATCCGAAGGGTATCCCGTGACGCTATATGCCTATTTTTGTTTACTCCAGCCTTATGAGTCAATAAACGAAGCCAAATCAACCATTACCAATCATGCGCCCTGTTAGACCCTTGCCCTGCGGCAAACTTGAAACTTCCTTGGTCTGCTAAAAATAAAAGCGACACCAAAAAAAAAAAAGGAAGGCCTAAAAGAACCAAGAAAACGTCATCTTGACCTTGAACACACAACCATACGGAGGGCCAGCTTTTGGCATTACATGATCCGACATAAGAGGTTAGGTGTCGGGGACAGGTCGACAAAAGAAAAGACAGTAGGTACGGGAAGAATCGAAAAAGAAAAAAAAAAGGTAGAAAAGAAAGCAAGAAGGTAGAAGATGACAGACCAAAAGCCACGTATAAGCGCGTCGGAGTAACAAGTTATCTCTGATCATCCCAACGGTAAGCTGGGTATTGGTGGTAGGAAACGGAAGACCTTCTGGATCTCCGACCACCACCACCTCGCGCTTCATGGATAACTCTCTGTCCCCTCTCCCATCCAGGCTCCCCGAGAGGAGGGCCGCCTTGATGAGTCATAGGTGGCAAGCGTCTGTTTTCATGTCTCAGAGTCCCCATGCCCATGCCGAGACGGGGGTTGTAGAAGTCATTGGGCTGCGGGGCATATGAGTTGACTCCATCGTACGCAAAGGCACCGTAATTGCCTTCGACCATACGCTCGCGCTGCTCTCGGTCGCGACGCGCGGCTATACGGGCCTCGGCACGTTGGATGTCGGCCTGCGCGTCAGCGATCTGAGAAGCAAGCATAACATCAGCTCCCTGGCGTTCGCGCGCCATCTGCTCTCTTTCGAAGGAAAGGAGGCGATTTCGCTCTATCGCTTCGCGGTCTGCAGTGGTGTCGGCGCCGATGCTTGAGCTAGCTGTGGCATTGGCAGATGAGTTGGAGCGAGAGGTAGATGAGGAGTCCAAGGGAACGCGAGGACGGTGACGTTGCCCGTGGCTACCGCCTGTTGTGTTGCGGCGGCGAAGCGGGTCGTTGACGGAGGATTGAGAAGGTCGACGCTCACGGTTGGCGGCATGAGCGTTGCTGGTGGCCGTCTCTTCAGTGCGTCGCAATTCAGCTAGCCGGCGACGGCCTTCTTCTAGCTGTGCTTCCCAATCTTCGTCGCCAGAGCTGTCAGCTGGGGCGGCAGCATCGACTGAAGGGTCGTGACGAGTTTCTTGCTGGCGGTTACGGTGTTCCTGCTCGACGCGGCGACGTCCTTCCTCAAGGCGGGCCTCCCAGTCGTCGGCTGGGCGACTTTGCTCGTTCATTTTACGGCCCTCCTCGCGGCGTTCCTGTCGGTCTCGGTGGTACTGCGCCCAGAACTCGTCTGCTTGTCGCTCGCGGCGTAACTGTTCACGTCCCGTAGCCCGCTCACGCTCGATGCGAGCTTGGCGTTCGTCGTCTGTCTCTTCGTGTTGGGAGTTCCCAGTATTAACGCGAAGATTATTGAGAGATGCAGATAGTTTTTCAGCAAACTCGCGGTCGTTTGCGCTTTGGGCAGCTCCCTGGTTGGGATCTTGAGGTCTATTGTTTGGTGGACGCGAGGCAGCAGCAGTAGGCCGATAGCTGGAACTGGTGGAAGGCTGCGTGACGATTGGTGGAGGCCTTCGAGACCGCCGGCGACTAGGTTCATCAGGGGAAGGCGGGTCAGCATGGGCCGGAGGCGCCGGAGGACGTGGCGGTCCCGGTGGTCCCCTTGGGGGGTCAGCCTGGGTCAGGGGGGTTACGAGTTGGAGGTCAGCATGTGTCTGGGGGCTGAGTAAATGGACCTCTTCTCTTCCCCGTGAGTCCGGCCGCCGCGCCGCCCTCGCCGTGGTCGCATAAGCCATGGAGGGTTTTGAAGGCATGGTCGCACTGTGGCTTCTGCGGTGCGAATACTGATACGTTGGGCTCAGGTTCTGCTCGTGGGTAGGTGAAGGCGGAGCGGGCGAGTAGCTCCTAGTACTGGACGCTGATGTTGCTTCGGACACAGCCGAGCTGCCGTAATAGTGCTTGGTCGTAGTCTTTGGCTTCCCTTTCTGCTTCTCCTTTTCCTTCCTAGAGCCGCCAAGGTTGAAGACAATTTGGCCAAGAGAGCCAGTCTTGCGGTGCTTGGGCGAAGGATGTGAGCCAAATCCACCCGTGGTTGGTGTAACTTCAACGAAGGTGGCTCCGTTGACTGGTGTTGGTGGAAGGCTCTCGGTGGCAGGAGAAGAAGACTCGTCGGCGTAGCGGATGCGAGGGGAATGACGAGAATGGCCGGCACCCTGCATGGTTCGTTCTTCGTAGGTGATCTTGCGGCAAGACTTTCCAGTGCCAGCGAGCTCGCAACGACTCTTGACGTGGTCGTAGGTCTCTTTCTTACCGTCGGGTTGGATGTAAGTACGTTGTTCGATGATGCACATGGTCGAAAGATGGGGTGGTGTGTGCAGTCACCACCGACTCAGCCGGGGCGAAGGCAGAGAGGAGAGAGCTTTATCGTTTCTTCTTCGCTTTGTTTGACTGAGATGGTTGTTGCAGGAAGTAGCTGGAAGTGTCGTCGACACAGGAACAGGAAGGCGACAGAGCGGACGGGTATGCAAGCCAGGACCAGGGCGAGGACAAGCAACAGGAGGTCAGGAACAAAGGGTCATTTAGGTATAGCGCGTGAAGGGTGTATTTGAGGTCGTCGGGAGGCGGCAGGTGACTTTGCGGGAGTGAGACAGGTACACCTGATATAAAGGCAGCCCACGAGTACTGAAGTTTCAGTGAGAGGCTTCAACGAAGGGCGACCGGCGAGCGCATGCAAGTCACCGAGGAGTGCAGCAGGGCTGGACGAGTGAGGGAGCGACGGAGTGCAGGCGGGCGTGAGTGGGCGACGTTTTAACTAGCGTGTTGAGCTTCGCTGCCTGGCCCAGCGGCCTCTGGACCTCTGCACACTTTACATACATTACACAGACTTGCACCGCCGGCCCCGGCGATGCGAGCGCGCATCATCGGCCGGGGGCCCAACGAGGTCGGGTCGGTCTCTGTCGACGCCGCTCTGGGGTAGCGCGCGCGTGGTGCTGCGCCTCGCACCCGGGCAGTCAGCGCCAGAAAGGGGAGCCACACACGCCGTCGCACCGTACCTGAGAGCAACACGACGAGCGCGCGGCCGGGCTCTGGCTCCGCCGCCGCAGGGCACGGTTGCTGCTTGCGCACCCGAGTTGCGGGATGGGCGATGGGCGATGGAGTGCGGACCGGCCCTGCAGCGGGTGACATGAGCAGCAGGTGGTCCGCATGGTCGGCGGACGGGCAGCTGAGTGGTGCGGGCGAGGGCTTGTTTCGCTTTCGTGGAGGCGCGGCGGCGATCGCGTGGCTGCGAACGAGCGCTGATGTCAGGCAAGTGCTTCTGCAGCGGGCGCGACGGCACGCCATCTGCAGCTGCCCTGGCAGGAGCGACCGCTACCGCGCTCCAGACGCGCCTGCCCGTTCTTCACGCCGAGTCTGCCTCGCCGCATCCACTTTGGGCCCGCTTCACCTCCGTGCTTCACCTCCGCGTTTCACCTCACCACCGCGCTCAGTCTTCTCGCATCAGTAAAAAAAGTGCACCACATCACCAACAGCAGCCCGGCCACTCGGGGCCCCGCTACTCCATCCGGTCCGGAAAAGAGACAAGTTGCCATGACGCATCAGCCACAGCTCGTGCAACTATTATTACCTGTGACGGCCCCCAAAACGCCCATCATCCGCCAACCCTGACCTCATTTCGCCGGGCTTTCCATAACTGAGACAGCCAAAGCGGCCTCTGCACCGCCATCTTCTCCGGTCGTACAAGAATTACCACGCATCGCTTGCCTTCAACGGCCAAGGCAAAGGCAAAGGAAAAGGCAGAGAGAAATTTCTGCAACCCCATGCGCCTTGTTCCGCCCTTCCCAACACGGAACGCGCGGCCAGAGCTATCTTGCTGCTTAACAATCACCTTCAGCTTGCACCTTCGACTTTGGAGCCGTCCCTGCAGACCGGCCCCCCGCCCGCATCCTACCCAGTTCGGCCCTGTGTCAGATCTTCCAACCGGCCTGTTATTCCCACGACGCCGGAATCAGCTGAATGGAAGCCCGAAACGGCGGGTAAACAGCCGCGGCAACCGCCTTGCACTGCGCACTTTCTGTGTAACTTGTAAGGCACACTTTGCCTATTGTAACCCTTGAGGAGCTGGAGCTCGCTGCGTAAAGGTGTAGTACGCGCACTTAGCATCGACTTCAATCGCTGCCTGGCTTCTGCCACCACCAACAGCGGCAACGGGAACATCCGACCAACGAGCTGCTTCTGCCTTGGTTCCCTGCTCTGCCCCCACCTGACTGCTGCTCAGCAACCAGTTGACATTTGCCTTCGCCCATCTTCTTCCCATCCAGTGAGCGCCATCAATACTGCACAAACAGACGCTTTGTGCCATATCAGACAGGCCCGCGGACTTGGCTTCCGCCTCTGAGTCTTCACCACCCCTACCTCCCTAATGTGCCGACCATTCACAAAAGCTGTAGCCAATCGGCAAATCACGCGACCCTCCCATATGCCTGCTTCATCCCGCCGTATCACCACCATCATGCGTAACTACCCTTCCTCCTCCTCTTTTCGAAATTGTTCAGTCACACACACACACTTAAGAATTTTTTTTCCCTTCATCTGCTCTCTGTTCTGCCGTCTTCGATGCCTTTCCACCCTCCATCTCCGCTCCTCACCCGTCTTCTCATCCTAATCCCTGCTACTCGTCAGCCCCTGAACCTTACCACCCACCCTCTCGGGTCCGCGCGGCAACGCCCGCTTGCCGCGCTCACTCACGCGCCTGTACCACTTGCAAGGAAGAAGCATAGCCTGATTCAGCCCTTAATAATCACTTCTCTATTTTTTTTTTTTGTGGGTGGGTGGCAAACACGCTGCTGCCTCACATGGATCGACAACAACAACGCGCGCTGTGGAGTACGTGCTAGCATTTCTGCACTCTGCATTTTTGCACAGGCGTACCAATGAGCAGGTACCTGTGGTGTGTGCACAACCGCTAGTGTAGCGGCATCCGCTTTGATACGATTGCTTTTACTTCTCCAATAACTTGTCTTTCCCGCTCGTATCCTCTCCAGATGACCTTAAAATGCGTTGGGGCAGCGACCTGCATAACAGAAGCAAGTTGCGCTAGCTTACGGCCAGCGCCATTCGTCTGGTACTAATCACTCAGGTCCGATCGTCGTACTCCAGTCGTCATCGCGGCCCGCGTGCTGCTGTCACCCTGGTCTCGAGCCCGGTCAGGCAAGGCAGGCGGTGCGGATGCCGCCTCGGAGCATAGCCTATTCGGTCGACGCCCAGCCCAGGGCCCTCCGCCTGAAAGAGCCAAGAGGGAGAGAGTCCAGAACCCAGACGCCTCAGGACGGCAGCGGCAGCAGCAGAAAGAAGTGAGCACGCGCCACAGCGGGGTGACAGGGGGAGAGGTTGGTAGCAGGGTGTGCAAATCTGCATGCACACCTTTTTGCGCAGCCTTAATGGTGGGGCCACGGCTCCCTAGCAATACCTCGACCCCCCGAGGCCGCACGAATCCTGCAGGATCGTGTGGTGCTGTGCTGCGGCTCCAGCCACACTTTTGTGGCTTGAGAGGAAGAAAAAGAAAAGGAAAACGCCACAAAGGCTGTGACCCTTGTGCATTAATCCTGCCAATGCGCCCGAAGAAACGGTGTGTATGCGTGTGTAGCCCTAAGCGTGCATTTGTCCGTTTTCCATAAGCCTGAGGCTGTGCTTGTGGCTCGCTAGAGAACTAGAGTATGGGGTAGGTAGTGCTGGCTTGAGCGACATTGTGTAAGCCGGGCAGTGTGGCTGTGGCAGAGCTAAACGGTCCTAGCAAACAGGCTTGTGCAGTATTTCAAAGCAAGCAGGAGAGTGCTAAACCGCATCGATGCATTCGTGCCTGTCATCATCAACTCAAGGCCTTCTCACCTCTATCACTCACTGCCGACACTTACACACCAAAGCACAGATTCAATCAATGATGAAGATCAATTATCATCGTTAAGGAACTAGACCAGATACCAGGCCCTGGCTAGTCATGTTCTGCCGTTTTCTCCCTGGCATAATTGCCGGTTCGTAGTGTACATGCCAGACTTGCACCAGCAAGATGGATTATCTTTGTAATACAAAAACGCCAAAAAGGTACCTGATTCGTTGAAAACCAACCAACGCCTTCGCTCACAATTGTCTGAGAAGAAAAGCAGAACAGATGGGAAATGCCCTGTATCCGGTTTTCGGGGGAAAAAGCGGAAGACGCCAGTACCCAGCAGCAGTGACGGTGCCCAACCAAGGCAACAAGGACCAGCTGATCAGTCAGGCACGCCGAGAAGGCCGGACGTCGGGACCGCACCAGGCCAAATCCTTCAGGCAGACGGAGGTGCTGGCAAGCTGGCAATTCAGGCAACTGAGACACGTCTGCCTGGAAAGGATGCCACCATCGTCCCATTGACGTGTCCCAGGCCGTTTAATCCCTCACAGGAAACGCCACCCGCAGTCCTGGACCTCACCCCACTATCTTGTGTCCATGATCCCCCGTTGCAGCTCAGTGCCCGGCACTCGAGGTACTCGAGGTACTCGATTCAGTGGAGCTCGATGCCCCGTGAGTAGGGTTGGGGTAGTAGTAGGTACAGACGGCGATGATGAGGTAGGCGATGAAGCACAGGAACCCTTCGAGATAGTTGCTCTTACCATCGCGCAGGAAGCTTCCAACGACCAAGATAGCAAGGATCAGGACGATGGCCTGGAAGGGCTCGAACGCCAAACTCATGTTCTTGCCGAGACCCCAGCCGATGAAGACAACAATGGGCGTGTTAAGCATGACCGTCTGAATGCATGCTCCAAGGACGTGGGCAAGCGCGAAGTTCATCTGATTGTCGTACGCCTCATCGATGGCCGTCAGGTGTTCAGCCGCCTTCTCGACAACGGGAACCAGGATAAGACCGACGAAAGCATCCTTGACATGGCGCACCTCGACGATGTAGTGGATCTGGTCGACAAGGAGGTACGCAATGCAGCAGACGCATCCGATGGCGATGGTGAGAGCGATGAAGCACTCAGTCAACGTGAGCTTGTCCTTCTTGAGATCTTCGTGGCGATCCTCGTCTTTCAGCTCGTCGTGTTCGAAAATCTCGTCGTACAGTCCATGGTGGGAGTGCGTCTGGAACCAGACATAGCTGACATGGAACAGTAAGTAACGTTGAAAATGCCACTTGTAGGTAGGCAACTTACACCAGGTAAGAGATCAGGAGAATGATGGCCGTTGCACGGCTGATCTTGAGGCCGTCCAGTTCAAAGTTTCCGGATCCAGCATACTCCGAGTTCTGGAGCGTGCTGATGTAAGCTGCAGGGAGGATCAAAGCCACTACCGCTAGTCAGTGTCTTGTGCATAGCAGACTTGGGCGTACAAACTTACTTCCAGCTACCAACATCAGTCCGCTTCCGACCTCACTGACTGCTTCGTGGAACTCTTGCTCCTCGCGCCTAAGACCACCGAAGAAGAAGCACAGGCCAATGCACAGCAGCAAGTTAGCCAGGACTGAGCCGAGAATGGCGGCCTGAATGATCTGGACGGGGTTGAAAGTTTCGGTGGCGGGTTTGGTGATCAAAATGGCGAACAGGACGATCTCGACGATGGAGCCCAGGGTGGTCTCGACGACGATGCCGATGACCTTGGGGATCTTGCGGGCGAGTTCCTCTCCACCAAAGCCGATCAGATTGGCAGCAGGCACCATGGCAATGTAGTTCAGGATGAAGATGGCGAGGTTCCAATGGTCTGAGTGCGCATGGCGCTTGGCAAAACCCTACTGCGACGTTAGCATGGCAAGATTCCCCTCTCCCACAGACGCTTGGACGCACAATGACAATGGCGACAGGCACAACGGGCCACAACAAGTTGGCGTATTTGGACCATGGAGCCGAGCTGCGGAAACAGATGCGGAAGAAATGCATGGGGTGGATGCCGCTGCGGCCGCTTTCGCCATCGGGGTGGATGCCAGTCGTCACACGGTGGCCGTTGTGGTTGAACATCGGAAGCCTGTGCTTGCCGGCAGGCTTGGGCTTCTTCGTGCCGCCACGCTCCACGGCCGTGGCCTCGGAAGCGTCGCGCGGTTTCTCGCTCATGCGGGTGCGGCGAGCCATGGTGTCTGCTGGGGGTCTCCTCTCAGAGGAGCAGGTTGTGGGCGGAGGTGATTGAAGTCTTCACAGCTGCAGGGGAGTAGGAGCGGGGAGCGGGCCGAGTTATAAGCAGCTGTGGCTTGGCTGGATTTCGGCGTCAGAGAGCAGCTTCACCGCCTGGATGTGTTGGCGGTGAGCTGGCAGAGGAGGCGGGTGAGGCTAGGAATGCGGCGATTGGGGCGTCTGGCGAGAAGGAAGCTGAGGATGGAGGGGCGGGCTGGCAGAACTTAAGGAGCGGACGCAGGTTCTGGCTGAAGGCTGGCCTGAAGCAAGATTGATGGGGCTTGCATAGAGCGCAGGCGCGCTGATCGGCAGAGGGCCTGTTGTCGCTCCACTCCGGGGTTGGCAGCAAGCCGCAACACCTGCTGACTCGCATCCGACTTCCAGAAGGCGCCTTGGACGCGCGCCTGCATTCTATTTTTTCCCACGCCTGGGACCGGGCTCGCGCGCGCCAGCGCTGACCCCGCCGACAAGCACTTCCTGGCGTCGAGTTTGGCGTGCTTGAGTGACTCGCGCGTGCAACCGTTGCCTTGGCCGGCGCGCTTGGCCGCGCCAAAGCCAAGACGGCACGCAGCACGAAATTTCCTGCTCGCGCTGCTGTACGTCATGCCATACGTGCTGCGTGCTGGCATGTCTGTGGCCGGACGGGGCGACGAAACACGCAGAATAACCATCTACACGGGCAAATGAGGCGACGTCGTGCAGCTGCAGCTCTTCGCTGGCCGGTGGGACCGCCAGTCACGGCGCCGCGCTGCAGCTGGACAGGGTCCCTGTTGGAACACCAGCAGAGCAACGCGCCGAAGCCTGAGCCCACAGATCTGCTTGGCCCAAGGAAAATAGCGCATCGTGTCCAATTGCAAGCTAGCGCGCGGTCCCAATCTCCGTACTGCGGCTCCACAGATAGCCGCGAGCGTTGTAGCTGTGGCAGTGCAGCCCGTGCTCCGCGTTTCACACAACGCGCGCGCTTCTGAGAGCCGCTTTCCACTACAAGTCCACTTTTCCAGAGCTGCGTTTCAGCGTTCCCCGGCCACGCTCCCCTTCTGCAGGGTCCAGATCCTCGAAGATACGCTATGCGCTGTCCGCGGGAGGGGCCGTCCGAGCGGGCCGGTCCCACAGTCTGTCTATACTTGGGCCAGCCACCAGCGCCTACTGGTCTCGAGACGCCTTCGCCTCACTCTGGGCTGGCCACCGGTGAGTTCAATCTGGTGATAATGGGTTCAGCGGCAAGGCTCAATGCCACTACAGTAGTGAGCTAAGGAAAAGCTAATAGAGTGGGTATAAAGAAAATGACCGAATGCCCCTACGTAGAATCTCGTGGATGACCATATCCTAAGCCTAACTCCTCCACAATAGACCCCAGCCTTTCTTCCGTGTTTTTGTTTTTACAACGGCAATCCGTAATCGCTCCCGCTGTACACGCTTCTGCGGCGCTCAATCGCTTGCTCTTGCGGCGCAATGTCGAATCGAGAGAGAACATGTCGCACAGCAGGCGTCCATGAACAGGTGGAAAATCAAAAATGAAAACAAACCGACCCTCATCTTCGCGGATATGCAGTGTCTTCGGAGGAGATGCAAGCAGCAAAGGGAAATCAACGAGAGTCGAAATTCATCAATAAGTGCACCCCGGCGCCAACATCGCGATGCACTTCTGCAGCAGATTGCTCGCTTCGTGAAGAAGCTCCCACCTCGTCTTTCTGAAATTGTCACGGAGAAGTATGAGCATGCCCAGGCACGCGTTCCTGTCCTGAATCTTCACCAGAGCGTCGGGCGCCCGCACTCCACCGACTCTACGCAAGAAGCCTTGCATATCTCGGACCATGTCCTCACGGCTGTCCAGCTGGTAAACCGGGTCAATGGGTCCGTCGAGAGCGAATCCGTACGACCAGACGATGAGCAGTGCAAAATAAAGAACCCAAGGTCGATTGAGCAGGGAGTCGTCGCGGGCCGAATACGTGAACCCTGCAGCTTGCTCCGCGCTCTGTGGGCCTTGGCCAGTCGCCGCTCCAGCCCGAATTCCACCGTTACCATTTTCATGTGGGAGCAGAACTTGGGAGAGGAAGCGGAGAGCGTAGAACGTGGCATCGCGCGCGCGTGCCGTTGGGGCCCATGACTCTTTCATCCGACGCTGTGCACCTGCGTAATCCTGTGGTGTAATACTGCGGCCGAGTAAGCGATTGGCGCCCGCATATATTTGGCAGTCGACAATATCGACATGCATAGCCATGTGCGCCAGGTGATGCAGCACGGTCCTGGATTCGAATACGTTGTCATCGACAAGACCGTTGCTATAGGCAAAGGCCGTCGAGTTTGTCAACTCGCCGTTCTTAGACAGCGACGCATCGAAATCCTGCTTCCAAAAGTCAAAAGCGCGCGTGAGGCTCCCGCGCCACTTGTCTCGCCCACCCAAAGCCGAAGATGCCCCAAGTGAGCTCACTTGGAGATCGCGCTGGTTCATGTGCCAGCTGACACTGAGGAGGCCGGCCATAAGGATCGTCCGGCCGAATGAATTGGTGCGTACAGCAGATCCGCTCAACGTCTTCTTGAGGCCGTCGAGGAACGTCGTCGGTTTGACACCATTGCTGGCCAGGCTCGCCTCGACTCGACCAACCTCCTGGGCGCTCGTGGCTGACCAGAGCGCCTCGTCACACGGCAGCGGCAGTCGCATCTCATGTGCGACCATAACTGCCGAGTGGCCAAACATGGTTGCATGTATCGAGTCGATGACAAACGCTGCAAACGCGGCTCGTCGTGTAGCTTCGTTAGATATCCAATGCTGCCACCATTCCTCTTGCGCATTTGCCGTAGATGAGACAGATCCATTGCGACCGTCCTTGACGCTCGGCGGAGAGTCCAGCGCCGACCTGCCGATCAGCGAACTACCTCTTCGCATGAGCGTGAGGGTGGTAGCGTGGTGTATGTGCGCGCGCTCGTGCAGCGGACGCGTAGAATACATCTTCTCGAAACATTCGAGAAGAATAAGCGCCTGGAACACCCATAACTTTGCTGGAGGCCTAAAATCGGCATCCATGAAAATTTCCCATCGCAAGTGCCATGCAAGAAAATTGGCAAGTTCTGCACATGTAGTCGTCAACTCCTGCCCGAAGCTCTTTTCCAGGCAGGACGCGCCCAAGGACATCATTGCGACCAGCAATAGCGGCGGGCAGTTTGCAGCGCTGAATGTCGGCCGGTGCAGGATTGGCAGCTGTGTGTGAAAGTGGACCCAGTAGGAGCCGATATAGGTTTGCATCATGTGCAGGCTGAGCACGTGCGTATCGTCATCTTTATTCCCCTCTAAAAACTCCTCCTTCTGCTTTTTGACAGGTGCGTGGCTGCTCTCGTTAAAGCGATTCTCGATAAGGTCGAGAATCTGCTGGCGTTTTTCTTCTGAGAGCGCAGATTCAGGCAAATTGGTGTCGAGGATGCTGCTAACAGACATTGGCTGATGGGGCGGCGCAGGCTGATTGAAATACCCGCTCGCAGTGGCATCATATCCAAAGTAAGGGCCCTGGAGGCCGAAGGCGGCAGATGCTGGTACGCTAGACATGTTATTTGCCGGATATCCCATGGGCGAATGGCCAGTTGCGAGATTTGATTCGTTGAAAAGCCAGGCCGTGAAGTCGTCTGCCATCGCAAAGGGTGACCGGCTGTACCCTTCTCCCCCAAATACGGGCATGGAGTAGTTATTCGGCGTCATGCTTTCTATAATCTGGCCTTCACTGACAGCGGTCATTCGCTCTCCTTGGCCAGTGGCCTCGACACCCTGCATAGACATCGAAGATGTCATTGGGTAATTTCGGGATGAGCCTTGCGAGTTTTGATTCGTCGTAGAGAAGCCCGGAGGAGGCAGTGAGCTAAAGCTTGAAGGGACGCCTTGGTGATTCTGGCCTTGGTAGGCTGCGGGCGATTGGGATAGCTGACCAGTCAGAGGTGCAGGAGAGTTATACGCCTGTGAGGCACCAGCAGCTGAGGTGTAGGGCGAATTCATGCCGAGATTCTGCACACCACTGCCGACAGAACTTTGCGAACGTAGGGGAGGCGCACCAAAACCTTGAGCTGAAGTTCGAGGCGAGTACTGCGACCCGGAATTATTCGCTGCGTCAAAACTCGAGGAGCGTTGAGGGGCGCTAAATGTTGACGATCTCCTGTGCTGATCTGACATCTGCTGCGATACGCTGTTAGACCGCCAATTATCGCCGCTCATGGCACGGTCCGATGCTGCTCCGTTCCCATGGTGCTGAGTTGTTGCACCGAGCGGCGGCGACATTGCGGATCCTGCAGGTGTCGCACTGCCCAAAGCCGATGCTGGTGACTGCGCAATGCCACCCGTAGAGTTAGGCTGCCGTCGTGTCAGTGCGATCCGGGTAGCCAATCTCGGAGCTGCCTACCACCGGGGAAGACTGTGAATTTCCTAGTTTCCCGTTCTTGTTTGCCATTGCATTTGTCACGATTGGATTGAGGTTGTGCATGAATGTGTCCTTTCTCAGCAGCTGGGAGCCTCGAGCAGTGTGCCTTTCCTTGTGCCGGGCGCACAAATCTTGTCTCACAAAGGATCGCTGGCAGTCGGGGAAGTCGCAGTGATATATTTGCTTTGGATTGTCTCCCTCGTGTCAGTTGTTCCATTGGCGACGAAACAGAGGCAAAGCTTACGGTTTAACTGGTGGCGGTACAGGTGCTCGGCGCGAGAGTAGCTCTTGCCGCAACCCTCGTGCGGGCATTCAAATTTCTTGTCCAAGCCTTTGCGACTGCGCCTTCTTTTCCTGGAAGAACCGGGCGGCGCGTCGCCGTCCTCGGCCTGGTTGTCTTGGTCGTCCACATGGTCGTCGTCGCGCGTGCGTCGCCTGCCGCGGTTCTCGTCCGAGGTGGGACTCGTTATCTCCTGCTCCTGCCTGTCCATCCTGGGGGCCGGCTGGTGCGCAGGGCGGGCGTCGAGCGGATTGCGAAAGTCTAACGAGGTCCCTGCCTGCGCGGGTAGAATCTCGGCCGTCATAGCTCGCGCGACGTCTGGCTGCGCATGTGGTGGTTGAGCAGGCGCGCGGAGCCCTCAACCTCACCCGTTGATAGCCGCTTTTCAGGTGGCTTCGAATGGCAGGACGCAGGGAAGGGCCAAGGAGCCGAATGGCGTTGTTTCATGTACAGACGCGCGGGGAGAGCGTGGCAGACGGTAGTGGGTGGTACAAGAGGCGTGTTCTGAGCAGCTGTGATAGGTATCTGATAGCGCGCGGCGTCTGGCGAGCGGAGGCGTGCGCGCAGCTGAGGGCGACGGCGGGCGCTGGAGGCTAGCGCACGCTGACGTCTCGGCGAATGCTCAGAGCGGCGGCTGAGCGCTCAGGCGGTCGTGGTGTCGAGTGCGGTGCTAGTGTGTTGCCGAAGCGTCGGGCGGCGCACTGGACGGGAGGGTCCTTGGTGAGTGGAAGGGGCCGCTGGCGGCGATCCGCGCCGGCTGTGCGGTCTTCCACGGCGCGGGGTCTGCTTCACTGTACAACGGTTCGCTCGGGCTGCGATCTGCGCTTCGACAGCAGCTCCGTGGGGAAGATGGGGTTTCAGGGACAGGCAGCGCGCGGTTCAGCGGCCTTTTTGGCACCCTGGAGCCAGGGTCACGCTGCCGACGAGAAGCATTTCCGCCCCATCCGCCGATAAAGCCCGCCTATCATCAGCAAAGCGTGCGCTCCCGCCGCCCAGCCCCTCCGCTCCATTGCCACGACGCTCCTTGCCGCCACCTGATCCCACCACCTCCGCTGTCCTTCGTTTGGTGACATGACGGTCACCAGGCGGCTGCTCCACCCCACAGCCAGCGAATCCGTGGGGTGAATGACCTTCAATCGCTCCTCAGCTGGCCTTCTAGCGATGTGGCACAAGTTCACCACGTGCCCGCCTCACCTTGCGGCTTGTTGCGGCTCAACTTGCGTCTTCGCTGGATTAATGCTGGGAAGAGCACGCGGAGGCGAGGATCAATGCCTGTGTTTGCTTTTCGCTGTGTAGACTTCTGCCCTGACGAATCAGAAGCGCCGCGCACCACTCAGATACAGGCCAATTTTCCCGAGTATTGCCTTCGATCTGCGCCAACGATTGGCTGAGCGCTGGGTGCCCACTTGACATGATCCGGACGCGCCTATAGGCCGGAAGACTGCTTGCTGCCTTCACAAACGGGTGCAGAGACAGCAACATGCCTCCGTGGACGCGGGCGGACGGTAGGGAGGGCCCGGCGGAGATGGGTCGGCAGACGGGGCCTATGTAGATCCGAGCAATGCGCGCCGGAACGACACGGGTTATGACATAAGATGCGCTCTCCCTACCCAGCCCAAGGCAAATGGGCCATGGAGCTCAATCTACCTTCTACATCTCCACCACAAGATGGCCGATACTGCCCCGCACTCATCCAGCCTGGGCGCACGATTGAAGGGCGCGTTGAGGCCGAAGAAATCGCGAAACCGCCTGGTCAAGAAGCCGCCCTCCGAGTCAGTCAGCGCTGAAATCGTCAGGAGGAACAACGAGACCATCTCCAGAAGTGCAAGCACCCTGCTCAGTCAAGGTGCGCAGTCGCACTTGCATCCGGCGCCTCATTCTACGGCTCCGGACGCCTCACTGATCGACAGGCATACCGGAGAACGTCGCGACATTACCGCACTGATCCATGGCCTACAGGACTCTTTCGAGCCAGGCCAGGACGATATACCCGAAGAGTTCGACGAAAATCGGCCGCCTGGCGAGCCTTTGATCTCCAGCCTGCCGCCCAAGTTGTGGCACAAAATTGTAGATGAGTTCTTGTCGCCAGCCGACGCTGCGAGCTTAGCGTTCGCGAACAAGACCTTGGCCAATATCCTGGGCCCAGGCCCATGGGAAGCGTTGAGATTGCCAGAAAATCATCAGGACAGGATTCAATTTTTGGCCCCTATGGACCGTCACCTTCCCGCACATCTTTTATGCTTTCCATGCGCAATCTACCACGTCCGCATACACCGTGGCGAAGAGGAACTCAAGCCTCCGAATGTACTCAACCCATTGTTTATCTGTCCCCATGCTCAGAATCCTCTCATGCCGCCTCCCCGCACACGGCTCACGCCAAACCGCAATCTCCCGTTCACATTCGTCCAGCTCCCAACGAGAGCGGCACGATATGGCCTCGAATACGGCATTCCCGTGGAGAATCTGTTCCGGCGCTGGAAGGACACCGCCAGTGGCTGGTCCCACCAAACGCGCTACTACGTCGTCAATAATCACCTCTTCCTCCGCGTCATCAGTTCCACCTTCGCACCGGCCGGTCTTCCACTCAGCGGGCAGCGACATCTACTATACTCGCGGGAAGACTATTCGCCTTACTTCTCCGTTTGTGCGCACTGGCGAGACGGCGAGTTGATGAACTTGTGCAAGTGCGCGCTCAATCACATTCCGAAGCCGCGTCAGGGGAATGGGCCCGAACAACAGCTCGCGCGGCGCATCGACTCACGCATCAAACATGTTCCGACTGCCACGCAAGTCGTCAGCCAGTGCACGGAATGCAAGTCAATCCGTCGCTGCACCGAATGTCCGACTGAGTATCTGATCGAGCTCAAGTTAGCCGAGGACAAGAGCGACCCATTTCAGAAATTCAAGCAGTCCATCTCGGTGACTCGATGGAGTGATTTGGGCGACGGGACAACACCCGCGTCGCCTGAGTGGGCGGCGGTGAATGGAGAGGCGGAGTACGATTCGTTCAAGGCCATCGGAAAGCGTGCGGTTTCAGCAATTTTTGAATCGCAGGACAGCGATTTCATACCGTATCAAGCAGTCAAGTCGCTTAATCCGAAAGGCATCAAGAAAGGCGAGGATGGGCACAACTGGTATTAGAGATAAGGGACGACACCGTCTCTTTGCGGAGCCCTATCCAAGTGCGCTAGGAGCTGTCGTGGCATTTCATGGGCGTTGGGTCATCTCCTACAGTGGATCTTTAAGTTTAAAGCGGGATTGTTCGGAACGGTTGCCATAGCAGGGTCTCCTCGAACACCAAAGCGACCGAGCAACTAGATGGCCTGCGGCCTCATTTTCAGATTGCAAACGGTGGATAATAATTTCATTTCCGAGGCTGCTTATGGTTTTGAAACGAAGGCGGTACTTGCAAAATTCTACATAGCTAGCATAGAGATATAGTCTCTCATTTATACCCTGGGTGGTCTCACGGACAGGCCGGTTGCATGTTAGTTCTTCAAGGTCCACCTCTTATTCCTCGTATTTGTAGTGTATAAGCTTTAGTTTAACTCTTGCGTAGATAACGCTTAGGGGGACAGTGGGGTCAAGTAGAAGAATGCGCATGATACATGGGATAGGGGTATGCGCATAAAAAAGCGTATAGCCCATTCTCTTACTGGTTTGTAATGTTGCTCCGTTAGCTACGGCAAGTAGATAGAGCGTTTTTGCTTGTAGCATTGGCTGGCTCATCGGAGTCTACTATATTGTGGTCTAGCCAATGAAGATGCATTGCTAAAAAATAGAATGAGTCGTCTATTCTGCTGTTACAGGCGTGATAGCAAACTGGTAATGTTTCGACCCATTTGATTGGCGGTGAAGGCTTAGCAGTGGGCGGACGGATGCAAATGGAAGGCCGGCGTTCTACTAAGAGTGTTCCTGAGCCTCGACAAGATGGCGTGTGCGTGAGCTAGAATACATATCGGAAATTGCCGTATCAGGACAACGTCCTTCGTGGGGGCGAACAAGTGAGGCTCGCACGCAATGATGGCGGAAGTGTTGGTGCAGTCAGTCAAAGATGGTTGCACGGAAAGCGCTGGGTCCGCTCAGGCGAGGTTGCATTTGCGTGACAGTAGATCGTCGGAATGAACATGAGCATCGGCAACGTCGGAGCGGCTCACTCGTATCATGAGGCGAGCTAAGCGCAGTCGGCGAGACTCACGATGACGCGGAGAGTGGGCGTGTATCCTTGGGTCCGTCCGAGGGCAGTAATAAGGCCGCGAGGTGCCGGTCGGGCGTCGCGATAGAGCACCACAATAATAGTGGGCGGCCTGACGATAGCTGGCTTGAGGCTTTTTGCGGTGCTTGCACGTGAAACTGTGACGCGGTGGGCTTGTGGATGGGGGCTAGGCGCTCCCCCGGCTATCGACTGGTGGCGGAGCGCCAGGCGGCCGTGCAGGCACATCGTGAGGCGCCGGACGGGCGGCCTTCTGGTGTTGGAGAGCGCGCACCAGCGGCTCTGCAGCGCGCTGCGATCAGGCCATGGCACGACACAAGCTGGCCGAACGCAGAGCATCTTGCCAAACGCTCGAAGCGCCCGGGCTCAGCCGACGTGAGGCACGGCAGGCGCAAGCGCAGGCCGCAGGGCGCGGCCCCTGCGCGCTTCTCCACACGCCGCTTGCCCGCTTTCGCCTTGGTTTCCGACCGACCCCGCGTGCTGATTATCACGCCAATCACGCAGCCAATGCCCGCCCGCAAGTTACACGCCCACCCTCGACGCCTGCTGCTGCACCAAAACCCGCGGCTCTCCCCTCCGTCAGCTCTTCCACCCTCCACTCCCCTTTCCGCAGCTCTGCTTTCTTTGTGCCTCGCCCGTGGGTTGACGCCCGCGCTCATCTATTGCACACCAGGCACACTGAGGTACGTCACAACAGCTGATTGCTCCACAGCGTCTCCGCACCGCTCACGCGAGCCGCTCTTCCCCTCGTCCGCCGCCCAAGCTTCCCGTCCCTCACCCGCCAGCACTTATTCTAACCTCTCCTTCGTCCAGCACCCTGCAACTCGCACCCCTCGCCTCCAGGCCACGCATGACCACCGTCACCCACTGCATTCCTCACCATGCTGGCTCATAGCATCAACCGGGGCGTCTCCAAGCACGCCATGCCGCGTGCCCAGCTTCCCTCTGTTGTTTCGCGCGGCGTTAGCAACTGGGGACGTCGACGCTGGCCGCGATGGCGGGACGAGGCCGACCAGGAGTGGAAGCAGTTCCAGGTCAAAATGGATGCCTTCCACAAGCAGATCGAGGCTGACCCCTACGAGGCCATTTTTGGCCGCTCGAATGAAATGCTTCGCGGCATCCTGCGCAGTCCGCCTGCCGACGATGCTCCGAAGAAGACCGTCCCCATCTCCACCGAATCCAAAGCACAGGAGCCATCGTCTGCTGTTGAGCACCAACCTACGGTCGAACTTTCCTACGACCCAATCACTGGTCGAATGGTCCCAAAGTATGGTGCTTTTGATGCCCCGCTTGCTGAGGATTCTTCAATACATTACTCCCAAAGCCACCACGATCCCCGTGACGACTCCTTGTCCGCCTACGACAAGAAGAATACCAACACATCAGCACACTCGAACGGCTGGGTCCCCCAGGAGGACTTCACTCAGACCTCAGCCTCAAAGTCCAACACAACCGAACATGATCATCTACAGGAATCCTTGGCCAAGTATGACAGGCACATGCGCGAGCAGCCTCAGAAGCCGCCAGCCCCGCCATCCGAGTGGCTCGTTCAGGAAGTCCACTATGAGAGCCCTCCTTCCACGCTGAATCGCCTCGAGCTGCAGATCAAAACTGGCCAAGCAATGACTCGCAGTATTGCCACCTATGCTCGGGGGGTGCAAACTGCTTCACAGGATCTGTCACAGGAATTTGATGAGATTCTAACTGGAGTCATGAAAAGGGTGGAAGCCAAGAGAATCTTTGAGAGGCGTCAACGTCTTGCAGAGCAATTCGCCAAGGCTATGGCTGAGGAAGCACCCGTAGAGACTTCTCTTCCCCGCGCTGCGAGAAAGAGCTTCGACGATGGATACTCTCAGGCCCCAACTGGTCTGCAGACATCATTTGAAAGAGAGAAAGCCTCCGGTCGTGACCTGGCTGCTGAGATTCAAACCAGGACCAACCCAGTGCAATATGACGATGGCTATTCCCATAAGCCAATGGGTCTGCAGACGTCTTTTGAGATGGAGCAAGCCGCTGGGCGGTCCCTTGCTGAGGACATCCAGGCAAAGACGGAGCCCCAGAACTACATCGTGGACGATGGCTATTCTAGGGAACCAATGGGTCTTGAAACATCCTTCGAAAGAGAGAAAACTTCAGGCTACTCGCTTGCCGATGAGATCAGTGCTAAAACGAGCCCAGAGCAGTATATCATTGACGATGGTTACTCGCGGGAACCAACTGGTCTAGAGACATCATACCAGCGAGAACTGGATTCAGGCCGAAGCCTGGAGCAAGAGATCCAGGCCCGTGACAATGCTCACCTTGCATCGCCGGACGATGGGTACTCCCTTGATCCTACAGGTCTCCAGTCCTCGTACGCTCGCGAGCTCGAAGCTGTGAGGAATGGTGAGAAGATCTCACTTGAAAAGCAGCTCAGCGAGATGTCTCTTGGGGCAGCCACATATTCGGACATCTGCACCCCGAAGGCGCCAGACAGCTCGATTAGCTATAGCGCATCGAAATCAGCCACAGCGCCCCCGAGGTCAGTCGAACAACGGAGAAAGCAAGGAGCAGCTCCGGACGAGGTCAAAGATTGGTATGGATATTCGCTGAAACCGCTAGGATTACAGACGTCGTATGAGCGAGAGGTCGAGGCCTGCCAGAAAGGCCAACGTAAATCTCTAGAAGAAGAGCTCCAGGAACAGGCTTTAGGTGCGGCGCGCGTTGCTTCCGATTTTGACGGCCAAGGATTCTCCCGGAAGCCCACCGGTCTTGAGACGTCGTTCCAGCGGGAGTTGGATGCATGTGCGAATGGTAAGAGAAAGTCCCTTGAGGAGGAGTTGGCTATTCCGGTCGATGGTGGTGCTGTCGAGACAATGAGCACGAAAGAAGAGGCCGCCAAGGTCGAGGCGGCACGAGAGCAACGTCTACACGACATTGCTCTTGTTCGTGAAGTGCGCGAGATCTACGAAAAGTACTATGGCAAGATCACCACTACTCACCGCCAGGCAGAGGAAGCTTCACTTGAACCCAAAGCTTTCGAGGATTGGCGTGTGGATGAAGATGTGCACAAGAGCCTCTCGTCCTACGACGAGAAGCATTCCGACGCTTACCACTTCAAGCCTGATAACCTCGAGGCTGAGCTTTCCTCGCCGGATTCCTCATCTCCACAGCCTTCTCAAGAGTCAACATCAGAATCTTCCGCAGCTGAACAACCATCAGGCATTTCCGCCGCCGATGCTAGTGGACAGACTCATGTTGCAAATGCAAACTCCAAGGAGACTGACCCCGCCGCCACGAATTCTGCAAAACCACGTATCTACAAACTCCTCGCCTTCGACCCCTCGACAAGATCGCTTACCACTTCTCAAACATCCTCTACGGTCCACAGTCCTGGTGAACACCCAATCCCCCTTAGCGTTGCGCTCTCGAACCTGTCTCAACCGGCCAAGTTTATACCACAACTCACTTCTCTTCAAAAAGACGGTTATGAACCTGTCGTCTCGGCCGCGAACCTCTTGATCCTGCGGCTTCGCGATGACAAGTCTGTCAAGGAGACTCACAAACGTGCTCCTCGTCCTAACCCGGTTGACGGTACCACAATTCCCCTGCCTCCTACTCCCACCATGTCCCCCACTGGTTACATCAACCTCGATCCTGTGATGGAGAATCCGGCTACCGCCAGAAAATCTTCGACTCGCCACAAAGATGATAAGAAGGTGCGCAAGACTGAGCCTGTCTTCTCAGGCGAACGCCGCAGGGAGGGCTCGAAGGGACAGAGCGTCAAGACTGTCCTGACTACTTTGATTTGGGCCACTGCTGCATGCTACGTTGCCGGTGTTGCCGGTGAAGTGGCCAAGGGATACTAGACCAAGCGAGTTGTATCCTTTGCATTGATATTTCAACGACTCGTGGGCATTCGACAAAGACATTTGGCAATTGAGAATATCATCGTTGTGTACTACTAGGCATCAACACTGGGCATGCAACGCTGGACAGGCATTGTACTCATTAAGACACCCGATACCCCTCCCCACTTTTGGTTTTCTGGATTTCACCCTCTCACGACTTTACGACGGAAGCAAATAGCATGTACCCTTGACCTCTCTCCATGATTCCCCTCTTGTTTAGCTAGCTTCCAATAGCATTGAAACCCTTCTCCCGCAAATTCAGCTCAAAGGTGCCGAGATGACTGTGACGCACATATATGATCCAAAGTACTCGACAAAAAGCGTTATGCCCTGTCGTCTATTAACTTACTGTCAAGCATTCATATATTTCTATGCTCTGGTAGAGATAGTAAAGACGAGCCCAGATCATGTAGACATTGAGAAGCGGTCATATTTCGTCAATGAACCATGACACTTGAGGCAAAAAAGAAGAAAAAAATGTCAGACCACCTAGCATGTCATTGCCATAGTTGTATCCATGTCCGCTCAATGGACCAACACCAATCCTTTCTTAGTATCTTCGTACGGTCAAAATCTTGCTACGTCAAGTTTTCATGTCTACCCCATCAGTTGAGTGCTCACAGGAAAGCAATGTCAAATCTGTGCCACAACTTATGCACCGTGCATCGAGGATACGAATGGTAAGAAAATGCAGTGGTATCATTATCCCAGAAAAAAAACCTAATGCCGAATATGCCGATGCAAGCTCCCCCTGCTTGAACCATCCAAGCCCCGATCCCAAATCCTCATTATGATAGACATGAACGTAACCAAAGAGACCCGTGACCGCATCATAAAAACCCGGAAAGTATCATACATCGTGAATCTAAACCGTTATTACACCTTCACAACGCCATTTTCCCCCGACCTTCTGTTTGGTCCTGACGCTGAACAGACGGCTGATGCAAATGCAAATGCAAATGAATGCACCCCCGCTTACCTCCTCAAGCGGCTTCCCACGCTGCTTGCCTTGCTGCTCACCCAACTGCCGCTGCTACTCACCCAGCTTGGCGTGCCGAAGCTCGGCAGCCAGCCGGTGAACTTGCTGGTGCGTCCAAACTTCGTCTTCGGACTGCTGCTGCTCCTGCTAGACCTCTTACGCCACTTCAACCGGCCCTCGGCGATCATGTGGATGATGTTGATGACGCCGAATGCGCTCGAGCCGATGGCGCGGAACAGTGCCACCGCAGCGACGCTCCACAGAATGAACTTGAGATAGAAGTTCGCGCCGACCTCGCCAACCGGGTAGGCTTCCGAGACAGCCATGGCTAGGATGGCGTTGCAGATCATCCACACAACGACCATGTAAGTACGGACGGCGCGGTAGTAGTCTTCCTGGGCCTGACTCTCGCTGAGGCCCGGCGCGGGCACCTCGATGCGGTCGCGGAGATTGCGAAGGGCCTCATCGTAGCCGGAATCAATGTCGAGCTGCTCCGAGGGCATTTCCAACTCAACCGTGTTACCACTTCCTTTGGCCTGGCCGAGGTCGCGGCTTTGCACATTGTCGCCCTTGGTACCCCACGTAACGTCGTGCGCGTTGCAGAAAGCGTACACCTGAAGTGTGCAAATGTAGGCGGGAAGCAGGGCAAAGTACTGGGCCGAGGAAGTGATCATGTGCCAGGGATCCAGATACAAGAACGACATGAGGAAATACAGGCCGATCGTACTGGCTGTGCTGACAATCATGTTGGTGAAGATGTTGTTGCCGAGCTCGAACTTCGTGTCTGGATCGCGCAGCTGGTCGACAACGATGTAGATTGACGCGAACGTCACATACATCATGATGACACCATACACAATCATAGAGAAGAGGAACATCTTCTTCGCTCCCTGAGGACGATTTCCCATGGACAGGATGAACTGCATGCAGATCAAGAGGACGCAAGAATATCGCAGGATCTGGAAAATTACGTGACCCATGCCATGTCCGAAGGGGTCCAGCTTGGGGTCACTGAGAGAGCCGGCGATGAAATAGAATGTCAAGTAGAAGTTGGCCTGTATCAAAAATTAATAACCTGAGGCGCTACACGTATTTTATTGATTCACTTACCAAAGAGAAGTACGTGAAGAGCAAGCTGACGAACTGATAGACGAATTCGACGTGCAACAGAATCTTCCGCCAGAGCGTGTGGTCTGTTGCCCAGATTTGCCTGAAGTGAAGCAGAGAGTACACGGCAGCGAAGAACGCTCCGTTCAGCCATCTGCGACGCTGGGAAATGAACTCGGGAACGGCATCTGCACAGTTGTTAGCTACTGCATTCGAACCAGCATGAGGAGGAGCTTACCTGGCACATCAGTCTCTCCAGTCGCACTCTTCACGTATTTCAAGACCCATCTTTCGCTTCTCTTGGCAACCAGCTCCCAGCAGAGAATACGATCCTCGGCCAAGTACATGTTCGCCGTGAAAACGTCCGCATCTTGACCATGGAGCGTTTCTCCCTTGAAGTATTGGCTCAGGGGGCCATGTCCAGTCTCGTCGTTCTGCAGGGCGTGGTACCGATAGGCACTCAAAGCACCCGGCAAGACAGTAATGTAACCAAAAACCGATTCGAGTGGCTTGTCCAGGATATTAGACATCTTGTACTCGAAGTTCTGAGAGGCGACCAGCGGGTTCAGAAGACCCAGCCAACCCTTGCCCTTGCCAGCCTTAATCTCACCGGCAGCACCGGCAACGCTCGAGTCCGTGTCAAACGCCTTCCAAAGATAGTACAACGCCTTCGAACCTGGCTTGGTACCAACGTCGAGAAGAATGCAGATGTTGGGGTTCAAGGCGCGGCCAAAAGCGTTGAAGAACCATCTGTGGGAGTTGAGCTTCTTCTGGTTTTTCTCTTTCAAACAGAAGACAATCTGACACGGAACAATTCCCTTCTCGGCACCCTTGAATCTGAGGTCGGAATCGAGAGATACCTGGGTGGTGTATTCGTAGACGTGGGCTGTGACTTCCTTGTCGTTGACAGTGTTCTTGGCGATACCCTCCTGGTAACAGCCCATGGCCGCCAGAGCGTCGAGGACACGAGGATGCACCTTTTGACGGCCGTCTGCAATGATGCAAACGACAATTTTCTGCCACCCGTCCTTACCCCAGGTTCTACTCTTTGCGCGAGAGCAGAAATGCGAGATGTTGCGCATGACGCCATGCATAGTGCGGGTAAAGTCAATCTCGTTCTCGTTGTACATGGTGACAGCGATGAACAACTCCGTCTCACGTTCTGTTGAGCCAAAATTTTGACGCAACTTGTAACCCTTGTCGACAAAGTCATCGGGATCGCACGTCACAGCAGTGTACCGCATGTGGGTGAATTCGCTCCCGTCCTTGCGGGGAAGGAAACTGTAGAGAGTAGTGGGGATCTTGCACTCGAGGATCAGCTCGCCATTAACAAGGCGGACTTCTCGTTTCTCCACGCGTTTCTGACGGGCGCCGCGTCGTTCCTGCTTTCCGGGGCTTGGGGCTGGACCCATGTGCTTCTCGTCGTAGAATTCGTCAGTAAAAGTCGAGTGGCTGTTGAACGAGTCCACTGGGTGGAGCTCGGGCCTCGAGCCCATGTCGCCGTCAGCGCCAAAGACATCGTCGTTGTCAATAGCAATGGTAGCTTCGCTGTGCTTCGAATCGCTCGAAATCGGACGACCGCCAGCAAAGAGTGGCTGGGGCGGCAGTGGGCGTTTCGGGCTGCCGCCGTAGCGGGACGACGGCGTGCCAGGGCGTGGACTACCGTTCAGGTCGAGAGGCTCATAGGCAGCGCTGGATGCAGGGGGCCGGATGGAAGGGGTCCAGGGTCTCGTCGGCGATCCGGCGCGGTTGGTCGGGGTGGCAGCACGGTAAGGCATGTAGGCGTCGTCGAGGTCAGGCGGAGGAATGTGCGGTGCGGTGTCCAGGATAGAGGGAGCTCTCGAAAGCGGCAGCGAGGTGGTGGACGGATAGATTGACGAATCGTATGAGGACTGCGGGGCCGGCCTGTCAAGTTGTTCTGGTGAGCCTTGTGTATTGGCGGCAGGCTTGCGCTTGACGTTCAGCTTGATCGTCTTCTTGATCTTGTCGGTGCCGCGCTTGAAGGCAGAAGACTCTGGCGCAGGGTCGGGCTGCTGCGGTTGCGAATTGGACAGGGACTGCTCGGCCTCGCGCAAAAAGTCCGCCATGGGATCTTCGGCATGCTGAGTTGGTGGGGCACCCGGCGGAGGGCGAGACCCGAAGGTCAAGCCAGGTCCCCGGGGCTGGGAGGAATGTGCTCCCGAGAGAGGACTGGGCTCCAGTGGCGGTAGCGCTGCTGAAGGACTGGGGGGTACTAACGGGCTGTAGTCGTGGGGGTCGCCATGGGTCAGCAGGCGCATCGACGAACCTGCGCGCGAGTAGTGCTCGGGCGACGGCGGGTAATCGTCATCGTAGTAGCCATACTCGGGCGGGGCTTGGTAGTTGGGGGTGCGAGAGCCGTCCATGGGAGCTCGCGGGCCCGGGGCGCGGGTGGAATGCGATGTGCGTCAGATGTGGGGGATCGCTGGCGGCAGCTCGGCGGAACTCGAGGCAGCTGGTCTGGAGGCGCGACGCGACGAGCAGAAACGACCGACTGGAAGGGCGGCAGGTAGTGGCGAAGAGAGAGTGTAGTCAAGCAGGACAAACAGGCGGCGGGAAAAGTGGGAGCAGAAAAGGCTGGAGGCTGAGGCGCGAGCGCGCTTTGCTGGCTGGGAGGCTGGGAACGACGCTAGGGCTGTTTGCTGCCCTGGTGTTGTCCGGGCGACAAACCGGGAAGGCGCGCCATTGGCCCTGCCGACGCGCGCCGCCCCTGCTGCCCGACGCGACACGCGCGCGCCTCAGGCACCGCGCAGCCACCTCGGTCTGGGTACGTCATACCCCGTGGGCTCCGCGGACTCCTTCGGCATCCGGCCGCCCCACCAGAAAGCCACCTCGCCGCGCAACAATCGACTTCGCCCCTGACTCTCTTTCTTCAGCTCGCAGTTGTTAGCAAAGGCGAGACCAACCTTGCCTGCTGCGTTGCCGATGCTCCTTTCTGTGGTTGGGTTGCGTGGTATTGCAACAAAGTCGGCGAGTTGAAGCTGCCATTGTCCGTCCTTTATTGCAATCCCATGCAAACCGTCCTCGTATACCTACTAAGCACGACTCTTGTGGCTGCACTAGGTGTCAGTGTCAGAAGACGATGATAGGTGCATCCGTTCTAGCCGGAAAGCGCCGCCGCTCCGTGGCCGCGTCCCAAACACTGGGCTGGATCAAGGGTTCCCCCACAGTTCGAGAACAGACAAGCTTTAATCCCTCAAGGCTTGTTTCTGCACTGCCTTCGTATTGGCCGCTGTCAACGACTGTCTGGTGCAACGCAAGCCGCACACTAACCCCAAAATCATCACCTTTTCCTCGTCACCCTTTCCCTCCATCGCCTTCATAATACGAGCTGATTTCCCCCCAAGCCACGACCTGCCCATACTCTCCTTTCTGACCTACCATGCAACGAAAAATGTCTGCCCATCCCCTCGCTTTTTATCTCTTTCTTCTGTTCGCCATCTTGACCGACGGCCATCGCGCACCCCCATGCAAGAAGCTGGATCCCACCAACGCCGCCGGCAGTGGCAGCATCCTCAACAGCACGCGGCTCGTGCTGACATTGGAATGTACTGACTGTCCCGTGTTCGATATTGGCATCGAAAAGTCTTGGAAGAGCAATGACGCCACACTCGTACGCCTCGAAACCGCCGAAGATAAGGCATCGCTGACCGCCGTAGATATACGACCTCACCATGTCCGACACAAGAGCGGGCAACTTGGTCTGGACTCACGCAGATCCAGTCGATATCGACCGCCGTATACCATTCTTTCCGCCCGTCGACTTTGGATCACTCTCCCCATTTCAAAGGGGGCTCAACCTATTAGCCCCGCCTTCCACAACCGTGTCCGAATATCTGGATGGCGCTGTCGAATCAGTAACGCCCCTCCGCGTACCCGGTGCAGCCACGAGTATCGGCATTGCCAACCCGCATCGCTGGAATATCAGTCGCATCTCCTACATTAACGGTTTAGCGTATACAGGTCCGGGAAAGGAGATATTTGACATCGCAGTTGTCCTGGTTTACCTGTTTCAAAACGGCACGCAGCCAGTCGAGATTGTATGGTGGGAAATCCAGGACATTGATGACTACCACAAGGATACATCCGAGCCGCAGCTACCTACCGGTCTGGAGCTCAAGCTCCTAGGGGTAGAAGAAAGTGATTATCGCCAGCAGGAGGAAGAAAGTAGTGTTAGAGCAGGACCCCTGGGACTTGGCAGACCATACTGGACTCCTTTAGTTTTCATTACCTTGGGGGTTGCTGCTCTCTGCGTCTTATTGGCGAGATTGGTTGCAGGGTGCTTTTGTGGAGACGGCTTCTATGAGTACGATCTACTCGAGAAAGACGAGCGAGAAGTGGATGAAGAATAATGCACCACTTTGCTTGATGTGGATTGGAACCCGTAGTTCTTTTTTTTACCGTGAATTGCAAAAAAAATTTACCGTCTCAAACTGATGATCAGAGGTGTTTGACCCTGACTATTGCCTACGAGTAGATGATCTCATGTAATTTCAAGCATGAATCTAAATCCGCGGAGTTGCTTCAAGGGAAAGTGATGTTTTCAACCGGCAGAAAACAGAAAATTAGATTTTATGTGACGTACTGCGTGATGGAAACGAAACACCGTTAAAAAGTACTAGGCTCGAAGCATAGATGCGATATCATAGGGAGCTCGCGTTTTGACCGGAGTATTCGGGCAAGTTCGTTCTTACAATTATGCCGGCAAGCATGAGTTGATTTTCGCGTTGATATCAAACCCGTATTCTTGCCTACATACTTCCTACCTCGATAATCATCGCAATGCATACATGGATGTGTGTTAAGTTCGGCCTAGAGACTAGCTATTGTAAGCAAAGAAGGAAGAAGAGTTGGCATCACATGCTAGAAGCAAGTTGGCCCAAGGTTGTTTTTACGATCCGTCAGAAACTAGCGTTGCACGGGTTGCTAAGCACCAGGCAAATGCGGGGACGCGGTTTGTCAGATCTGAGGTTTGATCGGCGAGAGCTGGGTGCTGACGTGCAAACTAGTTTATGAGCACACATGCTTATGGGAGTGGACCAGGAACTAAATGCCCATATAACGTCAAGGCTTCCTTCAAGCGCTCCGATAATATCCTAACTTCTTCTCTCTACAGTCCAGCACCACCACTGTATCATAGAGCAGAGGAGTAAGGAGGATAGAAGAACTTCCCGCTCGACGTCGTCGCTCACTCGAGAGTACAGCAAACAGAGACAATGCAGTCGAACAAGTTGGATTTCTCCTGTGCCCTGGTCACTGGAGGCGGCGGCGGCATTGGCAAGGCCTTTTCCGAGTACCTCATTAAAAAGGGAAAAAAGGTCATCATCGCGGGTCGCACCGAGTCCAGTCTCGCATCCACAGCCAAAGAGATCGGAGCTACGGCCTATTATGTCCTGGATACTAGCGCAACCTCGACATTTCCCGCGTTCATCAACAAAATCACGACGGAGCACCCTGAAGTTGACTGCCTGATCAACAACGCGGGCGTACAGCGACCACTGCAGGTGCTCAAAAATAACGCAACCGACTTCCTTGAGAAGGCGGACCAAGAGATCGACACAAACATCCGCGGGCCGATGCACCTTGCGCTAGGCCTACTGCCACACTTTCAGTCCAACCCGAACGGTGCCGTCATCATCAACGTGTCCAGTGTGTTGGGCTTCGTACCAATCAGCATCATAAACCCCGTCTACAACGGCACTAAGGCATGGCTGCATTTCTGGTCAATGAACCTGCGCACGCAGCTGAGAGACACGAAGATCAAGGTCATTGAAATTGCGCCACCCACGGTCGCGACGGCTCTGCACCGTGAGCGAGACGACCCGGACGACAACAAGAAGGATAAGAACCCGAATGCATTGAGCGTGGAGGAGTTCATGGAGGAAGTCGCCAGGAAACTGGAGAGGGGCGACGAGACGATCGGAGCTGGCATGGCAGCTGAGCTAGTGGACAGGTGGTTCGGCGCGTTTGGCGATCAGTATGCGGAGGCTGCTGGTGGGAAATAGAAGACGCCGGCGATGGGGTTATTTACTCGAATATAATGTGTTGTGTGGAGAGTTGTGATGCTTGGTGATGAGATGCTATGGTATCCCAAACTAGACTAGCGTGAGCGCGTCGCGCTTGCTGCCGGCGGATTTGCATTGTTTACGCCTGCAGCTTACAAGCTCCTCCCCGCCAGCCCTCGTCGCCAACTCCCACCGGACACCACAACGACAACCACCCACTCCCGCGCGACTGCGCGCTCCCACTGCACAGCCATGTCTCGACGCGCAGCTGCGCCTACTCTTTCCTACATGGTCGACGAGTCTGCCTCCGAGGACGAATTCGCCAAGGATTCAATTGCCCACAGCATGACCTCCGATTCCCTCGTCGAGAACGCCGTGCCCACCAAGAGGCGAGCTGTCGGTCGCCCAAAGGCAGCCGCTGCCAAAGTTCAAAAAACAACTCGACGAGCCAGTGGCGCATCTGCCACCGCAGGGAAGGCCAGAGTCGCAAAGAAAGCGCCACCGAAGAGGGAGGCTTTGGCTGAAAGACCCGAGCCCAATGCCACGGACACTGAGGAGGCTGAAGATTTCGACGATTTGGAGAACGCTGCCCCGGTTGCAACGAGCAAAGCTAGAGGTCGCCGTAAACAGGCCGACCAGAGCCTAACCGCGCCAGAACCGGCGAAGAAAGCCAAGGCCGCACCGAAGGGACGAGCCCGACAGACGAAGAAGGAGCCCTCTCCGGACCCGCCAGCGATGATCGTTCCCGAGACGCAGGATGATCCAGATCCAATGGACATCGAACCATCGATTGAGGACATCCCGGAGCTGCCCGAGACCCAGCCGTTGATGAGGCAAGACAGTCGCGCCAGGTCTGTCTCCAAGCAGCGCGCACCGGCATCTTTCAGACGAGGAGGCAGCGTCGCCTCAGATACTGAAAGGCTGGGCAACGACCCAACGCTGCGCAGGAAGCTTGGTGAGATCACCAAGAAGTTCGAGAATCTAGACGTCAAATATCAGAACCTGCGTGATGTCGGTGTACGCGATGCCGGGGTCAATTTCGAGAATCTTAAGAAGAGCACGGATGATAGAGCAAGAGGTAAAGTCTTGGCAGTCTGCAAAATTGAGAGGCTAGAAGCGCTGACTCTGGTACAGCACAGGATGACCTCATTGCCTCATTGAAGAAAGAATTGGCCGCTCAACGTGCCTTGGCGATGGAATCGAAATCTTTGAAGAGTCGAGTGGCCGAGCTCAGTGCGACCAACAAGCAACTTGCGTCTGAGAAGAAAGCACTTCATACTCAACTCTCAGAGTCGCAGACCGAAGTCAAGACGCTCACAGCGAAGTTGGCCGCCACAAGAGCTTCGTCGGCGAACCCTGAGCCCAAGGTTCCAGGCAGCGCCGTCAAGGCTCAGAGAGCAATGACTGCCGGCAGCTCTGAGGCAGCAAAGGATTCTCAGATCAGGCAGTTGAAGGAGGACCTCTACAGCGACCTTACTGGGCTGATCGTTAGAGCAGTCAAGCGTGGAGAGGACGAAGACATTTACGACTGCATTCAAACTGGTCGCAATGGCAGTAAGTCTTCCCCGTGGGTACGATGCGACAGCTCGTTGACATTTGTAAAGCGCTGCATTTCCATCTTGCCGTCGCTTCGGACGATAATCCGTCCAGCCAGAGTTATGAGGAGGCTGAATTCGCGTATACGCCTCTACTTGACGAGAACAGGGATCGTGACCTCTTGGACATCCTTCCAGATTACCTGACCGAAGAGATCTGCTTCCCTCGCAGTAGCGCAGCAAAGTTCTATGCAAAAGTAGTCGACTGCATGACAAAGAAGGTTGTTATCGAGGATTAGACGGAATTTATTCTGGGGATGGGAGAGGAAAGGATGGTACGGTTGGGTCTGGGCGTAATGGGCACTGCAATATACCTCTGGGTTCGCTTTACCGGATTTGTGTCTGGTACACCACTGTCTTTCTACGGTCATGGGATTATCCGGTTACCCGGCTTTTGGTGCGGGTATTATTGAACATTTACACCAATGCAATGATGACTCTTCCTGCTCCTTTCGGAGTAGGGCAGACAAACAACCCATTGACCTCGCGAACATGATGGTGGCCCACGTCCACATGTGTTGAGGCGGCGTAACGCCGGCACCAACGGCGCAAAAGGTACTACCCTACTTAATCCATTTTCTGAGCACGGTTAGACTCTTTTGGTGGATGAAGTGAGTGATCTGCACGTGCATGTAAGTTTTCACATACGTACAACAGCGTACGGACGTCGAACCCGATTATCCAAGAAAGTGGAGTGCAACGTGATATTCTTGCGAAGGGTGGAATAGCCTTTTCGGCAAGAGGGCCCGAATGCAATTCTCAATAATTGGACGTGTTTGGTACTGCTGGATCACGAGTCCACCACCGCCCATGGACGTCTCCATGACGCGATTCGGTACGCTATAAGCTCTCTGTGGCACGTAGATCCGACGTTCGAAGTTATCGATGGGCGGGCCAATTGCAAGAAGAGCCACAATCGAAAGCAGTGGTGTGGCTGACGAAAACGGGAGGCTGACTCTGCTTCTACTTGGCTTAGTAGGACCAAAAGGGGGAAGGAAGGGATTCGTCGGGTTTTGATTACTGATGTGGGCAAGGACTTGGTGTCTGTGACGGTGAAGGAGTGGCGACTATGCTGCTGTTCTCTCGAGGTTGCTTGCTTTTGTTATTGCTCAGTACTGTGCATTCTCTATCCAATTCACAGCGGACAGTATTGTCGATAACCTGCTGCTGTTCCCGTCCCTAAGCACCAGCTTGAGCACCTCTTGTATGCACACGACACATTCCTATGCACCAGACGCCCAGCAAAAATTTTCTTTCGGACATGGTGGTCACTCATGCAGCGGCATGTAATGGCAGGTGGTTTCGAGTCGGGATTGACGACACACCGCAAGTCAGGTCTCGAAGGAACAGAAATTGTAGTCCGCGATACCGACACCCCTGCTACGCGCGACCCGAGCGCCCTTCACCAACCCATGTCTTTCATTTGCGACGTTCAAAGTTATGGAGCAACCTGCCAATAGCGAGCGATATCGTGAGTGCCAGTAGCGGTCAAAGCCACCGGCTGCAGGGAAGCACTGATGAGGAGCTATGGTAGACTATGGGTGCTGGCGCCCCCATCAAGGTGACCATCGCTTTTCGGACCGGCTTTTGGGCCGAGGGCGCGATGCGGCGGGCTTACCGCTGGATCGGTGCGCTGGCGGTGGCTTTGGTGGCTTGCACTCCGCGGACCACAACCCTTGCCTCTCAGGAGGGCGACGGAAATGAGCAGAGAAGATTCGCTTGGGCTCGGTACAGGCGTTTCTCGAGTGAGGCAGGCAAGAGGCACAGGCGAGAGGGATCATCCTTGTGCGGGGACTCGCGCGCTCTCGCAGGAACAAGTCGATCCCGAGCAGACTGCGCGATGGAGACTTCGCAGCAAATGGCATGGAGATATTCATGATGTGAGAACGCATGGCGACGTCATAGTCTCTGTTCTCTTTGCGTTGCCGAGTTCACGGCGTACCGCACCTCTCAGCCCTGCAGCATTCGATCGAATGACCAATCTCCTCGTCTGCATGTACACCGAGGGCAGCTGTCTCAGACGCGAGACATACGAGTGGACGAGCTCGTATCTGATGCACATCCTCGCCAAACGACTGCCTAATGCCAGCACGCGGGTCCTTTTTACAGCCGCCGATCTGACGGAGACGGCAAAGAGCTAACGGCCTGCGACCCCGGGTACCGTCTGTTCCTTCCCACCCAAGCACCCAGCCAATGCCTCTAACCGCCGGGGGGCAATACTCGTCCGACAACTTCCAACGTAGGGACAAGACCTTGGCTCGCCCTCTGACCAGCCAGATTGCGCCGTCGGCTCGCGGTCCGCCGGCTTGGTAGGGCCGCGCGTTGCACCGCAGAGCCAGTCTGCCGGCAAACTTTTATCATCTCTTCCCTCGAGGCCTCGCCCGGCACTCATGGTCCAACACGCATTGGCCTCATGCTCGCTCAGGCTGTACGTCAACGCCCTCACGAGGGAACGTGAAGCGTTAGCCAAGGCTCCAACCAGCTGCCAAGCGCCCATGGAAAGGGGAACAATACGTAGAGTTGGGCGAACAGTAGACTCCCACACAGCCATTCTGCATTGGGAGGTTCGTGCATGCTTCTGTTGCCAGGAATTCGTCAGACAGTTGGGACGAGGTGCAACGTAAGATATGAGCGTGGGAATGACAACCCATGTGGGTAATTAAAGTCAACATCAGGATGCATTCGAATAACTTTGTGCTTTATATCTGCATTAAGGTACTTGCTTCGAGTGCCTATGCAGGAAAAGTGTATCACCTTCTGCAGGACACAGAAATGTACAATTCTCTGCGACCCGCCGTATAGACCAGTGCCTTCAAATCCCAAAGAGTGCGCAGAGATGTAATCGTGTATTATCGGGTTGCATGAACGTTCAGCAGCAGGCCACAGCGAAAAGTTGAAGCATTCTCTAATGCGCGGACATTAGAGTATGAGTTTCTCGCAAATGTGCTTCACATCGACGTCCCAATAAGCACAGCAGTCGCTTCATCGTGCCAGATCCTATGGCCTGGGTTTGTGAGCTGGAATGCTCGATTTCACCCTGTGATACAAATTATGAGACATGTTTCAATTCTACTTATCCTGGCATATTGGCATGTGCAACATCACAGGAGGGGCCAAATGCTGCCGAGCCGAGAATAGGGATATAGTCATGAGAATGTCCGAGTGGGAGTCGAAGCAATTAGATCCGGTTAAACGTATGTGCGTAATCAGGACTGCGCGCGCCTCCAAGGCTCAGATAGATCCCTGTATCAAGTGCATCGATGTTCCCAGGACCATTGGAAATTGGCCGTGTCTGCGGTAAGTACCCACGTCACGCAAGCAGAGGGGTAGATATTGGCAATCAAGCGTCGTCTTCCAGGTCGGAACCTTTCAGACTCGGCGACACCTTGTGTGGGGTAAACCTTCATTGGCTCTATGCCTATTTTGCCGTCCCTGGTATCCGAACCAAAAAGCCCCGATCGCCCTTTTATGCTCCCTCGTTCATTTCCTTTTCGAAGCCATTTACTGGCCGGGGCGGCGGTCGCCGAAGCGGCGGGGGCGCTCGGCAACCTGCTGCTGAGCAACGGGAACGACGTTGACGGGGATGGAGTCGAACTGCACCAATCCATTAGTCCCCACGGCACATGACGGGCACATCTGGGAAAACTTACGCCCAGGCTCTTAAGGAGATCCTTGGTCTCCTGGTCGACGTCGAGCTGGCCGCTGTCGGAGTTCTGGGTGAAGTCGAGAGCGGAAACCTCAGGAACGTATTGATCCTTGCGCTCACGCTCCTCCTCCTGCAGCTTGAAGGAGATACCGCGGACAGGACCACGCTGGATACGCTTCATCAAGTGGGTGGTGTAGCCGGCAATCTGTGGGTGCACGTGTCAGGACGGGTTTTCGCAATTCGCAGGACTGATGCGAACCTTGTTGCGGAGGCGCTTCGAGGCGATAATAGCAATCTCATCGCAGATCCTCTGTGATTAAAGGTCAGCGTTGGCTCGCCGTTGGCAGCGATTCTGGGCACACATACCTTGTTGGTCTCGAAGTCGAGGGTGAGCTTGGGGTAGTACCGCTCAATGATGACCTTGGCGGACTTCTTGACGGTCTTGGTGCGAACGCGACCCATGGTGGCTGTCGAACGGTGTTGATGTGGAGGAAAAGGCTGGTTCGGTGCGGCTGCAGGTCGTCGTCGTCGGAGTCAAGAAAGTGTGAGGTGTGCGCCAAAAGAGGTCGTCCCGGCTGTGCGTCGGCGAAACTGCGCAAGCGAGCCCGCCTGTCACGTGATCCCTGGAGCTTCGGGCACCACCCGCCCACCCTTTCTGTCCATAGCGGTCGCGAAGGTAGAAAAGTTGGTATATGGTCGGTGTGTACAAGCGCCTGTAGGCAAGTTTCATGAATCACACTATGCCCCCCACATCATTCCGTATCATACATAACAAAGACGCTTTCTCGGCTGCTCTATTGATCCACACCCTTCCGCGGCGTCGTGCCGGTCATGCGCTCCAGCATTTGAACAATCCTCTGACTATGCTCCTGCCCGCTACCGCCGTCTGTATCAAAGCTCGCGGCCCTCATGTCGAGCTCTTCAATCTTGGGTGCTACCTTTGCTTCCAGCTCCTCCTTCGACTTCAGAGATCCCTGTTTGATCCGCACGTCCTCTGGAACAGCAGGGTTCACGGAGAGCTTGATGCGGCCGGATGAATCGATGTAAGCCCGTTCTGGCGATACCCAGACCTTAGGGCCTCCCTCATCTTCGTACCTCATGGAGAAATATAGATCGTTCGCCTTGGACCCGCTTTGGAAGAGCTTGACGTCCGCAACAACACCACCGACACCAGCCTTGGGCTGCGAGGCCCTCTGGTTGGTTTGACGACCAACGAGCAGTCGAGCTTCAATTGGCTCTCTGGACGCCTGAGGGCCCAGGATCGGGTGGTTGTTCAGGAACGCTGAGCTGCGAAGATAGGAAAGACCAGCAGATGGGTGGGTGCTCGGCGGCCCCTTCGCTGCTTTGTTCCGCATGTGCTCCAATAATAGCTCACCCGCCGTGCCCTGCAACGCATCTGCGGGGAGAGGGTCTGCATGGACGCCTGGGAGATCGAAGAAGTCTCTGATAAGGCCGCTCATCTCCGACGACAGGGTGGTGTTTTCACGCAGAACCTTGACCACGTGCTCAAAGTCCTCTTCAGAAAACTGGAACGTCTCCTCGCGAGGCAAAGACTCCTGTGGAACACCGGCGTCTCTTGCCTTCGCCAAAGCGTCCGTGAAGGCCCTTTCATCAAAGTATTTTCTCAAGTGCTCCTTGAAAGCGTCCTTGTTCCGGCGAATCTGGCTCTCAAGGTAAGCCTTGAACTGGCCCTCGGTCATTCCTGCCATATAAGGTCCTTTGAATTTCCATTTGCTATGGCCCTTCTGCCGTGCCTCGGGGGTGAGCTGGGTGTTGTCGAAGCGTTCGTGGAAGACGCTGGCTCCAATGGCTTGCTTGCCTGACGCAGTCATGCGGGCCTCTGGGCTTAGAGTGAGTGGGATGTTCATTTCTTGCCACTTTTCCAGGGTGCGGACGTGGTCGCCGGCGCTCTCGAAATCGGTAAAGAGGTTGATCGTATCGATTTCGTACACTCGCATTGTTGGCGCGGATGAACGTGTCGTTTCACGAAGTGGCAGCGGCCGCTTCAAGCCCCAATCGCCACGGCCCAGGCTCGAAGGAGGCGTTGCGATGGCTTGACGAGTCGGAAACGGCTGTGTTGCGGTTTCAGAGGCGCTCGTGTAGTCGGACGAGGTGCCAGGCGCAGTTCCCGCGCCAGGAATCGGGGGCGGCAGTGAGAAGAGGCGCGAGCCGCGTAGCAGCTGCGCTGCAGGAGATGACAGCTTTCGCGACATGGTGGAATTGGCCAGCTGCGGTGTGCCGCAGGAGCAGCTGGTGGGAATGGGGACGACGCGGCAGGTGGGTTGTCCTCCGCGGCGATGAGATCTTCCAAATACCGCAAGACGTTTTGCCGAGCCGCCGACGCCGTTGGTGCCTCAGGCTTTACATCTCGTGACCATTCACGACCAACGATGCAATGCACCGCAATGCCCAGCCCCAGTTTGTTTAGGTTCACAGCGCATGTAATTCGATGTATTCGTGAAGTAACTCGTGAAGTACTGTCTGGCTCGACTTGGTACATAATCATTTCACTCGATCATGCCTATCTCCTCATTGGCCAGGGAGACTTTGAGATAGCCTCACCTACGCCTCTACGTGCTCGATCTCGAGCCGCGAGGGAGAAAGGGGGCGCTCTCGAGGCATTTATTTTTCTGTCCTGTTCCCTGTGCTGCCTCCTGCACTGTTGCTGGCACGAAGCCGTCCGCGCCTTTACCCCTCCGAATTTGAAAAGCCCAGGGCGTCCGGATTCCATGGGCCTGAGTGCTGGTGTTGGCAGGATTTCCAAATCGTGGGCCTTCATGATCCTGATAGCCGCATGACCAAGGGCACAGGCAAGCCAGCGGTCCAAAGCTGGCCCTGGAAAGCAATCGGGCCTGGCGGGAAGGTGCCTTCCTGGTTTAGGACACTTTGCGCCGTATCCTGGAACTGCAATAGATAGACTAAGCGGCGATGATTGTTCATAGGATCCAGTCTCCGTCCTCGTCCCGCTCAATGCCATTTTTCACATTCACACGAGGTTCGTAGCCCTCGATCGACATGTGGCCTGCTGAAGCTGGGAAACTTGGCTGTGATATGACCCTGTTCTCGGAGATGCTGTCTCTCACTAAGCCCGATGATCTTGCAGACATGGTTTGCTCGCCTCTCTCCAAGGCCAGATCCGCCATGGCTCTGTTCAGATTCTGAGCTTGATCGGCAGACCGTGCCCAGGTACCGGAGTGCGCGGCGTCCAAAGACAGGCCAGACATGACGGAATTCAAGTCCGGAGGAGAGTTCGGGGCGCGTCTGTCGGCCATGAGCTCAAGCTGGGGGACAACGCCTGCCCTCCTGAGCCAAGCGGGCTCCTCGTTCAGCTGGACCTTGACGAACAAGGCGCGCCGGGCACAGTCATCGGAGCACCAGAGCTCGAGCTTCTCGCGAGGCACGATCTGGAGCTGGCGGCCCTTTACTATGAACTTGTTCTTGCCGGCATTAGCATCGACCTTTGGCCTATTCGGGCAGAGCACGTAGCCGCACTTGTCGGCGCACTTGCGCTCCTCCAGCAGAGAGTCGTAGTCTGAGGGCTGGAAGTTTGTTATCAGGGCCTTGAACACTGACGCGTCATCGTGCGACGGGCTCATGGGGTCCGCGTCCGGAGAGGACGGGAAGTCGATCAGCTGCACAATGGCATCGAGGATCTGGGCCTCGACGTCCTTCTGCTGCTGGATCAGGTGGGCATGGTAGAGAGCTATCTCGCGGTTTCGCTTGTCGCGCGCGGCCTGCGGCTCTTGCTCTTGACTCGGCTGCCGGGGTGGCGCGCTGGCTGCAGGCGGCGGCGGCTTCCCAGCCTGAGGCGCGTTGATCTTCTTGAGGATCGACTTGGGCAGGGCGCTGCCGTCGAATTTCGGCGGAGCCATGAGCGGACGAGCAGGGCGAAGGGATCGATGATCGTGATAGCTTGGGCGGAGCTGGTGCTGGTGCGCTGGCTGCTGAAACTTGGCCCCGAGGCCGCCGGTGGCTCGCGCGTGGCGGCTCCGGCTTGGGCCTCATTCAGGGCCACTGCCTGCCCGGACGCCGCAGCGCATCGTCACCCACACCACGCCTCCTCTCTCCGTACGCCTTCCCAAACACCTGCTCCCGCGCGCTGGTATGCTCTGAGCACCCGGCCCCGCGAGCCCCCTTGCAGGTACGCTCCCTCTCTCTCATCCTCGTCCGCGCCCGAGACCAAGCTTGTCCGCTGACGCAATGCCCCGCCAGCAAACCGTCTCCACACCCGCAGCCGCAGCCGCCGTCCCGTCACAGCACCCGACCGCCTCTGCGACGACACAGCACCGGCCCCGCAGCCGTCACGGCCTCCACCCATCGCATCAACCTGAGCGCCTTGCCCAAGCGCCCCCGGCCGGTCCGCCGTCGCCATGGCTGCGCCCCCGTTCAAGGTCAAGGCCCTTTATGAGTACAATTCCGGCCACGAGGATGACCTGGCCTTCCCTGAGAATGCCATCATCACTGTCACGGCCGAGGAGGATGCGGACTGGTATGTCGGCGAATACAGTGATCCCAATGGCACCAAAACGGAGGGCCTCTTCCCCAAGAACTTTGTCGAGCGCTACGAGCCTGCTCCTCCCCCGCGGCCCAACCGTGCCTCGCGCCCTCCTCCGCCGCCGTCCGCGCCTGCTCCTGTGGATGAGGCGCCTGCGGACGACGTCCCCGAGCAGCCCGAGCCCGAACACGAGCCCCCTGTAGCTCAGGCTCCAGAGCAGCCCGAGGCGCCACGAGAAGAGCGTCCGGTGCCTCCTCAATCGCCCCCGCCTGTAGCGGCTCCCAAGTCTCCCGAGCAACCCTCGCTTCCCAAGATGTCGAAACCGGCTCCTCCTCCTGCTGCTCCAGCGGCAGGCAGCAAGTCGCCGCCCCCGCCTGTTGCGGAGAAGCCCCAGTCTTTCAAGGACCGTATTGCAGCTTTCAACAGGGGTTCTGCCGCTCCCATTGCTCCACTCAAGCCTGGAGGTCCGCCCAGCGGCTTCATCAAGAAGCCGTTTGTTGCCCCGCCTCCAAGCCGCAATGCCTACGTACCTCCTCCCCGTGAGCCGGCCCCTCAAAAGGTATACAGACGCGACGAGGATCCGGAGATCTCTGAGCGCCAAGCGCAAGATCAAGAGATGGCCGAAAGAGCTGGCTTAGGTGGATCCAGTGCTCCTGCTGAAGGCGAAGAGGATGCCCCTAAGCCACAGAGCCTGAAGGAGCGGATCGCCCTTTTGCAGAAACAGCAGATGGAACAAGCAGCCCGGCAGGCTGAAGCATCGCACAAGGAGAAGCCCAAGCGCCCGCCCAAGAAGCGGATCGAGTCGCACGAAATGGACGTCCAATCCGAAACAACAGAGGGTGGCGAGCCCGAAGATGCCCAGGCGCAGGCGAAAAAGCGCCATTCGCACCACCCCAAGTCGCCGGAAGCCCGCCAGCAAGAGCGTGAGCCATTCAGCGACGGCAATGAGGCTGACCAGTCTGCCGCCGGCGAAACCACTGAAGATGCTGAAGGATCCTCCACATCCGTTGAGGAAGATGAGGAAAGGGCTCGTGGAAAGGGTGTCCCTCGAGCACACGCGGCGCCTACTCACGAGCCTGAGGTCGGAGACGAAGAAGACGCCACTGAAGAGGAGGCAGAGGAAGAAATGGATGAAGAAACCAAGAGACGGATGGAGCTTAGAGAGCGAATGGCGAAGCTGAGCGGTGGCATGGGCATGGCCGGCATGTTTGGGATGCCCATGCCCGGTATGAAGCCACCACCCAAAAAGACCACGTCTGGCTCGGAGCGCAAGTCCATCGACAGCCACCGTGATTCTGAGCAATCGCCTCCTCCTCCTGCCCAACGTGTCCCCATGATTCCCATTCCCGGCATGGGCATGCCGCAAGTCCGCAGTCCGGAATCTGAAGATACCGAAATGGCGGTTGAGAAGGAGAATGAGCCAGCGCACCCCATTACTGGGGAGCACGAGCCCGAGAAGGTCACAGACATGGAGGACATCAAGGCTGATGAGACGGTAAAGGATCAGCCGCATGAAAAGGATGCTCCTCCGCCTGTGCCACAAGGTCAGTTTAAAATTCGACGACGAGCTGTTGGTGCCGCGCATCAACCTAAGAAGGCCTCAATATCATCCAAGATTTCTAGCTCTTTCCCGAAGTGGACATCTGTGTACTCAGGTGCAACACGGGAGCGTAGACTTGTCTTTGGGGCCGCTAGTAGGTTGCGTGGGAATCAAGGCTTCTGTCCATACTGTTTGAAACTGTACAAGCTGACATCGTTGCCTAGACCGGCCAGTTCCACCTCCACCAAGTGCCGAGCGACCAGCACCTCCACCGGTACCTGCAGACTGTATGTTAAAGTAAAACCGCTATACAAGTCCTATTGCTGATGTTTGCAGCTCGTCCAGTCCCTGCCCCGCCACCGCCTGAAAGACCAGAGTCACGAGGTTCGGAGTCCGACGAGGAGCTGCCAGCTCGAGGGCCTCCGCCGCCAATCCCGCAGTCGCCTCCCCAGCACCGCGGACAAGAACCTACCTCGCCGTCGGTTACTTCCAGGCCCTCTACCTCCTCGGAGAAGAGGGCAAGCCGGCCTATTCCGCCGATCCCCGGTGTTTCCAGCCCTGTCATGTCTCCGACGGCTGCCTCTAGAGCACCGCCGCCGCCGCCTCCTGCGGCAGCCCCTCCGTCAAGAGGGTCTGCCAAGGAAGCACTATCTCGGGAGGACATGGAAGGCGAAACCGAATATGAAGGCGACTATGATACGGACATCGCCTCCGGAGCGACCCATAAGGATGCCCTGAAGGCGCATGCAAGGGACCACAGCTACGACGAAAGCACTCTGGCGGGTTCTCCAATCACGGGTCATCCTCCTGTTCCATCAGGGGCGCCCCGCGCTGTGCCTCCGCCTCCCCCGCAGCAGCCACCACCGTCCAGGCAGTCTCTCGATGCTCCCAGAGGTGCTCCACCACCTCCCCCACGCGAGTCGATGGATGCTCCCAGAGGCGCCCCTCCGCCTCGACCGCGCGAGTCAATGGATGCTCCTAGAGCCATGCCACCTCCACTGCCAAGAGAATCCATTGATGCCCCCAGAGCTATGCCGCCTCCGCCACCAAGAGAGTCTATTGATGCTCCACGAGGCGTACCGCCACCTCCTCCTTCCCAACCAATGTCTCCTGCGGATGACGAAGATGAGTATGACCCGTATAAATACAACGCTCAGGCAGCCCGTGCTGCCCCGCCGCCTCCTTCTGGCCCTCCGCCGGCTGCCGCGTCCCAAGGATCTGTGCCGGAGGAGGAGGATGATGATGATGAGGAAATTTATCAGAGCCCTCCTCCACGAAGGATGAGCAAGAGGATGAGTCAGCATCAGGCTCCTTTCTCCCCTCATCAGGAAGCAGAGGACACGTACGAGACGCCAATGTCGCCCCCGCGCAGCTCGATGCAAACTACCAGGAAGTCTTTAGACGTTGACCGAACTCTTGGCTCGCGCCGGTCTATGGACCAGTCTCGTCCGTCTATCGACCACGGTCATATTGCCAACGACGTCGATCTGGGCCAGCCCAGCCAGTGGTGGACGCAGCCGAACACGCCGCCCCCAGTCTTCCAGAACCGCAAGGATGTCTTGTTCGAGATCGAAGAGTCCACCACTAGCAAGCGCGGCGGCAGGACCATCGTCCAAAAAGACGTTTACGTCTTGTTTCAAGACTACTCGCAAACTGTTGTTACTGCTCGGTATGATACGCGCGAACCGGCCGGCGTGGCGCTCGAACAAAGACACGAACCTCCACCTCAGAAGCTGAGACAGGACCAACTTGAGGATGCTTACGAGCAGTTCGGTCGGCGCATGTCAGAAGATGCCAACGCAAAACAACATGCGACAGTTGGCGATGGCTCACCCCAGGCACTTGTCCTTGAGCTCCTCAAGCCTTTGTCGTCTGCGCTCTATCCGGTTGGCACTCGGGCTTACGGTGCGTTGGTCTATGCCAACCTAGCCAATGCATCGGTCCAACAGAACGACGAGATTCGCCCTGGAGACATCATCTCGCTCCGCAATGCAAAGTTCGAAGGCAAGCATGGCGCTATGCACGCCAAATACAAGATGGAGGTTGGTAAGCCGGACCATGTGGGGGTGGTGGTCGAGTGGGATGGAACGAAGAAGAAGATCAGGGCGTTGGAACAGGGTCGGGAAAGCAAGAAGGTCAAGGTGGAGAGCTTCCGTATGGGCGATCTCAGGAGTGGCGAGGTAAGGGTTTGGAGAGTCATGGGCAGAGACTGGGTTGGCTGGGATGTTGCTGCCTGATTGCAGTCTATGGCGTCAGCACTGAAAGGGCAGGCACTGCTGAGCAGCGTTCTTGTGCACTTGCAGTATTGGTAAGTTCAGCGAGCTCTAGTCAGGTTTGTAATAATATCCAGCACCTGTCGTTTAGATGTCCTCAGCCTTCGTTGGCCCTGCAGCCTGTGCAATAGTCTTACCCAGGTAGTCACTTAAACACTTTGTACAACTTCGGCCCTTCAAGTTCTGCCGTGTGTGGGAGGCGGGCAAAAAGTGTTCCACAAGGACGCCAAGGCACGCCGATGGGAGGCTGGACAAATATCCCTGGCCTTCTCAAAGGTGGCTGTTGCGCACGACACTGAAACCCCCTTTCCCGCGCCCACACATTGAAACATGGCTTCGAGGATCGTGCTGTACTGCACACGAAGTGATCTTCAAGAGTGATCATTGTCGCCCGGGGCTGCGATGCATGCAAATGGGCCACGGAATGACTGCCGAGAGTCTGTCGATGTTCATTGGAGATGGGCTGGTAAATTACCGGAACTCGTGCGTAACGAGGCTGAAGTGCGTGACGCGATGGGGAATGATGGCTGCGACGCACCTAATGCAAGGATTCGGCAACCTTCCTGGGACCTAAGTGCTGCTTGAAAAAGCCACGAGCACCCTACCCTGTTCGAAGCCTGTAGCAGTGCGCTGCTTTATCGTTCTTTGCCATCACTCATCATTTCTGCCTTCGACATGGTTCACACTCTTCTATCCAAACCGCTCGTTCTGGGCTTTTTCGGTCTTTCTGCCGCGCAGATTACTTAGTAAGAAATTCCCATTTCCAGTTAGTTATGCGGGAGCGTAGGGCCTACCAGGACGGGAACGGCATCGTCCGCGCACCATTTCAAAGGATCGATCCCTAGGCACGCCCTGCACCTTGATTTGACCACTAACCGACTTTATCTCACAGCAATGAGACCACGGGTGCCTATACATGCTCTACTGCATCCGGCGCTTACTGTGGCGGGAGTTCCCTGTCAACCAACATCATCATCCACTGTACCAACTTCGTCGGCCAATCGACCAACTGCAACGCCAACCTTGCTGGTATCAATCCAGTCGGCGTCAAGTCTGCTGCCACTTGCTATCAGTCCTCGTCGATGAGCGGCGACGCCGTCTGCTCCTTCAACGGTGTCGGGTACCCCGAGAACGGAACCACCGCCGCCTTCCCCATCTGCAACGCCTCATCCGTGCTGTCTTTGCCGTCACACAATGCCACCAGGCCATCTACAGAGTTCAGAATCGGTCCGTCCACGACATCTAGCTCGCTCAGCAGCTCTACAGATAGTACATTATCTGCACCAGCCGTCCCAGTGACACCGTCAAGCACGAGGACGATCACCACAACGGTTGCGAACACCGCCTCGGGGACATCCGCAGGTACTAATGGTCACACAACGACTTCGGAACCGTCTCAGGTCATGAGCGCGCCCGCGCCTCACAACTTTGCCGTGCCGAGTGGCATACTTCCAATCCTTGCGATGGCTGCGGTGCTCGTAGGCTGAGAACAAACCTTACCAAAGGCGACCAGACGAGCAGAACATTGTAGTGTTCACGAATTCATGTGGTTACGAGTTTCAGAGTTATCAATGACCATGGGAGTAATTGGGGAGGTATGCTGGTTTATTATTTATCATGCCGCAGTCAGAGCGTTGGAGATTGTTTCGTTTATAAAGAAAACAGAAGAATTTATTTGCAACATCTCCACAGCTACTCTCCAAGAGGTCAGTGAAGAGAATATGCTACGCGGGTTATTTTAGTACCACAGCAGTACAGATTGTTTCACGCGGGCTTGACAATGCATGACAACAGGCATAATGGGACGCTTGATTGTCCAGGACTCTATGAAACACGTCTCTATCGGGCTCGAATTCCGAAGTTGCAAACATCACCGACCCATCAATCATAACTGCTCAAACGTAGGCATCCAACTCGAATCCACATGTTGCTGAGGTGATGAAGATCACACAAAGAAGGAAATATGGACAGCTATCGGCAAGAGTTCCCGGAGGGCACGCCTAATGCTCTTAGTAGAAGATTCCGAGGTCGATGACCTCCTCATCAGCCGCGGCCTGGGTGGTCTCGGTCTCGTCGACGGTGGAGCTGGACCCGCTCGCGCCATTCTGGGCGATGATGAGCTCTCCGCCGGGGGTGACGTCGGCGTCGCCTGCGGTGAGGTATCCAGAAACAGCCAGGGACTTGACGTAAGCCTTGAGGGTGGCCGGGTCGTTGAGGCTGGAGTCGGAGGCAAGGAGGTAGGCAAGAAGACCGCTGATGTGGGGAGTGGCCATGCTCGTGCCGCTGGCGACAGCGTAGGCAGTGTCGCTGTTGTAGTAAGAAGAGTAGGTGGTAACACCAGGGGCGTAGAGGTCAACCGTCGGGCCGGAGTTCGAGAAGTACGCAACTTCGTCGAGGATGTTAGCGGCGCCAACGGAAATGATGTTGCTGACGTCGCCTCCGAGAGATCCGGGAGTGTAGTTCGAGGCATCATCGCCGTCGTTTCCAGCGGCAACTGCAATGTGCACACCAGCGTCGGACAGGGCAACAAGAGCGCTCTCAACTGCCGTGGAGCGGCCGTTGAAACCAAGAGACAGGGATGCGACAGAACCGACGAAGCCGCTCTCACCCGAACGAGATTCATGCTGGGAAGCGACGTAGTCGATACCGCCGATCAAACCAGAGGAAGTTCCACTACCGGAGGCGTCGAGGACTTTGACACCAATAAGGTTGGCATTGCTGGCAACACCAACAGTGTTACCCGCGGAGGTTCCAGAAACGTGAGTGCCTACTCAAAGGTCAATACCGTAAATGATAGGTTGTAGGATGGCATTTCACTCACCATGGCCGTTATCATCAGTTTGAGACGTAAAGGCGCTCCAACCGACAGTGGCACGGCTGCCAAACTGAGTGTGGCTGGTACGGATGCCGGTATCGACCTGAACTGGTTAGTTTAGCCCGGTCTCGAGCGGGGTGGGGTACGGCGTACAATGTAAATGTCAACGCCGGAGCCGAGGGCGGTGGATGAGTAGGTGTAAGTATACGAGGTGGAAGAGGGGCTGGCAGTGTTTGAGATGCTGTCGGTTTGAGAGATACGCTGCAGACCCCAAGGAGCACTGGAACGAGTAGCCTTGATAGTGGCCTCCAGAGCCGAGTCCACAATGGAGACCTCAGCAATGCCGTTAAGCTTCTCAACTTGTTCAGCGGAGAAAGAGCCAGAGAAACCCTAACCAGATGTAAGCCAAACGATGCTCGAACACAATGATTGTGGTGCCAACCTTGAAGAAGCTGTTGTTGTAGGTGCTGGTCACGGACTCATCATCGACAGTGATGTCGAGCTGGGACAGAATAGCAGCAACATCAGCAGACTTGGAGAGGATGATGTCGTAGGTAGCCGTGTCCCGCTTGAGTGAAGCCGGGGCAGCATAAGCACCCAGCGAGGTGGCCAAGGCAAGAAGAGCAGAGGACTTCATATTGACAAGTGGTGGAAGCGAGCAGAGTGTTCAAGATGCAAGGAAGAGAACGCTGGTGGTTGTGGACTGGAGTTCCAGGCCGGTAGAGGCATCTTAAATAGTTGCAGAGATGGTAGCGGCGATGCTGCAAGGTCTGCGATATTCAGCGTCATCCACATATCGGGTCATTCGCCGAGGGCACAGGAACAAGCGAGATGTAGGTGGATATGCTCGCCAAAGCAATAGCGCGCATGATTTCTGCATACAGTAGTGGATGTCTGTAGGTCGAGGGTGTACAGCAAGGCCCCAAGGCGCCCTGCAGGCCACTGCACGCCTTGCCGAATCGGGATCACTGATAGCTCCAACGGCAGATGATAGAGGAGGGGCAAAGCACTATACAGCAACACCCCCAGCGGCCGATTCTCCTTCCAGGAATGTCTCACTGGGTGCACGATTGGTGGTACGGCTATGGAGTTTCTTATCGGAGGGGGTATGGCGGTGCGTTGAGCTGGGCTTGATCGAGCTTGGCAACTGTCTTGATGAAGGGAGCTGGCGGGCATGATTGGATGAGGGGAAGTCAGCCGGGCGGGCCAAGCACGAGGCCCTGTGAATGCTTGTCGGTTGAAAGCCAGGGCGTGACCGGAGGGCTGGGCTTGGCAGAGGACTGGTACCGCCAAGACGAAGAGCGACGAAATGCGCGGAGGCAGAAAGGGCAGGTCGTAAGGTGGAGTTGTATTAAGCTATGTTGCGGCAACGGCGCTGAGTTCAGACGGCATGGATTGGTGGAGCTCGTATATTGGTGCACACGCGGCCACGGGAGGTTGGGGCGCAACAGGCACAGCGCCGAAGCATCTGGGGCGCGAGTCAGCCGCTGACGGTGTTTCCTGGGGCACGGCGCAGGGATGGCGATAAGCAACACCAAGCCAGTCCGACGTGCTCGCCTTCTCCACGTCTTGTCACGCGAGGCCCGGTCACGTAAAACCTGCTATCAGGTGCAGCTCGTGCAATAGCGGGCCGCGCTGGTGCAACATGAATGACCTTCTGGCCCGGCGGCTCGTCTGCATGCATGCCGAAAAGAGGAGTTTGACCTGCGGGGCGGTTGCGCGATCGGAAGAGCCCTCACACCACGCTCTGCCCTACCATTTGTCGACGTGCCGAACATTGGGCTCTCCGGATTTTCCGGTCGGCCAGGGCTCCGGTCACACGCCCGCCAGCCAGATGTCTTACCAGCTGGGTTAACGCCAAGGATCCCCACTGGCAAACATGTTGGGTCCGGAATCTGCAAGCCGGGAGCTTGTCAATAGGATTCCATGCCTGCCTGGCGGAAAGCGGACGGCACCCATGCACCCATGGTCCCATATTATCTAGAACAAACACCGCTGTTCCCTGTTCTTTTAATATCGAGCAGAAAAGCGGTCGGGCCTTGACGCCTTATCGATTAGATATGACGATGGTCTCCCGGCTGTCGTTCGTGTATGTATGCATACCTGGGCGCCAAGCAAGACGGAGATTTGTTGGAACGGCGGTTGGCTGTCTGTCGTGCTACGCCAGGAGATAACGCCACAGGCACCGACTGCGTATGCTTAATCGTCCGGAGAGGTGTTCGCCATGCAGGTTCTGTATTGAAGGCCTCTCGGGTGGTCGAAACGAGAGCTCATGCAGGTTATCGTGAGCTGTCGCTTTGCTGCTTACCGGGATAGATGGAGCATCGCTTAAGGAAATTCTCGCCAAGAAGAATTCGTCGAAAGACTGGGTGGATGGCGAAAATAGTAGCGCTGGAATACGAATACAGAAGAGGAAGCTGTGGAAGACGGGTCTGATGGGAGGATATTGCGTCTAAGACAAGACTGCTGACGGAATGATGGCGGAGAAGAAGGAGCGATAATGCGATCGAGTATTAATCGAAGACGTCGACCGACTGGTGTGGGTGGCTTGGCCGAGCGGGTGGTGGTACTTGTCCATGTCAGCCCGTGCCGTGTCCGGCCGGCGTGAAGGAGTGGGAGTCAATCTGCAAGGGCGCAGAGCCTCATGGTAGTGTGTTGCGGAAAATGAAGTGGCCGGTGACGATGGCTTGCTCGGCTGTCAAAGCCGCTGACAACCGTCCCGAGGCTCTACGCGGGCCGCATTCCGCCACAGCTTCCCCGCGCCCGCTGCCGTCATTCCTCTCCACGCCGACATGTGATCCTTTCTACCTTTCGACGTTGCTCCCTTTCTCCAGCAGTCATTGCATCTCTTCGACCAAACATCCCGTCCAATATGCCATCAGCAACCCGGCTCGCCCACTCTGCTGCCAGAGCGCGGCCTCTATCCCAGCAGTCGAGCCGGCGGCTCTTCAGCACTACCCGCTCTCAATTCAGGGAGGTTCGCGACGCCTACATCCTCAGCGGGTCGCGGACACCCACCGGAGTGGTAACAACACCTCCGTCCTGATATTCTCTGCATTCGCTCATCGCACCAGTTCAATGGCGCCTTCACCACGGTTCCCGCGCCCCGGCTGGGCGCCGCCGCCATCGAGTCCGCTCTCTCCAAGTCGACCGTCCCCATCGAGAAGATAAAGTCCGTCTACATGGGCCAGGTGCTGCAGGGCGCCGCTGGCCAGGCTCCCGCACGCCAGGCCAGCATCTTCGCCAACCTGCCGTCCTCCGTCGAAGCCACCACCATCAACAAGGTGTGCGCCTCGGGCCTGAAGGCTGTGACCATCGCCGCGCAGGACATCCAGCTGGGCGACGCCGAGGCCATCATTGCCGGCGGTATGGAGAACATGTCCCGCGTACCCTACTACCTGGCTCGCGCCAGCCAGCAGCCGCCCTTCGGCGAGCAGAAGCTGCAGGACGGCCTGATCACCGACGGCTTGTGGGACGTCTACAACCAGATCCATATGGGCAATTGCGCCGAGAACACGGCTAAGAAATACGAGATCACGCGTGAAGAGCAGGATGAGTTTGCCATTCTGTCCTACAAGCGTGCTCAGGAGGCATGGGCTGCCGGGCTGTTCAAGGACGAGGTCGTGCCTGTGACGGTGAAGGGCAAGAAGGGCGACACTGTCGTCTCGGAGGACGAGGGATACAACCGTCTGAAGCTGGACAAGGTCAAGACGCTGAAGCCGGCCTTTGTCCGCGATGGTACCGGCTCCATCACCGCCGCCAACAGCTCTTCCTTCAACGACGGTGCTAGCGCCCTCGTTCTGGGCAGTAAAGATGTCGCCAAGGCCCATGGCTCGGGTTCGCGTGTATTGGCACGCGTTGTCTCCTATGCAGATGCTGCTCTTGATCCTATCGATTTCCCCGTCGCGCCTGCCAAGGTGGTTCCTCTTGTTTTGGAAAAGGCCGGCCTATCCAAGTCCGACATCGCCATCTGGGAATTTAACGAAGCTTTTGCCGCTGTCATCAAGGCCAATGCTAAGATCTTGGGCCTTGGTTCGGACAACGTCAACCCCAGGGGCGGTGCGATCGCTCTGGGACACGCGCTGGGAAGCTCTGGAAGCAGAATCTTGGTGACCTTGTTGCATCAGCTGGAAGTTGGACAGTATGGATGCGCCGCAATTTGCAACGGCGGCGGTGCTGCCAGCGGTATCATCGTGCAGAGAATCGGCCATAACGACCTGTAAAAGTCTGGAATGTATCAGCTATTGTATGAGGGGAAATCCCCCGACACTTGTATACCCTTATAAGTTTTCTGTGCTGCTGAATGACTTGTCAACCGCCATGTGAAATACGACTGAGTTGCTGTTATAAGCCCGTGTCAGAAAATAATCCGACGTCGGCTCAAACGACATGTGGTCAGTATCACGAAGAAGCTGCGCTCTACCCCTGAACGAAAGATAGGTAGCCTAGACAGCGATAGCAGTATGAGACTTAGTGACCAAGACAATAATGCTTCGTATTTTCGTAAGTCATGCTGTTTTTAATGCCAGTGGCATGCCGTCTATACATGTCATGTACCCCGTCTACTGCGGTTGGAAGGCTATTCTTTAGCCTGCCTATGGAGATGTAGAGACCATCTTGATTCTACCCTCTAGTCTAGGAGCGATAGCCTGTACATTCCAGTTAGTTTGAGGAATGAATTGTCGGGTCAGTTGGCTCACCTTGGTCCAATTGATGGTGAATTCGCCCTCTCCAAGAGGATCACCGCAGCGCGGCTGACCCTTCAGTCCAGCCAAGCGCCACCACTTACGCATGACCCTCCTCATGAGCACCCTCTTCCTCTCCAGCTCCTCGACGGCAGCGTGGGCACGCTTGGGCTCTTGTTCGTCCTCCGAGTCCGTGTCAGACTCGTTGAGCGGCGTCTCTGCGCCTTCCGGACGGTGCCCAAGAGGGGTCAGCCTGCCATTTCGGCTGTCCTGGATCACTTCCAGCGCGTTTGCAACCTTGCCCTTTGACTCAACACACGGCTGGACAGTCTGCAGATCGTTCTGCACTCTCTCCCAATGCCTTCCCATGCTGGGGCCCCACTGCTTCCACTTGCCGAGGACCTTCAGAGACATGAAGTACTGGCGCAGCATCATCGAAATGAGAATTCCGTTCTCCTCCGAAACGATCTCCTTCGCTGTGCCTCCTTCCTCCTCGATCCTGAATGCCCGTCAGTATGTTATACGATTATTACTGCAGGTGACTTACAACAGAGAATCGTAACCGTCGCGACCACGGGCCATGTATCCACGAGTCACCATGACATACTCCTTCTCCATGTCCGCAGGCTCGCCGCCGATCTTGGTCCAGTTGACGCGGGAACCCTCGGGTTTCTCAGGGTCGAATTCGAACTCAATGTTCGAAACCTGCGGAAAGCGGCCCTCGAGCGCAGGGTACTTGGACACGGCGTTTTCGAGAGCTTCAACGACAGCCTTGCCAGTGACTTTGATCACAACGATAGGATCCTCGAACGGGAAACAGTTCATGATATCCTTCACCCTGAGCAGGCCTGGAGGGTAGATCTGGTCTCCTCTGATGGTGCCAGACGCCATCAAGGCGCAGTCTCCGTTGTACGTGAAGCGCATGAGGTCACAGACAAAGTTGCCCATATTCGACTCTCTGGTGCGGACTGTGGTGAAACGTGCATCCAGCGGAGCAGCGGTGTAACCGATAGGCTTGTCAAGCTTCGCTTTCAGCTTGGCAGTGAGGCTTTCGATGAGCTTCACAGACTCGGGATCCTGCGGGATCTGGGAGACGACATCCCGACGAATGATGTTGAAATCCCACTTGTTGCTTCCGTCTTGCTTTTTCCATGCTTCAACGTAGCTCAGCTGCTTGAAATCACTGCCTGAACGCAAGACGTGGCAGCCGTTGATCAGGCTGTGGCTCTATCGGTGCACTGTTAGCTTCTCATACTGCCATGCGGAGATAGACATGGCAAGGGATGACGGAGATCTAAACTCACATAGTAATGGTCATGGCCACCCAAAATAATATCAACCAAGCCCTCGGGAAGCTTCTCGGCGAGCTTGTTGTCATTGGGCTCACGCTGGTGGGAAATGCAAATGACAATCTCAGCACCTTGCTCACGCAAGCCTGGCACTAGCTCCTTGGCCGTCTCCGAAGCCGACTTGTATATGATGTCCGGCGGCAACGAGTTGATGGTATCCAACCACTCCCGCTCAGCCAAGCCGATTATGCCAACCTTGATGCCATTCGAAGAGGTCATCATATGTGTTTTCTGGGCGTTCGCCAACGACTCGTTCTCGCCGAGGGCCGGGTCGAGCACGTTTGCTAGGAGCCATGGGAATTTGCACTGGCCAGTGAGATGGCGATACTGGCGTACTCCGAAGTCCAGGTCATGGTTCTGCAGCAGGGGTACGGAGTCAGCTCTTGGACCAATTATGTAAAAACACATCTAGCAGCACTCACACCAACGCACGCACAATCGGTGCCTATGCCATTGAGCACGGGAACCATGTGGCTGCCTGTTCCTAGTCAGCGGAAGCGCCCCGGACACAGAGTGAAGCTCAGGCAGACCTTTGGTGACACTACTCTCCAAGCTGGGGTTGAAAGCATCGCCGGAGAAGAAGGTCAGCAGATCAGACTGGCCGGCGAACTTGGAGTCGCTACGGTAGTAGTTGCAGAGGGTCTTGAAGCGGGCGTAGCCGCCGACAGGCTCGGCGCTGGAGGGCTCGACGTGGTAGACATCGTTGTAGTGCAGGATACGGAGGTCCGGCGGAGAGTCGTGATCGCCGCTAGAGTAGGTGACGACGTCGTCGATGGTGGGGTTGTCAACGGACATGGTGGTGCGATCTGGAGGTGCGGAGGAGGAGGGTAGGTGGAGAGAGAAGAATAGGAGAGTGAGCGGCCGGTGAAAAGAGCGGCCAGTAGACAAAGGAGAGCTGCAAGATGCAGGGCTCACCGCAGCTGCAGGTAGGCGGGTAGCGTACGAGAAGCACACGGGCTCCCCCGGGGGGCTTGGCTGGCGCTGCAGCTCACCGACAGGCGTCTCTCGCGCATGATTGGCGGGCGGACCGGTAGCATTAGGACGGCCATGTTGAAGGGGGCGCGCAGCGGACGGGGCGATGGGAGCTGGCGAGACGCGGCCGCTGATGTGCGCGACGTCAGGGTCCGGCAGCCACTTAGGGCTCTGTTATTTGAGCTGCCCCGCCTGATCCACAGGGACCGCCGCAACCACCACGCACTGACGCCCGCGACCTCATATTCATTACATTTTCATTACGCCGTTGAACTCTAACCCTACCACCAAACGCCTCTAAAAACTGCATACAAAAAAACATTAAGGCGCGCTGCTCGCGCCGTCTGGAACAATGCCCGGGAAGCCGTTCCACGTCTGCCTGCGGCTCGGCTCGGGCTCAAAACTCAGCGCGCTCAGCGCCTCCAGCCCCTGCAAGCCTTCCATGTCGAATATGCCCTCGCTCGTCGCCGTCGTGATGCCCGTCGTCGCAGTCATCGAGGCCGGCGCCCACGAGCACGTCGCAGGCCCGCCAAGCATCATGTTTGCATGGCACAGATTCAGCGGCCCGCCCATCGAGTCGGAGCATGTCGGCGCCACGGGGTTGGTCGTCCAGTCGTCGGTGGTGAAGGGATAGCCTGTCATGTCTCCCATCATCCCCAGGTCCTCGAGCGTGTCGACTACGTCAAAGTCCTGGCTCACTCCCACCAGCCCATGCGCCTTCTTGAATAGCTCCAGCCACTCGGCGTTGTCTGCTGCCGTCTGCTCCCATCCGTCATCCGCGTCGTATAGAATCCGCCGGGCTTCTCGCTGCAGCATCGCGTCGGATGGATACACGCCCTGCAACAGCTGCTGCTTGGCGTACTTGCCCAGCCGCACCGTCAGAATCTCCCAACACGTCGCGTTGATTGTGCCCGGCTCAACTTGCATATCATGCTCCGGTGGTGTGCTGAGACTCGAGTTTGAGGTCGTGTTCCTAGCCGGCGGTGGGCCGTCCCTATCTGCATGGAAGAAGCCTCCTGCCGCTGCCTGGTCCCACCGAGTTGCGGGGCTCATGGTCGGGTGGAGCGTCGTGTGCCATGCCAGAGACGCGGGCTGCGACGCTGAGAACGGATTGGGGCTCTTTGCCTCGTTTGCAATGAGATAGGGCGGCATCGCGTTGGTGATGAGCAATGCAACCTGGGGATCGAAGCCACGGCATCCCTTCCAGTCTTTCATCTGAGCCCCATTACGGAACTCCTTGGCCAAGTGGTCCACTCGATCTTGCCTGTGCCTCTGTGTTAGTGAAGCAAGCACGCGGCTGGTTGGGGACAAACATACCAAGTCTCGAAAGTGGTCCGGCAGAAGCCGCAGCGGCTCTTGATATACTGCGTCTCGCTCTTCCAGCTCTCCATGGTCGGTGTCAGCTTGCAGTTGTGCATCAGTCGCATGTGCTGCCTCAGGTGGTCCTTCCTGTAGAAAGTGCGCTGCTCTGGGCTGCGTTCCTCGCAGGCCGACCAGTTGTGCGTTTCGAGATGCTCCTTGCTCGGGTCGATGGCATCGCAGAAGACGCATTTCTTCTGGCCCGAGGCCGAGCAGGTGATGACCGGGCCCAGCGGAGCGCAGATCCATTTCTCCAAGCTCAGGTGAAGCGACTTCTCGTGCCTGGCCCAGTCGTACTTGCTCTTGAACGCATCCGTGCAGAAAGTGCACTGGAACGGCTTCGTCTTCTTGTCGTTCTCCGACGCTTGCTTCTTGATGTCGGGCCGGCGGCGGCGACGTCTCTCCTTGCGAACCCCATTGACGGATCCAAAAGATCCGAAGGAGCCAAACGAGTTGCCCGAGGTCCGCGAGTTGCGCGACGTGTACGACCACGCCGACCCGAGCGACTCGCCCTGGCTAGACAAGCCAGAGTTGACGGATGCAATCTCCAGACTGGCCGTCGACGGCGCCCTGCGGGACGGGCGGCCAGAGCTGCCAGTAGACGCGTGGCGGCTGGTGTGGCCGCTGCGCGAGCGTTCTTCCTCAAGCGGTGGTGTTGTCGACCGCACGGCGTTCTGAATGGCCGTCCACGGCGCAGGTTCGTTGTCAGGGGGAGAATCCAAGTATCTTTCCATGGGGTTCTTCTCGGACCACGACTTCTCCAGGGCGATGTCTATGGCACTGCTGGACTGCAGGCTAGGCGATGCGGGCCTCCTCGGCTTGTGCTTCTTGCGCCGGCGTGCATTGGCCAGCCAGTTGTTGACTTGGCTCTCCGTCAGGCCAGTCCGTTGGCGCAGCTCGGCCTTTTCGTCTTCGGTGGGGTAGGGGTGGTCGCTGTGGCTGACGATCCAGTCGGTGAGGATCTTGACCGAGGCACGCGAGAACCTGATGCCACTCTTGCGCGCGGCACGATCCTCGTCCGTCTTGATGCCGACCATGGTCTTGGTGCTGGTGAGGGCACCGAACTCCTGGCACACGTCTTCGGACACTTGGTGTAGCGTGTCGATCATGTTGCGAGGCTTGCGCTGCTGTGCCGGAATGTCGAAGCTGCACGTCCTGAACAGCGCGTTGCACGGCGAGCATCCCGTCTGGCCTTCGAAAGTCAAGAAGCAGTCGAGGTGTCGGAGGCGGCAATAGTCGCAAGGGTTCTCGGGCTTGTGGTATCGGGAGATGTAGTTGGAGAAGTTCATAGTCCAGTCATTGGTCAGGTCGTTGGTAGCCAAGAAGTCAGTCGACTCTTCGACCAGCGGCTCGGACAAGTCAACCTGGCTGGCTGATCTCCCATTGCAAGGACAGCTATCGACAGTCAGCGAAGAGTGTACGAGAGCAAGCGGCGGGACAGTGACTGCATCATCTGGCAAACGCAGGAGTCGGGCCCAACAGCCTTCGCACCAGTCGCACGGAGCTGCAGCATCCAATAGACTCGGGTCGGGGACATGTTGTTTGTGACAGGGACTCCATATGCAGATGCTTCGATTCCGCACGGCGTATGGGGGTTTGCATCTAGACCCCTGTCACTTCGCAGGCGGTCAAGATGCAATGGTGGGTAGTATCAAGCATGCAAAGGGTATGCCTCGGATCGGTTCAAAGTCTCAAACGTCCAGGGTGCATCTCAGGCTTCAGTAATCCAATACTTCGATGATCCTGGTCCAGGCTGGGAGGAGGAAGCTTGAAACAGCCATAGACCCAGCATGTTGGGTTCTAGCTTGGCACGCAGAAGACAAGGGAAATAGCATGTCGCGTGTGGACTTACCCATCGTCGTGGGGATGCAAAAGACAGGCGCCGACGGGAGGCTGGAGGTCCAGATTGTCGTTGTCATGGATGAGGGGAACATCGGGCATCGCCGCCTCACCAAAATCGAACAAGTCGTCCATGGACTGCGCCCTATTGTCAAAAGCCATGACGGGCAAAGGAGATTGATGATGGTTTGCGGAAGTTGACGAAATGCTCGCCCTTTGACACGAATGATTTCACCAAAGATGAGCAAAGCGCCCAAGAGGGATTATTTTGACAAGTAAGCTAAACTATGCTGAGAGTCTACAGGGCGTGCAAGACAAGGAGAAAAAGGAAAAAATCGGCTGAATTCCAGCGCTCGAGGCGCTTAGTGAACCCCCGGTGCTGACTTGCAGGAGACGGCCCGTTATCGGCCGCGGAGATCCCGTGCACTCGTGGCCGCTTGGCCATTGAGGGCTGCGCAAGATACTAAATCATTGGGACCCGTTGTTCCAACCATAGGTAGGCTGGTTCTATGGCTAATGGAAACAAGAATCTGGACGCAGATGTTGGTTGGAAGGCTACTAAACCGCTTCCGTACGTCGACTTCAACTGCCTGCGCATGTTGAGTGCAATGAGTCACAAAACAAGCTTGCGAGGAGCGAAACATTTGTGGCCCACCGCTGCCGCAAGATTGCGCTTCTCTCTGCACCTGTGTGTCCTCTTTTCCCCACCCATGGCCGCCCCCCAGATCGCGGGGGAACGCAGTGGGTGTCTGCATGTCCGGGGCGGGAGTGAAGGCGTTCGTCACGCGTCATGATAAGCTTACCAATCCGGCCGCATGCTTTGCAGCGCCGCGCGGTATCGGCGGCAGTTGGATTGGCCACTCCACCGCATCAAGCACCACAAAAAGTAAGGTAATCAACACAGGAACACTGCTTTCCACCGTCACAAGTTTTGTGTGCCAGCCAACTTTTCAGCTCTGCGTCTGACGTGAGCATCCCGCTTTTCCTCTGTGTACTGTACGGTCGGTTGCCACGACCCTACAATACGCCAATACAGAGGGGTATCGCGGCTAAAGGGTAGCCTGAAATCGTTACTCTGTGTATCGGACGCGTATATGTAATAATACAGAGGATATTCCAGCCAAAGGCCAGCGTTGATTTGTTTTTTTTTTTTGCTCATGTCATGGGTAGTTGAAGCTATCGTCCGGACGTGAATGTGAAATTAACAATTAGACATCCACGTCCGGACGATAGCTTCAACTACCCACATAAGTCGAATTATTCCTCACAAATATCGTAAAAAAAAATCTCCGGAGGGTCGTATTTACCCCCTGTTCCAAAGTCTGCTACACATTCTTCGCGCTAGCCTTCGGCTGCAATACCCCTCTGTAGCCGCGCTGCTGGCCTTCCGTAACGGGACACCGCCCTTTGTCCCCAGGCTTTTAGTGCGACGAATGATCGATGAACCCTCCAAGGCGTTCAGCCTTGCCTGGCGAGCATCAGTAGGACCTTTAAGCAGCGCCATCCACGTGCTCATCGCGTTTCCCAACAACCAGTATGAAGCTAATAGGCAGTTGCAAGTTACACACGGAAAATCATGGAAGTGAACGGCCACTGCTGCTTGTTCGATTGACACTAAAGCGGGTTGCCAGTTGAGCACTCTGTGTCCCACCAAAGACTTCACACTCCTCTTACATGGGCAGCTGAAGCAATATCCGGATGTAGATGTTGGGTTTTCATTTGCGCAAATGCATACAGGCATAGGATCCAACTGCCGGAAGCAGTGCGTGTATACGTGGGCGTAATGAGAAAGTTTCGGTAAAAGCCTTTTTTTGTCCTCGGCTGTGAAAGTAACTATGATGTTTCGCAGGCGATGATCAGCTCTCGTTGACAGTGCCAATCGGCCGTTCGAATGAAGTCCAAACGTTACTGCCTGGCCTGACTGTCGCTGCGCTTAGTATAGCGGCGATCGCACGGCTAGGATCGGAAGAGTACGGACGTGAGTGGTCGATGCAAGTATTGACGACTACATCTGGACGGGCGCATCAACCCCTCCACCGTGTTGTAAAGCTACACGAACCAGCTCCGCTTTGCTCCTGGCATTACACTGCGTGCGGACTGGCTTGCTCGTTTTGCCCCTCCACATTTCCCCGCATTTTACTGCGAAGATCCGCGGCTTATCGTCAGCCTGATGCTCTAATTGGCCGCTTGTCATTGGCCTGCGCTCCCTTCCTCGGAGCAGCAACAAAGTTATATAACGTCGCTGCTGTCTCAGCCTGTTGCCTTCAAATTCAAAATACCCCACCATGTCTCCACCATCTGCCATCCACAACGGCGCTGAAAATAAGCCCGCCGTCACCACACACGAGCCTGGATTGAGTGCGGCAAAGGCCAACAAGCTGGGCGGGCTTTCAATTCCCAAGCCACCGACCTTCGAAGATCCACATGATGAACGCAAATATCTGAAAGAAAGGCTTGCCGCAGCCTTCAGGATCTTCGGCAAGTACGGTTTCGACGAAGGGGTTGCGGGCCATATCACGGTCCGAGTGCGTATACTCCGGCAGTCCCGCACCACACAACTGCTTCCTGACCTGCATTCTTATTTATAGGACCCAGTCGACCCGAAAACCTTCTGGGTCAACCCGTTTGGAGTCGCCTTCTCGCTCATCAAGGCTTCTGATCTCATTCAAGTGGATGAGGAAGGCCAGATTATCGACGGAGGGCCGGTCAGGCTCCTCAACACGGCAGCCTTCATGATCCACAGCGCGATCCATCAAGCTCGGCCGGATGTCAACGCTGCTGCTCACAGCCACAGCATCTATGGACGGAGCTTCTGTACCCTTGGCAGGCCGCTGGACATCATCACTCAGGATTCCTGCGCCTTCTATCAAGACCATGTCGTTTACGAGTCCTTCAATGGCATCGTCCTCGCCGAGCAAGAGGGCAAGAACATTGCCTCATGCCTGGGCAACAAGAAAGCAGCACTGCTTCAAAACCATGGCCTTCTAACCGTGGGCCAGACCATCGAGGAGGCTGTTTTCTGGTAAGGGAAAGACAAGCTCCATATCCGATATATTCTGATTGGCTTTAGGTTTGTTAGCCTGGAGAAATGCTGCAAGGCGCAGCTCCTGGCCGATGCTGCTGCTGCGGGCCGTGGGGGCCAGACCATCAAGATCAATGAGGAAGACGCTGCGTACACGTACAAGACCGTAGGAAGCTCGAAGGCTGGCTGGTTCAGTGCGAAGCCGCTATTCGACATGATCCACAAAGAGACGGGAGGGGACTATCTCGAGTGATTGCAACGCTGTGTGGGGAGCATGTTTGAATTGAGGGGGGACAGCAAATTGCCACCCAGGTAATGACCGGCTGCGCTCGCTACTTCTGGCGGGGAAATAGGCGTTGTGGGAGTCAGGCCATGTCATTTGAATTAGGTCTATTATTAATTCGAAAATGACGAGGAGTGAGGAAGGGCTGAATTGAGTCTGATTGAGAACTCTCCCTGTCCTATGGAACAACTGCGAGATTATGTCACATAAACGTATCTGAACTCCAGCCCCTTGCTCCGATGCCTTTCTTGTCGTTCTGTCTCATGCAAAATTAGGTATACATACAACGTCAATCGTGAGATAGCGGTCGTTCAATCTTTACGTGTCAGCGTAACGGCTCATGCTGCTCCATGGCTGGCCGGTGTCACAGAAGGTGTCCGAAAGTCAGCGTGATTGACAATTCCATCACCGGAAGAAGCCGCGATCTTCATGTAGAGGAGGGTATTGTGGCGGCTGCATTATTGGCGGAGTAGGCGCTACTGGAGGGCCCCGTTGCCTACCCAATCCTGCCATGTAACCGCCCTGCTCTTTTCGGCGCGTACCTGGCCATTCGGCAGGCGGCATCGGTGCGGACAGAGCCTCAGGTCGGGCGCGGCCCTTCTTTGCGCCCTTGTCCCGTCTTCCACCCTCGAAACCCTGGTCGGCGTAGCCGGCTTGGGCGAAGGGCGGGCGGGCAACAGCTGGATCTCTCTCGCTGGGCAGGTGCAGGTCGACCAGACCGTAGAAGTAATCGAGTATTTCGGGATAGCGCAGTACCGAGGCACGCCAGTCGGCATCAACGCCTCGCTTCAACTCGGCATGCGCCTCGGCGATCTGGGCCTGCAGCTGATGGAGAGCGGTTGGGTGCAGCGGCGGCTGGCCGCCGTATTGGACATAGATGGAGTAGAAGGGCAAGGACGACAGGTAGGCGGTATGGGCGACGCGGCGGGCGGAGCTCAGGCGCTCAAACAATTGGAGAATGTGAGCTCGGGCATGGGTGATGACCCAGTCTCTGCGGTGGAGTTAGCAGTCTCCAGAGGACGGGCAGGAGCGCTGCGGACCTGATCTCGCGCAGACGAGCATCCATGGCACGCGACTCGGCCTGCTTGACGGCGAGCTCGAGGCGCTCGGCCTCACACGGGCATTCCTGGCCGCGGGGTGCCGGACTGCCGCAGATGGCGCAGCTGGGCGTGGCGTCTGAATCCATGGTTGAAGACTAAGGGTGTCAAGGGCGCACGTTGAGGAGTGCGGGCGGCATGGTCGTGAGACGTGACGGCAGAGCGGGGACGGACGAAGACACAGGCGACGAGGTTGAGTCTGATTCGTGAGCGTACGATGTGTTGTTCGAGCAGCTGCTGATGCGTGATCGCCCGCCCCGCGACAGCGCACGCCCGCGCCATCATGCGGCTCCATGGACAGCGCCTCGTCCGCCTGGTCCTTGCCAATCGTAGCCGAACGTCGTCGGATATTGCGCCCGCCTACTTGCCTCTTATGTCTGGATGCTTATGTGCCCATCGAAACCGACCTTTTCATTCATCATTATTCGCCGGTAGAGTTTTGTCAGCTGTGCGCTTCGGGGATAGATTTTGACAGTAATTCGTGTGTTTGCCCACCATTGGCATTCGACGGTCTTTGCAGTCTATCGCGCTCCGTCGATCTCGACTTGCTAAGTACGTCCCGCGGTGCTCAACGCCAAGGTTGGGCGTCAGTCGAAGGATTCGGTTCTCGCCCTCATCTGTAGTGCTCGTTTAATGGATCTGCCTAGATGACACATCTCTCAACTCTCGCTTTTGCGAATTGACTGGATTCCACCATCCGCTGGCTTCAACGCTGAAAAGATTCGTCTACATTGGTCGACTGGGGTTCTACGTGATGCAGAACTTGGCAGGAATATTTGTCAACAGCTTTGAGAAAGGACGTGAAAGTGTCGGAGAAATGAATGCGAGGCAGCTGCATTACACTAGGATGCAAGTTCTGTTTAAAAAAAAATAGTTGGGCTTATGTTTTATCACATCACAATTTAGCACAGCCGGCCATCGATGAGACAGAAGCTGACAACGTGCTTACGGGCAAACGAGGTGATGGGCTTGTGATGGCGGCAAGAATAGTGGGAACGGAGCATTCAACGGAGCAGGGTAGAGGGAGGGGTGCATGAGTGGAGACCAGCAGCAAGCTGGGGGCAGGGAGTGCTCCTGCCGCTGGGTGTGGAGAAGTTCACGACGGCATTGCTCGCGGCGATGGCAGCGAAGATAGCGCAACACGGAGCTCTTAGAGGCGCGCAGGCTGCCGCAGGCGGAGCATAGACGCGCGGAATAATACGCAGCGGCGGCAGCGGTCGCAGCGTGTCGCCGGGCGCGGTGGCTGGTCCAAGACCCTGAAAGCTTAACGGCCAACCTCTTGCGTCACAGCCTCCTAGGCAAAAATGCAGAAAATACCTCTAGGCGGGGGGGCCACCTACACTTCTCTCCCCTCGGTCAACATCACCCTCTTCCTCACCGCACACCCGCAACCCATTGCGTGCCTGCCCCCGCGCGTCCGAGCCAGAGCCCGCCAACCTCCAATGCCACCGCACGGCCCGCTGAAGCCAAGCTGATTCCCACCGCGACTTCCGTCACCAGCTGTCCACCATGCCTCGCGCTCCTGCCGTGGTTATCGTTGCAAGGCAAGTCTGGTCATCTCGTTTCTCGTGCTGCGCCCAGCTAACCCGCCTAGGCACGGCGCCCGTCTCGATGCCGCCGACAAGACCTGGCATCTTACCTCGCCCACGCCCTATGACCCTCCCCTTACCTATGGCGGTTGGACCCAGTCGCGCGCTCTCGGCACCCGCATAGCCAGCCTGCTACAAGCCCGCGAAGACGGCGACATTCCGTCCCCTGCATCGCATAGCCGGAGCAATAGTCTGGACGCTGGCCTCAGCAATCGCGCCTCGCCTAGCCCCGATCGCCGGCGGAAGCGGAAGCACAGGGTTGTCATCCACAGCTCGCCGTTTCTCCGCTGTATCCAGACTTCGGTTGCAATCAGTGCCGGCATCGCGCAGTATCAAGGCTCGCCGCCGGCATCGCGCTCCCGTAGCAATTCCCCGCGCCGCCGCGCTTCCTTGCACACCACGACCCTCAACGGTCGCGCCAACGACCGCTCTCCGGGCCCCAAGGCCATTCCCGAGCCCGAAGACAACCCAACTCGCAACGTCTTGAGCAAGGCCTTCCAGAAGAGGAGCTTCGAGAAGACGACGCTGCGCGTTGACGCGTTCCTGGGCGAGTGGCTTTCGCCCGACTATTTTGACAGCATCACCCCGCCCCCGAATTCGACCATGATGGTTGCGGGCGCCAAGGCGGATCTTCTCCGCCGTGGTGAATACATAGATGCACGCCCGAACTCTGCGCAGGGATCAGGGCATTTTCCCGGCGGCTGGGGCTCCGATAGAGGCGCCGGCACCGCGAGTAGCTTCAACCCCTCCAACAACTCGCTTTCAGGCTTGGGCAGCTTGGCTCAGGCATTGCCGCTCCGCGATAGAGCTAGCAGTCAAGGAAGCGCTTCAAGCGCTGCCAGCAGAGCCAGTCGCAGGCGCGAGATGGCCATCGCGGCCACATCAAAGGCCGATGCCGGCGTCTACAGGCCGCCCGTGCCTTCATACGCTGTATCCCCCGCCGAGCCGATTCCCAGAGGCTATGTTGCCCATGCACGAGACGCTTGCGTTGGAATTGATTATCAGTGGGATAGTATGCGCGAGCCGCAGGAGTGGGGGGATGGAGGCGTGTATGGCGAGGAGTGGAGTGCGATGCACAAGCGGTTTCGACGTGGTCTGAACAAGATGGTTTCGTGGTACAAGAAGCAAGGTTCCGCAGGTCATCCTGATGAGGCCGTCGAAGATGAAGAGGAGGAGGAGGATCTTGTTTTGGTCTTGGTCACTCATGGTGCTGGCTGCAACGCCTTGATCGGCGCCCTGACCAACCAGCCAGTCCTTCTTGATGTTGGCATGGCTTCGCTGACCATGGCTCTCAAGAAGCAGCCTTCAGATCAACCGCCGTCGGAACCAGTGAGCCGCACGTCTTCGCCTTTCAACGAACGTCGTAGGTCCGGCCTTGAAAACGCGCTAGCGGACCAGTACGAAATGGTCATCGTTGCGTCGACGGAGCATCTGCGCGTTGGTGCTGATCCTGCTCGACCTGCGCTTCTGGCGGACAACTCGCTTGACCAAATCAGTGATTTCCATCGTCGCCATGCTGGAAGCTCTATGGAGAACATGGGAGACACCGGACGCAGGACAAGCAGTTCATTGGGCAGCATGAGGCGCAGCTCAACTGTCCACTCTCTCACAAGGAGCTATACACCCGGCCACGGGCGTCATACGCCCAGCAGTCCGAATCTTGGTCCGACAACTGGACTGTGGAGCAAGCCGGCTCCGAAAGAAGAAGGAGCTCCCGTGGCGAATAATGGAGCTGGTACAGCAGACTTTCTGCTAAACTTTGGAACGACTGACGCCGCCAGTTCCAAGCCGGAGATAGTAGTTCCAGAGAAGGAGGAGGCTCAAGATGACATTGCGCCGCTGCCTCCTAACATCGGCCGATCGATGAGCCAGCATGGGCTCTGGGGCTCTGTCCCGTCGGGAGCGCGTACGGAGAAGGAGAGAGGGCCGAAGAGACGTTGGACTATCAACGAGCAAGATGCTTAAGCGAAAGAGTAGAAGACTTCAGCATTGATGTATAATTATGGGTAGGGTGGGCGATTAGAGCGTCGGCGTTTCGGGGGTTTTGTCAATTCTTGGACTGGCTGCATATTGCATGAAGGCATCCGCAAATGTTTCGGCAACCATTTTTTGTTCCAGCTTGTCTGCACGCATCTCACGGCTCGATACCCTTAGAAAGAACAGATGGAACAAATGCTCATGCACTGCACAGAACTTGTGAAAGATATGTCTTGGCGTCACGTGGACGCGTTGATTGTTGATTGTTAAGCAGGCGCGCTGACGCAACGGGGATGCGTCGCGCCTGCGCTTCAGACAGGAGCACCGCCCGCATCCTTCTTCGCCCTCACACCCCATGGCACTGCATTCCGCCGGCTAAGCTCCTGATCTCGACACCATGCGTTCTTTCGGCGCCGCGCAGCTCCTTACTGGGCTGTGCCTCCTGGCTGCGCTCAGCTGGGCGGAGCATACATCCAACTGGGCCGTCCTGGTTTCGACGTCCCGCTTCTGGTTCAACTACCGTCACCTCGCCAATGTGCTTTCGCTCTACCGTACCGTCAAGCGTCTCGGCATCCCCGACTCGCAGATTATCCTCATGCTCCCCGACGACATGGCATGCAATCCGCGCAACGCCTTCCCCGGTACCGTGTACAACAATGCAGACCGCGCGCTAGATCTGTACGGTGATAATATAGAGGTGGACTACCGCGGATACGAGGTGACTGTGGAGAACTTCATCCGCCTCATGACGGACCGCGTTGGCGAGGACATGCCGCGCAGTAAACGCCTCTTGACCGACGACCGAAGCAATATTTTGGTCTACATGACAGGCCATGGCGGCAACGAGTTCTTGAAGTTCCAGGATGCCGAGGAGATCAGTGCATTTGATCTTGCGGATGCCTTTGAGCAGATGTGGGAGAAGAAGCGGTAAGCAAAGCAGCAGGAAGATGACATGAGCTGAAGCTAACGCGCGCTTGCACAGCTACCACGAGATGCTCTTCATGATTGACACGTGCCAAGCCAATACCATGTACAGCAAGTTCTACTCGCCTAACATCATCGCCACCGGTTCCTCGGAGATTGACCAGTCGTCGTATTCGCATCATGCAGACAACGATGTGGGTGTGGCCGTTATCGACCGCTACACGTACTACAACCTTGAGTTTCTTGAGACGCAGGTCAAAGATTCGTCGTCTAAATTGACCCTTGGTGACCTTTTCGATAGCTACGATGAGGCCAAGATTCACAGTCACCCTGGTATCAGGTACGATCTCTTCCAAGGCGGAGAGAAGGCGGCTCGAGACAGGCTAGTCATGGATTTCTTCGGAAATGTGCAGAATGTCGAGGTCGAAGGTGTAGGGCGCAATGAAACGAAGCTTGAGGAAGAGCTGGAGTATCTGAGCAGGTTGATCGAAGCCGCAAAGCAAAAGGCCAACGAAACCGAGGCTGCGGCAGCGTATAGTGTAGGCGTTGATAAGGACGAGGTAGCAGTCCAACCGAAGACTGCGAAGAAGTTTGAAGGAGCAGCCAAGGTTGAGCGAGACGACGGATGGGGCAAGCAAATCATTGGACTCTCTGCGGCAATAGGCATTGCCGGTGTTTGGGCAGCCGGATCATGGCTCGAGTCTTGAGCTCTCTTTCCTCAATTCATTTTTCCTCGCTCCTGTCGCGCCGTACGAAGTTCCCTCAGAAGGGAGCCGCTCGGGTGGTTGAGAAAGTGGCTTCTAACCCAAATTGTTCCAGAATATCCAGGATCCCTTCCTCGACGCTGGCCAAGCTGGGAATAACGAGGTTTAGCGGCGGACGTATCCGGCGCATGGGACAGTCATAGAAAGACGATCATGATTACGCTAAACAGAAACTAGCGCCGTTTTTGCAGATCGCCAGGCATAAGCGTGTGGGAATAGAAGGAGGCGGTGGATCTGCAGACAAGGGAGAAACTATGGCGCAGTACTTCGGAGTGAAAGGTTCCGGCGGGGGTATCAGGTGAGTATAGTGACTGTGAGATTCTGCAACAACCAACGACACTACGCTGCGAAGACAACAGATCATTGGCGATGATTTGTCAAGAGCTGGTACGGTGTCGTCCCGGCGGCTCGTATTCTCGTTGCATCGGACGATATGGGGCAAAGAAGTTGCTCGTAGTCGAGCGGGTGTGGCTGAGCCACGCGGGATCGTAGCGGAGACCGGATGGGTTTCGTGTGGGAGTGCCGGATTGGGAGATGGTGTGGTGTTTTTGGCGAGCAAACGCCTCACCGTGGTCTCACAAGCTTTCGTCCGACAGCGCCAAGCTCTACTAAGCAGCAACAATGGGCACAGCTTTCGCTACCTCGGTTTGTTTTCGACAGCTTTGTCTGCTGTCTTGAATGCATTCTCCTCGGCTCACAACGTCCGGTTCTCTCCATTGGCCGCCAGGAGCCCTGTTGAAACCCTCTACAAGTGTCAGTCATGTCGTATCGCGGAGTCGGCCCAGAAGTTAGTTGACACCTCGATTCTATCGGAACTGAAGACGGCCGGACTCGGTGCTACCATTCAATGGATATTGGATATAAATATACGGCGATGGCCTCGTCTTGATCTCAGCCAACCACCACTCCTCAGCTCTCCTCCTCTCTTCATTAATTGATAATTGCGATACCTGCCGGCAGGATAATCTAATCATCGCCCTTTGTCTAATCCATAATACCCGACCCCACCACCACCATGCACTTCTCCGCCATTGTTGTAGCAGTCATCTGTGCTTCCAGCCCTCTGGTGGCCGGCCACGCCGCCATCATCGGTGCTCAGGGTGATGCTGGCGGAAATGGATCTGCCATTGGAAGTAAGTTCTTCCACCTCCTCCAGCCTTGATACTACTAACAGCCACCAGTTGTTGGCAGCACACCTCGTGATGGCACCAGGCGTAACCCTTTCCAGGCCGATGCTACCCGTTTCCGAGGCGATGCTGCAGACACCTGCGGGGAGACCATTGGAGCAGGTACCAACGACGTCGAGTCGGGTACTCAGCAGGTCCTTGCTGCCTCTGGCAACACCCTGCCCCAAGTCAGCCCCGGTGGCCAGCTCCAAATGACGCTTCACCAAGTCAACTCTGACGGTGCCGGCCCCTACACCTGCATGATCGACCCCACCGGCACCGGCACGCAGTGGACACAGATCAACGTTGCTCAGAACGTCCCCGGCAGCCGAAGGGGCCGTAACAGAGACGGCGAGGCCACCGACTTTGTAAGTTCCTCCACACCCTTCTTCTCTGCCACCCCGTCGTCGTTGGCACACAGTGCTGATGATCCGCCGCCGCTTGCAGTCTCTCGTCGCCGACATGCCCGCCGGTATGAGTTGCACTGGCACGGTTGCTGGACAGACGAATGTCTGTATGGTCCGCTGTCAGAATCCTGCTCGCGCGGGTCCGTTTGGAGGATGCGTGCCTGTCCAGCAGTCCGGCGCCGGCGCTAACAATGCTGCTGCAACTCCTGCTGCCGGCGGTGCTGCCGGCATTGCCACTCCTGCTGCCGGTGCCGGCACTGCTGGTACTGCTGGCACTGCCGGCAACACTGGTACTGCCGGTTCTGCCAATGCTGGCACTGCTGGTTCTGCCAATGCTGGCACTGCTGGTTCTGCCAATGCTGGCACTGCCGGCACTGCCGGTACTGCCGGTTCTGCCGGGCTTAGTGCTGGTGCCACAACTGGTACTAATAATGCATTTGGCCAGTCCGCTGCTGGAGCGGCTGACTCAGCTGCCGCTGATGCTCAGGAGGAAGAGGAAGAGGAAGAAGACGAGGACGAGGAGGATAGGAAGAAGGCAAGATCTGAGCAGAGTACTTCTGGTCAAGCCGACTCGGCCGCTGCCGATGCCGCCGACCGTGAGAATGAAGCTGAAGACGAGGCGGAGGATAGGGCCGTCAAGGTGATCCAGCGCCGCGTCAAGATCAACTTGGTTGCCTGAACCGGGAACATGGAACTGTCAGGTAATGGCTACAAGATCTAGGAGGGTATCCGCACCGAATATGGTTTTGTTGTAAACTGTCAAGGCTATTCATTCGAAGTTGTAGCTCAAGGGTCTTTGGTAGATATTGTATTGGACTAAGGTCCTTCGTTACTAGAAAGACTTTAGGAATGTGAAGTACTACCGGTGGCATCAGACTTCAGCCAGCACTTCTCCATCCTTGTTCACAACCACGATGGATTCCGTCCTTCCGGCCAAGGAAGCCTCGGTAACTAAGCCATTTGCATTCCACTTGAAGTCAACTTCGCCTCCGCCCCTCAGCCTCAATCCCTTGACACTACCACCACCCCAACGAGCAGGGATGGCCGGACCCAGCACCACGGTCTTCGTTTCTCCCGAGAAGACGGGCAAGTCCACCACCAGCATGCTCAGCATGGCCCCAGCAAGACCGAAGTTTGCGTCGATTTGGAAGGGCGTGTCGTGCGCGCTGTACATGCTGAACCCATTTCCGGCAAAGTTCCTGGCAATGGCGTACCGAAGCGCAGCATCGGCCTGGTCGGTGTTGTTGAGGCGCGCCCAGCACGCGGAGCGCCACACCTTGCCCCAGCCGGCGTCGGCGTCCGGGCCCGTGCCGTTGCCACGGGCGGCGAGGGCAGCATCTACGGCGTCCGTGACGGTCGAGTTGGCGTAGCCCGACAGGATGGAGGCGAGGCTGTAGCCCGGGTACCAGCCGACGAGGTGGGACAGGTGGCGGTGCGTGTCGGTGGGAATGTCCAGGCCAGTCACTTCGGTGGGGGCTTTGAACTCCTTGATGCCGCCCCACGACTCGTCAATGTGCAGGCCGGTGTCGAGGTTGCTGAGAGCGGATGATGCATTGGAGAGGAACGCTGCATCCGTCTCAACGCCAAGTGATCCGGCTACTTCGACATACGTCAAGACCTGGTGGATGAGCTGTTGGAAATGCGTGCAGCCAAATGTAGTGGGAGGCTGCTCGGGGCTGTTGCACGGATTCACGACGAGCGTGCCGTCCTTGAACCATTGGTCCTGCTGGAGCTGGGAGAGCCAGAACTCGGCAATGCCGCGAATAAGAGGATATCCTTGTGTGGACAACCACGTCGTGTTGCCAGTGTAGTCGAAGTGATCGTAGACGTGCTGCATCATCCAGACACCAGAAATCATGTCTGTGGACTTGTTAGCACTGGGCGAGCATCGGGTCAGGGGGTTGGCAGACAGTTTGCCCAACGGAGGTCACTGTTCATTCCTGTGTGTCCAAAGATGTTCGATGCGCCGTCTAGTACCCATCCCGGCGCGTTGTACAGAAGCTCGGCCGTCTGAGACCCACGCGGAACCCACGTGTCTTGCATGTAGTCCCACAGGCCAGCCTGGAGATGGCCAAGCCCCGTCTGATCCGCTATCCAGTAGTTCATCTCCAGGTTGATGTCTCCGTGGTAGTCGACGGCCCACGCGCCCTCTAGCGTCTGGCTCCACTTTCCTTGCAGATTCGCCGGCAACACGCCCGGCCTGGCAGACGAAATCAGCATGTGTCTGGCGTAGTCGAAGAGCAGTGACTCGAGATACGGATCGCCAAGGCCTGCTTCGGTGGCATTGTAGCGATTAATGAGCTCTGACAGCTCCACACCCGCAGAGATGTTTGTGTCGGGCAGATCCAAAACGAAAGCGCCAGTGAGGTCAGTGTAGTCGGCGATATGGCGTTCTAGGAGACGCTTGCTGGAGTAGTCCGCGGCCGCCGAAATTACTGCCTCGACCTTGGGTCCCGGATCGGGGCCTTTGAAAGAGAAGCTGCTCTCTGCATTGCCAGCTTTCTGGTCGTAATTTGTCTCGGCGGCGATGATGAAAGTCAACGAAGACGTGTTCTTCGCAGAGCCCACCGTCAAGGCGCCATTGCTGCACGAGTAGTTGGTGGCTCCAATGAGCTGGGCAATAGCCGTGTATTTCATTCCTTCCGGCGGTCCGGCCTGGGTCAAGCCATTTACCTGGACCCGTGCGGCGTTGCAGGTGAAGTTGTTTAGTCCGTCATCCGCTTGCTGATTCTCAAACGAAACAGTGACCGAGGGCAATACATTCCGAGCGCTCAGTTCGTAGACACAAACGAGATCAGGATAGCTGCAGTAGACGGTGCTGGTGAAGGGGTTGCCGTCCTGGTCTTGAAAGGTAGTCGAATGGACACCTGCTGCCAGGTCGAGGGAGCGGTTGTACTCGCCAGAAAACGACGTGACGCCGTCGATGGCGACGCTGAAATTGCCCAGCACGCGGAAAGATCCATAGTTGTCGAAATTGCCCAAGAGCTCCGAGACGTCTGCAAGGTTGTCAGCAGGCGTCAGTGGGCCGAGCTGGAGAACGCACTCCCAGTCCCGTTCTGCCAAACCCAATCCTGGATGCCAGCCAAGTACTCGTATTTCGGCGTCGTGGGGTTACCGCCCGTGTAATTCTGCAGCCGTGTAAGCGAGGCGGCGGTGGTGAGTGGTTGTGCGTACGCTGGCTTCAAATGGACCGCCAGACCAGAGCGAGTCGACGTTCAGGCTGAGTTTCTCTACCCCTTGATCGCTGAAGGGCAATGCTGCCGGCTTCCTTAGCAGCCGAAGTGACGAGTGCCGGAGGACTCACCGCCCAGCTTTCCATTGCCGACGGGGAAGGCTTGCCTGATGATGTCTGGAAAGGTCGCAGGCGCCGACGACCACAGGCTTTTCGCCTCGGCCAGTCCCCAGGTCAAGCTCGCAACGAAGAGTCCGATCATTCTGGTGGTCGAATCCAATGGCCCTGCACCTGGCCGTATGCTCGCCTGATATATGATGCCATAGCTTCATTTGGAGTCCGTGTTCCTGGCGGGGGTCATGCCGTATTCAGCCGCGGAGCGCTGCAATACCCCGCTGTTCAAACCTCCGCTTCGCCTGCTTGCCTAGGCCGTTTTTCCACCAACGGTCGAAGAGACCGAGATGAGATCCGCTACTTGAGATCAGTAAGACAAGGGTGTTGATCGCTCGGGTCCACTTTCATACGTATCGACGAACAAGCCTACTCACGACTTACTAGATCGAGTAGTATGAGCACAATTTAGCGCGTGATTTGGTACATGATTCAGAGCTGATTGCGAAAAAAGACCACCTTAACCGGCTGGGCACTTGATGGTTAGCGGATCGCCGGGTCGTTCCTCGGCGCCTCTCTGCCACTGGACCCCGCTTCACCGCCTTCCCGGCCGCCCAAAAATTTCCAGGCCGCGCGCAAGCACACATCCGAATCAACTCTCCATCCACTGACGAATCCCTCTCCCCTATACAGACTTCGCACCCGGAGTCGTCAATTTCCAGCCGCCCACTATGTTTGCGGTCCCAGGCTGGAACCTTTCCGCGCCGCTCAAGGCTGAAGCGCCCACACCAAAAGCCGGTGGCGCCAACGGCTCCAAGAAGCGCAAGAGAAAGGAGGGCAAGCAGCAGGGTGCGCAAGTCAGCGGCGAGAATGTAGGCGACATGTGGGCCCAGGTAGTCGAGGGTGTGCCGGCTCCTGCTGCTGCTACTGCCAAGAGCGACAATAAGAACAAAAAGCAGAGGCGGGAATCTGAGGGCAAGCCTGAAAATAAGAAGGCCGAGGAGGCGCACGGCTCCAAGAAGAGCGAGGGAAAGAAGAAGGGCAACAAGCATGAGAAGAAGCAGAAGGACAAACAACACGACAAGAAGCAGCAGCAACGCGACGTCGAACAGCCCGCCGCTGAAACCATCGTTCCCGCTATCCCAGCCGTCCCGCCGCCGCTCCCGCCGGCAAACACGAAGCTCACCCCTCTCCAAGCCAAGATGCGTGAGAAGTTAGTAGGCGCGCGCTTCCGGCACCTGAACCAGACGCTCTACACCACCCCATCCCAGCACTCGCTCAAGCTCATCGAGGAGGACCCGCAAATCTTCAATGAATACCACGCTGGCTTCCGGCAGCAGGTCTCCGGCTGGCCTGAGAACCCGGTCGACACCTTCGTCTCGCTCGTTCAGACCCGCGGCGCCGTGCGTGAGAACTGGCGCGACAAGATCCTCAAGCGCAAGGAAAAGGAGTACACGTCCGGCCGATACCGCAAGCCGGGCGAAGCCCCGCCGGACGAGGCTGAGGACAGCGAAGAGGAGGAGCGGAAGCGCGCCGAGGCGGCGGCGGCCCACCAGCTCAAGCCGCTGCCGCGTACGCGCGGTACCAGCATCATCGCCGACCTGGGCTGCGGAGATGCAGCGCTGGCCACGAAACTGCTGCCGCACCAGCAGTCGCTGAACCTGCGCGTCCACAGCTTCGACCTCGCCGCGCCCAGCCCGCTCATCACCAAGGCCGACATCGCCAACCTGCCGCTGGAAGACGGCAGCATCGACGTCGCCGTCTTCTGCCTCGCCCTCATGGGCACCAACTGGCTCGACTTCATCGACGAGGCGTGGCGCGTGCTGCACTGGAAAGGCGAGCTCTGGATCGCCGAGATCAAGTCCCGCTTCGGCCGCGTCAGCAACCCTCGCGAGAAGAAGGTCGTCGACCACAGCGTCGGCAAGCGCCAGAAGAAGCTGATCGAGGCCGCCCGCAAGAAGAGCGGCGCCGACAAGAAGGACAAGGAGGCCGCCGCCCAGGAAGAGGAAGAAGACCTCGCCGTCGAGGTCGACGGCGTCGCCAGCGGCAAGCAGGAGACGGACGTCTCGGCCTTCGTCGAGGTGCTGCGCAAGCGCGGCTTCGTGCTCGACGCCCCGGACCCGTCGCGCGAACGCGACGCCGTCGACCTGCGCAACAAGATGTTTGTCCGCATGAGCTTCGTCAAGGCCGCCGCCCCCGTCAAGGGCAAAAACGTCAAGGCGAACGAGAAGGTCTATGCCGAGAACGCCGCCCGCCTGGCCGCCGAGTCGGGCAAGACGTACAGGAAGAAAGAGCCCAAGGCCAAGTTCATCGAGGCCGATGAGGATGGCATCGACGAGTCGGCAGTGCTGAAACCGTGCTTGTACAAGCAGCGGTAATTAGCAGAGTAAGCCGGGGAATTTTTTTTCATTTTTCGTGGCGTTATCGGGGCTTGATCATGGCGGCTATGGTGGGACAAAAGTTTACATGGGTTGTGGAACTAGGGAATAATCGAAGTGGCGCATGGTGCCGTGCTACTTCCTCACACGCACGATGATAAAAAGCAAACAATCATCTGAGACTCGAAATTTCGGGCGCTATACTTCCAACCACATCCATCAGCCATGAATGCCCGCCGAGAGAGTTCCTCCAGTGGCTGACATGCTTGCGATCTGCAGCAATTGGTGTGGAAATGCGAGAACAGCGGGTTGCTATTGCTTTATATTTGAGGAAAGGGTGAGCAGAAAATAGTCAAGGGGGGCGTTGGATGCGAAAGCGAAGTTGTGGGTAGAGAAAAAGTGACCGCAAAGCGCCGAACCATGATCTATGCCGCCCACCATGCATCAATCTCCCTATTCGACCGGTTGTCCTGTCCTGGTAAGCCAGTTATCGCTAGTCGACCTTGTGCTTCTTCTTGAAGCTGACTCCTAAAGTATGCTTTCTCTCCGCCTATCCCTGGAAGAGCAGGCTGGCGGCATATTCCACGTTTCCGCCACACGCTTGCAGTGCGTTGATGGCTTGCTGCCTCGAGAAACCCAAGCTGACGAGCTGGTCAATATCGGCGGCTGGGAAGGGAGCAGCTGAAGTATTCCTCTGCTCAGAAGCCCCCAGAGTGCGCCCTTGAGCTTGAGATCTGGAGCCTTGCGCCTGGGCGCTGGAGCTTGACTGGCCGGCAGATGCCGACGACGAGGCCGCAGCAGATCCTGCAGGGCGTACAGCGCCCGACCTTGTGCCAACCTCTGTACCGTTCGGGCCAGAGACGGTTGGTTCGTCTAGCTGAGCTTCCTCGAAAGACTTGGGTATCTCGGATTCTGGTAGGAAAGGAACTTCGATGCCTTCGAAGCACAAGCAGTTCTTTTCCAAGTCGATCTTGGCCTTGTAGCGCTTCAACATGTCCAAGCCAAAGAGTAAATCAACCGACTTCCCCTCCATGACAGTAAATGCGCAAGGCATGATGGCCCCGCCGATGCTGATTTCCGCGTGATGCACGCGTCCGAGGATCTTTGCCGTGCCGACGCCGACAGCCATGCCCGCGTAACGATTGTCGATGAGTCGTTTGATGCCGCACGCTTCGGCGCAAGATGGTGACATGATGGTTGCTTGTGCGCCCGAGTCGACAAAGGCCTTGACAGGATGTCCGTTGACTTCGCAGTTGATGTAGAGCATCGTAACGCGCCCAAAGACTGTAAGGCTAAGATGTTAGCTTCAACTTCTCCGCAACGTCGCCGCTCTTTAAATAAGCCAAGTCCCGAGCAGATGGACCAACTGAAACGAAGGTGATGTAATCGTGGAGGAAAGCATTCCTGAAAGGCAGAGGTCATGGTAAATTCGTGTCTTGGGTGAATGAACCTTGCGAGTCCCCGAGTGTTGGTTCACAGACAGAGCGATTCTGGGGTGTCTGCACCTCTACAGATTCGGCCAACCCAAATAGTCGTCCTGCCCTTGTCGACCCGGGGTGCTTGTGGCTAGAGTGTCATCCGATTTGTCAAGCTCATACCATGCGTTGCGCGAGGGAGAAGTGCTGCCCTTCGTGATGACACAGCCCCTGCGCATCCAGCGCTATAATTGGAGCTGTAACCTACAGCTCACAAAGAACCCGCTCCAGACAAGTTCTTCGCCACAGCACAGAATGCCGCGACTGGGTGTGCAAGTCAAACAAACGGCCGTGATCACGCAGCACAACAACGTCCGGGAAGTGGATCCGGCGCAGCGGGGGAAATGAGGTGGTTACTGGGGGGGCAGACAAAGGAAGAAAGCACTTGCCTTCGGGATTGTGCTCGTACGCATGCTGCAGGTTCTCGATGACGCGCTCCTGCCGGATCATCTCTTCAATCTTCGCCTGGGCCTCGACGTTGAAGGGGTCGGCATTCAGCAGGTCCAGCTGGCGCTGGTGCTCGCGCTGCTGCTCCTCCTGCAGGCGCTTCATGTTGATCCACTCCTCCCGCCAGCGATTCGGGTCATTCACGGCCGCGGCCAGCTCGGGGCGCGAGTCTTGGAGGGAGCGCAAGGCATTGTGGTCGCCGAGGATGCGTAGCCGGGTGGTCTCGATCTCGTCGTCCTGCGGGGAGCGGCGCGGCCGGGGCGGTTGCTGCTGGGCCGGGCGCTGGGCGGCGGGCTGCTGGCGCTGGCCCTGCCGCCGGATCATGACCACCAGCATGTCGTCATCCTTGATGCCGGCCTGCTCCAGCGTCATGGAGTCGCCGGCGAGCGGCTGGCCATTGTAGAAGAAGTACTGCGAGTTGACGGGGAAATTTGCCTCGACTTGCACGAAGCCCTTGAGGTCGGCCAGGGTCAGACCAGGCGGCAGGTCGAGGTTCAGCAGCTCCTGGTCGGCGGGCTCGTCGGGCGCGTTGATGGATATGGTTATACGCGGCCTGTTGCTGGTTAGCTCGTCGCACAGGCAGGGCCGGCTGGGGACGCACATCTCGCGCTCCTTGCGTGGTATGCAGGCGACGACGGATCGAGGAACACTTCGTCGCACACCTGGAGGCAACGTAGCAGCGGGCGGTGGGGGGCGCTGGAGCTCTCGAGGGAGTGTTTCGGCGGCGAGGGCGATTGGGCGCGCGTGTGTCGGGCGAGGTGATAAAGAGCTGGCAGGCGGTGAGGCGGCGCTGCAGGACGAGGCCGTGATGCGGGAGGAGGATGCGCGCGTCTGTTACGTGTTGCTGCGGTCTGCCTGCTGTTGCGTCGTAGCTCGGCGGGCTAGAGGCGAATGGCGGGGCACCGGATGACATAACGCTGCCCGCGGCCGCCCCAAGCTCAGGCACAAACGGCGGCCACCAGGCGTGAAGCTTGCCCAAGTGACGTCCATGCCTTGGCAGGCTGGCATGGCCGTTTATTGTGGACCGTAGGGCTTGGTGATGCTGCGCAACCACGCCAACATCCAGCACTGCAGCACAGCGCAGCACACCACCAAGCCACGCCCCAGCATGCCCCGCGACCTCGAGTCCGAGAAGGTGCGCCCAGGCCCCCAGCCCCGCCGCGCCGCGCTGACGCTCCGCAGATGACGCTCGCCGGCCTGCCGCCGCTGACCAAGAGCCCGGCCCAGGACGACCCGGGCGACAAGCTGATGCACGACATGCAGAAGGGCCGCCAGCGCGACGAGCTGCACCCGCTCGTGCAGACGCTCAATCCCTCGTACACCGACGACTGCGTCAAGCTTGAGAACGCCGCCTTCCCCGAGGGCCAGCGCGGCAGCAGAGAGAAGGTACGGTCCCCAGCGTGCCTGCATCTCGGTCACGTGCCAACACCGCCTGCAGTTCATCTACCGCCTCACCATCTGCGGCGAGCTCTGCCTCGGCCTGTTCACCACCTCGGAGAGCGCCCCGGGCCATGTTGCCACCCAGAGCACCGAGCACATTGTCGAGAGCGGCGCCCCGGCCCGCAAGGAGTTCCTGCTGGGTACGTGTGCTCAACCCATGCCGGACCTCGCAATGCTAAATCCTTGCAGCCATGGTCTCCGCCACCAAGACGCGCAACGAGTTCATCTCGGACGACGACATGAATGTGCCGCCTGACTGGCGCGACCAGCCCTACCCCTCCAACGCCACGGTTGGCCACCAGGAAGACGGCCGCACCATCGCCATCCACTCGCTCGCCGTCGAGCCTGAGGTCCAGGGCCGCGGTCTCGGCAAGACGCTGCTCAAGGCCTACATCCAGCGCATGCAGAACAGCGGCATTGCCGACCGCATCTCGATTCTGACGTACGAGAGGCTGGTCTCCTTCTACGAGTCGGTGGGCTTCGTGAACCGCGGACCCAGCGAGGTGCAGTACGGCGGTGGAGGCTGGGTCAACATGGTAAGGCATTTCAGCCCTTCCGCCGGCAAGCTGCTAAACCACGCAGGTCTTGGACTTTCCGGAAACCCCCAACGGCCCGAATAAGGTCGGCGAGTAGAGTCTACGAGCAGGCATGACGGAACACGCGTTAGCCAACAAGCCCGCCACCGAGTAAGGTATTAACGAATCAAGACCATGCGATACAAATCAGTGCCAGGCGTTGTGATGGGACAGAATGCTGATAGATGCAGCACCAGCGCCGGGCCCACCATTGCTCCAGTCCACCTCTGATACGGCTGGAGACGAACAATGTCGGCGTCAGCAGATCGAGTCGGTGGCTGTTGCAACGCCGTCGTCCTCATTTCCTAGCTTCTGTTCCCTTGTTCTCATCCATCCATGCACGTCGATCATTTGGTCGACCAGCGCCACGGCCGCACCAGGGCTGCGTCAGGGCTGCAGTAGTTTGCGTCAAGGTGGAAAAAGCAAAAATACGATGAACAGACCTCCCATGGCATCGAGAACAGCATGGTGCCATCCGCTGCATTGATGAATTGACTAGTGCCGCCACTGAGGAGGGCTGGCCCATCGCCACAGCCGCGTTTGATGTGCTTCCAGATTGCTTCCTCACTGAAACCGCGTCACGGATCGCTGTGGCGTTCTTGGGTGCGAAGTCAATATCTCCACCGGCGGAGATTAATGTTCAGCCCGCACGTTCAATCTAGCTAGCATATCTGCGCAGCGCTCGTTTTGATCGTCCATAGCTGTTTACCAGAAGAAGCGAACCAGTGATGGAAGGGTAGGGACTCCGTGCAGGAGCAGTTCTCCGAGTTTTCGGCGGGCGACACAGCATCCATGGGCCCGGCGGAAAGATTGGAATGAAAGCTGAGGTACGTACGTACCTTGGAACGGTCGGCAGGCATCCAAGAAGGAAGACCAGGGTCACTCAACGGCAATGGACTATCCCTTGTACAGCAGTGCCTTTTCTTATTCCAGGCGCTTACCTAAGTCGCTAGACAGCCCGGTTTGGCTAGGTATGAAGCCAAAATTGTGGAGAAGTCCTGCTATCCACTTTGCCTCGTTTCCTCATCATAGTGGAGAGTAAGCTGCAGCAATCTTGAGGATATTGAAGCTCTTGTTCACAGACGCTTCAGCTACCCGTTGGAATACCAATTTGATAAAGAAGAGGCTCCCATCCGGAGCCTTGCTACGTGCAGCATTGAGGATCCTTGCTGCAAGGTGCACCAGGGTTATGAAGATCACGAACTATTGGCTGCAGCCTGGAACCAAGCACCCTTCCGAGAACAGACGTAATAAGCGAATGAGCGGGTCGGTCTCAGGTGACAGGAAGAATCCAATCATCTAGATTTCATCGTCCCAAGCGGCATGCTATGCTTGCCTAACTTTTCCTCCCTCTCAATCGTTCTGCGTAACAGCTGGGCATTCCTCTTCTCACCTCCTTAACACAGTTAGCCTGGGCCACTACCTTGACCACGCCCCTAATCCCTTATCCCGAGAAACCACCGCCGCTAGCCCCCTCTACTATATTCTAGCTAGACAGGGAGTAGTTAAGCGCAGATCAGAAGGGTGTAGTAACGGCAAACCGGTTCTCGTGTAGGCAAGGGAAGAGAGAGACGGAAAAAGAGAGAGAGAGACCGGGGCCCCACATCAAGCTACATATGCCTGCATGAGCTTAAGCTATTCCCCTACACGCTGGTCGTGCCACGCGGCACCCCTCCCTTCCTACACTGATGGTGTCGGCACTTCGCTTAATCGTGCTCCTCCTAACGGCCCCTATGAGGCTATCTATAGAACATTTTTTCTTGCATGCAGCACGGCTGCCTATCACCAGAGGTCTCAAACACTTGACGCCGTAGAATGTCAAGGGTGTCGATTCTCACTTCAACACTGGCTGGAAGTCCAGTCCCAGAGATCGACATTCCAAGGCGGAAAGGCATGGCGCTACGGGAGGACGGAGGACCTTGCGGCTACTAGCATGGGGTGAACATTCTTTCGTGCGACATGGCCCCCTGTCGCTTCAATTGTTTTCAAGCGGTATTTTTTCCAGTCTCCAGGAGAGCATTTGGGATTGGGAAGAACAAGCAGGCTGCATCACACGTGGTCTACTGTGAAACACATCTCTCCTCAGCTCAATGAGCGTCGACCTTGACAAAAGTGTCGTGCTTAGCAGATGGGCTCAGCATCTCATCAAAGCTGATCAAAGTATGGAGAGAAGCAAGAGCGAAAGGAGCGCGAGGCCAGTTCGCTTAATTTTATGCTCTGATCGGGATTCTGTTGTTTAGAGATTGATAGTGAGCTCTTATTCTTCCCCCTCGAGTATGGAGTGACAAGCACGTCAGAGCTCGATCTAGGCGTAGATGGCTTGCATGCGGATAAAACGGCGAATTGGTGCGGGCATCGGTGGGGAGGAGGAATTAAGGTACGTGCGGCAAGGTCAGCCGGGCAAGATGATCGACAAAGCACAGTTGCTCCTTCCGCAACGAACGGTCTTACTCAGTTAGCGCCCCAATCACAGCACGGCATCTTGAGACGGGACATGAAAGGGACATTTCCCATCACCACACCATTGCTGCGAAAAAGAAGAACAGGATCAACAACCTCGTCGTCTCAAGAGGCGATATTGCGGCGCGGACTCCAGCAGTAAACTTTGTTTTCACATCGCCCTCATGGCTGAAACGGCTGCTGCCAATCACGCGAGAATCTGCACCTGGATCCCTCAGCATAACCACGAAGCGCGTGCCAACGGCGAGTGGCTGGCTCGAACGAAAAGAGAAAACGCGCGCACGAGCACTTCCATCGCACCCTCTCATTTGAGGATTGGCTCACGCCATTGTCGCGGAAAGGGCATGCGGTCGGCTTAGTCTGTCGAGCAGCACCAATCAAAGAATACATGCAGGTCAAGGATGTTGCCTGTTGCTCGTGTCTCGCCCCACTCTATGCCCGCACAAGGGCAACCAAGCAATACGAGGATCAACGGTGCTAGTATCGCTGTTGATCTTTAAGTGCGTGGTGGCTACATCTGAGTTTCGATAGAGAGAAAATACGCTTCAACTCTGTTACTGATTGAAGGGCATGGAAGAGGCCGCCGGTGATATGTCCATAGCAGCGGGGTCATCACAAGCAAAGGGGGCTGGCGTGGATGGCATGGGCCTATCCATAGATAGCCCAGACTTCTTTTCTTGCGCTTGTTTCGAGCCAGTACAATGTACCGGTTATACATCAACGACTACGTAACTTGTGCTTACCATAGATCGCCGTGCGTGATCTGCGAGTGCCAGCCTGTGCTCCATGATCTGAGACGGTCGACATGATGTGCAGAGCCAATATATGCCAAGCTGCAAAATGCATGAGAACAGGGCGAAGTGCCGCCGTTCTGGCCTGTGATTCGCTCGAATACGAAACGTGAAGAGACGAAGTGCGGGCGATTAGCTGCCGCAAGATGTGCTTTGACCGGAATAAGCAATGCTCGACCCCAACGCATAGCCGCAAGGCCGGGTTGTCCGTAGAACGAAAGAAGCAAAGCCACATACAGTTTTGAGACGGGCACGGCCGTGCCGCTGACTAACGCCTTTTATGGATGCCCCGTCATACTGCGCGCCCCCGGCTCGTGGGGAACCAAACAAGCACGGCACTCATTTTAATAGCCGCCGTTCAGAGCGCTCACGTCGCCATTAATGCCGAAGAAGTGAAACCTGTTACCAAAAACGCCGTTCGTCAGTAAACGTCCGTTGCTATCATAGTATTTATCCAAATCCCATAGATTGCAGAGCAGCAGACGCAGCGGCCGGCGGAGGAAAGCCTTGAGGATACTGCTGTGAGGAAAGGAAAACATACCAATCCTCAACATTAAGTGTTGTTGGTGCGATTGGCTGCCCCCGGCTGCTGTTGCTCCACGTCTCTTCATTCCCAGACTGTTGCTGCTGATTAACCATATCCATATGTGCCCATGCACTAGCGTCGCCCTGCGGCCCGCCATGGGCCATTGGCACCGCCCCCGCCCCGTTGGTGTTCAACGGAGGTTGCCCGGGTACTACGGGAGGTGAGTGTTGTTGCACCCCTGCGTTTTGTGCGTGCATTGACATCTGACGCGAGAGCTGCGGATCTACCATGGAATGTTGCTGCGTCGGCGAGATATTTGGGAATGAAAGATTCGTGTCAGCCGGGAAAAGCTGGTCTGGCTGAAAGTTCTGCCAGATATCTTGCGAGAGCCCGGGTGTGTCTCGGGTAACAAGGAATAGATCCGGAGGGGTGCCGGGATATGAGAATGATGGATTAAATGGGCTGCCTGGACGGGTCCCTGACCGCGACGGACCCATGAAGGCATCCTTGTTCTGCCGCGTCATATCGGGCGATTGTGCAGACATTGTGGGCACTTGAGGCGGATGGATATCTCGAGATGGCGTGACTGCTGGCGTCTGCGGTCTCGAGCGTTCGTAGGAAACCTGTGGTGCTGGTGGTCCGCTCGCGAAATTCATATCGATCTCGTCGAATTTGCGCTTCAGCTCATCCCTTGGCTTGGGTATCGTCGAGTGCTGCGGCTGTGGTTGAGGCTGGGGCATGTTTGATGGGCGGTTCTTCTGATGCCTTTTTCCAGCTGCCCTTTGGAGCCGGTCTTCCAGAACCTTGTTGCCGAGTATAGATTCGAAGAGCGTGTGGACCATCTTTGCGACAAGCCAAACTCTTGAGACGTCCTTCAAGGCTGTCATGCAGATGGATAGCCTTTGCTCGGTCGCCGCAACGATAGATTTGTTAGAAGAACGCATTTGGTAGACGTGCATGATCAAGGCGGAGAATAGACTGTAAACACTGCGAGCTGTCAGCACGCGACGACGCCAACTTCCAACAGACTCGACATACATAAAAGCAGGTGTATAGCGCAACTCATCATGACTCTGTAAGCTTTCGATGATGGACGTAATCATGCCGGCTGCCTGGTATGCAATTGTGCGGGAGGGGTAAGCCGACTGCTCCATTGGGTCGGTGCGTGGTGAACCCGCCGGAGGCATGTGTGCACGATGTAGCAAGCAGAGGGTGGTGCTGCAAGCCATTAGTCATTGCCAGACGACCATGAAACCTTCACTCACTAGTAATTGGCATGCAGCAAGGCTGACCAAAAGTGGTGGCGGGACTTTTCCCAGTACACCTCTTTGGGACAGTGCTGCAGCCAATCAGCGAGCGCCATATCGCTGTGTGTAAGGTCGATGGCATTGGTCCGTCGGAACTTCGAAGCCACCGAGTACTGCTGCGACAGGACGAGCCCCATGATCTCGCAGAGTTTGACGTAGTTGATGAAGAACTGAACGTGCACTGGGTCGGGATTGTACTCAGCCGGGCGGTCGGGTTCGTCTTCAATAAAGTCGTCCTCGGAGATCATCTCGACATCGGAATCCTCGGGGTTAATGGCCACCGGGCGTCCCAGTGCAACAGCTACCGAGCGATCACGGGAGAACAGGGTCCACCAGATACGCTTCCAAAGTCGCTTGTCCGATCGACTGAGCTGTGATCCCTCGACGCTAGAGGGCGCTTAGTGCCATGTTTGGTGTCATTTGAAACGAGGGCATTTACCTTCTGTGCATACCGGAGCCCTGAGCCACCACGATGGCTACCCGACTCCAGTAAAAGACGTTTTTCGTCACATCTGAAGGGCCTTAGCGCAACCCTGACATTACTTCAGCGCGGAGCGATTACCTTCCGGGCCCTCCCAATACCAGCCCATCAAGATAAGTGCCTGCACCATAGTGACTCGATCGTCCTCGTAATTTGCATCAAAAAGGGCCTTGGCGCGCTTGTAGAAAGTCATGGCCGCCGGTGTTGTGGAGCCGCTCGAGTCCATGAGCTGCGGGTTCGTGCATACACGCGATCCTGCAAGTAGGATGGCCTGCAGGAGGAGCAGAGAAGGCGGGTTCTTCGGGTCTCGGTACTGCCTCATGAAACGGCTGCGGTTGATAACGGGCACCACGGGGGCAACCCATTTGAAAAAAGCGTCGACAAGCTCGTCGCAAAGAGCGCGCGGCGGCAGCAGAAAAGCACCACGCGTATGTAGGATATTGATCTCCATGTCATCAAGCTCATTGACGCGGGCCTTGGCGCCTCGTACATTCTCCGGAAGCGGGTAGTGCACAACATCAGTGGTTCCGTAGCGGTCGTGGACGAGCAGGGAAAGATTGGACGACTCGCCCAGATAGGCGACGCGGCCAGCCTCCTTGATGGGTGCGCGGGCAAACTTGGGCTTCATGAACTGCACAAACGAACGGTTGTGAGTGGCTTGCTGGGCTGCGTAGGTGGGCGGCAGGCTCGTGGAAGGAATGCCGTCAGGAGAATTAACTACCGTGGATTTTTCGTCTCGACTCAGGTTCAGCCCCGTGGGGTTCGAGATGGTGGTGGCGGTCGTGGGGGCAGGCGACTCGGCGGCCGTCGTCGACTCGCGCCTGGGGTCGCCATTCTGCGGCGTGTTGGAGCCTTGGTCACTGTTCGCACGGGGTCAGCCGGCGCGTGTCTTGGGCGGTTGAGGCGCGGGCACGCACCTGTCCGTGTCCTTCTTGTTGGCCGTCTTCTTTCGCTTGGGCGTGGGGATGCGGCACTCGATGGCGAAGGCGGTGCAGTTGGTGCAGGGGACTCCTAAGCTGGCGGCGTCGCAGCGGACCTGGGGCGGCTGGGTGAGCAGGTGCGGGAGGGCGTTGCGGGCGGGCAATGGCGGGAACGAACCTTTCGTGCATGGCACGTCTGTCGCGCGCGAAGTTGTCAGCCAAACGAACGACCTCGGTGCCGAGGCAAACGCGGTGTGGGCGTCGCGCAAGCGGCAGCGGACCAGCTCTGTGGGAGACCTACCTCGCAAGCTCGGGAGGCGCGCTGCCTGTTTCGCACAACGCGGTCAGGGACGGGTTCGCACAGCAGCGCGCGCCGACTCACCTGCGGAAGCTGGGGTGCGTGGAGGACTGCGAGCCGGACGGCTGCGTGGCCGCGGGCTGGGCGCCGTTGGACGGGGCGGGCGCGGCCATGGCCATGAAGCTGCCCTCCTGGGCCATGGTGTTGAGGAGCGGGAAGCGGCGCGCAGGCTCTCAGGTGTGCAGGCGGAGGGTGCAGCGGAGCCCGGGGAGCGTTGGCGGTGATGGGGGGCGCTGCTGGAGCGGGCGGCACCCTAGGTAAAGGTGCCAGAGATCAGATCCTTGCGGCCGATCACACCTGAAGCTGCCAGGTCCTGCAAAGGGAATGTGGAGAGTCGCTGCTGGCCGGAAGCTTGAGCGCGCCCTGGCTGCCTTGGATGCGTGAGCGCGTGGGCGGGGACTCGCCGCTCACTCAGCACGCGCTCGGCACCCGTGGTCCCGCGCGTCGCCTGCTAACCTAGAAGCTAATAACTACCGTCGGGAGGCCAGCGGCGCCCGGCTTTTGGCCCCCTCCGCGCGCATCATGGTCGCCGTCTTCTGGACCTGTGGAGCCCGCAGCGGGCCGCAAACGCTTCGCGCTCTCGATTCGCCCCTCCCCGCAGTTTGGCTCCGCGCACAGCTCCCCTAAATTGGCGTGGCGCCGTGACTTGCGCGCCCGACGCGCAGAGCCTGCTAATTCCATGACACCCTGGGCGCTGGAGGATTTTAAATATGTCTTGCCGCGCCCCCTGCAGCACCCTCCCGCGGTTCCAGAAAGCTCGTGTCAGAGGTAGAATGGAGTTTTTGGAAATGCTCGACAGGGTGCACCCTGCCAGCTTCATCTAGGTATTTGAATGCATCGGGTGATGCTCTCTTGATACGGCCGTACATGCACGTGCAAACCACCATCAACTACCTCCGCCGTTGCCTGAAGCCCTCCAGCACCAGCGCCCGCTGATCCGCCGACATGAACTCCAGTCGAGTGCCATTAACCTCCCCGCGCCTGACGTCCTCTTCCTCGACCCACAAGTAGTTCTGATGCTCCACGGGATCAAGCCTGATGGGAATTGCCTCGGCCGTCCTCTCATGCTCAGCCACCCCAACCTCGAACGCCAGCTTGAGCCAGTTCCGCCCCGACCCCGACTGAAACTGCACTCCCACGCCGACCTCGTGATTGATGGACGTGACGTGGAGCCCTGTCTCTTCCTCCAGTTCTCGGGCCACTGCGTGCAGCACCGTCTCATCTTCTGCGTCGACGGACCCGCCCGGCACCTCCCAGACGTTGGGAAAGGCTCGCTCTGTCGTACTGCGCTGGACGAGGAGGAGCCGACTGCCATCGAAGACGAATGCTCCGACTGCGAGCTGGTGGTATTTCGGATTGCATTGCAGGTACGCCTGGTGACTGACGGACAGATGTGCGAGCTCTTCTGGCACCGTGAAGGCCCGCGCTGAGGAAACGGCTCCCTGGCCTGATAATTCGTGTGCTGGCATCCTGGCGAGGTTGCAATTGGAAGTGGTGGCCGGAGATTGAGGGTTGGAACGATGGTTTGCACAGGACTTCTGACGACACTCAGCGGCTGCCGCTCATTATCAGCGGATTGCTGCCTGTTCGCGTTACTGGCAAGGCACTAGTCCAGGCAGACAGCCTCCTCAGCCTCACACGGCCAGGTGAAGCCTTGCTACAAGCTGCGCACGGCCTTAGGCGGCAGGCTCGCAGGCTGTGTCGATGCTTAGTCGGTGACTTTGGCAAATTGGACGAAGCCTGTGAGTGGTTGCGAACGTGCCGAGCCGCTGTCGGCTTGCAAGGTGGGAATCTCCGCTTAGTCATTGACCCTTTTCGCTTCGCTCCATCCCCCCGCATTTCCCCCAGCTCGACTCCTCGCCTCCGCTCTCGTGCACGTCATTTCTGCCTGTTTCCAGTTTTCGAGCAACACACGCGCTCACTAAGCGGTGAGCTGCGCTTCTTATAAGACCCATACAAATCGGCCCTGAGAAGAGTAGTCCGACGCGACGGTCTCAGCGCGCCCTCGAGTCGGTGCGCCATCAGTCCTCATTATTCCCGGAAATCCCCAAAAGGGAAATCCGGGCACATACGCCCTCGAGGCGGGGTCGTTGCTCCTGGAAAACGATTCCGACTCAATCACACTCAACCGGAATACATAAGCGCCGTCAGCCGCCACCATGTCGAAGAAACACGTCAAGCTCTCCGCAGGCTTCAACATCGACGCCTCAAACTACTACCAGCGCACCGTTAACAACAACACCGGCGAGACCAAGGTTTTCCACCAGACCCAGCCTGTCACCGGCACTGCCAAAGTCACCATCACCAACAAGCCCCTCAAGCTCGAGCACAGCTGTACTTCCGGGCCGAGCCACACCGAGCATCACTCAACCTGGACTCCCAAGACTGAGCAAGAGTCACGCACCTCCTCCAACGAAGCAAAGAAAGGTGCCAGCTACGACAGCTCCGCCCTGTTCGAGTAGACATTAGCACCCAACCATGTCGAATCTCAAGCCCCTGCGCATCGTAATCGGATGCGACGATGCCGGCGTCAACTACAAGAACGCCATCAAAGCCGACTTCGAGAAGAGCGATCTGGTGGCCTCGGTAACGGACGTCGGCGTCGACGCAAATCACGATAAAACCGCCTACCCGCATATCGCCGTCGACGCTGCCAAGATGGTCAGCGAAGGCAAGGCGGATCGCGCTCTGCTAATTTGCGGTACTGGGTTGGGTGTCGCCATCAGTGCCAATAAGGTCCCCGGCGTTCGTGCTGTCACGGCACACGACAGCTTCAGCGTCGAGAGGGCGATCCTTAGCAATGATGCCCAGGTCCTGTGTATGGGTGAGAGGGTGGTTGGCTTGGAGGTTGCCCGGAGATTGGCCAAGGAGTGGCTGGCCTACCGCTTCGACCCATCAAGCGCGAGTGCTCAAAAGGTTCAAGCCATTACGGATCACGAGAAAAAGAACTTTGATTTGCAGTAGGCATTAGTCGAATGCGTTGGTTGCACTGTCCATCCTCTTCAATTTCGTCATTCTGGTTCAGGAATGTTCAGAAGTCATCACGCACCTTGAAAAATGAATATCCATTTTTTTTTGTTATCAAGCTGAAATCAATCACTATCGATGTAGGCAATTAAGTACTCTTAGGGAGAATAAAGTTATCTTAATAGCCAAAGCAAAATTATCTTGAGTTTGGCCGGAATACTAAAGCCTCTATCTTTATGCAAAAGTCGAGATAAAGGGAGCTCTTGTAGAATCGGCAAAAAAAATTTTGAATTCAAAGCAGCCGTTGTCTACTACCGGCTACACAGAATCTATCATTGATTTCCAGTTATCCTAGTATCAGTCCTTTCAAAAATTGCGAGCTATGAAAAGATTGCTGTATAACAGAATCACTGTAGACCGCAATAGATAGTACAATGATAGCTAGTACATAAAATCTAAACCTATTTCATCTATCTTAATTTATGCACCTACTAGTTAGTCCGAGACTTACAATCTGGCTTCCAGTAGAGTCGCACCGCCCATTCTACTAACTGCCCATTTTCTTCAAACCAACCACCTGAAATCAAAAGGTAGGGAAAAAAAAAAAAACAGCAATGACAGTGTCATTTCGTGCAACATTCGCTATTTTCTGATCCAACTCGCTTCGAACCTTCCAATCATCAGCCAAGTGATCCTACTCCCTTACAGCATGCTGCACGGAGAAGGGAACTTCCTTTCCATGCACATATGCACGGATGCGCCGAATTGCCGGTCCGTGATGTAGTGCCGGTAGCCCCGACGGGCGTAGCTGCGTTGACTAAAAGGAACGGCTTTGTCGCGAAATATCGGGCGCTAAAGTGGCATGGGTGCCAGGGGCTGTTACTCAAAATAGAAGGTCAGGTGTCTACATTTATGCGCATTCCGAAAGGCGGGGAAGAAGTCAGGTGTCGGCCCGCGGAACGTAATTGAGGACGAGCGAGGCTAACATGTGAAAGCACGAGAGAATGCAGTGCATTCGCCGCGTAGAGAACTCAAGATACCCGAGGGCCGTGTTTAGTTTCGGCCATGCGGTGGAAGTAAGTGATGCTAGTGTGAAGACACCCTTGTGGGCCCCTCTATACAGCTTTACTACTACGTATGGTTAATGAGACATTTATTAATAGTCCAATTTCATGACGCCAGTCCTGCAGACCGCTAAAGCCATATCCAGGCCCGGCATTACTCCGAGCAGGAAATGTCACGTCAAAGCTTAGAAATGATTGAAGTGTAGGATTTCCTCAAGGCTACCACTCTTACATGCTGCCATCTTCCTGTCTCCCCTTTCAGTCATCCAACACCTGAAAATGCGCATCACTCGGCATCTTTGCATTGATATCCAGCACATCCTGCGGGCACGCACTCATCACCACGACCACATCCCTCTCGGCCCTAAGCACAACATAGTCCCCCGGCTTCGTCACAGGATGCTCGAAGCTCAAGTCCTTCACGTACGCAGTCCCCACTGTTGGGATGTTCATGAATAGGTTGAATGGATCCGGTACCCTTCCTCCCAACCTCGCCTGTAGCTGCCTTAATCCATCCCTCTGCTCCGGATTCAATCCCAGCCCGCTGCCAGCCTCGGGCAGCGATGATGATGTGGACAGCAGCGCGTCCAGCGCATCCCAGCAGTTGTCCGTGCAAGACTCGTGGTACCCCTCGACGCCAAGTTCGGCGAAGCGCCAACGGTCGCACGCCGCGATCAGCGTGTCATGCACGCCGGGCGACGTATCTTCAACAATGGTCATCATGGGGGCGCGCTTCTGGCTGCGCAGGACGTCGCCAACGCCCGGATGCGTCTTGCAGAGGCTGGCGCGCGTGTGGCTCATGGATGCATATTCGGACACGCTGGCGGCGATGTTGGCCGGGGAGCTGTATGAGGTAAGTGATGAGGCGGTGGCGGCGGGGAAGAGCGGCGCGTCTGGGTTGGAATTGGAGTCGGACGCGGCGGTGGGTAGAGCGAAGGCCCACGTGTCGACGACTTGTGTACCGGATGTGTTGATGATCTTGATGCGTTGGCGGCGGCGGACGAGGGTCGCAGCACCCCGGCGGGCGGGGATCACTTGAATGGGAGGATCGATCATGGCTTTGATGACGGGGGTTGACGCAGACAGAGAATAAAGTGCACAGCGTGCTTAAGAAGCTACAGTGAATGGTGTTGGCAAGGCCAGAGGCGGTAAGTGACCCCGCCATGATCGGCATCAGGGTTCGCTTGCCGTAGCTCTATCTCCCATGGCGGTCGATCCGACACAGGCAAGCCCCATCCATCTTTTGGTCTTTGTGGCCGATGACGTGTGGAATGGATCTTCTGGCTTGGGATATCTGAGGTTGTTGTACTTCGGAGGTAGATGCGCCGAGGCTGCGTCTGTGTCGGTGTCTCAACAGCCGGATTACCGCATATAGAATCCCGCCTTGCGTCCGGACTTGATATTGCACGGCGGCTGTCTTTATTCCCAAAAGGGGAAGAAAAGGAGAGAAATCAGTTGTCGAAGCGCACTACCTCAGAGACAAGCCGGCGAACATTATTGAATTTCCAAGGACAAGACCATCGGCTGGGCGTCTCTGCGGCACAGCGCCTAATTTCCGGGAGCGATCAGCGAAAACATAGCTGGCAGGAGTTGCTTTAAGCGGTGGCGTGTGATATCAGACACTCTGACACGGGGAAACGGCGATGTGATAGGCAGTTCGGCAATGGAGCCGGCTTCTCGTCTCGGCGTTTTGCAGGGCGGCTATGCGAGCGGTTTGACCCACCGACAGCAAGTTGGTGAGCAAAGAAGTCGAGACTGGCGGGCGTGAGGCTTAAGTTTCGGTAGGAGCTGGCGGGTTGCCGCAACGGGTAGGCGCGCGAGGTTAGTCATCCGCGGCTCGGCTGCGCACGTTTTCCAAAACACCAACCTCACGCATCGCCAGTCTCAGCCCCTGAACACCATCAGTCCGCCAAAACACCGTGTGAATCAGCGTCCGGCCAACCTGCTCGACATCTCTGTTTCCGGTCGCCTGATCTTTCCCGAGCCTAAACGCCGCGCCTGGCGTGACGTGCGTCAAAACATGCAGCGCTTTCAGAGTCGCCGGGCAGGTCGAGGGCACTCTCGCTGACCGGCCGAGCGCAGCATTGCCAAAGCCGTGCGCGCCAAGTGGAGCGCTGCCGCGGAGCATATTTCTATGCTTATCTTGCAATTTGCCCGATGGAGTATAACGCAGCCTCTCTAAGAGGCCGTGCATTGCGTCAACGTTATTCCCGCTAAAAATTGCTCGCCGCAACGCCAAATTCCAAGACGTGCCAAGCTCATGCTTTGCCAGCTTGACCATCTGGGCACCCTTGCCCCACAATTCTCCGCTACTCCAAAACTCGTATCACGGGCCTTCTTCCACTTGCCTTCATGGTCCGTGTTGGAGCTGCCGCCCGGCTTCAAAGCCGCATCGCTGTAGCAATACCGTTTCGCCGCGGGCAATAGTGGGTCTCTACTGCTCACCACCAGCTAGCTAAAAGCCCGAGAGAGCGACACCTTCTTGCTCACCAGCCTTCGCTCATCACTTCCATTCCATCCCATTCCATCCTCGGGCCCTGGTGGTTCTAATTACTTTCTCTTCCATACACATTTACTGTCTTTTATTATTTGCCCGTGCCGGTCACGTCTCTTCCATCCACCGTTAAAAATGCAGTTCACCTCATTTGTTGCCCTTCTGGCTGGCGCGTCGACCGTCTACGCCCACGGTGTTATCCTTGCGGCCGAGGGCGACTCGGGCAAGAGCCAAGGCTTCCTGGGTACGCATGCACACCACAGCCGGCTGCAAACCAACTAACATCAACCAGTCAACGAAAACGTTGCAAGAAACTGCACCGAGATCAACCCCTGCCAGCAGGACAGCGTCATCATTCGCGATGCCGAGATCACGCAGAACATTGTGAACGGCTGCGGGCGCACCGAGCTCAACGGCAACATCGACATTGGCGAGCAGACTGAGAATGAGCTGGCAGCCAACCGCATGACCCAAGTCTCCAAGGGCTCGTCGGTCGCAGTCACCATCCACCAGGTGAACGCCGATGGCGCCGGTCCCTACGAGTGTGATCTGGATGAGTCGAGCAACGCCGGCACCTTCCAGAAGCTCGAGGTCTCCAACAATGTGCCGGGCGAGAACGGTCTGTCGGATGCCAAGTTCAAGGACTTCACCATCAACGTTCAGCTGCCTGATAACCTGAACTGCACTGGCGGTGAGCACTCCCTTCCCCATCACCATCCAAGCCCGCAAATTAAGACTTCTACCAGCATCCACCGGCAACATCTGCACCGTCCGCTGCCGCAACAACGCCCTTGCTGGCCCCTTTGGTGGCTGCTTTGCCGTTCAGCAGACCGACACCGAAGGTCGCCCCCAGAACCAAGCAGCTAGCGAGATTGAGACCGCTCAGACCCTCGATGGTATTTCCAAGCAGATCCAGGTCAATCAGGCCGACTTCAAAACCGCGATCGAGGCTAACAAGGCGGCCGGCGCTGCTGGCGGTGGTGCGGGCGCCGCCGCGGCTGAGGCCTTGATCAACGGTACAGAAAACGCAGGTGCTGCAGCGAGTGCTGCCGCTGCCGCTAACAATGGAAACAACAACCAAAACAACAACAACGACAACGACAACCAGAACAACGGCAACAACAACAACCAGAACAGCAACAACAACAACAACAACCAAAACACCAACAACAACAACAACAACAACAACCAGAACCAGAACAACAATGGTAATGGTGGCAACAACAACCGCAACGGTGGCAACAACAACAACGGTGGATTCCGCAACGGCTTCGGTAACTTCTTTGGGAACAACAAGGCCAAGAGGCAGGTCCTTCGCAAGCGACTGGCTCTTCCGTTCCTCTCCTAATGCTCATCCACCCGTCCCAACAGGCAGCAGCAGGCGAGCCCGCAATACTCTTCAACCCCCTCTGCTCCAACACCTTCCTCCTCTTCGACACCGGCGGTGCAAAAGGCACACTTGAATGAGATCATGCGAACGGGACTGAAGAAGGCGATTACTCATTCCAGGCGCTGATCTGAGCCAGACAGAGGCAGGGGGCGATGGATACCACGCGCACAGATAGTGTTTTCTTTTGTCATAGCCACCAGCTATTTACCATACTTCTTCTTCTTAGACCTTTGGATGCGGCGAATTGAAGTGCCCTTTTGAATCATGTACTATCATGCCGGTCTCAATGAATACTACGTTTTACTTTTCGTGTCTATCGGTTTGGATGCAGCCTGGAACCTGTAAGCTTAGCGAATCCCTCGCGCCCCAAGTGGTATATTTTGATCTATTTCCTTGTGCAATCAGGGATATGTAAGCGGCATTACATGCTAGAGGAGAATGGCGCTAGAAAGAATTCAACTAGCTCGTACTAACATATGCATGTCAGCCTATGCCGTACTCTCGTACAACCCACACCATCGCCAAATCTCTTTATCTTGGATAATGGCCCATCCAGAAGTATGGAGCGTGGAAGAATGACGAGAAGAACAGTAACTCGTTTAGAAAGAGCTGAATCTCCAAGATCAATCATCTCATCGTGTCAAGACGGACACCTGTGAACCACACCCTTGCTCGTATTCCCTGCAACACAAATATGCGGTGACACCCGAAGCAAATCTCAGCTTTCACGCCATTTTCCTCTTTCAGGCTGCATAGGGAACCTTGCCATGTGTCTGTTCTACATTTCCCGTGGACTCGTGCACCAGCCCTTGACGATTATGGAGCCTCATCCCGGCGCCAGTGATTTAGTTTCCTGCAGTATCGGGCCCAGCCAAGGCCACGGAGTGACTGTCCTAACCCCGTCGGTTTTCAGTGTTTTCAGCTCCGTCTCTCACTTCCAACCCACCTAACCATCGCCACGATGATGGTGCCGTTTATTTTCCCCTTTCTGACTATGCTGCTGGTTCTCAGAGCAGCAGGTGCACGGGGGGATGGGAACAGCAGCACTCCCACCAATGCGACAAATGCAACGCAGCCCACACCCTCGGGTCCGATCACGACTGACGCGATGTGCGGGCCAGACCATAACAATACTGTCTGCGTGCTCGATGGTATCGCGCCATGCTGCAGGTTCGTCCGGTCCTCCCCCTCGTCCTTCACTCCGCTAACACGCCCTTCTACTACTCCCAGCCAAAACGGGTAAGTTCCGACAGTCAACCTCCACACTCTCAAAAAAAAAAAACTGACAGACGAAACAAACAGTTTCTGTGGAGGCGACAAACGCTACTGCTCCGCCCCGGGTTGCCAACCGCTCTTCGGTCTCTGCCACGTCCCCAACAGCAGTACGCTCGGCAACCCGGCCTGCAGCTGGTCCTCGCAAGGCACGAGTCCGCGCTGCGACGGCCAGTGTGGGGCCGACCATAACAACGCACTGTGCGATGCGTCGGCCGCCACCGACGCGTTCGAGGAGTATGGCGTTTTCGGATATGGGCCGTGTTGTAGCAAAGCCGGGTTTTGCGGCAATACGAGCGATCACTGCGAACGGGAAATGGGCTGTCAGAGCGGATGCTGGGGGAGCGATGACGATGATGCGGCCTCTTCGTCGTCGTCGACCGCCAAGGGGCCTGTGAGCACCGTGACTGTCACGGCAACGGCGACGGCGAGCGCAGCCGGGGTCAGAGGAGTGCCAGACGCAGTGGTCGCCATGGGACTAGGGGTGATGGGGGTGATGCTGGGGATTTGAGAAAGCGTCTGATTGATAATGCTAATAGGAAACATGAGTTCACTACGCAATACACATGCTTGACTCTCTTTGAAATGATTTGCAAATGGCTGTTCTTGGTAATTTTGTACAATGACAGCCCGTTGAGTTTGTCCAAGAGGTTCTCCTCGGACGTAGTTCAGTGCTACGTATTATCCCTTGCAGAAACAGCAGTGGTGTATAGATGCCGCGCGATTGACGAGTAGATGACATCCGGATATACCTGCATACAGTAAATGACGAATGTAAGCCATTGGCAATCAGTCCTTTCCCTGCTCTTGACCTTTCATTACATTAAGGTCTAGCGGAGAAGAACCTTCCATCTCGTGTCTTTCGTCCCCGGAACTCAGCTCCTGGGGAGCTTGTCTCCCACCAAGTTCGTACCTTGCGCCTTCCGCTTTCAGCTCGTGTCGCATACTGATGCCATCGAGCTCTACCGTCGCCGAACTATTCTTCTGTTGTCTCTTCCTTCTCATAGCCCAGAGCGCCAAGGCTCCCAGCCCACTTGCACCAGCAACGCTTCCAACCGCAATTCCCGCAATCGCTCCCGCCTGCAGCCCTGTTCCTCCCTCGCCGTCACTCTGAGCTGACGTCGTGGAAGCTGCTGAGCCGGGGCTAGTCACTGCCGTAGAGATGGAGCTCGAGCCGACAAGACTCCTCGTCGAGCTCGCGGCGCTCTTGTCGATGACCCTGAACGCATCCCAATCACCTACCAGGTCGAACAGATTCGAGTCGTCCTGGCAGCACGTTGCGGTCGAGTCTTTGTTGTCGATATCGCAGCAAACCTTGCCGCCGGCATCCGGACAGCGGATTATACCGCAGCCGTAGTCCGGGGATTTCGCTATCGGAGCTGTCAGCTCGCGGCTCGTAAGCAGGCGTGAGCCAGGCTCCTCACCTTGACAAAATTGCGGGCACGCGTCAGAAGTCCATGTCTTGTCGGTACAGGTGCCGCGGTTGTAGCGGTACTGGGTGGGGCTCAGGACGTCGCAGATCTTGTTATCGAGGCAGCTGACATTGGTCGTGCAGCAGAAGGACTCAGTCGTGTCTAAGCGGCAGGCGTAGTCGTTGGTCGCGATGGTGCCGTCCGGGTAGTAGCAGAGCGGGACGTGGCCATCGCCGCTTTGAGCGGCAAGAATGACGTCGAGGAGCAAGAGAAATGGGAGTGCACGGCGGGACCCAAGGCTAGCGGAGCGCATGGCAGGAAGCGTGGAGAAGATGAAGCGGCCATGAGGGAGCGAGCGAGCGTCGCGTTCCAAGGCGGCTGGCTCGGGGGGAGGTGCGAATGCGACATGCAGCTGGGGTCGCACAGCGTTGGCTGGAGCCGGATGTCACCTCACGTCCCCAGCCCTGTATCTTTTGCACTTCATTCGATTGATTTCATCTTCAACACCCCTAGCGTTGGAGATCGCAACAATATCTTCCAGGTACAAGAGACCGTTCCTACAAATTGGATTGAGTTTGAGAAATCGGTTGGAAACACTGCAATATCAGCAAGAGACGGTATCGGAAGTAGGTCAATATATTCAAGCCAATCCGGCCCGTAGCACGATCGGTCAGTATGAATACATCACAAGCTATACAGGTCCAAAGTCAGCCCGAAGGTGTAGAAGGAAGGGCCAGATTTCTTGCAGAGCTTGAAACTTTGCGCCCGGCGCCGATGCTGCAAGCGGCCATCAGTGCCTGTCTGTGCTGACAACGCCTTCTCAACCCATGACCCCCCTGAGCGAACCGCCAAATCCGACAGTGGCTGAGCGTATTTCCGACTGTTGGCCAAGGCGAGAAAGCCAACACGGGCATTCTACGGCCAGGGAGCGTGATGCTGCGATCGGCACTGTACAAGTGGGATAGTGCCGGATGGTTTCAATCCTTCAAGCCTTCTTGCTTCCTTATAGTGGAAGAGATGGCGGAGAGATGTCCAATTGGGCTACCGAATGAACGGCCCGCCACTCACAAGCCTGCAAGCGTGGCAACGAAGGTGGGCGCAGTTCTCGCACTCGCCTTCGGAGAGGTGGTTGAGGATGCCCTCTCTCTTGCACCTGCAGCATCGCCACCACTCTCTCTTCGCGACACTTGGGACGCTGGCTTGATGACCTGCATTAGGGTGTTTGAATATATGATGCGAAGGACGGCGCCTGCTGGAGAAGTTAGCGTGCATAGCGATTGATACGGAGAGGCGCAGCGCTAATGGCGGTGGGATCAGAGAAGAGTTGCAGCCGAAGAACGAGCGGCGGCGGCGGCGGTTTTGATGCGCGTTGCTTGTCTGCAGGAAGGGACGTGCATGAGATCTGGAAAGAGAAGGCATCGGGCTGCGGAGTGACGTCACACCAGCCAAGCGATCTGATCTACCGCCGTGCTGGTAGCTTAATGGTGGTTAGACAGGACTCTCCGATCTCTGAATCTTGCTTGGCACTTCGGCAATCTCCATCAAAACTGAACGACAGCCCTTGGATCTGCGCTGATGCTGCAACCAACGCAACGCCTGGCCGGAGACATGGCACTCTGCTTACGTGGGCAGCTGAGGTCCATGTCTCCGAACTGCCCATGTGAGTAGAATGCGACATGACAAATATTCGCGAAGGGTTAATTGTTCTGTAGCCCACTATGACACGAGGAGCAGGAAGGAGTGGGGATGCTTCCAAAGGAAAGGAAAAAGACCAGGACTCCAGCGATGCAACTCCGACGCCAATGCACACACCCTGGTTCCAGCTCCCGGGCCGTGAAGCCCTATGTGCAATCACCCTGCGGAGCGATCTCTACACTTGACCGGTCTATTATCAAAACACGGGCTGCACCTGTTCAAGCACAGCGCAAACCTCCAAACTACGCCTTTGGCTTCCTCTTGCCAATGTTCCATCCCCAGCCGCGCAGGACCTTGACGATCTTAGGCGTCACGGCGGCCGTAAGCGGTACCCGCACGAATATGAAGGACTTGTGGATGGCATAGGCGAGGGCGAGCTGGGTCCAAATAGCTACAACTGTATCAGCCGGGGTCTCACAGCGTTGGATGGAGCACCTTACTGGCCTCCTCACCCGCATTGGCCTCCTCCGCTGCAGCGACCTCGTCCATGTCGCTGACGGCGCCATCCCGCACCTGGCCGGCCTCGGTCTGCACGGCACCTTCCAGCTTCTTTTCGCTGGGGAAAGCCACATGGACAAAGTTCCAGAAGGCCGTGACTGCGGCGTGCTCCCATCGGCCAATGCGGTCCGTCCCCAGCATGCGCACGGCGAGGAAGCAGAAGGGGAAGTCCAGCACCGACAGGCCTAGGTACACGCCCAATGCCACCCAGCCGTACTCGCGCGACAGCTTCCGCATGCGCTGCGAGAACGACGGGGCGGCATCGGGGCTTCCGAGGTTTGGGGTTGGATCGGGCCTGGGAGGCTTGGACGAGTTGGCATTGAAGCGGCGGGCGGCGGGCCCGCGGAGCAGGCGGAACAGCGGGGACACAGGCGAGGCACTGGGGCGGCAAGGCGCGTGCGAGGCGCGGGGCAGGCGGCGGGGCAGGGCGGGCAGCGTTGAGGTGCGGTGGGAGCGGACGGCGGTGGTGAGGTGGCGGGCAGGCAGCAGGGGCAGCTGCGGGCGCATGGCGGGCTGTGATGCGCGGAAGGGCGCGGCGGCGGGCGCGAAGCGCAGCGGTTTCATGTTGACGGCGGCGGAGGGTGGTCGTCAAGCGGTGCGGGTCAAGTGAGCGTGTCGGTGGGAAAATGCTCTCGAGCGCACGGGCTCGGCAGCCGGCGGACGGAGAGGTGGAGCGCAGGGGGTTGCGGGCCGAAAGGACACCGGCGTCGGCATTTAAGGCGCGCGCGCCGAGTCAGCGCAACAAAGTTTATTTGGATGGTGAGGCATCGCAACGTCGTCCCCATGATTCGCGGCCGGAGATGAGCCTTCGTAACCAAACTCTATCCGTCGACACCAGCACGGCGGCCTGGAAGCCGGACCCAGCCAAGCCCTGCAGTGGACCTGTCACACGCGGCCTCGAGAGCCGCATCGCGCCTGAACTTCGGGCTGCACTGGCACGCGCCGGCGGCCGGCTTCGCATCCTGCTGGCGGCGGCATGCATTGCGCCTGCATAAGCCCGCCGCGCGGCGGTGCGTCTGCGGCTTTCGGCAGGCGCAGGGCGAGTGAAGCCGTGGTCGTGGTCGTGTCGACGGCGGATGGCGCAGGGGCAGGAGCATGGCGTGAGCGGCGCGGTTAAGGTTTGCGATGGCACGCAGCAAGGCCTTCTGTCCGCAGGCGGTGGGTGTGGCTGTCGGCTCTACCCGCGCTGCAGTCAGCAGCTGGCGACTTGGGAGCGCTCCCGCCGCGGGTTCCACGCCCCCGGGCTGCGCTGCGTTTGTCGCCCTCAGCTGGCCCCTGGAGGGATCTTCCCCGCCGCCGTTATGCCGTCTGATGCGCGACATCTAACTTCGCTTCACCAGCGTCATGAGCGCCCAAGCTTCGGCGCCGTTTGCTCGCTGTCACTCCACGTGGGATGGATGCTCTTTATAGCCTGCCCGCCGCCCGCCCTCAACATGAGCCTGCTCCAGCACCGCCATTGCCCCTTCCGCGCCCGTCGCACAGCACCAGAAGCACCTTCCCAGCCCGTCCTAGCCGTCCCCGCTCCAACGCGTCACAAGCATGGGCAACGGCGAGATAGTCAACGGCCACGGCCCAATGACGCTACAAAAGGCCCTGGACATCGCCCGCGAGAACCAGTCCGGCCTCGACCCGACCATCGCCGCCTTCCTGCACCGCGAGCTCGACGGCGTGTGGGCCAAGCTGCGCGCCCAGCCCGACAGCTACATTTTCACGCGCGACGAGTACAGCCTCTTCAACTACTTCCAGCAGCAGGCCAACGGCAACGAGCTGGCCACCAAGGCAATCCAGCGCTTCTGGAACCACTACCGCATCGCCGACTCGGCCTCGAGAGGCTAGCCCGCCGATTGTGACTGCTCTCTTTCTCTACCTTGCTCGGCCTATGGGATCCCCGCCCTCAGCAGCCGTCCCCACCGCGCACGCGCTGCCCAACCACGCATCTGCTGGTCGCCTTTCGCGGCTGAGCGGAATGCGCATCCACGACATGCACGAGCACCCTCCAGCTCACTGGCCCGGCGCGCCTCGATCCCGCGCAGTGTTGCCTGTGGCCGCCCTGATTGCCTTCGCCAGGGTGCTGGTCTCCGTCTTACTTCTTGCAGCTCTAGCCCTGCCAACCGCTTCTGCGAATCGAGCCCCAGCCGGACCCCGCGAGTTGGCTGTGCGTGCAGACAATGCCTCCTCTCAATTGGCCGTGCTCGAGGTCGACCCACCGGTGTTGGTGCCGCCGCAGCCCGCCTGCCAGCAGACGTTGATGGTCCATGTCTTTGCCTACAGCTACGGCACTCCCTTTGTTGGTATGCAGCCTTCCTTCGTACAAGCCTTATCAAGAAGTCGATTCGCTCTCAATCCTTGCTGCCATGCGTGTCATGTCTGCTTCCGCAGATGTTGATTGGTGATGGGCCAGAGGCCTCGCCCTGGCATTTCCAGCAAATGGCTTAAGTTTTTTTTTTTTCCTTTCTTTTTTTGGCCCACATGCATGCATCTTGCTCGCCCCGTCTTTCGTCGGCTGCACCGACAAGCATCATAGACCGCCTCTCGTCCCGACCCGTTAACCGTCGGCAAGTAATGCAGGGCTAACCCCTAACTGTAGGCACCTACGTCCCGCCTGCATGCGACTTTAACCGGGCCACGTTCAACCTGACCGTCACGTCGCGGGGTCGGCAGTTTGACCGACTGGCTCTGATGTATTTTAACGACACCGAGATATTCCGGACCTCAACTGCCGAGCCAACGACCAATGGCATCCGGTGGACTTACATCAAGGACATGTCAGCTTTTGTGCCACTGCTCCGAGAGCCTCAGAAAATCATCTTCGACCTGGGAAACCTGATCGATGACACGTACACTGGCTCGTTCAACACGACACTGACCGCCTCATTCTATGCAGACCCTGAGTCGTCGTTCGCGCCAGCAGATGTCGTCTTACCCGTTTCAGCCCGCAGATCCTCGACCGACGGCGCTAGTGCATTCAATCTGCCGGCTGACAACGCAACCAATGCGCTATCTCTCCCACGGAACGTCGAGCGCGCCATCTTTTCCATCTCGGCCAACGGACAGTCCACCGAGGAGTTCTGGTGGGCCAACGTGCTGTCCTCTGACGTCTCCGCTTTTGGCTCCGAGACCACCCTGTACGGCTTCTCGCCTTGGCGCGAAGTGCAACTTTACATTGATGGCGTCCTGGCCGGAGTTGTGTGGCCATTTCCGATCATTTTTACTGGCGGTGTCGCTCCTGGCTTCTGGCGTCCGATTGTCGGCATCGACGCATTCGACCTTAAAGAGGACCAAATCGATATCACTCCATGGCTACCGCTTCTTTGCGACGGTCTGGACCATTCCTTTGAGATCCGGGTGACTGGATTAAACGATACCGGTTCGGGAGAGGCCACCCCAAGCGGAATCGTCGGTAGTTACTGGGTGGTAACAGGCAAGTTGTTTCTCTGGTTGTCCGGTAACGAGTCCGCTGTTACGACGGGCACTGCGCCCAGAGTCCTCGCCCCAGCACCCAGCATTTCTGTCAGCTCGATTGCCAGGGGTTTGGGTGCAAATGGGACTAACGCAACCCTTGACTACGCCGTCGCCGTATCTCGTCACTTCAGCGTTAGCAGCACAGTCGTGACTTCCGCGGGCGCAAGTAATGTGAGCTGGACGCAGACACTAGCCTTTTCCAACATTGGGAATTTCTCCGACGCGGGGAACGTCCAGGTCACCAACCAGAAAACCACCGGCCTTGACCGAGCTGCGATCGACAAGTTGTCCAGCACATTTGAGCGCACCTACTCCTACCCCCTGTGGGCCTACACCGCATATGCCGAGGCTGGCTCCAACTTCTCTATAGACGCTGCCCTTGACCGCGGCAAGTATGTTTCCACTATCGGAGTATCTGCATTCCCGCTCGGGATCGAAGACTACAATACCAGCGCGACGGGTACCATCCTCACGGACCGCCAGAATGGAACCGCGACGTACCTTTCTGTCTCTTCACCGAGCTCGCAGAGCTTCAGCAGCGGGACGACGGAGCAGGACCTGACTTTTGCCGCCGCGAACAACCTTCAAGGGGAGGGTGAAGAGTTGCTCTACAAAAGACACATTGTTGCGAGCAACGGGACCGTTGTACGCGATGACGAGGGGCTGTATGGTAATGGTGGCAGAATCAAAACCGAAACTTCTTGGATGAGTCCGGTAGGCGTGACGCAGGAAGTTCTGGTAAAGGGTTACGGTTCCAAGAGTGTACAAGAGGTGCTTGGAAGGGGGCCCCGGGCGGTCTCCCATTCGTTGTCTTCGGTGGGGCTGGCGAGCGAGCTGAGGTAAAAGCACTGGGGTCAATTGATTCCCTGCTTGGAGTATCTGTTGAGCAAGGGCCAAAGGTAGACACGACGGAATTGGGTATTGATGACGCGCTAGCGGTTGTGTCATCGTGCAGTCCGAACAATAAACATAGTCACCTAGATTCTACTTTCTTCCCGATCGTTTGCCAATAACAACTAAGCATTACATTAGTCCATTAAGAGAGAGTGGGTTGTGCAAGGATCCGACTTTCCCTTTGATTGCGGCGGGTTGTTCTTATGCTGTCCTAGTTTCAGGAGGAAATTAGCTACTTTGAGGAAATGAAAGCAAGGCACAGGAACCATAGAGACCTCTAGTTCAGTTTTGAACCTTGCATAATTTTCACGCGCATGCGTGGGAGAGCTGCGCTCCACTGGTTTATTTTCGGAAGTACTCTCGGAAACAGTGTAGGTATGTGGTCGTGTTCACTCTTACTTGAAACGTGCTTGAGTTTGATCTTTGATCTAGCGTTTTCTATTCAACATTATACAACAACTCTATGTCTCCACCCCGCAGGAAAATCCACATCTACCTCTCCGAAACAACAGACGAGTAGAGTGCAGCGGGGGGTCGAGCGGTCAGTATATGAACGTCTTTGTCTACGCAATTAAACCAGAAAACACTGAGTAGACTAGGAAAACAGAGCGGAAAGCAGAGAGCCGTCTACGCGTTACCGTTCGTGAGAAAATGAAAAGCAAACTGACAAATACCCGCCCATACAATGTCTAAACTCCACCGATGCTCTATGACTCGAAATGACAAAAGAAAGGAAACTGAAAAGAGAAGCAGTAACTTTTTCTTCCGCAATGCCCACCCATAAATCAAAACGCCATGCTCAAACGCACCAAATACGGACAGCAGAGTAGGGTGATGGATGGTGTCCGCCTCGCCGCTTGCGTTGACGGATCGGCCCGGGGAACGAGATGCAGAGGATGATGCAAGCGGCGAAACACTTGCAGTATCCACGTTTGCACCGCGCAAACGTCATGGGCTTAGATCTTGGCGGTATGCATCTTCCGAAGCTCTCGCTCCTGGGCGAAGGCCCTCCTGCTCATCTCCAGGACCATCTCGAAGCCCTCGCGACCCCTAGTGGCGTTCTGCTGGAAGCGCTCAACAGTAAACTGCTCGATACTGTTCTTGACCTTCTGCCAACCACCGCAGAGCGCAACGATCTGAGCATTCTGCTCGAAGGTTGTTTTGGCGTGGGGAGCGGCTGCGGAGGGCTTGTAGACGACGGTCTCGCGCACCGACAGCAGATCGGACCAAGTCATGTTGACGCTTGTCATGGTGACCTTCTTGCTCTTGGGATCAACGTAAGACGTCTCGTAGACATGCGACACCTCCTGGCCGCCGAGGAACGAGGCCAGCCACTTGGGGGCGGATTGCTTGCAAGTGATGAGGCGCTCGGTGCGAAGCTGGAATTGCGATTGTCAGCTCGGATAACCACAAAAAAAGAAACGCCCAGCGCAGAAGTCGAGGAAACTCACAATGCCGGTGGCAGGGTCGACGTGGCGCGAAATGGTGTCGACAGCGATGACATGCGGCGTCTTCTCGTTCCAGGGACAGTATTTCCGCCAGTTGTTGACGGACACCTCGTCCCAGGAGTAGTTGAAATCGTGGCTGGTCGAGAAGATCTTCATGGCGACAGATGGGTGGCGATGAGAGCAGGCGGCGCAGCGGGCGAGAGATTTCGAGGCGACGGGGAATCCACTCGGCGGGAGTCAGCGAAAGCGGAGGCGGCGGCGGGCGGGCGTCGGCGGCAGCAGGGCGGAAAAGGGCGTGCTGAGGGCGCAAAGCAGGACTGAGGGAGCGTGGCGCGCAAGGGCGCGGCAAGAACGGAGCGGATGTTGAGTAAGTGAGTCGCGTGGGGAGGAGGGTGATAAAGGAAGGAAGGAAGAGATGGAGAAAGTCGGGAGCCGGGCCGTGCGTTTTTCTCTAGCGTCATTGCGGATGGAAAGGAGCGCGCATGTGCTGATTGGCGAGCCCGCCGGCCGAGATCGCGTTGCCAGCCGAGCGGCGAATCACATGCGCAGCGGCGCCGCCCTCGCAGGCTGCATCTCCGCCCCAACCCTGCCGCTGCCCCGGCCCTGATCCGTCTCTCCGCTGTCACAACCCGCGGGATGCTCTTTCGCGCTCCCTCTTGCCGATGCCCGCAACAGATTTCTGAAACCTGGTCCAGCATGAATGCGCACATCAAGTCCACGCCGGTTGCCGCGTCTTTGCCCACTGCACCTGCGGATAAGCTGCCTGAAGCATTGCCAAAGGCGCTGTCCCAATGCGTCCACCCAGTGCTGCCGTTGGGAGCATGCCGGTGCAGATGCTCAGCATAGTGCGACGGCCGAGGAATGTACGCATCGACGGCTAAGCTGGTCGTGGCAGCTTAGGATATCATAAAGTCAAGAGACGGTGCTGATGGGCCCTGAGTACATGCACACTCTTGGCGGGTTCCAGAGCTGCCAGATATTCGGGAGCTGTCAACCGCGGCGTTGTCGGCAAACCAGGCATCTTGGCCGGCCAACCTGAACAGGTGTCTTGGTGTTCAGCGCGTCTTGTGTTATTCTTGTCGTGATACTCAGCACTAAGGCGACCTGGAACGTGCGTGATGAGCAAGTAGCGTAACCTGGGGCTGCTTTATACGCATCCTCAACCGTGGTCCTCATCGTAAGCGCTGACATTATCAGACCCGTGCTTTTGTGTGGAACAGAAGCGCCGTTGCGGGCCTTTCCGGCAAGCTCCACCGTTGCGTTCCGGTAGTGGGGTTGTTGGGAGGGCTAATCAAATTGCCTTCTTCGGCTTGTCACACCCACCACACATCCCGAACTTAGTACGGAGCGAACCATGATTCCAGGCTCATGCCACGGAAATGTCTAGGTCGATTAGATGCTTCAAGTCAATTATATGCAAATCGCTAGGCGTGGGGCTCATTGGAACCTGGAAACCCTCATAGGGGCCACGCTTCTATGTTTTCGGAATGGCATGACCTCTGATCCACCTTTCTTCTAGGTTGGCAGCGGCTTGAGGCGCCAGGGCACGAGATTCTCCGAGAAGTAACCGTTAGGCGTCTTGTATACTCGGTCGCTTAGTCGGATCCATACAGCTCGTACAATGGAGTCAGGATCTTGAGTTTTGCAGAGTGTTGGAATACTGCGTTTTCCAGACCCCGGCCTTTCGCAGGCTCTAAGTGGTATGCAAGGCGCTGGAGACATATTATGATTGAAAGGTTCAACAACATATCAGTGAACCCGTTTTTCGGTATGTGGTTCATGGTTGCTGAACCCCGTGTTAAGGGTGTAAGCCCATGGTCCAGCAGAGAGACCAGAGAGCAGGGGCAATACCCAAAATATATCATGCCAAACGTACAAAGAGTTAGATGATTGTAAGATGACTATGGTGTACTATTATACGGGAGTGACTTTGATTGGTTTTGATCTTACGGTTGTGTTACCCTGCACTACACCCATGTGAAGTTTCGGCTCTATCTCAGTTGGGGAGTAGAAATTTTCATGAGACGCTGCAAGCAGTAAATAGTGGCAAAGCCCCGCTTTCTGTGCTTCGAAGGAAGAGATGCAGGTGCAGTATGATATACTTGAAGTCAATGAGAAAGTCCTTTTGATTCAACAAAAACCACTGCGGTACCGTGGTTGTTCCCTAGTCTATATGTGTGTATATTCAACGAAAGCCATGATGAGATGGATCACCAATGTCCAGACACCCATTCTCTGTCCGACATACCATAGGTATGATTAACACAAAGAGTGGGGGACAATGGGAAGAAGCGAATGCAAAGAAATTCGAAAGGAAAACAAGTCTGGATGAAACCCAGACAAACTTCAACCCCAGTTCGTTCGTTTGCCTTTCTCAAACACTCATCCGCCTCTCGGGTCCGCAGTTCCGTGGCTTGGCAGGAATAGGGAAGAAGATGTGGCCCGATTTTGTGTAACAACAGGTGAAGGAAAATGCTAGAAAAAGAACAGTAAAGTAATTCCCGAGTCCCTCGCTAATAGTACTATTGTTTGACTCCAAGCTGCGCCATCATACAAGGTATTGAGCAAGCAGAGAAAACACGCAAGGAAAGCGCAAAATTCCTCCCTTTATTAGACAATAAGTCGAAGTAGCGGCTCACTGACTACATCCAGAAGAGGCAAGTAGAAGAGATGAAAGGAACTAAAGCACCGCGCATGGCTCCTCTTACGGCTGTACAAATACGTCTATATTCCCAATGATTTCCGGGCTGAAAGCCTTGTACGCAGGGGTATTGAAGCCAGATGTGCATGTATAGATGGCGCGAGAGTCGTGTCATCATCAGCAGCAGCAACGGACCATTTGTCAGAGGCTGACCGTGCGACGACAGCAAGACTTGTGCAGGAAAGAAACACGGTAGGAAGATCAAAGGGCGTGTTGAGGAGCTTTTCTTTTTTGTGCAGGTAGACCGTCCCACGAAAGAAGTCGTTATTGATTGAGTTTGTTGGCGTGTTGCTGTGTGCGCTCTGCCGCGTGCCGTGCCGCGCTTATTGCTTTAGGGGGGCTGTGCCATCATCGAAGAAAGCCAAGGAAAAACCACAGAAACTCGCGCGTTCTCTCTCATCCGTCAGGGAGCCCCTTACTCGTGGAGATACGGGAACGCCCTCGGTCAGTAAATCTGACTGGCTTTACATTCCAGGTTTTACCTGCGCAGGGCTGTTGGTGTCGCGAAGATCCCAGCTTGGCTTGAGAGAAGTCATGAGATCATCCTTGGTACCGACCAAGCCCCTTTCAATGCGGCTGACACGGTAGGCACCGGCGCGAACAGCGTGGAGCTGCGCTGCCGAGATGCCACTGCCGCCACTGCGGACGGAGGCGGCGTCACTGCCATTGTCAACGCCCTTGAAGCGAGGCGGTGCCACGAAGTCCAGAGAAGTGAAGGTGCCTGATTTTCTGAGAGCGTGCCTACATGAAAGTTAGCCTCTCGACCCAAGCGTTAGAGATGTGTGCAGAAAGACTTACGGGCTGGGGATGACGGCGAGTTCGTCGAAGGCGGTTGCAAGCGGCGTGTGTGAGCGAACGCTGGGGGAGTACGGCCTCTCGATACCCATCGGACTATCAGGACGACGACCGGCCTGCATGTCTCGGAAAGTTGGCGGAGGTGCGAAGTCAATCGGGTTGAAGATGTGCGCGTCATCCTTCAGAGCTGCGGGCGTGGGCAGCGACGACAGATTAGACGGCGGGGGCAGCGGCTTCTTGGGAGGACCACGGAAGCTCATGGCAGAGTTACCGCGAGGCATGGACAGTGGCGTTCCACTGCGCAGGGAACCGGGACTCATCGGGCGTCCACCGCCAATCGACCCGCCTGGAGGCCCGTGGCCGCGGAAGCGCGGAGGAGCACGCGGAGGAGGCGTCATGGCACGACGAGTAACGGGCTCGGCAAAAGGCTGACCACCGACGATAAAGTGACCCTTGTCGGGATCGAAGATGGCGCCTTCCATGTATTCTTGGCCATAGTCCTCCTGAGTCTCACCATAATGATTGGCGGCGGGGTCGGGCTTCGAGTCGTCAAAGTACTCCTTGTAGAAAGATCGGATCCTGTTGGCACGTTCCTCGGGGTTCTCGGTGGGGTCTTCAGCCGGCAGCGGGCGCAAGCTCACGGAAATGCGATTTGGCTTAGGGGCTTGGATGGCCAGACCCTGCGGCGGCGTGGACGGAACCCTGGAACCGTCGACAGACATGCGGTTGGGGGCCATGCCGGGCGAGGGAGGAGTGACCTTGAAACCATCACCGTAATCACTCGACTTGCTCATGATGCTGTCGGTCTGAGGGTTATGGACGGAAGCAACCATAGACTCAAGCCTCAGCGGGTTGGGCTTGCGCGGGGTAACCTTGGGCTCGGAGTCTTGATGTTCGGAGATTTGCGGCAGAGTAGGTTCCTGGACCGAAGTGCGCTTCGAGTCGGCATTGAGCGAGCGGCGCTTTTCGTTGCCATTGAGGACGTCGCGAGTGAGATCGGGAGTGTCGGTGTCAGGAGAAATCGGCGAAGCAGTGGACGGGCTTGGCAGAGGCTTGACGTGGCTAGGTTCCGGAAACTGGATCTCAGGAATGGTCCTATCTTCGGGAGACATGGGCGAAGACCGGGACATGCGCTGAGCGTTCTTGAGCAGACCCATGCGGTCGGTGCCAACACTGGACTTGCTGTAGGTCGACATGCCATCGTTGAACTTGGAAGCCGAGCGCAGCGACACGGTGTCGTCCTTGACAAAGGTAACGGGGCGGTAGGGGTCGTGGTTGTCACTGATGCGCGACATGGAGTGGAACGACTCGCGGGAGTCTTGGACAACACCAGGCATCAAATACGGGCTGCTCTCCATATCCATCGACATGCCGCGGCCGCCCTTGCGAATTTCCTTCTCAGCGTCCACGACGGACATTTCCGGGGTCTTGCCGTGCGCGGTCTTGGGGGGCTCGTCCAGACCAAAATCAAGAGACTTGTGCTTGTCATTGAGATCCTCAAGAGCCTGTTTCTTCATGTGCCTACGGTGAAGGAACACGAGCACGATGATGGCAATAGCAATCGGAACGCTGCAAGGGGTCAGCAAGCAGCGCAAGTACAATGGCTGAAGAGGAGCAGTGCTCACATTGCAGCGAGGATGATGGCAGTGCTGCTGTCGGTGGGCTTCTGGCACGTGTCGGACTCACGGCTCGAGCTGCATTCTTTGGTTGACGTGGAGCGGGCAACAAGAGCCGGGCTGGGGTCTCTCTCTTGGAGCGTCTTGGAGCCGTGGACCTCCTTCTCGGCAGGGATCAAGACGCCGAGGTCCAGGTGGGCGACATCGTCGGCGGCGGGAGCAGCGGCTTTTCGCGCATGGTGGAAGGCGAGATGCGAGGCGTGGTTGTTCCGGGTCATGATGCGGCGGCGAGCGTGCTCGTCATGCGCCAGACTGTCCGCGGTGGGCTTTCGAGGCGGGGGGCTGGGATCCGGGGAAGTTGATGTTGGCGAGGCCGGCCGAATTGATTACGAATTAACAGCGTAAGATCGTAAGAGCGGTCGTGAATTGGAGCCCGGCTATGCTGCTAGGACAAAGAGCGACTGCAGGCAGGGGCGCTGGAGGATTTGGCCCTTGCAAAAGAGTGACTTGGGTAAGGTGGGATAAAGAACGAGGGGGTAAAGGTGGTGGAGGAGGAGGAGGCGGAGGGGGCGAGAGAGCGAGTGAGGCCGCCGAGAGAGCAGTCGGAGGTGAAGAGGAGAGCGAGCGGGCGCGGGCTGCAGGTATGGCTGTTGCTCGCATCTGGCGCCGGGGGATGGCCGGGGGGTGATTGGTGCTGGCGATAGCGCCGGTCGCGAATTAGGAGACGAGGCGCATCAAGCTCAGTGCGCGGTGCCTGGCTAGGCTGCTTTGGGAGGGCGTGCGCAGGGGATGCCATCCGCCAGATGCCAGCCGTCAGCCAGGCCGTTGACGCGCCATTTCGGCCGCCGCGAGTCGTCGTCAGTGAGCGTCGACCAGACCGTATCGCGCGCCCGGTCGGCAGCCTTCGAGAAGCCTCGCCCTCGCACCAGCTCCGCGTGCGCGCGCATTCCTGGGAGCGCAGCTCGTGCGACGTCGTGCCGCTCAGGGGCCCCCGGCTGCGTGCGCCGCGAGAGCGCGCCTGCTGCGCACAAGAGCCTCGCCGCTGCCGCCCTGCTGCGCGCCGCTGGCCTCAGGCAGCGCCCGCCGCGCCAGGCGCCGGCTGTTGCGTTTCCTCGCCGAGTGCCATGTTTCGACCGGCTTGCTGGCGGCCTGCTGGCCCCCGGCGCAACTGCACTGGCGCTCCAGAAAGCGGGCGCACGTCCGCTCGCAATTTCGCCTGGCCCCATGAGTCGCCAGCCTCGACATGCAAGATATCGCGTCTTCCCTGCCGGCTCTGCGCTGGCTGCCCCGCCGCCGTCATGCACCGCGAGACCACCTGCGCGCTCGCGGCCGCCCGCCGCTGCGCTCGCCGCTCAGAAGCCGACCCGGTGCCGTCGTGATATCGTGCGCTTGCCCCCTGCTCGCCAATCACTCGCACACTGGCCAAGGGGGATCTGCCGTGCATGGTGATCTCGCTGCCGTCTCAAGCAAACACGCTTGGCCGTGGCCAGGCCCGCCTACCGATATTAACCAATTCGCTGCGCCATTTGGGGCTCCGGAGGCGGGCAATTTCGTCCTGCACTGCCTGTGCCTGATGAGTAGTATTGCCTGCATCCCGATCGCCACCAGCTCGGGATCCAAGGAGACTGCTCCCGTCGTGCCGGCCCGGTCGAGGCTCGCCGTCACCGTTTCTGCGCCCCTCTGCCCCCGGTTTCGCGGGCCAGGAAAACGCCTAGCTGCTTCAGATGAATGAAGTGGGGGGACCGGCCATTGCTGCTTATCCGACGGTGAGCGGTCTGTTTCGCAGAGCATGAAGCAGCGCCACGGCCCGGCTGTGGCACTCGGGTGTGGCCGAAGTCTGAGGCGCATGTTGCCGGCCAACCTAAGAGCGTGATTAGCTGCAGGAATGTGCAGCATGTTGCTGGTAGAACACCCCGCCGCGGGGAACCATCTTCTGCAAGCAAGAGCGTGTTTCCCCTGCACCAACATCGGGTCCCCTGTCATGCAGACAATCCCCCGGCGGCGCTCGGCCATCGCGTTGCGCTTTAAATAGAAAACAGCACCCGCGGACCTCGAGGCTGACTAGGAGACATTTGGGAAATAATAGCACCTACATACTGCAACAACTGACGGCAGCAGGCAGTCCTTCCAGAAACCCGGGCGCAGCGAGCGGCGCGCGCTTCTCAACCCATTGTGATCTGTTTGGAGATCTGACGAGACTATCCGCAAGAGGCGTTGCTATTCTGCAAGTCGCAAGATAAAAGAGAAATATTTTCGACCCATGCTAAGTGACTATCTTAATCTGTTAGGTCCGAGCCCTCTCAAGCCATCTCGAGAGAATACGTGACCACCTGAACGCCAGCAATAACCCCTATTCGTTGCTTCGACGCCTTCTAGGCGCATGGAATAACAAGGCCGCTTCTTGGTGTGGCCTTTACTGTGGTTGTGCCGCATCGTCACCGTTCGCCTTAGCCGACGATCCGTTTTCGCTGATCTTCAGTCCCTCCATTCCTCTTGCAGCGCCAGTGAAAGGACACACTCCGGCTGGGGCACCGCCGTGGGCGGCAGCTTGGGTGCTGCCCGAGGTTGTTGACTCGGCGTCGCTCTCGTCGGATGTGCCGATGATCTTCTTGCCGTGCAAGTAGCCCTCGCGCTCGACGACAACCTCCTCGATCTCATCGGCGAATTCGTCGCCATCACGCACATACCACTTGGCAAACAAATCGTTCTGGATCCAGATGACCTTGCCCAGCGCCTTCACCAGCGCGATCTTGCGGTTCATGTGGAGTCGCGGGTGCGACAGAATGGCCTCAGTCAGAACGTCTTGGATGAAAGACAGCAGTGCGCCGATATGCATGTACTCGACATGCAAAGGGTGCTGTCGACCACGGCCAACGTGCATCATGCTATGCAGATAGTCAGCGCACTTTGTCCAAATCCGGGAATGTGGAATCGGGGGGAAATGTGCATGGTGCATTTGAGGCACTTCTCTCTGGCTCTAGGCCACCCAGTCCGGTGCGCTGCTCGAAACAGCCGGCCCAAAAGGGTAGTCTAGGTATGTGCCGACGCCTCCGGCCCGTAATTTCCACAGAAGGATTGCAAGGGGGCCAGCAGTGCAGTTGACGAGACCAACAGAATAACCAAAGGGAGAGGGAGCAGGGGGAAAACGGAATCAACGAGCAGGCAACACGTACCCAACCTTGTCCAAGTACTCCCAAAATTCCATTTTGCTGGGGTCGGAGCACAGTCTAGTCAGGTAGGCACGCAGGAACATTTTGCGGTGGATGATCTGCGGGCTGTTCTCATCGGGTGCGGCGTCCATGGGGCCCTCGAAGCTGGTGCTGCGGGTCTCGAAGGCGCGAGCGGTAATGTCATACTGCAACAGCTTCTTGTAGACAATGTTGACGATGGCCGGGATCAAGGCCTTGATGTACTTGTGGCCTGTCTGGAGAGCCTCGATGTCGCCTTTTGTTTCCAATCGGAAATCGCAGGTCAGCCACAAGCAATTCCCCGGTGACGAGAAGATATGGATGCATCCGTATCGGGCGGCCGGGAGGGGGGGCTAGAATGAGCGACTCCGATCGGGCGCTGACGGGACCCGGCGGGATCGTGGCTAGGATTGGTGCGGAGAAGAGCTTGGGACTACGTACTGGAGCTGAAGTCGAGAAAGGTGTGGAGATACTGTATCCGAGCCTCCAAGTTGGTATAGAGGTCTTTGCGATCAACGTGCTGGATGGGGCGCTGGTACATGTTGGGCGGAGCCATGGTGAAGGTCTGCGAGGCGGGAGTAAGGGGTAGAGTGTAGCTCAGGAAAGTCGGCGGGGGAGCTGGGGCGCGGGTTTAGTATGTATGCGCAGGCGCAGGTATGCTGATTCAGAGCCAAATGGGCAGGCGCCTTGTTATCCGACGCGGGACACGGGAAGCTCTTGCTCGGTTTCAGGTTGCTGTAGGCGGCGGCAGGTTGGGCAGAGCTGAATATGCTTCGTCCAGCGCCATGGCTGCGGCAGCGAGCATAGCTATATAGCGCGCAAACGAGCAGCTCAGGTGAGCGACGGGAAATGTGAGGCACGAGGCGCGCTGGCGACGCCTGGTCGTGTCGTGGTGGTCTGATGTACTGCGCTGACTTTTGCTGCTCCTTCGTTGGCTACTGGCGCCTCCCGTCCGCGCCGCCGCCGGCTCTGCCCGAGCCAGGCTGTAAGGCCGTTTGGAACATCTCGTCGCGACGCCGCGCCTTCCCACCAGCCGCCAGATGCCCGCTCTCCGCGCCCTGCAGGCTCAGTCCTGTCCCGCGCGGCGCATCTCGCAGCACCAAGCGGGTGCCAAGGGTGTGATGCGGGGCGGCGCTGCAGGACGGCGGCTTTCAGGTAGATTGGCGGGGGCTGCCCGTTCTTGCGCCTCAAACCCTGCGCCGTGTCACGCAACCGCGCGTCATAACCGCTCCTCCGCCCTACCCGTCCATTTCCCACTCCCAACACATTCACCATGGCGAGAAAGAACAAGCAACACCCGCCCTCCAGCCCCGCTGCCCTAGTCTCCAACAAGCGCCGCCGCCTTGCTTCCCTCGACAATGCCTCGCCCGCTGCACCTGCCGTTTCCACCGCTTCACCGAGTAGCACTTTTGCTTGTGCGACGGCACTCGCTGCTCCGGCCGTGCACATCGTGGCAGGCTCGAAGATCCAGGCAAAGGTCCGCGCCGTGCTGTCTGCGCTGAACGCTACAGCTATGACTGAGTCAAAGCCACCTTCCGCGACTGACGCCGACACTGCACAAGACGGTGTGCCGCCTGCCGAAGCGAACAAAAATTCCAGTGGCATTGTACGGGTCGAAGCACATGCCGCAGGCGCTAGCAAGCTCATCACCATAACCGAGATCGTGAAGCGCACATTGGAGAGCACAGGCAGGCCATGGTGGACGTACACAGGCGTGAAAGGCACACTGGAAGAATTCGAAAGCCGCGAGAATACCCGTTCAGACCAGCAACAGCGTGTACTTGACCACGATGCGCATGAAGATGCATTGTTAGACGGATCTTCCGGGGAAGGCGATGAAGATGAGGCCTTCGAGCCGACGGCCCATGGACACATGTCTGGGAAGATCAGGAGCATTCCACATCTGTTTGTGTACCTAGCCACCAAGCCATTGCCGCCACTTAAGGCTTTGTATGGGGAGCAGTGTTCCGAATAACAAGACCCCAGGCATAACTATGCCTCAGCTCGTTCTTATGGAGAAAAAAACATACAGGTAGCTGAAGCTATCTCCCGGACGAAAATATAGAATTAAAATTCTACACACACATCCGGACGATAGCTTCAACTACCCATGACATGAGCGAAAAACAAATCCACGCTAGCCATCGGCTGCGAGAGGGGGCTGTACATTGCAGGCGTACGTAGCTTGATGAGAAATTCGTTTCAAAATGGGAAATAAGGGCTTGGCAGACCTCCAAGCCAATCAAGGGGGGGAAAAAAGAGGTAACAAGGCATCTGGGATGGACGGAACGGAAAAGCATAGATACCCGCGGCACAACGGCAGTTCAAACATGGAGTCTTAGGGAAATCCTACGCAATAGAGACTAGATTTTGATCGCTTCAAAAGCCCGCCGAATGTGATGCTTCTAAGCTGCCTGGGTACTCTCATTCCTTTCCACTAGGTCGCCAACGCCCAAGCCACGTCCAACCTTGACCTTCCTCTTCTTCTCGCCCTTGCTCTCAGCACCCTCCTCGTCCTTGCTGCCCATAGTGCCGACCGGCTCGCCCTCGTCCTCTCCGTCACTAATGCTTTCATCGATCATTGCCTGGCGGATGTCGGAGAGGTCCATACGCATGCTGTACGCATCCTCACCGTCTGCGTAGTACTTGGCTTCAACCTTGTCGACCACAAAGCCCAACGTGTCGCGGTACAGACGCAGTGCAGCATTGTTGGACACACGCACGTGTAGCGAGACGTAGTGTGCGCCGAAAGTCTCGGCCATGGCACGCTCTTCAGAAAAATCAGTGCGCCCTCCAACAATGGTGGTCAAGTGGAGTGGGTAATGTAGTGGGGAAGGTGTATAGCGTAACATGCTAACGATAGCTCGGGCGTGAAGGTGGACAATTGTTTTTGCTGGCAGGTGGAGGGAGACAACACTTACGGCTCTGCCTCATCAGCTTCTCGGCCAAACCCAGACGGCGGTGGGTACGCATGACACTCAAGCTAGTGATGTGACCATGTTGGATACCATCGGCAGGGTCCTCTTCCATCTTCGCGAGCACGTAACCCACAATCTTAGGAGGATCATAAGGGGTCTTGGGCGGGCGTGAGACCTGTCCGATTACGTCAGCGTCCAATCAGCACAGCTGGCAGCTAAGCTAGCACAGTTCTTGCAAGTGGGCAACAGTCGGCGAGAAAGTCGCAACGATCAAGCGCAGCGTACAAATACCGGCTTTCATCTTTACGACCATGTCTTTCAACAGGACGAATACAGCATGCCGCTTCAGGGTACCCGAATGTGGTGTTTGGGCGGAAAAGGAGAGGACAAGATGCGAAGAAAGAAGAGTGAAGACAGCAGGGTGGAAGAGAGAATAACTTACATCGACAGCAACATAAGACAACTGTGGCCAAGAGAGAGCATGGTAGAGGTAGTACTTGCAAAAGTAGTTTTCGGGCAGATTGGTGATGTTGGCGGTTTGGACATGTGGGATGTCGGACGGCTTGAGTACGCGGATATCCATCTTGATCTCTCTTGCGCCGCGCTATTCGAGCACAGCAGTTCGTGGGGCTCGGAGTTGGTCAAAGCCGCACGGGGCGAAGCGGGTGGTGGGGTGTTTCTGGGAGGACGGGAGGAGGTGTGGTTTGGAGAGAAACGTGACGTCCGGGCATTGACGCGAAACGCTGCTGCTCTCGCTTAGCCTCCGGAACCAATCAGAGCCGACAATCAGGCGCACTGCTTTCCGAAAACATCACATTGCAACAGCGTTCACTTCCTTAGTTGCCTGTAGTTTCGGGTTGCTCAAAGTGCCATGCTTGAAAAAAGCATGCTTCTTCATATGAAAATGTGTGTCACTCAATCCAAGCTAGTACGAGTTCGCCGTGCAGCCGACTACACCATGTATAGTAGCTAACGACGAAATCTGCTTATGTTAACAACATTAATTGCAGATTTTTAAGAATTCTTTATAGTCCCCTCTCGCAGCCGATGGCTAGCGTGAAGCCCATTCTTAGAAAAAAAAATAACATATGTGGGTAGTTGAAGCTATCGTCCGGATGTGTATGTAGAATTTTTAATTCCACATTTTCGTCCGGACGATAGCTTCAACTACCCATGACATGAGCAAAAAAAACAAATTCACGATAGCCATCGGCTGCAAGAGGAGACTGTAGTTAGTCGTGTTTAAGACCTGTCGTGCTCATAGCGTGGGGCCAAAGATTAGAGATAGCACATTTAGAGGTTCTCTACTTAACTAGTGCTCTCGTTTCAAAGGATATCTGAGAGGGACAAAAAATTCAGAAGCGTCGTTTCTTCCCATAAGCGGGAAGTCACGACGCACCATCTAGACATCTTATACCTCCTTTAATTCGCGAAGGTCCTAAAGTTGTCAATGAATCAATAAATGGCTTAGGGGATTATGCGCGAGTAAGGTCGTGGACATCAGTGACCTTTTTTTTTTTTTTGACTGAACCTTTTTCGTATGGCGTAATTTAACATTTTGGAGGTAAGTTGTAAAAGTTTAGATACAGCGGTTATAAATAAAATAGCGAAGCGGTAGATCAAACGAGAAGCATAATTGTTACCATCGTGCTCACATTTTGTCCAGCAATGAGTCGCTGAGAACCGGAAGAACGGGTGGTTGCTTCGGTGATATTCATAGAACTGGAACTGCGGTTGCCGTAAGGCCTTCCGATAGGCTCAAAGTCAGCTGAATCGCGACATCCTATTATAAGATGAAGCAAACCCGCGATTGGCAAGTTCCGATGGACTCCAGACTGAGTTACTGATGCACACATTGTGCAGCTTCGAATTAGAATATGCCAAATACGTCTCCACAAAGTCTCGGGGAAGCGCATGTGCTCCAACTGCAAGCCAAGCAAATCTCAGATCTTCGCGAAATTAGGGCTTTCGGGCTCCAGAAATTAGTTCCGTGGTGGCTGGCGAGTTGTTACAGTGAGTATGTGTGCGCATCTCTACGCAATAACCGGGAATCTCGCCGAGCAAGAGACAGAAATCTATTGCCTAGCTTTGACGATGGTAGCCGTCATCAGTGTTCATGTTCCCATTCCCGTACCACGACATTTTCTCCCGCCGAATGCCCGGATCCAAACCCTTGCTCCGATGTAAAAACCCCGCTGCAAGCCACAGCCGAACCGATTCACGATGAGATCGCAGTGGTCGAAGTTGTTGTGCCGGGATGTGGTATTTTGATTTTTGAGGCTCCAGCTAAACCTGCATCGACAAACGCCAGCCCTGGCTACATGCAAAACCCGCAGACGAAAGGAGAAGGCGCTTAGTCGAAAAGACCGAAGCCCATGTCCTCGTCGGACTCCTCCTTCTCTGTAGAAAACTGTCAGCTCGCGCCTGGCGCAAAATCGCAACATTATGAAGAACGTACCCTCCTCCTTGGCCTCCTCCTTGGCCTCCTCGGCAGCACCACCGGCAGCGGCGGCAGCACCACCAGCAGGCGCGGCGGCAGCAGGGCCACCAGAGCCGACGTTCAGCAGAAGCTCCTTGACGTCCTTGCCCTCAAGCGCCTGTCTTCATGTCAGAACTACCATCGCATCCAGAATCCCAGGCTCTTGCGCGCAGCGTACCTTGGCGAACAGCGACGTCCAGATGGGCTCGACATCGGCGATCTTAGCGGCGGAGATCAGAGTCTGGAGCTTGTCGGCCTGCGATGCGATTAGCAGTGGGCGGGCGGACCGGCGGAGGCGAACGGCGACTGACGGTGATCTCAATGCCGTCATCCGCGAGGATGAGAGCGGCGTAGGAAGAGGCAAGCTCGGAGGTCGACATTGTTGTATGTTGGTGTTCTGGCGAGGAGAATGTCGCGGGTCTGGTGTTGTCGTCGCTGTCGAGGTCTCGGATACGATCTTTTTGGGCAGAGTGTTGAGCAGCATGTGTGTCCGGGCCGGTGCGCGGCGAAAGTGTTGTTCCAGCTAGCGAGGGCTTGGCGCGCGCCCCGCATCAGTGATCCGTGATGCTGCACCGCGGCGATCTAGGCGTCTGTTACGTCAACCGGTCTTTCTCACACAACTCAACGCGCCGCTGACCGCCGTGCTTGCTCTCCGTCTCGCACTCCACGCCGCACCCCTCGCCTTCGCCCGAGCCATCATGACCGACTCGCCCGCGGTGCGCGCTCCGCTGGATCCCCAGGAACAGCCCATCCTGGACCAGCTCTTGAGCATCCGTACCCAGCTGGAGCTGCTGCGTGCCGACAAGTCCACCTACGTCAAATCCGAGGATGTGATCCGCCTGTATGGCAGCATTATCGAGCAGGTCGAGCGCGTTAATAAGCTCCGTACTCATAAACGACTCGAACAAAACAGAGGTCTGTCGTCTGCCCCTCTCTTTGCGCTCCGTCTTACTTGGCGCCTGCCCCCCCTGATGACCGTGAACCTTCGTTTTCGCGAGCTGCGCACCAAAGCTCCTGACTGATCTCTGTGGCAGTCGACACGGTGTTGGACGACTGTTTCCAGCTGATATCCCTGGCCTACATGGCTATTGGCAAAAACCATGAAGCCCCGGCCACCTATTCCGCCGTCTCGACCATGAAGGTAGCTACCTAAGTCTTGCTATTCAATCCGATACAGGACACTTACCTGCCTCAGCGCCTGCTCGATCATCTCTACGAAGCTGCGTTCTTCTCCCCAAAGGATCTTGATTCAATCGAGCACCGGTTGCAGGAGTACCGCACCTCTGTCGAAAGGGGCAAGGAGACGTACAGCCCGCATCTTATCACTCTCCTCGAAGCACGCATGGATGTCTGCCAGGAACTCCTTGGGAAGCTGCAGCATACGCTCGAGAAGCTTAGCTCTGAACTACGGCCAACCTACGAGAAATTAGTATCGATATTACGATCTCTTTCCGCATGCAATACACGGTCCAAGGTAAGTTGCATCGAAATGAGTGACAAACCGATGCCCTTTCCAAACTCTAGGGAGCGTGTTTCCCACGTCCGATACGCTTGTTCACAAACACGTCTGGGTTCTGCTTGCACATATCTTGCCGGTCGCTTTCCCTCGATTTTAGCTAATTTCTCTCCCAGTTCCCCGCGTCGGAGGTCAAGCAACTCCATGAGCAGTTGAAACAGATTGCGGAACAACTTCAAGCTGAAAACCAGATTGAAGTGAGCCATTCTGAGCAAGAACGATATGCGCAAGTCATCGAGCACATGCAAATCCGCCCAATGGACGCAGCACCGGAAGGTGATGAGTTGGTAAAAGATCTCCTTACGAGGTGCATCCTCTGGCACGATATCATAGAGCAAAGGTCTGTTCTGCAAACAACAACTTTTCATGGCCTTTAGTAGCTCACATATCCGGCAATTCAGGCAAGGCAAGGTCGACGACAAGTTCGCAGATGTATACAAGAAGCTCCACACCATCCGGACCCAGCTCGAGAAGTTGCAACTCACGCAAGCATGGTCTTTACGAGAAACCGACCTCTACAGCTTTCAGCGTCAGCTAGATAGGATCGACGAGAGCCGGGTGGACGGTAACTTCTTAGACAGCTTGGGGCGATCTGCCGATCTTCACACCCAAAGAGTCAGTAAACATACCTTTTGCTCGAAATTATGCTTACCATGATGATCAGACGCTTCTCTATCTTCTTCGGAAAAGTTATGCGTTGATATACACACTTATCATCTCTTCGGAACCTGTCTCGGAGGCTCTTCTACCCATCTACAACCAGCTCAACACGTTGAAGAAGTGCCTAGAGGAAGTCAGAAAATCTGGCGGCGTTTCTTCCCCTCGTGACCTATATCCATACAGCATGAAGGTACGAGTCCATCAGCATCATGCTCGCTACGCTGTTAACAAATCGAATAGTTGAACTCTATCGACAACATGCGCCAAGACGGAAAGTTCATGATCGGCGACGACATCCCCGATGGCCAAGGGGCGGTGAACCACCTTCTTGCTGAATGCTTCGAGCTTGCATACGAGCTTCGAACTGCGGCCGAGGAGGAGTCCGAAGACGAGAGTGAGGCGGTCCAACAAGATGCGGAGCCACCGAAGATCGAAGCGCAATGATTCTGGACGTTAACTGCTTACTGAGGAGTCTGGGAGCATGGCGTCTCGGGACAATAACGGAGAAGGCTCAAGAAGGCGTGCGAGAAAGAATTTTTTTGGCGAGGCCTTTAATACGACGCGTGATGGAAGTCAGGGCGGTTTTCCATAATTTGTGCGTTTAAGAGTGGAAGCGACCAGTATTCTGGCTCTATGTATCGATTTGTATTCTGTCAAGCAAGTCTGAACCGTCTCCTTCATCGAATGCAGGCGGGGCGTCTGCATCCTTGAAGGTTAAGCGATCTCCGTATGATATGCCTGCGCATCGTTAGCTACATACGAAGCTGTCGGCCCTTCAGTCGAACATACACAGTTCTTCACCGGCTTTTATGTCGCGAAGAGTTTGATATACCACTACCGAGTGCTCGAGATCCCTCTCCCAGCCTACATTCTGGTCTCGAGCGTGGTTGAACATCGACCCCAGGCCGAAGATGACGGCCTGAGTCATCTGTTTTTTGCCCTCGGCAGTAGTTGTCGGCCAGTTGCTGCCTCAATCAATCACCGAACATAGCTGCGGAACGATATTCACGAAATACATACTACGTATAATGGTACAAGCTGGTATGCTTGATGTATTTGTCGTTCTCATCGGCAGCTAGAGGAAGCACTGGACATACCTCTATGGTTGTCCGGGCAGGGATGTCGCGTGCAGCAAAGACACCTCGGCCTGTACAACAGCAGGTCAGACAGAACAGCCCAGGCCAGTAGGTGTCGTGGAACGACCTTTGGGAGTATCGAGAACCAACACAAGATCCGCAGATCGGCGCAAGGCGACATGGTCCTTTGTGTCACCGCTCATTTCTTCTTCAGCCAACGGACGCGGCGCTGAGAATTTTACGCTTTGTGCGAGGTCACACGGGCGGCAGCGAGCCGGGTGGTTGAGCTCTGCCAGGGCGTTGAAATTTCTCCGAAACGGGTGTGCGGGCGGTGACACAGACTGGATGCGCAAGGAAGGTGGGGCGCACGCGGCAGCATCCGCCAATTCGCTCCCGCACCTGCACGTCAACAGCTACTCCACCCGGACGGAGGCCGGTTGCTCATCCCAACCACGCACTCACCTTGCGAATCCCGCCTGCTGGGCGCTTCGCTGTGTCTCTGCCGCGCATCAACGCCCCCAGCATTTCGTCGCCCATGGCTCACCAACGCACTCACTCAACGAGTGAGGGTCTCAAGGGCCCACACGCTGTCAGCCTGAAGGTTTTGCGGTAAATCACAGTGCCTCCCTTTGCTGCTCTGTATTCCTAGTAACTAATTGCCTATCTCAGCCTCTCGCGCCCCTCGTTGGCCCACAGCTTCCCGCTCCCGCAGCCCGCCGAGCGCGATGAATTCACCATACCGCCCAATGCCTCCCTCGCCTACCCCACCGCCGAACCCAAGGACCCCTTCATGGTCTCGCCGCTCTTGAAGCTACCCGAGGCGTTTGGGAGCGCGTATGTCGGCGAGGCCTTTTCATGCACGCTCTGTGCGAACAACGAACTGCTGCACGGTGACGAGAGCAGGACGGTGAGCGCTGTAAAGATCGCTGCTGAAATGCAGACGCCCTCTGCTCCAGGTGGCATACCGCTGGAGCTGGAGCCGCGAGACGACGGCGATGGAGGACAGAGCCAAGGGATTGTCGGCACGGGTCAATCGGTGCAGAAGATCCTTACATTCGACCTGAAAGAAGAGGGTTCTCACACCCTGGCCGTCACGGTGACATATACTGAAACCCAGATGGCTGGCGAGGGCCAGGCAGCGGGCGGCCGAGTTCGGACGTTCCGCAAACTATACCAATTCGTGGCACAACAGCTTATCAGCGTGAAGACGAAAACCAGCGAGCTCGCCTCCAAGGGCGGACTGGGCAAATTTGTACTAGAGGCGCAGCTGGAGAATCTTGGCGAAGGAAGCTTGAGCCTCGAGGTAGGTGCTGGGCCCACGAATCGTGCGGATGGCCTATTACTGAAACGGGTTTGCAGCCGGTCATTGTCAACGCAGAGGCGCCATTCAAGGCCAGCTCCCTGAACATGCCTCTCAACGCTTCTCCGGAAGAGCCGCCTCATCTCCCTGTGCTCGGTCCTGGGGATGTCTCCCAGGTCGCTTTCATCCTTGAGCAGCAAGAAAGCGCAGCGGAGGAGGACGCAACTCCGGCATCAAAGGCATCAGCGCGACGCATGCTTGTCCGCAACCTATGGGTGCAGTGGCGAAGCCCGCTGGGTGGCCGGGGATCGCTAAAGATCGGACCCCTCTTCACTCGCACGCGTTGATGGAGAGCGACTGTGCCGTAACGGCACTCACGTAGCGGCTTGGTTTTGACAACACAAGGCCCATGCGGCAGCACCGTCTGACGCTAGACAGCCGGGGAGCGGACCGGCGGCACGCACAGGGTTTGGAGGATGGACGCTACGGTCCACGGACTGACACGCACAGAACAAGAAGGGAGAGCAGGCACGCTCGTAGGGCGGGACGGGCTACCGGCCGGGAGCGCTGGGGAAACGGACGTGGCAGGTAGAGGAGGGTGGAGAAGAGATTATGCGACAGGCATTTGCTTGTGCCTGAAGGCTAAATGCAAGACCAAACAAACAAGCGCTGCGACTTGGCCGGGGGGCTTGCAGCTGGGCTGAGGGCTGGGCCCGCGGGACTGGCGCTGCACTCAACCTCAAACATGGCATGCTCAAACAGCCGGAGCGGGCAGCACAAAAACGTGGTGCTCGGTGGCTTGAGGAGATCTACCCAGGGCTTGATTGCGTCAACACCAAGATTAGCTCTGCGCTGCAGCACGGACGCGGCGCTCTTCACGCAGGCGTCGACACGGGTGTACGATAAATATAGGCGGATGTGGGGAGACCGGTGATGAGGCAGCGGCGGCACCCCTTTTCGTGAGAGGTTCGACGTGCTCATGCTGCGCCAAGCGCCGCTACTACACAAACGCTGCTCGCATTGACGTTCGTGGTCCCTGCAGCGCGCGCCGCGGCGGAAAGGGGAAGCCGCCCCTCTCGGCCAGCTGCTGCGACCGCCTGCGCTCGTCAGCCCGGGTGGCATCATGTGCAGAGCCCCTGCCGATTGCGACCCGGCACTTCTGCTCACACGACTGCGTTGCGCGGCCGTTCGGCAGGCCGCCCAGGGACAGCGCCCGGAAATGGCATCGAACAAGCGGCGCCAATCATGGCCGCCAAGCGCAGCAGGCGCATCGTCTACGGCGCGCAGCCAATGATGCGCGCGCATCGCGCCGTATTGTATTCGGGCGAGGGCCCGCGTTGGGCGGTTGTGTACGAGCAGCGCGTCCGGCCGCGGCTGGTGGTGGTCGGGGCTGCTGGGGGGCATTGCGCTGAGCGCGACGGGCGAACAGGGCGCCGCGCTACAGAGACCCTCGCGGCGGCGCCATCAAATGCTGATGTGCGCGTGTGCCTGCGCGGGAAAATATCGCGCGCGCTGCTGTGGGGAGGGCAGCATTGCGAACGCAGCATCGGCTGCTGGTGGTGGTGGTCGACGAGGCCGCTGACTGGGCGGCCGCCGCAGCCCTGGCCCGCTCCTGCGTTCCCTGTCCTTGTCGCCGCGCTGCAGTGGGCGGTCCCTGGGCGATCAGTGCCAGCCCGGTCTTTCTGGAGAGATAACAGCGAGCGAAGCTTGACACGCCGCACAGCGCGATGCGCCCGAGGCAGGCCAGGATCGCTGCTCGCGGCCTTCTTAATATTATACCACCAGAACCACTCCTGACCCGCCCCAGCGCCCTGTCGCTGCCGCCGCTTGCCCCCCTCCAGCAAGCCCTGCCCGCACACCCCCCAGGCTGCCCGCCGGCCCAGAGCCTCCACGCCGCGCCGTCCTGACGAGACAGCGCCGGCCCACTCGCAACGCAACACCCTCCGTCTCTGTCGCACAAAGCAAGCTCCCGCGCGTCCGTCTGCCGCAGAACATCCATGCAGCAACACAAACGGTGCCCGTACATGACTTGACGCCGCCTGCAGCATCTGCCTCTCCTTCTTCCCCCTCCGCGCCTCCCCAGCGCCGCCGCTCTTTTCCCCCGCCCACCTCGCCGCTCTTTGAATCCGAAGCTGCTCTCCATTTCTATGCCCTGCATCCCGTCCTGAATCGCGAAACACAATGGCCCCCGCACCGCCCTCCGCCGACCCGGCCAACCTGCCCCTCGCCGACTACTTTTTCATATCCGGCATCGAGTCCTCCCAGGTCTACGACGCCCAGCGCATCAACGGCGCCGCTATCGCCCCCGCCGAGTCCACCATCGAGGAGGATGCTGCGCTCGAGGTCGAGGAGGAGGCCGCGCCGACCCCGCCACGGCCTACTTCGTCCGATGGTGCTTCTCTTTCCAAACGCGCCAGCCGCGAGACGCGCCAGTCGATAAGCAGCGTCATAGGTCCTGACACCGGCCCGGGGCCAACCGCGAGCAACCGCAGCAGCGCCACCATCAAGGGCTTCCCCCAGATTGGCGGCTCCGGACTGAGCGACTTTGACTTCGACCAGGCCTTGCGCAAGTTCGCCGCTGAGCGCGAGACGTTCCTCGAGGAGATACAGTTCAGCGCTGGCACGCTCAAGCAGGAGGACCGCCCGCGCCCACGGCCGAAGACGCAGAGGATAGTGAGCGAGGATGCCAGCACTCTCGGCGCCGGCATTGGAAGCATCAGGAGGAGGATCAGCACCATCGGGAGGAGCCAGCGCAACTCCAGCGTGATGCGTAACTGTAAGTTCGCGCCGTGTGTTGAGCACGCGCCGTTGTTAACCATTGCCGCAGCTTCGGTTCGTACTTCGAGGAGGATGAGTGGATACAACTCCGTCATTCCTGCGCCGCGCCCTTTCTTGCACACGCCCAACATGCATCCCTTGAAGAGAAGATACGAGCCAGTTCTGCTCGATAGATACCCGCCCAAAGCCATGGTCGACGAACTCAAGCGGAGAAATCCCTTCCCAGACTATGTCCCCATGTTTGCCTTTCCTAACGATGTGAACGTGGTTTCGTCAGACGAGCGCCCGAGGTCGACGTGGCATGGTTTTGCTATGACTAATGGCGACGGCTCCAAGCTGCACGGCATCTGCCTGACCGTGTGGGTGCCGCTCAATCCTGTAGCTGCCGAGGAGCTGGAGCGTCAGTGCGAAGAATGGCGAAAGGCGAACATGACGCCCGAGGAGAGAGAGCTAGCCGGGAGCCTTGGAGAGCGGTTGGCCGCCGAGAGAGCAAAACTTTCGAGGTTGCTGGCCCAGCTGCCTACCGTGCCCTCGGGATCGGAGGAAAGAGAACAGCTCGAGGACGACATCAGCGCCGTCGAAGAAAAGATTGGCCTGATGAATGATCTACTACGCCCCGTTCGGCACGGTGCTGCGTCCAAAATTGACGGCCTGACGGATGGCGAAACTGGCCTCTGGATCCCCCGAGCGTATGGCGTGCTAGGTAGGGAGGGAGGCATGACGAGCTTCTGGAAGGAGTGGTTGCGAGCCGTCGTCGTGCCCATGTATCAGGACAGTCTCCTGCGAATCCCGGCAAGCTCGCCGAGGATCGGCATGTGGCAGCCACTGGAGCGCTACGTCGTCAACCTCTGCGCTGAGGCGCTCAGCCCGATGTCTTCGATCACGCAGGTCGAGCTTGCCGTGCGCGAACTCCGCATGTATGCACGCAAGGAAGCGGCCAACGAACTACCGGGATCCAGAAACACGGATATCTATGCTCTGTTCCGGTCGCTGTCGATCCAGAACATCGTCACTCTCTTCGAGTACGTCCTCTCGGAGGGCCGCATCATCCTACTATCTTCGCACACGAGCATGCTGCACCTTGCCAGTGCAGCGATAACTCACCTGTTATATCCATTCAAATGGGCGGGCGTCTTCATCCCCGTCCTTCCGGTCCGCTTGATCCAAGCTTTGGAGGCCCCTTGTCCCTACATTGTCGGAATCGAACGCCGCTATGAGAACGTCGAGTTGCCTGAAGACGATTTCGTGCTTGTAGACCTCGACCAGGACGTAATCGAAAGCACGGCACCTCCCGTACCATTGCCTCGCCAGCAACGAAGGAAGTTGATTTCGCTGTTGCAGCTCGCTGCGCCACACCACATCAAATATGGTGTCCCTACTGGACCACCCGCCTACGCCGTGGACGCATTTCCTTACGACTCGTACTCTTCCGAGAACACGGCCATCTTCACGCACAAAGCGCCTCGTGCGACGCTTGCGCACTATGTCAGTCTCAATTCAGCGTCATTTGGGCCCGCTGGCGCCGTCACAGCCCCCCGTCTCTGCGTCTTCAACGCTTTCCTCCAGGCGAGAGCCGAAAGCCGAGGGGCCAGTCGGGGAGCTAGCAGAGGCGGTGCCGAGAGACCGTCGACGAGCTCTACAAGCAGAACAAACACCTCACCTCCATCGCCTAGCAGCAGGTCGCCAACTTCAATGGTATTCCCTCCCCTGCCCTCCACGCCAATCTCCCGGAGCGATTCCGGTTATGCTCTCCAAGCAAGCCTCCGCGAAAAGCGCTCCGGCCATTTTGATGCGGCCTCTCGACGGAGCTCTTCGGTACTTCAAAAAGCAGTCCATACGATCACGTCCATCAAAAGTACTAACTCTCTGCCACAGTTTGGTCCGGAGAGAATGAACACCCTACGTCGTCCAAGCCAACCGATCCTCGGCCACTCGTCCAACCTATCCACCTCGACTCTCGGCACCGAATTCCGACCTCCCGGTTCTTCGTATGCTCCGTCTGTTTACGCACAGTCTACGCTCGCTGCCTCAACAGTCATGCCCAACGCATTTTCTGCTCCCGTCCGCAACTCGGACACAACCCAATGGTGCGAGGGTCATTGCATGCAGTGGCGGCCGAACGACGAGAGGGCGACATGCTCCATCTGCGATGAGAAGGCAGAGGACGGCATGTTCAGGTGCACTGGTAGGTTGATTTTACTTTCCAATCCGCCATTCCTCCGTGTCGGCTAACGCCAAATAGGCTGCAGTGTTATTGCTCACCCCAGGTGTTTGAACCAAATTTGCCTTGTCTGCCCCTCTGCTTTTCTACCCGACCAGGTGCGCGCTGCTTTCGTGCGGTGCTTCGCCAGCCTCTTGTACACGTATAGGCGGTTCTTAGGGGCACCCAGCTCGGATCAGAAGAAATCCGGATTGATGTACTCGTTCAACATCGACGGCTTCATGAGGAGCATGCCAAGCGAGAACCAAGAGTATTTTACCATGCTGCGTGAGACTCAAGGTAAGCTTCAATTTGAAACCTGGGTAACTCAGATCCGACTAACCGTGCCACTTCTTAGGCTTTAACGAATTCATCCACGAGCGAGAAACGACCCGCTCAGACGACCCGTCGATCAAGCTCTTTGACCAGATAATCCTGTCCAAGAAAAACCGTGGACGCACATCCTTTTTCTCGAAATCTTCGACCGACTTCCTCAACGACACTTCTGATCACCTGTGGCGCTCTGCAGTCGCAACGCCGCCATCTGCGCGCTTTCCTGGAGACTACCGTGCGGTCATCAGTCGGCAGCCAGCTAAACTGGACCCAACATTGATGAAAGAACCAAGAGTCATCCAAGGTGTACCGAGAGTCCCACAACAAAAGGCCAAGCGGAAGCCAATTCCGTCCATGATTGGCGGCAAATGAGACGAATCGTCACGAATTTCACCTTTCCCTTCGCCTTGACCACGATCATTACAAGTTTCCATCTCCTTCAGACAGATTCGACGGCCCTGATGCGGATTTCTCAAAAGATCCGCCAAAAGGAAACAAAACAAGGCTAGAAGAGCCATGCGGCCGTGTGTTGACCTGTCACTGTCACCACTGCTCCCTCTCTCCATTTTCTTCGAGTATAAATGCCACTCGACCTGATGCAATAGCATAAAGAAGGCTAGAAAGCCTATCATCACACCATCAAAGACTGGCCAGCCCCTACACAGCAAACGGGCCTCCACACCATCAATTTCTCATTCCTTGTCTAATATTATCTGCCCTGAGCACTTGATCTTCAGGGAGATGTACTCTTTTTGTCTACTGTCGAGCGTTGGAGCATTTGGGCGTCAATTTAGAGCAAAAAAAAACTCCCCCCATTTGGATATTCTTGGATAACCTGGAGGATCGAATTCCGAGCCTGTTGAATTGCACCACTTCCTCGCCTATTGTGTCACATTGTCGTTTTTTCTGTAAAAATGTGTTTTTTTCGCTGCGCCGTACCTCTTACACGCTAGGTGCATGGACTTGAAGATCACTCCCAGCCCTCATATTTCTCGTCTTTCTGCCTACACTGGTTGCCGCTCTCAGATGACGTCTTGCGACTTACAAGGTTTCGCGCTACTTCTGTCTTCGTTTGCTGGTTTCTTTTCTCTTTTGTTTTCACTTAAGCGATACCTACCTAGAGCAAGAACAGGTTTGTTAAGTTCAGGTTTAAGAGCAAGTGGGAAAAGGTCACTTGACGCCCACTTAAGAGGATGTTATAATTAATGTAGCTACTTGAACGAGGAAAGCGTAGCAATGCGCGCTAACCTCAATAATATACAACTTCAAGAGTCACAAAGGTACATTGAGGGCCATACAGTGTCCCATTTATTTCCTAACAGACTGGAGTATAGTCTTTTCAACCGCATGCAATGGCATGTGCCACATGGGAAGGGGCCCAGAGACCTTGTTGCTGCGGCGAAAATGAACGGATTCACCGGTCAGCACACCAGCGACCGGAAGTGTGCGGATGTTGATTGAAGAATTGATGCCACTCCTGCTCCGAGGTGGTATGTAGCCAGTGATACGTCACAGCCATGCGCGGGGTAAGGCGGCCAGACCCTGCCGATCACTTGGCAACGCAATCAAAGGCATGCGGCGCAGAGATTCGTCGGTTCGCCCGCCCGCCGGCCTATACACTATTCTAACGTCATCCCACTTTCGAGCGCACGCCTCCACCACATAGCCCAGCTTCCCTCGCCGTTCACTCTCTTCCACTGCGCCCCTTGTTTTTGCCACACAACCGTATCGAATTGCCTAGGTCGCGGTCATATACTACCAACTCGCCCTATCTCGTCCCGTGCCAGCTTTACCTTCTAGCCAGAGAAAAGGTAAACGACCTCCATTGTTACCTCGGCCCAGATCTCTTGCGCTCCACTCTCGTCCTGTGCATTCAAATCGGGGTTAAAAAGAGAAGACATATCAAACATCTCAGGCCATGGTCCCGGATAGCTAAGGGCGAGCAGAAATCATCATGCCATACGACCTGAAAGGACGCAACGTCTTGATTACTGGTGGCTCGAGGTGAGTAATTGCATCCCGACACGAGTGCGCGATTTTTGTAGTGATACACCATTTTCTTGCGGGACATCTTCCTGCTCCGTGTCAGAAAATGCAACCGGACTCCTGGGCCATGCATTTGATCAACTGACAGAGTCTTTCAGAGGTCTTGGTGCCGTTCTCACCCGCACCTTCGCTGCTCAAGGATGCAACATAGCGATCAACTTTCAAAGCTCAGAGACTGCAGCGAAAGACCTCGCCCAGGAAATTGAGGAGAAGTACCATGTCAAAGCGACAATAATCAAGGCTGTACGCGATTTGTCACGGAAATTAAACCTTTGCTTTTTATTGTTGACTTAAATCCCATAGGACGTTGGCATCACTACAGAATGTGAGCGCTGTGTTGGAGACACAGTCAAGGCAATCGGAGGCTTAGATATCCTTATCGGGAATGCCGTAAGTGCCTCTTTGGAAATGATGAGTTTTGACCACATTGCAGTGTCTTTTGTGAGGGCGCCTCCATGAAATAACTCTGGATAACATTTGCTACGCAGGGTTACACCAAGTTCACGGAAAATTGGGGTGATCTTGACGCTCTAAGCGAAGAAGACTGGGACAAGGTAGGCACATACCTTTGTTCTTCTGGTGCTGTTTCTGTGGGTGTCGCTTACCATGGTGCCATTGACAGTGTTTTGCCGTCAATGTGAAATCAAAGCTAGCACTCATGAGAGCTGCCGGTCCTATCTTCCGTGAAAACCCAGATGGCGGCGTGTTCCTCATCACCTCATCCATAGCGGTATAAGGGTCCCCTTGGTTCATCTGGCGATAAGCATAATATCCTCTGACCTTCCTCCTAGGGTGTCTCTCAGGGTGGCAGTTCAATGGCGTAAGTCTAGCTTTCGAACTTGCCAAACCGGGTGGTGAAGGTTTTTTACCTTTCTCAGAGCTGTCTCGCACGAGGAATTGCACACTACTCGCGTGGGCAGTTGGAGATCATGTCTGCATGCTTTTTGCGGGATTTAACCCCGCGTTTACGTCTGTTTGTTTTCTTCAACTGCTCACAGAGAATAATTGTGCTTTCACGCGCGGAACACATCTGGGGAGGGCAGAATCTCATGTACCCGATCTCGATAATGCTGTGGCTGATCCTCAGACTTGCAGTTATTCCGTGACCAAGGCTGCTCAGCTTCACCTGATGAAGTGTTTGGCCTCGGTCTGTGGTCCCAAGATTCGGGTCAACGCCGTACTGCCTGGTCTCTTATTGACCGACTGGGTTCGACTCACGTTACTTTTGGTCGTTGTCGGGCATTGGAACTAATTGATCCTCTCAATCAGGGTAACCAGTACGGTGAAGAGCGCATTGCGTCTCTCAAAGACAGAGCAGCTCTGAAGAAGGAGACTGATCTGCAGGATTGCGCAAACGTCTTTGTTGACCTCGCCAAAAACACGTCCATTACCGGCGCCAAGATCCAAGTCGGTAAGAGCCCAATTCTCAGCCAAGAAAGAACCGAGCTGATTCTCTAGATGCTGGCCTCTATATTGCAGCGCCTTAGCTCGACCGAGAGTCGGCTAATGCGCATAGTTGCGCAACTTGTATGGCTACTAGTGATCCGTGGAGTTGCATGTACTGATGGTTAATGCATACGAATATAGCGGAGAGCAAACGTGCCGAAATTAGGCTGATTCCCGTCGATTTGTAGCGAAATGCAAGAGATTGGTCCATACTCGAGGGTTGAAAGTTGTGTTTCAAAGAAGAGGCTGTGCTTCTCTTTCTGCGTTCACGTCCAGCTAGTTGCGTGAAATCTTAGCAAATGTCGAACGGTTGCAATTTTTGAAGGGATTGCGCTCACCTTTGCTCGGCTGATCAGCTCCGTATCAACTTATATACAATGTGTTCTCTGATCCTCGACCTGCGGATGGGTGACTCTGGATTAACGACGATTCGGCTGGGTGAACCCCTTTTCACAAACTCCTGGCGACTAGCTCCTTTCCAGCCTTTTTTTTTTACTTCGTAACCTCCCGGCCAAGATACTTGTTGTTCAGCTTTTGGTGGATTTGAGTCATTCAGTCCTCCTCATAGGCTAGCTCGGTTTCGTCGAGGGCCTTCATGATTTCTTCAACGTGACGTGGATCATCAACACCCCAGACGCCGCCGCCCTTGACGGTTCCTGAAGTCATGCCTGTTTCCTTCCCGACGAGATTGCGGCCGACTTTGCCAGGCCCGATACCCAGCCACCTTCGAACCTTTTCTTCTTTGTGCAAATATTTGACGGACCCCCACCAATTGACCGTTTCCACACATTGCCGCGCGAGTAAGTCCTTCAGCTCGGCGCGATTTTTGAAAGGACGTGCGGTTACGTTGGATATGCAGGGCATGTAGCCTGGCCAGGTCACAATGTCTTGGTCACCAGCGCTTCTCGAAGGGCGGGCCAATATGCGTTTCATCTCCTCCTCGGCAGGTTTCATCAATGGCGAGTGAAAGGGGCTGTCGGCTTTCAAGCGAACGGCTCGCGGATCGTGTCCGCCAAATTGGCGCAGGTGGGTCAGGAGGGTTGTGATGCGCTCGATGCTGCCGCTGAGTACGATTTGGTTTTTGCTGTTGATGTTGGCGATGAGGACCTTGTCTACGGCGGGCACGTCCTCGGTGGAATTGGTCTTGGAGCCGTCAGAGCCCATCCCAAGAAAATCGTACACCATGTCGGTAAGGGCGCGCATGCGCTCCTCGTTCTCGCACACGATAGCGACCATTCCCACCTCACCGCCACCAATGGCAGCAGAAGCGTCTTTCGAGCAGCGCGCCATGACCTCGGCGCGGCGGCGCACCATACGCAGAGCGTCGGTGAATGAAAGATAGCCGCCCGCGACCAGAGCGGCAAACTCACCGAGCGAGTGGCCCAGGGTGAAGTCGACGCGATTCCGGGGCTGGAAGCCGAATTCGGTCTGCAGCACGCGCAGAATGAGCACCGAGGTGGCCATGATGGCGGGCTGTGCGTTTTCGGTGGCTGTCAGGGTGGCATTGGGGCCGTCGGCGATGAGGCGCGACAGGCTGAAGCCGAGCGTGTCGTCAATCTCGTCGACAATGGGGGCAACGGTGCGCGGGAAGGCATCGAGCCAGGGCTGGATCATGCCGACGCGCTGCACGCCCTGGCCTGGACAACGCGGGCATCAGCATGACGGCGGAGCAGAGGAGCGTCCGGCGGGGCTTGCCTGGGAAGAAGAGCGCAGTCTTGGGGCGGCGGGCGGCGGGGTGGGTCGAGAGCGGGCGGCAGCGCGGGTGCGGGCAGGTGGTGCGGCGCGGGACGGCGCGGGCGACGCGGCGGGCGAGGGGGCAATTGGAGTGCATGGCGGCGGTGGAGGAGGAGGGAGAGCGGTTGTCGGGTGAGATGGGCTGGAAGGCGGCAGGTGACGCAGGGCGGCAGAGCTCGAGCGCGGGGCGCGATCCTCGCAAGCCGGGATATCCCTGCCTCAATGCCGCGGCCCCGGACTTTATGGGAACCTCGTGCTCTGCTAGCCAGCCCTGCCGCTGCCCGCCGACACGCCCAATCGCCTTGCGGCCCTGGCTTTCGCTCTATGTATGTACACTGAAACCCCATCTAATTTTCGTCATCCATGCCCGCCATCCTTCTTCGCGCCGACCGCACAATCCGGCTCTCTTCCCACATCTGTTCCGCCACGGGCGGATTCCCATATATGTACGATAACCGCGGGAAGTCATGCTAGACACTGTCAGCCTCCGCACCTTGCTCCGTGTGAGTATTGCAGCTGAATGCTAGCGGGGGTTGATGAATCGAGTCTGACCTATCCTTTGGCTGCAATGCCCACTTGAGTCTGCGATCAACTAACCTCTCCTTTCAGGATCGTCCCTGCTTCTACCACCGAGCCACTCTTGATGTGTGTGCCAGGCATGACCAGGACGCGGGCTCCAAGAACCACACCATTCTCGAGTCTGACCATCTTCGCAGTTGCCAGGCCCTCAGCCCTGTCTTGCGCGCTCTTGCTCCATTCCATCGTGTTTATGGTGACGCCGGGCCCCAATACGCAGTCATCTCCGATCACCACCTCGGCGACGTCCTCGATCATGCAGTCCTTCGCTATCTTGACGTTTTTGCCAATCTTGAGGTTGAATCCGTACTCGCACTGGAACGGCTGGTCAATATAACAGTCTTTACCCATTACTCCTTGCGGATTTATCGTCCCTGATAGGCTTTTCGTGTGAGGCGGTTGTAGCACTTTCCAGAATCTCTCCATTTGCTCGTGTTCTTTTGCTCCGACGCCTACCGCACGGTTGAAAATATCCAGAGCAACCTTACATTGCTCTCGCTGGGCGCGCAATTCTGGCGCAAACGGCTTGAAGAAAGTACCTCCTAGCATCTTCTCTTTCTCTGACTTGTGCTGCGGCGGTGGTATACGCGGGAGTGGCGATGGCTGATGCTGCTGGTGTTGTTGCTGTTGAATCGCTAATTGTGCCGTTATCGCCGGCTGCGGAGAGCCTAGATGTGGTGGCTGAGGCAATGAGGGCCCCACAATAGAAGAGCCAGATTGCCCGTGCGGGTAGGAGTTCTGTTCACTATAGCCCGGGAATGCCCTCAGCGCTGCGGCGATGCGGGTCTGTGGCGGCGGCCAAGCCGGCCATGAGCTCGAGCTATGTGTACTTGAGCGCTCGTCTTCCACCAAGAGCGGTCGACTACGCGCTTCTTCAAGAGACAGCGGTTGTCTGGAATTTGGAAAGGTCTCTGTCGCTGGTCTAGGGAAAATTCCCGGATGTTCGGCGTAGCTGAATTTGGATTGCAGTGGGGGATGGCTGTTGGGCGCTCCCGGCTTCTGCCAGGCCGTTTTCAAGAAGTAGCCCTCGCACATGAACCCGCCGCGTACACAATTATTGCAGGTTGGCTTTGCTTCGTCGCATTTTTTCTTGCGCCGCCTGCAGGTCCCACAGCCCGTTTTTGTCCTTTTACTGAATTGTCTTTTCCTTTTGCTCTTATCCACCTGCACGCCAGCTCGAGTGTACCCTGGCGTGCTACTATAGTCATTGGCTGATTCAGAGGGCTGTGGTCCATCGGAGGCGCGGTCCTTTCTCGACGTGCCGACAGCCTCGTCTTCTCGCCGCGAAACGACCACGTACTGATCAACGCCAGCACTACTAGTGTGGCGTTGCGATCTGGCAACGAAGTCTCTCGTCTGCGCCGACGGCTCCCCATTTTCGTCGTCGTCCAAGGTGTCATCGTCCTCTTCCTCGTCATCATCGTCGTCCTCTTCATCGTCCTCGTCGTCCTCTTCCTCGGAACTTGAACTGCTGCGGGCTTGCCGCACCATCCGCGGCGCGGGCCGCGAGTACATGTCCGCACCCTCGTCGTCATCGTACAGGGAGCGCTTGCGCTTCGCCGGGCTCGACGGGCGCGTATCACGCTCGGGCGGACGCGGGGTCAGCGGCCTATCAGGGCGGTCTGGCTGCTGCGAGAGAGGCCTCCTGTCCTGCACACGATCGTTTTCGGGAGTGGCCTCAGCCCGTGAGTGGCGGCGTTCCGACCCATTGACGCTCAGCTTCAGCGTCTGCGGAGGAGAGCGGCCATTGACTGCAGTGAATCCGGGGACAGGGTCGTCCTTCTCGTCAAGCCGCACGCCGTTGTGCACCGAGGGCGACATCAGGGGCTCGGGCTGGGCGTTTTGCAGGGCGCGACGCAGGATTCGGGCGGAAGCGGAAGTGGGGCGACAGCGCGGTGTTGGATTCTTCAGCGGCAGGCAGGTTGCACGGCGCGGCCGGCGTCTTCAAGAGGAAGCAAGGAAAAGGCACGCAGAGCATCCAACACAGAGGGCGCGTGCAGATCAGCCGCCTAAGTAATAAGCGCCCAGGCAGGCGGATAAGCGGGCTGAGTCGTAGCCGCGGCCGCGTGTGACTGAGAACGGGCGCAGTGGCGGCACAGGCGCCAGATATAGAAGGCGCCGCGGCGGCTGTCAGCCTGTCATTGAGCACAGCGCGAGCCAGGGCCGGGGCGCTGCGCCGCAGGCGAGAAGAGCGCTTGGTCGTGTCGCACGGCGGGTAGCGCGGAGGCGGACAGGCAGCAAGGAGCGCGGGTGCGGGTGCAGGCCCAGCGCTTGTGGTTTATTCGCGCGTGTGGCGCGGGCGGCCCGTTGGGTAGCCTGCCGCAGCTGCGCTTTTTAGCGCCGCCGCAGCGGATCAGGGCTCGGCGGCAGCGCTCAGGCGCTCAGGCGCGCTCCTGCTCAAGCGCCCACGCGCCCACGCGCCGCATGCAGCGGCCACTCCCTCGCCGCCGCCCAAAACCACCACAATCACGTGACACTCGCCTCGCCTCGCCTCGCCTTCGCCTACGGCTGCCAGCGCCGTCGCTGCTGCTGCGAGACGCGCTGCCCGGGCGGACGAGCTCCAGCGGGCCACCGTGGGTGCGAGCGCGCGGTGGGCAGCAGCACGGCAGATCCCACGCACAAACGCTGGCGCAGACGAAGCCGGCTCCGTCGCCCCTCTTTCCACGGCCGCCCGTCGTGATAATGCATGGCGCTGGCCCGGCCGACCCCGTGGACGGCTGCTCTCGTCTCGACGCGGCAACACGCTGTCTTCAGCCTTCTCCTCGCCCATTGGCACAGCTGGACGCGGCAGCGCCTTGGACACCACAGAACCATGCACGCCATACATATGTATGCACCAGTAGAGCACCATGTGCAGCCTCGAGGGCCTGGTGGTTCTGAGCTCGCGCAATGCCGAGAGCCCTTGTCTTCCCGTGCTGCCGGGGCCTGGGCCGACGAGGGCGTCCGCATCGGCTCACCTCCGCGCAAAACGGTCGACGTCGACTAGACTCGCTCCAGGTGCCCTTTGCGACCTTTCCTCCGGGTCCGAGAACGTCATGCATGCCTCTCGCAGCCGTTCTGGGCGTCTACGTAGCACTTGCCCCCAAGGAAAGTGGAGGCTGCGTCAACCATCTCACTGCTGCACTGCGCCCACGGCTCCCGACGGCGAACAGTCTCAGTTTGCGAAGTGACATGCCCGCTCTGTTACAAGCCTGCCTGCCTCCTGTGGAGCTGCGCTGAGCTAGCTCTGGGATCAGCACGCACCAGCGGTCGAATTGCACCCACTGCCATAGGCAGGCCCGTTTCGACCGCCAATCCACTGTTGCGCTGGAATCGAGGAAGTATACTGTCATCCGCATGGCAGGCCTGCTTGCCGATGATTTTGGTCGGTCGCTTTCCTTGCATCACCAGAAAAAGGGGGCTCGAGAGCCGTGGCAGAGCCTGGTATGGCGGCTCCCGAATCGCGGCTGCGTGGCCACACATTGCCTCCGAGCATCCACAGTCTCAGCCTGCATTCTTACTATGCCCGTGATGGCAAGTCCTTTGCAAATTTCCCCTTGTCGGTACCATAGCGCTAAGCCGCTGCAACTGTGCTTATGTAGATGCGGTGCCGGAGAGGATTCGAGTCGGGTGCGGCGGGTTCCGTTCGCTCAGAGTCCTCCAATCATCAGGAGACGCAGCATCGGCTAGCAGTTCGTTGGGCTTTGCGCGACGTCGTTACGGTGGCTGTAGTGGACCTGTGTGGGGGTCGTGACCAGTTCTCATCAGGCCGATGGGCTCCCCCATGTTTCTTGCACAGTCGATTGATAATGAGCTAGGGCAGAGGACGGCCGGCACAAGCTCTAGCACAAGACCTGACGCTTGACACAAGAGATGCGCTAGCCACCGATGGGTACACCGCCGTCCCATGCATCACTTGCACCCCATATTCCCGGTCACAGCTGACTAGCCTCGTCCCCCCAGCACGCTGCCACTTCGACCCCAAGCCTTGCTGCCAGCTGGACACTACTCACCTCACCTGAAGAATCACTCCTCTACGTACACGCAATAACTCCGACATTCCCACGCTCGCGTACACAGCAGCCCTCCACGCATTTCGAGAACGGGTGATGGCCCCTGAGAGATTTTTCCTCGTCAACCTCGATCGAAACCACCCGTGTTCCGCCGAGACCACTTCACAGCTTCTTTTTATCGTCCCTCTCGCCTATGCCAACGGCTAAAACAACCCTCCTTGTGCCATAGATGATATCGAAGGCGGCTAGGAAGCGCAGAAGCCGTCTGGGTAATTCAAAGACACGGCTCGTCTTTACCACTACGTTCAGCGGCACAGATCGGACTTTCAGCGTTCCGTGTGATACGCCCGTCAATTGCGACACTTCGGAGGGCTGGGTCGGCGTGCTTGCGGATGCTGAGACGAGTTGCAACGGGAGACTACTCGGCCTACCAGTTAGCTAACGATGTTATCTATTAGTCCAGATGAAGCATGGCCACCATGATTGTCAAGTCCAAAGCAAGATCCCGGAACGGCCTCCGACTCCACATTAGAATACTCTTGACAAGTTGACAGATTCTTCGTCGTAGCTTTTCATGCGTGTGCCGCATTTCAGCAGCGACGTCCGATCGCAATGGTTGGTGACTGGTCTCAGTCATGCCCAGCGCAGCTTGCTGCCAGAAAACTCGACTGAAAAACGACATACTCGCGCACTAGTGAGCTTCAGCCGCGAGCCTAAACCCAGCAGCCGGAAACCCGCCTCAGCGCTGTGGGTCAATCTGTCCCTGACTCGACTGGCCCTGCCATCATAGCGCTTCTCCCAAGGTGCGAACACTGCCGCCTGATCTGCCTCAACGAAGCAAAAGAAAGCCAAAGTATTCAATTACCCGCGGCAAATCCACACCAAGACTTGTTAGGGCTTCGCAGTCGTGCCCACCACAACTTCAGCGGACTGCAGAAGGGCAGTTGGGGGAAGAAAGGTCCGTGTAAAGACGTACCTCTTTGTCGCCTTTTTCTCTTCTTCATCTCCAAGGCGGCACAACGAGCTACGCCGAACGATGCCATCCTAGCGATTCTCATACAGAGTTAGAGTGGCTGGGCACCTCGCAAATGAGCATTGACAGCAGGATACACGGTGGATATTTGGGCAATTTCTGCGTCGCGTGGGCCCGAGCAGCTGTGCACGCGCACGCCGATCGCTCGCGTCTGCTCCCAGCCGCGTGGCTCTTCCCTGGTCTGCACCAATTTCTCTGCACTGGTCTTTCGTCATGCAAGCCAGCACAGTGGCCTCATCATACGGTACGGCCTAATCGGCCATGTGAGAGCTACGCTCACTCGCTGAGCACCTTCACAGGTAAGTGCGTCTTGTGAGATCTTACTCGTCTTGATGGTACCACGAGCAACAAGCTGGTAGGTGTCCTCTCGGTTGTGTACCGAAAATGCGCCCTGGTCCGATTGGTGCAATGCAGTTCAATTCAATGACGCTACCTGCGAGAGCCTCGGCTCGGCTCGCGCGCATGGATTTCAACTTAGATCCACTTAGGAAGCATAGACATCACACGCTATTCCTGTGACTATTAGACTCACTTTGCCCCGCTATTCTTCCAAGCACACTCCCGCAGACCCAGTGCCGCGGGCTTCCGGTAACGCTGAAGCCGCTGTGACTCAGAGAAGACTTCACTCTACGGCTTTACATTCTTCGTGACTTTTATTTCTAAATAAGAGCCATTAAACTCTCTACAGATATCTGCGTGTGCACATACCCTAGAGCCCGAGTGCACCACCATCGTCGAGTGTTACATTACTTAAGAGCAGGATCCAGCGTAGCGCCGGTGACACCTAGCGGAACTTACAGAGAGCTAGAGCGACTAAATAGACCTCGCATGAGGACTAGCACTTCAAGTCTCTATGTGCGGCAGTTTCCGGCAGCATTTTGCGCATACCTAGTAAGGGGGCGGTGGTTAAAGGGAAGTGACAGGCTCTATAATGGTAGAATCTAGATACCGCTGACATATTTCTTAACCCCGTTAGCAGCGCCTTTTAGCTCGTGAATGAAGAAAGAATTATCGTAGAATAAGCGTCCCGACTCTATATAAAGATTGCTTTTTTTTAAAAAAGGGGGGGTGGGGGCTCTAGCTGTTACGACAGGGTTTACCGAATGCGCTAATAGAGCAGGTCTCTAGGGCATAGAACGCGACCGAGCGCCGAAGGCTTCGATACATGGTTATCGTTAGCCTAAGACCGTATGGGACCGAGCTACGTTTTATCTAAATTTTTTCTAGCTTCTAACAATATACTCTACGCAATTTCGCTGTTCGTATCCCTGCTACCGGCGTCATGTCACGGCAATTGGATTTGATAGCGACTTAACGCGGGGTCGCCAGCAGTAAAGTAATAGAATTTATCGAGTTTTAAAGATATTGTTATCTAGGTTAAGCGTAACTGATATAAGTAAACAGCGTGGAAAGCAGACTACAGTCTGATAGCGTTTCCTAGGAATTAATAGATTGATCTTTAGACAATTAAGTCGGTAGAGACCGGTATAGTAAAGTTCGCGAAGGCCGCAATGACACAGTGCGGCTTAAGGTATGATGTTCTTATCGGAGGTGGTTAATTTTACGCAGCGGGTGAGCCCGAGGCTTTTTTTGGGGTTGGGGCGCTTAGACATGGCCCAATAAGTAATGGCCGGATGTGTTGTTTGATTCAGCCTTTAATGACGGCAATTACTATTCGGCCCCTATCTAGCAATCGTCACGGCGGAACGGCCCTTCTGCACGGAGCTTACCCGCAGCCCGCTCCTCCACGTGTTCCCGCTTACCTGTTTCTCCGGCTGGAACCTCGTCAAAACCATTTCCTCTAGCCACAGTTCGCTTCCCAAGAAACTCTCCAAAGTCGAGAATAGAAGCTTCTAACATAGTGCTATGGCGCGCGTGTAATCACCCTAGCTTGTTCGAGAAGGAGCCGTCGTGGCGCGGGATGTTGAAAATATACTCACGGCACGAATTCCAGCATTGCTTTTTGCATTTCAGCGCGAGAAACAGGAGGCTTGGCGATTCCACGAAGTTGGGTGCAGAGTTTTGCAAGCGTTTGAAATAAGTGCAGAGGGGCAGTTGGAGTTGATCCCTGCAAGTCACTACCCCCTGTCGTCTGCAACTGATCGCTTAAACGCCAAACCTCCAATAATGTCTTCTCATAGTCCCGTCTCCACTAAAAGCGCTGTTGAAGCCTGCTTGCAGCATCTGGAGGTATTTTAGGTATATACATACTGCCTGGTCGAGTATGCTAGAGTTATGCAATGCATCATGTACGTATGAGAAGCAGGTAGTGACGAAAGGAATAGCAGATTTCAACGGGCCAGGGTGGAGCAGATCCAGTTTGAAATGGTCGTCATGAGAATTCGTTTCGATGATTTTTCTCTAATTGTTGCCTGTCCTTGTAGTTTTTCTAGGACCCGCCTTGCACCTTTCCGGAGGTAGTCTTGTTAGACTACGACAAAGTGGCCGTTTTCTACCGATCAGCCTCAATCCTTGCACCCTCGCCATTAGCCTGAGCACCTCCTCCAGTCAACGGGACCGTCTGCTTCAGTGGAGGTAGCAGACTGCGAGCCGTCTGTCGCGCCTGCTGGGTCAAAACCGCATCCATGAGCACAAGAGCCGCCATAGACTCAACAATCGGCACGGCGCGAGGCACCACGCAAGGGTCGTGCCGTCCCTTGGCCTCCAGAACGCCATCTTCCTCGTCATACGTAGCGGTGCGCTGCGCCTGGCCGATGGTGGCTGGCGGCTTGAAGCCGACATTGAAATAGATGTGTGCGCCGTTGGAAATTCCGCCCTGAATACCACCCGAGTTGTTCGTCTTAGTAGTCAGCCTCGGCCGGCCCTCACCCGAGTCCGCCTTAATGAACGGGTCATTGTGGATAGAGCCAGGCACCTGGCAGCCGCCAAAGCCGGATCCAATCTCGAAGCCCTTGGTGGCAGGAATGCTAAGCATGGCATGTGCAAGCATGGCCTCGAGCTTGTCAAAGCACGGCTCGCCGAGACCAGAAGGAACATTCCGTATCACGCAGCTCACCGTGCCGCCGATGCTGTCCTGCTGGTCCCTGTAACGCTCCACAAGCTTCTTCATCCTCTCGCTGGCATCGTCGTCGGGGCAGCGCACGGGAAGGAACGAGTCGACCTTCTCGCGGCTAATCTCATCGATGAGCTTGAGGAATTCGGGATTCGTCGAGGCGGTCGGGTGCTCGGGGGTAGGCGGGAAGAGGAACTCATTGCCAATGGAAGCAGTAAAGGCGACGATCTCCACGCCGTACGCCTGGCGCAGGTATTTTTCAGCAATCGCTCCGGCAGCGACGCGTCCTGCGAGGACGTTAGCCACAACATGCGCAGAAGTCAGGCGCATCCTTACCAATCGTCTCTCTCGCGCTGCTGCGGCCGCCACCGCTGCTTGCCTTGACACCATACTTTTCCAAGTACGTCCAATCGGCATGGCTTGGGCGCGGGTACAGATCCATCGTGCTGTTGCCATAGTCCTTGGGGCGTTGGTTCTCGTTCATGACACGCATGCCGATGGGCGTGCCCAGCGTCACACCGAACTCGGTGCCCGACTGGATCTCGACACGGTCCTTTTCGTTTCGCGGGGTTGTGATTGCGCTCTGTCCCGGGCGACGACGGGTCATCTGGGGCTGGATATCCGCCTCAGTGAGCTGCATGCCGGGCGGGCAGCCGTCGACGATGCAGCCCACGGAAAGGCAATGCGACTCGCCATAGCTGCGGCGTGGGTTAGCTCTGCGGTTGGCGGCGGGCGCAACATTAGAACGCACGTAGTGACGCGGAAGTGCGTGCCAAAGGTCGACATGTTGGTGTGGTATCGGGGTCTGTACTGGTGAGGGCGCTGGTAGACGACAATGGGCTGCGGTATGACTGGAAAAATGGGCCGATCGTCGGCGGGAAACTGCGTCGGCGGAAAACAACCGACCTGTTCCTGCGGCAGAAAAAAAAAGCGTAGGGCTGACGCCATGCGCGTGCCGCCCCCGGCATCTACCGTTTCGCTGCCCGGCCTGCACATGCATGCCCTTTCGTTTTTCAAAGTAGAAAGTAGTCTCCACACGTGCATAAATGCAAGGCGCTAGATTGATCCGCCTCTATAGAGAAATCACACGCCCATTCCTTTGCGCATGTTTTCCATGACGCTTACGATGCTGTCGGCCATCCCACCCGCCTGGCTTTCTATCATCTCCACGTTCACTCTCTCTAGCGCGTTCTGCATGCCGTCCACCACCTCTCTATCCTCGAATATCTCCCCCATGTACTGGCCTTCATCCACCCAGTAAGCTGCGTTGCGCTCGCGCAACCCTTTGTCACGAGCCACTGTGTTTTTCATGGCGCCGAGCATGCTCAGCTTGCCTCTCAGACTCTCGATGATCCGTGTGTTCTCCTCGAGGCGCTCTGAGATTGTTGGTGGCATGGCCAGCCAGCGGTTAGTCGACGTCAAGTACATGGCATAGCCCAGTAGACCATCCATCAGGGCAAACCCGATGTAGCGCAACGACCGCATGCGCCAGTAGAATGGTTCGAGGTCGCCCAGGCGCAGCGCGGTTGAATTCTGCTTGTAGTTGTATGTACCAGTCGCCCACACCTCAAGCGCTGCAAGAGCTACGCCGAGTATTGCAGCCCAGGTCCTCCACCGCGCACCCTCGGGACCAGAGATGACCGAAGACGTAACGAGGCCAAGCACGGCAAGATGAAGGAGGTGTGGTGCGAGGATCGAGGGCAACGCGTAGTAGAAGTAGCTCGAGGGCTCATCCGAAGTGCAGAAGGGGCAGGTGGCCAGCACAGACGGGCCGTATGCCAAGTATAGTAGTCTGGACTCGAGGTTGACAAATTTGGACTTTAGCGCCTCATCGACCGGGCTCAGCGGCCGGAGTTTGCCAAGGCGAACAAACAGTGTATCGGTGGGGATCTGCAGGCGCGAGGAGGTTGCTTGGAAGACGTTTTCGGGAGCAAAGTGCGGGAAGGAGGCGGCGAATGCGAGGATGGCGAACGCATACAGCACGTTGAGCGCAACGCCGACGCCTGGAGGCATGGGGCGAATACGGCCATGTGGGTTGCGGGAAGAGGCGCGGATGGATCTGTACAGCTGGATGACCTTTGGCAGGAGCATCGGGCCAAAGAAAATTAACAGGGACTTGAGCCTAGTGGGAGATGAGAGTCAGCGCGGTGCAGAGCTAGCGGACAGGCGCAGAGGAGATACCCTGAAAGCGTAATTGCGACCATGGCGGCGTGCGGGCTGTTGCATGGGTGGAAGGTGGAATGCTCGCGGCGTGCGAGCTCCAAAGCTCCACGTCACAGCGCGGCCACTATTTCTCCTGCGGCGCGCGCCTGCGCCACAGCCTCGTCGGTCGCAAGCTTCGCCGCTCCACCACCCGCGTCCTCTTCCCCACCCAGCATCGCCCATCATGACGGAGCCGCGCATGCGCATGCGGCAGAAGGGCCAGCAATTCGACACGCGAGACCGTACGCGTGTCCACCCAGCCACTGCGCGCTCACCTCTAACCTGCTCATAGTCGAGGCCTACTTGATCGCCTTTGGCGATGACCGCAATCCGCTGCCCGAGACCGTCCGCGTCCTGGACGAGATCATTACCGAGTATGTCCGGCCTTGCCCTCCATTAACACGAGCTCTGCTCTGATGTTGTGGCCAGCTTCATCATCGAGACGTGTCACGAAGCCGCCCTCTGCGCGTCTTACTCCCGCCGCGCCAAGATCAAGGTCGACGACTTCAAATTCATCCTGCGCAAGGACCCCGTCAAGCTTGGCAGAGTGACGGAGCTGTTGAACAAGGAGAAGGAGATCAAATCTCAGCGGAAGGTGTTTGCTGTCGACGACGAACAGATCGGCAAGGAGGAGACGCAGAAGGAAGAGGTGAAAAAAGGCAAGCGCAAGGATGAACGCAAGGACGAGCGCAAGGACGAGCGCGCGGCGAAGAAGGCGAAGAGCACCAGAGACTGAGGCACCCATGTTCATGGCGAACGGCGTTGGAATGGCTTGATATACCCCGGCACAAACAATCTACGACTGCATTATTCTACTGGCCAACGCGCTGCGCGTCGGGCTTCCATGCTTCGTCCTCCAGGCTCTTTAGGAATTCGTCGACGCTCACTCTCTCATCCACAATCTGGCGGCCATTGACTAAATCGTTTTCGGTGACGCGCTTGTGCGCATCGGCCTCGTCCTTTGCAATGCCTGCTTTAACGTGCCTGCTCACAAGCCTGTTGCGGGCCGTGTCAAAGTCCACTTCTACGAACCACCGCTCATCCATCAAGAGGGCAGCCTCGCGCCAAGGGTCACGGTCCAGGGTCAAGTAGTTGCCCTCGAAGACGAGGACACGGGTGGTGGGTGCGATGGCGATGTCGTCGGCAACGGGATCCTTGGTGGCATGGTCGAAGCTCGGTGCATACAATGTGTGGCTCTCCGGGGCCAGCGGCTTGCGCAACTCCTTGACCAGAGCAAGGAAGCTGTCCCCGTCAAAGGTGAAGTGGGCGCCGCGGCGAGCGTGTGCCGTGTGCGGGTCAGGCATGGCGTCCAGCTGGGCACGCGACAGGTGGTATCCGTCCATGGGTACGAAAGCAGCAATGGACGGTTCGCCGGCGCTCACACCCGGCAGCTGATCACGATACAGGGCGTTGACGCGCTTCACCACCTCGGCTGCGAGCGTAGTCTTCCCACTGCCGGGGATGCCTGAGACGCCAATCAGCAGCCGCTGCGACCGCGGCAGTTGGTTGTATTTCTCTGTTCCAGTCAGCCACACGCACAGCGCTTGAGCGGGCCCAACGTACCCCAGGTCTTTTTGACCAAGCGATCCACTTGCTCCTCCATTGTTGTGTGCGGCTTGTGGGGTGAGGGGCACGCCGCCTTTTCACGCATCGGCGGGGTCCACGCCGCGCCTCATGACGTCGAGCTTCGGGTAGAGCCTTCCGGCGGCTGCTTCCCGGTCGGGCAGGGCCACCCTTACCGACGCCGCACGTGTGCTCGCATCCTACATCCATACAGAGGGGTATGTCAGCGCGAAGAATAGCATACGGCAACGGTTCCCCGGCTCAGAGAATCAACGAAGCTATCGTCCGGACATCCCAACGATAGCTTCCTCCCACGACATGAGCGAAAAACAAATCAATACCTCTCTCTACTTTGGCTACATGCCTCCCTACTCTTACCTCAGCCTCCGTCGTGCACCAGGTGGTGAAGATCCGCCCAGTTCAGCCCGCCATAGACATTCGCCCAGCACGACGCATACGCCGGACAATGCACTGGCTCTTGCCCGAACAGAATGTGCCACAGGTACTCGAACACCCTTCCGCTATTGTCGTCATCAAGCTCCGTTTCCATCAACCATTGTCTATACAGCACGTAGTCCTCCACCGGCCGTGCCATTATCTGGCGGCGCGACACTGCGAACTGTGCGCAGCAAGGCGCTGCGATCACCTCCGGACACGGCGTGTCAAAAAAGAGCTCCCACACAGCCGTCATGTTTCTCTCGTACAGCCGATTGGCCGGCGTGTCTTGTCGGTATGGCTGAACTTCCGCCGGGCATCCAGGCCCAAGCGTACAGCGCAGGTTTGCGAAGCCCACGTCTTGCACGTGGTCGATGTTGAGTGCTCTGAGCGCCACCATATTACTCCTCGCTGGCATCCCCGCCGAATGCCAGAAGCGGTCCTTGTGGCTGTGAACGAACGCGACTGTCGACGGATAGTTGCCGTAGTTCTCGATAATGTACGTCAGGTACACCATTGCCTGCCATCCATCCTGTCAGCCATGCCGCTACTTTGCCTTGTGTTCTCTCTACATACCTCCTTGCCCTTGTTCATCGGCGTGTGTAGTGTTGCTGTCAAGTCATCCACAGCGTACACTGCATGCTGCCAGCTAAACCGCCATTAGTCTCATCAATCGTCTCCTTGGCACCTCGTGCACTTACTCGGGCAGATTCTCCGTCACCCATGTTGTATCTTCCTCTGCCAATTTTCCCATCACCACAATCTTATCCGGAAGCTCCTGGAGAAACCCGCTCTTCGGTGGCTCTTCCTCGTCTGGTCCAACATCACCATTCTCCTCTTCGCTACCTCCCATCTGCGCATGGGGGTCCACCGCCTCGTGCGCGTCTTCTGCTGGAGGCTGACCGTCGTTGCTGTCTTCTGGCACGGGTATCCCCGGACTCTGGTCCGTTTCAGGTTCTGGTGTTGCTTCTGCTGTTGAGACCGGGAAAGGGCGCGGTGTCTGTAGGGGGGTTGGTGTGCCGAATCCAATGTACTTTGGGTCGACACTCTTGGTTTCGCTGTTGCCCAGGTGGCCCTTCAACCCTGCAGCGATTCCATCTTTGAGGCCGTCGACATAGGCCCACCGTCCTTCCAGGTACGCGGAGTGGCGCAATATGGTAAAGATTGCCAGCAGGATCAGGGCGGTCGAAGCGAGGGTGCCAGCTCGAGCAGGAGTCTTCATTTTTCAGGCGAGCCTAGCTCACCAGTTGTCGCTGCTCCGGCAGAAACATCAGCGTTTGCTTGGGATGGCCAGCATCACTCGACACGCGCAAGACCATTGCTGATATTAAGCCGCTACATTGGGCCAGCCAGCCTCCAAACGTGACGCGCGGCGTAGTTACGCCGCTGTGGTCCGCCTCTCCCAGATGACACGACCACTTGAGAGGCGAAGCCAGGACTAAGCGCCCGCGTGTAGGGCAGGGGCCTGTTTCTCCCGAAAACTTATCAGAATTTGGCCCAGGACTACGCGTTCACAGTAGTAGGTCATGTCGTCTAGCGTCGGTCGAATTAACCCGAAGCGGGTGTTGACGCAAGCACTTTCACCGTGCCTCACCACCACCCTCACCAACACCAACATCACCGCCGCCGCCGCAACCACTATTAACTACTGCTCTCGCTACCGTGCCGCTGCCACTAATACTTAATTCTTCTTGTTTCTACCCGCAATCCTCGCTGTAGGTCAGTCGTAGCGAAAGAGGGGCAGTACGTTCGGCCATGGGGAGAAGTTCTTATCTGATGATTCATGCGCAGATTTCTTTGAAGCTCGCTGAGTAGTTGCTACGTGACAAAAGTAGAGCAGGAGTGTACGCTATAGCGCGGTGTAGTGTACGTTGTCGTCTCCCCTTCTAACCAGCCTACGAACATCTTCAAATAGTCGTACTACCAACGATGCAGTCTTTCGTTCGTCTACTAACACGTCTAGCCTACATGTTTCTTGCTGTGCCATGCCCTATAGACAAAAGACTCTTTCACTCCAATCAATTCAGGTCGCATTACTTTACTCGAGTAGAACGCGCGTAGTGCTTCGTCATTGTGGTCATTGCGCCAAGCTAACGCCTACAGCCTTATCCGTAGATATGCTACTTCAGCCGAAGGCTTGCGTGAGCTTGTTTCTCACTCGTGCCATGGGTAGCTATCGTCTGGATGTAAATGTAGAATTGTTGATTCCACATTCAAGTGTAAGTTGAATAGCCAATCAAAGGCCAAACAGCCTGCACATCTATCTGCGAGTCGCCGTAAAGCTTACTCGTGGTTTCACCGCTTGGCTCGCTAACGGCTGGTGGTTTCGCTGCTTTCCACAAAGCTTCTTCGTGTATGCACCGTCAGGCACCGTCACACCGCACCAATTGTAGCCACATTGCGGCATTAGAGCCGTGCCGCCCCTGCGGGCAGTCGGCCTCTGGTGACATCAGCGTTGGTGGGCAGCCAGTCGACCGTCAGGTAGACTGAACTGGCGTACTCTTTGTCTGGTGACAGAGTGACTGCTGCCCGTCATCCCCATCACAACATGATCGTTCAATCCACCAGTTACTAAGCTACTGTTCCTGCCTAACCCAGAGTCGTCTGCGTGGTGTTTTCTTCGAGTCTTTTGTATAGGGTTGGAAAGAGAGGCTCTATAGAGCCGTCCTCTCCGTCTCTAAGCGTTGCAAACGCTTGAAACCCCTTGAATACCTCCCTAATGCTCGTCGCTTGGGTGCTCGCTGCTGGGGTTACCGCCACTGATTCTCATGGCTGGTGCTGTTTGGCTTGTACGCGCTATAAGCGGGAGTTACATATCTTGCACGAGACACCGCCATCGCATAAGGAGCCGCGTGTGACCAGATGGACCGTCGTTGTAAGAGATTGTCGTGACCTATAGGGCTCTACGCAGATAAGCTGGACTCGCCAATGTGCTGTTGCTCGATTCAGGTGGAGTCCGGGATGGAGCCGGAGTGAATGGCGTGGAAGCGGCGTGAAATAGGAGTAGGAGCCGGAGTCTCTCGATATAACGGGTAGAAGGGCAAGAAAATTCCTAAATACGACCTCTTTTGGCTCTAAACGCCTTAAACATGACCTCTTTAATGCTAAACGCCCTAAACCCGACCTTGGCTGCCTGAACAAGACCCTTGGTCCATGCACGTCGTTGGTATCGAGCTAAATTTTGGTAAGGGTCGTGTTTGGGGCGTTCGACATGAAAGAGGTCGTGTCTGGTAATTGCCTTTTTAGGGCTTAAGACCAGCAAAAGGAGAAAACGGCAACCGTTACCGGTAGTAAAGCGACCCAGCGGGCTCCTCCACCGCCACACTGCTGGGTCGAGCATTCCAGAGGAATCGGCGCGTGCAGGTGCACCAGAACGCGAGATATCGAAGTTTAGCCGGTCTCTGATGTGAAATTCCCACAATTCGGAGTATGTCGAGCTGTTGGGATCTAAGGCTTCCCTACGTCTGTCCGTACTCTTGAAAGTGCTCGCAGCGGCTCGCTGTTGTATAGATAAGCTGCAGCCGAGGGCGAGCGTGCTTTTCGCATGTCATGTCTGCAACACGAGTGATGCTCTTCTACAGGGCGCGCGCGTGTGCGAGCTCAGCACGGTAGTCACGCTGGAAGGCGTGACCCTTGCTTTCGTTGCTTACAAAGGCAGGCCCGCTAGCTACCTTCCAGATTAGAGTTGTTCGAGCACGGAACACGGGTAGCTTTTAACAGCAACAACAATCGACTTTCCTTTACTTCTGCTTGTTCAGGCCTTACTAGCACTGCTATTTGCCATAACCTCTCTTGTTTCAACGCATTTACTGCTGCGACCGCTCATACTGGGTCTCTACCCAAACGTCTAACCCCTCGTCACTACATTCGCATCTATCTTCGCACAGCGCTCCACTCAAGGTGTACACTCGATCGCGTTGATCTTCCCGCTAATGCTAGCTGTTCCACGCGGTTCTCGCGCACTTTTATGCGTCGCGGCATGCGTCCAATCCTAGTGGGGTTTGCGTGGGAGCTGGGCTACAACCCTTAATTGCTTGGTGTCGTCTCACGTGCTTAATACTTCCCGATAGAGTAGCGGGACAGAAATGGGAGAATTACCTCTTTCCCAATAATGACCCAAAAGCAGCCGCTTTCGCAACGGACGACCTAAAAGCAACAGCTTTTTTGCAACGAACGACCCAAACTTAACCTCTTTTCGTAATAGATGACCCAAACCCAACCTGCGTTTGCAATGGATGACCCAAAAGCAACCTCTTTTCGCAATAAACAACCTAAACCCAACCTCCTTTCGCAACAAACGACCCAATCCCAACCTGCCTTCTTGACGTACGACCTAAATAAAACCTCTTTCGATCTAAACCCAACTCTCCGCTAAAATCGACCTTTTTTACGGCGCGGTGGAATCTCAACGAGATGGAAAACCAGCTATTTCTATACTGGAATATCGACCTTCTATAGGTAGGTTTCGATGATAGTTGTATTTGGGCCACGATGGTTGAGTTTGGCGTGGTTGCGAGAAAAGGGTTGGGTTTGGTCTGTGGGGGACGCCGCGGAACAATCCTGAGCAGCATTTACAGCACCACCAAGCACAGCACGGCCTTGAATACAATCGGCCATTGCGCCATCTGGCGAGGCAGCCTGTTGATGGGTGCCAGCATCAGCTCCCTTGTGTTTCCATCTGTCTACCACGAACGTGCTGCCTGGTATTGCGCGCCGTGTTCCAGCTGTAGATTGCAACACCATGCGCGCCATTACGGTCCTCCTGCAGTTTAAGTTCGTCTCGACTCATTGTGTGCGCTGCCTAGACATGGTGCCCGATGTTATCCCAGGTGACAAATGAAGTGCGACTGCAATGCTTACTTATGCTCGAATGACGACGCGTGCTTCGCAATTCGTTCTGAGTAGGGCGTATTGTCGCGTTGGGCGAGTGTGGCCCAGCCTTTGCGGTTCTGCGTGGCGTCCAGCACAGTAAGAACTCTACGGTATCGATGACGGTCTTGTCTTACTTGGATAAGTGTATGCTATCCTTGTTGTCAATTACGTGGCTGGTCCATTAAGACGCGCGCCATTGCCAGCTTAAACGACGGCTCTAGCCGGTGTTTGGTCTAGATCCCGCTAGTAGGTGACGTTATATAGTAGCGCCCTGCATTAAAAGGCTCGCTAGCGCGGGGTTAGTAGTATAGCTTACCCCCGTCTAGAACTCTCTAAAGAATATAATATACTAGAGATAGGTACAGTAGCGCGCCGATAACTAGCCGCCTTGCCTCCGGCCGCGTATAAGAAGGACCTTTAGTAAAGAAAGCTACGCATCGAGAGCTAATAGGACGACGAAACATTACTAGACGAGAACTAAATAAGATGCGACGATGTACAACTCGTATGCGTTTCGTGGCTTAGATAGGGTTGCTCTCTCTTGTAGTTTTGCTGTATAAGCTTAATACTATGCCAAGCACCGTAATTCTCGACCTCGTAAGCAATACACGTGTAATAAGGGAAAAGTTTTAAGGTGAAGACGGGTCGCTTTTCTTTATATATTCTTTACGTAGCGTTTTAGAGATTGCGAAGTAACGCCGCTTACTGTCGCTATTGCCGCGTAAAAAGCTTAGTAGCGAGAAGCCACTTAGCCCCTTTCTTAGTAGGTAATTAGGAGGATGTACCTACTAGCGTATAGAAGACATCTATAACCGCGACGAAGCGTCGTAAAGAAAGCAATCTATAGTATAAGCAATTTCTTAAGAATCTAGCTTTACATTCCTTCTAGCGCTAAGTCGCAACCGAGTAAGAAACTATAGCCATTCTTGGCAAGTAGTAGTATTTTACTGACCGTGTGACACACTTTTAGTAAAATACAATTACTTATTTCCTACAACACAACGCACCGTAGTTGGTCTAGAAGCTCGCCCTATTAATACCGCGACTGTCGTCTTTACCGACGTAGTAACGTTCTTAGACACCATTACTATACCCGCCTTATTCGATGCCATTAACACCGGGATTAGTGTGGGTAGTTACGTGGTACGCGCGGCCTATCCCGCTAATCTACAGCTAAGATACCCGACTATACGCAGGCCGTTAGTACGTATAAGCAGGCCGTTGGCACGTATAAGCTGGCCGCGATGGTAAAGCGCAATAGTATCCGTGTCGACGGAGTATTAGATGGTAGGGTTGCTTGTAGGACCGTAGAGGGCGGTTGGCTAAGTGTTAACTGGTAATTTATGTTTCTGTCCGAGTAGATCGCAGTATACTTTGCTCTCCATGTAGGTTTCTCGACAACAACTGCTGCAATGGAAACTATGGGTAGTAGTCACTCTGTTACCGAGCAAAAGAGCTAAGGCTGGCTCACTGCTCCACTACATACGGCCGACTCCAAATGGGCTGCGGCGTAGAGTTACCCGTGTTCTCGCCGTTCTCACCGTCGCATACCGCTCGGAACGTAACAGCTTAGAATTAGCGTTACAATACCCCTCGATCTTTTCCATACGCGCCAGTACGGCCAGTTATTTAAAGAAAATTCCTAAACACGACCTCTTTGGTGGCGAACAACCTAAATACGACCTCTTTTAGTGGCGAACGACTTAAACACGATCTTTTCGATAACGAATGTTCTAAATACGACCTCGTTTAGTGACGAACGACCCAAAAGCGACCTCTTTGGTGGGGGATTTCCCTACAATAGGGACCGTGCCATGTGGGTTGACTGATTGACAGCGTGGCGCGCGTCTCTTTACATGCAACGTGACGAAACATGGACACTGCAGCGCGCCAGTGACCAGCCGCATTAGCGCGACACTGATGCGGGGCTTCATTACAGCGGATTTCAAATGGAATCGTGTAACGGCACGGCAGATGCGTTGCGGCTGTAGTTGCTCTACTGCGAGACGCCTGCCGGCACGTATAGTTTCCTGGCAGCCGGGTCAGCAAGCCAGCTGTTAGGCAGCTCGCTGACGAAGGCACGAAGAAGGAAACGGCTAAGAATACTACTAGAAAGTAGAGAGAAGTCGATTGTGTTCAAGGCTATCTACGCTACGAAAACCCTAGTTGCGAACCCGCTAACCCAAAGCGCCGGAGAACTTCAACGACAGCCACTATCGATATTACCGTCGTCTCGCTGATCGGAAGGTGCGTTCATAAGGAGCTTCTGTGGACCTGTGCCATGCCCCAGGCCATATCCTGCTCCGCCTCCAGCACCAGCGTGCAATAAGTCCTCATTATGCTAGGAGGCGTCTTGCCCGCGCTAATCGACACGGGACGGCAAGTCCGCGTGAATGATCAGGTAGTTCGACTTGCCACGTAGCTATATCCTGCTCCGCCTCCGGCATAAGTCCTCATCATGCTAGGAGGCGTCTTGCCCGCGCAAATCGACACCTCGAACCACTCGTACCAAGCCGGGACGGCAAGTCCGCGTGAATGATCAGGTAGTTCGACTTGCTATGTAGCTCCGACGCACAGTCGACAGTCGTGTTCAGTACGCATCCACCGCGGCTAGCTGCGTGTCGACGGAAGACCTTGTCGTTGTCTTCCATTTCGGGATGGGCAAGCTAGAGGTCGGTAGGCGGGAGAGCAGCCGCTGTGGGCTGCCGCGGCCCGCTCGCTCGTCGACCATAAGATGGTGGCTGTGGCGTCGGCGTGTTGTTGCTGGATGACCTCGTACGCCCCGCGGGCCAGGTGATTGACGGTCGTGTTGAAGGTCTTGTGGAAGCGGTATGTAATATTGGGGATGTCGTCGATTGGGCAGCCCGCGGAGATGTGGTAGAGCGGCGCCGCGGTCAGCATCAGCGACTGCATGGCGAAGGCCTCTCGGGCTAGGTGACTGACAGTCGTGTTGCAGGCCTTCGGCCGGGCAGCCCGCTGATATATAGTAGAGCGGAGCCGATAGTCGTGTTGTAATGTTGCCGCCGATGTGATGTTGGGGATATCGTCGGCCGAGCGCGCTGTGGTGCCGTCGTGTTGCTGGCTAGGTGACTGACAGTTATGTTGTAGACCTGCCCGCCGATATGTGGTAGAGCGGAGCCTCGGTCGTGTTGTAGGCCTTGTGGAAGTGGTATTGGGGATGTTAAGAATGTCGTCGGCCGGAATGAAGCCTCCGCGCCGTTATATTGCTGGATGATCTCGTACGCCTCGCGGGCTAGGTAACTGACGGTCGTATTGTAGGCCTTGTAAGAGTGGTCGTTAGCCGGGTAGCCCGCCGATATATAGAGGACTTTATGGCGGTAAGGAGCGCGTCGTGGCGCCATTGTGTTGCTAAAGGCCTCGCGGGCCAGAGGTGTCGTCCGCCGGGCAGCCCGCCGATATGTGGTAGAGCGGAGCCTCGGCATCAAGGACTACATGGCGGTAAGGAGCGCGCCGTGGTGCCGTCGTGTTGCTGGATGCCTCGCGAGCTAGGTGACTGACAGTCGTGTTGCAGGCCTGCCCGCCGATATGTGGTAGAGCGGAGCCGACAGTCGTGTTGTAGGCCTTGTGGAAGTGGTATTGGGGATGTCGTCGGCCGGGTAGCCCGCCGGTGAGGAGCGCGCCGTGGCTGGAGTCTCTTTTGGAGGTGACGATCAACTTGTCAAGCCCTGGCCGTCTTGCCGATCGAACCGTGCGTGGGGTCCAGCTCATCGAACTCGTGGACGGCGGCGACAAGTCATTTCGTCGAATTCGTGGGTGGCGACAAGCCATGGGCCATTTCGTCGAATTCGTGGATGGCGACGAGCGTCTTACCGATCGAACCGTGCACTCTTGGTGGAGCAGTAGAAGTCGAGCCATTGAAGACCAGTCGAGGGCCATTTCATCGAATTCGTGGATGGCGACAAGCATCAACCGGGACTGGCCCTGGCCGTCTTGCCGATCCGGGTCCAGGAGAAGTCGAGGGCCATTTCGTCGAACTCGTGGATGGCGACAAGTCATTTCGTCGAATTCGTGGGTGGCGACAAGCATCAACCAGGACCAGTCGAGGGTCATTTCGTCGAATTCGTGAATGGCGATAAGCATCAACTGGAAGCAGTCGATACGTCCGTGGCTGTCTACTCTCTCCGGGCGTGGCGAGTATGATGTCGATTCCGGTCGTCAGACTGTCAGCCTCCGCACAGTCTTCTCCCATGTGTATATACTCCCGCCTCCTCCTCTTGTCTCTTCTGAAAATAGACCGCTTCTCTTGTCTCTGGAGATTGCTTGCTGCTCCTGCGTCTCCGAAGAAGCAGTCGTCTCTTCTAAAAATAGACCGCTTCTCTCGTCTCTTCTGCTTCTCCTCCCGGAAACGTCTCTTCTAAAACCGCCGTCTATCCCGAAGAGGGGCAGTTGTCTCTTCTAAAAATAGGCCGCTTCTCTCATCTCTTTTAAAGAAGCAGTTGTCTCTTCTAAAAACAGACCGCTTCTCTCGTCTCTCCTGCCTCCTCCTCTTATCTCTTCTAAAAATAGACCGCTTCTCCCGTCCCCCAAAAGAGAGAGTAGTCGTCTTAAGAGAGAGCAGTCGTCTCTTCTAAAAATAGACCGCTTCTCTCGTCTCTTTTAAAAGAAACTCGTATCTCTCGTCTCTCTTAAAGAAAAGATAGTTATCTCTTCTAAAAATAGACCGCTCCTCTTAAAAAGAAGATAGTTATCTCTTTTAAAAATAGACTACTTCTCTTATATCTTCTTAAAAATCGTTTCTATATTAAAGATCTTCTATTATCTCTTCTAAAAGTAATTTACTTCTTTTATCTCTCTTAAAAAGAGAGTAGTTATCTCTTTTAAAAATAAATCTCTTCTCTCGCGTCTCTAAAAAACCTTTATATCTCTTTTAAAAGTAGATTATTTTTTTTATCTTTAAAGATAGTTTACTTCTTTTATATCTTCTTTAAAAAACGTCTCTTTTAAAAATAAATCGCTTTTTTCGCGTTAAAAAAGAGAAATAAAATAAAAAAAAACTATAAATTAGATAAAAAGAGAGAAAAACTATAAAAAAATAGTCTAGTATATTTTATAGAGAGAAGAGAAAAGAAGTAAAGAACTATAAATTAAAAAATTATAGTTTAGTTATATTATAGAGAAGTTATAGAAGAGATAGAGAGACTAGTAACTAGTCGAGTACTAGTATTTACTACTATAGCTATAGTTTAATTAAGCGTCTTTAAATTATATTTAGTATAAATACTAGTAATAAGAATTTTAAAGCTTACGTAATCGAGAATAGCGTTCTTTTTTATATATTAATTACTTTTAAAATTCTTTTATAGATATAAAAAGCGCTTAGCTAGATATAATATATTAAAAAATATAGTACTTAATAATAATATTCTATTAGAGTAAAGTAGCGAAGAACTATAAATTAAATATTAATATAAACTTTTTTAAATATAGATAAGCTAAAAAGAGTCTTTTATTTAGCGCTTACTAGTTACTAAATTATAGTAACGTTTTAGAGATAAAGCGTATTATTATTAAAGTTTAAAGTAAAAATAGTAGCGCTTTTTACGTTTTTTTAAGCGTTTTTTTTTAGCTATAAATTTATTTAAGTCGCTTTAATTCGTTTTAATTTTATAATATCTCTCTCTAAATTAGATTTTTAAGCTTATTTATTACTCGTTTATTTATTTTAAAGACGATAAAGTATAAAACTTCTTAACTTTAGTCTATCTAGCTAAGTAGAAGTTATAACTAATTAATAGACTTTTTTCTTAAATATAAATAACTTTAATTTAATAAAAGCTTTATACTAGTATAAATTAATTTAGTCTTTATAATATATTTTTATACTACGCTATACTAGAGTTATTTAACGCTTATAAATAGCTATATTACTAAAGAGTATTTAAAATTTTCTTTTAAATATAAATAGCTAAGCGTCTTTAATAGCTATTTTAATAAAATAAATATAAAATTATATATATTCGATAGCTACTAAATTTAAATAGTATATTTAAATCTAAATAGTATATATCTAAAATTTTATAATAACGTAAAATCTTTAACGTAATAAGAAATATAAATATTTTTTAATATTTATAATACTATTAAGGCTTAAATTTACTAATTCTAATAAAAAAGAAAAAGTTTTATAATAAAAATATTAACTTATTTAGTTAAAAAGATTTTAAAAATTATTTTTTTTTTCGCGTAAGAAAACGTTAATAATAACTAAAATTTAATTATTTTTTATCTTTTTATAATAGTAAAGAGATTTAAAAATAATATTTATTATAAAAAAAATTAATTTTTAGATTAAAACGTTAATATTTTTAAAAATAAAATTTTAGATATATACTATTTAGATTTAAATATACTATTTAGATCTAGTAGCTATTAAATATATATAATTTTATATTTACTTCTTAAGTAAATAGATAAGTAATTTAAAAAATAAAAATTAAAATATAGATAATTTAGTAATATATCGCGTAGAAAAAATATAGACTAAGAAGTAATATCTTAAATCTAGTATTAGAGATAATATAAAAAAGATACTAGTAACGTAAAAAAATTATAAACTAAAAAATAGAGTTTTAGATCTAGTATAAGAGATAGTAATAAAAAAATAGTAATAATAATTAAAAAGAAGTAAAAAAGATAAAAGAAATAGAAAAGATATAAAGTTTAATAAGAAGATAAAAGAATATTTTAAATTTAGTACTAAAAAAGATAATAAAAAAAATAATAAGAATTTTAAAAAATAATAGTAATAGTAGTAGTAAAGAAAAAAGTAAAAGAGATAGAGATATAGTAAAAAGATTTTAAATTTAATAAAAAAGATATACTAAAAGAGATAAAAAAATATTTTATAATTATAAAGAATAGCTTAGTAAAGACTAAAAACTTTTATAACGCTATAATATTAATATTAAAAGAGATAATTACTAAATAGTATATATTAAATATTTAAGTAGACTAAATAGTATATATAGAACTAAATAGTATATATTAAAATTTTTATTTTTAAAACGCTAACGTTTCTATTTAAAAATTAATTATTTTTACTACTATTAATATTTTTAAGCTTTTCTACTATTATAAAAATATAAAAAATAACTAAATTTTAGTTATTATTAACGTTTTTTTATACGATAAAAAAAAAGTTAATTTTAAAAGAGATTTTAGCTAAATATATCGGTATTTTTATTATAAAAATAATATTTTTTTATTATAATACGTAAATATAGATTTAAATACTACTATATAAATAAAAATATACTTATGTTTTAATTAGTATTAAGAATTCTATATTATTATATAATTTTTAATATATACTATTTAGTTCTATATATACTATTTAGTCTACGCGGCGCGAAATATATACTATTTAGTAATTATCTTATATTAAAATAATAAACTTATACTAAAAATCTACTAGCTAATTAAAACGAAATAATAGTTAGTTATACTCTTACTTAAAGTATTTTAAAAACTTTAGTACTTATAGTATAATAGAACTAGTGCTAGTATTTAAAGAGTAGCGATAATAAACGCCGGTTTAGTATATTATAGTCTAGCTATTTAGACTATTAAGTTCGTATTCGTACTCTTTTAGTACTTGGAGAACTTGACCCATCGTTGGCCTTTGTAGATAATAAAGAATTGACATGTCCGTACTATCCGCACAGCCTCTTTTGTACCTGGTTTTGGCTTTACAAAATTGCTCTAAATCCTGGAGTTCCTGGATCCACATCAACCTAGATACCTCTTTCACATCTTCTGCGGTCCCTAGCAGTTCCCCATCTTGACCTGTTTTCCCGCGAGGGTAAAGTTTATCTCCCTGTCGAACAAGAAACGGCCTCGATTGATCGTACTCCCGAGCTCCAAGGGTACATCTCTCAATAAGCCGGCGAAGTCGCATTGGAGTTTTAACAAAGACTGGGAACTCCTGCTTCGACTCTTGCGGTAGCGACGGCTGGATCGAATTTGTCACAGAGCTTTTCCCTTCGAATATGCAATACATAAGCTTCCCAAGACCAAAAACTTCTGCGGCCTCTTGTTCTTCAGCTGTCATCGAGATCCAGGGTACGTTATAGCCATCGGGTGGGTTGCTGTACAGCTTCTCCGTAATGGAGAACTGACTTCCAGTCATGTCGTACCAGAGGCCTTCATATCGCTTTTTGAAAGCGTGGTCCTCAACAACGTTCAGGATCGAGCGAAGTCTTTCGATGTAAATGACCTCTGGTGCTGTCCAAGCATTCGATGCGCCGCGTTGTTCGAAGTCAATAAGCAACACATCTCGTTTTCCGCTCCTTTGTCTCCCAAGTAAGATGTTCTCGGTCTTGATATCAGAGTAGAACGTTTTGCATTGATGTTGCACATGAATCAGAGCTTCCGTGACCTGCCTTGCCCAGCGAATGCGTTCGATTTGGCGGTCGATTGGCCTGTTGCCCTCCATGTGCTCTAGAGGAAGAGTGTTGGAGAGAGAACCGTCCTGGTGGAATTCAAGCAGAAACCCAATGACCACCGTTCTTCCGGAGATGTCTTCCATTGATACAACGGTGTTTGGGCGAGCGATTATGTTGGGATGTGGGACCATTGATAGAAGGCTCCTGAGCTCATGGTAAACATATCGCAAGGATTCGGTATCCGATTTCAGCACCCATAATTGACCGGAATCCCTTGTGTTCTTCACGATGCTGACTTTGTCGTTTATATGGTAGACAAGCTCCAGATCCTTCAGCTGAAGCGACTGTGGAAAGACTCCGGCTGGAAATTGCCACATTGTTTGCAATTCCTCCGCAGTCAGCGCGTGCTTCGCGAATTCGTTTGGTTGGATGGATATCTTCATGTCATTGATATTCGATTCGATGTTGTGGACAATGATTGTCGAACCAAATTCCAGTGTCTTGGGAAATTCGTTAGGTTTGTCCAGCCTTGAAGTCCAAGCGTTCAATGCGCGGACTACATGAATGGAAATGCCAAGGTCTGGTGATCGACGGTCGTTGACATGGACGCTCCGATGGGATTGCAGAACTGTTCTTAGGCGCTTGGGGTGTAGAGATTGGTCGGGGAGGAGTACGTCAATCCGTATTGGAGGACCGTGCGCCACCACCAAGGGAACGACGGAAGCTTTCAAGCCCCCATCTGAAAGCGCATCAACTCTCCAGAAAGACTCCGCTGGCATCTCAAGACTATCGATGCGATTCTGTGGGTTCAGGGTTGATGTCTCCCAACTCGCTATCTCTGGCTCATCGTCATTTTGACCTGGTTGCCAATTGCCTGAGCGAGAAAGCAGTGTGCTGATGTCTTTGTAGGCTCCTGATGGTCTTGCGTACTGCTTGTGGGAGCTTGCAGTGAGATCCATGTTGAGGAGTTGTTTAGCGGGAATGCAAAAACTTGGGGAAGGGTGTGGGATGGGGGAGAGTGCCTTTAAATATTAGAGCCTTTCACTTCCATTATGTCTCGTGCCAAATTGTGGGACGACAAGTCACCGTGCATATCCACTTACAGTTAAATGAGTAAGATGACGAAATGAGTGCTTCTATTAAATGTCTGGGACTGGTCAAATATCCCTGTCCATCCAACTCTGAATCAAGCCTTCCTTAGTTGGGGGATAGTCCTTCACGTGTACCTTGTTACCATCCATAAATGTGTTGCTCCTGATGTAGAGAGGCCTCGTCTGTTTCTCTTCAACCATGGCTGACCTCCAATTCAAATGCTCGTCCTCTACTGCCGTCAACTCTTCATAGAGCTTTGTTCCACTTTCCACATCCGCAATAGATCTATAAATGTGCAACGAGAGTATCAAGCTCTCCAAAGCCACTCTTCCCACATTTTCAAGCTTTGACCTATCAAGGTGGATTGTCAGGCTTGGTCTGGGAGAGGCTTGGTACTCAATTTTCAGAAACCCCTGCCCAGCGCGGATGAAACACTTTACCATTCCAAATCGTGCCTAGAAAAGTTAGTATTATATGCATTCGATTGGTTTCTAACTTACTCTGGCATGGGCTTGGTTCCATTTCTATTTCCTCGGTTAGCCAGGTTCTTATATTAGAGAAATAGCTTTATAACATACATTGGATTCCGGATCAAATGTCAAGAGGCCCTCGATCCCCATGTTGACAATCAGAAGATACGCATTGTAGATGACTTTTAGGGGTTAATAACCACTCTATTAAAATTCCTTATGGTTCACCATTACTTACGATCAGCAGTTTTGACATCCGTGTGTGGCCCAATGATACCGAGATCGATGAGTAGATCCTCTTCGGACATCAAGTAGAGCCCAACAGACTCGGCGAAACATTCATTGTAGCTGGGGTATATGCCTCCAAAGACCGATTTTGGATTTTGACCTGGCTTATACCAAGTGGATACTTGTTTACCAGTGAGAGGATTTGTTGGAGGGAATTTGGAGTCGAAATTGAAAACTGAATCTTCAACCTCGGATAGATACTTGCCGCAGCCATGTCCGAACAGTTCATGGATCGCAAGTATCGTATTGAAAGAGATCATCCTCAGGCGGACGTACTCACTGACTTCGTTGGACTTGACAAATGGGAATTTTGCCAACGGGTTGACGGCGTTAGCTCTGTTTGTCATCGTGAAGTGTTTCTTTCCGTATCTTTGTTTCACGTCACGATACTGTTGAATTATTAGCTTGATTGAATTGTTCTTCGGCGTTTAATAACTTACCTGTGGGCCGCTTACGCCTGTCCACATATTCGCCGAGCTCCAGGTGAAGACTATGATGCAATGAGTATCTACTCTCATTGTGTAAAGTTGAACACTCACTCTCTAGCCCAACGAAGTCAGGCCGATGGAATTCCGAATTTTCGAACCCTCCTGGTTGCCCTTGTGAGGCACCGCCAGTTTCACCGGTCCAGGGAAGCCGCAGAATGTACCTCATTGCCCGAGAAGCAGCCCTATCAAAAGCTTCGCTTTGAGACTTATCTTGGAGTCCTACCAAAGTCTCCCATGTGCAGCGCACTCCGATTGGATCACGGTAAGACTCAGTAAAGCCAATGATGGTTTCAACCGTCGGACTGCTATTCTGGACCCACCTGATACTTGCCTCCTTGTGACTTTCTATACTGCCAGTCTGGAAAGAGAGGATCGAGTGTTCAAGATATTCGCGTTGGAGGCCGTCAGTAGCATGCTGCTTCGCCAATTCTAGGCTATCGCAGACTTTCTTCAAGTGGACAGAGTAATCACCGTAGACGAGGTGAATAGTGCCAACTCGATCCGGAAGCGAGAGCACAGTTGTTGTCCCTTCTGGAGAGGTCTTGTTGACAGAGGCAACCAAAACCTCAAAAACGGCACCGCCGTTCGTGCCCGAGAGTTTTTTGAGCCGGGTGTTCTGCAGGGACATTCCCTGACCAAGCAAAGCCTCTTGTACAGTCTTGATCTCGTTCTCCGTAATGCTTGGGGAGTCTGGGTAAAATGCACTCATTGCATTATCCGATGGGAACCCCAACCTTGAGGGTATCGGTCCGTAAATGGCGTCCTTCAACTGACAGAACAGCTCTTGAGTGCGTTCGGAAACGGAACAGAGTTGTTCAAAATCGCGGGTTGCAATGCGCGGGAGGATTTTTGTATCGCCATAGCCCTACGTCGAGTCAGATACATGTGGATCAACTGTTGTTGGATACTGACTCGATAATTCCCGACACTGTCTAGGAACGTGGACGCGTATTCGAGGAATGGTTTCAACGCCGCTTCACCAAGTCCGGCTGAGACCGCTAGACTTTCCCAATCTCCGCCACAGAAGTTTGCAAGTGCAGCAATGAGGTCAAAGATGGCTTCAGATTCAGGGGAGACTTGATTCATGATGATTCGGGCGCCATGATGCGCAGCCCTGGGAGATTATCAATAACAGCTCATGGTCACGTGTGAGTTTACTCACTGGCTCATGTAATGAGCATACAACTTCTCACGATCATCCAATTGCCGAAATGCATGATGCGCGTACAGGAGAAGTATTGGCGGATCAGTATCGGCCAAGAGCTCTTTGGCTGACATGATAATGACAAGAGTTCTGGAGAGGTATTCGAAGGCAGGAAAGGTTGGTGTGTTGTTGGCGAAGATTGCGAGGTATTAAACGGGAACCATGCGCTAGATCACTCTCGGCCTCGCCTGGCGGATGATAAAAGCGGCAGGAGAAATAGAGAAGCCCTTATGCATGAGACATCTCGCCCAAGCGCCCTCAGCTGTTGCCTAGATAAACCACTGAATTCGTTCGTGGCTGCATGAAATGGAACGAGCCACGGTGCCATCACGCGGTAGGATGGCTGCAATGCAAGGCTACGTTGTTGTTTCTCAACTGAATTAGTTCCCGGTGAACGAGGCTGCATACGATGGACATAGCCGGGGTGGCGCCACGCGCCGGATGAGTGCGGTGCAATGATACGTAGTTGTTGGTCGGCTGAAGTGGGGAGCGAATGCGGGGCAAGTAGGCAGTGCTCTCAGAAGAAGCCTTGGCCGTTGCACAAGCTGATTGCATTCCAAACACCACCATTTAGAATTCAGGTTGCTACATGATAAAGGGAGGCCTGATTAGCCATTCCACTCAGGATGCCTGCCTTGCAGCGCCCTGCAACTTCGCCCGGCTAGAGTGAGAGATGTGGAAATCCTCGATCGTGAGGAAATGTCATGGGTTGCGGTAGGGCGCTCTCCGACCACAGAGGAAGAGGCCTTGCTTCATTGATTATCTGAAAAATGTCATGTGATCCTCAGAACCATTAAGATTCTGAAAAGATAAATACGCAACCGACTCCTCGCATAAGCTTCAGCAATTGCACTTCTCACTACTCATCCCGCAATTTGAAATCCCACTTTGTGAAATCTTTTCTTCCGATGTCTCCCACCACGAAGAATACCAACATCATCAGCACAGAAGCTCCTGACGAGCCACTGACTGACGATGAGTCTTCTAACTCTCATGTCGATACTGACTCTGCCGGAGATATCACCGCCGATGTCTTGAAGCGCAGGCGTCTTCAGAAGGCTCAGCCTTGGAAAGCCAGCTACCGTCCCCACGAGGCTGATATGCCGAAAACCTCGAGCATTCTCGATGTTCCCTGGTACAACATCGACACCACTCCTGAAGCCTACGATACAAACTCTGGTTCCTAAATTCGTCTCATCCGTGAGTAATCAGCTCATGTTCTGCTTTTATTACAAACCAAAATAACAAATGCAAACATTAGCTGTCGTCACGACCACTTGGATCGAGGTGTATCATGGAGGGGATGAGTGTTAGGATTGGTTTAGTTACGAGATATTTACCATTAGGAGAGAAGCAAATTGAAACACTTCGTATGAAATCATATTTCCAGGTATCCGCTGTTTTAATCTAAAATATTATGATCTTAACTACCACGTTGGTATCCATACAAATTGCCTATTATATACTAACCTAGCTGTAGCTATTATAATCTAGAAAAGTAGCGGCGCCTTTTCTTTGCGCCGTTGAGCGCGATTTCTATTACCACGGTGATAAAATTCATCGTAAATTCTATCGTTGTAACTTTAATGACTGTATTTTGTTGTGCCTTTTATTACCGCACTCCTAACCACACACTCTCTTTCCCTTATTTTACTTCACTCATAGTTACACTTGTTACTGCACTTGCTGCTGTACCTCTGCTATACTAAGTGGCACACCTAAAGCCGCAATATCTATCGCTAGGGATTTTGCGTAGGCGATGGTAAGTTAGATGGCATATATAAAGGTCAAAGTTAAGTAAGCGATGGAAGTATATAAATTGTATTCTTAAGAAATAGTACGGCCTATATATGCCACGGTTAGGTAGCGTGATAGCGACAATCATTCCTTGCCAGTGAAAACTGCCATTTTCAGCTCAATGCTCTCTCTCTTTCTCCCGTTCTCTGCGTAGCATGAAGTATGCTCAAATCCACAATGAGGGACACCTTATATAGTTAGTTATTTTCTTGCTTCCAAAAAGTTTTATTAAATGTGATATCTCACGAATGCTTTTTTGCGAATCATAGTTCGTAATGAGGAGCACTTCGTCCGCTTCTTGATTCCCTAGGTAAAACCACTTGTGGGATTTGTCATATGTCGTACAGTAAGATTCGCTGGCGATGTCTGGGTAAACAGTATCTGTAGGAATCAGGTTATCCTTTGATACAGTCCGAGAGTCGCAGACAGCCAAAGGATAATCCTTGATTGGACCAAACAAGGGCCGCCAGATGCTGTGTAGGTTACTAGAATGAACAAAAACGTATTTAAAAGAAGTCGAACCTGAGGTAGCGATACCGTTTTTCGCAGAGCATCTGAGAACTTTCAGGATGCCGATGCAGAAGCCTTTTCTCCGCGCCCTCGGGCGAGACATCTGGAACAGTAAGTTTTTGCACATATACATACACTCAAGCATGTTCGATAGACACATACCTACATGGACAAAGTTGCTGGGAGGTCGGATAGAAGGATCGTTTGGATCCATGGTTCTCTTCCGAATCTGAAGAGAAAAAAAATTGATATATCAGCCACAGTAAGCAATGTCGACATGATGAAAGCATACCATGTACTCCAGAGTGAAGATGCAATCTGCTGACAAGAGGTCTTTCACGAAAACTTCCATTTCCTTGACGTAGCTAGCAATGCTGGCATGGCTTTCGAACCTTTCTGAAGTAGCATGATGGACCCATTGGAACCCACATGTTTCAATGGTCGGCGTCCATGTTAGACCTCGGACGTCTGTGATCTCGACATCGTATGATGCCAGCTTGATGTTGCTTCTGGGCTGACCTGGGGCTCGTCTTCCCTTGATCTCGAAAGGCTTTACATAGTCCCAGTCTTCAGACTCGGCTAGGTAGCCTAACAAAGCTTTGATGGGGCTGCTCATGAATGCTCTTTGGAGAATTTGGACCCAGTGATTGCAAAGAACCTGAGAAGCCTTTTCGGAGAACGCGAATAGCCTAAGAACAAGTGCACAACAAAGAGATAGCGGCTGAACGCCTACTTGCTGGTGGGAGAAGGGAGAAAATGCGGGTTTCAGCTCATCAGGAATCCTCTGCATGACCGGTCGGGCCATCCAGTTGGCGAGATCGCCAAAGGACAGGCTGAACAAAATGTGACTTCGGTTATGCAAGGCTGGAACGCCTCAATGCATGCCTCATCACCAATATGCACACACGTGGCCCTAGAAAGACTCACCTTTTTGTAAACATGGCTTGCAGCCATGCAGTCATCACGAGGTGTGTTGGATGCAGCCGATGCGTAGCCCGGGAAGACTTTCCCGGTTTTCTTTCACATGTAACATGAGAAACGAAACGTTGCATCCTGATAGTAATGCAGCTGATCATACTCGAAGAGGGGAACATTCATTTTAGGAAGGTCTAGAATCTCGCATGAGGGGAGGGAAGCTCGACTGTCGGCTCGATGACAGGCCGGATTTGGGATCTGACATTCCTCGCTTGCTCCCAAGCATATGCGGCAGCAATTAGCCGCCCGTCATCATACCGCCGACCCACAAATTGGAGGCCAAACCTGATAGTGTTAGCATCGTGCCCAGGCTGAGATGTGTACGTCATAGTGGTGGTTACATACGGAATATTTGGGCCAGAAGACACAAGTCCATTAGATCTCCTCTTAACGGGGTAGTCAGATGGGTAGGAGCCTAAAGGCACAGATATACACGGACAGCCACCAACATTCGAAGTTGTCTCTGTGGCGCCCGTAACGAGTATGAGATCACAGTCATAGCGATCCAAGAGTTCGGGTATCTGTCCTCCCATCCTATTCCGTCGGCGTAGAGACTCTTTGAACTCATCCGATGATTCGTCGTATCGCGAACCAACTCTTTCGGCCGCCAACCATTCGGTCATGCCGAACTCTTCGTTTCGTTCCTCAGGAGTAATTCTGGTATACTCGATCAGATCGGCCAGAGAGTAGATTTGTTTTGGGTTTTCCGAGAAAGTCCGGAGGAATGCTTCCATATCTGCATCTTGGGTTAGCAGCTGGCGTCCTTTAAGACCGAGTATTTCTACGCACTTTTCCGTATAGCGACGCGGAATGCAAGTTTCCAGCCTTCTTTGTCGGTCTTGCTATACTTCGGATTCCATTCTGAAAACTCGACGTTATCGACAATTGTGGCCCCTAGGGTTTCCAAAATCTTCAAGGCTTCATTGAAACTCCCAGTAACCACGTCATCATCGGACATGACATGCCGTGGAACCTACAACAGGAGTTAAGACTATTTCTTAAGTATGTGTATAACAGCCTTACCGCTATTCTTAGCCCTTTTAGGCCGTCGTCCATGCAAAAGCGGGTGAAATCCGTGCCTTCATCTGGTCTGGCTGGGTGCCCATGATCACGAGGGTCGGCGAACGTGAATGTGTCATTTTCATCGACACCTGACAGAAAGTGGGTCAGAACTCGAATAGAACACTGAAGCTGAGACTCACCAGCGATGGCGCTGAGCACTAGCGCTGCATCTTTGACATTTTGTGCAAGTACACCAGCGCTGTCTTGCCATTCACTGACACAGTACACTCCATATCTCGAGGTCAGCCCGACAGTCGGCTTCAAGCCGACAACAGCGCTTCTGGATGCTGGATTGGTGATGCTGCCTGCAGTCTTTCGAAATGGTAAGTGGGGAACAATTCCTTGGCTTATTCGGTAGATCTCACCTCGGTTCCCAAGGCAGCGGAAGCAAGACCGATTGCCGCTGCAACTGCGCTACCACTGGACGACCCTGAGGCATATTGGTTGTGGTGGAATACCCCAATGCATTGTCCTCCGACTGAAGACCAGCCGCCCGAGGCCTGTGATGGAGAACGGTAGTTGGCCCATTGCGTAGGCACGGTTTTCCCGAGAATGATTGCCCCGCTTTCGCGGAGCTTCTTGACAACCGTGGCCTCGAGCGCGCTCTTCGCACCAAGCAGGCCACTGCAACCAACTGAAAGCGTGCAATTAGTGCCATAGTATAAAACGATGATTCAGGAGCCCCTACCCGTGGTCCTTAGCTTGTCTGTTGTTGAGAAGATGTCCTTCAGCAGGACTGGAACACCATGTAGGACTCCTCGGTCGCGTCCGTCCGCACGCTCATCATCGCGCTCCTGTGCGATCGCTATCGCCTCTGGGTTGATTTCGCTTATAGCTCGAATCTCAGGATTGACTTGGTTGATGCGCGCAATGTAGGTCTGTCAGGCGTTGCAAACGGTTAGCAAAGCGGCCTGGTCCCAGAATCTGGCGCCTGCTCACCTCAACGACATCCACACTAGTAAATCGGCCATACTTGAGGCCATCGGCTATGTCAGCTATCGATGTCTGCTGTAGCCTGATGGGAGGCGCTGGCCTGCTCTTCTGAGAGCCCATTCTTGTGATTTCGCTCCGCGACCGCAGTTGGTGCAGACCCAAAGAGAGAAGAACGACAGTTCCGGCGAACAGTAAAGGTCGCCAGTGTTCCCTGAAGACGTTTGAACTCATTGGCTTCCGTAGCCAGGATGGAGAAGCCCGAGCCTTCGCATTTCACTTCGATGAGACGGTTGACGGGCGGCAAGAATTTTGCGTCCCCTCAAAGTTACACGAGGTTTCTTGGTCAGAGGGCCGCGGGGCAGCGGTAAACTGGTTGTCAATCACTGTAGCAGAGCTCATCTGTCGCACAGCCTGCTCAACAAATTCTCCTCAGCGGCTGGACGCGGATAGCCGCCTTGGCACACGGATAAGGACAGCTGCAACTTCAGCCGAAGGCAAACACGTATGTACGGTTGCCTGTTGCCTACAGCATGATTATCGCGACGCGACTTCAGCCACCAGACGCGTGGCGTGCGTCTAAGGCTCGGCAACGATAATTGACCATGTTGCTTACACCTCGCCGCTTTAATAGTGTGTATTGTTACTGCTATTGGATAAAGGGCGGATTCAGCTATCACATATGGCGATGAACCATTTCCCCCGTCTTCCTCTCTTATTTTCCCCCTTGCAGCTGCGCACGGAAGCACTCGCACAACAGCAAGATACAACATCATGAACAAAGCGAGAAAAAATGGCAACCAACGAAAACCTAACTGTAAGTGTGCGACGCAGTGAACAAAGTATGGTTAAAAGTCAAATTATTAACTTCCAAGGAAGGATCCCCGCGGATTGACGATTCTTTGGCCATCAGACTACAGCTCGCAGCAGGAGAATCCAAACATTACTCTTGAGCAAGTTGTAGAATACTCGTATACAAACACAGCTAACGTCTTTAGTGTGATTGCGATCCATGGTCTCAATGGTGGTGCCTTGCGAACATGGACGGCTGATAACACCTGCTGCTGGCTCACGGATCTACTTCCAACACACCTTCCGAATGCCCGTATCATGACTTTCGGATACAACGCAAACCTATTTAGCGACTGTGCTACAGGAAGGCTCACAACCTTTGCCAACAACCTGATCTCGGGACTTGAGATGAAGCGAAGAAAACCATGGGTAATGACACTGCATCAGATCCAATTCTTATGCTCATGTTCACTGCAGGAAAAAGCGCGGCCTTGCCTTTACATTTGCCATAGTATGGGAGGTATCGTGCTGAAACAGGTGCGTTGGAAGACTCTTTGTAGTAACGTTTAACTGAGACTCTGATTACCTAGGCATTGATTACCGCCACCCTGCGGAACAATTCGGACGTGCTCATGAGGTCCAATGCGGGCATAGTCTTTCTAGCGACTCCTCATCGCGGGAGTGCCTCGGCTCAGTTAGCTGACATGGGAAGCAAAATAGCCAAAGCGTTCAAGCTCGGATCTGCTTCCACACTGTCAGCAAGTCAGATCAAGGGATTTTCAGACAGCGTGATGGATATTCACGAGAGTTTCATCCACCTCCCGACCGCATTCAATATCTGGAGTTTCTTTGAACTAAAAGGGAAACCTGGCCTGGGAGTTGTAAGTAGGCTTATTGAGAAGGACACGCATATTGCTAATAGCACTGCAGATTGTTCCAGACTACTCGGCGAAAATGGAAGTCCAATGGGAGAAGCACACAATAGGTCTGGATCTGCATCATGTGGAGATGTGCAGATTTGAGAGGGAAGATAACAACTTTGAGATGGTCCGCGATTGCTTGGACATGCTAGCTGAAGAAATCGTGGCACAAAACCGAGGTTAATCTCCTTAGCTATTCAATACATCTGTATCTCCATGCACTGACTTCGTCTTACAAGACAACCTTGTGGCCTCTCGACGTGAAAGATCGACCAAGATATCGACATCGCACCCTTCTTTGGACTCAAGTTGGAACTACGATGCTCAACTCGAATGTTCGCAACAGCAATACCCAAACATCGTTACATCGAACAACACCATTGAGTCGAACAACACCATTGGGTCGAACAACACCACTGGGTCGAACAATGCCTTTGCCCCAAGCAACAATTTCACGGCAAACATCATAATTCAAGGACCAGGTACCAATGATTCGCAGCCGGGAAGAGCTTCTCATCGAAGCGAATCGTATTCAACACAACCGAAGAAGATAATCACCAATGAATTGCCCGCGTTTGTTGATTCAAGCTTCCAGGGTCGAGGTATGTCCGCTTTCCCCAAGCATTACGTTCTCTGACAGGTTGTAGAACAGATATTGACGAGAATTGAGCAACACTTCCATGAGAGCTTCGATCACACACCAGCTTTTGGTCTTTACGGCCAAGGAGGTGTCGGAAAAACACAGATCGCATTGAAATATGCGCACAGCCACTACCTCGATTTCGATGCAATTTTTTGGATGTATGCCGATACTGCCGAGAAATTGAAGACCGAGTGTGACAAGATAGTAGCTCGGCTCTATCCCGGGCTCCCGGCGACCCCAGACGGCAGCAGGGCAAAGTTCAAGGAGTATTTGCAAGACCAATCAAGATGGTTGCTTATACTGGACAACGCCGATGACCTGGAGTACGTCAAGCCCTACTGGCCAGCTCGGATCGGAGGAGGCGGCAGCATCATTCTCACGTCCAGGAATCCTGAAGCGTCTGGGTCACCTCTGACTGCGAGTGAGAAGGTTGAATGTCTACCACAAGAGGCGGCGGCAGACTTCTTGCTCTTCCAAGGTCCAAAATTCAGGTCAGAGTCCAGAAGCTTAACGCTCAAGGTAGCTGAGAGAGTTGGAGGACTCCCTCTTGCTCTTTGCCATGTAGCGAGCTTTGTTGAAGAGAACTTCATCAGCTGTTCTGAACTTCTCGAAATGTGGGAGTCGCACGAAGATGAGGAGTTCATCATGGAGCATAACGCTGTTGGGGCACTGTTCGGTTATGAGAAGACGCTCAAAACCGTGTGGGACGTGTCGTTGAACAAACTCAGGGAGTCCGCTCCTGACGCCATAGACCTCTTGGACATCTTGGCGCTTCTTGATCCGAACGGCATTTCGATCCAAATCTTGATGCACTTCCGGAAGCCTCCAGCAAAAAAGATGTGCCGATGCATTTCGGAGCGACCGTCCCATCTCTCATCCCGTGCAAGACTCCGTCGTTTGGGTCTCATTGACTTTGACGAGTCGCGGTCAACCGGAGGCCAGGAACAAGTCATCATGATCCACCGTCTTGTTCAAGATGCGGCAAAAAGACGCTGGAATGATTCAGAAAGACAGCGAGCTTTTGAATGCGCCTGCTACTGCATGTCTGAGGTTTTCCCTCGCCAAATCAAAGGCCAATCCATGATTGATTTCTACCCTGCTTGTGGAAATCACAGCGCGCACATTCTCCGATTGGACCAGTATTTTCAGGATAATCATGAGCAGCTAAAGCCCAGCATTGCCTTCGCTGAGGCTCTAGCTCATTGCGGCTGGTATTTCTACGAGCGAGATCAGATTTTGACTGCCAAACGAGTTCTGGAGACAGCCGAGAAGATATGTCTGGATCTGACGCCGCCTTACAACTTGATCCTGGGACTTGTGTACAACAACATGGGAGCCATCTACGTGGACCTCAGGAAACGCGAGCAAGGCGCAGAATACACGTTCAAGGCCATTCAGAATCGAGAAGCCTGCTTGTCAAGAGACGATCCAAACATTCAGGAGCTGGCAACTTCATACAGCAACTATGCAAACCACATCCGAAAACTTGGATCGAGAGACCGCGCACGGGAATACTACTTTAAGGGCCTTGAGATTCGGGAGAATTGCCCGGGTTGCACGCCGGCACTTCTCGAATTGACTCTGCACAACATCGCAAATTTCTACTACGAGAACGGTGAAATGCAAACTGCTTGCAGGTACATGGAGCGGGCATTGTCACAGCATCCGTTGTGTGGCCGAACCACCAATTACATGCTCAACACGCGCTACGCGCACGGTATGATCCAGCGTGCTTTAGGAGATATTCCAGCAGCATACCAAACCCACAAGGATTGCTTGGAGGAGTCCATCATCATCGGAGGGAAGAACCACACGATGACAGCAGTTTCATACCACCGTGTAGGTTGTCTTGCATATCAGCTCGGTCGTGTATCTGAATGTATCTCACATTTGCGAGAGGCTCTGGCGATTCTGAGACGTGCGGATGAAGTTGTCTTGGGACCGCTTGCACGAACAACATTGGAGCTCGGAAGAAAACTGCTAGCTGTTGGGAAAGACACGAATGATGATGATTTGGTTGCAGAGGGACAGAAGTTGATTAAAGAGGGAAAGAAGCTAGTAACACGCATCGAGGGCTCAGATTATAAGTTGGACGTTGACGGAGACCTTGACTGGCTTGTAAGGGCTTCCTATCGCTAGGCCGAACGTTGTTTCTTTAAGTATATCTTCTACCTTAAATAAGTATTTTTAAGTGCGAAGAGACGCCGATAAGATTCTATATTTTTAATAGGGCGATCACCCGGCTGTTGTAGATATTATAAGGGCTCGTATGTTGTCACGGCTCGGACCTCCGGTCCTCCCAGGGGACCGTCACTCACGTGATCTCACGTGACCTTATTGCTCATAGTCTTTCACTCATAGGTTTGCTTCGCAACCCGTACAACCTCTTGATAGTAATCCGACTTCTTGCTTAAACCCGCTTTGGGCCGTATTAATGTAGTCCTAGAAAGAAGTTATAACGTTTGCTGTTGCTGTCTCGATCGGGTAATCAACTTGGTGTTGAACTTCTTAGCCAATAACAGTATACTATAACACTGGTGGTATCTATCGAGCGAAACGACTACGCAAATAAAGAGAAAGTATATCGCAGACTAAAAACCTACGCCCGAGAGCAACGATATCTCTTACGTACCCAACGACGAAGCATACGTATAGCAGCACCTACACGATTGCCGCCGATAGACCATCAACCTAATCGAAACCCAATTGCCTACTACCTGCTGAGTGGAACCAAAGAATCCACCTCACATTGCCGCTTCCATCAAAATAGAGTTAGATAGGTCGGAATCCCTCGAGGACGGGTGGCCCATGCGGCGCAAGAAGGACCGCATGGCACCTAGCTGGCAGTGCATGAAGCCCAAGTTCCGATCATGTAGTCGATCGTAGCTCATAAAATCGCGAGAGCTAGGCAGGTCGAGCATTTGCAGACGCATACAATTGCGATTCGCAAGTACTGCAACGGAGTGGGGACTGTCGAAGCTCGTGATCCAGGCATTTTCCGAATCGATGCTCGAGCTACCCACTCAAGACCGCTGTAACGGTTGCAAATACAGACGAGACAACCTCGTGGAGTCTGTGGTAGGTCTTCGTCACCTGCCTTCGTAGTCGCTGACTGTCTGCTCCCATCCGCCGTTCTCATCAAACATCTCGCCGCCTGAGCTTGCGTCAAAGCTGCTCCGCCCACTGATTGCATCATCCTCGACAAGGTCGTCGTTGCCGTTTGTTGGAGGCAACGACTCCCACTGAATGCCTGCAAGAGCGGGATATTGCTGCAGCAGCGCTTGTGGAAGTCCAAAACTCATACCGCCCATACCAGGATTGAAATTGGCCGTGGGCTGTTGCTGTACGAACGGATTGAATTGCGAGCCCTGCGGGTGCTGGGGCATCATCATGCTTAACCCTTGGGATTGCCCTCCGAGAGGGTCGAGTTGCTCCATTGACTGCGACGTCTGTTGCTGCGGCGGACTGGACATGCCTGGGAGATCCCAACCCTTCTCGGCTGCTTCTTCCTCTAGCAAAGGACGAATACACACACGGCCCGCTTCGCTCCTAAAGTGTCGACCTAAAGCATCTGCACGCGCAAACCGGCGACCGCAACCCCAGCCATTGCTATCTTTCAAGACGCCGCGGCAAACAAACTTCTTCTCGCCGCTATGCAAACCCTCGTGACGCTTACGGTCATGCTGGCGGGCAAAAGCCTTACCGCAGACGCTGCAGACGAAAGGCCGCTCGTCTGTATGTGTGCGAAGATGGGAGCGTAAATTGTAAGCACGCGTGAAACGCTTGGGACAAAGGCTACATTGAAAGGTTGCGGGGTGTTTCTGGGTACGCTTCGAGCCACCGGGGCTAGGGGTGATGAGTTGATCGGAAGCAGCGCCAGGGCTAGATGCGGCAGAGGAAGGGTTGTTCGGATTGGGGCGATTTGGATCAGCGAGGCCAAGCATGTAGTCGCGATGGGGGATGCTCGACGTCGAAGACCGGCGCGAAGCCCGATTCAGACCATGCGGAGAGGACGAGCGCGAGGTCGGGAGTTTGGCAGCGTTGGGGTGCAGCGATGAGGCCGGATCAGACGTGTTGCCGCTGGCTGGCGTCGATGCGCGCGTACTGGCGCCGCTGAATGGATCGGACCTTGCACGCATGCGGTTGCGTGACAGACTCCTGTTCGGCGGGCTCAGTGCATTCTCAGAGCCCTCGGGCTTCGGGGGCTCGAAGCTTTGCTGCCTCGAAGGCGGGGCGAAGTCAATGTTGATCTCTGGCGGGGACATCTGGTCCGATGCGCCGTACTCTTGGTTTAGTGCCGGAAAAGGTTCCTGGCCGCTTCCAGGAAACATGTCCATACCCGACTGATTGGCTGGTTGGTTGCTCGCTACGGGAATGAGGCCGTAATTGTTGGATGCGGTGAATGGAGGGAGGTTCTGCTGCTGAGGGGCGAGACGGGGAGAAATGTGTGGGCTGTGTCCCGGTGTGATGCCGGCCTGGCTCGGATTGTCAGACAATGAAAATTGGCCAAAGTTCATGACCTCCTGGAACATGGAGTTATCTTGCTGCGCGCCGAGCAAAGGCGATGGGTTCTCGTGATCAAAGCTGTCATTGTTCCCTAAATACGGCGAGGGGTGATTCGAGGACACGTCCGAGTACGTGTCCGAAGGCGCTCGGCGGTGACCTCTGAAGGCCATGCCGTTCCAATCGCCACCGTGGCCGTACGCCGTGCTGGGGTCCAGCGACTGCTGTCTGGAGTGACCCGCCGAATGGAAGCTACCCTGATTCATGTTTGGGGAGGCGTGAGGGCTCGTGCTGGCATGGCGCGACAGGTCGGCCTGCAGGAGGTGGGGCGGGGTGGGGGAATGCGCGGTGGTAGACATCTGGTGGCTCATGAGATTGGTAGGATCAATGGACTGCTCTTGAAGCTGCGGATCGAGGAAGATTGACGGGTCGATGGACGAGCCCTGGTTGCCGGCGCCGCTCGTGAGGAACTGGGCGTCAAAGGCCTGGGAATCCGCAGCGGTGGTGTTCTGGGCGAAGAGGTCCTGAGAGTAGAGGTTGCTGCCTTGGGCGCCGAACTGGGGGCTGGGGTGGTTGGAGGGCAGGCCCTGGCCGTGCAGGTAGGCGCCGTTGGCAATGTCGGGCTGGCTGGCGAATTGCTGCTGGTGGGTGGGCGACAGGTAGCCCTGGGCTGTGTTGGAGGAGTCGAAGGTGGGCGCGAAGGCGCTGCTGTCGGGGGTCAGCGAGCTGGCATCGAGACCGAGACCGGCGAGATTCTGGTAGCTCTGATGGGGCGACGGAGAGGCATGCGGGCTTATATGAGGCTGATGGCCCTGCGAGGGCGAGCGGTCGCGGCGCGCGTTGTCCATGATGTCGGTGTTTCTTTTCCTGGAGTCTGGCACGCGCTCAGACCATGGGCTTCGGTGGGTGGAGGAGGCGGCTCTGGGGCGGCGGGAGCGGCGCTGCGCACAGCTGGACGCGAGCTTACGCGCGGCGGGGTGCGGAGATGATCGCGGGCAGGCGAGCGGGCAGAGGGTGAGGATGGCCTTGCGACTCAGCCTGGGGGCGCAGCAGCTGCGGTGGGCGGCGGGTGTTGGTGACTGGCGGCGACGCGATATAAGCGGTCGGTCCAAGGCCGCTAGGGTAGGATGCACAAGCTTCGGGGCACCCAAAATAGGAGCGAGAAGCGCGGGCGTGCAAGTCGGCGGCGCGCGGTTGCAGAAGCAGCGCAGGCGTCGCTGCGGAGGGCAGAAGGCGTGGAACGGCGGCCTGTTGGGCTTTGGGCGTGGGGGCTGGAGCGTAAGATATGCGTGCTGTGGGTTGTAATTAAGCCGAGTCGGTGTGCCACGCAGCTGATTGAGCGCTGGCAGGCGGCGCGCGCAGATCTCTATGTAGCTTTGAGCCCGCAGGCCGTGGTGTCGTTGTTGTGCTTCAGAGATAGAGTGCGCTGCGATAGGGACCGACAAGCCAGCGTCTGGCTCCGCCTCGCGACAGCGATGCGGCGGAGTGCACGGTACGCAATGCTGCAGCCCGCGGGCTCCTCGCACTGCCACAGCGCAATTCGGCCAAGGCGCTCTCAAGGCTGATTTCCACGCTCGCTCCCGCCCCGCCCACTCACAGCGCGCCCGCCGCTCGCCCGCCACCGCCAGCGCTTCCATCGCGCGGGAGCGTTTCGGGCTATTCTTAGCACCACAGCCCTGAGTCTACGCAATGCTCTGTCATTTCTGTCTCGTTTCAGCTTTGCTGCCCCGCGTCCGGCACGTGCGCACGGTACACAACCCTATCGCTACTGTACACCACCACCTCCTCCCTCACGCAAACTTCATGCCCTTTGACGGATCCCACCGCGCGTCCGTCGTCTGCACCGGCTTGCCCTCCCCGTCCTGCGCCGCCCCGAAGCGAATGGGCATGTCCGGCGTCCACATCCCATTTGTAGGGCCCATGGCAACCGATGCTCGCGTCGGCGTCGGCGCCGGTATTGCCGGTTGGCCCGCGTGCACTGGCGCTGGGTACGGGCGGTTCTCTTGATCCGCCTGCCGCTGCTCCTGCAGCGCACTGGCTTGCTGCAGGTGCAGCGATGACATCGCCGTCGAGAGATCGCTGGCCGAGTCAGTCGGGGATCCACGTGGGCAGGCGCGAAGCTTACTTACTTCTCACACTGCGTAGCCTCCGCCCTTCTTTGATACGCAAAGTTCCGGCAGTCGTCCCTGAACCTCCCGCATATCTTGGCGAGGTCGTTGTAAAACTTGCGCCCTACGTCGAGGTTCGAGATGATTTCCTTGTACTTGAAGTATGCGTTCTCCAATTGCTGCAGTGCCTGCTCGCGCTGGCGCGTCGACGAATCTCCCCGCCGTGCCGAAACAAACGCTGCGTTTGCATCCTCGAGGCGTTTGGCGACGGCCTGTTGCTCCTGATCTTCTTCTGCGACCATTTCGTCATCGGCATCGTACTTGTGGAGACGCTGCTCGAAGAGACCCTCGAACTGCACCGCCTCAATGCTCTGCATCGGGTACTCCCGTTCGAGCCGAGCGGTTTCCTTGAGCAGCTCCGGGTCTGTAATCTCAATTAGCCTTCGCTTGCTGCGCCATCCTATCGACCAATCTTACTAATGTCATCTTGCCTAGCCTTCGCCTTCAGCGCCTCAATCTTGCGCTTTCTCCGGCTCTCCAGTCTGCTAACCTCGTTCAGGCAACCCCTGAGGTTGGTCGCCTCCCTTTCAACAGCCGCAGTCATGGTCACTCGTCGACTACTCGGAACGAACTGCTCCAAATCGTGGTCGGTGCCGGAGAGGAGTCGGATGTGGCTCTCGCTGTCCTTGATCTTACTCTGGACGATCTGGTCGCTGTTGGCTGCAGACTTCAAATAGCCGTCGATCTCGTTGACTTGAGCGTAGAGTTTAGGTGCTGCGTCAGCGGAGGACGGGCGGCTCCACCGGTCCGTCCCGTACTTCCTCCGAGCCCGCTCGTCTTCCGCCGCCTCCTGATGGAGGAGATCAACCCCTTCCTGATAGACTGCTCTGTCCTGTTCTTTGAGCTTTGCCGTCTCGTCAATGGAACGGTAAAGGCGGTCAAGGCCATCTTGCTGGCGGATTTCCTCTGCATGTGAAACAAGTCCTGGCGGTAGCCCCAGGGGCTTCTCCAGCGCCTGGAGAGACCCCGGGAGATTCAAGCTCTTAAGTACCCTAGCACATTGGATCAGCCTCTTAGTCATCATGGCTGGTTGCCATCTGTAGGACATACGCATGTATTCTTGCGGTGAGTTCTTCCAATTCGTCGATGGTCTTGGCTACCAATCGATCTCGACGGTCGGCATAAATGCTTGCAGCTATATGGACAGAGTATGGAACGAGCTTTGAGAACAGAGGTTTGCCGAGCTCTCCAGTTTCACCCAGCATGGACAATGGATCCGATACCTCTTTTGGTGTTTTTGCAGCCACCATCGTAGCCCTGTCCAATGTTTTCAGCTCAGGCTTCGGCGGAACAGGCTCTGTGCGATTGTCACGTCAGATATCAAGGCGGAAAATGCTGATGGGTGTGGAACATACGCAAGTAGATCATGTCGTTGTCCTTCTCGGCTCGTTTCAGGTCTTCTGTAACTCGATTCTTCAGGCCACTCAGGTCTCCCAACACTGTTCGGTTGATATAGCGAGCTTCTTTTAAGGCTTCGTTGGCACAGACCAGACTATCCCTAAGCCGAGCAACTTCTTCGCCAAATCTGCGCTTATCCAAACAGTCTCGAGCGGCTCTGTACTGTGCAGCCGCAGCGAAATGATGGTGCTTCGCACTCATGTGGTGGATCCACTCGCTGCTCACTGCATCCGACTTGATCCCCCAGTCGCTGGCATCGGAGTACAAGTCCGAGACCTTTGCGGCAAGCTTTGATATAGAGGCATCTTTCAGTCCGTCCTTCACGGCTTTCTGCCAAAAACACTCCTGCGCCTGAGCGAGCATGAGGTGTTCCAGGCTCTCCAGAGTCATGGCATCCATGTCCTCGGGCGGACTGGAGCGCATCTCTGGGATGACGTGGACCTTGAGGTGTGACAGGACGCCAGCGGCGAGGCAAAATTGGTTGCACGCCTGCTTGAGGCCGTCGGTTGTCGTCCTGTTCGTCGAGGTAGCCAGCTGCGAATACATGGCGGCCAAGTTGAACAACACATTTGCCAGCTCGAAGCGGATGTTGTTTTCTAGCACTGTTCGCAGCGGGTCAGCCTTGGGGCGCGGCGCGTGAGGGCATGCTCAGCATACCGGGCCGCTGGGTATTGTAGCCCAGAGCGGGAAACCAAGAGAAGTCGACGCCTATCTGCAACAGCGCTCGCGCTCGTCAGCCACTCGTCAGCGCAATGTGGCCGGCAGGACGTACATCGACGGGGAATTTTCCGCCGATCCACACCAGTTGGGCAGCGTACGCCTGCAGCTTGCGTATGCCGCTGTGGTGCGGCTCGACGGCATGGATGGCACCGGAGCGCAACGCATCGATGGCTTCCAGGTCGCCGGTGAACATGTCCGGGTGCTGGTCATATTTGCTGGAGATGTACTGCTTGATGGCATCGGCGAGCGAGACGGAGTGGGTGCGGCGGAAGGGCAGGTGGAGGATGTAGCTGCTCAGGCGGCGTCAGTCTTGGGAGGCGGTGGCACACGAAGCAGCTTACGCACGAGGCCATGGGTGCGGTATGGCGGCCGAGAAGAGGGCGGCGGGTGTGGAGGCGTGTTTGCAGCGAAGAAGGCTCGCTAGTGACGTTTGGGCCCGATCAACCGCGCGCGGGGCAGCGCTGTGACATGAGCAAGTTTCATGGTGATCATGCAGGCACCGCGCCCGAGCCCGCCGCGTTGAATGCTGGCCTCTTCACCTGCCCATTATTATCTCAGCACGCCATTCTCCGCGCTTATAAGCACCCGCCCCCCTTCGCCTGAGCAGCCAACCTAGCAGCCTATTCTAACCTCGGTGCGCGTTTCCAGCACTCTGTCTCTTCGTCTCGCCCTGACCCCGCCATTTCCGTAGCTCCTACGTCCACCATGGCCGACCACTCCTACAAGTTCAACATCACCATGACCTGCGGCGGCTGCTCCGGCGCCGTCGACCGCGTGCTCAAGAAGCTTGATGGTACTTCCCCACCACCCGAGTGCTCGTCCACCACCACCCCGCTCACCACCCCGCTCCTGCAGGCGTCAAGTCGCACACCGTCTCGCTCGAGACCCAGACCGCCGAAGTCACCGCTGCCGACTCGCTCGATTACGACACTGTCCTGAACACCATCAAGAAGACCGGCAAGAAAGTCAACAGCGGCGAGGCCGACGGCAAGTCCATGGCTGTATGATTTGGTTAGCGGGCCCTTTTTTGCAGAGCATATTGGCGTAGCGGGCGGATTTGCGATATCCAGAACAGCTAAATAAAGTTGTCGATTCATTGGAATATCCGTTTGTGACGCTCGTGAGTTCGTTTTTGTTGGCGAGTTGGCAAGTGCCTTTCAGAGGCAGCCGGTCTGTTTCTTTTGTTGGAAGCCGCTGCAGATCAGGCAGTGAGAGATCTGACCCAACAGCAGATCAAGGGTTCGGCTGTCGGGAGATCTTCCACCCACGTCTGTTCAGCTTTCATCTCGGATCCACATGTCCCTGGCATGGCTCAGCCTTGAATAACATCCACAATGCCGCCTGCCTTCTTTCGAAAGCAGTCGTGAACACAGTTAGACCGCTCTTGAGCCAAGGCGACCAGCCACAGCACGAATGTATGTGGGCAATTTGAACGCGCTACCCTCATAGAGGCTGAGGTACGTCACAGTTCAACCGTGCCAGACAACGCTCTAGGTCTACTTGGGAATGTGGAGAGCCAATTTCGTTGCGCGTAAGCACAACATAGTGACAACCCAAGGGTTAATGAGACCACCTTCGATAAAAGGAATGAGGGCGCCTCCGCTCTATATAGTTCACCCAGCTAGCAAGGGGGGTAGTTTAGTGCAACCACACGTGATGAGACTAGGATACATGGTGAAGTCATAGGTGCGTACGCAACATTTCGCAGATAATTTTCTCCATTCGCGTGGTACCAACCGGGAATAATCGTGGGGAGGGCGTCAGTCGAAATGTTCGGGTTGCCCGCTTTGGGCACCCTGCAGCGCAGCAACCGTGAACTTCCCCACGACGCTCCATGGAAACATGGATTGGAGAGATGGAACACTTCTCTACAGGTGTAGAAATCACGGCTGAAGAGTTCTTGTGGGGCCTTGAATGAATCTTTAATCATAGGTAGGAATGAAATTCGTCTAGATGATTCAATCCAAGTCGAGCATTCTCATTAGAATTAGATATTGACACTTAGAAAAACATGTGATAATCTGACGGGCTACACCTTGCTGTTGAATTACAAACTACTACTTGGGAACTTCACCGATGCGCTTGACTTCCACTCATCTTGCGGCCAAGGTCAGGAAAATTACCAATCAACTCGGGCGTTTTGGCGGATCTGCTCGAGAATAACTAGCAACTCTTCTTAGGTAGTTTGGACTGCCCCCGCGGGCCACGGATCAATACGCAGATGATTCTTTCAGAACGCCTTGACGACTAACTTCGCCACATTCTGTCAGTGATGCTTCTCTGAACCTCACACTTTCCCCGCATACTCGACCCGGTAGTTGTCCAGATTCTCGCATAACTGCACTTAGTAAAGATGGTATTGTGCTCCTTGTGGAATACCCTCAACCAGCGGTGCAATATATCCGAATCAATTTGACGGTTTCTTCGTAAAGTTTGCGTTGCGTTTCAGCTGATGACGCCGAGCAGTACTTTATGACAAATTCACTGAAGCGGTATGCTGCCTGTGAGTACTGGCGCCTGCTCTTGATGTGCATGTTGCGGACGGCATCATAACCCTTCTGCAAATCGGTATTCTTGCGCGCTTCAAGGCGTTTGCACAACTCTGACTGGTCGTTGCCGTACTTGGTGCGCAAGTCGACGATTTCACAATTGGTTTTGGTACCGGCAAATTCCAGAATGGGGATACTGTTGAATTCGATGTCCTGGGTGGGATAGACAGCCCCTGCATCAAACATCTTACCATGCACGTTGAACAGCTTGATTATGAAGTCATGCGGCTGTGGGATGCGGTCCTGTTCTGTGAACATGTTAATGTACGTTCGGGAAGGAGTGCTCGTATCCAAGCCTAGATCGCCGAGCTCCGTGCTGTAGCGGCACACGGCGAGATGCTCTCAAAGAGCTTTCTGACTGAGATGCTGTGACAGGCCAACGAATTCGCCCCTAACCACGTCATGAGTGCGGGCGTGTATGCCGCCGAAGCAACGCCTCGGCTTATCCCAGTGGGCGCGCGCCAAATCATGTCTGCAACAGCCTGAATGGTCTCGGCTTCGTTGAACGGCATATCTTAGCGGATATATATCCCGCGAGCGAGGTCTTTGGGGCAGAGTCGCTGTTTGTCGTCATGACGAGGTGCAGCACGGATCGAGTTGGAGATTGAATTGCAGCTAGGAGCGACTGTCCAGAAGCGTGTACGAGAGGTACAGACGCGAGCGGCAGAATGGTCGTGATCGGGGCGGGTTGGACATGGTGCGGGCGGAGATGGTATGGTGCTGGAGCTGATGCGGCCGGAGCTGGAGCTGCGGGCCGGGATTGGCGCTGCAAGGGCTTCCTCCGCCGGTGCAACTGCGCGCTGTGGACACGACGACTGGTCCAAGACGGCCGCCAGACCCCAATGTACGCCGTCGGCCTCGGGCGCAGCAGCCACAACACCTCCGTCACCCAGCTGATGAAGGCCAACATGTCTCCCACTCACGAGACTGCCCCGCCGCTGCCCGTCCCCGGTGCGTCGCGCGCCCCCTGCCCTCTGTCCCCCAAGCTCCCCAGCCCGCGCCTCCGCTCCCGAGTCCTCGCTGACGCCGGCTGCCAGCCCCGACCTCCCCTCAGGCCAAGAAGAAGAAGAACAAGAAGAAGGGCTCTCGCCCGCCGCAATCGCAAGACTCGCCTACCAATGGTCACCCTGCCGCCGACCCATCCCCCGACGGCCACGATGGCGATGATGGCGGCGACGGCGACCAGTCGCCTGCAGTACGCGCCCATGCCCCCGCCTGCCACCTGCGCCGGCTCGCTAATTGCTTCCAGAAGTCCAGCGCGAACGACGACCCTGACAGCCGGCCCTCGACTGCTCAGTCCGACCCGCAGACGCCGCAGCGCAACGGCGCCCGCTCCCACCCGCCCCAGATGGACAGCGACACCTCCGACCGCCTCGACCAGCTGGCCAAGGAGCGTGATGAGCTGCGCGAGGAGGTCACCCAGCTGCGCAAGTCGCTCGAGACCATCCAGAGCAGGCACGAGGACGAGATCCAGGGCCTGAAGCAGCACGCCGATGAATCCGCCAAGAGTAAGGAGCATGCCGAGAACCAGTACCGCGACCTCCGCGGCAAGGTCAACACCATCAAGAGCCAGCTAGGCGAGCGCATGCGCCAGGATGCCGAGGAGCTTGACCGCATGCGCACCCAGGTCGACGACCTCGAGGACCAGAACCGACGACTCCGCGACGACAACGAGCAGCTGCGCAAGCAGACTGAAGAGCACGCCTCTGAGATCTCCAGTCTGCGGAGCCGCGCCACCTTGTCGCAGCAGAATTGGGTGAAAGAGAGGGACGAGTTGATACAGCGTGAGGCATATGCCAGGGAGGAATTCGAGACGGCGAAGCAGGCCATGCAGGATTGGGAGGTTCTGGCCATGGAAGAGAGGTCGCTGCGCGAGAACTTGGGTGACCGGGTGGCCGAGCTCGAGGACCAGCTCAACGGCCAGCGCGAAGCTTTGGAAAGAGCTGTCAATGAGAGAGACACGCAGACGTCAACGGTCGACGGCCTACAAAGGGCATTGCGCGACATTCAAGATGGTAGGCCGCCCATATACGCACACTCTCTCTACCCGTTAAGCTAATCGTCTGTGCAGCACGTAAGAAGGAGCTCCGTGAGATTGTCGAAAACTCGCAGAACCAGCTCGAGGACCTCCGAAAACAGCTTCAAGCTGCGGAGGAGGCATCCAGAAAAGCACAAACCGAGCTGGAAACGACACAAAAAGAGCTTGAGCGTGCATTGCCGTTCGAAAAGGAGGTCAAGGAAAAGAATCTGCTCATCGGCAAGCTTCGTCACGAAGCTGTGATCCTCAATGACCATCTAACAAAAGCTCTACGTATCCTACGGAAAGGTCGGCCGGAGGACAACGTGGATAGACAAATTGTCACCAATCACCTGCTCCATTTCCTTGCGCTTGACCGCAGCGACCCTAAGAAATTCCAAGTCTTGCAGCTAATTGCCGCGCTTCTTGGATGGAATGATGGTGAGTGCATGCCTGGGCTACCAAAAGCCCATCCGTCTTGGTCTGAATGCGCCCATTGACTGTTGCTCGTAGAACAACGCGAACAGGCCGGCCTCTCGCGCCCTGGCTCTACCGCCACAGCCAACAACAGCCTTCGGGTTCCTTTATCCCCGTTCCATCGCACGCCGTCCACACCTTCGTTATCAAGTACCGATCTTCTACTGTCAGAAGGTCACTCGTCATCATCTGCCCAGCAGAACAAGGAGAGCTTGGCTGAGCTATGGCAAAATTTCCTCGAACAGGAAGCTCTAGAAGGTAAAGGCTCGAGGAATTCCAGTCGCCGAGAGAGTGCAACGAGCCCAACAAATACGGGTGATTCGAAAGGTTTAGGAATTTCATAGACCGAAGGAAAGACTACCAGAGAACACATTCGCGCGACACTCGGCGTTTGAGAGGGAAGGCGGCGCACACGGGCAGTTGAAGTGTTGGTATGGCGGGAATGTACGATAAGCCCATGGACAGAAATATTGAGCAAGGGCTCCTAATCCCCCGAGCGTGTCGTAATACTAGGCTGACTAACCTTCGAGGCCATCCGACGCGAAGCTCTGAACGAGCCTGAGCTTCGGCCTGATTCCTCCAAGCATCTGCAATTCCAGCACCGTAATGCACTTTTGTACCGAATCCTTATCCCATGCAGTGATTTCATCTTCCAAGCCATCGAAATCGAGGTATCTCTCGACCCGATCATGGCCAATTAGATGGCTTTCTGCACCACCTGCAGAGGCCGGCACGAACGATGCACTGCACGTTCCCCGGCTAACGTCCGTATTTGTGCTACACATGCCGCCTCGAAGTCGGGCGACGCTGGGTGAGTATTGAGCGTCTGCAGCGGTGTCATTGACGGGAGACTGTGACATGGTTGTTGGGAACAACGCGGACGAAGCGCGCAGTGAAATATTTCCGTGTGAATAAGTGCCGGCCCGTGAAATGTGTACGACGAATGGTTGGGTGGAAGTGTCATTATACGAGCGGCCGGTCATCCCGAGGCGTTTATCGTGTGGGCCTTCACGAGCCGCGAGAGTGAGGTTCAGGCTGTCCTGGTGGGCGAGACAATTTGCATTCAGCCATATTCACAAAGAATTGGAGTTGCACAACACTTACTGCAAGCTTACACCATGTCCGTAACGCACTTCCAGTCATGAACCTCTCCCAGTACAGTCCAGGGTGTCTATTCCTCCAGTGTGCATCCATTCGCTCCCAGGATTTGGCTGTTGTGCGCGTCCAGTAATGTTCAAAGAGATCTTCTTCCACCAATGCGAGGAGTTCTGCAGGAAGCCTTCCGCCGGCTGCCTTTTGCGCCAATGTGGCGGCAAATACACGCTTTTCAAGACGTATAACGCCCAAAACAAAGCTGCGTTCCGTGGCGGTGACGCTAAATATAGGGCGAGTTTCAACGACGAGCATGTTTCTTTTCCAAGGAAATGAGAATTTGGAGGCGGATCAGACCTGCGAAAGATATGTGTTGACATCGTGTAGTAGACCATCAAGTTAAATCAATTGCTGTTGCCTGGACCTGAGCGCACTGCGATCGACAGTTTAGTTTCGGGGAGGCTTATCAGGCAGCAGAACTGATGGTGACAACACACTTAGGTAGCACCAATGAGGCTGCAGGGATGTGTAGTTGCTGTAAAGGCTTTACCCCGCTTCCTGTGCTGCAGCTTCGACATCTGACAAGGCTGAACGCTTCTGTCAATACGAGCTCCAGCTGCTCCACCGCACCTGTGTCCGTCTGTTTGTAGTGGAAGGGAAACAATGTGTCGCGTTTCTCCTATTAAATGTATGACATAGCTTTCGCAGCCAGTCGGGGCTCTAAAAAAACAACACTCGACATCACAGGCCACAATATTGGCTCTGAGCAATTCCAGCGGTGGCGGAGTAAGGCAACGATGTATGTTAGCTATTTGATTACCAACGCGCCAGTTGATAGGCTACATTCGCGAATCAACTATGTGGGATGAGCTTACAGACACTCAGCCCCAAGCATTTCTTTTCCATTTGTGCCTAGAAGAAACCTAAATTCCAATGGACTCCTAGCCAGTACGAATTGGTGAAGTCTTTGCCGGAAAGATGCTATGGCTGCCGCCGTTTAACGAATTGTCTACCGTCTCGGTCCGGGCAATTGGGTAGACGCCTACCATTCTAATAGACGGCTTTAACCATCCAGTGGTTATCTGTTCAAGGCTATCCAGCCATGATGGAGAATACGCCCATTTTCACATAGTAGCCAGGTCAGCATGACTGGTTTGCAGCGACTTGCTGAGTACAGGTAACCTTACTCGGTAACAGGAGCGTCGTCGAGAGAGACACTCAAGTCCATCGGCAGCGATGCCAAATCAGGTGGTATCTACCTATAGCGCCATCCGAGTATCACCACAATGGCCCAGAGTCTCAGTCTGGGCGTCCGCGTATTGAGTTGGAACGCGGGATGAAAATGCCGTCAAAACTCGTTTACAAACGTGAAGAACATCTGCTCAATTCAGTGGCGTTTTCTTGAACGCTTCCAGGGTGGATCCTACCAATTGACCTCGTCCTCAATCGAGCACATGCAAGAGCGTATCGAGTGCCTGACAACGTATAATCTGGACGCTCAATACCTCCAGCCAGCTGGTGAGGATTTCGGCAAATCGCCATCGTCGCCTAGTAGAGCAGCTTAACTACCAGGTCCCAGCGTCCCACCAATAGAGACGTCACAACCCCCGAAAAAATGGACCAGGGTCGATGTGGTGGCCACATTCAAGCTGGCGTGAGGAAAAATAGTCATCATCTCCGTCGGTATGATTGCGTCTGGTACTAGTATCTGCAGTTAAGCTCTGTGCATTATTCTAGAACATGATGTGTAAGCAAGGGGTGATTCACAGAGCGCCCATCCAGGTGCCTTAACGGTAACAGCCGCTCTCAACATGTTTGGGCGGATGACGAGGGATGGAGTACGTTGGCAATAGCAAAGCTGTGGGCAGAGAAAGGCAGAAATAGACGTTTTGGACTGAAACTTGGTTCCTCTCCACCAAAGAGCGTCCTTTCTTTGATTCCCCTTATCTCATCCCCACCCACCCTTCTTCCAACTTTTTATAAACAAAAAGAATTCTTGGATCTAATCTCTCTAGACAGTTGCATACCGAAGGATCCAAAGAACAGCATTTTCGGCGGGATGGTCCACCGTGATCGCGATACTTTTTGCTCTGGATGGCGAGCCTTCCTTTCTTTTGTATATACTTTCCATTGCCAGTAGATATTGATGTCTGGCGTCCGCAGAGATCAGGGTAGAGTCAGCAATGACAGTCCTCAGAAAGGTCCAGAGTGATTCATGTTTCCAATGGAAGTCTTGTGCGAGGTGGAGCGTTTTGTCTACAGTTTGCTGAGCAAGTTGAGCACACTCCGGGATTCGAAGAAGGAGAAAATGGAGAAATGACCAAGCTGACGTATCGCTTGGGTTACGCAGGCACCAATCATGCACGACTGGTACTGACTGCAGCAGTAAATCGTGGGCCGGAGTTATGGGGTATGGATACTGCGATGGAAACTTATGCTGACAGAAATCTTGCCACTCGAAGATGCGGTCACAAAGGCGCCGAGCATACTGCCAAGCGTAGTAATTTTTAGGATGCCTCTCACCCGCCTTCAACACAACACCCAACTCACGGGAAAAATGCTCCCAGGAGGATTTAGATGCTACGTCCTGGTCACACGCACGGCTCAGCAAAAGCCAGGGGTCGAAAGATTGCATAATCCAGGCTCGGTAGCCCCATAGGGTGGGGGATTTGGATTGCCGATGCAGAGGGGAGGTAAGAATGCTATCCAAGAAATTTAGCTCCAGTTGTATATGGTGTACATTGTGGAGCGGTAGGAGAATGCTGAGCTGGGATCTCCTGAAGTTTGCGGCCGTGAGGTGCTCTGGGTCGAAGAGTAGGATGACGGACGTTGCGTCGAGAGCGGCTTCTACAGAGCTGGGATCGCTACTTGTCCGCTTGTCGAAGAAGATGGAGCATGCGGCAATGAAGGCGGCGGCAAGAAGGCGCTTGGGCACACCAAGACAGAGACCATCTTCCAGGACGGGCGAGCCACTCGGCGGTGCGATGGCGGGGGGTAGCACCTCGATTTCGACAACGTCTCGGCGATGTTTCTGGAAGAAATCGCTGACGATGCGGTAAGCGTGGGTGTGCTCGGGGCACGGAGGCTGCGGGCCCCAGGCGGTTGCGGCCATCACTGACGGCGGAGGCGGAGGTGTGGACGGAGGATGTGGTGCTGGCGCGGCTGATGTCAGAGCGAGTTGGTCCAAGCTCACAGTCGAAAGCCAAACACCAGCTCTCTATACTTGGTCGCTGCGCGCCAGCAACCCTGTCCATGCCCGCCACCATGGCGTCTCTACTGCTGATCATTTTCGCTGTCAGCCTCATCACCCATCTCCTCAGCTCCGTCCCTGCAGCGACTCTCAACGAGCTGGTGCGCCCACTCTCCGCCTCTGCTTGACACAGTGTCGCTGACCACACCCGCTTCCTAGCTATGGATCCTGTACAACAAGCTCCCCACGCCGACAAGCACCGCCGCGCGAGAGCAGGCTAAGCTGAAGCGCGAGGTTCTGCGCCTGAAGAAGGAAATGAACGCTGTCAGTGCGCAGGATGACTTCGCCAAGTGGGCAAAGCTACGCCGCGCCCATGACAAGGCCTTTGCCGACTTCCAGAAGAATGGTACTGTTATGCAGCCGTCTACGCTACCTCGCTCAAGCTGACCTTGTTGTTTCTTCCACCAGACTCGGCTTTGCGCTCCGCTCGTGCCTCGTTCGACACAGCCGTTGCTTCCGTCCGCTGGCTCGTCACCAACGGCCTCCGCTTCTTCCTGCAGCTGTGGTATGCAAAACAGCCTCTTTTCTGGATACCACAGGGCTGGGTGCCTGGATATGTCGAGTGGATACTGGCCTTTCCGAAGGCCCCGACTGGTAGCGTGAGCGTCCAGATTTGGGGCATTGCTTGCGCGAGTGTCATTTCGCTCCTGAGCGAGGCTCTGATCGCGCTGTACGCACTGGCGACGGGGAAGATGCTGAGCAAGGAGAATGCGAAGCCGCAACCGACACCAGCGGCTGGATCAGAGAGGAAAGAGCTGTAAATGTGTGAGATAGCATTAAACTAAGATGCAGGTAAAGCCTGTTTATCGGAGCTACTTGAAGTGTTTCCACCTCTTCGACATCGGGGCGAGCTGCATGTGTAATTGTCCCGCTTGACCCTGATATCCCACTGCTTTAAACCATCATACTGCGCCTTGATTCACCGAAAAGGCGGATGATGGAAGCCTGTGGTCGGGCGACCCAACCGGTGACGACACATTGCGCAGGAGATGCCACCCAGTCTTTTTTAATGCCTATACTGCTTCGGCATCTGGCGCACTGGTCCACCGCATCAAGCATGTCTCTCATCAGATTGACGCAACATCTTCCTCGCCCCAAAGGACTCAGAAACTGCAACACGAAGTGAGAAGAGACCCCCATTGGAGGCGGGCCTCTGGCTTTGCTTTTGGCGGTCTTTTTGAACTCGTGACCGTAGGGAGATCAAGATCGCCGAGTCTTCGAAAGCGCCGTACTTGCCATTACTTCAGCTATGTCTACGTTGCTGTTCTGTCCATCCGTGCAGAGAAGGAGACATTGCTACTCTGTACGTGTGTGACAGAAGGCAGTTGGGTAGAATGGAATGGCAGAGTATATATTTCGCGTACCGTGGAAGAAGGTGGTTGTCGAGATTCCGAGGCGAGCGAGAGAAATTTGACTTTTGGTGAGCCATTCTATCTGGCCCGTGCGCTCGGACAAAGCCGGCCCTTTCTAGTCACGTGCTTCGGCACCTCGAGCGCGTCGGGTGCTCTGCAAATCCAGGATGCGGATCCTTGCGAAAATACTTTTAGCGCGGCTGTCGTTGATGCTTGTCGTGCGCGACATCGCAGACCTGCATGTTACCCATGACGACAGTTTTTTTTTTGCTCATGTCGTGGGTAGCTGAAGCTATCGTCCGGACGAGAATATCGAATTTTTAATTCTACATATACGTCCGGACGATAGCTTCAGCTACCCACGTATGTTATTTTTCTAAGGCAGAGTTGGAGAGCCCTGTTATTCTTCGCGCTAGCCATCGGCTACGAGAGATGGCTGTAAGTAGTAGAAAACACTGTTCCCGGATAAGACTCAAAATGAAAAGGTATCACACCCATTTAATATCTGCTTATATTTGCAAATCGAAAGCAAATATACTAGGTACTTTGTAATCCGCTACCTCTTTACTGTCTCCGCCGCTGCCAAAGCAAATGTCCGCTGCTGTCGAAGTAAATGCCCCACTCCATGGTCCGCTGCCTCTTCGCTGGCTTGATGCCAGCGTTAGATGCCTCAAGCATCAAAGCTGCCTGATATATCTTCTTAGCAGCCTCCTTCACCTGCTCTCCCGCCTTCTGCATCTTGTGAGTCAAATCATCCTCGTCGGTAACGTTGGTATCCCCCAGAAGTAAATCAATCGCCTCCTTGTTGAGACTGTGCACCCCAGTGTGTTTGAGGTGCCCCTTCAAGTCAGATTTTCTCTGCCAAGTCTGGTCATTTCCACACTGGTCGTGGAGAGGGCAGACGCGAGGCATGAAACCCTTACGCACGGTTCCGTATTTGCGAAATAGAGCAGTAATCTCCTCGTCGTTGAGGTTGTGGACCTTGCCCCGAAGATGCCGTTTCAGCTCATTTGCTTTCTTCCAAGTCTGCCGGTTGTTGCATTTTTCGTTGAGAGGGCAGACGCGAGGCGCGTCAATCTTTTGTGCGCCATCGTGCATGCGACGATGCTCATTGAACGCAGTGAAATTGGTAAACACCGTAGTATCCTCGCAGTCTGGGTTGGGGCATCTTGAAGGAACGTAGTCATGGCCACGCAGGTGCTCGTTCAGACTATCCTTCCACATGAAGGTGCGGCCACAGCCATCTCGAGGACAAACGAGCTCTTGTCTTCCTGTAATATTCGAGAGCCGCTCAAGCCTCTCTGGAGTACAGCCAGACTCATGCTGTAGATGATGCGACTTCCTAGAAGTGGTGTAGGAGCATCCGAAGGATGTATTTCTGCATCGGTAGATGAATAGCGAAGGGGAATCCTTTGCCGGTGACACTACCTGGTCCGATGGTAGACCACGAGACCTGCGGACGACATTGAGCTTGGCAAGCGCTTCAATCCATGCGAGGGTCTCGGTTGGAAATGGTGATGTAGACAATGGGGTCAGTGCCTCGGTCATGGCCATGGTCGTCGCGGTATCATCATCCTCGGCGGTCTCTGCTTGATCATCGGAATTCAGAAATGTAGAGAAAGTATCTTCGGCGGTGGCAAGAAGCTGAGGGTCGATATTAGAGTCTTCCTCGTCATCGGAGATGTCGTCTTCGTGATCGAAGGAAGAAGGTACATCAACGCCAGTCTGATCGTATCGAGGAGGGTTGCTGGTGCCTTGGGAAGGGTTGCTGGTGCCTTGGGTGGAAGATTCGGAGACTTGCATGGCATCCCGGGCTTCAAGCTGGCTTGTCCGCCAGCTTTCAAGTTTCTCTTTCTTGAGATCTGTACCTATTCGACGTCGAAGTAAGGAAGAGGCTGTGTTGATGTCATGTCCTTCTTGGCGAAGACGCTGGTTGAAGATAGACGGTAACACAAAATGCTGTTCAGAAAGTACTCTTTCAAAGACATGAATTTCACCCCAGAATCATGGTATATACAGAACTCCAGATTTTCCCAGAAAAAATGCCGCCCATAAACAAGAAAAAGATTCATGAATGATGATTTTGCTTTTCGCTTTCATCCTGGATCTAATACCAGTCACCCTGCTCGCGCATAGCGGCAGCGACCTTTGCGAAACCAGCAATGTTGGCACCGGCAACCAGGCTGGGGAACTCGCCTTCGGCAGCCGGGACGTAGGCCTTGGCGGTCTCAAGGCAGTTCTCGAAGCAGTTCTTCATGATGAGCTTGAGCTTGTCATCGACCTCCTCGGAGGTCCAGCTGATGCGCTGCGAGTTCTGGGCCATCTCCAGACCGGAGACAGCGACACCACCGGCGTTGGCGGCCTTGCCAGGAGCGTACCAGATGGCGGCGTTGGCGCTGGCCTTACGGTGAGCCTCGAAGGTGTCAATGGCCTCCTGAGTGCAGCCCATGTTGGAGCCCTCGGCAATGAACTTGCAGCCGGCGTCAATGAGCGCCTTCGCCTCCTCGGCAGAGACCTCGTTCTGAGTAGCGCTGGGGAGGGCAACGTCGACCTTGCCAACGTGCACCCACGGACGGGCACCCTCGATGTACTGGTACTTGGGGTCTGCGAACTCAGTCAGAGCCTTGCGGTTGAGCTTGATGTTGGCGATGGTCTCAATGACGTCAGGGGTGAAGCCAGCGGCGTCGGTGGCGATCAGAGCGCCCTTGGAGTCGGAGAGAGAGACGACGGTACCGCCGAGCTCGATGACCTTCAGCGCAGCATACTGAGCAACGTTGCCGGAGCCCGAGATGGCGACGCGCTTGCCCTTGAACGACTCCTTGCCGCCAGAAGCGTACTTGATCATGTGCTCAACGTAGTAGACAAGACCGTAGCCGGTGGCCTCGGGGCGGATGAGAGAACCGCCCCACGAGCCGCCCTTGCCGGTGAGAACACCCTCCCACCTGTTGCGGGCCTGGCGGTAAGCACCGAACATGTAGCCGACCTCGCGGCCACCGACACCAATGTCACCGGCGGGAACGTCGGTGTCGGCGCCAATGTGCTTGCTCAGCTCGCGCATGAAAGACTGGCAGAACCTGCGGATCTCGCTGTCGGACTTGCCCTTGGGGTCGAAGTCGGAGCCACCCTTGCCACCACCCATGTTGACTTGAAAGGCAGCACGTTAGCTTTGCATTCTCAACGGCAGTTGCGGGGAGCTTACGGCCGGTGAGAGCATTCTTGAAGATCTGCTCGAAGCCAAGGAACTTCAGGATGGAGAGGTTGACGGTGGGGTGGAAGCGGAGACCGCCCTTGTAGGGACCCAGGGCAGAGTTGAACTGGACGCGGAAGCCGCGGTTGACCTGGAGCTGGCCCTTGTCATCCTCCCAGACGACACGGAACTGGATGAGGCGCTCCGGAATGGCGGCGACCTTCAGGGCGGTCCTGTACTCCGGGTGCTTCTCGAAAAGGGAAGAGTTCTCGAGGGTCGAGGCAAGCTCTGGAGGAAAGGAATGGTCAGCAGCAGAGCGAGAGGCGGGGGATGAGGCAACGCACCATTGTAGGCCTGCTCGAACTCGGGCTCGTAAGGAAGGTTGGACATGTTGGCGGTGTTCGGATTGGGAAAGAAGCTGGGCGGGCTGATGGAAAAGGACAGAGGATAGAGCAGTCAACGCGGAGCTCCCGCAGATTATTTATGAGCAGCAGAAGCTGGGGCTCGGGACAAAAAGGAATGCACAGCAGCTCGCGCGGGCGGGCGTCACAGGGCGCGTCCAGGCGTGGCGAGGCGTGGGAGAGTGCGATAGAGGCCGTCGAGGCAACGGCAGCACGGCGCGGATGGCTGCCATTGGCCAATACGGAAGCTTCCTGGCGACGGGCCCGATTAGAGCCGCGAGATCAGATGCGGGACGACGGGGGCCGTCTGCGATTTGGAGCACCGCGAGGGCGACGGAGGTGCAGATAAGCTGCTCGACGGCGATTGGCCGTGCAGATTTGCGGTTCTCATTTTGGCCCGTCATCGGCCAGCGTGCCTGTGGTACTGGGAACAGGCGGTTACGTTACAGTTTGCTGGGCAGTTGAGGCGCGCCGGCTCTAGGGCGGCTAGCGAGCCCTGCCCGCCGCGTCGCGGGCCGGGGCATCGCTGGCTCGCCCCGGGTCCTCTGAGCGCTGCGCCGGCGGGCTGCTCCACCCATGCACTGCTGCAAGTCACTCTCAAACGCACGCAGCCCGCGCCGGCGCCGAGCATCACGCGAGCCCATTGAAAATTCTGCGGCACGCTTTCATTTCTGCGCTGTCATACAAATGTGCGCGCCTCGCTTCTCCGTGGGCGCCCACCCCACCACGGACCTTGCCAGCCCTCCGGTAACGGCTGTGCTGCCAAGCCGGCTACAGCCACTCAGGAAGGAATCGGCCCTGCCGCACCACACACCCTCTTAAGAGGCTCCTGTCCGCCTCGCGACTTCGGCGCTCCAGCTCTCACGCGCAGTCCGTCGGGTCCCAATCTGCACTCGTCAGCGTATTACGCGACGCACTCCCGGCGTGGGCGGCGGCCGCCCGGCGCGTCCCCCTCCAGCATCAACACCCAGCCCGCTGCGGAGCACGAATATTGTCCGGAGGACGACGTGGGGAGCAGTGCCGTAGCGCGCCCACGGGCGGGGTGGGAACATCGGCAAGTGCACTCACCAGTCACCAGGTACTCGTCCAGGCCGTCCAGCTCCGTCATGTCCTCTTCCTCGATCGCGAACTCCCCGACTCTGGCATTCTCGACGATGCGCTCCTTCTTGACACTCTTTGGCAGAGGCACGTAGCCATGCTGCAGGCTCCAGCGGACGAGCAGCTGCGCCGGCGTGCACGCGTACTTCTTCGACAGCGCTACTATCACTGGGTGCTGCATCCGCAGCGCGCGCGCAAGCGGCGCGTATGCCTCGACCACGATATTGTTCTGCTGGCAGAACGTCGTGATGTCGGTGCGCGTGTTGAACGGGTGCACCTCAATCTGGTTGACAGCAGGGTGGACACGCGGCTTGGAATCAAGCAGTTCCTGGAGGTGTTTGACGCCGTAGTTGCTCACACCTCCAATCTTGACCTCTCCGTCCGCGATCGCATCCTCCACGGCTCGCCAGCAATCGAGCCGCGCCTGCCTGCCGCCATATGGGCTGTGCAGGAGAAACAGATCAATGTAGTCCAGACCGCACGCCTTCAGAGACTGCTTAATAGCCCGCCTTGCCGCGTCGTACGAAGTGTTGGAAGCGAGCTTGCTGGTGAAATGGATGTCTTCTCGCTTCAGCCCTTGACTGTTGGCCGGGCTCGCGAGAAAGTGTTTGATGGCCTGTCCGACCTCGCGCTCGTTATGATACATCTGCGCTGAGTCGATGCTGGTGATTTTTTCGTCGGTCGGCTGGAATGAAGGAAGGGGACATGCCAGAAACTTACGCACGATATCCAGCCTGTACCTGTCAGCAGCGAGCTCCATGGGGATTGGAGCTTCTCAGGGCAGTGATTGGGCAGGAGGAGGTAGGCGGGAGCTAGCATGCGAACTAGCCAACTACCACCCGCCAGGTTCTCGTCCGCGCCCCCGTCAAGGTAATGTGCATGCGCCATTGCGGGCCGGCGCGCTGAGAGAATACCGTGGCGGCGGCACAGAAAGCATGGCTAGCTGTTGGCGGGTGGAAAGCGAACGGAAAGGTTGCGGGGCATTTGAGGAGATGCAATATCCTTACCTCCAGGGCCCATAGGACGGCCTGGTAGCACTCACGACCGTCGGTAAGATAGACTCCAAGATGGATCTGCGGCATGGATAGGCCATTGGCAAGCTGGACACGGGCGGTGGTCAGCCGGGCTGGGGGCGCGATTGGGGCGCGGGGCGGCATGCCTTGAGGCGCGAGCTCAACGAGAAGGCGTGCTGGGCCATGGCGGCGGGACGATGCAGGGTGAGATTTTCGGTTCAGGAAGATTGGCGAGCAGATGTCTTGGAGCGGGAAGCCCTCAGAATAAGGTTGGTGTCGTGGTACAGGGCGCTGTGGATGCGATGGGAAGAGGAGGCCGGCGGCCAAGCATTTCTGGGATGACGCGCCAGGGCGCCGTCCCAGCTCGGCGGATGCGCGCGAAAGCGCACGGCCGCGATCCAGCGGGGCGGACGGGTCGTGGCGGCTGCGGGCGCCGCTCTGGCGGTCGTCAGCGCAGCGTATCTCAGCTCGCTGCGGGCTGAGATCTCGCAGATGCAGGGCGATGCGGCCGCCACGGCTCCCGGCGCGTGGATGAAGCAACGCTGCGGCGGCGACTTGGTGCGCAGGCGCGGCTGAAGGTCGAGCGGCGATTCGGCAGGCAGCACACGCATTGGCTCGGCTCTGCGCAGGCCGGCGCCGGGCGTGGCCGATGGCCTGCTGTCTGGCGCAAAAGGAATGTGCGCTCGTGGTGGTGTTGGCGGGGGGAGGTCGAGGTGGAGCGCTCTAGCCTCCGCCCTGCGCAACACCACGCGCCTTGGGAACGCGTTCTCGTAGCCACATTCCGGCACCTGCCCTGGCGGGCGAGCGCCTGTTCCTCGCTCCCAGCGCGCGGGCACATGGCTACCAGCGCAGGGCTGGGGCTAGCAGGCGACAACCGCCCGGGGCTATTTTCAGCACAGCTCCCGCGTGCAGCTGCGGTGCAAGGTCAGGCTGGAGCCCCGTCTTGCGCATTATTATTGCCGGCCTGCGCTGGAGTCGCGCGGCCAGGCGCAGATTGACGCAAGGAACATGTGGCGCGACCCCGAGAAAGCCCAATTGGAGACGCGGCCTGGCCCGGGCTGTGAACTGCCGTCGACGAGGAGCGGCGACGGTCTGATATCACCCTTGCGCGCTGCTTCTATGTATACTCAGCGTCCTCCAGCAGCGCCCATGGCACAAGCAAGCGGTGGGTCCGGCGAGGCCTCCTTCTCCAGCGCTTTCAATATATAAACGCCTGCCGCCCACGGCCACTAGCCGCGCCCAGGCAATACGGCGAACGCGCCCTCCACTCCATGCCCTCGCGCTGGCCTTGACCTGCCCCATCCAAAGAGCGGCCCGGCGCGCTGTCCTCTTGCTGATCCGCATCGCCCCGGCCCACGCCTGCTGCCGCCGCCGCCCTTCGTCGAGCCCGCCACTCCTTGCCTTCGCCTGCCATGGCGTACGCCGGCCCGCCCAACGGCTTTGCCCAGCCGTCCTCGTCCCGCAGTGGCCTCTTCCCCGCCGCAGCGGCCGCCGATGCCCCGCGCCAGTCCATGCTCGGAGACGCGCAGTTCGACATCTTTGAGTGGCATCCCGCGTACCAAAGCTGCCAGCGCTACTTCCTCGACCACGCCCAGCACGACGGCTCCGTCCAGGCCGTGGCCGCGCTCATCAACATCTGCCTGCCCTTTCAATGGTCGGCGAACCCCATTGTCAGTTCGTCGGGGCTCGCGCCGCCGGGCACGGGGCCGGGGTCGTATCCCGCATCCTGGTCCAGGCAAGGACCGACGCCACATGCCCCGCGGCCTGGCGCTCCCGTCTGGGTTTCGCTGGTGCCCTTCATCCGACGCCTGGTCGTGACCGGCTTCGACAAGGATGGCATCCTGCATGGCTTCTTCGGGGACGAGTGGCGGAAAGGCGTCGGCCCGGTGCAGGAATGCGAGCGCCGCAACTATCTGTTCGCGGCCAAAAGCGTTGGATGGGCAAAAGTCAAGTATCAGTACGACATCTCGCCACATGAGACTGTTCCGTTCATGAAGCCGCTGCAGAACGTCCAGCTCGAGGAGATTGAGGCGGCCGAGAAGACGTGGAGTGAATGGCTGGCCATGGAGGACTGGATGGTGGGCCCGCGGGCCCCCGAAGCGATGGACGACGTCCCTGCAGACAGCATCGAGCGCCACTGACCAACCATTTCCTTGTGTTCGGAACTCGTATTTAGCAAGGCGTTTGGGCGGCAGCGACTCTTCCGGAGGACGCAGCGACGGCCCTGGAACCCAAACAGAGGCTGCTTCGACGAATGCTAGCAGTGTTTGTGTATTCATTTATCAGCATGCAACACGCAATTGGACAGCAATTGGCTCACCCGCAACTGCATTCGAGCTGGTGAAGTTGGTTGCAGAACGCAATCCCGTGACCGTGTGCTGACTAAGCTGCCGCGCGCCGTGCTCCTGCCTTCCCCAAACAAACGCAGGCGAGGATCTGCACTCGCCGTCGACGAACCCAGAACGTCACAACGTGTGTGGAAGAACCCAGAGGAGCGTGATGTAACGGCGTGGTCAAAAGAAACATTTTCCCTCCTCTCGTCTTCAGCTCGCCTCGGATCTCCAGACGTCCTGCGCCCTTACCTCGAAATCGAGCGATCCATCCGATGGCCACGTGGACGCAGTTTGTCGACCGATGCCTCCAGAACAGGCTCAGCGCGGACAAGCTTGAGACGTTTGCTGTCCAGCTGAGTAAGAGGATTCCCCGTGATGAGAGCCAGCTCGCAGAGGCGTTGCTGCGGCCCCGGTCCCGAGCAACGGCCTGCTTGGACCCGCTCATTCCCGTCTACCTTGAGCGCCTTCTGGTGCTGAACTTTCTCAACCCTCCCGAGATCCTTTACGCCCTTTTCCGGTATTCTCGGGACTATGCTGCTACTGATGAGCATTCCATCCAAAGACAGCGTCCCCAGCAATGGTATATTACTCCGGAGCTGGAGGAACTGGTGTTTGCCCGCCTTTCAAAGGCTTTCGTCACCAGCGAACGACCTCGCACCGTGGTGGAGGTGCAAAAAACACTGGCCATTTTGGCTCAGTGGATGAATGCTGTCAATTCCTCCCAGACAGCCGAGTCCGTTATGCATTCGCTGGCAGATGGAACTCAGGGACAGCGCACGCAAACCGTACTGAGTCTGAGCATGCTCATTATTGCTGTTCTGGAGCACCCCAAAGTTGCAGGCGTGGTTGAAATGGCATTACCGAAAGGTTAATTCCCCTCCTTTGCACCCGACATGTCGAAAATTTACGCCTCCCCTTCCCGGGCTACACGATCATATGGGATACTGCGTAATGTACTTGGGCTGACAACTTGTGGCAGGAATGCGCAAGTCGCTCTCCGATTCTCTCTCTATATTTGTACCACTCCTAACTCAAGCTTCACTCCAATGGGGTGACAGGCTCAGCTTGCTCCAGAAGCAGTATTCTCTTACGACAGATAATGCAAGCAGTGGTATGAACGACGGAACCGGGAGCCATGGCCTTGACGTCTCCGTCCTCCAGCTCGAAACTGTTATGGACCTCCCCATCATCAATAGCCGCGCAGGGCTCTATGTGTTCGTCAACTCTCTGGTAGGTGACTCTGATACAGCGGCTCGTACTATTAGCTGACAGCTTAGCTTATTGCTCGCCCCTTGACCGACGACAACATGATCCTAAACTACCTTCATGCACGCTACAAGGTAAGTCCCTATGCATCTCCGACGCAACTAGGCTTACTCCAATAGGTTGACTATCAATCCATGATTGTTGATCTCATAACTGCGTCGTTTGACGTCCTCGCCGCAAACACGACGTATCGGAGCGAGTCGAACGAAACGATATTCAACTTTCGCTCATTCCTGATAAACAAAGTGCCCTCGCTAGTCGCCATCCTGGCTGCCTCTATATTCCCAACCACCACTCCGGAGCTTTGCATAACCCAGGCATTGAACCACATCGACCGAAATGCTTTCCCCTCTTTTTCCCAAACCTTTGATATGGCGCCAGTAAACAGTCTGCTCTCAGATGTTCGTCAGGACTTCCTGGTTGCTTGCGCACTGCACCAGCTTATCCCCGACTCCAGCATCGAGCGTCTGCTGGGAGAGACTCCGATGAGTAGTGTTCCTGTTGGGGGGAAGTACATCAAAGAGAATCTGGTAGCGCAATGCTCAACAAACTTTGAGCGAGTTGAAGAGCTCCTGAATGAGATTGAGGGTATGGATGGAAATGCGTGTGCGATAGTGGGAGCAATGACCGACGTGCGTATGTTTCTAGGCACTAAAGGGAGTATGGCTGACAAGTCTTAGATCATCCGGAATCTGTGCGCTACCAGGGAGACGATGTCTCTCAAGACGATTTGCAATACCCTCTCGCGGAAGCCTCGATCTCTGGATGTTATGCTACAATATACATCACCGGCAAGCATCTTGCAACCCCTGTGCCAGCTTCTAGACTCGTGGAAAAATGATGAGGACCAGAGTGAGTTGAACATGGTTGCTATAGAATATCCGCTAACGGAGGCTCAGGCGAGTACCAGCCGGTATATGACGAGTTCGGCTCCGTGCTGCTGCTTGTGCAAGCTTTCATGCACCGGCACGATCTGAAGGCTTCTGACCTTGGCTTAGACGATGCTTCCTTCGTCGTCCAATTATTGGAACGGGGACACAAAAGCCTTGGCGCAAATGAACTCAACGAAGACCAAGACAAATACCTTGCTGGCTGGCTCCGCGGCCTATACGATCCAGAAGGCATCAGTGACGAGCTTTTGTCGAACTGTAAGCCTCAGGACTTTTACCTACTTGTTCCTACGATATTCAGTCAGACGATATTCGCCTGCTCCGCTGATGTCCTCCCTCTCGATACGGTCAAAGCCGGCCTGGAATGTAAGTAACGCTATGAAACCCTTGCTGTTTTACATGAGGAGCTGACGACTGTAGTCCTTTTGGAGACTTTTCTTCTGCCTTCGCTCGTCGGCGCTGTAATGTGGATCACATCACATGCTCTCGAGCAGAATACCCACGACCTTGATATCACCATGCAAATTCTTACAAGGCTCATTCGTCCGACATCTATATCGGGAGAAGCGCAAGCCATGCACAGCACGATTGTTTCCATGGTCTCTCGAAGACTCGAGCGTTGTCTGAAGAGCATCCAACACCGTGAGCCCTCCCGGGCAGACATCAACCCATTGTTGGAGTCATTGCGCCCATACCACGACTACGAGCGAACACCCTGGAGTTCTTCCGCGGAGCTCGAGCCATGGATGTCGAATCCGGGTGCCTCTTTCCGTTCAGCGATTAAGTTCACAATGCAACACCTTACGAGCTGGAACTCCACCGCCGATCTCACACCCACACCGCCAGCGTACACACACCGCCAAATATTCAGCGCCCTGCAGATTGTTGGGGCGCAGAAGGTCCTTCGTGCCATTCTTGAGGAACTCAAGAACCAGACCGTGGCTGGTGCCGGGGCTGTTGCGCTTGATATCGCCGTCAATATTGTCTGCGCGCCGCTCCACGTCAATAGCTGTACACCGGTCTCATGGATTAACTCCCACGTGCCCATCCACAACCCACAAAGGAACGGATCCTTCAGTCTGCGTGAGATGCTCAAACATGAGCTCGATGACCCAGCTTCCTTGATTCAGGCGGATCCTGGTCTCGCAGAAGCAGCCATCCGTCTACACCGTCGGGTAGAAGCGCAACTTGCTGAGGCAGCGGCGGCCGGCGTTCATCTCCCCACATCTGGCACCACTGCCGCGGATGCTGCGGCCCTCGATGGAAGTCTCATGCAGGGTATTGAAATGGGCGACGTTAGCGTCGACATTTCGGCTGCAGGAGCAGCTGACGTTGCGTCAACCGCCGGTGGCGCGACGGGCGCCAACACTTCCACGGCAGCTATCGATCAGAGTGGACTAGACATCACCGCTGACCTTGGTGGTGCAGCAGACGGGACGGCACCGAGCTTGGATGACTTGGGCCTGGGTGGCGATAGCAGTATGGACGGCGTCTTGGATGCAGCAGGCACGGGGACGGCGGACGACGATGTTTTTTCAGGGCTCATGGGTTTCGATGATGATTTGAACTTTTAGCTGTTGATTTACATACAACATCAACGATATCCTTGAGAGTGCGTTCGTCTAGTGAAGCGTGAAATGCACAAAGCGTAGATAGACCATTAATCATCCGAAAAAGGAAAGCTGCCACATATCTCACTTGGATCTAAGCTGCGGGCATAATACTTGATCAAACTCCGGCGTTATTGTGCTTGTCTCTGGATCTCAAAGAGAAGGGATATCGGGCGGCGGCAGAAGTGGAGTGAAGAGGTAGAAAACCAACCAACAGCACACAGGCCATGACACCATATCGCCGTACAGCAAGGAGACAGACGGCTTTCAATCTACATCTGACCCTTGATCCTTCCTGACCGTCAATTCCCGCACATAAAACCTGCCCAAACATAAAAGCCCTTGCAAACCGTGACGTAAGTCGTGATTGCGCGCGAACCAACGCACCCAGGCCAGACTCTCAAGTCAGCTTCTGCTTGATGAAGAAAGCGCGAAGATGCGACAACTGCCAGGCGCAGGTCACGCCAAGCACCGCGACTTGGATCAACGTCCAGCGGACAACCTTCGCGTTGGTGGATTCGGACTGGTCCCTAAATTCCGCTTCCCGCTCCTGCAACACCGGTGTCAGTCAAGTCAACGCTCCCGAGACGATGGAACAGGGCTATCTACCCTCTGGAAAACCTGCTCGCGGCGAATATCCTGCAGCCTAGCGTTCAGGTCCCTGACTTTCTGCTGTAGGTCTTGCATCTTGTCCTTATCATCGCTCTCGATCTTGCTCGTCTCTCCGATGGCGAGGTCGAGGTCGAAGCGGATGCTGCCGGCCTGCTGGCCGCCGGAAAGCCAGCCGGAGTGAGTGGCGGCTCCAATTGGAGAAAAGCAGATGCGGTGCTCGCCGGAGTCGGCAGCGGAGAAGGTGAATTTGCCCTTGATCGAAGCGCCACGCTGCGAGACGACGCGGTGGTCGTTATCGAAGACTTCCTCAACACTGATATAGATCTGCACGTTGTTGTTCGGCGTGTAGGCGCGCAAGCCTTCGTCCCACTGTTCGGCATTGTAGTGGCCTGAACGCGCGATTGCGGTGGTTAGCAGAGGCAGGCAGCGCCCGGAAGCCGGAAGGAGTAGAAGTGCACGGCATGTACTCACCAACGACCAGCGTATCCTTGGGTAGCTCCTCGAAGAAGCACTTTTGGCCGTTGCCCTCCATGTAGAAGTACAGGGCATTGACGGGGACCAGCCAGGCGGCAAAGGCCAAGAGGGTGAGCAGGGAGCTGAAGCTCGGCATCGTAAGAGTTGAGCGAGCCATTGCAACTGGGGATACTGCTTGCGGGCGGAGAGCGTCGGCGGCAGAAACACGACACCAAGGTCGATCGCCAGGGACACCTGTCGCAAAGCTCCAGCACCGAAACGGAATAGCGTCCACGTGACATGCGCGCCTTCTCCAGCTCCGAGTTTCACGTTCAAAGCGTTACATGTGTGGACATTGTTCTATCAGCACTTGAGGGAAATGATTCTACGAACGACACGCTGAAGACTTGAATTGATATATCATTATCGCCTTTCAACTTATGGCTTCTTGATTGCAGCCTGCAAAGGTGGAATTGGTCAGAATCAAAGGCTGCATTCGCGAGCGAGGGGTGCATAAGTACCAGGTAACACTCCTTCAACTTCAAGAATTCCTTAACACACATGTCTTTGTGAACGTTGTTGTAGTCCGCCAGTATACATTTTCCGTAGGCGGCGCTCTGGGGTGAGCAGTCAGGCGGATGCTATTTGGACGTTCGGATAAGGTCATACCTGAACGGAGCACTTGGCGGCAGCCGATGCGACTTTCTCGATGGGACGTGTCCGGACTGGCATTTTCGCGGAGGATGTAGGAGAGGATGGTTCCCTCTCGGCGAGCGATGTCATCGGTTCTCTCGTCAAACGCATCAAACACGCCAAGAACTAGAGCTGCTCCCGCGCGTCTGTCAGCTCCACTTGCGGCACGCGTCTCTGCCTTTGTCGGTGCAACAACACCACAACACCTACACTTTCCCCGCACGCGCCCAATTTTTCCACAATCTTTTTGCTTTTCTATGCTAATGCTTGGTACTTTGACTCGGGCGCCTTGGTGTACTGATGAATCACATTTCATGAGCCACGACCATTCTACTACCACCGCCATAATTCCGCGCGCATGCAGCGCATCGCGACGACGAAGCCGAAGCAACAGCGAGAAGGATAACCAGCCACCACCACCACTTAATTCCACCCCATAGCCCGAACCGAATGCCCTCCTCCCGGCGACAACACCACAACCACCGCTACCCACAGCAACCTGTCGAGCCTGGCCCTACCTACGACGCAGACACATACCTCCCACTCAGCAACGAAGATGTCGAGGTTCTGTACACGATCGTCACCACGGCGCAGCGCCTGCACCACCATTCCTCGGCTGCGCCGCTACCGCCCTACCGCGCCCTCTTCACCGCGTACGACCGCGTCCTCGCCGACCGCCGCATTGACCCGAACCAGGATCGCGTCTACTTCCGCTTCCTGCTGCGCATGCGCGGCATCGACACGAGCACCGTTGGTGGCAGCGACATTGATGGCACGGCCACGCTGTATGGCCGCTTCGAGACGTTGCTGGGCGAAATGGGGATCCAGCTGGAGGTGGACGAAGGGGGCGCGGCCGGCGTGGTTGTCGAGGAAGAGGGGGACGAGATGGCGGTCGAGGATGACGACGGAGACTTTGGCGACGACGAAATCCAGGCTGTGGGAACGCCCGGTCTCCGGCCGCTGTCGAGGCGCGCAAGCTTCGACGATACGACGTTCCATCATCGAAGCAGGCCGTGGGACGACAGTGAGGATGAAGGCGAGCGGGATGCGATGTCGGGGAAGAGACGGTCGAGGAGCAGGAGGACGTCAGATGCCGCGCCGTCTCACAGGTCGAGGCGGCCCAGCAGCAGGATGTCTGATACCGCGGCTTTCTCACGGCGGCGCCGCCGCTCGAGTGATCGGGACGCGCGGCCAGCCATGCATTCTGGCTTTCCGCATAGAGGGAGGCTGAACTCGAAAAATCTAAGGCAAGCGGCCGAACATGTTCGGCGAAGCAGTCGACGGGGACAAAGCAGAGCTAGGTCTCAGTCCACCCAAGGGAGCCTTCGGATTACCAGGACCGAAGAAATACAGCGACCGGTGCGCGAGCCCGGATTTTACGATGCGGATGACTTCAGCACCGTGCCGTCCCGACGATCGTCCATTTCCGGTCCGGTTCCCGATGAACAGCACTTTGTCCCACCGGAAATGTTGTACAGACCGTCGCCGACCCAGATGCTGGCGGATGCGGACACGTTTCTGTACGCAAGAACGTTGTTCACGGCACGAAGAGCACTGCACATGTGGCGTGACCAGGCCATGGCACTGCGTGAACGAGAGGCCCAGATGGAAGAAGCTGCGGATCTTTTCAATAAGAAAAAGCGCGCCGATGCTGCGTTTGAGTCCCTGAGCGTTACCGTAAAGGCACGGCGAGCCGAACGGGAGACGGAGAGGTTCTACGAGCATAACTATCAGCGTGTTGCAAGGGCCTATCAAAGGTTCACATTGTGGAGAGCCCTCTCCCACTGGCATGGCAGCACTCTGAGAGCCATTGCGTTGACAAATCAAGCTCGTGAGCAAGTTCTCAAGCAGAGGTTGTTCAACGCTTGGTTCGAACAGACCGCAATCCAACACGAGAAAGTACGCCGGTTCACCCTCAAGAGGGGTTTCAAAACATGGCAGAAGAGGTATCATGCCATCAAGGAAAACGAAGACGTGGCTGAGACTGCGCACGCAACGAACGTCATCCAAAAAAGTTTGATGGCTTGTTATTGGGAGTTCACAGAGCGGAGAGCTTCCCAGATATACGACCAAAACCTTTTGCCAAAGGTGTGGATGATTCTAGTCGACAGGCTGCTCTTCATAAAAGATAGGGAGGAGGCTGTCGCCTTAATGGTCAATCGGGATATCAAGAGCAAAGCGTTTCATTCCATCGCGAACAAGATGTTCAATCTTCAAACGCTGGAACCCGCCGCAGACAATTTCCGGCAGCAGAAGCTCTTGGCACAGGCTTTTGGCAATGTCAAGGTGCGAGCGAAGCTCCAGCCGCTGGAGAGGCAATTGTCGCAACGGGTCGTGCGGTCTCGCGCCAAAGAGATCTTCGATGTCTGGCATGTGCGTGCCGAACAATCGGTGATGGCTACCAAACTCGACCGCCAACGCATCTTGGGCAATGCTTTCACTGCATGGAACGACAATCTGCGCTGCTCTGCGCTCAGAGCACGTATAGATAAACGTGTCATGCTTGAAGCACTTCGCAAATTGTTACTCGAGGCTCGAACCGCGCTTTTCATTCGAGTTCGGGAAGCGAGAACAAAAGAGCGAATTTTACGACAGTGGTCTGGGATGGTTAAAGATCAGAATGCGCGCCTGGCACGGACGGAGCGCATGTTCATTACCTACCAGGATACCCGGTCGAAGCGGAAGACTCTTAGTCATCTCCGTAACGTCCTTGAAGGCCGGAAGGACCGCGAGGCTCAAGCTCTGGCGCTCTACGAGCCTCGTCTCCTAAAGAAGACGTGGCCAAAGTTGGTAGAGCGACACAAGCATCTTCAACAACTCGAGCAGTGGGGATCGGACGCGCAGTTCTACACCGTTGCGACCCACGCTTTGAAGAGGTGGAAGGAAAGCACGCATCAAGCGCACAAGATACGGAGGCGTGAGGCGTATGTTACTATCAGACGTCGCACCAAGCTGTCTATGGCGAGACGTGCATTCGAAAGATGGCGGGGCAAGGCCTTGACCGTCGAATTCATGGAGCGTCAGGCCCAGGAACTACAGGAGAATGCCATACTCGGGATTGCGACGCGGCAGCTGGATCAGTGGCATGACAGAGCAGCATCTGTCGCTGAGATGGCGGTGACTGCGAACAATTTCCGTGAGCGGAAGCTTGCCACACGTGTTCTGGATGTCTGGGTTGCCAAGCTGCAGACAATCGCTCGAGATGAGGAGAAGGCTGCGGCTTTCTTGGAAGTGCACGTCGCAACTGAGGCAAGTGGTTGTCTGAAGAAGCTTAATTGGCGCCTTTTCCAAGTTCAGCGGCAACAACAGTCTGGCTATGCTTTGGCCGAGCGTAACTTTGAGAAGCATGTCAAGATTATCCTGAGACATTGGTCGGAGCGGATGCATCAAGGACGGCAAGATCTCGAAATCGAGCCAGCGCCGATCTTTGATGATGGAGAGAACCAGCAGATCGCGCTTGACCAGCAACACGAAGAGATGTCCGATCTCACGGGCGAGAGAGAACCAGAGAATGAAGCTAATGTTGCTCGTAATGAGCGATGGACTCCGTTTGATTCCTCAGCGCTCGACGTCGGTGATCTCAAGCTGAACCTCAACTTCGATCCTAACGTCCTGAACCGTCCTGTACTCCAACCAAGACCACCGGCCCGCTCCTTCTCACCCGAGAGGCCCAATCCGTTCGCCATGACGATCAGAAACCCCGACGCTGCCTTCGCCCCACCCGTCGCATCCACCCCGGTGCCTGCTTACCTGCGCTCGCCGTCCAAACGCAGCACCGTCAGGGCGGCAAAGGCTCGCGAGAGGCTGGCAGCTCTTTCGCTCAACGCAACCGACAGCCACCGGCCCCCTCACCCGCTGTCCCAAAACATTGTCACCGCCGCGCCCGTCGCCGTGCCCCCAGTCACAACATCCTTCTCTTCCTCCGCCGCGGCGCATTCCTCGACCGCTGCGGGCGGCGCGCCGTCTTACTCGGCCTCCACCTTCGCCCTCAACACCAACACGGGCAGCACGACGCCGATGGCCGCCCCCACCGGCTTCGGCAACACCTTCGGCGGCGGCACCAGAGCGCCCGGCACCGCGCCGCCGGCCATAATGACCAAGGCGGCAGCGCCCGGTGTTGTCGCTGACGAGAAGAACGACCGCGACAACGACGATGCCACGGCGTTCGTCGTCCCGAATGACGATGGCAGCGGCGGCGGGAATGCTGGACGAGCGACACCGAGGCGCAATTTCGGCGCCAGCACCATGCTCGCGGCGACGCCAGGCCGTGCCGCTGCCGGGAAGACGGCTATCACGCCGTTCGCGCGGAAGCTGACAGCGCAGGGGTACTCCACCGGGAAAAGCAGTGGTGGCGGCGGTGGTGGTGGCGCCGACAGCGTGAGGGGGAGGGCGAGAGCGGCGTATGGGGGCGTGGGGTTGGGTCTGGCGTCGTCGGGGATGAGGTTTGGCGGGTTTGAGGATATCAGGGAGGATGAGAGTCCGCGGGTGGTGGAGGGGGAGGAGGAGGAAGGCGCTGGACGTGGGAGTAGGGAGAGTTCGCCGTGAGTGAGTGGAAGGTTGTGCTCGGTTTCGTTTGGTCTGGGGGGAGGAATTTTGCCTGAGGTTAAAAGAGGGTCGTGGGGTGGAGCAAAGCTTTTGGTGGTTTTTGTTGATATCTTGTTCTTCGTCGAGCGTACTGTTGTTGCGTGGTTCTTTGGATATTTGCCGTTGCTGGTTGAGCTTATGGAGATACCCCCTTGTCTTTCTTTTCGAGCTTGCGCAAAAAGTTTACCATCTTGTTCTTTACGATAATTGAATGCTCGGTTCACGAGGAAGTATCACATTACGAGTGTGTTGCGCGAAAGTATCACTATATGCCTCAGCTTTCGAAAGCATTCTTAGCTATGCTAAATCAATGTTATCTACTCAGAGTCATCAGTGTTCGCTAAATGCGTCAGTGAGGATGACGCCGCTTTACTGAACGGCAGCACGCTAGAACCTTCAGAAAATCATCACAATTAGCCCTATATTTGTCATGCAAAACATTACAAATGTATGAAGTACCTTATCGTACGCCAATCTGGTACCAGTCCAGCAATTTGATTGGATGTATGCCAAATTGTGGCCCCTCAGTTCGGCTGTAAGAGTAAGAATCTTATTGGAGGACTAAAACCAGCTCGGCTTCGCCACGTTGTGAGATATGTTTGGTTTTTAGCCCAACAATACGCGAAACGGGTGATCTTCCAAGAAGAAACACTCATTGATAAACCACAAATTTGGATTGCAATTTTCTCTTTGTTGTACGAGCAACAATCCAAAGGAAATCGTCTCTATACAGCCTTATCACCCCAGCCATGTATATTTTTCTGTCTCACTCCTCTTAGCCTTGCGGCTTTTGGGGAAGTTGTCTTGGCTTGCGGGGGCTTACAGCCATAAATATACTCATTGCGGCCCACTAAGCTTATCCCCGCTTTCGTCATCGCAAAACGTCTGACGTCTCCTTTCCACTAATACTGTAGAATCTTACGCAGAAATTAGCAGACTTGCTTCTCTCGCTTGATCCGACTAAACGCGCTCTCTTACGTTCTTCCACAGTGTACTCCCACCATAGCCTTGTTGACTGGCGCGCTTTGAGACAACAGCTCGATATAGAAGACCAGCACTGTTATAAGAGGAAAAAGCAGCGCGATGTATCACATCGTACTTCTCCTTGTAACCCTCTTCATTTTCCCGTGCGCGACCCAAACCCCCACAGGAGAGGAGTACCCTCTTTCCACTGACGGCTTGTGCGGGTCGGATAACGGAATGATGTGTCCTCCCAACAGTTTTGCACCTTGCTGTAGGTGAGTTTTCGTCCTTTGAATGGTTCAGCATGTAACGAGGGTCGTATCTTACAAGTTTGTAGTTCAAGCGGATTTTGTAGAAACGGTGATGACTCCTGCAGCTATCCTGACTGTCAGGAAGATTACGGCAGTTGTGCAGGAAACGTTTCCACGTGCAACTGGCCTGAGAACGGCGGCCCCCGATGCGATGGCAGGTGCGGATCCGCGTACGGCAACACGCCCTGCAATGCCACCGCTGGCTCTGACGACCTCGCGAACATTGGTGTGTGGGCATATGGCCCATGCTGCAGCTCCGGAGGGTATGAACTTTCAACAATATTCACTGCTGTTTCCAATGCTGACGATATTAGATTTTGCGGAAATACTCCTGAGCACTGCCAACAGGGTTGTCAAAGCGGTTGTGATGACGGTTACGGCCCGAATTCAACATCTTCTACTACTACGTCCTCTGGAACTGCGTCCCCAAGCGCCCCACCTACTGCAACCCCATCCGACGGTCTTCAAACAAATACGAAAGTCGGTATAGGTGTAGGGCTGGGAGGCGGCGCCATCGTGGCTATAACATTCTTGGCATGGTATTATCTGCGTCATCGGAAGAAAAGTCACGGAAAGGAAGAGGGTCAAATACATGAAATCGACGGCGTGAAGAAGGACCAAGCGTCAATGGCTGAGTTACCGTCTGATTACGGAAGGACAGAGCTGGAGGCTCCTTCTCAGATTCATGAATTACACCATAACAGAGAGCCAGCAGAGCTCCCTGGAAGCTGAGAGGATAAAAAATTCATCTTTGTATCACTATATCCTTTCATACTCCATGCAATCTCCGAAAGAACCGGTATGATTTATTGTCAATTAGAACGCCCTTAACCTTCAGGCAAGACTTGTTCTTTTCTTCTTTATTCTGTTCATTCAATGCTCGGAGGTTGTTTTCCGGCATTCCCGACAACACGTCCGAGGCGGAGAAGCAGAGGGCTGTCACAAGGAACCCACAATCCCGGTCTCATACCGGAACCCTGATTACGTGCTTTACACAGAACTTTCTCCTTGCTAGCCTGGACTTCTAAGCTCGTGGATTGTATGTTATTCCCAGATCTGTCCCGCTCTTCACGCAAGGTGATAAACGCTTCATTTGTCAAGAGAATGTATTGCCCCATTCGGATGTCGCGAGCCTCCCTTGTGATGTGCGCGATGACTAGAAAGCCTTGCCCCTTCGCTTCATTTGTGCTAGACAGTAGATGGGTTGGTTGTGTGCGCGGACGATATACACATACAAATACCATTGATGGTCACCCGCTTGGCGAATCTGACAGGCATGTGTAGCCGCGGGTAGGTTAAACAAATGTATCTTCTGAAACAGTACTGTAGATATCCAGTATGCGAAAAGACATTCAAGCAGTGGTGGCAACATAGCGTCGTACGATGTTCTTCAGTGACGTCGAAATGAACACAGATAAAGTTAAATATATTGAGGCGGGTCGTTCCGCGGTATAGGGCCGCCGGCTGGTAAAATAAAAGAGATATACATTAGCAAAACAAGGATTCCCTAGTCTCGTGTCTAGAAAGATCAAGAAGAGGAGCTCTAGTTTATACCGGAGAGGGATGTCGTAGAGACTGCGTACGACGCCGGCATCCGAGATAGCCGGGGGCCCAGGCCTTGTCGGAGCAATCTCTGTGGCTAGAGATAGATTGCCGCAAGGGCTCTCCCCGAACAGTCACCTGTTCATGCCGCAGGACGCTGCCATGGGCTGTGACCAATCATGCAGGCGGCCCCGATATTCGCACGCCAATCCCTGGCCAGTCCTCCACCAGTCCCCCGCTCAGTTCTTCTCCACATCGAACACGATGTCGTTCTGCTTCCTCAAATCCGTCGTGATTCCCAGCACAATCCTACTCATCTCCTCCAGCTTCTTCGCCGCCGCCGCATCCTTCTCCCCGATTATCCTTGCAAATTCCGCGGCCTCTTCTTGCAAGTTCAACTTCGCCTTCTCGCCCGCCAACTGCGTCTTCTCCTTCTTCTTCGCGTCCAAGAAGACCACGCTGTCGATATCCGTCACCCCGTTCACGATCAGCGTGCCCTTCTCGCCGTATACCTCGCTTGGCGCCGCCGACGTGTAAATCTTGCTCTGGTTGATATCCACCGCGAAACCCTCATACTGAAGCCTGACGAAACCGCCGCCATCCGCGCCCGTCGCGATGAAGACCGGGCTGTACGACTGCGCCTTGGGCTTGCCGAACAGCGCGACGGCGGCGGCGATGGGGTATACGCCGAGATCCACCAAGCAACCGCCCGAGAAGGCGAGGCTGAAGATGTTGGGCGTCTCGCCGGCTAGCACGGCGTTGTAGCGCGACGAGTACGACGCGTAGTTCAGGCTCGCGCCGTAGATGGGGCCCAGCTTGGCCAAGCTCTCCTGCAGCACCTTGAAGTTGCGCTCCTGGATGTGCCGGTTCGCCTCGATCAGGAACACGCCCTTCTCCCGCGCCAGCGCGTGCAGCTCCTCGAACTCGGCCACCGTCGACGTCGCCGGCTTCTCGAGGATGACGTGCTTGCCGGCGCTGAGCACGGCTTTGGCTTGCGCGTGGTGCAGCGAGTTCGGCGACGCGATGTAGACGGCGTGCACGTCGGCGGCGGCGCCGAGTGCTTCGAGCGAGGTGTACGTCGCCGTCACGCCGTGCTTGGAGGCGAATGCGGAGGCGGATTCCTGCTTGCGCGAGTAGACGCCGACGAGCTTCCAGGCGCCCGTCGCATGGGCCGACTCGATGAATGAGTCGGTGATCCAGCCCGTGCCGATGACTGCGAAGTTGAGCATTGCTGAAACGGTTCTGAGGGAAAGGAATTGGGTTGTGAGGAAAGAGAGTGTGATGGTCGTGTTAGAGTTCGCTGCTTCGGTCGCCAATTGCCCCGCCATCCCACTATTTCGCGTTACATCATCCGGGGTGGAGACCCCTCCGCCTGGACCTTCCCGGCAAATGGGTTCCGTTCTTGGAGAGCGCGAACCATAAGCGTCTCAATTGGGTTTGTAAGTAGTCTTGGGGTCCGGTATAATTGATGATTTGTCAGTGGTAGGCATTTCAGTGCAGGTAGCGAGGATCGAGCTGCATCTCGCCCTTTCCATTTCGACTCTAGTCGAACCGCACCGACTCCACCCCAGATCTGGACCCTAACGTTAAGGAACAGGACTAGCTTGTTATGACCACACACCACTTGCAAATGAGAACCGAACGTGTGGAAAGATCGAGCATGTCATGCATTCGTCTTCTAGCATTGACTAAGTCCATCTGCAAAACTACATAGCCTCATTCGCCGAGAGCGCGCGAGAGAGCAGACCGATAAAAGGATATACAACGACTGGGTATCATGGCTCTCATGTACTGTGCTGTGTCTTGTCGCTCGGAGGGTGTCCGCCAGACGAAATCAGAGAACGCCTGCTACAAAAGTGCCGTAAAAACGTCAACGCCGTCATACAGAGTCAAGGAGAGTCGAGAAGAAAAAAAAGAGAAGTAGGAAAAACTGATCGTGTGGCCTCCAAAAAACTCCGAGAATGCTTGTGGTACAATGCCAACTTCGCTAAAAGGAGGTGCCCAAGCCGGTGGTCTTGTTACAATCTTTTTTTTTTGTTCCGTTGGTTCTTTGTTGCTTGCTGTGCTGCCTTCGGCACAGATGCTTGTTTTCGTCGGACTGAGCACCGGAAGTCCTTCCGTATGCTTACTTCAACATCTCAACATCAATCTTCCCAGATGGTTTCCAAGTCGAGGTCTCCTCTCTTCTCAGCACCGCACACACTCCAGCGCTTGCGCTTGTCCCGGCTGTTCATGCTGAAACCCATCGGCCTGGCGCGAGGAACGTCGAGACTGCTCCGCCTCATCCCTTCAGCGCCACGCTCGGCAGCCTTGGCCGCCATCTCCATCCTCGCAACCTTGTCAGCCTCAATGGCTGCCTCCTCGGCATCGGGCGAGTCTTCGATCGTCTCCAAGCTAGAGATACTGGGGCTGCGGGAGCGCATCGACGTCGGCGTAGACGGCACCGACGACGAAGAGTGGGAGCTCGGGTAGACTGCGGGGAAGGGCTCATTGAACTTGGTCGCAGACAGGGTTGGCGAGGGCTGCGAAGGCGTCGACGGGGAGCTCCCGTTGAAGGAAGAATTCGTGTTGTGCAGCGGCGACATGGGTCTGCGCCGCTGACGGAATGCGTTACCAGCGTGCATGTTCAGGGCCGCAGAGCTGTCCAGAGAGCGGCGCGGGGCAATGTTGAGCTCCTGCTCCTCCGAGATTATGCCAATGTCCGAGACGCTCGAGGCACCGGACGGGGGGTATGATTCGTCGAATTTCAGCGAGGCGCGAACACGAGCGGGAGAGCGCATGGGGCTTGAAGGTCTTGGGACCGCGGCGCTGTTCATGGTGCTTGTCGGGCTCATGGGAGTGGGTGAGGAGTGCGCGCGAGTCATGACGGGGGCAGTAAGTGACGTGGAGCGCAGGTGAGGCCTGGCATAAGGCGAGCGGTTCCTTGTTTGCGGCGACATGTGTGGTGACAGCAGCGAAGAAGGCGCCGGGTCGGTAGAGCGGCGCGGAGTCTCGGGGCGGTTGGAGCGCATTTGAGGCAGCTCTTCGAGGCGGTCCTTCTCCTCCAGGCGCAGCTCCTTGAGGCTCTGGATGGTTGAATCAGGCATGGGCGGAGCGGACTTTGCCTGGCTGCGACCCACGAAGGGTCGGTCGCCAGGCTGGGGGGCGGTCTCGTTCATGGTCGGTTGGGTTGGGCGAGGCACTGCTGAGGCATATCAAGCGCGACTGGGACAGGTTGCGCTTCGAGTCGATGCAGAATCTAGGCGCAGGGCGGTCGCGAGGGCGGGATCCGGTCGCTTGGGGTTGGGCGCAAAGGGTTCGCTTGTCGCGCGTAACCTTGGGCCGGAGGATTTCAGAGCGCGTGGAAGCTGAAGAGGCACGGGGCTGTGAACGAACGGGCGAGACTGGACCCCTAACAAATACTGGGCCTGGACGCGGCGGCAGATGGCGGATGCCGTCGGGGCTTCACGCGGACAAAAAGGCGGCAGGCGCGCGAGGGGCCGGGTGCATGCTGCAGCGCAAGACGGGCACGACGGCGGCAGGAGCGAAGGGCGCGGGCAAGAGAGAGATATGGTGTTTCCGCAGCGCGCGCTGGGTGTTTCGAGGGTGCGGGCGCCTGTTCGCCTTTTGCAGCGGGACCCTGCGCTCGGCTTCGCAGCGCCCAACCGCAGCGCGGCCTGCGCTGGCAAAGATTCAGCTACACCGCCGTCATCCTTACACCCCGCGTCATCCCAAGCACCATCGCCGCCCAATGACGCCGCTCTGCAGCCAACAGGGCTGCCCGAGTCCCTGACGATCGCCATTAGTTCAAAGAAGCTCGTGGCCCGCTGAGTGGAACCCACGCGCCAGTGCAAGCCTCAAGCCACAAGCTGCGACCGCGAAGCAAACGGCTCAAACGCTCGCCGCGCGCACCCCCACAGACAGTTGCGCACCGACCTCCGGCCGCCGAGAGGGATCTTGCCTGCGCCGACAACCCTGTGCGTTCCTTAATTACAACATCTGCTCGCCGAGCTCTCCACGTCATTCATCGACCGCGGTCCTTGGGAATATGCTGGAACATGCCTCCGCGCGATCGCGTTTCATCGCAGCTAGCACAGCCGCAGAAGGATGAAGAAGCACGCCGGCGCTCGGAGATGGCCGTTGCATGAAGGGGGTTCTAAAAACGGCAACAGACGCCCTACAGGCTGCATTGTAGTCTTCGGGCTGGCTGCTGACCGACGAATGGAGGCATTATTAACTACTACAGCTATAGCCACGGATCGCATCCCTCAGTTGACCCTACGAAAACTCTTCACCCGGCGCAGGTCCCGCTTGCTGATCCCCATGGTGGTGCGGCGAGCCCTGCGCCTCGCGCTCGAGTCGCCATCGCTTGCATCTGCCGCCGCCACATCGCCGCAGTCTGGCACTTGCAACTTCTGTCCAAACACGTCCGCGGCCCAGATCAGCACCCCGTTGCTCCAGCCGAACCCTTCGACCACTTCATACTCGCCGCCTCCACCCGCTGCATTGATGTTCTCGTCAGAGTATTTTTCGAACATGATGCCATTTCCCTCAGTACCGTCGATCTTCGGAAAGCTCGGCGTCGAGCCTCCTGTCGCTCGCCATGTGCAGAAAGATGAATCCAGGTACCTTTGGGCGATCCTGAGCGCAGTGTCCTGCGTCCAGACGTACTCCTCGTCGTCTTCGCCAAAGGTAGGAGGAACGTTGAGCAGACCCTTGATGATGACGTACTGGAGGTTGGGCCACACGTTTGGCTGATCCCACTGCTCACCGGTCGCCAGGTTGGTAGCGGCAAGACCGCCTGGATTCTCGTCTAGTAGCTGCACCACGTGCGAGTACGCGTTTCTGACAGCGAGGGGGTTGTTCTTGAGCGAATCCGGCGCTGCCCCTGTCCAGAACGGATAGTATTGGGCCGGCGTGAAAGATAGCTGCTCGCCATTGGGTGCCTCAGCTCCCGACGTCTCATTAGTGGTCGAGGTATTGTCAGCAACGATGAAGACGTTCTGGCTATGAGAGGTTAAGTTGTAGTCGAAGTAGGCAAAATGGTCCTCGTTCCACATGAGATCGTAGATGGCTTTGCTGCGATCCGCCGCTCGCTCACTCCACTGGGCGGCCGCAGTGTCGTTACCGGTCAGATTATGGAACTCGGCGATGGCCGTCTCACAACCATACAGGATGGAATTCAGATCTACAGGCACCACTTCTCGGGTGTTCAGGCTACGCAGCGGGAAGTAAACGTCGTCGGCAGCATCTTCGGGGTAACGCAACCAGCGAGACGAATAGTCCCATCCAGACTCAGCGCCGCTGGCCAAGTTGGAGTAGAGGAGCGCCTTCGCTGAGTCATTGAGATCGGTACCGGGATAGATGATTCCGTTTTCGGAGTAGTAGGATTCATTGTTTGCCGTCTGGTAATCCTCCAGGTATGACTCAGGCCGGGGCTGATTGTTCTCGACTGCATAATGGTTCAGGGAATACGTCTTGTTGTCTTTTTGGATCGCTACGGTGCGGTTAGTGGTCCAGAACTCGTATTCCTTCTCCAAAAGGGGAATGGCGCGGTCGAGGATGGTCGTGTTCCCGGTGTACTCGACGTACGTCTTGACCATCAGCGCCAGCACAGGAGGCTGGGATCTGTTTAGGTAATAGAGGCGAGCTCCGTTCGGGATGAAGCCAATAGTGTCGACGAGGTCCAGAAAGTTCTCGATGATGTTGCCGGCGATCTCGGTGAAGGAGCCCTTGGTGCGCAGCAGGCCCTCGAGGATCCAGAACGAGTCCCAGTAGTAGGCCTCACGGAAGCGGCCGCCAGCGACGACGAAGGTGCGGTTCAGCGGGATGAACGAGTCGACGCAGCCGCTGCAGTTGGCGGCGCCCACGTAGCGCCGCGTCAGGTCGGGCCAAATGTCGACGACCTGGCCGACGAAGCTCCTGACGTCGGCGTCGGCGACGTGATCGAGGAAGGTGGCGTTGGTGGTGAGCTCGTCCGCCGGCACCGCCTCGAGCTCCGAGCCGGCATCGCCGAAGTACGTGTCCAGGAACGTGTTGAGTTCGGAGTTGTTGGTGATTGGCTGGCTGAGCTGGGCGAATGCGGCCAGGACTTCGTCTAGAGGCTTGATCGTGGGCCTGGGTGGAATGTTAGTCTCGTGAGCCGGAACTCGTTGCCGAAGAAAACGTACAGGTCGACAAAGGTTTTGGAGTCGGAATATGGCGCGGCCAGCTGGATGGCTTTGAGAAGCTCTCCATGACAGTAGATGGGAGAGTCGCAGGGAGCCGTCACACTGCCATTGACATATAGAGCTGCGGCGGAGGCAGCGAGGGCAGTCAGGCCCCAAACAGACTGAGTGATAGCCATGTTCGCTCGCGCGCGAGAGGAAGAACCACTCGTCTGCAGAGTCAATGGCCGGAGGGCGCGCGCAGGATTATATTAAAAACAATAAAACGTGAAGGTTAAACTATTTGCAGCACCCTGGGTGACGTGGGGGAGGCTTGCGGCGAGGTTACGCAGTGGCTTTGGGGAAGAGTTCGTGTCCCCTGTTGTCATCAAGGCTTACCCAGTTTAGCCTACCCCTCACCGACTGGGATCGTGCTCCTGGTGCCTTGATCGGCTGTCCGTTTGGCAAACGGAGCTGCGGCTGCAAAGGCTGGAGAGACTCAGCCGAGTAACATTGCTCTCAATTCCTAAAGTTGCGTGTAGAGGATATAAAAAGAAGCCGGCGGAAGACGACGGAGAACAAGGGGTAAAAGAGCTATGTCATGCATGCTTTGGAGGAAACAGAGCGTGAGTCGTGAAGTCAGCGGGCAGGCGCGGCACATGTGGGGAGGCCAAGCGCCGCGCAGCTGCCTCCAAAACGCCTCTCTCGTCACTCTCCGTCACTCGACAGTTGAACCGAGGACCACACCAGCGCCCTTTCCGGCCTCCTGCACTCTCCACTCGTCTTGTCTCGTCCGCACATGGCTCGCGCGCGTGACCTTGGCTGCTGCGCGAACGCCGTTCTATCCGGGCTCATGTCGCGCACCGTCAACGCCCGGCTGACTATGCTAGCGTCTCAATGAGCCTCAATCCCAATTACGCGCTAGGCACGAACATCACGTAAAGACCCCGCAAATACCCCCATGTCCTTGCACCGGCCTATCTAAAAATCTCCGCTAGCCATGATTCGATATCCATTATTACATTCCATATCGAGGCTCTCTCTTATAATGCAACAACTGCGGCAGCGTCGTGCAACTTTTGTGCTTTTCAATTTCACCGCAATCAAAATCATCACTGTGGTCGCTGGAGCCATTCTCCATCCTGCAAAACGCTTTTTTATCTCTTTATTGTCTTGAATCTAGCAGTCTCTCATTTCCTATTTATCTTCGGGACTTACCTTTGAGCTATTGTCTGTCATGCAGAACTTACTTTGAGCCGTACCTACCCCGCAGATCAGCCACCACTTTGCGCCAGTAGTCGAGGTTCTTGAGGGCCAATTCGTACGACACAGGATCGCCAACTGGATCCTCCAAGCGCAACAGCTGGAGGAGAAACTCGAGCACGACTTCGGAATGAGGAACTACATCGTTGATGGAGATCTCATACAAGTCGCACTGCTTGAGCCGCTTGTCTTCCCTTTTGGCCAGTTGAATGTACTGGAACCAGATCTGGAAGTAACAGACGATTGCTTCCAGCTCGTCCCTGTCCACCGTACGTCCGGATACTTCGACCTTGATATTTGGCGTGCCGTCGATATACTTCTCAATCGTGCAAAGCGGGCACGCGCACTTGAAGCCGTAGCTGCTGAGCTTGTCCTGGCGCGTTTCGTAGCTATCGACGTCGACGTACGTGCAAAACAGCTCTTCTCCTGCTGTGATATTGCGCGTTGCCTCCATAGCCTGTGATCCGTCAGCATAGGCGGTCTGCATCATGTTGTTGGCGCAATTGTGGTTCAGCCTACTGTTGAGCTCGTACACAGCCCCATCGAAGTCAGAATGGCCGGACGCCCCGAAGCTGTTGGTCCAGTAGATCGCCGTGACGTAAGCGATGTCTTCGAGGTCTTGCGTCCACTTCTCCAGGCTATCGCCCAGCTTGTTCCTGATCGTCGTGCGAGCCGTTTCCAAGTTTGGGGTCGAGGGAAACAACTTCAGATAGGCTTCCCGCTCATCCTGAGACCGCAAGAGGAAGTGGCTCCAAACGCTGAAGGGATTGCTTCCCTCCTCTCGACGCTGTATGACCAAGATCGGCATTTCCTCCATGATCTTGGTGCCGCGTGGAATGTTATTCGTCGCGAACGTCGCCGTTCCACGTCCCGGAACCTGCCGGAATTCGTACAGAGCCATTTTGGTTGAGTGGTCGGTGCTTTGTCGTGGTGTTTTGGTCCTTTGGATTTCTGTTCACTTGCAACCAGTGCGAGTAAGATCCGTGGCGGTAGCGACCGACTTCATGAGCGCGACTTGCGGGGGAGAGTATCCAAGGGAAAGTTCTCGTCGAGTTTATATAACTTCGAATTCCGTATAGTATATGAATATTGCATTGTACCGCCGACTGCATTAGAAGTAGGTAACTCTGAGCCATTGGGGAACTGCTGTGTGAGTCGCTGACATCTGCGACAATAAAGGCATTGTTTTCTCCAGTGCCAGCATTGTTCAGTCACATTGCAACACAAGCCATTTTTCCAGTGGCAGACAAAGCCGTGTAGTTTGCGAAATGAATATAGTGAATTTGAGGAGGCAAGATGAAAGACAGAATACCTACAGGTAGCATGGAATATATACGCTGTCAAGTGGTTAACTACAAGCGGAGTAGTAGCAAACAACAAACGAAAGGAGCGAATGGCACGGAATCTACCAGATAGTCCGTTAGAACTTAAGCACAAGAATGGAAATTTCGATCGGCAGGTCGGTAATGTGGTAGTGGAGGCCGCAGCTGTGGTCGTAGACGCCTTTTCCCTGTGCACTCAACTGTACGGCCGCTGCGATGTAGTTGTTTTTTTAGGAAAGTAGATATCATGTGGCCATTACATCATTGTTCATAACGATCTACTTACACCGCCTGTTTTGCCCCACATCTACCCGAGCCTTCCAATTCTTGCATTATCTGTGGTAATCCCATCAAAATCTTCGTGCAGACCATCCGGAACACACTGGAACTTGATTATCATGAAAACGGCGTTTACCGACCTTCCGGATGGGCTCCTGGAGAAAATCGCAGAGCATCTCGTTCCCACTACCCCGGATTACAGGACGAACCCTTGCTACCAACAGGCCAGGAGGCCCCTCATCTACGACTTCTGTCGCGTTTCCAGGAAATTTTATAAAATCGGAAGACCGTTGTTGTACCGCAGATTCGTCAACGACAATGACCCACAGGCGCTGAGCCAGTTCATCTCGGCCCTCATTCGAGAACCAGCTCTCTCAAGTCATCTGCGCACCCTCATAATCGGAGAGTACCTGGGCCCCATCAACACTGACAAAGAATGCGATTACGACCCGGGCTTCAGGGACCGGCTTGCCAAGCGTGTACATGAACTGGACTTGTTCAGCGAACGGGAAAGGGACCTGTGGATCAAAAGCCTGGAAAGCGAAGAATACGAGGCGCAGGTTGCCTTTCTGATGGCAATATCCCCTAGTCTGGAGACGGTCGACATAGCGTACGGCAATTTCAGCTTCGGCCGCGCCTACATCTCCTGGATTGTGCGCCTCATCTCCTGGTCCATCCAACACGACCCCCAGGATGGCCAACTCAACGCCCTCCCTTCTCTCCGGCGCTTTATGGTTCGAGAGTCGCCAAATTCCGTCTACATGGGCGACTACCGTTTTTGGGAGGTCACCATGTTGCCGTTTCTCCGCACCGCCGAATTGCACCACCTCACCGAGACGAGAATGGGGCTACCGTATTGGCTGGAAAAGATAAGCGGCATCGAAAAATTCGTCGTTCGCCCGCGTGCTTCTCACAACGTCCAACTTCTCAAGAGTTCGATGCGGCTTTGTAAAGAACTGAAGTCGGCCACAATTATTTGGGATCCCGTTGAAGACCGCGACAGACCTCTTGACATCGAAGGCGTTGTGAACGGACTGCGATTGCACCAATCATGTCTTCGATCACTTTCACTGGAATGCTTCATTGAACCCGGGTCTCTTCCTGATCCCCTGCCGCTGCCCTCTCTCAGAGACTTTGCAAAATTACGAAATATACGCATCAGCGGGGCTTATTTGGAGGCAAACTTCAAAGATGGCCAAGGCCAGAGCGCACCTGATTTCCCGCCTTCTCTGGAATCTCTTACTATCGAAAGTTTCGGGAAGGACACATTGCGCTGGCAGAATTACGTCTCTACGCTGTTGGAGAACGAGAACCTACCCTGCCTGCGTCATGCAAAAGTAGTTCTTTCTCCAACAGCGTGAGAATATCATTGCTGTGGACTTCTGTAGGGTGAATACATGTTTTGGGGTTTTTATTTCATTGATACCTGCGGCCTATGCTTTAATAATGGTAATACGGGATGGAAATACACTCTCACAAGAAATCAATATTTGGTAACACTTATATAATTGTCTTCATCTCTACAGCCGGTACCCGTCGTGCAGTTGCTTATAGCGGGTGGTCTATGCACTTCATCTCCTCATCTCTCTGTATAACGTCTACGTTCCTCCACTCTAAGAAACATACGGAATCGGCTTGACGCTCTCAATATCGACGAAGCCGCAATGCACCATGTCCGAGTCCTTGGCCATCTTCTCGCCCCAGGCGCCGATGTCCTTCATGAAGGCCTTCTCGTTCTCCTCGTCGCTCATGTCGATGGGCTCGTGGTCCTTGCCGAGCTGGCGGATCTGCGAGCCGGCGATGACGTTGGACAGGGCGAAGTCGTTCTGGGGCGGGCGCTGCTGTATGGCCGACTGAACCTTGGCTTGCAGCAGGTCCTTGGGCAGGCGCGGCTCCTGGCACGCGGGCCGGCCCAGGCCGACGCCGTCGACGGACTTGAGGGCGTCGACCATGGCGGCGCCCGTCTTGAAGCCGCCGGTGACGTACGTCTTGGTCTTGGTCAGCGCCGGGGCGATCATGTCGGCGAACTCGAGGAAAAAGGCCTCGCGCTTCTTTGAGGATTCCCTGCGAAGTGGTGACATTTTAGTAAGCTGTTGTTGCTTTGAAGAAGTGAATGCAATACGTACCTCTCGTGCTTGAAGGCGAGCTGCTCGTAGGTGCCGCCCGACAGCTCGACGAAGTCGAACTTGTTCTCCTCGAGCAGGGCGCACAGCTTCTTCGCCTCCTCGGGTTGGAAGCCCTTCTCTTGGAACTCGACCGAGTTGAGCTTGATTCCAAGAATAAAGCTGGGGCTGGTCCGCCTGCGGATCTCTTGGCCGATTTCAATAATGAGACGCTAAGCACCATGAAATGTCAGCCTGCTGCCCCTTCCAAGCGGAGTCTCTCTCTCTCCCACTCACCGCCCTATTCTCCAACGGCCCCCCATACTCATCCGTTCTGCGGTTCGTCGTCTCCGACAAGAACTGCGCCAACAAGTACCCGTGCGCGCCGTGCAACTCAACACCGTCGAACCCCGCCTTCTCGAGATACTCGGCCGCATGCGCGAAGCCATCGACGAACCCCCTAATCTCCTCCGCGCTCGCGGCGTGCGGCTTTTCGAACGTCATCCCCAGCACGCTGCCCTTCAGCTGCACGTCCGACGCCGACACCGGGTCCTTCTGGATCCGACTCTCGCACTGGCGGCCCGGATGCGACACCTGCGCCACAAGCAAACTCCCGTCACCGCTCTCCTTCGCCGCCCGCGCCACCGCCGCGAAGCCCTCGAAGCGCGCGTCGCCCGCCGTCGGCGCCGCGTCACGCGGGATGACAGAGCTCCCGACGGCTTCGAGCTGGTCCAGCGCCAGCATGACGTTGCCCGTCAGCACGACGCCCCAGCCGCCCGCGCCCCAGCGCCGGTACACGTTGGCTAGCGCCGCCGAGGGGATGCCGCGGGCGGCAAGGTCGGTGGGGGACCACGAGGAGAGGCGCTCCGACATGGCGGCTTTGAGGAAGCGGTTTGGCGCCGTTTTGCCCGAGAAGGGGAAGGTGAGGGGTGCGCCAAGCGGAGAGAGGTCGACGGGGGAGGAGGGGGTTGGGTAGCGGGGTGATGGTGCCATGGTTCTTTGTCTCTGTCTTTTTCTTTTTTTGAGATTTAGTCTTTTAGGTCTGCGTGGATGCTTCACCAGATAGAAAATGGAAAGAATAGAGACAAATAGATGGAAAGGACGTGAGTCATTTATGAGGAAGATGTGAATTCGAAAGTCAGGTGATGATGACAAGAGTGAACAGCGCCGGACGAAGGCGCCGGACTTAATCGCTATTTCCCTCTGCTGCCTTGGTCGTTTGATGTGCATGGTCCAAACCTAGGCCCAATGGCAGCTAAAACTGGGGTAAGCTGATTATAAATAGTTCGGATGGGATACTGTTTAGGGTAGTATTAGAACGCATGCTCTTCCGTTATCCCCGAGGTGGGGGCGGCAACCGGCGTGGCTGCCTGGAGTCGCCAAGGGGTCGCATAGCTTCGTTAAGCGTGACAGCGGAGATAAGCTCGCAATGTGTGAAATAGAAGTGCTTAATCCTACTACAGCAGATTGTTGTCGCTTCAAGAAAAAGGGCAATTAATGCCGCAGTGTAGATAACTGCAGAGTGGGCGCTTGAAATATTGATACTAAAGTGATGCTCATCGGAACTGGAACCACAGGCTGAACAAGAGCTTGCCTTCCTCTTTTGTGCTACAAAAGAAGAGAATTGGTTTCGAGCATCATGGGGTATCCCACACCATCGCCGAAAGCTGACCACCTCTGGCTGAAAGTTTTATCTGCGTAATAGTCATACTTGGTAGGCGGAGCGTGTTTCGGGCTTCTTCCCGTTCTTTTTGCCCCTCGATATCGAGTGCGAAGCGGTTGGATGGCGAGAGCAAGGTTGTGGACATCAGTGTGCACATAGCTTGATTTCTCGCGCTCTTCATCACTTCGCCTGATGCTCTTTCTCTGATCACAGTCTTACCTTTGCTGTGCTTCTCTTGACCTTTCGGCTATGTGCTTGTGTGGAAAATTCCAGGTTCGAGCAAGCTTCAAGTCAAGAGCTGCACCGGACTAAAGCGATAGTGAAACCTGCAAACTTCTGCTCGTAGCTCGAGTTGGGTATGGCGAGGAAATAATTGTTTTGGTCGCAAGGAATGGTGAGGAGAGGCTGGTGTGGATGGGATGAGGTCCGGGGGCGGTTACCGCCGGATCAACTGGCTCTCCGCGCACTTCGGGCCCACAAGCGCGGCTCGAATAGCACAGCGCAGCACGACAAAAGAGGGCCTCAGCGCCAGCCCTAGAGAAAACAAAGCAAAGCAACAGCTGCGCGGAGGATGCAAATGAAGTAGGAAGGAAAAGGGATCCTCCGCAAATAAAAATTAAATGATTCAGAAATGACGTCAAGGCGGGAAGGCGAATGATAGGTTGTGCCTACCCCTCCATGTGGCCGCCGCACGCGTTGTGTGCCTGCTGTTGGTCCCCCCGCCGTTTTATTAAGTAACCTCTCTCACACTTCGTTCTTCTCGATCCTCCAACCCACCCACCGCCGCAGCGCAACACCAACCCCCTCCGCGCAGCAGCCATGCCCAAGAACAAGGGAAAGGGCGGTAAGAACCGCAGACGTGGAAAGAACGAGAACGTGAGCCTCGCCCGCCCCCACGCACCGCTGCAACCGCCGCCCTCGCTCTCCGTCCGCAACAGCTGCGAGGACGCGACGATGGGCATCAGAACGAACCCGCGCTAACGCCCGTCTTCCTGCAGGACCGCGACAAGCGCGAGCTGGTCTTCAAGGAGGAGGGCCAGGAGTATGCGCAGGTCATCAAGATGCTCGGCAACGGCCGCCTCGAGGCGCAGTGCTTCGACGGCGAGAAGCGCCTGGCACACATCCGCGGCAAGATGAGGAAGAAGGTGTGGATCAATCAGGGAGACATGTGAGTTTTGCCGAACCGCTCCGCTACCACTTGTTCCAACGCATCCCGCCACCCCGCTGCCGCCACCGCCGCCCGACCGCCGCCGACGAAGCGACGACGACTGGTTCGGTTTATCGCCCGAAACGACTTGTTTTTCCTGCATATGACGACGATCCGCCCGCTAACCGTCGCACACTAGTATCCTCCTCTCTCTCCGTGAATACCAGGACGAGAAGGGCGACGTCATCCTCAAGTACAACGCCGACGAGGCCCGTAGCTTGAAGGCCTACGGCGAGCTTCCCGAGACGGCCAAGATCAACGAGACCGATACCTACGGCCCCGGCGACGACGAGGGCGGCATCGGCTTCGAGTTCGACGAGGACCGCAGCGAAGATGAGAACAACCTCAAGGAGGCCGACATTGACGACATTTGAGTGCGTCAGCCAGCAATCATTTCGGCTGCTGCTGAGGTCCCTTCGTGTGGGTTCCGGTTGCCTCTTTTTTTCTGCGCATAGAAGCTGGGAAGCCATGTTTCTTTTTTTGGCCTTGGGTTTTGTATAAAGGAACCCCCGGGCTGCTGCCGCGGACAACCAGATCCGTGCTGGTCTTCTGGGGAGGCATTATATGGGAGTTCCGGGGGCAAAACAGCTGTCATTTGCGAACTGGCAAAAAGAGGGGAGCACCACCAGCCGGACAAGTCTTCAGCAGAAAAAAAATATTCAATTTGCGGATTTCTCGTCCTCAAAATCGTCAAACAGATATTCTCTCTCTCTCGCGTGTCTTCTGTACAAAGCGAATTTGAAACATAGAGCTATGGCCGTAAATAAAGCTCGCGCTTGGCCCGCCCCCCCCCCCCTAAACTTTCTTGATTCTACACAAAAAAATGGCCGCCGCGGCCTTCTCCCCAGGTGCTCCGAAAACGCCAACCGAGTATAATGCTTTTCAATGACAAACAAGAATGTGCTTGTAAGCTGAAGTCGTATACAGTTTTCCCTTTTTTTAATTCGCTAGAGGCAGATTCTATGTCGCGTCAGGGCTGAGCATGTGCTTAAATTTCTCGATCTGGAAATCCGTTAGCATTCACCCCATCACAGATAGCTCCAATTGGTACAACTCACCTTCGTCGAAAGGTACTTCTCCACCTCCTCGCTACCCTTCATGCCCTGTTTCCACGCGAGCGGGACCATGGCGACCCTGTCCTTGACGACGACCTCGCGGTTGGGGCCCTCGACGGCGGCGACCTTGTCCGGGTTGTTTGTGAGCAGGCGGATGCCGGCGTCGCCGCCGAGGCCGAGGTCGACGAGCATGGCGGTCGCCAAGCCGTAGCTGCGGGCGTCGGCCGGGTGGCGCAGGAGGAGGTTAGCCTCGTACGTGTCGTTGCCCAGGTCCTGCAGGTTGTAGGCCTTGAGCTTCTCGGCGAGGCCGATGCCGCGGCCCTCCTGGCGCAGGTAGACGATGACGCCGCCGCCCGAGTTCGGCAGGCTCATCAGGCGCGCCGCCTCGTCGAGCTGCTCGCCGCAGTCGCAGCGCGCGCTCCACACCGTCTCGCCCGTGTAGCACTCCGAGTGGATGCGCACGAGCGGCGAGGACCGCGACCTTTCCCCCACTTGTTGTTCCGCGACGCCGGCCTCCTGCTTGATCTGCTCGAGCCGGCTGCTGGTGCGGCCCGGGTACAGGCGGCCGACGTAGGCGCCGCGGATCATGCGGTCGCGCTCCGTCTCGCCGGGCCGCGGGGCGTCGAGCGAGCGCGAGCGGATGTCGTTGCCGAAGACGATGGCCAGGTGCTCCTTGTTGTCAATGTCGTTCTGGTAGACGTGCAGGAACATCTCTTGTCCCGTCGTGGTGGGGATGCGCGCGCGCACCACGCACTGCACCTCGGGCAGCGTCTCGACCAGCGCCGGCTTGTCCGTGTCGCTCAGCGTCGCGTGGTCGACGGGCACCGAGGCGGCCTCGCGGCTCAGCGCGGGCGTGGTGCGGCCGCTGGGCGTCGCGGGCGGCGTGAAGGCGGGCGAGATGATTGAGGGCGGCGGCGGGTGCGAATGCTCGTCATTGTGCGGCTTTCGTGGTGCGGCGGCTTCGGCCGGATCGAGGTTGAAGTCTGAGACGGCGTGCGAGGGCTGTGGCCGAGCATCCGCCTGCGGGGTGTGGAGCGGCGGGAAGGCGGGCGAGGCGTGGGCTGGTAGTGTGCCAGCCATGGTTGCAAAGAATGGATTGGATACGAATTGGGGGGGTATCTTGCGGGGGGTATCTCGAGCAAAGGAGGACTAGCAGAGGAAGGACTGGCCGGAGATATATTTACAGGATGATGAGTCGGCGCCGACGGGAGAGGGACCACAGGGTGGAGGAAAGGCCGGCCGGCCTCGGCCCGTGGGTTGCGTGCTTAGGCCATCATTCGCTGCTTCATCAGCAGGCGTAATCCGCGACTGTGCGGGTCGCTCCCCGCTCTTCCATGGCCTTCGTCCCTCAAGCCACCGCAGTAGCTCAACCGCCAGACAGACGAAACAATCGCCCGTCATTCGAGGGAGATTGTGTCTCGGGGACCTAACATCAGCCCTACAGCAAGGCCTGCAGCCGGCTAATGCAGGAGGCCTGCCCTCACCCCACCAAGCCTTCCGCCGTCAAGGCTTCGCTGCGCCCTCTACGTATTCAGCATCCCGGATTTCGTGCCCGCCATCTTCAATTGACCCCTGGCGGCGGTGCAGCGGCCGCATCTATAGGTTGCTGCTTTAGCACGACAAGCGATGATCGCCACCAGCCGTCAATGCTTAAGTTTTAGCCTCGTGGGGAATGGCATGTTCGAAACGACGTTTACATGCAGGCAAGCTTCTCTGCGGCATGTGTTTATTAGCTGATGGCCATTGCCACGCAATAGGTGGTCCTCGCATATGCATCTAACCCCGTTTATCTGCTCCATAGTCCATCCTGCCTGGCCGATCTCTTCAGCTCCTTGCCCGTTTCGACCTCCCCTTGGGTGGGATTGCACGCGGTCTCTCCTGGCGTTGTCATGCTACCGCCTCCCGTGGGGTCTCTGCGGCGACTGATCAGCACTGTCGGTGTTTCAGACTACCACCATGACGCGGAGAGCTGAGGCGAGTTCCCAGATCGTTTTGCGCTGATATTCAGGGACTATCCGCTTTCGGGTAGTAGTTGAAACTACCTTTGGCGGCCTGCCTGCCGATGCAAACAACTCAGGTCGCAAAACACACTCCCTGACTCTCTACTTTTATGCCAGCTGTCTGCCGCTCGCTGCATACTTGCCGGATTCTAACCGTGGACTGTCCGAAAAAAATCCCTATGCACTCGGAAACCTGCGCCCTCATACTGAGAACAACACATCCAAATATTCATTGGTCGGCCATGTGTAGACGCTTTGGGGACACCTTTCAGCCTGCCAGGTTGCGAGCATGCTTCTGCGCTTAGGTATGCGGTGGTGCGAACGGGCGCGTGTTGCGGCGTGGGGTAGGTACCTGTCTACTTCCGTATCCAGTTAAACGGTTCCTTTTACGGACGTTTCTCTCGGTTCGATCCATGGAAACCGCGGATCCATCAACGCACCCATCAAATTCCGGGGATCAAGCACTCGTACATTCAGAGCCTGCAAGAAACCCGATACTTGAGAAGATATCGGGCCAATTTTGGTCGCTTTTTGCTCTCCTCGTTCGAAACTGCGCGCTTGTCACTGCAAAGTTCACTAGAATAATGACGCTATTTGTTATTTTTGTAGTCTGTACAAGGCTTTCGTTCTCATAAACTACACCCTACTTGGAGTAGACGGCGCTTGAGTAAGGTCTACTATTCGTCAATAGATCTTCGGTAAGCAGTTCCCCAGCACAAGGCTCGGCGCGCGCTTATTGCGGCACGGTTGGCTCTCTCGTAAAGGGCAACGCCTCCAGCCTGTCTGGTAACATTCTGCCTTTTCATTTACATCTTTGTCTTTGCAAAGCCGCTCATCATCTTCGCTGTGGTTCTTTTTGGCTCCAATTGTCTTCATCTCCTAACATCTTCATATTTTCGTTTCAATGTCTCTACCCAATGAACGACCGAACGCGACATATCTCGCCACCCTATTGAACAGAGCGATATCCTTGACGAAAGGCTTGTTCGAATCAGATACCTCCGGATCCCGGCGTCTTTCCAGAGCGCCAGGTACGCCCAAGCGACAACATTCATCTGCCGGGGACAAACCACTTCCGTTGCAACGCGTTTCTCTCTGTCGAAGGTTGGGATGGTACAGCACCTTCATTCTTCTTGCCGGATCTCTTGTCTTGCTCTCCGCCGTGGGATTTCTCGCTTTCTTGTGGTGGTCCGATCGCACCAACGAATTGTGGAGATGGATAGTCTTGGAAGACAAGTCTTCTACCGCCACCGTCATCACAGCGGTATTCATACAGCTGACAGTATCGGCACAAGCTGCTGTTGCTGTCTCCATGCTGGCTTCTCTTACTTTGGAAAGCTGTGGTGTTCTGCTTGGACAATCCCTCCCTTTGTCGTTGGCCAGGTATTCCAACACCGGTCCGGTAGCCTCCTTGGCCATGTTTTCTCGGAATGTGAGGAAATTGAAAGGTATCGGGGCGTTCGCCTTGGCTATCGGGCTAGCAATCACAACCGGATCTTCTCAATTTGCATCGACCCTCCTTATCTCGGATGTGTCGATGGGAACGATCGAGGACTACCCTACCTTCCTGAATCTTTCAACCAGGCCCACAACAATAACGTATGATTTCTTTGTCGACACGACCGATTACTCGAGGCTCGCGCCTGCAGAGTTTCAAACTTTTGCAGAAGCTAGCGACCCCGTGGATACGCCAGAAGATCAAGTGGATACTGGTCAGGTCTACCGTGCATTCCTTCCTTTCAGTGACAAGGCATCTAGACAGAATATCCTGGAGTATTCCGGTACTGCAACCGTGTATGACGCTAGAGTTGCATGTGTCAGGCCGAAACTATCCAACTTCACAATTTACTACAACAGGGCGGGGTTGATGACCTTCGGAGGGAAAATTTCTCCAAGTAGCCACATCCCAGGGGCTTCTTGGCCAACCAATGAAAACTCATCCGACAGTTGGCTTGACGTCTCCTGTCTGATCGAGGGGGATTTTGGCTGGGGGTATGAATACTCGTATGTTTTCTGCCGATTACCAGAAAGCGTCCGCATGGATACAGACATACGCCGTGAGGATGGATGGACATATGGGCGAGGGCAGGGCTGGTTCCTTTTCTCCTGGCGCGGCGGCCTGGGCGGCGCTGATCTTCGTGTCATTAAAGAAAAAAATAATGAGGATGGCTGGCCGCAGTATGCCAATGTCTATCTCCCGGCTTACTCAAGTCCGTCAACGAGTAGCTGGAATTCAACTGAGGCTGGACCCTGGCTGAGCATTTCTCCCACGCGCATGCGGTACGGAGAGAGCGTCACGATCAACGCTACAATATGCTATGATTCATTGTAAGTCCTCGCTATTAGTGATGATTCGATCAATGTACTAAAAATGCTCAGCGTTAGGTCTGCCAACATCGACATCTCCGCCACTTCACCTTCGAACCGGACGGAGCCTTCATCAAGATTCATGACACCGAAAGACATGTCGATCCTCGATTCACATTCTAATGAGTCTGGTGCCTCCCTTTATGACTTAGACGACGTAAAGAAGCAAGCCGGGGCATCGCTATCCCGTTACTCCCACACGGAGCGAGGTATCCTATCACTGGACCGACAGCATTTACGGCAGTCACTTAATCGGTGGAAGGAAAAGGAAAAGGAAAGGCAGGCCTTCGAAGACCCCATCTTATTATGGCCACCAATGAACGGAACTACGGCACAGATCATACAGATCTACTGGGCTTCTCCATCAAGCCGTGCCGGAGCAGTCATGGGTGGCGATTTCAAGACCATAAACTACAAGCACGGCGCGTTATTTCTGAGCACTATTGAGGAGACCAGGGACCCCAGCCTAGCCATCCAAGCGCTATACTTATCTCTCGCGAGGATACCGTATTACCTTTACTTACCCGATTACGACTACCGGGAACCAGCCTTAACAAAGAGCACCGTTCTTAGGTCGTATCCAAGAACCAACCAAGGAATATCTGCCGTATTATCCATCATCGGCGTCCATTTGGCACTAGTCCTTTTTGTCACGGTCCTGTTCTGCCTTCGGACGAGTTACAGCCTTCTCGACCAGGCGTGGCCGGCTGTTGCGCAAGTATTCACAAGTAACACGGAAGAGATCCTGCGAGTATCAACACTTTCCAAGGACAGGGATGTAGAGAAGATGGTTGGAAAATCTGGAAACAAGTTTGATGGATGCGTTCACCTTCAAGAGGAACGGGGCTCGGGCCGGGTCGGCATAGTCTTTTGAATCAGTTATATTCCCACTTGCAAGGGATCTACAAACCATCTCTTGCCAGTTTCTATTTGTCTTTGTTCATGGTGACGGGGACAGCACAACACCAGGAGTCCATTTCTACCGCTCACACCGCTCACACTATTAGAGAAATCTATGTTCATGTGATTTCCTCAACGATTTCAGCCTTTCAATCCATCTGCGGTCAGGACTCGCCGAATAAACTTCCGGTACCTCAACCGAGCGGGGAATAAGAAATTTGCTGTTGATGGGGTAAATCCTCTAACGGCGCTTGCTGACGGTCTGCCATTGGATGATTTCTTTTTTTATCATGGCTACGTTCCCGAAGCGGGGCTCGGCACGCGCTTATTGCGGCACAGTTCTGGGTAACTAACTTGAACCGGTAAACCCTGTGCATGTATGCTTAAATTTAGCCTTCTGTAGCCAAGTGCCCGGAACCGGGTAGGGAAATGCAGCTTTGCGGCGAAAAAGGCGGCTACGTAGGCCATCAGATCCGCATCATTCGCTAATGCCTTGCAGCATCACCGTCCGTGTGCTTCTCTGCGCGCTTAATGCGGCGTGGCCGAGTCTCTTTGGTCAGTATGTATGCGCGCTCAAATTGACACAATTCATCTTAGACCTTTATTTTTGCAAAAGGTCTATCAGATCTTTCTTTTCGGTGAATTCCCGCTTTGCTTCCTTTCTTTCCTCGTCTCTACTTCAATCTTGTAAACTCATTCGGACGAAACACATCATGAAGATCCCATTATCATTAAATTTCCGTGTCACAAAACGGCCTTCTCAATCAGCCATTCCATTTTCAGAAACTCGACCAAGCCTCCGGAAAACGCAACCTCTCTTTCCAGAATTCAATCCTGATGAAACACCATCTCGCAGCAATAGTCCATCAGTTTCGGAGAAGCCACTTCCCCACCATCAGATCTCCACTCTCCAGAGGATTGGCTGGTACAGCCTTGCCATTCTGGTCCTCGGAAGCCTCGTTCTCAGCTTTGCTGTCGGCTTCCTGATTTTCCTGTGGTGGGGACATCAAAACAGGAGCAATACTGCCTGGCGCTGGCTCGTTCTCGAGGACTGGATATCCATGACGATCACGCTCGCGGCTCTGTGCATCCAGCTTACCGTCTCAGCTCAAGCCGCAGTAGCGATTTCGATGCTGGCCTCGTGGACACTTGAAGAGTGGGGGACGCCGATTGGCCAGTCAGTAGCAATCGCTACGATGCGCTTCGTCAATACCGGACCATTGGCGTCTCTGGTCGTGTTCTGCCAAAACTTGAAGACACTCGGAGGATCAACCGTGTTCCTATTGGCTGCTTTGCTTGCATCTACGACTGTTTTATCTCAGTTCAGCTCAACACTGCTATTCTCCGACGTCCCGCTTGGGACGATTCCAGGATACTCCCAGCTGTCCGAGGTCCCTGTGAAATGGGGGGGATACAACACCGTGACTCTTCTCGAGCTCGGCCGAGATGACTACAACCAAATCTCTCCGCTGACCTACCCATCGTTTGCCGAGTACAAAAACACATCCACAATCGTTGACGGTTTGTCTGATACTGGAACGACGTTGCGCGGCTTTCTGCCATTTACATCTGAAGCGGACCGCATTTCGCTGCAACAATATCAAGGTCCGATGACGGTCAATGACTTTCGCGTGGCTTGTTTTAAGCCACATTTCCTGCAAGCCAGCCTCTCATCCTGGTACTTTTCCGGAACAGTCATTCCTTCTCGCATCGATCTCCCGATTAACCCGTACGACTATCCTTTGGATGACGACGACCTCCCTGTTTACCCTCGCGACTACGAAATAGATTTCAACTGTTCAATCGCAGGCCCTGATGACGTCTATACTCAAATGATCTGTACCACCAACCTAGGACAAAACCCAAATGGCTTAAAAGACTGGCCTACCGAATATTACAACTTGACGTGGGGGGAGTCGGCTGGTACTGCCAGGTTATTCCTCAACTTCAAAGGCCGATCCTTTTACGAATATATCAATTTTACGGCGAACAGTTCAGAGATCCCAGGATGGAAGACGTCATCTAGCGGGCCTTGGTTCAATTTCGAAGTAACGAAGTGGGGCAATGACTACCAAGACGTATGTACTGATGAATACTGCCCCCCAAAAAAAGAGGGGTCGTATGGCACAAAATGCGGGTTTCCGTGTTCTCAGCCTATCCTCAACGTCAGTCTTTGTTATGACGCTGTGTAAGGAAACCCCTCCCCCCTCCGCCGCTGCTGCAATTCTGAAAGGCTAATGTGTTTAGTGGTACATCTTACGACATGGAAATTACTGCAAGTTCTAAACTGAACCGAACCGAACCGACCCTGGTTTGGGATCCGAGCGCATCCACATACAACACTCATGATGTCGCGAGACAGCTTGGTGTTACCAAAGATCGATATTCTCATGAGGATCGAGGAATCCTATCGATCGATATTAACACCGTAAAAGAACAATGTGAAAAATGGTTAAATAGCGATAGGAATGCATTCAAGGACCGCAACATGGTAATCCCATATCTGTATGAGGGAGTCAACCCAGAATGGACATCTCACTATGGCAGTTGGCAGATTTGCCCAGTGTGCGGTTCATATGGCACCTATAAAGGAAAAGGGGACTTGGGCTATACTGTGCTAAATCTTCGGCACGCGGCTCTCATTCAAAGCATCTTCAATTCAACATCGGACCCCAGTCTTGCACTCCAAGCGCACCTTACTTCATTATTCAGGATGATATACTATGAGTACCGCTCATATTATACAGGGAAGAGGTCGATTTTGACCGCAAGTTTCGAAACAAGGTCTTTCCCACAGCGCTTTCGCGGGATCATCATCATCCTCATCACTATCTCGGTACATTTTGTTTTGGTGGCTATTATCACCGTCCTTTTCTACACTGAAACAAAGTATTCTCTGTTAGACAATGCGTGGGCAACAATATCACAGCTGGCTACAAGTACAACAGAGGACATATTCCGGGTTTCTACATTGGCAAAAGATTATGATGTCCAGAAGATGTTATCAAGGTCAACTACCACGCCACGCCTGGCTCGCATCGGTCCCGTTGCAGGGTCCGGCCGCGTCGGGCTTCTGAGATGAAAGTTCACTGACTCTACGGTTGTCGATATTACTTGTATTTAGTCCTTTTCTGATTTTCCAATCAAGTCCTGACCGCTTATGCTCTCAACTTTATATCGCTTGTGCTGAAACATTTCATGAACCACCACATACTTTTATTTTGCAAATATGACTTTTATGTACTTCCACATTACTTAACATGAAAGGCAGAATGCCAAAGCCACTTTGTGTGCTAGGTAAGATCCACATACCTGCTGTTTTCTTCCGCTTCACATGCTTCGACGGCGTATCCTCACAACGAACATAAATTAAAATGTAAAATTTGACGATGCAACGAGAATTGATTTTGTTGTATCTGTGGTCTGTCTACCGAGAAAAGGAGAGAAAGAGGTAAGGCGCCTAGCTCATACAAATCATTTTCATATCAAACCAAACAATTCTCGAAGAATTTTCTAAGAACGGCAGCGAAGCATAAAGGCGTAACAAAGTCTGACTCCCAAGACCAGCAAGGAAGGGTATATATAGACATAGAGACTTGTGAACAAAACAAAAAGAAATCAGGCGTGAAATTGACGTCCCACAGGCGACAAACGCTCATGAGCATGGCCATGAGCCCTCTTCAGTTTCACCTCCGCCACGGCTCGCGCGTTGTTTGCCGCCTTGATCGTGCCATTCTCGCAGACCGTCCCATCCGCGACCGACTGCCATACAACCTTTCCCCAATTGCAAATACCAAAGTGTGTTGTGCCGTTACAGACAAGCTGGCCGTTGTTCGAGCCCGTGCACTGGCTGTTGTCGGAACCGTTGGTCGGGGTGGCGCTAGCTGGCGTGCTGGCTTGGTTTGCTGCAGCGACTGCGTTGCCAGATGACTGAGGGGGCGCCACGGTCGTCGTAGCGAAGGTAGTCGACGGAGCTTCTGCTGCTGCTGCTTCAGAGACCTCCGCGGCGGTCTCTATGAACCCACCTCCAGCGGCAATGGCGACCACAGCAGGAGTGCTGGTAACAAGCGGTTGTGGGGTGGAAGATTCAGCTGAAGCGGAACCCACCGTAGCTGCTCCTCCGGATGCCGTCTTCCCACATTGCCCAGTTGCAGTAACAGTAGCGTACAGCGTATTCTTTTCTCCTCTCTCGAGTACTTCTCCAGGATCTGGCACAACCATGACTGACTTCCCGTTATCGCCCTCTGGTTTCATGCAAGGCCCGGATGCTGGATACTCCTTTGCTTGCAATTTTGCTGCCTTGATCCCTTCTCTGTCGTAATTTGCGACAAGCATGTCCGGCAACTGGTCGAAAGCGCTCGTGTCCTGCGTGCCCCCAGAAACATTAATAGGGGCACAGTTCATGTACATCTCGGGATCGCTGCTCATAACAGGAAACCAGGTCCAGACGAGGGTCTGTTGTCCATTGAGAGCAATTTTCGGGATTTGATAGGTGAAGCTGTTAACGGCACGGGTGGTTCCATCCTCATTGCTAAGCCCTGGGCAGCCTCCTTCGATGGTTTTGATGACTTTGAAAGTGGATTGGCTAGTCGGAGGGACGTCAAGAGTTATGCTGAGCTGGCAGGTGCCTCCACCGTGAACAGCTGGTTCATCATAGCCGTCCTCGTCGATCTGCGGGTAAAAAACCAGTTGCTGATCCTCACCAACCACCATCTCTGGCACTTCCCCAGAAAAGTTAAAATTGTTGTGGCAAGGGAAACTTAGGTCGTCCGAAATTGGTGCTTTCAGGTCGTGACCCAATGCCGATAAGCCATACGGCACTGGCTTTGCAATATGGATATGCGCGTCTGCTAGTGGCGATGTGGCAAGGCCAAATAGCATCCACATAGACATGTGTGGAACCATCTTGGAAGAGGAAGGATATTGAGTCGACTTTCTTGAAGTTGGAATGGGAATCGCGAGGCGTAGACAGGCCAACTGAAAAAGAAGGCAAAAAGACCAGCTCGGCCAGCAGAAGGAACGAAGTATCTGTCAAAGATTGGATGGATCTCAGATCCGGAAAGCAAAGAGCAAAAAAGGAAGGAAGAGCAGGAACTGTTGCAGAAGCGTTTGAGAGTGATGAAGGTAACGGGAACGCTTAACGAAATTGCCTCCCTTAAGTACCATTCCACCGGAGCACGCTGGGAAAAGAGTGACAGCACGGAGCTGGGCTAGATTTGGCAGTTGACCGCCGCGAAGCTTGGAACCGCTGAGGCGCGGATGATCGTCCGTGATGGTTGCTGTGCCTCAGCGCGTTGCCCAACTCTGTTTTTGTCACTACAACCATCCCATCCAACACGCATTAAGCGCCCGGGAAAAAAAATACTTCTTCGCCACACTGCGCCGCACAGTCCAAAACCACTGTCAAGCTCGCTTGCAAGACTTTGTAAAGCACGCCGGGGTCGTAGGTGCCAGACTTAACATAGTGCTCTTCTCCGGGATGAATTTTTGTTGGCTGTAGCTCTGAATTTTAAGCATAGTCAACGCCAGAAGCCGGCAATTCGGTTCCTGCATTAGGGATGTTCCGGGACAGTGGCTCGCGATGGAAGCGGCGCAGTGATGGAAGGTGTGAAGAAATCGCCATAGCGTGCGGCACAGCGGCTCCACCCGAGTGCGGCGCTTCCACGCCCTCGTGCGTGCCGCACCCCGGCCCATCTCGCGCCTAAATCAATCACACCGCCCATCAGCGCTTAGGTTGCAGAAGCTTGACCATCTTTAGATCGTGCATCATCCATCACATGTCACGAGATCTGAAGACATCATTTCATGTCGCTTAAAAAATGAAGCACGGCATCGAGCAGCAGCAGCACCCAGCCCAATCACCACACCTCAACCCCACGGAGGACGTATGGAATATCTTGAAGCAGCGTGCTCCACAGCGCGTGTAGAGGATCCTAGAAGAGCTCAATCAGGTACTTATTAAGAAATGGGACAAGATTACGCAAGAAGAGATCTAAGAACGTATTGGTGACATGCATTGAAGGTGTCAGATCTCCGCAAACTACTCAGATGGCTCACTGATCAAACGCACGTAGTGGCAGATAGTTGAATGGATTCTTATTGTTGCTTATAGAAGGCTGCAACTAATGGTGGTGGCTGGCGCGTCGAGGCTGGGTGCGATATACCATTCTGGTACACCAACGCCACACCAACAGCAGTGGCAGCATTAGAACCGCTCACACACGTCGTTCAACGGCACACCATCGTAACTTTGAATCATACATCCCATACCCTGTCTATCTGGAAAAATCTCCCCAAGCTCAAAAATAGTACCACCACACCCTCAGTCAACCATCATCCTTGTTTCCTTTCGTCCCTCCCCACCCCATCCCACATTGAAACAACAGGACGACCTCCCCATCCCAACATCAGAATCCAAACAACACAAGATTCCCGCAACTTTTACACAGCCGCACGCCACCCCTTCCCCAGGAAAAATCCAAAAAAAGCAAAGTGCAGAGGGAGTATATAGCACGTTTTTGTTTGCCCATGATATATCATCCATCAACCTCGCAGTATATATATAAACTCCCCCGCCCCGCCGGCCGGTATAAAACCCCCCCTTGTCTATTGTGCTTGAACGACGAGAAACCCCACATGTCTTCTCTCTCTGACGTGACCCACGCTCACATACATGCACCACACCCCCTTTTATGCAGTGGAGGTAAAAGAAGAAGAGGAAAAACGCCGCTGAAAATGCTGGATACAAAAACGCAACGCAACGCAACGCAAATCAGGCCAACAAAAACCAAAAAGCAATGCAAAAAAAAGAACTCTACAAGAACAGCAAAAGCGACAGCTTGCTAGAGAAGAAAACAAAAAGGGCGGGGCAGAAGATTAAACAATAAAAAGAACCCCTATCATCTCATCCCATCTCCACTACCTCCCCCCATCACCCCCCTTCTGCTGCCCCAACGCCCTCGCAAACTTCTTGCCAAGCAACAACCGACTCTTCATCCGATTCACCTCCTCCGTCTCATCCAGCTCCTTCTCGCGCGAGCGCGAGCTCATGGCCGTGATGGCGCGATGCAGCGTGTTGGGGCCATGCCTGATGCTCGCCGTGTCCCTGTCATCCACCTGCGACAGCTCGTCGGCGAAGCTGCCCGGGTCCTCGATCATCGACCGCGCGCTGCTGGCCACGAGGTTGCTGCCCGAGCCGCCGGGGGTACCGTTCGTCCACGTCGCCCCCGTTACGCTGCGTGCGCTCGAGCTGTACGAGTCGGCGTGGCTGAGCTGGCTCTCGCGGCCCGACGTGAAGCTGCGCCGCGGCTCGTCGGCCGCCGACGACGTGTCACCCGGGCTGCGGTCGCGCAGGCTGTCCTTGTCGCTCGTCGTCGCCGACGCGTCGCCGCTGCCACCGCCGCCGTTCGTGTTGAGCAGGATCGACGGGTTCGTGATCTGCTTGAAGCGGCCCTTATCCTTGGGGCGGTGGTGCGAGAACTTGTTGTTGAGGATGGCGCCTGTGTGCGACACCAGCGCGCGGATGACGTCCTTCTTGAGCGCCATGGCCAGGTCGAGGTTCGACCACGTCTTGTTGCGGTACTCCATGGTCGGCATGCGGAAGACGAGGTCGTGGATGTCCTCGAAGTTGCGGTTGCCCTTGCCCTTGTAGCTGAGGCACAGCACCATGCTGGGGATCTTGATGTACGCGAACGTCATGTAGTTGGATGCGCGCTTCATCATCTGGCTGATGTCGTCCGCCTGTGACTTCTCTTTCCTGTTCGAGCTCGGAGCGCGCGTCATCGCGAAGCGGTTCTTCGACTTCTCCTCGTTCGTGCCGCTCAGTTTAGTTGCAGAAGACCGGCGGCTCGAAGGGCGTCCATTGTTGATGGTGAGAGTATCCGAAGTATCCTTGGGACCAGCCGAAGTATGCAGGTTTCTAAACAGGCTCGTACCGGCACGGCTGGATGCATCGAACATCTTGAAAGATGCAAAGTCCAGACCTCCACCGCCCTCTTTGCCCTTGCGAGAAGACAAACCAGACGACGATTTCGGACGGACTTCATCAGGAAGCGCAAGCGTCGGCTGCAGGCGCAGCTCCAATGCGCCAGGGCCCGATCCATCAATGGAGGCGCGGTGCGACTGTGGGCCGGTAGGAACCTCAGGGGAAGCTTGGCCAATCGGAGACTCTCCTTCACCTTCACCATTCTGTCCCTCTTCCGCAGGGAGCATTTGCTTGACCATGAAGGGCGAGAAGTCACCCTCATCGAACGCATTGGATTCCACTCCAGGGAAAATGTACTCGAAAAGCTTCTTGCCGATCTCGTGTTCGAGCTGGACCTTGAGAGGGAAGACGTTAACCTCGAAGTGATCCATGACCGGGATACCGGCAATAGCCTCAAGCATGTACCAGTGGATGCGAAGCATCTTGGTATCCCTGCCATCACCAGCTGTCGCCTTCTCATCCAAGTACGGCGCGATCATCTCAGGGTAAACGGCTTCTGGCAGCAAGTTCAGACCATGAATGCGCTCAACCTCCAGAGAATTGAGGTTTGAACCATCGCTGTTGTCAGTGCGGTCGAACGATGCATTTCCGAGCTGAACCTCGGCAAGAGATTCCTTGCCTTCACGGACCAGATGCCAGACAATTTCCGAGGCGGTAATGAGGTAGCGAAGGAGTCCTGTGGGTTGCGTGGCCTCGGTAGTACGGTCTTCGCTCTTCCGCTGAGCAGTCGTGATGGCCTTCATCATGAAGAACAGCTCCTCTTCGTTTTCAGACAGCAGTCTCTCCAGCTCGATGCGGTTCTTCCATCCCTCACGGTCGAGGTACTGTTCGTGGATTTGGAAGCGAGTCTTGATTTCCTCGAGCTGGTTGATCCGTTCCTGAAGGGAGATGACGAGCTCTGGTGCACCGTCGAGATCGCTGAAGTCAGACGCGAGCATGATCTTCTCGAGCTTCTCGTTCCGTTGTCTCTCAAGAGGTTCACTGTACAGGAGCAGATCAAGGACGATGATGTACACGGCGTAGTACTGCATGGAGTCGCAGACAGCGCGCACGTGGGGGAACTCAACCCAGAGATGGTCAACGCGACTTTCCGTGCCATCGATGCAGTTCACATCGCCAGGATCCTCGCCACTGACATCTTCGTTGTACTTGAGACGCAGCGTGTTGTACTTGTCGTATCTCAAGCTGGCCGAAGTTCTCTGCACGACCCTTGAGAAGCCGTAGGGATTCGTGTCGAACTCGAACATGACCTCGAAAGGCACCCATGGTGGCCAAGAAGTTCCCGCAGCAGTTCCATACGTGTTGCCGGAGTACATGTGCAGATATTCGGTCGAGAAAGTCTTCGTACTGGTGACAAAGATCTGCAGGCTGTCCATGGCAGCAGAGAAACGACGCTGAACGAGACCGCTGACGTCGTCTTCGACATTGTCCTTGTCCATGACCTCGATGACCTTGAGCTGCATACCCTTTGCAGTGACCAGGACAGCCGACTTCGGGTTCTTCTCGCTCTGCAGTTGGATCTGGGGTGCGATGAGACGGACGTGGTATGCATTTTGTGCAGTGAACTCCTGTGCGATATCTTCATTGGCATTGTCCGCATTCGGCTTCGATGAGTCCTCGTTGGCCGGCTCAGGATCGTTTGCGTTGACGAACTTCTTGCCATCTTCAAGCAGCTGCTGTATGCGGTCTTTGACATCCATGTCATCATCAGCTTGAGGCGATAACGGCGTCGACGTGGTTCGTGGTCTCATTTCAGGCGTTTGTGGCGTTTCTTCCGCTTTGTTCTGCTCCTCGGCGATGTCAAGAATGAATTTGACTGCTCTTCTCGACATGTAGTAGACGAAACCGCGGCGTTGGCTGACTTGATGGACATAGCGAAGAATGATGTTCCTGAGAGCGTTATTCCACTTCACCTGAGCGTTGTGGATCACGAAACGGTTGTTGAAGTCGCTGATGTAATCCGCAAGAGGCGTCGCGTCAACTCCCTTCGTGTCCTTGTCGGTAGCATCGTACATCTCTGGAGCCTCAAGGTATTGGTCGTCGCCCTCAGATCGCGGGACAGCCGATCGATCATCCCGTTCCAGGCGATTGATCAAACTAGTGTGCATGGACTGAAGAATGTCGCGCTTCCTCTTGAGATTTTCGTGGTGGTGCTGGTAAACGCCCAACCTCTCTTCAAGCTCCCAATCGTCCTCACTGGTAGACCGAAGGATCCTGAGTTGCTGCTCACCGATATCGCGTTGGCTTTGCTCAATCTGCTCAAGGACTATCTTGAGACGATCTGAAATCAGGTTGCACTGGACACGACGAGGATCGTTTTCCTTCGACATGACGCAGTAGTGCGTCGGCTCGTTTCCGAAGGGACTGGATCTGTGCGGGTCGCCAGAGATGTTGTCCTGGTGATCCGTTTGGCGGAAGTAGGTGAAGCGAGGCATGCAAGCAAGAGGAAGAATCTTGGTCTCAGGGTTACTTTCGGATGGAAGGATCCAATCCAGCTCGACGAAGTCATCCATGTCGACCCATGAGAGGTCATTGTCAGGAATGGTGAACTTCGAAAGATCAACTTGAGGATCGTCTTGATTCTGGTAGGAAGCCAGAGTCTCTTCCGTAGCCTCTTCAATGTCACTTTGCTCAGCGCCGTTGATGGTCGCTGCGACAGCTCGAATATCTGCCGAGATGAAATCCAGTTGAACCTGGTTGATGCGAATTCCCGTGGTTGTAGCCGGCTTGTTTGCATTTTGCGCTGACGTTCTGAACTCCTCCCGTCGCATATGGATATCGACCATAAAGCTGTCGAGTCGGGCCTTCAATCCGGTTGCAGATACCACATTCTTGCCATAGTCGTCAGGATCCTTGTGCTTGTAAATGTGGCTCAGGTAAAGCGGCGATAAAAGGATGCTGAACTTGATAGTAGCAAGATGACGGCCGAATTTCTTGCCAGACTTCTCCACACCCGGCCAGAGAGGTCCTTGTCGGACTGGCAGAGACATGGCGCCGGAGAACAACGACCACCAGCTGTAGAAATGGCTGAAGAATCTGGGCGTGAGGTGGACACTGTTGTAGTTCGAAGAAGCCTTGGTATTTGCGACCGACCAGTCCCTGTCGTGCGGAGCAGCAATGGCCACGGACATGTGGATGTGATGACTGCGGAAGTCTCTAAACGCATCGTATTCCTTGCCCTCGAACGGCTTGGCGTAATCCGGATGTTTGAGAATGACGTCGTAATGGGGTCCGAAATCGAACGAACGTTTGCCATTGTCCTCACGCTCGAACACAAGACCGATCATCACCCTGACGTTTCCAGAAAGCTTCATTGCCGTCTTCCGGAACGAAGCCCCTTGCTTGAAGCTGGAACCGCTGATGATGCTTTCCGAGTCGGACTCTTCTTGCTCCACCATACGTGCATAGTGGCTCAAGTCTGGAACAGCGAAAATGGCGACTCCGCTGTCCACGGTGAGGAATTTCTTCGGATCATCCTCTTGGCAGATATTCAGCTGAACATCGTTTCGCAGACAGAGAGTGAAGCCAGCGCCGTCTCCAGTGACCTTGTAAGGATCACGGGATCCCTTGAGAATGACATGCACGTCTCCATCGCCCTTCCATGCAATATTGATCTTCGAGTGGAAGGACAGTCTGATCTTGTCCCAGAAACCAACCTTGTCGGAAGGATCCATCGCTGCCTTGGAGAAACCTTCGATGACTTGCATCATATCCTGAATGGCAGGCTGGTATGAAGTGCCCCACGTGATTCTTGTCGGGTAATTCGTGTTGACCTCCACCTTCATATCCGAGTATGTCTTGACCGGGGCGATGGTACGGCGGACGCTGACGGAAAAGCCACCGCTCTTCTCTCCCGACTCCGAAATCTCCGGAGGTACAACCTCGACATCGAGCAACCGGCTGGATTCTCTATCCCTGTATTCTTCGGCAATGACAAAGTCGGTCTTGAGAGACAGACTAGGGATACGGGCAGATTGTCCAGAACGGATTGCAGGCACGTGGACGAACGGAAGAGGGTAATCTCTCAGAGTCAAACGAGCCTCGCCCGCGTTGATCTGGACATTCATGGGAATGAGCAATGAGTATTGCATGTCGAAAGGCATGCCCTTCCCAATCCGGTTCAGATAAGCGGGCAATTCTGAAATGGGGAAGCTCGGTTTATCGACAATGAAGTTCAGGTCGCTGAGCAGGAAGGCCAACAGCGCAGGTCGCTGAGGAATCGCCAGAATGGTCTCGGTTTGCTCGGGCTCCTCGGGCATATCGTCGATACCCCAGAACATGGAGCGGATGTCTTTGACAGCTGTGTTTTGGAACTTCAGGCCTTGGTCGATCCTTCTCTTCCAGCTCTGCGCGTGAAGCCTGTTCAACTTTTCGCGGGCTTGCTCGATGTGGATTCTCGCAGTGTCGTCCAGTTCTGCCGTACCGTCCACGTCGTAACGCATACCGCGCCCACGCTCTGGGGGAGATGTAATGCGTGACTCACGGTCAGCACTTTGGCTCTTTCGTCCCACATCAGGGTCTCGTCTTTGCGCACTGCGCCCACGAGGGTGTGCAGATCTCGCCCGATTGCTGGTGTTACCACGGCGTACATCGCTTTCTGCAAGCTTTCTGGCTTTGATTTCGAACGCTTCCTCTCTCGCAAGTCTCTGCCTCTGCTCGAGCATACCGAGTCGGAAGATGGTTCCAAGCTTCCATTCAAATCCACCTTCCTCGATCTCAAACAGGAGGGCCTGGCTGCGAATAGAGATTCTCGGCACTTTCTTCGGACCCTCCGGCGGCTTTTCCAGGACGTACTCGTTGGACTGGGTCTTGAAGCGATGGTGAAGCTGCTCAACGGTCTTGATGGTGTTCGTGATGTTGTCAAAGATATGGTGGACGACCAGTTGGTGTGGCACGGCGATGCGAACAGCCTCTGTTGCAACATCAATGGACTTCTCTTCAGTAACGGTGGCGCCGATCTTGCGCCTTGAGGATCTGAGGTCGACGCGAAGCCCCTTGATGCTGACCATACGAGCCCAGACCCTCTTGAGACCGGGAGCCTCGGTGTACAAGCGGAGCATCTTGGCACGAGCGAATGGTGACGCCCATCTGTGACGTCCTGCATCAAAGCCTTGGATCTGGAGCATCAACGGAGGGTCACCAGGCATGGTGGCTTTGGCTTGGATGAACGCGACACGGAAGTCCAGCGTAACAATTTCCGGCTTTGAGGGTGCAGCCGGCGTTGTTGACACAGTATCGGCGGCTTCGGAGGCATCCGGCACCGTCAAATGTCTCTGATGTGTCCGTGGTGCTGCAGGAGTAGGACCAGCAAAGTCTCGATCGGCGTACTGCTTCACAAAGGCTCTTTGCAACACCATCAAGGCAACGCCAATCGCAAAGTGTCTGTATAAAGAGTAGTGAACGAAAAGACTCTGAGCGAAAGCGTTGACATGGAAAACTGGTCCTTGGATATCGGTCGAAGTAGTGAATGCCACCTCGAAGCGTGGCAGTCTGAGGAAGGACTCCTCTTCTCTGGAATCAGAAGATTCGATGACGAACCCTTCCAACCCTGCAATGTGGATTGCCAAGCGCCTGCCGTCGGTCTCGGTGAGGTTTCTTTTACGCGGCGCTGGCGATGACGGAGGCGAGTATGGGGACGACGCTCTCAACTGAGATTCGGTGGGCACCGTTCTGCTGGTCATCCTACGCCGCGAAATCCGCGATCCAGCATCCTCCGTCTTGTCAGCCTTGTACTCTGCCGACCACGAATCCAAATGCAGTGCACAGCCGCGGGAATGCTCCGAAACATCATGATCGATACCGGCAACTTCCACGTTGAAATCGGCTCCCTGCACCTGGAAATGGGTGAGCCACTTCGGCAATTTCCGTAAGAAATTCGGCTTGTTCTTCGACGAAGATCTACCCGCTTTGGACGCCTCGTATGTACGCAATTGAGCGACGATCTGGCGCACACCTTCGCTAATCTCCGGACGGACCATGAAGATGTTGAACGTTTCGAAATTCAGGCCAACCACAACCGACACCTCAGGTGAGGCATCTAGTTGAACCTTGAACTCCGTCGCGTCCGTAACGAGAAGATTATGCTTCTCACCGGAAGCTGTCTGATAGTAGAGCTCGTGAGAAGCCAGACGGAAGAAAGATGACAGGGAATAGTGCAGCTCTCCTCCGGCTGAATGCGAGGATTCCAAATCCAGAGATACAGACGACATGTTGGAGATCAACAGATCGAATTCACCGCTGTCTTTCTTGTCGGGCTGCAGCGGAGGCAGAGTAACTCTGATGACAGGCTCATGAATAGAGAACTTGATGTTTGCTTTGGGCAATAAGCGAGAGGCAATATGCCGAGTGTCGTGTGGGTCCCGCTTTGGAGCCTTCTTACGGCCTGAAGTCTGCAGTAGTGCGAGTATTAAAGGCAGATGCCTCGGGTCAAGATCCAGGGACGGAGAAGTGACAACAAAGTTGGCAAACAGAATGTTGGTGTTGCGTTCAGTGACGTCTCTTTCGCGGTCGATCTGGATGGTTTTCGAGGGAAGCGTGGTCTTGAGTGTCATGGTCGCCATGGGGATGTACAGAAGCCTTTCCGGATGGTCCTGCCCGTGGTCAATTCCCACAGATATCGCAATGGCTGCGATGAGCGCCTGGTGGGCAATGTCGTGAGGCGCGAAATACATGAGGTGTGCCGGGCTCCGCGGATCCAGACGAAGAAGGTCAAATCCAAACTCCTTCATGGACATGTTCAGGAAGACCGGGCTTTCCTTGGTGCTTCCGTCCCGAATCCGCTTTGTCACGCCGAAGAAGCTGACAGCAAACTGGATCTCCTGGATTCCACGCAGGAGCGAACTGGCAAACTCCTTAGAATCCGAGACAGTCTGCACGATTTCCTCATCGCGGCTCCCTGGACGTTCCAACTCTTCCATCACATCATTTAATGAATAGCGAGCGCCCTTCCCTGCAGCCTCATTGCTAACGTCTGTTTTCTTTTTCTCCTTGACCCTCTCTAAGCATGTGTGGATATCATCAAATGGCACATTAAAGCGTCCCAACTTGAGGGCAATAGTAGCGTCACGTAGTCCGTCCAATTCTTTGTACAACAATCCGTGGACATTAAGCGTGAGGTGGTCCAAAATCTCGGTAGACTCCTGGCCTTCCGGGCTGAAGAGGATATTCCGAACAGTAAAGATCCATTCCGCAGGGCTTTGCTGCTCGGACTTGGCGCGCCTGTGCTGGAACAGCCGGCTGCGGTCGACCATCTTCCTCCTGGTGTCGACGGCAGCGGTGAACTGAGCAACCTGGATGGTGCCGACATCCTGGATGACCAGCGACGTCGAGGTCGCGACCACGTCAAACAAACGGATGTAGTCGAGCTTCCTGTGCAACTTTTTTATCTGCTCCTTTGTCTCCGTCAGCTTCTGCCAGGTCCTGCTCCTCTTGTGTCCCTTCTTGAATTCCCCCTTTGCCTTGTCTCCCTCCTTTGTGTGTGACAACGATCCATTCGCGTGAGGTTTCGACGCTGAGGCTTTGGGCGGGGTTGGTCCCAACTTGTTGAGGTCGACCGAGACCTTGAGCTCTTCGAGAACGAGGCTGACATAGGTGGGCTGGGCGAAGGTTGGGCGATGTAGCGATATCCTCAGGCCGCGGAGGTCAAGGCGGATGCCGTCTTTGGGGGTGAAAGATATGCGGCGCAGACCGTACCACCCCAGGCGCTGAATGGAGATGCCCGTGACGATGCGGAGGAGGGCGAAGACGACGAAGGTGGAGAGGTAGAGCAGGACGAGCAGACCGGACAGGAACGAGAGTGTGGTAGCCATGGTGTCGCCCGGTCAGCCGCCATGCGCTGGCGTTTGGTGGTTTGTCCTGGTTGAGGATAGGTGGCTTGCGCGGGCTCAATGAGAGGGGGTGAAAGGGGCCGGGCGATGCGACCAAATTGCGGGCTATCGTGGCCCCATTGCCTGGCGGTGTAGGGCGCGGGGTGCGAGGTCAGATTTGCGAACTGGGGGAACTGGACGGCGCGCGCGGCCTGCGGCAGTCCCGGCTCGCGGTTTTGGAGGATTCGACTGGAGGGTGACCAGGGATGACGTCGCTTCTGCTGCGAGCTGATGCAAGCACGGCTGCAGAGTTCTGAAAGAGACGGGAGAGGGGGAGAGGCGGCAGCGACGGAACTTTGCGTCCTTTCTTCAGAGCCCCTCGTTGTTTTTGGGGTTGCAGGGAGGCGGAGGCGCAACCAGGGCCTCCGTGCGCTGGTGTAGGCGGCGATCAGCTTCACCTCCGCGGCCAAGCTTCGCCGTCAAAGCGCGGGCTGTTCCTTCTTTGCCCCTCGGCCAGCGTCGCCGCAGCATCCCCCGGCGTATCCGCGTCTGTCGCAAGATGTGCGCCTGGCGCGCCGTCGAGTCCGCTTCTCGAATAATCCAGATCTCTAGCACCTGCAGATCGCCCTCCCGCGACGGCCAGAGGCCGATTGCGTCCGGAGATCCTAATAGCTCCCCGCCGATAGGCCGTCCTAGCTGCGCCTGCACCACCTCAAGAACAGCTCACCCGACGCGACGCGTCGCGCAACAGCGCACTGCGAAAAGACGCCCCGCAGCCAGCAGCCTGTTTCCCTGATCAACAGCGTCATTTCGCATGCTGTTTGGATTCTTCATGCGCCATATAGTGGAATCCCCCGAACCTCGTCCGCACCCACCAGGTCTCGGGCGGATTTAGGGAATAAATCTGCATGCCGTGCTGCAAACATCCGTTCGGGGGTAGCGTCGCAATCTGTTTGGGGCTAGCGACTGGCTGCATCTGGCCCACACGGAGACCATAAGCGAGAACACCAGGACAACTCGCCGCTGTCTCTCCACTGCCAGGGTTGCTCCCCTGAACTGCCTGCTAGCCTAACATTCTCGGAGTCTTGCTAGCACAATTTGCGAAAGGTCTCGCAAGGGATGCTTCAGCATCCTGCCGCTTGGCGAGGGATTGGAGGATTAGTGGGTCTGGAGGCATTTTAGGGAGGGCTGGCTCGCAAAAGATCGCAGCCTCGAAAATGAGCACAGAAATCGCCGAACCATTCGTCCAAACGCAAATGAAGGGAAAGGGTCCGGCTAGAGAGAGAACAATTGCATTGTTCTTTTTGCCGGCGTCGATAGGGTCCACGTTATGTGGCTTGACCAGCGGCACGCGACAACTACGGCCCCTTGGTTCCCTGTTTTCGCCCTGTGTTCTCGAACCTTTCCTCGTTCGGTAAAGGACCATTCTTAGATCAAGTCCCTATACCCCAGACTTATTCCGCTCTACATTCACTTACAATCAACAACTACAGTTGGAAGGCGATTCGCTCATCACACCTCCTTGATCAGGGCTCTCGTAAAATGTTACATTCTCAGGGCACCCGTCAAGTATCAAGCATCGAAAGAACCACTCACTGTTCCTCGAACTAGCAACAGGTCACAACGCACCAGCGAGCACATACCCTCAGGCCTCACAGTCGAAATACCGCTAAGAAAATCGATTTGCTTGATGGATCGTGTCCAAAGCTCTGTCTGATATAGTACAGTATCAAAGTTCCCCTACCTCCCACCATCGAAATGGGCCGACGCAATGGCCGACACCATCAAGGATAGGAGGCTTAGTCGTAAGCCTCCTCGTAGGCCTCCTCATACGCCTCGCGGGCCTCCTCCAACTCCTCCTTGTCGCTACTCGAGACGGAGCTACCGGAGCGGGTCTCGTCGGGCAGGTCATCCGTCGGCGGGGGGACGGGGTCGTAGTAATTCGAGTCCGGCGGAGGAGCAGAGCGGTGGTTCTCGTCATCCGAGTCCTCACCCAACTCGTGGGCTAGTCGCACACGACATTGTCAGCATTCATGATCTCTCAAAGAAAAGAGCATAGGAATATTAAAAAAAAGAAAAAGGAATTCGGGCACACTCACCAACAACGGCGCCCAGCACCGCACCACCGACCACACCCGCACCCGCCGCCGCGACCATAGCACCGGTGCTGTGGCCCTCCTTCTTCTTCTCCTTCTTCTCCACGTCGCCGTAGTACTCCTTCTGGTACTCGCCGTGGCTGCCCTGCTGCCCGTAGCCCTGGTCGTAGCCGACCGGCGGCGCCGCGTTGCCGTACTCGTTGTAGAAGCCGCCGCCGGGGCCGCGCGACTGCTCGGCCCCGAAACCGGGCGCCTCCCACTGCGTGCGGCCCGTGGCGGGCTCGGCGTAGTACGCGCGGTTGCGCGACGAGTCCCAGTGGCTGTACCAGCCGGCCGGCAGCGGCGGGGGGTCGAAGCTGGGCGGCGGGGGAGCGGGGGGTGCGCCGTAGCCCTGCGGCGGCGGGGACTGGTAGTGCTGCTGCTGCGGAGGCTGGCCGTACGGCGGCTGGCCGTAACCCTGCTGGGGAGGAGGGGACTGGTAGTGCTGCGGCGGGGGTTGGCCGTAGGGCTGGCCGTACTGAGGCTGACCGTAGCCCTGCTGGGGCGGCGGCGACTGGTAGTGCTGCGGTGGGGGCTGGCCGTAGCCGCCCTGGTCGTAGTAGCCGCGGGAGGCCTCTGTGGTGCAGAAGGTCAGCTTCAGAGCTGAAAGTGTTGAGGGAGGAATTGAACGCGTGGCAGAGCCGTACGTCGGGTGAGGTCAGTTGAAGTGGGACGCCATTTACTCACCTCCTTCGCTGTGCTTGTCCTTATCGCTCATTCCGAGGCCCTCGAACTCTTTGGTTATTTTTTTGAAGAACGACATGCCGGGCAGGTCTCAACAGGTGGTGGAATGCGGGGTGGTATGTGAAGTGGGATGAGCAGGAGAGAGAGTGAGAGCAGAGATGTGGGCTTGAGGGAATTCCCTTTTATAGCGGGATAATGCTCGACAGTGACGACGGCGGGAAATCGTAGGGCAAGACGACCTCCACGTAACGCACGCACACACCGCAATGGAAGCTTCCAAACAACGCACCACCAGCATCCCGCGGCCGCCGCATGCGGAGCTTCAGCCACAAGAGCCCCTCCTTACGCATCCAGCAAGCGAGCAGCACCGCCCCTGCACGCGCCAGCCCGATGCCCATCCGCAGATTGATTGGACCCTGTGCAGTTGCTCACCATCATGGTCCCGCGGGCATCCGTGGCAGAGGAACGGCGGGGAATTGAGCCCTCCCCACGTTGGACAGTTGATAAATTCGCGCAAAACGGAGATGGGAGCGCTCGGAATAAACGGCATCTCAAGCTGTTCGGACTGGCCTAGCGAAGCTTGGACGCAGACTGAGGCTCTTTTCTCATAGGCTCGGGCCGGCCCCGTCGCCAACTCGCCAAGCCCTTGTGATTGCGCCAATGTGGCACGCGTGGGGATGTTTGCCCGAAATTGATGGCCTGATGGCCTGCGCGTCCACGGCGGCTGTATCGCGTTTGCTGATGTGGCTGGTGATTCTATACACCCAACTGCATTAATTTAAGGCGGCGAATGACCGTCTCAAAGATAGGTGGGGAGAAAAGTTCGGGACGCCTTCAGCCCGTCTTCCGTATTGATGCGGCGTCTCCGGTTTTCGATGGCTTGCGGACTGCCCGTCGAAGCACTTGTGCGACGCGCTACACCTCTCAAACTTCCGCAGTCCGTCCGGTGAGCCGCCAGACTTTCTCCATTGAGCCACCGTTGAAGGAGTGAGAGGGTCAGGAGCTAAGAATAGAGCGGGGAAGAGCTCCCCGCGCCGGGGAAATGATGACTGGTTCATCTGCTGACGCAACCTCTGCGGCCTTTTTGTACACCTGTCAAGTTTTCAGGGGAGCCAGGAGACGTCGAAAGCACCAGAAGCATTGTGGAGATGATGAAGAGTGATAATGAAGAGTAATGATATTCAAAGCGTAGGAGAGATCGCCCTCTATCAAAGGGTCGGGGCTTGCAGTCTGTCTAACGTACCCTTAGCGATCTCCATAAAACATGAACTCAACAAAAGCCAGAACCCAGTCTAGGTCGGCGGGAGTGCTCCTGAACTCCTAGTAAACCAGATGTCGTAAAAATGCCAATCATGCCGTGCTCCCCAATTCGTCCTCGTCGTAAGTAGATGTGATGGTCTGGGTCACTGCCCATAGATGCAACCCAAACGCCAATGATGCCGATGCTGTCTAGAAATGTAGAGAACAGCAAGAATAATGTCGAGAAAACGATTCGTGAGTGAATGCCGCGCACATGTCGTTCTGGTTCGTCGAGGTGTGGCGCAGGCAAGAGGAGCCGGGATGATGCAATGGACGCGGGCCATTAGCTAAACCCCGCCATACCGCTCCTCCGCACCGGCGCCCAGTAATCGTTGTTCCTCCGCGCTTGGTGAGGACAGTCCGCTGTTACCTGCACCTCCGTCGACTGAGGGGATCCATCCCCTAAGCCAGCCTGAGACCCTCCGCCATCTCCATCGCTTCCCACCCTCCTCAGGCACGAGGATAGTGGAGTCGGCGAGCGATCCCTCGCCGTAGTACCAGAACTGCACGCCGACGGCGCCGTCCATCATCAGCACACCCGCCGCTCCCAGCCAGAACGGGATGGCCCGACCGACCCATTCGGACTGCACGCTGCCCCCGGATCCGACCCAGCCACGAGCTCCGTGAGGCGGGTATGTGCCCCACGCGCACGGATTCGAAAGGATGGAGGATGAGTAGAACAAGTTGCCCATGAATGCCGCCAGGAAGAGAGTCGGGGACAAGCCAGAAGTGGACTTGCGTTTGTAGTTCTTGTACAGCTGCGGCATGCGGGAGCCCAGGTACATGACCGTGCTAAGCCAGGACAGCAGCCGGCCGGCCACCTGCGTGGCAGTCTCCGTCGACTCCTTTTGGTGCGCGATGATAGGGTACGCCGGGCTCGGTCCATTCAGAGGAGAGGCTTGCGCAACAACGGCAAGGAGCATGGAGACATAGAGGACAGTGCGCGGAGACGGGTACGGGGAGCCGGAGCGGCCGATACGACGGATGCTGCGGTTCGAGGGCGTAGGCTCCATATCGTCCTCATCCATATCCTCACGTTCCTTGGAAGAGGGCGATGACGAATACTGCGGGCTCCGGAAGACATCCTTGGGATCCGAGTGCGGCACGCGCTTCGCGTCAGTGCTGTCGTTATCGGAGATGGACACGCCGTCAATGAACTCAGTCATATCGGCCGCGCTATCGCCATGATAGTTGTCGCGCGAGCCTCTCCTCCACACGCGCACCAACGGGCGGCCGTGGCGCAAGCGCTCGTACCAAATCCATTGTGCGACCAGACAGCAGTCCACGAAGCAGTAGTAGCAGGCGATTATCACCTGCCACAGAGCCTGGTCGGTAAACAGCGAACCCAGCAGGTTCGACAGGTCACCCAACAGCCATTCGGCGAGAAAGAATATGCTGAGCCCCGAGGTGCTCTTGAGGGTGTAGTTCTTGTATATCTGGGGCAGCTGGGCAAAGAGCCACGATACGATGCTGAGGGTTCCGAGGAGCGAGGATATGAAGGCAAGCTTGGTGGGCACGCAGGTGTGGAAGGTGGAGGAGAAGCGAAAGAGGAAGTCGGACTCGGGTTCGCAGTAGGCGGGGAGCGAGGGCTCAAAGACGGAGCGCAGGGCCGACCAAGGTGGAGAAGAGTCTGCCATGCTGGACAAGAGGAAGAGTACGGATGTGTGGGATGGAGGGGCAGCGTTGCGACAGGATGACTATATCAGGAACGCGGCGCGCTGAGACACACTGGCGTATGACGCTTCGGCGGGATGCGCGCGCGCGAAGGCACCGCCGTATTTTGGTCATGCGAGGAGGCACTACCCACTTGATAGACGTCGCGGCTGATAAGCAGTCCTGCCACCCAGTGGCTTGGCTGCGCGAAGCCGGAGGTGATGCGCGGGGGAGAGTGAGGCTAGGCGGACTCTCTTATCGCCGCGCAGTGACAGGCTCACGCTCGCCGCAGCCCACGCGACCATCAGCCTCCGCCGGAGTATTACTACATCGTCCGTACGCGCCCTTTGCGCTTCGCCAGCGGACCCCAAGCTTCGGACGGCCGGCCGTATTCACGCGCCTGTGACTGCGTGAACCAGCGCGCAGTCGCCGCCGCATGACGGAATCATGGCCGCGGGCCGAATGTGCCAGCCGCACGGCAAGGATGATGCTGAACCGACCCCCCTCCACCCTGCGTCTGCGATGGCTCGAGTATAAAGGTAACTCTGCGTACCTTGGGAGGTAACACACCCTGCCATGGGTGCCGCAGGGTCGAGGCAGCCCCGTCACGCACATTCCGACGCGTCCCGCCGCGGTATCTGCCCGCATGCGGAAGCCCGATCCACGCAATCTCAGCTCTCCCGCCTTTCGCACCTGGCCCAGCCATCCCGAAGCTCAACGGTGCTCGAGATATTGCACCGAGGTCCTATACAAACCCACATGTACCTTCCGGCTTGCTCCTGCTCCATGTGAGCCGAAATCGGTCGCCGCTTGCCGGATCCGGCATAAGCCAGGTGCAGGTGACTCTAGTCGCCAACCGTTCCAAATAAATCGACGACGTCGCAGCCACCAGAAAATTTCAATCTCTTCACGTCTGGTGGCGGCTGGTAGGCCCGGCGCATTTTCGTCACCGCTAAGGTGCGTTACGACCACTGCAGCGCTATCCGAGCAAAAGTTGCCCGCTTGGGTCTTGTTGGGCTGCTTCCTGTGCGAATTGGGAATATGACCCTGCTATTTCCGACTCCACAGTTGCCTTGCAGTCATGGCCCAGTGACCCCCACGTTCGCGACTGACGCGCCACCGGTAATAATGCTCCCTTGCCCACGGCGCATACCTTCGGCTCAGCCCTGGAGAGAAAAAAAAAAATATGGTTGACTAGCGAGGATCCTACCGCGAACATCTGAACTTGTCACGTCGAACCGGACAGTGGTCTTGTTTCACTGCTTTACTCGTGCACCAACGTTGCACCTGCTGGAAGACCGGGGTGTGCAAGGCCCCACACGTCGATCTCCGCGGAGAGTTGTGGGCCCCAACGAGGCTGTAAACGCCTTCGGTTCGCCCAATCGCAGGCGCGACAAAAATACACAAAGTAAGCGGAATGGACAGGTTGCAGGCCAGCATCGATCCGCTAGGTCTGGATTGTATCCTGAGGCGCACCACCTTGCAGGAGGTAACATGAGTACTATTCCCGATATTCGGTCCTTGAAGAACCACGAGGTAGGTTCTATCAGTACTGCAACAGAAAGGGCCCGTTGAAGCTTCCGTCCGGAGTTTGAATGCAAAAATAAATGTGAACAGATGCATACGGACAAGCATTCAGCTCCCCGATTTGTGCTATGATAAGAGAACCGACCTCGTATTCCACACGCAAAAGACTAGCAACGTGTCCGGCAGTCTGAAAGGTACTTAACTTCCAAGGTACGGGACATGTCACGGTTGCATACCAAATTTCAGGTCAAGAATGTCTCCAACCGAGGCGTAGGCCACTGTAAACCACATTTGCGTATACACTTGCGTACAACGGCAACAAAGCCATTGTCTCCGTCCAGTACCATGCACCGAAAGCTCCCATTGGGTCATCTACACACTTATGCTTATTTTCACGAGCGTATCGGAGCAATAGTTAAACCTTCTAATGCACATTGAAAAGAAAATGAAGTAAGTGCAAAGTCTCTTTCATATGCAGTTAGGCTGCATGAGTATTATTCGTTTCTTCAAAGTTATTACAGACATGACATTTTAGAGAGAAAGAAAAAGGCTCATGATCACGCATCCCATCTTCCCATCTCACACACTCTCCTCAACTTCCTCCTGGACCCTGACATAATCTTCTTTATCATCGATATACCGAGGACTAGTGACAACACAACATCGTCAGCAATCTCCACACCCAACAGACCTACAAACAGACACACACACACCACTCGCCAAAAACGAGGGGAAAAGAACTCACACACTCACCGCAACCAATTCCCCAACCCCACCACCGCCCCCGTCCCCACCGCATACGCCCCCAACAACCTCGCCCACCCACCTTCCCCCACCGCGCCCTGCCCCACCGCCAGCGCCACAAGATCGTACACCAAACACCCACCAAAAATCCAATCGCTCAGCGCGCCCGCGATCCCGAAGCCGACGCCCGTCAGCGCGCGGACGGCGCCGCTGGGGTTCAAATCGCCGGGGAAATAGGCCGCCGAGGTGTTGTGCAGCAGGTCGAGCACGCCGATGCCGGCGAAGGTCTTGGCGACGGCGTGGGTGAGGGCGGAGGCGGAGGAGGATGTGCGGAGGGGAGGCAGGCGCGTTGTCAGGTAGGCGAGCTGCGAGACGGTGTTGAGGATGACGAAGAGGTTGGCGGTGCGGAGGTGCGACGAGTTCCAGAAGAACATCCAGGCTGGAGTAGGGTGGGTGTTAGTGTGATCTTTTGGTAGACTGGCTGCAGGCAGAGGAGGGACAGGGTGCAGGGAGGAGGAGGAGGCACGGCTGGCATGGAGAACCAGATCCACGAACCAGTGCGACTCCACCATCATCTCATGGTAGGTATTCGAAAGACTACTACTCACTTCCAATACACACATTCCCGAGCGCGTACACGGGCACGTAATCGACCATCTCCTCAATGTCGCGCTCACTGCCATTCCGCCGCCACAGCTTCCACAGCCAGGCCAGCTGCGCGATCTGCTGTGGGAAGAAGAAGAGGGCGATGAAGTAGGGCTGCGGGCTGAAGAAAGACAGGTTGGCGTCGTGCACGTCTTTCATGTTCGGCGACGACAGCATGCCGTACTGCTGCGCCGCAAAGTCGAAGACGAAGGACGCCGGCGCGATCCAACGCGCTTTGCTGTATGGAGTGCCCATTGTTTTTCTTTGTTTACGCGTCTGTTTGCTTGGTTTTGAGAAGGCGGAAAGATGACTAGAGCAGGCAGGGCTGATGGTGCTCGTGTCAAGATGGACTGAGCAGAAGAATCTGAATGCGGACTGCATGATGACCAGCCATAGCAAGCTCTTTTGTATACAACATCGGTCAGCACTGCTTCTATTGCGCGAGTCTTGACGTAGTCGTTATGGATTGCCTATCCTGGTAGTATGACGCAAATGACTCTAGCGCTCGGGGCAACCGGAACGCCGAGTCACGAGATTCTGTCTGACGCGCACACGCGATTCCGCCGGGAACGCGATCAGGGTCTTACGGGGTACCTAGGCTCAATTCGCACGGGGAAGAAAGAGATACATCAATAAAAAAGTGACATTGTACAACAAACAACCAGCAATCCAATCTATCTATGAACGATAACTGCCAACCCATTAACCCTAGAGGAGAAAAACGTGTGAAAGAAATGTGTCACAGCCCGAGCCGACCAGCAACCCATGGTATTCGCCAGACCAAACAGGAAACGAGTCTTAATCGGTCTTAGGCTGCTCTTTCACCTCTAGCGAAATGTGTCTTCACCAGCCAGACCTATTGATACATAGATATCTCGTGTATAAGAGTGAGCGCGTAAGGAGGGTATTCACAGGATTTTACTCCCGGGACACGTCGCGGCCAAAGACCTTGGCCTTGACCCAGTCGACGAGGACGAGCACACGGTTGCGAGCTGGCATATCAAGTTAGCTAAGTAGTCAATTGGACTTTCAAGGTATAGAAACTTACTGCTGAAGCACATGCTCAGGTACGCGCTCCTCCAGAAGTAGTAGGTAAGAGTACCGCCAGTAGCGAAGTTACCGGTGAGCCAGGTGATATCGGCGACAGCCTTCTCGCTGCCGATGTAGGCGAGGGAACCCTGGTGAGAGTATTCGAAAGGACCCATCTGCTTGACGCGACGGAGGCGCTTCTGAAGATCCTTGATCTGGCCGAAAACCTCATCACGAGCATCCTTGGAAGGAGCCTTCTCCTGAGCCTCCGAGAGCTTGGTGAGCTCGCCCTCGATCTGCTCGGTCTTGGCCATGTTGTTGAACAGACGAGCGAGGAAAGCACCCTCCTGAGCAGCAACCTGGGCGGTGGGAGCATAGTTGGCGACGGCGCAGTCACCGACAGCCCAGATGTTCTCAGTACCCTTAACCACGAGATATTCGTTCACAGCGAGACCACGGCGAGAGTCCTTCTGCGCAGGGATCTGCGACATCAGGTCCTTGACAACGGGACGGAGAGCGTTACCAGTAGCCCAAACCAGAAGACCGTAGGGAATGCGCTCGAGCTGCTTCTTGCCGTCGGGACCGGTAGACTCAGCCTCGATGTACTTGTCGGTAACCTTCTTGACCATGGTCTTGGTGCGGATGGTGATAGTCTCCTCCTTGAAGGTACGCTCGGTGTAGTCAATCAGCTGCTTGGAGAACATGGGAAGAACCTGGACGGTATGGTCAGTCATGCTGGAAGCTGTTCAGAAGAAATCCGGTGCTTACGTTGGGAAGAGCCTCGACGAGAGTAACGTGGAAGTTGTCCTGGATATCGGGAATCCACTTCTTGAGATCACCGTTGAAGAAGTCCTGGAGCTCACCGGCGAATTCAACACCGGTGGGGCCACCACCGACGACAACCATGTGCAGAAGGCGCTTGATCTCCTCGGGGTCCTGGTCCTTGAAGATAGCAGTCTCGCAGCAGTCCATGATGCGCTTGCGGATCTTCTGGGCGTCGCCAACCTCCTTCAGGAACAGGCCGTGCTCGCGCACACCAGGAATACCTGCGATCTACGTCAGCCAAAGCTCAGCTCGGCCCGGCGCGCAACATACCGAAAGTAGCGTTCTCGGCGCCAACGCCGACAACGAGCATGTCGAAAGGAACCTCAGTCTGGGAAACGTCGCCCTTGATCTCCGACTCGTCGTGGATGTAGACAACCTTCTTCTCGTAGTCGATCTTGGTGGCCTCGGCTTCATAGTACTTGACGGCAGCCTTCTTGTGACGCAGGAAGTTACGAATCGGCTCCATGATGGAGCGATGTTCGATAGTACCAGTAGTGCATGACGGGAGCAGCGGGGTGAACAGGAAGTAGTTGCGGGGAGAGATGACGACGACATTCCAGTTTTCCGTATCGAGCTTCTTCAGGAGGGAGACGGAGCCCCAACCAGTACCTGTCGCAGACGGTCAGTGCAAGCCATTGGCAGCTTCGCGGCGGAGGGCAGCGCACCGAGGATGACGAGAGTTTTCTTCTTGGGATCGGGCTGGACCTGATCCGGGGGGTTGCGCATCTCATAGATTCCATAGGCGGCGTAACCGGTACCAACGATAGCAGAGACATAGGTGGCGCGCCACAGCCAGCGCAGCAGGCGGAAGCCCTTCTTCTTGGGCTGGGCGCTGTCTGTGTAGGTGCGACGGAAAGCATTGCGGAGCGCGGGATGCGCGGTCAGCGGGGAGGGAGCTGGCGCGCGACGCAGCTGGGGAGCAGCGAGCTGGCGGTGGGTCGCGAAAGCGCGACGCGCAGCGAAGCGCAGAGCGTGCTGGAAGCCGGCCGGGGCCATTGGCCTCAGGGCGGCGGCAGGAGCTGCCATTGCACTCGTCGAATTGACGGGGCGGGGGATGGTGGTGAGGATGACACAGTCAGAGCCGGCGGTCCTTTTTTTCTGCTGCAGCGATGACGATTTTGCTAGAGGGCCCTGCACCGCACCGAAGCCGTTAATCGGGGGTCCTGAGCATCCGCGCCGTCCGCTTGTTCGCTGCCACGCGCCGACGCCGATATGTACCCGCCAACCACGCGCCGCCTGCCCACTGGAGGAGATCCGGTTTCCACTGCGCCCTCCGGAGCGGCCTTCAGCTCTGCATTGGGGCCGCGGACGAATGGTGTTTCGCGGGTCAAAGGACGGCGCTCAGAGCACCTTGCGGAGTTGGAAATCCGTAGCGCGATCCGCGACTCGAGGGTCCAGGTGCGGCTCCGCTGCTCGCAGAGCGCGAAGGCTGCTCTTTTTGAATGACAGCCCGCATCGGGACTTCACGGCCCACCGGCTGCAGGTACTTTCTTTGTTCGGGCGGGTCCGGGGGAACGGCGACAAGGCCTTGAGCGACGACAATGACGTTTGGCTGGGCCGAGGTTGCGCTCGTGCGCACGAGAATGGCGACGGACGGCGCGAGAGGCCGGTGGGAGTGTTGAGCATGGCCTGGCGACGGCGGCGTTGGGCACTTATATGCAAACACCACACCGAAGGGGACCTGATATCACACCAGCATGGACCGACGCGCTGGGTGCGCTCCGTTTGCGCGGTGCGCGGATTTTTGCATTATTATTCCGAGCGCCTGCGTGCTTTTCCGAGGTAACGGCTGCCGCCTACCTCTGACTGAAGTCGCAGCGTTGGGCCCCGTCTCTTCTAATTCTGCCTTAGAGAAAGAACATGTGTGGGTAGATGAAGCTATCGTCTGGACGAGAATGTGGAGTTAAAAATTCTACATGCACGTCCGGACGATAGCTTCAGCTAGCCATGACATGAACATAGCCATCGGCTGTGAGAGGGGACTGTAATGCAGCAGCGGAGAAAAAAATCTGTCTATGCGACGTTGAGGGGACGCGAAAGTCCTCTCCCGGACGACGTCCCAACAACCCGAAAATGGCGAAGCCCGTCTCTACAGCTTTTCTCTAACAGCTCCAGCCCCGAACTTGTCTTGCAGCTTCGGCCCACTGTTGTTAAGCCTCACCAGCCCTTCTTGATACGTGCTAGCAATGTGGACGCCGGTCCCATTCCATATCCTGCTCTCGATCATGCCTCTTCCCCCGGACACCCTGCTCATCCACGACTCCTGGCAGTACCACTCCCTCGCATCCTTCTCATCTAGCTCCGCCATGGCTAGATCCTTGGACCCGACGTGAAACACTACCGAGTGGCTCAAGGATGCCATGGCCGAGTAGTCGTTCCCCCACCCGAGATGGTTCGGGATGACGAACAACCCATTTCGATCGCTCGCGTACAGGTGCGCGCACGCATGCAAGTTCGCGGCCTGGGAGACGGGGGGCATGCTTCCGATGGTCGAGTAGAACTGCAATTGGCGGCGGTCCAGGGGCTTTCGAGGCGCGTTGTACGCCTCCATGTCGACCTTCCGCAAGGACAGTCCCGGGAACGGATCCGTTCGGTTGCCATCCTGCGCCGAAGCTTCCCAGTACCTTGTACAACGAATGATCCATCAGCCTTCTTCCAGCTCTTCAAGGAATAGGTTTCTATTCTTGCACCGCCGCCCGGAACTCACCATGGTGAATCAACCCCGGGCGCCTCAGGCCAGTCGTCCGGTCGTCGGTTGCCCAGGGCTACCTTGTACTCCTCCCACAGATCCAGCTGGTCCTGGCAATCTACCGCCCCGGCCTCCTCTTTTTTGAACGAACATGTGCACGTGAAGCAGACGCCTGTCTTGTTGTGCTCCTGCACGACCTCGACCGTGCGCGTGCAATACCGCCCGCCGTCCCGGATGACTCTCACCGTGTAGATGAACGGAAAGGCCGTGTTGCCCGGCAAGGTGAAGTATCCGGTGACATTCTGCGAGCATTAGCCTCCTGATAGTGCTCGACACCACAACGCCAGCCGCCAAGACCGAGCACGGAAGCCCCGCTCGAAGGGAAATAAAGGACGACCAGCAAGCAAGCTCTCAGGAAGCTTTCCCGGCGGGCCAAGAGAAAAAAGTAATTAGATGGGGCGCGCCACCCATAAACTAGAAAGCGCGCGGATCGAAACGTGCGCACAAAACGGGAAAACGGTGGTCAAAGAAAAAGAAATGAGGCAGGCCGAGTTTGGCCATATGATGAGAAGGGGAGGGGGGACGTATAGTGTGTGTGTGTGGGAGGCAAGGGCAGGGGAACAAGGTTTCCGCCGAACGCGTTCAAAGCTTCACCATCTAACCCGTTGGTATCATCACCTAGTACGTACATGGAGCACGAAACCCTCTTTGACCGTCTGCGCCGCCGCCCATGCCGCCTGCGCGAACACGTGCCCGCCGTACGCCGACGTGCCTCCACCCGGCGCGAACGCTTTAGCCGCGGATTTGAACGTCCCGTCCGACGTCGTGGTGGCTGCTGCCTCGTCCAGCCGGATCAGCTCGGTGAATGCGAGGTAGCGGTTGCCGTTGATCGAGTCGTCGTCCTGCATGATGGTTTTGCGAAAGCTGACAAGGGTCCGGCTACCGAGCTGGAACGGCGGCCAGCTGATGCGCAGCCCGCGGAGGATTGCGTGGAGCTGCTGAAAAGGTGGAGAAACCGGGTCACACGCGGGATGCCCGTCAGGAGGGTCAAGAGACCCGTGGAAAGTAAGCTTACGAGGGGCAGCTCTACGCGTTGGTGATCTCCAGTCTTTACTCGTGCCCTTTACATGCTCGTCATCGGATCGGACCTCGGTAGCTACTCCAGCACGGCTGCCTAGCGCTTCAGGCACCAATGCCTCACGTGGATTGGTCATTTCCATCAAGCTTGCATCAACCAATGAGCGTGCGAACGGAGCGAGTTGAAACATCTGGATTCTCATCCTGCTGGCCTTCTCTCGGCGAGCAACTTTCCTTCTTTGGTGTGATTCCTATCTACCCTAATGTATGCAATCCATCCATTGTCACATCCACGTCAGCTCATGCAGCTGCTGTCCCAGCAATACTAGCGAAACCATCCCATCTGTCCGAAACCTGAAAACAAGAAAGCCTCTACGGGCGAAGCCAGCGGCAAAGTCTGGGTATATTCTGCAAACGCCATCCCATGCAAACATCCATCAACATTAACGAGGGCTGGAGGCCAAAAATAACTGGCCGTCCACCCTTGCAATGCAATTGCTCGAACGCGGAAAAAGAAAGTAGTTTGCCCCACGTGTATAGGGCACAACTTCGTGCAAACCCATCTAGAACGCCAGATAAAATGCAAATGTGACCCTGGTCAGGGTCCGTATTCGTGAAACTTCAGACAGAATCCAAAGGAAATCTATCGTGAGAAATTCGGTTGAGGAAGAACAGGCCACTGGTTGAATTGGTTCGTCGTGGGCCAGGCGTCGTGGTTCATGTAGGGGAGGGGACCAGCGCGACGCTCGTTCGACGGCCTTCCGAGTGGCTGGTACTGCATCTGATCGAAACCAAGGCGCGGGGGCTGGCTGATCGATGATGAAGGAGGAGGAACCAAAAGCGTATTCACAGTTCTAACAGGCCTGTAAGGCGAGCTGCGTTGCGAGAGGTAAAATGAAGGAGAGAGCCTGTTCTGCTTGGGAGCACCCGGCCCGAACGAAGGGTGCAGGGGCGAACTGGCGGAAGAATCGGTAGGTAGTGGGCTCAGCTGACGCGAAGGAGCAGGCTGGGACTGCGGAATTGAGATCGCTGGTGGGAGCGTAGCCGCGGGAGCCGGGGGCATCGACGATGGTTGAGACCACTGCATCGGGGGAGGGTACACCAGAGAATTCGACCTGGTGTTCGGAGGCGGCAGCTGAGGCACCGAGAGATTGGGGAGAGGTGGCAGCATCGGAGGGACACTCGTGGGTTGCGAAGCTGGTTGGGTTAGTGCCGATTGTTGAGGAACGCTCGTGTACGCTGGCTGGGTTTCGGTCGGAGCGAAGTTCCTCAGCGGCCGCTTCGGGGCCGGCTCCTGCGCCTGGTCGTCGTAACTGCGCTTTCTCGAGCCGGGCCGCAAGTTCAGCTCGGGCAATGGTCCGATCGGCGAGACGGCGGCGGAGCTAATTTGAGGCAGTAGTGTCGGCGTGTTCGAGTACGAATTGGCGTTGTTCGGGGAGAAGCCATTGAGGTAAGGAGGCGATGCTTGCGTCGAATGCGGCGGCGACGGGAGATTCGGAGGCACGCGAAGCGTCGGAGTCGGAGGGCCAAGTGCCCTAGAGGAAGTTTCCAAGGGTGCCCGAGAAGCTCTTTCAAAGAACGTTCCGAACTTGCCAAGTGTGGCATGCCACTCACCCCACTCCTCCGCTGAAGTAAACAAGTTATACTTCATGTTGCTCAGAAACTCAACCTCCATGATGTGCACTTCTTGAACCGAAATCCCGGACACATCCGCCCAAGTTTTGTTCGTGTACGTATTGTCGTCCAAAAACTTGTTTCCCAGCATCAATGCCACCGTGAGCAGCCGGTACTCACTGCCGGGCTTTCCCTTCACTCCAGGATTGATGGTCTTGAGCCGGTAGATGAACAGGAGAGCGAGGATGACCACGTTCTGCGTAACTTGGGTAGTTGAAAGAATGGTCGTGACCCATTTCCTGAAACCGGTCGTGGGCTGGGCGTCGGGAACAAGGCCAGTCGGCGGCGGCGAAAGCGAGTCGAGAGCCTGATGCAGGGTGGATGAGTTCTCGAACCAGAAAAGACATGTGATCTACTAAGAGTCAGCATTTTTGGGCTACGGCAGCGGAAACAGCGGAAGACTCACTTCGGCAGCAAGTTGCGGCATGCTGGTCTGCGGGGTGTGGATTGACGTGGGAATTTGCAGAGAGGCGGCAATAGCTTGGTTCGAAGCTCTTCTCGCGTTGCGGTAGTCCTCGGAGCTGTGGCCATTGGTGCTCCGGGACGGGCTGTGAGGGCGGTAGACAGGCTGCTGGGAGCCGTTCTGGTAGGCGGGCCTGTGAGTAGTCGTCATGGTGTTGGTGTTCGCTTCCGGAGCTTGGTGGACATGCTGCGGCTTGGGGACGAAGGCGGCCTCGCCAGGTCTTTGAACAGCATAGCTACCCACAGGCTGCGGCAAGGCATTGTGGCCTCTATGGACACTCGCCATGTCGACAGAAGGGGTGCCAAGTGTGCTTGGCCGTGCCTGCCGATTCTCGAACCTCAGCGGGAGCTGGTCGTGGTGGTGGTGCTTGTGCGGGTAGGCGGAGGCGGGCTGCGAGCGGTCCAGAGAGAGGGCGTGAGGCATTGACTGGGGTCTCTGTAGTTGCAGCATGAGGGCGGACGACGGTGGGTGGAGGCGAAGACGGTGGATTTAGTGTCGTCACCAGCGGTGTTGGGCTGCCGAGGAAGGAGCTCCAACAGGCTTCACAACATTGCCAGAATGAGTGAAAGGGAAAATGCTTCGGCTCCCTTCGGTGCTAAGCAAGGAGCGGCGTCCAAGTATGCTCGCAAATATGTAGCGCGGTTTCCGCAGTGGCACGCTATGGGGGGGCAGTGGTGATGGGTGGTGAGGGCGGCGAGGCAGGTTTAGTAGGCAGCAGGAGAACAAGGCTTAGGGACGATCAAGACAGGAAGTGAGGATGATGGCGTTTCGCTTTGCGTAGGCTGCGCATCGCCTGGGCGGAGAGGCACCGGTTTTGATAAAACGGCATTATTCAGGACTAGTCAGGCGTCGTGATTGCGGCCGTCTTCGAGCGGAAGGTTCCAGGCATTGGGGGGCACTGGGGAGGAGCAAGCCCCAAGAGGCTGATCCAAATTGATGTGTGGAAGCGGCAGCACGGCGTGGTTGATGTCAGAGCAACCAACGACCAGCGCGGTGGATATGCAGCAGCACAACAAGGATGATTCCGAAAAGAGAGCGTGTCGCGCTGGGCCCGGGGCGACGGACAGGCGCAGGCGTGCCGTGGACGAGCGCGCGGCACCCACTAGCCTGCGGGCAGGGGTTGGGGCAGGCGCAAAAAGAGCCGGCCGGGCATGTGCGTGCGCGCGTGGTGGATGGAGGATGGGATGCCGGTGTTAGATTGGGGGCGCGCTACTCGAGCGGTTACGGTGCAGCCGCTGCTGAGCGCTGCGCTGCGCCCTAACCGCATCCTCCAGCACCGCCGAAGCAGAGTCAGTGCGGGCTTGCCCATCTGCGGCGAGCCTGAGGGCCGCGATGACGGCGCCCCATCAATGCCTGCGCCCGGTCACGCCTGCGCTCAATCAAACCGGCCGCGGATGATTAGGTCATGGGCTGTCTCGCCCATTGGCTGCGCGGGTGGAGCTCGAGGCTGCCAGCAGCTCTAAACTTTGCCGGCGATCCAGCCTGCGCAACGCAACGGTGACTGCGAGAGCGCAGAGGCCGCCGCCGGGTGGAGCAGCTGTGCGCGGCGGGGGCCTGCTGGCTGCCAGCGTCCAGCCGCCTCGCATGCCGTGAAGCGTCTTCTGTTTGAATGCTGCCACACCCGACCCTTGTGCGGTGCGCCGCTCAGCGCTGCGCTCCTTGTTTCGCTGCGTGCGATACGAACGCGCCGGCGTGTGGCTCGCTGTCTTACCCTAAAGTCATCTATTTCCGCCCCGAAACCTTGCCGCGCCGCGTCGTCGCTGATCGCGCCTCGCAGAATCCTGCTGCAAATTTGCTGGTGTTGCTCGGTGAGTCTGCGGGCGTCTCGTCAATACCTTCTGCCCCGGCGGCCAGACGCACCACCCGCCCACAGCCGCCCCCTTGGCGCGCCCGCGTATTGCTTTTCGACTCGGCATTCCGCACGCTGGTGTTGAGCGAGCGGCCGTGCGCCGCAAACCGCCCCCAGAAGAGAGCCAGCGTGCGAAGCAAGGAGCTGGCCCTGCCGTGCCCGCCCAATCACCGCCCGAACAAACCTCCCGACGACCACCCGCAACAGGCAAGTCTCACCTGGCCAGATCGGCAGCCCTCACCACCCATCCAGCCGCGGTGGGGGTGTCCAAGGCGGTAGGGATGGCGAGCCTCGTCCCCTGTCTCGTACGCGCAAATTCCAGCGTCGCCGTCGTCGAGCGCACCCGCGTCATCCGAGATCGACGGAGATTGTGGGCGCCTCCTGGTGGGCGACGGAGCAGCAAGTCATACGAGCCGGACGAGGTTATTGCTGCTGAGGCATGCCGCCGCGACGGGATAAACACACCCGACTCAGGAGGCTCGAGGGGACCGCGGCGCGCCAGCCCCGAAGCGGAAGCGTAATGGACGGCGGCTCGGGGCCTGGGCGTGCGTACCGTGTGCCTCCCTGCGTATCGTCATAATTTGATATTTTTTTTCTTTGCATGCCGCGTGCTGGTGCAGCTGGCGCGTCGTCGCGGCCAGGCAGGGCGACGGGGGCGGCCGGCCACCATCCGCGCCGGCACGCGATCTGCTCGCTGTGCCAGTAGCTGCGCTGTCTGGGCTTGCTCGGGCGCGGCGAGGCGAGCTGCGCGCGCCGTCAATCAAGCAGGCGGCCGGGGCTGGGCTGGCCGAGCTGGCCGGCCTGCAAACAGCAGCGCGTCTGACAGCAACAGGCCGCGGGCGTCGTTACGTGATGCGCGCAAAGGCTGAGCTTACGCATCCCTGGCGCCCGACTATCGAATAATGCGGTCGCGTAAGGACGTATGGCGCAGGCCGGAGCGCTCGCCACATGTTGTTTGCTCGCCCTTCGCACACACCTGCCCCGATGCAGCAGGCGCTCTCCACTCGCACTCATCAGACTCCGGCCGCCGCCCGCCGTCAAATCTCTCGACGCATCCCAAGGATCTGTTGCCCGAAGCGCGCAGCATGCATCACGCCGCGTCCTGCGAACCCGAGTCCAGGGCGCCAGTTTCGCCGGTCCGATGGAACACTACGCCCCCAGCAGCGACGCGACATGGATCGCACGACAAGCCCACCAGCGCACCGCCGTCGCCGCTTCGCACCTGAGCGCCCGCCTAGCTTGCCGTGTGCCCGGCCGCCAGCGCAACGAACGCAAGCCAGCGGAGCAGCAGCAGTCCGCGCCGCCACACCAGCTGGGCTCGGTGTGCCCCCGCCGCCCACCCAGCGCGCTCTCCGCTAGGGCCCTGGTCACGGCTCGCGATCATCCAGCATCGCCGCCCTCTGCTCCTTCGGCCACTTCTTCTAGCTTCTGCCAGCCCCGCCGCCTGGCCTTGTCTGCCTGAATCATGTGCGACGCCTCGCCCGACACGCCTGCCGGAATGCAGTCCTGCGCCGTCGCTGCTGGCTTACGTCCTTGATGGAGTCACGATCGCTCAGAGGCGCAGCAAATATCTTCGTCGTCTGTCTCATGCAAGGAACTGTCCATGCTCCCCGGCCCCGGCGGCTGTCGTCATGCCGCTATTATTGGCTCGACGTGTCCTCGGCTGCTCACATTTCCCAGCACGGCTCGTAACGCTCACTGTGTCGGTCTGCCGGCGTTGGTTCCGTCTCAGTAAACACCACTGCTTGGGTGCCCATACTCCGCTATTTTATGGGCCGTGGTCATGAGAGGCCCAACCGCCCGCCAAGGGTCCAACGCTTCGTAAAACAGACCGGCTTGCCTCTGGCGAGGGTCCTGATTCAAATCCAATATCCCTTTGGGCCAGACGCTTTGGGCCTGTACCCGCTGCATCATCGTCAGCCGGTCGCTATCCCCCGCCTGTTGAAGATCCCTGGCCCGTCACGTTGACCGCCTCCGGCAACATTGTTGAAACAGCACGTATACGTGTGGATGGCCGGATCGTGCTGATGGGGCTAAGTCCGAATGCTCCCCGGGCCTTGCTTTTGACCGCTTGCATTACTTCTCGCCACCACCAAGCCCACCTCCGGATGCACGACCTCCGGTTCGCGGCTGGGTTTGTGTTTCGGCCACCACGCCTCTTTGCTGCATCAAAGCCATGGCCCCTACCTCCTCACTGGACGAAGCTTCCGCGACCAGGCTGACGACGAGACGTGCACGCCCAAGCGACCTCGGCTGTGCATTCCAGCAATATCTACGTACAGCTCTCCGAGCACGGCTGGTTCCATGGATCGACCTATTGCAAAACCATGTGCGACCGTTCGGGACCTCGTTGGATTTCTGCATGTGGCCCCGCACAGGAAGCGATGGGCAATTCTCCTGCATTCCCATACGTGCGCACCACCTCGGTCAGCCTCATTCCGTAACTTGGGCACCTTCCGTCAGCACTTGCATCAAATCTCACTGCCCCAGCAGCTTGACCGGCTCGGTGATACTGCTAATTTCTACAAAAGTCAGCGACGGAACAACCAGCATGCATCGCGGAATGCGGATTGTCCCCAACAACGGCGAGGTGCCTGGTCAAATTGCGGTCCCGCGGCCCCTTGTTGTCATCCGCTCATCACGTCTAACGCTGCAGCTGCGCTTGTGTTGTACCTTGTACCTGCTTTGCTGCTGCATGAGCCCTTTCCAGAACGAGTGTCGCCGGCAGTAGAGTCGCTTGTGCGCTCTTGCGCGTTCAGCCTTCTTCATGCCACCGGTTCCATGATCGACTCCATAATCGCTGAAATCAATAGCACGCAGCCCGATGGTGGTCACCGCGCACCCCCTTGGGGGGCATATAACCTCACAGACATGCAGTCATGTCCATGCATCCGTGTCTCATGACGAGAAAGATAAGATTACCAATCAGTGCTGAGAGAGCCTGGCCGCTCCATAGATTGCGATTTACTTGCCAATCAGGGAAAGGTGACGGGCAGGCTGCAGTGTCTTGGCTATCTGAATTCAAAAACATGGCCAATGGCGGTGCAACACATGAACACTTGCATTTAGATTTGGGTGTGCAGCCAATGCGTGCACAAGCCCGGACGCACCGTCCTGTTCGACGTTCAAGCTTCCCGTCACCACGTGCCAAATGACAAACGCCCAAAAGCCTACCGTGCAGCCTTTTTTAATGATACATAGCCTTTCTGCCGTTCTCGCCTGGCTCACCAAATCCGGTTTTCGGCCTTGGACGGTCCCTTCGCCTTCGTGGAACCCTTCTTGCCCGCCCTGCTCGAACCCGGCGTCTTGAAGAACAAACTTGGGCCTTCTCCAGGAGCGACCTGGTGACTGAGGTAGCCGCGGTGGGCAGCGTCACGGTAGTATTCGATGTCTTTTCTGCTGGTGGCATCGGGAAGTCTGTACTTGAAGTTGCCGGATGCGGAAGCAATTTCACTCGGCATTTGGGCGGAGGCGATGGGGTCGCTAAGACCACGCAGGACATGCTTGATGGCGTTGGGAGAGTAGTACCTGGTGATCACCGAGCCCCCTGCAGCTTCAACTGCGGCAATGGCGGCAGCGGAGGCACGCGAAACTACGAGATTCACCGGAGTGCGCAGCTGCTCGGAGCCCTGTGGTAACACATCAGGCCGGAGACCCAATAGAGACAAGGGAAAAGTCTAAAATGCTTACCCTGGCCAGCAATTTCACGCCGTCCTTGACGCCATGCAAGCACCTCGACTTGTGAAGCTCCTTCATGGTTATGGGCTGCGACGGATCGATGCGGCCTTGATCGATCCATTGCTGCAGGCGGTCCAAGTTCAATGGGCTCATCTCCACCGAGAACCTAGCGCAGGACCGTCATCAGCAAAGTCTTGCGCACCACCGAGGCAGACACATACTGGTTGACAAAGCCCTTCTCCGGATGCGTCACTTCGTACGGCGTCTGGCCGCCATTGAAGCCGACGGGCACCTTTCCATGCTGCTTCTGACCCTTGTGACCGCGTCCTGACGTCTTTCCTTTCCCCGAGGCGGGACCGCGGCCTCGTCGTATCCTCTTGTTGTAGGCAGCGGGCACGTCAGACAGACCGGCGAGAATGGACGCGGCGCGGGTTTGCAGCGGCTGCTGGAGCAGCGGGGCGAATAGTGACAGGCATGGGGTCGGATTGGACGTCAGCGAGCTGAACGCCCGCAGGGCGGATAATCTGGGCGGCATCGTTGGTGAAGGCGGTGGGCGCAGCGCACGAAGCGGTCTTGCACTGTGGTCGCAAAGAAGTTCGGTCGCGCGTGGCTTGGCGCGAGATCCCTGTCGGGCAGCGGCCAGCACTTTTTCCCCTCCGCCGCTGCCGCCTTCGTGAACCTGAGCGAAGCAACCCTAACCAGCACACCAGTTCCCTTCGGGCCCAGTCAGCATCGTATCGCACACCAGCTACCGTTGGCCACCGGACCTTGGACGCGCGACGCTCAGATCTCAGCCGACACGCGCTTACGCCGCCTTGGACTGCAACAAGCAAGCGGACAGCAAAGCACGATAAGCACCACTCACGCGTCCATAGCGCCGCATGCGTCTAGCCACTCGGGCAGCGCGCACTTGTGCCGGCCACGACGTCGCTGTGAGCTAGAGTCACTCAGACGGATCATCTCGTCGTGCCCGACCCCGAGTCTAGGCGTCGTACGCCGGGCTTTGGTCGGGCGCATTGGTGCGTATGCAGAGCGCCCGTTTGAGGACGGGCCCTAGGCAGTACGTACTTGGACGCGTGCGGATATTGCTTTGCACTCCTCATCAGCAGGCAGTCCTGACGCTTTGTTCCCCCGCTGCGCCAGTTGCGCCGGGGAATCGGAAACGAGTGAATCCAACTGTGATGAATGCACGGAGCTACGGCCCCCAGGTACCACGCCCCCGCTGCAGAATACAGAGAGGACTGATAACCGCGGCTGAGCGATCCTGTGAACCCCCTCCCTCCAACAAGCCACGGGCCCCCTGCTCCTTGCAGCCCTGGACCGACATTGGCTCTGCATGCCTGCACGTCCACAAGATGCAGCACCATGTGGAATCGGAGATCCACCATCCACGCGACGCCATCCAGCTCCACCGTGGCTGTGACAAGGACAGCCGCTTTATTGATAGCTACTGGATGCCTTGTCGTTTTCGCTAGACGCGTACCCTGCGCCCAAAGAGTACAGCAGAAGATTCGCGCCGTGCCATGGAGCTGCCCCCAAACCCCCTTCTGGTCCGCCCCTTCCCCTCCAGAGCCTGGGAACACAAGGCCTGTGGTGGCAAATCATGTTCCTTGTGCTTCCAACCGCTGCCCGCATGAACACAGCCCGCCAAGGACTGCCCTGGAGGTACAGGGAGCCGCTGTGCGGGACACTCCGTTTCAATGTGGCATGGGAAGTTTCCAGGTGTGTTTGGATAGCGGCCGGACTAATCTACCTCTTGGCTTGTTGGAATGTTTGCACTAACGAACCGCGACATCAACCCAGCCGAACAAGGCTCAGGTGGTGACCTTAGCCAGCGCATATCATGCAGCACATGACCGCCGCGTTGCCGTCCAACTCTTCGTACATATGCTTCACCGTCTCGTACGATCGCTAGCGATTGTTTACCCTGTTTCGCAGAACTCGGACTCACGCATAGAATTGATCCCGATGGTCTTGGAACACTTTGGGGCGAGCACGGCCTGGGTCTGTGACCTCCTCTCCGGCAAGCTCGTCGGCAAGCTGCAGCATCACGCACGCCACCAAGGACCACAGGCGGGCGTCTCAGACCGATGATCTGGACAGTGTATACGAATGCTGCCTGAGGATTGATTTGCGTCTTCTCTCCGCGCCGGCTGAGTCGCAAAGTACGTGCAGACCAATCCGGCCAATATCTCGGTAATAGACTCCATGATCTGCTTACCTGCTCATTTCTCCCCTTTCGCTTGCATGGGTATGTCGCACGTCAACCTTCACCGAGCAGCCTCCGGAAATATCAACACACCCCCCCATATTTTCGCGTCTCCATGACCCCCCCTTTCGCTTGTTTCTCCCTCAGACCCTGTCCCTGTGGCCGCCCGTTCTCGGCACTTACCGAGCCGGCGAAACTGACTCGTCTCTCTCTCTCGACATCAAAGCTTCTCTTTATGTTCGACCGGCCGAGGGCCCCACACGAGGACCTGCCCGTTTTCAGCGTCGGAGGAACGCTTTTCTCTCCGACGCTGAACCTCCGACGACCAACGTCACCGGATCGTCCTGCGGCGCGGCCAAGAAAATTGGTCTCGAGACTTGCATGTTTTTTTTCTTTTTGACTAGGATCGTTGTTCTTCGACGGCTCTGCAAAGATGACTCCGCGGAAAATCTTGGAGAACATTCGATTTCTCGCTTGTGAACTTGTCACTAACTACTATAGGCATTTGCTGGTTTTGTCTCTGACGTCGACTTTTTTTTCTTTCTTGCCCCTCGAGACACGGAAACGAAAGGAACACGAATGCGTCGTTGTGTTGCGCTGATGTCAGCCCATGATATCAGACCGCCTCAGATCTTCAAGGCGACGATTAATTCCACGCACAGGGATACATGGATACGATTGCAATGGTACCACGGACTCGAGAGATCAACAAGAGGGGAGGAAAAATCAGGAGAGGAAGGGAGAGATAATGTTACTTGATATTGTAATACTATACCAAATTTCATCGCACATTATGAACGAATCTTTGATCAATCAAGCAGCTTCATAGTTTACGTGAATCCCCATGCAGGCCATCAAGCATAAGTCAGTCACGTTACGCGACTCCTCAACTGCATCACCCATGGAGTCCACCTATCACCTCTGGTATCACAAATGACGCACCTTCCGTTAATCTGAATTTATCCAGCTATCTGAATTGTTTTATACCTTGGCAGCATGTAAACAGCAAATGCACTTCAATTGATATTCAAGCCTCTGAAGAACAACCTAGAGCGCTTCACTTGCCACCCATCTATTTTCTCTTGCCATCTACTATAAACCATTCGCTGCCAACTTTTTCTTTAGTTCCATTCCTCGTTTCCAACTTTTAAATGGCTCAAGAGATTATGCTTTTAGGTTGTCCGGCTTCCTGCTCTTTTCAACTTTATCCCACTTTTCCCGCGTATGAAAAAGTTGACAGCTGCACCGCATTTAGGTTTTTAAGTTATTTGGCATGCTTTTCTCGACTATAAGTTGCTGCTCGACCTCGTCACAAATCGATTCTGCCTTGATATTTTAAAAACTAAGGAATATCCATTGCTTGTACTGCTGTTCCATCGGAAGACAACTTTCAATTCCTCGAAAATTCGATGATCTTATACGATGTCACCATGCTCAGATCTTCAACTCATTGCAATTCGTTGCGTTGGTTTGAACTACATCAAGTACAGCGGAATACTTTCACGAACAATCCAAACGGTGGGGCCCGAAAAGAAGAACTCTTGAACAGAAAAGATCTTACAGTGTGTACATTGACTTTCATGATATATACTCGCCCTCATCTTTTTTATACCTTGGTCCCCTACCAAGAACAACATCCAAGCTCTAATCTCTACAAATCTCTCACGCCGACGCACCTGCATCCTTGCCGTTCAAGACCTCCTCAGCCGTCTTGACCAGGATATCAAACGCCTTCCTGATATGCCTCTCCTCGACGCGCGGCGTGCTCGCAACGACCCTGATAACGTACACGCCGGCAACAATCCCGCTCGTCAAGAAGATCTCGCCGCGCTTATTAATCGTCTCGTACACCTCCTTGGTAATCTCGTTTGCATCGAGCAGCGCGTGCTTCTCGGCGTCGGACGTGAAGTCGTTCAGATACGCCTCGTGGTCCGGGTCGGGCTGGGAAGCGCTGACGCGGCGCTGGCGGCCCTTGAGCCACTTGCGACGGGGCACGATGTTGAGGACGTTGAGGGCGAAGTTGGGGCCGGAGACGAGCTCGAAGATGTCCGGACGGCCGCGGACGAGCTCGTTGAACAGCTCGCCGTACTGCACGTGCTTGCGGATGTGCGCCTTCAAGCCCTCGGCGCCGTACGACCGCAGCACGAACCACACCTTCAGCGAGCGGAAGCGGCGGCCTAGCGGGATCTGCCAGTCGCGGTAGTCGGTGACCAAGCCGGAGTCGGAGAAGGCGTTGCGGAGGTAGGAGGGGGTGATGGAGAGGGCGGTGGTGAGGTCGGAGCGCTTCTTGACGAAGAGGCAGCTGTGGGGTGAGAGAGATAGGTTAGTGGGAAGTGGGGGTTGGTAGGATGGCGGTTGAGGGTCTCTTACCTGGCGTCGAAGTTCGTCAACAGCCACTTGTGCATGTTCATGTCGAAACTGTCAAAATGGGCGAGGGGAGGAGTCAGATGCTGGTACTCCTCGCACACCAGCGCCGCCCCGGCATACGCAGCATCGACGTGCACCCAGACGTTAGGATAATCCTTCAGCACCTCCGCGATCTCGGAGAACTTGTCCACCGCACACGTCGACGTCGTTCCGAGGGTGACCGTGAGGTAGTACGGCACCAGGCCGTCCTTCTCACAGTCCTCGAGCGCCCTCCTCAGCGTCCTGCCCGTCATGGCAAAGTCGTCCTCGCGCAGGCCCGGCACGGCCCTGAACTTAGTACCAGCGATGATGGCGCCCTTCTGCGTCGAGCTGTGCGCGTGCTCACTTCCCAACGCGACGAGCTTGCCGCGCGACGCATCGATCTTGTCCTCCCTCTCCTTGCCCTCCAGCCCCTCAGCCAGATTCCTCAACACCCTTTCGCGCGCCGCGACCATGACGGTGACGATGGCTTCGCTCGCGCTGCCCTGGATGACGCCGCCGCCCTCGCCCTTGCTGAGGTAGCACTCGGGCAGCGCCAGCAGCTGCGCCAGCCAGTCCAGCACCACCGTCTCCAGCTCCGTCACGGCCGGCGAGCACAGCCAGTTGAACGCCGGCGCCGTAAAGGCCGCGCTGTACAGCTCGCCCAGCATGCCCGGGTACGTCGAGTTGGACGGGAAGAAGGCCATGAAGTTGGGCGACTGCCAGTGCGTCAGCCCCGGCACGATGACGCGCTCGATGTCCGGCTGGATCGTCGTCCATGGCTCGCCGGTTTGGGGCGCCGCCGAGGGGATCAGCTCGCGCAGGTAGCCGGGCTCGACATCGGAGAGGACGCGCCGCGATTCGATCGTGTCGTAGTACTGGATGACTGTGGGAGGGAAAACGCGTGTTAGTAGCTGTCGTGGGAGCGCCAATGGGGAGGGAGAGAGGCAGAGCGGGGATGTGTACAGACTTTCTTCAATCGCGGCGTGGGCCGCCTCGCGGAATTGGTTCGAGTCCATGGTTCTTTTCTTCCTTTTTCGCTCGGGTGCCGAATGGAATTGGCTCCTACAAGAGACGGATATTTAAGGTCCTTAAACAAGTTGACAAGTCCGCCCTATGCACAGTAGTTGGGCGGTTTCGGTGACGCGTTCGCTCTCACCTGCCCGCTTGTCCTCTGGGGTCGCGGAAGTGTTGCCGCCCGGCGCACATTTTCCGCTCCCCCACGTCACGTCACATTATTTCCGTTTATCGATAAGAGATTCTTATCGCTCAATTCCGCTGGACGGAAGCACGAAGTCCTGTTGCACAGTCTCTCGTCAGCCAACATATGCGCTCGACTATAAAGAATGTCAAGGTTCTTTTAGCATCAGCGCCAGCACGTACGTGCAGGCCTGGCGCTTAGGAATCTTCTCCGGAACTCCGGGAAATGCATTACTGGTGCGTTACCCCACCATAGCGATAACGATACTGCCCAAAGTCTATCTCACCGAGCCATGTCAGAAAAGTAAGTAACGACTCCATGGTTGCATGTGGATAATGACTAACAGCTGGACAAGAATATACAACAGAAGGTACGATCCACCCCTATGACAGATGACCGATGCTCGATATTTCGTAATTCGTGGTGAACCAGCCAACTTGCGGCACGCCTGCTACAACCGCACACAACCCCGAGGGGGTAGTAAGTCACGTCACCAAGCTCGGAAGCGAAATTTCAGTTGCTCATTGCCAAAGGCATCAATAGTGGTCTTATATTGTGTGTCATCACCTGAGAACCTCCTGATCAAACTATTCCTCGCCGTTCCAACCGAAGAACCAGACCAAAGTCTCCGCTTCAACGCCACCGTCTGACCCGCCCTCGGCCAAATACACCTGGTTTTACATGCTCCGCTCAAGTCGTTGTTTGTAGCTTTGTGAGAATGCAAGCCGCTTAGACGGGGCAGGTCTGTGTGTCCAGGAAAGGAAATGTAAGCCTTTGGGTCTTCATGGCTTCTTAGTGTACCACGTACGCTTCCGCAAGAGCTGCAAGTCTTGCCACCGCCCTGGATCGTAGCACCGCACTTGGGGCAGGAAGAGTCGTGAGAGTTAACGAGGACCGTGGTGGTGTACATGGTTGCTGGTGTCGGTTGGACTTTTGGTTGAGGTGGTTGGTGGATGTGCTTGGGGGTCGAATAAGCTGTCGGTGGCGCTGAAGAAAGCGATTTCTAGCGAGGAAGAAGAGGTATTAATGGACGCCGGCAGGGAGCCTTTAAGAGCAGCAGGCGTGTGTCAGAGCAGCTGTCAGCTGCCCCGCATTCGCGGCTGGACCCCTCCTGACGGTCTTTGGTCCTCACGCCATCCAATCAGGGAACCTGCCTATCTAAGCACCAAGGCGGTGAGCCCAAACGAGCCAATGTGCTCGGGCGTGTAAAAGGCCCGTTCGGTTGTCGCATAGCGCCGGCTGGAACGTGTGCAGTGGACCTGCCCAAGGATCCTTCTCTTCTAGAAGCCGTCGTCCTCCTTCAGGTTTGCAATGCCACGCGCCGCCGGTGGTGCTTGTATTGCGCCCGTGCGACTGCTGTTCTGGTCGTCTCCGGGATTTGCAACGTAGAAGCCAACATCGTCAATGATATCCCAGACAATATCCTCCGCGATTTGCTCTTTGTATCTGTGCCCGATCGGTCGCAGTTTCCTCCCTTCTGGCATGGAACCGTCGCTTCCGCCCATATCGACGTCCTCGAGGCCGGGTGGTGGACACCAGAAATTAGGTCCGAAGTTTACCTGGGCAATCCCCCCGCAAAAGGCGGCAACAGCCGGAAAGTAACCCAGCATACCGTCATCTAGCCCGGCTCTGACTAGAGGGTTGGATGAAGGCACCGGCGACGAGGCGGGAGGCAGGAACGACATGAGGCCTTCGAAAGCATTTCCGATGAGCTTACCGTTCCGATACACCCTGATTGCGGAGTGTGGTAGGGACCTCAGCGGGACTTCATTGTGATTCGGGCTGGGGGTCACTGAATTGAACGTGCCTCGGTCTGCATAGCTCTCCATGGGCTTGGTCGTCTGATATTCGTTCACCTCAAACCAGTTGTTACCCTTGAAAGGGACAGCGATGCGGTCACGGATGATGTCGTGGGCTCCTTCAATCGGATCGTCAAATCCATCGCTTACGTCAACAGCGGGGTTGTAGATGCCTTCGACGACCTTCCGATGAAGCGATATAGAGGGTAGGACGATTTCCATGCCAATCACATCACCTTCGCGAATGTGGTCCTCCTCGACAAACTCAACCTGGGGCCTTCCCGCCGGTGTCTTGGGTGCCTTGGATCCCTTTGGAGCGGCGTGGTACAATTTGCCAGGGCGCGATTTGTGCATGGTCTCGAAGCCAATGTCCTTCACGCCATAGCTGTAACCGTCAAAGCCAGGTGGCGCATCCAGTGGAGCTTCACGGCGGGCCCAGCCCATGCGAATGTGTGGTTGTGGGTTTCCTTCTTGCCCCTTTGGTACAGGCGGGCCCTCGCTGGGGACGCCGCGAATAATCTTAACCTCGTAGTAGTAGCGGCCTTCACGGGCAACGACATTGGCTCGGCTCATGCGCCAACCACGCTCATTGGTGAAGACTGTCGCGGAGTCGTCAAAATGGATCCATTTGTCGCTATCCTCAAAGCTGAGACGAGGTGCAAAGGGCTTGGTGTCGGTCTGGCGAAAGTACTGTTTGTGGCGGAACAGAGGGTCGGCTACGCAAGGATAGTAACGGAACTGCTTGCGGTTGGATGCACTGGCGGGCAATTAGCCGTGACTTCCAGGAAGACGAGGATTACACACTGGTCCAATGGTCTCTTGAGCTCGAGCTGGCCGTCTGGGGTGAGCAGCGGCGGCTCGTGGGAGATGAAGGCAGGATCCTTTGGAGCTTCGAAATCTTGAGGCTTGAGGTTTTCCGTCTCGACTATGTAGTTGAGCGGGGCGGGGGCCGAGGGCAGCTTGTTCTTTTTCACCTTGATGTCCGGCGTGCTCCCACGTGAGCTGGCCTGGGCCTCCCGCTTCTTCAACGAATCGCGCTTCTCGCGCTGCTCGCGCTGCGGAGCTTTGGGAGGGCGCGGGCGGGCCGCTGGATCGGGATTGAGCGGCGAAGGAACTGCGGGAACATGGTCCTCATCGAACGGACGCTTGACTCCAGCTGTTAGGCCAGGAGTCGTGCCGCGCGAAGGCGGCTGGGGATCGGCCATTGTGGTTGTTGTGGGTGAATGCGAAGCTGGAGCTGCGCGAGAGAAGACGCGCTTTCAGTCCGTGCGCGCGAGCCGGGATCAGGAATGCCGGGCGGTGAGAGACCGATTTGCGCCCGCCCGCCGCCCGTTGTCGAGAAATTTCAAGCGCACAACCCTCCACTCGCCCGCTCACGCAACCACCCTGCCTCTGCGCTCATACGCTCAAAATTTGCCGCCCAGGACCTCCGCATAGCCGCGACCATGCCGAAAGCCACGTCGGGCGCCGATGCGCGCCATGCCCGCCGCCACAATCCGCTCACCGAGGACTATGCGCCCTCCAACCCGCTGAAGCAAAAGGCCGCCAAGAGGAAGAAGACGCGCTCTGAACACGCGGACGAACAGGGCTATGTCGACTCCAAGGCCTCGCAAAAAATTCTGAAGATTGGTCAAGACTTGGCGGAGGAAGAGGAGGCCGAGTTGGAGGCCCGCCGCCCGAAGCAGCCGAACCCAGCATTCAATTTTGATACCCGCTTCCAAGATGGTCCTGAGTCGGATGAGGATGAGATCGCGTATGGGGAAGATGATGACGCATGGGGCGACGAAGACGACGAGGAAATTGTCGAGGAAGTTGTGCGTGCTACGGCTTGTTGCGCTGCTCATGACCGCTAGCTAATGCCTTCTAGGAGATTGACCCTAACGATCTTGACATGTTCAACAAGTTCAACCCTACCTCGGACCCTTCACATCTGTTCAACCCTGGAGCGTCAGAGGAGCAAGCAGGTGGTACCAACTTGGCAGCTTTGATTCTGGAGAAAATTGCCGAGAAGGAAGCCCAGGATGCTGCTGCCGGCGGTGATAGTCCCCGCTACGTTGGTGGAGGTGACCCCGAAGACGCTATCGAGCTTCCTGCCCGCGTTGTTGAGGTTTACACTCAGTATGAGGCCTGAACTCCTTCGCCTTTGATTATTGCTAACAATATTACACAGAGTCGGTCTGATCCTTTCTCGGTGGAAGTCTGGCAAGCTTCCCAAGCCCTTCAAGATTCTCCCCACCCTCCCCGAGTGGGAGACTTTGATCTCGATAACCCGCCCCGAATCGTGGACTCCCAACGTTTGCTACGAGGCTACCAAGCTTTTCGTCTCCTCTCAACCCCACACCGTCCAGACCTTCCTCAACACCATTCTCCTCGAACGTGTGCGCTCCGATATTCACGACTCTCCTCAGAAGAAGCTGAACGTGCACTTGTACAAGGCTCTCAAGAAGGCTCTGTACAAGCCCGCCGCCTTCTTCAAGGGAATCCTTTTCCCCCTCGTTTCCGACGGCGACTGCACGTTGCGGGAGGCACACATTGTCGGCAGTGTGCTGGCCAGGGTTTCGATTCCGGTGCTCCACTCTGCCGCCGCCCTGCACAGACTTTGTGAGATTGCTGCAGAGCAAATGTCGGTCAACACGTTCAACGGCGGTGCCACCAACATCTTCATCCGCGTCCTGCTTGAGAAGAAGTACGCTCTTCCCTACAAGGTCATCGACGCCCTGGTCTTCCATTTCCTGAGGTTCAAGAACTCAAACTTCTCCGCCGACGGTACCATGGAGCTTATCTCGGAAGGCAACATCGCCGAACAGCGGGCAGGAGAGGGCAGACTACCCGTCCTGTGGCACCAGTGCCTTCTCGCTTTCGCGCAGCGCTACAGAAACGACGTTACCGAGGATCAGAGAGAAGCGCTTCTCGACTTGTTGCTCGTCAGAGGGCACAGGGCGATCGGTCCTGAAGTGAGACGAGAGCTTCTGGAGGGTCGTGGCAGGGGTGTGCTGGTGGAGCCCGAGGTCGGAAACGGAGGTGATGATACCATGATGATCGTTGACTCCTAGAGATTTATTCCCATTCAGGTGTTGGGATTTAGGGATACGCCGCAAAAGGCAAAATCTGGCGTTTGGGGGCTAAGGTGATGATAAAGAGTTCAATATTTCAGAGCATTTTCTTCGGCAGGTTTTTGTCTCAAACATCCACTTTACAACCTCTGTGATTCTGTTACTCTTCATGACAACGAAGCCAGCGAGCGGATATTTCGGATTATACTGACAGATCATCTGCGCTGCGCTTTGAAAGGTGGTAAGCTATACAATTTCACAGTCAGACTCCCGCGTGAGCCTGGTAAAAGGTCGATACATGTTGGAAACCTAAGATTCCAAGGCAGCGCGTGATACGATGAAGAATTTTACTGCAAGCGGAGGCGTTTGTAAAAGGAGGGTATTATAGTAAGTTACATGATCCTTTCTTCGTCTAACATTTATGTGACACATGTCTCTGCTTTGTTCACTTTTGGGTATCTGGCTGACACGCCCTAGCCAGCAATCATTCTCCTCCCTGGTCACACGCTGTATCCCGAAGCGCAACTTGGCGGTCCACTCCAGCTCCCGGAAGGTACTGCTCGTAAACCTGTCATCCAGTGACAGTTCTCACAAGCACCTCGCCTTCCTCCCTCCAGACCTAGTTGGTATTGTTGAGCCTATAGTAAGCCGGCTCATAAATCTTCCCCCTAACGCCCTCATAGAACCCCTCCATGCGCCATCGCCACGCGTGGAACAGCTCAGCCGTATCGTTCTTGATCCAAGGATTCCACCACTTGTCATGCAAGATCCGCACCCCGTTCGCGATATCCTCGGCGTTGGGATACTGCGCCTGCCAGACGAGGTCGAGGCGGGCCCACGGCATGCTGCGGTCGTCGCGGTGCACGTAGTTCAGCAAGAACTGCTCGGGCAGCGTCGCGTCGAAGCGGCCGGGTATCGCCAGCACGGAGGCGTAGTGCGCGAACAGCTTGCGCGACGGCTTGAACACCATCAACCCGGCGTTCATCTGGTCGTAGTTGGCCGTCTTGTTGAACGACGGCCACTGCAACAAATCAGCCTGCGGCACGCCGGCCATGACGTACTCGTCGGGCAGGGCGGCCTCGTCGGCGACGGTGGCGTTGGGCCTGTCGAGGGTCCGGCGCGGCTGCGCGGCGGCTTCGTCGAAGATGCCGTCGAGGCACGTCGTGATGAGCATGTCGCTGTCCAGGAAGACGACCAGGTCGTAGTCGTCCTCGAATTCCCACATGCGCAGCTTCGTCATGACGTCGGACCAGCGCTGCTGCGGCGTGTGGATCCAGTCGGCGCCCAGGTGCGCGATCTCGACCACCTCGGCGCCCTCGCTGCGGAGGACGGCTCGTTTAGACTCTTCGACGGTCGACGCGACGAAGACGACGAAGGGGAGTTGCCGCTTGCTGCGGGTTTCGGGCGCGTGGCGCAGCTGGTAGTTCAGCATGCGCACGCCGACGAAGTACGGGTCGTCGTCGCCGAAGCCGTGTGGTTGCGAGGTTACGGCTTGGTCGGCGGATGGTGCGGTCAGGTAGGTGGCGTATATCTGCCTTGACTTGGAGTGACCGCCTGGCTGTGTGCTGAACGAGTCCGGAGGCAGGTCGGTCGCGCTGTAGTAGAGGGCTACGGCCACCAGGAAGACGGATAGGAAGAAGGCGGCAATCCAATAGTGGCCCGTCGGCCTGCGCCGCCGTTGCTCTTGCTCGAAAAGCATGGCTGCTGCGGGTGGAAAAAAGGGACTCAGGACGAGAGGATGTTGAGATGAACACTGCAGGATCAAGAGGAAACAAGCATTTGCAAGGGCATCACGCTTCGGCAAGCGTGCGGCACAGCACTTTTTCTTCATCATGCAGTCGCCATTGCCAAGCGTGGATCCGCTGTATGGATCCTGCTCGGCCTGCCGTATTTGTACGCGAGGCCCGAGTGCGGCGGCAAAGCAGCAGCATAAAACCCCAAGGTGTCTATATGATAAAGGAAGTAGTGGGTCTGTAGTTGTGCTTGGTTGATTATCAGATTTTAGAGATTATCAGATCTTGATAATGGCACTAAGCGAAGCAACCAAAGACCTCACCTCATCTTCTCCTCGATGAGAAACGGGAGTGAAAACCGTGAAACACACCAGCCGTAAGCACAAGACTCTTTAATTCCGGTCAAGTGTCTTCAGGGGATGATGTAAGCCGGATAGTCCCGAACCGTTAGGCGTACTATCTCAAAAAAGGTATCCAAACACGAATCCGCATGCGAACGCGGTGGATTCCTATGCTTCCTTCTAAGTCAGCTCCATGCTTTCGCGCGTAACAATACCTCCCAACTTTTCCAGTCGGCCTCCGAAAGCCGACCCGATTAGGCCCAGTCACTTGGACTAGATCCTGGCACAAAATCAGCCGAGCCAACGGGATATCGCTCAGCACCCCTGCTCATGATATACCATCATGAATGCACTTTGAATACGATTTCGTGTCCTTCATAGACCATTTGAGCTGTCTTTTCCATGCTGACAAGATATATACGGGCTTTCCCGAATCACTGTTTTGATACAAGCTTCAATCATGTTTTGAGACTTATATTCGCCAAGGATGTCGTGATGTTGTAGGATTAACAAACTCTAGACTACGCACTAGTTCGTATAGGCCCCTTCCATAGGTTCTTGGCAATTTATATTCCTTGGTCTCACCCACAACATGACGCGTCCGCCACCCACCGCATCACCTCGGTCGAAATCATGACAGACCAAATGCTGGGGCTCCACAATCGCACACTGCTGAGAATCAGTGGCAAAAGGGCAAACCAGGAAAGTATCGACCAACAACCCTACCCCTTGAAAGCGAATCTATAATAGCAGGCTGGCCAGCTTTCGTGCGGCGAATCATCCAGAAACGGGATCCACCGGGCAGGCAACTGCCACATCTTTCGGTCACGAAATCCCTCCGATAATAGGCGAGCTCATCCTCCCTTGTCAAGCACGCGCTCTCAACACAGCTGAATATGGTAAGTCCATGCGAAGCCGAACCTCGCCTATCGTCCTACCTGTCCGAGCATCGCGTGCTTCGCGCCGCACCGAGATCGCAGTCCAAGCCAAGGCGGTATTATATAAAACTGAGCCTTGGCAGGGTCTCTACCACATGCTTGCTGTGGCAAAAGGGATCTCTGGCAGGAAGTTGCTGCGGTCTGTATCTCTGTTTCTCCTGTCGGGCCGGGGTCGTAGAGCGGTGTGTGGCCGTTTAGCTTGTGGCAAAAGCTCGCCTCGGTGGCGAGCTTCGTCCTGAGGGGGTACGCGCCCAGTTGAGCTGTGCTGCCTGGATAGAAGAGCATTTGGTGGAAAAGATCGTCTCGATGCAATACTGAATGAACATTAGTTTTATGGGGTAATTATGAAACTTGACTCATATTTGCTTCGAACACCCTAACCCCGACTCTTTCTCCCTACCCCCGACCCTTTTACTGAAGCCTACCACCCTTAAAATCCTATAAAACTTTTACAAAATTGAAATCTCAGTATTCCTTTCATTTCAATAATAGTATATAGATATCCATTGCAATAAGAAACGAGCACTTTCAATATAAGAATGTTGACCTTTATAGTAGGGGGGTCGGGTTTAGGTAGAGGGGGTCGGGGTTAGTGATTACTGCCTTTTAATTCCACATTCTTATCCAGACGATGTAAAAAAGTCCACGCCAGCCATCGGCTGCGAGAGGGAACTGTACATAAAATAGTCGTACGCGAATATATAAGCTTAATTTAAGCTTCTTTGTTGAACCTTGATAGGACGCGTCATCCAATTCTGGGGTTACTGTGCCGCAGCGCACGTATGTGTCTCACTCGGAATGTAGAAATAGATACTGTGACCATTTGAAATCATATTAGAATGCAGAAACTCCTTTAGAGGCACTTTGCTGCTTGTGGCTACTCTACATTTTGTATGTAGTACTTGGTCCCACCAAGTAGCAAGCTCGGTAACGCAGCTGTGCGACTAGTACTACAAAACCTATCAAATGTGTGTATCGTGTCGTGGATAGCCCAAGACTCCGCGTATTGCTTTTCGTTAGGACCTACACTATCAAATGTCCAATTCTCCAGAGCCTGAGCTCTTACTGCACCACCACGTATATCGTTGAGACAGCACATTGCAGTACTAGCTAAGTTACTCATAACAATCATCATATTGTGGTGACAGCTCGTCCCGAGCTCTCAAAGACATTACAACTACTGTATAATTCTACTACATCATCCGGCCCCACCTGCACGCCCACAACACCTCCCCAGCGCCATCCACCACCACCAACACCCCCCCTAAAACACGCACCAACACCCTCAATCAAGGCACCAAAATCCCCGCCGCCCTCTCAATCGCCCTCGCGGCCCTTTGCACCTCCTCCGCCGCGAGCGTCAAGTTCCCGGCCTCGACCGCCTCCGTCACGCCCGGATACGTGACGGGCGCGTACCCCGTGTCTATGCCCGGCGCGAAGACGACGTGCCGGAAAAACTCGCGATCGGGCAGGCCGCCCTGCGACGTGAAGCCGCGCTGGAAGTCGCGATACTTGGAATTCACACGACGTATCAGCACCTCGTCGCCCGTGACGGCCGCCTCGGCGGCGACGGCGGCGATGGCGGTGGCGGATTGGTCGAAGGTGTCGATGGCGGCGGCGAGGGGGGCGAGGTCGACGGCTTCCGTGGCGTCGGCGTCCGTGATGGTGGTGTTCAGCTCGTCGAAGTAGAGGCGGAGTTGGGTGGTGTAGTTGGGGATGTCGAAGGGAATGATGGGGTCGTCGGCGAGGTGGTAGGCGAGGAGGGTGAGGAACTGGCCGATGGCTTTGTGGACGACGAAGCCTGGGTCGCCGTAGGCGGTCATCCAGTGGTAGGTGTCGTAGTTGGAGCTGTGTGTGAGGTCAGCGTTCGCTTTCTTTTTTTTTTCTCGTCTTTACGAACGAGAGAGGGGAAGAAAGAAACTTACTGGTAGTGGTAGATAGCATCGTCCGGCCCGCCGCCCGCACCCATATCGATCGAACTAATGCCGTTGTGCAGGAAAGACGTATAGTCCGACCCGCTCCCCAGCACCCCGAACTCGCCCTCCGTCAACCCATTCACCCACGTCTCGTACAGCGTCTCGTTCAGCTCGCCCGTCCCAACGTGCGGCCAGAGCACCTTCTTCATCACCTCGGTCGCGATCGTGTGCAGCTCAGGCGTGGCCGCGAAGTCCGGCCGCGGGCCCGACGCGCCGACGTCGATGTTGAGGTAGGCGACGGTGGTCTCGGCGAGCCAGGGGATGTACTCCTCGACCCACTCGGTCGACCCGTACAGGCCGTACTCCTCGGCGTCCCAGCTGGCCAGCACGATGTTGCGGCGAGGCTTCCAGCCGTTGGCGAGGAGTTTTCCAAAGGCCTTGGAGAGCTCGACCAGCACGGCCGAGCCCGAGTTGGGGTCCGCGGCGCCGCCGACGATCCACGCGTCGCGGTGGTTGCCGATGACGAGCGTCTCGGACGGGTTGGTGCCGTTGATGATGCCGATGGCGTCCCAGATGGGCGTGATCTCGTCGCGCATCAGGTTCGACAGGTTGATGGTTGCGGGCGACGGCCCCGTGCTGTACGTCACGTTCAGCCCGCCGATCCAGCCCGTGCGGTTGACTTCCTCGCCGGGCGTGCCGTAGCCGTCCAGCGCGGCGAGGAATGGCACGGCGTCCTTCCAGGAGATCGGGACGGACGGGATGCGCGGGGTGACGGGGAGGGTGTCAGCTCTGGGCGAGTCCTCCTTCGAGGGGTATCCTGGCGTGGTCGGGTCGCCCGGGAACTGCGAGAGGAATTGCACCGAGCCTCTTTGGATGGACGTGGGATTCCGCGCCGGGCCGTCGGGATAGGCGGCGTAGCCGTTGGCTTCGGTGATGTTGCCATCGTCGCCCGGGTCGGTGAAGATGACGGCGCCGATCATGCCGTTCTCTTGCGCGTTCTTGACCTTAAGGCCGCGGAAGGGACCGCCGTATTTTGCCAGCGCGATCTTGCCTTCCAACGGCACACCTAGCTCTTTCAGACGCTCAAAGTCGACCTGTTGGCCACGACCAACGTAGACGTACTCGGCCGAGGCGTTGCCGGACCAGGACAGCCCGTGGAAAGCTGGCACGCTGTTGGGATACGACGTCGTCTCATCTTCTGCCAGAACCTCCTCAATCAACGTAGCAGAGTAGCTGCTACCATTGGGGAAATTGACCGAAACGGACTGTGACACGGGGTAGTTGAGGAAAGTCCAGTACTCGGCGAGCGAGGAGGGAACGCCGAAGGACGACCATTGGTCCGCCGTCCACTGAGCTACACTCTCGTTGGTGCCGGCAATGTGCAGTCCGTGAGTGTAGTAGTAGGACCACGAGTCGATGGTGGTGTTGTCGAAGGAATTGACCAGGATCGCCTCAGTTTCGGACAGCACCGGAGGGAAGGCCGTCTCTTGACGAGCGGCGAGCTTCGAATGGCGGTGGGCGCCGGCGCTGCGGGGACTGAGGAAATCCCGCTGGCAGGCGACCGCTTCTGCCGCGAGCAGAGAGAGCACTGAGAGCACCGAAGCCATCGCGAAAACGATGAGGGTGCTCAAGCAGGTAGCTGCGGAGAAGGCTTCAAATACCTATCAGCCGCGCGGATATCAAGCCTCATTGACGTAGCGGTAAACATTTATGATGCAACCCGGTTGTACCATACTGCGCTCACCGGGGCCTTACGCTTTTAGGCAGTTTGGAGAGTGCTTGGCGCGGGGAGCAGCTAGTGCCAAGCCATTGATACACCGATCTCTGTGCGGATGTACCGGTAATGACTCTCGGCACCACGGTGACCAAGGTGGGATGGCTCCTCCAAGGCAGCAGCAAGTAAGCTCGCACCTCCACACTCGTGTCGCAGAGGGACAATGGAGATGCACAGCTTACATGGCGTGATGGGCTTGACCAAAGAGATTCCCTGCAAAAGTGAGATGCAGGATGCCTCCCTCAACCGAGTCACTTACCTAGCCGCTGTTTTCCGCTGCGAGGCCGCCCGCCCACCCTTGGCATTCATTGCGAAAAACCGAACCCCGCAAAGTAAAAATCCCGGAAGGGTATGATGCAATCACTGATGGCACTTGCCGTTTGATTTGGCCGTGTCCTGCAAGGGGAGCGGGTCATCCCGATGTGCGTGGAATTTGGCATTTTTGCCAACGGAAAGCTAAATCCTAGAAATTTAGCAAGGGCTACAATGCCTCCTATTACACCCCCGTTACAACGGGATTTCCATATGCGCTTACCAGGAAACAGTGAGGTTCTTGGCATGTTAATTGCACCATCCATTTCAACAGTTGCAATAGAATAGAAAGCTTGGATAGTCGAAATCTGGGTATCGTAGTTAGCTGTGGACAACGCTGCAAAACAGCACGACGACTTCTTACCATGGTCTCGAAGGGTTCCAGGGTACCCGCGAGGCTCCTGCTAGCCGACTGTCGCATGATAGCGTGGCGATCGTGATACCTGAGCATGGTGATGACTCTTGCAACACCACGAGATCTTGCCTGCTGTTGGAGCTTCTTTCATGCGAAAGTTTTGCAACGATCGTAGAAGAGGATATAATGCTAGACGAGATTCTGCTTGGAGCCACGCCGCAATTGCTCGATATAGCCATTGAAGACGCCGCAGATCCTGCAGGCCTCGCTTTTGCTGAACAACCGGCAGGCCTCGAGTAGTCGACTGAGGTAGTTTATACAGTATATGAAGACCGCGAATCCTTCCTCAGGGCTTGGCCTAAGAGTATCTTGGTAAGTTATAAGGTTAAGACGACGATGAGGTGTTTCTCACTATGAGAGAATTCGCGTAGATTACCATACTAACATGTCTTGGCAGCGTCATCGAGTTGCAACACCCCTTGCAACGCCCCCTGTTGCAACCCTTGCTAGCGGGTTGGAATTGCAAAAATCTCGTTCACGCGCGACGGATTGCTCGATATGATCGTGAAATAATTCATAGACTACATGTACCGGGCTACCGAAAATCAGCCGTTATCGTAGCCGTCTTCTATCACTACAGGGAAAGTATACTGGGGTATGTGATTATGGACGTCGTCGCATCATAGACTCGGCCAGGTCTTCATAGTCGTCTTGATCTACATCCGGTTTCTCGATCATCTCCAGGTCATCATCAGCTGTTGGTGTTTCGTCAGCTCCCTCCTCGGGCCGTGGTGGAGGGTCATACCCAGCGGCCTCCTCATACCAGGAGGTCGAGGAGGTCCAGTTAACTACGAGTTCCCGGGCCGTCTCCGCCATGCTGTAATAGTTCGGATGGTTCTTGGGATCGAACATGTTCATGTGCGCCCACGTCTCGGCCGTCGCCTTATCATTCACGATAGGAACGAAGTGCTTCTTGATCTCCGTCTTGGGCACGATGCAGAAGGTGCGTTGCTCGCCCAGGACTCCGGAGCTCCATTTTGTTGCTGGATTGCCTCCCTTCTGAACGGCGAGTCCGAGCTGCGTGTAGAGGTCTGTAAACCCGATGTCCAGCGTCTCCGAGAGGGCGACGACCGAAGCAACTCGCTTCTTCATTTCTTCCTGGCGTGCCAGACATCCGACGAATTCGAGATGGGAACCAACAAACTGCCAGCCCTCGCTCAGCTGTTCCCGGTTCATGTAGGCGGCACCTCCAGCAGCCGCAAGGGCGCCAGCCGCTCCGGCAAACATTGCTATCTTGCCAAATTTCTGCCAGGCAGGTACTACGGCCGTGTCGACGTTTGGATCCGTTGCCGCCGCCGACGACGGGGCCGGGAGGGCCTTGCTCGCAGCAAGCGCGTCGGGGTCTGACGCCTGCTTCTTGCCCCACCCAAATGTACTTGCTACGCTGCTATAGGCATTATAGGCAGCTGTTGCCGTGTTCCAGTGCCCCTCTGCGCCATGTGCGACGACCCCCGGCGAGATTCCCAAGTATGGGGTATCGAAGGCGAGAATGCCCTGGATGTATGGAAACAAGAGGGTCGTCTGAGAGGTGGAGCTATCGGAGCCGTTGTGTATGGGCTGCTCGTTTGAGATTGACAAAAGCGTCTCTGCCGCCACGATTCCGCCTATTTGGGGTCAATAAAGCTCTCTTGAAGTGGGGCAGTCGGGTGAGAGACTCGCCCATGGAATGGCCGCACAGGATGACCCTCACCGACGGGTCGATGGTGGGCGAGGGCGTGCCATTTGCGACCTCGAGGTCGATGACCTTGTTTTGCAACCTGCACGAGTTCAGCGAGGCTCAAACATCGGGGCGGGTCTGCACGTAGGCGCGCGCGTCCTGGCCGTACCACTCCTTGAATTTCGCCACACAGGACTGGCTGTTTGGCACGGGTCAGCTATGTCGGGCGGGCGTGCGGAGTACGACATACAGATCGCCGCGCGTTTCGTACTGCGGGTAGGTGATGGACACGACGTTGAGCTTCGGAAGGGCATTGTCTACGACGGCGCGCAGGTGTCGCGGGAAGTTGAAAAAGGTGTTGTCATCACCCTGCGCGCAACGCGTCAGCTCCCTCGTTCCTCGCGTTGTGGCTCGTGCGGAAAGTGACCTTGAAGCCGTGGATGAAACACAGAAGCAGCGTCTTCTTCATCCTGAGCTGTGTTCCTGCATAGTCTCGCGGCGTTGAGCTGGATGGGGCGGGATTATGTCACCGCCTTGCGCGGCTGACATGGACGCCCGCGTCGCGCCTGCCTCAGGTTTCTGCACGTGATGGGCACCACTCATCAATCTGGAATCACAGATGCCGACTGCGCTGGAATCGGGCAGCATGAAGAAACACGCTGGCGACCGGATTGGACAGGCCGGAAGTCGGCCGGGCGCTCGGTGCTGTTCTGTTCAAGGCTTCGGGTGAGGCGGCGACGGAAGGTGGATCGTCGGCGTGCCAGTCGCCAACGGAAGTCCAGCGCAATCAGCCCCGCGCGACACAGCAGCAGAAGGCTGGCGGCTCAGCAGGTCAAGTCGCTCTCGAGAATGCAAGCGTCGCTGCCAAGCGCTGCACCGGCACGCGGACGAGCTGCTGCGCGGCCCATGCGACCCCGGCGACGCCAGACACCGTTTCACCCAGCGCGAATCTCGTCGCCTTCAGGCATTCGCCATGGCCCAAAACACCACCGCTACGCGCCCGTGTAGAACGGGCATGCCGCAGCTCACCGACCGCCTGCCAGCGTGTCGCTTCTGTTAAATGGCGTGCCGCCGCGCCCACTCCGGGGTGTTTTGTGTATTTTTCGTCTCCTTGCAGTCCCCGTACCATGATACCCTCGCTTCCCCAGCCCCTCATTCTTTGAGTCTTGTGTTCCATCGTGCTTCATCTTAGCAAGCATCCGCCCGGGCCCCAGCAAGCAACCAACGACCGAGAACGTGGACGGATCATCTCTCCAGCAGATCGCCGCGGCTCTGTGCTTGCATTCCTGATGCTTGCTGCCTTGTCTTTCACTTTCTAGTCCGCTGCCCGCACACCACATCTCGGCCGCTCATTGCCTGCCTCACACCGCGCGTGTCTCACCACTGCCCTTCCGGAAGCTTGTGTGCCGACACACCCTGCGACCTGCTAGAAATCTACCTCTCGCCTCGCTGTCCCTTCTTCTCAGCCGCACTTCGACATGATGTCTTTCAGCGCAGCGCGCTTCGCCATCTCACTGCTTCCGCTGTTTGCCGCTGCAGCCCGCGCCGTCTCTCTCTCCGACTTCACGCCCCGCGTCGACGGCCTGTCGGACAAGTGCAGCACTGTCTACAACCGCGAAATCAAGGACTGCACCGCCGATGACCTCCAGACCGGCGAGAACTGTTCCGTGGCATGCATCAGCGGCCTGCTGACCATTGCGTCGCAAGTCAAGTCGTACTGCGCCGACGACGATGTCGCCGAGACGTCCATCATCGGCGTCTTCCTGCTGGGAAAGGGCCCCGAGACGCTCTGCTCCAACATTGCCGCCACCACCATCGGCAGCGGCGGCCACACGTCTACCACGTCTACGTCGCACAGCACTACCGAGAAGACCACCAGCACCCGGGAGACTTCGACTGAGGCCACCACCACCATGGAGCCTGGTACCACCATCATAGCGGGCACCAGCACGACCGCAGAGGCGAGCACGACCGCAGCAATGTCAACCACCTCGACGACTGCGTCTTCGACAGACGACACGTCGACCTCGGCGGCCGAGACCACGACGGCAGCAGCGGCAACTACGACGACAGCAGACTCGAGCTCGGAAAGCTCGGAGGCAGCAACGAGTACCTCTTCGGCGGCGGCATCAACGTCCTCCGGCGCGACGGATCTGGAATCCCTCAACGACGGCAGCGGAGGCGGAAGCCCGTTCGACCTGGCTCTCGGCAACGCCTCTCCCCGGGCATGTCTCTCTGGCGCGGCAATGGGCGCGTGGGCACTACTTTTGGTTCTCTTTTTCTCATGATGCGGGGATCGGTGATTTCCCTATCGTGTGGAAAAATAACTTCTTTTCTCCCGATTGTTTTTGATACCAATCTTTGTTTTCTTTTTTTTTTGTCGGCACTTTTTTAATGCCAATGCTGCGCAAAGGAAGACGTTTTGCGCAGCAACACCCAACCCTAGAGCGATTATGGGATCGCCTTCTTTTCAAACGACGGCTGGCTATTTTCCGTCGAGGCACACGCATGATACCTTCATGGGGGGCTAAAAGCATACAACAATGCACCTGAGCAAGGCCAATCCGCTTTGAGGAACAGAGGCGACTCTTGGATAGTGAAGGAATGATGCAATTGTATAGAATCCGGGGCAGAGGCGAACGGTACGGGGGGTTTCGGAAAGCAATGGAGACACTGGCGGCGGCTGCTTGGCGGCCTGCGTAATGGTTGGACGGTGTTAAAGGACCACAACGATCTGCATGATACTGAACTTATGAGGATTAAATGAAAGGCTTGACTTGATGCAAAGACCTTCAATTTTTGTGAGAATTTGTTGACTTGAGTGTTAGGCTAAAAGCCGCTTTGCTTGCTTGCCTCACCGGCTGCGATGCCTTCCGAGCCAAAGCCGTGACGAATGTGAAATCCGGTGGCTTGAAAAGTGGCCGCCGCCGCCGCCGCTAACGTCATCGATGGAGATGTCGCTGTTGAGCCTCTCACATCCTACGCCAAGTGTTCCAGTTACATTGCGATTCTCACTCGCAAGAGCAAATGACTCAAGGTTGCGCAGCGGCCGGTTGTGGAACGGGGCGTCGGTAGAGCTTGCGCATGGGCCCGCGGGAGGCTGATCAGGCACTGCAAACATCAATTGACATTTCTTTTCTCAAGCACCAGCTCAAGGACGGTGGTACGACAAAAGGTTAAAAGTATAATTGCACCAACCTGAGGTATCACAAGCACAGCAGTACGTGTGGTATCATGTGAAAGGTACAAGCGTCCATTCCGTGGTCAGCTGCTGGTTTCAAAAGATTTCCCGGAAGGTCTTTCCTCAATGAAGACGTGTTTGGCGAGGTACATCCGGAGGTTGATTGAGAAGGACCAGTTACGGTGATCAGTCCTACCAAAAGGCAAAGCTAATAACTCGGAGCAAATGAAGGAAGCAGCTGTCCAACTCGGCGAAGTGAACTCATAGGGCAGAAGGACCGTGCGCACGGTGACGGTGGTGGTTGAAGTGCACTGGCTGATCGGCGGCTGAGGCTTGCGCTGGGACCAGAGCCATCTCTCCGCGGCCTGGGGCGTGTTCAATCAAGCTCACGTCAAAAGCTTTATAGCTGGCACTTAGCAAGAGACAGAAGCTTCCTCAGGTGAACCGTACTTAGTCTTCTACATCTCTCTGTGAGGCCACAACATCAGAGGCAGTTATTTCGAAAGATTATATTCAACTTTCTTGCCACCCTCGGCGTAAATACGAAGGAAGAAAATGATTCTTCAGCTTTTATAGACCACTTACGTACTCTTTATAGCTGCCTAAACTTGATAATGCGCAGATGCTCGTTACCGAGGGGGGCTGTGTTTGCTGCGGACAAGGCACTCCTTACGTGGAACCGCATTAGGCTTAGCCTGGGCCTGCTGGCACGTCCACTCACCGCATTCGCTAATCAAGTCCTCTTCACATCTAATACCTTTACGATCTGTCCGACGAGATGAAGTAGTGTTTGGTAGTTTGAAGGTCTCGCTCGGTTTTCGTCTGAGGCCTTGGGCTTACGCAATGAAACATGGCTGTTACTGGCTATATCACCTGGTCAGAAGACCTTCGTAGTGGCATATGCAAGCGAGTTATCATGGATCCATTCTACGGCCCGTTGCGAGAGCCACAGCTTCCCGAGACTTAGCGCCGAAGATCATTGCCTGGAAAAGACTGTTGCCTTCAGCTGCGACTGACAAGTGTTCACCTTAGCCGTTTCTGGATGAACTGTTGAAACGAGAAGAAGCCTGCGCAACTTACGTATAGCCTATGTACGTTAGAGGGGAGGCACTGCCCTGCTTTCCTTGCATATTCTTAGTGTTTGAATCTACTATCAGCATGTAGAAAATCTAAAAAGACTTTGTCTACTGTGCTGCTTCCCGTCCCGCTCTTCTCCACTCGTTTTTTTTTTCCAACGCACGGCGCGAAAGGTGGGGTCACACCGACTTCAGCCGCATTTCAATCACAGTAAGGTCTCAAAGCTTTCGCGCACGGCTGTGGGCTGTGTCACACAAGGCAGGCGCAGGCAATCACGTTGGCCGCTCTCATGTCTCATATCTTGGTCTGACAGCTGTTTATACAGCCTTGCGTTCTAGCCAGAGAAGCCTTGCGTTATCGGACGTATCATCGAAAAAATCACATAGACGAACATACAAACATGAGCTAGACTCGCCTTTTTCTAATGTAAATGTAAACTGCGCGTGAGGAGGAGGCTGAGCTGGCACGCCCCACATTAGTAGTACGGTTTTCTCCGCTCCCGCCAGTATTTCCCCCCGGCGGAGAACTGCGCCGTTCTATCTTTTCCTCACTTTTATTTTTTTTCAAAATTTCACAATGGAATTCGCCACTGGAACCGTCAACCTTTTCAATGTTGCTCTAGATTTCTTTGAACGCATCCAACTCGCACGAGACTTCCAGAAAGATTTCGCAATCCATCAAATCAAGCTCGATATCATCCAACTCCGCCTATCACGCTGGGGCGAGGTTACCGCGATTAACAGACAAGGTCAAAATGCTCAGACGACGAGTAATTGCCCCGATCTGGACTGGCAGGCGGCAAGCATCCTTGAGCAAATCCGAGACACATACGAGAAGGCTCAGGAGGATGCCAACAGCATGAGACCGGGGAGCAACGCACTCGAGGAAGCGCCACTTGACCCCGAGACCCACATAAATGATCGGCTCAAGCGTCTACGCACAAAACTTCGCCACTGTCTAAGGAAATCAACGTCTGATGCAGCCCAGCTCGGTCATCGCATCAAATGGGCCTTTTACAAGAAGAGCCACTTCGAAGGGTTCGTCGAGGATATTTCAGCGCTCCTTGACGCGCTCGAGCAGCTCCTCCCTGAAGATGCCAGGAAACAGCTGCAAGAGCTTAGCAAGGCAGAGTGCGAAGATCTCGGCAAGCCTGCCCTCGAGACACTCCGAGACGTGGTCGAAGACTGCGATCCATGGATGAAGCTCGCCGTGAGCGAGGAGCTCAGCAAGGGCTCTTATGCTGGAGTCAAGTTCGTGAATAAGGGGACCAACTACGGCCAGCAATCGACAATTCACAATGGCTCCGTGGAGATCAATGGTGCCTCTTACGGGAGGCAAAATAGAATCGTCAACAATTGGGCGAAGGCGGTTAGACAGGGTGGAGATCGACGTCTTCACCCTGCAGGGTTACCCATTAGCAACTGATAGGCTGCTGACGTAGCTAGAACCCCTCATTGGGGGTCTTGCTTGGGGCCTACACGATTCGTTGAATACATATTACTGCCTTTCTTTCGACTTCCTGTTGCCTACCGATCCATGTGCGTGACAGTTCATCCTAGTTGTGATTTTGGGTGCAGACATTGGGGTGCGCGACCTTATGCAGAGAGTCCACCTGATAGTACAGAACCCTGTCTCATAGCGAGCTGGGTCAGCGCAGCACCACGCGGCCACCGCAGGGCCGCAGGGAGCGGTGGGGCAAGACGGGGCAGACAGGGTATGCTCCCGTAATGCCGGAGCGACGGGCGCGAGCGTGCTAGGTTCCCTATCTAAGTCCCATGCTACGGAGTGGATCCACGACAGACTTGAGCGGAGGGCAAGGCTGTGATAGCCGTTTATCTTAATGAGTTGCTAAGCCAGCAAGCCTTTGGAGCGGTGCCCGGCCTTCTCGTGTAGCTTGCTGATTGGTGTTGTTTGATGTGGGTATTCCCCAGACGTCATTCAGCCTTGCCATCGTTTACTTTTGCTATTCTGGTCAAGGCAGCAAGAACTGGGCCAAGGGCCTGTCCCATGGCTATCTGACTCTGCTTACCTTCAGTGAGACCAAGCGAATTGCCACAAATATGCTCTCTTACTGAAGCTTGTAACATAGAAACCTTATTTCCTGCGCAACTTGGCGTAATCCCAAGTATTTCATCAATCGTTTCTGTGGAAATGAGGCAGTCAAGCCCTGTTGTTATCGGGCTGTGGGGAAGGGTGTCGTATCAAGTAGCCCTTTGTGGGTCTGCCGCCTATTCATTTTTTTTTCTCTTTTGGAAAATCCAGATCCACCTTTCGGATTTGATCCCAGGAAATTGATAATCACGGTCGGATGTCTTGTCGGGTCGAGTGGTGCCTCTGCCGACGAGCCACGTCGGTGACTGAACCAGTTCTGATTGTACTTATCTACTCTCCTCAACTTCTATAACATCATGTAGGTTTTGAAATATAAAAACCAGCAGCTCGGTCAACATGGATTTGGTTCCACGCAACGTGACAATGGCCGAGCACAGCTCTTATGGGGCATTTACCAATGATGCTCCCAATCATGGGTACCAATCGGCAGTCCACAACGAATACTGTACGTTTCTGTCACTCGCATCTTTTGTCGTCGCCCACAATACTTAGCAGCTTCAATAGACATTTACCGCTCGAAGACTTCAACATCACCTAAGAAAGAGGCCAAAGCATCGCATAGACAAAAGCGAGACAAAAGGTGCAAGGGGACTTGCGATTGGTTGCTTGAAAGAAATGAGTTCAAGTCGTGGTTTGATGAAGAAAACAAATACTCTACCCTGTGGCTTCAGGGGCAGTGTATGTTCGCTAAGATTTCCGTTTTCCGAACAGATGCTGACATCCTCGTAGTTGGATGCGGAAAGTCAATGTTACTGCATGTAACTCCTGTCTCTTTGTTATTTGAATTCCCTCAATCCAGGCAATGACTCTCATCCGCCAACAAGAACTGACTGTAATTGACTATAGATCCCGAGTGATTGACTGGCTTGATCACCTTGGCAAGGAGCGTTCAATATACCTGCTCTACTTCTACATCGACTTCGGAAACGACCAACAGATATTCATGCACAATTTGCTTTCGACATTCTGCGACCAGATTGGCCGGAACAATCTGCCCGAGACGTTGAAGAAAGGTATCGGAAAACGGCCCATCGACGAAGATCAGCGTGCGTTATTCGAGTTCCTAGCCAAAACCGAGCGCCCGGTGTACATCATTGTCGATGCATTGGACCAGCTGAACAACAAGAACCGGACTTGGCTACTGGAAGCCTTTAACGGCCTTCTCACTCAATGTCAAAGCAGTCAAGGTAAATCTCGAGTTTTGCTGCTTGTGAGCTCTCGTGATTACCGAGGTCTTCAGGGATTGCAGGCGCACGGAACTCTTTCGATCAAAGTAGAGGTCGAGGACAGTGTCAAGGATATCCGAAGATACTTAGAGAACGAGCTCGAAACAAGCCTCCTTCCTGAGCTGCCTGACCAGACGAGAAGAAGTGTAAAGAACGAAGTCCTGAAAAAGTTGACAAAACATGCATCTGGGATGTAGGTTTGTTGGTTACTTTCCTTTCCCTTGCAATAGCTAACGTGTGATGGAAAATCCAGGTTCCTCTGGGTTGAGCTACAGGCCGCGAACATCTGCAAGGATAATCAAACCGAAGTCGGTGTGTTGAATGATCTCAAACACCTCACCCTGCCGGGTAAGATGAAGGAAATGTACGAAAAGATCGCCCAAGGGTTTGAACTTAACGTTGGAACCAATTCTGGACAGGGAACAACGGGGAACGATAAGGAGATCGCCAGACGGACTACATCTCTACTCGCACATGCTGCACAGTCAATTCCTCTAGGAGCTTTGGCAGTGGCTGTTGCGCTCGAGACAAAGGATGGCAATCCTAACGAAAATTTGGTTACACGGCTGAAAACCACCCCGTCGATTATCGTGCAGGCGTGCAAACACCTGGTAGAACTAGACGAAGAGCTTAGGGTATTCCGGTTCCGCCATGCGTCCATCTACGACTTCTTCAGAGGGTACGAGCCATGCAAGACCCATTTACAGGTTGCAATACTCAGCTTATCACACTTATGCTCGTCGGAATTCTCAAGGGGCCCTTTTGGAGATGCTTTCTGGTTCAATCCTGGGCCTCTTGAACCTTTCTTGCAACGCTATCCGTTCCTGGAGCATGCTTCCTGCCATTGGGCCTACAGCACGCGAAAGAGCGCCGAGGAAAATCAAAACCAGCTTCAAGATATCATAGTCGAGCTTTGCGAGAAGCCTGAAAACATGCAACTGTCCTTTCAGGTGTACTTGTTTACTCTGGGGAGATCCTTAACGACTGAAATATGCCATGCGCACATACTTAGTCACTTTGGTCTCATCCAGTTCTTCGAAATATTCCACGAAAAAGGCTGGCTGGATCCACGAAGGCGTGATGGTGACGGCTTGACGGCAGTGCACTGGGCCATCAGAAGTGAGACCGAGACAATCGATGCAGAGAGTGATTCCGGATGCACAGCTCCACTGTTGGAAAAACTGATCAAGCACGGAGGGCAGAAAGACGCCCAGGACAACAAAGGACGCACGCCTCTCTACTACGCTTCTCGATATGGAAAACTGGATGCGGTGAAATTGCTCCTGAAGGAAAGGGCGAAAGTGGATCTTCGGAGCAGAAGATACGGGTCGGCCCTATTGGCCGCCTGTTACAATCACCACGAGCCAATCATCAAGGAGCTTCTCGAAGCTGGTGCCGATGTCAACATGAAAAGTTCCTTTGGAACTCCTCTCCACGCGATTGCCTCGATTGGTTGTCGAAACTGCGCCGAATTGTTACTCAAGAAGCGAAGATTTTTTACCAGGTCGCCTCGCGTAGATGTTTACGGAGGCTACTTCGGAACAGCTCTTCACGCGGCAGCGTACAATGGCCGTCATGAAGTCGTCAGATTGCTTCTGGAGAAGGGTTTTGATGCCAGCAAAATGAGCGAAACCCTTGGAAGCACCCTAACTGCGGCAGCAGCAGGGTGCTATGAATCGTGGGACCCGACCCGTTTCGTGGAGGTTTTCAGACTGCTGCTTGAATACGGAGTGGATGTTAACGCACAAGGTGGAACCCACGGGACGGCCCTTCACGCCGCGGCGACTTTTGGCCACGAGATTCTTGTCGGACTGCTCTTAGACCAGAATGCAGACGTCACAGCGGCGGGGCGGATGGGAACCGCATACATTGCTGCCAAAGATGGAGGCTATGACAAGATCATGAAGCTGCTGGTTGAGAAAGACCCAAATGTCGCCAATGCGGATGGAAATGCGTACAACCGCCCCTTTGCCTCAGATGGACCAGACGAGAGTGTTGAGACGCCGCTTCATCAGTGCTGGGTCCGACTGTTCAAGTTTGCGGTGGCAACAAATGATCGTCTCCGCATCGTGTCGATGATATCGGCCGCCATTAAGGTCTTCGAGCGATCCATCAAAGAGGACCAGAACAACGTCGTTGCGGGGATGGCGTCTGTTGGAGAAGCCATATTCGAGGCTGTAATATCTCTGACCACTGAAGGACAAGCTGGTGAACCAGAGAGACCATCCATGGATATTATTCAAGCCATCGCAAACGGACTTCGCGCAGCTAAGGAAAATCTGAAAGGGAAACTTGTACGTCTGTGTGAAGGGCTTGGCCTGAACATGGTCATTGGCGCGGACGAGAACAGGATTTCTGATCGACCTAGACTACCTCCACGCAGGGATTCTGCATACGAGCAAGACGGCCTGGAAGGAAGTTATCCATACATCCTTGATCAGCTTACACAAGCCGCGGTGGCTATACTGGAGTGCGCCCTGGCCAACGACAATATCGGGGCGGTCACCACGCTTGCCAACATCTGGACCCAGGCTTTGTACAAGGTCATGTCATGCAGCGAGAAGATGCTGCAAGTTCTAGTCCAGAATCGTGCAGCCCAGCTTAAGAAGATCATGATCAACGATGACTTGAAGCCCCATCAGAGACTCGAGCAAGCTAAAAGATTGACCGAAGTTGCGATAGAACTACTTGTCACGGCGCTGAGGCGAGGTCGAGACAATGGGGCATATCGGCTCTTGGCTAGCAGTCTAGCAAATCTCTGGGTTTCGGCGCTGGAAGATGTTTTGCATCTGGGTGGAAGGCGCCGGGCTGAGGTCCGACAATTGGTTCAGACGTTTGCACAGAAATTCCAGGCTGCAGTGGATAGGACCGACAAGGAGAGCGTCTACAATATCGCGGACGCTGCCATTGAAATGTTAAGAATGACAGCTCTGAACCGTAGCAACGTTCTCATGGAGGTTTTAGCGACAATGTGGGTAGACAAATTGGCGGCTGCGATGGGAAGAAAAGTGCTCAAGGCCCAAATCGACCGGTTGATCATGGGTAGAGCAGAAGAGTATAGGGAATGCATCAACAGAGGAAAGCGAAGTGAGGCTCTGGGATTAGCTGCTGCGTCCATGGGGTTCCTCGATGCAGCAATTTCTCAGCATCTTGAAGCGGTATCCCAAACGCTCACGAATACCATCGCTACAGAGCTCGAATGGACCGTCGACAATACAAAAGTCCTGCAAGATATGTTCATGGACATTCTAGACACCCGGGATGTTGACTCTACCGACAATTGCTCGAAGAGCCAATCTCAACCATTGGATCTCATGGCCATTTTCGACTTGTTTTCAAAGATCATAACTGTGGCTAAAAGGGAGAACCGTCTCACAGACTTGGACAACATTCTAAGGGCGGTTTTAAAAAGCTTCGAAAAAATCCCAAGCTCCATCTGTGAGACTCTAAACAATGTCCTGGGTCAATGTGTTTGGATGTCTCAACAACAGGATGCGTCCAAAACTCGAGCCGAAAATTTTGACCCACGGCTTGAATTGCGGTTAGAGCAAAGCTCCACGGCGGTCGCCACCCTTCTTCACATGGCTTTGCAGGGCCATACTGTACCGGCAACGTTGACGAATATGGGAATTACTCTGCTTGGTGAGATCAGGAAGAAAGGGAATACTGAGCACGACATGGAGGTTATCAGGTTTCTCGAGGAGCAGGAGCGATACCGTAGTAAGAAAAGGCACCAGTCAGATGGTTTGAGTCTCGCTCCCAGGAAACGTAGATAGTCTATGCGTGGCACGAGCCATGGTCATTGCGAGTGCTTTTGGTAGGGAGTCGAGAGTATCGTCGGGTAGGCAGCATTCAAGATTTTCATGTGGACTGTCTGGAGTGCTTTTAATCGGTAGATAGGAGAGTTCGGGGACACAATAGAGGTATTTTAATCAATTGACAGGTTGAGCACAGGGGTTCCGTCTATTGTGCATGTACAGAGATTTTCGACTTTCAGTAGAATCGTTAAGAAGTGTCTTAAAACCCGAGACAAGTAGAGCCAGCCCGATTCAGATTAAATCTAGAGTACGAACTACGCAGGCTGTTAATTCGTGCGCACGGAAAGACTGGTAGTGTGCTTGTTCGTGTTCGTCTTCGTGTTCGGATTTACCGCAATGGCCCCACCGACGAAGTCGTAGCAAATTTCCACAGCGACCTGCCAGGTAAGACAGGCCAGCTGGAGCTAAGACATTTAGCCCTTAAGACTGAATTTGCGTCGTGAACCTCGTTCCTAGTGTTACCCACTGAACTTCTCGTTCTCTTCCCTCCTATCGCTTCGCAACATAAGAGAATGCCAAATGCCCCCACGACGTCTTGGGTCAGGGCGTAAATCGCACTCTAAATCTAGACTTGGCTGCGCTAACTGTAAGCGCCGGAGAGTCAAGGTAGCGTTTCCCTTTTCCGCTTCCCTAAAGTAACTATCGCCAATTAAGGAATTTCCTATAGTGCGACGAACAAAGGCCTTCCTGCACAAATTGTGTTCGACGCTCGATGCCCTGCGACTTTGCAGCACGTTCCTCTGATCAGCAAGCCGACTCTACGTCAACTCAAACCATCTCATCAAATAATAGTTCCACCGGTTCCTATCTTTTGGAAAGTCAGTTAACGAGTTCGGAACTTACGGAACTTGAGCTCCTCCACAACTACTCGACATCGACATGCTTCTCGCTAGCAGAGTATCAAGAAGTCCAGCATATATGGGAGACTCAGGTTCCTCAGATCGGATTCGACCATTTCTTTGTCCTCGAAATGGTTTTTTCACTATCAGCGTACCACCTTGGGCGTGTCCGACCAGAGTCACGGGATTTCTTTACTCGGCTTGGCCAGAGCTACCACGATAAAGCGCTTGTATCAGCTACAGCACTTGTAATGCAGCTCGACGAAAACAACTGCGAGGCAGTCTATCTCTCAGCCGCCTTTACCAGCTTCATTATGTTTGCAAAAGGACCGCGCATTAACGACTATCTGTTCTTCGGGGATGAATGTTCTATCGATCCACTGTTGCTGATCCGAGGAGTTCGAACCATATTTGGAACGCGTTGGCAGGAACTTTCTACTGGAAAACTGGCTGGACTCTTTCGAATGTCTAACTACCGTCTAAAGGCAAGGTCTGGAACAGTACCGCCCGAATTAGACGGTTATCTCATGAATCTAAGAGGATTCATCATCAGTAATACTGAAGAGGATGATCCTATTATGGAAACGTATCTAGAGGCTCTGGATAATTTAGTAAATGTTTTGGGACTATGGTCGACGAAGGATGATGGTTCAACACAAACTAACACTGCTCATCTGGTCTTTGTCTGGCTTTACAAATCGTCTGACAAGTTCGTTGCTTGTCTTCGAGGATGCCAACCTATAGCATTAGTATTATTTGCTCATGTTGCCGTCCTGCTCGGAACGGAACAATCAGTTTGGTACGTAGAGGGATGGGCGCGCCACATTATTACTGGCATACAAATATCTCTGCCAGATGAGTACCAAATGTGGCTGCAGTGGCCAGCTGCACGGTGTTGTTAGTTTCCAACTTGCATATTCTGCTGGAATTTAGAAAGAAATTGAACATGATGGATCATGAGCCCAACAGTCGGCTGATTAGTACCTTGTTTCCTAATGTATTCAAATATAGATTTAGATACTGTCAACCAGATGTTACCGCGCAGCCTTCACAAAGTGAGCTTGGAAGTGACCCTGCAAGGGACGACCGAAACCCGAAGATGGCCAGCTCGACGGACGTTCAAGCATCCACTTTTGGCAGACTGCAGGGTAGCTGGCTTGACGGTGGGCCGCGGCCTGAACAGTGTCCCTTGAAAATACCAACGGCACTCTTCCTCTGCATCCTCTACTTCGGCTTCGGGTTGAGCTACACGAATTACGAGGTTAGCGGCAGGCTTTCGCTGGTAAAGACTGGGGCAGACGTGTCTCCGTTCTCTGTGCGCCCACTAATCAAGCAATGGGAAGCAATGTGGCGTCCCAGCCTTATCGGTGGAAGATGGCTTGCACGCACGGCCTGCCGGTAGGACGCCCAATTGGCTCGTGGAAAATCTCGAACTACTGTGTAGAGACTGATCGGCCCGCGCCGTTCGTGTTCGCTCCCGTGTTCGTTTCGGTGCCCTGTGTGCCAGCCACTACACTGGTATTTTTAAACATTGCAACATAGATAAAGGCAGTCTTGATTATTTCTTTCGCTGCTACTCTCTAGTTCTCCATCTTCATCCTCCTCGTTGATCTCTTAGATCCATTTCCAGCTGCTTTCCCGATCCGGCACTCGTTTATATAACCATCCTTTACTCGCAACCACCAGCATGGCCAGCAACGAGGCCGTTGAGTTCAAGCTCTGGCCATACACGCCCTCGCTTGCTGGCGGCGTCATCGCCGTCATCGTCTTTGCCCTCCTCTCCATTGCTCACATAATACGCCTCATCAAGTCGCGGACCTGGTTCTGCATACCCTTTGTTGTCGGCGCAATCTGTGCGTCCCCATCCCCCATCCCAAATCGCCGCAACGAGCCGCGAATGAACTAACATGCAATCCAGTCGAAACAATCGGCTACATCGGCCGCACCGCTGCGCATTCTGACACGACGTCCATCGGGCCCTACGTCTGCCAATCGCTGCTGATCCTGCTCGCGCCCATCCTCTTCGCCGCTTCCGTCTACATGATCCTGTCGCGCATCGTGCGGCGCTGCGGTGCCGAATCCTACTCGCTGATCCGCCCGCAGTGGGTCACGCGCATCTTTGTCGCCGGCGACGTGTTGTGCTTCCTCATGCAGAGCTCCGGCGGCGGGCTGCTCGCCAAGGCCAAGAAGCAGAGCGACGTTGACTTGGGCGAGCATGTCATTCTTGGCGGCCTGATCTTGCAGATTTTCATCTTCGGCTTCTTTGTCGTCGTGGCAGGCGTGTTCCACAGCCGCTTGCGCCAGAAGCCGACGGTCGAGGCTGCGGATCCGGGGCTGCCGTGGGAGCGATACATGATTCTGCTGTACACGGCCAGTGGCTGCATTACTGTTAGGAACGTTTGCCGTGTTGTCGAGTATGGGCTCGGTCGGGTGAGTTTGGTTCCGTTGCCCTTCATCAATCCGAGACTCGATCGCTGACGGCGGATTCCTAGGACGGCTACCTCTTGACCCACGAGTGGTGTCTATACCTCTATGACTTCATCCTGATGGCTATTACCTTGTCTGTCTGCCTGATGTGGTATGATAGGAACGTTCAGCCACAGAAGAGGGATTCCTACGAGATGGCACACGTTGATTCGCAGAAGGACAGCGTGTGAGGCGTTGATGGCAATCATTCAATTGCGTAGTCTGTTTCGATCGTGTCTCTCGCAACACCCCTCATCTTATCGATATAAGTTTATGGATTCCACCGAAGTTGTATTTCGAAGTTTTAAGCCGTGCGGTTGAAAAAAAAAAAACACCAATCTTCTACAGCTAAATCACATAGTCATGCCAAATGCATTTCCACTAGAAGTACAATGGAATCATTATACTAGAGAAACACGTCTCTATGAATTCTTTAGCTATCATTCCTGGTACCAGGACCTCACTCCATTCGCTGAGCACTTAGTCTGCTTGTCACAAAGGACTAAACTGACCAATCAAATGCAGCGGGATCGCGGAGACAAAAGGGATTAGATAAGGCAATGCCTAGTACGTAGTCGGTTACTTGACACGGCAATCTTCCTCCGGCGATATTTAGGGCGGATAAATTTCAGCCCCGCACATGAGCGTCTCGACATAAGCTTCAACTACTTACCTAAGGAGGACGCAAACTTCCAAGCCGGGATTCAGAAGGACAACGCCGGGTAAGATTAAGGTGAAGATATCTGCTTACAAACAAGCCAGTGATCGCGGCTCTCTATCTTCGGAATTTTTCCCCCTCGGTACCTTCTCAGATTGCACCTGGCCAATCATGTCCGCCTGTGTGGACTGCCGGGAGATTCTACGTCATCAGTCGACATTCGAGACACCAATTCTTAAGCGCTTCTCCTTCTCGGATCTGCAAACCCGCTCAAAGACTAAGTCTTGTGGACTGTGTAGAATCATATTTTTCAGTGTCGAATATCTGACAGATCCTGAAAGTCCGCGTGACTTGCCAGAATGCAGTTGCCTGGCAGAGGCGGTAATGAACAAGCCCGAAGATCTGGTAGTGAGCGTCTCTGTCTCTTCAAAGGCTTTCGATAACCAAAAGAGCGGGAGGCCTCGCGACATCTACAAAATACTCTTCAACATATTGCCGGACTGCGACCATGCAGTTGATGATGATGAGCTGTTCGAGTTTAGGTATATAGTGCACGCCGAATATGGTATTTCTCACATCTCCTTCGAAATTCTTCGATATAGGTCTTCTCATGTAACTGGCTCTAGATAATCCCAGCGCAAAGTTCATCAGTCAAAGGGCATCAGACCCATCCACTGATTCTCCTGAGGCGTACGGCAAAATTCTCGAATGGATCGCGGCCTGTGACCGAGAGCATACGCTCTGCCGCAGGGACGTTCCCATGCGTTTGCCAACCCGAGTCATAGACGTCGGCTCGCAGGACGGAACGTGTGGAGCAAGATTGTACATCAGTCGTCCGGACGAGTATCATCCTTACCTCACTCTTTCTTATTGTTGGGGCACAGCTCAGCCAGTGCATCTCAGGAGCACCAACCTGGAAGGTAGAGCTCACCACTACCACCGTACTGTGACAACCTGCTAATAGAAACAGAAATGTGCAACAGAATCGACGCGTCAGCCCTTCCGAAGTCTCTGCAAGATGCAATCACGGTCACAAAGCAGCTCAACTTCCGTTACCTGTGGGTCGACTCGCTCTGTATTATCCAGGACTCAGACGAGGACAAATCCCACGAGATAAGCAACATGGCCAACGTGTACAAAGGTTCCCACCTAACAATCAACGCCGCCAAAGCCTACAACTGCAACGAAGGGTTTCTGGAATCCCAGCCTTTGACGCGGTCATATCGGGACCCCAACCTGGCCGTAAGGGTGCCCCTTCTGTACGGAGACGAGGAGCTCGGGCAAGTCATACTCGAAGAGGACATCTTCTGCGCCGACCCGGGCGAACCCACTTACCGCCGGGCTTGGACCTTCCAAGAGCGCCTGCTCTCTCGGCGGCAGCTCATCTACGGCTTTGACACGCTGACCTGGAAATGCGCGACAACGACCTGGAACTGGGTCACATGGACACGCTTCTGCTTCCAGACACCAATCCTCGGATCTCTCGCGCTGCCCTCCGAAGACTCCGTCACGTCATTCACCAACGCCGCATCCTCGCCCCCAGCCGGCGCCCTATCCCTATGCAAAAACCCCGACTTCGGCAACAACGCCCCCCAATGGCGCACAGCCGGCTGGCCCTACTTCCAGCAATACTGGCTCGAGCTGGTCGGCATCTACTCGCCGCTCGGCCTGACCGACTCTGCCGACAAGCTCCCCGGCATCGCCGGCGTCGCGGCCGAAGTGTCGCGCGTCTCCGCCGCCACCGGGCTGCCCGCCGGGCGATACCTGGCCGGGCTATGGGAGGCAGATCTCCCGCGACAGCTGCTCTGGACGGTGTACTACCCTCCCAAGCCGGAACGCGGCCGGCCCTACCGCGCGCCGTCGTGGTCGTGGGCGTCGGCGCCTGGGGACGTGTACACGCATTATCCGTGGGTGATCCGGGACTATCGATCTCATCCGGCCGCCCAGATAATCGAGTGTTCGGCGACGCCGCTGCGTGCGGAGGCGCCGTTCGGACAGGTCAAGGATGGTTTCTTGAAGATCAGAGCGAGGTTGGTCAAAGGGACGGTTGTGGGCGAGCGTTTGGGCTCCAGCGATGGGCCGATTACGGGGGAGCGAGAGTTCTGTCAGATGGACGTGGTCGAGTCGGTGGAGGCTGCGAAGGAGCAGGCTCTGTCCTCGTGGTGGGCTCAGCTGGGGGAGTGCTGCGGTTTGGTTCTCGAGAAAGTGGAAGAAGACTCCGGCGAAGGAGGGCTGTATCGGCGGGTGGGGATATTCCATTCAGAGACGACGTCTTTTCCGGACGTTGAGCCATCGGTGTTCACCATCATCTGAGAATAGTCATGTCTGTAATTCCGGAATGATCCAATTATATTGGGACAGTAATGGTTACTCTTGATACATTTGCCCTTTCTCGGCATTTGGATAGCGGCATACTTCGCTCCTCGGTCGAAGCGAAATGCCGTCGACTCCTCGGTCTGATTATTTTCACTTTTGTCCTGATTAACACCCCGATTTTGCGTGCCTCAATCCGCAACCCTCGGCCGCTTCCCATCCCGCTCTTCTCTGTCCTCCCCGAATCTCTTCCTCTCACCCACCGCGCTCGCATTGGCACCAGTCGCACCGGCTCTCCCCTCCATCTGGCTGTCCGGCCTGAACCTGTCGTCCATCCCCTTACCACCAAACTCGCCGCCCCTCCCTCCTCTGCGGTCTCCAAACTCCCCCCACCTGCCGGTATCCTCGCTCCTCATGTCCTTGTACCGCGTCCGGCCCTTCTTGCCCAGCTTCGTCATATCGCGAATCTGCATGTACTCGGGCAACGTGTCCTTGTTCTTCACATCGTCGACGTACCGCGAGCCCATGATATCTCTGCGATCCAGGCCAGCCGCCTTGAGGTCCTCCTGGAAGAAAGCGCCCTTGTGGAAGTACTTCTGCATGGTGCTCATCGTGCCCTTCCCCGCGCGCTCTTCTTTCTGGCGCTCGATGAACTCGCGATCCTCCGCATCGCGCTCTTCCTGCGTGAGGCCGCGGCGGCGCTCGATCTCCTCGCGCTCCTTCTCAGCCTCCTCGATGGCCTCGCGCTCGCGCTTGATGCGCTTCAGCTCGCGCAGCTTCCACGCCGCGAGCTCGGCCTCCGGGTCGACGCCGTCCGTGTCGTCGATGTCGTCCAGATCCCCCAGGTTGTCCTCGTCGTCCCACTGCTTGCGGCCCGCCGCGCGCTCCGCCGCCGCCTTCTCCAGCTGCTCCTGCACCAGCGCGTCCGCCTTGGCCTTGCGCCGCGCCTCGTCCTCGGCCCACTTCTCATCCTCTGTCTTCGCTGCCGCGGCGGCCTGCGCCTTGCGCTGGTCCTTCCGCACGAAGACGGGGCGCAGCATCTTCTTCCGGCGAGCAGCAGCCTCGTCCTCACTGCTGCTCTCCTCCTCCGACGAGTCGTCTTCTTCCTCCTCACTCTCACTACCATCTTCATCCTCGTCCTCACTACTCTCCTCCGTCTCGAACCCTTCCTCAGCCGCCGCGCGCGCCGCCTTCTCCGCTTCCAGCCGCGCCGCTTCTGCCGCCGCGGCCTCTTGCCGTCGCGCGTTTAGGTCGACGTTTTTGAGGTTGCTTGTGATCTTGGACGCGTCTTTGGGGAAGGACGAGGCCTTTGGTGCGGGCGCGCTTTTCTTTTGTTGTTGTTGTTGTTGTTCCTCCTCTTCTTCCTCTTCGGAGCCGGATTCTTCGGATGACGAGGGTTCTTCGGCGGCGGTGGGCTTGCCTGGGCGGTAGCGCGCTGGTCTGGCCGGGTTGGCCGTCATGCGCTTGGGAGGCATGGTGAGAGCGGTGGGCGCGAGCTGGTCGGCGGTGGTTCGATGGAGAGCGCGATTGAGGACGGTGGGGATTTGGGTGAGCGAGGGAGAGGGGTGGCGTGGGTGTGGAGGCGGGTTTGGTGAAGAGCGGGAGGTTGGCGATGATGATGGAAAGTTAGCGGGATGAAGCTTGCGGCAGGTCTGCCGCTGCCAAGCTTTTTTGTTCAACCTAGCTCCGTAGGGCTGAAGATCCAGTGCAAGGGTAGCTGCCGAACAACTAATGATGGTATTTTCGTATCTCTACAGGTATATGCAAGTGCCTTCCCTAGGCCTTTTCCAGAATGCCATTCCCTTCCTTCGACGCCGAAAACGCCCAGTTTTCCCATGCCACTTTACCAATTGTCAAAGTTACCAAACCCACCGGACTTAAACTTTTTCTTAACAGGCTCCTCCGGCTCATCCCATTCCCCTACGATTTCATCCTCTTCTGCTTCCGTCGATTTTTGCTCCGCGAGTGCGGCCTTGAGGTACTTGCCAACGCCTCCACTACCACTGCCTGACTCCACCGTTCCATCACCGCGGATGCGCTTTCCCGTCCACGTCGTCTTGTCGTCCTCCGTACCTCCTGCCCTCTTTATTTCTTCTTGCTCTCGGTCCTTCGCGTCTTTCTCAGCCTTTTGCTTCTGGAACTCCTCGAACGGATCAACGAACACAACCACATCCTCCAGCATAAGCGGCGGGTCCGGCCTGTCCTTGGAATCCGTAGGAGCGTTCTCGAGCCGCGACAGAGTATCCATACCACCGACAACGCGTCCAAAGATGGTGTGCTTCAGATCCAGATGCTTCGCCGCGCGGTAGGTAATGAAGAACTGGCTCGAGTTGGTGTTCTTGCCCTTGTTCGCCATACTCAAAATTCCCCTCGTATCGTGCTTGTTCGGTCCCTCGAATTCATCGTTGAAGTTCTTGCCCCAGATGCTTGAACCCCCGCGGCCAGTACCCGTCGGATCGCCTCCCTGGATCATGAAGTTCTTGATGTTGCGGTGGAACGTGATGTTGCGGTAGTACCCCTTCTTCGCCAGCTGCACAAAGTTCCACACGGCCTTGGGCGCAAACTCGGGCAGCAGCTCGATATTGATCTCTCCCACACTCGTCTGCATCCTAGCGTATCCCGGTATCTTCACCCGTCGCGGCTTCAGCATGTACTCCTCCTCCGAGAGCAGCGCTCTCTCATTAGACGTATGCGGAGTAACACCGGTGCTTGTGAAAGAGGCGGCCGCCTTTCCGGTCGTGTACTGGGCAGCGTTGTACGGCAGCGGCTTGTTCTGGTGCAGGGCGTTGGCAGCGTCAGCCTGCTCGGCCCTCGCGCGGGCGAGCGCAGCCGCGACGCCTCCGCCATCCGCCTTCGCCTTGGCCGCCTTCTCGCGGTCGGACCGGGCCTTCGCGACGGCCTCCTTGGCCTTGAGCACCTTGGCGGAGCTGCCCAGGGCGCCGGCGTTGACGCCGCTGGCGCGCTCCGCCTCCTGCTCGGGCGTCAGGTTGCTCTCGCCATCCTTGAGGTACTTGAAAGCGCTCAGGTCCCTGGCCTCGAGGTTTTGCGGGTCCTGCAGCGTGATGATGTCCTTGCGCGAGAACTCGTCGTCGGTGACCAGGTCGCGCCAGTTCTTGGCCTTGATGTTCAGGCGCTCGATCGTGTCCCAGGCGAAGACGTTGCCGGTCGGCTTGAGGGCAACGAGGTGCGTGTTGTCGGTGAAGACCTTGTACGTAACCGGGTCGACGTACTCGCCGTCGTCGTTCTTCGCGAAGTTGAGCTTGATCAGGTCGGCGCGCTTGAGCTGGCTGCCGTCGACGGGGTTCGTGCCGTGCTTCTTCAGCCACGGCAGGATGTTGGTCAGGTCGAAGATTGTGCCGGCGGCGGTGCACACGGGGTGCTCGAAGGGCTGCAGCGACAGCGCGCAGAAGTTGAAGGGCAGCCGCCGGAACGAGGCGCCGACCGCCTTGGACTTGTTGACGCCCGCGCCGAAGCTGGCCGAGTAAGCATCTTCAGACGCCCATTCCGAATGGGTGATGTAGAGCTTGTCAGTACCTTTGCCCATTGTGGGAGAGTGGTGGGGGCGCGGGGATGGGCAAGGGAAAGTTTGGAGGGCGAGTTTGGCGGCGACACGCACCGCGGAGAGATGGCGAAGGCCCGGGCGCAAACCGCCGATCATCCACCACCGTCATCGTGCGCACGGTCCTTCTGCCTACATGAACTCTCTTCATAAAGTAGGACCGCCGCTTTCCTCTTCATTTGCTTTGGCTTCTTAGCCTTTCCTTTTTCCTGGATCGATGATCATAATTCGTCCTGTTATTGATTAGTTTTAAGAAGATACATCACTAAACATACAACATCTACCAACAGAAGACCTCGAAAGAAGCCTTTGAAAAATCAGTAGTCGGCTTCTGAATGGACGGTTGCATCTCTCACGATATCGCTCATCTTTCTAGGGCTTTTGATTCCTTTGATATTCATCATGCACCCGAATCTTCCTTGCCTATTACTGCTTACCCAACGATACGTTAGAGACTCTCCTGGAAAGAGTACTCTGCACAAGCCTGGCAACCTTGGCTCTCGTATTGGTAGGTTATGGGTTAAATACCTAGAATTCAACGCAGGAACGGGTCTCAAACTATGCCTGGTTCTGGAAGAATCGGGATCACTGCTCAATGTATAGATGATAGGGGCAGTAGTTGTAACAGTCCAATATTTGGAAATAAGGTAGACGCATTGGAAGCACAAACATCTGAGTCAAGCATAACTATTACTAAAGAAAACTAACATAGCACAGAAGTTGAAAACAACATGAAGCAACTAAGACAAACTGTGATTGCGAGGCCGTCAAATGAGGAATCTCTCGGGGTAGTTGCAGGCTTGTAAAGTAAATGATAAACAAAACACTATTGAGAAAACCACCTAGTCGCTCTCGTATTCCGTTTCATATCTGGGAGAGTCCGGAAGGTAAGAAGACGAAACATGGTCGAACTGCGACCTATCTTCTGCGTAGAGCTGATCGGCCGTCTTTGCTCCCTTTTCAAGCAACAGATCCCTGATCTGCTCCTTGCGCTCGATATCTTGAAGATCCTCCTCTTTCTTCTTGTACACTTCACCATTCAGGTAGTGCTCCGAGTCCTCACCAAGACAAGGCCAGTCGTAGTGTAGTTCACCTGAATTGACAAGATCGAGGGGAGTTTTCCCCACATCGGATATTGGAGAAGGGTATGCACCTTTGTTGAACAACAGCCGGACACATTCCAGGTGTCCGTTGGCTGAAGCTTCATGAAGCGGTGCCCAGCTGAAGATATTGGTGATCGATGCACTTACTCCAGCGTCCAGGAAAAATTGTACCATCTCAATATTCCCAAATGCAGCGGCTCTGTAGAGTTCGTGCACTTCGTATTGACTAGTGTGGTTGATGTTTGTACCCTTTGATTTCAAAAAGCGTAGAACTAGATAGCTTTTAGCAAGCCCGTAGGTTTTCGAGAAATTAAATTCCAGTTTTGGTCTTACCTTCCTCGCGTTCGATGCTTGCATGAGCAGTGAATGCCGTTCTTTGATTCCTGTCCTCATGATCCACTCTTGCACCCTTGTTCAGAATGAGCTCAACGAGGCCGATATTGTTTCTGAATGTAGCACGATGCAGCAGAGGTTGACCGTGAGAATTTTCCAAGTCAGCGCTCACGCCACGATTCAGTAGCACTTCAACTGTACTTGTATGACCACCTTCCACGGCCAGGAAGCAAGCTGTGTTGAGAAAGTCCTGGGCTCTGATACCGTCATATCTGTTGCTTGATACTCCAGAGCTTGATGAATCCCAGCTGTCGCTCCGGGTAACTTGATCCTTATGATCGCAATCATCAACATCGAAGGGATGAGTGGCGAGGAATTCGTCCAATGCGTGGGAGTGTCCTTCATACGCAAGAATCAGGACTTTTCCATAGCGCTCCAACAAAGGATCCATCTCATTGTCATCAGGAATGTGAGTGTCTTTTTCGCTAGCAGGCTGAGCTGGAATTGTAGATCCATCAGACTTCGTTAGCGTTTGGTGTAGAAAGCAGAGGATAAGAATGAGCGGGGCAACCAGCAAGACGCCCAAGTCGAAAAGTGACCACGGGAGTTCAGTCTGTTTGAGGCCTTTGAGAATCTTCCCCACTGCTTTCTCATGATTTCGTTGCGCTGCGTACAAAAGAAGGACGTGGCCTTGCTTGGTCGAGAGGTCGACGGTAGCTCCATGGTCCAATAGTATTTCTGCAATGTCTCCAAAGTCCCTTTTGAAAGCTATAACAAGCGGAGTTTGTTCTGAGCCGTCAAGCTCGTTAATATTCGAATTCGGACGATCCAGCAAGCTTCGCACAAGATCGCAGCTGCCTAGAAAGACAGCAAGGTGCAGCGGAGTGGCGTCAACCCCACCATCTGACTCGCCATAGCGGCCTTCCAGAACGACTGAATGTGTGTAATAAGCCCGCAAGTCGCGCAGCAAATTACAGTAGAAGTTTCTCTTGGGCTCCTCGTTGACCAGTCTACGAATATATCGATTGAGTTCAACATGCTTTTCCGTGCGGTCGTTATCATTGCGGACAAGCTGAAAGTGCTTGTGTAAGTATTCAGCTGCGTATTCAGCGAATGGGTAAGACTCGAGCTTCTCAGAATTTGGACGGTGCTCGATAGACTCTTCCGAATCCTTCGAGTCGACAGGCTGCTCCAAGACATCCATGCAAAGATATTTGGCACAGGCCAAAGTAATATCAAGGCGAGAAGCCCCAAATTCCGACTCTTTTCTTTGCACGAAGAACGACTGCGCAGAGTAATGGACGAAACGAACGATATCATCCATATCGATCTCAACCAAGCCACAGCAGACAGACGTGATTCTCTCCTTGGGAAGAAGCCTGTGTTTCTCAATGATGGGTCCAGAAGTCTGTGCGGCGATCGCATGGCTAAGCTCTTGGAACTTCAATGGCCGGAAAGTGTAAGACATCCAGGCGAGGACTATACGGGCAAGCAATTTTCTCTGCGGATCCTTCGTGTTGACACGTGCAATCGCGTTTGCGTAGCTTTCATCCACCGTTTTTGGTAAGTTCGCAAGAGCATCGGCAATCTCCTCAGGGCTATCGAGATTGCTCAGTGCGTGCATGTGAAGTCTGACCAGAAGGAACCTGTAATCGTTAGCGAGGCATCTTAAATGACAGTAGACATAGCCCTCGTAGTAATGCCCAAGGGCTCGACTTACATCCCACCAGCTTTCCTTCGCACTGTGCGTTTAATATCATCCCTCGAGCACTTTCGGAGTTCCGAGTCTTCGCTTATCATGAACTCAATGTATTCATCAACATCCGAAGTCTGAGCCGTGATCGGCAATTTGTCGAAACCTTCCGATAACTCATCGCGTTTCTCGAGGAGCCTGGCAGTGACCAAAATTCGAACATCTTCGGTGATGCTTTTGAGGGCATTGAGTAAGGGGTTCCGAATATCCAGTTTGCATTCATCCATAGCATCGAGGACAATGTAGAATGGCCGTCCAGCTGTCAACTTTGTCAACATTGCTTTCAATGTGTCTTCATTAGCTGGTCGATAACGCCCATGGCTTTTGCCACGGCCTGTTATCTTTTTCCATTCCACTTCCACTTCGTTAGGGATGAATGGCATGTCTGCCACTATTTGCCGCACGATGCTTCCCAGGAGTTCTGCCACAGTTGGACTGGTCTTGTGAGACATGTAAAGGAACGCAACAACGGGTTCGTGTTCGTCTCTTGTTGCTACCATGGTGTTTTGCAGGTGTCGGATTATGATTGACCTGCAGATGACATTAGCCGCGGCACTGCAAGCAAGGGAATATACTTGGCTCTGACGCTAGAACACTCTTTCCTGCTCCCGCTATAAATTGTGAGTATGGTTTTTGCTCCAAATCAAGGCTGTTACTCACGCTTTCCTGTATACCAAAGCTTCGAACAACATGTATTCTTCCATTTCTGAAAAGACTCTGAGTCCAAAAGCCATCTTCCAGCATTTGGACGTCCCTTCACTTGGTTCAGTAATTCTGTATGCCTCGTCTCAAAGTCCAGCGGAGAGAGCCAATCGAGAATGTCGTTTCGATCCTCTTGGTTTCCACGTTTCTCGATGGCCTCAACGCTATGACCTGCGCGTTTCATTTCTGCATATGTAGCGAAATCTATGCATCGAAAGAGGTGCTCTTTGGCTGAACTCATATCGGCAAGCAGGCGGTCTAGCTCAGTGTCTCCTTTGAGCAACTTAAGCCACTTCTCTGTCGACTACTGTCAGTTATGCTGTCACGGCATTCTCAGTCTTTTTTTTTTCCAAAAAATAGAAAAAAAGACTCACTGAATCTTCCATCATGATCTTCGATCGCGGATGCGCAAATCTTCAAAGAACAAGAAAAGATCTCAGTAATACGCTCCCTGAGGATACCAAGTCTGAGATCTCCATGGAGATATCCACTTAGCATCGAGATGTCTTTGAACAGTTGTGCCATGTCTTCGAAGAAAGTGTCTATGCGATCGAGTTCTTTATGAACCGCTGCAAAGGTCTGGAAGACCAAGGCAAAAGCCTGCACACATATAGTAGCGGGGGTGATGACTGGGACTGCCTATATCGGAATGGATGAGTAAGTGAATTTTCATGGTAGAAGGAAGGAGACTAACCGCTGCCACGAGTTGGAAAGTGCTACTCGTAATCTCGATAGCCATCTGGATTCTTTCAATGTGGCGACCCACGGCATCGCAAGCTTTTTCGAAGTGGTTGCTCTTCTTCGGCATGCCTTTCAAGATCTCTGGCCATTTGGAAGGGTCACGAAGTGCTTCTTCGAACATATGGCCATTTTCCTGAAGTTTGGTTGCGCTTTGGAACTGCTTCTGCGCATCTGTCCATAGCACTAAAAGATCACCTTCGAAAAGAACGGGTTTTGGCGGGGAATGAGCCATCTCCGATGCTCTCCAGTGCTCTCTAGAAAGAACGTGGATAGGTTCACAAGCGGAGAAGCGGGATAGAAGTGAAGAATGTAAAGTAGATGCAGTTACAAGGTCTTATCTTCTTTCTGCAGACTTGGACTTCTTAAGCGGCTACAACTGCCTGAAAGAAGCCACATCTGCCGGGCAAGGCAGAAATCCTACTGGCACAAAACCTCCGTAGAAGCGAAGTCCCGGTCACAGCCAGTGATTGGTACCCACCGTTTACTGTAGCCGGTGGCTAGCAGGGATTAGTTTTTCTATGCATTAGAGACTCCTCGGCTACCCAAAATAGCGGGGACCGGATAATCCAACTGTTACACAACCTCTATGGGGGAATGGACGCTCGTCCCGAGCCTCTGCTACACTTCACGCTAGTCATGAGCCGCAGTATGGGAGTGTGGGTTCTGCGACAAAGCTTTGCATTCGTGCAGCTGAACCGGTGAAATGGTCCACACTTTGGGATGCAATGCGATCTGTTTGAAGTTTGGCGAGAGATCTGTCTTCACTCCGAAATGCGGCTGGAGCTGCCAGACTCCACTTAAGCCCCACATTCTCCAATGCCAACGCAAACAACGGTATGTGCAGGCAACGAATGCATCTGTATGAGCAGAGCTGATTCTCATAAACTCTTTCGTACTGCCAGACACCCAGTCGGTCATACATAATCTGCGAATATTGTGTTCTGTGGCTACCATTACATGGATCTGCGTTACAAGAAAACCTCTGGGGAAAGGAGAGCAAAGGTGTGATCCGAAAGACTTTAGGCAGCAATCAGTCATTGAAGCTTCGTCGGAATGCATCTCAAGATGCATGCCCACCACGCTCATCGCGGAAAAAACTGCGACGGATAAATTTTTCTAGCGGCGCCACGTCAACTCAACAACCCGAGGTACAGATAGGTGGATTCATGATCCGCTTGGTATTCAGCTGCCCCACAGCTAACCAAAGGAATACTTGCTCGAAGCAAAACAAATAAATACGCCGATGGCCAACGTAGACTGCAACCTTTTTATCAAGTAGGGTATTCTAGCATATGTTTGACTATTTGAATACGCGGGCAGGGTTCAGTCAGTCCTTACATACTGCTCGTGTTAGCCATTACCCTGTGCATGCATGGAGGCCGGCGGGCTCTGCGGCTAGATCTAAGCGGCAGCGGTCCCGCGGGCCTTCGGGGCTTCCCGCAGTGACGTTGCTCTGTCGGATGCACATCGCACTCTGAATCTGGCACTCTGTGCGTGACCTCGCAGTCCGCATCTCGCTTGGCGGATCTCGCTTGGAATCTTCGCCCCCAAAGATCTGTTGAAGATCTCTCTGCGGCGGTCGAGATCGTACAGAGAAGGAGCCCGACGTATTCGAACGGGTATGGGTAAAACCAAGCCCTCTTTCAAATGCTCTATTCAAGAAGAAATACAGAAAGTCACTTATTGTGCTGAATTTTGCGGGAACAGCCAAGAGGGAGTCAAAGCACCAGAAGATAGGCATGACCAGGAAGAAAAATCTCGTGTGTGGCTCCGAACCTGGAAAAGCAATGAATGTCGATCTCGCGGCGTCCGATTCAGTTGTTCTTGGTATGTGCGCTTCAGGTCTTTTCGTTCTCAGCTGTCTCCACTTCGTGTATGCAGATACGCCAGGGTCGGGGGAAAAAAAAAAGAAGGGACACGTAGCAGCGCAGCAAAGCACGCCCCTCTAAAGAATCGCCCAACGGGACATTGGGTTTGGAAGGGATTCGGGTCTGTTGACCACACTCTGCGATCGCAATCGTGGATTTTCTTCGGTTGTCAGTCAATCGAAGGTACTTGCGATTCTCGTTTGCAGACGCAACACCGCCTCGCACACGCCCAACGATTCTTGTTGGCTGTGCCAGCATCTGTTCGTATCTAGAAGTATATACCAGCTATAAAAGTGCTATCTACCCCATGCTCGCCCATGCTACAAACATGGCTTCACTCGCTCACTCATAGACATTCATTATCAAACGACGAAAAGCCAAAAGTCGAATTGATATCCAACGAAGGAAAGAAAATAGCGTCAGTAATCTGCGAGTGAAAATCATGAAGCAGTCGGTCTGGCACCTGGGCTGCGGGCGCCTCAGCTACGGGCTGACTGTATTCAATGGCCGCGAAATTGTTCGAGCCCTGCCGCGAGCCAATGTCGAGCGAGGATGCCGTCTGCATGAGACTGTTCAGGATCTTCTGACACCGCATCACCAAATGCGATCCTCCGCCAATCGTCGGAAGCACTTTGCAAGCCGTCGTTACGCTGTCCAGCAGGTCGTGTAGTCTCGTCTGGCGAAGGTGCATGCGGTGCTTGTGGAGGACGACGATGATGCCGAAGAGGATCAAGGCGGAGTTGAAAGCTGTGAAGCAGTTATCTATCGCGCAATCGCCCTGCAAGAGGATCTTCGAAAGGAGCGTACCGTAGTATATCGATACCCACCACACCGGTAGCAGGCTTTCGTTGTTCGCCACGCGGCAGATGATGTCGATTGAGTTCATGGACGTCTCGGAGCAGGTCTCGAGACTGTTCAGCCCGTAGCTCCGAAGTAACGATAACTCGGGGCCTTCGAGAGTTGCTAAGCCAGCGGATACACGGAGGAACTGTGTGACGATGCCTCTGTGCAGCAACGTTCGTGTATTCAGGTATCTTAATGTCAGGACGATTCGAGACCGATGGTTGTTTGACCCCTTGTCAATGTCCTGGAGCGAGATCAACTGAACTTGAGACGGGAGAGCTTGCCTCCACTCCATTAGCTGCTTCTCCAACTTGATGGTTTCCTGAAGGATTTCCGTGCAGGTCAGATCTGGATCGTGCTTGACGTTGTCCTGGTAGATTTTGCTGATCACGTTTCCCACGAGGAGGTTCAGTTTTCTGGGACGCTTGTGAGTACTACTACATCTAAGCTTGCTGGCATGGATTACGTACGATGTCTCGCTGAAAAATGCCTTAGCCAATGGCTTCCTGGCGTTTTGCGTAGCATACAGCATCTCCTCGTTATCCTCCCATTGCCCTATGTCCACGTCGGAAGGAAGGCCGCAACACATGAGATTGTTTGCAATTAGAGGAGGCCGTCCGAACGTCATGCTGCACATCCTGCAATATTCGTTAGCGTTAGTCATCCGTATAGAACGAGACCACCCCACCTGTCCATCATGAAGCACGCCCACCACGTGCGTCTGCGGATTTCCGCCTCAAGCGGGCCACTGCACTGAGCCTGCATGGGCTGCTGCAGGCCCAATTGCAACCCGACATTGACTGCGGTGCCGTGTAGCTTCCAAGTTTGCGCAGCCGACTGCGTCCCCTCAAAGTACTGCACCAACAGGACCAGGGCTTGCACTTTTCGAACATGTCAGACAGTTAATGTGCCTCTTCAGGTATCACAACTTACATGATTCAAGACTGGCACTTTTCGCAAGATCTTGTTGCAAGAGCACCAAGCCCCGAGACAGGAAAACATTGCCTCTATCGACCCGTTCGGTGATTGGGAGATGGTGGGTGCCGAAAACGCATGCGAGGGCCATGATCAGGTTCAAGATACAGAGTTGGGAGCGCTTGACATTCTGGAAGCCAGACATCCTCATGGAGGCTAGGCTCTTGAGAATGGTGGGTTTGTGTAAATAAGGAAAAAGCTGGCCGGTGCTGCCAAAGAATCTTTCCACCATATCGATGATCTCGTACTCGGGTGGCAGCGTGCAAGAGTTGTTGGAGCGGACATGCTGCCCACCTGTCTTGGGGAAAGGCGGGGAAGTCGGGCGGGAGATGAGATTTTGCTTCACAGTCGAATCTGTAGGGCTGGGATGACTCTCGTCCACTTCAGCGGCGGCAGCCATGATGAGGTTGAAGAGCGAGGAGTTTGAACTTGGACCTGCTTCTTCTTAGCTGAATGTCCGCAATGTTCGGTGAATAGAGCCTCTCACCAAAGTACCCCGACCCTTCTTCATCCCGAAACGATATTGCCGCCATGCCGTCCACGGCTTCGCCGGCACTACTGATGCAGTCCGTGTCACGCGCACTCCCCGGCCCTCTTTCCGCTGGTTGGATATCCTCGATACTGACTGGCGTGGTGATGTTGATAAAGGTACGAGAATGGTCATCCTCGGCCGGGGCAGCCGCGTAATTAGTATGTTCAGCAGAAGCGCCGCCCAGTGCCGCTTTGAGCATGGCCTCCATGGCCTGGAGACGGCCCTCCATGCGGGCAACCTGCTCGTCCTTGGCCGTCTGCGGCACTGGCCTCGCCGGCGTCCGGTAGTGGCACACGAGTCCCATCGAGGTGCATATATCGCACGAAGGCCTGGCGCCGTCGCACCGTGATTTTCGCACGCGGCACGAATCGCACGCGTGGGCGGTGCGGCTCCTTTTGGTAGCAGTGGCAGTTTGGCCGCCTGGCTCAGAGGAATTGTTGCGTTTGGACATGGCTTGCGAATTGGGGGGGATTGTGGCAAGAGTTGCAAACAGCAGCGAGACGACTGGCTAAAGGGGCGGGCGCGGATTCAAATGGGAGTTTAATAGCGCACGAGACTCGCGCTAGAAGCGATACCTATGGTTTCATAGACTGCGATACCCCGCATGTGCCAGGAGGATGGCTCGGTTTGAGCGTGTGCTGAGCGAGCGAATGCGAGCGAGCGAGCTTGTCTGGGCGCTTGGAGCTACGGGAGCATGCCTCACCATCTCAGAACAGTTGCGTCCAGCACAGACCATGAAGCTTCTATCACCTCGAAGTCTCGTACAGTTTGAGATTAATATGGCTTGGACTCTCTTCAGAGCTTGGTGTTTCCTCGGCCTCTTCACCAGGGCTTTTGCGGGGCCCCACAGAGTGAGGCTTGATGATAGCGAACGTGGCGCTCGGCCGAGGGGAGATATGTATATACGAACAAGGGAGATAGGCACGCCGAACTACCCCCGGCTAGGCCCCTGATCTGTGCCTTCCGCAAGCCTCCGTCACTGATAGTCCGGTGTCCCCGGACACATCTGAAGCAGACGGAAGCGTTGGGATCTACAATGCAGCGGAAGGAGCCTACTCGGATAGTACGCCCTGACATCCGCGTTCCGTGAGCACTGTACCGCTTCAGTCATGTGTATTCATGAAGTGAATTCTGGGGACAGCTACGACAACGCCGTGCATGTACCGGCTAAGTCTTTCAACCTTCCCCCGAGAGCCTGAGTTCTATAGTATAATTAGTCTTCCTCGTTCATCTAACTCTGTTCAACACACATTCCAAACTTCGAACATCACCAACCAGCATGGCATCCACCTCAATAAACCCACCACAAGTAGTCGACCTCAAATGGCGCCAAGGCGTCGACCCAGCCTCAGGCGGCCGCCCCCCAATCGTGCCCAACCGCCACGAAATCGCCGACGGCATGGACATCACCTGGGACGTCCCCGTGCCGGTCCGCGACGGCACCATCCTCTACGCCGACGTCTTCCGGCCCGAGAACTTCCAAGCGCCTTTGCCGATCATCCTGACCATCAGCCCGTACGGCAAGCACGGGCCGAAGACGTTCGCCCTCTTCCCCGGCTCCGGCGTGCCCGAGGGCTCCGTCTCGCCGTACTGCGTCTGGGAGGGGCCCGACCCCCTCTACTGGACCGCTCGCGGCTACGCCGTCATCAACGCCGACTCGCGCGGCTCGTGGGGCTCGGGCGGCGACCTGGAGATCTTCAGCCGGCAGGAAGCGCAGGACGGCTACGACGTCGTCGAGTGGGCGGGTACACGCGACTGGTCGAACGGGAAGGTGGCGACGATGGGCGTGTCGTACCTGGCCATCGTGCAGTGGGGCATCGCCGAGCTGAACCCGCCGCACCTGGCGTGCTTCGTGCCGTGGGAGGGCTTCACGGATCTGTATCGCGACTACTGCTACCACGGGGGCATACCGGAGACGAAGTTCCTGCACTTCACGGCGTGGTCGTGCCGCGCGGGCTTCAACAAGGTCGAGGACTGGATCCAGAATATCAGGGACCACCCGCTGTGCGACGCCTACCACAAGTCCAAGTGCTCGCAGGACCTGGCCAAGATCCGCGCGCCCGCATACGTCGTCATCGACTGGGGCGACCACGGCATGCACACGCGCGGCTGCCTGAACGGCTTCGTCGGCATCTCCTCCACAGACAAGTTCCTCGAGGTGCACGGCCAGAAGAAGTGGCAGTACTTCTTCCAGGACTCCAGCCTCAAGCGCCAGGAGGCCTTCCTGGCAAAGTACCTCAAGGGCGAGGCCACCGAGGTCGACAGCTGGCCCCGCGTGCGCCTCGAGATCCGCGACCGCGCGTGGCAGGGCTCGGCCTGGCGCGACGAGCACGAGTGGCCGCTCGCACGCACGCAGTACGTCCCCAAGTACCTCGACGCCGCGTCCGGCACGCTGCGCGACGCCCCTGTGCGCGACCCCGGCGTCGCGGCGTACGAGTCGACGGTCGTCGACGACAGCGCGCGGTTCACGTACACGTTTGACAAGGAGACAGAGCTGACTGGCGGCATGCGGCTGAGGTTGTGGGTTGCTACCGACAAAGCCAACGACATGGACTTGTTCGTCCAGCTCGACAAGATCGACGTGCAGGGCGAGCGGGCGCCGTTCGTCGCCTTCTCCATGGTCGACGACGGCCCGCTCGCGCTGGGCTGGCTGCGCGTCAGCCACCGCGAGCTGGACCTGCGCAAGAGCACCGTCGACAGGCCGTGGCACAAGCATGAGCGCGAGTTGCTGCTCGAGCCCATGGAGGTCGTTCCGGTCGATGTCGAGATCTTGCCTACGTCGACGGTCTTCCGGAAGGGGGAGAAGCTGAGGTTGAATGTTCAGGGGAATGATTCGTTCCGCCATTCAACGCCTGACGTTGTGCAGTTCCATGAGGATTTGCGGAATAAGGGGAAGCATTTCATTTACACTGGTGGGCTGCACGAGTCTTACCTAGTTTTCCCGGAGATCAATTCGTGAGAGCCGGGGCACTTGCTATATAGCGGGGTGGAGATCTTTAGGTGGAGAGACACTTAGTATGTTCTACATCTACGTGTCACTTGTACATTCAGAAATTGTCCCGCTCCTTACTGGATCTGATGATGATGATTACTACTACCGTTTCCGCTCACCTCTTATCAAGTGTGATGCTCTGATAATTCTCTAGTCGATAATTTGACAAGCTGTTGAACGGATTATTCTTGAATATATTGATTCGAGGGCATAATACATGAACGCCGCTCAAGTGCGTCAATTGCGAGTCATCAGGCTCGAGCGGCTATCCAGATCAGTCCGGCCTTCAATCAGACTTACTACTGCATCCTAAACCACAAAGATTTTATGCCTACCATCACTGGCCGAGGGCTTCATCGTCTTGCATCAGTCTGTTCAGAAAAAGCAGAATACAGGTTCGGTGGTAATTTAACTTTCACTAAGCAGAGCATGCCAGAGCTATAGCATGTGGTTGAGCCCGGGCCATGTTCTGTTTCCCCGATCCCTGCAATCTTTCCGGAGAGTCAAAGAACTACCCCCGATCCCTGTAGATAAACCCACATGGCGTTCCTAACTAGTAAAAGGCCTCAACTTTCTGCCGGAATGACCTTTTGCTTGAATCGCTAGCAGATGTGGGCGCTTTCCGAAGCATTTCGTGGTTGTGCGATCAGTCTGCAAAGCACCTTCATGCCAGAGCGATGAGATCTACATTCATCAAAATAATTTCTCGAGAGGAAAAAATCAATTGCGAATACTCTATTTGACACAGTCGAAAACAGCACGATGCGTTGCGTACAACTCAGTGATGGTCCGTGGTCTATGGAGGTTCCATGCTCTACCATCAAAAGGCACTTAAAAACGCGCGGCTCCTGCAGCCAGCATGGTAGGGTCCTTTTAATGCAGGTCAACACAGATACATCAACGACAAGAACAATGGACTAACCATATAAAGCTCGACCTTTTTCAGCAGAAGCCGGCCAGCCTCCTCCACGAACTGGAAATTGGCAGCCGTGTCCTGTTCATGGACGGAGCCGTTCCTGAACTTCACTTTGAAGCGCGTGATGCAAATGAGGTCTCGGCCATCCGGCTGCTGAAAGTAGACCGTCTTGACCCTATGCCTCAACCCCGGAAAAGCCGCCCAGAACTTGATCCGGTTCTGGGAAATCTCTTTCATCACGGCAAGGTCAGTTTTTCGTGGTGGATGCAGCAGCGTAGGGCTAGTTGTCGCACACCTTCGTGTCCCGTGCATGTGGACGTGGGGCCGCAGATGAACTCCCCGTCCGTCACGTACAGCTGCGCCCACTTCCGCGCCGCTTCCGGCGTCTCTGCGTCGAGGAGGCTGAAGAATTCAGCCACGAATCTTTCGATCGGCGGCGGGGCGTTTGGCGGCCAGATCGTTTCGGCGGTGGCGTGGCTCATTGTCGTGGGAGTGAAACGTGCTCCGAAATGCTCGAATGAGAAGTACATAGAGCTTGTGGTATGACAGCGTGAATGAAGAACGAGGTCTTGATATGCTTCCTCTCGATTTCTGCTTGGAATGCCGTCAAAAAATACTTGCACGTAATTTTCCGCAATTATTACACTGAATCCTTATTCGGGGGGAGAAGACTCTGAATCCCCGATTACAGCGGGATTCGTAGAGGCAGCGTTGCGAGTAAAGATTGAAGTGACTGGTCGGTCAGGGCGGCCGTACTAGGCTCCCCGTTGTTTGATTTGATTTCTTGCTTTTTTCGAAGTCTGTAACTAGAACGTGCGTATCCGTGTGGTCAATCCGGAACAGTCCATCCTTCATTCAGTCCGATTCGCACGGTTGCTTTGGAGTCTACGGCATACCCGGGACATTCACTATCAGATGAAGATGGCTTGTGATAGTGAAGAAGCCCCAAAAGGTCCCAGAGGAATAAAGACTACCTAAGGATTCGAAAGCATAAGAATTCTGCTGTGCCGCGGGGCTCTGTATAGCAATCCACCCACAACCTCACGATCTCCACCCTCCATTTCACAAAGATGCTTCATGAATACGACGTTGTCATCTGTGGCGCCGGCTCCGCAGGCCTCTGCGCTGCAGCATGGCTCTCACGGTGCGGCATATCCTTCCGACTGCTCGAGAAGAGATCCGGCCCCTTGAAGGTCGGCCAGGCCGACGGCGTGCAGTGCCGAACCGTTGAGATTTTCGAGAGCTTTGGACTTTCGGAAGACTTGATGAGAGAGGCATACCATGTGTTGGAAGTGTCCTTCTGGGAATCCGTCAGCGACGGTATCGCTCGCAAGAGGAGGACGGTCGATACTCCAAAAGGGCTGTCGCACATGCCGCACGTCATCTTGAACCAGGCTCGCGTGAACGAGCTCATGGTTGAGGATGTCAGGCGCTTTGGCGGTCCGGAGATTGAGTACGGGTACGAGGTCCAGAGTGTGCATGTCGACGATCAGCTGGCATCGGATCCGAATGCCCACTGTGTGTCTGTCTTTGCAGTAAAAGATGGAGTTCGGCAAGAGTTCAAAGCCAAGTATGTGCTGGTAAGTGTCTCATTTCTATTTCCAGGCGTATCTATTCACGAGCATATTCCCAACGAAAATACAGGGTTGCGATGGCGCGCACAGCGTCACTCGTAAATCTCTCCACATCAACATGGTCGGAAACAGCACCGATGCCGTCTGGGGTGTCATGGACGTGTATCCACGCACAAACTTCCCGGACATCCGCAAGAAGGTCATGATCCACTCGCACCTCGGCAATATCATCATCATTCCCCGCGAAGGTGGTTCGCTCACGCGTTTCTACGTCGAGCTCGCTGCTGGAACGCAGGCGAGTGAAGTCCAACTCGAAGACTTACAGCGCGCCACATCATCAATTCTTCAGCCGTACCAAATAGACTTCGTGGACACGGCTTGGTGGTCTGCCTACGCCATTGGACAGCGACTGGCCGACAATTTCACTTACAAGAATCGAGTATTCCTCACCGGCGATGCGTGCCACACGCACTCACCCAAAGCTGGCCAGGGGATGAACGTCAGCCTACAAGACGGCCACAACATCGGGTGGAAACTGGCCGCTGTTCTCAACGGAAATGCGAAGCCGACACTTCTCGAGACGTACGTCTCCGAGCGGCAGAAGGTTGCAGCGGAGCTCATTGCGTTTGACGAATCTTGGACAAAGCTTTTCAAAACGGGGAACGATGCGGTGACCGCTCAGGAGGTGAGCGAGCGGTTCATTCAGGCGGCGCGGTATACAGCTGGCCTGACTTCAAGGTACGATGACTCCGCTATCATTGATAACAAGAGAAGCGCGGTGGGATTGGGCAGAAACCTCAAGACAGGAATGCGCTTTCCGACGACCCAGGTCGTACGGTTTTGCGATGCAAAGCCAATGCAGCTCGCTCGAGTCCTTCCAGCAGATGGCAGGTGGAGGCTTGTTGTCTTTGGCGGTTGTATTTCGAATGAGGGCAAGTTTGAGGCTTTGCAAAAGGTGTGGTACTTCCTAATTTGAGAATCACTCGCTAACTGCGGTAGCTCGCTGATACTCTAGGTGGGTCTGATGGTATCGTGTCAAACCTGACCCCCAAAGGAGCCGATCTTGACAGTGTCATCGAGACCATCGTCGTCCTTTCCGGGAAGCGACACGACCTGGAGCAGGACGATATCCCCGAATACTTCCGGCCGACCACTGGAAAGATGCAAATTCAAGGCAAGCCGACCGCATCGCTTTCATGTGCACCTGCTTATCTCTACTAGATCTTCACAAGGTATACATTGATGATGAAGACACCAAGAATGTCCATGGCCATGCCTACAAGTTCTACGGTGTCGATACATCACATGGTACTATTGTCATTGTCCGCCCAGATCAATGTAAGCAGTCCCACTGACTTACGAAGCAATATCTGTGCTAACAGATTGACAGATGTTGCCGCTATTTATGCACTTTGGGACTTTCAATCACTTCGGAAGTTCTTCAACGGCTTCATGCTGCCGAATAAACTGACTTTTGTTCCTCAAATTGGACAAGAACGCTCGAACAGGCATGCGTTGCTCTGAGGAGTTTACCCTCATTTTGCCTGGTGGTCACAAGCTACCGTCGGGCTACCTCAGCTATCGATTTAAGTGTAGATAGCCAATTTCATTAATTGCTCACGTGATGTGCCTAACTCCTGCGCCGCAGGAGGAGGGGTCGCTGAAAACCAATCAACCCCGACCCAGCACATTCTAAGAAATTACCGCGTGATAAGTTAGTCAAGCCCGAGGTATTCCCATCAACTAGATTTAGAACACCGATTCGACCTTGTAATGTCCACGGGCAAAGATGATGACGGCGGATACGCGACCGTTGCAATTTGCCGCGCGTCTTTATCCAACCATTCGCCGTCACCGTTTTGTTTATAATAGGCATAGGTTTTGGATTATCTAATGCTTATCGAATACTTACTAGGGCTGTGCCGCCCTCTGTATGCATACCCTGGTCTTTATATTGCTGCTGCCTAACGAAGCTGGATTGAAATTTCTAACGTCGGACCGTCTCTTCCTTCAAGCACAGCATCTTCTAGTCCGACCCGAATGAATCCAGGAAAGAAGGCAAGTACGCTTCTTAAGACATTTGCGATACCTATCGTGTTATGTTGCTTTGAGCGATTGTCGTGCATCTTTATCTAATACCTGTGAGTGCAGCCTTCGGAAATGAACCAACTCTGCTCAGTCTGTCGGACAGTAGACTTTGGGAACCTTTTTCGATTTCCCAAATGTGTGGGAGACAAGGAAACCATCGCCAATCTCCCATATCAATGGAATAGAAAGGATGTTTCTTCGAATTCTTCCTGTCCATTTTGTCGAACCCTGGCCCGCAACATCGAGCTGCACGAAAAGGAGGTTTCATCTAGACCGAAGGTTAAGAGCGCCCCTCTCCCGCTACCTGTCCGCTTCATATTCTCAAGCCAAATGCAGAATCAAAAGGCCATGCTTCAGGGTGATTCAGTCATTCGAGTCTCGCAGAAAGCCTACATCCAAGTTGGCCGGGAACACGCCTCCTCCAGGCCTACCCGCTTGAATCTCGGATTTGATGGCTCAGAATGGACAGACTGGAGTTCCAAGTATTCAGTATACAATTGTGCTCAGAAAGTCACATACAAGGGCGAACTTGGGATGGTTGGGGGTAGGGTCATCAATCCGCAAAACTTAGATGTGGATCTGGCGAGATCATGGATTAAAACTTGTGTCAACGAACATTCGAGCTGTCGTGGGGAAAAGCAGACGTCGATGCGGAGCGTCAGGATCCGCCTTATCGATACAGCACGCAGCTGCATCATTGATGCACCGGACGATTGCGAATACGCTGCTCTCAGTTATGTGTGGGGTGAAACGGCAAAGCACAAACTGAAACTGCAAGGTTTCAACTCTGGACTTTTGCAAAGAGAAGGCTTCCTGGCTGAAAACTCACATCTGCTCTCACGGACCGTTTCTGACGCTATCTTTCTTTGCCGGAAATTGGATATTCGTTATCTCTGGGTCGACAGTCTCTGCATCATCCAGGATTGTGTCGATGATAGAAAATGTCAGATTGGAGCGATGGGGGACATATACAAAAACGCCATGGTGACAATTGTCGGGGCGGCTGGAAACGATGCAGATGCAGGTCTGCCTCGGATCACGAAGGAGTCGCATGCCACAACTATCTGCGAAAGCGGGGCATTGAGCGAAGAAGTTAATGGGATACGCATGATAGTTGCACGAGATGACATGGATCCATTATTCGATTCATGCTGGAACGAAAGAGGCTGGACCTTCCAAGAGAGGATTCTTTCGCGAAGACTTTTGATTTTCACCCCCGGCCTGATGCTCTTCTGCTGCAGCGAGGTTGTCTGGAGAGAAGATATCGCCACCGAATCACTACCAACCAATGATATCCTATCTCTACCGTATTGTAAGGAGAACCAGCTGAAAAGAAAGTTGGCTCCTTCAAGCGGGAACGACTGTCTTGCGAACTATTTCGCTTTGTTACGTCAATACACACCGCGCAAGCTTTCAGACGAGAAAGACCGCATCGACGCTTTTTCCGGGGTGCTCTCCGAGTTCAGCCCTGGGATGGGCAATCACATCTGGGGAATTCCGGAAGGGCTATTCTGGGCCACGCTGTCGTGGTCAACAAGCCGGCCAGGTGGTTACAATCAGCCAATGGAACGAAACAATATACGCGATGAGCACGGCAATATCATTGAGCTCTTTCCGAGCTGGACGTGGGCTGCCTGGAAATTTCCATCTCAAGGAATCAAAATCGAACCGAAGTACCACAGGCCATCTCGTGAGGAGCCCAAGGATTCCATCAGTAAAAGTCTCCAGGTCTTTGTTCTGGATGGAGACAAAAGTTTTAGAGCCCTGTGGAAGCCTAAATGGAAGCTTAACGAGTATTGGGACCATCCGCTCCAGGAGCATACACCGATCGATGCGGTGGATGTGATAACTGCTCGGTATGGCCACCATGAGACTTCTACGCTGGAACGTCTGCTCTTCTTCTGGACTCGATGTGTTTTGCTTCACGTTGACCGCCATATAACGGATGGATGGCAAGGGTACAGAATTGGTAATTACCGCCTTCATTTTCTTGTTTTATCTGAGGAAAGGCGGCAGGAATTGCCCGATGAAATTGAGTTTGTGCAGCTGGGTGATGGTTTATGGGCACCGGTATATTCCATAGATGGCATATCGTACCGGCTGGAACCGACGGTGTGTACAATCCTTGAGGATGACATCCCATCGTATGTAAGACTGGTGGCTCTAGGATGAATAGTCTCACTTACCGGCTCCGCATGCCACTCGTTACGGTGCATCTAATGTAACTGATCTTCATCATCTATTGCAACAATATTCTATTGGTTTGAAATAGGGTGATGTGTTTTCCTAGCTGGGTGGTACACATCTATATGGCATGCTCATTTGTAGGATACGTTATGTCCCAATTCAAAATAAGAAACTGGACAGTCTCCTAACGACACAAATACGGAAAGGTGGCGTTACTCTTCGCCCCTATTGGGAAACGGCTCCCACTGAGACGGAAACCCAGCACCGCGAACCCACCGATTGAAATACGTCTCTCCCGGCACCGTATCCACTGCCATATGCGCAATCTTGAGGTACATGTCTCCCCTGACCGGGAACCGCGCATCATCAACGCCCTCATAGGGCTTACAAAACCGCTCCCCCGCCGCCAGCGCTCTGACCAACTTCGTAAGATGCGAATCATCATCGAAGTCGTTCACCCGCTTGAAAATATCCATCCACCTACCCGGCACCTTCGGCACATACCCCACAATCTCGTCCACATCCAGCGACGGCGCCCCCCTATTCGCGTACGCGATGACATCGCACCGCCCCTTCCACTCCAGCAGCCTCGCCTTCTCGCTCCTACCCAACCACGGCAGCGCCAGCATCGCGCTCATGAAAATCGAGCAGTTCACATTATGCATGAAGAAGAAATCCAGCTTCACCTTCTTCGGCGGCCGCTGCGCCGCGGCCGTGAAGTACGCGCAGACCGACACCATCTCCGCCGTCTTGGCCTCCAAGTCGTCCGGGTCGACTTGCCACGCGCCGGCGATGGCGGCGAGTTCGGCGGGCGCGGCGAGCAGCGGGGAGTCCGGGATGGTGCCGCCGTTGCCCCAGCATGGGTGCTGGCCGATGCCGCTGCGGCGGACCTCGTGGATGAGGTCGGTCATTGGGCGGGGGGTGGCTGTCTTGGAGGCTTCGTCCGCGGCGAGGAGGACGGACGCGACTTCGTTTTGGTGGACGGCGGTTTGCGCGAGGCCTTCGACGGTGATGGCGGGTTGGTCGAATTCGAGGCCGAAGCCGAGGTGAATGAGGGGGTGGAGGAAGCCTGGGTGGGTGTGCGTGTTAGAGGATCATTGTTTTGTAGTTTGGATGTGTTGAGACTTACTTGCGTAGAGTCTGGGGAGCATTTCTTTTGCGATGGGGGTGTCGGAGAAGAGATATTCGCGCACGACGGGGCCGACGCCCTTCTTGTCGACTTCGGCTTCGAAGAAGAGGACGTAGTCGTGGAAGAACTCGGGCTTGCTCATGCATTCGAGGAAGGTGGTTGCGTCGGATAGGTCTTTCGGAATGCGGTCGGCTTGTGGCTGCCGCGGGACTTGCATCGTGACCTGACTGTCGTTCATTCGCTGCAGTTCTTCGGCTGTCGCGCCCAGAGCATATGCCGACAAGAGGTAGTGCGCCGTGTGGTTGTGGAATCCACGGTCATTGAAGAAGATGTGGAATTTGTCATGATTGGCCTGTAGGAGCTCGTTTGCCTTGTGGGTGGCTTCGTCGTCAAGTTTGGGGACGTGGTAGAATCCAGCATTCCGGGCTGAAAGTTTGACAATAGAAGAACGTGGCATGGTGTGTCAATTTTTGGGTCAATCACAAGCTGTGAAATGATTGAACGAATGTATGGTGCAATAGGCTGAATTATACTATTCAAACAAAGATTGGCGCAATGGAGCAATGAGAGCCTCACGAGACCGAATTACAAACCATGTACGTGTGCCATCGGAGCTCCGGGGGCCATCTCATCGAACTCGCGTCACTTTCACGAGATGGTCGTAAACCCGCAAGTGAGTGGGACGAAAATACGTCTGGAGGGGTGTCGTGCGGTAACAGAATGGAGATGTGACAGGGGTCGGGGGTAGCGGAACAACATCCACAGATTCCCCTGCATAGGGCCGGAAGAGCCCCGACGCCACGGTATGGGGAATGAGGTCTAATTTGCCGTCCGAACATCATGTAAAATATGGTCCGGTCGGAAGTGGACCACTCCGGAACGCGCCTGTGACGAAGTGTCTCGGAGGAGGCGGGCAAGTTAAGGTCACCAGAAGCGATCCGGCACGAGAGATTGCGGGCCGTATCTCCTAACAAGTCCAACCACCCTAGTCCTTCCTGGAAGTTTCTTAACCCGTACCGAATGCAAGACACCTGGTTGGTCACGCCGAGTTGCTTGGAGAGCAATGATGCATCTTTCACGCGAGGGGCACTATCACCATGTACACCAAACAACAGGTTTACATGTCACAGCTACCTGGAATGTCAGAGTGATGATCTTGGAGTCTCCTCTCTCTTCTTTGCTTGAAGAAGGTGATTTAATTAATTAACCAGCTTGACTTCGAAGCAAATGCCCAACCATCAGGGGGAAAATGAGCATCTGTTCCAGTACGTACTAAGATTCGTCTGGGACTAAAACACTTCTGAACCTGACCTTCCCACTGCTCATGTGCTCCAAAGCCTGATTCGCCCTGCTCAAAGGAAATTTCTCAACCATACAACTGACATCATGCTTCTGGGCAAACTCGACGGCAGCTTTGCAGTCTTTGGCATTGCCGGAAGGCCAAGCAACGATACTCAGTCCCTTTGAGATCATCATCGTTGTATCAAGGCAGCCAGGTCCAGTCGCTGCGACAATAAGGAGCTTCCCCAAGGGATCCAGGCCCTTCAGCAACAGTGGGATCAACTCCGGGTTCGGCGCTGTGAGCATGATGCAGGCGGCTCCACCCAATTTCTGCAGCTGGTCTGCAACGTCACCCTCTGATCCGTCGACGTAGTCATGAGCGCCCAGCTTCATGGCCAATTCCCTTTTTGCGCTGCTGGACGAGATAACAATGACTCGATAGCCCATCTTCCTGGCGTACTGAACTGCCAGATGGCCCAATCCTCCGAGACCCTGGACCGCAACTGTCTCTCCAGGTTCGATCCTGGCGTGCTTCAGTGAAGAAAACGTCGTTACGCCTGCGCACAGAAGCGGTGCGAGTTGAGCGGGATCTACGTCTCGCGGTACGTGAGCAATCGCGTCGCTGCGCACATTGACGTACTCTGCATAGCCGCCATCTCGGCTGCAGCCATTGATTTCTCCATTAGCGCACATCTGGTTCAGCCCCTTCTTGCAGGCCTGGCACGTGCCTGTAGAATATCAGCATTGTTGCGGGATATTTACCAACAAGGACATACCGTCGGAGCCGCCGAACCAAGCCGCGCCAACGCGATCGCCGACTTTCCACGTTTTTTCGTCATCCGGGACTCGAACAATGTCCCCGATGATCTCATGGCCAGGGATGCAAGGAAACTTGTTTCTGAAAGCTCCGGATCCGATGAGCTCATCGGTGTGACAAACGCCACAGGCGAGAACTTTGAGAAGAACCTTCACTTGGCTTGAGTAACCTGCCCCTTCGTCTTCTCAGCTTGTTACTCACCTCTCCACTACTCGGAAGCCTCAGAGCAACCGATTTCACTGTCAATGGCACGCGAGGTGCATCAAACTGGGCGACCGTATACCTTTTCGGTAATTCTTGCATGGTTACACAATGAAAGATGAGAGAATGATGGTCAGACGAAGCAGAGAGGGTGAATTCTGAAAAGCCTTTTTCAGCACAATGGACAGCCCCTTTCCCTGATATTCGCATTTCAGCGAAAGTCTATAATCACTAGACGCGGGGTTGGAGCCCTGCGCATACCCGTAGGTTTCTGGTAGACTTTTCGGACTTCGGTCTTTCCTTGAAAAACCCCTATGCCTGCGGATTCGTGTGACCCACTATGTGGGGTTCGCTGAGACGGAACGGCAAATGATGTCCCCTTCCCCGAATCGCTAGAAACGGAAACTTAGTGTTGTTCTCTCCTTATCGGGGGATCTTCCTTGGTTACCCCCGGGTCGGTGGAGAGCATCTGGCAACGACGACTGCGTCACAGTAGTTGAATAGAACCAATCGAGAATGATGTCTGCCACTTGAAACTTGAAGAGCGAAAGTCTTTCCTTTTTGCTCGCATCTTACATGTGCACTGCCGGCCCCTTCCGCACCTGTGGAGGTGGCTTATGCGGGGTGCACGGTCGGGACTGCTGCCGGGTACTCCAAACGTGGAGAGGCCTACCTCTGTCGGTATTACGTGAGATAATTGTATGGGAGTCAAGGGTATAAGACAGACTTGCTAGAAAGCTCTGAATCGAAGTCATATCCATTTTTCTGAAAGTACCCAGGTTTATCTGTCAGTCCACAGAGATGTTGCCATATCTGAGTGGTCTCGTCTCCTGCCTTGTCTTGGTCATCTACCTCCTGGGCAGGTACTACGTCGCCGCACGAAGACCCAAAAATTTCCCCCCAGGCCCTCCTACCCTGCCGTTTATTGGAAACTTGCATCAGATCCCAGCTTCGAGAGCATACTTGAGGTGATGGCTTTTCTTGTGCAATTCGCGGTATATGGCTGACTCTGAGAATAGATGGGAAGAATGGAGGAAGGAGTACGGCTCGATCATCGGCTTAAAGCTGGGTTCACAAAATGCAATTGTGTTGAACAGTTACAAAGCCGTCGCTGAGTAACGGAAACTCCCCCACAAAAGCGAGCCCAATGCTAACACTGCCAGACTTTTCGACAAGAGAGGCGGCATATACTCAAGCCGTCCGCAAAGCTACGTCACCGACGCCCTCGTCGGCTTCAAGGACGTCCACATTCTCCTCCTGCCATACGGCAACACCTGGAGACACCAGCGCAAGCTCCTCCAAGGCTTCCTCAACGTCAACGCGATCGGCGCCGTCCTGCCCATCCAGACCGCAGAAGCCAGCCACTCCCTGTACCAGCTCCTGAAAGAGTCGCACGGATGGTACGACCACATCCGCCGGTACTCGACGGCCGTCATCCTCGCCTCCGTCTACGGGCAGCGTGGGAAGCGGTTCGACTCGCCGAGGGTGCAAGCGCTGTACGAGGTGCAGGACCGCTGGAACGAGATGATCGAGCCCGCGACGGCCCCGCCGGTCGAGGATTTCCCGATCTTGAAGTACCTCCCCGAGTTCATTTGTACCTGGAAGCGCAAGGTTCGTGCGATCCGGCACGGCCAGAAGTCGCTGTATTTCGCGCTTCTGGAGGAGACGCGGCAGAAGGTCCGCGAGGGAAAGACGGACTGCTTCATGGCTAAGCTGCTTGCGAAGCAAGAGGAGATTCAGATGGATGATGAGCATCTGGCCCATCTCTGTGGCATATTTGTAGGTCTACCTCCGTGGTCGGCGCGGGAGAAGGCTAACAGACGCAGATGGAAGCCGGGTCCGATACGACTGCATCCGTCCTGCTTACGTTTATTCTCGCAATGGCGAGTCACCCAGAGGTTCTGAAAAAGGCGCAGGAAGAGCTCGACAGCGTCTGCTGTCCGGACAGGAGTCCCAACTGGGACGACTGCAAACAGTTGACTTACATGCCTGCTATCATCAACGAGGTGAGTCTCTCTTGTGTGCTTGAACGCCAACGGTATGTTAACACGCTCGGAGGTCTTACGGTGGCGGCCGATATCTCCATCAGGTGTTCCGCATGTCCTCACTCAAGACGACATGTACGAAGGACATCTGATTCCGAAGGGAACAGTCGTCTTCGAGAACATTTGGGCAATCTCACGAGACGAGTCCGAGTACAAGGATCCGGATAGGTTCTTCCCGGAGCGTTTCCTCGGCAACAGGTTCGGCACGCAGGTGGCGGATGACGGAAACGATGACTTGCGAAAGCCGTCGTATGCATTTGGAGGTGGTCGACGCGTCTGCCCGGGCCAGTATCTGGCTCAGAATTCTCTCGTACGTGTAGCCAAATCTTGCGCTGATGATAGAAACTGAGGTTTATCTAGTTGGTGAACATGGCCAAGATCGCATGGGCTTTCGATGTCGTACCTGAGAAGCAACCGGTCGATGTTGACATTCGTACCGCTTTCACCGAAGGCATGGTGACGACACCTTTGAGCTTCTCTGTCGACTTCAAAGCTCGCTCTCCTGCACATGCAGCAATTGTAGAGAAGGAATTTAGGGCTGCAGATTCGTTCCTGGCCAAGTTGGAGGACTGAGACCGGGGTCGACTTCGAATTGTCATCCGTAGCTTCTATCCACCAGCCCTTGTATCCTGTGTTCTTTCATTAGTTTGCAACCTTCAATTTAGTCTCCCGTCAGTCTTGTTCTACATGTGCAAGTGCTATCGAAATGGTGTCCTCCGACAAATTGTTTCCAGTCTTCTTCAAGTCTGCAGCGATGAAATGAAAACATGTCGATGTAGTTAAATCTCAAACCAGTGCACAGCTACAGATTCTGCACTGTTGCCGTCTTATATTGTCTCTAGAAACGTCAAACTGGGAAGTGCATTCTGTGGAAGAGCCGTCTCATGCTTTGAATTTCCAAAATCTTTACAATGCGGATCAATTCTAAGAACTTTTTCCGAGATCCTCCTCGAATAAGAGAATATTCAAGCACTTCCCAAGATCCCACCAAGCATTTCATTGAAAGAGAAGTTGATTGGATACTGACCAACTGCAGGACAAGATGTCTCGGACTATTTCAGACTGACACTACGGAATAATCATGACAACCTTGCCCTTGGCCTTGTTATCCTCCATATACGCGTGCGCCGCGCCAGCCTCGCGCAACTCGAAAGTTCGGTCAATGATGTGCTCCTTCGGCCACTTCCCGCTCTCGACGTTCCTGATAGCCTCAGCGAGCACGGGCTCCACGAGGTCCAACTCGTCATCCTCCGTCCCCGGACCAGCGTTAGTCATAGCGTGCTTAGTCAAGCAGCGGGTAGCCGGGATCTTCATGGGATTGAAGCCGGTCGCCTCCCACTCGAGGTTCAGGATGCCCGTGACGACCAGGGTGCCGTACCTAGCCAGCAATCCCATGCTCCGCTGAATCTGATCGGGCCCGACAAGCTCGAGCACGATGTCCACGCCCCGCGGAAAGCGGCCCAGCACCTCCTTCTCGATGTCCTCCTCCAGCACCGCGTAGTCCGCCCCCACGTCCTTCAGATGCGCCAGCTTGTGCTCCTGCCTCGTCGTCGCCACCACCGTCGCCCCGCGCTCCTTCGCCAGCAGAATCGCAAATATCCCCACACTCGACGTCGCCCCGTGCACCAAGACCATCGCGCCAGCCCCCCTCTCCCTCAGCCTCCCCGCCAACATCACCGACCCATACGCCGTCCACAACCCCATCGGCATCGCCCCCAGCACCTCCCACCCCAGCCTCGTCTCCGCCGGCAGCCGAAAGCACCGCCGCCTATGCACAACCGTGTACTGCGCATACGCCCCATCATACGCCTTCCCGCCCCCATAAATAAACCCCGCCACCTTCTCGCCCGGCTCGAAACCAGTCGTCGCGCCTGCTTCGGCCACCTCGCCGACGAACTCCTCGCCGAGGATGGCGGGCGGGTCGGCGTGGTATTCGGACTGGAAGATGTTGAATTCGGGCGGGAAGGGCGTGTGGCCTGCGCGGCTGCGTAGCTCGGCGCGGTTGAGGCCGGCGGCGTGGACGCGGACGAGGATCCAGTCTGGGGAGGGGAGGGAGGGGCGCGGGTAGGTGGTGGAGTAGGTGAAGCAGGTGGTGGGCGGGTGTTGGGCGCCCGGGGAGGTGAGGACACAGGCGGTCATGGTGCCGTTGGGGGTGGAGGTCCAGGATGGCATGGTGGGTGGGTGGTTGGTTGTTGGTGGGTTGAGGGTAGAGGATGATGATGAGTGTCAGGTTTAGAGATGTTGTTCTCAGCAATTTAATTTTCTGTGCTATTTGTAGACATCATCCTGCTCGAGATCCCAGAGATGGTATTAGTAAACGTGCGATCTGGTTCATGGTCTGCCAAAGTATCTCGGAGGCCGTGGGAATGCCGATGCGCGGACGGCAGACAAGGATGCAGCTTCAAGCAACTGCCGATGGAAATCCAACTGCCGAGGAACTTCTCCTGCCCTTGCTATTCCATTGTCTACCATGTCTCTCCCGCCGGCTGCCGGGGACACCTCTTCCGGGATCCGGAAACGTAGTGCGGAGATGGAGGACCGGATGGAACCCCGAGATACACCCGTCCTGCGTTTTCACATCTCGCGGCCATCACGGAAGTCTTGTGTACACAGATAGGGGCCGGTCGGAGCAGATCGGGGGCTACGTATAGTACAACCTAGCAGACAGCCGGCGGGGAGCAAGTCTGAACGCGGAAGTGTCAAGTGAAAGCTGCATAGGTGGTAGCAATCGTGACAGAAATTTAAAAGAGTTATGGTGTGGACAGTGACGGTTGTCATCACGGCTAAGATAAGATTGAGAGAAAACTCGATGGATGTATTGCACTTAGCAGATCGTGATATCAACAGGAGGATGCAGTCCAATCTGACAGAACCGCAGACAGCCAGCACAGACTCGGCTTCCATCGTCGAGGAATCGCTCGCAGTTGTCTTCCCAGCAGCATAAATGATACGACATCCCCCACAAGAAGCATTCTGAAATCAGCTTGTACGCATGCTCGTGTTTCCTCAGCACAAATAGGATATCCGCACCATGTAGCTGCCACACCTCATCTCCTATTTCAGGTTGACTTTCACTGAACCCAGCCGAGTTCTTGGTACGGAAAGACGGTCTGTCGGACATTTTGGCCCATTGATCCCAGTAGTTTAGGCTGAGAGAACAATCTGTGCCTGCTTCGAGTGAAGGCGGCGTAACCATTGGGACTTCGTTCGAGGAGCTCGCTATATTGTCGCTGAGAGAGCTTTTATTGATGGATATGACCTTAGCAAGGAAATGGCCTTTGAGTTGGAGCTCCCCGGTGTTGCAGTTGCATTGAAAGCTTGGCGCCAGATCTCCGAATAGCAAAGTGTGGTGGAATCGTGGCTGGTAGTCCGTGAGGTGAGCGCCATCCCAAAGGGAACGATTTCGCAGATCTGATCGAAGAGACCTTCGGGAGGGCTTGGTCCAGTCAGTTACCCATGAAGCTATTTGGAAACTTGAGGTCCCGTCGTGCCTGGTCGAGAGTACCTCCAATGTGTTCGTCGTGCGGATGATGTACCACGCTGTCTCCGTGAAGACCAGTTCTGTGGTCTTTGCGTAGTCGGCAACCAGGCCGTGCTCCGCGGCATTGATGACAATACCGAATAATGCAAAAACCTTATCTCTCGGATCTCCGGAACAAGTGCTGCGAGTGAGTAGCAGCAGACTGTGTAAATCTTTGTGCGATACTAGTTTCTGCATCTGGAGATTTAAGGCGCCGGGCAGGCCAGCTTTTGCCTTAACATTTGATGATAGCTTTTGGTGCCACTCAAGGATCTTGGATCTGAATAATTCCCACGGAATTGATCTTCTGTACGGGGAGGTGTATCCCCATGTTCTGTAGAAATAGGAGATCTTCTGGGCTGAGGGTCCCCACGAGGTGTCGTCGGTGATGAGAATCTGTTCGGCGGCGTCTCTGGCGGCCTTTTTGAACACTCGTATTCTTTCCGCCTCATCGTTCGCATCTATTATGAAGCTCTTTTCTTCCAGAACTGATCTTGGGACATTTCCCGCCAAAGTGAGTACACTGACCCTTTTAGCCCTTGCCACTTCCTGAAGGGCCCAGACGCGACTGAACCAGCGAAGTTGCAGGATGTTGAGGAAATCCTTGTCTTTGAGATGCCTATCATCACCCAAACGATAGTCTGGGAAGATGAGCTCTGGGGCCGCAAAAATAAAAACTTCTTCTGCCTTCTCGTAAATCTCCGGCATCAGCTGTACCTGCCAGCTCTTCTCGTAGTTGTCGCTCTGATTGATACAGAGCTGATCCATCCAAATTGTCCGGACTCGGTCAGTAAGACGGACACAACGAAGTAAAGAAGCACCATTTCTGGTCACCCAGCTTTCAGTACCGTCACACGTGACGGACTCGGAGTATTCTCCATTCCCAGTCTCATCAGCCCATGTGTAGGATACGGCCTCAAAGATCGCATTTGGCAGCGCAGTTTTAATCCTTGTACAGGAGATAGGGTCAGCTGAATGTCCCGGCGCTATTTGAAGTAGACGGATCTCCTTGGGTTTGAGTCGCAGAGCACTTTTCTCTCTGGGAGGGAGAATTGGGGTGAACCATTCGTCTTCGAAAATTTGCTCCTCTTTCTCCCAGTCTACTTCTGCTTGCTCTTCCTCCTCTCCGAAACTTTCTCGTGTTTCTGTCCCCAGACCATAACCATCCGCTTTAGGCAAGGGTGTAACTCCTGGAGTAGTCACAGATGTCTCTGCCGTAAGGGAGTCATCACTCTCCATGCCCACTGGTCGACCACAGCCGATGCAATATTGCGAATCCTCAACGCGGCAAGTATCCGGCTTTCTGCAAGTGCACAGTTTGATTTGAAGTTGTGAAGAGATGTCCCCGCGGGATGCATATCGTCGTCGGGATGCCCGGGTAGTATGATCGGAAATTTTTGGCTTCTTGACCTTGTGAACTCCTCGCCGATTCGTTGCACGAACGTCGGAGCGGGGAGAATTTTCGGCGAGGCTATTTCGAGGCATGTTTGTCGGCTGCTTTGTCGGCTGGTAAGAAAATGGTGAAAAAGTTACAGATGGGGAAGGCTAGGACAGCGCTGGCTTGCCAGCTCTTATATCCTAAGGGAGATGGCAGGAGCCCGGCAACTAACCCATCGTGACGAGGGTAGGTTGCTTACAGCACTAGGCACCGCCATGTGTAACGGCTATGGCCAACATGCATGGTGTACAGCCCCCTCTTTCATGCAGGCGCTGGCTGGTTGACTGATGACTGGCAGTAGCCCCAGCTGACAACCCTGGCTCGGCTGGAAGCCGGCGTCGCTGAGGGCACGGGTTCAATTCCCAGTATCGTCATCAGTTTCTCTCACAGTGGAGCGGCCTAAGATCACGCGAATAGAACGCACGAACTTTGCAGAAGTATACATAGGTTTTGGTGTAACGGTGGAATCCCTCTTCTAAGCCTCGGAGTCGCTCAGTAGGTCGAGTGAGCCGTAGGATTTACCCTAGGGACAGGAGAGCCAAGGCCATGGGTTGATTGGACAAGGAGGTATCACGTGATTGTGCCATGTGTTGTGAGCCGGGTATTATCGATCGGGATGTAATTGATGTGAGTTACCCACGAGCGTCGGAAGTTTAGCTAAGGACTTCGGCTATATTATAGGAAAGTAGATTGCAATCTGGAGTTTATGAGTTCACAGCACCCAGTCTTTAAACAGCCAAACTTGCGAGGTTATCAAGTTCGGAACGCCGAGTTTTTAAACTTCGAGAATTTTAGTTACTGTAGTATATTCACTAATATGAAAGTAGATAAGGATTTTCTTCATTGTTAAGTCAGACAAACCCAAGCGCCCATAAAACCCTCCAACGCCGCGGCTATTCAGAATAGAATTCTGCATCCAACGCCTCTAATAAAGCTCGTCAATTTCAAGATTAAGTCGTCCCTGTTTTCCTTCTCTTCGTGACTTACTCGCTCTCTAATTCTTCTCTGTCTCGTATCTGCTGGGGTACAGCAGCATTTCGTCCATCAACATGCTGCCCTGAACCGTCATAGAACGTATGTTTGATCGCGTTGACATCACGAGATATGAATATCGGAAGCTCGTTTGGTTGTTGCTGCCCTTGTCGGCTTTTCTCATTGAGTATCACCCTGATGGATTTGTCTCCCGGGGCTGGCGCGAGGATAGTCGCGGCAACTTCTTCCCCCCTCTGCCCTTGCGGCAGTCGAATGATGTTTATAACCTCGTCTGTGCGCTTCGACTGCAGGTCAGTCCTGGTGATGCTAACCTCTTCGCCGCCCTGAGCAAGAATGAGCTGCGCCGGCGTTCCGTCAGGCAGGGTGATGATTTGGCTCTGTTGTAAAGGGCGGCCAGGAGTCAAGTGTAACGCGGAATCTCCTTGCCTGAGACTGAGAAGTGACCCAGTGGCTGACTGATCCCGTTGCCAACCTAATTGTGGACTGGTGGCCAGTTCGGTGAAATTTGAGCCACCTGGAGCCAAAATCTCACCTGGAATTGGGAGGATGGTTAGGGGCTTGCTGATGGGAATCGGCGGTTTACCATCGGCTTTCTCTGACCTCTCTTCGACAACGACGAATTTTCCGCAAGAAGATACAGCCATACTTTTCACATGTCTACCAGTATAGAGCATATGAAACGAGGTATCAGGCGTGTCTCCAACCTGTTTGGCAAAATTCCAAGCGGCGATCCATATTTCTCCTCGTATAATGACCACAGGATGGGATGGATGAAAGAGAGCCTCTAAAACCTCGGAACGATTCCAATCTTTGAGGTTCATGTGGAGGATAGGTTCGACTTTCAATGGTCCGTCATTTTCAATTTCGAACATGGTTATCCTTGCACACATAATTCTTTCTCCGCCCGATCGCTTGATTTGGATGGAAGAATCTGATGACAGCAATAATCGTCCTTGAGGACTGACTTTGAGGAATGTGGTATACGGATCGGCCAGCAATGTCTTGTAGAGGACGGGTATCCTGGTAGAGCGAGTGAATGTGGTTGGTTCATTTCCGTTTGGCAGCAGTACAAACAGTCTGTCCATGACGGCAAAGGACCTGAGATCATCGCTGATAGAAATTGGATATATTTGTCGACGATACATGTGGTCGATGACCTCGAACAGCCTGGTCGGGACAGTGTTGTGTTTCCAGAGCTCGTACTTCACAACCGACTTGGTCGACGAACTTAGATTTTGCCATACGCTCACCACGGCTGTTGCCTCTCCATCGACGCTAGTGTGTGAGACTTTGCAAATCAGACTGAAATTTGGGTCTTTGCTGCCAGGAGGCGGTGCTGGTGCCATAGATACCACCTGTGCTTTGCGGGGACCAGCCATGAATGGGCTCGCGCTGAAGATGGCCATTTCGTCCCAAAGAACATCAGTAGAATTGTGCAAATGTTTATCCCATGCCTTCAATGTTTCGGAAACGTCCCTGCAAAATAGTTGCATGGCTTGCGATAAATCTCTGATACTTTTTGGAACGCGATGCAAACCCCTTAGGGTAAAAGCCAATCCATCCAAACAAGAAGATAAGCCATCAACCTTGTAAGATTGTGAGTGGCTGTAGAGGATGTGGATCCAGAACTTGACTTTTGTGGAGTCACGCAGGAGGTCTGATAGACTTGGCGCCAACCCTGTAAGGGCGGAAGAGATGTCCGAGGCATTAAAAGATGCACTGGAAAATGATCGATCGAGGTGGATTATCCAGTTCCTTGCCGCGTATCCAGAAAATGGCCCGAGTCGAGGATCCGTGGATTCAGGAGGTCTATCACATTGTCCTTGTTGAGCCGGAACATGATGCAAGATGTATCCGAGGCATCTCTTTGCGCATGTCAAGTTTTCTATAGCCTCCGGGCCTATCAATGGATCCTGTGGTCCAAGGCTTAAATGAGCTTGGGAAAAATGATCCTTCACTGACACATGGATGTATCGGAGGACTCCGTGGGCTATGGGCTGACCGGGAACTGTCAATAATTCGACCAGACCCCCACAAACTATGCAAGCCCTCTCCTGGAAGGCAATCAATTGGTTTGGATCAGCGTTTTCCGTATTTGGGGTGCCGAACGTCATCTGGTCGTAAAGCTCTTCCAACGTGAGGGATTGCACTGAGTATGAAACCCAGGCCAAGATTCCGCTTGCGAAGTCGCGTGATGTCTTTCCTGCCTGAAATATAGTACGAACTATCCTGGCGTACATTTCTTCGAGGCCCTCTGGGAATATGACGCTGCGAATCACCTCTAGCCGCGAGTACGGGTCATGGACTGGTAGCCTAAGGTAGTTGAACATGAGCTTGGCCCAAAGAAACATTCCATCGGCGCCTCTGCAAAGGTGATTAACCAAGTCTTCTAAGTTGGAACCAAGCGGTAAAAGTTCGTCATCCAGTAGGAAGTCTACCTGGGTAGATATGGAAAGTCGAATATCTGCATTGACTACATCGCGATCCAGGCATATCTGTGAATTTGCTGGGACTGCGCGAATGAGCGATGCAGTGTTGTTCCGACCACATAGAAGAATTTTTGCTGATGAGGATTCCGAGAGCTCCATGATTTCTCCTATCAGTGATGAATTGTCTTCGCACTCGTCGATGCCATCCAGAATCAGAGATATCTGGACTCGCTGAAACAGTAGACTGACCAATCCGAGAAGCTCATCCAATCCAGCCTTAGGAGTACCAGAGGAAGAAAGGTCGGTCATGATGAAGTCGAATTTGTTGATCACTGTATCATCCTGACGATTTCTGTGAAGGATTTGGGCTAAAATTGAGCGGTATGCCTGGATTCGGGATGTGCTACCTTTACTGTCGAGGGTAAAGAAAAAGTAGCACACCTCCCGTTTCTGTCCACCATGGGCGTATGTTTCTTGTATTTCGTCGATGATAGAGGAAGCTAGAACCGATTTTCCAGTGCCTGGACTGCCTATATTTTGTTAGCATAACTTTTGGATACAGTCTTAGAGAGTTGCACTACCTTTGATCCAAAGGATGTTTGGGCCAGTTCTCCTTTCTTGTCCACTGGGCTTGACGGCCCATTCGCTGTCTCTCCACTCAGAAAATCGAGGGTTGGTGAATATCCACTCATTTGTGCCTGGCTCTCGAAGGCTTTTCCCATGAAAAAGTGCATCAGAATACTGAGGAGCAGACAGCCAATTCTGTATAAGTCCGAAAAGCCGCTCTGAATTTATTGTATTAGATTGCGCCTTGCTTCGAATGAAAATAAAAAAGATTATACCTCGGTGTGATTGAGAGATCATGCGCGCGATCTCGTCAGTCATTTTGGCCAGTTCATCTGCTTTTTCCCGAGCTTTCCTGTTCTCTTCTTGTTCTCTTTCCGCAATCTCCGTCTGTGCCGAGACAATAGCCTCCATGTCGTTCATGTTCTGGGCTTGGGCAAGAAGGAGGTCAAACTCTATCAAACTTCGGTAGCTTTGAATCTGCTTTAGAAGGTCATCAAACCTATGTTCGAAAGGTCTCCAAAGAATTTCTGCAATCACGACTGTCGTCCGCTTAACCACTAGAGCAGATTAGTACACATCAAGCTTGGAATATGGTGGAGGACCAGCTCACTGCCTCTAGACGTAAAAACGTTTGCAACCTCCCCAAAAAACTGAAACATGTGGCCGTACACCTTTTCAGTGACTTCTTTGATTCGATGACTGATCTGGTCCTCTCGTAACCGAATCGTTTGGTACTGTCGTATCTCGTAACAAAACCGCTCCAGGGTTGTGATGAGCTTCTCGAAAAAAGCGCTGAAACTACTCGCTAACTGAATGGATTTAGATGTGCATCAAGCGAGGAAATGCAGAGGGCCATACCTGTAGGATAAATCGAAGTGCACCCCACGCAAGAGCAGTGTACTCGGGATTGGATTGAATCATGATATTGACGACCCCGAAGAATGGCTGCAATCGATAACTCAGTTTTGCAATACGGTCAAAGAGTCGGGAAGCGCCTCGCTTCCGGCGCTTATTGGCAATTTCTTCCAGCTTGCGCATGGCGTCGATAAAATCATCATGAGATGCGCACGGAGAGTAGAGAAGTTGCTCTTTCGGTGACAGAGAGTCGAAAAAGCGTCGATAAGCATCTTCAAAGGCCTGGTTTTTGATTTTGCCGTCCTGGCCTGTGCCTGCGCCCGGCGGCGGGGGTGGAGTTGATGATGCCATAATGTCCCACAGGGGGGAGGTAGGCTCAGAGTTGTAAGAACGGGAGAGCGCGTCTATTAGCTTTTTAAGCTATTATTTACGCTATCTAAGCCTTGCCGAGCACAGCCTCTCACGCATCTGCATGGTGGGGCCCCATTGGCCTGACTGTGTCACACCAACGAAAGCCCCGGGAAATCCTGTTTTGGGGGCCAACAGTAAGCCACCTATACTGTTCCTGTCCGTATTGCACCACACTATGCCAGACCGGTAAATCATCTGACCAAGCCACATTGAGCCTCAACAATTGGTTTTATTCCAGCATTCTTTTGTCCGCGAGGAGGCCTATGTAGCTGGCGTGGAATAGTGGGTAAGGGAAAAGCCATACAACTACAGCCTCAGGTAACCTCCGATTGAAGCTCTTGGATCTTTGATATTTTCCTCCTTACTAAACCCTTACCTGCGGTTACCGGTGATGTCTCTTTCTAGGATCTGAAAATGCAATACAGGATTATGCTAAATGGGGCAAACATTAATGCAATTAATATCGTGTATAGGGAAAATGCTGAACCACCCAGTCCGAAGATTAAGCACTACACCGGAGCTTTTACTATCTTATACTACCATTTAACGTGATGCCGATTAAGATAAAAAGATATATAGATATGATTTCTCTAAGTGATAAGTCACGTGATTACTAGTAGTGATGGTTGTTGCCGACGACCCGAGGCTGCGATAATAGGCAAGATTGAATTCTTAATTCTAATTGGAAGCAGGGCTATATAGATAATTGGCCGAAAATAATGCAAGTTTTTAGAACACATAGGTACGTTTTCTAAAGGGGAATTGGGTGTGTAAAGAAGTGGGAAGAGTGCCATGCCTACGTTTTAGGCATGCCCTTATCTAATCAGGTCCATCTCCGCTATCGCACCTCATTTGATTGGTCAGTTTGGCAGCAGGACATAATCGTCGCTTCTACATCGTTTATTCTGCGCTTTACATCTGACAAACACTTTCTTCCAATTCACCTGCTTTCCCCCATCATCTTCTCTCGGACTTCCATGCTTATCCGTAAGGGTGTTTAAGAAGACCTTCACTTGCGATGGATGTGCCTGTCGCTGCCAATGTGCTCGGCACCATCGGCGCTGTACGTACTCTACCCTTCGAATTAGAGACGTACTCTTCGGCTACAACTAACCACTCCATCCGCAGGTCTGCTGGTCCATCCAAGTAAGCCTCCGCCCGCTCTCAGCGCAAAGAAGTAAGGCCCCACAACCCCGCTAACCCAACACCACAGCTCATCCCCCAAATCATCATCAACTACCGGCGCCACCACGCCACCGGCCTGCAACCGGCAATGATGATGTGGTGGGCCTGGGCCGGCGTGCCGCTCGGCGTCTACAACATCGTGCAATCCTTCAACGTGGCACTCCAAATCCAGCCTCAAATCCTCTCCTTCCTCTCGCTCGTGACGTGGATCCAGTGCCACCACTACCAGAAGCGGTGGCCGCTGTGGCGGTCGCTCAGCGTCGTGCTGCCCATCGCCAGCGTCATGGCCGGGACGGAGGCCGCGCTGGTCTTCGCGCTGCGCATCGGCATCGAGCGCCACGGCACGCGCTGGCCGCTGACGCTGATGGCCGTGCTGGCCGCCGTGTTTCTCGCTGCCGGCGTGCTGCGGCATTATTGGGATATTTGGCGCCATCGGACTGTGCGTGGGATTTCGTTTCTGTTTGTCGGGATTGATGCGGCGGGCGACTTGTTTAGCCTCGTGTCTGTCATTTTTCAGCCTGAGCTGGACGTGCTCGGTATGGTCACGTATGGCGTCGAGTTGGTGCTGTGGCTGGGCGTCTTCGCGTGCGGGGGGTACTTTAATTTGTGGCCGTGGTTGAAGAAGAAGAGGGCGGGCGGTGGTAGCAGTGAGAGTGATGATTCTGGCGTTGCTCAAACCGAGAACGGTGAAAGAGGTATGGACGCCTCCGTGCCGGGACAAGGGGCAGAGAGCAGCGCCGTGGAGCTGCACGATCTGCCGTCTTCGACCTCTGTATTCAGGACGCCATCCTGTGAGCTGGCTCTGGCGAGATCAAGGACTGGCGGGAGCCGAAGGTCGCAACTCTGATGAGATATTAGGCGACCAACACAAACACATGTACAGTATTCATGGCATAGACGAGAGGCTCAACGTCGCGACCAAGAAATAGACCATAAATTTTGATTCCCATAAACTGAACGATCCTCTCTTTTTCCATCTCAACGCCCCAATTATGCAAAACAGGCCCAGGGATATCCCAAAAACCGCGCACACGATTATTTCTTTTGCTTCTTCGCAATCCTCTTCTGCGCCCTCACATCCTTCTTCAATCTTGCGTCCACCATCTTGTACTTGCCCTTCGTGCCCTTCGGTCTGCCCTTGAGACCCCTGTTGCTTCCACTAGCAACGACGACGGCAACCTTCTTTCTCGGCTTCTTCTTCGCCGCCTTGCTCATCAACTTGGCGATGCTCGTTGCCTTCTCCTTCTCCGTCATGCCCTCGTCCTCAACAAGGAGAGCACTCTTCTTCTTCATCTTCTCAAGACGCTGAGCCGCCTTGAACTTCTTGCGGGCCTTGGCTTCCGCGACCTTCTTGATAGGACGAGCGTTCAAGGCACGCTGCTTCTCTTTGATGGCTGCAGCCGCGGCCGCAGTGATGGGCCGTTGGAGCTTGGAGTGCTTGTTCTCATCATCCAGGAACCAGTCAGGCAAGCCGTCAACGTCGCGGAGAGAGTAGCGGTTAAAGTTGTCATCTAGAAGCTCTTGTTTCGTCTTCTTGCCGGTTGCGAGCTGCTGAGCAAGAGTCATGGCCTCGGCGGTAATAATGTCGATATCGGGTCGGCCGTTCTTCATGGGCACGTCGTCCTTATCCCACTGGCTTTCGTCGCGTTTTACAACTTCGAAGCCGCCCTTCGCCTCGTCGTCGTCAGACCATTCGTCCTCGGATGCCTCCTCGGATTCCTCCTCAGAGGCCTCTTCTTGCTGCTCTGGCTCTTGAACCTTGACCTGCTTCTTCGACGTCTTTTCCTTGGACTTCTCAGCTGAAGATTTCTCCTTGACATCAATGCCGCTGTCTTCGTCTTCTGCAATGTCCAAGCCATCTATGCCCTTGAAGATATCCTGGTCGAAGAACATTGCTGCTCTTCTCGTCAGACCATCTGCCGTCTTTCCCTTTGGTGCAAGGTCCGTGACTAGGGTCTGAGGCCCATCTTCGTCATCAGAGGACATATCGGTATCTTCTTCCATGATTTCATCGTCGCTACTCTCCGCCTTGTCGTCGTCCGAGAAGCCTTCGAATTCATCATCGTTATCCTCCCTGTCCTTCCGAGCCTTCTTCGCACGATACTTTGCGTCGGACGCAACCTTCCGCTCCTGGTACTGGTCGTACATTGTATCGAGCTCTGCTTCCAGACGGTCGGCTTCGGGATCGCTGTCCTCGTCCTCAGATTCCTCAACTTCCTTCGGCTTATCATCCACGACCGTCATCCTTCCCTTTGCAATCCTGCTGAGTGCGCCGGCCTTGTCGACAGCCTTGAGCTGGAACATGGCATCCTCGCCATTAGGGCCGACCTGTTCCATTCCAATGTCCATAGGGGTCGTCATGTGCAACTGCAGGCGCTGAATCTCTTTCTGCTTCCGCTCGTTTTCCTTTCGCCTCTCCTTTCTCCTCTTGGAGTTCTCCTGGTCCCTCATGCGCTGCAGTTCTTCCTGAACCTGCAGTTCCTCGTCCATCGGCTCGATCTCGGCCACTTCTTCCTCCTTCTCAGCTGCCTTTGCGGCCTTTGCCTTCGCGGAGAAACCGAAAATTTCGCGGAGCTTCAAACGCCACCTGAGCAGACGCTTGAAGTCGGCCCTTCCCAGAACCTTGAGGTCGTTGCAGCATGCTCGGATCTCATCGGTAGTCTCCGGGTGCTTGTCGATTGTGGCCTGAGCGATGTCTCCGTTGGGCGTTTGCTCAAAGGTGAGTTTGTTCATTGAGCCGAGCATGGCGATTGGGTCGGTGGTCTGGATGAACTCGCTAACGGTCGCTTCGTGGTACTGAGTGTAATCACCCTCCTCGTAACCGTCACGCTTCCTCTTCTTGACCTCAGGGTTGAAGACCTTGGCCTCGTTGTTCGGAGTCGGGGCGGCGAGTTCGGCGAAGACATGGCGGGGGTCGACGAACTTGGGGTCGAGGTACTTGGGTGCCTTGAAGCCCCTGCAAACGACGAAAATTTCGGCAGAGACGTTACGGGACGACGGGGGCTTGGTGGCCTCGACCTTCTCGAAAAGCTGGTTGAAAACCCAGACCAGGGAGTTGTAATCCTTGGAGCGGAAGACCTTGGTAACGAAAGTACCACCCTCGCGCAAGAACTCAGTCGCGAGCTTCATGGACTGCAGGGTCAACTCTGCCTGAGTGAAGGCATCCTGAACCCAGGCAGTACCGACGTTGGGGGCACCGTCGTGCAGCACAGCATCTGCCTTCATGGTCTTCAGGTGTTGTCTGAGAGTTGCACGGCATTTGTCGGTGGTGATATCGCTCTGGAAGGTAATACATCTGGGAATAGGCTTGATCGGGGCCAAATCGACACCGACGATGAGACTGTTCGGAGGCATAACCTCCGCGGCGACCTGACACCATGACTGAGGGTGTGTTAGCCAATGCGCACCCACGGAATGCTTTGAGGTGAACTCACTCCTGGGGCAGCGCAAAGATCAATCAAGACCCTGCTCTTCTCAAGGAAGTTGTACTTCTTGTTGAGCTGGATAAGCTTGAAGGCGGCACGGGCGCGGTAGCCCTTCTCCTTCGCAAGCTTGTACCATTTGTCGAGACGACCCTTTCCGTGCTGTATGTACTTTTTAGCGTCGCAAAACTTTTACGAGTGTGTAGGAAGTGCGTACCTTCTTTTGGATCGCCATGACGAGTTCGGGCAGTGGAGTGTTGCGAGGACTTTCGCGTGGATGCGCAAAGGCAAAAAGTCTCAGAGAGCGCGGGCGGTGGGCGGCGGCAGAAACGGACCCTTGTCGGTTGACACGACTCGTGTACGGCCCAGCCCTAAGACCCGGTTCCCCAGCCCGCGGGTGACGTCTGCGCTCTCTAGCACGGGCTCCATCGGCCGCATCCCCGTCCTACTCTGCCTTGCATTCTTCTCGTCCCACGCCCACGCCGCTCTCTGTCCCTCCGAAACCGACGCATGCCTGAAGACTCGAAACGGCGCCTCCCTTTCCTTGACCGTTTAGCAGACCGCGCCTCTATGGGACCTCGAAAGAAGTCCAAGCCGAGCCCCCAGGCACCCAAGCCCGATAACACCGCCGCACAACAACCCAGTCCGCGTGACGCCCCGCCGTCGAACCCGGATGCAAATATCCAGCATGCTTCACCCAGATCGACGGAAACGGGCGAGTCTGCGGCCAATCAGTCTGGCCAGGGAGGTGACTCTCGCAGCCCTGTAACCCCGAAAGGAGTCGCTCCCCGGAGCAGCTGGTACACGGGCGGGAGCTGGAGAGCGAAGGCAGCGCCTATTGCCCAGGTCGCCCGCGAGAGTATATCCTCCGCTGCCGGCGGCGTAACATCCGAATCCTCGAGCGATGTGAGCAAGAAGGACAACACAAACACAACCCCAATCAAGTTCCTGGACAGAAGAACCTCAACTAAGAGCACTGCTCTGGCCGCCTCGACCACAAATGTGATAGCCACGTCGAGCCTTGCTAATGAGTCGAAGGCTAGCCTGGCTTCGGAGACCAAGGAACATCCAAAGGAGGCTGAGACAGAGCCACCCCTCCCTCCAGACCCTATCAAGGAGAACGACAAGGCAGACGCTACGACGACGGAGAATGTAGAGCCGGAACAAGAACAGAAAGCACAAGAGCAGCAGGCACCTGAACAGCAGGCACCTGAGCAGAAGGAAGGTGGAATCACTTCGTATATTCCCATCCCCATTCCGTCGTCGATATCGAAAGGATTGTATGGCTGGTGGTCTAGGCCGGACGGCTATGCCGGTGGTGATACAAGCGGTGATGATAAGGTGGCGGATAATGGTGACGTGAATATGGAGGATGCAAAGGCTACGCCTCTGCCGGACCCCACGCCAACGGAGGATAGCGCAAACCCGCAAGAGCAGCGGGATCAAAACGGTGACGCTCAAACAGGCGCAGATCAAGCACCTATGAGCGAAGTGTTGTCAAAGGACGGCGTTGATGAGAAGGCTGCCCCAAGAAGCAGCTGGTTTTGGCTCTGGAGTAACACACAGAATGCTCAGCAGACAGCGGAGACAGTCAACGAGACTCCCCAGGCGCCGGAGGCAACGACGCAAAATGAAGAAGAGCAGCAGGATAACACTACACAGAACCAGACACAGGAGCCTCCTTCGACTGAAACCAAGCCCCCGGTCCAGTCCATCCCTAAGACATCCGCTGGGTGGGCCTTTTGGTCACGAGCTAACCCTCACGGTGACGAGGCATCTGATGCACAATCGACTCATAAGCAAGTTGGAGAGTTGGCCGTGGCGGACACTCCTTCCCAGTCTCATCCAGAAGCTGCGCAGTTCAACGAAAACCAATCAGAAGAAGAACAACCGCAGCAGCCACAACCGAAGCCGCTAGCGAAATCAATCGTGGGATCAATCCGCAGGGGTCGTGGAAAGGGACGTGAAGTCGACAGTAGGCCATCAACTCCGGTAACTCCGGTAAAAGCTACACCGGACCAAAGCCCGAGCCGGAAAACGATAGAGGAAGCTCCTGGGAAGAAACCCTCGAAGGAAACCGCGAAGGAAGCCGCGAAGACCAAACAAACCCAGGAGGAACAGGCGAACCCCAATCTTCTCTTACCAGAGTTTAAAAGCACGTATCGCCTACCGCAGCAGACCCCCTCTTACTGGGGCAAGGTTCGAAAGTATTTCCTTGGTAACCACGAACCGGAGTCTCCGCACTTGCAGCGTGCACCGGAGCCTCTGAAGATAAAGAAGGCTTTGGCTATCGGTGTTCACGGATACTTCCCAGCTGCCATTCTGCAGAAGGTGCTTGGCCAGCCGACTGGAACTTCTATTCGCTTTGCAAACGCTGCTGCAGCTGCAATTCAGAACTGGACGGAAGGCCAGGGATACTCGTGCGAAGTGGAAACAGTTGCTTTGGAGGGTGAAGGCTATGTGTCGGACCGTGTGGATACCCTCTGGAAGCTGCTCAACAACTGGATCGATCATATCAGAACTGCGGACTTCATCATGGTGGCCTGTCACTCCCAGGGTGTCCCCGTTGCCATCATGCTCGTTGCGAAGCTCATCCAGTTTGGTTGTGTCAATGCGGCTAGAATTGGAGTTTGTGCTATGGCGGGCGTCAATCTTGGCCCGTTCCCTGAATACCGCAGCCGCTTCTTCGGAGGCTCTGCCGGTGAGCTTTTCGAATTCTCGAGGCCAAACAGCTTGGTCAGTCAGAAGTACCAGGGCGCTTTGCGCGTGGTCTTGAACTATGGCGTGAGGATCGTGTACATCGGTAGTATCGATGACCAGTTGGTTTCACTGGAGGTAAGATTATCTTTGCGGAAATGACTCAGCGAGGACGAAGACTAACCTGTGACTCCCAGTCCTCCATCTTCTCAAACATCTCGCATCCCTACATCTATCGCGCCGTGTTCGTGGATGGCCGCATTCATGCACCGGATTTGTACGTCCCATGCATTTGTCCCTTCGCCCACAGACTGCTGACAAGATACCAGTATCACTCACCTCGTCGGATTCGCCCTCAAATTGCGTAACCTCGGTCTCCCAGACCACGGACTCATCCGCGAGCTGTCACCTGCACTCGCCGGATCGCTGTACGGCGGCGAAGGCCACAGTCGCCTCTACAACGACGTCGCCGTCTACAACCTGGCCGTCCAGCACGCGCTGGAAACCACATCTCTGCCCGGTGCGATGAACCCGCCCCTGCAGATCAAGGACTACGAGGGCACCGGATCTACCGGTAACAACCCTTACTTCCTGCCTTGGGCGATGCGAGGATTGCTCGAGGAGGACTTTGTGAGGAGGGAGCTCAGCAACGAGGTTGAGGGGCTGTTGGCTATGTTCGAGAGCTGGAAGCCGACGACGAAACCGTTGAAGGATATCAAGTTCCGGCTGGAGGTCGTGAAGAGTAAGCTCTGAGGAGAGAGATTGCTTGACGGCGTATATCAGCACAGGTTGGTTTTGCTGTAGTGTGTCGAGGCTGGACTAGGAGAGCTGCATAATGTGACTGAGGCGTTGATTAATCTGCAGAACGGCGTTGGTGGGTTGATTGCTTTTTTCTTCTTCTTCTTCTGGATGGCTTGGCTAGGGTTTACGGATGGATTAAACGGCCGGTTGCAACAACACTTGGAAGGATTGTTTTCAGCACATGCACGGCGTTGAGCGACTTTTTACACATATACGTAGCGTAGAGAAAATCTGTTAATAGATTTCCTTACTGATGTCTTGAATCTCTCCACCTGTCGTGTGCCACCAAGCAACATACGTCAGATCTCGTGTACTTGTTGCTGGAAAAGGAGCACTGTATGCTTGTTTCACCGTATATCTGAGTCACCGGAAGCGCCCCTCGCCCAAAGGCCCTGTGCGTTGGTTTTTATTTCTATTTGCAATTTGCTATTGCACCCGCTTTTCAGTCTTCTGCGTAGAAGATCTCCTTGTAGCGATGCGTCGCATCGACGACTGCTTCAGCAGCGGTGAAGTCTGTGGTGGTTGATGTGTTAGTCATAGTGCCGTTTGTGCTAGACTTGTACGGAAAGGATCGAGCGCCACGCTGATGCCTGAAAATCATAGAACGCGAACGAAACGGTATGACTAAATAGGAGAGGAGAGAGACCGAAGAAATTTTGACAGGAGAAAGAGGGAGGAAAGCGGAAGGGCGTTGGCGCATACCGATATTGGAACCAAAGTCAGTAGACGTAAGAACGCGCACGCTCAGGTCGCTGTTGACCTTGCCAATAACCTCGACAGCATTGTTCAGAGTCAGATGGGCATCCTGAGTTAGGGGGAGAAGATTCTAGTATCAGCGCACGGAGTCCTGAGGAACGAGGCGCAGCCTGACAAGGCAGATCCTACTCACGCGGTTCAGATGCAGGTTGATGGATCCGCCGGCGTCGATAGTGGCCTGCTCGCCACGCAGCTGCGTCACCTTGCCGAGTATGCGCACGGTGCGGTGGGTGAACTTCTCCAGGTAGGGCGCGGAAATGCGGGGGGTCTGTTCGGCCATTTTTGTGGTTGTAGATTTTTCTTGAGGAGCGGAGGAGAAGAGGGCGGTTGATGCGCGGCGGAGAGAGCAGGCAGTCGCGTCGGCGACGCGCGCGCACACGTGAAGGGCAGAATTTCGTGGCCGGAACGTTTAGATTGGCCAATGCGCTGGCGTGCGGCTCTTTGAAAGTATCCACGCGATTCCCGGGGCAGTGCAGCAGATGCGGAGATTGCAGATCGCTGGCTGCTGCCTGGGGGTGCGGGGCTTCTGGCTCACACCGTGAATTGAGTCAACGCGGTGGCTATGCGCAGCTGTTGCGGTGTTGGCGGTGGTCAGTACCGATGCGTCATACACAGCTTTTATCGATATAAAGGCGGTCAGGGCTCGCCAGAGCTCCCTGGTTGCTTGCGCGCGGCCTACCAACTCTCCCAGCTCCAGCTCTCCTTCAATGACCGCAACTAGGAACTGCTCTTCCATGGACTTTGCCTGGTCCGTTCTGATAGCCGCGCGAATAATACGACGCTTGGACGTAATATTATAGATCATGCCGACCACCCGCCACGAGAAGCAGCAGCTTCCAGCCCAGGATCGCCGGAAGGGCGAGTCGGTGCGCCACCACCACCCTTCTCCATTCCTTCTTTCGCTGCGAGACCGCCCGCGCTGACTTGCTGCCCCATTGCGCGCACCGGCCCACACAGGCTCTCAGCGACTTCGCCGAATATGTGCAGAAGCAGCAGGCCCGCCGCGGCAAGCCGCTTGCCGCCGATCCCGCCACCGCCGGCGGCGCCGTCGAGGAACACGACGAGCTGGACATCATCGACCAGCTCGGCCTCGACGACGAGTCGGGCGCCGCCGTGCGCCTCAAGCACATCCTCCTCGACGACAACGGCGACTCCGCCGACGACAGCGTCGCCGCCCTCGCCAGCCACCTGAGCGCCCGCCTGCTCGAGGGCCACGGAGAGGCCCTGTTCGATCTCGGTTTGGAAGACAATGGCGACCCCATGGGCTTCTCCAGGGCCGACTGGGACTTTGCCCTCGCGCGCGTCGAGAAGGCGGCGGCTGACGTCGGCGCCGACTGCCGCGTGCTGATGACCCGCAATGTTGAGGGCGGTGGCGACGTCGAGGTCGGCCCCGCCAATGCCAAGGATACCAGCGTGTCCGGGAAGTTGATCGTGCGGAAGAAGCCAGACTCGGTCGACGACGTCATTGAGACGCGGATAGCGGTGGTCGGGAATGTCGATGCGGGGAAATCCACCATGCTGGGTGTCCTGGTCAAGGGGGGCTTGGACGACGGCCGTGGAAAGATGCGTGTCAACCTTTTCCGCCACAAACATGAGATTGAGAGTGGCAGGACTAGCTCCGTTGGTATGGAGATTATGGGGTTTGACACCAAGGGCGACGTGGTTTCGTCCACCGTCCCTGGCAGGAAATTGTCGTGGGAGGAGATTGGCAGGCGATCTGTACATCCCCCGGGTCACGCCATTGGAGTACCAGGAATGCTGACAAGGAGCAGGCGAAAGTGATTAGCTTCACTGATTTGGCAGGACACGAGAAATACTTGAGGACTACCGTCTTCGGTATGCTTTCTAGCGAGCCGAACTACTGCTTGTTGATGGTCGCTGCCAATAACGGATTGATTGGCATGAGCAAGTAAGAACTCCAAACCATGACTATTTGTCATGTACTAATAGTGTCTTCAGAGAGCATCTTGGAATAGCTGTTGCTCTGAACGTGCCGATCATGGTCATTATCACGAAAATTGATATCTGCCCGCCGAACATTCTGCAGGAGACCATCACGCAGCTGACAAAAATTCTCAAATCTCCTGGAGCAAGGAAAATACCCATTTTCATCAAGGACCGGGAGACCTGCATAAACACTGCTACTCAGTTTGTCAGCAGACGGATATGCCCCATCTTCCAGGTATCTAACGTCACTGGCGAGTGCGTGGACTTGGTCCGTACGTTCTTGAATATTCTTCCCCACCATGGAAACTACGACCCGGATGCGCCGTTTGAGTTCCATGTCAACGACACTTTCTCCGTCCCCTTTGTGGGAACTGTTGTCTCAGGCGTTGTAAAGAGTGGTATTCTGCACTCTGGCGACACGGTATTGGTGGGGCCTGACTCCCTTGGTCAGTTCATAACGACAAAAGTGCGCTCTATCGAACGCAAACGGATACCGGTGCCTGGTTGCGCAGCTGGTCAGTCCGCATCGCTAGCTCTCCGCAATGTACGGCGGAAAGACGTTCGCAAAGGCATGGTCGTCCTACCGCGCGTCGACCCGGCCGCTCCTCCGCCAAAGGTGTACCGCGAGTTCATTGCCGAGGTTCTTATCCTTTCTCACGCAACCACTATCAAAACGAAATACCAGGCCATGCTCCACGTCGGCCCCGTTTCGCAGACCTGCGCCATCATCGATATTGACCGCTCGTACATAAGGACCGGTGACCGCGCGACGGTGGCTTTCCGCTTTGTACAGCGTCCCGAGTACCTCACGGTTGGGGAGCGGATATTGTTCCGAGAGGGAAGGACAAAAGGCCTGGGCATCGTAAAAGCTGTCGGATACGACCCGAAGAAGCCATTGAACCCGGAGGCGGCTGCTGAGCGCGAGAAGGAGAATGGGAACGCGGCGAAGTAAACTTCGGCCGGTACACATACTCGGCGTACAGTTACGATGACCTGCAACGATGTTTCTTGGGTAAGGCGTTTTTGATTCTTATTTATTTTGAAGCATATTATTCTTTGATTTCGGTGCAAGACGCACGCAATAGCATCTTGCCATCTTTTCGTTTAGCGTATGGGTTCTGTCAAATTTGTCTTGAGCATTCGTAAATGTACTTGGGAGGGCGTTGACCCCCATGGATACACGTACAGTCTTTGGTTATGGACATTTCCAACTACTATTTAATGGGCTAAGTCTATTATTCTCTCGTCTTGTTTTGGTCTCGAAGCTTGGTCTGTTCAGAAGACCCCTGCGCCTATGTAAGAGAATGGGATTCTGAGAATCTGTACTGTGATCTGGAAGCTTCGCTGCTGTTTTTTCGGCGAGGCACACTCCGTCTCCGGGGCGACACGTCTGGTGCGGCTTCCCGTGAGCATCGCGGCGTTCGTTGCCCCCCAGCTCCGGCCGCATACAAACGCTCTTCGCGCGCCGCCGATCCTCCACCACTTCCGACACACACCACACCCGACACCGTGGCTGACACGTTCGCCATGACTGACGATCACGGTAAGTCTCGCGCCCTCGAATATCTTGAAGAAACTCTTGATAATATAAGTCTTGCTCCTTTTCTCAATAGCGCGCCGTCCCAGCCATGATGGTCACCGGCGTCGCAGCCAAGACCATCACCAGCCAAATGGTCAGCCAACGACGCAGTCTAGCGCTCAGACCACTCAGCAGGTAGAGCAAGGACAGAGAGCAACCCGTCCGTCCGCTACGTTGACGTCCGCATTCCCTGTTGTCGCTTCTCCCGCTTCGCATATTGCCTCGTCTGCCACTCCGCCTGGTGATGACCGTCGCGACAACACCGCACTTGTTCACACGGCGCAGAATGTCGCACCCGCGATCCCTTCGGGATCAGAGCTTCTAAGCTTGACAGAGATCCTCATTGATCGCGCTAACGTCAACCTCGACGACCCCCGTCACAGGATTAGCATTATGACCTTGCAGAACGCTATTAACAGGCAGGACGAAGAGGTCCGCCGCCTGAGAGCAGATATTCAGCGTCGTGCTTGGGAATACGACGCGCTCAAGCTTGCTTCTATGGCGATCCCGGAGAGGGAAGTCGAGTTGGAGAATCGCGCCGAGACTCTCGATCTGGAGAACCGGCAGCTTCGATGGGCGAATCGCCAACTCCAGCAATTGGGCCCGTTTGTTGAGAGGCAGAATATGCAGATCGAGCAGAAGTCGTGGCACATCCAAGAGCAAGACGAGAATCGTAAGGAAATAGAAGAAGATAATGAGAAGCTGGAGAAGGAAATCGAAGATCTTCAGGGTCAAGTCGAAGATCTTGAGGGTCAAGTCGAAGATCTCAAGAAGCGACTCGAGGAAGAGAAGGCGGGCAGGCAGAAAGACAAGGAGAACTGCACTCAGCAGTTGCCCAAGTTTAAGCAGTCCACACATCCCACCGACATGCCGAGCATCAACCCTTTTCATCCGAGGAGCAGAATCTTCGAATCCAGCGTTTCGCCGCAACCCACTACTCAAGCTACTCCCGTCACTGCGTCTCGCTCAGAGCGAGACGCGGCATTGCCTGATCGTCGAAGGAGCTTAATGGCTCGCGCTGCCGAGTACACCACGACGCCACCTACTCGACCCAGTAGCACGGTGCCCCGCCTGCCCGATCGACGCTACGCCCGTGACCGCAGCATGTCACCGCTTCGTAGCCCCCCTCAACGTGACTTTCGAGAGGCTCGCGCGCCCTCTCCTCCTCCAGTCTCACGCCGCCGCTTCCTCACCGAGACTATCCGCCATCGCCCTGAGGATGCGATTGCTAATCCCAACCGCGACAGCCCGTCGGTTACCCTTTCAAGATACCCGCGCAGGATTGCACCTAGCTTGAACGACGACACATTCGCGGGTACAGCTCGTCTCGGCAACCACACCGTAGAGTCCCATGCGCGTGGACAGCAACCACTGTCTCGTTACAACCACCTCACGCGCAATGACGAGCGTGGTTCATCTAATCGCGAGCTTCAATGCGCTGGTTGTTATATGCGCGGCATCTCATGCAACGGCGGTCTTCCGTGCAATAACTGCAAGTCCGGCAAGTGCAGATACCGGCCTTGCTATCCGTATTCGAAAGGATGGGGCTGCTCGTCCGAGCATTGCACCATGGTACATGACGAAACTGACCACCTTTAAACGCGGATCAGCGTCTCCATTTCCAGTCCACTTCAAGCACTTGATTCGCCAATGAAAGCCTGTCGCGTCCGTCTGCTGGACAAGCCCGCTTTGGTCTCATTTGGTACTTCTCTCCGGATTGTCTTTCTATGGAAGAACCTGGATCACACGGTATACTATCACTTTCAACTGGAGTATGCGCCTGGGTGTTCTCTGGGCAATGGTCACGGCCCCGCACACATGCATGTCAAGATTTATGTGTGCAACAGTTCTTCTCAGGCGATGCTTTCTCTTTTTGTTTCCATTTCATTTTACAGGCTCTACTTTACATTTACTGCGTGGGCTAATAGTCTTCACGACACCTTACAGAACCGCGCAGTGTCTGCTTTGATAGCCATGTGCTTGAATGGCCCTGACTGAGGTAGGCATTGGGGGCAGACATGCGATCGACTCTTCTTTTTCTTTTCTTTATCTCCATAAAACGGTAGTCTCTGAAAATCAATGAGTTCATACCAATGTCTTTGTTCACAATTGATTTGCCGATTGGGCGTATTGTATTGGTTTTGAATTTGACCCAGTCGGAAATTTTTGGCAGGCTTGCCCAAAGGCCAAGTAACTGAAAGATGCTCGGCACCAATAAATTATTAATACGGTGTCAGCATGGATGTAGGGATTGGATTGGATGCATCTACAAATGCCGATCCTGGTCGGAAATCCTTCACAAAACCAGGCCCTGGCTCCGTAAACGTCCCCACTTTATTCGTATGTCCTCTGATGGAAGCAACACTTTAACAGGTGTTACGATCATTCCGCCTAGGCACATCGTGCCGACAACCGTGTCAATCGCGTATTTATATATCCCTCTCCATGCCCTTGAGGAATTGACCAGCCCATCCATATACTTCGCCACCAATGTCTCCCAACACCACGACCTGCCTCATCACCGGCGCCAATCGCGGTAAGTAACCTCTCTCGCCGAGCCGACCCATTCCATCATCCGCATATCCCCTCCTCCCCCCGCTAAAACACACAACCCCCCAGGCATCGGCCGCGGCCTCGTCGCCGCCTACCTCGCCCGCCCACACCACACCGTCATCGCCGCCGTCCGCGACCCCGCGCACCCAACCGCCCAATCCCTGCACGACCTGGTCCCCCATGCTCCATCTCTATCCGCAACGTCCGGACAGCCGTCGTCCTCCTCGCGCCTCATCCTCCTCCAAATGGACTGCGCGTCATCTGCCTCCATCGCCGCCGCCTTCGCCGCACTGACCAACGTCCATGGCATCCGCGCGCTCGACATCGTCGTCGCGAACGCTGGCGTCGGCTTCGCGACCGGCCGCCCGCTGGCGGCGGAGGGCAGGGCGGAGTTGCAGCGGTTTGTGGATGTGAATGCGCATGGGCCGCTCGAGGTGTTTGGGGGGGCGTTGGGGTTGATGAGGGAGGCGGGGAAGGCCGGGGAGAGGAAGCCGCGGTTCATGCTCGTGTCGAGCAATTTGGGGAGTTTTGAGTTGATGGGGAAGGCGTGGGGGTACGGGTTGTACGGCGCCAGTAAGGCGATGGCGAATTTTTTGATTAAGTGGTTGGCGTTGGAGAATGCGGGGGAGGTGGTGGTTTTTGCGGTGCATCCCGGGTAGGTTTTTCTCCTGTTGTGGGGCGTCTTGAGAGTGTGTTGGGTGGGTTGGGGGAGGTGGAGGGCTCTGGCTGACTGGAGATACAGACCGGTGAAGACGGATATGGGGGATCGCGCTATTCAGGAGTTGGAGAAGATGGGGGTTGACCTGAATCTGAGATGGTTGGAGGTGGAGGAGAGTGTGAAGGGGCTTCAAACGCTGGTACGTATGAGGAGCAGAAAGCGGGAGTTTCGCTAACGTTGAATCAGATTGACGGTGCCGAGAGTAAAAACTTGAATGGCCGCTTTTTCCAACACGATGGAATAGAGCTGCCGTGGTAGACAGAAGCAGCCTTTGCCGAATTTGCCGAGTAAGCTCTATGGAACAATAGACAACCAAACCTTATTCAGACCTCTAGTTTTTCTTCCGTCGAAACATTTTAATAATCACGTGAAGAGCACGGTACTTTTTCCAAGCTCGTTTTCCTGCACTCTCCACGCCATTCCCAGGAAGCCGCCCCGCACAACCTCCAAAAGCTCGTCGATCTCCTCAGGGAGGGCCTTTTCAAGCCACCTCTTGGCCCTGTCGATAACGAGGTCCAGTAGTTCCTGTTGTTCTTGAAACTGCATCTCGATATATACGATAGTCAGAATCGTAGGCAACAACGGTTCCTTGGTGTCGGAAGATTTGTTTTCCACTCTGGATTTCACCTCCTGGACGGCTTTCTCATCAAACGCACTCAACAAGGTATCGAGTGAGGTTGAGTGGAGAACAAAGCATCCCGTCGATCTTTGAGCTGAGACGATATCTTCAACGGATATTCCCGATGTTTGCGGGTTCATTACAAATTCTCTGGTGGACTGGCACGGCATCAGAGATTTGTGTCTCAAATCCTGGATGCTATAGTCACAGCAAGGGATTATTCTTGGGCTTTCCGCAGGTGCACTGGCGGAAATGAGCTCAATCAGTTCTCCTTGCACTTCTACTGGTCCTTCAGCGGCTCTAGAGGCTTCGTGCCAGCCAAGTGGTGCTGTGCCGTAATGGTCAAACGGGCTGCGGACGGCCCCGGAAAACGCTTGAGGAGGATTGCAAACATTCGGGTTAACAAACCCGCTGATGGGCCATAGGCTTTGTCCACCTGCGTCGGTCCTTCTTCTTGCAACGGCGTTGCCTGCTATTGAGGGTCCTGATAGGTAGAGCGCCTCTGCACGGTAAAGATGGACCAGACTCTTGACGTGCGCCTTAGGTCCTGATTTTTCGAGGGCGATGAAGCTGGTCCACTTTCCAACAATGGACCACGTTTTCCCGAAGGATTCGGCCTCTGTCTTGACTATATCCTGGAATTTGGTGTCGTCCACAGTATTTTTTCCTTCGTGTTGCATGCCATGCAGCCAGCTGGTTTGATTTTCGAGATCTTTGACTGCAGCATGTGTTGCAAGAAAGTGGACGATAGAGGGTGTGGATTCTACTTTTTCCGACTTTAGGACAAGGTTGACTATCTCACCATTTGAGGACTTTGCAGTAATATGAACTTTACTCCCGGAATCTTCGAAAGCGCTGTTATTGACAAGCAAGAAGACTGAGAACCGAGAGAATGTGTGCAGTCTCGGTATTTGGAACGGAGCTTGGATGCATGGTGGAGCTCGGAGGCTGGGCAGTGCAGTTTTTTCTTGTCCGAGAGTTGAATAGAGATTGCCAGCATCTGCAAGGGGTATTCCTGGGTGAAGAGTGACGTTCCAACTGGCTGGTGTCAAAGCTCCCTTCAATAATCGAATTACCCTGGGCTCCCACTTCCCGGAATCGGCTAAAGCAACAACTTCAGATAAACCGCCACCTTGACGACCAATTCCTTCGACAAGAGCGTGTGATACTGAATTGCCAATTCCAAGACAGAAGAAACGAAGTCCATGTTCTCTGTTTGCCTCTTGAACTGATGCGTGGATCTCCTCCGTGTCCCAGGTTTCTCCGTCGGTTACCACGATGACGTTGGTTTCCATATTTGGAGTCCGGCTCGTGATGACACTCTGCAAGGCAGAGTTCAGCTCTGTGCCGCCCTTGTCTGCCGTAAGTTGGGCTGAGCAAGCAAAAGCCTCGTCTGAGTTCTCTTGGGTGGATGGCTTTGATGCTTTCCAGAGCAGTTCATGGGAGCTGCCGAAAAGGCACAAGTTGAAAAAACACCCTTCTGGAAGGCTCCTAATGGCGACTTTCATTGCCGTTCTCAGATCATTCACCTTGTCCTCCATTGAGCCGGAACAATCAATGACAAAGAGGATCTCGCATTTTGAATGGTCCGTAGGACTGGCATTCCTGGCAAAGTCTTGTGGCGAGATGGTGACCATAATAGCACTGTGGTCGTCGTACTTCGGATGGGGCTCCATGAAAACTTTGGTATTGCTAATGCTTTCCTTCGGAGAAATCAACAGGATGAAGTCACCCTTCAGCTCCGCTGACCGATTGGACAGCGTGGCATTTGCTTTTCGCAGGTCTGTCTCGGTGTTCATATCCTTGAGACTGGTAGATGCCTGTGGAAATGTCAGACATAGGTGTTGAGAGATTGGACGGGACGCGAACCGTTGAGCCCATCGTCACCGATATTGGATGGCTTCGGCTTGCCAGACGTGTAATTGGAACGGGGAAGGAGACGTCGACATTAATCTCCAGCCCTTGTTCTTCAACAGTGCTGTTGCTTTCGGAGTAGCCATCGGGAGGCGTGCCGTAACGAGAAGCTATCGACATCGGAAGAACGAATATCACGTCCTTACTCAACAAGTCTACCTTTAGCTCGGAGATGTACGATACCTCGACTCTAATAATTTCCTTCGCAGGGATACTTCCAATATGAGTCTCAAAGATTTCCGGAGTGTGCTCTTCTAACATCGCAGCGACCTTTTGGCGAGTGACTGCTTTTTCAAATTCCGCCTTCGCTTTCTGCTTTGGTTCAACAACTCCCTCAATGACACGATTTTTTCCAATGAAGCATTTGAATTTGTGGACCACAGATCCCTCATAGAGCGGGAACGAATAGCTAGCATGCTCGATTGGTGTGTTGTTGAGATTCTGAAAACTTTGCGTGACGACCGTTTCGGCTACCATGGCTTTGATGGACACATTTGCTGAGACTCGGAGAGCTGGCAGATAGATTCTGTCCGGATGGGGTTGGGGTGAAGGTGAAGGTGGGAGATGTGCCTCGATTTGATGATGCTGTACCATGCTGACAGGCATGGTTGCGGCATTGACAAATGCGCGGCGACTTGGACCATTCACGTGCAGACCCTTATGGTTGACTTGGTCCGTTTCGTGGACAACATTTTCTCGCGGATCGTTGAAATAGAAGATTCCCGAAGGACAGTTGGCTTTGTCGTAGGCATAGCTCCAGGGTGATGCCATGTCGTGCTGAGGATTCAGATAAACATTGAAGGACAAGGCTGAGGACGAAGTGAGTGCAGAAAATCTACGTGTCCAGCGCGCGTGAAATCTTTTCTAATTTATCAGCCGGTTCTCACCGCCTCAAATACTATTGGCAGCTTTTGCATCGCTACTGCAATGCTGGCTGTTGCCTATCCACTCACAAGGGTAGCCCCACCTGGCGGGGCTGTGCATGGTTACACATCACAATACGAGGCCACAGAGAAACACCTACGAGGCTGAAAACCCCGATCGCAATACTCAGACCTTGACTTGAGGAACACGTTTCATCACTCAGAATTAAAAACCACCCATCAATATGGCCCAACCGATTTCTATTGGCGACGCCTACCTCCTAGCCAAGCTTTCATGGCGGATTGGCCGGGCACTGAGTTCTGGCCGCAAGGCTGCTGCGACTGAAATAGGCGAAGTGCAGAACCAGCTTTTTGCGCTCGGAAAAGCGTTGGATGTTTCTAGCGACGTCTATTCGCGGAACAAGATACTCGGCGAAAACCAGTCTTTCCAAACGATGCTATCAAACTGCCGTGAAACGCTTCGGCATCTTGAAAAGTTGATGGAAAAGTACAAAGACGTCGACAACCCCACACAACCAGAAGACGATCTCCCGCTGAGATTGAAAGAGACTGTGATCCGCAATTGGACCAAGATAAAGTGGACAACGAAGGGCGGCGACGTATCAGATCTGCGTGACGCCTTGGGTGCTCATATCAACGCCATCAACCTCACTCTGTCGGCCCTTAACCTTGAAAGAGGTCGGGAGATAGAGCTTCGAACAGGCCGCATCCTTCAAATGGCCGAGGAGATGTATCTCTCATGGAAGCACCAGAAGCCGGCTCCGGCCACCGCATCAAAACATACGACGGGGCCGCCGTCTGGAACACTTGCGCGGGCAACCATCTACATCCAAACGGAACCATCTAAAGAACCTCAAATGATCTGTCCTCGGGCGTTGATACGACTCAAGTGCGTTCAGGAATCCCCGCTCGAAGGCGCCGGACTTTTCGAATGCGCATGCAAGGAGGATCGGCAGCCCCACGCCGAAGACCTCTCCCTCACAATCCGAGACTCAAGCTTCTTGATTCGAACACCCGGTCAGAGGCCGTCCTGGGAGATTCAACTCTATTCTGAAGTTCTTGGTAGAACAGTGCAAGCTATCATTTCAAACCTGGCGGCCTCAAAAACCGGGGAATTCGAGGAATTCATCCATGCTCTTGCTTTTAGACAAGGCGAGAACATGATCAACCAGGGCATAAGCTCTCCCTTGGCTTTCATTGGACTAGAAAGATCTTTAGAAGGAGACGAGCAATATCTTTCAGTGTTGAAGATGCAAGCCAAGATGAGTGGGTTCGAAAACAGCATTGCTGAAGTTACATTCGACACCAGCGGAACCATGCCTCCACTCACCCTGAGAAACATCCAGTCTATGCATCTCCTTCATTATTTCTCTTTCTGTCTGCGTAGCTCTGGCCAAGGAGGCAAAGACAAGCAGTACGCCGAGCTGTCTTTCGAAGTGCCGGATGCCGCACATACTCACGCGGCCTCCCGTTACACTGTCCAGGGTGAGCTCCCAAAGTAAAATTGCCACCCAGTTCAATCACTAATCTTACGATACAGTCCACTACTTCACGGAAGTTGATGTCAACACCGTGCACAGGAACGTATTCATCGACGATGTTCTGTGCGCGGAGGACGGCGATACCTCCTCACAGCTCAAAGCAGACGTACAAATTCATTTCGATTCTACTGAAGGTGATATCTACAAAACCAGCGCATTACCATACACACTTGCATCTAACAAATGACTTCAGCCGCCGAAAACTTTGCAAGTTGTCTCCGTCTGATTCAGGCCGAGCTCTTCCTTTCGTACTTGCGCTCTGAACGAGTGGGCGAATCACTGCTCTTCACGAAGTAAGTGCAATCCAACCAATCAAAATGCCGTTGTTCTGATCATATATTCTACAGACCCTTGGGAAACTGCAAGATTCATGAATATCTTCTTCTCGATACAACAGCAACTGGCATCCGAGACGATGTCACGGGAGAGGAGCGCGTCATCGTTGCAAACAACTCGAAAGCACTTTCCGTTTGCATTCCCTGTAAGCATACCGTAGTAAGGCTCTAGATTCTGTCAGTTGTAACTGAATTTTCATCAGCACCTTCACTTTCTGCTGCCGCCGGCCCAGAGCTGTCTCCCGAGAGTCAGCTGATCGTAGTCCAGATCAGTGCGGATAGAACGTCAATCATTCCACTGAATGCAGATACAACCTTCATGCAGGTAGGATCAAGCGGTGGTTTAGGTGCTGGGGAGCTCGAATGATAAATGGTAGGCGTGGGCTGACATAATTTTCCCTCTTGCTATTCGGTTAATTCGGTCGTTGTTATGGGAGCAAGGACTCATTCTGCTATCTTTCTACAGCCTGCATTTTACTCTTTCGAGAATGCATAAAGTACGGAAGTCAAACCTTTGATCGTAAACATTTGGTCTCTCTCCCGAATCCCTTAAATCTCCATTAACAAAGACGGAATCCGATGTTCTTAAGCTTAAGTATGATGCGCACTGTAAGATTCGCTTAAATGTTAAGCCGCTTAAACCATGTAGGTGGCTTGCCAGGGTATTCAGCCGACTCAAGGAAACACGATGGAGCCCTTAACGTTTGACCAATTATTTGCATACACCTCACTTTCATACCGCCACTTGGTTGCTTCTTTCATCTATTTTGTGGCAGTGCTAAGCGAACTCCTTATTTCTGCACCTGCTGTTAATCTGCTTAAAGAGGGGCTCCCGGACGGTGAACTCGGTGTCTTTACTTTTACTAGTGCCGCAAACGCTTCTGTAATGGCATTTTCCACACAATCGGTTCTTTTCGCAGCATAGGTCGGACCATGGAATTTCTTTGCCATCTGACTTAACGAAGTTTTGGACGGCAGGAAATAAGGAGGTTTTGCAGAATGCTAAAAGCTTTGGGTTTATTGAGCAGGGAAAAAAGAGGATCCTTCGGGGATCATCAGCTTACGGTGGAGGTAGGCATAACCAGAGGTGGAGCGAGTGGAGATGCAGGGATGCTGCAAGTTTTGGGGCGGAAGCTAACTTAATGTGAAGTGAATGAAAAGGCGATTTTTTGATCCCTATCGCTGCCTATATGCTAACACTATAGCTCCTGTTGGCCCATACCTCTCCATCAGCACGATGCGCAGTCTCCAGGTCCTCATCTGAATGCTGCGGTCCGACTACTCGGAGAATTAGCCAGAACTGCTGCATTTTGGACCCCACGCCCAGCAATACGTTGCGGACTTGGCACGACTAGCTTTTTCAGACTAGCTTCTAATGGTCAAGGGCACGCTGACGGGCGTTCAGCTTCGGCGGCTGTGCGCGCGTGCCGGTGCCCATCCCGCCAATGGGTTCCTGCCGTTTAGCCAGGTACAACTCTGGACCTTGATCGATTTGCTCTGATCGCTGCCGTCGCGCCGGTAACTGGCATGGTTTAAGAGGTACAGTGAAACCAAGCAATCTATCAATAAATCCTTTCGCGGTTTCTTGATGCAAGGCAGCCACGTTCTTGCAACAATTGTCTGCCACCGTTACGCTTGTCAGACTGCAATTTGAGGTCCTTTTCACCTCGACTAAAGGATCACGCATCCTTTTCTCCTCCTTCCTGTCGCTACTCTGCCATCTTGAACGATCTTTGCACATGAGATTTTGATGGTGTTCTAACTGCAGCCATCATGATGCGGCTATCCTTTCTCTCCGCTGCCCTATTCCACATGTCAAATGTGGCATCGGCAGCCAGCCTCACAGGTGAGCGCGCGAGGTTCCCATTGGGATGTTTCAGACTGATCTGAACATGGGAACAGCAAGCTATCGAAACTCTTCAACAGCAGCAGCGCCAGCAACGCCGCAAATCACGCCAAGTCCTACGAATGTTCTTAGCAATGGCACCTGTAGCGCCGAGTGCTTGCTCTTGATACCGTTTTGTGAAGACTGGTACTGGAGCAAGCTGTACGTCTCAACGACGTTGACGGCAGCAACCAAGTATATCGTCATCAACAGAAAGACGAACACGACTTCGACAAAGATCGTGTATGCAGATCTCCCGGACGGTTACACATTGCCGCCGACGAATGCCGAGGGTACGCAGGCAACAGTCACGACGTTTGGAGACCTGTCGACGACGATCGCATATCCCACGCCGTACCTGAGCTGGGACTCTGGATACTCCTGGTCCGGAACACTGCCTACTGTGGACGGGAGTAGCTCGTCTATCTGTTCAACGGTGACGGGTAGTGTTTCAACAACCAAAACATACACAGGTAGCTCGCAAACCCAAATAAGAACGCACTATTCGACCGAAACCTACAGCAACGGGTCAATCGATGTTTCTACCAGGTACGACTGGCAGTGGGTTCCGACGACAACATATGTCAGCTCCTTCGAGACGGGGTCATATGCCACGGTCCTGTACGGCGACACGTTCCAGCGCACCGTGCCACCGGTCGACTCTGCTGATCCTTACGGCTTCCTGTAAGCAGGCCCCTCCTCCATGTTTGCTATTTTGATACTTACCTTTCTCCAGATATACCTTGGTCGCAAACTACACTCTCCTCTGGCCCAAGTCGATCGAGACAGATGCGGCGTACCTCTCGTGCAGCACGCCGAATTACCCTGCCCCTGCCGAGGCTCTGCAGACTGCGTCGTTCATCACCGAGACCTCAACCTCATTCGAAGACGGCGACGACGAGCCGACAACCGCAGCACCGCCACCAACCAGCTCCCCGGATGAACCAGAGACCTCCCCAACACAGCCACCGGCGGAAACCAGCCCCACGGAAGGCACGAAGCAGCTGTCCCCCGCACCAACAGCCCAGCCTCCCCCCGCCGAAACCGCTGCTCCAATTACCCAAAACCCAGAGACGACGAACGACAACGACGATGACAACAACCCCCCTCCCCAGACCATCGGCACCGTCCAACCCCCCGCCGAACAAAACTCGCCCACAACCGGCGCCGGACCTGCAGTGTCCGCAGTACAACCACCCGCCAGCAACCCCGTCGTCCCCCCGCCCTCAACCTTCCAAACCGTCGACATCCCCACCACCGCCCCCGACGGCTCGCCCACCACCGCTCCGGGAATCATCATCGGCGACCAGACGCAACCCATCATCTCGACCGTCATCCCCGCCCCCTCGTCTCAGGCCGCTCCGCCACCACCAGGCGAGACGACCGCCGCTGCGGCACCGCCAGCATCCTCGATCCCCGCCATCGTCGTCGGTTCGCAGACCATCACGGCGGGTCAGACCGCGACGATCGGCACCGTGCCCGTCGTCGTGCCTGTGCCCACGTCGACCGCTGGGCAGGAAGGAAGCCCAGATGCACCAGCGACCTTGTCTGTCGTGCCTGTCGACCAGCAGCCGCCTGCCTCCGCCCCTCCTGCCGCCGTGACGCTTCCCAACGGCGCCACTGCCATCGTAAACTCCGGAACGCAGGTGGTGGTCGGCGGCAGTCAGACGCTGCAGCCAGGCGCGAACACCATCCCCGGCTCCGGCAGCGGCGGAGGCAGCAGCGCAGCAACCGTCATCCTAACCACCGACGCCGCAGGCAACAGCGTCATCGTCGCGGACGGCAGCACAGCCGCTCTTCCCACCGCCGCCGCTGCACCACCGGCCACTGCGGGCGGCGCCATCGTCACGCTGCCAGGCGGCCAAACCGCCTCCGTCGACAGCGCGTCTCAGGTCGTCGTCGTCGGCGGGCAGACCCTCCAACCAGGAATCAACACCATCGCAGGCGACAGCACGGTCGTCCTAACCACCAACGCCGCCGGCGCCACCGTCATCGTGGCCGACGGCAGTACGGCTGCTCTACCGACTGCCGGCCCTGCGGTGACGGCCGCGGGCGTGGGCGGAGCGGGAGGAATCGTCACGCTGCCGGGCGGCCAGACGGCGTCGGTGAACGGCGCGTCGGAAATCGTCGTCGTTGGCGGGGACGGGGTGACGACGACGCTGAGCGCGGGGGCGAACACGCTCCCCGGTAGCGCGGGGGAGGTAGTGACGCTGACGACGGATGAGGCGGGGAACACGGTGCTCGTTGACGCTGGGGGAAGCGCGGTGACGGTGCCTGCTGGTGGTACGAATGCGGGACCAGTGACGGCGGTTGCGACGTTGCCGGGTGGGCAGGAGGTCGTCGTCGTTGGCGGCGGTGCGGCGTCGGGCGAGGGGTACGTGGTTGATGGGACGACGTTGACGGCTGGCACTAACGTGGTGGATGGCTCGACGGTCGTGCTGACGACGGATGCTGATGGGCAGACGGTCGTCGTTGAAGGGAGTCGGACTGTGGCTCTGACGGGGACGGGAGAAGCGACGGGCGCCGCGTCGACGGGGTTGGGTGGGATGATTTTGAGTGGGTTGGGGGCGTCGGGATCTGGAAAGAGCAGCACAAAGTCGGCGTCGGCGTCGGCGAGTGGTAGCAGCAGCAGCAGCAGTAGGAGCAGGAGCAGCAGCACCGATGCCACGGCAACGTCGTCGGACGGCGCTGCTGCTTCGGCTTCTGAGTCGGCTGGTGCCGCCGCCGCCGGAGCTTTTGGAAAGGTCGGAGGAGGTGGCTGGGGCGTGCTCGTGCAGGGGGTGGGGCTCGTAATGTGTTTGGTGTTCGGCGTGGTTCTGCTTTGAGTGGACTGTACGCGTAAGTTCGAGGGGGGAATATGTAATGGCAGCTGTAACGAGATATGAGGTAGCAAGATTATGCAAACAATGTTAATCATCTCGGTATCGTTCTCCTTGTGTTGGAGTGATCGACCATTGTGAGTCTCGCTGTTGTGACTATCGTGTTCATGGTCACTTACAGATACCGGCCACCATGTCCATATCGGAGATTGTTGCCAAGCATGGTATTGCTACTTTTGATCAAAGGAACGCCGCAGTGGGACTGTTAAGATAACATCTTCATGTTTTCCTTGGTTAAACAAGCAGATTGTCGAGAGCATCCCCACTGCATGACGTTGTCGTCGTCGGCTTACGGGTCTGTCCGTTCACGAGCCTCTCCGTATCTGTGCTTAAAACCGCTTAGTAGCCACGGGCACGCGGGCACATTATCAACCGACGCAGCTGATTCGTCGACGCCGGCTGATCGAGGAGCCGCCTTTTCGCCACAATCCGGGGTAACGCTCCACGCAAGCGCCAGTGTGGGGACCCCACACCCCACGAAATGCAAAAGAGGCAATCTTCTCCAAACCCCAGATAATCGCCCTCCGCACCGTGAGGCCGCCAGCGTTCGTTAGCGTCAAACCCCGACGACTATTTAGCATCGCTGCAATGGCATCACCATCTCGTTCCTGCATCATTTCGGCTCGGGTTCTTTCCTGACACTTGCTCTTCAGCTCATTTTCCGCGTGTGTGCCTGTTATCCTTATCTGATTGCTCTCCATCGGCCGCCGAGAGACAAAATGGAGAAGGCGATCGAGGCTGGCGAAAAGCCTGCGGGCAACGTCGAGCATCATGAGGATATGGGAGTGACACCACACGACGTCCCCGAGAACTTCACTGCTCTGGTCGAAGACATTTCGTACGGTCCGGGCGGAATCCGTGGCATTATCGCGTCTCCGTTCGTCTTTGGTGCCGCATTCCTTGCCTCTCTCGGCGGATTCTCATTCGGTTATGATCAGGGTGTCATTTCCATCATCAACGTCATGGATCAGTTCTTGGACCAGTATCCAGAGCTGAAAGGAGGTACGTAGACGGCCTGTCACAAATTCAATGATCTAGAACTGAAACGAGATAGGCGGCTTTTGGACTGGCTTCATGACAGCTATGCTAGAACTTGGTGCATTCCTCGGCTGTTTCTTCATGCCTTGGTTGGCCGATAAGATTAGCCGCAAGTGGGCACTCAGTGTCGTCGTCATCATCTTCTGCATCGGCGCCATTATCCAAACTGCAGCTCCTAACTACGGAACCCTCGTTTTTGGGCGCTTCTTTGGAGGCATCGGCGTTGGAACACTCGCATTGGTGCGTTTTCGGATCTCCTTCCCTGTGCCAAACCCTTTACTGATTTCTCCAGGGCGCCCCGCTGTACATTTCAGAGATCGCTCCGCCGCATCTGCGTGGCGCTCTACTGGTGCTCGAGTCCGTGTCAATCGTACTTGGCGCTGTCGTGGCATACTGGATAACGTATGCTACGAGGCACCTGGAAGGAGACATTGCCTTCCGCCTGCCGTTCGGCCTTCAGATGGTCTGCGCCGTTTTCCTCGGCACTTGCATTCACTTTTTCCCTTACAGCCCGCGCTGGCTGGGTCTTGTTGGTCGTGAGGCGGAATGTCTGCAAAGTCTGTCCAAGCTGCGGCGTCTTCCACCGACCGACTGGCGCATCAAGGCTGAATTCCAAGCCATCATCACTGAAGTCGAGTTTCAGAAGAAGATGCTGGACAGACGCCATCCGGGCGTGACCGGCTTCAAGCTTGAGATCGCGACCTGGCTGGACCTTTTCAAGAGCCGCAGGCGTGTCGCCATCGGCGTAGGCGTCGCATTCTTCCAGCAGTTCTCCGGTAAGCGCAACCTCTTTTCTCATCCAAGCCCAAAACTCACCCCTCTCAGGTATCAATGGCTTCATCTACTACGCGCCTCTTCTCTTCCGCAGTCTCGGTCAGGACAGCGAGATGTCGCTGATCCTGTCTGGCATGATCAACATCGGCCAGCTCGTCGCCGTCGTGCTTTGCTTCTTCATCATCGACCACGTTGGTCGCCGTCCGTTAGCTATCTGGGGCGCCATCGGCATGGCGGTACCGTACATTATTATGAGCGCTCTTGTTGGCGAGTTCTCGCACGACTGGCCCGGCCACTCGGCCGCCGGGTGGGTTACCTGCGGCTTCGCCTACGTCTACATCATCGCATACGGCGTCTCGTATTCGCCTCTCGCATGGGTACGTCCTCCCTCGTATTCGTGCCCCTCCCTCCAACCGCCTTAAATATTTATCCGCTCCTTGGGTTTGTAAGCTGACATCTATTCAAGGCGCTTCCGGCCGAGGTCTTTTCGAATAGCACTCGCGCAAAGGGTGTTGCACTGTCGACGGCGACGGTATGGCTGTGCAACTTCATCATTGGCGTTATCGTGCCTGTTATGATTGAGAACGCCGGGTACGGCACCTACGTCTTCTTCGCCATCATGTGCATCCTGGCCGCCATCTGGGCTTTCTTTCTCGTCCCGGAAACCAAGGGCAAGACGCTCGAGGAGATGGACGATGTGTTTGGCGATAGCACGGCGCACGAGGAACGCGAGGTCATGGCTGAAGTTTTGAGGAATGGCGAGACGCGAACGGCTGACGCCGTGATCAATGAGAAGGTGGCCCAGACGGTGGCGGCTTGAAGGCTGGTATTGGTATAGACACTTGAATGTGAAATAACTGCGCTTCAATTTTTAGCCATTTGTTAGCTTGAAAGTTTTCTCGAATCCTTCCCATTGTTGGTCCTTCAACTCTTCTATCAGAGATGCTCTTCTAGAACTCAGGCATCACGCTGGCATTGACGGTACGCTAAATTAACACGCAGCTTTGCCGCCATGCGCAAATCACAAAAACTCTACCGCAGCCCGTCCGCCGTCTTTTGTGCGGCGAAAAACGGTGGTTGGAAAACCTCGGGTATCTCGGTAGCTTCTCTTTATCTACAGGCTGTGTGGTCATAGCATAGTATGTTAGGCGTCAAGCCGGATCTACGCCTGCAGCGTAGGCGAGAGTGACGCGGACGTCTTCGCCCGAACAAACGGCGATCGAGGCAAAGACGGCGGCCCTAAAGAACGGCTAGCCGGGTCTGGCAGCACCAGACTGGCTCAGGCTGACGCACGAACCCTGCTATTCCGCACCTCTGGTTGGCCCCGCAGGCATGCTAGCGGGGGCTTGCACCGCGGGCGCGAGCAAAAAGGTAGCACAGATCCGCCATTGCTCAAACCCACTTCGCCGGCCCCATTCGAACATCCGGCTTTGCAACGCAAAATGAATACTTCGTGGTATGCAAGGCGCAAGACACGTAACACTCCGGACGAGGCTGACACTTATCGTCCGACCTGCAGTAATAACTGCCGAACCAGGCACTACAAATGTCCGTCTTCTCCGGGTATGACGCCAGCGAACAGGGCTGCGCTGATGGGCTGCAGGCGACGGCAAGGTGCCTCAGTGTGGCAGATGCGAGCGGACTGGTCGACCCTGTATCCGCGAAACCCGCTGGAAGTTCAAGCACCGCCAGTTCCCTCAGACCGACCTGCAGAAGCAAAAGTGGCTTCCCGTGCCCCCCAAAGGTTCACTGTCTTTCGCCAGCCGCCACCTCCCGAAACACTGACCAGCAACAGTTGACTTCATTGCGGAGAACGGCATCGATGGCCCGGATTCAGACGAGGAATTCAACGGGGAAGAGGATGCCGCTAACACTGCCGGCATTGTTACTAACAATGTCATCTCGTTGGATGCTGACATAATTTTGGACCCCCTACTGGTATGTGTCGGCTGCGAGGCAGGCTTCTGCGTTGTAACACACACACTGAAACTCCTGCCACCAGACCCATCCAACACCATCGTTTCCATCGGCCAACCATGACGACCCCGAATCCCTCTCGCCATTCATCTCACTCACCGCATCGGCATCCTGGCTAGCTGACGTCGAGAGGCTGCATTCGATAGCAATCAGCACCCCTCAGTCGGCCGTGAGCACACCAGGGCGACTGCAAAAACTCAATCAATGGCCACTCCCAGTCGAAGAAGAAGCAATGCTGCTTCGATACTTCATCGACAACGTATCACGATTCGTACGACTCTCCCCCTTATTTCCTACCCGACTGTCCAGCACAACTCACACCACCTCCCAGTTCGACGTCAGCGAGCCGATCCAGTACTTCCGCGTCGACATCCCGCAGCGGGCGCGCACGAACGCAACCCTGGCCAACGCCATCATGGCCCTGTCCTCGCGCATACTGCAGTGGAAAGAAGGCTACAACCCGCACGTCGCCGACCGATACTACCAGAAGTGCCTCGAAGCGCTCATCCCGGCCCTCAGTGACGAGGCGCTCGTCATGGACGACACGCTGCTGGCCGCTACGATATTCCTCCGCATGCTCGAGGAAATGGACTGTAAGTGTTGCCCATCACCACACTACTCCTAGGACAACCCTCCCAGCTAGGACTCTCCCCTCCACACCTCGCCTCCCCCTCTCTGTCCACCCCTCCATTCTAACTAGCTACGCTCCCACCTCCAGCCCACATCTCCGGCCTCGACGACGGCGGCCGCCACCTCAGCGGCACCCAGGCCATCATCAGCGTCGCGACCGACGCCCACCACCAAAACCCCTCCTCCACCTCAGCCAACCCCCCAACCGGCTTCCGCCTCGCCGCCTACTGGACCGCCTTCCGCCAAGAGCTCTGGCTCGCGCTCCACAAACGCCAACCCGTCACCCTCTCCGTCCGCCGCGTCTGCGGCTTCGTCGACGACTACTCGGACGACTACTCCTCCAACGGCTTCGACCACCACCTCCGCAATCACATCCACCAGCACCACCCCTCCCCTCGCAGCGGCGTTGGCAGCGTCGGCGTCTTCTCCGCCCCAGCCCCCGACTGGATCTGGACGCAGCGCGCCGTCGCGCACTGCGGGGACACGCTCGATTGTATCTTTGGGGATTTTGAGAGGGCCGAGGGGATGAGGCGGTGGCGCACGCTCGTCGCGGATAATGAGCGGTGGTGGCGCAATGTGCCGCGCAGCTTTGGGCCGTTTTTTGGGGGGTTTGAGGGGGAGGTTGGGGAGGTTGGGGTGGGGACGCCGACGGGGGAGAGGGGGGTAGGAGGAGGAGCAGGAGGAGCGGGAGGGTTTCCCGAGTTGAGGTGTCATTTGGAGTGGCATGGTGAGTGTGTCTTTCTCTTTTTCCTGGGTGGGTGAGGGAAGATGGGGAGAAAGGGCTGTTGGCTGATGAGAAGGCAGTCATGGGGTTCGCGTATATCGTTCTTGCGCGGTTGCTGCTCATCGTGCATGATCCGACAGTCCCGACTCTGGGACCGCAGCGCCGGCGTGCGATTGCGGAGATTGACGTAAGTGTTCTCATCCATCTCACGGCGTGCTACGGTCTAGGTTACGCATCACGGTTCTGACGAAAAGCGGCTACACAGAAAAAAGCCAGGCGCGACGTTCGGATCTTGTGCGGTATCGGCCTGTCGAACGACGCAGTGCCACCGGCTATTCTTATTTCCTGCATGGCCGTCACACTCTGTAAGCGACAGCGGTCCAGTGTTCCCCCCTTGGACCAGCACGCTAACCCGTCTCCCGTACAGTTGCCGATCGCTTCACGAACCAAACCGAACAAGAGCGCCTTTACTGGGTGCTGCTTGAGACGGAGAGGCGGCATGGATGGCCCACTGCTCAGGCACGAGCCCAGCTCAAGGAGATGTGGGGATGCTGATGACATATTGCACCACGATTTCGGCAATACGGAACTATGAATCGAGACTCTCATCCGAAAAAGACCCACAAGAATCACAACACCGCGTCCCACCATCTCAGCCGGGAGAGGTCGAGATGGTAAGGCCTTCGGCGCGAAGTGACGGGGACGGTGATCCTTCCGCGGATATAGCCATGCTAGAGAATATTCGGGCACGACTTCACTCGGTGGGCCAATCGCAGGGCTCGCGATAAGCGGTTGGGCTCTTAAGATACCGTGTTCTAGGTGTTCACTTAATCTTTTCGAGTAAGTGGGCTGTTGAGATTGATTAACAATCCAAAGATAGAAGAGGGCGTCGGCCGAGGGATTACTTCGGCAAAACCACATGTGGACAAGTGCGAGAATACTCACCTGTCACTCAAGCCACTGGGAAGTCGAAGCGTTAAAGTATCAGGAGTTTCTCCGGGGAGTCTGGTTCGATTATCGGCTTCGGATGTTCGCAGATACCCGATTGCCATGTGGTTGTGGCAAACTCCTATGGTTTACTAACGCTTCCGCTGGGATACGGAACGGCTCCGAATACGATGGAACTTTTGAGAGAATGACGCAAAGCAAGCGAGCTAAATGATTATCAAAAGCTTTTATCCGCCTACCCTTTCCGGCAAAATCGAACCGAGCATCAGAGAATGTCTGCCATCGAGACGGCAAAGATCTTGTCGCAATACTTGATGAAACCCGACCGTATTGGATGCGCTGGATGAGTGGCATGAGGACTGAGAGGGTGGTTAACCGGGTGACGGCTACATACCCTGTTAAGCTGATTAAGCTAACTACGAAGCTATTACAACACACAGTGCAACAAATCCCTACTGATGACGATCAGCTTCGTCAGGCAGTCCGCCTATACGCCTCAATCGACTCATTGCTCTCCAATATACCCATATGCTCCCTAATAATACGCTGACGTGATGCAAGCTCGACCTAACTCTCACTTTACTCGTCCCGAACCTCAAGACCTCCGGCATCAGTAACTACCTGTGCGACACAAACTCTGTCCATCTCTGGCACTATTTGAACCCCGAACCTCACCGTCTCCCTCCCAGAAGTGCGTATCCAACGTTGCACGTCCTCGTCATTAGCATTCGTGCCTCTTTCCAATATCATCTCCGTCTCCGGCGCCACGAGCTGAGAGATAGCTTGCCAAGCGTTGTTCAGCCTGCTATACCGCGTTTCTCTGATGAAACATACCAACGCGGCTGCGAACAAGAACAAGTGCAGCAGGAGGTTCGCCACGACGATGAGAAATCCTGTGGAGAATGAGGGCACCTGCCTCGACATGATCAGGCTGGTCGACACGGGCTCGGAGCGGGTGAAGATGTGAAGCCAATCGTGGTAGGCTGCGCTCATCAAGGAAGTGGTGAGGGCCTGCCAGGCAAGGGCGGGGTCGTCCGTATCATGAAGGACATCGTTTACAAGTGCAGTCCAGCCCTGATCCAGGGAAGTAGTTGTCTGGTTGCAGGTATCGCAGAAGTAGACCATCCAAGGTGGTTCCGTAGAAGAGGCTTTCTGCGCTCCTGGACCGACTATTGGGTTCCATACCAAGCTGTTGAGGAAATCGGAAGTTATGGTCTTCAAATCGAACGAGCTTGAGAGATTCATTTTTAGACCATCTGCGTTTTCTTAGTATTCGTTTTATGTAGAGAGTAGGTGATTTCTTACGCCAGTCGGTGCTATGGAGATTGCGATTAGGATTCCACTGTTCAATGTAGCCCTTCATTCTATCTTTTATTGGCCTCATGTCAAGCTCAAAAACACCCCGGTCAATTCTTATAGAGCTCATAGCCCCGAGATAGTGCCGTAGATTTGTCGTATCGAACCTTTCACGGTTGAAGTCCCATGTAGGAATTAGATCTCTAAACTTGTCCAGTTCCTTTTTGTGAGCCTTGATGGGGAAGTCTTGAGCATGGTAGAGCCGTTCGGATGGAAGGAAATGGTACCTGTAGGTGATCAGCACATGGTCTAAAGTTATGTTGAAGGCAGACTCTGTACTCACATGGCATCGAAGCATAATGAAACAGTGATGGAGTAGTCATTCGAGTTACGGGGTGTGTACTCAAGCCAAGTGCCTCTTTCATGTTCCGAGACATTAAGCTCTGATTGTTCCTGCCAATCTTGTGGTACCGGCACCTCGTTCAGTCCGCGGGTCCTAAGGAATATAAATGAGTGTCCGAGTTCTACTGCCCAGTGCGTGGTGTCAGCAGTAGAACTACCGGTCCAATGCGATACATTATACGACGTGCCACTGCTGTTCGATCGTGTTTCCGTGACGAGAGTATTTTCCAACGTTTCATTGTTTGTTGGATCAAATTGATTCACAAGGCCGCCTGTCCCCACAGGGAACCCGCAGACCACGGCAGATGAATCAGCTCCTTTCGACAACAACCCTTCCAAAGGACATTCGAACTCAGTTTTAGTCCCACTGCTGAGCCTCAGAATATCTGACAAGTCTTTTGGCAATTGGGAAGGCGACATGTAACCTGAAAAGGTGAGTATCCGATCATTCGGTGCGTCTGAGCGTCTGGCTTCGCCGATGCGAAAAGTAGCATCTGAAATGTCCGGCCTGACGCACGCAACCCGAGCATCAAACAAGGCGGCAGTTCCTTCGTAACTCGCAACAGGCAAGTTCTGTAGATCCAACGGTAGCAGTGCCCGAGCGGTCGGTCCCGTATCCGCTACGGAGTCCGGAAGAGAAGATGGTCTTTCCGCCCATTCGGCAACTGGTGCGAAACCACGCGGTGCCGAGGCCCAGTGGTCGTGATCCTTTGAGAGGGATGCAGGGAAAGCGTCAACGTAATCCTGCAGAGAAAATCCCACTCTTGTCTCGTTGGTCGAGGGGAATCCACGCACTTCTCTGGTGCGTACGTCCCACAGAAGGAGCGTAGACGTGAACTGCGACACAAGGGAGGAGAGCGCGAGAAAAGCGACGATAAGAAACACCTTGATGCCTTTCAGTCCCTCAAGGTTCTTCCAGAACTGCCGGACGGATGCAACAGGACCGGTGTTGCTGTGGCGCATGATTGAATAGCTCGCTGTTTGCCGCAAGAGCACGCCGCCGCAAGGTCTGCCGGAAGACTCAAGAGAGACCGCAGCAAGCATCGCCACAGCTGTCCCTGCTTGTACTGCAACCGCAAGCCGGATCGTAATCGTGGACAGAGTCACCACTTGTCCGACAAACTCGTTCAATATGACTGTGCGCCAGCTCTCGTTTTTCTCTCCGCCAAACCAGAGGAAAGAAAGAACCATAAGGGCCCCGAGAAGTGCAACGACAGAAAAACTGTTGGTCGCTATGAGTTCGGTACCGAAACGCTGGATGAGCCCAGGATCTGCATTTGCCGTGCAGGGCGAAGATCCTTCCTCTTCTATTTGCTGGGCATCTCGGCTCTTCGATGGTCGCAGTGAGGCTGATGAGGATGACTTGCTGATACATGACGTTGAGCTGTATGAAGTATGTTCGCTGGAGGCATACGCGAAAGAGCCGTGTGGCGAGCTGGTAAATTCGGCCATGCTGGAGACTTGAGCAATGGTGACACTGTGTTGCAGATAACGTCTGGTGCAGATTTTAGGGACACATAACTCGATCAGGCTGAAGAGGATGATGAGGCACTACATGAACCACGGCATATGCGGAAGACACGGCGACCTTCTACCAGACCCGCGGATTTCTTCATGCAGAAGTCGTGACTATTTTGGTCCGAAACATTTCCATTTTTGGAACCCCCACGAGTTTTGCAATTTCATAGGCCACGCTCGACAGGGTAGAGGTGCATTGTGTAGACTTGCGTAGCTGTACTATTTTGGGGAATGCATTACTGCCTGATAGCCAGTCGTTGAACCCTGCCGTTTTTCTGCTCTGAGACTAGTCCGGTTGCACATGCTGACTGGAAACGTGGACAGCGGACTCTATTCCCGCCGAGGCTTACCTTCCGATTATTGGGCAAGAATAGTAACAATCTTGTTAGAGTGCGGAGAGCCGCACTCGCTTATAGTAGTCACCCGGGATTAAATTACTAATTGAGCTATCAATGTATTTCGCTATTTCCTAGCTCCTCAGAGAGTTCATATACCCGCAATTCGAAACGGTGGAACAATCCAAATGCCAAGAGTATAAAGGATGAGATGAGATGTGGTAGATATTTGCATATGCTTAAGTCACCGTAACTCCATCGTAGCATTTAAGATGAGTGCTGATTTCAGACATTAGCGGCATAAAGTAATATCTCAATTCGATGGTCTCCGCCGTTGACTACACTGAGTTGCTTAACACCAGTTGTAAGTTTGCCAAAAAAAAAAATTGAAAAAGATCATGGAGAGGGTATACATTCCGGTATAAATTCGGTCCATTGCGTAGTCTGGCGCGCTTAGTATTCGCCCGTGCAAGAGAAGGTGCGCCGGTGCGGTGTGTGGATGTCATTATCCTTACACGCTTACGTAGCAAATGGTGAGGCTAATGGATTTCGCTTCTGTTGAGGTCGATCGTCTGTAGGTGGCGCAGCACCTCATATGCCATTCATCCTACGTAGCTGAATAGGCATTTCCATACATTTATTGGTCAATTTATGGTGAATCTTCGTTTCTTCTTTCTTGGCGTTGTGGGGCCTGTGACACGTGGACAATGCTTTCATTCGTGGCAAGGCTTGGCATGGAATTGTAGGCAACAGCCAGTGGACTACTAAATACTTACATCTTGATCATTCTATGTCCGTACCAGTTTCACAATCGCTTACGAATCATCAGTCCTCCCAATCGATTGTTCCTCAGAACTCCCACACTCCCACATCCACTCTCTGTTCATACACCCAGGATGTTTGAGCCACCACATCAAAATCCAAAACGCCAGCCACGGCTGGATCATCAAGCCAAAGAAGAGAATACCAGAACAGAGCACGGCTCATGCCCACTTTCAGAAGACTCTGGTGCCCCTTGTACATGGTGCTCGCGAATAAAGCTTCGTTGCCCTGGTGGCGTTGCTCACGAGGAAATGGTTATGAATGGACCACTTTTCCAGGATCTTTTTCACGGCAACTGCGACTGTTTTCTTGAGAATAACCTACTTCCAAACTCCACGTGTGGGTTCTGTCGGCACTTGAACTTCAAACATCTTTTCAATTGCGTCTTTCGATATGACAAGATCCGGCACCACTGCGAAAAGGACAGATTGAATGAGTGTCCCAATATCTGTACCGACTGGTACTGCAAGGAAGGCTTACTGAATAAGTGCCCGGTTTGCAGGCTCGTGGCAACTGAATTTGGACATGAAAGCATCTCGGAGGTTTTGCTTTTAGTCAGGGAAAACTGGTCACAGGACAGCCCTCCCGTGTTATGCTTCCGGGGAGGCGAGGAATCTCAGCACGAAATAGCCTTTCGGGTTTCAACCCATTCATGGCCCCAGATTGGTAGTAAAGTTGACTGGAACCGGATTCGAACTTGGCCATTGAGTCAATCGGAATATAGAACGAGATTCCTACCGATTTCAACTAGACGTTCCTCAAGGTCTTCGTTTGCGCTGGAGGATCTTCTAGACACGTTTCGGGTCATGGATATGGCGAGGAATTGCATCGTCTGTCCGGAATATCCGGTAGATTACGTTGCGCTTAGCTATGTCTGGGGCCGAACGTCCGAAAACGAATTCCAGGCAACACTTCGCAACATCGAAGGACTGGAGCTCGAAGGAAGCCTATCTCAGATACAAATCCCACGTACGATACAAGATGCAATGTTCGTATGCCGTCAACTCGGCCAAAGATACCTCTGGGTTGATCGATTTTGTATACTCCAGGATGACGAGGACTCCAAACATGGGCAGATTGCTGCTATGGATCGCATTTTTGGGACTGCAGTATTCACTATCGTAGCCCTCACCGGATCCGACTCCCAAAGTGGCTTGGCAGGAGTCTCAAGGTTGCGACACACCCGTCTCAAGACGCTTGAATGGCCAGGTTTCAATTTGATAGAAGACCCTCCCCTGCTGAAAGATCTTGTACAGAAATCAACTTGGGGTAAAAGAGGATGGACGTTTCAGGAGGAGCTCTTCTCAAACATTATTTTGTATTTCACCGATCACGGGGTATACCAATCCTCGTATATTCTACCACACCACTCCTTGGGAAGTACAAATAGCGAATGCTATTTTCACCCTACTCAATGGGCGGGTACACGTGAGAATACCATCGGATCCCTTAAGATCATCGAGAAGTATACAACGCGTTCACTTTCATTCCAGGACGACATTTTACGAGCATGCACCGGGGTTCTGAACTGTTTTCGTGGAAGTCATTATTTCGGGATTCCGTTTGACGAATTTGCAGCGGGGATCCACTGGCAGCCGGTTGACTGGACGCACGAAAGAAGAACTTCCTTAACAGAAGTTTTTCCAAGCTGGTCATGGTCTTCCGCGCATGGGCCGGTCAAGTTTGAAAGTCTAATCATATTTGTGTCTCTATGGGCATTTCCATCCCCTTCAAAACCTGGAGAGCATGAAGCGCTGGAATGGATTTCTGACCACAATCCTCTGAAATCCTTAGATGACGTAGAGATTCCAAGCATACTTGAAGACTTCCCAAGTACTTCTTCGCTCTCTGTGTTTGAAGAACATGATCGAAAAAGAGCGCATGAGAGGCCTGGCCGCCTTCTCGTGTTCACCCAAGTCACTACCTTTGGCATCCGGAACATGCACAACCTCTTCTCTGATGGACGTCGTACGTTCTCAATCAGGTCGTTCCAGGGGAAACATGTTGGCGATATTTGGCTTACCGCTCCATCATCCGAGGACATAAAAGGGGATAACGACGTTCCCAGGAAGGAACCTTTTGAATTTTTGGCTCTCGGTTGTGAAATTGCAGATTTCTATATGGGCACTGGGCAAGATGATCTTCTAAGTTCGATGGAACAAATGATGGATGATAAAAGACTCGATCGGACGGCCATAATCCCTCTTGTGGCAATGTTCGTAATGCTGATCCTTCGGGATGAAGTCAGCGGGGTGGCTCGCCGGCTAGGTATTGGAAAGGTCTTCATGGAAGCATGGCTGAAGGCAAAGCCGGAATTTAAGACTATTGTTCTTGAATAGGTACTCGGGCTTGGATCTGGAATCTCCCCTGCCGGAGGAGCGCCATAGCCAAATCTATAGAAATTCTGAGCAGGCAAAAGGCGTAATTAGGGACAGTGTTTGAGTTCCTGCGTTGCTCCGATGTAGAGAGGAAAGAAGAGTCGAGTCTCATTAACGCCGTCGCTCAGGCTCTCATTACCACCAAGAAAGCCCGAGAATATATCTACACTTACAGCCGAAAGCCCAAATGTATGCACAACCCATATGATTGTCTTAAAGCAAAGAAAACGACACCAGGTCCCGGCTGTACACCGTCCAAGCCAAAATCTCCCTTCTGCTCACCTCGGCGACCAAAACCAAATGATTACAGCAAAAAGATATCTGCAAAAAGAGGGGGTCCAAGACAACAGAGAAAGATTTAGAACTTTTTTGAGGACCCCGCGGACCGATTAAAAAAAAACAACATGAAAAGGAGATGGTGATGCTGCTGATGATGATGATGATGGAAAAACGCCTGTACACCGGCAATGTGGGGGTATGTGCAAAAGCCTCCTGCCTCTATCAGCCAAACCAACGATTCACCCAGCCCAGCCCAGCCAGCCAGCCAAAAACGGCATCTCTCTCGACCGCCCCCACACCTGCCTTTCGTCGTCGTCACTCATTAGAGAGGAGAAGAAGTAAAAACACAAAAACGAAAGCTCCAACGCCCTCCTTGCAGCCTGCTTACCCTCCGTCGTAAAAGACTGAGCGGCCAAACCCCCTCTCTTCCTCCTCCTCCTCCTCCTCCTCCTCCTCCTCCTTCTCCTTCCTCTTTCACTCACTTCATATCACATCCAAACTATCCATCTTCCAAATCTCCACATCCTTCACCGCCTCCTTCCCCACCTTCTTCACAATCCGCCTGACGCCCAACTCCTCCCCCATCGTCGGATCCGCCGGACTCTTCGGCGTATTCGCCGGCGGGCCGCCAGGCACCTCTCTGACGCCGCCGCAAAGAAACACCATATCGCCTATCCCCAACCACTTGAGGTGATCCCACTCGCGGCGCCGCAGCTCGAACGAAATGACCTGCTCGTGCAGGTTCCCCGAGATGCTCTGCATGAGCTCGAGCTCCTGCGTCGTGGCGCGGATGAGGATGCGGAGCGCCCACAGGCGCGGCAACCCCCGCAGCAGCTGCCGCATGTTCTCCGGGTTCTTCTCTTCCAGCGCGACGCCCAGCTGTTCCAGGTTCGGGCACGCCCGCCCGAGCTGCATCAGCACGTCGCCGCCCAGCAGCCACTGGTCGCTCAGCAGCAGGTGGCGCAGCGTCGTGCCCAGGTGCCGCGTGATGGCCGCCAGGTAGTCGCCGGCAACGGTCGCGGACTCGCGGCTCATGGGCGTGCCGGGCTGCGGCGGGCCGCCGCCGCCGCCGCCGCCGCCGTTGCCGAAGGGCGAGTTGTGGGAGGTGCCGGAGCCGGTGGGGTCGGGGAAGCCGTTGGTGAAGAGGTTGCCGGAGGTGCTGCTGTTGTTGTTGGCGGCGGGGGAGACGCCGTTGGAGGTGGTGCGGGCGGGCTTGCGGCGGGCGTTGACGATGTAGAGGCGTTCGAGGCCTTTGAGCTGGGCCATGATGGTGGCCTGCTTTGCGTCGAGCACGTCGCCGCGCATGGACTTGAGGTTCTTGGGGATCTTCTGCGGCTCGAACAGGCGCCACGTGTCGTCGATGAAGACGGTGATGGCGTCCTGCGTGTTGCAGTTGATGAAGTTGATCTCCTCCAGCACGTCGACGTCGATCAGCTCGTCTAGGTCGACATTGGTCGCGCGCGTGTACAGGTTAATCATCGAGTAGCGCTTCAGCCGTAGCGGCTGCTTGTTGGCGATGCATCGCCCAAAATAGGCATTGAGGTTGGTACTTTCCTCGCCCGCATCGCGCATGCGCGGGCTAAAGTGCAGGTGTAACGAGTCAAGCTTTTTGGAGTGCGCGAGCAGGACCGAAATGTCATCTGGGTAGCACAGCGGGTCGATGTCGAGGGCCGTGAACTCGCGGAGGTTGGGGAGCGGGGGTATCACAACGGTAGGGCGGGGAATACGAGTGCTGGGAAATTTCAGAGTCAGGGACTGCAGGGTGCCGCACGCGAGCAGACCCTGGTATATCGTTTGGAGCGGCTTGGTGTTGAGCTCCCAGCTGCAAGATCACAGTCAGCACATGCAGCCTGCTAACCTATCACCAGTAATCATCCCAACGCGCGCAAAAATAGAAACCTACGCAAAATTCTGCATCCTCTCCATCCTATCCATAGCGGCGCGCACGGCGATATTCAGCATCATCGAATTGTCGGGCACGCGGCCGCGGGAGAAGTCGTCGACGTCGCTCTCGCGCCAATCGCCGGCCAGCCGCCAGCTGCGCACGTACTGGGCGACGTTCTTGGTGACGAGGCCATTCAGGCCCATGGCGAAGGGGCTGCCGCTGCCGTAGCCCTCGGGCCGGCCATTGTCCATGTAGCGCAGCTCGCTGTACGACCGCAGCGTCACCTTCTCGTAGAGGCGCGGCAGCGTCATGTAGTAGAGCAGCCGCGAGGTGCGCGTCACGCGCGCGAGGTCGGCAATGTCATCGATCTGGCAGGAAAAAAATGCGGCTCTGGGTTAGCTATGGGCCCCAGGCAAGCAAGCTCACGAAAAAGCAGCGGCGCGCGCACAGCTAGAAAACACCGTGTTTCGAGCTCCTACAACCACCGCCGCAACGCTCAGGTCGGCTCATCGGAGCTGAGCGGATGTGCCGGCTTCGTCTGGAGCTGAAGTGGGTGCGAGCTGGCCGCGGGCTGCCGCGCACGAGGAAGGCGTCCAACACACATATGACAATATCAAGGCGACGAGATTGAGCGGAAGGCTCTGACGCTGGTACGCGGCCACAGGGCTGGTGTACTGCAGCGGCATGGGCGGGCCTTGGAAAATGTCTTTATTGATGCTGTCCAGCGGCGACCGCGGCTGCTGGGGAGCCATGGCGGGCGGGCAGGCGGCGTCGCACGCGAGCGGTCGTCAGCGAAGAGATGCGGTCTCGGTTCGTTCGGGGCGTGGTCGGCAGAGACGTGGACAGCGGTTGGGTGCGGGAACGGGCGGCGGGGTGGAGAGCTGAGCGGAGCTCATGGGTTTGAATATGCGCGCGGAAGCATTGGTGTTGGCTGGCTTCGGGGCGCGGCCAGCCGGTCGATGTTGTGAATTGTGCAAGACGAGCCGGTCGCCTATGCGATCCGCAAGCCAAGCCCGCCTCCCGCAAACGTCATTCACAGTGCTGCTGGAGAGACGCGCCTGACACGCCCGTGGGCTGACCATTATGCGTCTGCCTTGGTTGCCTGGTATATCATCCAAGGCCTGCTACATATCCAAATCCCAGCCTTGCAGCCCGTCAGCCACCAGCTGGCCTTTCCGGCCTTATCCGCAATGCTTTTGTGCAAGCCCCTCCTAGCATGTGCCTGTGTTCCCTGAGATCCGGAACGCGAGTCATCCGAAACATCTAACCCAACAGAGCACCCTAGTTCGCAAAATACCACGGGCTTTTGTCGCCGTACTTCTCGCCGGGTATCTCGAAGGGTATGTCCAACGTGCCCTTGAAAACTTCAAGGCCCGGCACCTCATCACCATCTTCCGCTTGCTCTCCTGCATCGACAGGCACGATCACACCGCATTCGTAATTGCGGCATGTCACCTTGAGGGTTTTGGTCGCGCGGTCGGTTGATAGCTGACCCCACGCCGCAGCTGAGAGGTTTGCAGACCCAATGTACGCCCAAGCAACCTTCGTATGTGTCGTTGCCTCCTCGTCTTCTTCTTCGCTGGATGTAACGCGCTGTCCACGCCCAATGATGATCTGTGATACACCTGTCAATATCGATCTCGATGAGTGCGGCTTCTTTAGTGCTGACCTTATTATGACTCAAAAGACCAGTTCGTGTCGACTTGTGATCGTGCATCGACGATTTAGGAAAGCTCATGGCCTCGTACCATTTCTTGGAAAATGTAATGGTACCCCCGGCCTGAATCATGTAAGCTTCCATCCAATTTGCGCATTGGGACGAACTCAGCCTACGTCTGTGCCGCCCTTGCTTTCCTTGACGGTGTCAAATGTAGGGAAATACACTCGGAAGCCCTTCAAGAGATCCCTAATCTTCACGTCACCGTCGAACTTCTCTTTTGTGACCGTGACCTCCTCGCCTATGAATTGTCAGCGCGAATCTCAATCGACTTATGAAACACGCACCCTTAGCTGCAGTGAGAAGCTGCTTCATGAAGCCCCTGCTCAATGCGCCCAGAGAGGATGTAGCGTAGTCGACCTCAAGCACTGTCGAGTCTAGATTGAGCTGCCTGATTGCCCGAGAAAGCCCTGGGAGACCGGTGCGCTGAGCATCCTCGCCAGTTCTTGGACCTCCTAAGGAATGCACAAAAGCTAGGTGCTTGGTGCGGGACCAATCGAATTTGAGGAGACTGTTGCAGAGGTTGGGCCGGTGCGTGACCGATTGTATGTAGTATCGCAGCTCCTTCCCGAAAGGTGTGAAGTCATCCTCGGACGTAGTCTGACCATCTGGGAGGCGCGGGAGATCGATGAGGAATACCGTCTGTTACTGTCAATCCACAGTTCGAGCGGACGGATTAGATCTACTCACATTTTCCATTCTGCCCGACTCGCCCCAGTCCCATCTGCAAATGCCCTGTTAGCTTTGGCTGCGCCGTGATGTGTGGAACGCCTGGCGGAAATACTCGGTGAGATTGGCTGATGTAATTGCGATCCGCAAATACTTTGGATGCGCGCCGATGAGGCTATAGATAGTAAGTAGTAGATTCCAAGAATAGTACTCCTAGACAGACTTACAATTTGGCGTGGTAATTGCCGTTGACGCCCTTCATATCAGCCAGACTGATTGATACGTTTTCATACAAAACAGGGGCCATATTCCATTCCGCCGCCTAAACGGAGGTAAGAAAAGTCGGTTTGCGTGTCAGGAATAAACTCACCACTTCCTCATTGGAAGAGCCAACAATCCAAGTCTGTTTTGTGACCTTGGAATCGATCTTGGTGCTCCACCATTCCGTATCGAAATTGAATGAACTGACGAGTAGATGATCCAAGTCGGCCTTCTGTAGCACTTCCTCGATTTTGATATCATTGTCCCGGGGATATCCAAGGGACCAAGTCCTTTTGACTGCGCCATCCAGATATTGCGGCTCTGTGATCCTGCGGGATGAAGCTGGGCCCGGCCTGTTTGCGGTTTCACGTGGGACGGAAACCCCGGCATCATTTTGGAGGATGTCTCGAATTGCCTGTCCTTGAGACTGCGCAGTCGGCGACTTCGGCACGGATGGTTCGCGATCGGCACGACCCTTCTTAGGACGCGCTGTATCCTTGCGCGAGCGCGGAGGCGTGGTGAGGTCGACAACTTCAGTTTCCTGAGACGAGGCGGCGCTGGCTTCGGTGCGCGCCTTCTTGGACACCCTTCCGCTTTCCTGGCTGGACGGTGCAGAGTCGCCGCCCGACAGCTGGTGTTTGCGAGCCCTCTGGCGGGCAAGGCGCTCTGCCTCGAGCTGCTTGCGATCGAGGTGCTTCAGGCTTTCATTGACGGCGCGGGTACTAACGAGCTGTGGTTGGTTGGCAGCTGCAGCGGGTGTGGGCGCGGGTGGAGCTTCACTCGTGTTGTTGTCAGCTGCCGACGCGCGCTCGTCCTCAGCAGCGCCGTCGAGCTGCCCCAAAGACAGTGCGATAGCTCTTTGAAGATCCTCATCGTCGGAGGAGCTCATGCTTGTGGGGTGAGCTGAGCTTGCTGAATGTGTCGGATGGTGGGAACCAGTTGATGTCGTCGGATAAAGTGTGCGACAGAACGTCGTGGAGGATGACGCAGTGACGAGAGCTTGACGCGACGACGCGCGCTCACGTGGTGAATTCCCTTACTTGTGCAGCGGTGTCCGCGGTTTCCATATTTATGCAAAGCCCACTTTCCGCTGCTTGTTTCGCAAGGACTTCCATTTTAAGTTTCAAAAGCGCGTCATGAGCTCCATGTTTCACAGCCAATAGTCAGCCTTTGCACCATCTGCTTGGCCTTCGTCTCGCCTAAACTTGCCCCGGGGAAATGGACCCTGAACACCGCAATCCTGTGAGAATTTGTTCAGGACATTACTCATTGTGATGAGAGGCTGTATCATCATTGCTCAGATGCATGTATACAATACACTAGGAAAGCAAAATTTTTTCTTCCACCCAATCGACCAAAGATAAACAGTATGCCGAGGAATCGGACGAAAAACGACGGATAAGTGTAGACTACGAAAGCACACGTGGCACTGGGACCAAAATATGGAGATTAACGAAAGACGCATCCTCAAGTAATTGCTTAGCGTAACGCAATGCTAACCAGCAGAGCCTACGAAAGCCTGATCCATTGCCTTTCCAAACCGGCAATATCCCTTTCCCAGAAACTTGCACTGATATCCCAAATCATGGCGCGACCTGTGTCGTCGAAATTGCCAACACGCTGATATTCGCCGTCCAACTCTTCCACGATGATGATGGATCGCGTCGTCACTTCCTTGCTAATGTCTCCCAACACGACAGCGAGAAGCCTTCCCTTTCCGCACGAGACCCTCAGTCGCTCCAGCTCCTCCGCGGAATCGTTGCAAAACAGGTCGATGGAAGCCTTGAACTGGACAACGTTGGGATCAATTATCGCATTACGAATGAGCTCCGATTGTTGCACGTTCTCCTCGAATGGAGGCGGCGCGTCCAGCGTTTCCAAAAGAAAAGTCCACGCCTCCACCCATATGTAGCGCGATTGGCTCGTTCGGTCGTGCTTCAAATAGCCCATCTCTGCGAACTGGGCCCAGTCGATTCGAGCTCCAGAGCTAAGTTCGATTTCGATGATGACCTCAGTTGGCGTAGTCGGTGCCTCGCTCTTCATGTAGCAAGGGCACTTCCATCCGACCCAAGACCAGCTTGGAAATTCAGGTCTTCTCTCTCGGACTTGTGACCCTTCCAAACTCCACCGCATTGACTGCACGAATCCATCCATGTTCGTCGTGGAAGGATCGGCCTCGCGGACGTAAGGCCGGAACATTGGGAGGCCAAAGTAATGTTGTTCCGGTGAGACTGTATGCTCGTATGTCTGAAGGACCCCGGTTATGGCGTTGAGAGCATCCGACTGGTGTGAGAGATGCCTTCTCGAATATTCTTCGATCCGTTTGCACATATCTGTCGCCGATGGGAAAGCATGGTATGCCATCCATTGGCTTGTCAACTTCGCATGACCGTGGGCCACACGCTTAGGGCAGTGCCGCCAAGAATCAAATTGCACTGACTCGTCCCCCTCGGCGAAGCATTTTCCGCAATCATGGAGGTAGCAGTAGTCGGTAAAGAACAGCCGTCTCTCTGAGAGGAGGGCTTCTTGGTACGTCCAAGCACGTTCCATCCATTTGGATTGCTCCAAAGCGTGCGCCAGGGTGGTATCACGCCAACAGGACATCAAGACATAATTGCCGATTTTCAAACTTTGCCTCGGCGAGCGAGGCACTGTGCTGACGCCGGGAAGACCGTAGTCGGAATGGTCGCCAGCAGCCGCAACAATGGTGAGGTCCGCTTGCTTGTATATGTAATCCATCTGCAGGATTTGCTTCATTTTCTCTTCTTCGTCTTCTTGATTAATGCAGTATTTGTCCACCCAGAGGTATTGGTAGTGTAAGTTCGACGTGACCGTAATTGCATCTTCGACCGTCCTTTCTGCGGGGTTTGGTATGCATCCAGGGCCAGGACTTTCACCGCTGGAGGGTCGCGGCGGACCCCAAACGTAACTGAGGCAGACATATTTCGCGCCAGGTGTGAGGGTTTCCAGTTTCCGGGTATTGCAGTTGATGACGACTATGGGGTGTGCTGGCGGCGGAACATTCCTTCGGAAATGCCTGTCTGTACGTCCATCACAAACACGCAGTTTGTTGCGCAGTTCCTCGTAATCAACACCAGTAGGGCTAATAGGCCAAGGCTCGGGACACCTTAGCCCAGGGAAATCTTCTCCGCGGATGATTTCAAGGTCTTCGAACCTCGATAGATATTTTTTTTTCTTTGCGATCCTCAAGGTCCATGTCTTCTGGACCAAACAATGGTTCTTTTTCGAGAATTGAACCTCAAAACATCTGAAATTTTCTGCCTGACCAGGCACACTAAACAGGCTTTTGTAGAACTGGCAGAAGTCGCACGATTCATCCAGGGTGGGAAACAGCTCGTTGGATCCGGGCCATGTGAAAAGCTCATCCGGTGATTGTAACGTTTCTGCAATCCGTTCATCCAGCTTGAGCGCTTCGCATTGCGAACAAAGTCTTGTGTTGAAGCATGCAAGGGTCATGCTTTGTCGAAACTCCTCGTCCACTGCTACGGCTTTCGGCTTGCCGGAGGTCGTGGACGTCGAAAAAAGTTTGAGCTTTCGTCCATTTCGTAGGCTCTGAGACTCGTCTTTTGAAGAAGCCGGACTCCTGGATCTAATGTCGTTGGCAAATGTGAGAAAATTTTGGAGCCACGGCATTCGTCTCGCTGACAAGAAAGACGTGAAAACAGAATAGAGGCAGAAATTAAAGAGAGGAGTAACCAGGACACACAATCAGATAGACTAAAACTAGTAGCAGCGAAGGCGAACATATTTGCAGGATTCAGAGCTGAAGACGTTGTATGTGTGATTGCGGCACAGCCAGCAGGCGCCTACATGAAGCAATCTGCTTCGTTGTCGACTAAGCGCCGCCCCACAGACTGTGCACCCATCACCGATCGACATTGAAGCATTTGACCTATTGGTAGATATTCCTTGTCTTCGTGGACATATATGGAGCGTTCTTAAAGAACCACAAAAGGCGCGTTGCTACTTTTGTGGTGGTTGACGTTGCAGATGTGCGCCGTTAACATGCCGATCATTTCTCACTCCTAATGATGAGTGGCTGCAGCTCGCTTAATGCTACAACTGTTGCCTAACTTGCGGTCAGCTTCTATTGGACATATCAATACGTTTCCTTTCACCAGAATACTCAAATGAAAAAATAAGGGGTTCGTAGAATAATCTGGAAAGGAAAAGAGACAGTAAAATCTTGTTAAACAATTCCCAGCTTTTACCTACACAATAGCATGACAAACCCAGTAATATTTCTTTGGTAGAGTTGCTATAGACTTACCTCAACAGGCAGATGAAATTCGGCGTTCAGTCCCCTCCTTCCATTCTATGCCTGCTGTGGGAAGATGCCTACCTCTGCATTTCTCTCCCACGCAACCAACTAATTCGCCTGAATGATGCTGTGGCTTCTTCCCACAACCCAGCCTGCAGTAGCATATTAACGCTCTTCTCTTCTTTAATATCACCCTGTCCGTTGACTTCACAGCCCCTTTGGCATCCGCCCCGGCACCGCAACCGCATCGACGACACCAACTCTCCGCGCATGCCTCTTTACCTATCCTCTAACATCATCTTGCGCGCGGCGATGCCGTCGAAGTCCAGGCCCAGGCCGACGAGCCGGGCTGGGCGGCATGTACTAGAAGAAGGTCCGGGGCCGCGTTCATGATGCGGTTAGAGACGAGCGGGCAAAAAAGCGCCGCCGACGAAGGTGGTGTGGCAGACAAGCAGGTCAGCAGGGGCAAGAAGATCGTGGGATCTGGAGGTCGAAGGGGTGTTTGGAAGCCATCATTGTTTAAGCTGCGGGGGGATGTTGTTGATGCTCGAGGTCGAGAACACCATGGACCAGCAGCCTCGCGTCAGTTACCGCGCCTGGCGCGTTGTCCGGTGGGATGGATGGGCGGCCTCGATGGATGGCGCAGAAAGCACGAATGGGATGGCTTCCCGGGTGCAGGACGCATTGATGCGATTTCTCCGGTGGGCGGGGTAAGGTCAGGGTGAGTAGACATTGGAAGGGACGAGCAGGGGTGGAATCGTTATCATGAGGTCGAGATAATTGCCTAGATCGGATATGATGATCGTCTGCTCGGCGTTCTATATTGAGTTGGTGATAGCTAGATCCAACGCTCCCGCTCTTGATCACATGTCGACGGCTGTGGCAACGTGGGGTCTGGAGTGGCGCTGCGGCAAAGAGCTCGTATTGCATACACGCGTCTCTTGCTCGTTTAGGTAGTTTGGCGAGCGACAGTGCGGGCGTTTACTGTGGAGCCTCCGTCTCCACAAGGGACTGCTGAGGCGCGGAGGCGAAAAAGAAAAAAAAGTCTAGCTGGGGCGAGAGTTCACTCGCAGTGCCGATCTGTGGAGACCCCACAACCGAGTGGATCGCCGAGGCAAAAAGTGCAGCGGGAGGCTTGCTTTCGGGGCCTTTCGGCCGGGAGACCTTCCACACGTCCATCTGCAACACCAAGAATACACTGCAGAACAGGGAATCGTGATGCGATGCGTGCCTTGCTGCAACGGAGTCTGATGTCATCCAGATAGCCGGATTCCAGTTCGCGATTTCATCACAGGACGGCATAGACGCTAGCTCAAGATCGGGTAAGGCGAGGGCGCCATATGCAGCAGGTGGGTATTTACTTTTTGCCTGTCAGGATGCTATCTGTCGTCATTCCAGGCAGATGATGATTGAGCCGCCCAATTGAGCATCCCGGTCTGGGGTGCTGACTCTCATCTGACCCCCCGGAAATGCCATTTCATTCGTTTCACAGACAGGTGGCCTAAGAAGCGGTCTTGTTTCCTACGTGTCCAGACCCCACACGGGATGCGCTGATCCGCTTGGCCGCGGTGTTGTGCGGAGCTGCGGATGAAGAAAGCTGGAGCGCCGGATGCATCAATCCTAAGTTGCTTTTCAAAGGCCGGGTCGCCGACATGGGGCCGCCGACAGTACCCGAAGCTTGCGCTTAACATTCCCTAGGTTGCGTCAGCGGGAACAAGCTCCATTATTCATGTCACATCCTTCTAGAAAACCGCGGGGTGCTAAAGTCGGCCCGCGGTGAGAACCCCGCCATGACGTCCGCCGTTAGCTACAGCCATACTGTCGGCCTCAGGCGGCTTCGAATGCATCGTTCAGGTAGTCGACGAAGAGGTCCCGAATGCGGGTTTTGGAAAGGTTGTGCTGGCGGTTCAGGGTGATGAACTGTCGGCGGATGCGCTGGAGCTGGGGCAACGAGACGACAGATGCGGGAAGGGCTACGGCGTTTTCGGCATCGGGGATTGAGACTTCACCACCCTCTTCGCCCGGGTGATCCTTTTGCCAGGACACAATGTGTGACACAATGTCAGAAGTCGTCTTGTCGAGCTCGTAGAGGTAGTTCTGCTCCGTCGCCGGTTTCTGGCCAACTAGTCAGTAAACTTGCATGGAATATGATGTCACGCGAGCGCCTACCAGGACTGTTGCGGCATTTGGCCTAACGACTTTGGCTTTGCCGTCATTGCCCACCATGGCATCCCAAATCTGCTCCAATGGCGGCGTCTCGTCATCGTACACGACGGTGAACAGAGGGCTGTCCCAGCGCGTCATGCCATTGGGCTCCTCGTATCTGAAGACTAGGTTCTCAAAATCCTCCTCGACGTAGCCGCCATCGGCGGTGGTGTCGGCGAGCAGGCGATTGTTGATCTCGCGGCATTTTTCGATAGAGGTCCCTACGTGCACCTCTAGGACTGTCAGCGGCTGCTTAGCCGGGGAGGGGGGCGGACTTACAACACAGCTAGGGGTCTGCATAGCCTTGGCCTCGCAATATAGCTGGTATCGGAAGCCCTTGATGTAGTTCATGCCGTCGGCAATAACGATATCGTCCCGGCCCAAGACACGCTTTACGGCAGAAGCCTCGGCGGCGCGTGCGTCCTTCTCTGCGCGGGCCGTGTGGTAGACATCGCGGTGCAGGCCGAGTGTCTGGTCATTGATGTGGTGGACCTTCAGGCGCGCAATGCGTGCGTCCGTCGGGGCGAGCTGCGCAATCTTGTCGCGGAAAAAGTCGAGCAGCTGCAGGGCGCGGTGCGTCTTGCCGGACGACGGGTAGCCGGAAATCAGGACGAGCTAGAGGCATGAGCGACCGTGCTATCTCGCGCGCAGCTGGGCAGCACTCACCGGCATCGCTGGGCGGGTTTTGCTGGCTTGGGCAGCGGTTCTGATGCTCGCGGCGGAAAAGGGCTGTTTTGCCGAGAGGGCTGGCACCACTCACTTTGGCAGATTCCGACCCTCTCTCGTGCCATGTGGGGTCCGCCCGGGAAGGAATCTCCAGGGCGCGCCTCGGCGCCGCAGACGATTGTGGTGCGACCAGCACGGCAAGATCGCCCTCGCCCAAGCGCCCTCCGATGTTGCCATAAAGGCGCTGCTCACCCGCTGCTCGATCGCCCGATGCGCAGCTTCACCAAAAGCCTCGGCACCGCATCTCCAGATTCTAGTCACCAGGCTCGCATATCTCGCTTGCGGGTCCGCTTCCGTTCCCAATCCAGTAGCCCGACCTCGCTCCGACGCCTATAAGAAAAGTAGAGACAAGACTACTCCCCTGCTCGTCGTCCGCCTCCCTCACCCGCCCTCACAATGGACTCCGCCGGCAACAGACAGCAGCGTCCCGCCTTCCCCGGCTCCGCCTCGCAAGTCAGCTCGGCCTCGCAAAGCTCCAGCAGCCTCTCGACGCTGGCCAGCCCGTCCGTCTTCTCCTCCGTCTCGGGCACAGCCTCGCAACAGCCCTTCTCGGGCGTGCCCATGCCGCCGTCGTCGCCCGCGCCGCAGGCCAACTACTTCGGCTCGCTACAACCCGAGACCCAGCAGGTCCAGCGCGCTGGTGCCGCCGCCGCGCCGCAAATCAGCCGGACGGCCAGCTTGGAATACCAGCCGAACCGCGAGGGCGCTGGCCGAACGGCGCAGGAGACGGTGACATACCTCAACGAGTACAGCCTGGTCGCCGAGGCGGCAAAACGCGCGCAGATGGCGGTGCTGATGAGGGACATGGAGGGCGTGGAGCTGTCATGATTGTGGTGTGAGAGTGCTTCGATCCCAAACGCTGGCAAGCAGGGAGTTTTGTCGGAAATGTTACGCCACGGGCGACTCAGTGGCCGTGGCTTGTTTCATGCATTATATCACTTATCGTGCATGGGTAGACGGCCGCACTCCGCGTTTTTTCTTATCTCCTGTTTTTTTTTTTTTTCATGTGTACACGTCGCAAGCGGAGGGCAGCATGTCATAGAGGCTATACGCACCCTCGGATCTGCGCGGTTTTGGGACCTGGCGTTGGTGCGTCAGGGTTTGCACGAAAGGGCATTGTTTAGTTGGATACCACTCGAGCTGTCTCTTTAGTTTTCGGCAGCATGTCTGAATGCTACATTTTGCGTGTGTCTCTCCACTCGGGCGGGCCCAGGGTCTTGTAAAGTCGTGCCTGCGACCCCACATTTAGCGGAATGCCTGGTGACGCGCGGGATGGCATTCCTGCCGTGCCTTGCATGCATGCTTAGCTCTGGAGCTTCGCGAAGCTTGTGCAGCAGCGTCGAGGTGATGGTCGTCGCATTGGGATATTGTAATCGACATGGATGTGCCAGGCAGCAGGCAGGTCGCGCGGGCTGCGCGCGCGATTGGCGTCGGCAGAAAAACCGCGGGAAGGGACGTGGTCGCGACCTCTTGTGAACGCCTTGATGAACATCATCAGGGGATGATTAACCACGAAGCCACGCGGCCTCCCGACACCGATCCCGACACCTCATCAATGCTCCCTTAGACGCCAAATCGCTGTCTCTCTGCACCGCAGCCCGGCCATGACCCCGCGATCCCAATGATGCGCCCCCGTCGCCGCTCCTCCAACATCCGCCTCGCCCTCTATCTCCTCGTGCTCGTTCTGATCGCCGGCTACCTGGTTAATCGTCAGCGGGGCGCGACCAGCAATGAGGACCTGACCTACGAGGAGGACTTGGGCACCTACGCCCACACATCCAAATCTCGCAAGGGCGAGAGGGCCTTCGTCGTCGCCAGTCAGGAGAAGGATGACGTCGCTTGGCTGTACGACTACTTCCCCGACTGGACCAAATACCGCTACATCGTAGACAATCCCAAGGCGGAGCTGCGGGTGCCAATCAATAAAGGGCGAGAATCGATGGTTTATCTCACGTACGTCAAACACCTCACCTGTGGGGCCTCAGCTGTCAATCAAGTCATTGCCCCGCTGACCCTTTCTTCGGCTGCTGTAGCTTCATCATCGACAATTACGACAACCTCCCTGATTACACGCTCTTCCTGCACCCGACGAGATACCAATGGCACAACGACGATCCCGATTACGACGGCTTGATGGTGCTGCGCAACTTCCAGGTGCCTTACCTCGAGCAGGAAGGCTACGTCAATTTGCGCTGCGCTTGGCAGCTCGGCTGCCCAAATGAGATAAAGCCGTACGAGAACGATCCGCGCGAGAAGCAGCAACAAGGACACGCAGGAAACTCGTATTATCACGCGTTCAAGGAGATCTTCGGCGAGGCCCGCGAGGTGCCGCACGAGGTTGGCGTCAGCTGCTGCGCCCAGTTTGCCCTCACGAGGGACAAGATCCGCGAGATTCCGCGCTCAGAATACGTGCGGCTGAGGGAGTGGCTGGCGAAGACACCATTACTCGACTCTATTTCCGGGCGTGTGATGGAGTACTCGTGGCATAGTAAGTTTGGCCAAGTTTTTTTTCTTCTTTTGCGCAAGAATGCTTCAATGCCTGATTGTTGGCACTCCTGTTGTCCTACCCGATCGGGCCTCGATGCGTTCGCCATTGCTATTCGGAACGGCTGCTGCTGGCTGGCTGCTTCCATGGGGCGTTGCTGCATTATTTTATCACGCACGCCTTTGCGCGCGAACTTCCTGTGCAGCTTTTTTCGTATATGTGGTCGGGCAGCAGCAATGGATGCCTTACAAACGGGGCAACTTCGCAGGCTGTTTGCCGTAATGCAGTGTTTCACTAACACGTATACTTACAGTTTTGTTCGGCAAGGAGCCCATTCATTGCCCGTCAGCGCAGGATTGTTACTGCAAAGTCTTCGGGCTATGCGATTTAAGATGTCCGGAAATCGGAATGTGCGACGGGCGCTACGTTCTCCCGCCCTTTTCCTCACTGCCGAATGGCTGGCCGTACGTTGGTTGGGATTCAGGACCCCGAGAGAGAATAGTGGAACCCGGTGTTCCCAGTTGAGCCAATTTATACTAAAGAATGAAAAGTGCTACGTACTACAGTGAGTACAACTCCAAGCCTTGCGGCTGTACCACCTGATGCTTCGGTTGCGGGTAATTTTTGGGACTATCAGTGTCTGCAGTAAGACTCCTGCATGTGCATTACCCCTCACATCTCTCCACAATGGACGGGCCATCGTGAGTCTGGCTTTTCAACTTCAACAGCCGAAGTGCTCGATGGCCAGTTGGGGCGCCTCCCGCTGAGCCACGAGCCGCGCAATGCAGCTGGAAGGGAATTCATCTGTGAAAGAAGCAAGAAGGTCCGGATGCAGGCCTCATGTCTGTTGATTTTTAAGCCTCATAAACCGGGCGTGGGTGCAGGACCCCCTCACAGCCTTGTGAGCCGTTTGACCCACCATCGATGACAACGTGTCCTCGGGGGGGTCTAGCAACTGCGCGTGACAGGAATTGCGCATGATCGTTTTCTGCTAATGTGATACTCTACCCTGGTCTCAGTACCATTGTTTCATTACACAAGGTGTACTATATCCATCACAGCTTACTGAGAGCGATGCGCCATCGGAGGATGCACGCAGTAAGCACGGGGCACACGCTGAAAGAGCCGCATGCATACTCATCAAGACCTTCGCCCCACATGCTCAAGCCTGACACTCTTGCAAGAGGCTGGAGAAAACTAAAGGACCGATGCCACGGCTCATCGGAGTACTGAAGTGGGGGCTTAAGACAAGGCTGAGCAGCTAACCAAGCGTGCGACGCCGCAAGGCTGGTGTTATGACCAATCATTGCCCCGTAGCAGAGCCGCAAGTCTTTGATGCCGCCACCTCCCAACTCTTTCCCCAGCCCACCCTGTTTTGAGGAGAGCATGTGGCCTACCCTCTCAGCCTAGCATTTAGGCTCGAGGCCCAGCCGCATCGTTTGCAAGGCAGAAGAGTCCCTGACATGAGCCGGCATTGGCGGCTCGCGATGATCTTTTGCGCCCTTTTTGCCTGCTACTAGTCGTGCGCGCAGTCCGTTTGCGTCTAATGCGGCTCTTATGCACGGGCTACAGTACGCCTAACACATGTGCATAGTCGATTGAACTAGACCGTCCGAGGTGATGCATCTCGCCATCACAGCCGCACTGCAGACTCCCAGCCGGCTTGGCTGGTCATAATCGACTCAGGGTGTCAGGTTCATATAGTTCAGCCCCTCATTTCACACGCAAGGCTGCACAACCGGACCCGACTCGCGTTACTCAACAGATAGCTCCGACGAAGCAAGGGGTGCCGGTAGGCTCCGCTTCGATCACCGCCGCAGAGCCTCATGCAATTTGGCTCTTAACTACCGCAGTCCGAGGCGCTTCACTTATCGTCGCCTACACGATGGTTCCTGACCAAATCTTCATTTACACCAAAAATACTCGTAGAAGATCTCACAATACATTGTCATTCGTTCCAACATTTCAACTTTACATCAGCAAAACGATCGACAACTTTACGGCTCCCTCAGCGTAACTTTCATATTATAGACTCGGGCGGCTATCTGATTTTACGACGCGTTACGACGTTTCCTACTTTAAAAGCAGTCGCCTTGCTTGATACCTCTTTGGAGTTACAGGATCTCTTCATGACTACTCTCGACCGGTTACCTTACGATATTCTGTTCAATGTCGCCGGCAGACTTTCATACTCGGATGTCATTCATCTCACATTAACGTGTAGACAGCTGTACCAGCTGCGGTACGAAAGCACACTATGTAGACGGATGGTGGAAGTAAGCATTCCTTCGGAAGACGTTCCCCTCTTTGTCCACGCGGCCCCTCCCGTCAGATCGTACTGACCTAGATCTACAGGATCACGCGCCTTTTACTCAGGAAGCAAAGTTTGCCGCGAAAGAAAAAATCACCTATCGCGACGCCCTAGAGCGCATATATTCGCGAAGAGGCTCTTTTGCGACTGCCACTCCTAGCTCAGCGTGCGTCATCGACTACGGATCATCTATCATTTACAGGCAAAATGTCCTGTGCTATATGTCGCATGGCGTCATACGCGTGCGCTCCATGCTCGACCCGTCCGAGGATTTTAAAGTGAATACGGCGCCGATGGCCAAAGTGCTGTCAGCCACTCAGTTTGGTACACCAGACATCGAGCCTGAGATCAGCCTGCTGCACTACAGCGATTATGTGGTCTCGTTTCATTTCGACTACTCCGAAACGGACCTCTGTGCCGACTGGCGTACGGATGGGCACTGGCTGATCGTCATCGAGTTGCGCAAATTCGACCCCATGACCCGAGCAGGCGTCAGGTTCATCAGGCTGCTAGAAGGGGCCAGCAAACTGTTCGTTAGAAACACAGCCAACTATCTCTTCTACGGCACTCACACGGGGTTGGGCGCACATGGGCACCATGAGTGGAAGATTCACGCCCAATCGTTAAACAAAGACGCTCCGTTGCCGCCCAACATACCTGCTCTTCAGCTGGACGAGCTGGTCGGCTCTGACCTCGGATCGACAGTAGCCTTCGAGATCCATGACGGGCACTTCTACGCCGTGTCCAACCAAACTTCGTTCGTCGTGGAAGAAGTAGATTGGACGTCCTTCTATCACTGTATCCGCTTCCCCCTGCACCGACCGGTCAAGGAGGAAGTGCAGATCAACACGCGTGTGTATCGTAGGCAGCACGCCGAGGGCCCCATCAACGATTCCTGGACCGACCTTGGGCTGCAGGTCGACGAGAAGACGAATAGGCTGCAGATCGTCGAGGCTCGTCGCGAATGGCGCAACGGCGGCAGCAAGCAGGAACGCACGTTCTACACGCGCGAGATCACCTTCCCCCCTAGACCTTCAGCTCGAAGGCGACAGACCGGTGAGCAAGGGGCGGTCGCCGTGGCGGGTGCTGCTGGAGCTGGTGGTGGCGATGTCCAGCTGCAGTCAGCCTCACCGACTTTGCCATCGCCCGCCTCCCCCGACGCCACCGATCTTGAAGAGCCTGAGGACAACACCAATGTACCTATCGACACTGCTCCTCCCCTCCCTCTCGAAGACATCCTCGTTCAGACCCTTGGCTCGGGCAACAATCCGCACTGGGCGCCGTCCGAAGAGCGGCTGCCGCGTGCTTATCATCCAGAACGCAAGCACGACGAGCAGCTCCTAGCCACCGGCTGTGGACGTCCCTCGCAAGCCTTCATCCTCGCCCGCACTAAGCACCGTGCATACAACCTGTCCTGCTCTGCCTTCCTTGACCTTGTCGAGGACGACGCCTGCTGCCCGGCTGTTGCTGCTGTCGGCGGTACACCCTGTCTGCGCCTGCGAATCGGCGCCCGTAAGAGGCAGCCGTTCCTGCCGCTCGGCGTCTGCGATGGCGTGGCCGAAGGTGGGAAGGGGAAGGACAGGGTGACGGCGAGGGACGCGGTAAGAATGCAACAGCTGCAGCAGCAGCAGGAACAGCATCAGCATCAGCAGCTCCCACCGTACGAAGACCGCTTCCTTTACCCGCCCATCAGGTTGTGGCCGCCGGCTGGCGAGGCTGCCAGCAGTGGCACTAGCAAAGGTGAGGATGACAAGGCGACCGGCAGGAAATACGACTGTACGAAGAAGCTGCACGACATCCTCAACGCGCCGCTGACTCCGCCTCAGCCCACCAAGCCCGTGTCGCCTTCGTCACCACTGACGACCATGACGACGGCGTTGTCGCTCGGCGCCAGCACCTACACGCCGCCGCCGCCGCCGACTGAGATTGTGGGCGTGGCTGACGAGCGGAGTCTCATTTTCTTGCGGCGACCCAAGTATGGCAGCGGTGAGCGCAGCGGGCCCATCGTGCTGGTGAGCTTTGATCGCGGCATTGCGGCGGACGAGTTGGCGTACGATGTCGGGGTGAAGTCGGACGAGGTGATAGCGGCGGTGACGAGGAAGGATAGCGGGGTCTCGATGGGCGACTTCCCGGTCGATGCTGCGTCGGAAAAGTCGGTTACGGAAGGGAAGGAATGTGAGAAACCGATGTTATGGAAGAAAGATGAGTGCTGGGATAACAAATGCGCGTGTGTGAGAAGGACGGCCTGTGGAGCTGCTTGATGACGAGGTGAAGATTGACGAGACAGGCAGAAACAAGAAAAAAGAAACGTGTTTATCATCCTGTTGTCTTTGGATTCGGGCGCACTGCAATACCATGGCTTATTAGGCATTGATATAGTTAGTTAGGATTCCGGCCTCATGCTTGAGTCGAAGCTAAAAGCAAGTCTTTTTACTTCAACCAGGAAGTGCTACCCCAGAATTTTCCGGTTCGCGGAGGTCCTTCCGGATAGTCTCACGCTCACTGTTCTATGCCTCGGAAGTTCGTCTGCCATAAGCCAGCCTGAGCAACCTTTGTCACGTGAAATCCACTCTCTGGTGAAACCATGGAATATGTTGTTCGGAGGTGGCCGAAATGCAGAGTTTGCTTGGGACGAGCAGCCGGGCCGGAGCGACGTGCCGTGTTTCGGATGGCTTGTGTGTGTTTCATCAGTGCGATGCGTTCCTGGCTTGTTTCGATGCATGGAAGTCTGCGATTGCGGGGAAAAAGAGACCATGGCAATTTCCAGAAAGTGACTCGTCGCCAATGGCCGGGGATAAGGGATCAAGACATGTCACAAAGTGATTCGATGCCGAGACCTCCTGTGTATCATTGGGTTGGCAGCGTTCACACACCGTTCATCCTTCACGGCGTGATTCTGAGGGAGCGGTCAGGATAGATTTCGCCGGACCTCTTCACCGACCATTTGGCCCTGGCGAGCTAACGATGCGTTGCCTGGTAACCGCGCGGGTAGGGCGGCGGACTAACCGTGAAGCGCCGTTGCACCATGTTTTTTGAGAAAAATTGATCTCGTCGAGCAGGACCCTTGGGCGCGCGAATGATCGAATTAAGCTTAAGGCGGCCCACCGGTGCCTGGCGGTGACTTCATTCTCGCTTCCACCAACCTCGGCCGTCGCCCGTGCGCCTCAAGGTCGATATTTGCGGTGCTGCGCCAGCTTTCCGCGTGTCAATGTCTGGAGCGGATGCTGTGCTGAGGCGTGTGTGGAGGGGACGATTGCGGCAATGAGCGGGTGCATCGGAGTGGCTGTGACCGAGGAACATTGCCATGCAGGTCAGTGGTCGACAGCTCCCCGTGTAGTCGAGCCTTGTTGCCTGGCCACTTAACTGTGGCCGCTGACTGGCCACCTGGCTGCCCAAGCGTCGGGGCTTGAGAAATTAACCTCCACACCCGCCCGCACCAGGCCTCTGCTTTCCTCCGTTCTCTTCAACAACTCCATCGCGCCCGCTTCGCTGTGAGCTCTGTCCGTCTTCGCAAATTCCCCGACTCCCGAGACGTTCCGCTACGCTTTTCGCCTCGCCGCAATTGACCGGCCCGATCGCCGCTGCCGCGCCTGCGCCCCCTTACTGCGTGTTCTCGAAGCCTAGGCACAGTCAGCGCTCCGCATAACGTCATCCGCACTCTTCCGCGAGCCTAAGCTGCCCGCTTCTCCGGCCGGAAACCGACTGCCCACTTTCTCCCCGCAACACCAGAGCATCATGTCTTACGGACAATACGGCGGTAATCCCTACGGTAACGACGGCTACGGCGAGTCCAACCCGTATGGCACCACCAGCGCTGGCTACGGCGCCTCTAATCCCTACGGCGGCCAGGTTCGTATCACGTCACCAACAAGTCGCCAGGCGACACGCCGTTGATTGAATTACAACGGCTTGTCCACCAGCAGACTATTCATCAGAGCTGTCTAACTTCGCGCTTTTTTTGCAACACCCACAGACTGCGCCCCCGCTAGAGCACCATGAGTCGTCCAACTACTCGCAAGACCCGAACTACATGGAGATGGGCAACCTGAATGCCCCGCCGCAAGCCGCCCCGCGCGTCCTTGCTTTGGACGAGTTTTTGGCCCGCGTCGACGGCTGCAAGGGCCGTATCCGTCAGCTCACCTCGCAGGTTGGCGAGATCGCAGCCGTCCACCAGCGCCTCCTCTCCGACACTGCCGAAGCCAATGCCCACCACCAGCTCGAGCACTTGTCCACTCAGACCTCGCTCTTGAACGCTCAGATCAAGGACGAGATCAAATTCCTCGAGACAGATGCTGCGCGCAGCGGTGGCAACTCTACCAAGGATAGTCAGGTCCGGAACCTAAAGAACAGCTTCAAAGCCGAGCTTGAGGGCTATCAGGAGTTGGAGAAGAAGTTCCGTGACAAGTACCGGGAGAATATTGGACGCCAAATGAGGATTGTGAACCCCGAGCTCACCGAAGAGCAAATCAAAGAAGCTGTGGACAGCGCAGACGGCCCCCAGCAGATCTTCGCGGATGCTGTAAGTTTCCATGACGACTTAGAAAAAAAGTTTTGTTGTGCTAATAATTGTTTTCTCAATAGATGAAGACGAACCGCGCTCAGCATGCCAACAGTGTCCTCGGCTCCGTTCGCGCGCGTCACAATGATATCCAGCGGATCGAGAAGACAATGAGTGAGCTTGCAGAACTGTTCATACAATTGAACGAGCAGGTCGTCCTCCAGGAACCCCAAGTGGAACAGACCGAGCAGAGGACCGAAGAGGTCCTCAAGGACGGCCAAGCGGCCCATGTCGAGCTTGATAAGGGTATCGAGCACATCAAGCGCCGTAACCGCCTGCGCCGCTGGACTCTCTTCGTCTTCATCATCATCATTTGCATCATCGCACTCGTACTCGGCCTGTACTTCGGTCTCGGAAAGAAGGACAACAACAACAATAACAACGCATAAAAGAATGAATCGTATCGATTGATACTAGATACTTGTACTTGGGGAAATTTACCTTGGAGAGGATCGGCATTTGGCCTGTCACAAAACTCACTATGGCTAAAGCAAATGTTCAGACGCTTGGCCGATCAAACAAATACGACGAGATGCCGTTTGGGGTAAAGAGATGGATAATGGCCCAATAGGACGGGCTGGGGTATGTTGGATGTAATACTTATTCCTACCCTCTTTTTATGAGCCGACGAAAAGTCACAATGACATGAGGAGGGACTGGGGATCAACCGGATGGTGGTTGGGGACGCGGGATGACTCTTGACATGAGACAACGGATTGGGAGGGTTGGGTTTGACACGTCTCGTTCTGGCCATCTTGCAGCGCTTTCATGCATCCACCTTTGGAGGGTGGTTGTGAAGAAGCATTAGGTTGGTGCAGCGTCGGTTTCTTTGCTTCTGCTCATTAACGAATTCTCTATTAGTACATACTACTAATAATGCACGCTCTGCTATACATAATTGACTTCGGGTTTCTGGTCTACTGAAGACAAGGCATCATCGAAGAAGCCGCGGATTGTTTTGTCTATCACCAATCTTAATTCACGAGATGACATTCCTAACTCCATTTTTTCGTTTCGTTTCTCTATCAAATGGCCAAAAATACACACGACGTCAACGTTAGCCCCGGGACGGACCACTCCAAACTCTAACCATGGTTCAACCATCCTTAGATCCTCACCCCATAGACCCTGGCGCTCCCATCATCACTGCCCACCGCCAACTCCAACTCAACACCCTCCTCACCACCATCAACACCAACCGGCCTCCACGCCAATGCGTTGACAACATCACTCGGCGCCACCGCCCGATCCAGCACCTGCATCCGGCTCGCATCCTCCTCCCCGCGTCCCTCGCCGACGACGTCACCGAAGTCCGCCACAAAGTGTCCGACCAGCAGCTCGCCCTTCTCCGTGCCGAAAGCCAGGACGACGCGCCCATCGCCGACGATGTCCGGATGGAAGGCGACGGCCGTGACGGGGCCGGGCGAGGGGAGCGTGGTGAGGTGGGTGATGGTAGGCTTCTTCTCGTCCTCGGTCTGAGACGACGACGACGAGGGATCCAGGCGCCAGAGTTTGACCTTGGAGTCGCGGCCTGCGGTGGCGAAGACGCGGGATGATGGCGATGATGACGGCGATGCGGCGGGCGCCCAGGAGCCGCCGAGCAGCATGCGGGAGTGCGCTTTTTCTTGGGCGTGGAGGAGGGTGTAGCGGGGCTGCTGCTCGCCGCTTGCTGATGAGGGTGTCTCTTGCTCGCGCCCCCAGATGCCGAAGACGCGGTCGCGGCCGACGCTGAGGAGGTACTCATCTCCCTTGCTACCAGGGATAGAAGAAGGCCCGCTGAACGACAGCCCCGTCACCGTCAAGCTGTGCAGCCGCATGCTCGGCGCGCGCTCTTCGCCGGCGGTGAACGACACCTGCCGCCACCCGCGCGTCTCGTACAGGCGGATCACCGCGTGCTCGACCGACGTAGCGCGGCACGCCGTCGCGACGACGTCGCCCGCGCTCGCCGCCGCCGCCACGGCGCTAATCTCGTAGCCGTGCCCGTACAGCTTCTCCGCCTCGGGCCACAGCAGGTGCCGCGACAGGTGGTCTTCGGTCGGCGGGTGCGTGAGGGTCACAGCTTTGCGCGCGGTCGTCTCGCCGGCTGTGACGTCGTTGGCCGGGGCGGAGGTGTCGGGTTCGGCAGCCTCGTCGTTGGTCTCGATGGCTTTGTTGGAGAGGCCGAGGACGGGGATGTTGGCGGCGTCGGGGAGCTTGACGCCGCCGCCCGCGCTGGCAGCGCCATTGGTTGTTGCTGCGGTGTTGATGCCGCAGTGCTGGGAGAGGAGCTCGGCGACGGCGGAGGGCTGGTCGAAGACGCGGAGGAGCTTCTCGTCGGCGCCCGAGACGAAGTGGAGGGGGCTGGAGAGCGGCGCGAGGCAGTTCAGGTCGTAGCCGTGGATTTGCGGGCGCGAGAACTCGTGCCAGGAGGAGGTTTGGCTGCTGCTGCTGTCACCATCATCGCGCTTCCACTGCGCGAACTGCCGCGTCGTCTGGTCGGCGCTCGTCGTCAGGAGGTACGAGCCGTCGCGCGCCCACTTGACGTCCCTAACGGCGCGGACGTGGCCCGTCACGGCAACGCGCTGGGTCCAGCGGTCGTCATCGTCGTCGATCTTCTTCTCGTCTCCGGCATCCTGCGAGGAGGACGAGTAGCCTCTCGTCCACAACCGCCATCCTCCCGTCCGCCCGAGCGAGACGACGGACCGCCCGTCCGGCGCCCACAACCCGACCCAGAAGCCGCCGACACTACCCGTCGCCGTCGTCGCGCCCTTCGTCGCGCTGATCTCGCCCAGCCGCGTCACGCTGACCCAGACGCCGGACGTGGGATCGGCTTCCCACACGGCGATGGAACTGTCGGCGGAGGTGGTGAGGAGCTGGAGCTTGCTGCTGGTGCCCTCTCCCTCTGCGGAAGCTGCTTCCTGCGTCCGCCATTGCGCAGAGTAGATCCAGTCCTCGTGCCCGACCAGCAGCGCCTCGAACGTGATCGAGTATGGCGCGCCGTCCGCGTCGGCGATGCGGTGCGCCTTGTTGTGCAGGCTGCGCCCGAGCACGCTGCCCGCCAGCGCCGGGTTCGTCTCTTCCACCATGGCGGCCGTCGCGGCGGGCAGCGCTTCGCCGGCGTGGACGCGCCAGAGCCGCGTGTACCGGTCCTGGCTGGCAGACGCGAGGAGGAGGTCGGACGTCGACGGCTCGAGGGCGAAGGTCAGGGAGCGGATCCAGTCTTCGTGGCCTTTGAGGGTGGCGGCGAGCGTGAAGGTGGGGGAGGAGGTCTGCTGTTGGACGTAGATTTGGATGTGGTTCTTTGTGCCGGCGGCGGCGAGGATGAGGGTGGATGGGGAGAGGTGGGCGAGGGTCACGGAGAGGGGGAAGTAGGCGGTCTTGGGCTCCTGTTTGAGGTCGATGGTTTGAAGTAGCTCGGCATTTATGGAGCCGTCGTCCTTGCGTTCCAGCTTCCAGCTTCTGATGGTGGCATCGGCGGCACCGGTGACGAAGATATCTGAGTCGGGGAGGACGGCAATGGTGTTGATGGATGCGGTATGCGCTGTCAGCACTGCCTTCTCCTGGAACCCGGTGGGGGAAGAAGCATCGCTGGCCCATATTCTGATAGTGTTGTCGGCAGCTCCGCTCAAAATTATCTTCTCCTGTGACTTCGACGAGGGGAAGAACTTGACGACGTTGACGGTGTTTGTGTGACCTGAAAGTGCGGCATAGCTTCCGCGATATGTAGGATCCTTTTCCAGATGTTAGAGTGGATATTGGGAAAAGTAGAAGGCAAATCAAAGAGAATTAGTGGAAGAAATGCCCAAGATACTTGATTCATATAGCAGAATACGAGAGGGAAGGTTGTAATAGTGGAGGAAACGCGATGACTTATGTGAGCAATGCGGCCACCACATGAAGAGACGATGAGGAACGGCCATCGAAGAGATACGAAGACGCAAAGACATGTGCAAGAAATTGAGTAAAAATGAAGCTTACCAGGGGATCCCATAGAGCGATGTTGTTTCCGGCGCCATAAGCGAGCAAACCGGAGCCGTGCTGGTCCCAGTCGGCGGCGTTGGGCTGCCTGTTGCCGCCGGCAGCAATGAAGTTGGTAGCCACCTGCACCATCTCGCCAACCGTGCCAGTCTATATCGATACGAAACCTGGCAAGTGTCTCCTTGGTCCGGGCTCTAGTGGATTCAGGAAGCGATCATGTGAGCGGACGAGTTGCTTCGGCGGAGATGGTGAAGGTCAACACCACAGAATTCTTTGCGGAGCTGGTCGCGCTAGCCGCTCGCGTAAATTTTCCCCGCGGCGAGGCTGCCTAATGATCCGCCACGACATCATCGCAACCATCGCCAGCCAACAGAGAGCGACAATCGTTTTTCAACCGCACTGCTCCTGCACTCTCGCCTGGCTTGGAGCGCCACGAACGGAAGCCTTGAAATTCGTTGCCGCTGCAGAACAGTCGGCCAGCCACCTGCACCATGGCGACGAGCAATGACGGCGTCGTGCCCATCACGGTTGAGTTCACGTGCGTACAAGTATATTCAAGCACCTGCAGCAGCTGACCGAGTGTTAGTGGTGGCTTGGAAATGCTATTCTCCAACCAGCGCAAACATGAGATCGCTCTACCCGCCAAGGACGAGAACGGCGAAGCAGCGAATGTAGCGTTCCTTGTCAGGTACCTCTGCAACAACACAATGAAGGATCCCAGGAAGGATTTATTCGTTCTAGACGACACTGTGTAAGTGGTAGCTACCGGCCTATATCCATTTCGCATACGCTTGCTAATCCACTGAAGCCGGCCCGGCATCCTGGTGCTCATCAACGAGGCAGACTGGGAGCTCGAGGGCGAGGACCAATACGAAGTGCAAAAGGGTGACAACATCTTATTTGTCTCTACTTTGCATGGCGGTTGAACTTTGAATAAGAAATCCATAATGATATCTGGCTTGCTTCGAGCTGTCCAGTAATCAGCTTTTCTAAACATCTCTATAGGCGCTACTCGGAATCCTGATTGAGTCAGAACTTTGAAACCATCCGTGTTCCGCCAGTTTTTGCAAATGCCGCAAGCCTTTTCAGTAACACCGTTCCCATGAGTACAGAATGAAGGAAAGACCCAGAAGATAATAGGAAACCACATCCAATGCCAATTCCCTCTTCACATGACCTCATCACCAAAGTCGAGCTCCATGTCGCTATTGTCGCCTCCATCATCGTTGCTGTCCTTCGAGCCCGAGCAAGAGGAGGCCAACAGGTCCATGGAAGCAGCCAGGTCATTCATCGCCTTGTCTTGTACAGGACGGCTCCCCACCCTGTACGCAAGCCACTCCTCTTTCTTGGCCTTCAGAGATCCCTCAAAGTGGCGAAGGTGGGTTTTCAGCTCACGGATCTCTCGGTTCTTGAGTGCCTCGATGTGGTGCTCGGTCATTCCGTCCTTGATAAAGAACTTCTCGCGCGGAGGGATAACTCCGTCGCCGAGCTCAATGAGGCGGGCCCTGAGCTCGTCGATGGTGCGAGTCTTCTCCTCGACAAGGTCGCGGACGCGCTTCTTCATCGCGTTTTCGCGGGCGACGTGGTCGAAGTCGATGCTCTTGACGTTCTTGCGGACTGCGTCGTTCATGATGTCGCGTGCGAGGTTGTAGGCGTTCTCGTGCTCGATGGCATGGTAGATGACCTTGCGAACGGTCTTGATGGCAAGTTCGCGGTGCTGCCTCTTGGACAGAGGAGCCGGCGTATCCTTGCCCTTCTTCTTCTTCTTGTTGCCCTTGGTCTTGTTCTTGGGCATCCCAGTCTTGCACAGCTGCTGCGTTTTCATGTAGACGGCCTCGCGGGCCAGGACAGCGGTGCGGATGCCGTTGCCGCACTGGATAGCGGCGGTCAATGCATCCACAGTGGCGTCATATGTGCGTGGCTTGTCCTGGGCCGGGCTGGGCGAGAGCGGGCTGGGCGGGGCTTGACTGGGCTGGTTGGAGTTCATGGTGGAGGAAATGGAAGATTGAGTTTGTATTGCCTGGCAGTATGTCAGTCATGCATATCGAAGGAAATTAGACATTCACGTCCGGACGATAGCTTCATGTCCCCCAATATGTTGCCATTCAGAGGATATAAGACATATGCGTCCGGATGATAGCTTCATATGCTCACGTATGTTGCTTTTCGGACTTACTTTTAGAGAATTCGGACGAGCAAGTTGCAAGGTGGATGAAGAAGTTGGGAGGTTGTAGAGGTTGGTGCTGGGGCGCTGGAAGATATACTTGCGCCAAGACATATGAATAGTGAATAGAACAATAGTTCGGCGGGTGGTCGGGGCAGCGAGGCTGCTGTTATTGTCTGCCTGCTTCCATCACCTGGAATCAGCACAGCCATAGCTGCATTAACACCTCAACCGGTGCGCGCTTCACTTCCATTCCTTCGACTAAACCTGCATTCGACCAATGATATTGCTCTACTGCCACAGCGAAGAGCAAACACGGAGAATAGAGGCTATTGTATCTGTCTTTGATGTTCCCGTCCGCTTCAAAATCAACAGTCCACTCATGTTCGCTGCTTCGCTGATTGGTGAGTGTACACAATGCTTTGATGGATCGCCCGTGGCTTTTCGCATGATGCGCGTAGATGAGAAATTATAACTTGTTGGGGTATAGTTCCTAAGTGTCATATAAACTTGGAAATAAATGCTCAATCGGTGAATGCGGCGGGGTGAGAGTGGTAGTGATATACCACCGCGTTAAGCTAAACCTAATTTGGAACATTAGCCGTAGGCAGCGAAGTATACCTGCCGAACTGCTCTCACCATCATCAAACTGACCACCGCTTTGCACCTGAAAATCATTGGGAATGCGTAACGAATGCACAGAATGATGCATAAGCTATCTGTGGGGCAGTATAAAATATATACGCGCTAGTAGCTAACAAACAGCAAACAACAAACGAAGAGAGGCGAATATCATGGAATCCACTTAATACTTCCTCGTTGTGTAACATTGAAAAGGCTGTGCAATAAATTCCAAGCTATACCATGTACCCTCCATCACCATGAGATGGATGACTCAATTTAGACGCCGACTCAGCCTGCCTCTACGTTGGCGGCAATGCAGTGTTAGCTTCTTTCCGTGACCGGGCCTTCAGGAGTCATTTCGAGAGCTGCTGTGAGAGCACCCTCCCCATCCCATGAATGCTCCCTCGTCGAGATCTCCAGCTAAGCCTTATATGTAACTTAAATAAGCCACTTCTCTCTCTGCCGCTCGGTCTACTTCCTAGCATCTCCGTCTCGCCACCGCCACGAGCGAGCTCGTCTATCATCTTCACTTGACCAACGAGACATATCTGTAGTCAATCTTCGCACGAACCCAATTGTCGCAACTCTTTCACGCTGCTCAACGCTGAGACAATTTTCCAGAAAGCATTAAATAAAGGAGAATATCCACATCTGTAAGACATGAGTTGGCTGCTGTCGGGCTTGGAGCTTCATAGCTGGTAAGATGTGCCATTTTCTACCTGCGTGTAATACCAATAGTCAGCGATCGGATTTGGACCTCGACAGAGCAAAGATCTGTCATGGCACAGCGGGTGCCACTGGTTGGACCCGTGTGCTGATGGAAAGTTCTAGAATGCATGGAACTTCAAGGTGTCGATCATGAATGACGAGGCAAATGAGACTGAATGTAGTAAATGACAGCTCAGGGCAGATGGTGGGGAAACGAAGCGGGTAAAATGCACCAATCAGATACAATAACGCCAATATGACCAGGTGCCGCAAATCCTAACACCTCTCGTTGCAGTACCAGGCGAACGAGCACTGGCGGTGTGCAGGGCACTTTGCAGCGAAATTGTGGGCTTCACTCATGGGCATATCGTAGGGAAGCCTTGTGGGATGAAGCTTCAGTGGCAGCTAAAATCGAAATGCAGGCGTAGGGATATATGCAGCCAATCGTAGCGTAAATAGAGGACGGATTCAAAAATCGAGTTCCCTAGGACACGCCGTGAAGCAGGAATAATGAAAGAGATGGAGTTGAAGCGCAGATAGCGATAGCGGCGCCGGGCTCCGCGGTTTCCCTGCTACCCGCGAAACCGCAGTCACAACCGCCGAATTGCTTCGTTGTTTCCAACAACCACTGGCCTGTAACGATCTGAATCGGACCACAAATGAGCTGATGACGCGCTTGCTTGCATCGGGAGCAGCGGGATGGCTTGGATGGCGCTGGCTTGGGCCCAGGGGCACAGTCCACTGCAGCCGCAGGATTGTGGGTCCCCACAATCTCGTATTTACTAAGCCAACCAGAACCGGTTCTGTACGAGGGTAGTTTCTGAGGTAACACTCCCCATTTCCCATCGGGTATATTGATTCACGTAGAGCTTGCTCCGCATGCTCGCTCGGACGAATCAACTGCAAGATTATGCTCTACGTTTATTGTTCTCTATTGATGTTTTGTTCCACCCGTCCGCGTCATTACCCCTAGCTGTTGCCCCATACAGCAACAGCCGCAGCCAATCCTTCGACTATCTTAGCAAGAGCTTTTGGACAGCGCAGAGTGCACAACGGAACAGATGGATTCCGAAACCCATTCCATCGTACGACGGACTAATTCTCCGGCCATTACTAAAGCAAACTTCCCCCGCTACTTTCAACCTCACCAAAGGCACTTTCCACCATGGAAGACGTTAAGCCGCTCCACATCGTTGGCTACGCAGTCGCGGCTTTATTTGCCGCTGTTCTGCTCAATGTCGCACGTCAAATATTCTTCCGCAAGACGAATGAGCCGCCAGTGGTTTTCCACTGGTTTCCATTCATTGGCAGCACCGTCACTTATGGCATGAACCCTTTGAAATTCTTCCAAGACTGTAGAGAAAAGGTAGGACGCTCACCAAGGCTGTATAAGGAAGCAGACTGACAGTCACATAGTACGGAGATGTCTTCACGTTCATCCTCCTTGGACAAAAGACGACGGTTTACCTCGGCATCGATGGCAACGAATTCATTCTCAACGGCAAGCTCAAGGATGTCAACGCAGAGGAGGTCTACGGTCCCATCACCACCCCAGTCTTCGGTTCCGACGTCGTCTACGACTGTCCCAACTCCAAACTCATGGAGCAGAAGAAGGTACCCTCCATCCGCTTCTCTCCCACCCTCAAGCATCCGCTTACCACTGACGCCCCCTCCACCCACAGTTCGTCAAATTCGGCCTAACCCAAGAAGCGCTGGAATCCTACGTCCCGCTCATCGAAGAAGAAGTCCTGCAGTACATCAAGACGTCCGGCCGCTTCAAGGGCTTATCCGGCACGATCGACATCCCCGCCGCCATGGCCGAAATCACCATCTTCACCGCCAGCCGCGCGCTGCAAGGCGAAGAAGTCCGCAAGAAGCTGACGGCCGACTTCGCGGACCTCTACCACGACCTCGACCTCGGCTTTTCTCCGCTCAACGCCCTCATGCCCTGGCTGCCCATCCCCAGCAACCGCAAGCGCGACGCCGCGCGCGAGAAGATGCGCGAGGTCTACACCGAGATCATCAAGGAGAGGAGGAGGACCGGCAGCAGCCGGGGGGAAGGGGGAGAGGCGACGCACGACATGATCACCAACCTCATGCGGTCGAGCTACAAGAGCGGCGTGCCCGTCCCGGACAAGGAGATCGCGCACATGATGATCACGCTGCTCATGGCCGGGCAGCACTCGTCGTCGTCGGCCAGCTCGTGGATCATGCTGCGTCTCGCCTCCGAACCGAAGGTCGTCGAGGAGTTGTTCGCGGAGCAAGTCAGCGCGCTCGGGGCGGACCTGCCGCCGCTAAGGTACAGAGACCTCGAAAGGCTGCCGCTGCACCAGAACGTCATCAAGGAGACGCTGCGCGTGCACTCGTCCATCCACTCGATTATGCGCAAGGTCAAGAACCCGCTGCAGATCCCTGGCACGCAGGTCATCGTGCCGGACTCGCACGTGCTGCTCGCGTCGCCGGTTATGACGGCGATGAGCGAGCAGTACTTTCCCAATGCGGCGACGTGGGATCCGCATCGTTGGGATGACCGGAAGGAGGATGAGGAGAGCGAGGATATGGTTGATTATGGGTATGGGGCGGTGTCGAAGGGCACGAAGAGCCCGTATTTGCCGTTCGGCGCGGGCCGCCATCGCTGTATCGGCGAGAAGTTTGCGTATCTGAATCTGGGCGTTATTGTGGCGACGTTGGTGAGGGAGTTTAAGTTTAGCAACCCGAAGGATAGGGAGGGCGTGCCGGCGACGGATTATGCGGTAAGTGATATGCGGAATCTCTGTGCTGTTGCGGTTTACGATGCTGATTTTGGTCGCAGTCCATGTTTTCGCGCCCCATGCAGCCGGCTATGGTTTGCTGGGAGAGACGCTTCCCTGAGAGGGAGTAGAGAAGCAGCGCCGCATCGCGCGATGAGGTGTGTGCCCGACGATCGCCGGGTGGGCGCCCAAGTTGAACATTCGTGCGGTCTGTAGATGCACAATATACTATAATGGAGATGACATTACTTCTTCTTGCTCGTGCAAGGTGGCGTCTCGAATTGGTGTATTGAGGTGGTCCATATCTTCAGGTGATGGTGTTTTATGCGTAGCAATCCGATATAAGGGAAGAATATGATAATTTTTGAATCTGGATGTGAATCTTGGTTTTCTCATTGTTTGGGATTCCTCTCGAGTCAATATTTGGAGAGAGAGGAATTGAGGTATTGTCGTACAAGGTAGGTGTGCGCCGGCGTCTATTGGTTCTGTTTGATTCCGTTTGTAAGCCACTGTCCGGGGGCTGCAGGGTCACATTGAATTTCCCCTGAATGTCAGCTCGACAAGATACCCCGCGCATGCTGGATCCCTTACGATCTGACCCCAAATTCTCAACAATCAGCAAGCGATGCCTTCTCAAGACGACTCCCCTCCGAAGTGCCAGCTGTGCGAAGTCTGCTCCACCATCGACTTCAAGAGCATCGCCCACCCAACACGCCTCTGCACCAAAACACGTGACAAAGAGCCCTCCGCATCCCGAATCCCGCTGGGCACCGCTTCCGACATCTGCGAGCGCAGCGACCGTTGTGCGTTCTGCAACCTCGTCTGGCGACGGCTGCGGAGCTCTTATGGCTCGGACGCGAACCTCGACGGCCGATGCGATCTCTACAACAAGGACCTGTGCATCTCAGCCTTCCCCGGACGCGGTGACGGCGACATCCCAGATCTCCAGAACCTGCAGCAGGGTCTTCACGCTCATATAGGGATGGCTACTGTCCAGTTCTCTCCTGAGGAGTATTTCATCGGACCAGTCCTGCCATGGCAGAGGAGTGGCTTTTCAGAACAGGGCGTCCGCCAGATCATGCACCTGCAGGTAGCTCCCAGAACGCCCAATCAGAGCACCCAGCCGGATGAGAGTGGCGCAGAAGAGAGTTCGGTGGAAGATATACTGAAGTCTGTGCGGGTGCGGAGGGCTGCTCCTGAAGTGGACGTGAGCTTGCTCTCGAGTTGGTTGCGGCGGTGCGAAAGCATCCACCGAGACAATTGCTCGCAGATTCCCAGCACTCGCCACGAGCACGCTAGAGTTATGCCCGCATTCGTGATTGATGTCAAGGGCTGTTGCGTTGTTGAAACCCCCTCTGACTGCCGCTATGTGGCATTGAGTTATGTCTGGGGCACGGCGAAAACACTCAAACACGTGAAGGACAACTCCGACGCTCTTCAAGTTCAGGGATCTCTTAGTACCCTGGAGGTACCAGGAACAATCCGCGATTCCATTAGGCTCGTGCATGGAATTGGCGAGCGGTACCTTTGGGTGGATGCGCTCTGCATCGTTCAGGACGACATAAGAATGCAACAGACGCAAATTGCTCAAATGCATGAGATATATGCAGGAGCTGTGCTTACCATCATCGCCGCCTTCGGCAATAATGCAGACAGTGGCCTACCTGGGGTTTATCCAAACAACCGCGCACAAGCCCAAGAGCTCATCTCGCTTCCAGAATGCGACTTAGCAATCATTCTTTTCGATAACGAAACTGACGACGGCGGTAGTAAGATTGCCAGGTCGATGTGGATCCAGAGAGCTTGGACGATGCAGGAGATGTTTTTTTCGCGAAGATGCCTCATATTCACCGACAACCATGTATACTGGCGGTGCAGAGCGGCGATATGGCTGGAAGGGATATCACTCGAACACCTGCCAGTCACAGACCTGGGAATCTTGCCCGCAAACGCGGATTTCCAGTTGCCAACCCAGCCACTACGGCCCCAAGAATACTTTAATCTCTACGAGAGTCTGGTGCGCCATTACGGGCGGAGGCGGCTGTCGTACTCCTCGGATCTCATTAATGCTTTCTCTGGGTTTACCTCAGCGTTGTCAACGGTGCAAAAGGATTCATTCTTCTGGGGTCATCCGTGCACGCAATTTTCCCGGTCGCTCGGATGGAGTTTTAGGTTATACCACACCAGAAACCACGCCCGCACAAACATCGTGCTTCGGGATGGGTCCGTCAGAGAGATTCCATTTCCTTCTTGGAGCTGGGCAGCGTGGGAAGGCAAAACTAATCTGCCATGGATTAGCTTCAAGGCTTATCCAGCGTATAGGTTATCCAGCCAAATAATTTCAGAAGTGTTCAAGCCAATAACGAAATTCTGGTTATCGAATGAGTATGATGAACTGGTTCGGATTGAAGAGCACGGGAGCGGCGTTCCTCAATCGGAGGAGGATCATGCGCAGCAACTTTTGTGGCAAGGTGCTGAACGAGAGAACCCACCGAATGGCTTGGAGCATCAAGACCGACAACCACGAGAGCCCGGCCGTCTCTATTTCTGGTCCAGTGTTGCGACCTTTTCATGTCGGGACGTCTGCTGCGAGATACCCAAGGTTGCGAACCTCTGCGAGCATGATCAATCGCCGTTCGTTGTCTGTGCATGCAGACGCGCTGAAAGGGATGCCACTCTCAAGAGGGGGCTTTACCCCCACAAAGTAATAGAGGGCAAAGTAATGGAGAACAGAGTAATGGATGGATATAGAAATTATGATCTTGTCGTTGTCGGCAGGGTTACAAGGAGCGGTGGATCACCCAAGCTATTGGTCATTCCTGTCGAATGGAAAAATGGCGTGGCATACCGGCTTGGGTCAAATCTGGTTGAACCAGATTTGGTTGCTGAAGAGCAATGGGTTGCGCTCAAGCATCGAGAGTGGAAATTTGTTACTTTGGGCTGAAGTTGACGGTAACATGTTCTGTACAGGAAGTCTCAAGAGGAGACTCGGATGCTTGGTTAAGCTAAATGCAAGAAAAGCGAAAGGAAATGAAAAGGATAAAATATTTTGCAACCCGCTACGTGTTTTATCAGACTTGATGCGGTTGAAATTAACACCTCCAGCGATTGGTTACAAAATGATATTACTGCCATCTGTGGGAAGGAATCATTTGACGGCTGTCGTAGGTGTTATTGGTGCAACAACACGAAGGGGAAGACTGGTATAAGTAATCATACGCTGATGGGTTTCGGAGCAGAATTGTTTGCACTCATTCCTCCCAAGGGTTAGTTGAGAGAGAGTGTGTGAGACTGACTAATTACACAAATCATCACATACGCGAAGCTCCTTTCAATACCTACCGAACATCTTCGACTTCAAACAGATTGCGTACTTGAGCACTGCGAGTAATGACGCTTGTCAAGGTTTCCTAATTAAGTAAATGCTAACAATAGTGGAAGTAAACCATGAACGGGAGTAGCGCCGGGCCTGAAAGCATTTTTGCCTAATTCAAATCTTCCTGCGAGATAAATCTGTCGACTGTTCGGCCCAGATCGTGACTATGAGAACGAATTTTAGAGCCTCGCGAGCTTTCAGCTGCAACAATGTACCTGTACGAGGTCGGGTCTAAAGCAACCGCCTAAGTAGTCTTAGTATCCGACAAGGCGGTTTAGAGGTTTTCTTACCTGGAGTTCTCTGTCTTCGTTCTGATAGTTGCTGAGCCGCTGGTCAAGATCACGATATCTCCCCCGGAGATTCCAAAAGTACTGGCCATCAAACTTCACCAAGACGTACGCGCCATGCATCCCAAGAGTGAGCTGACTGATCGAGTACCAATTTACGGCCAGGATTGACGAAAGTGTGCGGCATTGAGCGGCTTCCTCAGAAATGTGCCACAAACAACATCGTTCGAACCGGGCGAAATACGTATAGTCAGGTCCAAAAGAAAAGTAGAGGAGCCGCCCGTACGTCTGGGATTCAATGGCCGCCCAGAGATTTGGGTAGTAAGTGTGCTGATTCGCTATTGACCCGTCTGTGGTATAGTCAGATCCAAATGACATAGCGCATCCCGTGCGAAACCGTCACGAATCAATAACATACCGGCTTTATAAAACATAATAGGGTTGATTCGACAAACAGCTATCCAATGATCGTGAGGACCCAGTGCAAGCATCTCTATGCTGCTGAGGTCAATGACATTGAGGTGAAGTTCCTGTTCCACTTTGGACGATAAGTCCCTTTCCACATTATTGAAGATTAGCCCCTACTACTACATGAGGAGAAGAGATGGAACCAAAGGCTCAAGCTTACATTACCGGATTGCCTTTCCCTTTCAAGAATGCGTTCCCTCTGCCGCACACCGAAAAGGAAAAGCTCGGTTCCGATGTGCTTTCTTGCGATGGGAGCTGGACGGGAAAGACGGGTGTAGGCTGCGGTTCTCCTTGTTGCAATGTGCTCTGGATGGGATAGTAGCCGTATGTAGGCTCATAAGTCCACAAATACTGCTGTTGTCTTTCTAAGTTGTGTGCGACTTGCATTGAGCTCATCATTCTGGTAGCTTCCTCGAGTTGCTGCTCCAAGCGTGCAACCCGTTGCTGGTAAAGCTTCTCCATGTCGGCTTTCATCAATTCTCTTTCTGCTTCGATCTTTTGCAACCGAGCATCCTGCTCCTTCCTTAATTCTTCCATCTGTACGGCAGTGGCGTAGTCTTTTTCGGTGAGCGCCTTTCTCTTCTGCTCCTGCATCTCTTCGATTATCCTTCGCGTTTTTGCTCTCTCTTGTATCAACTCCTCGCTGATTGCTTGGCCTGCGTCTGTGTCGACCAAGTCTTTCTTCTCCACCACCATCTCTTGTTGGAGCTTGGTTGTTACGCGCCCCGGTCGCTCCACAAATTTCTTGATGACGGCTCTCGCCGAGGTTGTATCGTTCTGATATCTTGCCGCGGTGCTTCCGTCTCTTATCATGGCGCCCCAGAACTCAGGCGTCTCTTTGAGCTCAGTCTCACGTGCCACGCCAGTCGCGACATCGACCTTGTCCCACATGGAAGTGACCAGAATCACCTTCTTCAGAGCGTCGCGGCCGCACAACTTGTAGAACATGTGAAGGTTCCGCCTGGCCGACCCTTGCATGCGAACACCTGTTATGGGATGCACGTATATGAGTCCGCTGAGCTTAACGTGTTCCCGACCGTATGAGCGCGTCAACCAGGCGGCAATTTCTCGAAGAACATCGGTATCGGTATGGTCGGCATCGTCAAAGCCCGGCGTATCGATAAGATAGACTGTGTGTGTGGGGCTGTAGTCGAAGGGAAACGATTCAACCACGCGTGTGCCTGGTGGCATGGCATGTTAGCTGCACTGTCGCATTTTCCACTATGTTTTGTTAGTCTCCTACATGATTTGAGCGTGTGCCCCACTGTCACTCTGCCTCCGCAGCAGTTCCTGATGAAGGTGCTTTTTCCCGACCCAGTCATCCCCATAACAGCAATGAAGACGTCGGTTTCTCTGGCTGAATATTAGCGCAATGCTCACCCATAGCGTATCGATCTTTTACGAGCCTTGGCGTCCGCCCTTCCCTACTCCAGGAGGCATTGCTCGCCGTAGCTGATTGAGATCTGGCGGATTTCATGGCGCTGCAGGTAGGATCAGAAATGTAAAAGGTCAGCTGAGTTTGAGGATTTTATTATCAAATCTCACTTTCAAAGCCTTCGCTTAGGTTTGCTGTGAAGTGATATTTGGACTGGAGGAATCGTGCTCTATTAATCACAGAGGCTGATCATGAAGGCCTGCAGGATTATTCGTGCGTGCATGTTTTCTCAGCCTTGCGCAGTGAGCGGGGTTGATGGTGGAAGCCTAGACCTGATATCTCTAGCCATGATTGGCTGAGGCAGCGCGCTGTTGCCCGACCGCAATGCTCAATCCATGGTTGGCTTGACACGTCACAGAATGCGCGATATGATGTGGCTCAGTTATGCAGCTTACAAGCACAAGGCTGATCAAGAATAAGGGCAAGGCTTGCGGCTCCTCGTAGAAAGTTTGACTTTTTCTACATAGCTAGGTGCTGGCGTTACCAAGTAGCGTACAAGAAGTTACAAAATTTCCACTCTTCTTGAAAAGAAACCACTGAGCTTCGTGTTAAGTCTGCCCCAAACGATGGACTGGGTTTGAAACTTCGGCTTACTTTCATGAGGTTCCGCCTGGCCTTGGTATGTCTGACCAACAAAAACCGTGCTCTCGGATTGATTGGTGACATGAATGCAACCTGTCGGGCAATTGGCTGCCTGGTATGCAGCTCGTATATGTGCAGTGGCTCGCATTCACCCACCATGACGCGGCTGTGCTTTTCGAGCTCATCTTTAGCCTATGCATATCCTGAGATGCAACCTTCACAATCACATCTGATTACTTTCCCCGGTGTGCTTACCGCATCCTGAAGAAGGATTTGCCAGTTGCGCACCTTTGGTTTTGCAGCTCGACTGCTCCACAAATTGGAATGGCAGACAACATGTCAACGGACTCGACACTCGTCGATGAGGATGACCTGTTTGAACAGGAAAGAAACATTTTACGGTTCATCGGCGCCGAGCCACTCGCGCCGAATTCGATATTCATCATCCTTTTGGGAAATACGGGCACGGGAAAGAGCAGATTTGCCTCGAGCTGCTCCGGCAAGCCGCTGAAAATCGGACATGGCCTGAAATCCTGTAAGCAGCAATCGAAGGCTCGCAGGAAAAAAAAAGACCTTTCTGATATGAAAAAAAAATTCCACAGGCACAGAGGACATCTCCATCGTCTCCCTCAAGCTACACCAATCCACCGTCTACCTCATCGACACGCCGGGTTTTGACGACACGTCGCGGCCCGACATCGCGACGCTGCGCACCATCTCGACCTACCTCGCCCTCTCGCACGCCAACAGCGTCGCCCTCTCGGCCGTCCTCATCCTGCACCGCATCAGCGACACGCGCGTCTCCGGGTCGTCGGCGCGCAGCATCGCGCTGCTCAAAGCCCTCTGCGGGCGCCGCGCCTACCCGGCCACGGCGCTCGTGACGACCATGTGGTCGCGCCGCGGCGGCGGCGGCGTCGACCACGACCACGACCACGCGCAGCAGGTAGCAAGAGAAAAGGAGCTACACAGCGACGCCGCCTTCTTCGCGGACCTCGTCGCGGCTGGCGCGCAGACGTTCCGCCACGACGAGTTTAATCCCGGCGGCGGGCCCGCGCGGCAGCAGCAGCAGGACGATGAGGACGAGGACGAGGAGGAGCGCGACGCCGCCCGCGCCATCCTGTCCAGCGTCGTCGAAAACGTTCGCAGGCGGCAGCAGCAGCAACATCAGCAGCAGCCGCGCCTGATCACGCTGGCCATCCAGCGCGAGCTCGCGACGCCGACGCACCTGGCCACGTCGGTGCCGCTGCTCGCCACGGCCGCCGGCGCCGTGCTCGCCGCGCACCTGGACCGCGTCGAGGCGTCGCTGGCGCGCGAGCGCGCGTCGCTGGCGGATGATGATGATGATGATGATGATGCGGAGACGATGAGGGCGCTAGTGGGCGACAATCGCCAGCGCGTGTGGGCGTGCCGCGCGCAGAGAGATGCGCTGCGTCGCGGAGTCATGGAGCTCGACGACGCCGAGCGCGCGAGGCTGCTCGGGCGCGTCGACGACATTGACGTGACGGCCGCGGCGGCGGCGGATGCCCGGCTCGAGGCGCGGCTGGCGGCGTGCCGGAGGCGGATCCGCGATATCGAGGAGGCTACTACTACCGCCACCGCCGCCGCCGCCAGTCCTGGATGGCCCGGGGAGGGGAACGGTGGTGATGGTGGCCGTGGTCGTGTGGGACGGACCGCCGTGGCTGGCGGCGTTATGGTGGATGAGAATACTCATCAAGTCTTCTTGCTGCACCAGAAGATCCAGGAGCTCGAGCAGCAGAAGCGGCTCAAGAAGCATTACCGCAGGAAAGCTAGGGACGCGGTGATTTCGGGCATGGCCAGTGGGACGGTGTCTGCGGCGGCTGGAGCAGGTGGGTCCGTGATTTTGTGCGTGCAAGTCTTTTTTTTTTTTTTTTTGCTGACGAAGGTCCATCTAGCACTGGCAGCAGCAGGTGTGGGATGCGTAGTGTGTTAATAGGTGCTCGCGGAATCGCTTACACACATACCGATTGAACATCGTTTGGCCAGCAAAAAGGGAACCGAGCTGGGTACCGTAGGAAAACAGTGGTTATTCTTGACAAGTATTATTGCTCGCCGTGGTCAGGTATGTACAATCTCTGTTTGAAGCCGAAAGTGTTTGATAGATATCGCACAAAAGAAGCTCGGTATGCTGTAACGGTAGGCTCCTTCTTCTAGGCTTCGGAGTTGCTCAGCAGGTCGGACGGACCGTAGGGTTTACCTTAAAGGGATAAGAGGTGGGTAACGATGATTAGACAAGGGGAGTCGATGTATAGTAAGCCGGTTACCTCTGAGCTAATAGGTTTGGATTAGAACTTTAAGTTGACTCAAGTGTCCCGCCAAGAAATTTATCTACATACCTTAGAAAACTGGTTACAATCTAGCATTGCTCTTAATTAAGAGTGTAGGTGTATAATTGAATGCGACAATGTAAGTAGCTTGCCAAAATGTCAGGCTTTTTGTGGCGATCGACAGCGTGCTAAGTAACCCCGCGGCATTCCTTCCCCGCACTTGCCAGCAAACAAGAGCTCGGGGTGGGGCCGCATTAAGCTCTGCCCCCCTTGCATGACCGGTGCCTGCTGATATATGCACGCCAACCGGCTCTTCCGCATCCTGCAAGCCTCCGCCTGACGCAACTTCCAGACACGGCCTAACATTCCTGCAATAAATTCTGCAGACATATCCTGCAACGTTACAGTGGCATCCAGGCGGCTGTATGTACGTCATTGCGGATCTGCATCGCTCGGCGCGCTCGGTCTCCATGCCACTGCAGCAGGATTAACCATGTCTAGGAAGAAGCTTCCGATAGCTGCTGCAACCGGCCACGCGCCGGCGGCGGCTCCTCACGCGCGCTCATGGATCATTGCCATCCTCGCCCTCTTCCTCCTTTTGTCCCTCTACACCGACCTCCCTATCCTCCTCGCCATGAAGCTCCGCGACCTCACATCTTCCGTGTTCTCCGCCGCTCTCTGCGCTGGCGTGACCACCGCACAAAACAACAGCAATGCAACCCGTACATAAACCGGCCCCACCACCCACCACCGTCCAACCCAACTAACTCCTCCTCTTCCCCACAGTCCTCCCCTTCATCCTCCGCCCCCTCCCCCTCGGCTCGATCAAGCCCACGGGCTGGCTCCGCTCCACCCTCGCCCTCTCCGCCGCCGGGCTGGCCGGCCACGAGCACGACTTCTACCCGTACGTCGCATCGAGCAGCTGGACGGGCGGGTCCGCCGAGTACAGCGGGCTGAACGAAGGCTTCCCGTACTGGCTGAACGGGCTGGTACCGCTCGCCTACGCGCTCGACGACGCGCGACTAAAGGACCAAGTCAGCGACGCGGTGCAGGCCGTCCTCGCACGGCAAGCATCCGACGGCTGGCTCGGGCCCGAGACAGGCGATGCGCGGAACCTCTGGGCGCGGTACCCGTTGCTGCTCGGGCTGGTGCAGCTGGTGGAGGCGGATCCGGGGGCGTGGGAGGCGCAGGTGCTGAATGCGACGTGGCGGTTTGTCGGGTTGATGGGGGAGATGTTGAGGGATGGGTCGCGGGGGTATTTGTGGCGGGAGGGGGAGGATGAATTGACGGAGGAGGAGTTTACGTGGGGGCGGGTGAGGGTGCAGGATTTGTTGATCGTGTTGCAGTGGTTGTGGGAGAGGGAGAGCACGACGGAGGCGGGGAGGGAGGAGTTGGCGGGGTCGATGCGCATTTTGATTGATGGGTCGATTAACTGGGCGGATTGGTGGCAGGAGGGTGTTTTCATTAAGGGGGATCTGAATTTCCTGGATACAGAGCCCTCGAATGGGCCGCGTTATCCGTACGAGCATGGCGTCAATGCTGGGCAAGGTGAGTTTCGAGATTCGTTTCCTTTTAGTGCCTGTATCCGCGGTGCTGGCTATGCAAAAGTCCGATTTCTCGGGTTTTGGTCAGCCCTGTTTCCGGGATTTATCAGACAGATCTGGGGGTGCAGTAGTCCAAGTACCCTTCCAAGTCCTAATCATTTTGTTTTATGGCGAATCCCTCCAACTCTCATGTACTAAACCTTGAACAGGTCTCAAAGCACTTGCAGTCTTTAGACGATTTACGCATAATGACAGCCTTGTGGAAATTACCCACCGAGGAGTAGATTGGACTTTTAAGTATCATTCTGCTGCCCATGGAGGACTTCTAGCAGATGAGCGGCTTGCTGGATTGGCGCCGTTCTATGGGTAAGACAACATGCTCGTAACGCCAATCCTCCGCTGATGACAGGCCAGCTCCGAGACCTGCACCCTGGTTGAGACCATATACTCCTTGAGCTATCTATACCAAACCCTAGGCACAAACGACTACGCCGATCTTGCCGAGACAATTGCCTTCAACGCCTTACCAGCCCAAATGTCTCCCAACTGGTGGGGCCGCCAGTACGTAGGCCAGCCAAACCAGGGATTCTCAACCGAACTATCCCAGAACCCCTTCTACAACGTCCGCGAATCGGGCATCCTCTACAGCGTCGAAGCAAACTACCCCTGCTGCACCGTCAACCACCCACAAGGCCTACCCAAATTCCTCTCCAACTCCTTCGCCCGCGTCGGCGACAACGAAATCGCCCACATGCTCCTCAGCCCAGCCAACCTCTCCACCACCATCGCCAGCGGCAAAATCACCATCGCCTGCCAGACGCACTACCCCTTCTCCAACGTCCTCAAGTACACCGTCCATTCCGACTCCGCCACCACCCTCCACCTCCGCGTCCCCGCCTGGTCCCCCGCCTCATCCACCACCATCACCGTCAACGGCTCGTCCGCCGCAAAGCCCGTCTCCCCCGACCCGGATACTGGCCTCCACGCCGTCACCCTGCCCGCCGGCACGACCCACCTCACCTACACCCTCTCCCCAGCCCTGACGACGACCCCGCGCGCCAACGACACGTTCACCGTCCGCTACGGCGCGCTGCTCTTCGCCCTGAGCGTGCCGTCCACCAACAGCTCCGCGCACCCGCCGCAGTCCTACAACGATCCCAACACCAAACTGGCCAACGCGCCGCCGCTCGCCGTCGACTGGCGCCTCGACAACGCGAGTGCGTGGAGCGTCGCGCTCGATCCGGGGAGTTTGGTGTTGAGGAGCAGTAGTCTGGATGACGACGAGGCGCTGGCCGACCCGGTTTTTGCGCCGGGGGCGCCGCCGGTGTGGGTGGAGGCGAGGGGGTGCGAGATTGAGGGGTGGGGACTGTATCGCGGGGTGATGGGCGTGCCGCCGGTGAAGGAGAGGAGGAGGTGTGTGGGGAGCGTCAAGACGTATCGGTTGGAGCCCGTCGGGGCGGCGAAGTTGAGGGTATTGGATTTGCCGGTCATTGAGTTGGGGGAGTGAGTGGGTGGGGGTGTGTGTGTGTGGGTGAATGGGTAAGTGGGTGAATGGTTGAATGGGTAAGTGGGTAAGAGAGTGTGAGTGGGTGAGTGAATTCGGGGTGTGGCGCGGGGATTTCGGGGATTTCGGACAATATAGGCGGGTTTGCTATGTCGGTTCGTCTATTGGCTACAGATGGCCCTACTAGTCATCTCATTTAGTGAATTGTGGGATAGACTCGACTTCCTTTTGGTGAGGCCGTGCTCGAATAGTAGGAGAAAACTAGTGATGGAGCTGCTTTCTCCCTTCTTACTGCGGGCTGTAGCCTCCGACTGGATGTTCTTGCTGTAGGGAGAGGTAAAAATCAACCACAGAAGCTCGTGAATGTCCATACTGTACGTTTTTGTTGTGCCATGTCTCCTTAATTCTCTACGGCGGGGCTGAAACGTCGGCCAGCTCATTCGTAGGCCCGATTAACGGCGTGCTCGGGGTAACCTACCTTACTGGCCAATGTAGTATAGTAGTCCGTATTCTGGACGGTGAAAACCTGAACCTCAGGAATTTCGCAACCTGACTGGAGGCTTGCTGCTTGCCACACCGACGACGAGTCCTCTTGTCCGGTGAAGTCCCATCTCAACAACCCAGCGCCGCGCTCACGGTTCGCATGACACCACACACCTGTCCGTTCACCTCGTACAGCAGCGGTGACACTGCCTGTTTGCAACTTGTCACAGTGTGATGTGTCTAATGAGATGCAGCTTTGATTTTATGCTGGCCAAGACCCTTGTGGCTGCTGTTCACGCCCGCTTCTTCACCAGTGTCGATCTTTCCTTATGGGGTCGGGGGGTGGCGTCAAGACGGTCCGGTCTTCGGCCCTGAGGATCGCATTGTATCCCCTGCATACACACCATGGCCATAGGGCTGTGTATCTGGCCCGATAGGTGGAGAAGATGTGCAATTTAAATGTCTCATAGGGTTTACGTTGAGATTGGCGGGGCTCGAAGCGTTTAACAAGGCTGAAACGCACCTTTCCATCCTGTTCTAGAATGTCGTCAGTAGGATTGAGACAGAGTTGAATCGATTGGACGAGGCTGAACGTCGACTTGAATTCAATGTCGTGACTTTCTTTGATGTTTATGTTACATTCGCTGCAGGCACATCTCTTCAGATAATAGCACATGGATTGAATTAGTAGCGAACTGTGCATTGAACATCGTATCCCTCGCCTCACCCAGTGCCAGACACCAAAAGCAAGGGTATACGGATCCAAAGTGGAGCATTGGCGTTCACACCGCCGACACTTGACTTCTATCCGCATTACAGTCTGTTTAACCATTTGTGACGTAGGGAGGAGTTTCGCAGTACGAACTTTCACTGCTCGGTATGAGGCACCCTTACAGATAGCTGCATCAGTTGTCCTCATACAAGTCCACGTATGGTAGAGCGGCGACAAACCCATCCGCTCATCGAGCAGCCCGCCACTTAGCTCTCCAATTAAACCCCACAGGACCGTGCAATCCTGCTGATCAACTCGTATGCTATGAGCAGGCTATGCCCGACCGCTCTTCTCGGCGGTTGCTTGGTAGATCTTCTCCAAGTTCAAGGCGACTCGTGACGCACGGTCACAGTAAGGCTGAGTTTTTGGGATGTCGGCCACTCCGAGATGAGAAACAGGGGCATGACATCCAGAAGTACTTAAAGGCATCGAGACAAGCAGAAGACTCACTCATCACCAACGCAAGCCTTCACTTCCACAACAACAAAAACACAATCGTTGCCTCAACACCACTCTCTCAACCACCAATCAAAATGAAGTTCTTCGCCGCCACCGCCGCCATTGTTGGCCTCGCCTCTGCCGCCACCGTCTCGAAGGCTACCCTCCGTGACAACAACGGCCTCCAGGCCGTCACCCTCACTATCGATGGCGTCCAGTGCTCGGCCACCAGCCCTGCCGCTCTCGGCTCCCGCCAGATTGCTTGCCCCGGCTCTGCCTACTCCTGGCACGTCACCGGCTCCGTCGGTGACTACGAGCTCACCCTCTTCAAGGGCGTCGTCACGTAAGCTCCTTTTATTTTGCTAATCGAATTTAGCCCCTCTTTTCGAAAGTGCATGTGTGCTGACGGGATTGGATACAATAGCGATTCTCCTCAGGCCTATGCCAAGCTCCCCACACACTGCAGCGCTGGTGGTGCTGGCCCTAATGACATGGTCTGCGACCAGAACAGCGACATCACCATTGATATCTAAGCGATGACGAGTGGAGGTGGCTTTTTATGGGACCATGTAAATAACTTATGACCTAATGCTAGTCGCACCCATTGCCAATGTATGCCTACGCAATATACTTGACTCGTGCCACTGTGGATGACAGTCACGACCATTTTTCAAGTGCTTTCAAATAAATAACGTTTGGTCTACATTGTATCGATGATTTAAAAGTGTTTTACTCCAATAAGTAATTTCATTTGACTAATAGCTAAAGATTAAGTACGTAAGCTAACTTAAGTACCGTAAAAACTAATAGCTACGCATTAAGGATATTCTCGTCCAGCGCGATCCACTAGCACACCCCCCGGCACATGCACTGATTTATCTTCGTAGATTTAGCATCTTCTAAATCAATAATCCGCCTTTATTTACCCATATCCCTACCATTTCAAATGTTATAGTATAATACCAGTAGACCTGCCGGTGGACATGCTCGTCAATTGTGCCGGATGAGGAGATATCTTGCTTTTAACCATGGATCGTCAGATTGAAGGAAATTGATATATTTTGCAGGGTCGTTTCTGAAATTTGTAAGAATATTTCAAAATGTAGAAGCTGAATTTCCTTCTAAAGCCCAACCTATTCTATTTCTTATAGCTAATTCGTGCTATGTTGTAGGTTAGTGTCGACTTGGCAATTTAGATCGACTTGAGACGGGAAAAAAGTGGGTCCCGGACCAGCGCCAAAAAGCCAAGAGAGACGTGCATCTATATATTCCGACCAACCAAATCGTATGAATAGATGCAGTGCTCTAGTATATCAGAGAATACGCTGCTTATAAAGCCGTTCGGGTCCGTTGTCTATTCATAGTCTGGCCCGTTTTATTCCACTCGGCTGAAATTTCCGTAACTGACGAGAGAAGCAGTTGTTTCCACCACTTCAGCCTTACCACCCTGATTCAACGTGGACCATGCGCCAACCTAGAATTTTCGCGTTAGAGCTAGTCTGTGCACTCGTGTGCTGGCTGTCCGGCATGATATTAATAATTTGGACAGCTCACTTGGGTATGGCACCTTCAGGAAACAGTACTTCGTCCGCCGCTGTAGAGCGCACTGACATCCAGCAGAGTTGTCCAGCGTCCTTCATCCTCCAATCGGCGATACGGTATCGTATACATGGTGCAACAGTTGACGCTAACATGATGCCCCTTTTCATTGATGCTTCAACATAGTTCCATCACAACTGTATACCCGGTGACATTGGGGTGGAGATGAAGTCGAGACTGCGTGAGACGTCCTTGGCCTTAGAATCCTCTGACTATATCTAAGACAGGACAAACTGCAACACGTAGGGCTGGCGCTTGCCACGTTGCCGAGGAAGCTTCGACAGGGTAGGCTGCTCGCGCCGAACGCCACCCCGTCACGGCTCGGTGGGCTCAACGCTCCACAACCCCAGCTTCTGGCACCATAGTCACACTCGTGCGGCTCGATACGAACGTCCCCCCACCAAATGCGAGAGCTACATATGTCTAGCTTCCTGTATTCGTTGTTTAGTCCGGCATCCACGTCTCTTAGTCTGCTAAGTTTAGCTCTGCGCTGCTCGTCGGGGCCACATTCCGGCCACACTTGAAACGACAACACGGATGAGAGTCCAGACCTCATCGTACCGCCCTCCGTATCCTACATCCTCGACGGCGTGATGCTCCATCAGAGCATCCTCCATACGAGGACGCCAGCAGTATATATACACCTCACCCACCTCTCCTAGCCCTCCACCAACCCATCCAGCAACCAAACCAACCAATCCATCCTCTCGCTCAAACAACCACACACTCGCTCTTCTCCCAACCGCAAGCATGCACTTCACCACCACCACCCTCGCTCTCCTCGCCACCGCCGCCACCGGCGCCCTGGCCGCTCCCTCCGGCCCCGTCGCCACGACCCCCACCCCCAGCCTCTTCGTCAGCGGGCTGAACTGGAACGTTACCGACAGCGGGGTCAACGTGTCGTTCAACGTCAAGGCCGGCTACGACGGCAAGCAGACGTACCACTGCTCGACGACGGGCGGCGCGGGCGGCATCAACGCCAAGTTCACGTGCGACAGTAACGCGGATATCGAGTACCAGTTCGTGGCGGGCGGCGAGAGCTGGCCGACGCAGTGGTTTGAGGTGTTTTGGAAGTTTGCGCCGGGGTGAGTGGAGCAATGAACCCCCCCCCCTTTTGGATGTTGAGGTTGACGATGATGTTTACAGTGTCCTCGCCAACGATGGCAAGACTTACCTCGCCGATGGTGTGAACAGCCTGCCTGATCCGAAGTGCACGCAGGCTTGCTCGGTGGATAGCTTGGTTATGCAGGGACGCACGACTGTTGTTGAGAACTGATCGCGTTGTGCGATACTGCATGATGGGAGGATATGGCACCGCGCAATGTAAATAGTGGGGATTTGGCTTAGTGATTGCTACATAATGTCAAATTACTACAGCTCTGCTGCATTGGAGTTGCATTGGGTGAAGTGATACTCCAGAAAACAATGGAAGAGGACATTTAAACAAGCATGTCCATAAACGCCTTGTTGGCTGCAATGAGTTCCTCTGAGGGCAAGCCCCGGGCTTCAGCAAGGCTGGACACATTGGCCAACCGGAGGAAGCTCTTAATCGTTAGACCATCAGGCAGTACGGTATGCTGGCGTAGGACGCGTTCGTCTGCTGCAGCAGAGTGGTACAAGCCGAGCACCCCAGCCGTGCTGCCGTCGGCGGCGGCGGCGCCCCGGATGATCGTCACGCGGCCGGCATCGCCGCCGAAAAGCTTAATCTTCTCTCTCACCCAGCGGATCGCCATACGCTGGTCTTGCATCCCGATGCTCGCGGAGACATTCCCATCCTGCCGCTCCGACGGCCGCCCGAAATCACCGAACGCACCGAAAGCCCCGAGGCGGTAATTGGCGGAAACGAGGATCGTTGTCGCGTCGGGGCGAAAGCCGCGCGGGAGGAGGAGCCCGTGCTTGAGGAGTTCGAATGGTTGCGCAGCGGGCAGAGTCTTGGAGCCAGATAGGCCTTCTCCACCTGTTTGTACTACTGTCAATTGGGGCCCCCGCAATTGATGGACTGATGAGAGAGGATTTACCGTGTATCCACACTACAACAGGGGCACCCGGCTTTTCCGCTTGCGCGATTCCTTGCCGCGATTCAAAGACAGCCTGGGGCACGAAGACGTCGAGGAAAAGGCAGTCTTCCGTCTCGAAATTATTTGATGGAGTGTCGAAGAACGATGGTGGCGCATTGTACGTGGTCATGGTCGTCCCATTGATGGTGCTGTGCAGAAAGTCATGGCCGGTGTCGTATTCCCAACGAGCTGTTCCTTGAGGACAGATGCGAGAGGGTCGGTCTTCTTGCTGTAGGAAGGCCCTGTTCTCAGCTGGCGGAACTGGTGGTCGGAAGCGAAGATCTCCAAGGGGCGGCGCAGCATATCTGATGTCTGAGAAAGCATAGTAGCCGGCAGCTTGCTGGAGTTGATGATTTAGCGTACAGGCAAGCAGAAAGACCGAAGGTCTTGGGGTTTCATCTAACGTTGAAGCTGGAAGCTTGGTAATTTTCGTAGCCGAGATCGACAATTGGCAAGGAAGTGAAGAGGTACCACAGATAGGATATGCCAAGAAATGGTGCCAGCACGACGGAGCATACTATTGTTTCTGAAGGGCGCAATACAGGAGACATAACGCGTTGTTTCACAAAAAGTGTAGAGTAAAAGTTTAAAAAGAGAGAAGTCTAGATAAGCAAATACAAAGCGGATGAAGCGGCATTCTCGGATGCTTGAAAGAAAAGAGAAGGAACCAATAGGCGATTACGAACACGAATAAGGAAATTCCGCGGAGAGCGGGGTCAATTCACCGAGCCGGAATCGAATACGCGGAATAGATCTATAATGATACCGCAGGAAAAGAAGTAGGGTCAATAGAGAAAGAAGAGAAGTTGCGCCTTAATGACTGTGGTCAAGTTCGGAAAATCGGATTCCGCAGCTGCAGATATCGTAATCAACCCGGTGGGGGCCCCGGACAGCTCGGAATCCGACAGCAATACGTCCGTAGACAGATGCTGTGCGATGACAATCCCCTCTTCTTGTGCGACAGTTAAAGAAAGGTGATTTCGACGGCGGGGAGGCGTTTCTCAGCTCTGGCATCTCGTCAAGCGAAGAAACGACCGAAGACGCACAACCGCGACAATACATCCACCATGGTCAACACCGAACTCCTCTTCAAGACGGCAGCCGCGCTGGACGTCATTTCCATTTTTGGGCATACGTTTATGGGCTTCAAGATAGTCCATCCGGCACTCGGCACCATCCCCACGGCGGCAAGTCGTGACAACAAAGTCGGCCAACGCGGCGCCCAGGGGACGTGGAACTACTTCAACGCGTCGCTGGTGATATCCGGTAAGTTAGTTAGAACAACGCAGTGGATGTTGAGTGCTGATGGCATGTCGCAGCCGCTCAGAACTGGCAGTGGGCGCGCACCGGAGGGCCACAGACGACCGAGGAGATGGTTATGCTTGCTGCCACGGTCATCATGGGATTCGCGAACTCGGTCCGTTATGTGCAGGTGGCCGAATACGCGCCGTTGGCCTGCTTGTTTGTCGCTCCGCTCCTCAGCCTGGTCGCGACGCTGAAGGGCAACTAAGGGCGAGGTGCGAAATTGGGTCCGACAACCGCATATTTCCGCAGAATGCCGCACAACTCATGACTAGGCATAAGCGGTCAATTGATCAACATCCACAATTCTTCTTCTGGTGACTGATGTCGATTGCAACTGAATAATGCCTCATGTCGACCAGTCCACGTGACTTGCTGAGTCATCTTTTCTGATCTTCACAGCTGGCCCATTCGTCCTCAGTCCGTATCGCCGACCCCACCCCCACACTGCCCCAGATGTGCAAGATTCAGCCACATCTACTATTTCTGATCAGATGGCCCAATCGGTCGCACTCGAGGCTAAAGCACGCCAAATTGGTCGCATCGCACGCCGGCAGCGCCGGCGGCTGCCACAAAAAGCCTCACGCCGCCCAGGGGAAGATTGAGCCAAGCTGACCACTCAGCGCTGCGCCCCAAACTTCCGCTATGACCTGCATCCGGGAGCACCCGTGCGGAGGACTACATGTAAATTGGCTGACCACTGCTGATCCTGATCTCTGCTGCTCGGCTACAACGCCGCACAGGAAGACGTACGCCATCTCAGATCATGATCTCGCATCATCCGCTGCAGAGTCCGCACGTGGGTTCTCGACCACGTCTCCCTACTCCGCTGTCCGCGTCATTCGCTATTATTTGGTCTTGGTATGCGGCGCCATTGTCTTGGTACTATTTAGAGGCAGCCCGAGCGCCGCCCTTGGCGTACCTTATCCCGCCTCCGCCCTCCCGAAACCGACTCCCATTTGCTCCCCACCCGCCTGACACTTCATTTGCCCGGTCTTGGCCCGCCGGACACGGCGCTGGATTCGAAACCTCTCCTGAACAACCAGCTGCCTGCGCCACGCTTCCTCGCAATGAAGTGGAGACGTTTGATCTTGGCCGCAGCGGAGGCTTGGCGTCGTCTAGGCAATGCTGCCGTGGACAAGCCCGCCGCGCAGCATCGTGGGTCAAACGCCTGTCGTGTCTCGTATCCTTCACCGCGAGGCTAGAGTGGTAGCGCCAACGGGTGCGGCGCGGGAGGGCCCTTTTAACACGTCTGGTCGTGTCTCTGGTTTCGTATCGTCGTATGAAGGAGCTCTCTGCTTTCCTCGGCAGCTTGGCAACACCGCGCTCTTACCTCCTTTAGCGAAGACGGCGCTTGGTCCATCATTCATGTCGCCGACTCTATAATCGAGCTACCGGCACTTCTCCTGCACGCTCAACTCTTGGCCGTTTGGTCACGTCCGCTCCTTTTTCGAACCTTGAACTACTCCAGCTCACCCACAGTCACTCACTTGCAGATATTACTTCTTGCAACGGCCTTACCACCCACCATTTTGGATTGCAGTGCATCCTGAACCATTCCTTGATAATTTAATTCTTCTGAAGCGGACGCCAGTAGCGTTCGCCTCTTGCTTTTGAAAATGAAATTTTACCCCGCCGCGCTTTCTCTCCTACTGGCATCACCTGCCGCACATGCCATCGACATCGACTGGACAAGTAACGGTAGGACCAACGTTGGTTTCCGTAAACAGGCAAACGGCTGACAAGGAACCCCCAGATGCCATCAAGGCAGCAATGAAGCCCATCGCCAAGGGCATGACGGACTGGTACCACGGATACCGGGTGGGCGACGTGCCCGGAAACTTGCCAGATCCCTACCATTGGTGGCAGTGCGGCGCCATGTTCGGCGCCCTCATCGACTACTGGCACTACACGGGCGACGACCAATACAACGAGTGGGTGCAGCAGGGCATGATCCACCAGATCGGCGACAACGCCGACTACATGCCGGCCAACCAGTCGAAATCGCTCGGAAACGACGACCAGGGCTTCTGGGGCATGGCGGCCATGTCGGCCGCCGAGAGCAAGTTCCCGGACCCGCCGGAAGGGCAGCCCGGCTGGCTCGCGCTGGCGCAGGCCGTCTACACGACGCAGTACCTGCGCTGGGACACGTCGACGTGCGGTGGTGGTTTGCGCTGGCAGATTTACAGCTTCAACGCCGGTTATACGTATAAGAATACGATTACGCAGGGCTGTTTCTTCAACGTCGCGTCACGCTTGGCCAGGTACACGGGCAACCAGACGTACGCGGAGCAGGCCGAGAAGGCGTGGAACTGGATCCAGAACCTCGGTTTGGTGAATGCCGAATACCACTTCTACGACGGCTCCGACTCGACCATCAACTGCACCAAATTCGACCGCACCCAATGGACCTACAACGCCGGCATCTTCCTCCACGGCGCCGCCACCATGTGGAATGTCGTAAGTATCCACATCACCACATTCTCGCATATAAAATGGTTATACTAACATCCACCCCACAGACCGCCGAAGCCGACGGCAACGAAGACAACATCTGGAAAGAGCGCGTAACCGGCATCATCGGCGGCCTCTCCGTCTTCTTCGCCTCGGACTCGAAAATCATGGTCGAGACGGCCTGCGAAACCGGCAACACGTGCAACATCGACCAGCGCACCTTCAAGGCCTACCTCGCGCGCTGGATGGCCGCCGCCATCAAAGTCGCCCCCTGGTCCGCCGACCTCATGGCCCCCTACCTCGAAGCCTCGCGCGAGGCCGCCGCCCTCGCCTGCAACGACAAGGGCGACGGCACGGCTGAATGCTCCCTGCGCTGGACGATGAGCGGGTTCGATGGGTCGAGTAGCGTTGGTCTGGGAGAGAATATGGCCGCGCTCGAGATGATTGGGACGGCGCTGGTGGATGAGGTTGCCGGCCCGGTCACGAATTCGACGGGCGGTACGAGTCAGGGTGATCCGGATGCCGGGTTGGCCAGTCCGTTTACGCCGACGGAGGATGTGGAGCCCGTCGATACGGCGGATCGGGTGGGTGCGGCGATTATTACGATTTTCTTGATGGGCGGCATGCTGGGTGGCGCGTACTGGATGATGGCGTCGGAGATGTGAAGAAGCATTTGCCGTTCTTTTTTCGGGCGATGGCGTAGGGAGGCGGCGTTTTTTGGTGTTTTCATCACTCACTGGCCGGAGTGCGACGGACGCCACTGCCGGGCTTGTCTTTCTCATGGCACTATCTTCTCGATATGATGATCTTCGAGTTCTCCCCCGTTCTGCCTTCTTGGTTAGTTTCCTTGCCGGTTTTCACGGGAGCCTTGGCGGCTGATGTTGGGCAGATATACCCACTTATACAGCGATTTTGAGTCAAAATGTTTTTATTCCAGAGAGCTCTGCTCTACGCAAAGTATCGGCATATTCTCATGGGTTCTCTTGTGTGAATCGTATCCAATCATCGGTATCTTCGGCTGGTTTCAGCTTTGGCATTGTCAGCGAATTTATATTCACATGGGCTGACCAACATCAATATTGAACCACGATGCTCCGTTAATAAGCGAATAACCATCTTACATGCGTGTGACTTTGCACTCAAATCTCCGCTTTTTGGAATAATCGGATCAAGATGTACAGCCGGCAGGCCGGGATGATTTCTGGAGACACTGGTTTCAAATGAGAACGATCACGCCAGTAGAATGCTTAGCTTGCCTTGGAACTTGCTTATTGTCACATCTTACGCTGATCATTCAGGATGTCACACAGATTTGCAGCACATACCTATTGTGGCCTTTCTTTGCTAGTCGTCGGGTAGCATATTCGTGATAACCAAGTAGGGTGTGTTGCTTACCTGCGCTAGCGCTTATGTAAGAAGTTTGTGAATTTAAGTATCAAACACAGCCGGCGAATCCTCCCGTCCGCCCAAGCTTCGATCATCGGCCAGGGTGCTCAAGACATCCTTCTTACACATTCCAAATAGGTGCTCGCCGACGCGCAAAACGGTCGCACGAAATAGAAGAAAAGTCCAGCAATTACATCTCTTAGCGCGGACTTAAGACGGCGAGAACGGACAAATTATCTGGGCGCCAAGGCCTTTCGGTCCACAAAATACCAGGTACATGAACCACTCCGATTGAACAACAGGCGTGGATGAGGTTCAGGTCTCACACCAGCAGGAGCTGCTGGATGGCCATTGGTGTTTCCGGCGGCGGCTGTCTCATGCTTACTCGACAGGTCTGGTAGAGAGGCAAGCCTCATGCTCGTCTCGTCAGCTCTTCCTGCAGGATGTTACTCGTAAAGCAGCCGGTGTGGGGTTGGCCAGCCGATGTTCGGCCCTTGAGATACCCGTTCCGTCGTGGGGCTCACCTCCGAATGTCACAGGTAACCCCGCTAACGTGGTGCTTAAATTGGAAGCTGCTCTGGGAGCTCCCACCGTGCCGCAACGCAATCCAAACCTCAACTCCCCTCAGCTCTACTCAATTCAATCCCCAAGATGGCGAGCAATGGCGCCCCAGAGAAGATTGAGACCCGTCTCTTCATAAACGGCAAGGTAGGAACTCTGGCCTTCTGCCCCACCAACGTGACCTCCTCCCCACTGACAGCCTCTCGCCCCAGTTCGTCGAATCCTCAGACAAGAAGACATTCCCTCTCTACGCGCCCTCGACCCGCGAGCACGTCGCCGATGGTAAGCTTCCCCCCACCCAACCCTCTCTCCCAACAGCAATCTCACACCTTTCAGTCTTCGAAGCCACCGTCGCCGACACCAACGCCGCCGTCGCCGCCGCGAAGGCCGCCCAACCCGCCTGGGCCGCCCTCTCGCCGACGGAGCGCGGCGTGCCGATGAAAAAGCTCGCGGCGCTCCTCCGCGACCCCGTGCACCACGCGCGCATGGCGTACCTGGAGGCCGTCAGCATGGGGCGGCCGCTGGCCATGTACCACGACGGCGCGCACTGCGCGACCAAGTTCGAGACGTTCGCGACGACGGGCTGGGACGCGCAGGGCACCACCAGCCTGAACACACCGGGCGTGCTGGCCATGACGTTCCGCCAGCCGTACGGGGTTGCGGCGGCGATCATTCCGTGGAATGGCCCCGCGGTTTTTGTGGGCGAGAAGGTGGCGCCGATGGTGGCGGCGGGGAATGCGGTGGTGGTGAAGAGTAGTGAGAAGGCGCCGTTGACGGTGGGTTTGTTCGTTCTTTCTGTTTGGGGATCTAAAGAGGAACGGGATGCTGACGAGTGAGTGACAGACGGCATACATCTCGACGCTGATCGACCAGGCCGGCTTCCCGCCGGGCGTCATCAACGTGCTGCACGGCCACGGCCCGGTCTCAGGCGCGACGCTGTCGTCGCACATGGACGTGCGCGTCATCTCGTTCACGGGCTCGGGCCGCACGGGGCGGCTCATCTGCGAAGCGGCAGCCAAATCCAACCTCAAGAACGTGCACCTCGAGCTGGGCGGCAAGTCGCCGTCGCTGATCTTCGACGACGCCGACCTCGACCGCGCCGCCGCCGAGACGCAGTTCAGCATGTCGATGAACACGGGCCAGGTCTGCATGGCCAACAGCCGCATCCTCGTGCAGGACACCGTCGCCGACGCCTTCAAGCAGAAGTTCCGCGACAGCTTTGCGGCGGTCCGCGTCGGCGCGTCGACCGACGACGGCGTGCAGATGGGCCCGCTCGCCGACGAGGTGCAGTTCAAGACCGTCACGAATTACATCCAGCTGGCCAAGGAGGCCGGCGGCAAGCTGCTGCTCGACGCCGACGCGCAGCTGCCCAGCGATGCTAAGGACAAGGGCTTCTTCGTCGGCCCGCACATCTTCACCGACTTGCCCGAGGACTCGCGCCCCGCGCGCGAGGAGATCTTCGGCCCCGTCGTCGTCATCGGCGTCTTCAAGACGGAGGAGGAGGCGGTCAGGCGCGCTAATGATACCGAGTATGGTCTGTACGCGTCCGTCTATACCAAGGACGTTAGCCGTGCCATCCGCGTGGCTAAGGCCCTCGAGAGCGGCACCGTTGGCGTCAATTGCACGAGCCCGACTATCGTGCATGACATGCCGTTTGGCGGGTACAAGGCTAGCGGGCTCGGGAGGGAGGGCATTCACCACAGCTTGAACAACTTTTTGGAGGAGAAGACGGTTGTTGTGCGGATTTGAGCGGCGTGTGGGGTGTCATGAGGTGGAACGGACAGGTCACTATTGCTGCTCGGGCAGAATTTATGAGATCACGAGGAGGTTTTTGGGTTCAGCTATGACATGTAAAGGAAACAAAGAAGAAGATGCCCGATCTGGAAATGTGTCGTTGGTGGCGCACTGACTCGGCTGTTGTTTCTTCCCCGCATTGATCGGCCCTAGGGCTGGGGAGAGGCAGGTTTCTGCTTGTCAGAAATTTCTGACTGCATCTGCTTACGACCCGATCATCTCCCACGACTCCGGCTGGGCAAACGTGTAGCATCTGAGACAACAAGTGCGTTGTCCGCGCGTTCCACCCCCTCGGCAGTTGGAAATTAAGCTGCAGGATAGCGGACGTTTCACGTCTCTACCAGACGATCAATAAGGATTCTAATTATGGCGCGTCGCGTGCGGCTGGGCAGGGGTGCCAGGATTCTCGCACTGTCGCTTCATTTGTCATTGGCCGCCGCCGCTACTTCCAATTGGACGAATGGGATCGCTGCCGTTCGATCGTATAAAGCCTATATGTTTGGGCTGTCACCTTTTTCTGAGTGCGCAATCAGACCCCTTCCTGACGCCCACGAGGCCTTAGCGAGGACGTTTACCTTGATATTACCTAGGGCCGACCTATCAAGGTATTTCGCCCCACGCTGCGGGCCGCAAGTGGAGTAGTACGGCATTAGCATCCACATATCCTCGCGACACTTTCCGCTCCTACCGCTTCAAGACTCTATCTCCACTGTCAGCAAGCAGGCCGCCAATGGGCCTCCCCTCCTACGCATTGTCTCTGTCAATCTTCGTGCAAACTCCCTCGGCTTGTCACTTTCTCCCCTGCAATCACGCTGCATTGCGCATTGGCCTCGGAAGAAGGGGCCCCCGCCGCTGTAACAGAGAGCCCAACATGGGTGCCAGATAAGTATTAAAGAGGCACGATCTTCTCAATCTTTACTTTCCTGCACCTCCCCCAGCTAACTGCCTTTGCCTCTCTTCGCAGCCGCAATGGCAGAATCAGAATCACCACTTTACGCCTACGGCGCCGCCGCCGTCCTGGGCGTGGTCTCGCACATCGGCTACTTCAACCGGTCCGAGCACCACCTCCACGGCACCCGCTACCTCCAGCTCTTCCTCCTCACCTACGCCACCGCCGTCTTCGTCCTCTCCCGGACGGCTTCTCCCACCTCTTTTGATTTCCACACCCTCGCCCTGGCGGCCCGCTCCGCCGCCGCCCTCGCCGCCAGCTTCCTCGCCGGCCTCTACACCTCGCTGCTGACCTACCGCCTCACCCCGCTGCACCCTCTGCACCGCTTCCCCGGGCCCGTCCTCGCGCGGGCCACCTCGCTGTGGCTGCCCTTCAACGTGTGGCACAAGTTCACACCCACCTCTTCTGCGACGTCGCACACCATCCCGCAAGCCTTCAAAACCCTCACCGCCCTCCACGCCACCCACGGGCCCTACGTCCGCGTCGGCACCGCCGAGCTCTCCATCGCCGACCCGGCCGCCGTCCCGCTCATCTACGGCGGCACCAGCACCTGCAGCAAGGCGGCGTGGTACGACAACGACGCGCCGCTGACGAGCATGCAGACGAGTCGCGATAGGGGTTACCACGATGCGCGGCGCAGGGTGTGGGCGAAGGCGTTTGCGGAGAGGGCGGTGAGGGGGTTTGAGGGGAGGGTGCAGAGGTTTGTGGGGGAGTTGGTTGAGAGGATTGGAGAGATGGGGGAGGGGGGCAAGAAGGAGGTTGATGCAAGGAAGTGGTTTGGGTGGTTCGCGTACGATGTTATGGGCGAACTGGCGTTTGGGAGGGAGTTTGGGATGGTGAGGGGGGGAAAGGAGCATTGGGCGATTGGGTTGTTGAATGAGGGGATGATGCCGTTGGGGTTGTTGTGTGAGTCTCTCTTCTCCTCTCCTCTTTCTCTATTTTGCTTGGCCAGGCTCAGTGGGGGTTTGGAAGTGTTGGTTGTTCGCGCTTCTTGGCCTGCTGACGGCATGGGTGAGATTGATTTTTTGTGCTGACGGGAAGTTTGATTTGACAGTGCCGCCGTGGGCGTTCCGCATCTTGGCTGCCATCCCTGGCGCCGCCGCCGACTACTGGAAGTTCATCACGTACTGCGCGGGCCAGCTGGACCAGCGTATGAGGACAGCACCCGAGGATCCTGACATCTTGTCGTCGCTCATCGAGCCCGTCAAGGACAGGGAGCTTACGCCGGGCGAGCTCACGATGCTACAGGCCGACTCGAGGCTGATCATCGTTGCCGGAAGGTGAGCACCCTCACACCCTTTCTCAACCACCCACCGTCACTTCCCCCTCCCTGTCCCACCGCCCCCTCTCCGTCCACCTCAACCACCCTCTCCCCACCAACGACCAACCCGCTAACCGCAACCCCAGCGACACCACCTCCAGCACCCTCACCCACATCTTCTACCACCTCGCCGCCACCCCCCACCACCAAACCACGCTCCTCGCTGAACTCCGCCCGCACATCCAACCCGACGGCACCATCCCCCACCGCGCCATCCAAGACCTGCCGCACCTCAACGGCACCATCAACGAAGCCCTCCGCCTGCACCCGCCCGTCCCGTCCGCCATCCAGCGCCTCACGCCCCCCTCCGGCCTCACGCTGCCCAACGGCACGCACATCCCGGGCAACACGGTCGTCTGGTGCCCGTCGTACGTCGTCGGCCGCAGCGCCGACGCGTACGTCGAGCCGGAGACATTCTGCCCGGAACGGTGGTACGCGGAGAGCAAGAAGGGGTGGGTGCGGAACGAGAAGGCGTTTGCGCCGTTCAGCCTCGGGCCGTACGGGTGTATTGGGAGGCCGTTGGCGTTGATGGAGTTGCGGTTGGTGATCGCGCGGGTGTTGGCGGTGTTTGAGGTGGGGTTGGCGGAGGGGGAGGATGGGCGGGCGTTGTTGGAGGGGAGTAGGGATCATTTTACGCTCGAGTGTGGGGCGTTGAGGTTGTGTTTTAGGGAGAGGGTGTGAGTGTGTCTGTGTGTGTGGTTTTTTCTGGATGCGTGGGTGGATGTGTGTGTTGTCAGCGTTCGTCAATCCCAAAGTTGTTTTCGGTGTGCGCTTTATACCTCATTCTTTTGGAATGGTACTTTGGTCCGGTTCGTTATCGCCTTGGGTTTACTCGGTAGGAAAGCGTTGGAAACGGTCACAGATACTGTCGATTTGATGGGATCCAGAGCCAGCGGAGGAATTGTTTTTGCAGGAGCCTAAAGTATCGGTTTAAGCGGATGATCAACAATACTTAGTATAGTAGTTAAACTTCATTGAAGAAGGAAAGAGTTTGCTTCAAATGTTGACAATCGCCCGGGTGAATCTGTCGTTTGCGAAGTCCAGCTTCAATTACTGTCTACGCTGTCAGAAGAACGAGAGCCACCCTTTCTCCTGTTTCCTCTAAGAGTGAATGTGATAGAAGTAGAAGTACGTCACCGCATTCTTCCTGACTCGTGGTATCATCCCGTATTGCTCTCCACGTCAAGCTCTCGTCTTTGAATCTTATTTCGATAGCCGTGCCCAACTTGGTCCAACTCCACGACAAACAATGCGAAAGACGCAAACCATGGAGCATCACTCGGGTATCGCAGGCCAGCAACCTAGACTTGTTTGCATGTGCCGCAAAGGATGTGACCGCAGTTGGTGCACTGATTTGTATAGGCGCCCTGGTGTTCGGCCCAGCACTTACAGCACGTCTATCTCATGCCAAGTCAGTAAGGAAGCTACACGAGATACCGGATGTCTGTGTACTGACCCATGAGCCGGGCGTGTGGGCATCGACCGGTATGCTGCATGCTGCACCGCCACCGCGACCCTGTCCATTTCTGCGGATGTTATTGGACGCAGTTCTGCGTTCCGATTCGTTGGTGGTGAGAGTCATGGTTGATGGGGCGTCCTTGGTTGTGATCACTGTCTGTACGTGTATCGGTGGCCGCCTGGAGGAGTGAAAGATATGGGCAAAGCAGATGGCTCTCCTTTTCAGTTACTTGTCCTTACAACTCTGTTCGGCCGAGCTTCTGGATTGTGAGGGATGTGTTTTGCGTGCTGGATTAGCTTTTAGGTTTTTTTGTGGGGTTTTCCCGGTTTGGGGTGGTCGATGTTGCAAAATGCTTTATTTGAGACGGTGCTTGTTGTGTTTGTCAGGACAAATGGCGAGGAGCAAGCAGAGGTACAACTGAGATGACCTGAGGTAAGGACAAGGCTCATTAAATGATTGGCGGCGTTTCATCGTTCTGATTGTTAAATATTGTCTCGGCACGGGCCAATTCACGATACAACGATGACGAGCGTTGGACTAGCACGATAGAGATGCTAGGCCGTGCGTTGGGCGTTTTCAGTTTCCATTATTGACCCGAGCTTAAGACCGTTATACGGCAACACCGAAGGTCTCCTGACCACAGCTCGGCCGAAAAGTAGCAGGTACTTACGAATTCGATGAACCAAACGGGTGGTTTCGCAGTTTTGGGTGGGGAATGCCGAGCCAATTGGATGGGAATGTGTACGAAACAAGTAGGTTCCAATATCCAACAGGCGTAAGGCTTCGAATCCAATTTCCAGCAGAGACGTTAACCCTGCAAGGCACATGGTGAGACACGAGCCGGCCAATCAGGCCCGTGCTGGCCCTGGAGCCCGATAATCCTGCCGCGTCGGCACTTCGGTGATAATATCTTATCGTCTTGGGGGGCATGTGATGGTTTCATTTCCTTAGTTTTGGGTATTTCGTAGATATGGCGTCAGTCTGGCCACCCACCCGCCTATCTACCACTTCAAAGCTTCGATAAGGGATCAAACTTCTCGTGAACCAATTCCTCACTCAGGCTCCAAAGCTTTTCTGCAATCTCAGGATCTGTCGCGTACGCCGGCGGTTCGAAGTACTGGCAGTCGGAGAGAAAAGTACCCGACGGTTCTGCTAGCGCGTCAGCCCATCGGAATCGCCATAAACACGAAAAATAACTCACCATTCAGCGCAGGGTCGAAGGCCGCGACGACAATGGTCGAAGCTCCCTCATCCGGACTCTTCCAATCCTTCGCCGTCGACGCAATCGTCGCGTAGCCCTCATCGTTCAAGTCCCTACTCAAATTCGTCCAGATGCCTGTATATAAAACCGCGTCAGCCAAACTCTTGGCCTCACCAGCCGAAATTAACGAGAAGGGATGTCACTCACTTCCAGGATGCACCGCGAACGCCAGCACACCCCTCCCCTTCAACCGCTCCGTCAAGCCCACCGCAAACAGCACATTCGCCGTCTTGCTCTGCCCGTACGCCACGAACCCGCGATACCCGTCCTCGCTCGCCGTGATGAAGCCCTTCGGCACCTTATCATCGGGCGGCCCGCGCTCCTCGGGCGGCACCTCCTTGCCCTCGACGTTGTAGTCATGAAACCGCACCGGCGACAGCCTCAACCCCAAACTCGACACATTCACCACCCTTGCCGACGCCACGCTCCCATGCCCATCCGCAGCCGCCGCCACCACCCCGGCCGCGGCGAGCAATTTCGGCGCCAGCAGGTTCGTCAGCAAGAAGGGGCCGAGGTGGTTCGTCGCGAACTGCGCCTCGACGCCGTCGGGCGACGTGCGGCGCGTCTGCGTCACCATGCCCGCGTTGTTGACCAGCACGTCCAGCCGCGGCACCGCCGCCGATATCTGCGCCGCCGCCCGCCGCACGGAATCCTGTGACAGCAGGTCGACCTGCACCGTCATGACGGCCGTCGCCGGCCGGATCGACCGGATCTCCGCGGCGACTTCGTCGAGCCGGCTGCGCGTGCGGGAGGCGAGGATGAGGAGGGCGGGCCCCTGCGCGGCGATGGCGAGGGCGAGGGCTTCGCCGATGCTGGTGCGGGAGACGCCGGTTATGAGGACTGGTGTGGGTCGGGGTTAGCGGTTGCGTGCGCGTGGGAAGGGACGGGGACAGGGGAGAGGCGGACTGTAGCGGTCTTTGATTTGGCTGCTGAAGGCGCGCGCGGCGTCGGTGGCCTTCGTCCGTACGCCCCAGTCCGGATGGGACGTCATGGTGTCGTTGGATGCGCGGCGGCGTCACTTCAGGAGCGTTTGCGCGCAAACTGTATGGCTGGGCGGGCGAGGTGAGTATTCATAGCAATGCGCATTGCTGAGGCATCGCAGATATGCGACGGGGATGGCCCGCCACCGAAAAGTTTATCGCGTGAAGACCTGCCCAAGTGGTTCGTCCGGTCCGATCACGAAACCTTCTTGCGACGTCGGCCGTCTATGCGATTGCTCCTCACTTTAGCCTTCGGATCACACCACCGGCGCTCATCCTCGAATAGCTCTGACGTCTCGTGTGGCGTCCGCTGTGGCTTGGAGTGCTCCGGAGGGAATACGACACTTCCAGCCACGGTCTCCACCAGCAATATCTATGCAATGAGAAGTGAGATACGGATGCTGACCAACCCACAGCAGTGTCGGCACCATAAATCCGAAGAAACCGTTGAACGCAGAGGAGGAGCTTTGCGACCGTTTGTGGCGCTGGTGCGGGGTTTCGAGCTAAGTGGGGTACTCCGAGGCCCTGTACCCCAGATTTATGTTATAACACCCCCTTGCATTAGGCTCGGCAATTATCTCGCTGCTGTAGAGCCGGATGTACAAAGCCGGAAGGAGAGCGAGGTCTTTCGGCAGCATGGCTGTTAATATGTAGCCTGGTCGAATTATTCTGCAACAGTCTGCATCCAGTTCCGTCGTCCCAGCTCTCCAGCTTCACCACAGACCATCGGGAATTTTTTGCAAATCATGGTGAACTACGCGCACGAAAATCCCCGACCGAAGACCGGGATAAACGTCATCATCGTTGGAGCAGGTCCGCAATTAACCCTTTCTCTCAAACATGCCGCGCCGCAGAATTAGAAAACATGAAACACTAGAAACAAAGCGAAGGCAAAAGAAACAACAAAATCTGACGACCATCAGGCTTCGGCGGGCTGACTGCGGCCATCGAATGCCACCGCCAGGGCCACAACGTGCAGATCTACGAGTCCTTTCCCGAACTCAAGTCGCTGGGCGACATCATCTCGTTCGGCCCCAATGCCGGCCGCATCTTTTATCGTTGGGGCAAGACGGAGGGAGAAATTGCGGACCGCATGCGCCCGCTGAGCATCGACCTCTCCAACTACGGCTTCCGCATCCACAAGTACACCGGCGAGCACATCATCACCCAGCACGCCCCGCCCCGCGTCAAGGAGGCCCCCGTCTTCAATGGCCACCGCGGCGAACTGCACACGATAGTATTTGAGTATGCGAGGGACGAATTGGGCATCCCGATCCACCTGGGCCAGCGGATCGTCGAGTACTTCGAGGATGGCGAAAAGGCCGGCATCGTGCTGCAGAGTGGGGAGAAGGTGCGCGCGCAAACACTTAAAATCCCTCATCCCACCCCTCTTCCCAAGCCGATTTCGAGGAGAAGCCCGCTTTAAATTTCAAGCCACAATTTCTCGAGAGCAGTGTCACTGACTCTCTCCCCGCCCACAGGCCACCGCGGACCTCGTCCTCGGCGCCGACGGCGTGCGCTCCAAAGCCCGCGAACTCGTCCTCGGCTACGCCGACGCGCCCAAGAGCAGCGGCTACGCCGTCTGGCGCGCCTGGTTCCCCAACACCGACATGCTCGCCGACCCGCGCACGCGCGATTTCTGCGCGCACGGCGACACGTTCAACGGGTGGATCGGGCCCGACGTGCACTTCCTGTTCAGCACCATCAAGGGCGGGTCCGACTGCTGCTGGGTGCTGACGCACAAGGACGACGCCGACATCGAGGAGTCGTGGTCGTTTCCCGGGAAACTTGAAGACGTGTTCGAGGTGCTGGAGGGGTGGGATCCGATGTGCAAGGCGATTGTGGAGAAGACGCCGAGTTTGGTGGATTGGAAGCTCGTGTATAGGGACCCCCTGCCGACGTGGGTGAGTAAGAGGGGCAGGATTGCGTTGTTGGGGGACTCGGCCCATCCGTTTTTGCCGACGAGTGCGCAGGGCGCGACGCAGGCGATGGAGGATGGCGTGACGATCGCGGTGGCGCTGAGGAGGGCGGGGAAGGCGGGCGTGCCGTTGGGCGTGAGGGCGTATCAGGAGATTAGGTATGATCGTGTCAAGGCGGTGCAGAAGACCGGGGAGACGACGAGGGATATGTGGCATAAGACGGATTGGGAGAAGGTGAAGAGGGATCCGACGAGCATTCAGCTTCCGCGCGAGGATTGGATCTTTCAGTTTGATGCGGAGAAGCATGCGGAGGAAGTGTTTGATGAGGTTGCGCAGAAGCTCAGTGGGTCTGTTGAAGCGAGACCATCACTTTGATATACTACACGTTGTAGATAGAGCAAGAAATTTCTCCGTTTTCTTATCTTTAGATGGAGGCACGATTGGTGATCTTTCGTGTGCATGCTTGAAATAGAGTCAGTGGCTTTTGTTGTGTTCATCGGCCGGGAAGCTGGCATTAATAGTCTCCATTAACTCGATTCTACTCACAATCAGATGCTCACCAACACTTCAGGTATATACAAAGTGCTGTAAATCCAGTCAAGAAATCATTTCGTAGACATTGCAAGATGGTATTTGGCTTCCAATACGCTATGTATGTGTACTTTGCTCATGAGTGACAGTCCTACACTTCCTACATCCAAAACACTAATTTCATTGGAGCACCTGTTTACTTGGCGCTAACAGTTGCTTCCGCGGTAGTCTTCTCATTTGAGTTCATGTCCTCGATCCGTTCAACTGAGACTTTGCTGCTGCTACGGTCATCGTTGACCCGGCCGGTGCACACGTACTTCCTGAACTTGCGGGCTGGGAGGCGCATCTCGAACTGTGAAATAGCAATCAGCAAAAGCTCACAGATGCTCGGAACCAGATAACTCACCATCTCGTCTATTTCCTCAAGCGTGCGGTTCTTGACTTCTGGCAGGAAGAAGTAGACCCAAATGACGGTAAGGAAACAAGGTGGCGCCCAAATGTAGCCGTATCTTGGGCCCCAGTTGAGGCTGTCTGGGTTGATGAAGTATGGAGCAGTAAAGGTAGCCAGCCACTGGAACAGTCAGTTATACAGAATACCCGAAGAAGTAATATATCCACTTACAGCACCGAGGAATCCGAGAGATGAGGCAATTCCAAAGGTGTAAGAGCGCAGCCTCTGGGAGGGAATCTCTCCGCCCGAGAGCCAAGCATAGGTTGCAACCATACCCTATATCTGTCAGAACAGGAACTCATGCTTGTTTCCTCAGTAGATCTTACGTTGTACCCGACGATGTAGACAACAGAGAGCCCCACAATGACTTTCCCGGTTTGGACAGTTCCTGGCTTAACCGTGTAAACCACGGCTATTATCAGTTGAGTAGCGCCGCCTGGTCACTGTCAGCTACACCATTCATGATTCTTGAAGATTTAAGAGTTCTCACATAAGAACATGCCGGCCATCAAGAAGACACGCCTCCGTCCAAAGCGCGAGATGACAAAGGTGTTGATGACGATGGCAACAACACCCACACCGGTCAAGATGCATGAATTGCGGAACGCATCTCCAATGTGCGCCATCTCGAAGAAGTATGTTCCGTACGCTAGTCATGGTCAGCCACATGATTCCTCAATCAGGGATGGGGGGGGCATACCAATCATGTACATCGCGCCCGATGCCGCCTGGGTCGAGATAGCACAAACCGCAAGCACCGTCCTGCGGCGATCCACAGGGTTCCTCCACAAGTCATGAATAGCCGTCCCAGTCGCCAGCATCTGCTCCGTCCGCAACGCCTCCTCAATCTCGACAATCTCCTTATCCGCCATCTCCTTATCCGGCCTGAGCCACAACAGCGACCGATGCGCCTTCTCCCTCTGCCCATGCTGCAGCAGCCACCTCGGGCTCTCCGGAATAAAAAACAAGCCCACAAACATGAAGCAAGGCAAGATGTAAATCAATCCGAGCGGGATCATGTACGACTCCTTGCCGGGCAGCGGGGCGGTGAAGTTGTCGACGACGTTGCCGACGAGCGAGCCGATGGACGTCCACCACTGGAACACGGCCAGCATGACGCCGCGGTACCGCGCGGGGGTGCTCTCCTGCAGGTAGAGTTGTGAAAAGGTCATGAAGACGCCGTTGGCTAGCCCCAGGATGAAACGCCCTGCGTACAGCCCGCCGATGCTCGTCGTCGCCATCATGATCACGTTTGAGCAGATGCACGTCACGCACGCCGCCCAGATGGCGGCCTTGCGGCCCATGATGGACGCGACGGGGCCTGGGGTGGTTAGTATGCGGGGGTTTGGATGCGGGAAAGCGCGTGCCCACCTGCTGATGAGGAACTGATGAAGGCGCCCAAGGTCATCAGCGAGGATATCAGCTGCTGGCGGCTTGTGGAGATGTTGTAACCCATCGGGACGGTTGGGTCTTTGTGGCCGAAGACCTGTTGTTGTGTTAGGGGTCTGAACTCATTCACTGACGACGCCTGAATGAATGTGTCATTACCGCCAGGAAACCAGGCATCGCTTGCAGGCCGCCGATGAGGCCAAAGTCGAGTCCGTACTGGAACGGGCACATGGTTATCAGGAAACATGCACAAAGCATCTTCCTGTGTGACCAGAGGGTCTCCTCCTTGGCGGTCGCCATCTTGACGGCGGGCGGAAACTATTGATCGAGCGTGCGAGACGAGGATGAAAAGGGCTGCTTTGAAGATGGAAAGTGATGAAATTCCGCTCTACCTGAGCAAGGCCCAGCCAGATAAGGACTGAGCTGAAGCGCTGACCATGGCGCATTGCGTTCCAAGGCTTTTTGCGGGGAATCTGGGGTAATGCTTTCCGGCGGGGGTGGCTATAGGCTCTGCCGCTGCGAATGGTCTGTCGTGGCAACGCAATGAGCGCCCAATGCCCAGGTGACCATAGCAACAAACATTGGGACGGCATAAAATGGCCTGTTGTCGGCAGGGGGATAGGTGAACTCGGCACTGGTTTGGGGAAAACGGCAGCCGATCCGTTCCAGGTGCCGCAACGCGAGTGTGACACACAAAGTATGATAAGCATCCCAGATAGGACGGTGCGTTGTATGATTTTCCTTTTTCTGCCTGGTATGACGAATAATAGCTGTGTCACCTTGCTACAATAGCCAAGCCGTCTCTGAATCATGCACTTCTTTACCGTGATATAGCTATACACACGTCCAATATTACGCGAATGATAACAGCATGCCCATTATCGGGTGTTTAAGAGTCATGTTTCACAACCCTGGTACTACCTTCTTCCAAGGCAGCGAGGAGCGATCATACGCGGTTGATGGTACCCCCTGCATATTCCCCCGCAAAACCTTGAACGGATGGAGTATGGTGTCCGCCACCCCACACTTTACCCGGCTGCAGGCCAAGCTATGGGATGGTGGGGGACGTGGCGTATCCCATCGCATCGCTTACAAAAAGCATCAACTGCCGGTCGGCAGTTTGCATCCGGAAGACAACCGAGCACTCAGCCAGCCGCTTTATGTAGCGAGGCTGCCACACTCACATGCGTCCCCACTACGTTTGCCACATCATCAGCTGCTTTAGGTGTTCTTGGGCGCAGGAATAAGTGGCATCGGGTGCGGTCCTCGCTCAGCTCAACTCCGAAGTGCACTGAGCAACCGACGAGGGAGTAACGATGATTGAGTTACTCATTCAGCACCCTGTGTGGGCTTCGGCATGCACGGCCTTGCTGATACTATTTGCGGATTATGCCTACATGCTCTACTTGAGGTCAAAAATGGTATCATGCCCGATGATCTAAAACGTCAGTGCGACACTAAACCGCTATCACAGCCACCCGGCCCGTTCCCATGGCCCATAGTCGGAAACACATACCAACTACCAGAGAACAAGCCATGGATATATTTCGAGAAGCTATCGCGCCAATACGGGTCCCCGTTGCTAACCTACTGGATTGGGCGGTAGGCATTCACCCACGTACATGCTTCACCTCGCTAATGCCTCAGCAGCAATCCGACCGTCTGGATCAACGATGCTTGGACCGCGTCTGAACTGCTCGACAAGCGTGCTGGCATCTACTGTTCACGGCCGCGGATGCTGGTTTTCGCGGAGCTGGGAATGGGTCAAAAGAACCTACTGAACATGTACACCGACACGCAGGCAGGGCGTGACCGATGGCGGATACATCGCAAGCTGATGCACTCGGGCGTTGGAATCCAGCAAGTACGCAAGTATCGCACATTCCAAGACAACGAAAGCAGGGTCGTTGCATACAATCTCCTGTCGAGCCCAGAGAGATTTGTCGAGCACTTCGAACGCTATGCTACCAGCGTGGTGAGCATCATTGCATTTGGACGAAGGGTCGAAAGTCCCGAGGATCCGATCATCACCGAGGTCATCGCCGCCATGCATCTAGCTGCCGACCTCAACGTACCAGGTACGTTCACTGACACTGGTCACTCCCACAAATCCAACTGAACACAACTGACACCCGTCCACCAGGCAAGAAATTCCCCATGCTCCTAGAGACCTTTCCCTGTAAGTCTCCTGTCTCCTCCGCCCATCCCCCTCATACCTCCCACTAACACACAAAACCAACCCACCGCAGTCCTTGCCCGCTTCCCCAACGAAATCGCGCCCTGGAAGCACGGCCTTGGCGCCCGCGGCCGCAAAGGCGCGCACCGCTTCTTCTACGCTTTGGCGCAAGAAGCCGCCGCACAGCCGGGCCACGACGACCTCAGCTACGTCAAACATCTCATGCGCGAAGCGCCCAAACACTCACTCGACCCGGAAGAAGTGTCTTCCCTAACCGGCAACCTCTTCGGCGCCGGCTCCGACACGTCGTCCTCGACCCTCATCACCTTCGTCCTCGCGTGCTGCGCCTTCCCCGACACGCTCCCGCGGGCGTGGGAGGAGCTGGACCGCGTGGTCGGCAGCGGGCGCAGCCCGAGTTTGGACGACGAGGCGGCGCTGCCGTACGTGCGGGCGTTCGTGAAGGAGGTGTTGCGGTGGCGGAGTGTGGCGATTATTGGGGGCCAGCCGCATGCGCCGGTTAAGGATGATTGGTACGGGGGCTACCTGATTCCGAAGGGCGCGTGGGTGCAGGGGAATGTGTGGGCGATTCATCACCACGAGCGCGAGTTCCCCGATCCGGATCGCTTCGCGCCGGAGAGGTATTTGCAGGGGAGTGAGCTCGCGAGGCCGTTTCCGGGGGAGCGCGGGTACATGACGTTTGGGTGGGGGAGGAGGGTGTGCTCCGGGCAGGCGTTGGCGGAGCAGGGGACGTGGTTGAGTGTTGCGAGGATGCTGTGGGGGTTCAGGATTGAGAAGGCGAGGGATGCCGGGGGGAGGAAGGTTCCGGTGGATATTAATTACTATACGTAAGTTTATGTGCTTGTGGTCAGGTTTTCGAGAGCACTGGCGCTGACGTTTCTGCAGAAATGGCCTCAATTGGAGACCGCGGCCTTTCAAGTGCAGCTTTAAGCCGCGGAGCCTGGAAATCATGCAGACCATTGAGCGGGAGGGAAGGCAGGCTTTACAAGAGCTGGAGGCTTATGCTGGCACAACAGAATATAGGATGTCGCTGTTTGCGAAGAGAAAGCAGTAGCGCGCTAGTAGATTCATGTTGCATTGTGTGTGTTAGGGTCATACGTCAGGGCCAAATCGATGTAGCCTAACGATATCGAAGACGAACGAGGCTGAGCCATTCTTCCGGCTTTATTTGTCGCATCCCAAATATAGACTGACCAATGGCACTCCTCCGCGTGTGCTGTGCAGAAGCGGGGTTCGCGACCCTCACGATTTCAGCCTCGCGCTCATGCTGACGATACCCGAACAACTAAGTGCGTGAAGAGCGCTAAATAGACGATCTCTGGACGCAGTATTTACCTCCGAGACCGACAGGAACACCGCGACGAGGGCCGCATAATGAACGAGCAGAGTAGCTACTTCGACTTCTAGGATCGATCTCAACGCTGACAGCAGGAACACCCCTATCAAGCGATGCCTTTCCCGACCCCATGGAGCGCTGGCACGACCTTCCCGATGGACGATGAGGAGTTTCAACCCAGCGAATTCTACCCTCCCAGCGCTGATACTATGGCTTCTCCTACGGTCCAACCGGAGTTCACAGTAATGTACGACGGGCCCTATCCACATGTATGTTCCTCATCGCAAACAGGAGACTTTCGACCCATCTCTGCTCCACCACAAAGCAATGCTCCGGATGGGGAACCGAAGGGATCTACCTGGATGAGGGCAGTATCGAGTACCACAGAGCTCACCCGACTGAACTCAGAACCTGGACCGATGATTCAAACACAGACAAGTGTCTGGATAGGTGGTGGAGTCGTAACGTTCGACCGCTTTAAGTGCAGCGATGAGTCGTAAGTTACACACACGAAAATCTTGATAGACCTGAGGCTCAATGTGGACAGAAAAACGACATCCGCAAACAAATGGTTCCGCAGGTTCAAAGACCTCGTGTTTCCCATGCTTCCTAGGAAGCATCAACAATTCCCGGTCAAAATTGCCGTTCTCGATACAGGAATAGAATTCAGCAGATTTTCTGAACGGGAATGCAGGAGAATTAGAGATGCAAAGAGTTTCGTCCCGAACGAGGATTGGACTGACCGAGAGGGCCACGGCACGCAAGTGACCTCGCTGCTTCTCGACGTGGCCTACAACGCCCACATCTACGTTGCCCGAGTACTTGGGGAGAGTAACCTCAATGAACCTGCGCAAATCATTGCCGATGTATGTTTATATTTACACTCTCCTTTCAAGATATGCAGCTCAATCTGACATGAATAATCCTCACAGGCGATCCGCTACGCCACTGATACGTGGAAAGTCGACATTATTAATATGTCGTTTAGCTTCGATTTCGACCAGGGAGTCATCAGTGACGCGATCAAACATGCCTACGTTGCAAACGTGCTCATGTTTGCCGCAGCTCGCAACGACGGCGGTAACTTCGGCGTCGCCTTTCCCGCAAGGCACAAGGATGTTATCTGTATCAGCGCCACTGATGGCGATGGCATAGCAAGCTCTTTTAGCCCTCCCGTGTTCGATCCCGGTGATAATTTCGCTACTTTAGGCGAAGGACTGATGTTACACTCTTTGGAAGGTGACCTCATCTCGATGGATGGGACATCGTATGCCACCCCCATTGCTGTCAGCATGGCTTCTCTAGTGTTGGAGTACGTGCGGGAAAACTTTCCGGACGGCAAAAAGGACGAGGTGGAGAGGTGGCTAAAGGGAAGTCCGGACGGCATGCGGGCTGCGCTAAACCTCATGTCCCACAAAAGGAATGATCACCGCTACATTGCACCGTGGAAACTGTTTGACGCCAGGGAGGAAGAAGACAACGTGTATATACGTCTCATGTTTGCGCTGAAGAACCCAGATTTCTGGTCGCATTGAGAAGGGTTGGTATGTGTCGTTCATAAGCACAACAAAGAGATGGAAGGGAAAGAATAGATTTAGCGGAAGTTACAGCCAATTTTCTAAATAGATATGTCAAATTAATATAAAGCTGTGAACTGAGTTCCGAAGATTTTATCGCTATGAAAGACCGGTACATTTGTTCATAAAGGGTAGGAAAAGTCTGAAAGGGCACCACAGAGTATAGGATGTCACTTTTTGCGAAAAAGAACTGATAGCACACCGGCTATCTCAACACCTTTCTGCTCTTCTCGTTGTCGTGAGCTCGTTTCGATGAAACTCAATTTTCTACGGAAAGAGTATACCAAATGACTGTCTGAGAAAGCAGGAACCTTGAACGAGAAAAAGGGATCACCAAGAGACAGAAGAGTGATGTTGTTCCCCACTGTACACAGCTGGTACTATTTACTCGAAATATGTGGTACGAAAGAAACTGTGAAACCATGCCTGTAGAATCAAACGTACAATTAAAAGAAGAAGAAAGGAGTAAAGGGCAAGAAAGTCTCCATGTATGTGTATACCAATTGAAAAAGTGAACGGATGACAAGTATAACTAGTCTGTACGCTGACATAAGTTGAATCTCCATAGCAATCTGTGTTCTCACATCCCTTACTCATTGCTTTTCTGGACTTCTTCAGAGAATTGAATGGTCCAAATGAACACGGTCATCTCCCTCTTCAAGGCTTCTCGTAAGCTGTTCGACCGACATCGTGAAGTCAGAAAAACCCAGGTTTGGAGTCGCTAGTAAATTCCAGTCCTGAAAGCTATCGTCAAGGCAGTCACCGACGCTATGCTGAGAAGCTTGCCGACCAGGGCTGGATGAATCCTGCTGCAAACCCTGCAGCGCCGACTGCTGTTGGTCCAGCTCTTGATAGGGAGTTTCCACGAAAAATTGTAGCAGAGCATCTGAATTTGGGGGAGTGGCATCCCGAAACGGCTGGGCTGAGTTTAAACGCAGCATCGAGTGTTCGTATTGACGTGGAATACGCTCACCTGAGGACGGAGGTGATTGGTACAATCCTTCAAGCACATGAGGTATCTGAGCCGTATTTTCCGACTGGCCGTGGATCCTTGGGGCTTGAAACAGTCTCAATTGGTGTCGCTGACGAGGTAGCGCACCATTTGGAGCCTGATAGTAGGGAGTGCGGCTGTGTGAATGTGGTCCCTGGGAACTGTTTGTCTGCCCGGAGTAGGAATGCCGTGGAATGCTGGGTAAATAAGTCGGCCCGTCAAGCTTGAAATGGTCTCCTTTTGTCAAAGTCGCCATGGAACCAGTGTTCTGGGCTCTGTGTGGGTCACCACTATGCCCTGAGTCAGGCAAAAGAGCCGTCGTGTTGGGGTAGTTCTCTGACTCGTTATGGACTCCCGAAAAGCAAGCCTCGGAGATGGACGTAGAGAGTTCTCGACGTTTCGTTCCCGATTCCCCACGTAAGTCTTGCGACGATGCACGCCTCTTGGGATTCAGTAGAGTTCTCCGTCTCATCGGAGGGGCACTCGATGAAACCCCATCCAGCTGCTCCAGGATTGGAAGAAGGCATTCCATAAGAGGGAGAAGTTGGTTCAACAGAGTCAACATGGTGCTTAAGTCCCTGGTCAGAGTGGGTTGGTGCAACTCCTTGAAGGACTGAGAAAGCGGCACAGTGTTGCTCATAGAAGTCCGGTAACTGTTGCTGATGTGCGCTAACATTTCAGATTGGTCTTGGGTCAATCTCGTACTATGTTTGGTTTTAATGTGATGGTCCAGCCAGGTCGCACTTTTGTACGATTTGGAACAGAGAGAGCAACTGTGATTGCCCTGTTGTTGTGGAAAAACGACATCATGTCGCGTGTTGGTCGAGCTTCGATTCATTGGAGAGGCCTCGAAATGAGCGCAAGGTGTAAGTATTACGATCTAAAGTGTTTGAAAAGTCAGCATGAATGTTGGGTTCAGGCTTGTGAATCTGACGATCAAAAAAAAAAAAAAACAAAGACTGCGTCCTTACAGAAGAGTCGAAAAGAAGGGCTAAGTCCTGCTAGGTTTTAGGGTTTGACGATGAGGAGGTTTCGTAAACCGCGCTCTCGGTTACGAAAACGGAGAATTATTTGTACGAGTGTTGTGGACAGAACAAACATGCGAGCGAAACGTGATGAGGGTGTTGGGCGGTAAAGAAAATTCTTGGGGATGATGATTTCTTCCAAGAGCCATCCCGTAGAAAGAAATAAATAACTTGAAAAGACTATGGAGCTCTGCGATGGTCGAGCGGACCCTTGCTCCGTTCGGAGCTATCTGTTGAGTAACGCTAGTCAGGTCGGTTGTGCGGCCAGCCTTGCGTGTGAAATGAGGGGCCGAGCTATTTGAATTTGACATTCTGAGGAGCCAAATGGCTACTTTGTGGCTGTGATGGGGAGATGCATCACCTCGGGCTGTCTAGTTCAATCGACTATGCACATGTTTTATGCGGCGTACTATAGTCCGTGCATAAGAGCCGCATCAGACGTAAACGGGTAGCAGGCAAAAAGGCCGCAAAGCTCATCGCGAGCCGTCAATACCTGCTTATATTAGGGACTCTTCTACCTTACGAACAATGTAGCTGGGCCTTAAGCCTGAATTCTAGGCTGAGGGTGGGCTATATACTCTAGGGAAAGAGGCAGAGGTGACGGTATTAAAGAAATGCGGCTCTACTGCTAGGCAATGATTGGTCGTACACCAGCCTTGCGGCGTCGCACGCTTCGCTGGCTGTTCAGCCTTGTCTGAAGCCCCCACTTCGGTACTCCGATGAGCCGTGGAATCGGTCCTTTACTTTGGTTTTTCCAAAGAACCTCGCTTCCCTCCGCTCGAACGCGCCGCGTTGACACCGAAGAACGTGTATCTTCGATGCCACCACTATGGTCTATCTCCCTCTCCAGATCTCCCTATCTTGAAGGCATATCGACCTACTTACGATAAGAGTACATTGGACATCAGCACATCCAGTATTCTTCAAAATAAAGTTGTCGCGACCGAAAGCAACTCTCAACTCTCATGCTGTCAGATTCCAGGCTCATTGCATGGAGGGCCAACAGTGGACACGCGACAGATCATGTCATGCATGCAGGTAATTCTCAAACTGGAAGCTTCGGCACGCAACGGCACGCAACGGGAATGACCGCGCAGCAACTCCAGTGTAATCCAACCCATGAGTGCCCACCCCGAGTCAGACGTTCGGCAGCTTACAATCGAACGTTCGAATACCCGCCACGACCATCCTCCCCACATGCACGTCTAGATACGCGGTATCGAATAAGGAGTGTGGAGACGGACGGTCGCCCTTCCCAGAAAAGCAAGGTCAAGATAAACCTCCGTGCTTGCCCAGCTGACGTACACGGCCGAGAACAGCCTTAACAGTACGGCCGCCATGGCTTCTGCCCAAACTGGAACGGCGGGCTGGTAGGAGTTATCGGGTTAGTGCTGACCACATGTGGCATACCCGCCTATTCTCCGCTACGGCTATCCCCCTTTAAGCTGATTCTCTCGAACGTCCGATATAACCCACCCAAAGAGGAAATGCCCTTGTAACCATCAATGATCATGCTGAAGCGCGACAACACTTCCCTACTTCTTCTACGAAAAGACTGCACCACTGTACTTTGGTAGTTTCAAAGTTCTTCATTCAAAATTCATAGCGCCGTAAATAAATCAATTAAGAGAATTCCAGATTTTCAATACAAGTGTAAATCCAGTAATTTGTCACGTATCTATCTTCACCCTCAATTATCGTTGGTTTGGCTAATCTATGGCCGCCAGGACTCCAGCAGTCGAAGCTTGCGCGAGGATCGAAGGCTGTTTCTCCCATTGGACCAACACCACGCTTGCCAAACAAGCATATATAATTGTCAGATCACTTTGCATGATAATTGTTCGAAACTGTGTCCTTTACATAAAGAACACTGTATGATTGATGGGAAAGGAAAGGAGGAGGAAGAATATATGCAAAGCGGAACGACTCATTGTTCAAAGAAGAGGTGGATTTAAATATAATCAAATCCAATGCGGTCCAGGTTGATGTCTAAGATTGAACATGTGTGGTTTATCGTAAGTCTACAAACCCAAACAAATAGGTAAAGGAAGCAAGAAAGTAATCTTTTTTTTTTTTTAAAAAAAAAAATAAGACCGTAATAAATTTCTAATTTCTGTCAGCATGTGATCTCCGGGAAAGCAGTTCTAGTGGAGCAAAACTGGTAAAGTACCTCTATAGATGTTTGCGCCCTGAACTTCATCATAGAAGAGATGATCTGAAAGGAATCTGGTGGCTTTAGTCTTCCAAAGCTTCCCCCGGCTGCATCGGCAGGGCAAGAAAGTCTGATGGATCCACGCTGAGCCCGTACCTGAAGTCATCCTGCTGAGGAGTTTGACCAAAAGCATTGCCGATGTCTTCCTGAGAAGCCGGGTCAAGGTAGTCCAAAGATTGCTGCAATTCCACAAAAGGCGAGAGATGTTGGCCTGGCTCGTGACTTAGTAAGTCTAACGACTTCTGCAACGGAGTACGGGTCATGTTTCCCGTTGACTCTGGCGGCACCCATTCCGTGGCAAGCCCAGTTGGCGAAGTTTTGTGAGGGTAAGAAGCCAGCTGCTCACACGGCGATAAGTTTCCTTGAGGTTGTCTCTGGAATGTTTCAAACATCTTTCCTGTGAAGCTTTGGGTTTTTGGTACTCGTGAAGGCCTCGATTGGCGCTGTTTTCGAGGGAATTCGCTGGCTAGAGCTTGTGATGAAAGGGCAGTCTGTTGCGAAAATGGTAGACGAATCTCTTGGACTTGTTCAAAAGAGGGATTTTGTGCAACGCACAGCGCATACTCGGAACTGTCGAATCCACGAAGGTCTCCTCCCCCCACACTCGTGGCAGGACTAGCGTCTTGACTTTCAAAATCATCCCAATACATCAGATCATCTGTTCGTAGAAGAGAGAGATCAGAAGCAGACGTAGAGGTTCCTTGACGCTTGTTCTGCTCATGCACGTCTTGAGATGAGGCGCGCCTTTTGAGGTTTCGTGGATGATTTTGGCTGATTGAGTGAGCTCTTGATGAGACCTCGTTAGGCTCCTGAAGTAGTGTGACAAGGTCGTCTATCAGAGGGAGAAACCTCTTGAGTGAAGACGACATTCCTTGGAGGTCCCTGATGAGGCTTGAATGGTGCAATTCTTGCGGGATAGAGGATTGAGGAAGCAGTAGCGCACTGTTCGCTATACCTCGACGGTTGTTGATTATGTCTGCCAGTGACTGCGATCGTTCCAGGGTGCTTTCTGCGCTATGCTTGTCCTTGATATGTTTGTCCAGCCATGTTGATGTTGTGTATTGTTTGTGGCAATGGCGGCAGTAGTAACCGACGCGTCGATTGGGGAGCCCTCGACGGCTTGGAGGGGTTTCTGAGTCGAGTCGCAAGGTGCGCGGGATTTGATCCATAGGAGCTTAACCAGGCACAAAGTCAGTGTAGCTGATCAAATGAAGTGATAAGAGCGCTGCAACTTGGAAGAGGGCGCCGCGAGGCTGACTATACTTTCTGTTTGTTTGGTGAGGGAGGAACCTTTCGTGTTGTATTGCCCAGTCCACTACGGGATTGAGCTGGAGAAAAGATCTGGATGTGGAAAGATAGGAAGATGCGCAGGGACCTCGGTAGCTAGGCTGATCGGGGGCGATGCTAGCGTTCAATACCTCCTACAGAACCACGGCGAATAACCCTGGACGCGGGCGGCGCAGACTGTTCAGGGCGACAGCACTTATTGTTTTTCTCTCCGCTATTCCTTTTGAAGCATGAGGTTACTTGTGTAGTATGGTCTAGTAAAAAACCAGGCTAACAATGCATAGATAATGTAAGCTAGGGTACTCAGAAGCATTGGATTCGAAAGTGGTTCGGGACTGTGCGGACATTTATACGTGAATCGAATCCCAGGACCTCAGGGAGAAGATTCAAACAGTTTACACTGCTTGTCAAGACGTTTTGCAGGGCGACACGTTGGGCGACAATGCGTCGTCTGGGATTGGCCGGCAAATGTAGTCAGACATAAGCCCGCCACAAACGTGATCTCGCTTCGAAGGCATGAGCGCTGATCACCGCGCAGACGGGACTACTAAACAGGCAACGCGCAGATGCAAACGGATCTGGACGTTTCGAAAGATTTTCACTGTGCCCTGCACGGTTAGAAGTCATTGGTGACTCGGAGATGGCGTGGCTGCAGATGATGCAAGGCTGCAGATGATGCAAGGCTGAAGGTGCTCGCACCGCGAGCTTGTGCGGTTGACTTGTCAGACAAAAGCACTCCGGATCCAGAGCCCCCAGCTTCCCATCCCATCCCTCTGCCCCCCCACCCCCATCCCTCTGCCGCTCCATCCCTCTGCCCATACGCCAACACCTCAAGTCTCTTGGCGCCGGTCGATGCTCCAATGGTGTATTCAACGTTTCAAATTTGAATCTAGGCTCGGCAGCGCGTGGTGGGACACCATTCTTGCTGCACGAATAGGCTTACAGAAAGGATAGATAGCTATAGCCTTGACCGTCAGGTGTTGACTATGTCCTCTTGCCTTCACGCCTTTGCTTTGCGGTTCAGTCGAGGTATTTGGTGAGCCCAGCCCATCCCACTTCAACAGATGACCTACCTTGCTCCTTCCTAGCCCGCCGTGCCTTCCCAATTTGATGCTATCGCGACCCTAGTGCTGCAGCTGCCTGGCTGTGCCGATGTTTGCCCGGGCGAGCATATATTTCCTCCCGCCCGCTGCCCATCTTCTCTTCTCTTCCTTTCTTCTACCTCTCCGACCTTCTTTGCCTCTTTGGCTCTTCTTCGCACTCGCACCCAAAGCCCACTCGTTCAATCTCACACTTTCTCTACGGAAGTCTCGTGTCTGAGACTCATCATGAAGATCTTCGCTCTCTTCGCGGCCCTTGTGGGCCTGCTTCCAATGCTGGTCCACGGCGACTGGAAGATGCCCTGCCCCGGCACCGTCCTTCGCGAGCGCATCGACCCGATCATCAATCCTGGCGCCGTGTCGAACCACGTTCACCGCGTCGTCGGCGGATCCGGCATCAACTTCACCATGGACTACAACATGACTCGCCACGCCGGCTGTTCGTCTTGCACTGTGAAGCAGGACAAGTCCAGCTACTGGATTCCTCAGCTGTACTACACCAAGTCTACTGACGGTGGCCTTCGCTACGAGCTCGTGCCTGACGGTAGTGTCAACATCACCTACACGTGAGTCAACAGAAAAGATCTGAGCAACGGTGCTACTTAATATCTCTAGTCAAATTCACGCCGATGGCGAGGACATCCACCCTTTCCCTGAAGGCCTGACCATGACTGCCGGCAACCCTTTCAGGCGCAACTTCACTGGAGATGCCATGTCGTACGCCATTTCCTTCCGCTGCAGCGACTCCTCCGTGCATCGCTCCGAGTTGCCTATGGACTGCAAGTATTCAGTCATAGCCACCATCCACTTTCCCTTCTGCTGGAATGGTCGCGACCTCACCTCGGATGACTTCTTCTCCCACATGTCCTACCCAGAGAAGAACTACAGGGAAGGAAAGTGTCCTCAAACTCACCCAGTCCGCGTCATCCGCCTGTCGTTCGACTTCGAGTTCAAGGTCGCCGGCTTGAACGACGAAGCCTACAGCATCCAGCCACCCTTCTCTCTCTCCATGGGCGACACCACCGGCTTCGGCTTACACGGCGGCTTTGTCAATGGCTGGGACACGGAAACGCTTCGCTCTGCCATCGACACTTGCGTCGACGTGAATGGCGGTGACATTTCGACCTGCCATGTCCTCACCCAGTACACCGCCGAGCAGTGCATGGATTGCAAGGTCCCTCCTCGTGTTGATGAGCCCATCAATGACGTCCCGGCGCTTCCTGGCTGCACATTTGATAATAGCAAGTTTAACCAGGACTGCAACGGCAGCTCTTCAGCCAACATTGCTAACTATCAGACCAGCTTCGAGGACATCACTTACAAGAGTTGGCGCTACCTGGGCTGTTCGAGCTCCAGCGATCCCTTCGGCTGGAGCGGCAGCCTCGTCAAGGACATGTTCACCCAGCGCTCACCCAGCCTCACTCCCGCTTACTGCTCGAGCTGGTGCGAAAGCCTGAACACCATCTCGACCGCCTGGTTTGCTATTCACGATGGCGAGTGCGTTTGCTCCATGCTCAACCCCAAGCCTTCGCGCCTCCCGCTCACTGGCTTCCTTGGCAACTGCGACACCCCATGCCCGGGCAACCAGAATGTCACCTGCGGCGGCCTCAACAGCACCTCGCTCTACAAGTACTGCGGCACCGGCGATTGCCACAACTCCGAGTTCCAGCAATGGCCTTTCGCCACCAAGCCCGTTGAGAAGCGCGCCGACTCCGCGACCACCAGCAGTGCCTCCAGCACGACCAGCCCGAATGTCAGCGGCGTCCGCCTCGAAGAGCCACACGTCACCTCCACGTTCGTCGGCTACAAGGTCTGCGCGCGCAATCCCCCCGACGAGCCCGAGTCGGCCGCCACGCTCTTCAACTGGGACTGGCGCAACGTCACCTGCACCATCGTCGAGGGCTTCCGCGCCGAGGCGGTCGCCGCCGCCTTCATGGACTGGGCCGTCGCCGAGTACGGACTCAACCCCGGCACGAAGTACGCGTCGCCCGAGGACGTGCTGGATGCGCGCGTCGCGCAGCTGCGTCTGGAAGAGCTGCGCCAACAGCGCCCGCTGATCATGGCGGTCGAGTCCAGCATTGCCCTCATCTTCGTCTCGATCGTATGCGTGATCGGCTTCGCCGCCCTGGCCTTCCACAAGTCATCCTACACCGGCACCAAGGGCAAGTCGCTCGCCAACGTCTACAACGATATTGAATTCGCCACGCGCTTGCTCGACATGGATCCGGCTGTGCTCGAGATGCTGTTCGCCAAGTACGCTGCCATGAAGCAGGAGAGGGAGCAGACTGTCAAGATGGTTGAAAAGGCCGCCCCGGGTCTCTTGTCTTGAACGAGCGGGATCTTCCTTCTCTTCTTCACTTTTCCTTTTCCCCATTCACTTACTGATTTTGACCACCGGATCTCCGACATCAGCGAATGTCAGCGTTGGAGATGAACACAAGCGTAGGGTAGCTTAGCTTAGCCGAAGATTTTCTTTTTCGAGCTTATGAGGCTCCTGGATTACATAGCCAGTCAATGGACTATGCCTGTCTTCCCATCTGATTCCTCGTGCGTGACTTTGAGAGTGAGGTCATGATACGATGCTTCGAGGTCAGTTCGTTTGGTGTTGCAACAAAGTCAGGTCCAATTCTATCGTCCAGACGGACATTTCAACTGCCCGTCCTCTGCTGCAATACCAAGTAAACCGGCCCCCGGCCTTTTTCTTGCATAGTCCTCGAGCCTAACCTCCCCTTGTGCCCGCCAAACACTTCAAGCCGGTGATATTGCTGCAACTGCTCCAACACGTCTCATCACCACAGCACACCCCACACCGAAGTCAAACTCGCTGAGTGAATGCTCAATGTTCCACATATTCAACGTAAAAGTTTCGTTTCCCGTCTCCAAAAGAGACCTCCATACTCGAGTGCTCTGGCACAATAGAGACGAGCATCCTCCTCTCAGTAAGCGACCACCTTCCACTCCGATGCTCATCCACATTCGGCCTTCAGTCGTCGAACTTCCGTATGCTGTATATCATGTTTCCTCCGCTCCCGCTCCCCCTCCCCCAAGTTCCAAAGCTTTCGTCGCAGAACATATGCCACCACTCAAACGCCAGTACGATGCCCATGACCTTGTCCCCGTAAAGGTATAAGCCGCCTCTTGCTTGGTAACCCCGCCGCCAAAAAAATAAGAAAACGCCCAGCCCATTATCATATTACATATCCACAGTAGTAGCCAAAAACGCATGCAACACACGCACACATCGTCCGCGCGGCAGCCCCTCGCGAGCGCTCAATGCATGTGCAGCTCATCCTCCCTCCTATCATCATCGTCCTCACTATCACTCGCCTCCTCCCAATTCGCCAAGCGACGCAGCATGCGATTTTCCGCCTTGAGCTCGCGAATCCTGCGCTCATACCCAAGCCCCGCATCCGCGCTCTCCTTCAACGCATGACGCGCATACTGCGCGACGCGGCCGAGGCCGGCCTGCCACTCCTGGTGCTCGAGGCGCAGCTCGAGGTTGGCCTGGCGCTCCTTCTCGAGGAGGGCGTTGTAGTGCGCGTGCAGCGCGACGATGGCGTCGTGCTGCTGGTGCGCGTACGGCCGCAGCTTGTCCAGCACGAGGGCCAGGCTCGTCTCGTAGTCCTGCGCCAGCCCGCGCAGCGCCGCGTTCTGCGTGTCGAGGGAGGCGATGGAGGCGTGCGCGGATTGGAGTTGTGCGCGCAGGTTGTTGAGTTCTGCGGCTTGTTGCCGGGTCGTGGCTGCGGCGAGGTCGCCGTTGACTTGAGCAATGGTCGGGGAGGTGCCTTCTTGTGCGGCGCGGGCCTGCGGCGGGGGGTGAATGGCGGTCAGCGGTCAGCGGGTGTGGGGATGGGGATGGTTGTTGGGGGGTCACGCGGAAGGGAAGAACGCACTTGGATCTGCTGCACGCTGTTCATGATGTTGGCCGTCTGATTCCGGTTCTCCTGCAGCACGTCGCTGAGCTGCTGCACGACCTGCCACAGGTGGTTCATGTCGGTCTGGTGGCCGCCGCTCAGCAGGCCGTTCACCAGGTTCGGCATGCCGCCAGAGCCATTGGGCTGGTGGCCGGAGCCCGGAGTGGGGGGCTGACGCGGGAGCGAGTTTGCCATGCCGTTCGAAGCGTCAATGTAGGCGTTGTTCATGCTCCTCGGGAGAGGAGGAGATGACGCGCAGGGGAGAGAGAGGAAGGCGGGAGACGGATGTGGCGCGGCCGGAGGAGCTACCGCCGCTGCTCTGGGTCCGGCGCGCTGAGTGCGGGAGCTTCGAAAGCGCGTATTTAGGTCGAATTGAGTAGCGAGATGGAGCGGTCGCAAATGGAACGGTTGGCGCTGAAGGTAAATGGTATATGGAAGCGTGGAGGGCGAGGAGCGTGGTAGTTGGAGTGTCGTGCCGGCGGAGGGCGTGAGCGCCGTGGATTGGCACGTTGCGCGCTGGCAACGCTCAGCGCCAAAGCCGCATCGCGGTCCAGCAGCTGCATCGGTCCCTGGTTTTTCCCGGCCCGCGTCCGACCGCGGCTGCATGCAGCTGTCCCCTGCAAGGTCCGTGCGTGCTGTCCATCATCAGTGGCAGCTATCTGATTTACATCCCATCCCATTGCAGTCGAAGCTCACTTTTGCAGGAGCGATTCGATGATAATTTTTGGCTCCCAGAGCCGTCAGTTCTTGATCAGCGGAGTCGCCATCTTGCGGGACGAATCTACACCGCGCTCTCCTCAACGAAGCAGCGGCTGTGATAGTTTTCCACATCTAAAGTCTGCCTCAGGCATTTACGATGCAAAGCACATTGCTTATACACACGATACAACCTTCTCTATCATTTTTCCAAACTTCCACCTTTAGTGAAATAAGAATCTCATTTTCCCTACCGTCTCACGTTTAAGGTGTTCGCTGTGTAGAATTCTCACCAGCAGATAAATAAAGCAGCAGCAACTTAGCTGGTCAAGAAGGTGGCCCTGAGAAAGCTCTGAGCGTAATTAGAGAATGAAACTGCTCTTTCTGATTGCAGTTCTTTATGCCTACTGGCAAAGACTTGGCGCCGACTGCCGGTATCCCAAGTGACCAAGACTCCATCATCCAAGCCCTCAACTCCATCCAGACGAATCAAAGGGTATCACTCCCCCAGTCCAACAATCACCGCAGCAACTCTACACCTCCCTCACCACTCCAACAGCCCTCTCAACTTCTCCCTCTCCACCTCCTTACTCCTCCCACCCACCACCTCGCTCCCATCCCCCTCCACCCCTTCCCTCCCCTCCGCCCACGCCCCCACCCTCGCGCCAACCCGTACACCCAACGTCTTCGCCTCCGCCACCGCCCGACTCAGCTCCCCATCCCTCGTCACCAGATTCGCCTGCACGTTCTCCCGCGGCGCCCGCAGCGGCGCGCCGACCCGCTCGCGCACCTCCCTGGCCCTCTCCAGCCGCCTGCGCGCTGCGCGCCGCCGCTCATCCAGCTCCTGCAGCCGCGCGACGAGCTGCTCGTAGCGCGCTGCGGCGGCGGCATCTTTGTCTGACGCATCGGTGGCGTTGGCGTCTGCTTCGGTCCAGGTAGGCGGTAGTGCGGCGATGGTGGAGGGGGCGGCGAGGTCGGCGGAGGGGTGGAGAGGGTCGATGAGGGGGGTTGGTGTGGGTGTTGTTGGTTGTTCGGGGTGGAAGGAGAGGGAAGAGTCATCGTGAGGCTCGATGGAGAGCGGTGGGGCGCCAGCGGCCCAGTAGAGGGCGTCGATTTGCTCAGCGACGTGGCGGATGGCGAGGGAGGGGTAGGCGGACTTGGTGTGGCGGCGGAGGAGGCGGTTGACTGGTTGGGTTAGAACTGGTATGGTGAAGGATAGAGCGGAAGACTGAGGCATGAAGGCAAGTGCTGAGGTGCTGGCTGAACGCAGTGGGATAAGAAATATGTTGCGGGAAACGACTGAAGCAAAGGTGTTATGCTTGAAGAAAGAAGCTGAAAAGGACGAATATTTGATGAAGTATGTTATGAATTATGAAAGAATGTACCTTCTCTGATCACATCCCTGATCGCGTTTTCTGGAATATCAGATGCGTCGACATTGCCGGCTCTCCATCTTTCCGGAGCTTGTAGTGGCTGCGACAAGATACGCGTCTGCGTGCGCAGGAACGCCGACTTGAGACTGATGACCGTATTGCTATTTGTCGACATTGGTAGGATGCAAGTTTCTGATTTTCCACTCCACGGTCGAAATATAAGGAAAAGTTTAAAACTCCTTGTACTTTAACGTTGTCGCGCGACGGCGGGACGGAAGACGCGTCGAAAGCAATGACGCACGGGCATGTTCCCCGTCGATCGGCGAAAAGCGCGGACCGAGCGCCGACCTCTCGCTCGTGCTCAGCGCGGCTCATGTGCCTTGCCGGGGAAGAAAAGTTGGCCGCCCGAGCTCTGGCAGCATCATCGCCGCCCATCACCGAAAAGCCGCAACCACCGACTCTTCCCATCATCCATCAACCCCCACCCACCGGGCCAATCCGACCTCCATCTTCGGACCCTTTCTCCTCTCGCCCTATCCGCGAACCTATATAATCAGTCACAATGGTCAAGCTTGAGGAAGGTGCGTAACTGGACGCAGAAGAGCCCGCTCCACAATCTCTTCATTGCACACCCGCTCAGCGCGCGCATTTCCCACCACGTCCCCGCACACCCGCCCCACAACGAGCAATGCTCTTCAAACAAGCCAAAGACAAAGACGAAACCATCGCGCTAACCTGCCCCCTCCAAAAACAGTCCCCGACGAGGAACTCTACGCCGAGCAGGTCGGCCCCAACGCGGGCGAGGACGACTGGGATGACGCCTCCTCGACGACCTCAGACGCTAGCAGCGACGTGTCGTCGCTGGCGCCCGACGATGAGACGCTGTGGGAGCGCGTGGCGGCGCTGCAGGACATGATCCCGGCGCACCAGCGCCGCTTCGCCGCCAAGTCGTACAGCAATGTGTCGTCGTGGCTGGGCACCGGCCTGCGCGTCGGCGCCAAGTGCCTGTGGGTCGTCGGCAGCAGCGCCCTGCTGCTGGGCGTGCCGTGGGCCCTGGCCTACGCCGAGGAGCAGCAGATGATCGAGATGGAGCGCGAGATGAAGATGCAGCAGAGCGCGAACGAGGTTAGTCCCACCGTTTTTTCTCGACCCTTATCTCTTTCACCCTGTGTGCGGTTTCAGAGTCGATAAGCGCTGCTTGAGCGGCGCAAGGGACTTGAGATGGCACCGTACAGCTGTTGTTTGCGTGCTTGATGTTTCCATGGTTCAGACGGCTGACACCTTATCTTCGACAGCTCCTGGCTCCTGGGGCCGTGACGCAACAGCCTGCTGAGGCCCGCCCGGCTTTGTAAGCGCCTCCAGTTGTAATCCGCATACTAAACCATCAACAACACCTGTCATACGGGACGAAGATAAGAAGAGAGCCATACGGGGCCATCTCTTTGTACAAACAACATTGGGAGAGGAGCGGGCGCAGTCTTTTATCTGAATGCGAAGGCCGGGCCTGGGTAATGGAAGGATTTAAAAATGGGACGAATTCTTCTTACTGGCACAAATGCGCTTACTTCGGCTTGGAAAACTGCAAATCATGGCCGACCTCACCTGTATTATCACGTTTCTCAGCTCATTTGCCAATGCAAAAGTTTCAAAACTTTCAGGATTCAATGACGTCAGATCTGTTTCGAGTCACCAGACAGCAGCTGAGTAGGAGAAGTTTTTTTTCCGTCTGCATAGCTATGTACAGTACCCGCAACACCGCGCCCACCACCGTCTTTTTTTCACCTCTAACCCAAGGGGAGCTCGCGTGCTTCGCTTTTGATGAGCCCTCATGTTCGTAGCCAAGAAAGGAAAAAGAGCTGCCCTTGGAACCCACATCTCGATTCGTGCATGTGTGAAGAAGACGGCCAATTAGAGACGGCGCAATTAACCGAGGATAGAAAAGAGTAATTCGCGCGTCGTGGACCTGGGGTAGTTGCAGACCTAGAAAGAGGAATACCTGAAACCGCGCGTGGGAAAACAGACGTCTATATCGAGCGACCAAAGGGGAAGAAAGCCAGTGCCATTTCATCGCTCACAATATTCCCGCATCCGCCAAATCCGAGCTGCAAAAATCCCCATAAACAAGCGCGCCCGATGCAGGTTTGGTAATACAGCCGTATGGTATGGAAAAGAAGAGGTTATGCCGTACAGTAGAGACATGGAGGGGGTGTCTCCTGTCAGGGAGGAGGGAGAGGTCGTTGTTTAGAACGGCGGGGGAGTGCTGGCAGCAGCAGCGCCCTCCTGCTGCATCATGACCTCCTCATCGGCGGCTTCAATTGAGACGCCGAGACCGACCTTGGCGGCGTTCTGCGGTGGATGTTAGCGCTTGGCTCACAGAGCTAATGTGGTAAAGTGACTTACCTTGGCGTGATCAATTTCGCCCGAGAACGTAACCTGCACCGGCGGAGCGACGCGCTTCTCAAGCAGACAGCCGAGCTTGCCCTTGCTGTCAATTTGAGCGCGGAACGAGCTCGCGCGGAAGTCGTACTTGGCACCGATGGTGGTGGTAGCGTCCTTGCCAGGCGCACCCATCATCTGGGCCATGGCGGGAGCGAACTCGAGGTTGATGGCAACACCAGCCTCGACCCTCTCGGTCAGCCTCCTCCAGTAGGAGCCCTGAACACCACCAGAAGCCAACACCTGACCGCTGGCGATCCAGTCGTCACCCTTGTAGCGCGCCGCGTAGCTGAGCAGGCACTGGGGGCCATGCGTCATGGCAGCGCGCTCGTACACACCCTCCAGACCCAGCGAGAGGCGCTTTGTGACCGCCTGCAGGTAGCTACCAACGAAGATGCCGGTAAGACCGCCGTCGAGGATGGAAGGGTTCATGGCCTTGATCGAGGCGCTGAAGTCGGCGCCGGTGTAGTCGTTCTCGAGCTGCAGCATCGACTGGCCAGGGCCAGGCGCAACCTGCAGGCTGGTCTTGGTAACAAGGTTGTTGGTCCAGCGGTAGTTGAAGCGGCCGGAGAGCGAAAAGTCATTGTCGATGTTTGCTTGCATGAAGACCTTGCGCTGATTTAGTACGTCATGGTTGCTGTGACGAAACCGCATCCACGACGGCGATGGTTATCAACGTACCTTGGGCGAACCGTAGAGAGCGGCGTAGGCATAGGGCGGCAGGCCTTGCGAGCCCATGGACAGAGCGTGCGAGACCTGGAACAACGGGGCGACGCTGAATGCCTTGGTCAGGTCGGCGCGCAGGCCGGAGAAGGCAAGGTTGTTGAGGAAGACATCGCGCTGGACTTCCTTGGAGATGTTATCGATGGTCCCCGGGTTGCTCAGGCCGAGCGCGTCTCTCCGGTCCGAGTATGCCGAGTAATAGGACTGCAGCTTGCGGAAGACGGTGTTGTTGGTGAGCAGGTCGAGGGCCTGAATGTCGGCCTTCTCTAGTGACGCCATTGCAGCGAGTAGCAGCTGTGCGAACGGGAAGAAAAAAGCAGACTCGGCGCGGTGGGCGGCCGGGCAGCAGGAGTGATGGGGAAATGGGCGCGCGGGCGGCGGCTGGGGCGCGAATGGGGAGATGCGGGACGGATGGCGACCTGGACGAAGTTGATGATGCTGCGCAGCCAGAGCTCGGCCGCCGACTTTTTCGACGCAGCGCGCGCGGCCAATCGGCAGAGAGCTGCACGTGATGCCCTGGCCAGCTGCAGCCCCACGCCCGCATGCCAGCCTTCGTCAGCGGGGCCGGGAGCTTCAAGAGCTGCTCGAAACTCACAGGCCGCTCTGAGTTCCGCCGCTCGCACGACTCGCAGCCCACCCACGCCCCGGCTGCTGCAATCTACGCTCTGTGACTGGCGTGACAGCCGCCCACTGTGCTCCGCTTTCGACCGCCTTCAACCAAATTCCTGGCCACCATCCAGAAGCGATCCCAACACCGCTCCAGCACGTAACTTTGCCTCAAACAAATCGCCGCTCCAGCCCGCACCCGCTCCTACCTTCCCTCTCCCAGCCCGACGCGCCAGGACCCGCGCAACCCTCGCCGCCATGGACACTCTTCTGTACGTCAACCGCAGCGCCCACGCCCACGTGATGCGGCCCAGTGCGCTGCGTCGCGGGAAGCCGCATTTTCGAAGATGCGCCTGCGCCCCAGTATGTTGCTACTGACGTGGTCGCAGGACTGCTGAGGTGGCGGCCAACTCGCCCAGATACCGCCGGCGGTCGAGTACCTTCATCGACGCCATCCATGACTTGCCGGAAAAGGAAGAGATGGCGCCCGCTCAGCTGTACAGCACTGAGTCGGGTCGCCTGTTCCACTCCGGTCGCATCGTCATCGCAACCGTCGGCCTGCCGGCGCGAGGCAAGACGCACATCTCCGTCGCCGTGGCACGCTATCTCAGATGGCTCGGTGTCAAGACGCACGTGTTCCACCTGGGCGACTACAGGCGCGCGACCATGGGCCCGGGAAGGGATGTCCCTCAGGATTATTTCTACGTGAATGCCTCGCCAAGCTCCGTGCTGTTGCGCAACAAGATCCTCAAAAAGTGCAGAGAAGACATTTACCATTTCCTCGAGCATGAGAACGGTCAGGTGGCCATCTATGACGCAGTTAACGCTATATCCGCGGGGCGCGCTGCGCTGGCCAGGGAGTTCGCTAAACGCCAGATCCAAACGCTCTTTATTGAGTCGCAGTGTACGGATGAGAAAATCATCGAGGAGAACGTGCGGAGTGTGAAAATTTCTTCTCCAGACTACGTGGGTTGGAATGATGATGACGCGATTAAAGACTATCTCCAGCGCATATCGTCGCGGATCCCGCACTTCGAAACCATGGAAGAGCCGGACTTGCACTGGGTCAAAATGGTCAATGCCGGCGAGCGCGTCATTGTCAACAGCTGCAACTTCGGCTATCTCTCCCAACGTATTGTCTTCTATCTACTCAACCTGCACATCAAGTCCCGCCATACTTATTTCGCACGTGCCGGAACCACAAGGGAAGAAGATTCGTACAAGGCCGATGGAGCATTATCAGCCGAAGGCGAGGATTATGCACAGAAGCTGACTGAGACTCTGTTGAGGCACCGCGAAGAAGAGCGCAAGATTTTGGAACAGCAAGGAGCTCCTTCAGCTCAGCTCAAGCCACTGACTGTTTGGACTTCGACTCGCCGTCGTACCGTCGAGACCTCTAAGCCCCTGGCAGATCTGGGATATAAAGTCAGACAGCGCAGTCAAATGAGCCAACTTCACCCAGGAGTCTGTGAGAAGATGACGGAAAGTCAGATCAGAAAGAAGTTCCCCGATGAGGTCGCAAAGCATGAAGCTGACCCTTACCATCATCGCTATCCGCGAGCCGAAGTATGTCCTCCCCACAGTTGAAAGATATGTGCGATGCAGTACGTTTGGACCTCGCTAACATGAGACAGTCTTATCACGACCTTGCGGTTCGCCTAGAGCCCATCATTTTAGAACTTGAGCGTGAACAGAATGATCTCTTGCTCATTGCACATGAGAGCGTTCTTCGTGTTCTGTACGGTTATTTGATGGCCTGCAATGCCACCGATATTCCGAAGTTGGATTTCCCTCGTGATGAGATTATCGAGGTAAAAACGCACTTTCCTTCCATCTGCCCATACCGAAAACAATTTTCTAGCAACAACAGCGTGGCCTCACATTATCCTGAATATTATGCTACTCTCTTAAGGCTGCAACTCAAGCCTTAGCAATATCTGGGAATTTTATTGGAAGTCTGACACTAACAACGGCTCTTTAGATCATTCCCGCTTCATACAACAACTCTGCTAAACGTATTCACATTCCTGGTCTCCCGGATAAGATCGTTCCCGCTTCCCCGGAAGACATCTCCATTCCTGTTCCTCCCTCTGGCCTTGTCACACCTTCTCCCCTTCCTTCTGGCATCGCCACACCCGAAGCATCCTTGGCGACATCTTCTGGTCTCACTCCTGCAGCGGGCTCAATCGCAGCTAGCCTTGCTGCTGGTAATGCAACTGTCAGGCCTCGTAGCGCTACGGTGGGTGGTGAGGTCATTGGAAAGGGCAGTCAAGGCCTGGCAGCATTAGCAGCCTCAAGAGGCAGAAGTGGTACATTGACTCCTCAGGATGGCAGAACGACACCTCAACCGTTGAACATCAAGGCCACGCATGTGGATCCGAGTTCTTAAAGGAAGAAAACGGCGAGGGAAGCCGCTCTTGGTTTCTATAAAGAGCGGTCTTAGACAACATAGGGGATAGACAGGTGGGCAAGAGCGATCGGAGATGATCCTCTGGTTTGGATATGGCGGATGGAATAGAGGACGGTGGGCTGGGCAAATCTTGGTTGACTGTCTTTTTTTGCTACATTGCTCGCATCACGGTTTTTTCTTTGCTGTTTTTGGCATTGTGTGTTCTGGCTTCTTTTGGGCATATACACCGCGCTGGTTTTCTGTTCCATGTTTTTATGATTCGTCTTCTGTCTTTATTACCAACATTCGTTCATATTCAAGGCTCTGAGTACAGGACGTTTGGGACTGGTTGGTTCATGGATTTGATTTCGCATCGCAATATCGTCTAAAGGCATGAAAGATAAATAAAGCACATCGTCTGACATGCACGGTCCCAACATCTTCAACGTGTGACTGAATTCGCAATACCAGCGCCTTCTTGCCTAATACTCAGGTTACCTCCGTCGCCGCGACCCACTGCCCGGCTGCTCGCCTTAAGCGAGGACAAGAAGTCGCCGAGAGAAACTTAAATCCCACTTCTCCCATCCTTCCCCCCATCCCACCGCTTTTAACTACTGTTCACCGCTATTCACACCCAACCCAAAAAAAGAAACAAAGAAAACACCGATCAATCCCAACATATATAAAACTTTAAAAAAAAAATGCCGCTCACCGAATCGACGGCCTCGCCGAAAGAACTCGCGGAAACGCTGAAGAACGACGCCAAGGATTCCGGCGCCAGCAGCTTCGTCGCCGTCTACGCGTCGCATGTGGCAACGCCAGCAGGTGGTAGCCAGAGTTGGTGCGGCGACTGCATCGCCGCGGAGCCGCTGGTCGAGAAGAAGTTTGGCGGCAAGTTCGGCGAGAAGTGCTGGGTCGTGTGGGCGGGGGATAAGGCTGAGTGCGTTTTTGCGCCCTTCTCCTCCTTTTGCTTTTCTATTTCTCTCTCTCTCGTTTCGAGGGGAAATGGGGGTGGTGTTGTAGAAGAAGTACGGGAATGAGAGAGTGCTGACAGTTCTGCACGCGTAGATGGCGGACGCCGGATAATGTGTGGAGGAAGGCTCCGTTTAGCATCACGAATTTGCCGACGCTGATTAAGGTCACGCCTGAGGGGGTGAGTCTTCTTGCCTTTTCTGTGTTTTGGCGGGTATTTTGTAGGCTGACGAGTTTATCAGAAGTGGGAGAAGCTGGTTGAGGGCGATGTCTACAACCAAAGGAAACTAGATGCATTTGTCGGATTCTAGGTGCGGCGTTTTCCAATAGACGGGCAGGGGTGCATCTCATCCTCTCTGTGCGAGGGTGTCACGGAGCAAACTAGCATGATGCCTTTTCTTCTTTTTTTTTTACTGCTCTGTTCTACAACCTAGCTTTACCACTACCGCTTCTACAGGAATTCATGCTGGTGACTGGCTCAGAGGCAACGACTTCACCATTGATCGAATGCTGTAACGAATACCTGGGCTTCTTAATCAAAGATTTATCTAGAGGTGTGTAACACGACATTAGGAATGTTTTCATGAAAATCATCCCACATGCTCCAGTCTGTCATTTTGTCGGACAGGCCTTATTTCATATAAATATGTTTCTGAAGGCTACAGATGTAGACGGTGAGATAAAGGTCATAGCCTTGCTCTCTTCGCATCTCGATTGCTGTGATTACCATTTATGAAGTGTTCAGCCAATCTTCCGAAGTACAACCCTGGAGAGGCTCGTACAATACGTTTTGTTAAAAACTCCTTTCAAGAGACGGACCGGAGCAGTGGATTATACAATATCCAGACCGAGAGGTAGATTCAAAATGGAGACACGGTGTACTCGAAGGCTGAGTCAGTGATAGAAAACAAGCGTATGCTGCCAGTCGTCAAGTCAGGAATCGAGTCAAGGAAGTGAAAGACAATTGTAAGCCCCCATCATCAATCTAAAAAAAAGCAATCTTGATCCACCGAGCATTCCATCATGAACTTCATCGCATTAAGATCTTTCGTATCCAAATTGAAACAAAAACTCCGATCATGCAAACATGCCGGCCGTAGAGTAGGACAAAGTGCGCGCATTTGGCCTTATTATCCTTTTCTTTAGAAGAAAAAGCGCTGTAAAGGGGACATCTGGATTTGGAGCAACCCGGGGAGCCGCGGATTGTTATCTTCCGGTTTCGGGCAGGACGTATCTCCTTTCGACATCCATCTCGCGATCGGCTTCATCCTCGCCTTCGAAGCGCAGTCGGACAAAACCGTCTTTGAGCTCGCCCAGAGAACCACCAATTTCTTTCCCATCTTTCTTAAGACCCTTGCCCATGCGAGACGCAACCACCTCGGCTTTGTAGAAAGTGGTGGTGCCGGGGTACACAGCGAGAACGTTTTTCCTTAGTGGTAGTTCCGGAAGGCCGATATTGGAGATCGGAATGGGGACAAGGTTGCTGACTGAAGCGCGGTAGGGTTGCAAGGGTGTAGATGGGTCCGGGTCTGAGTCGATTATTTCGTACCTGTCGTGTTAAGGTTAGCATTCGACAGTAGGCTTCAGTTGAGAAAAGTAAATATACCGCCGTTGCTTGCCCTCTCCAATGACGGAAGTTACGCTGCAGAGAATGCCCTCGCCTTCTGTATTTTTCTGCTTGTTGCGATAAAAGACCTCAGTGCCGACACTGAGACGATGACGGTCGCCGACGGTGGAGACTTTGGAGAGCGTAGTCAGTCTAACCTTTGCTGCTGGGCTTGCGGTGTCTATGCCTATAAGACAGATTGAGACCGTCAACTTTACCTTTGACGCTGTCCATGCTGTCGTTACCGTCCTCAACCTTGACGCTAGTCTCGCGTCCGGCGCCAACGCTAGTACTCCTACTTCCAGCTTTGCTACTGCTACCGACGCCGAGGCGATCCTTGATTCCAGAACTGAGGGACGGCTTTGGCGAGTCGGCGATTGAGTCGGTATCATCGTTGGACGCATGGTCGATTTTGTTCCTTTTTGGGTTGCGCTGAACCTTCGAGCTGGCGTGGCGGGAGCCATTAGAGATGGTATCGGGCGAACTAGCGGAGGCGGCGCGGAGAGCCGAAAGGAGCTCAAGGCCTTGAGTGATGGACATGTTGCTGTCAGACGAAGAGCCGTCCGTCAGGCTACTGATGGCTTCATGAAGACGAATATTCTTCCGGACCAGGTCGTCAAGTTCATGGTCAACATCAGCTGGAGGCATATCACCCCGGGCTGTCTCCCAAGTTAGCAAACAACAGACATAGTGAGAACCAATCAACTTCTTGCTTCTATTACAAACAAGGCATAAGCTGGGGTCGCAATTCGGCTGGGGGACGATCCTCGCCTGTGCGCACGTGACATGCAACCTCAGTCGAGTCGTGAAAAGCAAGATAATGACAATATAAGGAGCAAAGAAGTCCATGATGAGGAGAAAGAGGAGGCACTACGACGGATATTACCTTCGATAGCCTGCTGTGCCATTCCGAGCTCATAGATACGTTTCTCGATCTCGTTTGATTCCCTCTGTGACGGAGCCGGTCGGTCAGTTTTGCCCAGCAATTGTTTGCCCCAGCCCAGTCTGGACGTCATGTCATACTACGACGCAGCAAAGGCCCAATTGGACCAAAGCGCAAAGCGGTGGCAGCTCTCAGGCGTAGATTGCGACGAGGGTGGGCGGACTTACCACCAGGGCATCAACTTTCTTGGCATCAGCGCGGAGCTGATTCCAGATGCTGCGCTCCTCGTCGGCATCATCCTTGAGCTGGGCACCGCGGGGCCTGCTGCGCGAAGTCATGGTTGGTAGGGAGGGCGGTGGCGTGGAGGTTGGCGGTGTGTGGTTGGTGCGCCTTGCGCGCGCGTGCCTGGCTCTTTTCTCCGCGTTCGCTGCGCGGGGGTCGGAGAGAGGATCAAGAGCGCATCGAGTCGCGGCCCAGCGGCGCGATTGCGGGCCGATGCGCGCGCGTTTACTGAAACGCACAAGGTGTCCGCGCAGATGCGGCGCTTGTGCGAGGCAGCGGTTGAGAAGAGGGGCCCGAGGTGGTGGCGGCGCGGGTCGTGTGGTCAGGCTGTGGTTTACAAACGGCTTGGGATATGGTCGAGCTGCAGCGCTCGGCGCCGATCGTGCTGGACCCCTGCCGCGCAAGGACCCGGGCGCGCCAAGAAGTCCCCGCCGCTGCCGCCGCCGTCGCCGCCGCCTGGCAGCGGGCTGCGGGTGCGATGCCCGTTTTGTTTGCAGCGCCAGTGTGACGTTGTATGCGAGGGGCTCATCCAACCGTTGCGCCTTTTTTCTTTCTGACAACCTCGTCGCAGCCTGTCGCTCTCTGTCCTTTCGCCCTCCTCCTCTGTCGCTGAAAGCTTTCCCACCATGCAGGTTCCTCTTATTCGCCTCCAGTGCGGTATGCTTCTACTCCCAACGTCATACTGCGCTACCCCGCTAACACCACCGCGCAGGCGTAAACAGCTACGATTGGGGTAAGCAGCCCTGTCGCGACCCAATTGCCGCGCAATTCGCATGCCCCGCGCAAAAAACCGCAAAGACCTGACCGAGCATAGGCAAGGTGGGCTCCACCTCCGCCGCCGCCAAATTCGCATCCGCTACACCTTCGGACGATTTCAGCATTCAAGATGACAAGCCCTATGCTGAGCTGTGGATGGGCACCCACCCGTCGCTGCCCTCCAAGGACGTTGCGACACAGCGCTCGCTGCTAGATCTGGTGCAGGACAACCAAATGCTCATGGGCCGCGAAATCACTGAGCGCTACGGCGGCAAGTTGCCCTTCTTGTTCAAGGTGCTCTCTATTCGCAAGGCTCTGAGCATTCAAGCCCATCCCAACAAGAAGCTAGCGGAGGAGCTTCATGCAAAGGACCCCAAAAACTACCCTGGTACGCCCAGCGCCCCAGATGATGATCTACAATTGACAGGAAGCTCACCGGTGTGACACCACCTCAGATGACAACCACAAGCCCGAGATGACCATCGCTGTCACTCCATTCGATGGCCTCTGCGGCTTCCGCCCGCTCGCCGAAATTGCGCACTTCCTCGCAAACGTCCCCACCCTCCGCAAGCTCGTCGGCGAGGAAGCGGCCGAAAACTTCGAGACCACAATCAAGGGCCGCGAGACGTCGTCGTCGGAAGAAGACACCAAGGCCAACAAGGCCGCTCTGCAGCAAGCCTTCACCTCGCTCATGACCTCCGAGGCCTCGAACGTCGAAGCCGCGGCGGAAGAGCTCATCTCCTCGGCGAAGTCCGAGGGCGCCTCCTTCGCCGGCGGCGGCGTCGCGAGCAGCAGCGGCGAGGAGCTGGCCGAACTGGTGGAGCGGACGTCGGGCCAGTTCCCGGGCGACATTGGGCTGTTCGTGCTCTTCTTCCTCAACTATGTCAAGCTCGACGTGGGCGAGGCCATGTTCCTCAAGGCCGACGACATCCACGCGTACCTGTCGGGCGACATCATCGAGTGCATGGCGTCGTCGGACAACGTGGTGCGCGCGGGCTTCACGCCCAAGTTCAAGGACGTCGGCACGCTCACGTCGATGCTGACCTACTCGTACGCGCCCATCGAGGAACAGAAGATGGCGCCCAAGGACTACTCTTACGTCACGCACAACACCAAGTCCTACTCGTCCGCCAGCGAGTCGGAGCTGTATGACCCGCCAATCGAGGAGTTCAGTGTCGTGCGCACCGCTCTCAAGGCCCCCGGCGCGAAGGCCACCTTCGACCCCATCCAGGGCCCCAGCATCGTTCTGTGCACGTCCGGCAGGGGCACTATTGCAGTGGGGCCGAAGAAGGAGCCTGTTGAGCCTGGCTACGTTTACTTTGTGGGCTCTACGGCTGAATGCGTGCTTGAGAGCGAGAGCGAGAAGGGCGAGGAGTTCGTGACGTTCAAGGCGTTCTGTGAGCTGGAGGCAGAGACAAGCAAGAGCTCGTTGTGAGAAGAGTCAAGAGAAATGAGAATAGTTAAGAGAAAGAGGGTTATTTTGATAGTACGTCAGATCATGAGCGACGAATCTTTTTGATTCCAGACCGCATGTGATACGCAGCGATAGTCAGGTAGTTTGTTCGGCATATTGTATAGCCATCAAGAGAGCACGAGCGTAATGAGTAGAAGAGATCATTTGCGGGGTTCGCAATATGTTGATGAATCGCGACCTTATCTCTAAAGTCCATTTGTACCAACCAACCAACGGCCCCCGTCTTTCCCTTATCTTGCCTTGCACTGTTCCAAAGTTTTCGAGTATCCTCTTTCTTACATCACCACACAGGGCTCGAAAAGTTTCCTGACATAATACAACTTGCTTTCATCTACAAGCTCTCCGGGAACGTTCACCGCTGTTAAGTGGAAATTAGCCCCAGCACAGAGCCTATCTAGTAGCAAAGCGCACATACCCTCGATCCGCATTCTGAAACAGATATCGTCGACTTCTCCGAATATCCAGGGGGGCGCGAGATGACCGATGTCGGCAAAAGGAAAGCAGTCCACGGCCAACTAGGGTAGATCTGCGCGCAAGCAAAAGTAATAGGAGATTAGATGAAGAGTAATAGTTGCGTTATTCTTAGGCGCCGCACACGACAGCTGCATAGAAGTGGGCCATAGTACATCACTTATACGCGCCGACATTAGAAACGGGTTTCTTTAAACAGTAAAAATGACTAGTGCTTGTGGAGTGACGTGTCGGATGCAAAATCCCTCTGCGTGATGCACATTTGTGGGAGATGAAAGACTTTCGGACGCATTCGGACTCGTATTGTGATGCTTCCCTCGGGTTTGGTCGCTCACCATGTTATTTTCCAACAGGAAATGCTCAAAGGAACAATAGGCACGTCGCTGCTGGGCCAAATCCTTGGCTCGTCGATCATAGCCATCCTTCTGCGCAGGATCACACAATAGTAGCCTTATCGTGACCGGTTGCAATGTTGTAGTAGACATCTTTGAATAAAGCTAAATATCTCACAAAGGTTGTTCGCTCATCAGAATGATTCGGATCGTTTTTGGATGAGTAGTTTGAAAAAAAGAGCCAGACGCCTGATATGCAGTTATTGTCGTCATCAATATCAGGTTCTTTACATACAGGCGCCCACGCCGACGTCTACTCCACGCTACACCGTCTCTACTCACCGTAGATGCCCTCCAGGCATCGACTCGGCCACCAAGTCTCACCACGCTTCTGAATCCTCCTAGCCCCCCTCTCAAACGCTTTTCACTGTGACAATTCCCCCGCGCGGGCCCTCTCACCCGCACCGAGCAGCCTCGCTTCCAACCCCGCTATACTCTCTCAAACCCTCCTTCTTTTCGACCGCTTCCGGTGATTGATGTCGAGGGGGATGATGTGTGGTGTTTGGATATTAAGGAAAATGTACTAGACAGGGATGTCGGGCATTGGATTTTTGCAACCAACAAAAAAAAGAGTTAACTCAAGAGACCAAAGAAGAAGAACAAAAAAAGGAAAAAAACGCTGAAAAGCACAGACCGAGCAAAAGGAAATATGTGGAAAAACGAGCACGCAAATCCAGGTATCATGAATAACACGACCAACGAGACCAAAAAAACGACGACAAGGGGAGCGAGACTATCTGATTAAAGAAGACTAAAAGGGGTTGTTCTGAAGAACTGTAAAACAAAGAAGAGAATCTGTTGGCGAGACTTCTCTAATCCCAAACACATACATGCATGTGTTTCTTTTTGGAATGGGATTAAGACGACGGCGATGAACTCTTTTTTGCTTTCAAGACCGCGTTCTATTTCGCTCGTCGAGATTTGGGGAAAGCCAACTTCGTTCGCTCGCTTCGATTCGACCACGAGATGGTTCGACATCTGTACGTATGCGCGCTGACTGGTGGGAGGATATGGGAGAGAGGATTCGGGGTATACGGTATCTAGCGAGGGGCAGGCAATGACGACGCCGAGATAATGCACGCAATGGGGTATTGGATGGATCGTTCTCGGGGTGATGTGAGATCATGCGATCTCATCAAGTCGGACAGGTTACTTAGTTGGGCTGGGTGTTAATCTGCTCAGAGAGCCAAGCCTGTACGACGATGTAAGCAACAGGGAACGTAGCGGCGGGGCAACGTCGTCGCGCCGAGGGGCAAATAACGTACCAGACCCTCGAAGATACCCTCGCCGGTGGTGGCGCACGAGGGCTCAATCTTCCACTTGTGGTCCTTGGCGATCTTATCCAGCTGCAGCTTGTTCTTAACCTCATCGGGCTTCATGGCAGAGCCGACGTCCTGCTTGTTGGCGAAGATGAGAAGACGGGCGTCCTTCATTTCACGGTCGGCAATGATGCGGGACAGCTCGCTGCGAGCCTCCTCGATACGGTCGCGGTCGCTGGAGTCGACGACGAAGATGAGACCTTGGGTGCCTGTTTTTTAAATGACGTTAGCGGCCGGCTAAATGGGCGGGCGGACTAGGAATTCAAGCGGGCAGGATGGGGGAGGGGGGGAAAGGCAGGGTATACGGACCAGAGAAGTAGTGTCTCCACAGAGGGCGGATCTTGTCCTGTCCACCGACGTCCCACACGTTAAAGCGCGTCTTCTTGTACATGACGGTCTCGACGTTGAAGCCGACGGTGGGGATGGTGGTGACATCCTTGTCCAGCTTGAGCTTGTACAGGATGGCTGCAAGAAACAGAAGGCGTTAGCAAGGCGGTCCAATCGCATTGACGCGGAGGTGCGAAAAAGCAACACGGGAACGTACTCGTCTTGCCAGCGGCATCCAGACCCAGCATCAGGATACGCATCTCCTTGGTGCCGAAGATCTGCTTCATCATTTTGGATATTGAGCCACCCATCTTGCCGGTTGGATCGGTCGCGCGACGACTCGGCTTGCTAGAGAGGACGGAGGAGGTGAGGGGTCAAGGACGCGGGCGTCGTGAGTGAGGACAGGTAACCGTGGGGGTGTGGGAGCGGTTGAAACGCCGGCTTTAGACAGTCGCAGGGAGATGAGAGCGGCGTCGGGTCTGTGTGAAACGCTATCGAGGGAAGAGGTAGTTGGCGATGGGCGGGGAAGACAGCGCGCAATTGAGCCAGGCCGGAGAGCTGGACTCCTTTACAGCAAAAGCCGGTGGATAGGGGCCTCCTTCGCTCTTGACGACGAGAATCTGCGGTGGTGCTGGAGGGCCAGTGACTGAGTTGGGGGCGGTTCCTGGATGTAGGGCTTAGGCCTGTGGTCAAGTCAGGGGATGCGAGGCCAAGCTGCGATCCGCGAAATCAAAGCCGCAGGCCTTATTTCCCGCGCACGACCACGCCTGCCACATGCGACGCAGCGGCTCCGCGACAACGGCTCTTACACTTATGCACCAGGTCCAACGGCGGCACGGCGAGGCGGCTGCCCGCAGTGCCCTGCGCAGCCGGGCGCTCCGCAGGCGCTCGCATCCGCGTCTCAGGCGCTGCGGTGTTGCGGCGCGGCGGCGCCAAACGGCGATCAATTTCACGATGAATTGCACATAGGAGGATGCGCGCCCGCATGCGCTAAGTTGCGCAAGAAATGTCCGATATCAAAGCTCGCCCGGCTAACGTCCATCACCACTTGTCGTCGAGCCCGCCCTCCTTCTCCACCCGGTTGCGCTCGTCATTAATCTCCCACCACCAGTCGTTCGCCTCGGTCTGGAAGTTGCGCTTGATGCGCATGTCCTTGGTCTCCTGCCACGGCTTGGGGCTCAGGATGAAGTGCACGTTCTTCACCTGGTCGTCGCGCCAGATGGCGTCGTGGACGTCCTTCCAGCGCATCGTCTTGAGCGCATTATAGATGTACGGGATGGTCACCCATCGCCCGCCGAAAATGTCAGAAAGCAGCGACTGATCGGCAAACTCGTACGAGTCCGTGTTGGACGACTGCAGCGCCCGCAGGATGGTGCCGTAAACGGCCGCCGACGGGTTCACGACCTGGAGCCCGCCGTTCGGCATGGCCAGCCCGGCGGTCGACGGCGCGCCCTCGGTCTGCGCCGCGTCTGGCGCCGCGTGCTGGGTGGTGAAGGCGCAGTTGGCGGGGACCCTGCGCCATGTTAGCGGAGGGCCGGTGGTGCGCCGCTCGTTATATTGTACTCACCAGTCGGCGGGATAGTGCGACTTCTTCAGCGGATTGCACACGCAGGCGTGGCTGGCGGCGAAGACGCGCTGGCCCTCGCCCTTGAGCTCCGGGGGGTCCAGCTCCAGCTCCATCAGCTCGTCCATGTTCTTCAGCACCAGCATGTCGGCGTCCAGCTGCACGACGCGGTCGTACTCGACCAGGCTGAAGGGCGTGAGCTTGCTCCAGCAGTCGTAGAAGCGCGGGTCATTGCTGTAGTCCTTGTGCGACTCTGGCATCAGGTACGGCACGCGCTTCTTGGGGATGTTGCGGGCATCCAGCGCGCGGTGGCCATAGGGCGGGAACTCGTCGGTGTACAGCACAACCAGCGGGTACTTTGTTTTTGCGCGCTTCAGCGAATAGTCGAGAGTCAAGAGGCCCTGCAGGTAGCTGGTGTTTGTGATCAAAACGGTCCAGACTGGAGGCGAGTTAGCATGTCAGCCAATGGCACGGCGCAGCAGGCACGGCATGCCTCTCTTGGACTCGACCACCCGCGTCTGGTCGGGGTTGGCGGCTGCGACAGCGTCTACGTCGTCCTGGGAGGGCATGTTTCTGCGGTTCTGAGGGCAACGAGTGGTAGCAGGCAATGCAGGGGCGGAGGGGTTCAGGATCTCCGCGATGCGAACGCGCCGACGTGCCGGCCGACACGCCTGTTTCTGTGCTGCTCGTGGTGACGGGCCCCTCGCCCTCGGCCGGGGCTCGAGTCGTGGGCACTGCGCTCCATGAACCCTAAACCTGGACGCCTGGCCGCTCTTCGGTCTTCCGCGTCGTCGGGATCGCAGCCGACTGCCGCGAACTGTGCGATCTCGCGCTGCGTTCACGCCGTCATCCACCCCCGCCCCCGGCCCAATGCCAGCCCGCCGAAAGGCTTGATGATGCGCGGGTCCGCTGCACGTCACCTCCGCCCCAGCCAAATATTCCGCCGCCGCTGCCGCTGAACTCCCGCACACAACGCTGGCAATGTCCGCAACTGGGAGCGCAACCGTCGCCAAGCACAGCGTGGACACGCCCGCCACGCCGGTGCAGCACAAGCAGGCGGCGCCTGCTCCCAGCAACTACAAGGGCTTCGTCGCCGGTGTTTTCTCAGGCATTGCCAAGCTGAGTGGTGAGTTGTAATTAATTGACTCTGGAAATTGGACGCTGACTTTATTGCAATATAGTCGGCCATCCGTGAGCATTTCCAATCTCGATAACGGTACCCCAGTGCTGATTAGGTTCCAAAGCTTCGACACTGTCAAGGTCCGCCTGCAGACCTCCGAAGCAACCCAATTCCGCGGCCCGCTTGACTGCGTGCTGCAGACCGTACGCAATGAGGGCGTGCGCGGCTTGTACAAGGGCGCGACCCCACCGCTGGTCGGCTGGATGGCAATGGACTCGCTGTATGGCACGCGCGCCTTTTCATCTCATATCCGATGAGTCTGACATTGTCGTAGAATGCTCGGTTCGCTCACCGTTTACCGCCGCCTCCTCCGCGAGAACGTTTTCACAAATCACGAGAAGCTGCCTACGCTAGGGCACGGCATTGCGGGAATTGGCGCCGGTTGGACCGTGAGCTTCATCGCAGCGCCGGTGGAACACGTCAAGGCGCGGTTGCAGGTGCAATATGCGGCGGATAAGGCGAAGCGCCTGTACAGCGGTCCGATAGATTGTGCGAAGAAGCTGGTACGGCCGCTGCGCTACTCAGGTTGCATATCTATTACGTGCTGACTTCACGTTTGCAGTTCCGGAGCCATGGTCTTCCCGGTCTCTATCACGGTCTTTGCGCCACTCTCCTCTTCCGCACATTCTTCTTCTGCTGGTGGGGATCCTACGATCTCTTCTCACGCTTCTTCTCCAAACACACCAACCTCTCCGCTCCCGCCATAAACTTCTGGGCTGGCGGTTTGTCTGCACAAATATTCTGGATTACAAGCTATCCGTCTGATGTTGTCAAGCAATGGATCATGACCGATCCGCTTGGCGAGGGCAGGAAGTTCCCGCGATGGAGAGACGCAGCGAAGGCTGTGTACAGGGAGAAGGGATGGAAAGGATACTGGAGAGGCTTTGTGCCTTGCTTCCTGAGGGCTTTCCCAGCAAACGCAATGGCTCTTGTTGCGTTTGAGGGTGTCATGAGGTTCCAGGGCGCTGGAAACTAGCATGGGATTTCGCACAAATCCATGGGAATGTACTTGTACAGGTTTGGCAAGGTAAGCTGATAGACTTTCCACTCACGTGGAGGCGCAAAGAGCGCCTAGTGTACAGACTCTTCAAAGGATAGACAAAAGGAATAATCTCCAATCGCAAAGACAATCGTTTTGCAAATTTTATTCACACCTTCGGTTTTCTGTCAAGTCAACCTTCAAGCTCTTGTTTTTCTTTGTTTCCCTTATTGCCCTACTTCGATAGGCGTGGTAACCTGAAACATGCAGCAGGCAAGATACGTCCTGTCCTAACACCAGGGGTTTGAATGCCTCTATCAGACAATTGGGCTGGATATTTCTTCGTGTAGCTGTGTCAGTATCTTGCACAGAATTACAGGGTGTTCTTGCTAACAGTTACAGAATTGCGGTTTGCTGCACGGAACTTTGGAACTTACAATGCCGAACACCAAGTTTGCCGAAAGGACTAAGACGAAAGCCACAGAGGTGCTGAACAGTCATGTGGAACCTTGGTTTGTCTTACTACTTACAGCTACATGAGCTCTACATGGCTTGACGATCCACCTGACGCATATGTCCGCTTCACCGCACAACCAAACAATCAAATTCCAATGTCTTCCGGGAAGCAGCGACAATGGTGCGCTTACCTGGCCGGTAAAGTTTCCCGTGGCCTCTTGTCTGTGGGGAGTGGCGCGGAAGCCGTTTGCTGTATGATGTTTTTCTCATGACAATAGTTAGTCACCATTCCAACACGAAGAAACTGGAGAATATTTAAAACGTACGTCGTCGCTCAGCTCAGGTCATCATCAACGGACCAGGACTATCCTCTGCAAGGCTCTCTTTTAGCACATTTGCTACATCCCATACTCAATTCTTTCTTCCAGCCCTTACTTTCAAGCTCAGTTCGCATACCATGGCAGGGAAGGGAAAGAAGAAGGATTGTGACCGCTGCAACACTCAAGGCAGTCATGAGACCGATGGCTGCAGAAAGAAGTTACTCTTGTGGCCTGATGATAGACTCCCTACGGGTACGGTAGCGTGGCCCCGTCTATCCTCCGACACAGAGCGCCTCGAGCGTGAGAAGCAGTGGTTGAAGAAGAATCGCCATAAAGAAGGTCCTCCCTGTGGGTACGCACTTGATCATGACTTACCGCAGCTTCAAAACAGGGAGAGCATGGAGGCAATGACCGTCCAGTCTAGCGGTTGTTACAGATGCAAGGGGGATCACGAATGGAAGCAGTGTCGGGAACAGGTGACCCTTGAGGGACCATCTGAATCTCTTGCTTGGCCATCCGAGTCTCGGTACGGTAGGTTCCAGCGCGAGAAGAAGTTTGCCGTCTGGGTCGAGAACGGAAGAAAGGAGGACACCAAGGAAAAAAGCAGTGAGCAAGCTGGAGAGGGAAGTAGTGACCAAGCCGGGGAGGGAAGTAGTCAGCAAGCTGGGGAGGGAAGCAGTAAGCAGGCCGGAGAGGAACACGCTGCGTTTCTGGAGGACGGTCAGCTTGCAGAGTTCAACGCCTTCTTCCAGCCGACTACCTCTCTTCCAGACCGCCAGGGTTATGCCGGCTCGAACAGTATCGACACAAAGCATGTGGACACGAGCGGCCAAGCAGTCACGCAAGGAAATATCAACTTTGATCTGCGTCCCGGGGATGACAACATCTACGCACTTCGCCCGGCCTTCAGTGGGTCACAGGACCAGAAAACTGTTCTCACCAACCACTTCACCGTCAAGCTAAGGCACAAGCGAATCTTCTGGTACGAATTTTCCGGGACCGCCTTCGAGAACCAGATGGCCCGTGGAAAGAAGAAAGACTTGATCGAGCGCTTCATTCGAGACACGGACACCTTGAACAACAACCGGAACCTCTTTGCAACAGACTACAAGCATGTTCTGGTCTCCTGGGTGGACCTACGCCGGGAAAATGCGGGCGACCAGGTGGGTGAGGTGGACGTGTCAGTGGAGCCAAAGGAAGGGGAGCAGAGGGATTCTAAGTTTGTGGAGCTCTGTCTGATACACACCCTCGACCTGGACGCCTTCAAGAACCAGGCCAATGGCACCGCGGCGCCCAGTGAAGTCAACTCTAACCTTGTCGTGCAAGCTCTGAACATCCTCATCTCCAAGAACGCAACTGAGTATCCGGACGAAGATTTCGAGAGTTTCCAGATTGGTACCAACCGCTTCTTCCGCAAGGCTGGCTGGGAGGATCTCAGGAAGAGAGGTAGAGATACTTCTACTTCTCTGCTGGTTTGCCATCGTGGATACTTCTCAACCATCAAGCCTGCCATGGAAAACATCCTTCTGAACCTCAACACAGCCATGAGCGTCTTCTTCCGTCCGATGAAGCTCAGCGACTTTCTCCTTCACGCGGAAAATTACTTCGATGTCGACTCAGCTCAGAAGTACATCATTGGAGCACGTGTCTGGATTGATTATGATGTTGGTAAGAGCAAGGGGGAAGCGCCGACAAATCCGTCACGCAGAATCAAGACCATCAGAGGGTTCGGCAGACAGTTGAAGGCACAGGAGTTCATTCTGGCGGAAGATGGGAAAGAGCCAAAGGAAGTCAACGTCTTCGACTACTTGAAAGAAAGTGAGAATAATTAGCATCTTAGGCGTAAGCTGCCGTCGCTAACGAGAACTTCAGAATACGCTAAGGAGACCAAATCTCTTAAAGAAACTAGCATCAGCGTCAACTTGGGCACGGCGAAGGGCGCCATGTGGTACGCGCCCGAAACCCTCACGATCCTTGCCTTCCAGCCCTTTCGACCCAAGCTTTCGTCAGCTCTGCAAGACGCGATGGTCCACCTTGCGTGCCGGACTCCAGATGAGAACAAGAAGGGTATTATGGGAGAGGGCCTCCGGTGCATGGGTCTGCTCTCACCCGGCCAAGATAGTTTCATCGTAAGGCCCCTTGCAGCATAAATTGTCAGCGATGAGTACTAACACTTTCAAAGAACCGGGCTGGTATTAACGTCGAGCCCAAAGCCGTGATCGTGCCGTGTAAGACGCTCGGGAATGTCAAAATCCAACCACCAGCGCCAAAGATGAATAATGGAACGTGGAACATGATCGACCGCAAGTATGAGAGTTCCAGCAGCTGTTCTAGGGTCTTCTACATCCGCTGTAATCCTCGGTTTCCAATCACCGACTTCAACAAAGACTTCTTCAACACACTCAGTGGATATCTCAAGGTCAGGATCAATGAACCGTCGTGTAATCATGCGCAGCTTTCAGCAAACTTAACGTTAAAGGATCTGGAAGAGACCCTAGGAAAGGTTTCAAAATGGAATCCAGACCTAGTTATCTTCCTCGTTCCGACAAAGGACAGTACTGCTAATTACGCGTTATTCAAGCAACTATGCGACCAGAAGTTTGGACTCAAGACGGTCTGCATGAACGCAGAAAAGCTTTTCAGGATGTACTCGTCACGCGGAAAGAGCGAAAAAGCTGAAAAAGAGTGGAAGGGCTACGTCGCCAACGTTGGGATGAAGGTCAATATGAAACTCGGTGGTACTAATCACCTGGTCAAAAATCTGACTGAAGGCGGATTTGGTGCATCTGTGCTTCAGAACACCATGATCCTCGGTGCTGATGTCACTCATCCGTCGCCTGGTAGCGTGGAGGGCACTCCTTCTGTGGCAGCGGTCGTCGGTAGTGTTGATGCTGGCTTCACCAAGTTTCTTGGCTCTATGCGTCGACAGGCACCTCGCGGGGAGAAACAATCTGAAGAGGTAAGTGAGCGGATGCTCCGGTGCAGTGAACCTTCCAATTGACAGCTCGAGCAGATGATTCAGGAGATGAAGGAAATGGTTAAGGAGCGTTTGCAGGCCTACAAGAAGCGCAACAAGGAACGCTACCCAGACAACATCATGTACTACCGTGATGGTGTGAGCGACAGTCAGTACGCTTCTGTCAAGCGTAACGAACTGAAAGCCATTAGGGAAGCGTATGCAGAAGAGACGAAGTCCGATAAGACGGTCAAAATCACCGCCATCATCACAGCCAAACGTCACCATACCCGCCTCTATCCGCATGAGGCGCAGAAGTCAGTCCGCGCAATCAAATCGGGAAATGTACTTCCCGGTACAATGGTTGACTCGACCATCACGTCCCCCACCTGGTTCGACTTCTTCATCGTCACGCACAACGGCATCCAAGGAACTTCGCGTCCGACGCACTACTTCGTGCTGGAGAACCAGATGGGATTCAAAGCTAACGAGCTGCAAGACTTCGTAAGCCACACCATCCTCACCCTTCCTACTCTTTGAAATTCCGAGCTAACCTCATGGCCTCTTTAGACAAACAAGCTCTGCTACACCTACGTACGCTCAACCTCAGCCGTCTCGTACGCACCACCAGCGTACTACGCTGATCGACTGTGCGAGCGCGGTCGCGTCTACTTGAAGCGCTTCTTCGACGGAAGTTTGAATGTTAGTGCAGCGAGGCAGCAGGACGACGAAACCTTGAGATGGGAGACAGAGGAGGAAGCCTTCCATCGATGCCTCGAGCACGACTGGATGCGTGAGGAGGACCGCAATAACGTGGACCGTAAGAACCCGTGGCATCCGAACCTTGACGATATCATGTTCTGGATGTGAGATGTGGAAAGTCTTGGGTGGCGGCTTGGCTGTGGACGAAGTGGTCAGAGATGAAAATGTTTCTTTTCCGATGTCTCCTTACCCATGTTACTAGATTTCCTTTAGTTTACCTTGCAGTTTTGGCTTCATAGATTTCCTTTTCTGTACATAATGCTTGTACTGTCAACGTTCGTCTTTCTTCCTATCCTCGCTCTTTTTGTTCTTGATAGATGGGTTTCATAGCACTTCATAGAGGGTCAATTTAGCATTAACACACAACAAGTGATGCAAGGAAAAGGTATGAATTTTGATTCCGTTGGAGTCCAATTAAGGATCCAAAGCTTTGCCCATGACATGAGGACGGGTGAGTACACCTATGCCCATATCCTTCTTTTTCACCATGACGTTAGTCTCAGTGTAATTCACCCAAGCCCCAAAATCTCCTGTACAACCTCTCCCAGACGACCTTCAAGCAAGAACGGCGAATCTAAAAGATATCGTCGGGAATCGGCAGCAAATGGAAATTTAGATCATCAGTCTCTCGACCTTGTCCTTGAGGGTGCGGATCTGGCCCATGAGGTCGGAAGCCTGTAAAAAAAATTCGTTAGTGCAGTTCTCCAGCGCACACACAGATTGAGCGAAAATTTCTTACCTCGTTGGTGGTGATGGAGGCGGCGATGACGGCGCGGGAGACACCGCAAGCACGGCCAAGAGCCATCTTGGAGGGAACGTAGACGTAAGGAACGTTCTTGTCCTCGCACAGAAGGGGCAGGTGAAGCAGGATAGCGAGAGGGGTGGTGTCGGCGGCCAGGACGATGACCTCGGACACACCACGGTTGAGAGTCTTGGTGGCCTCGTTGGCACCCTTCTTCAGCTGGCTACAAGGACGTTAGAACAAAAAAAGTGCGTTCTGCATGTTCTACGGGCTGCGCGCACTCACCGGTAGTGGGAGCACTGTTGCACCAGGTCCAGGATTTCCTGGCTGAGGGCAGCGTCGGCGAGAGGCCAGGCGGCGGACTGGTCAGACATTTTGGCGGTGATGGGTTGCTGTGCGGAATCGAGCGACTTGGTGAGCAAAAGGGTTCCTTTCCGGAGATCGCCCTTTTGGAATGCGCGTTGGCAAGAAGATTTGGAGAGTTGGAGTTGTGGCTTTGCGTCACCCAGAAGGCGAGCGAAAAAAGTTCCCGGCCGCCGCGCGAGGCGGAAGCTCGGGCCTCCGGCTACTGCACGTGACGCCAAGAAACACGGCCCAAGTCTGCATGGACAGCAACTGCAACCACACTCGCCCGTCGAGACATCATCGCCATCTCCCGCATCACCATCTCCCCCATCTCCGCTCCGTCCACACAGCTCCAGCTTCCCTCCACCCCGCCCGAGTAGCCTCATTCCCACGAGTGTCTTTGCTCCCAACACCGTCGCAATGGCCACCGATCTCTGGTACGTCGCACCAAGCTCAGCTTCAGGACAGCTTGGAGATGGCCGCAGCCCGCTGTTCCCCAGCCGCTTCATCATCTCCACTGCGCCTGACAGCTGCAGCCACCCTCTTTGAGCCGCTCCGTAGCTAACGCCCGCGTCCTGCCAGCCCCGTCTATGCTGTGAGTGCCCCAAACGACTTGCGTCGTCATGCGGACAGCACACCGCCCGCGCGGCCGCCCACTGCAAAACAACCCTCTCCATCACGTCCACAGAGCTCCAGAGGGCCCAGCGCTGACGTGAACACGCACAGCCCTTCTTCGGCGCGATGGGCTGCACGTCAGCCATCGTCTTCACCTGCTTCGGTGCCGCCTACGGTACCGCCAAGGCCGGTGTTGGTATCTCGGCTATGGGTGTCCTCAGGCCCGACCTGATCGTCAAGAGTATGGCTCCCTCCGCAGCTGCCGCAACCGCCGCCATCTCGCCAGTTGTGTGGATGCCGCGGTTGCGGCGTTGGATAAAAGAGCTTGGGCAGCTGACGCGCGCACAGACATTATCCCCGTCATTATGGCTGGTATCATTGGTATCTACGGTCTGGTCGTCTCCGTCCTGATCTCCAACGGCCTGCAGCAGCAGAGCGCCCTCTTCACCAACTTCATCCAGCTCGGCGCTGGTCTGTCGGTCGGTCTCGCCGGTCTCGCTGCCGGTTTCGCCATCGGTATCGTTGGTGATGCTGGTGTCCGTGGTACCGCCCAGCAGCCCAGGCTGTTCGTCGGCATGATTCTTATTCTCATTTTCGCTGAAGTCCTGGGTACGTTGCCGCTCCGATATAACATCGCTGTTGGACTTTTCTTGCTGACGTTGCTTGCGCAGGTCTGTACGGTCTCATCGTCGCCCTGCTCATGAACTCCCGCGCCGACCAGGGTGTCGTCTGCTCTTACGACTCCTAAATTGCTTCATTCCCCGCGCGGTGAACGAATCCGAGCAGCACGGTCAAATACACTCTGTACGGATGGTTGGGGGTCTAAGCAAACACAATGGACGGACACGCGAAAAAAGTGGCGGCACGAAGACGCTGATTTCGCGCCGAAATGAATGAACTGTCGGAATGATCGCACATGGGAAGCAGGTTCTCTCTCGCGCGAGCGCGACACACCGGTGTTCCTGTGCGAAACGTAATACATGGGAGCTTCCGGGCGGCACTCTTCTTGAGCACCATGTTGTATGTTGATAACTATTTTTCCTTGGAACCATCGGATGTTCTTTTTTTGGTTGGGCGGTGTAAGCAAGTAGATAACGGGCGCAAAATCATCTCCTTACAACCTCGTGTCTCTTTGTTCAACCATTTTGTGAGGAAGTGTATCTTTATGGAGGGAGATGCGGCTTTCCTATAAGTCTTTTTCAGAGACTACAGTTACTTGGTGATTTCACAGGTCTGAGGCTGAATGTTTCTTTTAAAATATGGAGCATAGCTAATGGTCGGAATGTAAGTGACCGTTCTGGATCTCGATCCTATTCGTTCTCTCATGCATTTCGGCGTCGTCCTTGGTGTTTAGCGGTGCCGAGTCTGCCGGCTTATCCCCGTCGTTTTCTGCGCGCTTTCATCAGATGACGACCCCCCTTCCACCCCTCCTTCGGTTATCCTGCATGAGTGGCGTTCGAGCTCATCACGAGGTTTAGGTGGCTGTGTTCGTGCAATGGTCTTGCATGTGGAGGAAGGTATGCCGACTGGTCTTGTCAATGGAACGAAAACAAGCATCTGTCGACTTCCTGGCCCGATGCTTGTGATAGGAGGGTTTTGGCTTTGGTTTTCTGGGCTTTGATGGTGGGAGTGTCAGTCACATCGTCGTGGTACTTTACCAAACTCGGGCCATTAAATCTTACTGGACATTTTCGGTTTTCGAGGATTCGTACGTTCGTGGTATCGATGCGAGGCTGAGAACAGATCCAAGGCAAGTGAAAGCTACAGACGTTCCTGCTTCAGTGCCGAGATCAGTATTCGCCAAAAGAGGTGGCCTGCAGTGCCTCACGCCGCGCGCCAAGTTCTTCATAGTCAACCATGGTGCGCTCTTCATCTAATCAGAACATCGACCCCAATTGAGAAATTTCTTCGTCTTTCTTCAGCTGACCATAAACAGTTGCGGTTTACCCAGCGTAACGATTGTGGAAGCACGCAAAATGAAATTGGGTTAACGGGCATGCTTAGAGGAACGGCAATGCTTGCAGACATGCGGGTCATATACCTGTTTGCGATGTGCCTGATGGCTTAGCACCCACACCATTCCGTCGATGGGTGTCTGGGGTTGCCATTCTCAAAAACAATCGTAGAAGCTCAGCCTCAAACACCGCCTCGCCCTTGGATACCTTCAAGATGTTAAGTGGCCGACCTCCAGAGCAATTGAAGCGTGATATTTCTTCAAACCCTCGCCCGAGGCAATCATTCATTCTGAATTGCTGCTCCTGAAAGGGAAATCCAGCTTCAATTACAGCAAATCCACAGCTCGACCTCACCACACGAACAGTTCCAACATGACTTCCACCGAAAACCCCAAATGGTACAAATACCAGCCCCTCCCACCAGGCCACATAATAAGCCTCCTCAAACTCCACGCCAACGACCCCACTAGCGCCCGCCTCGCCCTCGTCAACATCCTCTCCCGCCCGCTCGCTTCCGGTCCAGACTACGAAGCCATCTCGTACGTCTGGGACAAGCCCCCCGTCTGCGTCACCATCAGCATCACCATCGCCTCCTCTGGCTCGACTACCGCGGTCTGCATCAACCACCTAGCACCCCACCCACCCGACCCTGCCTGCCGCGCGGCTGAGGAACGGGGGGCCGGCCAGGTCGGCGCGGGTCGTCGTCTTCTCCTGCATTTCGGGCTGGGGTGGCGGCGGCGGCGGTACGACGCGGGCAGCGGATTCAACAACGGCGGCGGACGTGGACGATCTAGTAGGAAGTCATGATGCTGCTGGCACGCGATGTCGTCGTCGTCGTCGTGCTCCTCGGAGACGCGGCGCTGCTCTTCCTGCCTCTGCCCTGGTGGTGCGCGCTGTTCTTCCTCAAGGCCGTTTTGCGCGGCTCGTGTTGTCGGCGGGCGAGCCGGTTGGGGGGGGCTCGAGGTCCCGCTGGTTGCGGTGCGGGAGATGTGGGATAACAGTGGTGGTGGTGGTGGTGGGGTGCGGCCCGGGTTGAAGGAGTCGCTGGGGATGACGGTCGAGTCGAGGGTGTCGGATCCGAGGGATAAGATGGCGTTCCCGGCGAGCCATGAGATGCCCTTGAAGATTCACTTCTCCGCTTCGGAGCCGCTTTGTCTCGAGGTTTGGGGCTACAAAGTCGGAAACGTCGCCTCGGTTTTCCCATGCGGTCCGGATCCTCGGCGAGGAGTCACTTGCTGCGCTGATTTCCTCGGGGATATCGCGAGGCGTTTCGGGCCCGGTGCTGGGGCTGAGGGCTTGCTCGAGGCGTCTCTGTGCGCCAGACTCTGTGCTGCCGTCAATGCGGGGTCGGCCATACAAAAATGGTCGAGGCAGTCGTCTCCGAGGAGCCGAAGGTTGAGCCTCATGAGGAACTGGAGATGCTGGACAAGTCCGTCGGCGAAGGAGATGTCGTGTGCGTCCTTGGCGGTGGCAGAACTCCATTTGTTCTCAGAGTGATTGAAGGTACTGTGGATGGTTATAAGCTTGTTGGTGTTTGCTATGTCTATGGAATTATGAACGGTGAGTGGATTTTAAAGCACCGGAGTGTGGAAGCGAAGCGGTTTCGACCGTGGTAGACGATGGACTGTCCTTTCCTGGTACACTCGCTCGAAAATTTGCGCCAATCTCGACACGTAATTCAGGACTCGTTACAGAATCTGCCACAGACATACAGGTGGAAAGTATGGCCTATAGCTAGCGTTAATTTGTTTTTCGTTCATTTCATAGGTAGCTGAAGCCATCTTCCAGACGTGAACGTAAAATTATTAATTCGACATTTGCGTCCGGACGATCGCTTCAACTACCTACGTATGTTGTTCTCCGTCGACAAATTTGCTGAGGCATAATTACTCCTGCTATTCTTCGCGCCAGCCCGCAGCTACAATGCCCCTCTGTAGGTTCACTAACTAAACAGGCTAAAAAGCGTACCATTCAGTCTCGAGACAATCTACGTGGCGTCGTGGCGCAGTAGTCAAAAGTGAAAACTTTTTCATACATAACAGTCCACGCCCCGGCCTGGTACTTCTTGTTACAGATTTTCTTCGAGGCAGTTGCAGCCAGGGAAGGTGATCGCCAGCTCAGTATGGCAGGCACACCTAACGCAGCGGACCTCACACCTCAACGAACCGACCCGCATAAGATCTCCCAGCTCTAGTTTCTAGTACGAAGTGGCGCCACCATGTCCGAAGAAGCCCGACGATCCAACCGCGTTCGGCGCAAGCCCCAGACCTTGTATCCAAATCCCCCACCACCGCAGCTATCTCCCCGCAAGCAGAAGCGGAAGCAGCCCCCTGCAAGCACGAATCCTCCATCACGAGCAAAGAGGTACCCGGCCAACACAAGAACAAACAGCACTCTGCAAGCCACCCTAGAGATCCTCAAGCCCGACCGACCGGTCCTCTCATCAGCGAGTACTTCTAGAATCACTCGAGCCTCCGGTACTGACCCGAACTTCAACGCCGGTTATCCCAACCAGTGGAACCAGTGGGTCAACAAAGGCCATCCCGCCAGAGCAGCGATCAAGTCTTTCATCCAGGACGTTCAGGCCTCTCAGTTACCCCAATTCCACCCCTTCAATCGCGCCTTAGCCGAAGCTCAGTCCACGGCCGACCAGCGGCTGCCAGCGAGGCCCCCTCCTGCTGCCTCGCCCTCTTCTTCGGAGACTAATACCACGCCTCCCAAGACTGGGCCGATCGGAGCGGAGCACACTACGAAGAACACTCTCGTGCTGCCCGCACACCCTTTCCCCAAGCTTGGTAGCTCAAGCTCATGCCTGGTAGTCGGGGATGCAGGCTTCTGGGATGCGGCCATAGCACCGTGCAACGTAAAGGTGGAAGAGGACACAAGAGAGTACGTTAATGTCCACTTTGGCCTGTCTGCGGAAGATCAGGCGCCGTTTCCAGGACCCGCATCGTTTTACTCCAAGTTTAAGGGACTCAAAGTCAACAACATCTTCAACGACACCACGGATGAATATTGCGAGATGGTGGCAAACGAATACAAGGCCCTGGTATCCTACAAGGATTCAAATGAGGCAGAATTCCAAAGGTCCTCATATTACCTCTTCAAATTCGAGGTACGAAACCCAGGAATGGCGAAAGATTACATATTCCGCACAGAGGCTACACCACAAGAATCTATCAGAACTGACCCCGAGAACTTCCCGAGGTTTGAAACCCCGAACTTTTGGAATACTCCGCCAAGTTTCACCCCCAACAGCGCAGAGCACTTCGACTACGATATCTCCCCTGGCCTTCTATACTGGCTGTCCCTGAATGGTTTTTCAACAATATGGGGAGCAGAAGCGAAAAGATACGTCCACATCAGAGGACAAAGAAAGTTGTGCCTATATCTCGCCGTGGAGTATAAAATCAGACATGATGAAGATAGCAGCAGGATATCGATGAACCGAGTTACAGCTGCGATGCTCCTATGTCTCTGGAACCGGTTCCAACTTCGGAAGAGAGCCTTAGCTGCACAAGGGAAAGACTGGAAGCAGGAAGAGAACAGTGAGATCAAGGTCTACGGTGTTCGCGTTCTCGCTGCAGAATTCAATGTCTGGGTCATGACGCCAGTCGTCAATTCTGAGGGAGAATGGCAAGGTACAGAGATGAAGCGCCTTACGGGCCAGACATTACAGGCAGTAATGGGAGTCCAGCGTCTTTGTTTATGGATCAACGAAATCCATAAGTGGGCGCTTACTATCCACGCCCAACAGGTTAAGGAAGATCTGCAAGCATGCGCTCCTAGGGGTGGCGCTCCACCCGAGCAAAGCGTCTTGTTACATGGTCCTAGCTAGAGCAACGCCCCCTTCTAGACTGCTTTCCTATCGTGGGAGAACTGATAACCAAAAGCGCCACTGTGCATGCTGAAGCCTTCGCCGTCCACGGTAGAGGGGCGGTTGATTCTTCCATCCGGACATGAATGCACGATATACGTTAGGAAATGGCAGCGAGTGTACATTCAATTACGTTGTATATACAGGGTAACATGGCTAAAAGCCTCAAAAGTTTCAAGAGAAAGAAACTATATACTACTAAAACACGCTAAAAGAAGTTCCATTCTCAGAAAGATAACGGATGAATACATATTAGGGCTTCAGACCGTGAAAATATAATTACAAACAGATGCATCCGGATAACAGCTTCAACTCCCCAATTTTGTCAGCCATCAGGTAGAGTTTGGTGGAGAGCTTGGTATCGCGCTCCCAACCATCCTTTAATGGGATAGTCATCTGACGCTCCAGCGGTACCTGCACGAAGTCGTTCTTTTCCATCCAGACTCCAGGGTGCTTGTTAACCGCTGCGGCAAACGCTTTCACTATCGGCTCGTCGCCATACGCAGTGATGCCGTTCTCGAGCTTGGTCTCTAATTTCGGACTTATCCTGTTTGCGTCGAAGCCGGCGGCTCCGTGCTGTGCCGCATCCATGGCTGTGGTGCGAGATAGTTCAGAATCCGCCACGGTTCCCATAAACGCTCCAGCTCTTGCCTCTTGCTCGTCGAGCTCCTCGTCGGAGTCCCTAGTAGGGATCGAGTTATCGCCCGGTTGGCCGCTTTTCTGGAATGCTTGCCTTGTGCACTGTCTGCTTTCTACCCTAGCGATAGCCTGAGTTACCTGGTCTTGGTACTCGGTATTGGGCAGGATTGTGGACGCGATTTCGATTTTAGTCTGGGGCTCATCTTTTTTCGCGAACCTGGCCTGAGCGAAACTGCCGTTCGAGTAGAGATCGTCGAGATACGCTTACCTGTCAACGTTATCGGCCAGTGCGTTCTGCACGAGCACGAAATCAGCGTGGCTGAACACCTTTCTGTCCGAGTCCAAGGATACTGGGGAGAATCTGTGTACGATTGCTGGCATTGAGGTGGCCACTGCTCTCGCCCGTACTATGCTGAATTTGGGGCCGTATCCTAATTTTCACACATGACCAGACTTTCCGTTCTGGCCGCTCAGACTTAAGCGTGGGCCAATTGTAAAAGGACATTGTGTGTCACCGTAAGCCGGTGAGATTTGCAGCAAGGCTGTGTGCGGTCACGTCAATCATTGGCACGTCCAAAATCTGGCCTGCACAGTCATCTCGGCAAAGTTTTGTTATCGGCCAATAGATGTATTACACGCTGTGCGGCTGCATTCGCGGAATGAAGCGATAACATTGGTTCGGTCCCAGGCCCTGCTTCCCCGACGCAGCAAGGCTGAGCCCTTCAACTCGAGGTTAAGACTCTGGCCTGCCTCGTCCCATTCTCTCCTCTCTCGAAAAGCCAGTCTCCTTTCTATGGGCGCCCGCTACCAACCGCAACCTCCGACCCTCAACCACGATGTCCAACATGGCTGAAACACACACCGAAGACCAGTGGGACGCCCTGAAAGACGAACTGAGATCACTCTACCTGGAGAGGGATATGGCCTTGCCGGCAGTATCAAGGCTCATGGAAGAGAGACATGGGTTTTCTGCAAGGTGATATACAGATCCAAGCTTGAAAACCTCTTACTGACGGCACCTCAGGAAAAACCAATACGAGAAGCACTTCAAACGCTGGAAATGGTCCAAGAACCTCTCGTCCGAGCAATGGCGGCAGATTGACAATATGAGGCGCGATCGACAGGTACAAGGCAGGGATTCGGTGTTTTACGACCGTGGCCGCAGGATCCCACAACAACAATTGGACAGGAGTACGAGAAGGTACAGGCATCTTGGAAATTACCATCAAGGTTTGCTCTACGCCTATCTAGCTTGAAGTAATCTAAAAGCTGACAATATCACAGCGCCGCCATCTGGGCTTCCCTCTGGTATCACCGTTCACACACCGCCGCCGGAGCTTGACCGGGAAGAGGAGATCCTGCTGATCTCAAATCAAACTTCACCACAGAAGAGCTCACAACAGTTGATGTTTGATCTCCCATTTCGTCTCTTCGAGAACAGGCTCCAGCATGAGCTTGGTCAGAGCGGGGGTCGTTATCAAATCCAGCCGAGTTTACCGACCAGTCCCTTGACTGTTGATCCAAGGCTACTGATGAGAGGTCTCTCGCCCTCACCACTTTGTTCAACTATCACCCCAGAGCAACTTTCCTCCCCAAGTGACCCGCGGCTCGTGGGTAGCACCGCCATAAACGACTCTTCACCCGGAATGAGCGTTGCTACTCATGTAGCTTTTAAAATATTGGACTCCATTCTACCACCGGCCTTTTTGAAAGCACCTTCTTTCAACTACATCGTCGATCCAGATCATCGGCTGCTGCCAACTACTCAACTTCGACGAACATTGTTCTCACTCTCGAACAACCTCGCCGGAACCGTGGCCTTGTCTTTTGGGGACTCCATCCATTGCCTTGGACGAGACATAGGCGATTCTCTCTACCGTTACATCCGCGGTGCCTCAGATCACACTTCCAGGGCGATTGCACGTACCATCTTTCGAGGTGCAATCGAATCAGGTGATGCCAGCATTGTGCACCTAATTCTTAGCCAAAACATTGCGAACATAAGCCCCAGTAACGAGGTGTGTATATTTGAAGACCTCAGATATACACCAATTGAGCTAGCTTCACAATTGCGTCACGAGAATGTCATCAAAGTCTTGTTGAAGCACAACGTGGATGTCCGAAAAACGTTCAAGAGGGGAGATACGCAGTTCCTCCCAGCCGGTGCTCTTGAATGCGCTTTGGGAGCACTAATGTTGAAAGACTATGTAAGGCTAAGCCCAAGTATCTTTAAGCTACTGCATGACTCTGGAGGTGTTATGAGCGAGGAATGGGTCTGGGATTTGATCCAGAGAAAAGATGATGAATTTCTCAGGGATGTTCTCTCAACACATATCCAACGAAATCATTATGTTTGGAACCAAGGGATTTTCCTGTCTGCGTTGAAAATCCTCCAAGAGCAAGATTGCATGAGGGTTATTGACAACCTTGTTCGTGTGGGAGCAGATCTAAATCGTCGAGCCGCCAGCCAGCCAGTCCCAGATTGGCAGCCTCAACAATGGACACTGATTGACAGTGCCGCAGCACGTGGAAGTGCCACATTGGTCCAAGAACTTCTTCTGAGAGGCGCCCATATCACCCAAGACACTCTTCAATTTGTGATCGAGAGTGGAAATCTAAATTTAATCGAACTCCTCCTGGACGCGGGTGCAGATGTAAACAGCATTGGATACAATGGAATCACGCCATTCGCAGCCGCTGTTCGGCTAGAGCGTCCTGATGTTCGCAGCTTGATCATCGATCGACGGGGGATGTCCTGCATAAGAGAAGATAAACATTTTGCTGCTGTTTCGCAGGCTGCCTCTGAGATATGGGATATCGAGCTCATCGAGCACCTCCTCAGGATCAATTCAGCCACAAATACGAGAGCTCTGGGCTATGTTCTCTTGCATGCGGTCAGAAACGAAAAAGAGGAAGTTGCGAAGCGAATGATTGATCTTGGAGCAGATCTTGAGGTCTCTTATGAATATGTTGCGAAAGGCCAGACCATATCTTGTGGACCCCCACTTTTTGAAGCGCTCGAACGGCGTAACTCATGTCTCACCCACATGCTACTCCAAGCGAACGCCGCTCCCTACCTTGTATCCAGTCTGGAGCAATACATATCAGAACTCGCCATTCGCTGGGGAAATCGATCCATAATCAAAGCACTGCTCTTTGCAGGGGCGTCCTTTGATGGTATTCCATTCATGGCTGCAGTGAAGCAGAATGATCAAGAGCTTGTCCAAATCCTCTTAGATTCCGGGGTGGATATCAATTTTCCTTATTCTCCAGGGGCAGATACAGCTCTGGCTACCGCAGTGGACAATCAGAATATCAACATGGCACGATATTTGTTCAGTAGAGGCGCAGAGCCGCATGATGAATGCGCACTGGAAAAATGCATTCATTTATCTAGTAGGGGAATGCTCGACCTTCTGATGAATGAACATGCCAAACGATACCCACTTGGAAGAAAAGGATATGGCAGTTCTGCTTTACGATATGCGGTGCAGTGTGGTCAAGAAGATATTGTCAGCATGATGCTTGAAAAAGGCGCCGACGCCAACAAACTGGAGTATCGTGAGGGGAACCATAGAGGATGGTCAAGCGCTTTCGGTGTAGCAATCACAAAGGACCAGCCCCAACGGACACGATTAATCGAAATGTTCCTCGGCGCCCATTGTGACGCAAACGGCATTGTTTCCCAACTCGAAATCGTTTCTTTCCGCGGCTCCAGGACTACCAGTATAACCTACATAAGGTTGACTGCATTTCTGGCGGCAGTCGGCACACGAGATGTCTCAGTTGCGAAGCTACTTATCCAACACGGCGCCAATGTCAATTTTCCCGCCAATGGGCCCGTGAAACGGACTCCACTACAAAGAGCAGCCGAGATTGGGAGCATGGACATAGCCAACCTCCTGCTCGAACATGGAGCAGAAGTCAATGCTCCACCAGCCAGGGATGGTGGCGGCACGGCCCTTCAGCTGGCTGCCATGGGGGGTTACATTGGCATCGCGTGGGAACTGATGACCAAAGGCGCCAACGTGGATGCCAAGGCTTCCGCCGCCAATGGCAGAACCGCACTTGAAGGAGCCAGCGAGCATGGGCGTCTTGATATGGTGGCGGTACTTCTGAAGGCTGGTGCAGCTGATAACGGGAAGGATCACGCGCAGTTGAAGAGAGCGATGGAGTTCGCGAAGGAGAATGGGCACTTCCACATATGTGAGTTCTTAATTGCTGATCAGCCTCTTATGGAGGAAAACGAATTCATTAATTATGAAGCGGAGGGGGCAATGGTTGAAGAATAATGGCGCTTTTGTTGAATCTGGGGGTCCGTTGTGTCCAGCCACACTGTCTTGTTTTGGAGTCAGGAGTCAGTATCAGTATCGAGTGAAAAACTATTGCTTGTTCAGTTACTACCCGGACGACAAATTTCGCTAGTGTGCGAGCGTTGCACCGCTGTGGCAATAATTGGCACTTCTGTAGAGCCTCACGGATCATGTTCCATTGTAAAATCCAAAAACTAACCGATAGTATATGCAGTCAAGATCAAGGGTTTCAAAACCTGACTTCATCTGCTCAAAATCTCTCGCTAATTCCTTCGACGCTCTTCATCACACCCTTCTACACTACTACTACCCCGTTCCAAGCGCATGGAGTTTTATCAGGCCATATGATTTGCAGCAGCCAATGCGCCTCAAATTCACGACGAATTACTGAGTCCACGAGCTAATTAATGCAATACTTTTGACATACTTAAGAAAGGACGAGAAAGCTTCCAGCAAGATTATATACTGGATAGTAGTACCATTGGTGCAATTTTCGATTTCGGTGGGGACCAGCCAAAGCATTGTCTCCCATCTTTACGCACCAGCCAAATAACTCTGGAACCTGCTCCATACGCTTCCGATATATCAGCAAGCTCTCGTTTCTGGCTCTTCAAGTTCTTTCTTGAAACCCAGGAAATCCCTTTTCAAACTTCTTTTTCCGCCGTTAAGTATCAAACGGATCTTCCTTGCGCAAGGCAGCTACAAGAAATTTCCAGATACTGCTCACAGTCTCTCCGTCCATGGAGACTATGGAGCTAGTGCAGGCTAGAGTGCCTTGATCTTGCTTCCAGATGGCAATCAGTTCGTCAAGAGCAGCGTAATTGACTTCGATAGAATTGCCCGCATGCCAACCCTTGTCGGACTCATCGTCGGACTCCTCGTCGGACTCCTCGTCGGACTCCTCGTCGGACTCCGAGTAGATGGTATTACGACCAAAGTGTCCAGGTCCAAACGTTATAAGTGATTTCTTGAACTTCGGTGGTCTCAGAGCAGACGAAACCAAGATCATGGATAGCAGGCAAACCTGGGGCCTGAAGAAAGACACGTTCGACGGAGTAGCTGTGAACCTAAGAGGGCCATCCTTGTCCCTCCAGGCGCCACCAAGGTGTACTCTCTTCAAATTGGCCAGTTGTGACATCGCTGGAATAATCTTCTCAGCATGACCAAGCTTCCAGATATTGAAGCGCATGCGCTGGGTCGCTAGACGGATATTCATCAAATTGGGATGGCTGCTCAGCGTATCTGGGTCGAAGTATTCGGCACATGCGTATTGGTCTTCGAAAGTGATGATGCCGTTCTTGTGCAGTGCTTTCTCAAATTCGATGGAGAGTGTGTCAGAGAGGTCACGCAGACCAGCCAGTGAAACGTCATGGTAAGCCTTGGGATGTTCGATGATGAGTTTGCCGTCCATCTGGTGCACGTAAGTGATGGGGTCGTCGAAGCCGGCGAGGTGCTCGGCAATCAGGATGAGGAGCTCATCGGGAAGCTCTGTGAGGCGGCATCGGTTGATGGTGTGGTGGCGCTTTGCCTCAGGCTCTGAAGGAGCTGGACCGTCGCTGATGGAGTCAAGCTTGCGTTTCTGCAGCAGAGTTAGTGAGAGCGCCGTTGAGGTGAGGGTGGTGCAACTTACTTTTGCTGTCGCCATGGTTGTTGGCGGGCGCTGCAGCTGCGGTGAGCGTAGTCGCAGTGTTGCGAGGGCAAGGCCTGACGAAGTAGTTGACGTGCGTCGCTCACATGCACGCGTGAGTAGCTGGTGGTACTACGATAAGAGAAGAGGAAGAAGAAGACGTTGTGGTGCGCAAAAGAAGGGCATATGATCGTGAGTGGCCGCTAAGCCGAAAAAGGAAGTGGCAGCCACCGACAAGAGGAAGGCGCGGGCGTCCCAGTCTCCCACGACATGAATGTTCCTGAGAAACATGATGAAAGCCTATCATGAGTTTTTGCAACCCATCCATGCCACAGTGCCATACAGAGTAAAGCAGTCGGAAGGACAAGACCGAAAGACTCGATGTTTTTCAAAGACAGCTGTAAGCGATCAAGAGAGTATCGCTTGGATGCAAGAACAGACTTTTAAAAGGCAAAGTGGGATGAAATCCTCAAGGGCGCTGAATGAAGCACTGCTGATGACTATGAAAAACTTGAGAGAGGGCCTCTGTTAATACGACGCGCGAATATTGCACGCTTCTGTACCAATTATAATCCAGCATACTAAGTAGTTTTCTTCCTCGCTGAGCATGAGTGGTCTTGCACATGACTCTGTCGCATCTCCGATTTGAATGTGTTTGGGCATGGCTTGTATGTATGGCATCGCGTCACTCTAGACATCTGCGGATAGAGTTGTGGAGAACAAACACAAAGCGCGCGGGAATTACATTGTTTTTAATACACGAGCGTTTTGATAGCTGTGAAAAGAGCAAGAAGTTTGACTTCATCATGAAGCATGGCCTCTCATTTTTCTTGAGGTGTGGGAGTGTGGAAGTGGCACTGAAAAGCATTTGAACGCGAGCGAAAGCAGAGTCGAGGCATGGTATAAATCTGTCAACCAGCAACGACGTCGACTTCGACATGCCGTGTTCCGAGGGGTAAGCAGGGGATGGCGGTGACGAGTGGCGATCTTTCCGTAGGGAGCTCGGAAGGATCTGGCCAAGCAATGGGGGCGATTTTGCTGCAACGGTGTGACGAGATGCCGGAAGCGTTGACGAGTTCAAGGTGGAGTCGGATATACTGTTGGTCATTCCGCTCGTCACGATTGCCGCTACAGGCTAGACGGAGCGCGAAAGGCGATCCTCCGGGTCTTAGGGCGGGGCCAATCTCTGACCACAAACACGCCATGGAAACAACGCGGCCGATCCTTCACTTTTATTCTACACAGCGGCCAAGCTGCGGGATTCTTGAGGCTCGTATCTGTAGCCGCGGAGCCGAAAAGTCGCCTGTGGCCGGCAGACGAATCCACCCCGGTCCCGCCCGGCGAAACATCCCAAACCCTCGAAACACCTGCGCACGACCCCTGCGGCCCGTGGTCCTTCGCCCCCAGAACAATCAACTCTCTCGCCCCTCAATACGAGAGCTGCAGCCCTTTCGCGTCTGGACGCGCCTCGGTTCCACCACGCCAATTGCACACACGAGCTGACAGCCGCCTCTCGCACCATCCCCGCATATACTCCCGTGATGACAGGCACGGCGTCAGAAGAGATCTGCTTGTGGGGACGGCTCACCGCTTGGCGCCGCTCGTTGCGGTGATAGCGCCAGGGGAGCTCGGGCGAAAGACGCTGCGTGAAACGCGCCGCCTGCCTTTTCCAGCGTGCTGCCAGGCACAAACAATGCATGCGACGCACCGGCTCCTCCGCCAAGCTCTGGGCTCACCGAAATAGCAACACTAGCCATGCATCTTTCTCGACATTGATGAACCCGGGGCCACGCGCCGCGACTCTTTTTTACCTTGTGCTTCCCCTCACCGTCACCTCACCTCCGCATCCCAAGCTGGTACAAATCCCAGAGGGTGTTCGACCCTCGTTCTTTCGCTTCTTCCTCGCCGGTCGCTACCCGTCCTTCGCTTCGTTCGTTATTCATCATGCGCGCTTCCAACATTGCGGCTTGGGCCGCGACTCTGTTCGCCGGCGCTAATGCCGCCTGCTCCGGTCCTTTGGTCATCGACAACTTCTCCAATTGGTCTTCCAACCAGAACAGCCTGAACTCGTGGACTAGCGGTATGTGCGCTTCCATACCCCTAATCTGAATTTCCGCTGACTTCCCCAGATGATTCGTCGATGACCGAGATCAGCGCCGCAAATGGCAAGCTCTCTTTCAAGCCCGGTGCCGATGGTTACTTTTATGAGACGTTTGAATGCCAGGCTGCCTCTACCAACGGCTACAACGCCATCAACTTCCCGGTCAAGGGTCCTTCCGGTGGATCCTTCGCTTTGGAAATCCAAACCAAGACTGCCTGCTCTGCTTCTTCCTACACCAGCTACTACTATACCGTCTCGGGCTTGACCGGTTCCACCCAGACCATCAACATTCCGTTGACCTCCTTCACCGGTGCAAATGCCGATGCCGTCACCGCTTTCGTCTGGAGCGGCTTCTCCAGCACCGACACAACTTGGGAAATCGGTCAGATCCAGTTCGGCTGCAGCGGTGCCTCTGCAACCACTTCCAAGCCCGCCAACTCGGCCACCACCACCCTGATCTCGAGCAGCGCACCTACTGCCACCGGCGAATGCAAGGCCCTCCTCATCGATGACTGGGTCTCTCAGTCGCGTCTGACTTTCCTTTACTACAATGCCATGCTCGAGCCCAGCTCCGATGACGGCACCATGTCCTCCATCGTCGTCAACCCGAGTACGAACAGAGTCACCTACACCCCCAAGGATACCAGCAGCTACTTCTACAGCCAGACTGGCTGCACTAACGCTCAGAACACCTACGGTGGAATCTCCATGCGCATGAAGGCCGATGCCGGCACCACGCTGTCGGTCGAGCTCGACTCTGTCTCTACCTGCGGCGGTGAATCTACCAAGCTGATCACCGTGACCAGCAACGACCTCGGCTGGACCTTTGATGGCACTGAGAAGCTGTACAGCATTCCATTCTCCAAGTTCAGTGGACTCGACACGTCCAAGATCTCCACCATTCTTTTCGCCCAGATGACCAAGGCTGTTACGTTCGGTCCCATGGCCTTCTACTGCGGCAACACTGCAAGCGAATACATTCCGTCTACCACGTCCGCTCCCGCTGGCCCGACCTCGACCGTTCCCGCTCCTTCGAGCACTGCTTCCGCGCTTGTCATTGACCAGTTCGGTAACCAGAACAGCAACGCCCTTGGCAACTGGCACGGTGCTGATGATGGCATGACTCTGACCTGGGGTTCCAACAAGCTGACCATCGTGTCCGACGATGCCGACTACGCTTTCTACACTCAAGTCTCAGGCACCTGCCGCGACATGACCTCGTATGACGGCAGCTACCTTCACATCGCCTACACCGGCTCCAACGCCTTCACCGTCGCTCTGCAGCAGCACAACTCGGCGTGCGACGAGACCATCGCCCCCTACCCGGAGACGTGGGACTCGATCGAGGCGGCCCGCTACGCCACCGACACGGACATTTACATCCCGATCAACCACTTCAACATCAACAAGGAGCGCGTCATCGGCGTCGCGCTCAAGGGCTTCTACAAGGCCGACCCGGTCACGCTCAGCAAGATCGAAATCGTCAGCGCCATCCCCTCGGGCTTCACCATCCCGAGCAAGCTCCCCTCGGGCAACCTCATCTTCGCCTGCAAGCGGCCCAACAGCTTCGCCTTCGCCATCGACGACGGCTCCCCCGAATACGCCCAGGAGGTCCTCAAGATCATCAAGGAAGAAGACATCAAGGTCACCTTCTTCACCGTCGGCGCGCCGCTCCTCGACCCCAGCACCAACCTCTCCAACGTCTACAATGAGATGATGGCCGCGGGCCACCAGATCGCCCTCCACACGTACACGCACCCCAAGATGGAGGGCCTCCCCGACTACGAGGCCATCGACTGGGAGTACAACCAGGACATCGCCGCCGTCGACCAGACGCTGCAAGGGCTGCACACGTCGTACTTCCGCCCGCCCTTCGGCAACGAGGGTGCGCGCATGCGTCAGCGTCTGGCCGTCGCGACGGGCGACGATAGCCCGTATATCGTCAACTGGAGCGTTGATGTCGAGGATTGGCTGTGGGCGGAGACGAGCACGCCCGAGAAGCAGCTCGATGCGTTCAAGCGCGATGTCGAGAAGGGCGGCAACTTGGTCGTTATGCATTATTTGTATAACAGCACGGTTAGCTATCTGCGCGAGTTCATCCAGATTGCGAAGGGCACGGGCAAGCAGCTTATGCGGGTGGATCAGTGCATGGAGGATCCTAATGCGCCGGCGTTGTGAAAAAGGGTTGGTTATTGCATGAATGAGGATATGGTGGATGGATGATGGTGTTGATAATGTCTAGCATTTGTTGGTAATCTTGTTGGAGAGTTGTTAATGCATATGTGTGCCTCCGGCTGTTTGTCGAAGACGCGGTCGAGAATTAATCACTTTATTGGTTGATCATTGTCTTTGCGTGTCTCCTGCGTGAAAATTCTGAAGGCATGGCTAACTATTCAAATTATTTGTCATGTCAATCCAGCGAACGTGTCGACACCCACAGATTCAAGATAACGGTAGAGTAATAAGAATGCTTTACAGATCGACCCCGCCTTTGTTCTCCTACTTCCTGCCGTCGCCAAGACTTGGCGCCAGAATAGGTACATGCACGGATAATCGGAGGATTAGCGCAGAAATTTCGAATCTGGTCTGCATGTAGTCGACCGCCTGGACATCAAGCCTGCATGTGACAACAACTACCACCTCATAAGGTATAAATGACTAGTTGCCTGCGTGAAGCAGTACCTATGGCCATCTAATGCATTAACCTGAATTGCTATCCCTCGAAAACTTGAAATTCCATAGCTTGCGCATGCGACATAGGTACTATATCATACTTTCGTCGATGTTTTGCGATGGAGTTGTGTAACGTGGAACGATCCCGACGTGCTGGGAACCGGGTGGCCTGATGTTTGTAGTTTGCGTCTTCTGGGAAATCCCTGGGCCATGTGAACGTGGCAGCGTTTATCTCCTGGAACGAACGCGGAGCTAAGAAAAAAAAATAACAGTCTATTCTGACTGGGCAATGGCAGCCTCGCTATTCGTGATGTAAGCTGTACAGTCTGTGAAGCTTTAGGTGCAGTAGGAGCAGAGCATGTATACCGGCATCATGTGCTACTTCAGAAGATGTCACAACTGTCCAGAATGGGGGTCTGGAGTGGTACGCGCTTTGCTGCTAAAAGTTAGGACGATCGCGTAGGGAAAGAAAAATGGTTAGTTTCCGTTGCATGTCACCCGAGCTTAGTCCAACCACCCTCGTTGCATCTCGAAACATCATTGGGGGCGGAAAATAAATCCCCACAATTTGGTACGCCCAAGATTCTGCCGGATTTAGTCTATAGGGCAGAAGAACCCCTTTGGTATCGAATGAACACACCTCACACCAGAGAGGGGAGGGTGTTGAATGTGATGCGTAAAACGCTGCCAGATCCGATTATCCGGAAGAACGACACATACGTCGATTAGCGAAGCCAGTGGGGCCGGAGGATTAGGCTCACATGCAGCAGGCCAAGCATAAGGTATCTACATCGACACCTCTTGGAAGTCTTGCCTGCCCAATCGCATGCAGGGCGATAAAGTGTGTCACCATCGCGTAATACATGGACCGTGGTTCACATAAAGGCTGTCATGGGATTGACGCGGCTGAGTCTTAGAAGGTGTACCTAGTGTGCGCGTGCATCACGGCCCCCTCGCATGCAGGTGTTGTTCGCGACGTCATGCCGGTCCTGCCGGTCGAAGTTTTGGAGTGACGGCGTACAGAACCACTCCATCGGTCGATGCGAGGCCTAGACTATAAAACCTAGGCCAATTGGATCTACGTAAAAGGCTGAAATCTGACGATGGGCTGCGGCTGAAGTTCAGCGAGGATGAGATAGAGGGGTGGGTGATCGGCGGAAGGATGGGGAGGCTAGCGGCGCCATCCCCACATGGCTTCATCCGGGGCTCCACTCGACGCGTGCGAAGATCAACCACTATCGTCATGCTTCCGCAACTCGCAGCCACGGCGGGATGAATGCGGTCTGCTGCCCGACACAGGTCCTCTCATTGATAACACACACACTACTCAGCTCAGCCATGCGCTTCACTCAGGCATCCTTCGCAGCGCTCTCTCAGCCGCCAATCCCACCATGAACATCAATCAGCCTTCGGAGAAGTACATTGTATTTCCCGGGAGGAGGAAGAAGAGTGCCGGCCCCAATGGTGATGTAGAGAACCAAGCCCCCCAACGACGGGATCGAAGGCTTCGCGGCATAAGCTGGATGCCGAACAGCGTCAGGAACCACTTCATCGCCATGCTGGGAGAGTTCGTTGGAACTTTCATGTTTCTCTTCTTTGCCTTTTCGGCAACGCAAATAGCGAATAATTCTGCCTCCAGCAGCTCTACTACTGGCATTCCCAACACCTCCGACCTCCTCTACGTCGCATTGGGCTTCGGCTTCTCCCTCGCCGTCAATGTCTGGGCCTTCTTCCGTATTAGCGGAGGGCTCTTTAATCCCGCAGTAAATTCCCATGTTATTACTCTCTCTTCAAATTTCCAACTGATTCCTTGCTAGGTCACGCTGGGAATGTGCCTCATCGGCGCCGTCGGCTGGTTTCGAGGCGGCCTCATCTTCGTAACCCAGCTGGTCGCGGGTATCGCGTCTGCCGGTATCGTATCGTGTCTCTTCCCCGGCACCCTCAGCGTGCGCACACAATTGAGGGGCACGTCGGTCGTGCGGGGTCTCTTCATCGAGATGTTCCTCACGGCCATGCTGGTCTTCACTGTCTTCATGCTCGCGGCAGAGAAGCACAAGGGCACTTTCCTCGCGCCCATTGGCATCGGTTTGGCCATGTTCATCGCTGAACTATCAGGTCAGTGCGAAAGAACATTTATGAAGGAACTGGAGAAAAAGAGAGCACCCAACTGACCGAGCTACCACCCACAGGCGTCTACTTCACCGGCGGCAGCCTGAACCCGGCGCGCTCCTTCGGCCCGGACGTCATCATGCACACGTTCGACGGCTACCACTGGATCTACTGGGTCGGGCCGGCCCTCGGCTCGCTCCTCGCCGTCGTCCTGTACCGGCTGATCAAAACGCTCGAGTACGAGACGGCCAACCCGGGCCAGGACTTCGACGAGAACGAGACCGAAGCCTTCCACCCCGGCGACGACCCCACGCCCGAAGACGTCCGGCGCCCGCAAGTCTACGGCGTATCCTCAGGTGAGTCCTAACCCCCGTATATACAAACCACAGTTGGGCAGCACACCCCCTCTCCCTCTGTCTTTTGTGTTTGTTTGATATTGAAACACTGTGCACACCCCCCCTTGCGAGCTTACACCCGCTTTTCTTCCCCTTCTCCAAAACCGCCAGCCGACGAGCCCGCCCCTGCAACAGATCAACTCCAAGCCATCGCCTCCCGCGACGGCGCCACAACCTCCTACTCCGCGCATTCCCACGACCCCCTCCACAAGAACAACAGCCTCATGGGCCCCGCCTCGTCCGCTGGCGGCACGCCCCGCGCCCCTTCAACCGGCGTTTTCGCTGCTGGTGCTGGTGCCGGCGCTGGCCTCGCTCTTGCGAATAAGAACCACCAGCAACAGCAACAGCAGAATCAGCAGCACTACCACCACAAGCAAGACAGCCACCAGGACCACAGCAACGCCGCCACGACCACCAACGGCGCGGCGGAGATGCAGGAAAAGCAGTCCGCGCAGCACCACGCCCTCCGCTCCTCCAGCGCCAGCGCCGACGACGAGGCGACGAGCAGCAGCAGCGGAGGCCGTGCCGGAGCCGGAGTCGGCGGTGGTGGCGGTGGTGGTGCCGGTGGTGCTCTCGCCCTGCACCCGCCTCCGCCACCTCCCGCCATCACGACGACGACGACGGCGTCAGCGCTGCAGTATCCGCAGGCGCAGCCGCCGACACACTCACACTCGCAGTCGCAGTCGCAGCAGAACAACAGCAACAGCCACCAGCACCACCAGCACTCGTACTCGTACACGCAGGAGAACCAGCAGCAGCACCAGCAGCACCAGCAGACGACATCGAAGACGTCGAAGACAACGACGGCAACGACAGACGACCCGCCGTCGCTGCCGCACCCGGTGCTGGCGAACGGGTACCACCACCACCACGCCAACGACAGCGACGGGTCGTTTCAGGAGATCGGGCGGGGCGGCGTGATTAGCGGGCACCGGCACTTCCCGCATGATCGGGCGTGGTATCAGGGGGAGGATGATGAGGATGGGGATGGGGAGGGGTGGGAGGTGAGGAAGGAGGTGAAGGTGTGAGTGGTGTTGGTGGTGGGGGTTGGGGGGGTTTCGGGGGGTTTTCGGGGGTGGTGGATTGATTTTCTTTCCTTCTTCTTCTTTCCCGATTTGCCTAACTCTGTCTCATTTAACGTCTTTTTTTTTTTTACACGCACGTGCTGGCGAAAACTATTGTTGATTCGCGGACGAGGGTAAGGTGTGCTAGTTTTGAGGGTTAACTTACGAAACGGCTGGTAAAGGACAAACGGGAAAGTTAAAGAGTTTGAAATACAAATCAAAACGATTTAATGTTTAATGGAAAGTCCACTCAGCCCAAGTCACAAACGGACGAATGACGAAGTTCACGCTTCAGCATCACTCACTCTGTCAGCCCTCGCGCCAACTCCAACATGGTGAAAGGTGAACCCCAGAAGAAATACATTTTAGTGAGCCAGACGAAGGCGCGCAAATCTCTACTACGCGTGATAAGGTTGTTCTCTAAAAATGAAGCGTCAAACAAAAAAGACTCACAAACCTCGCTCTCTTTATCAGGCTCGATGGTATCAGTAAAGCCCCCCAAACGCCACGCTAAACCAGCCGTCTTGAAAACACCCAGGAACGAAAACAAACGACTGTCTTCTCAGACAGTCTCTCTGAAGCAATGCCGCCGATAGCAGGAAAAAGGATAGACAGAAGGTTTAGAAGAACTTCCGGAGGATCATGAACGCCAGGGCTCCGAGGACACCGTAGATGGCCTTGTCGATCCAGGCCGGCACACCGTCGTCAAGCGGCCGCTGCTGCTGGCGCAGAGCCGGAGCAGCAGCAGCCGGCACGGTACGCGTCGGCGCAGGGACAGCAGGGGCGCCAGGCGCGGCAGCTCTCGGCGGCGCCGGCGCAGCGGCCGTCGTGGTCGTAGTAGTAGTCGGGGCTTGAGTCGGCGGGGCTGCAGCAACTGGTTCGGTCCTCGGCGGCGTCGCGGCTGACAACATAGGCGCGTCATTCTCTCCTCCCGTCTTCTCCGCCGCCGCCGCGGACGAGCTCGCCTGCGCCTTCTCGCCCTCCTCCTCTTTGGCCAAATCCTCCCTATACGCCAACCTCAGCTCCTCCGGCACCGCCTCTTCCTCCTGCTTCCCCTCCCCCTCCGCCTCCCTCGCCAACTCCTCCCTCTCCCTCATAATCTCCGCATTCGACCTGCCCCCACACGCCGCACACCTATACGCCCCACTCTCCGCCGCCATCTTCCTCCTTGCGACCTCCGTACTATCGATCCCGCCCACCTGCCCCTTCGCATCCGTATCCATAAAGCTCCTTATCGCGACGAGCGCCGTGCGTATGCCCCAGGCGGGCTGCCACGTCTCTTCGTGGTGGCCCGAGATGGACAGGCAGATCTCGCGGTTGACCTCGAAGCGGCCCGTCGGCGTGACGAAGCGGAACGACGGCGGGCGGAGCGGGTACTGCGCGGGCAGGATGATGCGGCCGTGGTAGAGGCCGCCCGCGTAGGGGGAGGGCGCGGGCGGACCGCGCAGCGTGAAGTGCCATTCGAAGAGGTTGTCTTCGAGGGGTTCGGCGTGGTAGTCGGGGGAGGCGTGGGAGGCGAGTTCGGCGGCTTCTTTGACTGTGGGGTGCGTGGGGGGTTAGTGGTGGGTGGGTGGGTTGCGCGGGTGGGAGGGTGGTGGTTGGTGAGGTCGCGGGTCGGTCGGGTGGGGAGGAGCGAGCGAGGAAGAGCGGCAGGAATGCAAGGGCGGGAACGTACGGATGCGCTTGATGGTGGGGTTCTTGGTGTTGAATTGGCCGCGCGTCGTCATTTTGGGCGGGATTGGGGGTGCAGGAGCGGCAGCGGATGGGTGTGTTCAGGACATGCGCCGAGAGGATGAGAGGTTTAGAATATGGATGCACGTAGCTGAAAGCGGGCTGCAACGTGGAGGTTCCGAGCTTGTGACGGAGCTGACGTCGGCGCTTCCGCAGCTTCTGCGGTCGGCGGAAGGTGCCAGCGTGGTAGGCTCATCTCGTCCGCCGTACTCGTTTCAATGACCTCGCCTTTTTTGTGCCACCACACCTCTTCTCGCTGGTCTGTCCGCGCTGATCGCAAGGCTGAATCTCAGCCTCACTCAGTCTCAAAACCCCCACCCAGGTGCACTATGCGCCCTTTCAACTCAAGAACGTTCATGCGTCATCGCATGCCGCCAAAGATTCCATTTTACATACCCTGGCAGTGCAGTTTTTTGGCCTTGGAAAACTGCTTTCGTAAGCTCCTTTGCTTGTAAATTTAGACCGTTCTACACATTCTGTGGCTCTCCTTCGCGTGCTAGGTATCAATATGTGTTGCGATGTTCGAAATGCTCATGAAATTGCAGCTTGAGCCGCGCTGCCTTCTGGTGCAAGGCTTACTGGTCGGCAAGGAAAGGTTCATGCCGCTACGCTGGCCGGAGGCTCATTCAACTGGAACCAGTGCTCAGAAATGGTGGCTGACTGACTGGTGCCCGACAAATGCTCAGAACACGCCACGTCTACCAGCGTGGCAGCAAGGCTCCACCGTGGGTCTGACAAACGATTGGCTCTCATGAGTGGACAGCAACCTCGCCCTTTCACATAGAGCAGGGGTTGCGTAAAAGCAGCGAAGTTCTCTTGGCAGCTGTCTATGAATCTACCGCTGTCCCCGAGGCGATCTCAGCACCTACTCGCCTTTCCTCCCAGCGCCACCGCCAATCACGTCGCACTTCAGCCTCGCTGCCGCTTTTACTCACCCCTCCACACTTCCGCCCCGATACGGTCACGCAAAGACGACAACCTTGCGCTAGCTCGCCCTTCTCTTTGCTAATCGTCGGGCCGCGATGGAGAAATCCTGGTCGGTTTTTTTTTTAGCACTGACAATGAAAAAGGGCGGAGAGATCGCAACACTGTCAGCAACAGGGGTTTCGTGATGACTTGCCGATCAACCCAGATGCAGATCTGCCCTTCAACCCACATGCCGATCCAATTACCGATGTACGTGCTGCGTCAGGATACGTATTTGAATCAATCGGGAACTCTTCGATCCTTGTAACTTCCGGCTTCCCTTCCGAGCAGTCCACCGGCGGTTTAAACCTTTGGCCGTATTGCCCAGCCGATCTTGAAACGGTAACGCCAGTCACAAGCCGCACGCTCAATTCTAATGGCCTTTCTCAATCCGGCATCACGACATTTGGCTACCACAACGACGTTCAGTCTATGGGTCAAAGTTCTGCTACTGTCTACCCTCCACTGCCAGGACTCCTGTCGGACCAATCTACCACCAATGACTGGGCTAACGTGTCAATGCCCGAAGCCACGTCCGGGCTCAATACTGCGATGGTCGAGGGCATTGATGAGTTTGCGCATGGGGACCTACAGGGTTTCCTTGGATACCCGGCTCCTAACTTCGACTCCACGGATACCATCGATCCCAATCGACTACACCATGAGCCGCTGAACAGCTTTGCCCCAACTCAGGCTACCAAAGTCAAAGAACAGGATACAGCCTTGCCATTACCCCTTCGGCAGCATCAAAGTTCAGGCTCGACGAACACGAACGTCTCATCACCATACCGTTGCGCGACTTGCGGCCTCGGCTTCAAATACAATTACGAGCTCCGTATGCATTCGTCGGCCGAGCATCATGCATGGGCTTGCCCTATTCTCAGCTGCGACTTCACATTTCAGCGCCAAACTGACATCCAATTTCACGTTCGCCTCGTACATTCCGAGCTTCGTGCATGCAATCAGTGCAAGTCAGTATTCTCAGGCTTTACTAACCTTGGAATACACGCGTCTGAAACTGGCCATGCGTCTTTCTTCTGTCCAGAGGAAGGTTGTGAGAAGGCCTACTCTCGATTCGATGTCTTCCAACGACACCAGGACACCCATCGCTCCAATGTCCGACGCTTTCCATGCCAACACTGCAGGAAATACCGTGGAGCCAATGGCTTCAAGCGCAAAGACCACCTGACCCAACATTTGCGGAACTACCACCATATCGGAGTGGATGATGTCTCTGGCAATTCTCGGTCCTGTCCACACGACGACTGCCCAGAGTGGAGGTCGGCGGGCACTCAAGGCGATCAACATGCCTTCCAGAAGGGCTCCGATTACATCGCTCATATGAGGAAGGTTCATAAGGAATCAGAGTTCCCTTGCATGGAGCCAGGCTGCGACCGCACCGGGCCCAAGGGATACTTCCGGATGAGGGATTTTCAGAAGCACAAGCTCAAGGAACATGGGATTCCTATTGAGTGATGGAGTTCTTCTCGCTGCCGGTACGTATTGCCCGGAAAGTTAAACGATAATCAGCTAACTATTGCAATGTAGGGACTCTTCAAGGTTTATGTCGCATCCACGAAACATGTGGAAGCTTGGATCATCAGATTGTCAAATTTCGAATTTGTTGTTGGTTTTTGTTCCTTTCTGCTTGTTTTTTCTGCACTAAGATTTATCAACCGTAGAGGAAAAGGAACAAAAAAAACTGGAAAATGATTAAATCTTAGAAGCCAGTAACGAAACGATTTCGGACTATGTTGGCGTTAGGTAGCAATTTATGTTTTTTCCACTAAAACCTCTGGGCCGGTTCGTGGTTAGGGCAACTTCCGCCGTGCCTAACGTTCGTGCATCATTCTCATAATTCTACATGTCATCGTCGTTCTTCTTAAAACCGTTCCGCGGATGACTAAATAGCGGCACTATACTTCAGATCTCAGACGAGGCTTTGTCTTTCCATGATTTAGTGTTCGTTTCACAGTAGCTCTAAAATTAGTGAGAAAAGAGCGCTCAGATGATTCTTGTGAAGCTTTTTTTTCCTTTAGACAACAGCCCGTTGTTTTCACGTAGGCTTTGCCACTTCCCTTCTTGAGTCAGAGCCAATGATCTGCCTCGGAAGCGGTTGCCACTCATGCGGTTTCCCATTCCAATTATCATCAAGACAAAATTACAATCGTTCCATCAATTCTAAAAAAAAAATTTCTATGATTTTTCTAAGCATTACCCCATAAACGCAGGCATCATTAAATCTCGCGGCTATAAGTACCATACTAAATTTTCTACTTTGTACTTAAGGTTCTGTAAAAACTCATATCCATGACTTCGGCAGTTCAAGCGAATAGCCTACTCCCAGGCTCCTGCTTATCAGACGCAGGAAAGATGCAGGAAGCAGCTCGACTGCAGTGGCGGAACGTCGGCTGAACCTCTCAGTCAAAATTGGCAAGATCTTCGTGATGCGCCACCAGTTTGGACTTCAGCCGACGTTTAGTCGATGCAGCCGAGCTGCACAGTATGGGTTCAGACGTTCGACGTTCAACATGTCAGAGCACATAGCACACCAACTGCATTCCGAAGCTGTGCGGTATGGGTTCAGACGTTCGACCTTCAAGATGGCAGAGCACGTAGCGAACAGAGTTATTCACTTAGCAATTATGTGCATATGTTCTCGATATCGGACGCGTTCGGTTTTCCCTGCGAGTTCCGCTTTGCGGTTAGCCATTCTCCAATTACGTCATCGAACCGCTTGTATAACCGGAAATCTTCAGACATTCTGGACTTGCCTGTCACAAGGCTGCTCTACCAGAAGCAAGCAGTGGCTTCACAAAGGAAAGGACTAATCACTTTTTCCATGATCTCAGAGTTCAAATGATATTGATTGTCTTGAATGGTTCATTTCCTCCCATCATCTCGCCATCCATTATACCGTGAACATAAGCTTCACCGACAATGCACCAAGCTTCGGCCATACATCTACGTAACACGAGAGGTACGGAAGTACCCACAACAATCCAAACAAAGTCTCCAACCTGCATTCCGTGAGGCCCGATGCCCAAGTATCCTTCAGACGTTTTGAAGGCTTGCCTCCGACGGAGCTTACGGCGAGCAATTGCTGCATACCTGGCAGCCTTGACTTGGCTTGTACTTCCCCTCTCATCACCAACCAACGCTTGATAGCCAGCCCTCAGGTCTTCGGTTGCCCGCTCCGTTTCGTAGTTGTAGACTTGTCCCCGGTCGGCAATGGGCGTCTTCCATAATGCCTCGGCAACTTTCTCGTCCGTGTTGTAGATGGAGTTGGGTTCGTTTAACAGCTCATTTAAACCAGATAACCATATGGAGAGCTGGTGGTCTCGCCCCGTCTCATGATCGGCTCCAGTATCTTTATGCGGCAGAATACCGCCCAGCACGCTAACGTAATCGACACTGACTGCCGAAAGCGCGAGGCCGCCATTGAAACCGAAAGACCAATCCGCTACTGTCTGACCCATAGTTCCGCTGGCGCTGTAAGCGCTTTTCTTCCATCCGCCCCGGACCCTGAAAACGGATCCGATGCTCAACGGCCTGGGAAGATCTCCGGAAGCCCAGTTCGGCGCCCAGGATGGAGAAGCGGCGGTGAAGTCTTTTACAGAGCCCTGCAACCCGCAGAAAGACAGCATGTCCAACCCATAATACATCAAGCACTTCCTCGCAACCTCGACCCTTATCTCCCTCCACCCCTTAGAATAGTGCGGCCTGATATCAAGATACGCCGCATCGTTAGCCAAGCCCAGCAAGCCATACACAAAATCCCTCTCGTCCGAGGCCTCCAGCGGCGCGGCGTCGGTGTCCGTCGCCAGCATGCTAAGCAAGAGCAGCAGCGTCTGCTGGCCGCGGACCCAGGGAAAGCCGACGGTGGTGACGCTGCCGAGCTTCCTGGTCAGCGTCGTCGCCGCGACGGCCGACCTCTGCCCCGCGTGCGGCATGACGGCCTGCAGGTAGTCGCGGATGCCCATGAGGACCCAGCACGCGGTCCAGAAGTCCTCCCAGTCCAGCGCGTCCGGGCCGCAGGCCAGGAACGCCTTGCTCGACAACGCGACTTCCTGGATCACCCACACGCGCCGGAACCAGGGCCGGTCGAGGAGCGAGAAGATGGCGGAGAGCTTAGACGCTTGGTCGGTGCACAAGAAATACAGGATCCCGTCGAGCGACTTCTGCACGGCAATTTCGAACGTGTCCGCGGACGAGAAGCGGAATGAGGGCCACGAGTCGACGTGCTGCAGCGGCTCCGCGTAGCGCATCTCGGTGAGGTTGCGCAGGGTTTGGAAGGCGAGGGAGCTGTGGTCGCGGGATGGACCCAGCCAGACGCGGACGCTGCTCGCTCTTGCGAAAATTTGGCCCATGAGAGACACTTGCTGCGTCTTTTCCGCTTGGTCGGACTGGTTGATGCAGATGGCGTCGACCCACAGGCACATTTCCTTTGTTGAATATTGGTCCCGCAGTTCCAAGGCCAATTGGCGGAGGGCGGTCTGCAGGTTTACTGTGGCGGGGAATGGCCTCCCGTTTACTGATATTGGTTTTGTGATATTTGGGTCTCCCCAGACGTATGATAGGGCCGTGTACCGCAGGCCGCGGCCAAGTCGTGCATTTTCCAGGGTGCAGCGGATGACCGGTTCGTCTGCGGGGCCCTGTGGATGCTCCAGTGCCTGCAGGTATATGACGCGAATCTCATTATTTGACGTGTCGATAGGCTGGTATTCGAAAGGGAAATTCTCCTCGTCGTCCGTGTCAGATGTTGATGTCATCACGAAGATTAATTTTGTCCGCACCCGAGTCGCCGGTCACTGATCTGTTAAAATGAAGCTGTGGGGGTCTTTGTGCCCGTGGCTTTGGCCGTGCTTATGAGTTACCAGAGGTGTGTGGAGGTGGAACCGTCATGACGTTTACCGATGGTGTGGTGCGGTAGGTACAGCCGCCTGTGGCGGCGGGGTAAGCGCGTGCGGGAAGCGGAAAGTGGGGCCATGGGGGCCACAAAGAAAATAGCGCCTACGATTAACAAGATGGCAGCTTAATCTCTACAAGGCGACCTGAAAATTCAAGAGACATTGATTTAAATTATTCGATGAAATTGGATTATATATATAGCGGGCTAAAAATTAGAATCTGTACCATATACTCCGATGCTCCTAAGTCCATAGCGCGAGATGTTGAAGCAGAATGGTAACTCAGTTACTTTACAAGTTATTTAAATCTTTTTTGGCAGTTTACATACACCCGCAACTTTGAACGAACAAGTGATTCTCGGACGAATCCGCAACTCTCAGACATTAGCAACTTTCAAACGGACAGAAGAAAATTAAGTGACAAGTACACATGCGGAACAGCTCTATATACTTGCAGAAAATTATGAACTTGGGAGCCATCCTACGTTCTCCATCGGCCAGCGCAGCCAAAGCGTCTTGGAAGGCTCCATGGCGTCGTAGATTCCTGACAGGAGATGACTAGACCAGCCATGCATCATCCAACCTCGCTCCATTTGCTTGATCAGCACCACAAAGTAAGCAAACAGTGTCAAGGCCGCCGGTTGATGTTGTTGCAAGCGAAGGATGAAGTGGTCGGAAATATTGTGCATCCAGGCGAACACTTCCTTTGCATGCGTAGGAGCATGAGTTTGAGATCCATCAAATACAATAGAGAAACACATAGACAGCTGGTTAAGTGTCGTCACATATGTGGGCCAGTCAGGGTCTCCTGCCGTATGTCCAGCAAGTAATTGACGAAGATCTGCGATGGGCTCAGGTTCCAACGCTGGGTCAGACGCCGGGCTGAATTCGAAATTCTGCAATGCTGTACTCCAGATGATGGCAGCCGCGCCCCTGTGGACACTATCCACAGAAAAAACTTGAGATATCGAGCGAAGGCCTCGAAAGAAAATGAGCCATTCGGCGTTATCGCCGTTGCCGAAAAGAAGGAAATTTCCTGGCTTCGGGCCTCGAGCTAGTGTCTGGAAGCATGAAAGCATGGCAAAGACGTACAACGCGTGGCAATTATGTTCGCTGATGTCTGATAGAAGGGATGTTGCAGATCGCAAGGCAATATCCCAGTGCTCGTTTGCCTTCGGCAGGTAGTCGGTATTCTCCTTGAGATGCGCCATGTGAAGCGCTGAAACCGAGAGGGTAGCATGCAGCAGGAAAGGGTAATCAAAGCCGACCTCGACAACCGCACACCTCCAGAAATCCTGCGTGTCTTTCGAACGGCCAAATGTCGAGCAAGTGAAGGTGCAATAGTGATGAAACAGGATCGTGTCTTCTAGGTCCATGGAAAATGCTACTCTGTTGGGCTTGTCGCTGCTTGCAACGCAATTTTCAGCGGGTTTTGACTGCATTCCATGTTTTGACGGCTGGGGACTGTTTTTTGAGGCGTCTGGGCTGTGCTGATTGGAAGGCAGGGCAGTGGGGAATCGGCACCGAACGGCTCGGCTAATGCAAAACGAGCACGAGGGTTTTCCCTCGTCGCACTGAAAGCACATTTGTCAGAAGATATTGGTTAGCTAATGAGGGAGTTCACCGTACCTTTATGCGACGCCTTTTACATTCTACGCAGCCGAGACGGGATTTACGGTGTGATTTTCGTGGATTTGAGCGTCCAGTTTTGCCCTTTCTCGTTGAAGCCATTTCGTTCTTGTTAAGAGATGAACGGATTTGTTTTGACGTTATTCTTGTTCGGCTAGAGTTGGTCGGGCATGCATGTATATAAACGCCGTGCCAGGGGCGAATTCGGCCACTAAGCCAAATGGGTGAGGGGTGGCCGATGGTTGCCAAGAGTGGCTTAGACTTGCCCCATGAACAAATGATATACTGTGTACAAGGATTACCGCGTCTCTGGTTGACGGCCCCTTTCAAAGCGTGAGGGACGACGTCATCTGTAAATCGCCTTCCAGTCTGTAGCTGAACTCCACTGACATCGATTCAAAAGTCTAGGAGCAGTGAAACCAGTTGCCTAGCTGAGATTAAACGAACAGAAGCTCCAGGCTAAATCCCACATGCTAGATGCAATTCTTTAGATGCTTGGCAAATTAGGATTTTGCCAACTACGGTTGCGTAAAGCAGATTCTCTGGAGCGGAAAACACTCAACTTGTTAAATGATACATAGCGAAATACCATCCGTCCCATTCTCCGTCACCCATTGATATACATCCGGCATCGTCCTTTTCCGAGAAACTTCAAAACAAGGCCCAAGACTTCCCTGCCGAGGCTGGATGAGCGGCGCACCACTGGCCATTTGCACATACTCTTGAACGGCATACTCGCCGAGATACTGCCGTAGTTGATCGAACCAATCCTCCAAAGTGTACGAAAGACCGCCCCTCTGACGCTGGAGTATGTTGAGAACCAGAGTATCAAGGCTTAGCATGCCATCATACCTCTCTCGCATCTGGGCATCGACATTGGCAAAGTACAAAAAGCCTCTCCCATACGGCACCTTCTGCGCGCTGGGCGACTGCCACGCCTGCTCTTGCGCCTCCACATCCGTCAAGTTGACTGCAGGGCTGGTGTAGTACTGCTTGACAATCGCGTTGGCCTTTTTGACGTACTCAGCAGTGCTGATAAAGCCGTTCCGCCAAAGTAAGCGCGTCGAGTAGAACTCAGCCAGGCCTTCTACATACGTGGTAATGTTGGACACGGAGTCGGAGAGCGCGGGCCAGTTGTGTGTCATCTCGTGGGCAAGCAAGAAGTTGAGGTCCAGTGTGGAAACTTTGGTGTTGTGCCAGCCGAACATGAAGCTCCGGCTCACAGCGGTGCCACCGAGATAGTTGTTCTCGTTGTAGCGGATGAAGACGCGGTAGCCGTCGTCGCTGGTGTCGTCCCAGAAAGACGTCTGGACGTCCAGCAACCGCTGTATGAACGAAGCTACCGCAGTGGTGTTGAATGGCGGCTGCTGGAACCAGTACATTCCGAATTTGGATCCGACTGTGGTCTCGGGTGGGTAGCTGTCGATTCGGCCTACTGCGAAGAACGAGTACAGGAACGTGGTGATGTCGCCAACTTTGGTGACTGGGTCAGGCCCTTCACCCCAGCTCCACACACCCCGAGTCCACGAAGGGACGTTGGTAAAGTTCCATGACACTGTGACTGTGTAGTTGGTTGTCGTGTCCACAGGCCCAGGGACGAATGCTAACAGTGATCCGAGAAGGCCGTCGTCGTTGGTGCGCATGTCGAATAGAGGACCGCCGGGAATGGATTTGTTGAATACACGCGGGTACCCAGTGAAGCGGAGTGTGACGTCGCCGCTGGTTGAGCGAGCGGCATTCCAAAAGCGTATCTGCGTCATCGCTGACGCTTCACCGTCACTTGCTTCGAGAAGCAACGGGCCATTGCTGTCTCTTGCTTCCAGAGCACTGCCGTCGTATCTCTGCGTGGGAGCATCTGCAACATAAAGGGGCATTGCAACTAACGTCTGGTTGACGCTGACTTGGGGCGATGCAATGATAAGCTCGCCCGTCAGGCTGGAGAGCAATCCATTGGAAAAGTTTGGCGTCAGGGTCAAGTTTAGCGCTGGAGGAGACGCTTCTCCGCTGACTAAACCAGCCAGCAGAGAGTTGATGCACAAAGAGATGAGCTGAGCAATCCGCATGATGTGAGTCGAAAAGAGAGGCTTTGAAGAGCGTTGGAAGATGGTCGAGGTTCTTAGCTGTCGACAGCGAGTTTATGTATGTCTTCTAACGTATGCTCGTATTGCATGTATTTGACGTATTCCTTGTTGGCCGGATCTTTGAATGAGAATCACTTAAGCCGAGGGCCGATCGACAATTTAGCGCTCTCCGACTATTTAACGATGTTGGTGTGTTCGGCGTTTCCGACGTATTTAACGTATTCGACGTATCCGACGTAGTCAGCGTGTTTAATTTGCGTAGCGCAACCGACGCGCTTCAATGTTTACCCACGATGAAATAATATATCCATGCGATTTGAGATTGATGAGAAAAAGGTTCAGAAGCTTTTAGGCACAAGAAAATGTACAATATATAGACAATAACTATTCGAACTCTCCTAAACTGGATGACAGGGAAGAGCGTTGAGGGCCATTAAAAAAGGGGAAATTACTAAACCCAACACTTTTTTTTTTTTGCAAAACGGACCAAACCCAACTATCGCGATCTAAAAGTGTTGGGTTTGGTAATTTCCCCATTAAAAAATAGGCGGTGACATTTTATACATATCTATCTACATAGAAAAGATTTCTTATAATATTGGTAGACTACGAGGCTTTTGTAAGAAACTCTACTTCGAATATGTCGTTTACCTTCCGAAACGGCTGATTCTTTGCTTCGGATCCGAAATACGAAATTTGGCTCTCCTGGTTGATTTCTTCTCCAAAAGTACACTATTCTAATACATGTCTGTATATGCTAAGCGAGAGAGCTATCCTTGAACCGACGAGATGTCTGTATCAGCTCAAACCCATTGTCTGAAGACATTTTCCCTCTAAGCAACGCACCAATCTCACCCGGATGAGACCAGCTCAGCCCTGTCATGACCAGTAACATAGTTGATGCACCAAACCCGTAAAGAAATGCTTCCTGCCGGACAATGTAACCAGCCTGCCCTTGGACGAACTCAATGACCCGAAAAACGCTGCGGACCAGGATAAGAATGCTCACCCCGTACAGTGTTACAAGGTAGTATTCCCACCGACACTGGAGGAGCAGTGCTTCCGAAGTAGGGTGACGCTTCATCCGTCGGTGGAATTGTGCAGCCACTATGATGAATAGGACGAAAAAGACCAGCTGGATGGCGAGGCCGCCAATAATGACTTTCTCCCCGGCCTTTTCCTCTCGCAGGATTCGAGCTACTACCCGATTCCATGCTCCCTCCTACGAAAAGACATTAGAAATATTTCTTAAGTATCATGAAATGTGTCTGACATACCCATCGACTGCACCACAAAAGAGAGAACATCGCCGAATACAAACAACTTGGTAAGCCACCGTCGTCCGATTATAGAATACGACTCCCCATTGGTTAGAGTGATAACGCGGCCCAGAATCATGTATATAGATGCAGCAAAAAGTGCAGGCGGGAGGAGAAGGAGTAGGCTCTGCAAAATGAACGGCGGTAAGGACCAGCAACGGTAGTCTTCGGAGGCTGAAATGGCCCGGGCTGTGTATCCAAAGATTTCAACTGCAACAATATTAGTAGCGCAGTCATAATACAGATTTCCAAAAGTAGTCCTTACAGATGCCGCCAACGATGAAGGCTGTCATGAACCATGCCCTAGAAAGGCACATCTGGGCAAGATGTAGGACAGTTAACAACCCGAACAAAACAACAAAGACGATAGCTGCAACGAAGGACGGCTGGTAGTCGTAGAGCATGAAATATTTGCAAGTAGCCATTTTGAGGAGGTCTGACTTCGATTTCGCTCTGTAGAAATAGTGTTTTTTAGATACTTATACTTAAGAGTACCAACCGTATTTAACGCCAACGTATCCAACGTATTCGACGTATTCAACGTATTTGACTTATCCAACGTATACACCTCGCTAAGCTTTGATAGGAACGGCCTTCATGCTCCACTCTGGGCCACACACATTCAAGTCAAGGATACGAGGTTATATCATCTGTGAGCCAGAATAAGTCTCACGACTGGCATTGGCGAACCAGGATAGGTGCGAAACAATAAATTTCTAAGCTAAAGAGAAGAGTCTGCCGGAACACAGAACCTAGACATTTGCCGAGATTCGCATTCGAAAAAAAATTACTGATTGCGGCGCAAGTCTGAGATGAAAAGTAGAAGCTCTAAAAAAAGTAAGAAAAGAAGGAAGACAGGACATTAACACCTCTCCAACACCTCTCATTTCTCAACATCTCTTCTCATTTCCTCCTGCCCCGCCCTCACGAAGTCTTTCAAACTCTCAAACTCCCTCTCCAACTGCTCCAGCCGTCCCTGCATCCCAGAAACCAACGCATCCTGCTCACCCCGAGCCTCCGCAACTCCCAGCTCCGATTCCACAGTCTCTTCCCGCACCAGCTGCCCTGATCCATCAGCACCAGAAACATCGCCACCGCCGCCGCTCCCTCCATCACCAGCCACACCCGTCCCCACATCCACCCCCAATCCCATCCCCAACCCCCCCTCCCCCTGCCTCGGCGCCGACGTCGGCCCTCCACCCGCACCCTGGCTATGCCCATCCGGCCCGAACCACCTCACCCCCGCCGCCGCCACGCCCCTCCTCTTCCCCGCCATCATCATCGCCGCCGCTGCCCTCTCCACCCCCCGCACCGACGACGGCGGGAACAGCGAAGAAGAAGAAGAAGAAGGACGGTATGATGTAGGAGCAGTGGCAGCGCGCGCAAAAGCACCCTGCTGCACCGCCGCCGGCGTCCGGCCGGGCGACGGGTACGGCGCTTGTCTGTTGCCGCCCCTGTTGTTCTCGCCGAAGAGTGTAGTACGGCTGCTGGGCGCGGTGTTGCTGCGGCGTCTGGTGGATTGTGTTGCTGGGTGCGGGTGCGGGTGCGGGTGCGGCGAGTGGTGATGAGCGGCGGGGCTGAATGGGGCGGCAGGGCTGAAAACCGGTCGAAAGAGCGGCGGCGGCGTTGGGCTGGATTCGATTGTTGATGCTGCTGCTGCTGGTGGACGGATTGTCGTCGACGCGGGGCGGAAGGGGTGGGGAGGGGCGGGGGGAGGGGTGAATGTGGATGCTGTTGGGCTGCATGGCGGCGGCGTTATGGGCGTGCCGATGGGGACGGAGCCGCGGGTCAAGAGGCCGATGTTTGGGTTTGAGTGCTGGTGCTGGTGGGGGTGGTGGGGTTGTTGTTGATGCTGGATGTGTTGTTGCTGAAGTTGTCGAAGATGCTGTTGCTGTTGTTGTATCAGCAGTTGCCGGTGTTGCTGGGCATTTTGCATGTGCTGAATCTGTTGCTGTTGCTGCTGACGCTGCTGGTCGAGCAGTTGGTAGTCCTGCGCGTTTGGAGCTATGTGTGCACCAGGAGGATAGGGGTGGCGTATGCGCGGCGGGCCGAGGTAGTGGCCTGTTTGGCGGTGGAAGGTGACTTCGCCTTGAGTTGGTCCTGGGGACTGCTGAAGCGCCTGTTGCTGAAGCGCTGGAGGATACGGATGCTGGTTGGAGGGGGGAGGCGTCGGAAAAGGCGCATGCTGATAGTTCAGGGATCCAACAGGCTGTGGACTTTGGCTCTGCGCTGGGATCAGAGCCTGAGGATGCGAGTACGTATGCTGATGTCCTTGTCGGACGTGCTGGGGCGATGAGGTGGGCAACCCATGGGGGATCTGCTCGCTGGAACCTGAGGGCTGGCCGACGAGAGGGAAGCCCTCAGGACTAGCATCCAGCTCGGTAAAAGCTTCGTCATGCATGTTATGGATTCTGGAGTAGCGACGGGCAACCGGCGCCGGCAACGACTGTAGGCCCGGCGTGGGCGGGCAAGAAATCGAGGTGCTGCCGATGTCGTCGTTGAAGGGATAGAAGGGGGAAGATGCGGCTGATGCCAGTCCACAATCACTGCCGGAGAAGTCTGTCACCGGGCCGGGCGAGCTGAGGGTAGAGGGGTTGATCGTCTCAAAGGGAGGTGGCGTTGTACAATTAGCAAGCAGAAGGGCACCAAGTTGATCATCCGTGAGGTCGAGTGTAGAAGTTTGTTGGTATTCCGGCTTGAGCACTGGTGAAGCCGATGGTGGGGTTTGCTGTTGAGAGAAGGATGGCACAGGGACGAAGAGATTGGTGGTGTCGTTTGCGCTGCTCTGGCCGGGGCTCGTGGTTGGGATGGCGGCCAAAGGCATGCGGTCCAGCTCGTCGTCGTGCATAGTTTGAGAGACGCTCGGTTTCTGGCCCTGCAAACCTGGTAAACCAAAATAAGAACAGGAAAGAATAAATGAAGGCGAGCATATGACTTGACGGTTGTTTGATGGAAACAGCTGAGAAGCCGATAGAAATAGGAGATTGTTGTCTCTCCTTCAAGCAGGCAGGATTCATCTGAGCCCAAGACAAACGCGCTGATTCTGCCTGATGGCGCGCTGGAACCCGCCGGTCTGAGTTGCTGGCAAGATGGCGTTGGTCGGGACACTGACCGGTCCATGTTTGGTCTCGGGTAACTGCAGAACTTCATCCGCATTGACGTTTTGTTGTCTGGTCAGGCACGTCGCACAGATTAACATCTGAGCCCGAAAGTAGGCCGTAGGGCTGAAGCATTCTGGAAGTCGAAGCTGTGGCGTCATTTCAGCAAGGCACCGATAACACCCATGCACTTGCGATCATCCAGCCACGGGGAAATTGCCTTTTGTGGCGCTTCCGAGCTAACGCAGGGGTTTCACGCAACGCGGCTGCATGCATTGACAGGGCGGTATGACCTCTTGCCTTGTAACCCCGCAATCTTGATAACAAGTGATCTGTGCAATTTGTGCCACCCACCATCTTTAAATGATTGGAGCGGATGCAATGTATATCGTGCATACTACAAGTATTTACCTGATGAGCGATGGATCATCCGATAAGGAGCGTGGCGAATAAATGCAGGTAAGCGAAAGAGTTGACCGGTCGTAAATGATATCATTGCGCAATCTAACCAAGCTATATACAAAAGGCTTGTACATAGAGAAAAGAAGAAAGGAAAATAGTTTATGCTCGGCATCGCTCCCAAAAGGAGGTGAGCATCTTGTCAAGAATTTTGCAGCCCAGAAAATGACCGGTGATGCATTTAGCAGCCAGCGTAGATAGCTGTAAAGAAGTGTTAGCAAAGGTGAACAGCAAATGGCAATTGGACAAGGATGAGACATACCGTTGGCATACAGAGCATAGGTGTCAGCGTTGTTGAGAGCCTGGCTGGCGCTGAGAGCAGTGGCAGCGCTGTAGCCGTAGCCGAGGTCATCAGTGCCCTTGATCTCAGTAAGGTGAGTAGCCTCGTGGAGAGTAGTGGTGGCCTGGTCCTGGGAGTGGCAAGAGCTGGTAAGAGCAGGGAGAGCGCTGTAGTACAGGGGGCAGTTGACGACGATGGACAGCGAGGGGATGGTGTAGGCCAGGACGTTGCTCTCGCAGTAGCCGTAGACGTCAGTGCAGTAGTAGTCCGAGGCACCGCTGGTGGTGCTGCCGCACTCGGAAGCGACCTTGGAGAAGGTGGCGGCGACGGCGCTGCGGGTGCTGGAAGAGGTGGTCTTGAAGTACTCGGAGAACTTGCTGGAGGAGCCGGAGGAAGCGGCCGACGAGGCAGCAAGAGCGAGGCTGCGGCAGTTGGAGAGGGCAGTGCGGGTAGAAGTGCCGCGGGTGCCGGTGCAGTCGGACTGGACGGCAGCACGCTTGCTGAAGTCACGGCGGACCTTGGAGGCCTCGGCGCCGTTGACATTGGCGCTGATCTTGTTGCTCAGGTAGGACAGAGCGCCGGTGAGCTCGGTCGAGTCAGCCTCAGCGTAGGGGATGGCACCCTGGGTGAGGATATCGAAAGCACCACCGGTGCTCAGGTCGTGAGTGGTGCCGAGGTCGAAGGTGACTTCGATGGTCTCACCAGCAGCGAGGCTCTGGAAAGCATCCTCGCTGAGGCTGCTGGTCAGGGTGCGGAGGCGAACACCCTCGAAGCTGACACGGTTCTCTGGATTGTGTTAGTCATGGATTGCAGGGATCATAATGATGGACTTACCAGCAGAGTAGATCTCAGCCTTCTCAACCGCGGCAGAGTCCAAGAAGGAACCGGCCTTGTAGAGCTTGAGGGCAGAGGCACCGGTGTTGGTGACGGTGGCCTTGACCTCGGTGTTGCCGACCATCTCAAGCTTGACATCCAGGGGAGAGTCGCGCTTGTTCAGGTTGAGGGAGACAGCGCTGACCGCGGTGGCCAGGGTGGCAATGGAAAGACCAGTGAAGAACTTCATCTTGGACGGTGGATGAGTGATTAAGCGGAAGAGTAGGCGAGGCTCTGACTGAGTGATCTGGGCTGCTTGATGCTGCTGATGGTGTCACCTGGAGGAAACATGGCGCCTCTTTATAGTGTTTGCGAGCTGTGTGGATGGTAAGTGAGTCCTGATCAGGCGGCTCGACCGGCTTTGGAGCCAAGCGCAAAAGAGCAGTCGGATAGTATGTGTGGAGACGATCATCTGTGGCAAGATAGCAGCTGCAGTGTAAAACTCGCGACCATGAGAGCGGGAAGGTTGGGTTAGACCCATGACACGGAGCGGGGATCATGGCCGTTGGACGCCTTAATCTCCAGGGAAAGTCATGCATGGACTTGGTGGCGGGGAACAACAAACGGCGACTTGAGAACTGTTACATTTCTTAGATGGATAGAGATTTATGGTGGTTTATAGGTGTTGTTCGTATAATTGCTGATGCCATGGCCAGTCAAGAGGCATTGGCAGGCCTTCTTTTCCCTTGGCTACGTATTGGCGAGGACAAGAGTTCTTGGTGATAGTGGAGCGCGGAGGTACAGATTAGCGACGGGGTTGAGGAGCTTTGGGCGTAGCTCGGTGCAATGGCCGTCGATCCGAGAACCCGATAGAGGCAAGAACGGAAGACGGCGCGAGGAAACGGTAATGTTTGTGCGGGTGAAACGCTGACATAACGGCATGCCACGGCCTATAGCGGTGCAACATGGGTAGATAAGAGCAGGCTTCATGGGGGCTGTGGTTGGTGAGAAGAGGCCGGGAGCAGGGCCGGGATGAACAAAAAGGTTGCCGCATGAGGAAGGAGGGGCAGGTGTAGACAAGGACCGGGAGGGTCGTGGGCGGACCTCGCGCGATGCGATGGCTTGGCGGGCGGCATTGTGAGCAGATGGCGGGCCGGAAAACAGAGATGCAGGAGATAAATGGTGTTGGTTGGGCGGAGCGAGTAGCGAAGCCTTGTGGACGGAGCTTGGCATGCGCTCTTGCCTGTTCCGGATTCGTTCCCGCACACCTCGTGAGCTCCGAACCACTCTTTCCTCTATCACCACCACACGCCACCGACGCTCACTGCCATGTTCACAGCCTCGGTGCGACCGCACTGCCAACCGCCTGCCCAAATCAAGGACGCTTGAGCCACTCACCTCAACCTCTGTATCTGGCCTGCAATATGCCCAACTTATCCGCGCGAATCACTGCGCGGAGCCAAGCGATTTGACTCCGTCTTGGCATCTTGGCTGCGATAGAAGACCAGCCTCGACAGGCAGCTCCAATATGCAAGCCGAGCCGGTCGCCGCCTTTCTCTCCGGCACTTCGTATTCGCTGCCAACCTTTCATGCGCTCCGTCGGCCCTGTCCGATGTTTCACTGGTTCCCCTCTTCTGTGGGCCTGCTACCTCACCTTCCCTTTTTGTCTACTTCCTGCGCACGGGCCCCATCTTATACCTATTGCATGCTGTTCTTTTTTTATTGTTTACCTACTTCCATGCCTTCTATTACCTGCTCTTTTAGCCCGTTCCTGCGTCACTCCGCAGCCTCGCTTCACCCCAACCCACGTCTTATCTCGACCTCGCCCACGTCTTAAGCGCTTCTTCTCTTGGCGCCCAGCCTGCGTCCGCCAGCATTATCAGCCCCGCCCATCTCTTTGCTGGCACATCGCTTAAGGAGGTTTTCCCCAGAAGGCTTGGTAGCGCCACCGTCCAAATTTCTCCTCAAGGACATAATTCCATTCCCAGCTAGCTACACGTCATCCGAAAGCCCAGAACTTGAGACCTCGTCGCTTCATCGAACGTCACGGAACACACGGCTGGCTGTTGTTGCCAAGCGCGGCTAGCTTAGGCCTGCCTCTTCGCTCACCCCTCAAAAACCGAGGCAAATAGGAATCCCCCGAACACGGGACAATCTCGATCACCGTAAGTCTGCTGGTTTCCAAACATCTATCATCACTTTCGCACTGCCTAACCCGGAAGCTGAATAGTCTTCACATCCGACAAGCCGGCAACAAGCAATACAAACAACCGACACTCGTCGGAGACCACCGCCTCCCGCCTCAAACCTGCAAGTCACGCAAGCCTCTGGCCACCGCCCTGGGTGACGGGTACTCGACATATCCCCAACTCAAAGCACTTCCGGTGCACCTCAATCTCCTCAATCAATCATCAAACCATCAGCATCATCCACCGTCCTGCACAGCACACCCACCCATGAGCATCCTGAGCAGCCGCCCCTACCTCACCGCCTTCCTCACCCTCTTCGCCCTCACCAGCTACTACTACTACACCGCCACCTGCGTCACATCCACCAAAAACACCATCACCATGGCCGCCACCCCCGACCTCCTCTCCCACCTCCACGTCTCCGCCACTCAATCCTCCACCAACCCCCCCATCCTCACCCTCACCCTCAAAAACACCCACCCCTCCACCGCCATCACCCTGCTCAACTGGGAATCCCCGCTCGACCCCCTCGCCCTCCAGCTCGGCCTCGTCTCCGTCTACCCACTTGAGGGGGACGAGCCCCTCCCGCTGGCCACTATCCAGGTCAGCCGCAAGTTGCCGCCCGGCCGCGACCAGCTCGTCGCGCTGCAGCCCGGCGAGAGCAGGGCGCAGGAGGTCACGCTGCGCGAGCCCGTCGTGCCGTTTAAGAAGGTGGCGGAGGGGCCGGACGGGAAGAAGAAGGTGCGGGTTGTGTGTCGGGGCAGGTGGAAGGCGGTGTGGGTGGCGGCGGGTGTGGAGGAGGTGGGGGACAGTGCGTTGGAGAAGATGGAGGCGGATGAGGGGGCGGTGGGGGGGCAGTGGGAGGCGGAGGGGGTGGAGGTGGAGGTTTGAGGGGGGGATTGACGGGTTGAGTTGGGGAGGAGGGAGAAGTGGAGGGTTGTGGGTTTTGAGGGGGAGTAGTTTTGGAAGGGATTGTGAGAGGTTCACGCTCGTTTGAATGAGGATATGTAAGACACGACTGTCATGTATGTTATCAACACTGTATCTATCAAGTCAAGCCGCTCTTTATGATTTCAAAGATCATGCATAGAGGACACTATTGCACTTGACCACTTTTTCTTCCTATCTACCCGTGTTGGTTCATCCGTTATCATTATCTCAAGCTTTTGGGCGCCAGTCCTTCCGGTGAATGTGGAATGAATAATAACTCATTCGGCTTCAAGCCTCATTGGCAAATGCGGTGCGGGGAAACTTTACTGAGATCTGCTGACTGTTTCCCTTTCTTCTTAAACTATTTCTGCCCTCTTTTATCTTCGGCAGACTTGGTATGCACTTGTAACGGTTGTAAAACAGAAAACTTTTGTATGATACTTTGGGCCGTGGTTTTTTCTGGATATGTTGTGAGTGAAACAAGCATGGAAAGATCTTCAACATTCCGCATAAGTTCTGGGGAAATAAACTGGGGCAAGTTCACGTTGCATGTTGATTGATCCCGAGAATTCCGCAATGTGAATGTGTGCACCGCCGAGATGGAAATAATACGTTGCATGTGCAGTTTCACTTCAACTATGATTCATCTCTGGCAAAGATACCAAAATATTACCTTTGATTTTGGGAAGATAAATATGTGCGTCAACGTCTGAATCCTCTAAAACAGTTGTGAGATTCAAGCCAAAATTAATTTTGCGCTCCAGGCCAAAAACCCGACATGGGGAGGATTTTCTTCACGCTACAGCAGACTTGGTGGTTCTATATTGTGAGCCCAAGCTTACTAGATGCCACTTGCCCTGTCAGAACAGCCTGATCCTGCAGAACCCAACACACTCTCGCGATAAGACCCTAAAAATTCCCAACAAACAAAAATTCTTTCTTGCCACATGTATAAGCAAAACTGAAGAATGCTCAAGAGCTGCGTGAGGCAGAGGCTGTCCCAGCAGGCAAAAAGGCAAAAAGATCGGTATTATGCGACGTGGACAAGATTCGAACTTGCGCGACCGAAGTCATAAGATATCTAATACTGGCTCTAAGGAGCCAGATTCGAGTCTTACCCATTAACCACTCTGGCACCACGCCAATTGGCTGTTGATGTTGTGGAAGCTGCAAAAAACTTTTATGTAGATGCAAAAATTGGTGTTGAAATTGGGAGTGAACCATCGGGGGGTCACTGAGGATTTTTGGGTGACGCCGGTGTTTTCCCGACGCAAGAAGAACGCCAAAATGAAGAGCGCACTCGAAAGATGTGGGCAAGAGCTTGAAAAGCTATTTCGTTAATGGGTTCGGGTTGTGGGGTGAAAAGAAGGGTGTTTCAGGGACCCGAACGCAGTGTGGAACAACAACGCCATAGTAACTTTTCTCGAAACTTTGACAGAGTGATACTGGGCGTATAGAAGAGCATTCTACCAATTTACTTTTGGGCGGCAGGATGTAGTTGTTATGGGGCACTATTTTGAAGCCTGCAGCAGTCGGTCGCACACTTCGCCTCCACTCGCACGGGCCGCTGCCGCTGCGTCAGCGCTTGCCGCAGTCCTGCAACTCTTTCTAGATGAACTACAATAGGTAAACTCTGTTTCAAATATAGCGCATAAATATATAGACTTTAGAGTTACTCTCGCTCTCCAGTCTACAAATTCGTAGTGATCAGTGTTCCATGACTTTGCAGCTTCGAAATGATGTTTTCAGTGTTGCTAGCGGTGTTCATACTAACCTCCCTCGAGGGAGGTTAGGCTATGTGGTAAAAAAAGCATCTTGCCGAAACATTTTCAACTAGGTAGTTCGCATATCAATACTTCCTTCGAGAGTCTATGTACTTCCCATCAAAGTATTTATTCTTTAGCTATTTCTTTTTCTAATTCCTACACAGTACAAAATTTATAACAATCGTTGTCATGCTTTCGGTTGGTCCTTTTGCAGGACTGAGAAACTCTCAAAATTCATCCCCTACTACATCCATCATGTAGGAAGTTCTTCGGATTTCGGAATAATGCATGGAACCTACACGAAAGAAGAATATTTCCAAGAACTTTCCCAACCCTTCGTCCTTGGCAGCCCCGCTTCTTGACCCTACTGCGTAACTGATCCGCAAATCCCGCAGCTGATGAATGAGATTTCCAGTAACCACCAGGCAGCAGCATGCAACTTACCACACGATTCAGGGTGCACGGCAGGTGCGGACCGGCTACCCTCCCCGCTGCGGCGTTAGCACTGCCCCGTTCAGGAAAAAAGCTCGTACTGACACCACATGAAAATGCAGCACTGCTCATTGCTTTGCTTTCTGATTGGTGGTCGAACCACTGGGCGTTGTCTAGACCAGAAGGTGGCTTGGACTGATATGATCCTGCAGTACAGTCCTGCGTAACACCAAGAAACAGAAATAAATACTCAGCCTGATCTCAAACAACGAAGTCATCTCCATCTGCAGAAACAAGCAAGTCTTTTGCCGCTGTCGAGCCTCTAAGTGCAAAACATTCATCGGCGATGATATACCTCTGGTCATACACTGACTATGGAATGGATGAATCCGAAGATATGCCTGACGACCTAGAACCAGGCGGAGAGTGGAAGTGGGAGACGATCAGAAACGTAGACCACAAACGAGAAGGTATTCCATACCACGTCAAGAAGCAAGTTCGGGACAAGAACGATGCTGCAACCTCTCCTACCGGCAAACTTATCTATAATCACTACGTTTGTTTCTCTCACGCTACTATGCAAGTGTTGTGTCCTCTGACATGATGCAGGTTCCTTACTGCCGCATCAAAGACGCCCTGATTGCAAGGATGGTCGGCAGGACGCGTGCAGAGATTATTCCTATTCTGGCTGAGCTGCAAGAGACCTTCAACTTTCATGTGGAGGCGGATCCGTGGGAACATAAACATGCCTTTCATACGTACGTGAACGGCGTGTTTTCGTGGATTGTGAGTATTAACACGAGTTGGCCTGAATATGGTATAATGGGTGTCTAACAAGTTGTGATAAGTGTGACTGGAGCGAGAATATATTCCAAGGGCCACCATTTGGCGATGCCGGAGGTCGCATGATCGATCTAGCGGTAAGAGTCGTTTATGATTTAAGCGGGGCCGAAGCGCTCGTGTAGCATCAAGCTGACAGATTTGTTATCAGACCACTGGGAACAAAGACCTGAATTTCCGGTTGCAAATGGCTGCGCATGGCTTATGGGAAACTCTTGACATAGATGTGGGTGACCACAATGACAATCCTGACCCGAATCATCGAACCATGGACGATTTTGGCAATTATCCGTCAGGACTCGTACATTATTATACGGACGGGACGACATGGGAACCGTTTGTCTCTGAAGACGGGGAGCTCGAGAATTAGATCATGACTTGCTGGTTCGATAATTCAGTCCTTGAACAGAATGATAGCTGTACTCATGTGTACCCTTGTAGTTTGTCTGCATGTTGAAATGATGTGCGCATGCCATAATCGTGATTTTGTATGTCAGTGTGCAAACCAGGCTACGATAAGATCCGATTCTGCGGGAACCAGGCCAAGATTCAACGACAATCAGTTCTATGTTTCGTTGGTACCGCGACGCCATCTCGACTGACAGAAACTTTGAAAGGATGTGAGGGGGACTGCCATGCAGCCGAATCATCCGGTCTTTCCTGAGTCAATGACGAAAAGTTCAGCGGGTACCTCACTTACTCATGATCCTGGCGACAGCATGGCCAAGGATTGTCGAAACTCGTGATGCGTCATTTAGCACACCACTGCCACCGTCTGATTATCTTTGTTGCGGCTGAAGATAGAGTCCATTGACCGGCAGGGCAGGTCACCTGCCTGTATGTGAGCGTAAGCAAACCATAGACTTCTTCTTCTGCTATGCAGACGGTCGGTTCCGCTCCTTCCGTTCCTCAAGACCAGATATCGAGAACAACAGTAAGTACACTCTCCTGGTTGGGATTGCCTCGTGCATGGAGCCAAGGAAGTTCAAGTACATATGTACTGTGTGTCGTCGCTCTTATTGTATCTTCATGGTGATAAATCCGCGCTTAGCGCGCCAAATTAAGCGTTCAAAGCCGTACAAGGATATGTATTGTGTCGATCATCTCCATTACCCCCCTCGAGAGCATTGCCTACGTGTGCGGCACAGCAACATCATGCAACGGAGTAAGCGATAATCACCGCGCGGTATGTTCCCATTGGCTCCACGCTCGTAAGGCACCACAGCCTTGCTGCATCTGACTGGCATTGCATACCTACAAAAAGTTAGTGCACATAGATATATCTACCTCAGCACTCAAATTGGGTTCGCTTGCGACCTTCAAGGGCCGGCCCGTACTGATTAAACGCTTGTCATGCACTCGCGTCAAAATAGGCGCTTACGCCGATTTCGCGACGTGATTGGGAGAGGATGAGGCCTGAACCCCACTTTAGCCAAAGAAAGCCACTCATTGGCCCATACGTAAAGGTGGCACCCTTCCCCTCGGTGTAGGCGCAGCGAAATGATCTCCTGTCGGTGTAGTCTCAGCGATAGAGCCTGCCACATTTCTGCACTCAAACCCCCCATAAGCACGGTCGCTGCCAGTATGAGCTCGCGCAAGCGGGCGCGAGCAAAACAACCCCAGCGCAATCCCATTTCTAAGCCCACCAAGCCTGATCGTAGCAAGCAGCAAAGTAAGAACCTTGCCGGTCTTTTCCTCTTACCGCACCACTCAAACACGTGCTAACCCATGTATCCAGAGTGGGCAAGACGTCTGACTAAGCCAGTAAGACAGAGTCGCCGCATTCTGGGGTTGCCGGTGGAATTCCCGGACGGCCTCGTGACTTCACCCCGTTTCAGGCAGGTTAGTATGCCGACTGCAGCATTAAACCTTCTATTTCTTGTCATCAGTATTAACTAGTGGGATATGTAGCGACTACAGCCAGCCAATAGTCCATCTTGTAGCAGTCGTACCGAAAGCTGGGTACTGCAAACACCTTTGCCGAAGAAGATCAGCCAGTCAAGAAGCATCATGGCCCCTCGCGAGAACACAACAAGACCTTCGCAAGGAAGGAAATCTGTTCAGGCATCAGATCAGAATTTTCAGAGCAGCTCGGGGAATGGGACCTCAAAATCGACCAACAAGACCAATCGCTCACAAGCCTCGACCAGAACTGCCAAGGACAAAGACTGGGCTCAAACACTCCAAGATGGTTACAGGGAAGGAAACAAATGGTTCCGTTTCTTCAAAAATAAAGAAGACTTGCGAAGATTCGGCAAAACCAAGGATTGCCTAGCTAAAAAGAGTGAGGACTTGTTGAAGCAGTTAAGGAGGAGAAGACGGGAACACAAAGACCCTCGGTACCAGCTACATACACTCGAGACTAAGCTGGGACGATTGAAACGCAAGCCCGAAGCTAACATTTTCCACGAGTTGGAAGACCTTGTCTGCCCTGCAGCAGAAGGTCTAGCAGACATTCATGTCGACGACCCCGAGCTGGAAGAGAGGTACCTTGATCTTGCTGAGGGTTGGGGAGAGCAATGGGATAAACGGATACCGATGCTTGATAGACCACCGCCGAGCCCCGACTACTTCGTTGGCTTTTCTCGCAATGCCTTCTTACCCGATCAGCGCGACGAGCTCGACAGGAACGCCAACGCGACCACGACGTTTAAAGCGACAAGTCTCGTGTGCCTTCCTTTCCTCACATGCGAAGCGAAGGCACTGGATGTGTTTGAAGTTGCCGAAAGTCAAAATTGTTGGAGCATGTTCATTGCTGTCCGCGCCACGGTCAAGCTCTTCGAGATTGCCAATTTGCAAGACGACATTAACCGGGAGATTCTGGCATTTTCAGTTGGCTATAACCAGAGGGACGTGGAAGTTCATGCTTACTATCCCATTTTGGACAAAGACTGTACCAAAATCTTCCGCCGAGAGATACTTTCCAACTCTTTGATGCCCAGCCGAAACTCTAACGATCCATGGAAGGCGTTGGATCTGGTTCGAAATGTGTATGAGATCTGGGCACCGGAACACCTCGACCGTGTGCGCAAGGCCATCGATGCCATCTCTCAAAGGACTATTTCTTCAAGCACGAAAGTCGGGTCGGCCGCGGAGGCACCGTCCGAGTTGGCGAGCTCTGCGTCAGACTCTCATTCTTCGAGCACGGAAGTCCCGTCAGACGCGAGATCACGACCGCGATCGTCGAGTGCTGCATCAGGGGCGTCAAAGAAGCGGCGTCTCGAGGACCAACCTGCTGGTGAGCCTAGCGGGAGAAAGTTAAGATCAAGTACAACTGCACAAAAACCCACAGGAAGCACAGGCATGTCGTTTGACGCGGGTGCCCTCAGTTTGGAGGAAAGTTTGGAGGAAAGCATCGAGTAGATATCAAGTCTTTTAAGCAGGCTTTGCAGTTACGTTCCCCAGCTTTGTAATTAATTCCCCCATTTTTTTTCTCTGCTCATCACGATCGGTTCTAGCGCTCTTCACCTTAGTTTTCACTTCTGCTTGAAGCGTCTCGACTAGGCTGCGAAGAGTTTTATCATCCGCTAGTACGCCGATGGCTTCGAATTGTTTTCTCACTGTCTCCCGCAAATGGGAGACGAGACCTGATATTTGGGGGATGTTGGCGTACTTCTGGCCAGAGAAGAATGCAAAGTCACAGAAATTACTTCGGAATGTATATATTTAGGCATTTGAAAAGCATGATTAATGATAAGTCGATAAGGGCAGATTGTGGATGAAAAATGTTCCTGAGTTATGGCGTAACACTCGTTGCGGAACAGTGATTGGCCATGTAACATTTGTCGGGTGATTTCAGGCATGGAAAAGCATTTTGCGCAGTTTATTGGTTGGCAGGACTCGGCTTTTGCATGTCGAGGTCGGTCGCACAAATTTGAAACATCTGCACCTTGACCGACGTTTTCCGCAGCAGGGACTACACCACTCGCACAACAGCATGATCCCGAAGGCTGACTCGTGGCATGTGGTCAAGTGCTCAGCTGTCACATTTTGTGCACCGCAACGAAAAACGCCAGACCGCAGGCCAGGCTGTGCACGATAACTGTCTCTCTATATTTGGTTTATCCGCGTCCGATCGCGACAGTAGTTCTGCGCTCGAGCGGTGGGCAGCCAGATCGAGCGGAGAATAGGCAGGAACCAGGATGGCGATCTCCCGACGCTCGCCACGGCGTTCTGCGGTGCGGCGAGTAAGTTTAAGCATGGCGCTTTTCTCGGGTCCTGTGATCGGACGCAGGTTGATCTGACTTCATCTGTACCCTGCCCCACTGTGACATCTGATGTCCCCACCGTTCATCAGCAGTTCGTTACTCGTTGCGGAGCTCCCCAGATCAAAGCTTGCGAAGCGGCAACTGCGATTTCGCAGTGGCGGCAACGACGACGATGGCGCCTTGTCTGAGCGAGGACTGGGCCAGGCCAGGCCCGGGCCGCCACCGGTTCGCACGCGCGTAACGAAGACCGAACCGCGCCTGCCGCTTTTTTGTCCTACACCAGCCAGAAACGTCACAACCAGACGCCTCAGTTAGCAGCCTCCTCGTGCCCGCGCGGCTATGGCTCACGCTTGCGCCATCTGCACCCGCCAGTCCTGATTTGCTTTTCCATGGCAACCAGGCTCCACCGCCGCCTGGTCAGATGCCGCGCTTTACTCCATCACGAGCTCCCTCGTCCTCTTTAACTCCGAGTTCGCAGCTGCCTGCCCCATTTTCCCCGCTCACTCTCCCTTTCAAAACCACCTCGAGGCTGCAAAGCAAGGGACATCGACTGTGCGACCAACCACCCAAGTTCTTCAGCCCTGTTCCACTGGGACCATGACGAACGAGAGCGCCCCTCAGCCAGCGGCGGGTGCTACAAGGCCCTTGCTGTCCCACGAAATTAATACAGCCACGAGGTAGCGTCAACCACCAACCCGCGCCCAAGAAAAAAGCAAAAAGACGGAACAGACTCTGACTTACGCTCTCCGCGCCTCTACAGGTCGATTCATACCAAGCTCAACAAGCTCATCACCGCGCGCCTGCCTCTCGCTCTCCCCCCACACTCCGCCTCACCGCGCATTTACGCTTATGGCCTCCTACACTTTGCCCACGTCTACCTGACGTTCGAATCAGCATGGCAAGACTTGATCAACCACGCGCCGGCAACCTACAACAACCCGGCCCTCTCCTCGCTCCTCGAGGACCCATGGGTCTCCGTCACCACGCCTCCCTCCTCTAGCAGCGCCAGCGGCACCACCTCGTCTTCCTCCACCGCGACCCCCGCCTCGCCCTCCTCCCCCAACGCCGACGCGAACGACAACGACCCCCTCGACCCCGCCCTCCTCACCTTCCTCCGCACACTCCTGCCCGCCGGGCTGCCTCGCAGCAAGCGGCTGCGCCGCGACCTGGCAGCCTTGCTGGGCCTGCGTCCTGTCGAGCTGGACGTGCGCCTCGCGACGGCGGGCTACCCTGGCAACGGGCGCGTCGCCGCCTACGCCGCGCACATCCGCCGCGCGGTCGCCGCGCGCCCGCACGTGCTGATCGCGTACGCGTGGGTCATGTACATGGCCGTGTTCGCGGGCGGGCGCTGGATCCGCGGACAGCTTGCGTCGGGGGGACGGGAGTTTTGGGAGGGTGGTGATGTCATCGACGACTCCGAGACCGACAAGACGACGGATGGCGGCAACACCAACGACGACAAAGAGGGCGGTGGTGCAAGGAAGGCGCCAGGCATCAACTTCGACACGCTCGGCGACCGCGGCCTCGCCTTCTTCAGCTTTGACGGCGCGCACGACGGCGAGGACATCAAGGCCGCGTTCAAGGCGCGCTTGGAGGACGCCGAGGCCCTGCTGTCGCCGCGGCAGCGCGCCGAGGTCGTCGCGGAGGCGCATGCCATTTTCGAGTGGAGCATCGCGCTCGTCGAGGAGCTGGATGAGCTGCTTGACACCCCGGATGCGGACGCCATGCCGAAGCCGCTGAAGGGACATGGCAGGCCGGCGCCGGTGTCGGAGAAGGAGAAGATGATGGAGAAGGGAGGAGCGGAGGCGATGGCTCCGGCTGCCCGGCAGCAGGGCAACAAGGACTGGGTAAGGCAGGGTGGAAGTATTGCCGGGGCCTTGGTTGTCTTGGGGGGAGTGTATTGGTGGGCGGCGTACTGCCTCGGCACGGTGCTGAGGGAGGGATGGCATGAGGGATGGGCGGGCTTGTGAGCCGTCTGTCTGTCCCATGTCAGCGATTTCTTATTCTTTCCTATTATGGTCTGGGTCTTCGGGTTCTTTGGGTTTCCTGAGCGTTAGCTCTCCTGCATTCTGTTCAGCGCTTGGGCACCTGTGCTCACAGCTTTTCACATCAGCGGTCTTTTTCTTTTTTTTCCTTTTCTTTTCTTGGGACGGTACTTGCATGGCATCGGGGCATATTGACATTCATGATTGGACTGGTCAGCGAGATTGATTGAGTCAGCGATAGAACCAGATGGGAGATTGAGACCCGCGTTACTAGTCACACAAACGCTCAACAGTTTGGTGAGAGGAGACGAGGGGAGGCGATAGTTTGCAACACATGCGCGATACCCCGAAGAGGTTCTTTGCAGGTACTAGGATTAGAGGCTAATTCGATTTCTCGTGTTTCTTTGAGGATGGTAATGCTTGTTCGTGCAGGTCTTGGTGGTGCTCCTCTCTCCTGGGGGTTGGTCTTACTACAGCGGGGTTGCCACAGCTGAAGGCTCGCGTGGAGAACAGTAAGGCAACTATGCCTCAGCTATTTCTTGAAATGGTAGCATATGTGGGTAGTTGAAGCTGTCGTCCGGACGAGAAGGTGACATGAGCAAGAAACGAGTCCACGCTAGCCAAGGGCTGCGAGGCGAGATTGTATTCTCTGCTGATGATTCTCTCTGGACAAGAGCTGCGGGGTTCTTGACGTTGCACGCAGTGGACTGATGAAGGTTGCACTTGCCCCCGTCGTCGTCATGCATCAACCAATGGTGGAGTCGTTCGAGTTACTCGAAATATCTTTTCGTGAGCGTCCGAAGAAAATCCACGAGTCTCATAGCAGACTCTTGTTGGTTGACAAAACCCATCACCTTACCGCAGACATTAGTGCTTATTGCCCATTGCAGGAAATTATGTTCAAGGTTCTGCAGTCAAATGTTGCGGTGCTGGTGAAGCATTGGCTGATGCCTACGATACCCGAGCAGATCTTCCCCACATCGATCAAGTGCAACGTCCGAATGGGGTACAGATTCGAGCACTCGGACCAATCTCCGGCCTTCCCGAGCCCTTTCGCCCCCCAATGCTCCACAGTTGCACGGCCGGCCTTATACTTCCAACAGCCATTTGAGGTACGGTTCGTGTTCCTTCCGCCCCCACAAAGCATCCTTCCGGTCAAGCAGACACTGCGAAACGCGTCAGACATTACGGTTGCACCGCCCGCGTCCCCACGTGCCTGGAGCCTGTCGTGAACTGCCGCGGTGAGCCGATGCCCTAACCAACATACCGATGGGGATGATATTCAGAAGTGGTTTCCCAATTCGGACGGGCCTTCGCTGAGAAGCGTCAAGATCATCCCTGTTCATGACTGCTGTGAAGGATTCTGCGACTCCACAGACGACGACAGCACATACAGAATGTCTCAAGCAGAGAGTAATGCAATTAGAATTTGGAACGGGACATGGGTGGTGAATTGGTGTATAAAAGCTCTGCCCATTTCGTCCGATAGCAATCACATCAGCGCCCTACCAACTCACGTCAACAAGCCACTCCATCCAATTCATCCTTCCAGACTTCTTCTAGAAGACTTCTTTCCAAGCCACCAAAATGCAGTTCAAGTTCGCTCTCATCTCCCTCTTCGCCGCCCTGGCCATCGCCGCCCCCGAGGTCGCCTCCCCCGAGCTCGAGAAGAGGTGCACTGCGAACGGCGGTACGTTCCTACCAAGACACATCCATTTGTAATATCGTTGAGCTGACTCTGGACTCGTGTTTAGGCTCCTGCACCCAGCTGAGCCAGTGCTGCAGCGGCAACTGCGAGTACGACTCTTCCATTGGCCTTGTCTGCAAGGCCGCCCGCAAGTTCAAGATGGAGAAGAGGTGCACTGCCAACGGCGGTAAGTCAGCTCATTTACCATTCTCCATTTTCTTGATGGATATTCCCATTACTTTTTGAACAGTCGCTAATTTGGAACCGCAGGCTCCTGCACTCAGCTCAGCCAGTGCTGCAGTGGTAACTGCGAGTACGACTCGTCCATCGGTCTCGTCTGCAAGCCTTAGAGTGGGATACGGGGTTGCGGAACTCAAGTGTTTGGGCCCCGCTGTTAAGCTGGGAGATGTTTTACGGCGGCGGCAAACGCGTTCGTTCTTCGAAACTTCTTGGCCTAGCCAAAATGCTGAATAAATAACGAAAATGGATGATCTTCTCTAAATGCGCTGGCAACTGTTTGATCTGCAATGGGGCTGTGTGATGTTGTAGCCAATGGTTGTGATGCTTAGCCGCCTGCTGTGCCGCAAACACCTCTACAAAATACTCGGCGGCTATCTCCACAACAGCAGCTCGCGTTGCTCACTTTCCCCAAGTCTTGCTAACAATCAAAAATGGCCAAACCATACTCTGAAGAGGAGCGAAAAAAGGGCCGACAATTGATAAATGACATTTGGTTCGAAAATGGAGGGATGACACCCGAAAGACGCGAACAGCTTCGGACGAACGCGTCTGAACGAGGTACCCTGAAACAGATACAAAGTCTGCGACGCAAGCTGAGTAACTTAACGAAACGGTTCGTATCCTTGACTGCCGTCCCTGTCAATGCTGAAATTCATTCTCGAACAGTGTGGTCGATGATCTTTACTCAACAGATACGCGCTTCGTATACGAGCTTATCCAGAATGCCGAGGACAACAGTTACGAGCGTGCCGCTTCCCGAGGGCAAAGTCCCTTTCTCAAGTTCAGCTTATACCCTGGCAAAATGGTAATCGACTCAAACGAGGATGGCTTCTCTCCCAAGAACCTCGTCGCTATCTGCAGCACGGATCAAAGCACGAAGACAAAAAAGCAAGGGTACATTGGCGAGAAGGGAATTGGTTTCAAGTCCGTCTTCAAAGTCGCCAAAAAAGTGCACATCCAGTCCGAGCCTTATTCCTTCTCGTTCACCTACTCCCGCGACTCTCACGACGATGAAGACGGGCTTGGTATGGTGACTCCAATCCAGGAGAGATACTATGACCTACCCGAAAACGTCCAGACGAGGTTCACACTGACGCTCCTTGCACAATCCGACTTCGAGAAGCGGGTTGAGGATTTGAACGACATCCCAGAAAGTTTGCTTCTTTTCTTGACCAAACTCCGGAAACTGAGGCTGCAGATCCACAACCCATCAGGAAACGTGACTGAGATCATATACTCCTATCGGCGTGACGAGAAGCCAGGACTTGATGTCATTGTCAAACAGAAATTGACCAATGGGGAGCTTGACTCAGAGCGTGAGAGTCTGTATCGGGTTTCGAAACGAGTTGTTACGGGCCTGCCGTACGACGGAAAGCGGGAAGGCATAGACCAGGCAACTGTGGTACTAGCTTTCCCAGTGGACAAGATAGGACATCCAGTCCTCGAAAATCAGCACTTGTTTGCCTTTTTGCCGCTCCGGCATGTGGGCTTCCAGGTAATACAGATCCTATTCCCACTATGCCACGCAACTAACGGGTCTCGCAGTTTCTGATACAATCAGACTTTGTCACTCAGGCGAGTCGTGAGGACATCTTTCACTCTCCCAGGAACGAGGCTCTTCTCCGTGGCGTAGCAGAAACATTCCGACAGGCAGTTTTGAGCTTCTGCAAAGACGAAATCATGCAATACGAGTGGATGGAATACCTTCCGCCCGACACAGTGGCAGATAAATTCTGGAAAAAGCTGAGACCCTTGATCGTCGACCTTCTGAGGAATGAACGGATTGTGAGGACAAGGAGTGGAAAATTCTACCAACCTGCACAGCTTTGCTGGCTTCCAGACGATTGTAAGGACCCGAGCGGAAACCCGCTTCTCTCGGATCTTGAGCAAGAAATCTACTTGGATGTTGGTTATCCTGAGGATAACTGTAAGCTCCTGGATCCTTTGGGCACTAAGCTGATCAGGTGGAACCATCTGGTTGACCGGTTGGCGGCTGACGTGGACGGGCCGAGTTCTAAGATGAGATCACGGGATACCGATAAGCAGTGGCATACAAGAATCGCACGTCTATTCTCAAAACCATTGACGGATGGCCAGACGAGCTCACTAGCCCAAGAAATACGTGGACGTTTGAGATCGTTGCCTCTGGTGCCATTAAGAGGAGGCAAGTGGGGAGCAGGTGCGAGTGAGATATACTTTACCTCAGCAGGCCATGGAGAAATTCCAACGGATCTAGATCAAGACTTCGTTTCCGAGGAGGCCATCAAAGATCATTCCCGAAAAAAGTTCTTCACTCTCCTTGGAGTCAAGGAATGTAATGTCAAGCAAGTCTTGCAATGGATCCGCCAGAAATACGAGGGACCATTAAACACATTGGCCATGAAAAATTCGATTGAGCACTTACGATACTTCTTCTGGAACCTCCCGGGAGGAGAGGAATCTCTTGGATTTGACGTACGCATTGTCGGTTCCGATGGCTCCATTCTACGACCAGACGAGATCTATCTTCCAGACGCCTTGGATGAGTACAGTGCCGCAAATCTCTTCGAGCCCGTGGATGTATCTACTGAAGGGTTTCCAGCAAAGTTCCTCCCAATCAAGTATTTACACGCAGAGTCTGAGCATGCACGCCATCATGGGATGTCGTGGAGGGACTGGCTCGAGAAAATTGTCGGTATCCCACGTATTCCAAGATTGACTTGCAACTCCGGCCTCACTGAAGACTTCCGATACATTATGAAACATCGTCCAGACAAGCTTCTCGGTCTCCTTCAAAAACACTGGTCTCAATATGAATCGATAATACCCTCGGTGAGCGATAAGCTGAGAGTATGCGAGGTTCCCATGGAAACAGGAAACTTAAAGTTTCTTGAGGGAGCCTACCTTCCTTTACCGAGATTGAAGGAATTGGTCAAGGAAATTCCAAGGAGTGGGCTCATTTTCGTCCAGCTTCCTGAGAGAATTCGGGACGAAGATGAGGGCAAATGGATTTTCCTCAAGCAATTGGGGGTGCGGTTCAGCGATGATCTGGTATTCTACAGGTTGATGCTTTCCACAATTGCCTCAAATCGAGAACTCACTAGAGACGTTATTGAGGCCTCTGTTTTCAACATATACAGCGGCATCACGAGAAACTGTCGCACGGATGAAGATATCACCAAGATCAGGTAAGCTGAACTTCCCCAGTTGAATGTGCCATGCTTAATAGAATAGGGAATTTTTCCAATCAAAGAAGCTCGTTTTCGTTCCCGGTTCTGAGGATACACAATATAGTTGGCATAAGTTGAGCTCATGCGTCTGGCATGGGCCGGCATGGCTCGAGTCGACTCCAAGCATCAGCTCGCGGTCGAAGTATGCGACTGTAGGACAGTTGTTTAAGGCATTTCTACTACTTCGAAATGCAGATTGGACGGACTGCATCAATGAGCTCAAAACAATGCGGATGCAAGGGGTGAAAGACAGGCCAAAGGCGGGGGAGATATACACCCATCTATCCAAAACGACCGAAATTCACGACAACGCGTCGATCCGGTGAGTATCATCTAAAAGAAAAGTATTGAAATGCGACTATAACTGAAAACTACAGGGAAAATCTCGAGGAGCATGAATTGATATATGTCTCGCTCAAACAGGCATGGTTTCCTCTGTCCACATGCATCTGGGCTGATGGTAGCATCGAGGTCCCGCACAAACATTCCATCTGCACGGAATATAGGTCTCTGGAGGATTTCTTCTGCTCCAGGCTACATGTCCCAAGACCAGACGCCCCCATGCTTGTCGACGCTATCGAAGGAATTACAAAATTCCATTTCGAACCAGATCTAATGGATTCATTGGTAGAGATTTTCATGGCGATAAGCGAAATGAACCCAGAGTATGAGGAGCTGTCGCGCTTGGCATCCATGGAGTTTTTGCCTGTGCAGCTTCCGAATGGAGATCTGAAGCTCGTCAAGCCCCTCTACAACTTTTCTGTGGTAGACCGGACGGGATATGGTGAGGCATTCGAGGGAAAAGCCGAATTGCTTTACCTCTCTCCAACGGAGGTCCACTCCTGCAGAAAACTGCTTATTGGACTTGGTCTTCTGAATAAACTGATGTCTAAAGCGGTCACGGAGACTACGACTGCTGAACACGGCATCCCAAACCCAGGACTAACGAGGAATTTCCAGCTGAAAGCATATGCACTCTTCAGGTATGTTTATACAATCATCTTCCTATGAGTTTATTATTTATGAGTTGTAGGTGCGCAGTACATTTCAACAGTCGCAAGGCAAAAGGAAAGGATAAATCCTTGTACAAACTCCTCCAGACCGCCACGGTCCACATCAGTCACTACATTTCGAAGTCACTTAGCCTGAAGCAGGGGCCTACAGTCTACACCGTTGAAGACCTGGAGGCGAATTTTCATATGGATGTTGTTGATGACCATTTGATGCTCTACGTACCAGCAGAAAAACAGAAGATGGAAGCGTGCTACCTCGAGGAACTCCCGAAGCATATTTTCAACTTCTTTGAAATCTCAGATGAAGCTGCAGAGGCAGTGCTGATCAAGATTCTCGGGAGTAGCAGCCTTGAAATGGTTGACAATGTCCTTGAGAAGGCGGGGATAGTCGAGGTCAAAGGGGTTTATCGGCCTGTTGACGGCGATATTTCAATTGCACGCGTGAGGACTGACAGCGTCCTGGACACACGAACGCAGCAGCCGCCCAACCGTGCTAACGGAGCGAGGTCCACCCCGCGTCAGAATACAACAGCTCATACGCACGCCGCCGACATCGACCTTCCCGACTCTCGAAACGATGAGCGTGACAACGCTGAAGACATAGTCTCTGACTGGCGGCGATCGCTGAGAACCCACTCTCCTGGTTCTCAGATCTTTGAATCAATAGAGCAGCCTGTCGAAAACGCCGCGTATGCTGCTCTGCTGGATCGCCTCATCGGTACCGCCAGGAACGCATACATCCCCCTCTGCGACTCCGCTTCCCACTGCTTCTGCTCTCACACACCCGAACTCGCAGTTTTTAACTGCTCCGATTACCACATCGACTATCCGTCCATCTTCACCATGCGTTCTCTCGACCGCGACAGAAGAGTCGGCGCCGCAGGTGAACTTTTCGTAAGTCCCAACCTCTACCTGAAACAGCAATCCGCATGGCTAACCCGTACTCCCCCCCCCCTTACAAGGTCGTCGAGCTCCTCCGCCACCTCGATCTCCCCAACTTCAGCGCCACCGCCAACTGGCTCAGCACACTCCGCAAGGAAGCGCGCGTGTGCAACAACTACTCCACGCTCGAGCCCTGGAACGGTGCAGAGACCTCGGACATCGTGTACCACGACACAGAGGGCGCATTCACCGCGCAGCTGCGCGAGAAGGGATACCTCGAAGACGGCATAACGGACGTCACCGACAATCCGACCTACTACATCGAGGTCAAGACGACGACGAGGGGGTGCGAGGAGCCGCTGTTCATGAGCGGCGCACAGTATGCGCGGGTGAGTGTTCGGCCTACAAGTAACGTCTTGTGTGTCGTGAATGGGACTGTGGCTGACGTGAAGCGGTGGCACAGATGCAGAGGATGGCGCTCATGCCGGGGACGCCGGCGGCGGAGGTGTATGTCTTGGTTCGGGTGTTCAATTTGGAGCGGGAGGATGTGGGGTTGAGGGTCTATGTTGACCCGGATAGGTACAGGCTTGCGGGGGCGCTGGCGTTCAGTGTTGATACTTGGATTGTGAAGCCGGACGTGTCGCAACCGCTTCCGGGGCGGATTGTCGATCTGAGTTAAGCGAAACAGGTAAATCTTGGATTGTGGTATGGAATGGATCTTTGCTTCTGATTATCCGTGAATAGTGGTAACGTGGTGCTTGAAATGGTCTAATCAAGTAAACCCCTTCTGGCAGTTGCATCCCTCATATGGACAAGAGAAGATCCCTGGATTTACAGATTGTGTTATCTAGTATGGCATGTGGTCTTTATGGTATCTGAAATGTTTTCGACACTCGGTGCAATTGTGAGCTCTGGGAGGTGGAGGCATATCGAAGCTTGATGGGCTCTTCTTCGTCGTAGGCCAAGTCTTGTGGTTTGCTTCTTTTCTGCTTTCTGTCTAGTCGGTTCCTTATACTAGAGCCTTTACCTCCCTGTTTAGGTTCATGTTCGATGGTGACTATTGTGTAGCGAAACAATAACATGTCGATGAATTGCGGACGAAAGAGTAATGCTGAAGACACTTTTCGACCGCAGCATGGTCTGACCTTGTGAGGAAACATGCAACCTTGCTGACGTGTCAGATTTATATCACATGAGCCTTGGAAGCGGCGCGTGGTCTGCATGGTAAGGTGGATGAGGTATAGCGTAGGTGGGGGCGGTAATCAGCATCACTTGTTTCTCAGCCTCGCCAGAAACCACTACCTCACAACTACAACGTTTCAAGGACAACACTCGAAAGCGACATGGATCATCTCATCAAACCATCCAGGCCCATCCGCGAACATCCCCGGATCAAGTATGTCTGTTTCACAGAGTACGACCGTGGAGATTTTTGTTCTTATCCGAGCCGCGTTGGCTGGTCCGACGAAGACGTCTTCGACCAAGGACGCTGGGATTCCCACATCTCTTCAGGACGCAAGGCTCTTACGGAAATGCAAAGTTTCCTTCAAAGCTGGCTTTTCTTCGGAACTCTTCACGCCTTCTTCGGCGACACCATCATATGGGACGACTTCATCATCAAACCCGTCGACGGATCTTCGTTCATCTACACAGGAAACCTGGTGAGGATAGCAGATGATTTTTTTGAAGCAGCAAAGAGCCCATGGAGTTCATGTTGACACACTTTCTGCTCAATCCCGAATCCTTACTACTGCCGAGCGTGTATACGACGCAATTTCCGAAACGAGGAGAAATGGCCTTGACTCGGAACTTGTCCTATCTTTGGGACTACTGCTTAACTTTCTATCCAGTCTGCATGACTTTATGGGCTCATGGTCTTCGAAGACTTCGCATTTTAAAAGAGATGTTTTCATCCATGGCCCCATTCATCATATTCCCCAACGTCTAAAAGAGATCCGGGGGGGCTCGGTTGCCCGCCGTCTAGACCACGTCCAGGTGATGCTCATAGAGTCTGGCTGGTGCCCCTATCTAGTTTTTCAGGTCTACGGGGAACGGAGCGCCGAATTTCTCTTATTCCTCCTACTCTTGGGCACCTCGGATCGTAAGGAGGCTCACTACAACTGCGATTTCCTGGCGTGCTCTGCATACCAAATTGATCCACAGCGGTACTTCCATTCCCACGCCCGACGTGGATGTCAATGCAACCATGTACTCGTGGACTCTGCCCAGATATGTGCCATTCTGCAGGCTGGTCAGATCCCGGTGATTCGGATCGACACTCCACTGAAAGGTGCCTCCCTTGTTGTGGATGCTGCCGACGACGACACAGAATACGTGGCCATCTCTCACGTATGGTCTGATGGCCTTGGGAACCCTGGACGGAATTCGATCGCCTTGTGCCAGTTTCGAAGAATCTGTCGGATAGTCAGCATGCTCCCCAAGCAGCCGATCGCGATTTGGTTAGACACCCTGTGCTGCCCAGTACAACCGTTATCCATGAGGAGGCTGGCCATCAAGATGATGAGAAAGACCTATGACGAAGCAGATGTAGTTGTTGCACTGGATGCGCGCCTAACATCAGTAAATATCAAAAATCTGTCCATGGTCGAGATTGTTGCCCGAATCATGACATCGGCTTGGACAAAAAGACTCTGGACCTGGCAAGAAGGCGCTCTTGCGCTGACTCTGTGCTTCGCATTCCGCGATCAGCTTTTTTGCTTTGACGATTTGCAAAATGCCCCCTCGTGGATAATGCCTGATAATTGGGCGCCGCACAGCAACCGATACCAGTACGAAAATGATCTCTTCACGTTTGAAGCATCTCTTACCGTAGCGCTTTCACCATATTCCCCGCTACGTAAGCCAGACCTGCATTACATCGTATGGGGTCTGATCGGCCGCACAACAAGTGTTGCAACGGACGAAGCACTCTGCCTTGCCTCGCTAGCCAACGTCAGTTTGGACAGAATACTTGGGAAAAGACTAGAAGACCGGATCCTGGGTTTCTGGGAAGTCTTTCCAGACCTACCAACCTGCGTGATCTTCTGGGATGTGCCTCGCCTGGAGCAACCTGGCTTCCGTTGGGCACCCAAATCTCTTCTAGGGTTAAACTCTACAGCAAGATCTTATTGGAAGCCGTACACGAATGGTTCGCTTTCAAGTAGCGGCTTGTTGGTGGAATGCCCCGGAGCTTTGTTGCTAAACGCTATTGACCACACAGTGGGTGGAGGCTTCTGGATTATAGATGGAGCCGGACAATGCCCCTTTCTTGTCTCTGGAGGGCCAGATGAAGCAGGCACTGACCCATATTGGCTCCATTTCGAGCGGCCTTTGGGAAACGAGCCATATACGCACGCTGCTATACTTCTGGACCGCGGTTTGGGCGAAGTAGACTACGACGAACAGCTCTACCCGGATACCAACCCTGTGCACGTTGTATTGGTGTATGTATACCGCACTGAGGATGGGGTAATCTATGCAAGACGCAGCAATCGTGGAACCATGGTTAAAAGAGCAACGGCATTGTACCAAGAATTCCCAGCAGTGGACTCGCTCAACGGCATCACAGACAATTCTACAGACGGAAGCACACGAAATATACGGGTTGACAACATCTACCGCGCCATCGAATGGAAAGTTCTCCCGGACGATCAACGCTGGTGTATCGACTGAAGTCATAGCTTTGCGATTAATACGACAGTAACCCTCATGCTTGCATCGCCATGCCTCTAGGAGAGTGGTAGCGTACGGAGCGACAGCAATAGTAGTCCAATTGAAGATCGTTTTCTCTGATTGACTCCTCTTCTGATTTCAGAAAGGGTTGAAAGCCGGTTTTGAAAAGAGTTTATTGTCTAGTTATTGGTTGAGTATGGCTCACGTTGCAGTCAATAGTCATCACCATCCAGGGAAATACTCGAACGGAGCAATCAACAGAGTCGCTGATGTTGTTTGAAAGGGGGAATCATGACTGAGAAGAAGTAAAAACGGGTGCTATCAATCAAATTCCTCGCCAAAAATATGCTACCTATCCACTCTAGCATCCGTAACAGCTAGTTCATCCAACTCAATCGCAACCAGACTTCTTACAGGTATGTTCTTCGCAATACTCCCCGTCCGATGCCCTCTTCTTCTTGCACCGAGACTCTTTGCACTTGTGCTCCTCACAGACTCTGGCATTTTTGTAGACGATCTTTGAGCAGGAGACACATCCGTGATCCTCGCAGTGGTCTTCTTTGACCCTTTGCTTTTTGCATTTAAATTCCCAGTTGCAGCAGTGTCTGTCGCAAAATTGCGTCCAGGAATGCGGCGCCTCCCCGTCACAACCTGGTATTTCACATGAATGGACGTCGCAGTAATAGTCGCTAGCTCTTTCTTCAAAGCAACCCTCGTCCGATGACTGACAGGTGTGTTCATCGCAGAAGAGGCCCTCGATTTGCAACACAGACTCCTCGCAATCGTCCCAATTTGAGTGGCATTTGTGGTCGGCGCAGTATGTGAAGCCATCTTTCTTCCGTGTATGGCACCCGGGAATTCCGCACTCATGTTCGTTGCAGAACCCGCCAACCACTGCGGGCTCTTTATTGCAGTCTGGAAGAGCACGACAGGAATGCTCTCCACAATAGAGCTCTCTGGGGTGGTCGATGGTGCGTTTCGGCTTGTAGCAGGAGTCCTTGTAGCAGGTATGGTCCATGCAATAGTCACCCTTTCCGGGTGCTTGCTTTGCCCTATGGCAACCGGAAATATGGCAAAGTTCTCCGGTGCAGTAGTCGCAAAAGTCTTCTCCATCCAGTGCCGGACACATACAGAACGACATGTTGCATCCGTGCTCGTCGCAGTATCTTCCTTGTTCTCTGTCGTCCTTCTTCTCTCCACAGTCTTCGTACTCGCAAGTGTGGTCGTCGCAGTACTCTCCTCGTGTTCTCTTCGCCAAAGGCTGTTCACACTCGGCAATTCTGCATTGTGGTGGGTCGTCACGGTCACGCACCATCGTGTTGGCTGCAAAGATAATACAAGCTCTCGGTGTAGAAGGTAATGCGGCTTTGTGGAATGATCACAGTAGTAAAGGTGAGGAATACGAAAGGCCGTTGATTAGTGACGCGGTGAGTGTTGTTAATATAGCCAAGCCAAATCCAACCTGGAAGAAACAATGGTTTGATGACAACAAAGGAGCAAACCAGCCACGTGGAGCAGGAAATCAGCAAGCTGTTCGCCTCATGGCAAAGCAATCCTGACGGGCTGCTTGTCAAAATGCTTTGTCGAGAAACCGCGGTATGGAAGGATACGAGGCTGAATTGGCGAGGAGCTTTTTAAACTCTTATCACACATTACAATTGCTCAGGGATGGCCAAACCGCAGTTCCATAAGCCCAGCCGGGGCCTGCACGGATACCATGCAGATAATTTTGTAGCTTTGACAAACAACACGTGCCTCATGACTCCAAGTGGCTGACGGCAAACCCGTGTTTATCAACAAGAAAACAAGATTCCTGTTGTGCATGCGCAATTGAACAAAATATCAGCTGGGGTGTAAGCAGCTCAGAAAAAACAGCAAATGTAAAACTGGATGAATCAACCACGCGCAGCAGCTTCAGCACAGTCTGTGTTCAGTTGAGATGTGGAAGTGGACTTAGCCAATCTTATTTGGCGTTTGAACAGACCGAAATACTTTTTCCATACCTACGTTCGACCCTCCACTCAGGTAAAAGCATCATCTCATCATCCCCTCCGATACCCTCCGTTCACAAATCCAACTTCAATATCCTCGCTGCATTACCGCCCAAGACGGCTTCGGCGGCCGATTCGTCTCCGTCAAACGCCTGCTTGATAGCAGAGTAGTTTGTCTTCACGCTCAACCATTCCGTTTCTTCCCCGTCAAGCGGCGGAAAGAAGGGATGATCGGTACCTGTTTCCCCCATCGTCAGCACCCTCCGTTCAGGAGCACGGGACAACACTAAGGAGCAAGCAGGAAAAAAAAAAGCACTCACCAAACATAATCCTATCCTTCCCACTCGCCTCCACCGCCGCCCTCAACCCCACTTCCGAATACACGACCGCATCGAGATAGATATTCTTCTTCAACACCTCCCACAAACTCCTCATCCGCTCCGTCCTCCCCTCCTTCTTCAAATGCCCATCATGCGCCACACAACTCTCAATCCTGCCCGCAAGGAACGGCAGCGTCCCCCCCGAATGCGCCAGCAGCACCTCCAACCTCCCATGCCTCTCCCACACCCCCGCCAGCAGCATCCGCGCCACTGCAATCGTCGTCTCGACCGGGAACCCGATCGCCAGCGGCAACACGTGCCCGTACTCGCCCGCCAGCGGCCCGTACACGTTGCCCGGCAGCCCGTAATGCGGGTGCAGGAACACGATTAAGCCCGCTTCCTCCAGCGCCGCCCACACGGGTTCGAGCGCCGGGTCGTCCAGCCCGCGCCCCAGGCCGGACGTCCCCATGATGACGCCGCGACAATGCGGCACGGCTGGGCTGGCTAGCCTCGCGACCTCAGCCGCAACAGCCCCCGCCGACGCGGAGAGTGGGAGGGTCGCGAAGTGGAACAGGCGCTTCGGGTGCGCGGCGCAGAGGGCGTCGATCTCGTCGTTGATGGCGGACGCGGCAGAGGCGGCGTCGTCGGGCGCGAGGAAGTCGAGCCACGGGTTGGCGAGCGAGATGACGGAGGCGGCGATGCCGTGCGCGTCCATGAAGGCGAGTTTGTGGGCGATGGACGAGTATTCGGGCCCGATGGGGCGGCCCCGCGCGGTGCCGGGCGCGGTGGGCGCGTCTTCGCCGGGGAGGATGATGAGGCGCGCGGAGTCGGGGGCGTCGGGGAAGTTGCGGATGTAGGGGACCGTGGTGCGGGAGCGGAGGAGGGAGATGTAGGAGGGGGGGTAGACGTGTGTGTGGACGTCGACGGTTGGCATGGTTGTGGCGGGGTGTGGTGATGGTGGGAGTGGGGGGTGTTGAGGGATGCCTTGTTCTTTTTCCTTGCTCTTTACTCCGTCGGATGATGGTGGTGTTGATGTGTTGCTGGCAAAAGTAGAGTTGGTTTGAGAAGTGAAGTTGGAGGGGAAGAAAAGAAAGCGAAACGTGAAGTCAGCGGTCGATCGTGTAACTCAAAGAGGAAGGAGAGTCTGGGCGGGGCGACACTTTCAAGCCTCCTATCGGCATCAACAAAAGAGAGCCGCAGCAGGGATGTGGCCGTCGGCGCGAGTTCCTCCCACTCTTTGGAGAGCAGGATGAATGGGTTGTCGTACCTGCATGCAGCTACCCCTCCTGTGTTCTCCGCGATAAGCCCCGCATCCTTATCGCCCACCATCCTCCCCGTTTCGGAACCTCCGCGGCGGTCGCCGATGGTTCCTGTCATCCACCTCGACCATATCAAAAGGATGCTCTCAATGCGGCGCGCATATCTCCTGATACGACCGCACCAGCGCCATCGCTGCGCCGCGTCTAGGCTCGTGAGAGCTGATATCTCACGGCGCTCATATAACCAGCGTTGTATCTCCGCAGCCGATCATTTCACCTCTGCGAATCTCAAACTTTCTCAGCCGCACTTCCTTACTCAGGCCAGAAGAACATTTCCAGAGCCTTCCAGAAACCCCTACTCCACCATGGCCCCCATCCAAGTCGACTCCGCCGTCGAGAAGGACGACCTCTTCATTCCTGTACGTGTGACTTTCCCCGAAATACCATTTCAACCTCCAGAGAATATGAAAAGAAAAAAAAAGAAAAATCACCCAAACCAAAAACAAAATTATACTCACATCCCCCGACCCAGCTCATCGACTTCTCCCAATACACCTCGGGCACGCCCGAAGAACGCCTCAACGCCGCCGCCGCCCTCCTCTCCGGCTTCCAACGCGCCGGCTTCGTCTACCTCAAAAACCACGGCATATCCCCTTCCACCGTGCGGTCGGTCTTCGACCACTCGGCCCAGTTCTTCACCCGGCCGCAGGAGCAAAAAGACGCGTTGGCATGGTACTCCCCGCGCGCCAACCGCGGCTACGTCGCGCACGGCCGCGAAAAAGTCACGCGCGCCGACTTCGCCGGCGACGTCGAGGCGCTGCGGCAGGCGGTGCCGGATCTGAAGGAGAGCTTGGAGATTGGGAGGGAGGGCGAGGAGGGCTGCCCGAATATGTGGCCGGATCGGTTTGGGGATGAGGAAGGGAGGAAGTTTAGGGAGGTGATGGAGGGGTTTCATGGGAGGTGTAAGGAGTTGCATCGGGAGGTGATGAGGGCGATTGCGTTGGGGATGGGGTTGGGGGAGGGGTGGTTTGATGGGTTTACGGGGAGGGGGGATAATACGCTTAGGTTGTTGCATTATCCGGCGGTGGAGAAGGAAGTGTTTCGGAGGAGTGATGGGCAGGTGCAGGTTCGGGCGGGGGAGCATTCGGATTATGGTACGTGCTTGTGCGTGGGCTGGGGGATGGGGGTGTCTGACTTACCAAGCGGGGGTTCTTGAAGCGTTGTGGCTGACCGCTGATTCACCAGGCTCCTTGACCCTCCTCTTCCAGGATGATCGCGGCGGCCTGCAGGTCCTGTCGCCCAAGGGCACTTTCGTCGACGCCACCCCCATCCCGGACACCATTGTCGTCAACGCTGGCGACTTGCTCGAGCGCTGGGCCAACGATACCATCAAGAGCACCAAGCATCGCGTCGTCGAGCCGCCGCCCAAGCCCGGCCAGGAGGGGCTTGACAAATACCCCGCCCGCTACAGCGTCGCCTACTTCTGCAACCCGGACTTCGACAAAGTCATCGAGGCCATCCCAGGCACGTACGAGGAGGGGAAGCAGAAATATCCGAGCGTGCTGAGTGGTGATTATCTGGCCAAGAGACTGAGCGAGACGTACGGGGATTTGGACAAGTACGAGCTGAAAAAGTAGAGGAAGTAATATGAGGAGAGAAGAAACGGTGGGAGGAGAAATACCCAGATTGGAAAAAAAAAGTAAGAGGTGGACTGCAAGAATTGAAAAAAGGTATGAATGAATATCTTGTACAGCCTGGAGAAAACACCATCTGCTGCATTGTGTAAAATCTATTTCGTAAAGAGATCCAACAAAAACAGTACAAATGAGGAGCCAAACAAGACCAAGGACGAAGGGTAATGGACTTTCATATGTGGCGCTTGTTCATTTGAGTGGCAGTTTCGTAATTGAGAGCTTGCCCGTTCGGCAGTGGTTCAAAAGGAGGAAGAATTCTGTGTTTATCAGAATCCACTATCTGGTCAGGGCCGGGCACGGCTCGGATCGAAACACCCAACCCAAAGGATACCCTCACAGAGCAGTCTACACCCCACACCACTGCACATGCCAGTAAAAGTTAATACAGCATCAACCAAGGCGAGTCCGAGTGGGAGAGAGCTGGTTTTAAAGTTTACGCTTGAAACAATTCTTCAAATTGGTATCGAATCTTCAGCCCGCGGTTGTCTTCTGTTGCAAATTTGGATCATATTGTAACAATGCTGATCTCAATCCATCAACTGCCTGATATCGGCGCTGTGGCGGAGTGGTTAACGCGACAGACTAGAAATCTGTTTCCTTCGGGAGCGCAAGTTCGAATCTTGCCGGCGTCGCATCTTCTTTTTGTTCCTGGTCAGTCCACTGTCAGTTCAGTCGTGTCATACTTGATTTGTCTTTTTGCGTTGATACAAGCTGGCGTTATTTTGCAACCTACGTCTATATCAGAACGAAACAAGGTATTGGTAATCTTTTTAAGGATACTTTGGTAGGAAGAAATGATTTCCGTGGGCCTCGCTTGTAGTAGGTTTTATACCTCTACGCTTCAGGCCCTTACTCGGTCTCCGATACTATATGCGATAGAATGCAGAGAAAGACATGGCTGTGTCAAGTTGTGCATTGGGTATTCTGATCAAGGCTGTCTCCTAAATTTTCTGTAGATGGCCCCATTTAGTAAGTGGTGCTGGCCGCCATTTTTTTCATTCACTCGAGGTACAGACGATATCTTTCCCCCCTCGCGCCCGCGGCGGAGATGGTAAATTAACCATCGTGGCGTGTTTTGAACAGGTTAATGAGTGCGGGTGTAACAGGAACTATGAGCTTGTCAGCTGAACGCCCGCAGGCATGGCTGGCCCCAGTGGCGCGTAGTAAACAGGGGGAGCTGCGGCTGAAGGCGGGGTGCTAGCCGGCCGTATTCACGCTGCTAGAAGTCTGATACGTTCGGAGGCTCATGGAGTGAAACTTGAACAATCCTGTTGGCAAACGGTCGCATGGGTACGATCCGCAGTGCTGCACTGTGTCCGATGCGACCTGCAGAAAATCATCCCAGTCTCATCTCCACTTTTCCAATGAGCTCTCTGGCACGCCACAACCGTCATTTGTTCTCCATGAACGCTTCCCTCATGCGTCCGTCGTGCGGCCAGTCGCATCAAGCAAGCTCTCTGCAAAGCTCAAGGCTGAAACTGATGCTAGCGCCTGTGCCACCGCACCGCCAGCTGGTGGTGCTGGGGATTGAAAAATCGGTGGTAAATGTTTACAAGAACGGATGCCACTGCTGGAACTGAACGTGATGATAAGAGCGGTACTGTTGGCTGCGGCAGTCTCTCGTTGGTAGAACTAATTTGAGCCAATTTTCCGTAGCCCTCATAATTGCACCTCATTGCCTTATTTAGCGATTGTTATGATTGGGATCTTGCAGCTTGAATTTTGGACTACAGTGATAAACAAAAAAAAAGGAAGAGAGGGAACCAGCCGGGTGTCGAAAGGCTCTGACCGCGCCTTTTTCGGCTGTGTTTTGCTCCAGGAGTTTCGCACAGTGTCGAAATGCGTGATGCTATGGTTTTAGTGTTATCACGACTAGCGGATTAAGTGGAAGAAAGGGCGGATGCGTGCTCGAGGCGAGGCTGAATGACGACGCTGGTAAGCAGGCTGTGCTGACAATATCGAAGGCTCATATCCAAAGAAGTGGACAGCCCGGACGCGCGCGTTGCACTGCGTAGCATACTTGGCGACCTTCTGGCCTACAGAGCGCTAAACCGATAGATGGATACCTGCCCCTTTTGAATTCGCATGTTCGGCATATCCTGTATGTTAGTATTAATTCATCCTATCCTCTTTCATCTGCGCCTTGAATCGATCCTTGACAGCCCCACCTCTCGGTCAGTCTTCACTTACACAGCAACCTGACATCTTTAATCATTCGTGGGTATAGATAGTCTCGGCACTCTGATCATATTTTGAATCACGCAGTGTTGGGCTGACGCGTAAAACAGCAATCTGTCATCAGCACTCTTCTTTCCGTCCGCCAACAAACACTTCCTCATCTTTGCATCGGATGTTTCCATCGGGAGCGCAAGTTCAAAATTTGCTGGCGTCGCATGTTTCTTTTGGTCTCGCCTAGTCCACCGCCTGCTCTGCGGGGTTCTCCATTTTTCTTTTTTTTTGCTGATCATCGTACCAAAAAAGACGCGTCGAATATTGAATGGCTTAAGACATTCTTGCAAAGCAATACTTCCGCAGGCCTCGCACGGAGAGTCTTTACCTCTGCGCTTAGGCCACCGGCAGAGCACCGATAGGAAGTGCAGGTAGAAGGACATCTCTGATTATTCACTGTAGGCGTAGATGATATCTCCGACTCTCTCCCACCTATGGTAGGAATGGAAAATCAAGAATCATGGAGTGGTTTCACCAATTTAATGAGTATTGATGTAGTAGGGCCCGAGCGCTTGCCAGCTGAACGCCACGGAATCCTTTGATTGGGCACGTTTGTCGCGGTCCCGAAGCATGGTAGTACACGCCTCTCGTAGAGCTGAATGCAAGAAGAGAGTGACCCCCAAGCGCGATTCAGCTGTTACGCTTCCGACATCAACTTCATCCTTCATCACATTCTCAGTTGTCCTCTTCCAACGACCTTCACACCAGCAACGCCCTGCAAATTGTTCTCTCGATTGCGAAATCATGCCTTCTAACTGGTGGGATGATTTCTTCAACAACCTGGCCACAGACCTAGCTCCGCTCATATCCCTCTTCGGAGAATCCCCTACGAAACAATTCCTCAGCGAAAGCGTGTCGCCGATCGATATCTTCCTCTTGGCAATGGCCCCCCTCGGAATCATAACTATCGTCGTTTCCGCCATCCGTGTTGGTGGCAGTCCATCACTTCGTGCATTCATCGGCCGTACGCAAGAAGGAGGTGGTTCCATCGAGGCAGAACTCTGTTCTTCTACCAGCCGCGACATCTGCGAAATGTACAGCAATGGAGGTATAGTGCGGGTTCTTGGCCGAGCGAAGATTCTGGAGATTGTGCACGATCGAGACGCGAACACGGAAGACTTTTACGGCCTGAGAGGGAAAGAAAAAAGTGCTGGCATATACTCCTTTGGAGAGTATCTTGCAAGTCGCACTGGAGAAGCGGAATGGTGCGACTTTACGGCCAGCCAGCATATCCTTAATCCTTGGAAAGGGTTACAAGATACTGTCAGCGACATCGATTTCGATTTTCCACCGCATCCCAAATTGTCATTGAATGTCGGTATCAAGAAATTATCGCTCGGTTGGTTCTTATTCGCTGCCGTTTCGGGGTTTCTGCTTCAATCGGGAGTGCTCGTATTCGCAGGTCTTTCGGTCTTTGCTTTTAGCAAAAGTTTCGAGAAGGATGATAAGCCCGCGGACGCCTACGCCTTTCCTTTCACTTTAGCCGGGACACTTTTGCTATGCACCGGTGTAGGCATGTGTGGTCACATAGTGGCGAGAAGTACAACGGAACGGATCTTCAGGCGCACACAAAACACGCCCACGAACGACGCTCGAAGCCGCTTCTTTTGGGTACAACCTGGCAACCAAATTATCGGAGAGCAGAGTTTTGATTCGTTTGCGTACAACGAAACACTTAGAGACCTTATCCCGGAGTACACTACTTCTACGAAAAAGTCTGAGGACAAAAGCTGCAACGAACGAACAATATTCTGGTCTGGATCTTTGTTCCGGTCACTTTATTCGGATTCACCCTGCAATTCGTTGGCCTCAGGGCATTTCACTCCTCCATATCCATTGCTCAACTGGGTGCGACGCTCCTCATGAGTATTGTCCGCTCGATCCTTCGAGCCAAACGCCTTAGTAAAGAGAACCGCTTAGGAGACGATCCCGACCTTTTCCAAGGACACGAACTGGACTGGCTCGCACTGGAGCTATGCAGGAACATATTTCAGGAGGAGCTTAACGTTCGGCAAGCAAAGACACAACCACGGGTATCCAATGATGAATATTCTCGTACTGTCAACAACCATTCCACCTACATCTGGCAAGTCACCACCTTTTCGATTGGTCCTCGAACCACTCTTGTCTCTGATGAGGGGTTGTATGCGTGTAACGACACAAAAAAGACCAGAATTGTCTCTCTGTCAAACAAGAATACCGGCATAGTCTTGTTGTTGGGGTTCTGTTGTGTTGAATTTGACTCATCCTATTCCACTTGTGGAAACAAGGAGATCCACCAATGGCTGGCGGAAATAGAGCAGAAGGAAGGCGATGAGGTCCCCCGTCTAGTACCCCGGATATTTCTCTCACGTGCAAGAATTGCGCGTATGACTGGGGTCGACCTCAGACTTGGATCTTCTCGAAGAAACAGCAGCCAATGGACCGAAGACGTTGTTGCGGCCAGGGAGATCGCAGCAACATTAACCGATGCACTTCGAAGGACGGTGGATGCTCTGTTCAGCAACCACACTACGCCACCCGTATTAAAAGACGGGTGGGCCAACGTCAACACTATTTTCCTCGCGCTTGACTGTGCCGTCGCCGAAATGCCGACTTCCACTGACGACATGTACCGCTTTCAGAGAGACATGGTATATATTTCTCTCTCTCGCACTTCCACGGACCTTGGCGACTTAGAAGGCCAATGGAATATCGATGCATCCGAAATCGAGGCGATCTTGAGTTTATGGATGTGGTCACTGAGAATGAGAACTTGTAAATCTTCAGTCTCGTCGAGGAGGATGATCTTTGAACGTCTGCAGTGTGTACGTCTTCTTCTCGTCCAAGAAGCTGAGGTCGACGGAGTCCCCAACTCAAATATCACGCTTCGACAATCAACACTTAGTCACTGGTTCGGGAGACTTGACAATAAGATTCGCAGAGTGCGGCTGAGCTATCCCTCTACATCTGGGTTTGACCCAACTTGGGTTTGGACACGGACTGCAGATAAAAAGCACCGAACAAGCGATCGCACTACCTATGTCCCCATGGACCTGGATCTACTACAACACCGCCGTCCTACCGACAACAACGACTGGTTATTCGGCTGGGACCTTCTCGATCGCAACACGCTGCCACAACAGCAGCCTCATTGGGATCTTGATGCTCTAATAACGCGCACTAATCATTCACCGGCTGTCATGTGCGCCCAGGAGATCTACACTAAGCTCTTTAGGAATCTCTTGAATATTTTGGAAGATATTGGCGGTGAGACAAAAGTCACGAAAGGACGCCATGGATTTTACCTTGCCAACGATAATATCACCGAGATTATCGGAGCCTTCACAGATTCTGGGCTTGGCTCTGAAAACGACGCGAGAGCTTGCATTATCCCCGCTCTACTTGAAAAAGAGAAGTTACCCGTCGTGAGCATGGTTGCACGAGCAAGAGAGCTTGGTGACGAGTACCGCAAAGACGGGGCCTGGAAAAAGGCAGAAGAGGTGCTGAGATGGGCTTTCGACACGTCTCTACGATCCTGGAAACAGTGCCAATCTGGTCCAGAGGAGCAGGGTCAGGAAGCCAGTATAGCCTCAGAGGATCTTGGATCTACCACAAGGTTAATGGATCCTGAACGAGAATTATGGCTTTGTGTGGTGGCTCTTTGCGAATGTTACCGCTGGGCACTATTTTGTGAGGGCAAACACAGTGGCTACAGACAATTCGGTGCTAAAGGAATCATCGAAATGCTCAAACTGCGGCAAACTCTGCCGCACCTGACAGAAACCCTTGACATCTACGGCAAAGTCGCCTTGCGTGTTGCCAAAGAATCCCCTAGCGTGCTGACCGTACACGAGCTCACATATTTGGAACACATACTCGGAGACTACGCAACTTCGCCAAACACCAAAAACGCAAAATCAAGTCCGGAGGGAGATGAAAGCTCCGTAGAGCGCCCTCAGTCCAATGGGATTCAAGAAGAACGTGGCAGTTCCACAGACAGTGATGAGTCTAATGGAAGCCCAGAGGGGGATGACAACTCCATCAGAAGCCATGAACCCGGCCAAGAGAATCCAAAGGAAAATATCATTTCGGCAATCAAAGCAGGCGATATGAGCGCAGCTCTCTACCATCTCCGCGGTCCCTCTGCCATCCAGGAGGATCATGAAGGGCGATCTTCTCTTTCTTGGGCAGCCGAGAAAGGATGGTTCATTGTGGTCAAGAGCTTGATCGAAGTCGGTTCTACAGCCAGGCAGTCCGACATTTTTGCACGTACTCCACTGCATTTTGCTGCTTTCTCCGGAGACAAATACCTTGTCACATATCTCTTGGAGCAAGGTATTGATGTTAACAGTCGGGATTCAAAACATAAGACACCCTTGTTTATGGCTACAGAGCATGGACACAACGAAATTATTGATACGCTGTTAAAAGGAGGAGCAAGTATCACCGCCCTTGACAATGAGAAAAGGTCTTTGCTGCATTTTGCTACTTCTACACGGATTGCGACAAGTATTTTGGAGCAAGGTCTCGATGTCAATTGCCGGGATGCAAACGGTCGCACGCCCCTACTCACCGCTGTAAACCATGGACACACCGAAGTTGTCAAGGGACTGTTGCAAGCTGGAGCAGATGCCAATACGTGTGACAACGACAGGAACTCTCCCCTTCTCCGTGCTACTTGGAATGGAAACAGCGAGGCGGTCGATTGCCTGCTTGGTAGTGGAGCAAAGACAACTGGCGATTATGTTCGCAATTTTTCGCTCTTGTCCATTGCTGTAGCCCAAAGATCGATGAAAATGATCAGACTTCTTCTCAAGGCTGGGGTCAGCCCGAATATCCGCTCCGTGGGCTATGAACACGAATCACGTTCGGAATTTAACGATTATGTTTGGGGATATGAAAGCCTTGAAGAGAAATACCGCACGTCTCATCTCTCCCTCGAATTTATTGCAGGAGCCGTCCCTTTGCATTTCGCCGCGGAGTTCGAGATGACTGATGCAGTTGAGGAGCTACTACAATATGGAGCCGATCCAACACTTGTCGATTGGATCAGGTTGTTCAAGAATGGACCAATATTCAGACTTGTTTGGCAGAAAATGAAGGATTCGGGCCATGTTCCGGATTTAGACTTCTTATCCTATGCTATACACATGGACTTCCTTGATGTAGTTGAGTGGACATTGGCTCGACTAGGAACCCGTCGAATAAACCCAATTTTCATTTACAATACTATGAGTTACGACAACAAGGCTGTTTTCCGGGCACTGCTATCTTTTCCGGGTACCGAAGTGAACGAAGATATTTGGAACAATGAGCAGACGCTATTGACAAGAGCGGTGTCGGAAGGACTGGTCGAAGCCGTCAAAATCCTGTTAGCACATCCAGGTGTCGACGTCAATCTCAAAGATGGGGGTGGGAAGACTCCAGCGGAATTGGCAGAGGAAGAGGGCAAGGCTGATATCCTTTCGCTCATCAATCAAGAACAAGAGCGTCGTCGGGTTGAGGCTACATCAGAGTCTACCGATATATAGTTCGATGAGTCATGTTGGTAGACAGGGTATCAGAATGGTACGAAGATGTTACACTATAGGAAGACAGATGAATAGATTGAGATAAACACATCAGTGGAATTTGCTTATAGAACGTTTCCCTCTACAATCGAGCCGCTGGCGAAGCGGTAGCGGAGCGCTAGAAGTCTGCCTTCTTCGCCTCTGACACCGTGGAGCTACATAACATACAACAAGATTTCTTCTGAAATATACTTATTCTTTTTAACACTATAGTAAAACCAAGTTGAAGCGAAATGTCGCAATTGTATTTTCATTGCAGGGAAATTCCTTACCGAAGAAACAGGACCTCACCCAACCCCTGCTTACTGAATACTCTTCTCCTTCCCATCTACCGCCATCCACGCCCGACAAAGATACTTATTCATTACATGCGCACCCCCGCCCGCACCCCCCAACGCCGTCCCAACCCCGCGCACACCAGACGAATAAAAACGATCCCGCCCCTCATCCACCAGACAAAAATCAAACGCCCGCGCACACATAGCCAACAAAATCTTCACCTCCGCCACCACCACCGCCTGCCCCACACCATCCCACCCCCCTCCCTCAACCGGCCGCCACCCGCCCTCCGCCACCCGCAGCGCGTCGCCCGACCCCGCCGTCGCCGCCGGCATCCACCGCTCCGGCATAAACACATCCGGATGCATGAGCGCCGCCGGGTCGCACCTCCTATCCCGGTGCAGCGGCACGACTTTGCAGCCGGCCGTCGGGTACCGCGTGCCATCGCTACCAACCAGCACAACGTTCTTCTCCCCCTTCTGCCCGCCACCTACGCGCGGCCCGAAGCCGGGCCCCGCCGCGGAGAGGCGCAGCGCTTCGTTGACGCAGGCAGTCGTGTAAGGCAGGTGATTGAGCAGGCCAGGGACGGCGGCGAGGAGGTTCCCGACGCGGTTGGGATCGGCGCTGGTGTTGGTACCGAAGACGCGGTTGTGCTCGGCGCGGAGGCGGGAGAGGGAGGGGGGGTGCGTAGCGAGGAGGTGGAGGGTGTGGGCGATGGTGCGGGACAAAGTGGTGGTGGGGGTGAGGAGGAGGTGGCGGAGGTGGATGCGGGCGGAGCGTTTGAAGGTGGGGTCGAGGGTGGCGAGGTAGGGGGAGTAGAGGGATGCGGTGTTGGTTTTCTGCTCTGCGAGGTAGGCGTCTAGGGCTAGGGTGATGAGGGGTTTTGCGGTTTTGGTGGCGTGTTTTGGATTGTGAGAGTGCTGGAGCTTGAGGAAGCGTTTGTCTAGTTCTGCTTCGATGTAGCGGTTGATTTTGCGTCCGTGATGCCAGAGGTTGTAGATGCGTATAGGATTCCAGCGCTTGGAAAGACCCAGCTCTGTGCTGGAGGAGGTGTATTTGATCAGTTTACGGAGGCTCTCTGTAACCCAGGAGGTGGATTGCTGGTATTTGAAGTGCGTATCCCTGCGGACTGGTTAGCTGACATACACAGTGTTGATTGATGTTCTTACAACGTCACAATGCCTATCACGTCCAAAGACAAGCGGATTGCATCCTCTTCCAGGGAGAATATCTGGTTCTCGCATGCGCGTGCTCGCATCTTCTCGCAGAAAACACGGCACTCATCTACGATCTTCGGCGTTTGCTGTAGCATGTAATTGGGACTGAAGTCAGGATTCAAGATAGCTCGCCACTGTTTGGACATTATGTCAGACATAGTAAAGAGATCGGGGTCTCCCGTAAGTCTAGCAAGCGCTTTCTTAATCACAGATGGCTTGGGTGGATTGAACTCCTGCGTAAGCTGGGAAGTCATGGCAGGAGTAGTGAGGATGAGTAACGGCTCGCTAAGCGGCCACAAGTCGAGATAGAAAGCTTCCTTCTCGAGAGACAATGCCAATTCCGTGACCGCATGATACATGCTGGCATCAGTCAAGAACTTCTTCATGAATGGTACCATGGCGAGCATGTGACCGGTAATCCAATTGAAGGGGGGCATTGGCTGGGTGGAAAGTCAGCATCATATATGGATCGCCGCAGGCCAAGGCACGTACAAGTCCATGCTCGCGCAGGCTGTGGATGACTTTTCGAGCATTGTAAGCTTTGAAGAGGACATAGAAAATTGCGCTGACAATGGAAACAAATAACAATGCAGAGGAACGTCCATAGATGTCTGGCATGGTAACTGTAGAACGCACAGATAAAATCATCGCGATTTGTTGATGAAAACGATGCATTTATAACTGGGCAGTTGTCTGACGTTGGCGCCGGATGTGCCGCAGTGGGGCTGGCAGATATCCAGAGGGATTAAGCGCTGAACCGTGCCACAATAAACTGCCCAGGACGACCAACAGCAACGCATCACTACACTGATCTATCCAATGCCTACGTATCATTCATCCTCTTGGTGCACGAGTGGGTACTGCGCGGTGACGACACGCCACATGGCACAGTCCCAGCGTTCAATTTAATAACCCAGAATTTGACCACACAGCATTAAGGAGTAAAATCTGTCAATGAGTGCAGTAACACATCGCACGTCTGGGTACTCATCCAGCCTTCCATCGCTACTTCGCTTGGCGAATTCCACCCTCTTCGCGCTCACTGCTTGCTACCCCCGGCACAGCGTTTGGTTCCGCTTTCCTCGCCACAGTGTCTCTCCGCGGACCCGCCGCGCCACCAACACCAACACCAGAAGCGCCCGCGCCGCGCACTGCGAATGAGCATATCTTGACTCTCTCCTAGACATGTTGACTCGTTATATCTGTTCTCTGATCCTCGATTGAAAACACCACGAAATGTGGCGATCGAACTGATCATGATGGCAACACATGTGTTGCCATCATGATAGGCCTCGAGCTACTGCCAGAAAAATTCCCTTGCCACGTCGAGGCTGGCACCATCGCTACGCACGCTACTTACAATGCGACCCCGGCGATGACCACATGACCAGCAAGAGAAAGAGGAAAGCCCCCAGCCTTATTTTCTACGACCGGGTCATTTGTGCCTAGTCAATAATGGCGATGAGGCAAGTGACCACTACGTTTTTAATTCAGCGAAAGATCTTACTGTAATCAGAAAAGCAGTTAGCTCACCTAAGAGTGCTGTACATGCTCTGCATTATTGCTCTTCATTCGTGTAGGTACTTTTTGCTATACATTAACGCGTTATTTATCCTTATCCCTCCATTTTTTCCTACCAGGCAGATGGGCCGCTTTGACAATCCGCTTGACCAATGAATCTCTCGGCCTCCAATCCTCTTCAAATGTTGCCTTCCAAGCATTATACGCTCTAACGCTCTTCCAGTCCGTAATAAACGAGGCGGCAGTGAAAATCACACAATTCAACACCATATACACTGCCACTACAAAAATCATTAACACATATTGTGGAATATGCCGGAAAATAGAAAAGAGGGGCTGCACTATCGAAACCCATAGCGCTTCTGCGAGAACTATGCAGATCGAGAAGATTATGATCACATCGGCCAATACCATACCAAAACCGGAATAGTAGTCTCTGCTTCGCATTTTGAACCTTTCGCGGTCTTTCGGATGGAATGCTGGTTTTTTCTGTTAGTACCATGGGCTCCCTGTACTAGTGGACAGGATGGGCTTGTTACTCACTGCTTTCGATGATAAGTTTTTGACTTCGAGATACTATATCTACCGTCATGATAGGGGTATCACGAATTTCCTCAACATCCGGCCGATGCCTTTGAATCTTGTAAATAAGGGGGCAGTCATAGCGAAGATAGAGAGACTCGGACATGTCGAGGTAGCCACCAGTTACAAGAAAGCGCGCTCCACGCAGCACTGGAAGGGCAGAAGTTGTGTCCTCATTCACGGTGTTGGGGCTCAAAATTAAACAAGCGGTCTTAGATGCACTCCGCGGCAATGCGTCATTTTCAGCCATGATGCATTCGATCACGCACCAAAACTCTTTTTGGTCATATTGCGGCCAGCGGAAGCAGAATCGCGGAGCCACCATGCCACGCGGTATCCAAAATATCTCGGGGTGCTCACTGTTGTTCTCGGTATCCACAACGAGCCCCTTGCCAGTCGACGTCAGCTTTGCGCGTTCCATAAGAGGCTCAGGCCCCGGTGTCGACGGGATCCATCGATCTGCACAATTTCCGTTCCCCTGCGGTCTTGCGCAAGGTGTCCACAGAATGTCCAGAGGAAATCTACCAATGCAGTGCGCTATTGTCTTCGTACGCAGCACGGGCGTCTCCAGTCCCATGATTTGCGCCGCGCTGAAGTCAGTCAAGTTCGCGATTATGGGGTGGATATCCTCCGGCCGCGTGGTCGATCGGCGCCCAATTTCGTTCCATGTGCGTACGAATTTGTCCACTTGCAGGTCCTGACCTGGTGCTATCCTCCTATTGGCGTGCGATGCGTGGCCGATGTCCGTCTGCGTGGACCGCAGCGCTGCGGTGGCCAGCTCGCGACGAAGGTAGTCGTGGGCGAAGTCGAGAGTTATCTTCCGCAGCGGCCATATGTGGAGCACGTTCCGTAAGAAGTAAATTATATTGACCAACAATACCACGATGACCTGTTCATCGAGTTTCGGGTGCCATGGAGCTTCCATTGCTGCATCTTTGAATTGAAAAAGGCACTTCCGTGCGAGCGCCCCTTCTTCCAGCGTCCAGCACCGACCACTCCACCTCGAGTAAGAGATGAGCGCATCTATCAGCTCGCGCGGCTTGCCTTTGCGGGTAAGCTTGTCTAGCTCAGCATCGAGAACAAGGACTTGCTCGGCGCCAGCGTAGATCAAGGCCATTCGGTGGATGGCCTTCTTGCGAAGAAACTTCTGGTCTTCCGAATCTCCTCGTGGTGAAATGCAGAGTGTATCCATCCAGATTAAAGGCGGTATAGGTGATGGGTCTCGTAACCATTTCCATAAGCGACCCAGCCAGGATTGGTGTACGTTCGAGATGGCGGAGAGCCGCGCTGCAAGTCTTTGCAGCTGGCATTTTGGCAAAGCGTTGTCCGTGGGGTTTCCATGACCATCAATCCAGACATGAGAAATTGCCGTGTATCGTGAGTAATGAGTGGCGGATCTGACTGAAAGATTTGCTTGATTTTTCAGTGAGACCGGGTCCAGCTCCACTAACGGAATGTCACCATTTCTGATGATATTAGCAACTTCGTCTTCTGGTGGCCCAATAAGCTCACAACCGGAGCACTCTTCGATATGGCGCCTCTTGTAGGCTGAGCTGTCTTCAATATTATATGCAACACACTGTGCTTCTGTGCAAGCCTCATGGCTGATATCGCCCCATGACTCCGCTCGTGGGATAGACGAGTAATAGTAGACAATGCAATAATTATGAGCGCGGAAAACCTCCACGATCTGATGAATGCACCAGCCAGACTGTCGCATACGATTCATGAGAAGATGAGCCGGGGCAGGAAGACCTCCGTCTGGTCTCTTCGTTCCCAATATTCCGTAACGAAAGGAATCTCCTGAGGGGATCAATGGAGGCTTTCGGTCGAAATGAGACCGAAATGCAGCATTAAACATCTCCGAGAGATATATGATCAGAATCTTGATCGATAAGAAGACTGCAGAGCTGGGTGAATCATCCGCTTGTATTCTGTCCAGGGTGCTGCTTGCCCTCGCAGCATTCATCAGTGGTGCTCGGATACCTTCCACAACTTCGGAGCTCATGAATAGCATCCGTGAGAGTCTGAATTTCTCTGAAACAATGCCTCCCAGCGCTGTGGTATCGACGACGCCTTCATCCGCTATATTGTGGATCCCCCTCCGGATGAGCATATTTTTGTCCACCCGCTGTCTGGTGAACACGTCGATCAGGCCAAAGAAGAGCCAGGCTTGCGCGAGCGCTGCCAGTTGCCGGCACGGCTGGTCCAGGTCCAACGTTCCGTCTTTCCAGAATCCAACTCTCTCCGGAAAGGTAGCGAAGTCTTCGCCGTCGTACTCGAAGCCGGACAAGTACGGCACCACGATTGGCGGTACGCCGAGGTTGGGGTAAGGTAGATGGTCCATCGGGTGGAAAAGAGCTGGGCGTGATAGGCCTCACGATCTCCCGGCAAGGGTCAAAGGAGCGAGGTACTCAATTAGCGAAAGACGATGACGATGGGCTTGTAAATGATGTCTACATATTGGAAGATAGCAACAGGAAAAGGGCGCCAAAACTGAGAGCAGGGCGGTCGTCGGCCAAGGCGGAAGGTGCAAGGCTGAAAGGTGGAGGCTGAGCTGCAGCATCACGTGCAGCACTGCATGGGTCAGAAACGAGGCGGCGAATCCATTGCGCCAGTGTCTTCCCGGTCGATGATGGTGTCTGCCTTGGGCCTGATTGGCTCCGTCCGTCTCCGTGGTTATCATGGGTTCTATCTTCTTCGGCTGCACGCTTATCCATTCCAACCACAGCAGTATCCATCCCTGGAGGTCCGTTAGTACACTGGAATTCTTTGTATAGTCCTAGGGATGGACCGACGAAGAACTATATCTAAGGTCCATAAAGTAATCGAAGCACATAACGAAGAGCGCGCGAGCGGTCCTCGACATCGACGAAAATGGAAACATCCATCTTATAAAGCATTAACCGTACAGATGAAGCTTCTTTACTCAGAAACGGATTTCGAGAATGTTTTTCAGAATGAGAGACTAGGTGAAGGCTTCTACGAATACAACGTGACGGTCCGTATAGATCCGTACTTATAGTAGGTACACGAGGGATTGAACAAAGCAATAATATTTTGTACCCGTCAGCAAGACGCTTCCCTCTTTTGCCTTGTGGTTCGAATAACGATCTTCAAAAGTTGCATGAAAGATAGTCTACAGACATATTGTGGTCGAGATCGATAGAGGGGTAAACAATAGAGTGAGGAGCTGGTCGGCTGTATAGTAGCAGAACATTAGACTACTACTCTATCGACCTGATAAATTGTAGATATATATAAGTAGAATAATAGCGAGTATAAGAGATTAAATCGTAAAATAAAAATAACATTATAAATAGTAAGTAGTTCTACCTATACATCGACAGCACGAGCCTTAGCATTTTTCCTACTTAAACATGTAGAGAAGCTATTCGAGCAGATAGGTTGGTAGTTAGAGGAGACTGTTAATGTCTACGATCTTAGCAGGGGTGGGGGCTAAAGCATAGAAAATGGTCGGTTAAGTAGTGTCATAACGACGCTGGGTAGAGGCTGTTGGCGGCGGTGGGGGGCCAATATCCTCACCACGATTTCGTCTATCATCTGCAGCCTGTGCAATTTCAACAAGCTCAGGATGATTACCAGAGTCGGTCTTTCGGAAATACTCATTTTTTACCATTGCCGGGCTCTTGGTCCCTAACTGCTTCGCGATCGCGTGGAAATCTGTACCAAAGTATCCCAGATAATTGCGGAAGTCAACGGACTCGTTCACAGACCAGTAGCTTGACTTCCGAGCTGCCTTTCCCGGTGGAGGAGGGTTGGGGCGATTCCTAATGCTGTCTGACTGCTCCTCGTCTCGCCTATCCGATAGCTTTTCCTCTTTCTGTTGCTCCGGTGACTGTAGCATTTGCTCATCGGCCGGCTTCTCGCCTTGAGTTCGTGATTGTTTATTCTCAATCACCTCTGTAGTAGGCTGTTCGTGATCTTTGTGAACTTTCTGCTCTCCTTGCGAGCGTCGTATCCCTGAAGGAACAGGCAATGTCCCTTTTGCAGCATGATATGTTTGCATGTGTGTCTCCAAACTCCTTCCGTTAAGGAAAACTCTGCGGCTATCAGGACAACTGGGTTCCTTGCAGAATTGAGGTCTTTGGTGCTGCATTTCGTGCGAATTCCTTTCTTCCTCGGTGGCAAATCCACCAAAGCAGGACACGTAGCGACAGCGAAATCCGCATGAATTGTATGCCTCCTTGAAGCTCAAGAGCTTTCTTGGATCTATTCTGGGTAAGACATTGGAACTGAGAAGGCGTTGCACGGAACTGTTGAAGACAAACTCCAACTTGCTGAAAAGGGTTGGGTCGCTTCTCAATGTGAATGTCTGCGCTTCTAGAATCGTGTTAGTAAGGGCGCTAAGACCCTGCATGCTTAATACGGCTCGAATCATCTCTTAAGACTCACCTTCACCGCTCTCACATAGCTCACGGCGAATGCGCCGAAAGCTCATTGCTCGTTTGATCAAGTCGCTGACCGGTACCTGGGCTAGCAGAGCCAACCCATCATCTTCCGGGCACGCTTGAGAATTCAAGTTGAGGACCACCGTTTCCGACATTCTTGTGAGGTCTGAGATGTTGTCATGCTTCCTGTATAGCTCGCTGGAAGAATCAATCAAACATTGACACTTAAAAGATCCAGCGGACTTCGTATATGCTAGTAGATGCTGGGTCCAAAACTCGCAGGCGTAGGGGATGAGGTCGTAAAGTCGAATACAGATCGAGCTCAACTGGGCATCTTCCGTGCAATCGGGGTGTAAAAGGTCCAGCCCCGAACAAAGAGCTCTCATGCACGACGTAGCAACGTCCCGATGGGACTCTATCTCTTGGACGATGATTCCGTCGTTGTAATCAGCCGTCAGAAATCTGTATGTGCGTCAGCTCCGTTCGCAGAAATTCTTTTCCAAGCACTCACTCATGCACGGAGAAATGAATGAAGGTCACAACATCATCTGACCGAACCTCAATTAAAGGCTTGCATATATCGAGCGTCCGCTTGGTCAGTAAAGTTTCTTCCGTCAAAAACGGCGTTTCTGTGGTTAGCGATACTCCATTCAGCAGCTCAAAGCTTTTTAGAGGCCTTTTTGCATAGCAGAGCCATCGCAAAATCCGATATCCTCTCTCTTTGGTTGTTTTGTCTTTATTCTGGAAGATTCGCGTCAGAATGCGATGATATCTATCACTGATGGTCAGCTGACATTATCGGATAAAAGACTTTTGAGTACTTACATTTCCGGTAACCCGCTTGGAAGGTTCCGAACATTTTCGAGAAGGTCGTGAATGCTGCAGATATCCTCAAACGAAGATAGAACAAGATGGACCCATAGGAACATGCCTGGCATGAATGTCAATAGCTCATAAGATGAAACGAGAAGTATCGAGATGTTATGCATACTTACCGTTTGCCTTCTCTACTAGCTCATGTTTTACTCTTTTTACAATTTCGGGGTCGGGGTCAATCTCATCCCAGTCGTCCTGCAAGTCAAGAAGTCTCTTGTCAACCACACTTTTGATGGCGGCTCGGACGGCGATCTCTTCGCGCGCTAGAGGAAGCTCTGAAGCTTTACTCTTCTTGGTCCGCAAGTGACGCGACACCGTAGGAATATCCCGACTTGAGAACAATACCTTGCAAATATGAGCACTTCCACCTTGCGAGGTGAGTCGAGAAAACTCTTGGATGATGAATTTTTGTTCTTCTGGCTCGCATTCATCGATGCCATCAATCACAAGACGGGAAGATGGTATACCGCTCAGCAAGTCTGTGAGAAGATCTTTGAACTTGCTCTGAGTTTGAGTGGTTCGAGTAATGACGTATTTGTCGTGGACGTACTCCGCCAGGTCTGGATTGCTCTGAATGATCTGGGCTGCGATGGATCTGAGGATTCTGAAGTGTGTCTCTGTAGCATTATCTTGGTAGCTGCAAAGGTAGTAAAAAACTTTGGATCCTTGGTCCTGCATCGACCTGATCATGTTCGCGCAGATAACTGACTTGCCTTCAGGCGCATCGTTAGCATTCCTTGATAATGAGCACCATACAGTAGCTATTGGCCTACCTGCACCGGGCTTGCCATGCAACCACATGACTCCGTTACTCGGCTTGTCTTTGAGCCATGCCTGTATTTCCTTACAGTCGAGTATCCAGTCACAGCTGCCTGGGTGACAGCGTCTTAGAACACGAGACAGGGTGTCCTCCTGTGGGTCGCTGGATACCCTCAGCCATGTCATGACATAGTGTAGTTGTGCGGAACGTCGATCTCTCTCCTTTTTTTCCTGCTCCTCAATTTGGCGTCTTCTCCAACTTCTTGCCTCGAAAAGATCGATAGAAAATGCTTCTTGATTGACAAGACGCCGATGATACTCCATCCTTTCGAGTATTGATTTGAATCGGGAATCAAATCCTGCCCACATCGAGGCAAAGAAGTTTTTCCAGGCTATTTCCTTGAGTCAGCGTAGCATAAACAAAAGTAGAAATACTCGCACATACATCGTCTGGTCACGAACTTGTACGCATATCGGTGAAACTCCAATATATCACCATAGAGATCCGCTAGTACCGCCTGGAAGTCATGATTGTCTTTCAATGCTGAGCTCAAGCGATCAAGGCTTGGAAGAGAATCTGCAATCTTTCGGTAGGCGTCGATCAATTTGTCCAGTGCATCAACGTAGTCCATGGATAGCTAATCATCTAGTAAGTACACTATTCTGTACCATCAAAATCTTGTTATCTAAGGCACTCACTTGAAGCATGAGCTTGACTGGAGCCTTTAATTGCAGTCAGTAAATTAATAAGTTCACCGAAGTCAATCAAAACTCACCCAAACCCAAGGAAGATAAGGAGTTCCGTTGCATAAGACCTCGATCGACTTCGAGTAGCATTCAATCCCTTGGAAAAAAGAATATAGGCGTTTCATATTCTTCAGACTTTGCCGTGCGGCAAGTTCGGCCTCAATTTGCCGCGCAGCATCTCTGACGTCCTTGAGTGTGGTATTGTTGAAGTTTCGCGCGTGCTCTGGGGTGACAGTACTCTGAAAGCGCTCAAAAGCCTTACTGACGGTGTCGCGTGCCTGCGTTGAAGCGCCAGTGGACATGTTGACCAGAGACGACTGCAGTACATGGATCTCTTTCCGAGATCGCTGCCAGGTCGTTTTTAGGAGCACGGGAAAATCAAAGAGTTTAGAAGCAGTTTTTGTAGCGGCTACAGTGAGACGAGCTCTTAAAGTGCATTTTGTGTTAGGCGGGGAAGGCGGCAAGGCAGACGGCAGTCAGCACGGAGTAAGGGCCCATTATCTGCGCGAGTGACGGAGACACAGCTTCATGCTCCCAACGTGTGATATTATGATTGGCCCTTGAATTCAGAGCTGCGGGAGACACTATGTATGCGCAGCTTACTGCTTCCAATGATTTTCCACAATGACGTGTCTTCAGCTGGAGGCTGCGGGGCTGTGCCCGCATGAGCGAGGCGCAGCTGCATACACAGTTCAGCCTCGCCCCTTGCGCTACAGGAAAATGATTGAGCCCGCCACTTTTTGTCATTTTCAGCGCAATTTTGCCAGTCGCTCATCCACAGCTTCCTTCGGAGCCATCGCACTCCCCATTTCCAGTCTCCACACAATACCGATCCAACTTTCTCAAGGTCCCATGCACACAAGAACATGTCACAAAACCTCAACACAAGAGCTCCAGAGGATGAGCTTAGTGGCAGAAGCAAGCGGCGCCGCCTCGATTTTCATGATGGAACTATATACCAACGACAGCCAGATGCTGTTGCCTGGCTCATGGAAAGAGATGATCCGGATTCGGCGGTCGGGAACCTGAGTAGCAGGTCTAGTTCCTGCGCCCCCACCGCAAGCGAAGATTGTGTCACATCGCCAAGCGCTAATGGATCAGAGCAACCTGTCTGTTTTGGGATGGTTGGTTGAAGTTCTGCGTGATAAAGATTGAAAAAAATTCCTGACTGCAACAGATCATTGCTATACACGTCGGACCACACGCTTACTCCGTCACGACGCACGGCATTCCCATGTCTCCAGCCTTCTTTGATCCAGGAAAGAACGTCTACCGGCTCAGCGATAGAAGTCTGATTGGGACGCTGGAGAGCCGTGATTTTGAGGTGTTGTCCAGGATCGCTAGCGAGGATGGCGTGAATCTTCAGATCCATTACGCCCCCAATCCAAAACATCATGAACATCGACGCAAAGCTCAAATCATCGGCTCATTGTCTGCGATTATTTATGGCCCAAAGAGCTTGGCGGACGATATGGGCAACTTCCTTGACGACTGTGGTATCTGTTTACAAGATCCTGTGGGGTGTGATCGCAACGTCCCATACTTGAATCCTCACAGACTGTCAAGCATGGATGAACATTTGCCGCTAACTTTCCAGTTAGAGGAAGCAGCGCTGGAGTATACCGATGCGCCTGTTTGTCCCCAAAGCAGCCTATTGTCGGGATTAGAAACCACCGAAGCATTGCCCATGGCCGAAAATCCACACGGTTTAAAGACTGCATTACATCCGTAGGCATTACCATCCACTCCAAGTAACATCGTCTGACATGATTATAATCTTAGCCACCAACGACAAGCGCTCTCCTTCTTCCACAGGAGAGAAACCGATTGGACTTGTTCTGGTGCAGGCCAGATTGACATTTGGACGAGAGAGTCCGACTTGAGGTAGGTCGCACCAGTGCCACTCATTAACCGTGGCTAATAATGTAGCTATAAAAACATGATCAACGATGAACAGCAGACTGTTCTTCCACCAGCATGGCTGGGTGGGATTATGGCTGACGAGATGGGCCTTGGTAAAACCTTGAGCGTGATTGCGTTGATTGCATCCGACAAAGACAGGCCACTGCCCATGCAACGATCTAGAGCTTCCATGGAGCGGAGACGACCCACACGATCAACGCTCTTGGTTGTGCCTGTATCCGGTAAGGCAAACTATCTGTGGACGAGACCAGATTCTCATCATGCCCTGTATTACATCTCTCTAACTTTTTCCAAGTATTGGAGGTATGGGAGAAACAGTTGAAGACGTAAGTAAAGACCAGCTTCTTAGGCTCATTGGCCTCTAACATTTTTCGAGACATCTCCATCCCGATGCTCTCACCTGGGCCATCCATCACAGAAAGCACCGAATGCGCAATGCGGCAACTGAACAGCTACCCGATATCGTTATCACAACCTATCAGACGGTTATGGCTGAAGGGCGCGATGGGTCGTTCAAAATGGAGTCTATTTTTGCCCTTCATTGGCACCGCATCATTCTTGATGAAGGTAGGCCCCCGCTTTCGATCAAAGTAATCCCAACTCATATTTATGTCAGCACACGAAATACGAAATCACAACGCGAAAACCTCCAGAGCAATCTGCAGCATACAGGCTACCAATCGCTGGGCCGTCTCCGGAACACCGATTCAAAACAGGTTGTCAGATTTCGTTTCTCTCTTCAAGTTCCTTCGATTTGAGCCGTACGACGATGCTCGGGTCTTCGATCGTGACATCGGAGAGACCTGGCGTAACAACATGGATGATGAAGCCGTTGAAAGAGCCAAACGACTGATCTCCTGTGTGATGTTGCGTCGTCTGAAAACCACAATCCAATTGCCTCCACGGGAGAACAAAGTCCGGTACGTTATGTTCAGCTCAGAGGAAGAAGACTACTACCGTCAAGTTGAGCAGCGAATGGCGAGCGGAGTAGAAGAGCCAAGGGCATGCATGAGCACAATTCAACAAATCACCTTGTTGCGCAAGATATGTAACCTTGGCTTAGCTGCCATGGCCGGGTCTCGGGTACGCGATGAGCCGATGGCATCGTCAACTTCAGCGATGATAGACCAAGAAACGTTGCAGAACGTTGCAGTCTCGCGCCTATACATGGGTGACGACACTTGCGAACAATGCTGTCGACCAGCCAATGTATATGGAAAGCATGCGCTGTCAAGTGGGCAACTTGATCACGAATTCCTGGCTGTGTATCAATCCCGCTGCGGGCTCATTTTCTGTGCAGAATGCGCGCAGACATTGGATATGATAGCGTCAGCACTCTGTGTATGCGAGAGCAGGACACCTTGTGACCTTCAGCGCATCTCTTCTCAAGTGCTTCAACACGTAGCTGAGAATGAGGATCGAATATGTGGCCAAGATGCCACATATTCTTCCGAGATCATTTCAAGCAAAGTCCACGCGCTCATATCCGATATCTCGGACCACCCGGAGGAGAAAAGGTAATTATTTACTCTTCACTCTACGCTTTATCGCATTCGTCGTTGCAGATCGGCTAATACCAAACTCAATTTTCCAGTGTTGTATTTTCCTCCTGGACATCCAGCCTTGACATGATCCAAAGCGCGTTGTCAAAAGCGAACATTCGCAACATTCGGATAGACGGAAAAGTTTCAGCCCAGGCTCGACAGCGCCTACTCGAATGTTTTCGGACGGAGAAGGATATTACAGTTGCTCTACTCACAACGGATTGTGGTGCTGTTGGGTATGTTCTATGTCTACTTTGTTTTAAGGACTGATGGACACAACTAACAACCCTATGAAAGACTGGACCTTACTGTGGCTTCTCGCGCACATCTTCTGGAGCCACATTGGAACCCATCTCTGGAAGAACAGGCCCTGGCTCGCGTGCATCGTTTGGGGCAACATCGCTCAGTCACGACGATTCGCTATATCATGAAGGACTCTTTCGAACAAGTAAAAGTCATGAAACGCGCCTCACGCTACCGCTGCTAATGTTTGTGCCAGAGTATCATTACCGTCCAAGACCGCAAGAAATTCCTGGCCAGCGTTCTCCTCTCCAAGCGAGACCCGATGTAGGCTGAGAACATATAGGGCAAGTTTGCTTGGTGCTAGCTGAAATTGAGGGAGATTGGTGCATCAGAGCCTGACAGGCGGTGTTGGCAGGCGCGATAGCCAAGGGGGTATTTAGTGATTTCTTTCGGGTAGCTCAATACATCACTCGTTCACCCCCTCAGACACTCGCATCAGCCAGCCGCACAGCGGGGTCATCAAACAAGGCGACGAGGGGTGCACAAAAGGTGGATTTCATTACTACGTTTAGTTGTCTCCCATCATCTTGTGCATGATTACCCGTCCGGGGCTAGGTGTTATGCGTCTTCCTTTTTGGTCGAATCGCCGGTGTCGTACTTTACAGACCGTGTATGCCTACCACAGAAGACGGAAAGTAGCGTATTAAATGTATACGCCACCCAGCCGATTTAAAAGACGGCAGGGGTGACGAGGTATCCGGCTTGCTGGACCAACACTACTTAGATGATGTCTTAGCCGATGATAAGAAGAAGTGAGAAAAATATAGTAGCAGGGGATGGTGCCACTCCTCCTCGGCCACCGATGGGGACTCTTGGTCAAAAGACAAACGAGTATTGGCGATAAGTCCTAGCCTGGCCGCGGACTCAGGAGCACTAACCAATAAACGGCATGTTCGTGGGTGGGTGCATCCTAGTCTCCCATCACACTGTCGCTTGGATTGCGCCATTGGTTGTAAAACTGGAACGGTGCACTCCTATTTTTTTTTCTAGTGTTGGCAAGCGCATTGCTGCTCGCAGGAGCTACTCCTGGAGGCATCTGTAGTTGATCTGAGAATCATCGAGTGCTATGGAGTTTTTGCAAAGCTGAGGGTTGAAAAGGCACGGAGTCACGCACGGTCCTATTCGAGAAAATCAGGCAGCAGCGTGAACAGGCAGGGATTGTAAGCGCTAGCCACCGGCCGCGAGAGAGGGGACTGTATCGATCAGGACATGCATCTCATCAGCAGATTTTAAATCGCTCGCCCCACACCTGATGGGGAACGAACACGTGGCTGGTCTTCTTCATGAAGTTTTCATTTTTTTTTCCGACGTTCTTCTCCTTTCCACCTCCCCGCACGCAGCGCCAGACGCTTTCAGCATTGCAAAATCTGCGACACACCGAACCCCGCCACGGCCACGCGTTTAGTTTTCACCTACTCCTTTCCTCATGGCGGCCAGCACAAACCGTTTATGTGAATACTGCAAAGCTTTGGAGTTCAAAGAGTCTTCGTTTACGGAACATTTTGAGACCGAGATTGTTGGTGGAGAGCAACAACTATCCTTGAAGGAGGATGATCGGCAGTATTTCAGGGTGCCATATGCGAGGAAAGACACTCTCCCGGAACTTCCATCACTGCGTTTGGACGCTGAATTGGGCTGTAACTCTTGCGGACTCCTTCGGAACTTGATCATGAAACGTTTCAGCGACGTGAGTGACTTGGACGCAATGGAAATCGATATTCACAATGTTCGGTACGGGTGGTCTAGTTCTTGGGGTCTGAGTGGTCTTACCATCACACTCAATGTGGGCAATGGATCGCGATCTGAGGAAATATATTTGGAAGTCTATACTGACAACGGTGAGCTCACCCATTACTGTCATGGTCATAAATGGAGAAAATGTCCAGGCTAACTAGTCAGAACAATGTGCACACCGGCTCCAAATTAACAATAGAGACTCCTTGGAGGAAATCCTCTCGGATGAAGGGATTTCAACTATCAATGGGTGGATCAAGAACTGCACTCATTATGAGGAATGCACTTCTCTACCGACAAGACTCATCGATGTTGGTGGCCGATCCGGCTTGCAAAATCCAAGACTAGTTTTGACCGAGGACCATGCCCCACTCGTTCCCAGCGCGGATGCCTGGAGATACATTGCTTTAAGCTATGTATGGGGATCTGAGCCACCAACAACGACGACGAAGGAGTCATTAAGCGCGCGAACAACCGAGATAGACTTCGCGACGCTCCCCCAGCACTTCAAAGACGCCATTCTTCTATCGAGGAGACTGGGAATCAACTACGTTTGGATAGACTCACTTTGTATTATTCAAGACGACCTTGACGATTGGGAAAAAGAATCCGCGGAAATGTTCGACATATATCGACAGGCCTATGTCACGTTTATTGCCTTGAATGGCGAGTCTTGCCACGATGGGTTCCTTCGAAGGGTGCCACAGCCACACCCATACGCAGTGATCCCTTACACGCTGCCCTCTGGAATCACTGTGAATTACTGCTTAAGGGAGAGCACACGGGACGACCGCCTCCGTAACGAAATCTGGGCATCAAAATGGGGCACTCGAGGATGGACTTTCCAGGAAGAATTATTTTCTTCTAGGAAGCTGTATTTTGGACAAACTATGTTCTTCGAATGTAGTGTAGACCACAAGCAAGAAATGACGCGCAGTAGCTGCGGTCCTCGGTCTCCTAACTATGAAGCCGCCTTCCAACATTACACAGACGGTACAGACATGGATTATACTCGATTCTGGGACTCCAAGGCTATACCATACGCAAGCCGTCAGTTCACTAAGCCTGCGGATCGCTTACCCGCTCTGTCCTCATGGGCCAAATTCATTGCCAACAAGGTCAATGACGAGTATCTGGCAGGGCTATGGAAGAAGGACCTTCTTCGGGAATTGCATTGGCTGATTTATGCACCGAATCTCAGCCTCGACGGGTTCAAGAAGAAACTGAAGAAACCAGGAGAGCCTGGATACGAAGCTCCATCGTGGAGCTGGTGTCGCTGGACTTCAGCTGATTCGGAGCGTATGAGTTCGAATTATTATGCGCACCACCCCGTGTGCAGAATCATCGAGGTAAAGACTGAGGTACAGGGAAAGAACCCTTTCGGCCGGGTCAGCGGTGGACATTTGATCATTTCAGGAAGTCTGTTGGCTTCTCCCTTCAATCCTCGTATTTCGAAATCCGATTTATCCTTATTGCCAGATTGGGACTGGGATCCTAGAGAATTTGAAAGCGGAGACTTTTACCTGCTGCTACTCGCTGTTAGGGGAGAAGAGTTCATGATGTTCGCTGGCCTTATACTACTCCGTACAGAGATCGAAGGCCAGTACCAGAGGGCTGGTGTATTTAGTGAAGTTGCGACGGAGGGAGATTCTATTTTTCATGGCATTGAACACTGCACGGTTAGGATAATTTAAGTAGTCATTGGAATAAGAAAATTATTCTACAATAAAGTACTTACTTTCACGTCAATTAATATAAATGCGTACATGGCCACAAAAAAAGTACATTTATAAACTAGCATAAGGCCATTAAAATCTCAATGGCAAAGACAATGAAGACGCACAACTCGCACGAGTAGCAGACGCACGAGCTGTAGATTTCACGGCTCGGGTCTACGATCCTCGCCTACTTTTGAAAGCAGCAGTCGTCCCAGCAGGAATTGGATTGCATCGAGTAATTCCCCCCCCCCCCCCCCCCCCCTTTTTTTTTTTCCATTTTAACGCATAAATATGTAACCCGTCTTAAGCGTCGGAACGAAGCTCTATATGCCGAACACTACCAAATTTCCCAGGTGTTAATCGTTGCACGAAAATTCCATTTGGTATGGTATGAGTTTAAGCTTTCTCGTTATAATTACATTGCCATCCAATCTGGACTCGAGCTGTCGGACTTCTACAGCTGGAACTCGGCGGTTGACGACGACTGCAGCGATTTGAAGGTCGACACCTTCGTGTGCATTGGAGTGGCGGGAACAGCAACAACCATCACGAGCGGCACTTCGGTGCCCACGTAAACATGTAGATAGAGTGTTGCAACATCTATCAACTTGTTGGTGCCACATGACCACCACCGCATCCGCTATCGGAAAAGAAGAACCCCAGCACTCTCTAGCTTACACAAAAACAACCCACCATAGTCGACATACAGTAGTCCGGCATACCAGCAACCCAGTAACCAAGCCCACCTTCCATCCCGTTCTCCTCCTCCACCACTCTCCAAAACCGCCGATACTCCCCACCCCCATCCCCCCGCACGACCTCGCCGCCCCTCCGATCAAACGCCTCCCACCACGTCTCCCCAACCACAAACTCAACAAACCCCAAGCGCCTCTCCGCCACCATCTCATCCACAACACCCAGCCACGCGGCGTCCAACGCAGGAATCCGGCCATCCGGAGCGGGCCCGCCGGCCTTCCAGCGCGGATTACGCACCTGCACGGCCAGCCGCAGCTCGCGCAGCGCCGGCAGCAGCAGCACCGGGGTACGGCAGAGGCGTGCGTACGACGGGTGCGGCGGGTCGTGGGGCGAATAAGCGCGGACGTGTAGGCGGGAGAGCTGGGCGAAGCGGTGGGGGAGGAGGTTGGCGCGCAGGAGGGTGATTTGGTTGGGGGGCTCGGGCTTATAATCGTCGTTCTTTCTAAGGCCGGTGCGGGGGAGAAGCGCGGAGAGGTCGCCCAGGTGGAAGGTGTTTGTTGAGTAGAGGATGTCGACGCTTTCGAGGTAACTGTTGTGGTGGGGAATAAGGAAACTAAAGCCGCTGGTTCAGGGTGTCATGTATAATGCTTACCCCTGTCGGCATACCAGTAGCCAACTGGCGTCAATGGTACAGTCTCTGACTTGGCTGCCGCCGCCGCCGCTGCACTTGGTCCCCCGCCCGACGATGCATCCATCCTCCCACCAGCAGCACTCCGGGTCCCTACAGCAGCCGGAACTCTGCCATACCCATCTCTTCCCGTTGCTCTCATCGTTGCGGTAATTGATGCACCCATCGAGGCCTGGCGTGCCCCACCCAGCGTGCCCAATTCCCCCGGATTTCCGCGGGTATTGGTAGCCCAGCTCCACGTGCACGACGCGGTTGCCGAAGAGGTGGGTGTAGACGAGCTGGCGGAGCTCGAGCGGCAGCCGGCCGAAGAATCGCGATTGTGTCTGCGGCTGCGCCGTTAGCCCGTTGTCCGGCGTGGGCGTGATGGGGCGCGGGCGCGGGCTCGATAGCTTTGGGATGGCTTCGCAAGGTGGTGGTGAGTCGTCCTCCTCCTTCTTCTTCTGTTTGAGCCATTTTTGCAGCCAGCCTTCTAGACGGGGGTGCATTGTTTTTTTTCTTTTCCTCTTTGGCTTGTTGCGGGTGAAGCACCGGTGAGTGAGAGCCGTTTCTCTGTTATATATATGTCCAAAGTGGCAGGGGCCAAGTAGATCGCCGGTGCATGGTCTGAGGTGTCTAGTGGGCGCCTTCACCGTGCCACCCTTGCATAATACCCACAGCTTGACCAGCACTGTAGCATAGTCACTGGGGCAGGTATAAAGCAACTCTCAGGTTGCCTCCCTCTCCTTTCTCATGCCATCCACGGCGTGCAATGAATACTCTTTCCTTTCATCACCTGTGTCAACAGAATTTCAGGGAATCTCACAAAGGCCAGTATTCAAAAACTCGTCTTGTCAGTACATATCGTACATAGCCAACTATAACAAAATGGTACTGCATGGCGGGTTCTTAAAGTGGAAGGGCACAAATTGTTCACAGCGGAAGAAAGTATGGTGTATTCGAGAGTGCGGGATTCTGGAGGGTTTAGCGCAAAGAGACGACGACTCCCAAGCCATTTGAAAGGTCTGCTCAAGAAAGGAGAGGATCGTGACGAAGGCGTAGGGAGTATTTATGGCCGCTGCATCACGTATGTAATGCTTGTTAAGAAGCGTGGCGATTATTTTAAAAGACTTACATCTTGGTCGGTTAACCCGATGCACTTGTCTTTTGTTTAATAGGTTCAAGATTCTACCTAGGCTAAGACATATAGAATAAGTCCGCTTGGTACCAGCTGAATGACAGGGAGCTTAGTGCATCAGAGCCTGAGTAAGACGACGAAGAGTAGCACAAATAGGGGGTGTTCTTCTGTAAGGGGTTTGCCCTTACCCATACCTCCTACGCCATACTGGTTATTGCAGGCCGTCTCGAGGGCAAAAAAGTACTAGAATGAACCCAATTGTCGAGGTTTAATGTGACGTGGTTAGTTAATATACCGGTCCGTGACATCCTCTACACATTCTGGTAGACAAACTCGTAGCAGCAGATATGGGATTCGGATTCGGATGCAACTTCATTCTTTTGTCTTTCATCATCTTGTACATTCAATTATGCGTCCTTTACACCGTGCACTTTGCCGAAATACGTTGGATATACACCACAAAACAAGAAGTGACTCAACGACGCTGCGAGCACTCATCCCATTACTTCACACATCCAGAAAGTAAAATAGAAGTAGGATTTGGGTCCCACCACAAGCCCCGCGTCCAGAGCAAAAGAAAACTTGCAAAAAGAAAGCTCTTCGGTGTTATGCGACATTGACAAGATTCGAACTTGCGCGGCCGAAGCCATGAGATATCTTATTGCTTCTATTGCTAGAAACATTCGAGTCTCACCCATTAACCACTCTGGCACAATGCCTTAGGCTCGTGTAGCATTTGAAAATGCAAGCAAACATTATGTAGAAGGTCAAATTTGGTGTTGAAATCGTCCCGGAACATTTTTGGTGATTCAGGGGTTCAGTGAGCGATATTGGGGTATCCCCGATGTTTTTCCGGCACAAACGCACTGCAGCAGTGATAATTGGCTGGTTTACTACCCTTGTGTTGTCTGGGAAAGTTGCTGGAAAGACTGGGTGAGCGCTGGTGCACCGTTTTGCCACATCCGACGGCCCGATATTTCACTGCCACACGACTCAACGCACGGACGAAAACAATAGCTGAAATTAAGTACAGTACTTCTTGAGTCACTAAACTTTATTTCTACCAATAAAGTTCTCGCTTATACTGATTGATCACTCCACAACTTGAAATTATACGCATGGACTTCTGAACGAATTTAAAGCCGCATTATGCCAGATAGGATTAGTGGAGCATCGAAAGCACACTATAGAGACCTAAAGAGCACCCGAAAGTTCCTAGTGTGTTACTGCTTTCATGCGTCATTCGTCTTCCGAGCCTATAAAACTTCTCACAGGCTTGAAGTCTAAATTTTCGGGTTCGGCCCGAATTGGCATAGTGCTCTTGCAATACTGATAATACGGACCTCACGAGACATACGTTTCACACACAGGGAGACGTTTCACATTTCTATCATTCTCGTGTTGTGCGGGGTGGGATCGGACCGCACACGTGGTGGCGGGGACAGGGCCTCACAGGGCGTGGCTTGCGTGAGACAAACACGCCCTACGACGACCGAGCTTTTTTTTTCTTCTCTTCTGTGCCACGAACCCTCGGAAAAGCAACCAACGTCCACACACCACTTGCACTCAACACGTTCGGCATGAGATATGAAGCAGTAGCAGAGAAGCAAAAACAATCTTGCTCTAAAATGATAACGACGAAGACATCATCTGGATATATAACCCGCAGCAAACCCCCGGCGCAGCGAAACGAAGGGGAAAAAAAAAGGTTCCTTTTCGCAAACGGACACCACCGCCGCGCAGCCCTCATTAAAACAAAATGTCATTAACCAAGCCCAAACCCCATCCATCATCAACATCATCATAAAAACAACCAACCCCTCCCCAACGCCCTAGTCCACACTCCAGGTGGCCGCATCTAGGCGCTGGTCTCACTGTCCACCGTCTCAACCTTGACGACGTTGGCGTTGTGGTCGAGGGCGACCTTGCGCTTCTGCAAGCTGGCCTTGGTGGGGTTCTTAGCGTGGAAGATGTCGTCGAGCTCCTCGAGGGTGCGGTTCTTGGTCTCGGGGATGAAGAAGTAGATGATGACGGCCTGGATGGCGTCCCAGATGACGAAGATGATGTACGTGTGCCAGCCGATGCGCTCCATGGACACGGGCCACGCGAATTGGTTGAGGAGCATGGCTGCGAGGGGTTATTAGTCAACAAGAAAGAGCCTGGGATCTTTGGGGGTGGAGGACTTACCAGCATTAAGCGAAAAGCTCGAAAACGCCATACCCTTCGCCCTCATCTCAAAGCTGAGCACCTCGACCGGGTACAGCGCCTGCAACGGGGTGATACCGAACGAAAACACGGCGCCGAACAGGAAGATCATGGCCGTCGCGGCCTTGGAGGCCGAGGCGGCGATGCCCGTGGCGGGCAGCGCGTCGCCGTTGGCGTCGAGCACCTTGTGCGCGTCGTAGATGGACGTGGCGACCGTCATGCCGACCCACACGATGGAGCAGCCGATCATCGAGAACAGCAGCAGCGGGCGGCGGCCCAGCTTGTCGACGAAGAGGGCGCCGCAGACGGCGATCAGGAACTGCTCGCACGAGTAGAAGAGGTTGATGTTGGCCTTGCTGATTTGCGTGTCGTAGCCGGCGGAGGTGAGGAGGGCGGACATGTAGTAGGACAGGACGGCTGTGGTAGGGGGTGTCAGTGAAAGGAAGCTTAGGGGGGGATGGGGGAGAAAGAAAAAAAAAAACTGACCATTACCAGCCCACTGGCCGAAGACGGAGATGGCAATGTTGCAGCTAATGCGGTAGCGGGCGGCGCGCGTCTTGAACAGGGCGCGGTAGTCCCACCAGCGCTTGTCGGAGCCGTCCATCTCGAGGTACTCCTCGTACTCGCGCAGCTGCATGCTGACCCAGATGCTGTCGTCGTTGCCGTTGCCGTGGTACTTGGTCAGCACGCGGCGGCACTCGTCGCGCTTGCCGTGGACGTACAGCCAGCGCGGCGACTCGGGCAGGAACCAGACGAAGATGACGATGATGCCCGAGAAGAGCAGCTGCAGCCACACGGGGATGACCCAGGCGTGGTCGGCCGAGCTGTCCAGCGAGCCACGCACGGCGCCGGCGGCGAGGATGGAGCCGGTGAACCAGAAGGTGTTGTACAGGGCGGTGACGACTGCGAGAGTTAGCTGAAAGTTGCAAAAGCAGGAACAGGGATGTCATTACCTCCGCGGTAGGCCGGGTGAGTGACTTCGACGACGAACATGGGGCCGGCAGCGGTGGCGATGGAGACGCCGAAGCCGAGGACGAAGCGGCCGGCCTCGAACTGGCCGATGCTGGCGGTGTAGTAAGTGGTGGCGTTGATGATGGTGCCGACGACGATGGTCACGGCGCCGATGAACATGCCGCCCTTGCGGCCGAAGGTGTCGATGGCCGGGCCGACGAAGGGCAGGGCGACGACAGAGCCGATCTGGTACATGGAGGTGACGATACCGGCCCAGATGCCGTCCTCGCTGCCGCCGAAGAATTCCTTGAAGTCGTCGCTGGCCAACAGGCCGTTCAGCAGCGAGCCGTCGTAGCCGTTCATGGTGGAGCAGCAGAAGCCGACCAAGCAGCAGCAGTACAGCACGATGCTGGGCCCGTTGAAGGGCTGCGGCGGCTCCTTGAGCAGCGCCTCGTTGTACGCCTCATTGCCGCTGATCTCCTTGACGGCGGCGACGTTCGGCTTCTCGTCAATCTGGGTAGGGTCAGCACGCGGTGGCAGTCTGGGTGAGGGGAGCAGGGGCGCACCGAGAGCTCGCCGTGGACGGCGACGTCCTTGGAATCCATTGCTATGGGGGTTGTGGGTCTCGGATGGTCTGTCTATGGGATCCTGGTCTGGGTTGCGGTGGGGGAGTTGTCGAATATATGTACAGAGAAGTAGCATACATTTGCCAAGGCGCGATGGTGGGCTGCAGGTCAGCTCAGTGGCGTGGGTTCTTAGACGTGACACTGGGGTCGCGCAAGGGTGCTGGGCCTGGACAGATGGTGAGACCAGGTCGGGTAAAGGGTGCACGCGCAGCAATCTAGCGAAGCGGTGCATGCGGCGCGTTACGGCAAGGGCCCGGCAGCGGTGCCTGGGCACTCGGCGGGCACCTAGTCGCAACCAACGCGGAGCGCCAGCGTCCGGCTCTCCCCACACGCTGAGTCTGGGGTCAGCCGTGCCTCATTCTGGGCCGCGGAGACCCATTGCCCGACTAACTCACAGCTCCGCGCTCGTGCCATCGCCCTGGTAAGCGCGCACGCAGCTCCAATCTTATCGAGTCAAGTGCAACGGAAGCTTGTGGCGCGCGCGGGAGGAGCGTCTGCGCGTCGCTAAGTCTTCCGAATCACGCAGCTCGTCCCCATGGGGATCCAACTGACACATCCGTTTCTGCAGTCGAAGCGGACTAGAACAAAATCCTTCGCTACAATTTGCCGCCAACAAGCGATCAGCTTGAGCGGCACAGCAGACACCACACCACCATCTGCGGCTCTCACTTCTCCGCATCGTGTCCGACCCCTCGCTCTGATCCAACGCCACGCGAATTCAGCACCCAGCATGAACCGCTTCCTCAAACCGCTGCTGCAAACGTTTCACCAAAAACACCTATATGCGCATCGTTCCCCTGCCCGGACATTTTGCTAAATTGCCCCATCCGTCCCGCTGGGTCCGACGTTTCTTCGTAGATTGTTAGAGAAAAAGAGCGCAGGGCCGCTTATCCATGAAACACAAATCGCCCATCTTTTGCCAACAACCCATCATGCACGAATCCTTCGCCTTTTGCCTAGAAAGCGGGCGTTTCCCGTTTTTTTCCACTTCTCGATTTCGCTTCTGCTAGTCCGCTTCAATCCTCAAATTAAAAATATCTCTCTTCCTCCTACAGGAGTGTCGGCCAGAAATCCCGACGGCACCACCCACCCGCAGCGCCCAGAAACGCCTCGTGCTCGGGTGCGGCGTCCGACCAGAAAGCTTTTCCTCTCTCTCACCCAAGCCACCCCCCAGCCAACCCACTTCGCACCTTGTTGTCTGCTGTTGAGTGGCAGACGAGAAAAAAGGAGGCGTTTTCGCCCTAGTCCGGATACACATCCGGGACGAGCTGCGCCGCGATACGGATGAGTTGAAGAGCGAAAAAGGCACAGCGAAGAAAGATGGCGCGCTACGCCACGAGCCTCGACTTGCGTCCGAACATGCACGCCACGTGCCCGTGAGATTTTGCTCTGGTTCCTATTTTTCTTTTTTTGCTTTTGTGTCGAATTGCACGCTCTCTCGTGTCGCCTATGCTGCCCGAGTTCCGGTGTGGCTTGATCTCTTCCCCTCGTTTTGTGTCACGCTTTCCGCACGCCGCAAGAGCGCGCGCTGTTCTATTTGCCGTCCGTTCGTCCTCGCTCCACCGGATGGAGTCTGTGGCTGGTGGCTTTTTAAGTCTGCTCTTGTTCCTGTGCCTGTCATTCGTGTTTTTTTCCTGCTCTCCCGCTCGTACGAATGTGTTGGTCGACGATTCGAGACTGCTCACATGGCAAAAACGAGGCGTCGCGCTTTGGCTTGCTTCTCGTCTGTTCGGCATCCTTCAGTGACGTGCTGCGGGCGTGAGCAAAGCATGATCGTATGCTCTTTTCTGCCCGCCCCCATTTCTCATCACGACCTTCGTCGAGCCCGGCTGGCCGCCATCAGATACGTGAGCGTCGATTGAATGCATCAATATCTCCTCGATGGAGACCTCCAGCAGGGCTGTACCATCGATGCATCTATGCAGTGCAGACTGCCGGCATGCAAGGTACGAGAAGTGGATGTAACTGCACTGATATCAATAGTTCGCCGGCGAGCCCCTGTAGAAGCCTTACAGTATGTAAGACCTTTCCCCCGCTCCCGCTTTGCACCTCCGCTGCGGTGTACCTGCGCGTGCCTTCGTTTTTGCTCTTGGCCACGAGGACGTGTAACCCAAGGGAAAAAGCAAACGAGACACCGATCACAAAAGTCCGAGAGGGGGTTCCCAGCTGTGCAACGCGGATGGGAAAAAAAGCACTTCGATGATGGAGCTAATTCTGATGGCACGACATGCTATCGTACAGATAACACTCCAACAAACTTCTTCGAACTGCTTCCTCTCTCACTCTCCTGCACTGACTTATAATGTTGAAGCGGCAGTCACTCAGATAGAACCCTCCTCCATTGAGCCCTCCATTATCCTGATCGTTCGCATTCCCTCAACAAACAGCCTTCTACCTTAGCTCGTCCTCGCACCCGACTACGAACGGGAACGTGCCAGCAAAGGGAACAACGACGGCAAGGAAGCCGAAAGCTCCAAGCAATAGACAACCGAGAAGCGGTGAGATAAGGGAGAGAGCGGCAAATGCAGGTCTCACACGTCGTTACACCCGCACAACGCCTCCCCCGTCACCTCACCGCTTCTTGTGTCCCATTCGGCGTCGCCGGTTTTGGGAAAGGAGATTTAAGCCTATCACGCAACCAAACTACCGTCGACCTTCCTACCGGTCCACGGTTTAAGGGGTGGAAGTGGGTTGTTAGGTTGTTTGCTAGGCTTGCGGATGCTCATACTTCATATACCAGTGTCGATGTCTAGATGGGACAAAGTGGTTGAAGTGGCATGCAAGCATGGGATTTGTCCTCATGAGGGCTTTGGTAGGAGGGGGTCACGCAACGACTGAAGCTTTCCACACAATCCATCAGTTGAAGAAGCTGAAGATGGTCTCTTCATTTCTGCACACGAGCAACCATGGAAGGCTTAGAATATTTCCACTGTAGCTACACCTCAAATAGAGCACATTGCCATCCCTTCTGCAAGTTCGCTGATAAACCCACACGTCGTCTCCAGCATCTCTCACCCACAAGCAAAACAAACATAATTCCACCAAATTACTCCTCCCACAACACCCGCAAGCAATACTATTACCTCTCCTCCACACAACACCCACAAACAATGTTACCTCCCCCCTCCCATCCCACACCCTCTACTCCCTCATCTCATCTCAACCACAGCCCCCCACCCCACCAACCCCCAAACCCTCTCTACAAACCACTCCTTCACATCCGCGCCGGCGCCACCGCCGCCCTCCTCCATCATCTTCCTCTTCTTCAACCCCGCCGGCACCACCACCTCCGTCAACGCCTGCTTGACCGGCATTCCCAAACACTCACTCATCTCATCCCTGCTCGCATTCTCCTCATCGCCGAAAATCGCATGCGCGAGCGTCTGCTCCAGCTTCTTCCGTGCCGGCAAGCTCAGTCCACCCCGCAGCGCTTCCAGCGACGACGGCGGCCTGCCCGACGACGATCTGGGCGCGAAAGGGACTGCTGTTGGTCCAGCTGCTGCGGTCGGCCTACGTGAAGCGGCCCCTCCAGTGGCGTCAGAAGCAGCAGGACCAGTGGCGGCGGACGAGGACGAGTACGACGATGATGAGGACGATGATGATAAGGGCGCGACGTGGCGCTGCGCCACAGCCATGCCGCGCTCGAGCAGCGATACGAGGAGCGGCAGCTCGATAGCCAGGGCGCGCGCCGCGATCTGCCTTTCTTTTTCCTTTTCCCTGTCTGCCGGCGGTGGCGAAGTAGCTGCTGCAAGTCTGTCCACGGGAGAAGAAGACCGGGAGGAGGTGGGGTCGGGGTCGACCCAGGCGTCGATGTCGTCCGCGATGGACGCGCACTTCTGGTGGCCGAAGGTGCAGAGGAAGATGCGGTCGCCCAGGCGGCGGAACAGGACGAAGAGGAAGCCCTCGACCAGTTCTTGCTGCTGGAGCTCGCTGCCGGCGGCTGAGGGCGCGCTGAGGATGTTTGAGAGGAAGTTGGATAGCAGCCGCGTCGCTAAGGGAGAGTCTTCCTGCTTCAAAGGAAAGAAGTTCGTGCTGCCGCGCGTTGTCATCTGCCTTTTTGAGTTGTTGGCGAGGGTGAGTGCTGCCTCGTGAGCCGCTTGGGCGGATGAGACCTCCTTGAGGGCGTCGAGCACGCGGCTGAACATTTGGACGAAGCTGTAAATGACGGCTCCGCGTTCCTCCGCTGGGCTTGCTGCGGACTTTGCAGGATCCAGCAGCTTTTTGAAGCCGAAGAAAAGAGACATGAAGATCCGGGCGGCACCCTCGAAGACTGAAATCAGCTCGTTGTTGTACGTAGCCAGAACGGGCTCCGGGATGGGGATACTGGAATCACTCTGCCGCGATACCGCTCGTCCGAGGCGTTGGTGATATCGTTGGCAGGCGGAGGTCAGTAGTGGCGCTATACGGTCTGCAGCCTGGACAATATGATACGCTAGTTGTCGGTCTCCTCCAGTATGGCCTTTGTAGTGCTTGTGGGCCTGGTATAGATGCTGGACCAGCTTTGTTCCTTCTGTACTCCTGTTATTTCTCCACAACAACCATAGCACGTAGAGCTTCCCCTACCTTCATTTACGGCGGTCAGAGCATCCATGTTCTCGGGAAGTGTATCTTCAACATCCTCGTCGGTGGTATCCGAGTCCTCATGCACAACCTTCCGTCGCTTTGCTGCTCGGGTCGATACTCCCGGTGGCGGCTCAGCCTTCCGTCTTTTCGTAGTTGCCGGAGCTCGAGTGGAATCCTTCTGCACAGAGCGAAGTTCAGACTTCAACCGCTCTATCTCTCTTCCTTGTTCGGTGACTTTAACTTCAAGCTTCGTCCGAGCAGCGTCCGCTTGGTGGAACCTCTGTACCCAGTAGCTGGCAGAATTAAGGTGTTTGTCAGGACCTCGATTGGTTTCTGGCCCGCCGCTTGTTTTGGGTTTGCGCTTGGATTGCACGTGCTCTCGTAGGTGTAGAATGTAGTCTGAAAGGGAGCTGCGTTATTCATTGGCTTTGCTCGGAGTGAGGCCTAGATGCAGGAGACTTACCTTTGACACTGCGATCCGGAGGCTTGGATCCAACAACAGCAATGGCGCAAGCGATATGAAGCTTTGAAGGCAACATTGACGCTTGCATATTGTTCAGCGTTTCCTGCCGAGCCACTGAGTGGGAGACTGATACAGTGAGCAGCCAGTGTGCACGAATGGATTTCCGGGAACCGCTTCTTGAGACCTTGGAATAGTGTTGATGTGGGATCGCTTCATTCTGACCTCCCTTCAGGCTGTATTTTGTTCATGGCGTGCGCAGGGTTGGGCCGTGGGCTGAAGGGAAGGAAAGAGAACAAGCGAAGCTGGAAAGGAAGGAGCGATGCCAAAAAGTCAAGGCCGCTGCCGCCCACTAAAACCTTTTGATTAATCGGCCAGCGGACACTAATGAATCCCATGAACTTCTATGTGTGAGCTGACTTGTTTTCATGCATGGCTGAGTACTGGATGTGCGGATTGTACCTTAAAATCCAGCTGTGAAAACATGCCTGAAAGACTTGAAGAAATGATTTAATATTTTAACCTTCCACATCTGAACCCAATAGCCCACATGATGCGATCATACATATGTTACAGTCCTCATACCACGTACCCATGAAACACCTTACCTGTACCGAGCGCCGTCCTTCTTCTTGTATGGCAGCTTCTCCGGCTTCTTCTTCTTGAATTCGATGTCCGCACCCTCGACACCAGCCTTCTTCATCACCTCATCCATGTTCTCATCCCACTCCGTCCTGAACATATTGATACCAACAGGCGTCAGGCGATACTTGTCGATGAAGCTGCGCAGGATGAATCCATCCCTCGGAACATTCTCCTTGATCTTTGCAACATGCAGAGTCTTGCCCTTCTGTTGCTCGAGAACGAAAATAGAGTACCTGTGGTAGGGGCTGCCCTTTTGAGCAAACGGCGGGAGCCAGGGGAGCACAACTTGAGATTCTTCCGACAGCTTCGCAAGGCGGACCCAGGGCGTCGTAGGCGAAACCGGAATGTTTGCGGCGATGTAGTGGCAGCGGTAGTCGAAGCCGTCCTTCTCGACGTTCGGCACGTCCGAGTCGACGACCACAATCGTCACCAGTCTCTCGCCCTTGTCGAACACTTGCACCTTCAGCGTGGCTGGAATCTCGCTGACCTTGGAAGCGACCATGGCACCGGGCTGGACCTTGCTGTCTCCGAACAATATACTGACGTCGGCCTTCTGGTTGATAGCGGGAATGACGTCTGGAATGACGTTCATCTGGGTGACACGCTGTTCGACGAGCAAGTGCTTGTACGAGCGCCATTTCCTCTCGGCCAGCAGACGGTAGATGGGCTTGTTCATATCACCTATTCATTTCCCCCAGTCAGCATCTGTCTCTCCACCAATTGCCCTCTCCACCAGCATCATCTCACCTTGCCCATCCTCAAACTTCTTTTTCACGATCGGATCATTGATATCAGCCTGAATCTTCAGGTCCTCCAGATGCTTCCGCATGCTCGCCAGCCGCACGTCCTTCGCGCGCTGGCCGCCCGACACGGCCGGGTCCTGCGCCTCGACGCGCGCGATGCGCGCCCGCTCCGCCTCGATCGCCGCAATCTTCTCCTCGCGATCCGCCTTGAGGATCTTGCGCGCCTCCTGGAAGCATTGGTACGGCAGCTGCTCGAACGGGATGTTCGGCGACTGCACCAACGCCGCGCGGCGACGCCGCGAGCCCACCGGGTAGATGCCCGCCTTGATCAGCCGCTTCTCGTCGCGCCGCGTGATGACCGTGTTCGGGTCGAGGGTCGAGACGTCTGGTAGGGAGGATTTGGAGGGTGAGGACTGCTCCGGCTTCTGGACCTGGGCTTCGTCGGCTGCGGCGCTGCTGCTGGTGAAGGTGCGGGCCTGCAACGCGGGAGTCCGCGTGCAGCGGATGCACGCTTGCAGCGGGCGCGTGGCCTGCTTCGCGGCGGACATGACTGGGAGCGGCTGGGGGCGGCAATTGGGTGTTGTTGGTGGTCGAGATGGAGAGCGGCCGATGGGATCAACGTCCCCGAGATTTTTAGACGGCGCTGGTTGGCCCGCCGCGGCGGCGGAGCAAGAAAGCTTCACCCAAGCTCCTCGCTCCAACTTACACGACTCCCCCACCTCGCAACCAACTTCTTATTGATACATTGAACGACGAATCAATTGATTTCGTCTTCAACTATATCATACAGCCAAAACAACAAAACCGATAAAAAAGATGGCAAACACACGGCACATTTCCACGACCACGCAAGCTCTCTTCCGAGTCTTCGTCCAACCCACCATTGCAGCCGCACCCTCGACTCCCCGCGCCGCCTCCTCGCTCATCCGGCCCTCCACAGCCCAGACAGCAGGCGTCCTCTTCGCTCCAGCCTTCGCACCACACAACCAACGACGTACGGCGATCAAGTACCGGGCGCCGGTGGAGCGCACAACACCGTACGACGAGGAGATCGGGTCGCGATGGATCAACCTGGTCGACGCGGACGGCGTCTTCCACCCGCGCCAGAGCATCCGGAAGGTGCTCGACGACATGGACCGCATCACGAACCACCTGGTGCAGGTGGTGCCGGCGCAGAAGGACGCCGAGTTCCCGTTCCCCGTGTGCAAGGTCGTGGCCAAGAACGTGCTGCGCGAGCAGGAGCGCCAGAAGGAGAAGCAGCGCGCCAAGAAGACGCCCGACGAGCTGGGCAAGACGCTCGAGCTCAACTGGGCCGCCAGCCCGAACGACCTGCAGCACTGGTTGAAGCGGTTGAAGGAGTTCTTGCAGGAGGGGAGGAGGGTCGAGGTCGTGCTGGGCCCGAAGAAGAGGGGCAGGAAGGCGACGCCTGAGGAGATTGAGAACGTTTTGCAGAGCGTCAAGGACACGGTGGCGGAAGTTCCGGGCGCGAAGGAGAGGATCGAGCCGGAGGGTGAGGTTGGAGGCATCCTGATGTTGTCCTACGACGGTCCGAAACAGCCCAAGGAAGAAAAGAAGAAGGAAGAAAAGAAGAAGGAAGCACCAGCGGAGGAGGCAACTGAGGGACAAGACAAGCCCAAGGTCTCGAGGTGGAAGATCAAGGAGGAGGAGAGGAGGAAGCAGGCTGAAGCCGAGAAAAAGCAGGCTGAGGCTGAGAGAATAAGGAAGATCCAAAACCAAATGCACACGCAAAGGCAAAGGCCTGAAAGGCAGAGGTCTGAATGGGAAAGGCCTGAAAGGCAAAGATCTGAACGGGAAAGGTCCGCTAGGCCTGAGAGAAGGACGTTCGGTGGTGGTATGGGTGATCTTTCTAGGTTCAGGGTTGGTGGCAGGTAGATTTACTGCGATCTATAAAAAATACCCGCTAGACATGACAGTTTATGTAAGAAGTAGTCGGCTTCAAATACTGAAGCGATCAAATGTAGAATACATCCCCTCAACTCTCTTTCAAGACTCATCAGTCTACTGTCAATCACTTTGTACTCGATAATTCCAATTTGAGCATCCACATACCTGACGAATCAGTCACAAGATTTTCCCGTAGAAACTTTGATTATAATTTATGTGCATCAACAGTATGACTTTAAAGTGTACCAGAACGCAAAGTATTAAATATAATGAGCTTGAAAAATGAAAACCTAAAACGCCTTTCGAATTTATAAACTGCGCTGCAGGTAACATTTTCATATGCTCCTTCTACTGTAATTAGTCAGGGTAATCAATTGGATCTCTCTATAACACAAAATGAGAATTCCCATTGAGTACAGCCCAGCAAAATAAATGCGCCCATGTTTTACATCAAATATTTTCATAATATCAACTGATAGCTTACAAGGAGGAAACCCCGCCTATGCCTGCGCAACAGCAACCTTTGGCCTCTGAAGGTCGTGCTGGTGGGTCTCCAGAAGAGAATCCAACGCGCTCTTCTCCACAATCAGCCTGCCAAACTGCAACGCATCCTTGACATCGACATCGTGCCACGTCTTGACCTCGCCATGCTGACCAGCTTCCTCCATCGCGGCCCACAAGTTCTCCCGAGGCTTCGTCGTGATGACCAAACTCCTCCCATTCCTGTTACCCCAGCCATTCGCCTCAAACACATCACCCAGATACAGGGGGCTCGCGCTCTCCAACTCCGCCCCATCCTCCACAACAACCAATTCACCACGACGGTAGCGGTACGACAGCGCGGTGCGGTAAGCGAGGTCGTAAATCTTGCGCGGCAGGCCGGTCGCGAAGTCGCGCGGGTGCGGGCCGAACGCAACACCACCACCACGCAGCATCGGGCTCTTCTTGTCGCCCAGACGCGCGCGGCCGGTACCCTTCTGCGGCCGGATCTTGCGGCCGCTGCCGTGCACCTCGGACCGCCACTTGGTCGACGCCGTGCCCTGGCGCGTCTTGTCGCCCTCGTACACGACCGCCCGGTGCAGCAGGTCGCGCCGCAGCGGCACCAGCAGGTGCGACGACGGGTACGCGAGGAAGCGCAGCGGCTCCATCGTCGGGAAGCGGTAGACGGTCGTCGGTGCGGTGGGGGCGCGGATGTGCTCGGGGATCGGCGGCGAGTAGAGCTTGGGGTTTGCGATAGGGATGGCGGAGGTGGTCAAGAGGGTTGAAGGGGCGGCAGGGGCGGGGGCCGTGGTGGATGAGGCTGACAGCGGGGCCTCCGTTGCCATTGAGCGCGTTATCGAGGGCGTGGACTGCGGCGGTGACGGTCAGCTGTGCGGTCTTTGCGGGGAGCTGGATTGATGGTGTTGGCGGCGTACAGCATTGCGGAAGCCCTGCAGGCTGTTCCGAGTAGTGGAATTGACGAGACCCCTCAGGGGTCTTGCTGCCCCTCTGCTTGCCATGACGGGAATGCGGCTCTGGAGTTGCGGTGCCGGTGGTGTTGCAGACGGCGCGGAGGTACTTGGGAAATCTTCCCGCTGGGGTTTGGTCCGTGCGCACATTTCGAGTTTGCTGATGCAACTGCGAATTCAACCTTTCCCCGCCACTAAACCTGTACATGCCCCAAGGCTGCCGTCAATTTTTTCGGTCCGCGAAATAATCTTCGTCGTTAGGCGCGTCTTCTAAAACCTTCACTTTTCGCCCATATTTTTTCATAGGCACAAACCCGCCGCACCGCAAGTGAGTTCCGTCATAACCCAGGCGCAGACGACGCGCCGACGAGGTGAAGCCTGCTAACCTTGCTCTCTCCACAGCACAGAAATGAACAGCTCGGAGGAAGTCAACCTCTACGGTAAGACTCGAAATCTTCATATTCAGAACCACCAACTAACAAAATAAAGAGGTCCTTGGCGTTGAGCGCAGCGCGACCAAAGCCGAAATCAAAAAAGCATACCACAAGGTACGGAACGACGAGCAACCTTGCTCCCGCCGATGAAACAGCTTCCAGCTAAACTTTGCCCTACAGGCCGCATTATCCTCGCACCCCGACAAGGTCGCCCCGGATGAGCGCGAGGAAGCCGAAGTCCGCTTCAAGGCCGTCTCGCAAGCCTACGAGATCCTGTTCGATGACGAGAAGCGCGAGGTCTACGACACACACGGCATGTCGGCCTTTGACGGCAGCCGACCCGGTCCGGGCGGCATGGGCGGCGACGTCGACCTGGACGACCTGCTGTCGCAGATGTTCGGCATGGGCGGAGGCATGGGTGGTATGGGCGGCATGCCCGGGATGGGAGGAATGGGCGGCGCTGGCGGCCCGCGTCGGGGGCCGCGCCGGGGCAAGGACGAGGTGCAGGAGTACGAGGTTTCGCTGGAGGAGCTGTACAAGGGCAAGACGACGCGGTTCGCCAGTACCAAGAACGTCATCTGCGAGACGTGCAAGGGCTCCGGCGGCAAGGACAAGGCGAAGCCGCACGACTGCTCCGTGTGTGGTGGCCAAGGTTTGTCTTTTGATATTTCAGAGGGTGATTTTTGACTTACACGTTTTCCAGGCTCGACGCTTCGCATTCAGACCATTGGCGGCATGCTCAGCCAAGTCACGACCCAGTGCGCCAACTGCAGCGGAACCGGCAAGGTGTTCAAGGACAAGGAAAAGTGCAAGAAGTGCAAGGGCAAGCGCGTCGTCGAGAAGCGCAAGATCCTCGAGCTCTACATCCCCCGCGGCGCCCGCGAAGGCGAGCGCATCGTCCTCGCCGGCGAGGCCGACCAGCAGCCCGACCAGGAGCCCGGCGACATCGTCTTCGAGCTCGTCGAGAAAGAGCACCCCGTCTTCCGTCGTGCCGGCGCCGACCTGGCCGCCGACCTGCACGTCACCCTCGCCGAGGCCCTGACCGGTTTCCACCGTGTCGTCTTGACCCACCTGGACGGCCACGGCATCTCTCTCAACGTTAAGCAGCCCCAGGGCAAGATCCTTCGGCCCGGTGAGGTGCTCAAGGTCCCTGGCAAGGGTATGCCGGTCAAAAAGAGCGACGCTCACGGTGATCTGTACCTCGTCGTGCACATCAAGTTCCCTGAGGACGGATACATCCAGGATGAGGCCGCGCTCAAAAAAATCAGGGAGCTGCTCCCCGGAGCCGAGCCGGAGATTAAGGCTGAGGAGGTTGAGGACGTCGACTTTGAGGCTGATGCCGATCTGGACAACTTCGGAGCCAACTCGGACGACCCGCGTGCCGCCAACGCATGGGAGGATGACGAAGACGACATGGAGGGTGGCCCTCAGTGCGCCACGCAGTAAGTGCTTGTTATCAAAGCGTAGCCGCGAATCACTCTTCTAGAAATGTGCGGGGATGCGGGGAGGGTAAAAGTTGCATTGCAGAGGCGTTGGCCGGTTTTGGACAGATTAGATTTCCTGGGTTGGACGGTTTTAAAACGGTTTGGTGATGACGACTGCCCGGAGATTGGGCTACAGAGAGGTATTTTGTTCAGAGATCGGGCGGAGTTGTTGATTCTCTACCCTCAATATTTTATATAGCACATGGCTTGGCATGGAATCTCCGTTCTCAGTACCAGGCTGAGTATTTTGATGGCCTTGAGATCGATAGATCATGTATTAATGGGAGCTTTCTCTGGGGAACACCGAGATCAAATTATAGCAATTGCCGTAAAAACGTGATCTATACTGTTATGAAGAGTGAAGGCGGAAGCAAAACTTCGTTGCAGGTTTTCCCTAAAGTAGTGCACTTCTGCTACTCCACTCATTATCTTCTTGCTGTTGAGTTTGAGAGATTCTCAGAATAATGAAGTGCTTCAGGGAGCACACATCCCTGGAATATAGATCGCTCTTCATCAAGTCATAAACATCATGATATCATCCCAACGCCCTGCCCATCCCACATCCACCAGACCCCAAAGAACAATACAACCATACTTACCGCCAATTCGACTGCGTATTCATCCTCTCCGCCTCCTCCCGCTTATACTTCATCCACCGATCCACCAGCTCCTTATTCTCGCGCTCCAGCTCCTCGCTCCGCTGCTCCGCCATATTCAGCTGCAGATTCACGCTCACCAACTCGTCCTGCACGTCCTCGACCAGCCGCGCTTTGCCCTTGATCTCGCTCTCCCGGTCCCGCAGCTTGCGCTCCAGCGCCGCCACGCGCGCCCGCGCTTCCGCCAGCCCCTTCTCGTCGCGCGCTGCGCGCGTCTTCAGCGCGGCCAGGGCTTCGGTTGCGGAGGCGAGTTGTGTGGAGAGGCTAGCGCGCGAGGTCTGCGTGGCGGCGAGGTCGGCGCGGAGGCGGGAGAGGGCGTCGGTGGTGGGGGCAGGGTCTGGGTCGGCAGAGGTGGAGGCGGGGCTGGAGCGGCCGAAGCGGGAGGGGCTGGGTTTGTTGGTGGTGGTGGGTTTGGCGGTTGTTGGGGAGGGTAGTGGTGGGGGTGCGGAGAGGCGCTCGGCTTCGAGGCGGGCGGTGCGGTCGGCGAGCTTGGTGTCTAGGTGCGGGAGGAGAGGCGTTAGCAAAAGCAAAAGGGATTGTTTCCGTTCGAGGGGGTGGTGAACTGGGAATAGGAGCTGCGTGAGACGCACAAGCGTTGATGTGGGCCTCTTGCGCTTTCTCGCGGAGGTCGCGAGCACGCAGGGCGGTGGAGTAGTCGGACAGCCAGGCAGGCGACGTCATGGTGGATGATGGTGGTGGTGGTGTGATTTGAGGGAGCGCGCGAGGAGGAGGGTGCAGCGGCGGGTGCGGCGCGGCATGAATGGTTTGCGGAGAAAAGGCTCGGTTTTGTCACAGCAGACAGCAGTGTACCTAAGGTGATGGTCGTGACGCGGTGGGGTTGGATGCGCGCGTGCAAGCTCCAGGGATCGCGTCTCCCGGAGCTTTCCCGAGCTGCTGCTTAACGGCCAAAGTATTCCTCTCAAGCTTCACCCGTTTTCTCTGTCGACTGTACTTTGCGAACGCGCGCAAGCCATGTCGCTGTTGCTGTCCCTGGCGACGCGACGTGCCAATTTCGTTTGCACGTCGCGCTGCCTGCGATTGTCGCGTGCCGCTGTCAGACAGAAGTCGGACCACGCGACGCCGCAGAAGCCGCAGAAACCGCCGAAGAAGACGGAGCTGCCAGACGGGCCCGCCAGAACACGATTCGCCCCTTCGCCCACTGGATACTTGCATTTGGGCTCCCTGCGGACAGCACTTTTCAACTACCTCCTCGCCAAGCGCACCGGTGGCCAATTCTTGCTGAGAATAGAGGATACAGACCAGGTCCGTTGAAGCTAGGCGCAATCGTCCCCAAGAGAGCAATTGGCTTACAGAAGAAGAAAAGAACTGTTCCAGATGCTGAGGCACGGCTGCTGGAAGACCTGAGGTGGGCGGGTTTGGAATGGGACGAGGGTGAGTGTCGCGGTCTGCCTGCATGGACAAGGCAACATACTCACAGCCATAGGTCCTGAGGTTGGCGGTCCATACGGGCCCTACCGGCAATCAGAACGGACGGCACTCTATCAAGAGCATGCGAGCAAGTTGCTCGAAACCGGCCATGCCTACCGCTGTTTCTGTACCGCGGAGAGACTCAACGACCTGGCCCAACAGCGCGCCCAATTGGGACTACCGACAGACTATGACCGCAAATGCGCGCATATACCAAAGGAAGAGGCAGATGACAGGGCTGCCAAAGGTGAAGCTCACGTCGTCCGGCTCCTTGTTCCCGACGCATACCCGGCCTTCTTCGATCACGTCTACGGCATGGTTGGAAAGGGTGTCAAGCCAGCAACCAAGAAGGTTGACGATGCATACGACGATCCCATTCTTTTGAAGTCTGATGGCCTGCCCACATACCACTTGGCCAATGTGGTAGATGATCATCATATGAAGATCACGCACGTCATCCGAGGCACCGAATGGCTACCTTCTACGCCGAGACACGTTGCCATGTATCAGGCTTTTGGCTGGGAGCCGCCGTCTTTTGCTCATGTTGGTCTGCTTGTCGACAAGGACGGCAACAAGCTGAGCAAGCGGAACATGGACATTGACGTTGCGGCCTACCGGAAACAGGGTTACCTACCCGAGGCCGTGAACAATTTTGTTGTCCTGCAGGGCTGGTCTCACAGGGGCAGGAAGGATGCGATGTCTATGCAGGAACTGATCGATACGGTTGGTGGTCTTGCTTCCACCATTTCATTTCCAGACTGACTCTGTATGCAGTTCACCATCAAATTCACGAGGGGAAACACCACCGTCTCGGAGGGAAAGCTGAATTTCCTGCAGCACGAGCACGCACTTCGACGCCTTGTTCCCGGCGACCCTGTCTTCGACGAGACTGTAAACACGCTTGTCGCCATGCTCTTGAGGGGGGAGCCCGTCTCGTTCAGCGAACGCATTCTCAACGGCAGATCGCTATATGACTACGTTGTCTCCGTGCTCCGGATCGACTCCAAGAACTACACGAACCCCTCCGACTTTCTCATTGAGCATGACTACCTCTTTACCGATTTCACTCCTCAAAATAAGTGTCCGGAATCTGAAAGAGATCTGATGCAGCGAGTATTCAAGTCAACGTTCGCCCCGGAGAAGTGGACTTCGCATACAGTGCTCGAATGCGTTACTGAGGCAGCGGATATGATCGTAGATGCACGGGTAAAGGCAGCGAAAGACTCGAGCGAGGCGGACGCCCCGGTAGAAAAGAAGGTGAAGGGAGAAGTGTACAAGCATCTCAGGATGGCGTTGGCGGATGGGAAGCACGGCCCCGATATTACAGCAATGATGAAGCTGCTCGGAAGAGATGAGTCGTTGTCTAGGATGAAGAAGTATGTCTCTGCATAGTCACTGCAGATCGAGAAACATATGGCCATCCCTGCATAGGTGGCTTGCGCTGTACTCCTAGCTTACGGGGGAAATAATCGAATTCGCTCTCGACTCTGCCAGTCTTGGAAAGGTCAACCCGGAAAAGCATCAATACCGCCCTGGATAGCATCATGTATGTCCTTCACTATCTTCACCCCTTGTGCAGTCAGGGTTTCATTTGCCGTGTACGCTTTTGCCATCAACGCAGCACTGAAGGTATCATGATCGTTCAGAAGCAGCTTCAGACTGCCGACCACAATGTCGCTCATCCCCGACGCCTCGAACTGAGGCCTTTTGCCTTCTAGAGTCTGCACCGCTGACGGAATCGACACGCCAACCGTGTCTTCGGTGTGCTGGAAGATGCGGCTAGTGCTGGGCTCATCAATGGCGGGCGAGAGCTTGGCATCGGCATAGCCCTTCCGGTTGGCAATGTGGACGGCGCCGACGGTGACAAGGACCGGGGTCCCTTCAATAAGAGCTGTGACGATGTTCCCTCCCTCGTAGTTTTGCGTCGCCTGCTGGTTGGCCAAGACGCCGTTGTGAATGTTCATGATGTCCTGGATCAATGTGTCGGCAGTGACGGTGCGCTTGGCGAGGGTCGACGCGGCAGAGGCGGCGGTTGCAGCGGCGAGAACGAGGGTGGGCAGGAAGCGCATGTTTGATGGTTTCAATAATTTCCTAATCTCGGTTCATATGTCGAGGTATTGGCAGGGTCCTCGAAAAAGAAACAACAGCACCACTTTAGTTATCAATTCCTGCTCGACCAGAACGCCAGCCTCGGCATTTCTGGGGGATCGGCATGAGCAGATCCAGATCCAATATCGCTGCGGGGTCTCTTGGATGGAGCTAAGAATTAGATCCACTTAGTACAACAAGGCGGCTGAAAAAGTTGAGTCTGGCTGGACTCGAGGGCTTTCCGTGCTAGCATTTAGAGCAACTTCGCTTGCGTTCACGAGCTTAGGGGTGCAACCTCTCACGTCGATGTCCAGGTGACCAATGTTTGCGCTCCTAATGAGCTAACCGCACGCAGCCGAGATTGAATTATCGTCGCCAGCGTCTCTAGACGAAGAGGTGACTATGAATTGGTTTTCGCCAGCGGACCGATAGCGGAGGTCGATGACGAGATGCGACAATACTTGGTGTGGACGAAAAAGGAAATCGGATCGAGTCAGGCCCAAGCGCCACAAATGACTCGGGACGTGGGCTCATCGAAGGTTCCGTGCTCGGATTTTCTTGGACGTTTGGACGGCCACATGTCTATCGCGGCGAGAGGACCACCTCTTGAACCCTCCTTCGTACCCGCTGAAACTCCAAGCAAGTGCCATGCGCTATATGATTGTCTGTATACGCCCTCGTACACAGTAGACAGCTCCGGGAAGTCGTCAGCCACGGCGGGTGGGGACCAATCGGCCCCTAGACGCGGGTTCGGGTCAATTTTAAACTCGCCTACCGTGGACGCGGTCGCCTGCGCTCCAGGGCAACGATCAACAACAACCTCATCGAACGACGACGGGCAACGCGGGATTTTCGGTGGTTGCTGTCGCGGAAGCCTAGATGCGGCCGTGCGGGCCGGCAAGCAATCGCGATTACATCAAAGCTGGTGATCTGGCGCGCCGGTGAACGCGGTGAAAGGGTGGGAGGGATGTTCTCCTGATCCGCACGCCCGCGCACACGGTGCTCCTTAAGGCGGGCGTGCACCTTCTTGTCCATAGCGCCCACCAAGGCCCCTCTCTTCTCTCCTTCTTCACCGTATTGTTGCGTGCTGTAGGACTCGCTGGCAAGTCAAAGAAGGCCAGAGCCCCTCTCTTTGTTTTTCCCCTTCTTTTTCCCCCCCGTTTGCTTCATCTCCCCCACCAGCGCTCTCCCTCCTCCTTTCTCATTTCCCGCCGACGCAAATCATTCTTGTGTTGCTTTCCCCAGACGTTTCAATCTGGGGATTGTATCGATAGCGTCGGAGATCTGCAACTCGAGGCTCTTTTGCATGTTTTGGTGACCTCGTGCTTGTTGCGCCATCCTTCGCGTCCGTCCCCCTTATTTCAGCGTGAAGCAAAAAGAACCAATCATGAAGACTGCAACCGTTCTACTTCTGGCTCTCTCCATCGCGAGCAGCGCATCAGGCGCCGCCGTCATCAATCCCAGCGCTAATACTCGTAAGTAAAGCCCAAATTACCATTTTCTCTCCCTGAGTCGAAAACCTCAAAAAAAAAAAAGAGGGAATTGGAAGAAAAGAAACAGTCTCATCCACACTCTTTGAAACCCCCCACGCAAACCCAGTCCAACACCTCTCAAACCAAAAAAAAAAGAAAAAGAAAAACCACTCACATAATCCACCAGGCCGCATCGGACCCGGCGACGACAGCAACGACAACTACCCCCGCTCCCCCATCCCCGCCGCCGCCGCCGCCGCTCCGCCCGTCTCATCTGCCTCCTCTTCCCCAATCATATACAACAACACCGCCTCCCGCCGCCCCACCCTCGACGGCCGCCCCGTGGGAGGCCCCGGCAGCGCCTCGATCAAAGCCGCCAGCCGGCGCCGACCATGGGGCTGGAACCAGCCGCCGTCCGGACCATGGGCTAAGAAACAGCGACGCTCCGCCGACGCCGACGACGACGACCCGCTCGGCTTCGTCATGGTGGGCGCGGGCTTGGCCGGGCACAATGGCGGAAACAGAGGCAGCAGCTCCAACGCCAACGACGACAAGGTCGACGACAAAGTCGCCGCCTACGCCCCGGCCTCCGCCAGCTCCAGCTCCAGCTCCTCCTCCTCCTCCAACAACAACGCCGGCCGGCTAACCGAGCCACGCCGCCGCCCAGACGGCTGGGGCCACGGCAAGCGCTCCTCGGACGCTGACGCAGACGCTCTCCCAAACAGCTCCTCCCAACGCGAAGACTTCAAGCGCTCCACCTCCGACACCTCGCTCCCCATGCCCAGCTGGGCCGGCATCATCGTCGGCGCGTCGGTCGGGGCCACGCTGCTCGCCGCCGGCCTCTACGCCGTCGTGGTGAAGCGCCGGCAGCGCAGCGCGACCAGGGCCGAGCGGCAGGCGCTGTACGCGGAGAAGCGCGAGGAGGATGACCGGCGGGTGTGGGAGGATGACGACCATGATGCGGGGGAGTGGGGGGTGCAGAATCAGAATCAGCATGTTGTGCCGAATGGCGGGAGTGCGACGGTTGTGGTGGGGGATCCGGAGAAGGGGGGTGTTATTGTTAAGGTTGAGGATTATAGGGGGGTTAGTCGGGGTTGAAGAAGGGGTTGAATGGGGGGTTTGACATGAGTGAATGAGGAATAAGGTAGAGGAGGGATGGGTCTGGTTGGGATGATATGAGGTTGGGATGGTGGGAAAGGAGAATGGAGAGGAAAAAGGAAACGACATGAAAGAGAAGGAAAAGGGTCTGTGGGATGCTGGTCTGGCAAGTATCCTGCACAGCGGACAAGTGATGAGATGAGAAAGCCAGAAATATGTGACGTCCGGGACTGACCTCACCAACGAGGCGGCCTGGAATTAATGTCTAACCGTCCTTTGTGGTTTAATGCGAATAGGAACGATCATTTCTACTCTACAAATCGCCTTCAGTCAAATATCAAAGTAAAAGTAAAGTCAAATTCAATCAATAAAATGATATAATCCTGTCATATCTTGGGCTGTGCAAAGGGGTTCATACCTGATGCACAGATCCGCAAGTCCGAGACCGTGGATAGTGTAAGTGGTGGTTTCTTATGCACCACTCTTGCTCTGTAGTCGGATTGATTGAACATGTTCAAGCGTCTTCTGGATGCACAAGAGAGCCGACTGTCGAAGGAAGGTATACTGTATAACCTGGTGGCAATCGTCATCTTTCATTCTCAAAAATTGCCTCGTAGTCCTATGCATCACCTACCAAAATTCCACGTATGCAGATCGCCATGTCTTGCCCCAAAACGCACGATATACCCTCATCTTCAAACAAAGCCAGTAAAACGACCGGAAGTAGAGTATCCCCAGAGGGACGGAGCAAACACGAAAAACCATTTTGAAGCAATATCATCTCTTAATTCGTACCAGCATCGTACCCATCACCACCAAGTTTTTTCGGATATAGAGAAAAAAGTGTATAAGCCAGCAAACCCATCCCATCTCCAACGCCTGGCCATGCCATGCAGAGCAAAATAAAAGGAATCTCGTGGTCGTGAAGTGCAATCGTCTCCGATCGAGTCGTGTTGAGCAGGAAAAGAAATCCGCAGCTCCCTCGCCTCAATCCCCACCTCAAGCCTTCATCTCCGTATCGCCATCCTCGCCCGGCACCGGTGCAGCAGCAGCAGCAGCAGCAGCAGTAGCAGCAACCGCCGCCAGCGTAGCCTCAGCCGGCGGCACGACGACGCCACCCGACGCAAAAACCTTCTCCTTAACCTCCGCCGCCATCAAGCCCGTCCTCTCCTCCTGCGCAATCTTCGCCGCCGCGCGCGCCAACTTCTCAAGCCTCTCATCCTCACCCGTGTTCGCGCGCTCGCTCTTCAATTTCCCCACCAAGCCCATTCCGAAGCCCGTCTTCGCGAGCTCCGCCTCGTGCACCTTGCGAGCCAAGTCGGCGATCTGGTTGGTGGCGTAGTCGCGGTTGGTCAGCAGCGGGCTGCTGGACAGGGTGCCGACCCAGTACTTGTTCCACAGGCTCTCGAGGATGCGGCTGTCGAGCGTGCTCTTGTAGTGGGACACCTCGAGCGCATAATAGCGGTCCGAGTGCGCGCCAAAGTCCTCGATCTTCCCCAGCGGAATCGTCTGAAACCCATCACCACTAGCGGCACTGGTCTCAGGCTTGTAGCCCTCCGGGTACGTGCGGAACGCGCCGATCTCGACCTTGCCCGCCGACACCGTGCGATCCGGATCAATAACCACAGCCAGAAACGGGTCGCCGAACGTCTGCTGCGTGGCCTGCGTGCTGACGTCGATGCCGGACAGCCAGCAGCCGTAGCCCGGGTGGCTGTGGTACCAGCCGACGGCGTTCTCCAGCTGGCCCGCGTCGCGCGAGCGCTCCAGGTACTGCACCAGGTACTCGTTGGCCTCATCCTGGGCGTTGACGCGCGTCTCGGTGCCCTCGACCGGCAGCCGCAGCGCGTCCGTCACCACGAACGTGTCGCCCCGCACGTAGCCCAGCATGATGCCCATGACCTCGATGGCACCGCCCGCCCGCGCGTGCATGACCATCTTCAGCATCGCCACCGCGCTGATGCGCACGTGCTTGAAGTGGTGCGGGTCCGCCTTCCACGGCCGCGCATTGCTGATGGCCTTTTGTGCTTCAGAGTCGTAGTTGTAGAGGGCGTCGCGGGTGGGGTCGACGAGCTTGATGGAGTTTTCCAACTCTGGAAGGGCGAGGTCAGCTTGCTGGGCGTGGAAAGAATTGACTCGAGGGAGGGCTCACCCCAGCTCTTCATAGCCTGCTCCATGGTGGCGGTGTGACGAGGGTGCGGGATGGATGTTGAGAGAGGCACAGAGGTGATGTCGCGGGTGGGACAGTAGCCTGGAGCTTTATCGCTTATCGCGACGATGCAAACGCGCCAAACAGCCAGGCACAGAGCTACAGCTTTGCAACCAATCACAGCACGGCTCATTCCAGCTCACGATTGCTGCAGCAAATATCATTCTCAGTCCTGAAAGCGTGCTCCATTATCATTCTCGGTATCTTTATAAAAGCCCATTAAAAACTCCAAGCCATTGAATAAACGCCTTGAGGAAATCCCAGCCTGTCTCGTAATCTACTCCCATAACCCAGTACAACTTTTCCTCACATCGAGGCGCCCACATATCTAGTGTGCGCAAAATAAGCCATGCAAAAGTATAAGTGCTCCTGAGCGCAGCTATCACCTTTTACCATACCACCGCATCATGGTCGAAGCGGACCAGCTCCTTGCCCACGTCTTCGACGTCCTTCTTAGCTTTCATGCGCATGTAGAAGATCGGGCAGTCTCTGCTACTGCAAATGACCTCGTTATGCATGCTTCCCTGGCACCGCTGGCACTGCGTCCACAGCCTGGCGAAACGAACCTCCAAATCGCTGACCTTGGACAGCGTCTTCTGGTACAGCTCGCTAAACCGCGGACGACAATTCTCGCAGACGGCGCCGTCGCGCTCAATGGCGCTCGTCATGGGCTTCTTGCATCCCATACACGTCGCCGTCTTCTTCGCAAACTTCATCAGACCACCCATGGTGGGTGCTGCAACGGAGATACTTCGGGTGTGTTCTCCTGTCAACAGTGACGCGGCCTTCTTCTCTCCAAGGATGGGCTCGAAGATCCTACCGAGCGGCTTGGCCAGCTGGTTGTCGAGATAGTACTTGGTGTCGATGGGCAGGTTGTTCTCCAGCACGTAGATGGGATCCTCAGACTTCTCGTAGTTCTTGGACGAAGCGGCTCCCTTGATGATGACGTATGCAACACGGTCTCCCAATGCCGGCGCCGAACCCGCGTCGCGCTTTTTCATGCGCTCGGCAAGTTCGACGTGGGCCTGTTTCGCCGCGTAGTCCGACTTGGCCAGAGCTTTCGTAATCACGAGGTTCGACATATCGATCTTGTTCTGCAACAGATCCGAGATTGTCTCTTTGACGAAACTAGAAATCGTTAGCGAGATGCCATGACTAGCTACCGTGGGTCATTACTTACTCTTGCGCACCGTTGACGTCGCGGTCGATCAAGAGCATACGCAGTGATGTCTCGATGACCGTTTGTACCAGCCGACAGTTGTCACGACGGACCGTCTCGATACCCTTCGTGTCCATCTTGTCCCACTTGTGCGGGTTCGTCCAGTAGAGACCGGCATAACGCTTCTTGTTGATGAGCAGGTAGGGAAAGTACACCTTCTCGAACTCGAGCTTGATGGGCTTGATGAAGTGCCCCGAGACAAAGCCAGCCGCTTCTTCACCCATCTTCATGGCGGTTTCAAGATCCTTGGGGCCGAACTTGACCATGACCGAATCCGTGTCGCCGTAGATGACCTGAGCATCGTGGGAATAGCCGTTAGCGATGGTGTAGTGCTTTTCCACCACGTCCTTTGTCTTCTCAATCATCTGTCGACCATAACTCGTCGTACTACTAGCGATTGCCAAGCAGGGAAGTTTGCCGTTGGTAGCACCAGTAAGACCGTACACACTGTTGGCACTGATCTTCAATGCCAATTGACGACCGTTCAGGATGGCCTTCTTGAACGGATCCTTCTCCATGCCCATGTCCTTCTTGGCTTGCTTTCTTGCTCCGAGCAATTCCTCAAAAATCTGCGTCAAGAGACCCTTGCGCACCTTTGCAGTGCAGAACATGTCGCCGTTGGGAGTAACGATGTAGTCCTCATCCTTCTTCAGGCCCATCTTCTCGGCAGAAGTCTTGCTCAACAAGGTCGTGTAGCAAAGGTTATGAGCCTGGATAATACTCGGATACAGAGATGCGAAATCGAGCGTTGCAATGGGGACGTCATAGTAGCCGCGAGTGGGTTCGATGACCGTGGCACCCTCGTACTGGTCATCGGAGCTCTCAGAACGGAGGTTCGGGATGACCAGCTGCTGCTCTAGGGCTTTCCGGTACAGCTGACTCAGGAATTTAACTTGTTGACCACGGGAAAGAAGGAAACTGAAGGGGACGCCAGTGACTCTTGCCATTTCGGTGTAGTTGACCAGACACATGAGCTTATCGAGCAATCTCAGGGGAAGGAAGGCATCTTTCAAGCAGTAGACCGCAAGACGACGTCTGGAATTGGAATCACCGTTGAATAGCTCTGTGATCATGGTGTGGTGCACGTCTTCCTTTTGTTCTCCCAGGAAATGAGCGCAGACAGAGTTCAGTGTGTAACTTCTCAGGTGGTAATCGCGCTGGATGAGTTGAAGGAGATCAAGCTGAAGCCGACCGTTCGTGTTGGTGGCCTTGGTGTCACGATTACCCATCTGCTTGCTGGAAAAGTTCGTTTCCTTGGCCACCGACATGGTGTTCCTGAGCCTCGACCAGTATGGAAATCTTCCACACTTCAGATGCTTGGCGCGGTCCAGCAAGTATGGGAAATCGAAGTTGGCAATGTTGTAGCCGATAATGACGTCCGGATCCACCTCCTCCATGAAGTCTCTCCATTTCATCAGCATTTTCTCCTCGGCATCGAACTCGAGAACCTGAGCGTTTGCAATCGAACTGCACGTGTCCAAGCAAAAGACGTTGCGGACGAAAGGCTTTTCTTCTCCGGCGACGGAGACGACGTTTGCGATCTGGATGACGGGATCGATGTTTGGTTCCGGGAAAATACCCTTACGGCCAGCACACTCGATATCAAAGGACAGGATACGCAGAGGGGCTGTGTTGACCCACTCTCCTTCGGCTGGATGTGCGATAAGATCGCGGTAGTGCACGTAGGCCTCAATCTGGCAGGTAGAATGACGGTCGCGGTGGGGTATCATGTGGTATTTGCTGGCCTTGGCCTCGACCCAAGACATACCGACAATCTAATAAAGTCAGAAACTACTCCTAATGTTCTGCGAGGGAACACGTACCTTGCAATCCACCATGAAGCGAAGCACGTATTGTAGGTTGTCGAAGGTCAACACGTTGCCATCGGCAGCCTTCCAAAGACCTTTGTAGTTGGCGCTTCCGCTTTCAATCGTTGTCCGCAGCCTGTTGATGAACTTCGGATCCGTCACGGAAATCTTGAGGTATGGGCTCTTCCGATTGCCCTGGTAGCCATAGATATTTTCTCTCATGGTCAATTGCACCGAATGAATAGCGGGCTGGTGCTGAGCGATCTGGGTCTCGAGGTAGGCCTTGAAAGGCTGGACATCGGCTTGTGTGAAGGAGATGGGGGCGGCAACGTAAAGGTAGTGCATGAAGTCTGTTACATGGAGGAGCACGGAATGGCCAGTCTGAAAGCATCGTGTCAGTAGTGCGTGAGACGCGGAGGCTGAGGCAGCTTACCTGGGTGACGCCATAGAGCTTCACGGTAGCCTTGCCGCCGTGAAGCGTTCCTTCCTCCGCATCGATCTGCTGGAAGCAAAGATCATGGCTCGAAGGGTCGAAGTCGTCCAGAGGCGGACGCGCCCATTTTTGGTCCTTTTCAGCGCTGGGACTCTTCAGGTCGGGGAGGGTTTCGCCCAATTTCTCGAGATCCTCCTCAAACTTGCTCTTCTGCTGGGTGGAGCCGGAGGCATTCCCGCTCGCGGTCTTGGGGGGAGCTTTGAGGGAGCTGCCGTTGAGCTTGCGCTTCTTTGCGGACTGCGGGGAAACGGCGATGTTGCGACGCGTGTTCGATGTCTCACCCAAAACTCGTTTCGAGGGGGTTGCGGCAGGCATTCTGACAGAATTTGCGAAGCCGCAGCTCACATTTGTCGAGGGAGGGTGCGGCGGGAGGGTTGAAAGAAACGGCGTTGGCGAGTGTGTTCTGTCGCGAGACCGTCGCGGTGACGCGCGCCGCAGCCCACGGACGCGTCGCTTTCACACATGACTCTGCACTTGGGTGAGGTAAGCTCCCACATGAGTCATACCGGCATCCCCGACGTCACCTCGTCACCTTGGTCTAGAACACAACAGCAAACTCCATCTCGCTCGGGGAGCGTATTTTCATGTATTCAACTTCGATGGCAAAGCGATCTGGGGGCCAAAAAAATTCTCTTCCTTCAAGGCTCAGGCAGCGCAACTCGGTCTCCATCAAAAGCAATATAAGATGGTCGCGAGGTCAATCCAATGAGGAGCCAGAGGATCAGCGCGCGCCCACCGCATAATGCTCGGAGTTAAACGTTGCCGTCAACCGAGTGACCCACCGCTCGCGGCTCACTACCTAGTGGGGAAGTCGGGAATAGCTTCGTGAAGTGCTGCGCGTGCTGCGTTGTACGACATAGCGGACGTCCCCCTGCATATGGCCAGCCCGATGGCCAGCGTTCGTGCGCAGGACGACTGGACGATTGCTAGAGTGGAGGCCTTTCCGCTACGGAGGGCAGTACCATCATCAGCCTCACTCTGCTGGGCAGCAACGATAAGGCGCTGATTCTATCATCTTCTTTGTTGGAGGCGCGCGATCTCCGACCGCTCGGCGCGGACTGGGGGGATGCCTGAGAGCCCGAAAGCCGACTTTGCTCCTTCAGACCCTGTGCACGTTCAGCACCCACCGCCTTCGCTGACCGAGGAAAGCGCAGGCGCGCCTTTTTTGCAAAATATCGATGCCAGCTACCGATTCCGATGCGAACGACTTTTCCCATCGTTTTTATCACACCACCCCCCGGCGCGAATCTCGGGCGAGCCGCGCGGGAGCTGGGGCGCGGGCCCCGGTTTTGCGCCTCAGGCCCAAATGACGTGGGAGCAACCACCAGCGGAAGCTTCGGAAGAGAGTTTGCACTCACGCATCTCACCGAGGCGCACCGAGCACTGCTGACCAAGATCCAATGGCGGCTCCGCGTGATGACTGCTTTTGCACCGATGAGGAATGGTGCCGGCTACAGGCTCAGCGGCAAGCACCCGCCAATGCTTGTTCCAGCATAGAAGCCCGCCCCAGGTCCGTCCGAGCAGAAGCGATTGCTCCCCAACCTACGATGACCAAATCTTTATTGATCGCGCCTGCCTCCGCTGACATGTGGTCGATGCGCTGCATTCTTATATTTTGCTGGCGCCGCCCCGCGGTCATCTCTTGCTCCTCAGTGTATCTCACATCTTCTCCAGTGCCGAGGCCTGACGCCAGGATATCTTGTGATAGACTCTGTTTTGTGTGAAGGTGTGTGGTCCTGAAGCACAGTCCTCCTCGAATTTCTTTCTCGTGCCTGACTGATCATCTCTCAGTGTCCTACTTCTTTGGATATCTGCAGCTGCTTCTCATAATAAATCATTATGGACTACGCCACCAAGGATAGCTGGGTCATGGAGCCGCCCGTCAAGCCCTCCTACCGCTCCAACTTTGTTGCTGCCACCAAGCAGAACGCCAAAGACTTCATCTACCGCTTCGAAGTTACTTACGGCCTCTACGTCATGGATTTCTGGGAGAAGACCATCGTCTACATTATCCTTGGTCTCATTATGTTCTTCTCCCTGTGGAAAGCTGTCATCCCGCTCTCCTTCGCATGCTTCCGTCTGGTTTCGCATCACTTCGCGCTAGAGCCAAAGGGCCTCCACAGTGTGCTGGAGCGCTCCGCTCAGCAAGAGCTCAACGATCTGCTCCTCGGCGGTATTAACACCACTTTCAATGGGAGCTCGCATGTGATCCATCTGTAACTACCTTCCACTGTATAGACGGCGGTCTCTAGACAGAGAGGTCGGCGTAGCATTTTAACGGGCGTTCTTTGCCCGAAGAGGAGTTTCTTGGTAAGCCCCCTCCGAGCCATTCTCCAGTTCATCATTAACAAAGACCAGGCTTTATTGATTTCGATATGACTTATACCCTTACTATGAGTCGACCTCTAGTATTACGAAGAGATGGATTGTCAGCGCATTTGTTTTCATTGTAGTTCGATCATCAGGGAAAGGAATCGAAGGTTGAGGAAGCGAGCAATTTTACAGGGGGACAAAAAATCACCATTCGCTACTGGGAAGCGCCGTTGTGCTGCACCCATTCATCACGATAACGAAAATAATGTTAACCACGCAACTATGAACCTTGACAACGTTTGTTCGGTGGTCCTCTTGCTGCGAAATCGTGCTTACGCTGGTGGCTTTGTAATACCGAGCTACACCGTGGCTCCCCCGCACGATTCCGTGGCACCAACCAACCGCAACAAACACTTCTCAATAGGGATCCAGCGGAATAAAGCGTCACCTTCGCGGAGGGTACACCGTCTTATAAGTCCTATCGCCGCGCCATGTGATAATTTGCATCTCACATAAGCTTCCTCTGTTGCTTACCGGGACGTTCCTGCGCACGTGGCCCGCAAGCCAATCAGCGTCCAGAACGGGGACGGGGAGGGAACTACCACCAAGACGTTCCCCAACTCCCCACATAATAAGCTCGCCGGGTTCTTTTTGGGACGATAAGCGCGAAGATTTACTATTGCAAGGGCCCTTTATCTTACATCATTCCGGGGCATCAGGTACCAGCCCAAACCCACGCGGCTGGATCACAACCCCAGTCCAGTCCCACAAACTTAGCGCGAAAGATGGGAGCACCCACAGCTGTGGATCATGACGTGTCCAAACTACGCGCCCTCCCGCACCTGGTAAACTGATTTTCTGTGCGGAAGGGCGTTGCTGGTTGGCTGGAGATAGCTCCGTTTATTTTTGCACAGCCTCACCGCGCGCTCCCGAAATAAGCTAAAACAGACATATGCTTATATGAACCTCATCTCTATCTCTCAACGAAAAGCTTGATCCATGCTTCACGCCTTCTGAGTGGGCCGGAACTCTCGGCACGAATTTCCTGGAAGCTGTTTATCGGGTTCCACTCTGTTGGCGCGATTCTGCCAAGTTGGATAGACGCGAGTGGGTACGTGGTGATCGGCAGGCAGGGATCACTGTTTTTTGCATTGATTATTTGCGTGCGGCTGAATCAGACAGCGCTAAGAAGGCAGTGTGTCTTTGGAGTCGGGGCGGTGATTGGTTGGAAATGTTTGGGGTTGGCTACACGACGTATTCGTATAACGGTCCTAGACGTGATACGGAGGACGGTGTGTGGCTGGTCCACGTGCATGTTTGATGGCGCCGATCTCTTCGCGCTTGTCTGCAACTTTATTTCGACTACCTGAGCCTCGCTAATGTTTTTCTTATTTGCAGGTTTGTTGTTCTCCTTGGCTGGCATTGTTTCCTGTCAGAGCCAAACATGCAATGTTCACATACATTGTTAGCGTGCGGTATTCAGTGTCAGTGGGAAAACTCAACAATGATGACGACTATACACTACAAGCAGATATTTTTAATTCGGTTGGAAATGTGCTTCTACTTGGATTTACATTTTGGAAACAAAGTTTTAAGCAGAAATTATGCTTATGAGGTGTGTATGATTTTTGTGTTGTAGTGAGAAGTATGTAGAAAAGCGTGAACTGGTTGGTGACAACCAAAGGACAAGTCGCTCTCTTGTTTTACAGAAGGTTCTTTAATACAAACGGCAGACGGAGGCTCGTGCTCGGGTATTCCATTGGACAGTCATTGCGCCTTTTCTTGGACCTAGCGCAGGGCCACTGCGACCACCCGACACAACTTACGACGCACCCACTCCGCCCGATATTGTGCGCACCCAAATTTACCCTACATTTCAAATATCGAGAATCAATCCCAAGACGTCGAGTCAAATGGCTTCTTTGCAGCTTGCCTTCCAGGACAAGGATGATCCAAACAGCGATGTTGCGGATCATGTTCATACCGCTGAAGTCGCTTCTTCTGACAATGAGAGTCAGCAAGCTGGAGACACCTCTTCTGACAACGAGAGCCAGCAAACCGGAGACACTTCCGCTGACAATGAGAGTCAGCACGCTGAAGACTTGAACAGCACCGACGATGACAGCGACAGCGACGAGGATAGTGACAGCGACGAGGATAGCGACAGCGCTAAGGATGTTTCTTCAGGCGACTTGGCCCAGTGGCTTGAGAGCCTCAACGACACTCCTGCTTATGTTCCCCCGGTCCCCCGTCTTCCCGTTGGCACGGATGCCCAGAACTTGCCTTTTCGGGTGTCTACCGCGGGTCCTCCGCCTTTGTCATCCAAAGTCCAGGAGGGTAAGATTGGTCACAAATACGACATCTGGCAGAACGAATGGTTCACTGGGTGGAAGATGGAGCCCGATATCGACATCATCCGTAACATGATCAAGCCTTACGCTCTCTTCTGTGGCCTTCCAAACGACGATATCAGGGTTGAATTCCTTGCAGCGGGCTCGTTCAACAAAGTCTACACCGTCCAGGCCACCAACGCTGTGACTGGCGCCACTAGCGAGTGCATCTTCCGCTGCGCCATGCCCGACTTCCCGTGGTACCGCATGCAGACTGAAGTCTCCACCATCGAGCTTGTTCGCCACCATACCACCATCCCTGTTCCCAAGATCTATGCGTTCGACTCATCCATGGACAATGCGCTTAGACTCGAGTGGATGCTGATGGAAAAGATTCAAGGCCAGACTTACCGTGCTGCCGAGAAGAGTGAGGCTATGAGCTCCGAATTGAAAGTCAGGGTGTATGAAACGGTTGCCGACTGGGTCGACCAACTCTCTCGCATCACTTTTGACAAGATGGGCTCCATCTATCATGACTGGGACAAGCCACTATCGGACATTTCCTCATACAAGGTCGGCCCTATGAACCATGACGACTTCGTTTACGACCTGCGCCTTGATCTTCCTGTTACCCGTGGCCCTTTCTCCAGTATGCGCGATTACCATCGTGCTCGTCTTGACTTCAATCTCGCTGAGGTTCTCGACCCTCGCATCAAAGAACGGGCCAAATACTGGACTAATTACAACATATGGGACGACGCTTTCGTCAACGTCAACAAGATCCACTACGAAAACCCTTCAAAAATACGTAGGCGCGCGGAGGAAGAGAAGTATGAGCGCGAGGCGAAGCTGAAGTACATGGGCGGGGCGGTAAGACCCAAGCCGTCCATCCCTACCGACGACGGTGGCCGCTTCTCTGAGGCTGACCGCTTGTACCCGCGAAACGGCTTTATTGAGGAGCGCTCCCAGCCCTACTACAATCTGCCAGCCGTCGAGGCCATGCCGAACTACTGCTTTCGTCTGCAGAACGTCCTCCCTCTCCTCTTCAACGACCCGCCGTTTGCGCCGCAGTCCTGCGCCCTCCACAACCCCGACATACACTCGAGCAACATCTTCGTGGATACCGCGTCCGGAACCGCCATCGCCCTCATCGACTGGGAGAAGTGCTTCGCAGCGCCCATGCGCACCATCGCCCGCTACCCTAATCTCGTCGACGCCATTACCGACCTCAAGAAGCCTTCGCCGTGGACGTCGGAAAGTTCCAAGAACTTTATGCGCGTTGAAAAGGAGCGAATATATGAGAGAAACTTGGAGGATCTGCATCTGCGCCCGGTATTCGACCGCCGTCTCGAGCAGCTGGCTTCTCCATTCCTGGAGCCGCGCGATAAGCGTGATGAGGGCTCGCCTGAGGAGTTTCTCGACAAGCGTATCTATGACATGGCCAGATTGTGTATCAAGAAGGACTAAGAACTTGAACGCTGGGAGGAGATGGCTAGGGAGCGCTTCATGGATTTGTGATGGTTCTCCTTATGATACCTGTTTTCGTCAAGGGCAAACACTTTCCTCGTCTGGATGAGGGATTTTACTTCAAGATGCCGGCTCACAGGTAGAAATTGGTTAGATAGTAGATGGCAGCTATCCAAGAGATGTCATTTCCTGGAGACTATGGTCTAGTATGATCGACTGATAGGGACAGGGTCAGGATGTATTGACGGTTACCCCGGCAAGCTGGGAGGTTTAAACATAAGGAGCCACGAAGTAGATGTAGAAACACACTTTCCCGAGGGGAAACTTTAATTGTGTCTGTTTTGGTGGTCTCTTATTATTTGCTACTAAGCTTACAGTGGACGCTTGCCGTTGGCGCTTGCTTCTGCTGTTCTGCTTGTAATTTGCTTCTGGGGATTGTTGTCCGCCATGAGTGCAAACCAAAAGAAAAGAAAGCAATTCTCTGACAAGTTTTGGGCTAGTGTATAGCTCTCTGGAGTATCTTCGGTGTGGCAGTTGTGTTAGCTGACGTAAGGGTGACCGCTTGCTCTTCTATTGGCCAGAATGGTTTCCGTTGTCCGTTGTTAAAATACAATTTCGGAGCCTCGCGCCCTCAAATGGACCACCCGCCTTCCCCGAAAGTCCCATCCAAATTTATCTTACACTTCACTCTCAAAATCAGCAATTGGACACCAGACTCGATGGCTTCTCTCCAGCTTATCTCTGAGGACGATGGCCCGAACAACAATGTTGCGGTTCACGTCCATGCTACCGACGCCGCCTCTACTGGCAATATCATTGGAAAACACACCGAGAAGACCGACGTCAAGGACTCTGATGACGAAGAATCTGGCGACAAGGACTCTGAGAACGAGGACCCTGACAACGAGGATTCTGACGACGAGGACTCTGACGATGAGGACTCTGACGATGAGGACTCTGATGACGAGGACGCTAACGATGAAGCTCGAGTTCCTGGAGGTGATGACCTGACTGAACTTCCCTTCCGCGTCACTCTCACCGGCCCACCTAAACTTTCCACCAAGCTCCAGGAGAAGGCCATGTTCTGGGGGTACCTCGGTTACCGCCACTGCATCGACCCGTTGTGGAAGATTGATATCAGTGTCGAGCTTATCAAGGAGACTGTTCGCCCTTACATGCGTCTCTGCGGTCTTCCCTCCGAAGGCTTTGATGTCGAGTTTCTCGCCGAGGGTCGCTGGAATCGGGTCTACACCATCTCCGCCTTGAAAGACGGAGTTGTCAAAGAGTGTATCTTCCGCTTAGCTCTTCCCGACTTTCCCTGGTACCGCACCCAGATTGAGGTGTCGACTATGGAGTTCATCCGGCATCATACAAGCATTCCCGTTCCCCGTATTTACGCCTTCAACTCGTCTATGAAGAGCCCTCTAGGCCTTGAGTGGATATTGATGGAGAAGGTCCAAGGCCGCACCTACGCTGATGCCGCGTGGTCACTCAGCTTCGAGACGAGGACGAACATCCATCGTAAGGTTGCGGACTGGGTTGATGAGCTTTCAAGGATCGAGTTCGACCAGATCGGATCACTCTACCACGATTGGAGCAAACCGCTATCCGATAGGCGTGCCTACTTCGTCGGCCCGCTGAACGAGGAAGAATTCAAGTCCGATCTCCGCCTCGACCACAAAGTGTACCGCGGTCCCTTCACCAGCATGCAGCAACTCACCAGCTCCCGCATCGCCTTCCCCATGGCCGAGGCCCTCGACCCTCGCATGGAGGAGCGCGCCAAGTACTGCCAGGCCAAGGAGAAGGCCAAGGAGGACGGCGACGACACGTTCAAGATCGACGAAGATTTGGAGGTTATCTCGGATCCGGAGTACACTCTCGAAGTCCTGAAACGCATCCCAGGCTACTGCATGGAGCTGCAGAGCATCCTGCCCATCGTCTTCGCCGGGGAGCGCATCGGCGTGCCCGGCCACTATCGCCTCGCCCACATCGACATCCACTACCAGAACATCATGGTCGACGACGCCGGCAACGCGGTCGCCCTGCTCGACTGGGAGCAGACGATGACCATGCCCCTCGAGTGGACCCCGGTCTACCCGAAGCTTGTCGACACCAATGAGTACGACAAGCCTGAGCCGTGGACCATCATCGGCCCACGCAACGAGCAACAGGCCGAGGAGGAGGACGACTACGAGCACTACCTCCTGCGCTTCGAGTTCGAAAAGCGCCTGAAGGAGCTGGACTCACCGCTCCTTGGGCACAAGGCCGACTGTACGGACCTCCAAACCATCGAGAACCACCTGGAGATGATGCACCGTGCTTGCATGGATGACGATAGCGATGAAGACGAGGTCTTCGTGTTGAGGGTCAAGGCGAGGGCTCGTAAGGCTTTTGCTAATTCGGTCGGGATTGCTTGATGGTTCAGAAGCTATTCGTGACGGCTCAGCACTGGATTGCTATATTGAAGAGCTCTATCGGCGAAGCTGCAGGACGGTTGTGTTTTCTAGTGCATGCTTTTTCCCTCTCATCGTTCCTTGGTAACTTGGTTGATGCATGTTAGTTCTTCTGGCTGAGAAGAAAAACATCGGTTCGGAAAGCTTGCTGAAACATCTACATAGCTGGTCGGTGTGGCTGCGTACGAGGGGACTGATTGATTTCCTCTTATTCTTGTTTCTTGGAGGGGCGCGTGCAGATGTAGGCGATGTTCAGGGAATTCAGAATAATGGTGCTGTGGGTTTGATATCTGCCGATGGTGCCTTCTAGCTACATGACCAACATTTGAATATGTGTTGCAAGCGATCTCGTCGCGCAACTTCCATGTCTCTGCGTTGTTCTAGGGGGGGTTTATCATACATTGTTGCCCAACAGTCTACATGAGCTGGCTCCTATCACGAGTAAAAGCATGCTCAGCACCAGGAAATTGTTCAAATTGTTCCAGCTAATGTATAAATCACAGATTCCGGCGGCTTGGATACCTCAAGAAGACGACTTATTCAGGACGCTGACCACAAAAGTCATCCCATGCGAACAATGCCAAGATTGTCCAAGTAGAGAAAGGTAGGGCCGTGACCTCAAAGCCCAAACGCGACCCGCCAAGGTGCCTGTGAGAGAAGTATTAACCTTAAAGAGCCTTGCTTCCAAGTGCTAAGCCAAAAGAATGCTCAGGCAGGTCGATCAGCAGAGCGGACGACATTGTGAAAGTGGTCGGAAAAGCAAGATGGAGACTTGCTTGCCGCTTGCATGTCTCTTCTTCCCTCCCCGCTCCTGTCTCTATTGTTCTCCGCGGAGTCCGGCGCGGGTGTTTGCCAGATTGAGCTGGCCTAGTGGAGTGAAGACAGAGAATCGTGCCCGGCCCATCTCGCCCTTGATCTGGTGGTTGTTCTAAGCGCCGTCAACCCTTATGCGGCACAATAGATCATGGCCGCTCTTCTGTATAGTGTAGTACCTAGCAGCCTTGCGTCGTCAGCTTCTGAGTGTTCCCGCTCTGGAGTGGATGTTGGGGGGGATCTCGTGCGGCGCATACACGGGATTGAGACAACTTTTCTTGATATTGCCTAATAGGGCGGGTGTGGTGGGCTTTCCCGCCCGACAGCGGGCAGATTGAACGGCAGGCCATCTGGGTGAGCCGCCGGGCCGTAGTCTTCCAGGTCCATGGTGGATCCGCGAAAGTGCGTGCGCAACGGTGCCGGATGGCGGCGTCGCGGAAGGTCTGAGCCGCGTTGTCAAGGGCGGTTGCCTAGGGTCACACATGCGAGATCTGCTGCAGGTATTATCCGACGATATGTGTTAAGCAGGCAGGACAGCAGACAGGTGACTGTTCGGCGAGGCGCTATCCTCGAATCAAATCGAGCGCGTAGTGTTAGCACAGCGCGCGCACTCCAGAAACAATGCCAGCGCGCGGAGTAACCCACATGATGCGAATACAATCACTGTCCTCGACGGCCCTCTTAACCTGGGCCAAATTTTGCTTTGCTCTTCCTCTTCCTTACCTCTCCACCCACCTCGCCCCCCAAGTGCTGCTCGCAAAACCCGCTCCGCTTCGACAACGCTCCACGGCACTTCTTCTCAACGTCACTCTTCCAGTAAGACCTGCTTCCCCCTCCTCTGAAGAACTTGCCTCTGACAGACACCTAGCACGTAATCGAAACCATGGGTGTTCAGAGGAAGCAGTGCTTCGACGGCTCTGGCTGGCCTAAGGATCTCAAGAACTTCCTGGACCTCTTTTCCGACGAGGAACTCGGCTTTGTCATCATGAGTTTCCAGCCTGGCAAGAGAGACAGCCTCGTCAGCGGTCCTCAGTACACTCATCATCTGGACTATGAGGGCCCGAGCAGTGACGGAAAGTGGCATCTCTTCTCTGTTGCTCCCGACTCCGGCGGCACCAAGGCCTCTGAGAAGCTTCCCAAGGGAAAGACCAAGTACGTCTGCCATATCGGAATCGCCCAGAACCTCTTCTACGATGTCCCGGATGGCTTTGGTACAATTGCCCGCGCCGCCTTGTGGGCAAGCAGGGTTAATGCGGTCAAGTCCAGCACCCACTACGTCCTGGTTGATGGGTCGATCCATGCGACCCTTGAGAAGGCCATCGAGGCTGAGAAGGAGTTGCTCAAGTCAAAGGCGCCCGCTGCGACCCACGCTCCCAACGGAAAGCCTTACTGGAACTGGGAGGAATGGGGACACCCACTGACCAACGAGGACTTCAAGAAGTACGAGACCCAGAAGCCGAAGGACAAGAAAAGCCAGCAGCAGCAGCAGCAGAACAACTAGAGCACTCCCTCGACAACATGGGATCTCCTTCCGGCTCTCTGGCTTTTCTGCTCACGGTCGAACGTTCTGTTCCGGTTCAAGCTTCGTGGCTTACTTGAGTCACCTCACCTCATCATGGCCGACATTTCCTTTCTTTTTTGATGCGAGCACTTGCGACATGACTTTTCTTGCTGTCTACTTGGCTTGAAGACTCTTCCCAGTAGACACATTGCCTACCTTCCGGACAGGATGTCATTTCCTACAACCGAGTTTTGGAGTTTGGTTCATTCATCCATTTCGGGACTGGAGGGTTCACCACCCAATAGTGTCCGACAAAAGTGTTTTCGGTCATCGGTCTTTTTACTGACGGGTTTGGTCTTCTTTCTGCACGGCGACGGCGCAGATACGGGTTTTGCGCTTTTATTTCTGCATAGCATGGCTGGCTTCTGGGACATAGCGGCATTTGGGATGGTGTTCAAGGGCACTTGAGCATCAGGCTTTTCTGCATAGCGATGGAGCTTCTGGAAGGGTTTAGGGCATGGTTTCAAATCTCAGAAGATACCCTTTCCATTGCTTGGGGTTGAGGTTGGGTCTGGATAAAATTAGAAAAAGTACAAAAAAAGTAGAAAAAACAAAAACCCCCCACTTCTATTACTTCATGCTCCTGGTGATAGTGGCGAATTCATGCGACTTGGTGCGGCCATGATGATATGATGAGCAATGCACCAGAATGCATGATGGACAGGTAAGCTTCGCGGCGGGATAGTTTGCAACGGCGCCACCATCAGTCTTCCGCTGTCCAGCACGCTCTTCCTCGCCCTCATCCTCGCCGCCAAGCAAAACTGCTTTAAGCAGCCCGTCATACTCCTCCGCCTCTTCTTCCGCTTGTCGCGCTCCAGCGCCGCCGCCTCCGCCGCCACCTTCGCCCGCGGCTTCGTCTTCCTTAGCCGGGAACACTACACCCCGCTGCACCTGCAATCCGCGCGCGCGCGACCTCTCCTAGCACACTCCAGTCTGCTCACGCCTCCCGCTCATTCGCGACGAAGCGCTGATGACCCTCGCGACCGGCGGATTCAAACTCGCATCCCTGTCGATGTGGACGCCCCACTTAGCTATACAGAGACCAAGGTTGATGTTGTTTAGAGATGAAAGTTGGCAACGCTGCGAGGAGGGTATTCAATGAAAATTACCTTTTCCGTGTCTTTTGACTAGTCTGCCTCTTTCTATCTTGATGGCCTCCTCGCATGAGAACACATCAAGATTTCTGATGGCGGGCCTTTCGATGATGTGGACGACGTCGTTCACCGCCTGTCAGTTATATGCTTCATCTTGCTCCACCTCTCGACCCGAGCTGTCGTCTGGAGTGTATGGGGAGAGTTTTGATATATCGGGAGGCCTGGCCGAGAAATCATACTGAACTCGTGTGGCTTTATCAATGCTAAGGAAAGCAAAAAGCCTCCCAACAGGAGCACACGTGGGCACGCCTTTCTGAAAATGAGCTTCTAGCTTCGGAAAGGAACCCATTAAGGCTCTTCCTGATTAACTTACCGTAAAGTTCTCCATTCAGTGTAAAAAAGGATTTGTTCGCGTCATAATCAACGCCGCAGCCAATGATGTCATCTTTCTTCAGTGGATAAAATGACTGCCAGCGAGCTGATTCTCCGCGAAAGATGGCTTCTAGCCTAAAAGGTTCCCGGCTGCGCAGAGCAGCATGGCAGGACTTGGGGCCGATTTTGGTCTTGCCCGTGCCGGAGAGAAGTTCCGTGCAGCACAAGCCAATTCCAGCACTATACCTGGTGTCCTGGTCCCTGAATATTGATTGTGAGCATAATATGGCATATAATGGATTTCTTTCCTTACCGCGTCGAACCAAGTATCTGAATTTGGAACCATATCTTCCTCGCTGTCGCAACGAAAGGATGGTCTGATCGAACGTACTGAGTCATCCACTTCGCTTTGGCACGTGCGAAGTATTTAGTCATTCATCACATAAAGAAAACGTGTCTCCGAATGATTACCTACCTTCCAGTATCTGCTCAGATCCCGAGATCTCGATATTGTTGCGGATTTCGTTGAGATTAATGAAGGTTGAGGGGTAAAAGCATCGAAACAGAGGCCCATCTGCCGACACATGCCATAAAGCCTTGCTGATACTATCGTGACCATTCTTGATTGCAAGAAAAAGCGCAGTCCACTGGTGACGATCCAGGATATGTGGATCAGCACCTCTATTTAGCAACAACTCCACGACATTTAGGTGACCTCTGGACGAAGCTGCGTGTAGTGCAGAACCATAGTCACTGCGAGTATGGTTTGGGTCTGCTCCGAGACTGAGCAACACGTTGACTGTATCGAGTCGGCCCCAGAATGACGCGATTTGGAGGAGATCCCCGTACTCTCTGCCTGAACGGAGAGTCCTCGCAATCTTCGCCCGGCGTCTTTCAAGCACAGGTCTTATTCCTTTATCGTAGCCCGACTCGCAAGCAGCATAAAAAGGTGTCTCACCATACTTGTTTGGTGTCAAAATGTAAGCGCCACGGCTTAACAGCATGTTCGCAATCTTGGAGTGACCTCGCCAGCAAGCATAATACAGAGCAGAGTTCCCGAAATGATCGGTTTTGTTCGGTAGTGCGCCCTTGTTTAGGAGGATCCGTGTCCAGTCCTCGAAATTCCGTATGGAGGCCCAGATAAGAGGATACGTTTCCACTCCAGGCATTAGGAAAGGATGTCTGCTAGATTCTGGGAAAACATCTCCCCATGAGCAAGTGACCTCGACGTTTGGATCCGCGTCATACTCCAAAAGAAGCTCCACCAAGTCCTTATATCCTCCTAAGAGAGCCGTCATGAGTGCCGTGCAGCAATGGTCGCTGAAATTGCCACAGACTTGGTCCACATCGGCGCCTTTCTCGAGGAGTATCCTGACAACATCCATTTGGTGGTGAGCGCAGGCAACCTGAAGTGCAGAGCTATATTCTCCTTCGCCGCTATCATCATCGATGGAGTCAGGATCCTGAGATAAGAGATCCTCAACCGTATGTTTCAAGCCGCTCATGGATGCCAAATATAAGGGTAAGAAGACCGCGTAGGGATAATCGTTCTCATCGGAATATTCATCATCATCGGAATGCTCCTCATCATCGGAATATTCGTCATCATTGGAATATCCGTAATAATAGGGAGATTTGTGATCATCGGGAAGTTTGTGATCATAAGTTGGCATACAAGTTTGTTCCTCCGGGTTGTAGATGAGACTGGTACAGATGAATAAAGCCTCTCTGTGTTTGAAAAACTCGAGTATTGATTTTCGAGTTGCTTTATCTTCCTCTGCTCTTTTTGCATGTTCAATCCAGTATTTTGCCGCGTACTCTGCGAGGGGGAAATCAAATATCATGATATATTTGAGCCAATTCCTCCATTTTTTGAGACGTGACAAGTATGCAAGCAAAACTCTGGTGATGGATTCATGAGCTTTTGATGCATGCAGATTATTTTTGAATGAACCCTTTTCCCCAGAAGAAGCCAAATACTCTTTGACGGAGAAATGTGCCAGCTGTATTTCTTGTGTGTCCTCTGAGATGGTTACCAAACTTGTGCAAAACTTCAGAACACCCCGTGGGTCCGGCATTCTGTTCTTTTTGTCAAATTTTGGTTTGATTTCGGGTGTGGTCGCTAGTATATCGATAGCCTCGTCGGTTTTCAGAGGCCTTTCCGCGTGTATGAGGAACTGCAAGATCCGTGTGGAGTTTGACAAATGTTTCTGGGGAATTCCGTCTAAGATACGTCTGTAGGTTTCATCGAGGGTATCAGGCAAAGTATCCAGCGCCTTCAGAATATCATGAGGCATTTCGTATTCCTCCAAGGCATCGAGCTGGCAAGCGGCCCACCGGAACCTATCCTGCATCAGTAACTTGGAGATCTTTCGGAGGTGCGTATGAATGAGCGGCTTACATGCCGTCGGCTTTCTCGGTAAGCTTTGTTTCAATCTTAGTCAAAAGACTTTCGTACCCTTCCCATTTTCTTGCGAGCTTGCTCTTCTTTGAAAGCTTCGGCAATGCATGTCCCACATCGCGGCCCAGCTTTTGCCGGATATATGCTCGAATGTCCTCACTCACAGGACTTTTCTGGAAGCTGAAGGTTTCGACAGGTCTTTCCCACTCTTCAATGGAGGACTGAATGTCTTCTAGTTTGCGACTTGTGATGAGGATGCGGCAGTCAAGATTTCCGAGCCATTTCATCAATGGTTCGCGTGACACACGTTCACATTCGTCAAGTGCGTCCAGTAAAATTGTGAAGTGTGGAATTTCTTTCGACATTTTCTGAAACGTATTGCAAAGAGATTTGAGGTCAGGTTGGTTTTTTCCGTCCCCACATTCACAATAGAGTTTGCTCAGGTGTTCTTTAGTGGTTGTGTTGAGGCCGGAGAGCTGAAAGATCAACGATCGGACCATTTTCTCGAAAGATTGCTTATTGGTATCGCGGAAGTCAAAGAAGAAATAAGCGAGACTCATTTCTTCAGTAGCGCTTTGAAGGTGCTGAATGGTTGTGCTGCTGAGAATGGTTTTCCCGCAGCCAGGAATACCATGCACCCAGAGGGCTGATTTCGGATTTGTTTTCCAGACTGAAAACTCTGTGCTTTCTAGGAACCACTGCCCAGTTCCTTCTAGATGTTTCCCCTTTGCAGCATTGTGATTTATCGAGGGATTTGGAGGTGAAATCCATGTCTCAATCTTCCTGTCTTGATCGCTTTGGAAAATCCGGCTTGTGTCTTGTACCATCTGCTTCATATCTTCATGTAATGTCAGCAAGTCATATTTAAAGGCGCCACAATGAGATTTGGAAATATCGATATGCTAACCTTTCTCAGGTATGCTACATTGCTTGACCTGGTCCACTGGCATATGAAAAAAGAGCTCCCTTGCATACGCGGCCGCAGAAGCAGCTGCATATGGTTGCCAGTCGTCGCTCTTGGATTGGTCGGCGTAGTCTGATATTCCCCGGATGACAAGGCAAGGGAAGTCCGCTAACGCTCCAGCTGCCTCCATCTCAAAACAAATTGCGCCAAAGGCCTCAGAAAGCTTGTCGCGCCATTCTGCGTTCTTTACTACCTTTTCGCCAGTCGCTATGGTACCCCTATGGACGACAATCCACTTTGGGCAACCATCATCGTCCATCGCTTCGAATCGGCGATTTCGGACGCCTTGGATCTCACGATCGTACAGGGGATCCTTCGCCTTTCCGGGGTATTTGTACTCAGGTAGCATTTCAAGGCTAGTGTCCACCCTCTTGAGGTGTTTGATAAGAGAGTCCTCTCGTGCCATTCTTCTCCTCACGCTCATATGCTGGGCGGCATTAAGCAAGACGGGAGGTGGTGGAGCAAGTATTCCAGTTTGATGGAGTTGCCCGTCTGCTTCCACTTTGCCATGATCGTACTGGATCACACCAGATTCTGTGCCGCATGGCTTGCTCACGACGACGTGGCCCAGGCGAAGAGGGCCCTGATCAGTAGTCGTTGGTACACCTCCCCCGATGCCGACGAGAAGGCAGAACCGTAGGTTTCGGAAGGTATTTCGCATTTGGGTGATGACCGTAGCTGCTGGGCAGTTTCCTGTCGCCGGAAGGCTTGCCAGAGCGATATTGTGACCATTAATACTGCCTAAGGTATACACGTTGTGATCGTTCGGCGATTGCGGCAACGGATCGTGTTCCCTATCCAACATGAGGATCGCAGGTATCTGCTCCACCTCAATGGGACAAATCCATGCTACCGTGTAGTCGTCGTGACTGAGTACCGACTCAGCCATGGTTCAAGCGTAGGTCAGATGTGTGGACGAAGGGGTCAGTGAAAACTTTGTGGACAAGCGGGCGCCGACCGCATGTATAATTGTCGCAGAAAAAGAGCCGACGCGGAACCTCGCCAATGAGGTTGCATTGCACACGTATGTACATGTGTTGCAGCCTGGTGTGGGGTCCGTATTCCAGCCAATGGATTGAACACGAAGATGATGCATGTGACTGGAGGCAGGGCTGGATATCGCTAGATAAGGAGATAATGCTGCAGTGTGCCGTCCTTCCGAGCTGACTGCATATGCGCCGTAACGAGGCGCAGTCTCTTCCTGGGAATAGATCAACATGATCGGTCGCCCGACTGCTCATTTTTGACTCACAGCGGCTTTTTGGTTTCAGTTTCGTACCCGAATAGTGCAGAAGACCTTCCAAATCGAGATCCTAGCCTGGTAATTCATCGTCATTAGAGCCAACTAATCACTACCAGAAAGCACCCATTCTAAGCTTGAAATTACCCGGTAAAAGTTAAAAACCCAGAACGATCTATTAAACAGCGTGTCAGCCTGGTCGAGACAGCAATCATATCATCGAGCGTCTTGATTCATTCCTCTGCATCCATGTGACGTGTTGCATGCGATGAATCAGACGACATTGCAAGCCTGCTGTGATCGCGAATCGTTTGATTATTCATGGTATTATTTTTCTGCAGATACCTGGGTGGTTCCCTGACCGGGCAGCCCTGTCAATGTCTGTTGCCTGCCCGGAATGTGCATAAGAAGTCATCCCAGCCCGTAGCTCTCCAAATATCATCGCTTGTCCCCACCTCACTGTTCGCGGCTACTCATGGACGAGTCCGACGAAGAGCTCTTCATTATCAATTTAAACGAGATGACCGATTTTTCTACAGATCCGAGGTCCACTCATTCTTACTACGTTAGCATGTTTCCGATTAGAAGCAAGTGTACGACGGAGACCCTAGAAGGCAAAGCCAGACCACCGTCATTAAGCGCGGAGACCAAGATAAATGGAAATTTGGTACCCTCTTCCTATTTTTCTTACATTACCTATACCTTCTACTCTAGTTATAGAGGAGAAAAGGTGCATCAAGTTTGCCTGGGTGATCTTTCTACACTCTCGTAGGCCTGTCACGATTCTCAGAAGGCTAATGATTCTCCCTTCAAGAATACTGACTTACTTCAACAGGTAGCATCAACATGAATTTAAAAAATGGGAAAGAAGCCTCAATTAGTGAGAGCGGTGGGTGTTTGTAATATGCCACTGCCAAGTGAGCTAAGCTGAACTAGTCGAGAAGAAAGAAATGGTTGACAGAAAGCATGGTAGCAAGCCCGGAGAAAGTGTGCAGGCCGTTGGTTTTGGATAAAGCTTGCCAGCCGGGTTGCTTGTCTGAAATGCCAGAGGCAGTGATTGTCCAACGACAGCAATTCAGCGGCCCGGAACGCCCTCGTTGATGACCATGTAGACCTTGTGCTCTCCGACCTGGTCCAAGCGAATTCCAGCCGCGGTGGTAGTCGCAGTCTTGAAGACGCAGTCATGGATATCGGCTGTCATCGAACGATCCTGTAGCATCTGGAGAACCTTCCGGCAGTGGTCAGTGTGCTCTTCAGCAGAGGCAGAGAAGATGAGAACGACGTTGTTGACCGAGAGGCAGAAAGTGTTGTCGAGGTCCGGGGAGGCCTCGAGCGCAGCCTTGAGCTCCTGAGCCGAGTGACGGGTGCCCAGACGAGTGTAGCAAGTGGCATCGCGCGCGTTGTCGAAAGCGGTTGGGTTGGACGGGAAGAAGACGCTGACGTTGGTCTCCATATAGTCGTCAGAGTTGCTTCCGGCGCGGGTGATGGAGCCGTCTTGGCCGATTGCGAATTCCGAGTGGTTTGCAGCCATGGTGGACTAAAATCTCTGGTCAGAAAGAGTACACTAGAGAGAGATAGGATGTTACAGACCTTGAGAAGATGGGTGGAACTTGGTAAGACGCAGTGGAGGGTGTGGAGTTGCGGAGGAGTTGCGGCGGCAGCGGCGAGGATATGCGCAAACAGTGCCAACCCGGCAGATGCTCGATGAAAGGTGATCACCGGGGAATAAAGGGTCCGGGCCGTCACCTGGCGTGCTGGCAAAGGCCATGGGGCGTGGTTGTAGCATCGGCGAAAAAGTGAAGCAAACAGGCACCTGATGATTTGTTTGCTGGCAGTGTTATGAAAGAGAGAAGAGAAAAACTAGAGCTCTTGCGAGGTAGATTGACAGATGAATTGTTTGTTGGGTCTTTTATGAGAAGAATTAGTTTTGTTATTAAACTAAACTATGGAAGGGTCTTGCGTGTGGATGATTTTTGATAGTTGCCGCTATCGCTGCGAAACGCTGGGAAGGCAACGGCAACGGATCATGACACGCTCAAATGACTCCAGCTTTACGGAAATACTCTGCAGAGCACAACACTTCTTCAGGTTCTGCGACTATTCTACGCGAATTCTGGAAGTTGGAGACAAGTCGTTCCATGCATTAGTGCCAATGTAGCCAAGGAACGTTTAGTCGTGCTTATCGCGTGTAAGCGTTGGCTCGTATTGTGCCATTCGGGTGGACCAACCAGACGAGGGAACTGACTGGGGCCATGCCGTTGTCACCTGCTGGAACAGGCATGGCGCCGAAGCGTGGCGATCCCGATAACACCCCACAATATGAATGTTACGCAGGATCTCGGCCGGCTCTGTTCCTGAAAAACATGATCGCAGGTGCAGCTTCCACATCTGCGCTGGCGCCGCTGCTAGCGCGTTGCGCATTGATGCAGTCCTCAGCAATAAATGCCTCCCCGATCTCCCACCTCGAAGCTGCGTGCGCCATCTTTCGTTTCACGGGTGCTGTTTCTTGTTTGTTAACTGCGCGAGACAATGGTTCGTTTCACCGCTCTTCTCTCCGTCGCGGCGGCCACGCAAGCCGTTCTGGCTACGCCCATCCGCGCCCGCACTCCCTACGCTGTCAAGGAGAGCCATTACGTGCCCCGCCAGTGGTCCAAGACTGGTCCCGCTCCTGAGAGCCATGTTATCCACTTGCACATTGGCCTGAAGCAGAGCCAATTCGACGAGCTCGAACGCCACTTGTACGAAGGTACGTCTTTCCGTTGTAAAATTGTTAGTGCTAGTGCTGACCACTACGGATGACTAGTGTCTGACCCTGATCATTACCGCTATGGGCAGCATTTGACTGCTGAGCATGTGAACGATCTTGTCAAGCCTTCGGACGAGGCCCTTAAGGCCGTGCATGAGTGGCTCGGCGAAAGCGGCGTTGATGTTTCGGCGCTGCGGTACAGCCCTGCGCAGGACTGGATTGACGTCACGCTGCCCGTCGCAGATGTTGAGGCCCTTCTCGACACCGAGTACAGCGTCTACCAGCACGAAGACGGTAGCAGGCTTATCCGCACCTCCAAATGGTCTCTTCCTCAGCACCTGCACGAGCACATTGACGCCATTCAGCCTACCACCTCTTTCATGCGGACGGGTGCTCAGGCCAGTAATGCTCTGGAGCTCGCGCCCTGGGTTTCGGCCAGCTACACTCCTCCCACCAACAGCACCATTGCCAAGGTGTGCAACGTCAGCTCCGTCACCCCTGAGTGCTTCCAGAACCTCTACAGCACCAAGGGCTACATCCCGCATACCGGAAAGAGCAAAGTCGGCTTCACCAACTATCTTGGAGAGATTCCCATCCGGCCCGACACGGAGCTGTTCCTCTCCAAGTACCGCCCTGACGCTGTTGCCGATGCTTCGACCTTTACCCAAACTTCGATCGCCGACGGCCCCGTGCAGGACACTGCTCTGAACTACACCCAGGCCGAGGACGGCATTTCCAGGGAGGCCAACCTCGACGTCCAGGCCCAGGCTGGCATTGCCGGGCCCATCCAGATCAACTCCTGGTCGACTGGCGGCAGCCCGCCGTTCAACCCCGACATCAGCACGCCAACCAACACCAACGAACCCTACCTCGTCTGGCTCAACTACGTCCTGTCTCTTCCCCAGGAGGAGCTGCCTCAAGTCATCAGCACGTCCTACGGCGATAGTGAGCAAACTGTTCCGGAGGCCTACGCTAAGAAGGTCTGCTCGCTCTTCGCGCAGCTCGGCGCCCGCGGAATTTCCGTCCTCTTTTCCAGCGGTGATTCCGGCGTTGGTACAAACGGCACCTGCATCAGCAACGATGGCAAGAATACGACGCAGTTCCTTCCCGCTTTCCCGGCCAGCTGCCCATACGTCACCACCGTCGGCGCCACCCACGAATTCGAGCCTGAGGTTGTCGCCTACCGCCCCTCCTACACCGACTCCCTGGGCCGTGTGCACAACGTGTACTCCAGCGGCGGCGGCTTCAGCAACTACTTTGCCCAGCCAGACTACCAGAAGAAGGTTGTCAACAAGTACGTCAAGAATCTGGGCGGCGAGTTCGACGGCCTCTACAACAAGTCCGGCCGCGCGTATCCCGACATCGCTGCGCAGGGTCAGTACTTCGCGTACTTCTGGAACGGCACCGAGGGCGTCATTTCTGGCACCTCCGCTTCTACACCATTGCATGCCGGCATCTTCGCCCTGGTCAACGACGCGCTGATCGCACAGGGCAAGCCTGTGCTCGGCTTCCTCAACCCTTGGCTCTACAAGAAGGGCTTCAAGGCCTACACTGACATCACTGGCGGAAGCGCCGTAGGTTGCTCGAGTGAGGGCTTCCCGGCGACGGAAGGCTGGGATCCAGTCACTGGCTTCGGTACTCCCATTTTCCCGTTGCTGGTGAAGGAGGCTGGTGGAAAACTCAATCATACTGCGAGAGGATTGTAGATAATAGCTCTCTATTTACTTCTTGATCTCTGTGAATAAAATCCTTATTCAAAATCGAGAAATGATTACCTTTGATGTGGATAGAAATTGTATTCATAAATGAATCCACTCCCTCTTGAACTATTGGCAACGTAGCTACCTTGATACAAAATGTAACAATGCCCAAGATTGGAACTTTGATAAAGGTGATGGTGATAACGACCTCTACAAACCAATAAGAACTGGAATCATGACCTACATGTACAAGGGGACACTTAAAGCCGAGTAGGTCACCACTATCTTTTCTGCACGAGAATACAAAATATCATGTACTTTCTTATCTAACCTGTATAGAAACTATGAATTCACATCACACAACACCAGTATCCGAGGCATTTATCAACTCGATTCAACTAGAAAATTCATGTACTTGTAGCCTTGGGAATCCGTCTTACATGCAAAGCAAAAAGGAAAAAGCCTCGCGAAAAAAAAAGGAGGCAAGCAAAAGGAAAACTGCGAGAAAGCCTATCGGAAAGAAAAGAAAAGGAAAGAAAGGAAAATTGATTCCCACAAAACCATCATAGTACCTCCACATCATCGCCGAAGTCCTCGAAAAAAGTAAAGCAAACCTGATTGAAAATAAGAAGAAAAGAAAGAAGCAAAGCCCATTCCGCACTCAAAAGCCAAAGCCAATCTCCTCCTTAACCTTCCCGACAAGCTCTGCAACATCCTCATCGATGAAGTCACGATCAGCATCACGCGCCAGCGTAAGCAGCTCACCCAGATCCGGCTTCTTCTCCTTGAAAGCCTCCAGATGCGGGGAACGCAGCACCTCGAGGCGCTCGCGGAACGCCTTGCGCAGCTGGTAGTTCACGTACAGCTCGTAGTTGGCCGTGTACGTCGTGTGCATGACCTTGGGCGCGTTCGGCGGGGGCTTCCTGGGAGGCTCTTCGAAGTCGTAGTCGTCGAAGATGGCGCTCGGGTAGGGCTCGATGAGGTCGAAGGGCAAAGTCTGAACCTGCTCCCAGTCGATGAGCGCGACGGGGTTGCCCGCGGCGTCGACGAGGATGTTGTTGCCCGACATGTCCCAGTGGTGGAGGACAGTGGAGGCGGGGCCGAGGGCGTGCGGCGGGCAGAGGTGCGGCAGCACGGAGCGCAGCGCCTGGCACTGCGCGGCCATGGGGCCGAAGGGGTCGGGCAGGCGGTCGCCGTTAAGGTCGACGAGCTCGTAGCGGGGGCGCGAGTGCACGACGGACGAGGTCTCCTCGTCGTTTTGCGCGCGGTATGACTCAATCTCGGCGCGCAGCTGGTCGATGCGGGCCTGCTTCGACTCCGGAGGCTGCGAGGCAAACTTCTCATGGGCTTTCTCGACAAGCTCCCGGTCATCGCTGTCGTCGCAGTCATCCGGGTTGGTAGTCAGCCAGTCGAACTCCTTCAGGGCAGCGCAAAACTCAGAGCGCGCCCTCTGGCGCGGGTCAATGACATCAGCGAGGTTGACGTCGACGAGGGCGCCGAAGTACTGCTCAATGCTGGTGTAGGGGCCACGGTGGAGGTTGTACTCAAGGCGCCAGTCAGCCATAAAGGTCTGCTCGATAATGGGGCCAACCTTGAAGTCATCCTTGCTGGTCGCTGGCTTCAGGCGGCGGCGATAGATGGAGCCGATCTTGTCAAAACGGAGGAGGGAGAGCTGGTGCATCCAGTCGGCAAGCGTTTCGGCAATCTTGATCTTCTGCTCCATGGTCATGTTCTCCCGAGCGTCGATGAAGGCAACTCCCTTGACCTTGTTCATCATCATCCATTCATGGCCGACGGGGTTATCCGAGTTGCTGTCATAAACGTAGACTTGAGGAACAGGGATACTGGTGTACATGCGAACAAGCTCCATGGTGGCGATCTCGCTCTCGAGCTTGTACCACGGATAGGCAGGAAGGCAGACGCGGAAGATGTACTCGGGACCAGTGTCGGGAGGCAGAGATGCCTTGCGAACGGTGTAGAGCTTGTTGAACGAGCCCTCGGCGAAATACTCAACCTGAAAGTCATCCTTGTCCAGGCCAACAAGGTGGATGTGAGCTGCGACGATAGTCCTGATGTTGGCAACATCAGGATCCTCAACCCAGTGTGGATCAGGAACGGGAGTGTAGTTGGGTAGCCACTGAATTTTGCCCTGCTGCTTCTCGGTCAAATTGATGGGGGGGCCATCGCCGGGCTGGGGAGGGAAGTGACCATTGACAGGGTCGCTAAACTTCGAGTCTTCGGAGTTCTCACTACCATCATGAGAAGAGGCAGTGTCAGCGGCATGAACCTGAACCGCAACACCAGTGTCCGCGCCATCCTTGGCGACAATCTGGAAAGTCGCAGGCTCCGGCTCGACAGCCGCCTCCTCCTCATCGACGTTCATGTTCGCGACGAAAGACGGCTCCGGCTCGACCTCAGCAACAAGCGTCGTACCATCCAGGGTGCTATCCCCAACATGAACATAGCTGTCATCGGAGCCGACGTTCTCGACGTCCGGGGTGGAGGACCTCGAAAGAAGCATCTGGTGGTCCGAGCTCAGCTCGGCAGCACCTTCCGCAACGAGGGTGGAGCCATCGACGTCAACAAGCGAGGAATCGTTCATCTCCTCTTCGTCAATCTCCACATCCTCCATCTCGACGTCCTCAGCGGCGGTGACGAACGACATGCCCGTCGTCTGCGTCAAGACGGACGTGAAGCTCTCGCGGTTGCACTGGAGCGGCGATGACGAGATCAAGGGCTCCATGTCGCCATCATCATCATCGCTGTCGGCGTTCAGCATGAAGCTGTCGTTCATGACGGCATCAGCATCGGCGCTGCTGTTGCCGCCGTTCTCATCCTCGCCCTCGCCAGAAGCGTTGTCAACACCACCACCACCGCTAACCGGCGCGCGAATCTGGTTCAAGCGCGCCTCGAGGACGCGGTTGTCGACCTGGTGCGGAAAGAGGCGGTAGGTCGGAGAGGAGAAAGACTGGTGCTCAATGGTACGGCCGCCGCCGCTGACGACAGTCGCAAGAGTAGCGCGCGCCGGGGTGGGAGTGGGAGGAATAGTGTAACTGTCGCCACCGACCTCAGGCAGAACCGGGCTGCTGAAGCCAAAAGCGGGCGAGTTGCTGGGGACGGGCTGGGTGACGGGGGTGGGAGGCAGCCTGTGCATGAAGGCCTGCTGGTGGCCGGTGGTGGTCGGTGGGGTCGGGAAGCCGGTCAGGCTGATGCGAGAGGCGGCGGCAGCAGACACAGTGGCCTGCTCGGGGGTCTTGGGGGAGGAGGAGCCGCCGGCGATGGTGGCGCTGGATACGGTGCTCACCGGGCTCGCGTCGTAGAAGACGTCGTCGCTGGCGGACGGTGCGGGCGAGAGCGGCTGCAGCTCAGCAACAGCAGAGACCTCCTCCTGCGGGAGGCCGGGGAGAGGCTTGTTCAGAGAGTAGTTGCTGCCGGCGCTGCCGGGAAGAGTTGGAGACGAGGCCGGGACCTCGGCCTTGTGGGCCTCCTTGACGGGAGTCGACGGCCCACTGCCGTTGTGGTAGAGGTCCGAGTCGTCGGCGCGCAGGTCAGCGGCGCTGGCGCTGAAGGGGAACTCGTTGCTGTGCCTCAGGCTGCTGGAGCGCGTGGGGAAGCCAGCGGGGAGGCTGGACGAAGCGACCACAGTGGTCGGAGCGCGCGTCGGCGGGAAGCTGCCAGAGGCAGTAGGAGTCGAAGCAGCAGAAGCAACACCCCTACGGCCAACGGGGATCGGGCGCGGCGACCTAGCGCGGTTGCGGCGAGCCTTTGCGGCTGCAGCGGCGGTGCGCGGGGACAGGAAGTGGATGTCGTACTGCTGCGCCGGCCTGCCAGTGTACGGGTTAACACGGAAGACGGTGCGGATCGAGGCTGCGGGGGAGGCAGACCTGCTGCTGTCGGACGTGGGCGTGATGGCGACCTCTGGGATCGTCGAGGAGCGCAGAGCGCCGCCACGGGTTGGGGTGGGCTCGACGGAGGTGTCGGCCGTCATGGCATCGTAGCCGCCGCTGCTGGAACCACTGCTGCTGGAGCTGTCATTGTTTCCAGTGCGAGCAGCCGGCCTGTTCTTCTTGAAGGTTCTGCTAGCCTTGCGGGTGAACTTCTGGAAGAAGTTCAGCTTGGGCGAAGGAGACGACGTCGAGGGCGGCGTCGAGGGGCCAACGGCGACGCTCCTGGTCGAGGCGTTGGCCGCCGGGGTGTGGATCACAGTCGCGGTCGACTGGATGGCGGTCGGGTTCGAGAGGAGGGCCGGAGTCGAGGCGCTGCTGGGTCCGGCGGTCATGGGCGCTGCGGATTCCGCGCTCGGGAGGAGATCCGCATTGGAGGTGTTGCGGCGCTTGTTCAGGCTGGTGGACGAGTCGCCCAGGTTAGGGCGCTTGCGCCTGTTCCTGAGGATCGCCAGCTTCTGCATGTTGAAGGGGTCGCAACTGCTGACATTGTCGGTAGTAACGAACGGAATACCGAAGTTCACAACGGACTTGATAGGGAACATGGCGAAGTGAGGATATGCGTTTCGTCGCGAAAGGGTGAGTGTGACTTACAGGAAGGAAGAGGAAGAGGCCAGGAGATGGGTGGGCTTTTATGCTTGCACACAGACCAAGACTTGTGTTTGGCTCGAGCGAGACGAAGGTGAGTGTGAATGTGAACTCTGGCGCTGTGTACTGAGCGTGGAGTTGTTCAGTCTGTTGTATCGCCGGTGTTATGAGAGCCACTTTGCGCAAGATTAACACTGCTGACGAGAGTGTGGGAAGATCTGAGCGCAGGCGGAATTGGCTTAACACGCCCCGGTAACGTTCAGACGGCGTGTCGGAGTACTGATCGCAAAGTGAGATCTTCCTGGAGCGGAAGACAGCCGCAGACAATCGCGACCCTGCGCCGCACCCTTCGCGCGCGAAGCGGAGCGGACAGGAGTCTTAACAGAAAGCGACAGGACGTCGAGGACTGAGACAGTAAGGCTGAGCGCGCGTTGTGGACGTCGTTGAAGTGGAGTGGAGGGATGAGGAGCGGAAGACGAGCAAAGACGAGCGAAGCGTTCACATATACAGCCATCCACGGTGCGCAGGGTCCATTACAAACTACGAAAGAGGCAGGTACGGGAATACGTGCTTCCGGCCTAGGGAACCTCCAGCTGAAAGCGTGCGACAATTCCATTCGAGAGCCATACGATGCTTCAGGTCCTCAGATCTACTCCCCAGCGGCGCCTGTATACACTGCTAAGTTCATCCTCACCGCGACCATAGATCCAGAAATGTTCATGAATAATGGCTGCTGGAAGCTCTGGGGCGGCTTCGAACGGTTTGTGTGCCTACAATATCCGCTGCAAGCGCTGGGCAAACTTCGATCCCTCACCCAGTAAGCGTGTCCCTCGCCACGACTTGGACAGCCGGGCGGGCAGATTGGCCCAGGTTTTCCAAAAGAGTGACACGTGCTTCAATTGCATGCTGTATAGCCTGTCTCGCATACTTGCTCCTCACAATCGAGTGTTCATGTGCGAGTTGTTCACAAACTACCCATCCTCAAGCCGTTCCGATGCCAAGCCAACGACCCTAAACACTTGCGCCCCAAACAACGCTGAACGCTGGCACAGACGTGATAACAAATGCTTCAATCCAATTGGCGTGATATCTTCATGTTTGAGGTAGATACTTTGATGAGGCATGCGCGCACACAGCAGCGGTAGAATCCATTGCCGGAGAACCAAAATGTCCGCCGGTCTCCAACGACACCCTCTCCGCCACAGCCTCACCCCATAACACCGAGCTACACCCAAGATCGGCAGTAAACCAAGAATCGAAGTGAAGAGCTGATGTCTCCAGGACAGCGAACAGCACCATCAAGCAGCAATGCCACCTACCACACCACTCCCGCCAACGAACAATATCCAATATCATTGAAAATTTTTTCTCAGATGGCATTACTATCTCGTTTTTCCCTTTTCATACGTACCTACACGTACAAACTATCTGAGATGGAAAAAAACAGAGGGTTTTATTGTACAAAGAATTTGGGTGAGCATTTCCGAAGCAGGATAGAAAGAAGAAGAATAAAAAAAATGTGCGTGATGCTCAAATGCTTCCGTGTCGATCATTCAATCCAACATGGCTCCTCTTTTCCCTCTTAAAGTGCTTCGCGCCTCTATCCAAAATAAAAAGCAAAAAAAAATCCAAAGACCCCAAAATGAATCTCTTAGAAATTAGGTTAAGAAGAAATGAATAGAAGAAGTCAAAAAAATAATCTCAAAGGTGGTTATCCAAAAACCTCCCCTTACTTCGGTCCCCATTCTTGCCACTCATCCTCCGCCTTCTTCGCCGCTACCGTCTTCTTGACCGGCCTCTTCGCCGTTGGCCCTCTCCTCGTCCTTCCCCCGACCATCTCCGCCGGTAGGTCATTCCAGTTCTCCGTCTTGATCTCGGGAACGGCCGAGGTGGATGATGAAGAAGAAGAGGTGCCGTTGACGCCGTTGGTACCGTTGATGAGGCCGCCGTTGCTCGCTTTCCTGTTCTTCTTCTTGACCTTGTCCTCAGCCTCGTCGCTGCTCTCGTCGTACTCGTCCTCCTCATCCTCCTCGTCATCGTCGTCATCATCGTCGTCGTCGTCAAAGTCGTCCAGGTCGTCGTACGAAGCGCGCGCGCGGCCGCCGCGGCTGGGCATGTACTGCATGGGCACGCCGCCGCCGACCATGCCCGGGTCGTCCGAGTACAGGCCCGGGGCGCGGCCGAGGATGGCGTCGGCCTTGCCGGGGCTGCGGCGGCCCTCGCGCGGGACGGTGGCGACGCCGTTGCTGGTAGTGAGGAAGCGGGAGTTGCGGTTGCTGGGGCGGGGCGGCGGCGGGGCGGGTTCCATGGGGCGAGCCTTGTAGTAAGTGGACGTGTAGGTGGGCGGGGAGGACGAGCGCTGGGGCGGCGAGTCGGGCACGCCCCAGCCGGCGGCGCGCTCGCGGTCCTTCTGGCGCTGCATCTGCGTGAAGCGCTCCTCGGCGATGCGCTCGCGCGCCTCGACCCAGCGCGGGCTGGCGTCCCAGCGCCAGCCGTCGCCGGTCGTGTTGCAGATGGGCAGCGCCCACAGCCACGGGTTCTCGCCCATGACGTGCCGCAGGTTGCGCCGCCAGCCTAGGTCGAAGGCGTTGGGCAGCTTCTCCGAGTCCAGCTCGTCCAGGTACTCGTCGTAGCGCTCGCGCTCGCGCGCCGCTTCCAGGTCTGCCCAGTTGCGTTGCAGCGATCGTTGTGCGGGCGACCCCGCTCGTCGGTAGTCCTCGCCCTCTTCCGGCCGCGTCACTCCGGGCAGTGCGTTGGCGTGGATCTCCATGAGCTGATCGCCGATGCTGGGATGGCCGCCATCGGCTGAGTCGACGTAGTGGCGCTGGCCCTGGTTGTTGAAGTGCTGCTGCATCGACTTGCGCAGCGGCGACAGGTACCGCGTCTTCTCCAGACTCTCGATGGTTGTCATGTTACGGGCGGCCAGCATGACGTGCCAGACGGTGAAGCCGGTGATGACCAGGCCAACGATGCCCGAGATAACGGCCAGCACGATGTAGTTGACGGGCGTCAGGGTGTCCATATACTGGTCGGTTGTGAACTCCTTCCAGCACCAAATGCCCGACAGCGCGAAGCAGGCCCAGCAGAACAGCGACAGGTAGGTCAGGAACAGCAGGAAGGGCTTGTAATTCCTAAGGCCGATGCAGGCGGCTAGCCACGGGCAGTGGTGGTCCATCTTCAGCACGCAGCGTTTGCAGGTCGAGCAGTGGTGGGCGCGGTCCGGCTTCTTGGTCTGGCACTTCTTGCAGTAGCGCAGCTCGCCGTTGGACTTGACGGTGAACGAGGTATACGGGCGCGACAGCTCCTGGGTGGGCAGCGAGGCGTAGCCTCCTCTGGTCTGGTCGATGGGCGAGCCGGGGTCCGTGAAGACGGCTGTGGTGTAGCACCAATTGAGCATGGCATAGAGGATCATAGCCACCCAGGCAAAGAAGTAATCTGGGAAGAGATCAGCAAACAGCGGCCCACGGACGCGTGCAGATCGAGACGTACCTTTGGATGTGCTGAGCTTCTCCTGCACGCCGATCTTGTACGCCACCCACACAGCCCAGGTGGTGAGGCCGTAGACAATGCATAGCGGGAAGTAGGAGACGACATTGCAGCAATAGCGCTCGCAGCGGCGGGCCCAGCTCTTGCGTCGCATGGCGAGACTGGGCGAGTGCGGCGGGGAGGGCGCGAGTTCAGCGAGCGTGGCCATGGCGCGGCGGCCGGGAGGCGGGGCGGTCGTGTGGTGTATGAATGGCGGGAGGAAGCGGGTGGTTCGGGCGGGATCCTCTGCGTGGTGGGATTAGGGGGGCGTGGGTTAGGGAGAGATGCAGCTATGAGGGCGTGGTAGGCGGATGCGCTCGGCGGTGTCTGGCTCAGCTGCGGCTCGTCATGGCGCTTTCCCGAGGGTTGAGGCGGTGCCGGTCGCTCTGGGGGCGCTTGTTGTCGGTGCGCGGTCGCAGGCTGGGCGGAGCGGAGGCGGACGAAAGCTGGAGATGTTTGAGGAGCGTGTGAGAGCAGCGCCAGCGGATGCAAAGGTCGAATGGGAAGCGCGCGCCAGCACCGCCAGCGCCCTTGGATCGCGTGGCGCAGCCCCACGTGATGACACCAGGGATCTGGTCCGTCTCGGATCTGGTGGCGGAAATAAGAAAACTGGATTCCACTCGCCCTCCCCGCTTGTCCGCCGCGCGTTCGGCGTCTGCGCCGCCCAAGTCCCCTGCCTGCTGAGTCCCTACTATTTTCCGCCCCGTTGCGCCCGCCCGTCGTCGACCAACAACACCTGCATCCTAAAGTCTCGCAACCATCCCGCCGCCAGCCTCCACGTGGCGCGCCTGCCGCCCGACGATTTCCCACGGCGCCGAAGAAGATCGTCGCTCTCGCCCTCAGCCACTCAGCCCTACCCGGAAAATTGACGTATCAAAACCCTCCCAATCGTCCGACTCAACACGGCCTCATCTCCGCTACTTGCCGTTCTCCACCAATTCTCACCGCCTGATGCTTTTCCGAAAGAGAAAAAGGGGTAGCCGTGGTTGCATTTCTGATGCGACTGCCCCAATTGATCTCTCATCATCGCCAGAGAGCAAATGTGACAATCTCCCATGCCTGCAAGTGACACCAAAAGAAACTTTTTTCATCTTTGCCCCAACGGACGCCCTGTGCCCAGAGCGCAAGGTACCATCGACGGATGATCGCCGCGCGATATGACTATCTCCGCAAAATTTAATAACTTTTAGACTTAATGAGCACCAACCACGTGGACTCTCGAGCCCCCGGCGAACGTTTAAATTCTGGTGATGAGCGTATTGGCACCCGTTCTACTCTCATTTACCAGAACTTCGGCTGCAACACAACTTCAAGATCTCATCAATCAATCATCACTGGCATTCTGCCCAATGAGCGAAAGACATACTGCATTCCACTATCAGCGGGGCAGTACCCCTTTCCATGGGGCCTCCAATTAGCTGAAGACCCAGAGAAAAAAGCAAGGACTAGAAAAAGAAAAGCAAAAAGAAATGGGTCAGATGGCGCATATCTCGCAAGAGACGGTCACCCGACCTCGAGAAAGATAACGCATCTCTGTCCCAAGCAATTTAAATGTGTGGAGTCAAGAAAAAAAAGTGAGACGATCCCATCAAAAGAAAAGACCCTCCATCTTGTGCTTGTACCAAGTCCTTTGATGCCCGTCCACAACAAGAGAAAAAAAAGTATCAACCAGAAGAGAAAAAAAGCACAGAGACACGGATTCGAAGAAAGCGGGAAAAGGTAAAGAGGCAGAGTCGACCAGACATCACTCTACGGGAGCGGATCCTTCGTAACATCCGGCATCCAAACGACGGCCGGACACTTCCGGAACGCTGCCCCCGCTTCGGCTGCCCTTCCCTCTCTCCCGCTTCCCCTCCCGCTCCCCGTCATCGTCTTCGCGAAGAGAATTGCTTGTCCTGGCGCGGTAGTAGTGCGGTGCTGCATTTACATGACAGTGCAGCCGACACCGCCGGAGGAGATGGCGCCACCAAAGTCGACGAGCTCGTCCTGCTCGAGGGAGTTCATGACAGTGCAGCCAACGCCGCCGGACGAGATGGCGCCGCCGAAGTTGACGAGCTCCTCGCGGTCGATGGAGTTCATGAGGGTGCAGCCGACACCACCCGACGAGATGTTGGGGCTCTTCGGGGTGTTGTCCTTCTTGAAGGAGACGGGAGCAATGGCAGAAGCGTGCATTTTGGTTTGTGGTGGTGGGGGGTTTTTCGTCTGTTTGTTTCGTGTGAGTAAGGATGGAATGGCTTGGTGGCCTTTCTGTGCTTGACTTACTTGAAAAAACTGTAGTGAGTGTGGTGATGGGAGTGGTGGTGAGTCTACCTTCGACGGACTCGTGGAGTCTTTTATACCGCTTTTGCGGCCTTGTTGGTCTGCTACGTCGTCGACTTTCTCTCCGCCGCAATATGCGTGGTCGAATAAAGCGAAGATCCAATCATCTCTTTCTTTGCCGACGGATGACCCTTGTTGTATCAATGGAAGATGACTGGAGATGCCTGTTGTGGAGCGAATGAGGGTGCTTTGAGCCTTGGCGAGTTGCAGTTGTGGTATTGTCCTCTCCGCCTTAGTATTGTCTCCCGCCACTGGTATTATCCTATTCCTTGCCAGCGATTGGCCAGACCAGACAAACGAGAGATCAAACGCATACTTGTGGCGACAAATGCTTGCTGAAGATCGTAGGATCATTAGGCTCCATGTGCATTGGTGGGACTGCCCCACAGTGATCATTGGGCCGCTTACAAACTCGCGCGTACCATCCGGCGTAACACCCGCGAGAATTACGACGCTTTGCTCAAACAGCTCAATATGTGCTACAATATCACAAGAGCAGTATCTCCGCAAAGCATGACAATGTCAGGTGCCGGAAGTAACTGACCACAAACTTCGTCAAGCCCTCACGCCAACACAGTGTCGCCTCGCTACTCGACCATGGCTTGAAGGAAGGCAAAGGCACAACCTGCCGGACCAAGAAAAGCCTCATTGTCAGTTGTCAGCTGAACAAATTACGGAGCAGTCTGTGGTTCGGTCTGCAGAACCCCCGCAACCTCACATATCGCCTTCCACATCCTCGGACAACATCCCCAATTCCAGAACCACCCCGCATCCCGCCCAACGTTCAAACAAAAAGCCGAATCGGGCTGCACAAAGACGTCGTCTCGTGCCGAGACCAAACCAGTATCTTGATATTGTCCCGCAATGCCGAGACGTTAGTATTGTCCTCCCCCCGCCAAGGCGCTAACCAGGCAAGGCAACTTTCACAACAACAACACGAGCATCAAAGTCACGATCCACACAAAGGCCGAGCATCCCTCAATCCAAGAGTCCGTCATAACAAATCATCATTTCAGTTACATGTAGCCCAACGACCCCAGCAGTGCCAGACGCCGGAAAGCCGTGCGTCGTTCTTCATCTACAGATAAAGTGCCCATGATATAAACGTCCCTGCGCGTAATTGCTTTTCCAAGAGAAGAAAGACGACTGTTCAAAGAAAAGAAAATCATCATCAACAAAACATAGCCTACACTTAACATCATTTAAGTATAAACCTCCTCAGTGAAAGCGTTCAGCTGCACACCGTTCTTAGCCACATCCTCATCCTTGAGGAAGAGCAGGGGCATCTCGACCAGCATGCCACGGACGCGGCTGAGGATCTCCTTGACCTGGCGGGCGCCTTCCTCGCCGGGCGCAAAGTTCTCGGAGATGACGTGGCCGCGCTTGTAGCGGCGAGGCTTTCCCTCGTGGCCGCCGTCTTCCTTGGCCTCCTCGTCCTTCTTCTCCTTCTCCTCCTCGTCGTCCTTGAAGTAGCGCTCGTAGTAGTCGTCGTACTGGTCCCACGTGCGCACGCCGTCGTACGGCACGGCGTGGAAGACCTCGGCGAAGGCGTCCGTGTTGGTCTTGGCCGTCGTGTTCCACAGGTTGAGGAAGTCGTCCGAGATAGGGTCGACGACGAGCTCGTCCTCGCGGCTGCCCCAGTCGTAGCGGTTGGGCACGCCGATGGGGCGGAAGTTCTCGTCGGGGCGGGTGTAGTCCTGCCAGGGGAGGAGACCCAGGTGCTTGCGCGTGATCTGGCGACGCAGACTGGCCGCGAACTTGGACGCACGCCACTCCTGGCCGTCCATGAGGGAGTCGCAGGGAGTGGGGTCCTCGATAACGACGGCGATTTCGGAGTCGTGGAAGCCGAGCTGGCTGCGGTCGTTGAGGTTGGCAGAACCGCAGATGACGATGCGGTCGTCGGCGATGAGGAGCTTGGAGTGGATGTAGAGCTCCTCGGTGACAAAGGCGTCGATCTCGGGGGTGCTGCCGGACCAGGGGACGTTCCTGATGTCCTCGCCGCCGAGCATGTAGCACTCGGAAACGCTGTCCCACTTGCCGCTGCCCAGGCCGCGGTCGCGGCTGATGTCGCGGGCACCTTGCTGGTACTCCCTGTAGCGATCCTCCTCGTCGTCGCCGCGGGGGTATCCGTCGTCCTCGCCTTCGCGCTCCTGGTAGCGGCCGCCGTACTTGCGGTCGTGCTCTTCACGAGCCTCTTCGTACGACACACCAGCGTTTTCCTCGGCCTTCTCAAGGGAGCCGCTGATGTTGAGTCTGTCGTAGTTGCGCAGGTTGTAGAAGCGGATGTACTCCATCGGGTTGATGCCTTCGGCAGCGATGGTCTCGTAGATACTCTTGCCCTTGCCACGGTTGATCGACTTGTACTGGAACTCCATAATGGCGCGAGTGCTGAGAGCCTCGTCCGACTTGAGGTCACCGGGGAAAGCAGGGACGGCGGGGATCATGACGATGGCCCTCCACTTCTCGCCGTTCTTGTGGGCACGCAGCACACGCTCGACAATGGCGGCACCGATCATGTTCTTGATGGGCTTCTGGTCTTCGCATGTTGCCGTGATGAAGAACTGATTCTCAATGTAGATGAAGTGCTTGCTGTTCTTGATGGTCTCGATGTAGGCGTTTTGAATCGAGTGCTGCGATGAATTAGCCTTGGTGAATTATTGAGTCAATATCTGGTACGTACCTCGACCTTGCAGCCGTGGCTCCACTCGGCGCAGCTACGAGTCAACTGGATCGCAGCTGCACCGGTGCCAGCACGATCATTGGAACCCTCGTGGATCTCACTCTCAGGCTGCTGCTCCTGTTGGCCGTAGCCGAAGTGGTGCTCAGCACGCTGGAACTGGTGGTGGGCGTGGTGCGAAAGGCTGGTTAGAGTCTTGCGGAAGCCGTAGCCACTGTCCTCCTCGCCGTAGGCAAGATCATCGTCCTGCTGCTTAGGGGCAGGCTTCTTCACGCTCAACCTCTCGAACCTGCCGTCGTTCTTGATCTTGTACTTCTCGTGGAAGATGTAGTTCCAGCGCTGGGTGAAGTGCTCCTGCAGATCTGCCACGACAGGGCCGTTGAGGCTCAGGGCAACGTCGGACCAGCCCATACGAGAGCTCTGCTCGCGAGAAAGCTTGTTGTTCTGCCAGTTCTCAACATCCTGGAAATCCATGATACGAGCATTGTTGTAGTCCTGTCCCGGCCAGACGATCTTGTTCAGGTCACCAGGGTGGACATCGGCGATCTCGTGCTGGTTGGTGTCCCAACGGCCATAGCAGAGATCAAGACCACCCATAAAGGCAATCTCACCGTCGATAAGACACAGCTTCTCGTGGTGGGCCCAGAAGAGGACGGTATCCTGGTTGGAACCGTAGATGGCCTTGAAGGCGTCCCACGGAGCAGTAGAAATCGACTTGGCGCTCAATGTGAAGCCCTTGAACTCGTCGATGAGATCCTGGGTGAGGGTGTTGTGGTCGACATAGTGGTCAGGGTGGCGCTGGACGGCAATGTTGGGGTGCAGGCCCTCGAGGTGGTGCTTGGTGTGCTTGGAGGAAACTGTAACAGGCGGGGCAATCAGCGGGTCCGTTGCCTCAGCATAGTCCAAAGACTTGAATATGACGTCCAATCCGACACGCGCGAGCGCCCTGGTAATTGGGTCGGTCGAGTCGGGGAAGAGGGAATGGAGATATCCGGGGAGCCAGGGACTCAGGTACTTACGGGTCAGGGCCTGCTCGACCTCCTTGTAGACGATGACGTTGACCTTGACGCCGCGCTCGGCAGCGGCCTGCAGCATGCGGTCAAGGCGGTACATCTGGTTCTTCGCAGGCGGACGACGCAGGTACAGTTCCGGGGAAAGCCACCCTAGGGCGAGTCAGCGCTGTGTAGCGTAACACGGCAGCGGGAGCATGTCTCACAGTCGAGGATCCAGATGGACTCCTTGGCCCGTTCCAGGGCCTCAGACACAGCCCACATGTAGCCGCAGCCGTCGACAAACCACTTGACGTTGTTGTCATGGCGCTGGGGAGCAAAGCTCAGGAAGCGGTGGTCGGCATACTTCTGAGCGCCCTCCTGGGCCGTCTCAGCAGCAGCGGTGCTGACCTGCTCGTGGGTGGTCGGGGCCTCCTCCTCGTGGCCCGTGAACAGCTCGCCGACCTTGTTGAAGAAAGAAGCCATCGGGGGCGGTTTCTGGGTGGAATAGGGCTCGTAATGGGTGGGCTCGCCTTGCGGCTGGGCGGAATGAGGGGAGAACGGGTGGTGGAGGGGGCGGCGGTGGGCAGAGGTTATATCCTACACGACGACAGATCAGCACATGCAAGCTGAAACAGCATGGACGGACATGATTCACGGCGGGCTGCGGCGGTGCGCTACTCACAGACGGCTCAGCCTCAGCTCTCTCCCCAAGGAAGCGGCGCCCAAAGTCGCCGATGAGCCCGCGCTCTCCACTTTCATCGCCATGGTAGTCTCCATAGGCCAGGTTGTCGTCGTGATCATTGGACATTGTTGCTCGGGGAGCGGCCTGTGCGCGAACTTTTCGGCGGGTCCAGCGGTGTGACCGTCCACGGCTGGTCGGAAAGCGGTGACGCTCCCCACAGTTGTAGGGCAGGCTCGTGAAGCTTGAGTCGTGTCTCAGGGTCCAGACGGCGCCAGAAAGCCAGTGGCGGGCGCCCGACCGACAATTGCAACCGTTCGGTCCGTCAGGAGGTCAGCAGCGCCTCGGAACCGGTGGTGTTGCGCGGCTCTGGTGTGGCTTGAGCGGCCGTATCGTGCTCGCGGCCACGACTTCGGTGATTGGCCTTAAAACACGAACCCCACCCAATCCTTGTCACCGCCCGGGATCAAGCTGCCCCAAGCTGTTATGCGTTGCCCAGAGCTCCAGCTGGCCTGAAGCTGTGACCTGACCACCAAGCTGTCGCTATCGTGCATCTTGATGCCGCTGTCAAACGGCTCCCCGCATCCCACGACTCCGCGCCGCCTAGCGCTTCCTATCCGCAACCGGCGAGCCGCGGCTAAATTGGTTGCTAACGGGCAAAGGACCCTGGCGATCTCGGACAGCAGTGTGGAGATAAGATGACAAAACAAAAACAGACGTCAACGCTTTTGCAGAACTGCCATGACCTCATCGCTGCGTGCCGGCCGGCGCGGTCGGCATATGTATCCCGCACGTGGTGCTGCACCTTACCCCTCCTTCTGCATCCCAAACCCCTCAAATCATTGAGCCGCATCACGCAGTTGTATATATACATCCATCATCATGGCCTCCGCATCGCTGACCACCCGCCTCGCTCCCCGCGCCCTGCTGCCCCTCTCCGCCAGGCTTGCCCTCCCCGCTTTTGCCGCCCACCAGCACCGTTTGTTCCATCAATCGTCCACAATGGCCTCCAAGCACCCCATCACCACTCTTGATGTATGTCCCGTAGTCAATGTCACGCATGCATGCATATACTGATCTCTGTAGGCCTCCCTGATCCCCCGCCTGCCCGAGTCGTCCCCGACTCTGTTTGAGGCGAAGAAGGCGAAGAACCTCTCGTTCGAGGCCATTGCGCAGAAGCTCGGCCGCGAGGAGGTCGCCGTCGCCGCGCTGTTCTACGGCCAGTCTGCCGCCAGCGAGGAGGACGTCAAGAACCTGTCCGAGATCCTCGGCATCCCCGTTGAGAAGCTCCGGAGCCAGCTCGCCGGCCACCCAGACCGCGGCCGCACCATGGAGATGCCTCCCAGGGAGCCTCTGATCTACCGCTTGTACGAGATTGTGCAGAACTACGGCTACGCCTACAAGGCCGTCCTCAATGAGAAGTTCGGCGACGGCATCATGAGTGCTATTTCCTTCTCCACCACGGTGAAGAAGGAGACTGATGAGAAGGGTGATTGGGCCGTCATTACCCTCCGCGGCAAGTGGTATGTTTCATTGATGCAGTTTATCTGCTCGGTTACTGACTGAAGTAGGCTTCCGTATTCCCGCTTCTGAGCGTATGATATTTCCATCTGGAGCTGGACTTCTAACTAGCAATTTGCATTCTGTGAGAAGCGATAGAATAACGGTTAATGAAGTCTATGTTATGAATCCTCATGCGTTCCGCAGATGTTAACCTGCAGTTCCTCCAAGTGAAGGAAACTACTGATTGACTAGACAGTGACTATAGAGTGAGAAGAGGAGCTTTAGGACAATGTCTTCCCTTCTCAGAATGAACTCTCCCGCTGGTCACTGATTGCTAACCTGATATGAGGGACCGCCTGGTGCACCTGCCTCAGCGCCGTCTGAAATGCCGCACCGCATCCTCGGCATCATTCATCCTAGCTCTGCTTGCCGGAATTCCCTTCTCTCCTGACCACGTTTTCTGGGTCGCGGAAACGGCGGGCATCATTTCCGGCAAGGGCATCACTGCACTGCTGTCGCTTTCCGACTCTGCTGTCTTTTGGCATCATCCTCACTGCAGCGCGTCTTATGAGCGTTGGGCCAGCGTTTTGCGGTATCTGACACACTAATCTGGACGCAGGCGCCTGGAGCACTCGGAAATTAGCCGGCAACACTCTCACTTGGTGCCAGACTGTGCGAGAGGCAGGCGCTCAGGTTCCTGCCCGGTTCCTGCCTAATCCGCGCGCCCTCCACCCACATCTTTACTTCTTCGCCCGCACTCGTCCAACCTTCCTCCCTCACCGCAACAACTCCGAGGTCCGCAACACCGCTACAGCTGCCTTGCCCGTGGGCATCCTCCCTTTGCATCTTCTACGCGACGTTCGACAACCTGCCAGCACCGTCGCCATGACCGTCAAATGCCCGAAGCCGGGCTGCGGCGCGACGTTTGGGACAAACAAGGCCCGCAAGAAGCATTGCGACGAACTGGAAGACCACGACTATTGCAAGAAATGCGACCACCTGGCCAAAGATTGGGATGATCTCACCAACCACAAAGCAAACTCGCCCATCGTCCACCTTTGCTGCAAGTTCTGCGGTCAGGATTTCAAGACGTCCAGCGGTCGCGACCGGCATATCAAGACGGTTAGCTCTAATCTGGAGTTATCTCCCCTGCCAGCGCTAACATCGCATCACAGATTCACCCCGTCGACCAGGACATCCGTTGCATCGGCTGCAATGAGCACTTCGTACGCGCCGCTGCTCTCGTCGAGCATCTTGAATTCGACCACTGCCGCAAGATCTCCGCTCAGCAATTCAAGTCCAATATCCAGCACAAACACATGGTTGCTAAGATCTTGAGCGACCCGGATGCCATGAGCTCGAAGCTGTTCGACTTCAACGTCAATGACACAAGTTCCCAAGGCGGCGTCGCTTTGAGCGAGTCGTCCAACCTGCTCGACGAGGAAGACAAGAACGCGTCTGATTCATCCCAGAATGGCGGTTCTGTCATCCAGCCCTTGGAGCCGCGCGTGAAGCCCCGCGATCCGAACGCCCCTCGTCTGGGCGAGCGCTGGCCCTCTTTGCCTTCGCACACCAGACAGACCTCCAGCTCAACCGATATCAGTAGCGGCATGGCTGGCATCTCCATCTCCGGAGAATCTAGCGGAGGTGCTCGTCTACCATCTTCCAAAATGCCCTCCGTCAAGTCTCCCTCATCGGTGCTCTCGGACTCTACCGTAAAGGCGTCGGAATCGCAAGCTTGGACTTCTGCTTCTGGCGCCTCAAAGAAGCTCTTTCCCGAGGCGGAGAAAACTCCAGCCTCGCTTCACTGGGAGGCTGCGCTCAGAGCCAGGGAGTTGGAGTACGAGGCGGCGAACTCCACCAACATGCTCATGCAGCGCTACTGGGACCCGACCCACAAGGACTACAATCCCGAGCGCTTCTTCAACCCGGTCATCGAGATGTACTCGTGTCCGTTCCCGCAGTGCGAGGAGAACTTCCGTGAGCCATTCATGCTGGAGCATCACATCAACACGATCCACGGCATCTCCCAGCAGCGGTGCCCACAGTGTCTCAAGCTGTTTAAGAGCACCACCGCGCTCGTTGCTCACTGCGAGGCGCCGGCCTCCACCTGTGGCATCTCTCGTTCGGATCGTTATGGCCAGGCCATTGACCAGTTCTCTGGAGGTTTCTTGGGCGCCAAGGACGCACGCCGCCCCGACTTCACCGAAGCTGAGCGCGAGGACAAATACACCGACAAAACCAAGACGGAGAAACATGCGGGCAGTGGATACAAAATCGGCATGATCAAGTACGAGTCCACCCTCCCGCTCGACTGGCCTACGGAATCCCTCGCCAGCAACACCCAGATCGGCCGTTCCTGGGACGAAGGCGGCCGCGGCCCGAACATTGGCGGCAACATGAACCCCGCCGTCCCGCTGTCTAAGTCCAAGAAGGTGCACCACTCGACCGCCAACATCTACCCGCAGCCCTTCCAGGACTTCGTTCCCGAGATCACTCCGAACATGTTCGCGCCGCCGCGCGAGCAGCGCGAAAAGGCTCAGAAGTCCCCCACCACCGCCGCCAAGTCCTCGACCCTCCAGTCCTCCTCCGCCGCCTCGAATGGCGTGGCCAAAGAGAACGGCCCTCCGGCTTCTGCGTCTGCTTCGAAGGCGAAGAAGAAGAGCAAGCGTCCTCAGAACATTGCCAGCCAGCTCATCGACCCCGAGGCGTACAAGCAGTACTACGAGCCCGGCTCGTTGCTCAGGTCGCCTGAGGAGCCGCTCGTCCCCATGCGCCGCGCTGACGCGTACTACTTGTCCAGCGAGCAGATCGTTAGCGATGGCGATGGCGATGGAGATGATGAGGACGATGGCGTGTCCTTGTCGGCTTCGTCTACCCGCAGGAGCGCCTGGAACTGAAGTACTTGATGCGGTGATTGCGGATAAAGGGAGGAAGGAAATGATAACCCATCGGGAAGGCTTTCACACGTGGGTGGGGGGTTTGGTTTGCTTTACTTTGCGGTTCCTTTTGAATGATTTCAACGGCTTTTCGGAGAAGGGACGGATATTTGGCTGGGACGAGAGAGGATGAAGTAGTATTGATTGCTTTCAGCATCCATTGAGTTTCTGCAAAAAGCCAGCAGTTCACGATAGTAGATACAACGGCCGTGATAGTAGTTTAAGCCCTTTAAACGAGGAATACTCGGGACAATTGATAGTATGAAAAATGTTGACAGTTCAGATAAAACGAAGCTACCCGCGTAGGTTTCGGTAGAAAATATGAGATCACCAGCCTATTTATTGGGGTGGATATATGGGGGTGGGGGGTCAGAATAACAAATGAGGTGGCAGAAAAGTAGACGCCATCTTAAAAGCGCATCTACAATCCCCTCTCGCAGCCTATGGCTAGCGTAGATTTGTTTTTCACTCATGTCATAGGTAGCTAATGCTACCGTCCGGAATTGTATGTAGAATTTTTAATTTTACATTTTCGACCGGATGATACCTTCAACTACCTACATATGTTATTTTTCTAAGAACAAGCCGAGGCATACTTACGCCTGGGGCCTTGCTATTCTTCACGCTAGCCATCGGCTGCGAGAGGGGACTGTATTGGTGCGTCGGAAATATCAGCAAGAAAGATTCTACATTAAAATATTCTACGCCATTTACGCCATTCAGTGATCCACATCGAAGAAGTCCATACATTGGTGACGAAAAATACAATTAAAGAAAGCATGCAAGGCGATGGACTGTGCAAAGAAAAATGAAAATATGGAGGAAAAGCCGAAACGCCCGCGTCCTCTCGTTCTGCACACTAGTGTCTTCAGAAGTTCGTTCAGCCGTGTCTATATTGCCCGTCGCATCTGAATTCGGGTGACTCTGGCTATGCATTTCATCCATTGCGTCTTGAGAGACTCCGCTGTCTAATTCTGATCCGAGATCCGAACTATCGCTCAAATTTGTCCAGTCAACATCGAGTTCAGAACTTGAGGAACTAGCTGAACGTTTTCGTTTTCCTAGTGAAGCCTCTGACGTTCTGATAGCATTCCTTCTTACAGAGGGTAAGTAGCTAGGCTCACTTCTTAGCTTTCGCAGAAAATTCCATGTTTGAAAGTGATCTTGGTTCCGGCGCTGGGGGGGAAAGTTTGAAACGCTCTCTTGTAGAAGGTCAAGCGGTGTCTTCCCAGCATTGTTTGTCATGTTGGCGTCCGCATTATGATCCTCCACGAGCTTCTTGAAAGTTCCAACACGTCCTGTAGTTGGAGGAAAGGAAGCAGTCTCGTGCAACGGAGTGTTTCCCTTTGCGTCTGCAATATTAACGGTCGACCCGTGCGAAATGAGCTTGATTACTGAATCCCAAAATCCGCTCTTGGCTGCGATATGGAGAAAAGTCCATCCCGAATATTTTTCTGGTCTGTCGATTTCGAAAGAATCACGTTCATTGGCCTGGACAAGTTCCACGACTTGGTTCAAACAATCTTCCGAGTATGATGCTGCTGCCATAAGAATAGATGCCTCGGCTTCATAATCCTGCCAAGGATCTGCTCCATACTCCAGAAGAAGGTTGAAAACCTGAAGATTCTGTACTCGAAGAGATTCCGTCAGTGGACAGCCATTGAAGCTTTCGACGCCATATCTGCTATTAACTCTGGGCATATTTGGGTAACAATTGTTCCATTTCCAGTCTCTTGGAGGGATTGGTACGATGTCCAAAGTGGTCCTAGACATTTCAGTGGGAGTTCGATAACCCAAGTCTGGCCGGAAGGATACGCAGACATTGGTGTTGGCTTTCTTCCGTAAAAGCCATTCACAAAGAGAGTAGTCGTCGGCAAGGATCGCCGCAATGAGTGGAGTGATGCCGAATTCATCCTCTTGATTGACATCAAGATTCGGATAGACATGGTCGAAGAGTAGATATGCCGCAGGACCCCCATATCTACACGCCGTGGAGAAAAGTGCGGTGAGCGTATAATTATCCCGGATGTGCCAGGGCCATTCTTGTTTTTGTTTCAGCTCGTCGGCGTGGACAAGGTCCACCCTTGATTGGATCAAGAAGACTACACTCGGATGGCGCAGCCGAATTGCTTCGGAAAGGGCTTTAACATAGTCGTCAAGTGGCAAATCCAACAAGAAACGTAAAAAGCTCTCAAGAACTTCCATCCGTTCGGGGCCGAGACTTTGCCGGTCAGGATGATACCGAAAAAACATCTTTGAACTATCATCTAGGATAGTTTGGTGCGTCTCGCGGTAATCTGCAGCCTGAGGAAGTAGAACAAGAATCTGTCGGTCGGGGAATGGGCTTGTGAACGCGCGAAACACGTCTCCGGCGCTGTATGCTTTCGCTCCCCAGCCTATGAGCTTGGCCAAGCTAGACCAGTCCGAAGACTCCACCGCACGTTTCAATCCCGCATTTAGAATGTCTTGATCGAAAGTTATCTCAGCCTTTTGCTTCAGGTACTCGATGGTGGAAATCGAGCATACCAGTGCTGCTGCATTTGCAATATATGAGAATTTCTTGTTCGTTTGCTCGGTGGAGTATTGTTCGGAGTCCTCAAAAGAGGCGATGGCGTATTGGAATAAAGGCCAAGCGATAATGTCCTTCTCCAATTGTTGGATTTTACAAACAGCCTTAAGGAGATTGGAATTCGTATAACCGTGGATAGGTAGTCCGCGCAGCAGCCAGTCGACCACAGCGTGGAAGCCGTTCTTCTCAAGAAGAACGAAAGGATCGTTTAGAGTTTCGCAGTCGATGAATGATCGTATTTTATCTATACCCGAACCTTGTAAAATAGTCAACAACCTGGGTACTTCCACGAAAGCTGGATATTCCTCGAGTCCGGCCTCGTGAGAGCTTCGCAAGGTTTCTTCGCAGTGATGCGGCCAATTTATTAGGGCGTATCGATGAAACGAGGGGTATGTATGTGGAGAAGTTGGTGGCGGTCTGGCGGGTCTCTTGGGTCGCTTGGGTCGCTTGGATTTTTGATTTAGGACCTTTCTCTGGCGGCTTGTTTCGTAAAGTCTATGGTTTGCCCCCTTGCGGTTGTTTTGGATACCGTGGTCTCGTCGGGGGTGCCGTCCCCAACTCTCTATATCCAGAAAACGGAGGCAGATTGATCCAAGAACACAATGTGACTGGGCAACATTGATTGATGCTCTCCACGTGAGATCTTGAGGCTTTTTCAGAATTGACTGAGATGCAGTGGGTTCCATGATTGCGAGATTTTCGCCCTCTTTTGGAGAATACTGATGTGTAATGAGAAACTCTCTTGCAGTCTGATGCATGAAGTCCACGGTAGAGCCGATGACACAAATTAATGAGCCGCACAGTCGTTTTATAGTACCCTGCATATCGGGCTCGAGATCGATGTCCGAAAGTTGCAAGCAATCTTCCCGTATCTGCATTGCAATGTTTACTTCGGCAAGGCTCAATGGCCTTGTAGCAGCAATCAAGATTTGCAATAACTTTCGGGGTTTTTCGTTGTTTTTCGTGCCCGATAGAGAAGATTCATACAAGTAGTTGAGCTCACTCGGATTTGTATCTAGTAGCTTACGAACTTCCTCTTTGGTTGTTGAATCTAGTTCTTCCAGTGCATCAAATATCAGCTTGACCCAGAGAAAGGTTCGGCCAGCTTTTCGAGAGATTTCGGTATGCAAGTATCCTTCCATTCTTGAAGGGAAGCGGGTGGGGTTCAAGCTTTGTATTTTGTCGGTAATCATTGTCTCGATATCCCTGGAAATCGCGGGCGTCTCGTCTTCGAGACGCAAACGAATGCAGGAAAGTGGTCGGAAGCGTTCCTCTATCTCAGCGTAAGGCCTACTTGTGATAAGGAAGCTTGGCGGTTGATTTGGTTGACGTGTGGTACCCGAGCTGGAGAAGGCAGAGACGACAAGCTCGATGAATTGAGAACGCGATTGCTTTGGACATTCATCCAACCCGTCGATAACACAAAATAGCTTGTTGGAAGTGAGGTCGGATCCAGTGGTTGCATTACAGATGATCTTCCAAAGTGTCTCATCTTCATGCATGACTTGCTCTCCTTTTTTGTACTCAAGCTCATCACACAACATGTGCAGCATGGTACTGGATCGAGACTGAGCTGACGGAATAAAAAGCGCTAGGAGTTGGTGCAGTAAAGCGCACAAGAGAGAGTTCTTGTCGTATCGAAAATGGTGAAAGAAGAAGTGGATGACAGTATGGTTTTCTGAGAGAAGTTGACCAATCAGAAATTTCGCCAGGACAGACTTGCCGCACCCTGCGTCAGCCGTGACCCAAAGTGCAGATGGCGCTGTTGATTGTCGCCACTGAACAAAGTTTGGAAGCTCAAGAAACCATCCGCATGTGTTTCCAGAACGGAGCGGAACACGGTTTATATCGCCGTAGTTGAAGCTTCGTTGGTAAAGATCTCTCGTGAACTCTAGCAACATTGTTACATAGCAGTCAGAAATATTCCCGATCTAGCATTCAGGAACTCTCTCTTACCTTTGATTTTGTTCATATCAGCATCATTCAACAGCGCTGTTTGACCTAAAGTCTGAGTTAGAAGCCATTTACTTGTAAATGTTGATCGAAGCGAGAAGATGGCATGGAAAACAAAATCAATTATCCCCTATCATATTCTGCTAATGGGGAGAAGAATTAAAATATACAGGATGCACAAAGCTGAAGGAGACAATGGGAGTACAGGTGGGGAAATATGTAGCATAAGGCTACATTAGTGTACTCATACGAAAAGTTAGAAACCCTCAGCTTTGGACAGAAGATTACCCTTTGGAACTTCCGGAAAGTCAGGGAACGGGAATTGTGGAGTAAGTGTACCTTGCCTCTCGGGTTCCAGCAGCTCCTTGATACATTGTTCCAATTTCGTCTTGGTCTCCCCGCTTTGCAGGTAATACTGAGTTGCGTGTTCAATCTCGCCACACAACTTATGCTCCTCGAGGCCAATCGTAGCCATTCCAGAGACGTTAAGCCTGAAGTAATTTCCGGCCAGTTGAGGATGGCCCAGCTGCGTGCTGTAGAACTGCTCGGCAGTAGTTCTGGAGTCGGTGGCGATCTTGGCTAGTCCCTGTACGACATTTTTGATGTTTCCATGGAATTGTCCGGATGGCGCGTCTCCTGCGCCAACACTGATGAGAGACATACGGCGCTCGCGGCCCCAGACTTCTTGCGCTTCTTTGAAGACAGTGTTGACTGGATTGTTGAGCATCAACCCGCCGTCGAGGAAGTACGAAGATATCGGCCCATCATGAATTACCAATGGGTCAAAGAAAGTAGATGCAGCCGACGTTGCACGGCACGCCTCCCATAGCTTGAATTTCTTCGAAATCAAGTCCGCTACTGAGTCATTTTTGTAGGTTCGCAGAAGAGCCGGAGTTGTATCGTGTTGGCTGCTTTGTATCGCACAAACAAATCTGCGACGGTCTATTAGAACTTTGCTGAATGCTAAGATGGAGGGAACCATACACTTTGCATTCGGGCTCAGGATTGCTCAGAAGCTCCACTTCAGGTGATGTAGACCGAGCCTCAATGATTTTCTTGATAGCATTTTCGAGAACTTTGGCGTCGAACTTCCCGTACGCATTGACAAGATCGACTCCCCGCCCTATGAATGGATAGCTTTGTTTTCTCGGTGTAAAGATTTCTCTGCTGAGATCGAGATAGGCTCTTTCGCATTCTTCGAGGCTCATCTTTAGGCGGCCAAGCATAAGAGCTATGATACTATAAAATAGTTAGCGCTAATCCGCAGAGATGTCAAGTTATTAATACCACTTACCCTCCAGTGCTCGTTCCACCTATCATGTCGAAGTACTGCCAGGGCTCCAGCCGCTCGTCTTTGCTGCGCCTGAGATTTACGCGACGCATGACATCCTGCAAGATGTAGATAATAGAAAGACCTCTTATGCCTCCACCATCTATTGGAGTACGGACGATTAGCGATAGGAATCCCTCAAGGGCGCATCCAGCAGTTTTATAATCTCTTTAGCGACGTTTGAGCAGGGCTGTACAATGTCCGCTGTCAAAATGGTATTTGCTTTGAGTTTTTGTACTTCCTCGCAGAGTGAGAGCGGCTTGCCAAATTCAACTCGAACAAGTTCTAGTTGGTCGGAATTTGGGGCGTGATGACGTTTTCTGACAACCGTAAACGAGTCGCAACACAGTCCTGCTTTCTGCAATTGTGCTGCAGCAGTACAGAAACCGTCTAGAACTTTCAATATTTTGAGAATCAGATGCCTGTAATTCGATCTTACGTCGGAAGACATATTGTATGTGAGCCAGGCAACAGAATTGTTATCTGTTTGGAAAGAACACTGCCCATTCCATTGACTCCGGTCTTGAGAGATGGGCAGTACTCCTCCTAACCCACACAGTTCTTGAACGATGTTAGCTAAGTCTAGCTCGGAAGTCCGGATTCGTGTGTGAGTGACCTCAGATGACGGATTATCTATCGGATAGTGTCCACAGCCAGAGTGGTGAAACGGAACCGTCGGCTTAGCTTTGACAAAGTACTGTGGCCCGAAAACAATCCACGGCGCATCGGCGGCAGCGTCAAGGAGTAACCGCGCCATAGAATCGTGACTGTAGCCCACGGCATCCAACTCTCGGAGCCAGCGGTAATGTCCCTCGGTCACCGACCTGAAGTTGTGCGTTAAGAGCCTTCGCAGCCTCCCAAAATGTTGATGCTCTAGAACCTGCTCGATTGTCTCGATCGGAAAGACGATCTCCGAATATCGCTCTTTTTCTTTTGATGGAAACCGTGGGACCGTTCTGCCCACCCTCGAGGGGACCACGCAGATACATTGTTCATTCTCGTCGTCAATGGCCTCTTTTCCATCGTCCAAGTCGAATGCATCAGCGGTTGCATCGGAATTGGCAACCCCTTCCACACAGAAAGGCATGAAATCTGCAACTTGAGGCTCAGCTAGACCGAACATGGTTTTTTTCGTGTGCTCCTCGACTGAAATGTCTTTTTTTCTGCGCAGGATGACCTTCCTCAGACGGAACGCAAACACGAATGGAGAAGAGCCGTCGAATGCAACTTTTGCTTCGAACCCCGGTCCGACGGATCCGGAAGCACCAGATCTAGCCCCACCGATAGGTGCCTTGAACTCCGCTGAAACTGCAATCTTCTTGGCAATAGTCTCCTTCGCCTTCGCACCATATACGGCCTTGACAGCTGTAATCATGTAGACGGGTTCCCCAGTTTCCAGATATCGAGCGACCATCGGTGAGGCTAGTTGCTCTCGCAAATACTCGACCGTGGGCATGAACTCCCTTGTTTCGATGCGTTCGAATTGATAGAAGCCTCCGCCGCTAGTTTCTCGGCTAATGCCGAATTTGAGGCTGATGAAGTCGAGAAAATTGGACCAGATGCCGAATTTGCCGGACTGATGTCTCTCCTTGCTCCATGTAAAGTTGTACTTCTGAGTTGGTGGGAAGAGAGATTTGTCGGGAGGTTTGGAATGGAAATGGGTGTTGAGCGGGTCGGCTGGCTTCTTGGGCGAGGTGACGATGTTCCCGAGCTGAATCGGTCCGCCATCAGGAGCGTAGTCCCAAGTAGGTGCGAAGAAATAGACTTTTCTTTGGTTTGACATTATTGTTACTCTAGCCGCGTTGGCTGAAAGAGTTGGTGTGTGCTGAGTCTGTCGAAGGTTTTTGGCGTCATCATTTCTCAATAAATAATGTCATTTTGTTACTGTTTTTACATCCGCTGCCGGTAGGTGGGGTTCAGGTGATTTTGGAGGATTCAATCCATGTTACAGAACGTGGTAGACCAAAATCTGACACTGTGGGATTGTTGACTGTTTTCAGCTTGTCGACTACCTCAGCTCGTTGACTGCTTTCAGCTTACCACCACACCCAAGGAACCATCACTTGGCAGGCCAAGACACATGGTAGAAGTAATTTTAGGCTAATTGTGGCACCTTAAAAAGATATGCAGAGGCGCTTGGCTTCCGTGAGTTACTAGGAACTATGCAATCTTACCAGAATTATGCAAGCTGAACTCGATCGTGCGGATAAACCCAAGATGACCCCTGAATCACCTGGTAGCTCCTCAATTACATCAACTCCACCTATTCATGCTCAAAATAATCACCTCACAACACCTCTCTTCTCGTCATTAGTCATTCCGATTCTCCAACGGCCCATTCTCGGATGAACGAAGTTTGTTGACAACAGCTTGATCGTCATGAAGTATTCTCCAATAGGTCAAAGTTCCATAAAACTGCCTTTCTCGCTGGTATGGGAGGGCTTCGACCCCGACAATTCCCTGCACCGATACCCATAACCAACTTGGCAGGAATTTCAGCGGATGTTGATGGCGCACATCAGCCCCTTCTTGTTGAACAAACCAGAGTAGCGCACGGTCAAACTCGAGTAATGGAATTCCAGTGAACGCAGGGAGACGATCAGCCGAGTATGACAACCGCCGAAAAGCGAATGCCTTGAGGTGCCTGGCATAGTTGAAGAAGGTATCCGGCTTGGTGGGGTATGTGAGCTTTACTGAAAAGATGTCTCCAGCTTTCACCGTTTGATCCGAGTATCCATGCTCGGGAAGAATCTCGCTTTTGCATCGGTCAATGGCTGAGGGATTAGACTTTGTGACAAGTCTGGGTCGTCTTCGTCATGTAATGGGGGAGGAGCTGCTCTCTGTAAATTCTCTCTTAAAAAAAGGGCACCACAGACTCTCCGTTCGGACAGCGGACCAATACGGACGGAGTGCCGGAAAATTAATCTGGCGGTCTGCTTAAGGTCTACGTCCGTTGTAGCCGAACCATGAGCTTAATGTGAAGCAGATCGGCTAGCGTTTGCTTAAGACCGCTAAAGCCGCGTGTTCGGCTTCGGTTCGATTCGGATAGATACGGTAACAGGCACAAAGATGCGCTGGTTTCACAACTGATGATTATTTAGGTCTTGTATGCCAAGTGGAGCAATCATTTCTCCCGAGCAATTGGGCGGACATGGGATTTAAAGAGCGATGGAGCTGCACCTGAATGAGCCATCACTTCAGCATTACTCCTCTGATACAGCTTTCTGCTCAAATTCCTACAAAGAGACACGTTTAAATATGGGATCTACCGCTGCCCCGACTGCCCTCACTCTTGCCGGCAAGGTCGCCATTGTGACAGGCGCCTCCCGTGGCATCGGAGCCGCCACTGCTCTTGAGCTGGCAGAACGCGGCGCCAAGGTCAATCTCCCTCGCACCAGAATCCGTAATCTGTCCTACTGACATTGGGCCTGATCAGGTGGTCATCACGTACGTCTCGCCAAGCAGCGAGCCGGCCACGGCAGCCCTCGTATCCAAGATCAACGGGCTCAACAACGGCGCCGCCGCCATCGCGGTCCGCGCCGACCTGTCCAACACCGAGTCCCCGGCCAAGATCGTGTCCGAAACGCAGAAGGCCTTCGGCGACGCCATCGACATCCTAGTCAACAACACGGCCATGACCATGGTCAGGGCGCTCGGCAGCATCGCAGTGGCCGACTACGCCACGGTCTTCGACCTCAACGTGCGCAGCGTCATCCTCATGACGCAGGCCGTGCTGCCGCACCTCCGCGCGCCGGGCCGCATCGTCAACATCAGCTCCGTCGGCAGCCGCCAGGGCGTCGCCGGCTGCAGCGTCTACCTCGCGTCCAAGGGCGCCGTCGAGGCGCTGACGCGGTGCTGGGCCGCCGAGCTGGGGCCCAGGAGCCGCCATACGGTCAACGCCGTGGCGCCCGGCGCGACGGACACGGATATGCTGGCGCATGGGACGGAGACTATGGATGGGCTGTACGATGTGGACTTTTCGGCTGCTACGAAGGCCATGACGCCGATGGAGAATCGGTTGGGGAGGGCGGAGGAGGTCGCGGCCATTGTGGCGATGCTGACCGAGCCGAAGAGCCAGTGGATTACGGGGCAGACGATTTCGGTATCGGGTGGCCTACTTATGATCTAGTCTTGTACTAAGTGTTACGGAGAAATCGTAAAATGGATAGAAGTTGAAGTCGCAGGCTAAGCGGAAAAGCCCCTATTAGTACTACAACTAGAGGTTAAAACGCTAAGACTATCCCTCATAAGTATAACCGCCTACAATAACCAGCCTTAGCGTAACGGTTAGGAAATAACTTTTCTTTTATATATATATATATCGCGCTTCTAGCTGTCAATGCAAGCCAACATTCACCGGCATAATCCGTTCCTGATTTTGCCTCAATTTTTTAGCCTCATCGTGTTAGGGAGCCGGAAAGGTGAGCTGAACAATCTCAATTTGGGACTATAAAAGAAGGTGCTACGTGGAGGGTGAAGAGGCTCGAGAGATTGGGCCTCTTAATCACCTGCGTCTTGGCGTGGGTGCCTCAGGCACCCACCCAGTAACCCTGACACATTGCTTTTGAGCAGTCGTCATACTGGTCGCCTGACCATTCTGTGATAGATTTCCTGCCGAGCCGGTCTACTAAGCCTGGCGTGATTGAGAGGGATCTCACACCAACAACCAGTGGTACAGTCGTGGTCTTGTATCCTTCTTTATGACTGTGGAATAAGTAGAAGTTATGGACTTTGCAGCTACGTGGACTATGAGAAATGTGCCCATTGTAATTATTCTGCTATGTTTCCTTGTAGCGCAGGAATATTTATTGCCTTAGCTGATGACTTTTCAACTGTTTGAGAATATCTTGGCGTAAGCAGAGCCTCACTAATACACCGGACAGCTCCGCATATCATTCTAGGACCGGATGAGACAGCATTGAGTCAGTTTTGAGCCTCATTGTACCTCGGCAGCCTTTTCGCTACGGCTTCTCCCAAGAGGTATCCACTATATAGCCCAGAATATGGACCGGAAAAATGGTCAAATTGGATTAACTATTCCTAGTTCCCCAACACACTGAATCGAGGCACTATCCAGACTTACAATTATGGATCGAGCAGACTTGACTGTCATTGGTGCGGGTAAGTTGGTTGTAACACGAGAATTCCCTCATCATCCTTACCAGTCATGAATCAATCACCTTGTCTCATTAAACTGTAAGCTTCTGACAACACAACATAGGCCTGTACGGAATCACAGCAACGATCACGTACCACCGCCCCCATCCAAGAGCTCGTATCCTCCTCCTTGAATTGTCACTGTATGTCGGCGGGCCATGGGCACCCCACAGGATCTTCCCAGGCCTCAAGACCAACAATCTGTGGGGGACCTATGAGCATCCTGACTTTCCAAAAGACAGATTTGGTGTCAAAAGGGGCAAACATGTTCCAGCGGAGAATATGGCTGCGTACATGGCTGCTTTGATTGAGGATAACAACATTTCAACGTGTGTCAAGGTAAATACATGTGTCGACATCGTTTAACAGACAAATGACGGCTGGATTCTGCACTGCACGTCGGAAAATGCAGGAAAAAACACAGCCCTCACCATTGACACCGCAAAGCTCATTTTTGCTCTCGCACACGTCAGTCGGCGATCGATGCCTCGGTATCCCACGTCCCCAGAGTTCTGGCGCACGATAATCCACTCTATCGACTTTCCCAACCACTTCTCCAACATTGCAATGCCCGACTCCCACACGCTCATCATTGGCGGCGGCAAGTCGGCCTGGGTAAGCATGCACTCCCTAGATCATTGCTACGTCAAGCCCTAACATGTGGCCTGCAGGACGTCGCATACACTTGCGCCACCCAGCCATCCTCGACCGCCACAATGCTCATCCAGCCCTCCGGCAACGGCCCCGCATGGACGTCGCCTGCACACGTCACACCTCTCCGGTTGTGGTTTGAGAAGCTGGTGTCGACACGCTTCTTTGGATTCCTGGCCCCTTGCCCACGGGCGGAGGGCTCAGGGTTTGAAGGGGTTGACAAGACGCTTCTTGCATCGGACACGGCTCCGGAGGGTGGTCGTTGAAGCCTTTTGGGGGGCACTGGGCGCAGACATCATCCGCCTCAACAAGCTCGAGGAACATACCGAGACGATAGAGTTGAGGCCTTGGAAGAACACATTCGATCTTGGAAATGCCCCGAGCATCCTGACCTACCCGACGAGCCTTTTGGGCCTCGTGAAGGAAGGGCGGATCAAGATCGTTATAGACGAAGTTGCCCGTTTCGAAGAAGTCAGCGAGGTTTTGCTCAAAGGTGGAAAAAGACTTCGAGCAGATGCTGTGGTGTGTGCAGCCGGCTGGAAGGCAGGATGCACCTTGAAGTTCAAGCCCGCTAGCTTGGAGCGAGAGTTGGGTCTTCCCAGCATGGGAGAGCCTGGTGTCGAAAACATAGCACTCGCAGAGAGAGTTGAAGCGGATCTCCATGCCCAATTCCCTTTTCTTGAAGGTCATGATACCAGTAGAACTCACAATCCCGTCCCGGAGCTTCGCTATGCCCCGTCTGCGGACGGCAGGCCCATTTGTCCGACATACCGCCTCTGCCGGTTCCTTATCCCACTGTCCGACTTCCACAGACGATCTATCGGTTTTGCTGGAGTGGCACAGTCTCTCGGCAATGCGTCATGTGCGTACCTTCAGTCTATCTGGCTGGCTGCATACCTTGATGAGTCGATCTCACTCCCACCAACATCAATTGACCAGCTCGAGTATGACCTGTACCGCGATGCGCAGTACTGCGCACTTCGAAGTGCAATGGCCTATGGCAATAAATTCCCTGATCTGGTGTTTGACTCGTTGCCATAATTCGACTCACTTATACGGGACATAGGGCTTCAGTGGAAAGGAAAGACGAGAGCTTTAGGGTGGGAAAATGAGATTGTCGAGTACTTTTCGGGTTATAGGCCGCAGGACTATAAAGGTTTGTTGGCAGAATGGCAGAACAGGAAAAGTAGAAGAAACGCGCATGGAAAGCTCACAGATATTTATATCTCTGTGTAGTTTAAAATATGAAATTTATGGCCCCTGGGGCACCGAATCAAGCTGGCGCATTCCTTGGTTGTGGCGCTGGAGAATTTCCACCGCATGGGGTGGATCCAAAAACACATCCAAAGCGAAAAAGTCATGTTCCTCGAATCCTCACGAAGGAGCAATTGTTCCTGCGGGAGACCTGGACCTTGAGGCTCCATGGCTGTTTGAATTCGAATACCCGCGTGCTACTGACGCCAGAACAAAGTTGGAAGCCGACTTTCTGCTTACCAACATACTACAACGTCTACAACACCCGGATCGGTGGAACATGTCCGAAAAGAAGCTCACCAAACATCATGATGTGTACTCTCTGAAAAACCTGTTCACCCCTTACGCAATAAAGACACATCCATCTAACATATTAAAGGGGGTGGTACTCTTCGATATTGCAGCATGGCAATACATTTATTCTTATGACTTCTCGCGCGGTATTTCTGGAAAAATGGTTCTAGATGACTACGTTCTCAAATATCACCACGTTGTGTCAGAAGATCCTCCCCCACCAAGTGGGAGAAGTCTTCACAGATACGGTTATGAATTTTCTGGACTTTGAGACTTGGACTATGGGTCTGAATGACTACGAGACACAGAAGTACTTTCAAACGGAAATATGGGATCTGCTCTACAAAGCAACTGGGAAAATCTGACGGAAAGCAAACGTGCCTTATATTACATTCTTTTTTCTTTTCACTCTTTCAGTTTAAAATTGGAGTTTGACAGCCATTTTCTATTATAATTCAGAGCTACCCGCGAACTTTGAACATGACATGAGTCACTAAATATTGCGTGAAAGTTAGACCGAGTAAGGCTTAATAAGGCCGGCAGAACAAGCTGACCGAAGACTGACTAAGGCTTTTATGGGCACATGTTCGACTCGAGTGCATGGGATAGCGCGACAATCCAAGCTCAGTCTGCCCTGAAAGATATTCTTGCCTTGAGGGAGTTACGTGGACCAGGACTGAGGCGCACCGAAATTATACCTTGTTCAATCCCGTCGCCCCTAGAACCTTTCCGTTTCTTTAACCTTAGTATTCGGCTACTTCGGTACCTGCATCCCCTGACTCGCACTCCACCAGTCAATGAGTTGATGTTCCTGGGACGCATAAAAAGATCATCTGAAATTGTGGCAAGAACGGTGAGCATAACTCTTTATTGATTCGCCTATCGAACTGCTAATTTAGTAACGGATTACCTGGACCTACGCAGCTCCGTAGCTACATTCAGCGATTTCAAGTGGCCAATCCGAGTACAGCTTGTAGCAGCTAATGAGGATGTGGACGGCGAAAGAAAAGGCAGGTTATCGATAGGCTCAAGGTTATATTACGTACATTGTCCGGCCAAAAATAGAACAAAGCTTTATGAAAACTATAGTGGCGACGATCTATAGGTAAATTTTGAGCGCCCCGGCCTTCCGGATAGGTCCGGATGGTAGAAGTACGGTATAACTGTTGCTAAGCTTTTCTGGCCGAACTTTGGTGTGAAAGTACTATCGCAGTAGCTTTCCCCTTCATTTAACGTCAGTAACGGCTGATTCCGTACCCAAGTGCGGAGTACTCTTGTCCAGTACGGTGGTGTTCGAGCGCTATTTTTGAATCCGATGCATGTCAAGTCTCCACAGTGGGGCCGAGACAAACTTAACGATATGATGGCCATTGCTAAGGTTAGTCGGAATGGAGGGTACCCCAAACGAAAACAAGTCCTGCATGTATATATAAGACCTCCAGGTTGCGCGGAAAGCAATGCTTCTTGAGTCCACGCAACAGCAACCACTGAATTACGGGCGGCACTCCTTCACAGCCTCACTTTACGCTCACTTTACGTTCACTCTCTATCGTTTTCCAACATCATACCTGTTTCATTCGCGCAATCATGAAGTACATTCTTTCGCTGTCTCTGCTGAGTGTGGTCTTTGCCCTCCCTGCGCCCCAGGGCGGCCCCGACCCCGCCGACCATGCATACGACAAGTTTGAATTCCGGGTTGGGCACATAAAGTACGTCCCCTGAGAGAAACGACTTACCGCCATAAACTGAATGCTAACTTCCCTCTTCCAGCAACAACGGCGACAAGGCTTACGCCGCGTGGGTCGCGGGCGAAAGCTCGTGCAACCAGCGCAACCGCATCGGCGAAGGCGTCACCAGCTGGTGCGAGAACGGCGGCCGGTGGGCCACCGTGCCGTACCCGGAGGCGCCCAACGGCCAGATCGAGATAAAGTTCATCTGCGACCCCGCGGACACGGAGTATGGACACGTCACCTACCAGCTGAAGTCTGGAAAGGATGGCTCATGCACCAAGGCCGACGAGAACTTCCCCAAGTGCCCCGAGGTCAGGACGGTTCTGAACGTGAGTTGTTTACTATTCTGCAGAGTGAGATGGCGCTTTGCTGACGTTTTCTTCAGTGCGTTCCCAACCCGTAAATTGCTTTTGGGTCAATCAGGACGGGGTGGCCGCAATATTTGGTGCAGTAGCGGGTGCAATCCGAAGGTTCTGTAATACTTCGCTTTGCCATGTCTGCGGAAATGTAGGGATACATTGGGACCCGTGCCATCCTGTTATACCGTCGTCGCCAACGACAGAGTGCAAACCAGTGTACGTTAAGACTGCATGTGGAGCGCTTGGATATAATACAGAAAGGGGTAATTGGACCTTTTGCTTCGATCTGCCGGTGCAACTCCATTTTCTTGGACGATCTGCCTCACCAGTGCTTCTAAATTAGCCGCCTGAGACCTGACGCCCTTGTTTTTATCAGCCGTATCTGGAGGAGTCAGCTCGGCCTTTGAGGTTATCTGATAAGACAGGGTCATTACAGCTATGCACATCTCTCCTGCTCCAACGCGACCAGTTCAACGTCTCCAGCCGCTAAGAGCACCCCATCCACCGCCTTAAGCTTGAGCCTAACACCCCTCGCCACCCCCCTCCATCTCCGCCACCTCTCTCGCCCCCCACCAACCCCGCCTCCCTCTCCATCACCATCCCGCACCTCAACACCGGCAGAACCTACGTCTTCCACACCCTCCACCCGCCAGCCCTACCAACTCCCCAACCTCAGCACTCTCCACCAACACCTCCCTCGCCCTCCTCTCATACACTCCCAAATCCTCCACCATGAACCGCATCGCAATCTCCAGCCCCCAGCACCTCCTGCACGAACCCGCCCACCGTTATATACTCAACTAACCGGGCCATGCCTGCCACTTCCGAAGTATTTATTACCTTATATGGTACAAACCTTAGATCTCCCGTCTTCATCTCCTTTTCATACATTCACCAATAACATAATGGAGATGTTGAAGATCGAAGGCCGCACATAGTATTTACCTAATTGAGAGAGGCCTAATCAGGCCTAGTTGCACCCCTGTGTACATAGTCTCTACTGGTCGTCAAACCCCTTTGTGTGTCAATCAAATTCACCTTAAGCGTGGTCCGGCTTTAATATAATGGACTGAGATTGGAAGAGCTAACGAGGCCGATAAACTCTTATAGGAAAAGTTATAACCCAGCAGACGAATAACTTCAGCAAAAACCTACAACAAACGAGAGACTTGGAAAAACGCGAGCAGGAAATCAAAAAGGAAAACCCAACAAAATCAAATGACATCCAATGACATCATTCCACCCATGCTAAGCCATCGGCATTCAGCAAAGCTGCTGATCCTCGAGGAAGTCACCAAGTCCGGGAACGCAACCGGCGCAAGAGCAAAGCTAAGAATAATTAGACAAACATCGAGAAGGGCAGTTAAGGGTAGAAGAAACTCACAGCGCCAACATCTCCCGCGACGCAAGAAATGAGGTTGACAGGATCCCTCTTCACGACGGCGGCAGCGATGCAGACACTTGAAGCCGCAACGGTGGCGCATCCAAGGAGAGAACAATCGGCCGCCTTGACGGCGTACTCAATGTTCTGGGCAAGAAGCTCGGCTGAAAAAAAAGAAATGATTGTCAATAAAGAGGAAAAGTCGGGAGAGCCTTCGTTGAGTGGATGACTTACTCTCCGCCCTTTTCTGCAGACCCAACTCGTTGGGTGCCGCGACGGCCGTCATGGCAATGACAGAGGTGATGAGAGAAAACGGCTTGAACATCATTTTGGCTGGTTTGAGGAAGAGAAGTCTTCGTGAATGTTGGAGATGAGGAGAAAGGTCTTTAGATTAAGTTGATTCGAACCGGTGGATGTGGGAGGCTGCTTGATGTTGAATTGAGCAGGACTTTCATCTGCTTTTATATCTCGTTGACTGAGTGATTGTTCTCTACTCGAAAATGGGCAATGTCCAATTCTGGTGACTGCTTCGAAGACAGGCCGGCCACGGAGGAGCGTTTAGCGAATCCTCGTGTTGGAGAGTGCCCAATTCTGGCGATTCCTTCGAGAAAGGCCAGCCATGGAGGAGCGTCCAGCGAATCCTGGTGTTAGAGAGTGCCCAGTTCTGGTAATTGCTTCGAGACAGGGCAGCTATGGAGGAGTGTCTAGCGAATCCTGGTGTTGGAGAATCTATCTCTGGACTCAAACTCTCTGGTCACGCAGCCGCTCTGAGGATTCGCGAAGGTCAAGGACATGTTGATAAGCGCCAGATCCTGTTGGTGTCTGGGATAGAACTGTTTTTGCTACCTCAGAGAATGTCGTTTGAGCAAAATGTCATCAAACACGGAGGTGTAATCCAAATTCTCTCGAGAGGAGGAACGTGTTCCATGATTGGGGGATCGCATCCTCCTTTGGCCCTCACATACATGGTGTTGCAAAATTCTTAGCCGTCAGCATCTGATTCCGTTTTAGGTTTATGCTCGTATATTTTCTTTTCATAAGGCATCCTTTTTCTTGGTGTCTGGCATTCGGCAAAGATTGTCGTAGGGCTGATGTCGGGCATTGTTTCTTTACAGAAGTGCAACTGCAAATCATTAAACTCATGCATCTGATTTGCTGACATTGAAGTACGTGCTTGCCCAATCACAGTCTAATGTTTGCCTAATGATATGAGTAAATGGATTCCTTGGCTTTGGGGGCCGTCCTTTTTTTGGTAGTCAGCTACGCGAGCACCGCCCGAATAGGCGACGACATGACCGCATTACGCCCCATTAAGTCCCCGAGCTCCACAATACTTCGCCAAAAGTTACCTGTTTGTTATTAATGTTATTAATCTACTCAGCAACATAGATGCTGCGGCGAGCGGTGCTGCACCAGACTTGGCGTCTGCCTTTGCTGTGTTGCACCAGACTTGGCGTGACAGAGCCCGCCTTCAGCTTTCCATCCTGAATCCTCCAACAAGCAAACGGACGGGATCATCGCAGGAATACTCATTCTGTATGAGAGCCGATTTTGGACCCAGCGAGCTGAGAACGAGCCTAGAAACGAAGATATAAAAGGGCATCTCCATTCTCCTCGAATTCAGCATCACACAACAGCATCACTCTCATCTACTCCAAACTCCTCAAACACTCTACATTTTCAAACAAACAAATCATTCAATTTGCACCTCAGCAACAATGAAGTTCGACCTTACCACCCTCGCCGTTCTTGCGCTCGCCAGCACTCCGACCGTGCTCGCCGACGACTGGAAGTGCAACGGCTCCTGGAACGATGGTGGCCTGAAGCGCTACTCGTGGAAGTTCAAGGGCTACTGCGAGGATCGCTCGGGCCAGTGCTTCCTCGACAAGATTCGCTCCAAGGGCCTGACTGCACACAACTGGCAATGCTGGAAGACCGATGATGATGGTTGGTGGCAGGCCGACGTTTCTGTCACGGCCGGTCTGGCCTGGCAGATCAACAACGCCATTCAGGATGTGACCGATTCATGGAGGGGTTGCTGGCCGAACCAGTAAGCGTGAGTACTCTCTCATCTTTCTGTCCACGGAAGAAATCATGCTGATTTGCTCAGGGAGGACGATGGAGTCGTGACGGCGATTGCGAGGGTCTTTGGGATGTGGAGGGGGCGGAGAAGGGTTTGACATGTTGACAGACACCAACTGTAGTCTATCGTTTAGTAGGGTTTTCGGAAATCTAGGGCTGTTTCATTTTTAGCTTGCAATCAATACTCGCCTTATAAACTATATTTTCATTTCACCTTCGTGATGCTGCGAGCGATATTAGTCCACGTGCGCGCTACGTCGCCCGTGGAGAATAAAGTAATCAGCTCCTCGGTGTTGGCGATGACGTAGAGAGGGTTAGCCACCCACTCAGTCCTCATGCCATTCATTCAGTGCAAACAATACCATTCGCTTTCATCACCCATTGCAACAAGAGTATTTCATACCGGTATCGTATTAGAACCGAGATTAAAAGTAGTTAAGACTAGTCGAGTATAAAGATACTAAATCGTGGGCGTGTCTCTTTCCACCTTTTTAGCAGAGCTACTCCCAATCCTACACGACGGTAAGTGTCTCCATGATTCTCCACAAGCATGATGTTAAGCACGACCACAGGAGGCCTTTTCCAGGGATCGATGATGGCGCCTTCAGAATCGAAATGCCGTACGTCTCCATGTACATCCTCTTCCCAGCAAAATCGAGAGATCCCAGAGATTTCGAAGTACAAATCCCTCTGCGCCTGAGTTGCTTGCGCAACCGATAGAACAAGAACTTCCACTTGCGTTTGGCCGTTTCCCGCACTGACCAGGCGCTCGTAGTCATCAGATGGTCGGTCCAAAAAAATCCACCCGCGGAGTACGTTGTCGTTCGGCGTAAGCAATCGAGCGAGGCCGGGTGTTTGGATTTTCTCGGTTGGGCTCAGGTAGAAGAACGTTGGACATTGAGTGTGAACCAAGACTCGTCGTGAAACGCTCTCTGGATTCAAGTTGGTCCCAAGCGCCTTGTCCATAAGAAGCTGATCCAAACCCGGTGGTCTTGTGGCTGTGCAAAATTGCTCGTAAACCGTCCAGGTGGAATAGACCCGTTCTTGGAGCTCTTTCCAGGTCATGTTTGGTCTGAATCCCGGTGGCATCGATGGAGCGAAGCAGCCTTCTCTCCAAGCAAGGATAGAAGAGGTTAGTAGAACCCTTGCTCGTTGACCGTAGTCGTCGAAATTTGGGTCAAAGGACGACAAATACCAGTCCCGTACCACAGTAGTGATAGAAGCCAAATGAAAACCTCCTTCAGCGCCTTCTGCGTAGAAGGCCCAAGAGGCTATGGGCACTCCTATATACTTGTGGTAGTACCTGTCACACGAAGCCGAACGCACCGAAGCCCATGACCAAGAAGGAAAGTTTTCGTTTCTGGAGAAATCGCTTGGGAACCAAAGGATTGCGTGGTCAAACTCTTCAAAGGGCATGCCGCACCGGTGGTTCTGTCCGTACGAGCGGTTCAAGATCCCGGTGAAAGCCGAGATTTTGTCCTTGGGAAACGAGAGCTGCCGTTGGCTGTAATGGTTGATTCGCTCAAGGAATGTGATATCAGGACGGCTCGGCTCCTGCACGTAGGCTTTGTGCTTGCAGAAATACAGCAATCTCTTTGACAAATGCTCCTCTTGATAAGTCCACCCACGGGTGCTCCATTCACATCTGGAGGGGCTATTGTTTTGATCCTGACTGTCTTCAAGAAATCGCCACCCGGGAACTCGCAATTCGAAAGGCAGTAGTTGATTTTCCGATATTCCAGGAATCGGTTCTAAGACGTCGACGTTGGCGGATGCAACAATGGTAAAAGCAGAGCGGCTGTATATGTTATCCATAACGTTGATCGTATCGCCGGGGTCGTCCTGCAAGATACATAGGCGGTCAACCCAAAGGTAGCGCTTCCAAAGCTTCGCGCAAGCGGTCATGGCGTCCTTAATCGTTGCTGGGACATCCTCAGCATTCAGCCTCCCGGGTGCTTCCAAGCTCCTAATGCTGGCGGAGGTCGCTCTCAAGCTGCGCCTTGCTGCGTCTGAACTGCCCCAGACATAGCTAAGGGTGACGTATTCGCAGTTGGCCGGGGCCATAGTAATGCATGCCTCTTGCACATCGATAACTCTGAGCCCTTCTATCCCATGAGCGTTTGCGTGACCAGTATCCTCGAGCTGCTCCCTTAGGCTGATCCAGTCGCTATCATCGAGGCGTTTCTCCTCGACAAAAATTTCGCCAGAAACAGACGATTCATGGTAGTCCCCGTAGAGACTGATGTCTGCAAAGTCACCTAAGCGTCTGGTTCCGCGATATTGCATTATGGTAAAACGAACCCATGGCTTCGGATTCGAATCGTCATGCAAATCGGCATAATAGAAGTCGAACAGCAAGCTGATAGTTGCTTGGGGTTGCTTGTCGATCCCAGAACATGCGATGCCCTTCCTGATAGTTCTACAACCAGGACACTGTCGGCAAGGTTGGAAGTCGTCGAACTGCACCATCTCACTTGCTAGCCCACTGAAAAGGCAGCATTTGTAGACATGCTCGAGACGAAGGTGTTTCCAAAAGGGGCAAAACGATGCCATGGTCGTTTGAGGTAAAGGACACCTGTCGCAATCTTCGTGAAATGCTTGGGGGAAAATACCAAGCGGGGAATGTGGTTGGATTTTCCGGCAATGCGAACAAGTAGAAGTTGGAGGTTGGCTCGACATTTCATCAGAATCTTGTCCAGACACCGGGATACCCGGCTCGCCAATTTCTGAGCCAACCCGCAGGAGCTCGTCATCACCTTCGTCGACGGGCTCTAGTTCTGTCACTTCCACATGGGCTCTGCGGCTTGGATGAAAGAGTAAGCGAAGCAGCCAGCGAAGCAGCTGAGCCAGTGAGAATGTCCACGGTCCAAGCGAGAAAAATCCAGCCAGTTGCATGCGGCGTATACGAGGAGCAGTCATGGCTTAAGGTAGGCGGAAGCGCATTCAGGGTTTTTGTAGAAAAGCAGCGTTACGAACCGTTACTACGCGCTGGGTAAGACAAGCAGCGAGATAATTAACTCAGACCGTAGAGCGAAATGTGTGAGTCGCCCCACTTAAGATTAGGCTGCAATCAACCGTAAATGCATTTCAGCCTCCATGCTATGCATATCAATTTCGTACAACCAATCAGGGTTAGCTACGTCACACTTCAACATCGCCGCACTGCGTAGGCAGCCCCGCAAGCAGGCATTTACATTGTGATGGGGCAGGCCGACTCTGCCACTGCACCAGATAGCCAGATTTGAAGACTGCTAGTCGACAGCAAAAGAGTACACTGGTTGCCCAGCCGTGAGTGCTGGGCAGTCGGCTGCCAGTCCATTTGACCTGCAAGAATACGGTGTGGCGGCGTGTGTCACGGCTCGGACCTCCAGCCCTTGGTGACCGTCACTCACGTGACTTCTTTGGTTATAGTCTTTTACTCGTACGGTTTGCTTCGCAACCCGTACAACCTCTTGATAGTAATCCAACTTCTTGCTTGAACCTGCTTCGGGCCCTGTCGCTTACGGCCACTGATATTGAAGATTTCCCCTCCAACCTTTATCACTTCCACCTCCGCATCCAGCGCTTGTTGCGGTCGGAAAAGGGCTACCTCGGGCTCGGGCTGCACCCTACACGGGCAGGCGATCATGTCTGGATCCTCGCATGAGCCCATTCACCATTCGCGCTCCGGCACGCCTCCATCAAGCATGGCCCCGATAGCTTTGAGTTGGTAGGCGAGTCATGTGTCCACGTGAGTATGCAGGGCGAAGCCGTGGCTGCGGAGGATTTTCGCTTTATAGGCGATCGCTACAGTACTTTTCTTTAGGTAACTCAATAAACCATTTATTCATCTCCTTATATTCGTGTCACCAGCCTTCTGTCAACGTGCGCTAACAGCCGGCATCAATCGAGACGACGAGCTGTGTGCAGATGGTTATGTCCCCAACCTTGAATGGGCCACGCACAACCCGCTGCTGCTCCCCAGCTACATCCTCTAAAGCCAAGCAAGAAATTTGTCATTTTGCATAATCTCCGCTCATCATGAACGATGCACGCTCAATCCGTCATCAGCGGTATATATGTTTGTTTCCTTATACGAATCCATGTGGGCCAAGCGCAGAAACTACCTCACAAGAAACCTACACCAACATCCACCACCGCTACCAATGTAACAAAGGAGTCCAGGTAGGTGCTACCCACATATTGAATCTGGCCCATTATTAAACCATCGGTCTCTTTGTTGGAGAATCAAAGCCCTCTGCGAATTAACTTAAAACCACAAGACCCAACCGAAGGTTGCTTTACTTGCTTCTCCATCTAGGTAGCTTTTTTTCAGATGAATTTGCCCGTTCCACTACTGTAACATGATCTTCTTGATGGGCCCATAGTGCGAAGAATCCTTGTCGGCGCACCACTCTGGAATGCAACATGGTCCCACGAATTCGAAATTGCAAGATCGATCATCCACCGGTCGCAGAAGAGCGGGATAATCAAAGTCCCTCAGCAAGTGGAGTATATCTCCGGGCCGTGCATCGGCTGGAACCATGGCTGGTCGTAGTTCCCTTCCAATTCGCATCATTGCAAAGCGTCTATGTAAGGAACCTCTCCGAAAATTGTCCAGGAAAGATACAGCAACGCGAGTCGAATCCCCAACGCGGCTTTCCAGGGCTTGGAATAATAAGCTTGAAACCGCTTGATCTGGCCTTCCAGGGTAGGCTTCCATGTACATGTCGAGGCTACCCCTGATCATTCTTCCAGTATTCTTTCCAAGTTGGAGAGCAGACCAGAATGCGTTGGTAGCAAGAGCCGAAGGGTCTTTGCTTTCTGCCAGTAACATGAACTTCCGGATGCGGGTGAGCAGGCAATGGTCGTCGGTGGCCTCGGTGTCATCGTCTTTGTGCGTCACGTAGCCTTGTTCGAGTGTCGTCACTACGACTCCAGAAACCTCAAGAAGCGTGTCTTCCACATAGATACTTGGTCCATGGTCTACTAATCCACGATACTGGTAGTTTTCGTAGCATGGCCAGCACTCCATGCCATTATCCCTCGAAAAGTCTGGAACCCAGGATGGAAGCCCTTCTGATCTGTTTGTTGGCTGACTTGCGCACAAGATGTTTAAGGAGCCTCTGTGAAGGTCTTGTGCTACTTCTCCCGGCCTCGAAGCTCTTGGTTGAGGTATTTCATCTTCGACTATCGAGCAGTGAAAATGCGCCAAGACGTAGTAAATGAAAAGCCTTATTGAAACCTCGGAAAATTCCAGGTTATAGTCGACGGAGAGGATATGCCGGTCGGACGGACTCGACTGGAATAGTTGCTTGTCGATGAGACCAAGAAGGCTGAATATCTTATCTCTTGGATCCTTTGACTTGAAGTGACGCAGTTTCAAGAGCATTTCGAGGAGCCATTTGGGTCCTCTTGAGGCATGCACGTCGAGGCGTACAGAGGCAAGATGCCCGATGGTCTCAAAGGAAGCCAACCTCATATATCTTGTTTGTGAAAAGTATCGAGGGCGATGTTCGAGCCATAGATCGAAGAGCGTACGAGACTCATTATCCATATGTGCTTTGACCACGGTCGTAACGCATTCCCACGGGACCGAGCTTGATCCACAATTTAGGCTGATACTACTGGCCATCAATATCTCTTGAACGACCCAAGCTCTGTACCAGTATTCTCTCGCCAAAAGAGCCTCCAGTGCTAGGCAAAGGTGGAGCCGTTTTTCATCTATTAGGTATCCCCTCAGCCAGTAGATTTCATCTTCTGTTGGTTCATCCGTAGGGAGCGGCTCATCAGGCACATCCAGCTCACCGGCCGGCCAGGAAACGAGATATTCCAGGAAAGCGCGAGTCCGGCCAACGATTAGAGCACTCAGGGAATCAGCCTCGGAAAGGGACTTTCTGACGAGCTTCATAGGTTTCTCGGCAAATTTCCTGAAGAACTCCATTACCACCTCGCTATCATCAGCCGCTGGACCTAGCCATATTTGGACCCGTCGAGCGCGCTGGTAGATGTCGGTCATCAATTTTACCTGTTGCGTCCGTTCGCTGACGTCATTCTGATTGATGCATATTGCATCTATCCACAAGGTGACTTCCCATTCCTTCCTCAGGTATCGTAGGGCGGTGGCCAGGTTGTGCGTAATGCCGAAGCATCTATCATTGACTTTGATAGACACGAGGTTTTGGTGATTACCCCACGTGTAGGAGAGAGCTTCGTACTCAGGGTTGGAGTCCAGTTCGGTATAAACAAGAGTGCAAGCAATGGGCTCGTGGAACGATGCAGGGCATATTGTGACCAGGCGGATTCCATCCTTGACGTGTAGCGGACTGTACTCGAATGGCTGCTGATCATGCACGTTTGGCGACTGGGCGTCCATTGTATCTTTTCTGAACAGCGGGGTAGAGGAGGAGGTCGGCCTTGGATGGATACTAACGAAAGTAGAGAGAGGCCTTTGGGTGAAACGTAAGTCGGGGGGATTGACGACGATGATTTCGTGACTAGAAACTCGCGGAAGGTATTTATGTTGCGAAGTGGGGTGGGGAACCGTATTTCGCGCAACGAATGAACATGAGGCTGATGCATGTACGGGCATGACTTCCGTAAGTGCAACCGGCCTCCTGCAGAAATATACAAATGAGGGGTTTCACACCCGATTAGTGCTTAGCCGAGTGTAGATCTGAGGGCTCCTTGCTCAGCCATAGGCTCCCCTGTAGCGAAAAAAAGAAAAGAGCGATGATATCGCAAAATTGCCTGCCCACCTCAACCATCGGACACTTGTTCCATTAACAGATGTTAGTAGAAGTGCTTCACCTACAAAGGGGCATCGCAGCCGGAGACTAGCGTGAAGTTGGTTTTTGCTTATGCTATGGGTAGTTGAGGGTACGATCCGGACGTGAATGTACAATTATTAATTCTACATTTCTATCCGAATGATAACTTCTGCTTCACTGCAGAAATTACCTCGCAACAAACCTCTCCTCATCCACAATCGTCCTCTCCTTCCAGCTCTCCTCAACCCACTCCACGCCGATCACACGCGGAACCCTGTCTGCCTTCCTATCTGCAACAATCTGCCTTACTTCGCTTAGCCTCTCCTTATCCGTACCAGTAACCACAACATGTGTCACGGTGGCGTCCTCTTCTAACTGCTCCGCAATGGTGCCGCCCGCGAAGCGCACGATCTGCTTGGCGAGGTACAGCCGCATTAAACGCGCCTGCTCCTGCTCATCAACCTTGTCCGGGCCCTCGTCCGCCGCCGCCTCCCCAGAAGCGCCCCCATGACCGCAGCCGTCGTCAAACCACACCCTACACCCACGGAAAAGCCAGCCCCTCGCCAGCGCCACAGCATCGTCTTCCAGCAACCCCATCCCATGTCCATCCTCCGCCTTCTCGAGAAAAGCTTCAACATCGAAACCTTCAGCCTCTTCTTCTGTTTCATCCTCTTCGTCATTGACTCCTCTCGAAGCCGGCATCCCATCCATCACCTTCCTCAACTCCTTCACATCCGCCACATCCCGCGCAAACGAATCCCCCCACTTATCCACATTATCCTCCGCCTCGATCGCGGCGTCGTCCGTAGCGTGGAAGAGGTGCCTCCGGCCCTCGTACGGCAGCAGGAATACACCCGCGTCTGGAGCCCCAGCAGCCCTCCGGATAGTGGCGTCGGTCGTGGCCTGTTTGACGCAGTCGAGCAGCCACACGGGGCGCAGGACGCTGCGGTCGTTCTTCTTCATGACTGAGGCGACGGGGACGAGGCGGCGGTCGGCGATGCAGATGACGTCTGGCGCGGCGGTGGTGGAGTGGACGAGGGCGCCGCCGTGGGCCTTGACGAGGGCTTCGAGGTCGGCCTTGGATTTCTTCGGGGAGAGGGAGTCGGTCATGATGTAGAACGTCAAGCCGGCGAAGACCTGTGGGGCAGGGCGGTCGGCTGCTTTGCCATCCGCTGGGGTTTTGGCGGAAGAAGAAGAAGAAGCCTCGGCGCCGTCATCAAAGCCGGCGATGGTCATAGGCCGCTTCTTGGAGGTGCGCTGGCGCTTGACGCGGCGGGCGTCGTCGACCTTGAACTCCTTCTCGGCGTGCTGGCGCTCAGCATTGTCCTTCAGCGTCATGAACTCCTGTATCGACAGCGCCTCCTTCCAGCTCTTATCCGTCCTCAACTTCTTAAACCGTGGAAACCGCAGCGTACAGCCTATGCGGAACTGGTCCGTCGTGCCGACCGACGCCGCCTTGACAGAGACCACCACGCTATCACACGGCTTGATCCAGACGTCGGGCTTCTCAAACTGGCGCAGCTCGCCGCCGGCCAGCTCGATGAACTCGGAGGGCGGGCGCTTAGGGTCCCACTTGTGCCATTTGTCGCCCGTCTGGTGGCGGATGGCGGCGTAATCGTTTGCCGTGAGGCCGCCGCCGACCTTGAAGAACGAAAAACACTTCATGGGGTTGGCGCCGCGGTCGACCTGGCTCTGGTCGACACGCAGCCCGCACAGGAAGCTCGACAGGTTGCCGCCGCGCTTGCCCGACCCAAAGTAGCCGCCGATGACGATACAGTCCAGGTCCTCGCCGAACTCGGTCATGTACTCGGGCTTGACCTTGATCCAGTCGTCGTTGCGCTGGTTGAGCCGGTAGGGGGAGCGCGGATTCTTGATGACTAGGCCCTCTGAGGCTTCGGCTACGACTTTGCGGAGCATCGGCTCGATCTCGGATGGCTGGTGGGCGGTGGTGTAGTCGTGGACTTCGAAGCGGCGGTGGATGGGGTGGATACTGGCGGCGAGCGCCTTTCGGCGGTCGCGGAGAGTGTACTGTGTCAGGGGCTCATCGTTCAGGTACAGGCAGTCGAAGATTTTGTAGAGCGGGCGGGGGGCGGTGGAGAAGGGGTTCTTTTGCTCCGACAGGGCTGCCGTCTTCAGCGTTCCAAATGGAGCAATGGCATCATGCTCCATGTCCCAGGTAATCATCTCTCCGTCAAGAATGATGTTGCGAACACCATCGTGGAACGCATCCTTGAGGTGGCGTGTGAGTGCACTGTTGTCATCCTCAAAGCCGTTTCCATAAAGGTAGGTGTAGTCCTTAGCTTTCCGTGACCAGAAGGCGAAACGCTTGCCGCCAGGTATGCTTTCGTCTTCAATCATGTGCAGTTGTATGCGCTCTCCATCAAGCTTCTCTTCAATCCAGAACTCGTCGTCATCTTCGACGGGCTTCATCCGCTGCACCATCTTCTCGAACGAGTGCATCTGGAAAGCAGCAAGTTGCGGCTGGAAACACCCCATCAGCGTGATGGCAGTTCCTTCGTTATCAAGCCGGATTGACGGATCATACAACTCCCAGCACACCCTCCGTAGGCTGGAAGATACGTTGAAGAGACTCTCGGCATCGGGGTGCCATATGTCGAAGAGTGTTCTCTCCGTGGCGCCAACCTTCATCTGGCGGAGAATGACACGGATGAGCCACATCATCTCTTCGGCATTCATGCTCTGGTAGAAGTCCTGGAAGATAGGTAGCTGGTCCTCTTCCTTGGAGACAACGGACAGCATGTCGAGCCTCTCGTTTACCTCGCCGATGGTCATTTTCCCAGGCTTGCTGAGAATAGGACGCTTGGAAATGACGTCGAAGCATCTACCAGCGAAATCACCAGCCATGGCGACTCTGGTGCTCTGTCCAGGAAGCTTCCAGTTGAGAAGGTTGAAACCATCCTCGGAGTCTTTGTCGATGCGGAGGACGCGCACCAGCAGCTTACCGATGGCCTTTTCCTTCAGACCGTACATAGCGCGGTCACGGTCCTTCTCGGGGATGATGAGACGGAAGGCGGGATAGATGTCGTTGCCTACTTCTTGGCGCCATCTTGAAATAAAGCGTTCGACGATGTTACGACGAACCTCATTTGGGGTCATGTGTGATTGACCACGCCTTTTGCGAGCAGCAGCTGGTCCGGTGGGCTTCTTCTTGTTTTCATTGAGAGGGTTGAAGAGATCTAAGTAAAGAGAATGAAAAGGCAGGGTTGTTGAATGATTGTGGGGGCGGTTGGGGTACCTGAGGATGTGAAGTCAGCCCTGCAAATAGTGTCTCGAACAGAGTATTCGAAGCGTACTTCTCATCCAGTTCTTCCTCGGTCAGGGCGCCATGGCCATACATGCGGTGTTCCTCGTCGACCGCTTCTTGACTCTGCATAGCTGTGCGTCGGGCCATGGCGTATTTGGTTAGATGGAGGGCTGACGTGGTTGGTCAGCTGGAGCGAGCGGTTGACGGTGCTGACAAGGCCTCCAGGCTTGGCTGGCATGAATAAGGCCACCGCAGCGTTGGCAGCCGTCGGATTGCGCAGGTCGCACGAGATGATGGTCTGAGATTCTTCACATGGTGTGTGCAGAAGATTGAAGAAAGTGACGCGATGGTGCAGGCAGCAATGCGGAGGAGCGACGCGCGGGCACGTGTCGGGCTGCGCGGTGATGAAACACTTCGCTGATCGCCGCCGGGATGCTGAGTTCACTGCCACCGCCAGCTCGCATTTCCGCCCAGCAATCAGCAAGCAGGCTCCACTCAGCCCGTCGCCTTCCGCTTTCTTCTCTTTTCTCCTTCCTCTCGTCGCCCAGATGCCCCGCCTTCACTCCCGCCACCCAAGAAGATCAGCCCGATGGACGAATGAGCAGCCAGCCGTTGTCCCACCACACGCCCATGCCTCCGGCCACCCCACAACAGCAGCAGCAGCACAAGGCTGATGCCCGCTCGAGCACCCCCTACAACACGCGCGATGCCGCCCTGAAGGGCGCGTCGCTGGCTTTTGGAAAGCCGCCCGTCAGACCCAAGCCGCCGCCGCAGACGTACAGCGGAAATAATGGTGCATTGGCCGCCGCTCGGCAGTCGAGCACCCCTCAGCCCCAGCTGCTGCGACCACAGCACACCGGAACCAGCACCACCTCACAGGGCTCGCATACCTCCGCCCTCGGCCTGCCGCAGCAGCCCCAATCCGATCGCGTGCTCTCGCCGTCTATGATAGCTGCAACCCGAGCAGCTGCCCGACACACGCCAGCCTCGGACGCCGCCCCGGACAATACAAAGCGCAGGAGCATGGTGGACGCCAACGGCTCCGACAACACGTCCAGCGACTCGCTGCCCGGGCCCGGCGCTGTGAGCGATATCAAAGCTAGGCTCAATGCTGCTGGCGCAGTCCCGCTCACGGCCGACGCGAAGGCCCTGCCTTCCCGGACGAGCCGCTCTTCGTCACAAGCATCCGACCCTACCGACGCGACGTCGATCCAGCCCACGACCTCCCTGGTGAAGATGTTTGAGCAGAACAAGGCCCAGCAAGCCGCCTCGCCAGCTGCAGCCCGCAGTCCCAAGCCTACTCCTATTCTTACCTCGAAAGGAGGTCCTCCGCCGCTCAAATCGCCAAAGCCGATACGGAACATCACGGTGCCTTTTGCTTCCCCAGAACAATCGAAGCCAGACGTATCCAGGCCACGTCCTGTGAGCGCCGGCAACATTACTGCGAAGAAGCCAAAGCCTGCGCCTAAGCCAGCTCCCAAGCCAGCCAAATTCCTGGGCGACACTCAACAGCAGACATCTCCCCACGTCTCTCCCAAGGTGCCTCCGAAGCCCACATTCGCAGCTACAACGCGCGAGATCCCGCCGCCGACAAAAGATGACTCCGAAGACGAAGAAGCTGCATACATGTCTGCCCCTGAGACGCAAGGAGACAGCCATAACGCGAGGCCCATCGTCCCACCCCCTCGCCGCGGCACCAAGAAAATTCCCAACAAGGACGAAGCTCCTCCCCCCACCATCGTGAAGGAGGCCCCCGAAACTACCGCACCACCACGCGTGGCCCACCTGCGCCGCCACTCCGCCGTCGATGGTACCTCATCCGCGCCACCTCCAGCATCAGCAGGGGGCCGCCAGCTCCTCCCGCCCCCGCCCATCAGCTCAACCTACAAACGCGAGTCCTTCAAGAAAATCGAGCCGCACCTAACCGGCGAATCCCTCGCCGACGCCATGGTCGGCGCCGCGCTGGCCGGCTCGCGCGTCCCCACGCCCTCCACCACCGCCAAATCCTCCTCCGCAACATCCCCGCTCCCGCCTCCCCCGCGTCGCAGCGGCACCACCGGCCACGCTGCTCACCACCACCACCACGCCCACGCCCTCTTCCACGCCTCCCGCACCCCCTCCCCGCAAAAGAAGCCCGCCGGCAAACTCATGCCCACCCTCCGCAAGGAACCCTCCGCCAGCGACTCCGACGACGAAGCCACCGACCCGCACGCCAAACACAAGCGCAAACGGCGCGGGCCGCTCCACCCCAAGCACCCAAACAAGCACGCCGAAGGCGCGCGCAAGCGCTGGCGCGACGCCATCACGGAGCGCGAGCGCAAGCGGTACGAGGGCGTGTGGGCGGCGAACCGCGGGCTCCTCCTCTCGCGCCGCGACCTGCATCCGGCCGTCACGCAGCACCCGAACACGGTGACGGCGGGCTTGCAGGACGAGGTCAGCGCGCTGGTGGTCAGGGACGTCTGGGGCAGGTCGAGGCTGCCGCCGCATGTGTTGGAGGAGGTGTGGAATCTGGTTGATGGGCGGGGCGTGGGGAGGCTAAGGAGGGAGGAGTTTGTGGTGGGGATGTGGTTGGTTGATCAGGCGCTTAAGGGGAGGAAGGTCCCGGTTAAGGTGCAGGAGAGCGTGTGGGCGAGTGTGAGGGGGGCGGCGGGGGTGAGGGTTAGGATAAGGTAGTTTTAGACCGGATCCGATGTGGGGTAGCACGCGGGGGTTTCTTATTTTAGGGGGGGTATAGTGTATAGCTGTTGTAGATCAGATCGGATCGTTGGGCCTTGCTTGTAGATATAGTGGGTCTGGGGTTCGAGATTCTTTTTTTCCCTTTGTGTTCAGCTTAGAGATACCCCCTTACCCTTAATCGAGAGCGGTAGCAGTACCGACGTTTCTGAGCTTGCTTGTTATGTTCCTACTGCATCATGGGTGAGTTTAAAGTTTGGAGGATATACACATGTCACGGTAATCTCTGATTTGTCCTTTTCAGTCAAGTCAATCTATTGTCTCTCAAGGAGAACATTGTGTACCTTTTTTTACCTACTCTAGAAGTCTAGCCTCCCGTCCAGTCTACCTATCAGTTATGTTCCTTCTGTCTAATACTTATCGTCGGCCGTAACAGGAACTAATGAAAAAAAGGGGTATATCATCGTGCATCGTGAAAACCCTCCCTTTTCCCACAATGGGAAACCCCCTCCAGACCCAATTGTGATGTTTGTTTCCCCGTTCTGAGGAGTCCCCCGAAATACCAGTCTAGTTGCCGAATTACGAAAGCCCCGTGGACGCCCTCGCTGATACCATGCTCGAAAACAAAGAGAAGAAAAACAAATGAGAGAGTCAATCTGACCGTCTCCCAAAAGCGAAGAAAACAAAGCAAAGATCCCACCCTAATTTTGATCCTTCACACCGTCCTCGCCAGAAAAGCAAAATGCCCACCAACAACCGGCCTCGCCTTGAAGCTCCTGCGTCCTGGACTCGCCATCCCCGCATTCTGGCCCAAGACGAAGAACCGATCGCAGAAAGCGACATCATTGCGGCGATTAGCCAGGTAGCCGTGGATGTCGTTGATGAACATCTGCCCGACCTCCGACTTCGCATTGCCCGAGTCGCTCGCCCCGGCAAACGCCATCCAATTGCTCGACCCGTAGTCGCCGCGCGAGTCGATGGGCAGCCCGATGACTTGCTGCTCCGCGCTGGACGTCGACTGCTCGACCTGGTTGTGGCCCTGGCCGTTACCGTCGGAGGGATGGGGGTCGGTGGACAGCAGCAGCGTCGCGTTGGAGCGCAGGCGCGTGTACCAGTTGCTCTGCAGCGCGACGACGTCGGAATCGAAGGTGTCGAGGCCGAGGAGGACGTCCGGGAAGAGGTTGAAGGTGTTCGTCCACGACGCGTCGTGGCCGTAGCGCAGGGTCAGGTGCGAGCCGTCCGCCGCGAGGCCGTAGCGCTTGGTCGCGATGCGGTCGGCCATATCCTTCGCGGCCGAGATCGCGGTCTGGTTGTTGTACATGGCGCCGTACGCGGCGAGGCCGACGGCGGCCTTGATGGCGAGGTTGGTCTGGTTGACGAGCGGGCCCGCGCCGTCGTTGGTCGAGAGCTGGTTGGCGGGCACGAGGCCGTGTTGCTCGAGGTAGGTCGCGTAGCGGGTGAAGAGGGGCTTGTGGTCGGCGACGAACTGGGCGGCGCGGGAGCGGTCCGCCGCGGCTTTGTGGTACATGCGGGCCAGGATGAGCAGGTTGCCCGAGGATTCGAGCGGCATGGCTTCGCTGCGTCCGTTGTCGTGGCCCACGGCGCGCGGGTACCCGCCGTGCTCGTACTTGGCGTCGCCCAGGTCGTGCACCGCCCACTCGTGCGGCCAGCCGCCCGTCTCGAGGTAGATGACGATGGGCCGCAGCATCAGCCGGATGTAGCCTGGGCTGAGCCAGTAGAAGAGCGGCGAGGCTGGCAGGATGATGTCGAGGGTTTGGATGTCGCCGTTGGACGAGATCTCCTTGACCCATGCGTTGGCTTGGCTGGTGTCCTTGGTGTCGTGCGGGATGGTGATGTCGATGGCGCCGAAGACTTGGCGGAGGGAGAGCGTCGTGATGTCCGAGTAGTTTTGTCCGCCCACCTGCAGTGATTCGCTGGCGATTTTGTTGTCCAGGGTTGTGCAAGCAGCCTGTGTAGCGGTCAAGTTGCTGAAGGCGTCGGCCACGGCGTTGACGAGCTGCGAGTCCTTGGGGTATTTGGAGCGGTAGTAGTAGGTCTCGTTGCGGCCGTAGAAGTGGATGCCCTTGTCGCGCGTCATGCCGATGCCGAAGACGACCTGCTTTTCGTTGGTGATTTTGCCGAGGTCGTGCGCGTATGCTGATACAGGGTTGTCGGAGCCATTGTACTGAGGGGCTGCGTCGCTGAGCGCATCCAGTTCGAGCTTCGAGACAAAGGCGGTCCGAATATCATCACGGGCTCCGAAGCTCATGGTCATGGTAGTATCATCCTGGGGAGTAGACGCGTAGAAGACCTGACCCCATTTTGCCATGTTCTCTCTCTCTTCAAAAACCACAGCCTCTTCCTGATCCCATGTCCACATGTGCGTGCTACCCTCGATGGCCTTCGAAAGGGCAATGCCCGAGGGAGCATCCGGGAAACCCAGCCATTCGTGGCCGATGTCGGAGTAAATCTTGATATCCGGCTGTCCTGACTTGGGGCGGGCGGTGACGGTGAGGAAGCTGAGCGGGAGGCTCTGCTTACTCAGACTGGCATCGTCGGAGCCGGGAAAGACGGGTGAGAGGAACGAAAGAGTGAACATGGCGTTGCCGGCGGTCAAGTTGAAGTCGGACCTCGTAGACGTGTACTCGGCGCCGTCAACGGTGGCAGAGCTTACGTTGTCTTGCGGGTTGGGCATGCCGAACAGGCTGTACAGCTTATCGTCGACCTGGGCCATGACGCTCCATCCAAGCTTTTGGCCAGCCCAGAATTGGGCCTGGTTCTTCGGAAGTTCCATGGCATCATCACCAGGTATCCATGCCGAGAGGTAAGGGTTCTTGACGGCCAAAGGATAGGCGGGCGGGAGGATGGGCTTGAAACCTTCGGGCTGCTTGGGGGCGTCAGCGCCAGACGAAGTGCCATGTGACAGCACGACGCTGAGGACGCTGGACAAAACGATGCAAATGATAGCAAGCATGATGAGGATGATGAAGATGGGAAGACGCCATCGCGGAGGAATTTTCTCCAGGAATAAAAGGCCCCGGGACTTTGTCGGGACGTTCGCATCTTGCATGTTGGCTTGGCCATTTTTGGAGTCGGGTGTGGTGGTGGGGGTGAAATAAGACCTGAGTGACTGGACAAACGAAGGTTGTTGCGACGCGGTGTTGGGTGCGGCTGTGCCGCTGTCTTCCAGTGGAGGGGCCATGTTATAATCCAGCGAAGTGCGAGCTGTGTCTTCAGAGAGGGGGCCAATGGTTTTTGTGATGAAAGTGACGGGGCGCGGTCGGGGTGAGTGAGGTGAGATTGGCGCAAGATAAGGAGGTGGCCTTGTTAAAACTCTGCGTGTGACATGGCCTTGTTAACACTTTGCGGGCGACATTGACAGGCGGAGACCGTGGATGCCGCGGGAGGTGAGCGAGAGCAGTGCGGGCGGGCGGAGTGGAACCGTGAGAGATGTTGTGTGTTGTTGCGCAGACAAAAGTAGAACAGGCGGCTGGCAGGAGGTGGGCATTGTGTCATGGCAGGTTGAAACGACCAAAAAACCGGCTAATTTTAGCGCGCTGGACGCCGTTTTACATTTTACGAGCCCTTGGGCGGGCGGCTGGTGTTGCTGCTATGCAGATCCGCGGGCTGGGTTCTAGACTGAAGTGGGAACTGCAATCAGCCAGTCGTTTGCGCTTCGCCAGCGGGAGCTAATCTGTCTGCCCCGACGCGGCCCTGGCACCGGCGAGCCGAACTTCACAGCCCCCGACTCGCGCCCGAGACCCTGAACGCGGGGCGCGTGAACAGCGCGATGGCATTGGGCGCCGCGCGCAGGTAACGTGAGGCGGTCCTGCGCAGCCCGCCTCGCGCCAAGGTGGCAGAGAGCCGTCGGCGTGGGATGGCGTGCACGACAGGACTTGTCCGCGCCCAACAATTTGTGGGGAAGGCAGCGGCCTCCGCTTTGCGCAAGCTACGCGCCCACGCCCCCAGACGCGGAGGGCAACTCCGCCGACTATGGCTTGTCACGTGTGCTGCATTCGCCGCTCAACACCTCCGCACTTCGCTCACGCGAGTCGCGCCCGTCCCGAATTCTGTCTTTGCCGTTCTCCTTTTTCCTCCCGCGCGGCCTCGTGCTGCACTTCTTAAACCCAGCGTCGCCCGCAAGTCAGATCTGCTGCCCTGCATCAACCTAATCCAACACCCCGGCTCCGGCTCCGCATCGACCAGCATCCTGCCTGTTCGCCGACCGCCCAAACGCCGCCCCAACAGCAACACTGTCTGCAGATTACACAGCATTCCACCTTGTCTCGGCATTCAGTCTCGTCGCCAATTGACGTCCAGCCAAGCCGACGTTTTGCGCATTCTTTCCTCCTATTAAATCCGCCCGACGGCACTGATCCCCGTTGAGCGCCTGCAAGCGTGCGGCTCAAGTCGCACACAATCCCTCAGACCAACCACGTCGAAGCTTCGCACACAGTGCCTTCCGCAATGGCCCCCATTGGAGGCGTAGTCACACAAAGTCTCACTCAGACGAGCGAGCTCAGCGGCGGCAGCAAACTTAATCCGCACCACCACCACGACGCCGCCCAGATCGCGCGCATCTGGATGAGCATGCCCGCCAGATCTGATCAACAGCAAGCTCCGCTTGTCGCTGCCGCCAGGGACGAATCCGCCGAGCAGAGGCAGGGTCTCGCCGCCGGAGGACCGGTCAGTCCAGCGGGCGCCGGACCCACACGTGCCAGGGATCGCCGGCCTGCCGCCGCTGATCAAACACAGCCTTCTGCGCAGACCAGCATCACCTGCTCAGCCAACACAGCAGCAGCAGCACCCGCTGGCATTGCCCGCGCCGATCCCAATGACCACAAATTGTACGACCAGCTGCAGAGCCCGCTCTTCGGCAAACTTCCGGCCGAGCTGCGCTTGCTCGTGTGGGAGCACGCCCTGACGCCGACCGCCGCCATCGACCGCCCCACCGTCGCCGTGTCGCTGCTCGAGAGCTGCCGTCGCGCCTACGACGAGACCAAGCTGATGGTGTTCGAGCGCAACCAGGTGCGCGCCCACCTGCTCAAGTCGCCGCCGCCGCCGCCCAGCAACAGCAAGACCACCGCCACCGACCAGCACTGGACCCGCTTCCTCTCGCCCGCGCAGCAGGCCGCCACGCACCTGAACCTGTACGTGCAGCCCGGCGCATCCAGCTCGTGGGGCTGGAACCTCGTCCGGTGGACGAAGATGGCAGGCGACTTCGCACCCCACACGCTGCAACTGACGCTCTGGTTCACGTCATCGGGCGGCTGGTGGGCGCACCACATGTCCGACATCTTCAAGAACATCAGCAGCCTCCGCCGGCCCATCCGCGCCTTCGTGCTCGAGTTCCGCACCGAGCGCGACCGCTTCGCCGAGTTCGACAAGCGCGTCCAGGAGCTGCGCGACCGCCGCATCGTTCTGAGCGATGAGAGGAAGACGGCGCTCGTCTGGGATGGAGAGCAGCCGAAGTACTTTGAGGGCAGTCGCGTCATGATGGATAGCGCGTTCGGCCGTCCGACGTGGTTGCCCGAGGATGAGCAGCCCAGGTGGGTGAGCTGCCTGGATCCGGAGAAGGAGGGCGAGCGCGAGATGCTTGCTACGGTCATCAGGTGGGAGGCTGAGTCGTCAGCTTGAATGCGGACGACGCGCTTTTCTTTTCTTTTTCCTTGATCATATTTGGGAGAGGGCGTTGACTTTGGCATGGACCCTGCGCCACTGCGGCGTCGTTTTTGCGATAAACGAAACCCGGGGGGCGATAATGCGGGGAAGGAAGCTTGGCGGCCGCTTAATCTTTTTACGAGAGCGAACGGCGTTTTTGAACTGATTGATGAACAGGGAATTACACGGCAGGTCATGTGAGTAATGAAAAAGATCCGACCATCACAGAGTACGGACGCGGTAAGGCAAAGCATGGGGGTGGACAAGAAGAAAGAATTGACTTTGTCGGATTGATTGGAGAGCCTTATCTGACCTTTGCTACATTTGAGGCAAAGGCGGGTATGCAAGTTCATTTTGAGCTATCGACGCTCTACTGCATCGAGGCGGTTTATTGCGCCATCGGCTTCTGGATCGTTAGACTAGTTAGCATCTTGATACCCCAATCAAATACAGAAGACCTGCCTATGAAGCTGCTCTCTCACGAATGTCCTTAATGCCACTCCCGCATCTCATCGGAGTATTACCGAGTTGGCAGTGGCGGATTAGCACCTGGGACTCCCTCGCTCTTGTATCGAGCCGGATCAAGCTACTCCTTATGTGGCATGGCGGCAGATCTCATCCATATCGCGACATCCAGTTTCCAGCATCACGCCGGGCCGAATTTCAATCCAGCTCGTCCATATCCCCTATCTCCATCGGCTCCGTCAACGTGTTCTCGAACCAGCCGGCCTGGCTGAACGGCAGCACCCGAGCAACCACTTTGCCTCTTATCAGCGCCAGCGGCACGGGTCCATGGAGTCTCGAGTCGCGCGAGACGGGCAAATTGTCGCCCGTCACCCAGCAGTGGCCTTCGGGAACCTGTGATGGCGCAAGACGCGCGTCAGCCGCTGCCCGTCTCTGTCCCTCTTCCGCTCTCCATCCCTCCACCCCCAACGCCAGCAATCCTCCCCCTCCCCACGACAGAGAAAAGCCAAACCCACCTGTATCATCATCCCCTCACTCCCCTCCGCATGCGGCGTATCTCTCAACACAAAATCCCCCGGCATACCAATCACCCTCTTGATAACGCCCGACCCCAGCTTGAACGGGTTCTCGTAGTTGACGACGTCGCCGACGACGATGTTCTTGCCGCGTCGGTAGTGCTTGCTGATCAGCACGCAGTCGCCCAGCACCTGTATCGTCGGCACCATCGACGCGCCCCACGTCGGCTTGACCGTCCACCCGAAGCTGAAGAAGGCGTGCAGCATCGCGCCGCACGCCAGCGTGTGGAACACGACTTGGCCCGCCGTGAGCGGCAGGCTGCCGAAGCGGATGCGGGGGAGGCGGGGGAGTGGCATGTTCTTTTCTTCGTTTTTTTGGGCTGGGGTGGTTGGCCGGCGTTAGAGGATGGCTGGATGGATGGCTGCTCCCTGGCGCTTGTCGCTACCCGCTGCTGTGGCCCGCTGCCGCTGCCGCGCGGGAATGGTGGGATGGAATTGGCGGAGAGAGAGAGGATCGGAATGGTTGGTGTTGCGGCGGTGGTGGTGGTGTACGATGACGCGCTTGCTGCATAGGTGCATAAAGTTGCCGGTCGGCCCGGGCCAATCCCGGGTGATTTTTATTCTCGACTACATCAACATTAATCGTCGATAGTCCAGTTCAGCTTTGAACAGCCATCATAGCGAGGCTGCCTGAGCCGTTCATCATTAGCGCCGGCAGAATACGAGAGTGTGCCATCGAGGTGGGATTTCTCCTTCTCGAATATCTGCGCTGGCTGAGTGAAAGAGCAGACCTACAACACACTCGGAGACGTGCCGCACATGCGAGGGGGAGATGAAACGACCGATTGCTTCTTAATGAATTGCTAGGGTGATGGAAGGCGGGAATGTGAGTGGTGAATGCAACAGCCATTGTGGCGCTCCTTAAAATAATACCGCTACTTGTGTCCGATCCGGCAGAGAACCTTCCGAATACGATAAACGAGTAAATACGCCAAGAGCGGGTCGTCACGTCTACAAGCGCACCGCCCGCGACCTATCGGGTGGGAACGTTTATACTCTATGCTAATTCGACGCGGATTCGGTTTGTAAATGCTATTTTAGGAATCCTCGAATCCACAACTGAGCACTGTACGAAATTCAAGTATATAGAAACGATTGGTTCTCACTTTCATCTCACTTTTGCAAGGCTTGTTTTGATTGCCCTCTGGTTTTTGCATCCTCATTTCGCTCGTTCAGTGCACTCGCCTTCGTTCGCTTCCAATGGATCCCTCTACTAACTATACAAGTTGGGGGTCCGCTCCACTTTCCGAGAACACTCAAAAAGCCGAATACAAGCTCTGGGACTACAATCCATCTATCCCAGCTGCCACCGTCGCCGCTGGCGTCTGCGGATTCCTAACACTCATTCATGCCATCCGCTTGACACGAAATCGCACCTGGTTTTGCATACCCCTTATCATCGGCGGAGTGGTGCGTGACTGCCGCTTGATCCACCGTGCCACCGCAACAACAGCTGATCCCTACGTCTAGTTCGAAACAGCCGGCTACGCGGCTCGAGCCGGCGCCCACGACAATACCAAGGCCCTGCCACCGTACATCGCCCAATCGCTCCTCATCCTCCTCGCACCCATCTTCTTCGCCGCCTCCATCTACTCCATCCTCGGACGCATCATACACCGCGTCGACGGCGATGAGATATCCATCGTACATCCGTCCATCATGACGCGCTTCTTCGTCTGGGGCGACGTGCTTTGCTTCTTGGTGCAGGCGGGTGGCAGCGGCATGCTTGCGCAGGCGAAGAAGCAGAGTGATATGAAGATGGGCAATACCGTGATTCTTGTTGGTCTGGGTCTGCAGATATACATCTTCTGCTTTTTCGTGAAGATTGGGGTGAGCTTTCATAGGGATTTGCAGAAAACACCTACTACTGCTGCAATGGATGGGGAGTTCCCTTGGGAGAGATATATGGTCTTGCTATACGTCGCGTGTGCGTGTGTTGGAATTAGGAATACGTATCGCGTGGTCGAGTATGCGATGGGGAAGGTAAGTTCGTACTTCGTCACTGCTCAGCTCATCTGATGTTAACTTGATTCTGGCAGAGCGGATTCCTCATGACGCATGAGTGGCCTCTTTACGTGGGCGATTTTGCCCTCATGGCTATCACACTTATTGTTTGCTTATCATGGTACGATTTGAATAGTATACGAAGACATGGTGACGTAGAAATGGAACACTTGGAAAGAAAGTAGTTATAATCAGATAGATGTTAAATTTCCAAGTTTTTGATACTCTATTTTTTTTTTTACAATACGTAGTTGAAGCTATTAAATGCATCATGGTTAATTCGGCATTCAAGTCGAGACAATCTTTTCACATCTATGACATAGGCTTATCAGACAAAGCTCAAAAAAAAAAAAAAAAAGAACGGGTGAAGGCCACGTCCAACTCGTACATGGCACAACAAAAGCCAGACTACCATACAGCAACAGACTTCTAGATCAGCGTCAGGCAACACAGATAAGACGGGTAGTCGCTCGTATATCTTCATGCAACGCAAGCAAAGCGTAAACACGCGTCGATGCGCAAGTGGGCGCAGCACCAGAGCCAATCCATTCTAGAGAGAGCATGAACACTGAAACTGCAAAGACCGAAAAAAGTCTTATTTGTGCCCAAGCTTTTCAAGAAGAGGCGGGATCGTTGGCGTATTCGCGAGGTGACGCACGGGATAAGCAGCTCCCATTGGTCGAGAAAACGAAGACACGGTCACGGACCGACTGACCACTGAACTCAGCCTCACAAGCCAAAAGTGGAAACAGAAAGGACGCTTTATATATCAATCGCAGTGAATCTTTTCAATTCTCCAAGAAAACACAAAGGAAGTTACAGACACCTTCACGAGAACGACCCACGCCCATCATGGAGTACAAATTGTACCATTACAACCCCTCTCTGGCTGCGGCAGTCATCTTTGTTATTCTTTTCGTTTGCAGCACCGGGTTGCATGCCTTCCAGCTCTTCAGAAAAAAGACTTTCTATTTCACACCTTTCATCATTGGCGGCATCTGTAAGTGGTGGCATCATCACATTTTGTATCACTCATTGCTGACGTTGAAATCACCAGTCGAAACCGTTGGCTATGCCGGACGTGCTATTTCAGCCCACCAGTCACCCGACTGGACTCTTATTCCATACGTCATGCAAAGCTTGCTGCTTCTCCTGGGACCCACATTGTACGCTGCATCGGTATACATGGTTCTCGGAAGGATCATCCGCTTGACGAAGGGCGAATCACACTCGATCATCAAACCTCAACGGTTGACTAAATTGTTCGTCCTCGGGGACGTTGTCTCTTTCTTGGCACAATCTGGAGGTACGTAGATACCCTGAGAGCGGGCCTGCGATCTCTGCTAATGATCGATACAGGCGGAGGCATGATGGCGAACGCCAAGACTGCAGCGGACCAGGAAAAGGGCCAGCACATCATCACAGTGGGTCTGGTGATCCAGATCGTGTTCTTCGGCTTCTTCATCATCGTCGCGGGGCTTTTCCACCGCCGCATCTCGATGTATCCCACGTCGCGCTCGAAGGACCCGCTCATTCCCTGGGAGAGACTGCAGTACGTGTTATATGGCGGGAGTTGCATGATTATGGTCCGCTCCATCTATCGGTTGATTGAGTACGTCCAGGGGGACGACGGAGTTCTGATGAAGACTGAAGTCTACCTCTACGTCTTCGACGCCGCACTCATGTTCATTACGTCGCTCTTGTTCAACATCTTTCACCCCGGCCAAGTCATCACTCAGGAAGCGTTGGAGAAGGAGGATTCATATATGCTCGGCACTGTATCACCGTAGTTTGGTGGGATCATATTGGAGCTTGAAATTTGGACTCAGTTCAAGACATCGGAGTATCTACAGCACTGCTGCTAGAGCCATTAGATTTAGATTTCAAGTTCAGTGGGCACAATATCGATCATCAGTCAAGCTGATATGTAGAGGAACTGGTTCTGTGCATATTCGTGTCTAAGGTGGTAGCTGTGGGAGGCAACAGGATGGGAAAGAGGAAGTGTAGACAGAACTGAAGTCATGAGGCGATCCAATATGTTAAAGCACGTCAACAGCTACGATTGTCTCAATTTAGTCTGGACCAGTGATTCCACATGATTGATGAGAGTGATGCTTACGTAACCGGCCTCGATTAACGGCCGGCGCTGTTTTGGGCCCGCTGATACCGACACATCCCTTTTTTTCCCTGTGTCACCGGCTTGTCTCTTCCTACGACTGCCGTTGGGTGGATCGGAGCCTAAAAATAGCGATCTGCATCCTGCCGCACCACGATACTAGTGCTCACAGCCACAATCATTACGTTGTTCCTTGGGGCGGAGGCATTCCAGGCAGTCTTCACGCTTTCTCTGCTTTATCATTCGCTCCTCTTTGCCAAGTGGTAATCACCGCTGACCATCACTCGCCATCCACAATGCCACCAGGAAGATCAAGCCTTGGGGGCCGTAACTTGCCCCGGAAAAGCCATCGGAAATCCCGACTGGGATGCAAAAACTGTAAGCAACGTAGGATTAAGGTACGTTTCATGACTCGAGCTCTCGACTCTCGCTTTCACATTTATTTTGCCTTTCTCAGAAACTGACAAATGCGCAGTGCGACGAACAGAAGCCGTCCTGCACGAATTGCATCAAGCACTCAATACCATGTGACTACAACACCAACAACGCAGGACCTGCCGCCGCTCCCCGACTCCTCGCCTCGCGCCCCATCACCCCGGCAGCAACCGGCACTTCAACACCGCCAACCCCCTTCCCAGGCAGCCCCAGCAACAACAACCTCAACATCCCCCTCTACACGACCACAGAGCTCGAGCTTCTGCACAACTACTACATCTCCACAGCACCGAGCCTTTCATCTAACCCGGCCCTCTCGCACTTCTGGCGCGCCGATGTCCCGAAACTATCTTTCAGTTGGCCATGTCTCCTAAATGGCCTCTTCTCTATTTCCGCTCTGCACCTCGCTCGTTTCCGACCCGAAAGCCGCGACACATACCTCGCCCAAGCCGACGTCTACTGGGACCGAGCCCTGCGCAGCGCGACGCCATTGCTCGAGGCGATCAACGACGCCAACTACCACGCCGTCTACGTCTTTTCCATCTTGGCGGCCTTCTACCTGCTCGGAAAAGGCCCGCGGGCGGACGACGACGACTTCCTCGCGTTCGACGGCCAGCTGAGCGCGGCGGGAACACTGCTGCACATCCGCAGCACGCGCGTCATCATCGAGTCGGCGGACAGCGAGGCCGCGCTGCGCAACGGACCGGTGGCGGTGCTGTTCGACGTCGGCATGCGTCACATAGCCCGGTGGTTGCTGCCGGACCGCGAGAACGAGCATGCCCTCGTGCAGGAGTTAAGGTTTATTCATGCGTATCTGGAGCCGGAAGACGAGTCTGATGTCTACGTGAACGAGATCGATAACCTGTCGCGGTCGTTTCATGCTGTGGCGGCGGAGCGCGCGAGCAGCGGTGGTGGTGGTGGGGGAGTATCGACGCAGGTCGTCTTCGTGTGGCTGTATAAGCTGTCGGACGAGTTCCTCGACTGCTTGCGCCAGCGCGAGCCGATGGCGCTGACCATTTTCGCGTATTTTGTGGTCTTGCTGAAGGAGCTGGAGGGCGCGTGGTACCTGCAGGGCTGGGTGGAGCATTTGATTGCCGGGATATATCACGCGCTCGGCCCCGGGACGCGGACGTGGGTGCGGACGCCGATTGAGAGGGTGGGGTGGATTCCGCCAGTTTGATGGTGGGTTTGCTTTCGGGCGGTGGAGGAGGAGGGGGGTTGGTGGGTGGCGTTTTGTACGCCGAGATAGTATTACGACATTATACGCAAACAACAGTTCCGTCTCCTACATTTTCCGCTCTCTCCCTCCCTCGCCTCGCCCGATCAGTCCATCGAGAACCGCCGCACGAGACGCAGCTCGCTCTGCGAGAACTCTAGCTCAGATCCAGGCTCCCTCCCGTGCGCGAGTAGCAGAGGTTTCAACCCGCGCCCGAAATTCCATCGGCACCGCACCGCCGCAGCGAGGGTCGCGATGGCGCAGAACAGCGCCGCGGCCGCGAACAAGACTATCGCGTCGTCCGCGGCGCTCTGCCCGCTCTTACCGATGATCGCCGCCATCCTGCTCAGCAGGTACAGAGCTTCTGCTACGTAGAGAATCTGGATGGAGAGTCAGCCCGGCGGCGCTGTTGGGATTAATGGAAGGCCACTCACTATCACAGCAGCGGTGCCGGCCGCCGCCTCGCGCTTGATGCAGTACACGGCTAGCAGCGGCTTGCACACGGCGACGGGGACGAGGAGCATGGTGATGGCGAACTCCGGTTGCGTAGGGCGGAGCTCAACGAAGGCGTAGATGAAGAGGAAGCTGGCGGTGGCGCAGACGCAGAGCTTGGCCGAGACGAGGTAGAGCTGGGTGCGGGGGTTAGTGGAGGGAAGAGATGTGGCAGGGAGGTGGGGATTTACTTGGTACTGCAGATGGCGCCGCCGCACGTCCAGATCGGCGCTGATGTGCTTGTAGATGGCCCATGCGAATTCTTGGTGCAGGTAGAAGGTGACGAAAGGCAGAGCGGCGCTGCACGCGCCGATGCTGACCAGCGTGGCTAGCAGGATCGGCTTCGTCGATTGCCAGATATGGTCGGCGGACTCGGCGGGAAGTTGGAGAGAGGCAGTGAGGACTGTTTCGTGGATCTGCATGTACTGGAGGAATGCGACGAGGAAGATGCAGCTGTTGCAAACGCAGACGGTGAACAGCTGGATGTTGTTCTTGGACCGCAACCCGTCGATCGCGAAGGCGATTTGGCCGAAGCAGTCAAAGGCGACGAGCCCGACCGTCACGGGGATCGGACTTCCCGACTGGGCGTCTGAGATGATCGGCTCGATCCGCTTTCGGTAGTCGTTCAGAAGGAGACTGATTATGTCAGACAGGAAGGAGACTTGATTCTTGAGGGCAGCTTACCCTTGCAGAGAAGTTACAGCCATGGCCTGAAGCACTACTACTGATAGGAATGCCCATTCCCATTTCGTGCGTGGTCTGTACATTGCTGAAGGTTGTAGTTGCAGTTGCAGTGGCTGTGAGAGCTGAAAACCACGTTGGTGCTTTGCAGCACCTGCCACGGTGGGCCTGTCTTCAAGGGGACATCTTGCTTCTCATTTCCCTTTAGTCGATATGCGAAGCCGTTAGAGCTGGTCGTATCGGCCATAATGTTGATGCTCAGACGTATTCGGTTCTATCCCCTCTTTGATTGGTCGAGAATGCGAGGGTCCGCGCTAATGCGCCGCTGTGGGTATGTCAGTGCTTTTGTGCTTTTTTAGGACCGAACTACTTTGCACCGTGCTGAGATTTGAATATTCCGTAGGGTCTCATGTGAGGGAAACTGGGACGCGACTGTGCTGATGGTGTGAAGCTGTCGAAGGAGCGATCAAAACCAAGACGAAACATGTTACCATAATAGTATTCAAGCTTCTGGAAACCAATGAAAATAGGAGACAAGCATTTCAGATGCGCGAGTCTCGATCTACAGGGTTCAAGATCTGGATTTGCTCTATGCAGATAGTGAGTTATCCATTTTATGAGATCTGAGTCTCTTCATGGGGACGAAGTAGAGTTACCCGCTAGTTACGGTGTACGACAAGGTACTTCCATGCTGCATAAAAGTTCCCGGCGGGCGTCGGGCCGGGTCAAGCCCGGGTAATTTTTGACTTGTGAGTTTCAGAGCGCATGACGATCATTCCACCACTTTTTCGTCTGCGTCGTTTCGAGGAGCGAGCATACCTCCTTACGTTGCTTTGAATTCCTTTCCGATCGTTCCCTCGCTCCGAGAAGCGATTCCGGTCCTTGTTAGATTTCGCTGAGCTTTCCAGTACCGCGAGACCGGTCGTGATTTTTTTGCCACCCGGCAAACCTGCCTCACTGTGAGATTATCTGTTGAACGGATGCGTTGTACTCTGGTCCTGGGGTTGACTAACCATTTCGGCCTAGAATTCCATCCCACCGTTTGACTAATTCCGTTCAGTCCAGAATTCCCACCCCGCATGATGGCGCCGGGGAACGACCAACTGATAGCCGAGTCTGTACGAGGTAGACGTCTCTCTCCTCACGTGTTTACCATGTACTTTGTACATTTCTTTATCTGTGCCCATCCACTAATCCGAAAACAGGCTTAATCACATCGTACCATGAACTCAACCCCAACTGCGTCGACGAGCTCGAGGAAGAGCCGAGTCCGCTCGAGTTCATGCGCTACGTCGCCACGAACCGGCCGTTCGTCATCAGAGGCGGCGCGTCGTCGTGGCCGTCGCACCGCAAATGGAATGCCGCCTACCTGAAAGAGGTCATGGCGGGCCAGCACGTCAACGTCGCCATCACCAACCGCGGCAACGCCGACGCCATCGTCGAGAGCGAGGAGCAAGACGGTAGCTTGGTCTTCGTCGAGCCGTATGAGCGCGAAGAGCTCTTCTCCGACGTCATCGACAAGGTGCAGGCGCAAGAGCTGGGCAACGCCGCTGGTGAAGAGCCGAAGGTCATTAGATACGCGCAGACACGTTAGTCTTTCTCCCTTTCTTCCCCCCTCTCTGCCCTTCTCCCAAAGTCCCCCGTCTTCCTCGAACTTCGTGCAGCTGAGCCGCAACACAGAAAACGACAACCTCCGCAACGAATACTCCAGCCTCTTCGCCGACGTCCCGCGCGACATCCCCTTCGCCCGCATCGCACTACAACCAGATGCCGCCGCGGGCCCGGACGCCGTCAACTTCTGGCTCGGCTCGTCCCGCAGCACAACGTCGCTGCACAAGGACAACTACGAGAACGTCTACGTGCAGGTGCTCGGCCGCAAGCACTTTACTTTGCTGCCGCCCGTCGAAGCGGCCTGCGTCAACGAGCGCGCGGTGCCGGCGGGGAGGTATGTTCCGAGAGCGAGGAGCGGGGTGGAGCGGGAGGGTGAAGAGGAAAGGGAGGTAGAGTTGCATGATTTGAGGGTCGAGATGGCGCGGCCGGAGCGGATGGTCAATTGGGCGCTGTGGGATCCGGATTTGCCGGCTGTGCGGCCGACGGCGTTTTCGGGGCTGTCGAGGCCGGTGAGGGTGACGCTGGAGCCCGGGGATATGCTGTATTTGCCGGCGATGTGGTGGGTGATGATGATCTTGCTCGTTTGGGTGGTGTGTGGTCGATGCTGATGTTGGGCAGGTACCATAAAGTAGCGCAGAGCTGCTCTGAGGAGGGGATATGCGTTGCGGTGAACTACTGGTAAGGCGGAGCTCGGGAAAAAGCTTTGGGAGACTTGTGCTGACGGACTTCAGGTACGACATGGACTTCAGTGGGCCGTTTTGGTCCTTCTTCTCCTTTGCTCGGAGCGTTGGCGGAGTCGCAAACGGTTACCCTCTGACAGAACGAGGCGGGGAAGAGGAGGAGGATGAGTGTCAGTAATGCAAAAAAAGAATGGGCAAAACTGAACCCCGCTACATGCGGGTTAAGCTCAGAAAGACTCCTTGGGACCGTCTTTTTTGTCTTCCCTGGCCCGTGTTCGAACCTTCGACCTCTTTATGACCCACAGAGGACGGGCGGAAACTTGGGCAGCCTTACTGTAAACCTTCGGGCTCTCATTTAACCAAGCACCACCTCTTCGAGCGTGACTAGCATACCCGAATGGTTGACTGAGTGGCTTATATACCAAACCCCTCGCATCTACGGGGCATACTGGCCGGGCTAACGACAGCTGCGATAGTGGCAGGGAAGCGACGACATGGCCATGGTTATATCTTGGGAGCATCCCATGTTACCCGACGATATGCAGCGCGATTCAGGCGGGGCATCAGGTCCGTGCGCCAACGAATCGAAGGAGCGTCGATGTCATGACCGCATCGACTTTTCCACCAAAACAACAGCATCGCCAATTGCTGCCACCCACATCTACTCTCCGACGCGGTCTGTCGCCGACATACTGAAGGGCGTTGTCTCACTGCCGAGCTAGCGTCAGCGGCCCGACGAGCCCCCGACGAACCGCAACGACGACCCGAGAAAAATTTCCACCTCTCACTTCCGCCGCACCAACGGAACGCCAGCACTACATAACCACGGCTACCTACGCCCACACATCTCCCACACACGCGCCCATCGATCACGCACACACACCCACACATACACACACAAACCACAACCATGGCATCAACAACCCCCGCGCCCTCCGACGCGCCCACCACCACCCTCCCCGCTCCCACCGCCTCAGGCGAGCGCGAAGGCTACGCGAAGCTCACGCACCGGCTGTCCATCTGGCTGCTGGTGGCGTGCCCGGCGATCGCGCTGCTGCCGCCGCGCAAGCTGGACCTGTACACGATGGGGCTGGGCGGCATGACGCTGGTGGCGGCCGAGCACCTGGTGCGCGAGCGGACGGGCCGCACCATCTTACAACGCGTGGGCAACGGCTTCGACGGCGCGGTGCAGCCCGCCGACCACATGCCGACGGAGCGGGCGCGCGCGGTGCAGGAGGCGATGCGGAAGCGGGCGAGGGAGGAGAGGGAGGCGTTGCTGCGGCAGCAAGGCGAGGGACAGGCGGAGAGGACGGAGGCAAAGGAGGAAGAGGGTGGGGTGCTGCAAAAAGTGTGGATGGGCGGCGAGACGGAGGGGTGGCGCGAGAGGAGATTGAAGGAGGAGCGCGAGGCGATTGAGGAGGGCCGCGGGTACGGGGACCTCATCATGGACCAGATCTGGGAGGTGTGGAATTGGGGCAGGGGCGGCGGTGGCAATGGCTCGGACGGCAGCAAGAATTAGGACTCGTCGGCCTTCATTACGGCTGGGTGCTGGTCGCGAGGGCACGGGCCTATAACATGGTGGTTGGTGGTGGCGGTCTGTCTGGAGAATGAGGAGGACGGAAGCGAACGAGCCGTCGTCCCGCAGAGGCGAAGGTGGCCAGAGATTTCGGAGCACCACCGGCATGCGGCGGACTCGAGTAGATATTAATTGCGCGTCAGAGGTTGCGCTCAGGTTGGCTGCTGCGGATGGAGTGCGACCGGGCTGGGACCGTGCGCTAGTGGTGGTCCCCGCTGTCTCCTATCACCGCCCCTATCCCGCTGCCAGGCACGACTTAAGGCGCCGGCCAAACAAGGGCCTCCCACCCAACGGCGCCGTTCATTCGTGCACGCGATGACGGAATCGGCGGCGGCAAAAAACAGACGCTCAGTCGGTATGCACCCCACCAGCACGCCTCCCCAGCCCGCATTCTGCATACCCATGGCTCTCTCCGGCTCGGATCGCGGCCGAGCGCACAGCGCCCCACGCGTTTCCGGCACCAGGCAAACGTCCGTTTCGCTAGCAACGCCATCATATATTACGCTTCCCGCAAAGGACCAGATCCCTGACTCCTCCAGTGCTTGAAAAGACGATGGCTCCGCCGGCCCAATCCGCGCGCCCGACGTCCTGGTTCGGAGGCTCCTCGCTGCTTTCGCCGCTGTCCGCCGCCGCTCCTGCGCCGACACAAAGCTGTAACGCAAGCAGCAACAGATCCTCATCTCCGCAGCACCTCGAGCCCCCCCAATCCGGCATGAACCGCCTCTCGCTTGACTCGGCGCTCATGCGCAAGAATCCCTTCGCCCGCGCCAACGCCAGCAACCTCTCCATCTCCACCGAAAACCAGGACGACATCGAACCCGGCCTGAAGAGCGCGCCCCCGGTCCCCGAGCGCCACAGCGCGACCTTTCCCCTCGCCGACCGCCTGCTGTCCTCCTTCATGTCGTCCAAGGAGGATCCCGACACCCCAGCCGTCGCCGGCGTCGGCTGCGAGGTGTCGGACGACGAGATGCAGGCGCTGCTGGAGCACGTGCGCCGGTCCGAGAACGAGCGCGCCCGCGCCGAGCATGAGCTGCAGCGCCGCGAGAAAGAGCTGGCGCGCGTCAAGAACGAGCTGCGCAAGGCCGAGCGCGAGATCGAGGACCTGAAAGCCCAGCTGCGCCGCCACGAGCAGCACCGCGGCGCCCTCGACGGCACCCTCAAGCCCGACGACCTGGGCGTGCTGCCGCCCGCCGGCGGTGGCATCAGCCGCCACGACAGCCTGGATCCGAACCACCGCCACCGCCGCGCCAACAGCAGCAACGGCAGCAACACGTCGACCCCGACCGTGCCCGAGCACGCCGGCGAGAGCCCGTACTACATTTCGGGCGGTGATGGCTATGGCGCTTCCTCCAGCACCATGGACCTCAGCCCTACCAGCGCCGCCGCCTACACCTTCAACACCACACCCTCCGTCCGCCCGCTCTCCTGCATCGCCGCCCCCCTGTCCACGCGCTTCGGCAACGGCTCCAGCCCCCGCCTGCAAACCCAGCCCTCCATGACGTCCATCAGCGAGACGCACCCCGGTTACGTCAACGAATACGGCGACGAGGCGGCCGTCGAGGACCACCAATCGTACCACAGCAGGCCATCACTCCACCAACAGCGCTCCACCCCGCGCTCCTCCCTCCAGCTCAACCGCCCACAACAACAACAATACGAGACTCCGCGCCGCCCGTCCGTCCAACACGAGACCACCACCACCACCACCCCCCGCCGCCCGTCCGTCCAGCTCCAACACGAGACCTCCTCGCAGCCACGCACCTCCCTCCAGCTCCAGCTCGAGCAACCGTACCAGCCCCAGCCCTACTACGAATACCAGTACCCGGACCCCGACCGCACCGCCTCGTACGCCTCGCCCGACAGCCGCAAGAACTCCGCCGTCGCCGTTACCTCCATCGAGTACCAGCAGTCGCCGATGATGAACCCCGAGATCGCCGCCGCCGCCGCGGCGCTCGAGGGCTATGGTCCGCCGCCCGCTGCGTTCGCTGAGGAGCCGGAACCGGCGTCGCCTGCGGGCAAGGGTCATCACAGCGGCCGCCGCTTCTTGCGGTCGAGGCATGGGAAGGAGAAGGGATCGGGCGCTGGAGCAGAGCGTCCGAAGAGCTCGTATGCCGGCGCGGGCATCAAGGAGAAGAAGTCGGCTGGGCGCTTGAGGGAGAAGTTTTCGCGTATGTCGCTGTTCGGCGGGAAGAGGGATGATGGCGCGCCGAGTTCGCCGGTGCCGGCTGTGCCGGCGTTGGAGGCGTAGAGCTTTTTGTAATATAAGAAGAAGGGGGAGAAAGAGAAAAGTGCGGAGTTTAAGCGCACATGTACACTATTTAAGATACCACTAGCGGAGGAGGAGAAGAAGAAGAAGTGTAAGTCAACTAACTGATGGGAAATGAGGGGGGGATCCCGGGGGGAGTAGTTGGCGTTTTTCCTTGATCTTGTTGTTTTTTGCGTGTTGACTGGAGCAGGGAGGTGTTTCTGGGAGTTCTTGTTTCGCGGGGAAAACATTTGTCGAGGCGCGCGATCGATCTTTCGGGGATAGGCACCGGCACCATGGGAGGTCCTCGTCTGTCTTGTCTTGTCCTTTTTTTTTTTTTACGAAATGCTGAAACTTACTACTACTGTACTATATTGTTCCCTCTTTCGCGCTCTTCAGCTATCTCGTTCCTTCTCTTGTCGTTCCTTGGGCTTGTACAGCACTCACCTTTTTCTTGGATCATGACAACCAACCGCTCATATACACACACTCATAGACTTACTTATTGCTGGGCTGCAAGGCTCGGTTTTTCTACTCTCCTGTCCTATTTACTCACTGAACTCGTTGACGAACGACAGCTGGATGATCTGTTGGGTTTCGCTGGGGTTTGGCGTTTCCTTGTCTCTCTATTTTTTTTCTTGTATTTACATAGCTAGTAATTCTAATTTATCTACTTCAAAACTCAATCAATTTAAGCCTGAAAGCTACTTATAGTGCGAAGAATAATAGAGTCTCGGAACAGATACTCACCACGGCCCCCAGGGTGGAGAATTTTTATGGTATTTGTGAGGGATAATTCGACTTATGCGGGGAGTTAAAGCTATCGCCCGGACGTGAGTATATAATTGTTAACTCAACATTCACATCCGAACGACAGCTTCAGCCACCCATATGTGTTCTTTTCATTGAGAAAAAAAAGAAAAAACTGAGGTATACTTGCGTCATGTTCCAGGGCTCTGCTATTCTTCGCGCTGGCCATTGGCCGCAGCACCCTTCTGTACAAGGGACCCTGGGCTCACTCTGGTAATTTGATAGGTCAGAACCTCAGCCCTCCTTGTAAAACAAACCCGTACTATCCATTGGCGCAAGAGGGTGCTGTGTAACGTAAGATCGACTCCGCCTCGTGTTCCCCCACTTCAGCACTCAGCCTCATGCACTTTCAATAATTCTCCTTCTTCGTCAAGGCTCTCTCAATCACTGCATACTCCTTGAAGCGATGCTGACTCTGAAAGAACAGAAACTCCGGTGATTCAGGACCTCGCATAGACTTTCAAGTCCCGAGAACGCCCATCATTGGCCTGCACCTTGTCAGTCCAGCCTGTCACCTCTTCGCCACCCCGAATGCCAACCCATCTATCGGGGCATGGTATCGCAATCGGATATCACATACAGACTGGGGGGAATACCAGATCACTATGGAAATGATGAGGTCTCTCAGCTGGTCGCTCAGTTGCTCGGGCTGGATGTTGGTGCGATCTGGGTGCGCTCACTTGCAAGCCACCCATTTCGAGAGAGGGAGAAGGTCGCAACACTGAATCTGCGGGAACGAGCATGGGAACTTGAGAATGGAACGAATGAATGGACATTTCACTACACCAACCCTAATTCAGGAGAGGCTCTGGACATTGTGCTCGACACAAATTTCATTGGAATCACTCCGTTGCATGGGACGCCAGACGAGAGGTGCGATGCTTGGTATGCTCATCTGCACCACGGTAAAGACCCTGTAACATTTGCTAACCATGGCAAAGTTGTATTGCTCTTTCCGGCCTCAACGCACACGCTTTCGGGTCATTCAAAGCCAGGTCCGACAGTTTCATGTGGCTCCGCGACGCGTTGCCAATGGATCTGCCAGGCAGCAGGATGTATATCTACGGCTATGATACCAGCATGGTCGACAGCCTTTCCAGACAAACTATTTTGGATCTTGGTCTATATTTCGCCGAGAATCTCAAAGCCCTCGTAGGCGGATCGAGTAGTGCGCCTCCTAAATCTCTTCTTCTTATCGGGCACAGCCTTGGAGGTCTGGTACTTGAACAGGTGAGCAAATAGTACTGGTGTCAAAAGTCGAAAACAAGCTAAATATGGACTGAAGGCATTGGTCAACCTCGTGAAAAATGAACGTGAAAATATGGAGATAATCCGAGCACTCAAAGGGATTCTCTTGTTTGGCGTTCCGCATTTGGGAATGTTGAATAGCCCATTGTTACCCATGGTACAGGGTCAGCCGAACGAAGGTCTCATCTCTTGTTTGAGGATGGACTCAGATTTTCTTGAACTTCAGCAGGAGGACTTTGCTACAGCCCGCTCAAAGATGCGTAATGCTCAGGTAATCGCCTTCTACGAAACAGTTGATACGCCCACTGTAGAAAGGGTATGTGCGGCTCATCTGACTCTGGAGTTTCGGCTCTAACAAGACAATGCAGGACCGAGAGTCACAAAAATGGATGATGACCGGCTCTCCAGCTCTTTTGGTCTCAAAGTCGTCTGCAACGATGGGGTGCGATGCTACCATACCGATCAACAGAAACCATTCCGAAATCGTGAAGTTCCCGAGACAGCACAACGAGTATTTCGTGGTCGTCAACCGACTCAGGGAGTTGAGGAAACTGTACCAACAAAATAGAGCCCCACACTATTCTGATTTCTCTCCTGACGAGGGAAAGGCGCTGCGCTCGCTAGGGTTCTTGGAACAACACTGGCGTCGGGATGAAATCAATCCAGCCAATGACACGTGTGGATGGCTTCTCACGAATCGGCCATTCAATGCATGGTTTAACCCTGGAGACCAAACGAAAAATATCCTCTGGATTGCCGGGAAACCAGGGACGGGCAAGTCTACCATGATGAAATACGTCCACAACGTCATAGGAGAACAATGGCACCTTGATTACGCCCTCTTTTCTTACTTTTTTCACGGCCGCGGCACCGCCTTACAGAGGACGAAACTGGGCTTCTTGCGCTCTATTCTCCATCAGCTTTTGCGCCGTTTCCGAGATTCTCTCCAAATATTCATGTGTGAGTACGAAGAAAAACGTACGCAAGAATACGAAGAAACCATTCAGTGGAATGAAGTAGAGCTGGAAAGAATTCTCATGAAGGTCATTCGCGAGCTTTACCTTCATGAGGAGGTAAAAATATGTTTTCTCATTGATGCATTGGATGAGAGTGGAGAAAGACCTGCACATGACATCGTAAGTCTTCTTGGGAGGATTGTTACGAATTGCACGAAAATCAAGATCATTTTTTCGTCTCGTTGGTATCCAATTCTTCAGAGTACTCCCAACTGCATAGCCATGGAGAAGGAGAACCAAACCGACATCCAAACTGTGGTCAACACACTCTTGGTGGAGGAGTTTGAAAACTATGAAGAGATTAATGTTCTCAAGAAATCAATCATCCGAAAAGCCCATGGAATGTTTCAGTGGGCACTACTGGTCACACGATCTGTTGTCGACAAGCACAGAAAGCTGGGAAGATCTGTTTCCGCTCTTCAAGAAATTATCAAGGAACTACCATCAGATCTTCACAAGTTATACGCGTCTCTTCTGCAAGATTTCGAAGAGGAGGAAAAGCACTTAACTATCAAGCTGCTTCGTTGGATTCTTTTTTCTATCAGGCCTCTCACCCCTGAAGAACTACAACACGCACTTGTCGCAGATGAAAAACATATGCCGAGCTCGATTGACGACTTTGAGAGAAATGATCACTTTGTCGATCCGACAAAGGGGGTTATAACGCTCTCAAGAGGTCTTGCAGAGATCAGGCATTATAAAAAAAAGAGGATTGCCCAATTCATCCACCAATCAGTGCCTGATTATCTCCTTATGGGAGGTGGCCTTGGACAACTCATTGGGTCTACCAACTCGAGATCTGTGGTTGGGGAAAGTCACTTTGCCCTCTCTCGGTCTTGTCTCAATTATGCCTTATTACCAGAGATTTTGGAATTTGCTTTGGGGGGCTTCGACGATTATCACAGCAAGATCAAGAAAGCTGCAGAACGTTTTCCACTCGCTCAATACGTCCATGACTACTGGCTCATGCATATAATGCACGTGGAGTCACACAATATCGACCAAAAAGACCTCTTGGAACTTCTTAAAGACAGAGAGAAAGAGATGTCACCCTTTGGTGTGCTTACGATCCCACCTGACCGTAGTTTTTACGGAAGCCCAAACGCGTATATGGGACAAGTCTTTCAAGAAGATGACAATCGGTTCAAGGGAATTTGGGGGCTTGATGAGAAAGAACAACAAAAGAAGTATCGCAAGTTTCCATTGGGATTCGAGAAGCCATGGAAGGCTTGGGATAGCATGGAATATGGCTTCCACGTGTATGATTTCTGGGAAGTGTGGAGAGATGACGAAGCATGTGCTAATACGGTAATCCTTCTTTCACTCGCCGGCATCAGGAGTGCGTTGAAAAGCATTGGACGGCAGGCATTTGCCAAAATCCCGGAACATCGCGGATTAGAGAGAGCTGAGAAGACAAGAAAATCGCCTCTATTGCTGTCGCTTATTGGAAATCCAGAACTGAGCTTGGAGGATATACCGGAGGATCTCACAACTGAAGAAGTCAATGTCGACTCATCAGAACCCTACACTCCGGTCTTTCTTGCTGTAATACTTCAAAGGGAAGAGCTTGTCCAATGCTTCATCAACGCCGGAGCAGAATTGAATCGCTTTTGTGGCAACGCTCACACTGATCCACACTCTGTCCTCTGGACGGCAATTTTTTGCAAAAACAAGAAATTAGCTCCCATGTTGAGAGCTGCTGGAGCAGAGATACTCGGGCAAACAGACCTGCAGCAACCATATCTGATGGAAGCCGAGATGAATAAGGACTGCCTCGAAATTCTTCTGGATGTAGGAGTCACTGCTAGAGAGCTATTTGCTCCAGATATCCCTGGCTGCTTTGAGGGTGTTTGGCAGGTTACGATGGGGAACTTGTTGGACGCGGGCCTTGACCCAAATGCGGTCATAAGAGATGATATGACCGTGTTTCAGGCAGCTTTGCGGTCCAACAATCACTATCTGATTCAAATGTTCGTCGACTGCCCCCGAACGAGGCCAGACTTGCAAGATGCTCATGGACGAACACCCCTCATGCGCACGGTCATGTGGAACTCCCCAAATTCCCTCTACGATTTACAAACAACTATAGAGAACTGTGCCAGTTCTGGCCGGTTCGATTTGGAAGCTCGAGATCGTTTTGGCGAAACACTTTTGGCGCATGTCACTAGAGCGGCTAATCATCATATTATCAAATTCCTCCTCAAAGCTGGTGTTGAAGCTAATACACCAGACGCCAATGGCCGGACTCCGTTGATGGTAGCAGCAGAGCATGGCCAGGAACGAAATTTGCAGGCCCTTTTAGAAAAGAACCGAGCCGACGTTAACCTTTCGGACAACCGGCAATGGACGGCGCTCTGTTATGCAACAACCAACGGGAAGATGGTCTGCGCAAACATGCTGTTCATGTCGAGCAAAATTGATGTAGAAGACTCACAACGTCGACTGGCTTCTGCTTGGTTTGATTGTGTAGAGAAAGGTCACGGATGGTTTTTACGCGGGTTCGAAGACCTAAGACCGCAATCGTTCTATTGCGAGGTGGTGGAGCAGATGCGGTCTCAAGCCTTGCTTTCAGGGAATACGTACGTCATCTCTGCTTTGGCTCATATCGGATTCATTCGGTAGCATAGGACTAAGATATCAGAATGGGAATCATACGTGTATTCTGTTGGCGCAGCGAATGGCTGCTTCAAATCGGGGATTTGTAGAGAGTGGAGTTCCAGCTCTGCCGAGGTCCTAGAGCCAAGATAATAGACGGGAGTGCTTCCGCTAAGCCCAATCTTCCTCTTAAAACCTTCGGACCGCCCCATCATCACCTGAACCCAGGGCCCTTTCAGCAGACAATTCACCGTCATTCATGATGCCGCCATCCAATTTCCGTCCGTATCGGCCTGCCCCATCTGAACGATTGCTGTTATCCCTGAGTGGATTGTCCTGCTTGCCTCATCAGGATCAACCTTGTAGTTCCACAGTGCGTCTCGACCGGTCTACGCTGGCTGCTTGACTTAGCTCATACGACGGCTGCACTGCCGATGCCTCCGCTGGAGTGTAATGTCCATGCTCCTCGTTCTTGTTTACCTGATCTCCTTCGTCCCTTCCCCCTGCCACGTCTTGCTGCTGACGGGAATGCCTCCAACGTAGGAACCACACGATAAAGCATGCAATTGTAATTGCAACAACGGGGACTATGACGGCTGCTGCTATCCATGACTGGTCATTAGACGAAGGGGACGGAGGCGACGAAGGCGACTGTGATAGACCGCTTGTAGGGAGTACTAAAGATGGACTAGCTATAGAGGCGGCTGGGAATGGGCTCGCTGTAGTGGCTATCGGGGTATTTGTTTCTATCGATTCTTGAGTAGAGCGGATATTAGTATGTATCTCCGCCAACCACAGAGTCAGGGACTTACGAAGAACAGATGGCGTGGTGCTTAGAGCTACTTCACGATAAATCGTCCACGCCATCCAGTTAAAATCGCAGCATCTAAGCCAGTCCCAAGTCGAGCCGCTCCAAGGAGACTGCTGTATAATTGTCAAGGTTCCGCAGCTAAATCCACTATCACTGAATCAATATTTAGCTATTAGGTGCTGTTACAGTCTTTCTACGCGGTCCTTACCACGTTACATCATCACAATCTGTTGAAGAAGGCCAGTCACCATTTGGCAAGCTGACGCAGGCTCCCCATCGTGATGATATTGACCATGTATCGAGCCCACAATTCATATTTTCATCTATTCGACAGATACGTTAGTACTTCGGAACGGCGTAAAAGAGGTAGTGCATTATATTACAGGACCCAGAATGGCCATTATACCATCCGATAAAATTGGGATCGATGAAACTCAACTGTCGCTTTTGTGGTATAAGCTTTGGTTTTGGTGGAGGGCTAACTGTGGATCGGGGGGTCGACGCCAATGGTGTTGTGGAGACCGTGGTCGTGAGAAGAAAAGCACGGCTGCCAGCCGTCAGGATGAGTAACGCAGCTTTTAAAGTATGCATAATGGGTGGCATATTTAACGCAATCAAGAATCTCTCAATAGTTCGAAATCGAGCTCAGGTCGAAAAGGCGGAAACTTCTGGATAGCGCATCACACACGAGATATCACAAAGATTTCGAAGACTGTTCATATAAGCAGAGCACGAATAATTGACTTCAACTAGCGCTTACCGAGTGTTCTTACTATTCTGCTAGACAATCTGCTACTAACAAAGCAAGAAGGTCGTGCAGCACCCCATGTAACCGACGCCTAGCGCCATAACAATAAATCCTTCGAACGAGGGGCCTAACGATGTCTTGATATTTTAGTATACTAGACTTGCCAGACGCAGTTGACGGCAATACTGGGAGGATCGGCAGGGCTTTTGATAGATCGAAACTAGTGACGGGTTGAGACTTGGGTATGCGACTATTCTTGACGTCAGAGTGTCTAGCAGTCTTACGATATGTGCTTACGCACATTGCTACGGGCGTAACGGTGCGACTTCAAAGAACAGCTGAGTTGACTCTTGTATGGAACTCTGACAATGAATCTTGTACAGCGCGGCGAAACAGAGCCCCGCATCGTACGTCAGTGCGTTTTCATACAAGCGAATGTTCACCTCAGCCGCAT